GTCAAGGGCTTGACTGGCATCGTGCCACCGTCGTAGCTTGGTTCGAACGCGTGATATCGATGACCCGAGAGGGAACACATCCTATCTGCAAGCGGGACTGGCTGGAGGGTACAAGAGAAGACCTTGACGCTCTCTTTCAAAAAGGCAAAGGTCTCGTGGAATTAGAAATAACGAAGAAGGTCTTTGATCATGTAGTAGCATTCATTCGGAGCGAGGCATCCCTGCTAGAGGCACTCCGTGAGGACAGCCTCCTTACTCGGTTCTACTGCAACGATACCCAGACTAAAAGAATGAATGAAAGTCTGGGTTGCCTCGTGGGCCAGATTGCGTTTCGATATCCTCGCATGAAAATTTTGGAAATTGGCGCAGGCACTGGCTCTGCCACGCGCGCCGTCCTGAGCGAGATCGGATTCGCATACCATTCCTATACTTTCACGGACATTTCAGTGGCGTTTTTCGAGGACGCAAAAGCAGCCCTGGCGGCTCATGAAGACCGATTTATCTATGAAGCCTTAGATGTCTCGCGGGACCCCCTCGAACAAGGCTTCCAGGAACATTCTTATGACTTGATTGTAGCATCTAACGTCCTCCACGCCACGAAGTTCATGCAGCAAACAATGACCCACGTCCGCCGCCTGTTGAAACCTGGAGGGTATCTCGCAATGCTAGAGGTAACTAACCAGGACCTCCTCAGTACGAGCTTCATCGTCTCTGGTTTCGAGGGGTGGTGGGCAGGTCACGAAGACGGCCGTGTCTGGGGTCCGATGCTTACTCTGTCTGGCTGGGACAAGGTCCTTAAATCAACGGGATTCAGCGGAGTGGATACCTATACATCTACTGTGGAAAATAAAAAGCTTAGCAACTATTCAGTAATCATCTCTCAAGCTGTCGATGAGCACATCCAGCTTCTGCGCAACCCGATGACTCTGAGCGACAAGGTAGTGTCCGAATTGGTAATACTGGGCGGTGCCACGAATTGGACAGGTTGCTTGGTATCCCAACTGTCAAAGGCTCTCGAGCTACACTTCATTCGCATTCACCATGCGCAGAGATTAGAGGCGTTGGATCTCGAACAGATATCTCAACAAAGTAACCCCGTCACCGTCTTGAGTCTGATTGACATCGGCTGGCCGTGGTTCCAAGACTTGAGTAAAGACCGACTGGTACCTATGCAAGGTCTGGTTACACTGGCCTCGAAGATGCTTTGGGTAACAGCTGGTTCGGAGAAAGACTGCCCCTACATGGGAATGAGTAAGGGCTGGCTGAAATCTCTGGCCTATGAGAACAAGCATTGTCTCTATCAATATCTGAACATCGAAGACCAAAAGAGTGTTGATGTGACACTCATATGCAGCACGCTGATGCGCTTAGTCCACACTGACAAGCCTAATGACTACAAACTCTCTACCGAGGTCCATAGCACGGAATCAGAGCTGTTGTTCAAGGGCGGTTCAATGCAGATCTGTCGCATCCGGTCTGACCAAGCCACGAATGATCGGTATCTAGCTGCTCGACAGCATATTAGCAGGCAGGTCGAACTGTCTAACTCAACAGTCTGTGCGATCCCTGCGTCTGAAGGCAAGCATAGTCTGCGTCTCATCGAGACCCAGAAGGGCACTGTGGATGCGGATCACATCCAAATACGCACTAGATATTCAACAGCACAGGCGATACCAGTAAGAGAAGGCATCTTTTTACACCTAGTACTAGGCGAGGATGAGGTTACCGGAACACGTCTACTTTCTTTCACAGACCAACATGCGTCCTCCATCCAGGTTCCGGCTGCGTGGACAAGAACTGTGTCGCCAAAGATCTTGGAGAATGAAGAGGCCTCATTCCTCAAGGCCACTGCTGACTGTGTAGTTGCTGGCTTCTTGATTCAGGAGATTTCGCCCAACTCGACTCTCCTTGTGCATGAAGCTGCAGAAACACTCCGCTGGGCCATCCACGAACAAGCCCTGGAGAAAGGAACCAAACCGCTCTTCACTACCACAACACAATTGCCTTCAACAGGGGACGCTATCTTCTTACCTCCAAAGGCGTCGCCTCGTGTACTAGCAGAATATTTACCCCAAGACGTCTCCCTAGCCACCTGCTTAGGCAGCGAACCAGAACACGCATTGATCTTTTCCCATATGGATCGACTCCTCCCTGAGGAGACCCGCCGGAAAACCGTAAGGGATATCTACAAGACAGTAGCTATCCTCTCCAAGCAAAGTAGGGTTGATATGGATACACTCCTCGCCAATCGGCTCGAGAGTGCTGGTGCACTGGCGACCAAGTCCGCATCAAGCGAGCTGGTCAATGTCGTCGAGGTCAACAGCCTTTCGACTAAACCAGCAGTACCAGGCTGTATTGTCGACTGGGTCAAATCCACCTCTGTCTCTGCGCAGATTCAACCCATCAACTCTCTCGTTACACTCTCGGGTGCGAAAACTTATTTGTTGGCTGGCCTGGCGGGAGATCTTGGTCAGTCCATCTCCAGTTGGATGATCAGCAAAGGTGCACGGTATATTGTCCTGGCTAGTCGAACTCCCAAGGTTGACCCCATATGGATCGAAGCAATGGCAAAACTAGGAGCGACGATTGTCCCAATGGCCATGTAAGTTGACTTTAATTCCATTCACCCAAACTCCAAAATAAATCAAAGATCTAATTGATAAAGGGACCTTACCAACCGCGAGTCCGTCCTGAATGTCTACCGCACCATCCAATGTCAGTATCCTCCTCTCGGAGGTGTAGCAAATGGCGCGCTGGTTCTCGAAGATTGTGAATTCGTCAAGGCCTCGCTCGACGCTATCGAAAGAAATGTAGCCCCCAAGGTTCAGGGTAGCATTTTGCTGGACGAGCTGTCAGGACCTAATGTCGATCTGGACTTTTTTATTCTCTTTGGGTCGATGATGGGAGTTACTGGAAACTGGAGTCAGTCGGCCTACTCGGCTGCCACATGCTTCCAGGCCAGCCTCATCCACCGACGCCGCGCACGCGGTCTCGTGGGCAGTATCATCCACCTTGGTCTTGTAAATGGCATTGGCATTATCGCGAGAAAGGGCACCGGTCATATAAATTATGTGAAAAACACCACCGGATCCTATCTTCTTTCAGAAAGAGACGTGGACAAATTCTTCGCCGAAGCGATCTTCGCTGGGCATCCTCAATCAGGCCGCAACGCGGAGCTCATGAACGGTACTGCAATGGTCGATCCTGATGAATATCCGGAGATCGGCTGGTTCGAAAAACCCTTAATCTGGAATATGATCAGCTACCATGCCAAGTCCAATGCGGAGCGATCTGGCGCCGCAGACGGGCCAAGTTCAGTCAAGGCACAGTTCGAGCTCGCCACCAGTATGGCGGAAGTACTGGAGATTATCGAGGCCAGTCTGACGGCCAAAGTTCGCAGTAAATTCAGTCTTGACGCAGATGTACCATTGGCAGCATCGACTCGGCTCCAGGCTCTGGGAATGGATTCTCTCGTGGCTGTCGACTTGCGGGCGTGGATCGCGAAGGAGATGGGAGTGGATGTTCCACTTCTTGAAATCCTCAGCGGAGGAACTATCAAGCAACTTGCGACGGAAGTGTCATCGACGCTCCCACCCACTTTGATTCCAAACGTTTCCGATGCAGAGACTACAGAGAATGAGTAATCACACCGATCGTTTATGTCGACTATAGTTGGCTATTAATTGATATCAAGGAGTTGAATGGTTACTCGCTTACATGGAAAGGCTAGGAACGAATTCGATCTGTTGGAACAATTATCAAATCAGACTGTATTGCTACAAAACCTTTAATATAGCCATGATGATAGTCAATACCATATGAACATTTGAAAGATCTCCGGTGCAACGATTTTCAAGACCTTGTAAGACTGATGTGGAATCTATCTGCACTCACTTAATTATCATTCTAGCCAAGAGTCCTTGGTGACTGGCCATTTATTCTATCAATTGGTTTAATCAGACTGATACTAATTCTATACAGTTGTTTGAATAAATTATGAGCGTCCCCACAAGGCTGAAAATATCGCGAAGTCCTGCTAAATATAGATAGATTAATTTAAAAGCTTAGAGATATAAATCTAAGCTTTTCTCTATTTAGATTTAATTCTTTAGAATTATTTTATTAATAAATATACTTCTATTTCGACCCTTAATTAATATAGTGATAAGTGCTGGAAACTCATCGCTTGACATTGGTTCATGTATTTAAACAGGGTATATAATCCCGATGGAGAACTGAGACTATCTGAGCCACACGTCACGTGCAGGGTACTAAACAAGCTCCTCTTCCAAATTGATGTCATTCTCAAGCCCCTAAGCATATGGAATGTTCAGGCTATAAGTCTAGAATTATTACGTTTGAGTTCAGTTTTTTAGGTGTCAAGCTGTAAAAATGAGAGTTTGAATCTTTCAGACTCCATTTTCAAACAGCTAACCGGACCTAGTTCATTGATAATGGAAATGAAACCCAATCTAGCTCATTCAAAGACATTCCGATCCAAACCATCTGCCAAAGAAGAGATGGGCAATTTATTGGGCTACAATAGGCTCTCTACAAGGAAGTCCCGAAAAGACTCTCGGGAATGAAGCAAAGGTGAATGCTGTTTCAGCCTAACCTACAAGGCTGACTGCCACGGCTATTTACGTACTATCAGGCAGTTAAAGGCAGCTGATCGGCCGTATGGGAAATGCTTGCAGGAATGTAAGCCAACGGAATTCGACGGCGCTATTTTTGTGGAACGCCCATGGCCAATTGTGCTCATCCCCAGACAATCGCGTAGTTGCAGGGTGTGCCCGGATAAGTTGTCTCTTGTCATTGAGGAATAATAAAATTCGAAAATGTGACACTAACGCATATGGGTTTATCAATTCATGCAGTCTTTTGCACAAATTCAGTGACTAGTTAGATCCTCCTGCATTACATAATAGGCGGTGGGGTTATAACTAGCTCTTTCCTCGCTTTTCTTGAGACAAACTTCTTCTCACGACATGAGATTCATCATGTCTAACACATTACAACAAGATAGTCTCAGCCTTGGAGGCACCACATCAGGTGTCACAATTCCAATAGTCAAGACGCCGGCTTATATCGAAAAGTTGAATTCGCTTGCCCATCACGATGAGGTTTTGGCGGCAGTTGGATATGTTGTAAAAGAGCTATCCAGTGAAGAACTGGAAGGAAAGAAAAGGTGTTCAGGCTGTGGGAAACGTATGCTATGCTTAAATGCACGCTAGCCACAAGTCCCAAGCTTATATCTAGCGCAGAAATGTCACAAGTTATGCCGAAGAAGGCAAAGAACAAGAACAACAAGAAACCCCCTCCGGATAAAGATGTCTCGGGACAGCTTGAGGCATGTATCATTTCATCGCCGGCTAAGGACACCACTAGCGATAGCCCTCTTAATAAGGGAGATATCCCCGCCAGCAACGAACCGCATATGCGGTGCAAGTTCCACAGCGGCCTGTTGCAGTTCAAGGTCAGTATTGAGGTCCATTTTTTATTTGCGGGTGAATTGTTCTGAGTAATGCAGGTCTGGTCATGCTGTGGTGGTAACCCGATGGACGCTCCTTGCACGAAACATGAGTTTCATATCCCTAGGCCATATGCTGCTGGCGAGATTGAAAGACTGTGGCAATTTCACTCAACTGGGGGAGGGAAAAGGCAATCTTCATATCGAAAGGCGGTGGCCATCGACTGCGAAATGGGTACAGCAAAGTCCGGCGACTCGGAGCTTATTCGCATTACGCTGTTGGACTACTTCTCCGGACAAATCCTTATCGATAAGCTCGTATATCCCGATGTTCCCATGCTACATTTTAATACTCGATATTCAGGAGTACGCCGCATCGATTTGAACAACGCGCGTCGCGAGGGCAGCTGCTTTTATGGAAGGAACAGCGCTAGGACCGCTATCTTAAAGTTTGTCGGGCCGTCTACAGTAATCGTGGGACATTCGGCGCAGAATGACTTGAAATCTCTCAGGTGGATCCACCACAAAATTGTCGATACGTATATCATCGAGTCCTCTCTCAAAGAGGCGGCAGAGAGGATGCTCAAAGAATCCTCTTTGACGACACCGCCAGAGCCACCAAATTCTTTGGACGTTAATCCTAAGAAAGAGGAAGACAGACAGAAATCTTCCAAGGGCCGGGGCATGCTCTCCTTAAAGACTTTGTCAAAAGTCAAGCTGGGGCGTGACATACAAACCGGACGGAACGGGCACGACAGTGTGGAAGATGCTCTTGCTGCCCGGGATTTAGTACACTTTTATCTGACCAACTCAATACACTAGCTGACTATTTTTATGTACAAAAGGTCAAGGGATTTTGGGCTCACTGTTGTCTTGGTCCTTTCATACATTGTTTCAGTACTCGGTGTCAATTGCTAGGCACAAAGCGTAGAAGGAATAACGGCTTAGGTTTGTATATTCTTTTAACATTAGAACCTTCACAACCAGCTTAGACGGCCCAATGAAGAATAGAGAGTCTAATTACACTGCAACTTTCGAACCCCACTTTCAAGTTCTTCCAGCCGACAGATAACATCCTTGCAAAGACATGCTTGGAGAATGGGGCCATCTAGATCCTCGTCACACCCGAAATCACACCGGAGACATTTCCAGACGTTGCGTGCAAAGTCTGCCCCCAGACGTGATCCAACATTATCCGCCAATTTGTGGGTCAAGAGAAACTCTGAAACTAACATTGATATTGATGTGGAATCAAGATACCGCTTCTGATGACCCTCGTAACCCCGTATCCGTCAATAGGTTGAGTGAAAGCTTGATTGAAACGAACTTCATAACATTTGTGTCAGGCACGTGCACGACGATCGGGAAGGTGCACCTGGTACGCCTGCCGCAACATCCCCAGACAATCTTCTCTCCCTCCGCACCCAGACAACTGTTCGCAATGGACCAGGTCAAGAAGCTGCAAACTACATGCCTGCGGCCTTCACAGGCCCAGCTAGCGCTCGCAATTGCCATCGTTAACTCAAAGCCCGCAGCCATCCCAGTTCTCGGTAAGAAGATCCCATAAAACGAGATTCCATGTCAATCTTACAGCTACTTCTCCAGACCACATCAATCAGATACGCTTCCATGTGAAGCAATCAACAGCTCAGCCACTCAGTCTTGATGCCTACAAGTATTTCGACAGTGTAGCTCATTGGAGACAGGCTTATTACAAGGCTGAAGACGAGCAAAGCAAACTGAGCAATCGGGTCTTTGAGTTGGAGCAGCGTGTCGAGTCTCTAAAATTGAAGCTCAAAGATGACGATATCAAGCTAACCCCTGAGAGCGGCAAGCGCAAGGACGGCTGTGACTCGGGTGCATCAGGCCCGAGGAAGAAACGGCAGAAGAACGGTCCAGAAATTGGAGTAGAGCTAGAAAGTCTGGATGATATCATGAGCCATATGAGCTCTAAGGAGGGATGTCAGTATCACCCTGCACTTTTGAGTTCCCGGATCCTCACTTATTACCTAATTAGCGATCGGTTCTTTGATGAGACATCTTTCGACACTACAACAAAACATAAACAAAAAGCCAAATTGGGCTGTGATTTGTACTAATACAATCAATCTATGCAAAGCTGCGGAGATGACTCTTTCGTCTGTGAATAGCAACGAGGCATCAGTTCCGAACCTACCTAAACAGAAGGCTATTTTAACAACAGAGCCTAATTCAATCTCTATTCTGGCTGTCATTGAGAGTGCTCATAAGATATTATGTCAATCAATTAACAAAATGAACAATTCAGCTGAAGGGCGCAAATTCGACGGCCAGGTTACTTACCATATAGTATCTCTCTTCGAAACAGCGCTCCAGGCGTTGGAAAAGCAATGTCAATTACAGGTGACACAAAACGACAAACCCAAAAACAAGCCACTGCCTAAGAGACGAGGAACAAAAATTTCAGAGGCAAAGTCTCAAGGCGCTTTCGAAATCAATAGCAATATTTCCTTTGACGATATATCGAGATACATTAGACACTTACTTGCTGGGATGATGCTGAGGTCAACAACTTTAATCACCAAATACGAAAGCATCTTTGAAGGCTATCTCTTTGTATTCCTCCGTCGGGTGGGAACATTAGTTTCTATCATGGAATTCAGGGAAATGCTTTCTGATCCCGAGCTTCAAGCCAGCCCGGATCAATTACCTATACCAGGTGGCCTTAGTCGTGCAAAGACTGACGATATATCTTTGCGGGCGGCAGAAATCGAGTCCAAACATATTGTATGGCTGCTGGAAAAGGTTGTCGCACTGGTCCATTCAGTCGGGATGAAATCGACCCGAACTCTCACTGACGGCCCCTCAGCAGAGGCGCCGGGTTCAAACGAGTCTCTTCTCCGTTTTACCAAAAAGAGAATGCAACGAACGCTACTCAAGACAGTCTTTAGTGAAGATGATCCATTGTTTCTTGACTCACTCAAACAACCACAAGCTACCAGTAGTGAACCGACACATATGGATGAATCAGAATCTGCCTCGGAATGGTTTTCTCGACAACTATGGAAATATCTGGGGTCTGATGTACTTGAATCTGTCTGGAAATGATTATCGAACAAATTATATCATATATGGTATGGGATATGTTGGAGGATATATTTTCAGAATGTGTGGTTATATGACAAAGACTATTTTAGGTTCAAGATGCGAACCGCGTTGCCACCAAGAACAGCCCTAACTGCATCCTTATTCGGACTCAATGTTTTCTCAATGGCTTTAAAATTAGTACTGACACTGAGCCATTGGCCGTCTTCCTTTTCATCCAAAGGTGGGAAGAAGGGGTGATCGGTGCCTATTATCGTTCTGTTAAATCCATCTTCATGAGAAATATAGTCGCAGATATCATACCAAATAAAAGCCGATCATGACCTCCTGCCGCATGAATTGCAGCCTTCAGACCAGCCTCACCATATACCACCGCATCCAGATAAATGTTCGTATTGAGTACCTCCCAAACACTCCTGACAGGACCCTGAGTCTTCCCTCCGTTCGCAACAAAATGACGCTCATGTGCAATACAACTCTCAATCCTCCCCGCCAAAAACGGCAACGTGCCACCAGAATGCGCCAACAAAATCTTCAATTTCGGGAACCGATCAAAAACTCCCGACAACAGCATACGCGTCACTGCAATGGTGGTCTCGAGCGGAAATCCCAGAGCTAGAGGAAGAACATGTCCGTATCGCTGCGTCACCTCGGGCCCTCCAAACGCTTCGTCCGGTAGACCGTAATGTGGGTGCAGGAAAAGCAATGACTGCGTTTCCTCTAGCGATGCCCAGATGGGATCTAACGCAAAGTCGTCGAGGCCCTTCCCTAGCCCGGATGTCCCCATGATGATACCGCGCATGTGTGGCAGCGTTTTCAGCCTTGACACCTCATTAGCAACGACCGCAGCCGTCGGAGCGCTGAGCGGCAGAGCGCCAAAGGCGTAGAGTGTCTTCACGCCTGTCTCGTTTTCTTCAGCAAATTTGTTTATCCGCGCGCAAGTTTCTTCAAGGTCGTTGTTGATGCGCTCAGTCCATGTTTGGGCCTCGTCAGCATCGAGGAAATCCAGCCACGGGTTGGCGAGGGAGATGACGCTGGTGGTGATGCCATGTCGACGCATGAAATCGAGCTTCACGTTGATATCGGAGTAGGATGAGTCGACAGGCCGTCCTCTCTGGTCCTGCGGGATCGAGGGGCTGTCGTCAGAGGAGAGAATGATGAGACGCGAGTCGGCTCCCTCTGCAGCAGGATCATGCACGTAGGGCACTTTCTTGCGTGCGCGCAGCATGTCCAGGTAGGCTGGGGTGTAGACATGGGTGTGGATATCGACTATTGGGTCTGGCATTTTGGGTATTGTGTTGATTTGTGAGGTTGGGATTGTTCGGGGATTCAACGTTGCATGCATGCGATAAGGGTGTAAACAAGCGGGGCAGCGCTAGAGGAATAACTTGTCAGGAGTAGCGACTGGATGTGCCTGTTTTCTTTCAAAAAATGGAAACAATTTTGTAATATAGACTTAGATTCTGTATCGCGAGCTTCAACTTTGAAAGAACTAAGTATCTGAGGTCTCGTAAAGCCATTGATCGATTGATCGCGCGACTGAGCCAAGCTGGGTGCGGGGCATGTCAAGATAAGGTGATAAGATAAGCTTTAGTGTCTGCTCGTTCATTATGTTTCTTAATCTTATTCTTATTCAGAGCTTATTTATTTTTTCTAGACTGTGTGAAAGGAGAGGCTTGTCCCGAGCAATATCTCGCTGTCACCACTGCGATACCTTTGATTCCTGCAGCCAGTCTTGTTCCCAGTACCCAACTACTCGTCAAGGGGCGTCAGGGGCAGTCCCTGAACGCCGCCCTGGATGATCAAGGCATTTATAAGGGCCTCCTTTTGCTGAATTGGTTCGATTCTTGATACGCTGCTTTCCATCAAGTTCCAGAGGTAGAACTGTTGGTTGGCTTCGAAAGATAACCACCCGTTCTGGAGGCTCTGTGCTGCACATCACAGGCGTGGGCTCGTCGAGGCCATACTGCCGCGCCGTGATGTAGCCACCGGAGCTCTTACCAGCCCATAGAAATTCGGCGTTGAGGGTTTCCTCATTAGTGCTCCAGCTCAATGGTAGTTTTGGGACCTTGTATGTTTGTTAACCAAAATACAGAAGGATACAAGTAGGGCGCGTGAATCGAGAAACAAAACAACATTATTCAATAATTGCCTGTTGAATGACCACCACGCTAATGTTGAGATCGACCTGCGTCGCCCATGTCCAGCTGAACAGGTGTTTGCTGAAACCCTAATCGATGGGCCGGACATGGCGTGGGTAGTTGAGCCCAGCTGATTGTCGATTTGTTGTCATTCGATCTGGCTAGCAATAGCAGAATCGTCCCCGGGATAATTGGACAGTACATATTCAGCAGGGTAGCATGCGTATATACACCCTGGTTGTTGTCAAGATGAACCCGGTTAATTGGTTCACAGAGGTTTGATATAAGTGCAGTGTCAGCTGACGTCAAGGAAACACAGATCAGTACGAAGTTCGAGATTGGGATGACGTGGGTATCTATCAATGGAAATTTGGAGGTCGATTATTTCGGTTTAATCGATTATTCCGGAGATTTCAACTATATTCGACGAAGGTACCACATACCACTGAAGAACAGTTTAATGTCCATCACGTAACAAGAAAGTTTAGTTAGATCGGTTCAAATTCACAAGCAGTTTTATACCCATGTTATTAGTCGTATTATCTTAAATACACATTTGAATACCGTCTTATAGCAGTATTATTTTTTTGGGGTATAATTCAGGCTACTTTATATGGGGACCTGGATATACATTTCAAGTATGGTACAGTCGGAAGCCGTCTCCGATAATAGATTCTCTACAAAATTACTGGGAATTAGATTTGAACTAATTATTGTGGCTATTAATTGGTGTATTTTAGAAAGATATACATGCAGTCCTCAACTATCATGGAGTTCTACGCTGACAATGTACACCAACAAATATTTTATCACAGTAATATCTAGTAATGCGATAGAAAAAAGGGAGTCCATTACACATGCAGCCTCTTGATTAGAATCGGTTTAGATGTCCGTAAAACGTCATCAGCAAGAGAATTGCCACCGCTGGCAACGTCGAAAGCTCCGAGTTGATGCATCGAAGGTGAAAAGTAATTGATCGCTGCGAGACACATTTATCTTCGATATATCGAGTGTTATTCAACTCGGACTGCATCACAATCATTGATATGAAACTATCGCGGATCTTTATGTTCATTCGATATTAGTTCCTCATAATCCAAGCCGCAATCACATGTAGATTGATTGATCTTGACGTAGCCTCATTGCAAATTTCGCCGCCAATTGTTATCACGTTATCCGGAGTTCATCTCCTTTCAGTATATCCCGAAGAAAGCCATCCAATCCATTTCTGATACTTGACCGCTTGCGCCGCCTATTATGAACGATTTGCGTCATTCATCCAATACACGGGAATGTATATCTACTTCAACGAGACCAGACACATGCACATTGTCTAGACTGTCTCTTATGTATCATCCAACCGCCATAATGTCGCTATCACCAAGCCTATACTTCCTTCTTTCCGTCGCACTGGCAGCCCCGAAAACGTCAAGTGTTAGCACAAGCACTACATCTTCAACCACAACCACAATCACCACTACGGCAAGCTCCAGCGCGGCCCCGATACACAGCCATCCTTCATCCGTCTACCATGGCTCATACAGCGGCACACCAACGACAACAGGAGAGCTGAGGGCCACATCAGTTGGAACAGGGGTGTCTGTAGCCAGCCCCGGGCCGGCTGCGACAACATACCCCAGTGACGGAAAGCTGCACGATGCCCAGCCAGCCCCATATGTACCTGCCGGTGGAGTAGGTTTGAACAAGTCGCCGGTATACAACGTAAAAAGTGATTTCGATTACCAGTCATTGGTAATCTCCCCTCTCGCCATTCTTTCTTCTGTTCCCAGTCTAATATTGAAAACAGGCCCTCGGACTATACCAAGAATACATCGAACTCGACCTCTTCCGCTACGGCCTCACGGAATTCAGCGCCAGCGACTTCGACGCCGCGGGACTGAGCAGCGTAGACCGCTATCTAATCGAATTCATGGCGGAGCAAGAAATCGGACACGCGACGCTCCTCAGCAACATCCTCGGCGACGAATACGCACCATCCGAATGCGCCTACAACTACCCAGCCTTTGCGAGCGTGCGCGAGTATGTCGATTTCTGCCAAAAGCTCACACGATGGGGTGAGTCAGGCGTATATGGGTTTCTGCCTCATTTGGAGTCCCGTGAGGCAGCGCAGTTGTTGCTGCAGTCTATTAGCACGGAGGCGCGGCAGCAGCTTATATTCCGGCAGTTTGAGGGATTGTTTCCGATGCCAGTGTGGTTTGAAGTCGGGATTCCACAGTCATGGGCATGGACGTTGTTGGCGCCGTATGTTAGTTCTTGTCCCGCGAACCAGACGCGATTGGTATGGCAGAATTTTCCGGCGTTGAATATCATCAATAATCCTGTGCCGGCGTATGCGAATGCCACCCCGGCGATTACGCAGAACCGTAGCACGCCACTCTCACAGCCTGGCGGCCAGGTGAATTTAGTCTGGGATGCTCCAGGGAAACCAGTCGGGCCGAATAATAGCTACATCACGTCGACGTCTGCGGGACGACCGGCGTATGTGGCGTGGGTGACGCAGTTGAACGTAACATATTCTGCGCTGACGATCAGCAATAGCAGCTGCAATAATGGGAAGAATATCACGTACGCTTCTACGACTCAGCCCAACTTGGAGACGTTCTCTGGGGATCCGGCAATCAATGGCACGATATTTATTGCGGTGACGGATGATGATCCGTTTTTGACGTCGTATAATCTGAGCCTGATCAATGATCATGTGGTGGCGGGGCCGGCCGTGTATCAAGCTGGTTGAAAAAATATCCAGAACATGCATGTGCATTGGGTGTAAATTGAGATACTTGAAAATTGTTAACAGATATAAAGCAATATCAAATGAAATGAATGCAGTATCAACTACCAACTATCACAAAAATAATACTAACCCCAATACAGACTAGCGCATCGGAGGTTGCGGAGTTACCCGCCTGATCTAAGAATAAGCATCACAAAAGCTAAGCCCATTCTCCAACAACCTCCAAAGCCTCCCACCGCAGGGTCTTGAAAAGCGAAGAAAATGTCGCAGAACCGCAAACAACGCCGTGCCGCAGCAGCTGCAGTTAAAAGGGACCAAGAACCCAACAACTTCGAAATCCCCCTCGCCCGACCCCCCACCGGGTCACACAACACCAAAAAACAAAATGGCGAAAAAACACTCCTCGAACTAGCTGCGGAGAGACAGGCTGGATTTGCGACGCCGAGGGTTACAACAAACAAATCCACAAAAAAAGGCGAGCGGAAAAATGGAAGTAGTGATGAGGCGAAATTATTCGATATGGACGCTACAGAAACACAATTCATACAGATTTCGCCTGACGGCGAGGTATCGCAGTTCACGCCGGAAGACCCAACAACACAAAAAGATGGAAAAGAAGAAGAAGAAGAAGGAAACGGAGAATTGCCGCCTATAATCGATACACTGCTCCTCTCCATGCCCTTGACAACGCTCCACTTCACACTCGCCTTTCTCGCCGCCCATCAATATGCGCAAACCATCCATTTCAAAGAATTAGCCTACGAATCGATGGCCATTGCCTTCCCCGTGCTGACGTTCTGCATACATGTGGCGCATGGACATGTCCTTACACTTACGCGAAAGAAACCCAGTCCGAAGAAATCAAGGGTTCGCGCGGACTCGGTTTGGGATTTGATATTTGGGAAACCAAGTCTAAAAGCGTTTTTCTTCTTGGCTTTGGCAATCTTTCTAGGCGGGTTTTTGATTAAGCTGACCAATGAGGAAGGGTATTATGCGGTTATGAAGAGGGCACCGAGTATAGGGACTATGTGGGTGTGGTGTGTGTTGGAGATGGCGCCGGGGGTAGCCGTTGTAGGTGTGCTGGTGCCTCTGGGGTGGGGGGTTGGGTATATGGGGTATCAAATTGCATAATTTGCATGGTTGATATGATATTTGCATTGTAAATTTAGGTATGGAGTTATTGGATATGATGATGATTAATAAATATTAATTGGCTATACTCCATGGGTATCTTATCTGTCCGCACATCAAGGCCGATGACATTCCCGTAGATCGAATCAAACCACCCAATTCACAACGCCAAAATATATACAAATGATAAAAAACTGACAAAATAAAAAAGCCCCCCTGGGTAATATTAAGTAAAGTGTCAACTGCTCGTTTTCTTTTAGTCTTCGTCATGATCAAATCTCATCACGGTACTGTGTACCCGAATGTATTAAAGGTATAAAGTCTAGTCGTAACGTCGTGTTCGTGTCTGAAGTAGGCCGTCTAGATCATTGAATATCCCTAGTCTCAACGGCTTCTGCGGCCTCTGGTTCAGGAGTTTCGGGATCAGCCCGGCCGCGATGTGCTGCCGCAGCAACCGGCTCGGCAATAAAATCGTCTGCCGTTAATCGAGACAACTGCCGACTAACTTCGGAGAGCCGAGTCTCGGAGCTAGCCTCAGGATGATCAAAGTAATCCAATCGCTCCAATTCTTCGTAGTCAGGCAGTGTCGGTAATGGGGACCCATTGTAGTCCTCCATAGCACAGGTTCCGCTGAGCGTCGCATATCCAGGAGGACTCGCTGGGACGTCGTTGTAAACTGGAGGCATTTCTTCATCCCAGCTAATGCCGAGTCCACCCCGCTCGGTGACGAGCAGGTTGAATTGCATGCGCAAAACGCGGGCTGCGCCGGTTGGTGTCACAAGTTTGGTGTTTCTGTTGGGGCAGAATTCCTCGGCAACGATGAGCTCGATCACGAGATTGTGCTTGACTTCTAGACAGCCCTTGACGTCGAGATCGCACACTGGGTTGCTTCCAGGTTTGATGTTGGCCAGAAACTCCATGTTAATTTCGCCGCCTGCCGTATCAAAGTCGGTTTTCCAGCCAGTCTTCTCTTCATTGTGACCGATGACGCGCGTCTCTTGGTGCAGGACGCCTTTTCCTTCGCCACCGACCTTGTGGGCATGCTTTGAACAGGCACTGGAAACCACCTTTTGATTTTCTTCAATGCGCCACATCATCTTCCGCAGTCTCCACCGAGTCTGACTCTCTTCACCTTTCTCTACCACGCCGCTCAAATTCATCTGCACGGGGAAGGCACCGATAGGGTGAACCACCGAAGGCAAGACAACGCGGCCGGTCAGTTTGGTTGGAGGAAAGATGCGAAGAGACGAGCGTTCGTTGCCCGGCAAGATCGAGCGGTTGATCGTCAGTGGAATTCTCTTCACCAGCTCTTCTCCATTCGTGGCGACGGCTCGAGCGGTGAGGAAGTACTCGATCGCGCCTAGGGTTCCTGAAGCACTGGCTGGCAAGTCTCCAGGGAGCAGGTAGCTGAAAGGGTAGTCGTGATCACCTTTGTTCAGAGTGGTTTTTTCAGCTAGGAAGTCCCATCTTTTCAACTCTTCTTTGTGAACGCAGCAGTTGCCGCAGTCGCGAGTGATGGGTTTCTTGGTGGTGAAAGTCTTCGTGAGATCGACGGTGAATGCTTTCAATGTGACAGACCCAAGCGCATCTGGCACTGTGATACGCAGGCGGCCCGAGAACAGAGCGCCGGTGGAATTGGCGGGGGTGCCATAGAAGACGAGAGGAGGAGACTCAATCACGACATTGAGTGTTGCTGGAGAAGCACGAGCGGAATCCTTCGAGGAATGGCGCTCCTTTGAGCGGGAGGACCGGCCCAGGCTGAAACGTTTGTCTTTATTCGGATGGATAATGTGCTCGACAGCAGCCGAGAGGCGACGCTCCGGGGTCTCGTGTCCATCCGACACGAGCGACCAGGAGTTTCTCTTGGAGGAGGCGCCCGAGGCAGACATTTCGTTCACCGAGGTGGTGGAGGAGGAGCGTGAGGTGGGAAAGCTGGCATGTGGTGAGGACGAGCGGACGAAGCTCGACAGGAGACGGCCTGGCATAGCGACGAGGTTTTCAGATGTAGACTAGACTATGCCGGCAGGGTCGAGGCCAAGCACATAATCCACAAAGCGGTGTGATGCGCACTCTGCAGAGCGATGCTAGGAGGGGAGTTGAGGGTGAAGGAGATGGTGAGGTTGAAGTTGATGTAGGCAGAGAGGGGTCGGCGCAAGAACCACAGGACGGCGAGCGCATGTCTTTGTAGTCGACCCTGGAACACAGACTGGGCGAAAAACTAAAAAACCTTAACAAGGGCGGAATAACTCCACATGGCGACGGGACACTTCCTGGCCAGTGGACGCCTTTTCCAGCAGTTCTTCGCTTTCTCTGTGTGTGTGAGCGCAATACTAATTACAGAGTAGTATAGAAAAAAAAAAAAAGACGAGTCGAGGTCTGTGGGCCAGGCGGGGCGGTAATACCAATACGCGCCAAAGGCGGTGCCGCACTGCCGTGTGAGTCATTATACAGTATATATAGTAACTATATCGCGTATACTAACTTACTGCTACACAGTATATGATTACTAAGTATTGTCTGAGATTGTAGATTGTAGATTATAGAATCGTACTGGTCAATTGCGACACAGCTCACGTCAGATGGCGCAACTGAGGCAGCCGGTGATCTGAGCATGACGCGATCGGATGCTTAATTGCATACAAGGATCGCCGCTATACAGCTCGTCCTTGGCATTTGCATTGGATTCAATCAGCGAGCGAGTGCTCAACAACAGTGTATGAGCGCATAGTCACATGAAGTCAATGTCATATGCCGGACTGTATGAGAAGACGAATATCTCCGCGGCCTGTAGGATGTAGGAATGGAAAGGGTGTAATTTATAGCGTATGTGGCGTGACCACAATACGGCCGGCCCGAGTCGATCTAGATGACGCCATGGATCCTAAAAAAATTTTTCCGGGCAGCTGATAGCCTGATGGTTGATGGCTTCTCCTCGCTGCTGCCGTTTTGGGACAAGCGGTAAATCCCCCATTTGTACCCCGCGTCAGTCTCCTTATTATCATTATTATTAATCGTCCCTCTCTCTCGTTGATTGAATCACACAGTCTGCCCTCTTCGTATGAGCTGTCATCTGATGCTTGGAACAGGTCAGCAAAGCTTAACTGCACATGAGTCAGGATCGCTTACTGATGTGCGCTGCAAAGGTAAATAAATCTAGACGCGCCGGCAGCTAATGGTGCAACAGACATGGTGAATGGCTGGCACCGTTGCTATTACCTAACAATATCACGCCAGCCCTGCTGCACTTAACCACACTCATATAACAAATATAATTACATACTATTACTGTAAATATCAATAGCGCCAGCACGTGGGAATCGGGTGGGCCGCGGGCTGGACCTGACTAATTGGGAAGGCCCAGATGTCCGCAAGGTACATATAACTCATATACCTTCTACTATGATACAATTTGTAACTATAAAGTGCATTTACAATAATACATTGCGACCGCAGGATATGTGATATACTATGATAGTATACTATATTGTGTAATAAGTAGGATATACTATATATAATAAGCAGGATATACTACAGAGTATATTAGTTAGTTATATAATAAGAGGGGGAGTAGGCATCGGAGTTCGGATACGGAGTAAAGGACGGCATCACGAGACCGATCCCGCGCCCATGATTGGCCCCTCATTCAGGTACCTCGAAAATATTTCTTATTGACTTCAACATCAGTTGATCAATGGGCATTCTGCAATTTCTTAACACTGATATTAATAAAGAGAATTATTATATCAAGATATCAACAGAGTAGCTCAGTCCTGTATATTCCGAACTTGTTGTCGTTCCAAGCTGCCACATTCGATCTCATCCACAGTGGGTCGCCCGCCAGGTTTTTCCACTGTGGTTCTAGAATCTTCATGGCCTGTCATCGGAGCCCGCCGATATTATACCCGAAACATCAGTTGAGGTTGATACAGAATATGTACTGGTATCAATTGATGTGTGTCAGGTCGCCTGATCCGCGTGTAGTATACGTATACATGTAGAACATGTATGTGTGTATGGGTGCTATTTTTAGATTGGATGCGGCTCAACTTGAGTGCACTGTTCAATGAGCTGCTTCTTTGTGTGAAATTATTGATTGTTAATATATCTCATGTATTGTTTTCGATGATTTTTTGCGTCTCACAGATATGGGCATAGTATTTTCAAAAAAAATGTTTAAATTTTGGCTATTTTCTCTGGGGGCTTTTCTTGCTCCATCCAAATCCACATTCCGCTCTGTGTATATATATATTTATATTTCCAGGCATCCACCATCCACCCCAAGTGCTAGATCGGTCCAATCAATCAAAAGAAGTACTTTAAGGTGATATAAAGGATATGAATTTTAAGTTGCATGTTCTCAAAAGTCGCTGTACGCATGTAATGCTCTGTATATTCTTACAATTGGGTATCTCAAAACTGTATGCTCATCATATCTAATCATTCTAGACGTCGCTAACGCCAAACCAACCACAAGCACATTTTTGCATATAGAAACTGCAAAATATCCCTCCAACTCCTGTCACATAGCTAAACCTCATTGGCAGAAGTAGCAGCTGCGGCATCAGCAGCTTCGTCTTCTCTACGCAACTTCTCCTCCAACGCCTTACGCTCCTTTTCGCGCTGCGCATCCTTCAGTCGCATCAACGTGACCTCTTCCAAACTCGGCGTTGTCAAAGGAGGTCTACTACCGGATGCTGAAGGTGGCGCTGTGCTCTTTTTTGCATCGCTCGCAGCGGCAGGTGAAAAGGATCCGAAAGAGGGCTTCCCAGCGCTCTTAGATGACGGCGTACTGCGGTCTTTGAGACTTGAAAAATCGAATTTCGGTTTCTTCTCCGGAATCGATGTTGGTGGCTCTGCTGTAGGTTTGGAATACCGAGCTCCATTGGGGGGAGTAGAAGGGTTTGGAGTTGGAGATGTGTCGTCAGATCGTCCCAGGTTTGGTTCATTTCCAGATGCCCAAAACACCGAGTCGATAACAGTCCATTCTCCACCGCCTGTTTTCTTCTGCTTCTCACTGTCGAGAACTGCTGAATGAGCGCTCACAATCGACGTGAAAACAACCACACCTGTGGCGACGGTCTTCTTTTCGCGTTTATCGCCCAACCGCTGTCGCTTGTCCTTCAGCATGAAAGCATTCTCGACCTTCCCAAACGGTGAGAACAGCAACATCAATCGATCCTTATCAAGATCTGCGCCCAACCCTTCGCGAACCCACCGGACCTTGACAGCTCTTTCAAGCTCAGGCACATTCGTCCCGCCTTCTTTGGACCGATCCACGTGCTGACTACTCTTATCCTGCTCAACACGCTCCTCCTCCTCCGCTTCTCTCATAAGTTTTTCTCCAGCCTCTTTCCGCCTCCGCCTCGAATCCTCTGCAATTCGCTGTATCTCCCTCTCCAATTTCGCCTCGGCATCATTATCACCCGCACTAGGCATCCATGTCCTTTTCACCCCTCGCTGTGCAGCAGTAGCAGCTTCTCCAGCCCTCTCTCTCGCCTCTAAATCCTCCTTCATCTTCCTTTTAGCCGCGTCCATCATCTCCACCTCCCGTTGTTTCCGCACCCGCGCCTCCCGCGCATTATCGTATAACTGCCGCACAGCCGGGTCCGAGAGGACATCGTAGGCGATTTGTAATAAGTGGAATTTGTCGATATCTGCTGGCGTAGGGTTGGAGATCTTGTCCGGGTGGTACTTTAGCGCTGTGCGGCGGTAGGCGCGACGGATCTCGTTTTCGGCGGCCACGGACGAAACGTCGAGTAAAGCGTAGAAATCTTGTGATGAGGCTGCGTGCGCCTTGAGATCATCTGTTGGCGCCATGGCGGAGGTCCAGCTGCGTTGCGGCTGTTTATTCTTTCCAGCGAAATATCTGGGTTGTTTGCGTTTAACCTGCTGGAGTTGAGCCGGCGGAAGTGAATGCGACCAGGCACTTCTCTTGAAATGCAAGGTGGGACCTGCCACTATTAACGCCCAGACAGACGTCGAATGCTTCCTCCCCACTCATATAGTCACATATTTAGTTCACCAACATATGGTCAGATGGCCGAGTTGGTTAAGGCGCTGTGTTAAGGTCCTGATTTGATATGGTGTCTCGTATATTGTATCTATCATATATCTTAATTCGCAGTGGAGCAATCCGCCTGGGTTCGAGTCCCAGTCTGACCATTTTTTTTATTAGAATGGCCTATATACTATATTAGTAGTAGTCAAAGTTATTAAGCGCGTATTTTCGAAAAGCACGTGGTTACCAAATAGTAGCAATCCTCTTTTTGAGACTTACTACAGACACTCCTTCTAACTAAATCTAGACGAGTAATTAGTAAATTAAGAGATTCCTAACAGGCTGATACACTCTCTATAATTAACCTTTCTACATATTATTTTATTACTTAATAACCACTAAATATCTTTCTAATTTGGCTTTAAAAAGTGAAGTAGAGCGTTGTGTACCGTTTGTATGGCAGAGTTCGTTTTTATAGCAGGTCGCGTCACGGAGCATTCTATAGTACGGCTAATTATACGATGTGATAGGGTGCTATGTCGCAGTTGTAAAACGGTCCGGGCAGGGCCGTGTCCGGGGGTGTCTGAAGAACTAGATGTGGGTGAGTTGAAGCTTCACCGTTCGATATTGAGGTCATACAGCAAGGTTACTCGGGGTGGGGGGTTGTTATCAGTTGGGATAATACAGATATAGAAGGCTCCGAACCGAAGTCTATTCGAAGCCGAGTGGGCTTATATTGAAAGTTATGTCCCAAATTATACAAAAGATATCGCTTGGCTTCCTCCCTCTTGGTTGGAAACCAACCATATATGCCTCAGTCTCTGCGTCAGGTGTTTGATACCTAATCCAACTAGATAAAGGCATATATTGCGGGGTGAGGGTACTTGCATCATGCCCGAGCTCTTATGGTATCAATTATGATATATCACAATTGACTCCCGAGATATCTCGGAGACCCCCAGTCTTGCCGGATTCTGCATGAACACGCTTTCTGAACTTATCTATATTACAGCATTTCTATATAGCGTTTCTATGACAGGATTGATTTAAGGAAAGTAAAATGCTATATAGTATGAATTTTTATGGTCTCCTTACTCTCTCTAAGCTAGTAAAACACTAAAAATTAATATACAGATAGTATATATATATATGTTTTTAAAGCTATAATTCTATATAGTGAATGTGAGGCCTGCCGCAGGGGCGCCTGCGGAGCCTCAAGCCTTCTAAGCGTGCATTGGGCCCAATTCCCAGGTCGTACTCTTCAGTATAGAGACCAACCACTAGGAACCCCTGACAGGGAATGAATTTAGTCAAACTTTAGAAGCCTTAGCTTACAAATAATCATGTGAAATCTAATACGTCATAGGTTTAGAAGGAGTGTCTCCATTAACTCCCATTTTTTATCAGGATATCTTATTTCCACTGAGGGCTGAGATTTCCATAAGTCTTATTAATCACAGATGACAAAAAGTCACACGTGGTCAGATGGCCGAGTTGGTTAAGGCGCTGTGTTAAGGTCCTGATTCGATATGATATCTTGTATATTATATCGAATATATGTCTTAATTCGCAGTGGAGCAATCCGCCTGGGTTCGAGTCCCAGTCTGACCATTCTTTTTTTCAATTAATCCCTATTGTCTATATATATTGGTTGTACGTTTCTACTTATTTTTTGTTAATCAAGAAGACAATTTAATTCGCTGATTGACTGCTTCCGTGATGCTCGTTGAAGGGATAAACCATTTTTAATGTGTTATACGAGGATTAGTTCGTCTACAACTTGGGCGGATGGCTCGAGTCGTATCGTCCTACGCCGCTGTAAACTTGTATCGCCTCTTCCATTGTAACATATGAACTCACACGGCTGTGTCCATCAGGTGTGTAATATTAAGGTCTACCCTAACTGACGCCTAGTCTATTAGTACATTCGGAAGTGCGATGACTTAATAACCAACCCGGCCATCTTCCCATGACTATGTATGTCAGATGAAACGGAGAAGTCGATCATAAATAAAATCTGACTACCTTATCGATAACTTAAAAGATAGGATGAATCCCTGGGATGACCTCGTCTTAGCTAGGACCTCACGGAAAGGTGATACATGTATATAGCATTAAGATATGCGAATTTATATAGAGATTAATGATAGAGAGTAGGTCAAGTTATAAAGCACGGTATTCAATTATTGTTTATAATTAAACGTACTTTATTAAATTTTCTAATTGTCTGGTACCTAGCGAGCCGGTGATGCATACGGATCAATACTAACTAATATACCTCTAACGAAAGAGACTGTAAGATAGACAAACAGCATTGTAAATATTAATGTAGCTGATAATGGTAATTTCGGTCAATATATGCAAGATATCTAAGTGGAGTGGATAATATACAAGCAAGGTCCGACGAATTCTAACTATCTCTCCTGCCGCCTGTCTCCGGCTTCGGTTTCTTCTTCGAGCTGTTCGACCATATCTCGAGCCCTAAGCCCCTCGTTCTCATCCCGTGCTCTTTGAGAGGAGATATTTCGCTCTGTGGTTGCCAATATATGCTCTCTCAACCACGGAGGAACAAATGCCTTGACTTTGACTTCTCCAGGCATTTGAGAAGGCGTAAATGGAGAAAGTTCTTCGCCGGACGCTTGTTCGACATCGCTTCCATCCCAGGAAATCTTGAACACTTGGGATGGACTGTACTGGCTTCCTTCCCCAGTCAACGTGATATCAGTCATCATTTCGAGACGACATAGACCAAGCCCGACATTTCCAATGCCATTGAGGAATTTTCCGGCGCTTCGACCCTTTCGCGCTCCCGCCTTGGATATGTTTCCACCTCTGGGGGGCAGTGGAAGAGATGTCTGAGGGTCATATACCGGCGTTTCCCCGGCTAAAATACCATCATCTTTCCCATCATACAGCTGTACTGGTAGAATACGTTTCCGAACGACTCCCGTGTGATGTGTACGTATCGTAAGCTCTTGTCCGACATAGCAACCCTTTCGAAAATCGATTGCGCGCGAGAGGTCCATATTACACTCCATGGGAAGCGCCGACTCGCGCAAAATTTCACTCTGTCCTTCGGCAATTCCATGAATGATACGCCGTAGCGTGTAGGCAGTCAAATCCACCTCACCACCTGGGAACGTGGAGTTATTGGGGAAATGGCTTAAAAGATCATTTTCCCCCGGCGTAAGCAGTCTTGAACCAAAGCCAGGTGCCCGAGTATCGATACAGCCAGCAACAAGCGAATCTGGGATGAATTGCGATGGAAAATCAGAATCGAGGTTATACGCAGCCCATCGCGAATCCGAGCTCTCGTTCCATGCGGCCCAGACTGAGCGTTCTCCATCTTCCAGGGCGCGGATTGTGAGCTTCGCGCGTAATTTGTGCTTTTTTAGGTGTTTCGTTAGGTTTTTGACTTCTTCCTTGTCGACCTCGATCAGCCACACGGGATCCTCAGCGGCAACAGACTTGCCGACATCAACGCCGGTGCTCGCAATCGGGTAGATGAATACATCATGCAATACCCGACCTTGTGAGTTGAGGAACGCACTATAGGTTCCAGTCCGTCGAGGTGTGTTGACTGGCTCTTTGCCCATAAGCATATTTTGCGTGACCATTCCTTGCAAGAACGAAGTGCTATCAGCGCCAGCAATGGCGATCAAGGATCGGTTGGTAAGCCGGGCATAACCCGAAGCCGGAGGAATCGGCGGCGTTCCATATGTGTTATGTTGTCGTTGATGGGCTCTGGAGCTCGTTGAGAATAGTGCATTGCTGCGTCCAAGGCATATTGAGCAGACCAGCTTTGTGTAGCGCGGGGAAGACATCCTGGCGTGGTTTTTGGGTTACTGTTGGTGCAGAGCTCTAGCAAAGCAACTTCCTTAGGCGGTGACATGTGGCAGAATGTACCCTGACGTAGTCTTCCCCACAAGGCAAATTTCCCAATGTACACAAATATACTATTTAGAGATATTATTGATATAGTGACCTAAACCACTTACCTAGGCAGGCATAATATTGAGGTATGTTTCTTACATACACAAGGGTAGGTAATACCATAAGGAAGTGTTTACTTATTAGATAAACTAGGAGGCCTTCATTTGCTAGATACACGAGCTGCACAAAGGCTTAATTATAAAATATTTATCTTAGAAATTCTATTCTCTCATTGCTTTATCCAGTGTATTATTGATGAAGGAAGTATGTCGGGACATCAGGTGGGTAGTGCCGTAAGAAAGTGTTTGCTTGTTAGATAAGCTAAGAAACGCTCGTTTGCTAGACACCTGTGCTATGCATGGGCTACACAAACATAAAGGCTTGATTTTCAAATCTCTGTATATTAAATTCTATCCTCTTATACTCTTAACATCCTCTCGGACTCTCGTACTCTCTGCTCAAATCTATCTCCTACTACTTCTCTCAAGATTGCCCTGTTTTTCTGAATCAGACAAATACCCGAAGCATGGTTATCTACGCCTACTGAATAATGTCCAGAGAATGTTTGCAAATACTGCAAAGAGCAAGGGCATAAAATATCAAGATGCCCTAAAATTGGTTGCTTCAATTATGGTCAGAAAGGACACATTTCTTATCATTGTCAGCAACAATGTGATGTCTGTTTCCAACGTGGACATCAGACTGAAACTTGTCCATACAGAGGTTCTGGGGTAGTTTTTATCCAGAACCCTTTGAAACGATCGAGTATTCTGGGATCTCATGATGGAATAGATGACGAAGAAACAATCCGAAGGATATATTTATACTCACTCTCTGTGTACAATGACTAAATCCTTGAGAAACCTCGAGCTCTTGAATTGAAGAAAATGCAAGCTTTAATATATAGGGCACCTAGCGAAGTTTTTCCAAAAGACAAGGTAGTCTTTATGATATTTTTATATGAATATAACTGACAGGTAATTTCAGATTTCGGTGTTCCTTAAATTGCAGATTACCTTCCCCTATCTTTGCCCAATAACTACTGCATTGGTGCAGAATCTATATAGCCAGAAATGGAATCATTATTAGCTTGCTCAATATTCCCAACTAGTATCAATTCATGGAGGGTTTGAAGAAGTAATCCAGTCTGCCATGGACAGTGTTGCAGAGGAGATCCGCAATTTAGAAGGGCGGGTCCTGACGTTACAACTGTCAGTCCATTGTCCCAGTTTTAACTCATTCTAACAATATCTATAGGTTGGATGAGGTGAGGATTCATCAAGGCTGTTTTGAATAATGGTCACTAGATAGTGGCTATTGCGATCTTGTCACGGATGCCAACGACATGGAATTCTGACGCCCTTATGTCGGCCAGAGTGGAATCGTAGGACAACTGGTACATGATCATCTAGCAGCAGCTAAAAGCAGAAGAGTCGATTCTCTGAATTATCACTTCATAGCACGGGGAAACGGACATCGACGTATGAATTTCATACATCTCTGGAGTTTACCATAGCCCTTGGCACATGATCCGAATGCAAAAGGATCTATTCATCCCCTCAATTTATGGGGGTGGGAAGTTATAGAGGAGGCGGGCCCGAAGGGGAAGGATGACAGCTCTGGGCGGCCTGTTATCGGCAGGCGACGCCCGCACGTCCGAATCCCAGGAGGGAGGCCCGTCAGCCCCTATAAGGCCCCCGAATCACCCTGCGTATATAAGCGGCTTGGGCCAAGGAATTCATTTGTACATTAAAACGCCAGACACCAGTGTGGGGCAGGCAGTGAGGAGAATTAGGGGCTTAGGCCCCTATAAGGTTCCCTAGCGCCCACTGAAATGAGACCATCATAGCTTATAGCTGGGTAAGGTCGTTAAATATGAATAAATATGGTCTGGTTTACTAAATCCAGAATCAATATGGTCCAGTTCTAGACCTAAAAACCTATTTATTATAATAATTATAAAAAATTTGGATTCAGCCGGTGCGTACCAACAACGGGAGTGGTTGGCATGTACTTCAACTTTCCAGTCGCCAACTGTTGCCAGCCGCTATGAGTTCAGACCCTTTGACCTCAGCTATCAAATATAGCAATTTGCTCCACCTCCCCTTGGAGCTACTCACGTCTATTTTCGAGCTCCTGCCGAACCGCGATCTCAAAAACGCCCGTCTGACTTGTAGAGGCCTTAGTAATGCTGCACGCTTGCGACTCAACCGCGTCTTCATATCAGCCAATCCACGTAATATCGAAGTCGCAAGGGCTATCGCTGATGACGAAACTTATCGTAGGGTGTCGTCGAGGTTGTCTGGGACGACTCACTGCTGGCCATCACACGAGACTATCGGGATTTTTACATGGGGGGAGGCTATCAATATTCTGACTCCTCAGATGACGAGACATCCCCGGGCAATGACAAACCTCCAGATTGGTTCAGACGCGAACTCGAGGAGAATCTGGAGCACGTATTGACCGGGCGTGTAGTGCCTGACGACCCTGACCTTCCAATCCACGTCGCCACGGCCCAGCGCGCTGCTGCGCTGATCCCAGCCAAGGAAGCCTGGTCGTATTATCAGACTCTATTTCAGCAGTAGAGAACAGTCCTCACATCTGAAGCCGATGTATCCGCGTTACGCTACGCCCTGGAGCGGTTCCCTTCCCTCAGGCGAGTCACCATCACTCCCGCCGCCCATGGGGTTCTGTTCCACCCGCTGCACCAAACCCCAATGATTCGCGACTTCCCACGCGAACTCAATTACCCGATCCGCTACGGCTGGCTAGCCCCTAAGATGCCCATCTCCGGACCAGAGGCGCCGCCGTCTGGGGGCCCCAACGACGCTGGCGTGGACCCGTGGCACGGGTTTCGCGTGGTAACGCGGGTTCTGGCCAAGGCGCGGGATCATCACCACGTTGTGGAGCTGGTTCTGGATGCTGTAGGCCTGCTCAGCGGAATCAGTTGCCGTATATTCGAAGGCCCTTGTAGGGAATATGATGACCTCACGGCCCTGCTTCGGCAACCGGGCTTCAGGCGGCTCGACCTCGCCCTCATCGTTGGCGGCGAGTGGCACAGTGACTGGGTGTCGTTCCGCAACGGATACCTCAGCCGGATGCTGGCAGGCGCCCCAGATCTGGAGCATGTGGCGCTATCTACCAGCGTCGAGTCGGACCCAGCTGCCGATGCAGAGGAGAAAGGAAGCGCCGGGAATGCGAGGCACCTCATCCCACTGAGAAGCATCTTTCCAGTGGACAGGTGGCACCGTCTGCGGCACTTTGCGCTATCCCAGTTCCTAGTGAAGCAGGCAGATGTAGTAAAATTGCTGACTGCTCTGCCAGAGACCCTAAGATCTGTAGAGCTAAGCTTTCTAATGTTCTTAGATCAAGGAGGGAACTATCGTGACATGCTAGCTGAGATGCGAAAGAGGCTGGGCAGCTGGCGGGAGAGAGAGGAGCAGGCCCGGCCGAAGGTGGTGATTGGGATCAATTCGAGTGGGATTCATAAGATGATCGGACGGGCGATATGGATAGATAAAGAGGTTGGGGAGTTTCTTTACGGGGCTGGGGAGAATCCTTTTGGAACACTTTATCATAAGAACAGTATACGGCTTGGCTGTGGGGTAGTAAGAGACGTGTTTGAACCCGAATTTGAGCGGCCTTTTGTGGACTGGGACACAATGGAGGAGCTGGGGTACTACAAGAAACGGCCGCGGCGGCGTTCGAAGTTGATAGAGTGGTTTTGAATGATAGAAGGGAGGACCAAAGTGGGGTTTTGTACAGATATATCTACATTTTATATTTATCGACATTGTTCAAATATTCAAGTGAACCTAAACTAACTCGTCATGGAGACTTTAGAAGGGAAGAAAGGAGACGAAGAGAATATTGAAAGCAGGAAATTGAAAAAAAAAAAAGAGGTAATCAAGACAATATTGAACTCAACCTCAACGCAGATAGGTTCATACAGATAGTTTTAATGTTAGGATTCTAGATCAGTCCTGTTGGCAGGACGGTTGAGAGGTTTGACACACTCGCGTATAAAACCTTCCCAAAGTGGACATCAGAAGGTCTCGGCTGGGACCAAGACTACCTTCCAGAAAATGATCTCGCACTCCATGGTCGAAGTCTTGTTTCGAGTTATAAGAAGATTTGACCGATGATGACTTTTTGATCTGCTCTCCTACCATCCGTTGTTTTTGCTTTCGTGATAAATACTGGGGAAAGTCTCCAATCACACAATCGAACGGACGATTTGGTGACAGTGAGGGGAATTTGCGGTCATGAACATCCATGGCATTCAACGGTTGAAGTCCCTTTCCGATTGATGAGACATCGCCCCAGAATATAAAGAATTGATCATGGCGTCGGCAAAGACTCGGTTGGGAGTGGTTGACGGCCCGCGGTTTGATGATATTGTGTCTGGCAATTGCAGAGGTCTCGCAGTGTTTCTTCAGTATGCATCGCACTGCGTTCATGAATTATTACTTTAGGCCACTCCACGGAAAAAGGGGACACTCTCAATGGTTTCAGGTTCTTAGTGTTGTTTTAGTCCATCTTTCATCTGTCAAGAAATGTTAAAATTTATGCTGCTTAGGGCGCTTTAACTGTTTTGAGAATTGGAATTATTAGAATTTTACTAGAAGGACCAATATATTATTAGAACCCTTTATTATTTGGCTCAAATAATTGACACTCCTTCCACATTAGGTTAGCGCACCTCTCTCAAACAGTTGCATTGTTCACTATCGATTAGCAACACCTCTAATTTTCCCCCAACATTTGTTTCATGAGACTTCAACATCAGACGACGTAGTGAAGAATAATAATAACATCCATACATACTGCACACGTTGGTCATTTGTAACTTCTATTTATACCTTGCTATGTACCGATGAGCGAACGTTGGATCTTGCTCCGGCGGCAAATGCATTGAACCCATTGAACCCATTGAACCCATTCGCGCATCGAGTTTTAAGTAGTTAGCGTAATCGGACACCCACCCGGCCAGGAGACCGACGCAGCCACCCCCATACACACGTATAAGGGGAGCCTTATTCGATGTAGGAATCAATATATTCACGCTCATCGAACCCTATCCTTACATTAAGAAGATAACTACATCAAAATCAAATTATTGGCGTATGCTTGAAACCGTGTTTCGATTGTTCTCCAAATTTTAATTGGGTACCGGCAAGCGTATGATAACCGGTACCTGGATACGTGACGATTCATGTCGGTTAAGGAATGAGGAGTCGAAGCGTTGAATTGGCTGCAGCATCGGCCTTTTATACATTTTGATGTTGCCAAAAATCAGACAATGTTATGTAACGGTAAATTCACTGTCTAGCATGTACGGCTTATTCTCATTCCTATCCCACACCCTTCTCCGCAGGAGGAAGGCGCAAACTGAAATATAAGCTCGAATAATTTGCAACCATTGCGTTAGTTTATTGTGCATGCTAAGCTAATTTGGTCTAGGCTGAACGTGATTTTACAGAGACACAACTATGGTACGGTAACCGGTCTTCCATACCCGTTACAGCCGATTTATCACGAGAATACCTAGTTCTTCACGACTGAATGCTTATAGCGGGGGAAAAAAGTTGGTCTAGACCCTCCAGTAAATTAGCACTAAAGTGTTTAGTGTCCTAATTACCAATGATAATTTACACTGAAGCTCTTGTCCACACTGCGATCGAGCCAATTTTTGGACTGGAAGTTTGACACCCCTACCTAACAAGACGCAACTCTGTAAGGTACCATTTATTGTGACACAATGCGACTACCATATCTAGCAATTATCGCGTTCTATCAACCGGCTCGTGACCTCGGTCAACCCCAGATCCTTGTAGTGGCTGGTATTGTCATGTGATTTGAATAGACTGCCCGCTCCCAACAAAACAATAGTTTTCGATTGACATATTGATTGGTTCATGAGTAGCGAATCCTATTTCAAATTGAGGCGACGGCCGACTCTCCATCATAACCAAACGTTTTTTGCGGGGACAGTTGAATTTACAAGGCCAACGGATTGCTCCACAACAATATCCCTTAGTAAGGATGCTGAGTTGAACGTCGATCTGCATTTGTCCACGTCTATTTGCCATAACGAAACCGAGACCACCAATCAGCAGATCCAATTAGTCAACGACACCGCGGATCCCCTTAGTTGCCTGTCTCGTTGACCTCAGTAGTTGATAAAGGTAACCAGATATCATCATTTCCCAGCACCTCAATCCTGGCAACCAAAAAGTCACTCGCATAGTTCCCACAATGTCCGGCTTGGGGTCCTATCAATCGAGTGGCCAGATGATGTTGTGGAACGATGAACTCGCGCAAGGTATGAAAGCTACAACTTACAATGAGAGACGTGAATGTCGAAACTGACCATTGTGCTGTAGAATCGTGGGATCATCGTGTTCCAATCTCTTCTTCTGTACCACATGACGTGCTGTTCATGCCGGGTTTGTCAACAGGCGAAGTCCCTAGATATGTTGAGCCGCTGTACGGCTCGATAGCGGACTTACCTAATCAAGGATACTGGACAAACCTGCTGTCATCAGAGAGGAACTATGGATATTCTCTCAACATGACACCTTATGCTTGGTACCCGTCCGATAAAATTGAGGCGTGTTTTTCTGGCAATCTGTCCTCGTCACGCATCCATTCCCAGCCTGTAGGCATTGCAACCCCTATCTTACCCAGCAACGACCCTCAAGGCAATCAATGGCCGGTGATGAAGAACCATCTCTCTCGCACTGCTTCCAGGGTCGACATTGCATCCTCACCTCGTTCGTATTCCCCACTCATCTGTTCTGGGCAACAATGCGCCAGCAGTCGAGTCTCGAAGCCGAAAAGGTCAGCTGCGGTAAAGACATTCCAGAACAAAAACTTAGCACTAGTCAAGGATAGATTGCCTATCCAGTCAGATCATAGCACAATAATGACAAAGCATCACACCTTGCGATTACAGTGGGGGTCAGACTCGGCATTCGGCGGCATTACATATATCCCCCCAAAAAATCAACCTAGTCAGCCAGATGCTACTGGCACATGGCTAAATTGGATCGAGAGCATTGTGCCTTCTCAGGAAATACAATGGTCTAGCCGCACTAAGAGGCAGCAGGGGAGACTTACCGAATTTGATAATGGGGGCTACGACTACGATGACACAGAAAAGGGCGAGAACGCCGCGCCGAAAAGGGGTTGCCGAACAAGAATGCTAAGCCCCGCCGAAGAGGCTCGCCTACGCGCGGAGAGGCGAAAGGAAATCCACAATAATTCTGAACGCAAGCGGAGAGAGCAGATGAATAAAGGCTTTCATGACCTGTGCAATATCATCCCGCACCTGGATACTTGCACGCATACGCGGAAGGAGATTCTCTTTCATACGGCTATTTGGCTGGAACAGCTCCTTCAGGATAATGCATGTCTGAAGGATCAACTGGCCCAATTAACTACTAGTAATAGCACAACTTGACGAATAATAAAAATCATGTTTCAATGTTCTGTAATATGGAATCATGTTGAGGTCCAAATCCCTTTGAGCTACCATATATATACATCATGCTACGCCCAGAGAATTGGAGTGCGGCGAGTATATTAACCTTCCACCCACAGAGTAATACCTTTTAGGAAAGCACGTCACACAAACAAAGAAAACCACCTGGAACAGTGATTGGAGGATGATATTGTGGCTATCTTCGACGGTGGCTAAGAATAGTTGGAAAAGAATCATTATAACGAAGTGGTATGATATTCAATCATTCTAAAGATTTGATTAACAATTGTAGCATGCTGAATACTGCCTCTCTCCACCCTGCCAAGACCAAAATGAGCCGCTATAATACCTGTCTTCTCATCTCGCCCTACCCTACACTTTCGACGCAACAAAATCTACAACAGCCAAGGTGTACTTCGCAAAATGGCTGATGTGAGCCCTCAATGCCGTTTCAGCTGTCGTAGAACATATCGTTCGCGTCACAGTAAGCCTGGATCGGGCTTGCACACGGATCACAACCTGCGAGGACTGTATGTTTTTCGAAACGTCGAAGCCAATTTAAACCCAATTTGTTATTTGTCCATCCATTCTCACTAATACTGAGAAGATATTCTTTTAGAATTGCGGAATACCTCCCCCAGATTGATGATGTTTTTCAGGAAAAATGATTTGAGGTAGAATAGTCGAACCTGCTGATATAACAGCCTATTATATATATGAACCAGAGAGTACTCCTTCTACTACTGGTCAACCGCTACTGTTTCAGTGTACACTCACTTCACTCCTTTTTTGAGACTTTGGTTGCAGAAAAACTCTTAAATAAAAGATGAGGCTGAATTCCGTTTTACGGTGATATTTTTCTTATATTATACTGAATGACATAAATCTGAACGACAGGTAGGCCAGTAGTGGGGGCACATCTAATTCGATGCCGTTCCTTGTCTTACAGATCAAGTAGCAAATCAAGGAACTATCTCACTCATCAAGAGAATCATATCGTGCTACCACGCTCTGCAACTTCGCTTTCCACCACAACTGGACTTGAAGACAAAGAAGGCTATATTGTAATAAATGTGGAGCGTTGATCTCATTAAAAAGACGGTAGAGCGGTATAAAAAATGCAGCCGTTTTCAAATGCCGTGTTAGCAGGGAAATGGACACGACCGGCGATGTGCAGTTGGTCGCTTTTGCTTATCATGTCAAGTCCCTTTTTTCAGTGAGCATAAACTGCTTGCTGCCACCACCGGCATCTTTCGCTAGCAGCAGGGTCAAGGGTAGTCATTATCAGCTCGGACCCAAAATTCAAGACAGTTTTATCCCTGCCATACTCTTCGAATGGAGGTCCCAAACTTGAGGTAGGAACACCTGTTTTGGTGAAAGTGGTAATATAGTCCTGCAAAATAAGGGCAGCAGTGGCATTTGCAACTGCTGGATTTGGCCCGTTGTAAAATGTATACGGTAAATCCTCCGCATGGACCCCAGGAGGGATACTAAATCGGTATGCATAAGTTTTGTCCCCGAAAGCTCGATTGACATAGAAAGTATTGCATTGGAACGCTAGATCAGAAAGTGTTAAGGCACCTCGCTCTAGACCATTTGTGTACCCGAAGTTGCCGTTGAATATCGGCGGGTATAAGGTCTCTGATATGTATTGCCGGGTATCTTCTGTGAGCCCTGGCAAATTATCTTGTAGATACTGCTGATAACCGGATTCGTTAAATGCAGTTGGCAAGATGAAGAGGAGCCCTTCGTCGGAGTTCGACCCTACCATGACCTTTATGTTCTTATGAAAGTCACCCCGTTGCAGAAGCTGTCCGGGGAGAGCAGGGACAAAAGTTCCATCAACAGCGGGTCCGTAGTTGAAATCTCCATAGTATGAAAACTCGCCAATGTGATAAGCATTCGTCTGAGTCAATGTTTCGCTTGGCAATTTTCGGGCCTCATCAATAGTACTGACATTGAGAAGGCTAAGGAATTGGTTGAAGACTTGCTCTTGGCGGCTTTTCTGTGGCAATGGTAGGAATCCAGGACTCTGCAATAGAGCCTGCTGGAATGGAGCCGGCTCTTCCATGCCTCCGTAGGCCGTAATGTGATGCAGGATGGATCCTCCACCAGCCGATTCTCCAAACACAGTGACCCTGTCAGGATCTCCTCCAAACAAGTTTATGTACTTCTGGACCCACTTCAGGGCCAATTGTTGGTCCAAGAGCCCTGCGTTTGGCGTGCCGGATTTGCTAAATGTCGGTCCTGCTAACCAGCCAAAGGCACCGAGCTAGCGACAAAACCGTCAGAATTACATTTTCTTGGAACTCAAAATGCCCACAACTCACGCGATAGTTGAATGACAAATATATCACTCCTTCACTACCGTCCTGTCGGCTCCGTTCAATAAGCCCAGGAGCGCCAGTTTGAGTTGTTTTATCACCAAATGCATAGCCTCCACCATAGATCCACACCAGCACCGGGGCTCCGCGATATTTCTTCTGCATCCGAGCTGAGTCATAAACTTGCTTCGGAACGAGAATATCCAAGAACAAACAGTCTTCGTCGGTTCTTGGATCCACAGGGGTTGGGGTATATTGATAATCGGACAGATCCAGCGAGCCATTGAAAGGAATACCAGCTAAGTAGCTCGGTATAAATGCACTCTCGAGAGCCAACCATTTCGGATATGCCTGTGGACAGATACGGCCGTTAGAGCCATCGTGGATTGTGGAGCGGTTGATTGCTGGTGATTGCGGTGCTCGGAATCTCAGGTCGCCCGTAGCTGGCGCGCCGTAACGAATATTGCTAAAGTTGTAGAACCCCCCAGATTGCTAGAAAATAGATTAGAATGCGGCAACCTTACACACTAAATGTATGGTTTATTTACATTGAATGAAGCTGCGCGATATCTCTCGTACCCTAGGTCAACGACTGGCAACGCTGTACCGTTCTCCGCAAAGGTAGCAAAAGGGAGGGCGGAAATTGCCAGTAGGAAACACTCCCAGGGTCGCATGGTGATTCAGAAAAGAAAGAGACGATACCGTAATGTGGTTTCTTGGCCGTTAGCACTGAAAGATGCGGAACTCGTGCCTCTTATTCAGATGAGATATACTACTTGTGATTTTATTGTTTCCACTTTCGAAGAGGTTTCCAGACAAGCTACTAGCCGAAACAGCACAACTCATTTGCCGAACAGAAAGCCCACCCCTTTACCTGGGGGAATTCACTAGGGTATGATACGCCGATTCACCGAGGTGTCTCTCTAATCAAATGGCCCGCACTTGACCGGAGAGACCTATTGGGATCGAGAGAATTGATTAAACCCTTGTGAGAGTGGAGATAGGCTTCACTCTAGATACATGTAAATGGGGCTTACGGAAACAGCGTGGAAAAAAGGTGTTACTCGGCAGCCGCTGCCCACTTTATCTCGGTTATTGTGACGTATCCACGGCTACAATCTTGCTTTTGTAGCCCGATAAGTTATTAGTTACAGTACTTCTAACCAACTATCTGAATAGAGGATGAAAAGATACTATACTCAGATTGCAGCCCTTCCGGGGTACAGCAAAGTAGAGTCTTGGAGGCACCTACAGAGTATACGCCGGCTGGCTACTATTGCCATGTGCCCCCATGCTTCGATAGAAGTATGAATACGATTCTTATTATCTACATTATTGACAAAAAGCTCTGGGCTTCCGAGTCTTGAAATGGTTGGGCGGAAACGTTACGAACATTAGTCGTCTATTGAGCTTGCTCTCTACTCAGTTGACACTAACCTATGGGGGTGCAGGGAAAGCTTGGTTCTGTATTGAGGAGACTTAGGAAAACTCCATAGAAGCCATGAGGCTCTATAGCTGTATTCTCACCGGAAAATGGCCTGTTTAGCCGACAAAACTCATCCTGTTCATGGTGGATTGGCTGGGCGGCGTCATTCCGGACAGTTTAAAGTCTGGACGGATGTAGGATGCCGTCAACCGAAGTGCCCATGAGTATCTGCCATCTAGTTGCTGCATAAGTCGTTCCTGATACTCTGTTATTTCCTCCTTCCCTCTCCAATTTCACCTACTATGGCTAATTATTGGCCCCATTGTACATATTGTCGCAGCCCGAGCATTAATGAACGGAGCCGAAGGCATATGGCCACCACAGACCCCAAAGCGAAGCAAAAAGTTCACCCACGAGAAATCATTACATGTAAAATAGAAATATAGTTTTTGTAGCCTGCATATCGCTTGATTTGTGAGGGATTGATGTAAATGAAGCCAACGAACCATCCAACGATTATTACATTCTGCCATGTCCAAATCAGTTAATTTTGATCGAATACAAACGTCCGTCCAACGCACAGAGCTAGTAAAGTAGTATGCGAATTGCTTGACTAAAAGCTCTTCCACCACACCCTTAGACCCCTCCCTCTGCCACCCTGGCCGCTTTACGTTCGTCCATTGCTACTCGTTTGTTTCCAATATCGACCATACTAGTGCCGTCCAGACGCATCTGCTCCAGGTAGCGAGACTCCTCGGCAATCTTATCTCGCTCTTCCTGTGACATTTCCGGTCCAAGGAAGATAAATATGAATAAATAAACCCAAACAGCACCAAGGAAAATAGCAATGACCTTGCCATAGTCAAACCTGTCTTCTCCAGACGGACCAGGGGGTAATGGGAAACGCTCGCCGATAACCGCCTGAATGGTGGCGCTGGCCGATGATGCCAGGTTGCCAAGTTGATATGTCAAGCCCAGCACCATGGTCCGCAGAGCATCCGGCGACAGCTCCATCAGGTGAATTGGAATTGGGCCCCAGACACCACCAACAAAAAACTGCTCAAAGAACACTGCTGCAATGAGCGACATATGGCGTGGGATAATGTACGCTGGCACAAGGGCCCCTCCGAATACACATGCAAGAAGCATGATGGATCGTCTTCCGGAAAAGGAGCTGACATAGCCAAGCGTTGTACCGCCAGCAATAGATCCCAGTTGTCCCACGACCGAAATCACAGTAACGTCAGTTGCCCCAAACTCGACCTGGTCTTTCAAATAGGTTGGATAAAAATCTTGGCTACCGTGTGAGCAAGAATTAAACCCGGTCATGAGGATGACCATATAGAGAAGCAGAACCCAGTGGAGTTTCAGAGCGGCGACCGCCTGCTCCCAAAAAGCTCGCAGGCCGCCAAATTTTTCTATCTGGTAAGAAGTTCCCTTATCTTGTTCTGTGATTATTGTCACTGTCCTAGTTTCGCGCTCGGCCTTTGTTATTTGGAAATGGTTTGTCTCGGGTAGGAACCATCTGAAAATAATGATCAACACGGGGGGACCAGAGGCGAACCAGAACAAAGTTCTCCAGCCGTGAGAGGTAGTTGGTACAAGGGCTCGGTAGAATATCGCAGCGAGGAGATACCCAGTAGAGTATCCGTTTTGAAAGAGGCCCGAGAGAATCCCGCGGGACTCATACGGTAGGTCTTCGAGCGCAGTACTCGCTGCTGGTCCAAACATACCTACATACAAGAAGATAGTCAACTAATAGCCCAGGAATATGTCCTGTATGAAAATGGATTTGAAACACTTACCACCCATCGCGATGCCAAATAGAGACCTAACGCCTAAGAATTGCGGTAATGTTTGGCAAAATCCCGAGGCCAACTCCAGAATACTGATTAAACCTAGATCGATTATCATGGGCCACTTGCGTCCATATCTGTCCGCAAATGCTCCAAAAATAAGGGCCCCTACAGAGCGAAGCATCAGACTAACGGTAATTCCCTATTGGTTTCTGTGTGTTAGCGAACTTGATAAGGCATAGTCGAAAAGTCGACCGAGTATGGCTTCTGCAAATACCCATGTGACTTTAGAGTTTGCAACTCCAAACTCTTCAGCAATTTCGGTAATCGTCATACTTCAGTGTGTTAGCTGTCGACCAAAAAATGAACTGAATATCGATACTCACGAGACAGTGAAACTGGAAGCAAGTGGTTAGTATTTTTACAAGGTAGGGAAGTATGCAACTTCTCGGCGGAAGAAAAACCACATACTAATCAAACGCATCCCATACCCACGCAACAAACCCACATACAAACATAAGCCATTGATGGCGGTTGAGCTCTCGGAAAACTGTAATGGGATTGCTAAATCTCGTCTATGTTCCCAGCAATTAGCCCGCAGACCTTCCTTGCCCGTAATACTTGACATCGTAAGATTAACCTACCTTGGGGGGTTTAAGACTCGAGGGCCGTGTTGCAAGATACCGCACAATCTGTCTTGGGGAGTAGAACCACCCAGCTTCCATGCGGTTTCGCATCCTGCTTGCGGAAAATTCAAGTTCGGACGTTCTGCAAAAAATTAAGGATAAAAAAAAAGGTGTGCCCCAATTCAATGCTATTGGATTTACTAGGTAGAGAATACAAGTATGATAAATATACTAGACTGTTGAAAAGAAATTGAATGGCATGGCTTTATGATACCGCGGCCACTCGCGCCTTTTGCTTGCCACCTGATCTCCCTGATGACTTTTCCGTCGGTTGATGAACCTGGCTAAGCTCGTAATGCGCGTAAGAAGCCGCGGCTTCTTAAAAGTAGCCTCCTCACCTGAACCAAACTAACGATTGTAAGACCGCCTAGTAATGAAACCCCGAACGTTGATAAGTTGCCGAATAGCCATGGCCAATACTTTGGGAAGAGAAGCGAGGAATGCAATTCCCGGTTTTCACTTCGAGTTTTCCTGGCTTTCAAGCTCTTCTAATGAATTACCGCTAGTCAGCGTATACATTATAGGTCGGCTTTTACTGACTCCCTAGTGTTGTAATTCAGAGGAAAGATAGCTATTTTATATCCTGAGGAAACTTGAGTGTTTATATACACCATAGAAGATAAATCTCATGATCAACGGAATAATTTCGTTGATGAAGCTCTTTCCATCTGCTTGATCAAGACTCAATTTACAACACCTAGAAACAGCCACAGACTTAGCGAGAAAAGACAACTAGAGATCTCCCGCATGGATAACCCTATCCCGCGGCAGAATACACACATGGATAATGTACATTTCGATCCCAAAGCGAAAATCTCGAAAAGATCATTTTTGATTGCAGGTCTTCCCATCACCGTATACGGCTACAATGAGCTCCATCCACAGACTACACAATTTGCATGCGTATGGCTTCTGCACGGCAGGCTGAATTCCCAAGCGTGCATGGAGCCAATAGCGACATCGCTGGTCGGGCACTGGAATGAGAAGTGGTACGATGTTGCAAATTCTTCGCCACTGCGCCAGAGAGGATTGATCGCAGTCTCATTTGATCAGCGGAATCACGGTTCCAGACTGGTTGATTCTATGGCTAACAAAACTTGGCTTGAGGGGAACGAAACACATGCTCAAGATATGTTCGCTACCTACCGTGAGTTACGAGGGCGTTGGGATTCTTTCCTTACTCGGGAATTTTGACGAGCTAACTTTGACAACAACTGTAGATGGCACTTCTGTGGATTTGTCGTTTCTCATGGACCATTTGATGCTGTACTTGTTTCCTCAAGCCACCGTTGAAATCAGCATGCATGCCGTAATCGGCGTCTCACTTGGCGGACACGCTGCGTGGCATACCCTTTTCCACGAACCCCGAGTTCGCTGTGCGGTGATTATTCTCGGCTGCCCTGACTTTATAAGGTTAATGGTAGAACGTGCAAGCCAGTCGAACTCATCGTCGCTATCGTCAGATACTTCGCAGTCGATACGAAATCATAATAGTCTTATGGACTCGAAACTTCTACCCCAGAGTCTTCTGAACCTCATAAAAAGGTACGATCCAGCCGCCCTTCTTGCGGGGCAACAATTTCTGAGGGAACCTTATTTCTCCGCTTATCCGGAAACCGTTTTGAACAATCAAAAATACGATCAAAGCGCAGCAGAGAAGCTGAAAAGGACGCTGCGCGGCAAAAGCGTCTTGAACATCTCTGGCACTGCCGACGAATTGGTCCCGTACCGCTGCTGTGGACCTTTTCTCACGGCGCTCCGGGTGATGATCAAATCAGATGGTTGTCTAGCCGATGAGGGGATTTCTTTGCACAATGTGTTTCTAGAAGATGTCGGGCATGAAGTGACAGTCAAAGCTGTAGAAGAGACTGTAAATTTTATGGTCGGAATGCTCTTGGAAAGGACTATCTCCGCCAAAGCATCGTCGTGGGAAGAATTACGGCATCGTCTCTAATCAGGCTAGAATAGTACGATTATGAATACAACTTGGCACTACTGGCAAGAAACAAGGCTATATGTCTCCTAGGTGTTTAGACCTATGCTTAGAATACTCTCATTCCTTGAGTGCTTCCTTCTCACCTGCTATATCTGGCATACCCTTTACCTGCTCTAGTCGAACTCAGTAACCTCCCGCAGTGGGCAGAATTTTCCACCATAATCCCGCCAGAACATCCTAATAGATTTAATATCGGAGCTATTGAAAGTACATCTTAGTCTCTCATGGACGTTACCGCATTGATGACGGCCTGGTATCTTGCTAGTATTGTATGGTCTAAATGCTACGGAAAGTTATCTGACATTCCATCCTAGGCAACCTGCACGGAGATGATTATATGGGAGCTGGTCAATTGTGAGTAGGCCCTTATTAACCCAACCCTTCATGTCGTCCCATATGGTTTTGATAATGTACAGGTCAAGTTACATTAGCTAGAGTCCACACAAGACAGTACTAGAAAATAGGCGGTAGTTTTTAGCAGTTCTTTGTATGATTTAAATATGAGTGAGCTAATCTGATAATTGGAATAACTCAACGCTTGTGTTAAATACCGGGGTAAACTAGGGTAGGCGTGGGGGTCCTCTAGCGTGTTTCCGCCGCTGGGTCGGGGACAATACCCAAATGTAAGTCTCCCTCCTCCCTCCCCCCGGCTAAACACATGCAAGTCCCAGAAGGCAGATATCCATCGTTTCATGAATGTTGAGATAGCCGCATCATGGATAGCAGTACTTCCACACGGATATTCAACAAGCGTCGGGCTTCCATGGCCTGCACAAGGTGCCGAACAAGAAAGGTGCGCATGAGGCTTTCGTGGCGTCGTGTAGGATGTATAATAACAGGGATTTTTCTCCAAAAGGTGCGATGTGATGTTGTACGTCACGGTTTGCCATGCTCCAATTGCCGTATGGACTCGCTAGAGTGCATGGTGGTCGACAGCAGGCGTGGGAAGTACGTATTTGCGTGTCTATCGAAGCTTTAGAGGAATGCATAAGTTCATTAATCACGCAGGACGAAAACACGCCGAAAGCAGAAACATCGAGAACCTGAGCCTTTTATCAGCCCATTTCTAGATAGACAGGAGGAGTCACAACAGATCTGTGAGTTTTTTTGCACCAGGGAAACACCAGTCTAAGCAGCATAGTAGACTGATTCGTCCGATCAGCAGACCGTGAGCCTGACGAGCCGGACGTAGATAACGCTTCTATAAGCCGGAAAGCCTCTTGGTGGACGCTTCAGCAAGCAAGTGGCAGTACAGCTAAGGATGAAGACATGCCCTCTTACATCAAGCCATTTTCATCTAATTTCCCCTCTGATGACACACAATTTCTCTATTCCAAGGGGGCTCTCACTCCCCCTCGTTCTGAACTCAGATATGCTCTTCTTGAAAGCTACATTAATTGGATCCACCCTATCTGCCCCCTGCTCGACCTAGGTCACTTTCTCTCTGCCTTGCTGTCAAATGGTTCAGAAGGCCAAATCAGTCTGTTACTTTTTCACGCGGTCATGTTTGCCGGGTCGGCATTTGTCGACATGTCCTATCTTCAAGCTGCAGGATTTGAATCTAGGATTGCTGCCAGGGAACATCTCTTCATCAGAACTAAGGTAACTTGTATATAGCATTATTCGTGTCCTTTTTCTTTCAAGGATTACATTTACTAGATCGACTAGCTAATGAATATTATAGTTAGTCTATGACTTCAAATACGAAGATGATCGACTCCGCATTGTTCAGAGTCTGCTTCTAATGTCCTACTGGCAAGAGAAACATGAAGACTCCACCAACCATTGGTACTGGGTAGCCGTCGCATGCCTTGTAGCACGTACCATAGGCCTCTTCCGGAATCCTGCTGGATCGAAGATGTCTGAAGAGAGGCAAAAGCTGTGGAAGCGAGTAGGATGGTCCTGCCTCCTCCGAGACCGCGTCCTTTCCCTCGGAGTCCGGCAGCGGCCGAAGATCCTCGTTACCGAATTTGAGCTACCCTTGTTGGAAGAGACAGATTTTGAGATTGTCACACTCCCTACCACCGCAATAAATACAGCGGCAGCCGTGGTATTGGGGCATTGTAAGTTCCTACGGGATACAGTTCTACAGCAAAAGCTTGCGCTGCTGTGCATAGAAAAGGCAAAGCTCTGTATTTTCATTGAGGAAATTTTTCGAAAACACTATATTGAGCTGAGCCCAAAGTTGGGTATGACGACGGAAATCACCAATGTGCTGTTCCCAAAGACCCACACTCTCGACCTCGAGAGCACTACAAACATTGAGACGAATCTTCAGATCTGGCTACAACAGTTCCCGGAACGGCTGCAGTATGCTCCAGACTCGGAGCCACGTCTGGACCGTGGTGAGGATGTCTTGGTAGTGCATAGCACATTACTTAAAATGCTCTATCACACTATCACTTGCGCTCTAAACCACCCAGTGCTTTTAAATCTCTCATCACAGTCGACAGCTCCCGAGAATGACCTGAGAATAGTCAAACGGAGAATGCGGCATTCTACGGTACAAATCATGCGGCACTTCGAGGATCTACAGAACCTCGGGCTGATCTGTTTCCTACCTTCGGCAAGCGTGACTATGTTGCTGACAGCGGCAATTAACCACTTGGTCGAATACCGGACTAGCTCTCAAGAACATGGTGAGCGGTATCTACGTCATTTCTGGGACTGTATATGCTATCTGAAGCCGTTGCAGAGCGTCCACATCTACGCCCAGATTGCGTCCCACTTCCTGTATTCGGTGGCGCAGCAGGTTGGAGTTCGCATGATGGATCCTTTTTTGAGAGAAAAGAGCGATGACCTCGGTGTTTGGGCTTCAGTACACATGCCCGGCCACCTTCTCCAAAAACCCCTGGAGAGAAGACCCGAACCGGTAGCCTTTCAGGTTGGGGGTCTGGACTACAATCATGCATCTCTACCACACCAGTCCGTATTGCACACATACAACGGTCAAGACGGTGGCGAGTCGCCTCTTACAACCGCGGAAGAAGATTCTATCACGACGGAGGGTATTAGTGTGCCTCAGGTAACCGGACATGCTCCACCATTGTCCGATGTCTTTAACTACCAACCGCTGTGGAATATGTGGGGAAGCCAATATTTTGAGGAGCTAACAGGATGCCACTATCTGCCCCAAAATTAAATCAAAGTCGTTTAAGCACGTTTCAGAGTCTACAGTGAATAATAAAGTTCTTCGACGGCCAATCAAGCGTCGGGAAGATGAGCAAATAGTGTCGATATAAGTTACCGTATCGGCTATTGAAACTTTGCGGTTGTAGTCAAGGTAAGCTTCGCTAGTTACGCTAGCGCTGGCCCAAGATCTGAAGTCTTGGCGTGGAGAACTTTCGCCAGGTATGAAGGATTGTGACAATTTCGAGCCACATACAAAAAAACTTTCATTTTAAGTCTTAGTTATTCAACATACCGTAAGGGAATTTTGAAGTTTAGCCATGGCAGATAATACAGCAGCCGTGTACCAGGAAACGGCAATCGGTCCAAAGTCGGATACAGACCTGGAGTATTTGAAACTCACCTCACGATAGGGCTTCGCTTGGCAGATGCGGGATCTTTTCCTCTCACCCGGAATTACCGCGGAATTTTTTGTTCATAGCGTATAGGTGATAACAGCAAAGCCTATGATCTACGTAGAGTTGCTACACAAACCGCTATGCCTGGTGGTGGGGAACAGGGAGGCATATGAGAGTGACTGATGTTCTACAAGTGAGTAGCTCACTCACCCTCAATACACATACGAAAAGGCACTCTTCTCGGCTTCTACGGAATGTTGGGTTACTGAAGGTTTGCACCTGGCCTAGCATCCGCGGGCTCATAACTCCTAGTTTACAACTCACCAAATTTGGGACACAATATAACACGGGTGATGTGCATCGAAGGCCGGTTATCATACCATAGCCGTTCAAAGAACCCGGCTTGGCATGATGAACGTGCCCATGCCCCCCGCACAAGAGATTAAATTTTATAGTTGGAAATGCTCCATACTTCAAGCTCATAGTTCTGTTTGTCCTTCTGCGGGGGGAGATCATTGTGGGGTAGGATGAAACGACAGGCGGTTCAGCCTGGCGGTAAACTTTGCGGCATTCTCGTGATATCTGATGTTTTCAGTTGGGTGGCCGTTTGATGAGGAAATGCGACAAGACTAAAAATTATAAAACGGTTGATGTTGCCGTCAAAAGGACAGTGTAGAGAGAACATCATATTCAAGCCGTCGAGCTAAGGATTCTAGCAACTATCAGCCAATTTATACACCTCGAAACTCTGAAAAACATGTACTTCAGCCCTAGCATTGCTGCAGCTGGCTTCTTGGCTGTTGTCATGGCCACTGCGTCCCCCTTGTCTTTCGCGGCTGAGACGAGACAAACAACCTGTGCTCCTATCCATCTATTCGTTGCGCGTGGGACCACAGAGTCTCCTGGGGACGGCTCTATAGGGTCTCTAGCGCAACTAGTCATTAACGCACACTCAGGAGCCACTCAAGAGGCAATTAATTACCCGGCAAGCTCATATCCTACATACATAGATGATGTGTCCACGGGAATCACAGCGGTCACCAATCAGTTCACAAAATACACCAGCTCATGTCCCAATTCGACTCTCGTGCTTATAGGTTATTCGCAAGGCGCGCAAATTATCTTAGACGCTCTTTGTGGCTCTGGAAGCGCGACAAAGGGTGGCACTGGTAGTCCAACCATCACTGCATCACAAGGAAAGAACAGTAAATAGGCGACATTGACTTCACTTTACTAGTATCGATTTTAATCACTAACAATAGAATATAGTTGCAGCCGTGGTCGGATATGGTGATCCCGGCCATGTTGCAGGCGAGTCATGGAATGAGGGAACAGCGACCACGAACGGGGTAAGTGTGACAAATTCAAGAACCAGAATTCCGAGGTCACTGTACTCACTGTGAAACTTAGATATACGCTCGGCCGAAAGGAGCCTGCAATGCCTGGGCTAATGTCATCCATTCCTACTGCAACACCGGGGACCCTTTCTGCGCAAGCGGCAATAACATTATGGTCCACCTGCAGTACCCTCAGACATACAACACACAGGCTTCTCAGTGGATCGGCCAGCAGCTTAGCTCTCATGCAGCATAAACCTGGAAAAGGGTAAACATTGCATCCAAGGTGCAGGTATAGCGGAAAATATCTCGATTCCACATTCAAGTCCGGTGGAGTGAGATGAAAAGGAAAAGGAAAGGGGGAGAGGGAGGAACAAATCTGTATTGATCTGTGTTTTATTTGCTATTGTACATTTATTGAGCCTTGTCATTCGTTTACAATAATCCTATTGTTTCCAGGCTCATCGGTAGTGCAGTCGATGCAATTGTTTCGAAACTGCATTTTTAAGCAGTTTGTAGTTAGTTCAACATGTTATCCTAACATCGATAACGCAATAGACAACCATCCATTGGTGTGGAATAGACTGGATTGTTGGGTCTACGTGGGCGCCGCTGGCAGTCGCCGAGGGCGAGCTTGAGATTCACCCAACAGTCGTACGGTAGTGGACCATGCGTGGTCCATCTCCAGTTGGCATTTCCAGTGATCCATTCCAAAAGCTGAAATGGAATTAAATAGTTTGTGGACTTTATTTTCCGGAATGGCGTATTGCACTAGACGTCCGCAATCCCCAATAAGTTGAAAGCGACCCGAAATATCATTTCATTCAATGATTAGTACAACTTGATTCTACTGGCAAAAATCCTGCCCTTCCTAAATAGTAATGGCTGTGTGTGATATATACCTATCTAGCTAGCAGTTACTTTCACCAGATGCTGTGAGCCAGTTGGGAGGAATCTGTCCTGAGTTGAAGCAAGTTCAGGTGTTGGAAGAAACCACCGAGGGCTCAATGCGATTGGTACCAAGAAAGTCGCCCACGGCGAAGACATATGAAAGTTACGTTCAGCCGATTGGTACGGAACAATGGGTGTGAGTTGGTTTCTTAGCGAAGGAACCGAATAAGATCCAACCTGAGCCTACTTCCAATGACAATGTATATATATGTCGGCTCACACCGTTGCCGATTATTGAATCTCTCACGTTGTCAAGTATCTTTCACATAATTCAACATGGGACTCAAAGCAAAGTTACGACTCTCTAACCCCTGGACCCAGAATTTCATCTCTGGGATTATCCTCTCTCTAACAGTCGGCATCTACTTGGCCATCTTGGGTCTTGGGGCCGGCGGTGCGCAACCGTCATCTGCCCACGTAACGACGACCGCCTATGCCACCCTCTATGCAGTATTTACCGTCACTGGGTTTTTCGGAGGGAGTGTTATGAACACTGTTGGGCCCAGATGGACGATGGCGGTAAGTTGAGTTGTTCTAGACCCTGAAAAAAGATTCATGCTAAGTAGCTCTTAAGCTCGGTGCTTCAGGCTACTCAGTTTTTGTGGGAGGCTTGTGGTACTTTGATATCTCTGGACATCCATGGTTTGCGCTACTTGGTGGTGTCATACTCGGTATTTCAGCGGGTCTACTATGGACTGTTGCAGGCTATATCCAATTCGCCTATGCCGAGGAGAAATACAAAGGGTCTTATATTGCCTGGCAACTTTTCCTTCTATCCGTCGGTTGCGCGGTTGGGGCTCTTGTCGTCTTTTGCATCACGAAGGATGTCACAACTTTGTCCGGGGTACCAACCTCCGTGTACATCACTTTCATTGTCATCATGGCTTCGGCCGTTTTAGTCAGTCTCGTTTGTATCCTTCCGTCTGCCAAGATAGTGCGCGAAGACGGAACTCGTCTTGCGCATTTCACCGCGTCCGACTTCAGGACCGAAATCCAGGGGTGTCTGGTGCTTCTGAAGGATATTCGAGTGATGCTATTGATTGTTCCAATGGCAGCGACAGAAATGTCCTCGGCATTGATCCCAACTTTGACAGCCCACGCATTTAATCTACGTACACGATCGTTAAGCGCTCTGATCAACTGGACAATCCAGATACCCTCCACTTTACTCTTCGGTTTAGTTCTTGACAATAAAAAATATGCGCGTCGCGTTCGGGGAGCTATGGGATTGAGCATTTCATGTGTAATTGTTCTGGTTGGTTGGGGGCTTGCACTTGGCTTTCAAATCAAATATGACATTAAACGGGATATCACAAGTCCGGGCTGGGATTGGACCTCAAAGCCTTACATTGAGTATATCTTTGTCGTTTTATTCACAGGAATTGCTTACGCTATTGATCAAATGATGGTCATGTGGGTTATGAGCGCTCTGAGTAATGAGCCAAAGCTGCTTGCGAGATACGGCGGCTTCTTCAAGGGAATGTTAAGTGCTGGGTTAGCAATTGCCTTTGGTCAGGAAGCTGGGGGAGTTTCTTACCTGTAAGTCTATTTTGATTAACAAAATGTCCATGCATACATGCTGTTGCTAACAAATTTCCGGGAAGGGGCCAAACTCTCACTCAGACAATCATGCAGGTGGTTTCGTTCCCAATTATGTTCTTCCTCGTTCTGAAATATGTGTCCGATACCAACTACTTCTCTGAGGATGGTGTGATTCCTCCTCAGGAAATCCAAGATTCCGTTGCAAAGGGCAATTTCGGAGCTGTGGGCGAGATCACAACAATCGAAAGCGTCAGGGATAAGGAAACGACTAATGTCAAACTGACTCAGAACTAGGGGTTTCGCCCCTGATGTCCATACTCTTCACCAGTAGAGAGACTACATCCCCATGCCTATAATGCTGTGGTAAACATGAATCACTGTTGTACCTAGTACTTAGTAACTAGTAGAACACTTTATTGGAGAAAATGTAATGGGTTGACATCACAAGACACGCGCTGCGTTGCATACGCCGCTGTTGTAAAATGGTTCCTGCCAGCGTCATTGTTCGTTCTTTCTCTTCTCCAGCTATTTCTTTTTGTTCTTTCGGACAAGCTTAAATGGATCAATTGCATTTGATCGATGATTCGTTTATTAGTTTACAATAGCGAAATAAGGTAACTTAATAACTAAATCTATTAGGGACAGCTGAGTAAAACATGTGGATGCATTGCCTCATGAGCGGCAGGGAGATTATGTCTCCTTACAAGAGAACAAGCATACTCCTAATTCTTACGTCAGATATGGACTTACACTAGGTCCAACTTAATAACACTATCATCAATGATAAACTGAGAAAGAAAACCAGTAGCTTCAAGAATATAAAGAGTGATGTCTTTATTATTTTTAGGTCTGCTTTTACTATCTGGAGTCACTATAAGGTTTTTATGTCTACGCTTAGAGTGCATTCGGCTTGGTATATTTGATGACTCGAGCTTGCATTTTGGAGGCTTCTGTAAGAGGAAAGAATGATGATCTTGGTGTCTGGGTATTACTCTACGTTCCTTGCTATTCTTCTGGGACCAACTCTAGCAAAATAATTAATGGATCTGAAACAGCTAATCGGCAAGGAGTCGAAAATCCAGACTATAGCCATAAATTAGCACCAAACCTTACCGCATCTAACGTATGGGGTTTGCGGAGAAGTAACGATAACCGCGGAACAATACTCCTGACAACTGAGCATGCTAGTGGGTCGTATTTCCGGAAATTGAGTAGATGACTATAAGTGTATAATACTAATAGGATAGGATGTGGTTAGGATGTAAGTGATAATTTTAAGCTAAAGAGAGATAACTATAAGTGAACAGTGCTGATATGATGGGATGTGTTTAGACTGTAAGTGATGACCCAAATCTGTATGGTGATCGCATTTTCAGTAGAGATAGATGCACAAATCTCTATTCGATACTCCACAATAATCGTCTTCCACTGTGAGAAAGCTACTGATTTTTTTTAACGTTCTAGTCGACATAACACCATTCATGGCGTGAGAAATCACCAGGCAAGGTCATAAGCCTCTGATTCTAGGAACCAGACGCCACAATTCTCATCCGCATCTTTTGCTTCGATCAAAGTAATGCCTTGAGGATTCTCATCATTCCCGAAATCGGCCAATTTCGAGTCTTCATTGAGCGAGGACCAGCCAGGACCATTTTCTGGGTCTTTGGCGAAATCAGTCCACGTCTTCTGCATGAAGGCACTCAGCGCAATCTGGTTTTCAGTAGCAGTTGTAGCGTTGTAGGTTCCAAAAACCTGGGGCAGTTCCGCGCCATGGTATGCGCCTGCATCGTCGTAGGGTGTCAGGTTGGGGAACTCTGGCGAGTACCGGTACCGCCACACCTTGCGGTTGTGGTTTGCGGTAAACTTGGCTAGTTCTGACGTTGGGCAAGTAAATGGAACCCCGGTCATCCACCTGATATTTTTCATCAGCTTAGTTATCCTGCTCAATTGCAATCGGAAATATTATACGCACTTGCTCCAGTTCAAGAAACACCATCTCTCTGACAAGTTTGGACAAAGCGGAAGCATGTTGGTTTCGGCGTCCGAAGACTGCTCGTAATCTACCAACACCTGCTGAGGGGGTAGAGCCCTTTTTTCAGCTTCCTTCGCCGTGTTGAGCCTTCGAACATGGGCAAAAATGCTGCCCTCATTTTTATTCGTGCCGTACATGACAGGAACATCGGCAAAGGTTCCTTTTCTAAGAGTGGGACGGACGTCATTGAATGAATTGCCAGAGCCGCTGGTTGGAGCAAAAAATAGAGATGTGCCCAGATACGTGCCATTATTGGCCAACTCCATGATATCTGCTGCCGATTTGCCTCTCATGCACTCGAGAGTATGACACCCGAGCCGTTCTCGGACTACCACATAATCGTTTCTCAGCGCTTTCCCGAGAAACATTGCCTGCTGCGACTGCATAATCGCAGCTCGGAAGGGAGGTTGTCCAGGAGGGCCCGGGGGGTTTGCCAGAAGTTGCTTGACCGAATAGCCACCGGCAGACTCCCCGAAAATGGTGATCTTGTTGCGATCACCGCCAAACTGCTCGATGTTATCATATGTCCAGTTGAGGGCAAGTCGCTGGTCGACAAATCCGGGATTTCGGTCCTCCTTGTCAAGTGAAGAAGCCTCAATGAAACCAAAGACTGTTGTCATAAATATTATGTTTTCTGGAATAATAGGGAGGTATGTTACGTACTGTTGGTCCGATAGTTGATTGTCACCAGGATGACATCGTGATTGACAGCCAGAGAGGTGCCATTGTAGTTGGCAGCAGAGGCCGAGCCAGTTTGAAGGTTTCCCTTTTCTGCATTAATAGACTGCTCTCAACAATGAATAGCCTCCAGGCCAAGGTCAACTTACGCCATGAATGTAGAACATAACAGCCTTTTTGTTATCAGTAGATGCATTCGCAGGTGCGTATACATTCAAATATAAACAATCCTCGTTTTCCTCTAGCGGAGGATTGTTAATAAGCGCTTCGAGGAAGTCGCGGCCTGGCTTTGCGCCACTAAATTGCTGGTGGCAGGCATTCGGCAGTTTCTGTGCTAGAAGTGGTTCTTTCCATGATTCTGGCTCCTCCGGGGGTCTCCAACGCAGTTCGTCTACAGGGGGCTTTGCATAGGGAATCCCCAACCAGACATTGGCATATGGATCCCCAGAGGGCACATTGGGAGGAGATATGGTTCCAACCACCGGACCTGACGAGACGGTGACCGTCGGGGTGGTGGTGGCAACAGCAGTGCCAACCAGGCAAAGGAGTCGCAGAGTCAACATTCTGGATTGTTCTGCAACGAACTCATGTCATGGATGGACCCTCCTGTCAACCAGCTGCCTTTTTATAGCCTGTTTTGGCGGGTGTAGAGCACAACAAGGAAGCGGGGTTGAATTCTTGGCATGAACGGATTCAATGGTTGAGTTCGTCATGGATTGATCTTCAAGATGTGATTCAATGTCATGTTGCATCGTCACACTGCAGTCTCCACATCTGTCCACTTTAAATGAGTGGCAATTGGCTAGTCTGGCATTCCCGAATTTACTGCAAAGTAGACATTCAGTCAACAGTTGCCCATATACAGACCCAATTCGAACGAAATATTATTGTCTAGCTATTAATAACCTTAAACTATCCAAGTTCTATTTGGATCTAATATTTTCTTGACACCCTCATACTCAATCGACTGTGGGGAATCGACCCGGTGGAGAGCATAGTTCTCTCCCTTGCATATTCAGCTCCTGCACGAAAACAGCACTGTTGGTACAGGTTGGTTGAGCTCCAGCCAGCCACATACTTGTTGTAAATGGCTTAGAATTTAAATAGTTCAGAATCGTCTCCACAAGAGTTAGCTATGCGTGGTTATGCAATGAGACCGTAGCCTGTCATCACAATTGATCTCTACTATTCAAAGACACCACACACAGCTCAGAATAAATTTTTGAAAACGCGTAATATTTTGCAATTAAGCAGTAAATCTAAGTTCACATAGGCATTTATTACAGAAAATGTGTCAAAAACGTATCTATCTACTATTCGTGCGTAGCTATGCCGACCTTCAGGTATTGGTCTGGTGACAGAGGGGCCCTGCCCTCAGGAGACATAACTGGCGGTGAGCTTCTGTCACGGCAGTCCCTACCAGTGGCGTTCACAGGGTTGTTACAATGCCATATACTTGCCAGCTGTCAGAGCCTTTTGCTATATCGATCTTTACACTCCGTATCTTGAGCTGTTAGTGCCTGTTCCTCTTCTCTAGATATCGCACCTACGTCCGTCATTCTGACACCCTATCTACTATGTCTTAAGAGCGTGCGATCTCGGTCTCACCTGAGGAGATGATAGCATCCACGAATTTCTAGAGAGCTATTGAATGGGAGCAAAGATATCCACGGCTTTCAAAGTTTCAGCGGCCGACATTATCCATCTACGAACAGTGTCGCTCATTCTCTCATTTAATTTCACCTACTCGAGCAATGCTCAAGGCTCTTAGCTTTAACCGCCGCGCTGGCGCTTCTGATGGGTTCTGTGGCCGTCGTGTCGCCAGGGTTTGCATTCAGTAAAGGTGGACATTAAATAATCGCAAAGGCTCGGATATGCTACCGAAGCTAGAACGAGCAGCTAAGATAGCGTCCGTTAGTTTCGAATACCCGAGAGTTTAAATAAAGCCAAGTATATTAGCTAAAACCAACCCCACTCTATTTCCTCTCGCTTTGTTTCACTCGTTTGCATTAAACAAGCCAGGCTATCCGACTTCAAACCGGGTAAATTACCTAGTAAGGACAAGGCATAACCGGCTATGGTATTATAACCAGCTCCATAGTACAAGCAGCTAGTAATGTGGAGAGGGGCCAGTATCGACCAAAAATCTAACAGAGCGAGAGTCTTTCACCATCTACAGGACCCATCTTATATCACGAATTCTCGAAAAACAAACAAAAAAACAAACAATAAACTTCAGTCCCAAAATGGACATGAAGTCAGGTCTCTGTGTTAATAGCTAATAGAAACCGACACCTAATCAAAACCAGGTAAGATCATAGAGATATATAATTCATTCGGTTTCCAGATGCGATTAGCGACTATCAGCGTATAAAGATCCCACACTAACATACTGCTTGTAAAAGGGGATTACCGTTCCTCTTATGCTTCGCGCTATAGGAGCGCTGATTTTCAGGACATTCACAGACAGATATGGCGACAAGTGGTCCATGATTATGGATCTGGTCCTAATCACTGTTCTAGAGCTTGCCTCTAATTTTTGTTACACCTTGCCATAATTATCGGATGTCCAATCTCTACTTGGAATTGCAATGGGAGGTAAGTTATTTAATGCTAGTTTCACCTGAAACAATTTCAAACTATTTGCGCGTATATTGACATGCAGCATTGAATTTTCGAATGAGGGATTTGACTTCAGTGAACTTGAGACAGACTATCTCCATAGGACTGGAAAAATCTCCATATAACCAGTAAACTTGTTCAACACCTTACAACGCAACATTATCAACGTAATGAGATAATACAACAATCAACCTTTTCCTCTTTAATTTGGATACAGATACATTCGAAACTTCCTTCATACTTCCACACTCGCCTTCTTCAATTTTGCCCCAATGCGGAGACACATCCCTCCCAAAACACTGGAAGCGATTAAAGCGATGAGAGAGGACGGGGTTTCAGAAGGATTTACAATGGCACTGTTTAACATGGCATTGGGAGAGCTCATAGGTATATGTAAATTTCAGCAAGGAATAATTTAAGTCGGAGAATAGTTATGGCAATGACGTCGCTGAATTTCATCTTTGCACGACCAGTAGGAGTACATATCGAGAAGTTGGCAATGGAGTGGGCTAGGCAAGTCTTCAAATCCACAAGACTACGGCACGAGAGTAACCTACTGACTAGAACCAGAAAAGGTAATTAGAGTAGACCATATATAGAACGACAGAAAGGAAAAGGTATAAAAAATTGAATGGACCATATATTATGAGTCACCCAATGTCCCATGATGTACAAAAAAAATTACAATTCCATTTAAAACTCACAAACTATTCATGGGAGTAAATTCTTTGGAACATCAGTGACAACGCACTCGTAGCGATACCCTGCTCTGAGATGTTTGTTCCTGCTAGTTCGAATCATCTGAAGAAAAATGAGGCTAGAGCAGCGTCCGGTCCCATGGCCTTGTCTGTCAGACGTTTCTCAGTGCTTAGATAGACATCAGGAAGCCATTCTGGTTTTGGTTCTCCCAAAGCCATGCGAGCAATAGCCTGGCCTGATAGCCAGGCTTGGCACATGCCATATCCATTGAAGCCGGCAGCAATCCACTCACCCTTGTCAATGTTCCTTCCGCTCACACTCGTTGGCACACTTCCCACAATTGGAACTTGATCAGCAGTCATGCCTATAATTCCGGACCAAACCCGATGAAGTGCTGTGGAAGAATACAACGACTCATTAGTTATAGGGTTCGTCCACCCTTCATTGAAGATCCTCTTGGGTAGTAAGGTAGTAAGATTGCCCGCAGAGTCGGCACTGATCACTGAGTCATCAGAAGCTATAAAGTCGTCCAATCTCTGTAGGTCTCCCCCCAGGAAGAGATCACCGGTCTCGGCATTTTGCTGCATCCAATATAGGCCTTGCTCGACCAAGGTAGTATTGGGGTCCCATGACTGTTTCGAGTGAAACAGCCATGAGAAGGGCCGATTTTCCCATTGGGGACCTGGCTTCTGTGTTGACATGGATAGTCGTGTAGGAAAGAGTGGGCCTCTAAGCTTGGGTAGAAGGTGCCCAGTGAAGCCATTAACGCAGTGGAAGACTTTGGCAGCTCTGACGGTCCCACGAGGTGTTGCCAAAACGTAAGGGTACTCGATATTAGAATCCTGAAATACGGTTATTGAAGTCACTGCCGTTTGAGTTTCGACTGTGAAACGTTCTGGGTAACGTTCAAGAAGGAGCTGGAGAAGATTGGTGATCAGCCTGTATGGCCAGCAGACGTGGGACTTGACTACGAGAGCACCCTTGGACTTTTTGAAATGATATTCCTGTTGCATGAAGGTTAGCATGTAGGTGTTGAGACTTTCAAGTGCCATCGTTATAGGACGATTTACATTCTTTGCTGTTTCTCCATCGATGATTACATATTTCTCCCTAGGTGCCGGAACAGCTTCTTCATACATGCGAACAGACCGGCTGGCCTCAGCAAAACCTTCCTCATCTTCATAGGTAGCGACCATTGTGACCTCTCTGATCTCGCTTACCTTGTCAAGATTCTCAGCCTTAGCAATTTGTATGATCTCTTCTAGGGTGCGATCACAGAAGATGGCAATCTGTTTAGCAGCTTCGGCTCCAAAGGCATCCGCAAAGCGCCCGTAGAATTGAGGGGCATGGCTTAACAAGAACCCTCCATTGCGACTTGTCGCTCCGGTCGTCAGAGAGCGAGCTTCAAACACGGTAACTTTTTTGACCCGGCCCAGGTCACACTCGAGGATTGTCTTGGCAGCGCTGCAACCTGTGATTCCAGATCCAATAATGGCGAAGTCCACCAGTTGCGGAAGACTCTTTGACTGAGTAGTCGCAATAGGATGTGCTGGCTCTTGCCAGGCCGAAACAGTTGGGTTCGGTACTGGTACTCCGGGATCTTGTACAACTTGGCCGGCCAATTTAATCAAAAGCTCTTGTGGAAGTTCAGGGGTCTCCATGTCTTTTTCACGATGAGCTGCGGGATTTGGCTTTGAATCACTTTAATAGAATTTAACGAATCGTTAAGGGATATGATATGAGCATTTCTTACACCGAAAAGTAAAGCGCTACGTCTTTCATATATATAACCTCGCATGCTTATCAAGTCTAAAACGAGCAACAAATCGTATAAGTTGATCAGCGGAAAAGTCTCCGTAGCTTTTAGAAGGACAATTAAACAGACCATGATATTGGCTCTGCTTGGCTCTTCTCGGACCCGTTGCGGCTCCGCTTCTTACCACAGTTTAGTGAAATACGTCACCAGCCTCGTTGACAAATCATTCAACTTGCTTTCTTCTCTGTCGATAATATAAAATTAGACATCGCAGAAGAATAGACACCCTAAATCGGAGCCGCCGGTTGATTCACAGTATTCTAGATTAAATAACGACTTGCCTTAAGAACGATCTAACCTACAGGCTTATGAGGGTAATTGACTAGCCATCACCATTTTGCATATGTAGATAAAGCAAGTTCGCAGTCTAGAAATAGAGATTCAATAACTCATAATTTCCGTCTCTCTCTGAAGCCAAAGCATATTCAATCGACATATTCAACTACCGCAACATGACCAACACGTCCAATACCCCTAAGCCAGTCATCTTCATTGGCGCCGCGGACGCGATATGTGGCGAAGCCATCAGGTTCTTTGTCAAAGCAACTGATGTACACGTTGTGCTTGCAGATGCTGACGAGGACGCCCTTCGTCGAGTTGCTGCCAAGTTACCCGGTAGAAATATCACTACACGAAAGGTCGACATTTTTAATCCCAATGAGCTGCGCAGTACCATTGCTGGCGCCGCCCTTGTAATTCAAGGCGCACAACCGTACTATCGAACTTCAACAGTTGTACTCACTGCGTGCATCGATGCAAAGGTGCCTTACTTGGACTATTCCGACGATGTCCACAGCACGCAGGAGTCACTTAATCTACACGAGCGGGCTAAAAAGGAAGGCATTTCTTGCTATATAAACTGTGGTGCATCCCCTGGAATGACCAATCTTTTTGTAGTTGAAATTCCGCAACAGCTTGATACCGTTGATAGTCTCGATATTTGCTGGCTCGTCAGCGAGGAGGGAGGGGACTTGGGCAGAGAGGTTCTGGTGCATCTTATGCATATCACCGGCGGACCTTGCTTGACTTGGGACAACGGAAAGGCAGCGATTCATGAGAACTGGATCGAAACATCCTATGCTCCGGTTTTCAAAGGTTCTAACAATCTTTTTATGAGTTCGTTCATCCGGAGTCAGTTACATTGCCTCGTCGACTTCCAAATGTGAATCGAATCCGGACCTCAGGTGCTCTGAATCCAGCACCATTTAATGGTTTTGCACGAGGACTTGGTGCTGCAGTCAACTCCGGTACACTTTCTATGGATGTCGCTGTCGATTTTCTCCAGAACATGCAGAGAAAATCGTCCCAAGGATGGAGCGACATGTTTGGTGTAATCATCGCACAATTCCGCGGTGGGGACATCACGCTCAATGATTTGTATCAGCTAGATAAGCACGGTGTCTCGTCACTGAAACCGTGGAATCTCGCTCTCTGGGGCATGATAGACCAGGTCCGCAAGGGTGAATGCACATCGGGCGAGGTTCTCATTTTTTGATCAACTCCGCACGTGGAAAGCGAGCACCGCACCGTTCTGGTCTGCTCGTCCGAGGTGTGGGTACTAGAAATGGACAACCAGCAGTGGTTATCAGACGAACCCCCACTGATGAGAAAGACCCGTTCCTAGGAGAAGCATGGCGACTTCGATTGGAGCATGCTGTGCGGCCTTCGCGCTGTTGGCACTTGAAGGTCAGTCACGAGGACAGCCTGGTGTATATTGTCCTGAGGACTGGGCTGAGCCAGAGGCCTTCTTCACATCTATGCAGAAACTCGGCTGCCCACAGGACCAGATAGTTGAATCAGTCAACGAGTAGATGAACAGATACCGTAACCACCGACTTTCGTTGGAATCAATACCATGAATATTTACGGCCCGGGATAATTAAATATCTCTAGGTCTAATTTATACCTCTATCTCTCCCTATATAGTCGGTGGTCGCCGTGATGAATTCACACTTCGGTCTGTCGTCTAACGCGACACGCAGACTGCAAACTCGTGTAAGAGATTCCTAAGACCAAAGTGAGCCATCATTAAATATAGAATTATATACCATGTAAATAAATTAAAAAGCCGGTCATCAAGTCCAATTATTGTTTTAAGCTAGAGAATGTCTTCATTTCATCAAGTACGGGTATCTGTAACATGGATAGGTCCAGGGAGCATGCTGATGCCGAATCCGGCAAGACCGGCCCCTGCTAGCTGCCAACCGTCTGAGAATGAGATAAGATAGATGAACCGCACTACAGGCTGCAAACTATTCAACATGGCGCTTAACAACGTAGCAAGATCTAGAAGTGACCAGTAGGGCAACCGCCACTTAACCAATTGGAAGCTGACTGGGCTGGAAATATTCCCAAGCTTCGGTGTTACGTGAAGAGTTTACAGGTGGAAGATCAAGGAAGTGGTAGTAGTGTAAGACGGAGGGAGAGCTACAGTTGTGCACCAGGCACATTACGTCACGGAAGGATTTGACTCCATAACGGCCCAATTGGACTTTGCTAAAATTACTAAATCGGTCCAATAGCCGAAAATGGACACTATGAAACTCTCATGACATTTAAATCATTCACAAGAACAATCTTTTCGTAAATACCATATATTGTGTTTTTTCAGTTTCTTTAATATTTAGCTCGGTCATGTCATCATATAGCGGTCTCTTGCAAAGATTCGTCCATCTGAATGTATAAATTGACGTATCCTGGAAATACTTGAGATGTCGCCGACCCTAAATGTGGCTTTGCTGGAGAAGGGTGCGAATGCCAACAGACAGATCCCAAGCGCAAAAGCTCTGCACTAGTGGTAGGCGGGGGTTGTAAAGCAGGCAGAAGAGTGAAGTGGAAGTTGCTGCAGTCTAAGGCGAATGGTACAAAGGAAAGTATATGTATTGAGCGCCGTCCCATCATCGCGATACACAGTAATGCGGCTACCTATTCTGCATTTCCCAAGTAGCTACCAGCTCCCCAATTTCCACAGCATGTTCCTTCTACTTGCTAGCGTCGTGAGACCTTATCCATTCCCATTTGCTTCAGTGTGCCCATGCGAGTTATCACCTTTCCGGTATCATCTTTATAACTGTATGTCCACACGTGCTCCTCAGAATCTTCCCGAGACCGCACATCTGGGGCCGCACGAGGCGGTAAATAAGGATCGGCGGCATACCACCACTGTATCTCAATTACACGACGTGCGGCAAGTTTTGTAGCTTTTGACATATGTGCCTCTCACCCCTACAAATGGAGCCGGATCCAGAGAATAAAGGGAATTTCGGAACTGCATGTCATTCAAGGAGCCCTTTAGAGCTTCTCCAAAGCTGCCACACTCCAAATGCTGTTCACACAGGCACAAGTCAAAGATCCGACACCATGTAAACATTGTCGACGACAAATCCAACAATTTCTGGGAGCAAAAGTGGATTTGATATTTTTCCATCAGGAATGGCAGTCATCATGAGTTAGGGAAGAAAAGGAAGAGCAACAGCGATGCTTTACGTTGAGTAAATGTTTTATGGTGAGAGATTCTTGGGTGAAGCCTGCCACGGACTGCACCTACAACGGATTGAAGCAGAGTTCGGGTTTTCCACTCATGGGATTTCTGAGAAGAAATGTGGCTTATTATTTCTCTAGTTTGATAAGATTGTCTCTTCTACCTGCTTAGGGAATTGAACTGCACTACTAGGTTTGGGTGAAGCGAATCAGAATCATGCTGAGCTAGTGTATAAACTCTTTTTCAGTCAAGAATGCTACCTCATGAATTATATTACAAATTCATGTGAAACAAATCTCTAAAGACCTGCCCGACCAACATATAAGCAGTACAAGACATCAAGAGAGGGAGAGAACACTGAAGTATATATATCTTGTGTCTGTTAATGTGTAGTGTCTCAGTCTGAGCTCTGTAGTGAGTGGACTTCAAAAAAGACATCATGATATTTATAAAACACGCAGACAAATGATTGGCCATGAACAACTCCTCTAAGCCGCGATGATCTGGCTCTCTTATTTAGCATGAAAATCCACAATCGCCATCCCTATGGCCGCTATCGAACCCTCCAAAATCGCAATGATGGTCTTGGTCGTTGCTTCCCCAGCTCTGGCCATTGTAGGACATGTATACGGCATCGGGGTCATTTTGAGGCGCTGTGACCCCCAGCGTATATGGTAAGGTGCTCCCGACTTGCATTGTTTCGCCGCTAGGGATACTGAGCAACTCTGATTCGCCGACAAGTTCCTGCTCGCCGTCATACAAAATGACGTCGAAGCGATAGTTCTCTGGGCGCAAACCGGGCCCCTCATTCTTCTGGTATTGCCTGATATGCACGCCACACCAACCACCAATGTAGCTTTCGCAATTCTGGTTCGAGACATCTCTTGCAGCAACGCACTCAATGGGTTCTGTTTTCGGCACCCACGTCTCAATGCCACCAACATAATTCTGCACCGTCTTGCCTGCTAAGCAGCATTTATTACCGAACAAGCTGCATACGAACCCGATGCCAATAAAGACAGAGTGTTGGTTACCCGAATTAGGATCATCTCCTATGAGCGTCCCAGATAAATCGGCTGAAACACTGTTTTCGGTATCCACCCTAACTGTATGACCTGTCAATTGGAAGCCCGAGCTGGTGAATTGTACTGTTTGGCACTAGTTTATGTTATTCCACTTCCTTCTCTTCCTCTAAGAGGGCCTCCTAGTGTACATACCTTTAAATCCCAAACAATATAGTGTTGAAATCCAGCGACTGGGTTATCTGGTCCTAGGTTATGATACGTTTTGTAGTGAAGAGAGGCATAAAGAGTGGCAGCGAAACCAGAGCGCTTTTGCAGAGCTCGTAGGGCCAAAGCCGCTGGAGATTCTGTAACTTCTGAATCTCTCGCTTGCAATTGCTCCGCGAGCGCGCTATTGAGAAGGTCGAGATCTCTCTTTGACTCTGTGATGTCTGTAAACGGGACTCGGCTCGTGAAGAAGCAGGTCGCATCGTGTGAGCGGCAGTCGACTGAAGCGATCCTGGAGTACTTGGTAAATGCAGCTTTAGGGTCTCGTCGAATATATGACCCTTGCGTGGTCTCAAGCCAACGCGTGTATAGCTCGAAGTTTGGGTGAGCCTCATGAGCGGACAGATCTCCTTCGATAATGTCCCGCACGGGGATGGCCAAGACCGATGGCTCCATGGGAGCTGCCCATACTGAGGAGATTTGCAGGAGCACTGCAAGAAGAGGGAACAGCATCATGTTGGTTGAAGCTATCCCAAAGTTGCTAAAACCAGAAAAGTGATAATTCAGGAGGTGAAGTAATAGATTGCTTGTTTGCCAGATGTAATTGCCATAGAATTGTGAGGCAGGAGCTGCATTCATATATTATTTTTGACAAGCATGCACTTGTAGTTCGATGGACTCCTGATAGGCTTGCATATAGTGCTTCAATCCTCCCCAATATCCTACTCTCTCCCGGCTCAGCCGCAGTGGGCATAGTCGAGTGCGGTCAGTTGTTTTCTGTGTACTAGTTGAGATGTTTCCACGCATAGTACAACAGCCTGGCTGATATGCCAGAGTTGTATCTACCTGTGTCAGCACTAGTGGTGTTATGAAACAAAAGTCAGCACACGTGCGCGGGCGGATTCTTGAGGATGCTGTCACCAATCAGTTCAGATGTTATTCAAAGACTGGGCTGAAGATAATAAGTCAACTCGTCCAAGTCGCTTAAAATAGAATATTCTCAAGACTTAAAGGAGAGCTAAGCTGTATTGGCATAGAGAAATTTAACTCGCAGTCTAATTTTAGGGTTGTTGGTTAGATGTATATTAACCGCCAAGCGGCTTACACTAGTTTGCTTTCGGTAATCCATCAACTACAAAAACTTATTATAATCCCCGGAAAGCGGGCACTAAACTCGATTGCTTACTGGTAAGTCCCGACATCTGTTGCCAGCTTCACTTCGTAGCGTAGAATGGACTTCCTAAAGGAGCACATACCCATTAAGCTAAATACACTAATTTTTGTATCAAAAACAAAATAAGTAAACGGCTCCCAACACAACAATTAAACATGGTGAGGCTGAAGAGCAGGCTATCCCTTCAAAAGTCACCTCTTTGAAATTATAGCCGGATAATTTTGATATTAGCTCTGATGAAACTATCTTTAAATATGAAAAAATTAATAATAGTGTTTCTTTATATAGAATACTGCTGAAATTAGGGGATAGTGTTTAGTTGGGCATGTAAATGTCTGTTGAATCTATAGGTGATTTTATCTAGCACAGAGGGTGTGTATGATTTTTTGATAAGGTGTTTATTATTGGAGAAGTTATGGGGTTGTCTAGATGTAAGTTATCGTTTACGTAAAACATAGGGTCGACGTGATCTCCCATGTTTTGCAGAAAGCTGGTTTTAAATGGTTGAATCACTTACAGTCAATCTGTATATATGATGCAGTATGTGAGAGCTAGGCTTATTATCTTTGCGTAGATGCTTTCTAGATTAAATACGTCAATCTTTATATAAAAAATTTGCTATCGCAAGGTTTAACTATTGAAGTTGAAAACAGTTGACTTATTTGTTTGGAGGTATAGTATACTATATGGTCCTAACTCTATGTAATAGCTTCTATGGTTGGGTAGATAGTTTGAGGCTGTCTTGAGTGAAAAATATGACTATATAAGCGATGGTAATCCGATTAAAGCTTCTTTTAAATACAAGGACTGACTGCTCAGTACATATACAGTCCGGCTGGAGTCACCCCAGGACATGTCTGGCATATAATGATGATAATCGTGACTCGATTGAAGGACGAGTGAGTAAGCTCTTCCTTACAGTGGTTTGCACATTCAGCTTAACACCTTATTCTTCCATTTATTTTTATTTGAAACATGTGCCAAGGGACACTATGAAAAAAGATAGTTTCGTAAATTAATAATATTAATTTAAAAATCATAGTATACAGTATTATTATGAAACTTTATTTATAATATAAATATAGTGATAAAATTCATTTCTAGAATCTTTGATTTATATCTGAACATGCGTTCTAAATATATCTGATGAACCTAGCAATCTATCAAGTTGGTAGTTGTAACACGGTCTGGCAGGGCTGTGTCCGGGGTTGTCTGAAAAGACTAGATGTGGGCGAGTTGAAGCTTCCCGCTTAATATTGAGGCTAAAGAGCAGGTCTACCGGCCCAAGGGGGGTAGTTATCGGTTTAGATCATATAGATATAGAAGACTTCGAACCGAAGGCTATTCGAAGGCAAGTAGGCTTATATTGAAAGTTATATCAAGAAATATATAGAAGATATGCCTGGGTTCCCCTCCTCCGGGTTGGAAACCAAGCTTATATGCCTGAGTACCTTCCTCGGGTCATTAATACCTAATCTAGCTAGATCAAGGCATATATTGCGAGGTGAAGGATACTTGTATCATCCCCGGGGTCATATGGTATTATTTATGATGTATCACAATTGACTCCATAGATATCTCGGAGCCCCCCGGTCTTGCCGGATTCGGCATAAATATGCTCCCTGGACGTATCCATGTTACATGATGTTAGAGCTCTAAATATTGCAAAAGAGTAATTATAAGCTAAGAATGATAAAATAAAGAAGGCTGCGCCAATAGAAAATCACTAAGCAAAACAGGATACTCAGTAAGCGATCCCTGAGCCAAGCTGAGCATAAAGCAGCACCGCACTGAGCGCATTAGCGTCGCACATTACATTTATGTAGGTACGCTATATGTAACTGTTGGATTGGCAATGATGGCAATCTTGCCCGATTGGTTTAGACTACACACTATATATATATGGCAGTCCAGAATTAATTGTTCATTGTCTCTGTTTCCTAATTACCCCGCTCAGTTCAGTGCTTTTATGCTTATATGCACGTGACCTTTATTGGGCATTGGGCATCAGCACCGAGTCGACCCCGAGTAATCCTCTACTAGACTTCTGCTAATCTGACAGTAACAAATATGTGCGACGACGGACGGCTACGGTCGAATTCTATCACCGCTTTTACTGTCGGAATATTTGGCACTAAGCATATTGGGAATAGGTTCAAAATGCCCAAAATGCTTAGTCCCAATATTCCGACATGTGCTATGAGGCACGTGCCCCGCTAACCCGTGCCCTAGCCGGCTTTTACATCTAAGGCATATTGTCAGCCAGCTTAGTGCGGCATAACGCGCCATTGAACGGTATGTCAAAACTACGGTTTAACGCGTTCTTTTTCTATGCAATTTCCGAGAATTTGCCATTATTTGGGTAATTATTAGCGATCAGCTCCACTAGTAAATTGAGTATAAATTAGGTCTAGTTTTCAGTTATTCAAAATTCAGGCTTCTTACCCCTTGCAATTTAGTAACAAACTAATACTGCACTAAAATTCCTTGTACTAAAATCAGCCAACACATATATACATTCTGATAATATGTAGAAGGTTATTCTAACAGTATATGAAAGGGACCTAGGTGTTAGGGTTTGGCAGGACGATTCCGGCAAGAGATATATTTCTGCAGGAGATCTCCCACCTCCCCATACAGATTGTGGTTTTCTGCAGGACATGCCCTGCCAGTTATAGATTAGTTTGGGAGCTCAATATAATCCTGAGCTCCCGCACTGCTTAGATTTAGTTCTTCAGAGTTCGTCTTGTTAAATGAATAGACTCTTGTTTTTGATCTCTCGCCCTGGAACTCTGCCACTAGGGCTCTAATATATAGCCAAAGATATATAAAAAAAAACATCTATCCATAGCCTGAATGGTTTCACTATGGTGAAAGCCCTTAGATCATGACAGTAATGATGTGACCATGCAAGAAAAGGGCTAGTTTAGTTAGAATCTGGACAGGGCTTTTACGACATAATTCAATCTGACAAATTAGGATGCCCGACAATCATTATCTAATGCCCTTGATATATTTGCTTTGCTTGGACCACATTGCCAAACTGCAAACATTTCAGTTGTTTGAAAACTGTAGAGGAGGGTGATTTAGTCTATCAGAATTCAATAGTGTGAACGCGGACCAGAAAAACGTGCAGATATCACATTGTGAGATTGGCTCTGCATTTCCTTTAGAAGGTTACACAGAGAGCAGATGAACTGCCTACTCCTTTGTATGGTAGATAGTAATGTAAGGGGAAGAAGTGGTGAGTTTTTGGCAATGATTTATTGATGCATCGGGTTAAGAAACCGGTTGGAATCCACCAGACATATGACCACTGATCGCTTGAATGTTGGTCCATATATCCTAAAGCGTCTAATATTGGCGCTGTCACAGCATCCCATAGCCATTGCAGAACTTTGGCGCTTCCCAGGTCAGCGTTCACATTCCTTGCCTCGATTTCCTTTTGATTGACACTAAGCAATGCCCAAGGCCTGGATTTAGTGCATCTCAACAAGGATAAAGCCTAATTACCGTTCCATATTGAATAGTGGCGATTGAAGCGCTCTGTTATGATAATTATGTATACATTCGTCTGTCCTACCACTTTCTGTTATGACTGACATAAAGTATGATATAACAGAAGTGATAATTCCTGGTTAAGATGTATGCGTTATTAGCACTAATATCCACTTGACCTTCTATAAATCTAGCCTTAAAGAACTAAGATGGGTATTACTTTGATATTTTGCGGGCCAAAATCTTGCTACAGATGGCCATAGCCTTAGGCCCTGGATAGAAATATCAAAACCCAAGTCCTCAAAATCCAACTAAGCCCATATAACTAGGATATACTTCTGATAATATGAGAGTAGCAACTCTTTCTACCATTCAGTTTTTCCACTGTGTACTGGGTTTTGATCTTAGAATAAAAATAACGTAACTCAATCAAATTAAATGACGGTGATCAATCCGAATGAAGAGAAATATATAGACGAGCTAGGGATTGTTAGTCACGCGAATCTCATTCTATATTATCTTGGTCCTTATAACCTGCGGCCCTATCTTCAAATTTAGAAATCTTGGTTTTACTCAGGGCAAGAAGCTGTTTCTTCAGCAGTGCCATTCCCTTCAGCGACACCCCTTCCATCTCGTCATATATAACCTCGAACGACACATCCACATTCGATCGCATCCTCATCTCAGTGGCGATAGTAATAGCGAGACTCATAACATTTCGAGCCCGAACACCGATACTATCTTCTTGGGGCATGGCAGTGTCCCAGTATATTCTCTGAAATAAACCTTTGCTCTTCTCATCTTCTTTCGGTAGAACAAGATCAAATATCAGTCGGGGAATGGGAGGAATTTTTGTGAATGCTTGCCGCCAAGCCTTGCTCAGTGATTGGATATCGAGATATTCGTGGTTTGAAATAGGGCAGAGGAGACCGTTGCTATTGCGAATTTGGCGCGAACCTAGATCACGGCAAGCTTCAAGTATATCAACATTAGCGAGAGGCTGCAATAAAACTAGCTTCACCTGCTGTGTCTGCGAGACTAGTTCAGATGACGGCTCGGATGCGTCGTTGTTGAAATGAGACAGTCTTGTGCGATAGAGCTCCCGTAGTTGATCAGGGTGAGTGATGCGTGTTGCTTCAGTCATCTTCCACAAGATCGGTGAGAGAATCTGGTTTCCACGGAGGCAGTGGATGAATCAATGTGTGTCAAGCCAAAACAATAAATAAGGAAGTGGAATTTGCTATGACTAACATCAGGTCGTCCAAAGAGAGGGGAAGTTATAACAGCTTCGCTGCCTAAAATGCTCTATCTTGTGGCAGTCTGACACGTGAACTTACTGTCAGATAGTGGGGTGATGTTACCCGGTAAAAACCACCAAAATTATTAGAATAAATTGAGATAATTGCAACTTTCTTAATTGCTTGTCTTGGACAAACTTGCTCCTAAAGTACTAAAGGAATTGTCCTCAGTTCAGCCCTACCTTACGAGATTCAGTAGTGTCTCAAGAATTCACACATGTCTGAATATCGAAGCAAGTTTGCTCATTCGAACTTTCATTTTTTTCTGGAACGGATCCTAGATCATGTGAAATGTATACTGCTAGGCTATCAGTGGTAGCCTAGTAGGCAACAGCAGCTACTACGGCTATAAATAGGTGTATGTATCTGCGTTCTTAGATTCAGTAGAATATCGTCATCATTTGCACCTCAGTTCAGGGTTTCAACTCCTTGGAGGACATCCAGGTACAACAACTAGAGCTGCCTATCTAGAATATCACTGTAATACAATGGTACACTTCCTAATGACGAATTTGAAGCCTCACCGGGGCCAGTGGTTGACTCTTCTTAGTTCCCGTTTCCTACTTATCTATTCTTACCTAACTCCTGCCCTTGATAACTAGGGCTGTGTTGGATGATGTCCCCGAGTTTATTAAGCTATGGCTGCTTGACGCACCGCTTCGAAATCTCTGAGATGCTTCTGCGAAGTCCAATACTGCTTTGCTTGTGCTGTGTTGGCTAGAGCTTACTCCTTTGCTTTTGCATCCAAGCAAGGTTGATATATCATTGAACGCCTCCCCGGCCTCCTTTCGTAGTACTACTCGTCGAGAACTGAGATTGGGGCAGTCAATTGGAACATGTTTAACCGAATTTAATCCGCCACATTCGCATTAGTCGTCTTCATCGAATCGATGTAGTTTCAGAAATTCCACTAACCAGCAGTGTCCTATTCGTAATCGTGCTAAGAGATGTGCCATTCCTCTTCCCACTCTCGCATGATCTGTGCGTGAATGAATCCCTTTTCTCAAAAGAGTAAATTCTAGGAAGGGTGTGATCTTTGAAATTTTACTGCATCTTTTGCGAGTCGATATGCGGTGTCGTTCCCCGCGTGGTCGCTGTGTCCTGGGATCCACTGGAGGCGAATTTGTACTTTCTGTGCCTTCAGGTTCTCCACAGTGTTGAGGATAGACCGAAAAATACGCTGTCCTGATTTATTCGAGGGCTTTGCTATCGCTGAGGATTGTCACTGGTTTTCCTGGAACGATCCCTGGGTGTCGTTCTCTGCACACCAGAGTGGCGATCAAGTCTACCGCACGGTTGACTCCAATTAATTCGGTAGCGTGGATCGACCAGTGATCTGGCTTGCCTACACCTACCTGTCTTGATCCGATTATATTTTGATTCCGGTCTAGCGTTTCCGCCCATTACGCCTCGGCCTCGGTGATTCAGAAGGAATCACTGGGTAGTTAACAAAATCGGACGCTCCTTGGGAATTGGATAGCCCATGAGAAGATGCCTGCGGAGTTGTGATCCACGGCGGAGCTCAAGGCTCGTGATATCGACGAGAGCATCTCCTACTGACGGCGGTGGGTTCAGGGCACGATTTGTATCGCGGTTCCCAGATCTGGATTGGTGTATTCTCGTTGTCAGCTTCCCAGAACAGATCAACCTTTGCTCCCTCTCGACTGCACAGCACAGTTAGCAGGGTATGAAGAAAATGTACGGGTTTGTCTTATCACCACTCGCATCTAAAGAGCCTATTGCCTTACGTTTGACGACTGATTGCTTGGCTCCAGCTCTGCGCACATGACCAGTGAAATTTGCCAGACGGACAGGAACGACATCTCAGGTATTTAGTCTCACTGGATAATGCTTCGAGGCAATAGGTGCATGGCTCGTCAGGAAGACCTGAAAATTTCTGGTATTGACTGATTAAGATCGTGCATTACCGCTCACCGTCATCGAACAGGTTGATTCTAGCTAACTTTCTGTCCGAGGGTTCAAAGCTACCCCGAATCAGACATTCGAAAGTGGTGTCTTCCACCTGGTCAGTTGGTTGGCAACTGGAGTGGATGCTATGATGACAAAGTCAAGAGAAATGCAGATGTGGAAGAGCAGTATCTCTTTATAGTCACCTCCGGGGTTGCTCCATCTGCACGGAGTGGATCTGGGTGTAGGACATGTGAAAGACTGAGCAGGAATCCCTTCCTTTCCGCCCCATATCATGACGTTGAGTACATAAAAGCTACCATAAGGCTGGCCACCATTCAGCTCTCCACTGCATGACGTCTTATCATTGGCAAAGTCGTGATCTATGATCTTTATCGAGGTATTTTCGGCCATATATGACAGTAGGTTCTCTTTCCCATCGTCCAAGACCATGACTAACTCTGCCTGGCAAGCTCTATCTCGAGCTGTAAGCCTGTTGTAGAAAAAAAAACGATACACTTCAGTTCAATAGCAAACTTTTCCTTAGCGAACGCAAGGCCTTTTTCTGGAACTGCAATGTTCCCTGTAATATGCCTGTTGATGGGTGAAATAGCGTTTGGCAGCCGCATGGTGTCCGCGAGTGAGCATGTGCGAGCTTTGCTTCCGATAAAATGCTGAAAGATTGTTCGATGGAAAATTAGCTTCTGGATTGCTTTCGAGTCTTCCACCTTGATAGGTATTGAGTAGAAAAAATCCACTTGGCGTGTGTGTAATACCACAGCACCCCTTGATGGGAACGACCGGAGGATGTCTTTGAGTCATCCAGTACCAGATCAATCATTGATACTTCAATGAGATGATGTAAAATATTTCATCAGTGTCTTCAGTCTCCGTTCTCTTCTATGGAGAAACACTATGATGGAATGTCGGATGCAGTATCAGAACATCGCGTGAAAGAATGGGTGACAGTAGTACGGGTCATGAGCATAACTTGTCCGGTTCTTTAATTGAATGAGATGATAATTCCAACAGAAAATCTATTATGATATGTATACATGAACAACCCGTCTCCTCAATGCTCCATTGCGGGTAGAATATGTACGTTATGTCGTACTTGGCGGTGTCTTACTTTTCGTGAAGTCATTAGGCGTTTTTCGGTCTAGAATAGGATAAAAGGAATCTTATCTCGATTAGTTTGGTCATTGAGACTCGAAAGATGGGCATACTAAATAGGAGGCGCAGTGTGACCAGAAGCCCGTTCTATCAGCGCAGATCGCTTTGATTCGGCCGGTCTCTCGAAACCTGATTCCTACGAACACATCTGCACTGCCGCTTTCACTAATTTCGTGCGCCTTTCGGATCTGCGCTTCCTCATGACGGTATCGCTGCTGCCGTCTTCGGTCTTTCTCTTGTCTGATCTCCTGCGTGGTCTTGACGACACACTGCGATGGGCTGGTGTTCGTTGACGATCCATCGCCGGACCTCCCTAGGCGCTGGCCATTCCGTCTGCACAGAATGCAAGGATTACCAGGGTCGTTAGTGTCACGATCAAAGGGCTTTCACAGTGGTGAAACCATTTAGGCTATAGATAGATGTTCTATATATACCTTTGGCTATATATATGAGCCCTAGGTCCCTCTCATGTACGATAGAACAATCTTCCACATATACTCAGAATGCACACATGCCTTAGATTATAACAGGTACCTAAACAGGCGATAAAATAAATGGCAAGAATGGGTTATCCTATGCGGAATTACGTCCATCCAGAGCATCAATTGATATAATAAAGTGTACGTGCCTATGTTGGCCACAAATATCACTACACCAGAAAAGGGTCACCCTTATGGGGAAGGCTTCTTAGTGTGGTATAGAGAGTGTATTTTATTGCTGACAACCTATTGTGGCAATTGTATGATGGTGTCTCAACGAGTGATTGAATAAAAATTTCGCTGAGAGGAGAGAACTGTCGTATATCGTAAGCATGAATAGGCAGGTCAGTAATGTGGTAAAAGTTGTGAATTATAGCCTCGCTGCAGGTTAAGGTAAGAAGAGAGAGAATGGATGGTTGTGGAAAAAAAATGCCGTTAGGGGGAAGAGATCCCTTCTAATGAGATGACAAATAAGAAAAAAAAAAAAATGACCAGAGTGGGATTTGCACCCACGCGGATTTCTCCACTGCGAAGTTGCAGATTCATACATTATATGTATAATAACCTGAACACAGCGCCATAACTGCTCGGCCATCTGGCCATGGGTGTATGGGTTTGCGAACTTAAACATCATAAACGAAATGCCAAACCGTACATATGTCCATGAGAGGCGGTCGACCATACGTACCAAAAAAGACAGCGGCGAGACGACGCTAATGAGTCAACTGGTCAGCTGCTCAAGAGGCTCTTTTGCTGTCGAATTGACCCACTCGACCCGAATAAAGCTGGCTCTTTCATATGTTATTTATTTATTCTAGGCATATGAAAAATTAGGGGTTCATATTTGGCTCATTGAAAATATATTCAAATAAATCGAGCAGCTGTAAATCATGAACTTCAATACATGTCTTTGAATCGAATGCCATCACATTTCCCTACTACATTATGGAAATATACTAATATAATTGGTAATAATAAGCCACATTAACATTACTAAGTAAAGCTTGTAGTGCTATCACAAGCCAGGTTAAGTTATTTCTTGCCCTGTGCCACATTCTGCAGAAAACCCAGCAAAAACGCCTTATTATCAGGCGATGTTACGCGATGAGCCGCCGGGTTTGAAGTGGCACTGCCTGAGGGACTTCCCAGCCTCGAAATATTGGAGGGGATATTTGTTTCAGGGCCTGAAAGAGATGGGGATGAGGTCACATCTAGATGGTTCCTAGAGACAGGACGGTCAACTGGTGTGACTAGATGCGAAGGCCGGTCGCTAGGGGATTTCCCAAAAAGATTCAATAACGCTTCTTTCTGTGCCGCGGTTTGACTAGGACGTCGGTCCGGATGAAGAATTTTGTCTTGGCTTGATTTAACTTTACTCCCGGTTGCGTATAGGTTTTCCGTGTGAGATAGCTCATGAACAGGTACTGTTCGAGTGGGAAGAACGCTTTCAAGATCTATTTTTTGAGAACGACGCAAAATCTGTGGCTGGAAATTCTTGGGTGTATCTGAGATATTTCCCTGTTCGACAAGGGAGCGTGAAGAAGGGTGTGATGTCTGCTCTGACGAGACTGGGGAATGCCTCCTGCCAACTGACGGCCGCGGCAAAATCGTAATTGGAGACGCTGGTGCTGTTGGCTTTTTGTTGGCCTTAATGCTGGCGCCATTGGCCTCCTTGTGTGGGTTTCGTTTCCGGCCAAATTCTGGAGTCTTCAATGGACCAGATACTGTGGCAGAAGTGAGGACCTCTTCTTCAGCCCTGTCAACCTTTACATTCGCTGCCGCCTTGGTACTCACAGCCGGGCGTTGCAAAATATGTATTGGGGCAGATTGTATTGGTTGAGCGGCTAGTTCTGCGGCAGGCTTTCCTGAAGGTTTATTCGCAGAGTTTTTGAGTAGAGCTAGAAGCTGGTCTTGGGGATGCAGTGCTGATTGATCAGTATTAGGTTGTGACAGGACTGCTGGTTTGGGTGTAGGCGACTGGCTTTTAAAAACGTTCAAAAGAGCCAGTGAATGACTTGTCAGCTTCGGAGGGGGTAGTTTGCTGGCTGGTGGTACTGTGGGGCCCTGGAATTGGGCCGTGTTCATCTGCTGTGCAAACTCAGGATCCCCAGTTCGCTGATAAGGTGCCACCGTATGCTGCTGTCCGGGGTTAGATGGCGCAGCAATTACTCGGTTGTGGTGTAAATGAGAGGGGTGATTTCCAGGAGGCAGCGGGTGTCCGTAAGTGGTGACATTCTGGTTTTCGGGTTGCCGTAGCTTGGCTGAGTATGGAACAGCATTGTTGAGTGAATGTGGAAAGTCGCCAACGTTTCGGATTGGGGTTGGTGGTATGTGCGGAGCTCCTTGTGGAGGTATATGACTCCCAGTAGGTAGCGGCTGATTAGGAATGCCGAGAGACTGTCGATAATCAGGTCCTGGGTGCGTGGGAGCGTTAGATTGCGGAATCGTTCCTAGCAGGTTTGATAGATGTCCAGATGCGCTCTGACTTGCAACTTCGTTAGAACCGCTCCGTAATAGCGATAGCAAAGCATTCGACTTTGATGGGTCGGCAAGTGCAGCCGGAGCCGCGGAGGGTATATTCGGCACCAAACCTCCTATGTTAAGAAGACGTTTCAGGTGTGACGAAACGTCTTCTGACGATGTGGCTTCCGGCAAGTCACTGAGAACAGCAGGCTGGATATGTGCATTCCTTGGAGTGAATCCATTGTTGGCAGACACGAATCCTTCATCCATGGATGTTTCACCTTCTGTGTAGTTGAGCGAAAGAGCCAGTACATTGTTTTTGGCTTCTAGTTTTCGTTGTTGAGCGATCCATTTTTTCAGAGGATGAAGAAATGGCGCCACCATGTAGAACTTGTTTGCATTGACGGCATCGTGCTGTGCTTGCTTATTCTTTTTGACGGTAGGAAGGTCAGATAGATTGACCCATTCAATCTTACTTATTTCTTTCCTCGTTTGAGGAGCAAACTGGGTATCCATAGGAACACCGCGAAAGACGTAAAGTTTCATATGCTGCTCCCGCATAGTGATTTCGATATGTTTCATGTGTTTGTCATCCTTGACGAGACCTGCTGCTTCCAAGTCATAGCCAGTCTCCTCAAAAACTTCTCTCACAGCACAATCCAGATCCTTTTCTTCCTTGTTGATTTTCCCTCGAGGAAAGCTCCAGCTAGCATTCTTTTTCCAACCTTTCACAAGCACCACTTTATCCATCGTTTCATTCAGCATGATAGCACCCCTCACAGGCACCCGAGTTTTGTATGCGAGAAACTCGGAAAACGCCGTCGTATGGTGATACTCTGACCATTGAGACATCAGCGGGCAGTGCTGGAAGATCCGCATGGCGAAGGCCTTGAGGGACAGGGAAGGCAAGGCCGGGTCGAGGGGCCGAATGAAGTCTTCGTAGAACCATTGTGCTTCTTCGACTTGAAAACAAATACGTTCGACAGATTCGAGCTCCTCTCGGGGAAGGTTGATAATGAAGCGGACACACAGGTCATCCAGCCCTATTGCGATACAAAAGAAGCTTGAGTTAGTCCAACAGCGTTCAGCCTAGTGTCTTTGATGCACTGCGAAACCCACAGTCTTCGAGATTTAGTCTTGTTTCTGTCATAGTGTTGACTATAATTGGGCATTTCAAAGCAGGAGAATAAGCGTCCGGCAGAGGATAGTCGGTTCGAGATCACAGGCAAGGCACACCAACGGCCAGTGCTGGATCGGGGAGCCTTGACCACGCTCTTTGTGGCAAAAGATTGGGCTAATCAAAATGATCCAGGCCTGTATCTGCCAATATATGGGAATATGTGAAAAAGGTGGACAAGCAGAATGGGAAATTGCGTAGCCTGACAGCAAAACGTGAGGGCGAAGAGTGGAATAAAGCACTGATGGGAAGAGGTGGTTGGCTGTGGGCCCAGCTATCAGCTAGATCAGGCTAGCGCCGAGTTGGGCAGCGGCGGTCATTCTGCACAGCCACAGCAGGGTCGTCCAATTGCGGGTCGCATGGATGGCGCGCCACTTCTGACTGCGCCCCTGTTGTGGCTGGACCACCCGACCAAGAAGCGGGTGGTCTGTGCGGGCGGAATGACGTGGGACGTGGGTGAAACAGCGCGCGGCAGGAAGACTTCATTATCCTGTTTGACGCCCAGTCCTGGCGCTGCTCTTCTTCTTTTTCTTCTTCTTCGTCCTCTCTGCCATTTTTATGAAATGAGTCTTGCTCTACTCGATATTTCCGGCTGTTAAATTGAGTAGTATTTAGTTCTATCTGTCCACCATCTCGTTTTTGTTCTCAGCCGAGGCCTTGCATATTTATTTACCCTGCGTCTCCGAGAGCTACTGCAGAGGAGTCATGGCTACACAATTGGCTTCCCTCGTAGGCAGGCGCATTTTGAAAGAAAACGTGAAGAACAAGTTCGGACAAGAGGTATCTTGACCATATATACAACATGTAATATTTACAGGCTTATATTGAAATACTCTAGGATCCGTACTTCGAAGTAGTTCCTGCCTCACGTCTTGGGCGAGCATTCGGCAAAAAAACCCAAAGACGCCGCAAGGCTATTCCCCCGGGGCTTTCTCCTCAAGATGCCAAGATCCTCAACCGTGTCAAACGCCGAGCTTACCAGCTCGATTATAGTCTTTTCAATCTGTGCGGTATTCGATTTGGCTGGGGAAGCGTTATCGGAATAATACCATTGTGAGTAACACAATTCTGAGTTCAGGATGGAAGCTAATTGTCGATTTCTAGTGCTGGAGATGGTATGGACGCTGCGTTGGCCATGATGGTAGCCAGGGAATGCCAAAAGGTTGAAGGGGGGCTTCCATCGAGGATCTACTATCAGATGATGATAAACATTGCCATTGACTTTTTCATCGGCCTGGTCCCATTCATCGGCGATCTTGCAGATGCCATCTATAAATGCAACACTCGCAATGCGGTACTCCTGGAAAAGTTTCTCCGAGAGAAGTCGATCAAAGCTGAAAAGTTGCGTGCCAAGAGAGAACACCGCGCACCCCAGAGTGAACGCCTTGTGGATCTGAGCATTCCAGAAGAGTTCGACAGGTATGAAGATGGTGCTCTGCCGGATCCTCCTGGCTATACGGAAAATCCTGTATTGGAACCGATCCCACAAGGCGGCACGGATGATTCTCGCGGCCCTACTAGACCAGAACATACCCCTACAGTCGGCCCCAGTCGGAAGGAATCACGTCGGTCAGGAGGGCGCAAGAAGAAGCAAAAGCAGAGGGACCTTGAAGCTGGAGTTGTTGATGACCGACGTTAGATAGCGTGCATAGCGGCCTGTTCATGATCTGATTATATAGAGTAATGTCAGGTGCATTAAGTATTGGAAACCGTATTCATGTCATCCCGTGATCGTAAACAGGCGTAACAGATTCGTTCTGCATTGTCTTCGCGTTCTGCAGATAAAGTATCATGTTGGAGAGAAGCAGCGCACAGCGAACACCGTGTGTCGCCAATGGCACGACGTTCGGGTTGGAGCTTATTAACAGTGCGAACTACATTAGCCATCACTCCAGGATATTTTTCTCCTTGGGTCGCAATGTATTGATTCATAAGAGCATCTATCGAGAGATCACGCGTGGACAAATTCTCTGATGTCTGTTTATCGGGAATGACAATACCCTGTAACTCGGGCGTATACTTGACATAGAGGTCCAGCTCCGATTTATAGAGCTCTCGAAGCGGGAAGCAAAATTCTAGGCCCCATGGCGTAGGACCATCGCAGACCTGCCATGTCAGAGAGCCGCCACGGCCCTTGGCTACATTTGCAAGGGTCTTAGCAGCCAGACGACTATCAGAGTCTCCCCATACAACGCCCTCACAACCATATTTCTTGGCACATGTGACAACTAGCCGGATTAATAGAAGGTTGTCGATGTCCGTTCTCGCTGTGGCAGTAGATATTGATTGCCGGAAAGAGTCAAGTCGTTCTTTCTCTGACTTGCTTTCATCATCCACAAACCCGAAATCGCGGAGGGTTGTTTTGATGTCTTCATCGATGCTGAGGATACTGTGAAGAGGAACCAAGGAGTATTCGTGGCCAGGATAATTTTCATTCACAGCGTCGAAATTTGCCTTGACTGGGGGCACATCGGTAAATACACTAGAAGGGTCAATCACCAGTACGTGGAGATCGAATCCAGCGCGGCCAATAAATGTAGATGATTGACTATCTCGCAATTTGTGTAGGAAATGTAAGAGAGCAGACGACGAGGTACCGAGGGAGAGGGCAACGAGTAATTTTGTGGGCGGTAGATCTTTCTGTGGTCGGAATTTCGTCATGCTTCGGTGGATCTTTGCACCTGCATATTTGAGGAAACATGGCCTGGCGTATTCTATCAATACCTCGCCATGCTTTTCATTGCTGTGGAACATCCCACTTACTGGCATAGAGGACGGCCGCGTATTGTGGCTGACGCCTCGGCGTCCTTGCAGCTGACACAGCTGTTGACGAATTCCTTTGCTGGCATGTTTACAGAATCTGCAATCAGAAACCGGGTCAGATCATTGCATAGAGTCACAATAATGGGAGCAAGAGTGGAGAAAAAAAAGAGAAAAAGTGATACTTGCCCGCATACCTCGAAGCGGAAAGGTGCACACGGTGCACCGCGGACGTGCGGGAGAGTCGGTCATTGGCCCACCTGCTACGCAACCTCCCGGAGATGCCAGCTCGCTCGCCAGCATCAGCTCCGTTCTATTATTGAACAGCTCTGCTTAAGTTTAGCCTTTCTCCTTCTATAACTGCTCACAAGGGATGCGATAGATTATTTTATACCTTACTTCATCACACCTACGCCGCTGGATTCTTTAACTTAATAAATTTCTCGCTCAATCGCCCTCGGCGCAATTGCCAGTCATTATGAAGGGCTGGTTACAGACACTGGGCTTGTCTGCGCTATTGGCAAGCGGGGTCATTGCAAATGAAGTTGAAATAGTCAGTCTAGAGGACCTTTCTTCTACAAGCCCATTTACTAATTGCTCTCTTGAATGTCTTAGAAGCAAGATGACGCTCATCGACAAAAATGTGCCGGGATGTACAGCCAGAAATCCTGGGGCGGCGACGTAGAACCATTCATTCTCACCAAATTCAATAAACTCGAAGAAACAACGGAGGACTCCTTAGTCAGTTTGGTTGTTTTCGAATGGGGTGATGAGCACTTGATAGGCCGCTCAGTCTCTGCTGGCGACGTAAGTTGGATTGAAGGCGTTTAGGTTGATGACTAACAAGCAGACAGGGTGTAGCAACTGTATGCTACCAAGAAAACATCGATGCTGGACTGTGTACACAGGAGGAGCTGGGCTCCTTTATCCTCGCCGAAAACGCCACCGAGGCCTCGAAATCCCCAATTTTATCGAAAGCCATCAACCTCAAAGATCCTGCCGCAATAAACTATCCAGTGAAGAAGACCGGGTTTTACTGCGTCAGCACTTTTGCTTATTCAGAGCACGACTATACAGGTGTCGTCGAGTTCCGAAATGCGTACGGCGAACTGCCTGCCGCCCAGATTCCGAAATTGCCCTTCTATGGAGGACTTACAATCGTATATGCAGTTATTGGAATGTTAGTTTTCCCATTTACTTTATATGTATGGCTCTGACAATTTTAAGTTTTTGGGCTTTCCTTTACGTTCAAAATCGGCACGACATTCGTGAGTATGAGTATAATTTATTTCTGATATATTCTAATTGTTTGCAGTACCTGTTCAGAACTATATTACAGCTATTTTGATTTTCCTTGTCGTTGAGGAAGCAATGACATGGATATTCTACGGTATGTGTGAATTTGAATTCAATTATAGTAACAATCAAGAAAGCTAAGTGAGGCATCTAGACTACCAAAATCGCCACGGTTCCAATGCATGGACCAAGGTCATGATGATTATAGTTGCAGTGCTTAATGCAGCTCGAAACTCATTTTCATTCTTCCTTTTGCTTATCGTCTGTATGGGCTACGGTGTCGTCAAGCCATCATTAGGACGGACAATGATTTGGGTCAGAATCCTCGCGATCACCCATTTCGTGTTCGGCGTCATCTACTCTGTTGCAAGTTTGTCCATTGCTCCCGACAGTGCTGGGCCTTTGGTATTGCTAGTGATCCTGCCACTTGCAGCAACTCTGACAGCGTTCTATGTCTGGACCTTGAACTCGCTAAACATCACGATGAAAGACTTGATTGATCGTAGACAGAAGACCAAAGCGATGATGTACAAGAAACTTTGGTGGTGCATTCTTGGTAGTATTGTTGTTATTTTTGGCTTTTTCTTCATCAACTCTTTTGCTTTTGCTGGACGAAGCGCAGCAAACTTTGTGCCGGATCACTGGAAGAGCAGATGGTTTGTCTTGGATGGTTGGTTGAACATTGTCTATCTTTTTGACATTGGCTTCATCGCATACTTGTGGCGACCAACCGCAAACAATCGCCGATTCGCCATGAGTGACGAGGTAAAAACTTCCTGCTGTCTCATAGAACACCTTCACTAACAAGCTCCTAGCTCGCGCAAGATGATGACGGCTTCGAAATCCGCTCACTCGCAAACTCACTGGATGAAGAAGATGCAGTTGGTCTAGACGATGACTTCGAGAATCACGGCCACGAGAGAGAACTATCACCTGTCCCACCAAAACCCGTCCAACCAGCACCACAACACCGCGAATCCCTTGATGGCGAGACCATTTTCGCAGTCGGCGAAGAAGACGGCGACAAATTCAGTGATGACGATGACGACGACACATTCCGCAAATCGACCGAGGAGCGAAGAGGACTTACTGGAGGAAAGAGTACATAAAGTGGTGCCTCTTTGATTCTATTACCTCGCATATTTTATTTTGTCACGTAGCTAACAGTAGGGAATTTTCCTTGGCGCCGCTTCTTTTCTGTATAATTAGCAATTAAGGGTATTAGTGGCATCCTCAAAACAGTTTACATGTAATCGATTGATGTCGGTGGTAATAATATAGGAGTATATGCTACCCCTCGAGCCCAAAAAAGAAATAATCGGAAGAGTGCTTTCTCCAAGCACGATAACGAAGTCACGTGGAGATAACGTTTCTCCGACTTGGGGACTCTGATTTAGCTTGGTGGTGATTAACGAAGACTTTGCTTCAGTTTACCTTCACTTTGGAAATAGCTACTTATATGAAAAGGAAGAAATGCAAGCGGCGAGATTCGCACTCGCGTCCCAGAGGGCCTCGGTTGTAATCATGATTATGTGATCATGTACACAAGCACTGGGCCTTATACACCCGGCCACAATTGCGGTCATATTGACTTACACTGCGGTTTCCATATCTAGGACATCCTAAACGCAGCTATTATGGTCAATTGTTGGTGGAGGAGCACCGTCATAACCCGCCATCTTCCTGGTCGTCCTCAATCACTTGAGACTTCTCTCTTTCTGTTTTCAAGTTACACCCGTGGTTTGATTTGACTCTACTGAATTTTTCATCTTGATGAATTGCAGCATTAGTATAAGGATGAATATTCTATTCAGTCTAATGAGGAACTTTTGGGTGTGGAATATTCAATATTATAATTTACATGTCTATTTTTTAATATTGAGTGATCGTGCATGTAATATGTAATTGGTTCCGCCACTGCAGCCCCGCCACGGCACAGTGAGTTCTCAATTAATCTCGGAGTGTTCTAAATAATCTTCAAACTACCACACACACATCTTTTCTTATTCTTCGGCAAACTCCCACTTGCGGGGCCTGGAAAAGAGAGATTGAAAGCAAACTAGCTGAATCAAGTCATTCGCAAAACCATTGACTGCTACAGGGCTTTCTACCCACTGACGGCATTGTCACGCGACGTAACTACCTGTCTGTATGCGCATAAGCCAGAGCAAGAACATTATGTGCAAATGATCGAGCCAATACACCAGATATCAAATGGAAAATCGACAACAAAAACAACCCTCCGACAAAAAACAACCCTCCGACAATGACACCACAGAAACGAGACATACAAGTATAACAACAAACCAAAACTCATACCTCGTCATCTCTTCCACGAACACCAATTCAGACGAGAAACCACCAACATGAAAGACACGATCACTGACATCTCCAGTGACGCGGCAGGCGGCGTTAGAGGAGACCCGTGCATCCTCTCATCCAAACTTATCCACCAATGTCGCCTATTACTCGCCGAACTCGACGTCTTCCAATCCGCAATCGCCTCGCGGTTCCGCAAACATCAGCAACAGCGACATCTCTCCGAAACGCGGACACTGAGGACAAATGTCTCCTCAGAGCTGAGAAAACTAGAAAAACTAGCTGCTGAAGCCAACACTATACAAGCAAGGAAACGCGCGTGTGTTGGAGAGAAGGGAGAGGAGGAAGGGGACGAATATGTGGAATTAAGTATGGAAGAAAGCCGGATTTTCCATGCACTTCGCTCGTCGAATCTGCCGTTTTACTACACGCTGTGGACGATTGCGAAACAGCATTGCAGAGGCGTGGTAGGATTCTCAAAGCGGTTTTACTGGGAAAGGGATAAGAGGCCAATGCATGAGAGAGAGAAGGAGGCAGTGGACGTTGATGGGAAGATGACGAAACGGAAGCTCGTCAATGAGGATAAAAAGAAGAGTGTGTTTGTGGACGTCGTGCATCAAGATGGAGAGGAATGGGTGAAGATCTCGACAATTACGGAAAATCGGCTTGTTATGGAAATGGCTGAGAAAGGGTGGGGGATGGATAGTGATGAGGAGGAGGGGGATGGTTCTTACGATTCACAGCAACGAACTGTTCTACGAAATAATGACTCTGAAGAAGATGACGATGATGATCAGATTGAATTAATTAAGGTGGCTAGTGATATAGTCAAGGCAGCACAGGCTTGTCGTGTGAGATACAAGAATCCACGTGTGCGTATCATCCTCTCGAGGCTTGAAGAAGGTAAGGTCCCTGAAATCGACCATGTCCTGGGGATAGTGCGAAGCTATGGCGTGACAGTGGAATTTGGTACGAACATACCCGACATCCTCAGCGACGAGGCGTTAGGTGACCGTGATCCAAATTCAATATCTGAGGATGATCTGCCACTCTCAACTTTGCTCCCAAACCCATTTGAGAAATTCACCTCTGTTGTTAATGTTGACTGCACTATTCTCCTCGCTGTGGTGTCGGACCTTTCTCATATACAACAAATCGAACCATCTCCCAGTCACCACGACGTCATTCGAAGGCAGATCGAGGTGGAAGAGGAAATATCTCTACTCACGGCAGAGCTATGGCCTGCAATGGCCGGTCATCATATTGTCTGCACAAAGGAAGCAGTGAATAGAATGAGAGAGATTGTTGATAGCGTTGGCACCGACACTGAGAAGAAGAGAGCTACTATTTTCCTGGGTGAAGGCGAATTTCAAGGACTTAGTAGAGAGGAACTTGTTGACCAGTTCCAAAAACTTTCAGATCATGCCGTTCCAAGAGAGTGGGCACTTCCCATAAAACCCGTGGAAGCTGGCAAGGAGATAGATGATGCTCGACAACAAAACAGATTACCACCTGTTGCTAGCCAAGTCATGGAAATTTTGAGTGACATCAATCGCAGCGTCTTCTTTTATGGCTGGGTTAGAAATATCGTCACAATAACGAGCAACAAGACCGTTGTCAAACAGATCGAAAACGTGATAGAAAGGAACCGAGGCGATGACAATAATCTGGAGGGCCCGATGGTTTGGATATGTGACACGGCTAGAAGTTTGATTGGCAAGGAAAGAAATCGAAAGCCATAAAACGTATTTGTTATCGTATTGTTACCGTATAGTGATAGAGATGTCCCTGGTGTGCATAAAAAGTAGCTAGGTTAGCGTGTAGAGATGCCGATAAATACATCGTAAGGTGATTTATTTGTCAGAAGGTTTGATTCCCTCATCAGGAAGCCAGAAAAAAATATCTTTATCCGCAGTTGCAAGCATGTTGTATCTGGGATTTAGCTCGATAATAGCGTTGCGACCTTTCGAGGGTATTTTGCCCATGGGTTGCAGGTAAGATCCTGAATCTGGAGTTTGGTGAGTGTCCCAAACAAGGACCTCGTTCTGTTCACCAGCCCCTCCAAGTACATATCGTCCATCCTGCGTAAAGCAAGCGTCGCCTTGGCCGAGTGGCCTTCCAGAACTGGAAACAGGAGCTGCTCTTCCGCTAGATCCCTTTCTACCCACTAAAAAGGCGTTCACATTTCCCTCAAATGCGTCTAGAACGAAATGTCCATGGTAATCAGTGCCAACGAGGAGACTTTTGCCATCGTTGGAAAACTCCAAGCGTGACCACAGCCTTCCTCGTGTCGACGGTGTGTATCGTTCTTCGTGGGGGGCCATATCGAATGTTGCAAAGGGAGCTCGGTCGTAATTACGAAAGTCGTACAGCAACACCGAAGATGTTGACTGAGAAGCAACAGCGATGACGCTTGCCGACGGGTCAAAAGCAACGAGATACGGTGTTGCCAATTGCAGCTTTCCCTGCACATTTCGGGATTTGAGATCCCAAAGTGAAATTGTATTATCCTTTGAGCTGGACACAAAAGCATCGCCACCGGGGGATAACGACAGCGATGTCACCTTGTCCGTGTGCCCAGTAAAATACCGAAGATAGCTCTCTTGGTGCAAATCTAGAAGACGAAGAGAATCTATATACAGTCAGCACCTACAGTACTCTGTCTCTACTTGCTATAGTGGCTATACCGTCTACTTTGGTGCTTGCGTGGAGTATCTGGCGCGAATGATGGGTGAAACGGGCTAGATGGACTCCATATTTCTTGCTGGGAACCACTTTCGTATTCTTGCCCTCAATGACGTCGAAAACTTGAATTGTCTCGTCTTCGCACGCCGCTACTACATATTCTCCTTTGTCGTCAAAGTCGAGGGAAGTAATGTGTGCATTGTCACGCTTGGAAAGTTTGAAGCGCTAGATGGATTCCAGGGTATGAGCACGCAGGCTAGTAACCCTCTGAAAGGAGCAGGCTCACCTTTGATGAACGGTATGTGAGAATGGTATCAGATACTTTCTGGGATGGTTGAGGAGTCGCCGAGCGAGGTACAGGAGGCGGTCCCAAAGGAGTGCCAACCTGGGGTGTGTCGGAGGCTGGCATGGTAGCTTTTTGGTCCTGCAGTTCTTGCTGTGTAACGTCCGCCATTGCTGAGAAAGGTTGGTGAGGAGCACTATCAATGGGTCGTCTGAGATGCGAGATTCTCTTATAGAGCAGCTGTGACACCAACCACCAGCTCCATTGGGTCTGTCAAGCTGAAAGGTGTCGGTGGTAAAGAAAAGGCACCGCGACAGGAACAAACAAAGATCAATCAGGCTGCAGGCGGCGGTTGGCGGCAGAATGAGTTAGCCCGCCACGACTGCCCGCGGAACTCTCAGGTAGCGAGCCGGTTGGCTGGCTCGACAAATCGGGGAATGACGGCGGGTATTTGACTGCTGCGTCTTGATCAGCCTGAACTGCCGGGATCGGATTCGTGAGCCGTTGTTAACAACGTATCCCAATCTCTTAGACCCTGGCGTTTGCTATTTGCTTTTCTTCCTTTCTTTGTTCGTACGCCTCCGTGCTCGATTCTTGGCTGATCTCGCCCACGTCGACTTTCTTGTGCTGCAGCGTCGAACCTCCCCTATCAGTCCGTCGCCTATACAATAATTTCACGTAAAGTTGTCTGCAGCCGACGCTGACTAGGCCTCGGCCTTTGTCGCAACCATGTCTACGACCACTGGGTATGCTTTTTTTGTTCAGGATAGAAATGGGAAATGGATGATCAAGTGCTGATTTATCGCTTAAAATTAGAGCGTTCATCGCCGGAGGTATTGCCGCCTGCGGAGCGGTTACAGTCACCCACAGTTTCGAGACCGTGAAGATCCGGTTCGTTTTTCAGGATGCACGGCATAGAGCATGCGCTGATCCACTCCTTCAAGGTTACAATTACAAGGAGAACTACAGTCTAGCGCCGTTAAGAAGTACAAGGGTGTTCTCCATGGCATCAAGGTCATTTTGCAGAATGAGGGTCCTAAAGGCCTGTTCCGCGGTATTGGCTCTGCTGTATGTCTCTTTCTTGCAGCATAACATTTCTTGCACCGTGATGCTTTCTTAAGATGACTAAAATCTCTTTGTCATAGTACATTTACCAAATTCTCCTGAATGGCTGCCGTCTCGGATTCTACGAACCCACCCGCACCGGTCTCACAAAAGCCCTATACGGCGATCCTAACATTCAGTCACTCGGAATCAACGTCTTTAGTGGTGCAAGCTCCGGCATTTTAGGTGCTGCAGCCGGGTCCCCGTTCTTCTTAGTGAAAACTCGATTGCAGTCATACTCTCCGTTCCTTCCAGTTGGAACCCAACATCAATATAAGAACGCATACGATGGGTTGCGACAAATTCATCGGAACGAGGGCATCAAAGGCCTTTACCGCGGCGTGGGCGCAGCAATGGTGCGGACTGGCTTTGGAAGCTCCGTTCAGCTTCCCACGTACTTCTTGGCTAAGAGGCGCCTGAAAAAACACTTGGGTATGGAAGAAGGTCCGGCTTTGCATCTGGCCAGCAGTACAGCATCTGGTTTCGTTGTGTGCTGTGTCATGCACCCGCCTGGTAAGCGGCTTTCACTGATTATTTATCGAAGCTGCTCGCTGATCAAGTTATAGACACGATCATGTCCCGCATGTACAACCAAACCGGTAATCTTTATAAGGGTGTTTGGGACTGCCTGTACAAAACTATTTCCACAGAGGGCCTTCTCGCTATTTATAAAGGGTATTTTGCTCATCTTGCTCGTATCTTACCTCATACGGTAGGTTTTACCTCTTTCTCATCTACTTTTAACATCTACTTTAAGAAAGGAATGCCAATGCTAACCTGACCATTGCAGATCTTGACTCTCAGTCTTGCGGAACAAACTAACAAACTTGTTCGCCGGCTCGAGGACCGCGTCTTGCCGGACTCACTACGAGCAAAACTATGATGCATGAAACAAAAAGCGAGGCCCCACTGCTCTGATACCAAGAGTAAATATCCCATTTCTTGCGAGTTTTTTTTGTCCTATTACATGACGGTCCAGTGGGAATTTCTTTTGTAAATAATACACCAGTGTCTATCTATAGAGAAACTTGCGTTAGAGAGTTTTGCACCGTCCGCCCTAAGACCGTGCTAACCAGGCTCAGACATTCGATGTCGCTCAATCGATATCATTATGTCTGTATGTGTTTATCATGTAAAATGAAAAATCTATTTAATCTGAATTGTAGAGTGTACGTATGGCCTGCCGTAATCTCCTGTGCGACGTTATGTCTGAGGGGCCAAATTCGATTGCCAGATCCACAGTAATGGCACGGCCGTGAGAAGCATACCTACCCCTCATTGATAGCTTCACTTGGCCAATCCAAAACAATCCAGTCGAGTCCCCCTTTCCAAAACAGCAAGGTGACCAGGCGGGCAGGCAAGCAAGGGCAAGGGACTGGAGATTCAACAGCTCTCCCACCAACCCAACACTGCCTTTCAGCCACACAAGTCTTCATTATCCAATATAACCCTTTCGGACTCGGCACATTCCTTGTACTGCCGTCTAGTTACCAGGCTTTTTTGATAGTAAGAGGGTAGTAGGAATTGGGACAAAAATGTGGAATGATCGAGGAATTCACATCTTGACAACTCTAATTAATTTCGAAATGTCGATCCTAGTTTGTCGTCTCCTGGCGAGTAAAAAGTATGTATGCTTTAATGTATTGATCAGAGCAATCAAACATGCACGCTCATTCACATACGCCCGTTCAACGACTCCATGAGCTGGTGGCAAGCAATGTTCTTTTCTCCTAGCAACAGCCATTTTTGTCTCTATCCAAGTAGCTTCCATGCTGTAGAGCTGATTGAGAGAGTTTTGGGTGACACTGACTATGTATCAATTCGGCTAATATTTCGTCCATTGATACCCTATTGCCATGAAAATCCAATATATCGACGCGTCGACCTATCAAACGCCGAGTTTCAATCTGATAACGCCAGGAGAGAGCGCAACCAAACCTAACAGAGGCATCCGGACTCGGAAGAGCTCGGCTAGGGTGGTCTTACTTTCTTGTGATTGACCGTGACTCAGCTTCTTGCTAGTCTCAGCTCCGTAAATCCGCTTGTTGTGGGCAGGCGTCTGTGGCCGCAGGACAAGCAAGGCTGGACGCGACGCGGTTCTTGTGGTCTCATTGGCTGCAGTCAATATTTCTGACCCCACATGACGTGAAGAAGGCACGCCAAGTCACGTGACACGTGACTTAGTGCCTCGCGCCTGCCTCGCGCATGCAAGTATTTCTGCGAGCTGTCGCCCATCTCAAGAACCTCTTCCCTCCCCCATCCCTCTCCGCCAGCTCAACCTTTGCCTGTCTGCGACTTGTTGTGCTCAATCACTCGTGTCTATACTCATTGCATTCTCCTCTTATCCATAATGACCACCCAACTCACTCCCTCCAAGCAGGTACGGAGTACCATCACGTCGTTCTACCTGGACGCGTCCAGATGCTAACCCGTTATTTTATTACAGGCTGCCACCTCTCTCGAGCAGTTCAAGATGAGCGACTCGCCAGTCAAGAAGCTAAACTTCGCACCGGCTGACAAGGAGAACACCGCTACTCCCCTCGACGCGTCCGTTGTCGAGCAGACCAAGCCTGCCATGGAGAAGCCTGCCGTGCAGGAAGCTCCCAAGGTAGCTTCTGGTATCAAGGAGACCGAGGCCCACGAGCCTCTCCTCCAGGAGAATCCTCACCGATTCGTCCTCTTCCCCATCAAGTATCACGAGGTGAGTGCCAATGTCGACGCGTCGCGCGTAAAGTGGTTTCTGCGCGTTGAATCGCAGTGAAACTGACGTGTTTGTTATAGATCTGGCAGATGTACAAGAAGGCCGAAGCCTCCTTCTGGACCGCCGAAGAAATTGATCTCTCGAAGGATTTGCACGACTGGAACAACCGTCTCAATGATGACGAGCGTTACTTTATCTCCCACGTCTTGGCTTTCTTTGCCGCGTCTGACGGCATCGTGAATGAAAACCTGGTTGAGCGCTTCAGCGGCGAGGTTCAGATTCCTGAAGCTCGCTGCTTCTATGGATTCCAGATCATGATGGAGAACATTCACTCCGAGACATACTCTTTGCTCATTGACACCTACATCAACGAGCCCAAGCAACGTACCTACCTGTTTGATGCTATTGATAACAGTGAGTTGATTGATGAATGCTGCTATTTGGGGTGGTTAAACTGATGGATATAGTTCCTTGCATTCGCAAGAAGGCTGACTGGGCTCTTCGCTGGATCTCCGACAGAGAATCCACATTCGCTCAGCGACTGGTTGCATTCGCTGCTGTTGAGGGTATTTTCTTCTCTGGCTCATTTGCGTCCATCTTCTGGCTGAAGAAGCGCGGCTTGATGCCTGGTCTTACTTTCTCCAACGAGTTAATTTCCCGTGACGAGGGTCTTCACACTGACTTTGCCTGCTTGCTCTTCTCTCACCTCAACGTTCGCCCAAGCCCTCAGGTGGTTGAGAATATCATTATCGATGCTGTTTCAATCGAGCAGGAGTTTCTGACGGACGCGCTTCCTTGCGCCCTGCTCGGCATGAACTCTAAGCTAATGTGCCAGTATATCGAGTTTGTTGCCGACCGTTTACTCGTTGCTCTCGGCAACAAGAAGTACTACAACTCCACCAACCCCTTTGACTTCATGGAGAACATTTCCCTTGCTGGCAAGACCAACTTCTTCGAGAAGCGTGTTGGTGACTACCAAAAGGCTGGTGTCATGAACAGCACCAAGAAAGACAAGGAAGCCGAAAAGAAAGAAGACAATGCTGGCGGTCTTAGCTTCGATGAAGACTTTTAGACCTGAAGCACTCTTTCTTGAAATTTTCTTACGGATATCAGCGGGCTGTACATGGCGTTGTCTCATTTTCTTTGTAAACGATTTGCTTTGCTTTTCTTATGTCATACCTCGATGAGCTCAATACACGGGTCCGGCGGCGTTAGTTAGGATTTTGTCTTGCATTTTATTATATGCCCGGTGGTTCTTGTGTGACTGTAATTAGCATTAATCCCAATGTGGATTTGGATATGTGAACCACGTGGACCATGTAGGGAATATCAATTGATAGTATATTACATCTATATACAGACATATTCGAAACCTCCACTCTTTTACTCTGTTTAATTAATTCTACCACGTCATGTCAAATCCCCCAGCCATCGGCCATTCTCTTCTCAGTGGGACTTGCTCCATTCATTATCCATCAATTGATGTGTTGAGCACATTCTGTGACTAGCACGGCGGACACGTGATTGCGACCTGACACACCGGTTTGAGTTAGCATCGTTCACACGCGTGGGAGATTGACTTGGTTGGTGAGCTGTGCTTCCGGCGCGTCGCATGGCTATGCACTATTATGAGCAGTCGCCAAAACTAACCACCCTGTCAACAGTCCGCGAGACGCTTGGCCATGCGGGAACTGTTCACGGGCAGGGGCAGAAACAAGTTCTAACATCCGAGTAGAAAGTCTTCATTTTACCTGTGTTACGGAATCTAATACCAGGAAAGACGTCGGTACGACACACGTCGCTAATATCATATGCCTAATTGATAAGCGTTTGACAACTGCCGACGAAAAGGAACTCCTACTGCCGGATTAGTTAACAGGCTAGCACATTATTATCTCAGCTCTAATTATCAAATATCTTCTTGAAATAAAAACGGAGTATTATGATGAGTACATGTTCCCTCTACATTCACCAGCCCTCTCAAAGGTTCAAACATGCGAGCCCATTCCTCAGATAACATCCAGTTTTCATATTGATATATCGCAGCGTCGAACTCTGGGTCTAGAAATAGCTCTCCTGATACCGTTGTATGCACAAACTCTTTGTTGGTTGGCCACTGAAATCGGATACATTGTATGTACAAGTGGGCGGAGTGTCGAATATCCTGGTCTGCTAAATCTGCGCAAGAACGAATCGTCAAGTAATCCCTCAATCTCGGCCAAGGGAGAAAATCAATAGACAATGGATGAATAATTGAATTCTGGATTTCTGTCGGGCAAAGCCACCCTGGAATATCCTGATAGGTTTGTTGTACAGGATAGAGACGCCACTGACAATAGTCAGCTCACTAGCTATCGAGAGAGAGAAGGGGATAATAATGATGATTGTGATGAAGCCTTACACGTAATAATCGGTACATTATCATACAGAATGCTAGAAGAGAATGAGCATTCGTGGGCCGGACCTGATAAAAGAATGATCCCAATATTTGGATCACCCGATTTTTGCTGGTGGCTGGTCGAAATATATCTATCAACGATGGAGTTCGCGGCAGATGTGTTATCCTTGAAAAATCCATACTGGTTGCAAGGAGGATGTGCGAATTATATAGGACTGAAAAGGTGGAATGCTCCAAGCACACGGATTGTATTTTATGATCGACGCCACACCGGCAATCAACTCGAAATAGTCCAGGCTTTGGGATTGGTGCCGGAAGATCCTGGGTCAGCTGTGGTGTGTTCCACATTGATAGGCTCGTAGATTCTCTAAAGTTGGCAGCGGCACAAAAGATTTGCTGGACACTGGAAGACTCGTCTCCGTCGGTATGCAGCACAGCATTTAGAATTCGTAGCTGACTATATGCTGACTCCCATAAATATTGAAGATTCTTTAAAGGGGTTTTCGCAAGCTCTCCGTGTACATCCTGACGTGTTTCGCAATCTTGTCGTTTGCATGATAATTGTAATTCCCTGAGACCGCGCTCCTTCAGGCAACCTTCATTCTCCATAGTTGGACTTCGACTGTTTCGTTCAACCTTAGAAGGCATCAGTACAGTGAAATCAGATATTATTACAAGAGGACCTACGATGCGTATTTAAGTGCCGACGCGGGGTCACTAGTACGATAAACTAATCTTGAATCGTGACATTTTATGGGGACAGTCCCAAATGCGGGGTAGATACAAACTATTCCATTATTCCATTTAGTACTAAACCTAAAGATCTGCTAACGTTTCTACACCTTAAAGAAATTGTGAATAATTTTGAATATTCAATTTGGTGGTTCAACCATTAGTGCTCGCTCTTTGGGCTTAGAAAATTAATTTCAACTTTCTGTCGTTGGATCTAAGTAATAGTCTATAGAGTTTAATAGGCTACTGGGAGTGCAGAAGCCATTTTGATCCGTGCTTCTGAAACTACAAATGAAACAAATCGTATCATCTAGTTATATTGAAAGAAATAAAGGGGGGGTTCGCCCCACTACATGTAGGCTAGAAGGTCGATCGGATCTAATGTACCGAGATAGTAAACCGGAGCAGAGCCCACAGTGGTATTCCAGGAACGCATCGAACGTTAAACTCAATAGATCTTGAACCCACTAACATACTATATCCTAGAATTTGTAATCCATTATAAGCGAATTTGGATGCGGGACTATTTCTGTACATAAAAAGACATCCAAACCCAGACTATAGCTCTATGTACAACAGTAAACGTTTCGATGTCAACTCTGTGGGTATCTAAAAGAGATCTTCACTAATCAAATAGCACATATCACTCAAACAGGAGCTTCAGCTCCTCAATCCGATCCTTCCTGCGATCATCCTCCGTGCCATCGCCGCCAACGCGTAGACCAAGTGAACCCGCGATATTCATTTTGCGTTCCTGGACGCGGAGCATGCGGACTTCAATTGAATCCTTGACTACGAACCGCGTCACAGAAACCTCTCGCAACTGGCCCATACGATGAACACGATCGATGGCTTGCGCCTCGACCGCAAAACTCCACCACGGATCCATCATGAATACATTATTGGCTGTTGTTAGATTCAATCCCACGCCACCGGCGCGAAGGCTGATGAGAAGGATGTTGTGAGTAGCCGGTGGGTTGGTGGGTTTCTTTGAATCCTCGAGACTAGCGATGTCGTCTTCTAGGTTCATTTCCTCTTCGTAAATTTCTGTGCGGTTGAACTGGCGGAGGACTTCTGCTCGAGCCTTTTGGGGCATTGAGCCGTCGAGTCGCAGGAAGGAGATACCGGCTTTGCTGAGCTGGGGGCCGATTAGGTCTAGGAAGGATGTGAATTGAGAGAAGACCACAGATTTCGTGTTTCGGGGTAGTTTTAAGAGGTGTGTGATCAACGCATGTATCTTTGCAGACGTGTGGGCAGAAGGCGACAAGGGGTATATGCGTCGCAACGATATCTTTGGCGTAGGTTCTGAGGAAATCGGTGGTGTACTGCTGACAATATGGTTTTCGTCTGGAGTACTATTGGGTGAATGATGACGAATGACTTCGAAGATATCCTGCCGCGTAACTGGGGCGCGACAGGAGAAACACCGTGGGAGCTCGCCCTTGTCAGTTTGATGTCGAATGTAATTCTCAAGGCACTTTTTGCAGGCGCTGTGCCAGCAGCCTGTAACCGCTGGTTCTATCAGAGGCTCCTCCGAGCAGATGGGACATTCCCCACTGGTATCACTTTGAATCTGTCGCAAAGCATGCGTCGTAAAACGCGCCATGGAGCCTTGTTCTCCATTCGCGTTAACTGAATTGGTTGCTTTTGTAAATTTATTAATTAACTCCTGCAAATCCATATCATCTTGATATTCATTAAGAAAATCCGCTGTTGCTGCCGCATCTTCTTCTTCAGCAACTATTGCCTTATTTCTAGTAAGAATTGGATGACAACAGGTTTGACGAAGCCGCAAGATTTGAGCGAATATGGTAGAGTAAGATTTCAGCAGAGTGCCAGCTTCGATGTTATCGTTAAAGGTTCTTTTCGCTCGGCAATAGATCAAGTCATAAATCTCCCGCTCCTCCTGCGAAAGCTCAATCTCTTCAATCTTGACGGTCCGGGGAGGAAGAGGAACCAATGCTTCACCCTCAGGTGTTTTCATTGTCTTAGTTCGACGTAAGACAAGAGGTTCGAGGACCGTTTGCACAACATTCAATGCACGTATGTAGTCTTTCGATTCGAATGGCACTGTAATGAAGGTCTTCCAGAAAGAAAAATTGCTCCACGGCTCGACCTTTAGAAAGCGGACCAGACTGAAAAGATCCTCAAGCCGATTAACGATAGGCGTACCAGTCAATACCCATCGATGAATAGTTTTGAGTTCGTAACATGCTCGTGCAGACTTGGAGCGTCTGTTCTTAATCAAATGGGCTTCGTCAAGGATGATTCTGAAGAATTCGAGAGCAAAGAGCCCCATATGGTTACGAGCATATTGTGGTTGGGCAGCGTAATTTCGAAATTCCGACAGGACAACACCGTAGCTGGTTACAATCACATTTGGAGCATTAGCTCCGTTTTGTCTTGAACAAACTGTTCTGAGGTCCATCGTTCTATCTGTGCCATAATAAACGAACGTTTTCAGCGTTCCAGGTGCAGATGCTTTTTGGGCCTCGCTTTCCCATTGCGCAAGAAGGGATGTCGGTGCCACTACAAGAGTTGTATAAGGAGCCGGAGTGACACCGCTAGACGTGGTGGAAATATGCTGTGGTTCAATAGTCGCCGTATAATTATCTGGGGTTATTCTGTTCGTATGGACTAGACTCATCATTTCAATGGTTTTCCCCAGTCCCATTTCATCTGCTAAAATACCTCCCAGGCAATGTTGCTTCTGGACGGGGAAGTCCAAACTGAGCTCCCCAGAATAAGGATTCACGTAAAAGAAATCTTGTTGCTCAACACACGGTAGAACTTTATCATCCACATCTTTCAATGGCCACTTGTACTGTTCCCATAGAGGATGCATTGATGATTGCCTACCAGATGTCGTATCTCTTTCCTTGGCAAGCATCCAGTGCAAAGCTTGTTTTTGATATTTTCGAAGGTTCATGGCAAATGTCTCTGCAGGTTGAGCTTCAGGCGTATTGAAATCAAAAGACTGGGCTTTTTTGTAGAGAGTATCGAGATGATCTTCTTCCAATTCGGCAGACTCTTCATCTGGCGAGGAATCCTCCATTTCAGTAGCTTCCCTTGGTTTGTCTTTCTTCTTTTCATGGACTTCAGAGATCTCTGCGGCACGAAGCAGCCCATCTTTCTTATGCTTTGCGGTCGTTTCTGTGGTGGATGTTGGTAGAAGGCCAATTTCATCAAAAACCTTGATTAAAGCAATTTGACGTAGTCGTAGATCGCGCTCTTCCGTGCTCTCCTGCTGCTCAAAGAAAGTAATTGACCTATTATCGTCCATATTTCGAAACGTGTCTGGCCTGAAAGCTTCGTTTTTGATGTAACAGTGTAACTGAAGGTAGATAGTATCGTTAACTCTCACACGGTCGGGGGCATAGACACAGACACCCTCGAAATCACAAATCTTTTGATCAATCAGTGTTGAGACCCATTCGGCGGTTTCCTGGGGAAGGCGGCCGATCTCTTCACCTCGTAAATTCACAAACCGAGTCAAAACATCCACTTTCTGGTTCGGAAGCAGCCTTCCCCCTCGTCCTATTTTTGTTGTTCGAAGCTTCGACCTTTCTATTCTAACCTTTTGGTTGTGACAAATTACATTCAGTCCACTTCTTGTAGCCCAGCCGCCTACGCCGAACGCCCCAATGTATCTTTGGCGAGGCATATGTTTAAGAATCACCTCGGCTCCTTCAGGTGGCGACCATTCCGGAAGACCATGAGTGGATGCAATTTCTGGTGACAGGAGGATTCGAGCGTTGCTCTCAGCCCTATTTGAGGACTCCCCCGGTTCGATCTGGTCTGGCTGGTCCGGCTTCGACGGAGGAACTTGTGGAGGGTTTGCGGGTATTGTTTTATAGGATCCGTCAAAATACATATTGATTGCCCTTTCCATATTATCCCCCGCAGCCCGTCGAATTTGTGTAATCGTTGTAAGTGGAACGTCTCCTCCTACAACACTGGAGAAGAGAGCAGAGTCGAAACTGTCTACTGTCTGATTTTCGGACTGAGCGCGAATATCTGCTTGCCAGGTATCATCAATAGTCTCTATTAGACAAGTTTGAGATGGAAGTGGGCGAATCGTCTGCTCTGATTGCGGTTCCGTTTCTGCCTGTCCAACGGTTTCTGTACTATGATGCCCGTCAACAAATGATTCCAAAGCCATATATGGTTGGGTTTTCGGTTGGTGTGCCTGGTTAGACGCGTCTTGTACGATGTAGCTGCTCTGTTCGGACTTTTGAGATTGGGGGGTCTGTTCTTCATCTTCGACGAAGAAGCGGCGCTTTTTCGCGGGGCGTTCATCGTGTTCCGTTCTGTCCTCATTATGAGGAGTGATCCCATGCCCCATTATCTGCGACGTCAGAGGCATAGTGTGCTGAAATAAAATGCAGGGTTGTAAAGTTGGAATGGCAGATTTCAAGTTAATTTACCTGGTTTGGGGAGACGCGCCGGGAACGCGAGACCCGCAAGGCTGGATGGACTAACGTTATTTGGAGAAAGTGGGGAAAATCATCAACACTTTATACTTGGATGATCATTAAATACCTTTCTTTTATACTCATTGGAAATGCCTTACGTCTTCTATAGTTTCCATTTTCAAGGGAAATTATGCAGGGCCACGTGAATTGCTGGTACTGCATGCAGATGATCTTATAGGGTCACTGAATGCATTAATACTTCTTGGGCAACAGAACAAAAGCCGATTACAAAAGCGGAGGGGAATTAAGAGACAAGCAAACATATGAGGTGTTTTGGATTATAATCTTATCTTAATAGACCGATCCACGTACAGACAATTGACCATTTTAGATTTTAAACATTTCAAACCAAAAGAAATGCACGCCTACTCAAATCCTATACCAAATATTTCGCCATGAGATCCTTTCGCAAAACCTAAACGATGTTCTCTTCTTCAATTTTCAGAAGTATTTCTGCCGCTGCCAGACGTTGATGTCGAGCTGGAGAAGAAATAGAAGGAGGCGTTTTTAGGGACATGCGGCTGGTTGAGGAGTTTCGAGGGAATATATTACTAGAGCAGACATTGCTTCCTTGCTCGGATAAATAGTATTCCAAGAAAAATGTTAAAATATCAAAAAATAATTAGGAATAGCAAATCAAATGTATAAAGTAATTGCTGTATTCTGATTGGCCTGTGTGCGCAGCTGTGGAGAAATGGGCGCTAGTCCCGATCTTCCACTCTTGCAGATAAAATAATCTCCAAATGACTTCACCAGATGGCAACGAGCAGTTGATAGCTAGTCTAGAATTGGGAATCTTTTATTACATTCAATTATAATAAGAGTAAGACAAATACTTTCTCTTCCAAATTCGTTGCTCCTATTCATTGCGACTACTAAGGCGGATTGCTGCCATGCAACATTGATCGAAGCTTCGTCTGGCGACAACATCAGCTCCATCAACAGGCCATCTCAAGCATGTCAGCAACGACGAAGGCCCTACCGGCTTGTCAGACACTGCGTCTGCAGTTTGTCAAGAAAACACCACAACAATGTCAACGACGAGCATTCTCGCGGTCCTATACACATCGTTCTGCAGCTTCAGATGCTGAGATTGATTCAGCACGACGATACTGCACAGATCTAGTTCGGTAATATTCCTACGATTCTAAATATATAATCTATCGCTGACAATTACCTAGAAAATATGACCGCTCTTCCTTCGTTCTTAGTACCTTCATCCCGCCGCAATCACAGACCTTTTATCTCGCCCTACAAGCGCTGAACATCTCCCTGTCAATGATCCCCGACACAACATCCACCTACACAATTGGCCTAATGCGCCTCCAATTCTGGCGTGACACGATCACTCGTACATTATCCGGGTCACCACCAAAGGAACCCGTCGCTGTGCTACTAGCAGCTGCCATCGACGACCTGCACACCCGCACAAAGGGCCAGGCACGGCTCAGCAAAGGCTGGTTTATCCGCATGATCAACGCGCGCGAACAATCATTAACAAATGCACCATTCACGAATTTATCCGCTCTCGAAACGTACGCAGAAAACACTTACTCCACGTTACTCTACCTGACCTTGTCATCCTTCCCCTTAACCTCGCTTACGGTCGACCATGTGGCGTCGCATATCGGCAAAGCGGCGGGAATATCAACAGTGCTGCGCGGATTACCGCTCGTTGCGTTTCCCCCGCCGCCCAGCCATCATGCGAACCAGACGGAGGCGTTGAGCGGGGGTCGAGGGCAGGGCGCGGTGACATTGCCGCTGGATATCATGGCGCAAGCAGGCGTCAAGGAAGAAGACATATACCGACAAGGCGCCGACGCTCCGGGGTTGAAAGATGCTGTGTTTATGGTTGCGACTCGCGCGAATGATCATTTGATTACGGCGCGGCAGATGCTCACGAATTTGCGAGAGGGGCAGGATGTTGGGCATGACTTTGAACATCAGGGCGAGGAAGGCCATGAGCATGCGAATCAGCATGAGAAACAGAACCAGCCGTCATATGAGACTCAGTTGAGAGAGGTGGAGAGAGGCTTTGGGGCTTTGATGCCTGCTATACCTACACAACTGTGGCTTGACAGGCTTGAAAAGCTTGATTTCGATATATTCAACCCTAAGCTTCTGCGATCGGACTGGAGACTTCCCTGGAAAGCGTATCTTGCGCACCGGAATAAGTCTTTTTAATGTCTAATTATTAGATATGTATAATATTGTATACAATGAATATATACACTTATCACGATATAAACGCTTATCATACAGAGTGACATGCCAATCTAAGCCATTCCACGCCGAGTAAACAGCCAATATCAATTAATACAGAGTCCAGAAAGTAATCAGTTAATCCCGCTTCTCTCTCCTTGCCTGCCTGTGCTTTCGCGAACTAATAAACAGTCTTTTCTGTGCAGTCTTGAAGAAGTACCGTCCGATCATATCACGCCTACAGCCATGAAGTTAGTTTTGTTACGAATACCATATCCCTATAATAGCTTACATTAGAAAAAAGGTGACTACTACCACAAACGGCACGGCTATCTGCCAGAAGTATCTAAATCAACGTCAGTAACAGAATCTTTTGAAAGTGAAATGGCAATGCATACGCATCACTGTGCTGCTGAACTCCTGTAAAACGCACAAAATTCATCCCAAAATATCCCTACTATGTATTAATTATAGTTCATGTCTTGTGGCTGAAATCGTACGTACCGTCAAGAATGTTAATGGAAGGAATAAAGCTGTTACCAAGCTCAGCTGTTTCATACTCTCGTTCTGATAGGCCCCTGTAAATACAACACAATATTAGACCGTTAAGTATACTCTTGCCAGTTCAATGCACCTACCGATTGTGTTGAATATCAGATCAATCATGTTATCCGCCGATCTCCTCATTTGATCGTAGCCCTCTGTCATCGTTATACAATGATCCAATACATCACCGAGGTAGGTATGGCACATAGCGCTAATCGTAACCGTCGAGCCACCAAGACTCTTCAAATTCGGGGTCGCCGTTCCAATATAAGCTGTATTCTCTCCAATAAACGATGTCGGATTAGACGACATCGGTTGACCAGGGATATAAGCCCCGACTCCAGGAGTCTGAACTGGCTGTGAGCGGTGGTCTCGTAGCGCATTTATGACCGCGACAACGGGCTGCATGGTATTGCGTAGTACTGAGATCTCAGACGTCAAGACATATAGACTCTTGGATTGATCTATACTGGGGTCAGTCAGAACCGCAACCTCCAGGTCTCCAATTGCGTCCTGGTAGGCTAAAGTCACGGGGATGGCGAGGTCGATAATAGCATCGAGAATTGCCTGTACGAGCATGCTGGCGTCGCAGGATTGTCGTAGTATTGTCTCTGGAGATTTCAGTCGCTTCACGATCGGCGCTTCTACATCACTAGCGCTTGCATCAAAGAAGGACAAAACGGTGTTATCGGCACCCAGGAAAATCGATACTTGCTCCAAGGTCACCCCCAAACCCTGAGAAGCCAGAACCGCATGGCGCTCCATGAATTCGATCCGCTCTTCATTCGGTCCGCCTCTGAACCGTTGCAGTGTGCGCGGCATGGGCGATTTCCCCGCGTGATCGTTTTGAAAGGAGTTGTATGACGAGGCCTTGCCAATGTCTTTATTTCTATTCTTCTCTGACGATTTATTATACCTCTTCTCCTTACCACTCACCCGCCAACTTCGCGGGAAGAGCAAATCTTGGAGCGCAGCTTTGATAACATGCCACTTCCTGCGCCGCACCGTGACCTGGGGGATAATATCATCCGAATCTGAGTCGGTATTATACTGCGAGTCCTTCTCCTCGTCATTCTCGTCACACTTGTGATCATCGTGCGAAAGCTTGATAAGCTTCTGCAACGACAATACAATATACGCATGATCCGAATACCAGTCCACCTTGGTCCTATTATGCGGATGCATCAAATCCTCAATCGCCAGCCTGTGCAAATTTTTATGACTTCCCAAACTCCGAATTACGTCCCAACTCAGCCCGTTGATGTTGATCCATCGGCATTGCACCCACGGCTCTTTTTCGCGCCGCAGGAACGGCTCCAGGGACTCGTTGTCGAGCACATACTGGCGCATTTCGAGTTGCGAGAAGTCGACGATAGTGATTTCGCATTGGCGGTGCAGGTCGATGGGGATATTATCCCATTCAGAGCCGGTGGGGGGTAAGGTTGTGTTAGGATCAATGCCGGGTTCGTTGCCAGCTTTCCAGTGCCGTTCGGGGCTCAATCCATCTCTGTAGTAGGAACGTAGAGTATTGGTGCGTTTTGAGCGCCGGCGGATTGTTGAGATGGAGTCGATTCGAGCTGGTGCTGAAAACGAGTCGGAGGGGAGAGGGGCGTCGTTGGTGGAGGGTCGCTCGAGCTGAGGCTGGGCCTCGATGTCGATGTGTGGCGGGACTGCTGTCGGTGATGAGGAACCGTCATTTGCATAATCGTGAGCGTCAACGCTCATTGTGAGTAGTATCTATCCCTGGATGCCTATGAAAGCCATCTACATGCATGCTGGAGTTAGAGGTACATTGATCACCAACTATGGTGATTGCCGACGTTAGTTTTGGCGGCGCAGGGACCTCGAAAGTATCGGTATTGATTGGCCCATATCGAAGGATAGTGCTAATGGTGTGATTGAACCTTGGTCAACTTGAAACAAGGCACAAGTCGCAGAGATAACCAAAGGCTAGAACTTGGCTCGGGCCGCATAACTTATCATTTCCCCGCAAATTCACTTTCAGATCTTGGCACATGAAGAGTGCTTAGTTCAACGATATAATTACCTCGCATTTTATTTCAATTATATTGGATATTAAATATGGTCAAATATATACATCAATACGAGCTGTAAAATACAGTCAGTGAGATAGTCCGCGCCTCAAACCAAGCCAGCCACCCAAAAAGCATCTCAACACCATCCCAATGCATACACACAGATTACAAGTCGAAAGCATACAGCATGCCACATAAATAAAAGAAGACATAGGAAAATGGTCAATATAGACATCCAGATGAAGAAAATAATATACAATGAATTAAGCAATTATCCCAACCCTCATTAGAGGGAATTTAAGCACGGGCAGACGTTCGGTGCTTCGTAGAGAACTTTGAGAATGGGACCGGGCTTTGTTTGTTGGTGTTGGGGTAGTTATTATGACCGTAACTGTTCCAGTCATCCAGCAGGAACGCTCGTTGAGGCTCGCCTGCCGGCTTGGATGTCAACGAGTTCGTGCGTGTGCGACTTACAGCAGGCTTGGATTTGGCGGAGTTGGCCATGCTCTCTTTGATGATTTCTTTCAGCTCTTTGTCATCACTGGTGATTTGAGCTTTGATAAAAGCGACATTGTCGCTGCTTTGTAGGGATGACATGACGGATTTCCGCGGTGTATAGGAATACTGATCGGGGGTTGGTGGCAAGAGCGGCTTGATCGAGGGGTCGAGGAAAGCTTGCTCTCCTTTTTGTAGTAATTGATTGATGTCTAGGCTCTCGCCATGTGGGATCTTGTGGGGATGAGACGGGGTTACACAGTCCATATCGACTTCTTTTCGGAGAACATGATCAATATCAACCGCTGAGAAAAAGGCGCATGATTGTGGAAGATCGTCAATACCGGCTTGCTGCGAGAACATAGCGCGCGTCCACACATTGGCAACCTGCAAGGCCATGGCAGCACGATACCTATCTTCTTCTTTCACCAGATAACGAATCTCGTCGTGCACGGTGATCGCAAGCCTGGCGTGAATGTTATATCGTCGGATGAGAAAGTCCATTGCCGTAATCAAGAGGTGTAGATAATCGACGCCCGAGGACTGAATAGCCCAGTTGATCCGCGATGTCATAAAGCTGCCTTTGTTGATGAAGCGACGCATGAGAGCTTCAGTGATTCCAGCACCCAAGGCTGGAGTACGCGGCCGTTCTTGCTCAGCAAATTCTTCCAATTTGTTGAAAACAAATGATTCTGTGCCTCCCCGCCAAAATGGCCCATCATTCAACATTTTGCGTGTCGTTCGAGTGCCTTTGGTCTCTTTGTAAAGCTTGGACGCAATCTGACTGGTCTCCTTCTCTGTGAGAGTTGGGTTGAATTGACGAAGTAGTGTGGCTGCAAACTTCAATCCAGCACCATAAATACGTCCATAGTTGAAAACCTTGGCGTCGTTTCTTGAAATTCCTAGAATTGACGCGGTTCGGGAGTGCAGGTCAGTCCCTGCAGCCTTGGAACCTTCCAGTGTCATAAACCCAATAGCATTACCACCGTGTAACTGGAATTGTGCATCGCCAACTAAACTGGCAATCCATAGTTCTTGAGAATCAACATCGGCACCAACAAACACATAGCCCGGAGGTGCTTGGATCATAGCTTTCAGCTCCGATCCTACACGATTAGGTTTGGCATTGCTAGCAGTAAGCCATGTATTTTCCACCGCTCGACGAGTTATAGTTCCCATTGGTATAACTTGAGGCAAAATAAAACCAAGTTTCCTGTCGTCTTGCTTAGATTTGGTTGAGTTGTCTTGGTAAACAACCATTTGGCTCGTGATCCGGTCCCGAGCACTAATCCAGTACGAGCACGATGCATTCATTTCTAAAGCTTCTTTGGCGAGGGCGTATTTTGAAGATAGTATGCCACGTTCAAAATACGTTAGATAGCCTTTGGCCAGTGGGTTGGCGCATCGGGCTTGCGGTCCGTCTTTGTGAGGGAGCTTGTAAAAAATATGTTTCCTATCATCTCGAAGTACTGGGTTTGATTCTTCTGCCATGTTGCACCGAGTGACTGGCTGGTTTTCATAACCAGGCGCTTCACTCAGTGGTACCCTGAAGGTCCAACCGTATTTGTCAGACCAGATCAATGGATGGCCATCCCAGGAGAGTTTGAGTAATGTCGGAGCAATGCGACTCCTGACTGTGAGATTTATGTCGGCTATGTTTGTGGGAAAGAGATCCTTGTACCACCTTGGCATGCCCGGTTTCTTCTGTCTGGCTGCTGGGCGTGGAGGATCCCCTTTCTTTTTGCCCTTCACCATTTTAACCTCCTGGCCGGACCAGTCCAGCTGCCGTAGCCAGGGGTCATTCTGGTAAATTTCTGGGTCACCCTTGACTTTCAAGGCTTCTTCACAAAGCTCAACCAGTCTCTTCTGAACATCGTCAAGACGTTGGTGGTAGGTACGCTCCGCACTTTCCAAATACCGTTCCCAAGATTCGTTGACCGGCAATATGACAGACGAAAGGTGGCGTAAAGCCCCAAAACTGACTGGGTGAGGGCACACTTCGAGAAAATTTGGAAAAACCTTCCTGTACACTCGGTGGGTGATGGCAACATCAGCCGCGCAATAGTCCAACAGTTCATCCAACCGCTGTACCAATTCCTCTTTCGTTGAGACGCCAAAATAATCTCTCTGGGATTTGTCGATAGTCACGTCGCAGTGGAATTTAGCAACATCTCGGAGTGAGTTGACTGAGCTTCTTCCAACCCATAACTCCTCCTCTTCATCAGTAAGCATTTTGTTATCAAGTAACGTAGCTAGCTCGACGGCATTGTTGTCGTTCGCAATCTTGTCTCTAAGATCTCTATTTTTTTGGTGTCGCATCCAGGTTGGCCGCTGCTGAGAACACATTCCATTGACGGCAACATGGAGCGACATTGTATCGATAAAGAAATTTCGAGACTGCGTCAGATTATACTCCTCTTGAATACGGGCCCGGTCGTAACCGATGTTATGTCCAACGATAATCCTAGGTTTCGACATATCGCCCAACGGAACCAAATGGCGATCATCTTCCGACTCTCCCAGAAGCCACGGAGACAGCCATGCGTACCAAGCAGTAGGACTCACAGCGCAAGCCATAACCGCAAAAGAGCTTTCCTTGTACAGAACCTCCGTATCAAACGTCAGCGCAGATTCATCAGGCGCATCCACGGGTTCCGACGATCCATCGCTGCTGTACTTAGTCCATCCGCTTCGTTTCACCCATTTCCGCGGCATATGGGGCATGTTTGCCATCGCGTATTCTTTGGCATTAGTCAAGTACGGTTCCGACGCATCCATGGCAAGCTTGTAGAAGTGTTCGTCCATTGTCTGGCCACTCAAGGGCGGCAGGTCGAATGCGATCGGCTCGGCAGCATCTTGCGATTTTCCCAACAAGTCATGTCGGGATAAATGGTCTTTGGACAGAGCAACAAGCTTTTCGTCGGGCGGTGTAGGTTTGTTGGTGAAAACTTGAGAGTGGATATAATCGCTCAATTGTTGTACGCCAATCTCATTGAATCGTGCAGATGAAGGTACTTCTTGCTATTAGCAGATGGAGACTTCCTAAACAAAATTCTATACATACCGAAAAGCGATTTATTTTGCTTCTGCTCCGTGGACTGAGCCGTCGAGAGTTGCGAGATAAAGGCAGCTGTAGGGCAAAATGGCTTCGGATGGAATGATCGTCGTACGTTTATGAGAGAAGCCCGCGCCACTCCCCTGAAGGAGGGAGTAGCCTGGGTAGAATAGTGTAACATTGAAAGCAAGCTCTCTCAACCCATGTTCGAATAAAAGTGTGCTATATTACACACGAGATGTTTTTGTTTGGCGTAGTAGAAAGGAGAGGAATGGCAGATATCAGCATTAACAACAACATTGATTTCGCGATGACCCTCACTCAAGCGGAAGCAGCCCGTGATGCCTCAGGCGCCTACTCTACACCGCCTACTATATGTAGATAAATGTCCAATTCTGCCAGACGTGTACCGCCTGCCTAACCAAGACTCTAAATTCTGCCAGGATCGATAAGATAGCCCGGCTCGCCTCCTCCACTTCAACTACTGCTTAGATGCAGATGCCCTCACCGTGCATGCCTCGCTAGCGGCTATTCACATGTAGAAGGTGTATTTGCTTTTGTTCCTGTCAGCTGACAAACTATTTACCTCCAAAATCTGACAATTCCTGATCTTCTTCCACCCCCCAACTCTCATTCCCCGGCACGTACCCAACATAACCCCTCACTCCTCATCAAAGCATGTCACGAAGGCCACCATCAACAGTCATCGATCTAACCTCTGGATCAAGACAAGCCCTCCAGCACCATCTCCATCGCCACAACTCTACCAATCACTACAACTTCGACCTTCAAGGCCCCTCCAATTCCCGTACCCAGCAAGACCAACAACTTCCTCCTCCTCCTCCTCCTCCTCCCCCTCGCGGCGTCAAACGACGACGCTTCAGCGATGAAACAATCGGTCTCTACACCACCCCAACTCCAGACGCCGAAGATGATATCGAAGCCGTCGATCTAACCGACGTCAACAACGATTCCGCGCTCGCCGAAGTCCTCTCCAAACAGCGCGAAGACGCCGTGAGAGCGCAACAAGCGACAGAGCACAAGGAGGGACGGACGACATTGAGCGCGACGAAGTGTGCGATATGTATGGATACGCCGACGGATGCGACGACCACGATATGCGGTATGCTTTTTCCCTAATATCTGTGTGGTGGATTGAATTAATTTATGAATTATCGGGCAGGCCATTTGTTCTGCCATAAATGCATCATCGATTCCCTCCGCTACGACGAAGAGCGATCTGAAGCGACTACGGGCAAGTCGAGTCGCGGGAAATGTCCGGCTTGTCGGAAACAGATTTCAAGGAGAGATGCGCCGGGGCCGAAACGGGATCTTATTCCGCTGCAGTTTAAGTTGAAGCGGCCATCATAAGAATGCAAGAGTACTTGCAGAATACTTGCACAAATAGAGCCACAGTACAGATGAAACGGCAGCATCAGTCGTACCTTTCCAGACATGCAGAGCTGCGTGACGGCTCCTCTGCTGTTCAAGATCTCTCCAATCAGTGGCGTTTCGTTCGATTATTGTTGGCGTGGTCACGAACAGATGGTGGTTCTGGATATAACATCTTGAATTCTCAATTTTCAGCGCACGATAACCAAACGCTAGTTGCGACTCGACTTGTAGTTTGGAACCGGCATGATGCTAGGAGTACTATCAGGGACTACAAATTTGTCTTTCATCTTTGCCATACTATACATATCTCGTTGTACATAGACTTAATTTATAATACCACATGAATCTCGATTATTGAAACTATCTCATTATCATACAATCAATACAGCCAAATCACTACCGATCCTTCCAACCACCTTCCAGAGTATTCCGTCGACTCACCCCACCACCCATCCCCCCTCGTATCATTGCATCCCCTTTCCTACCTAACACAACCTCCAGAGCCTGTATTAGTGCATTTGGGTCATATCGACTCCCAGCAGCCGTCTTCCCGTCCTCTAACACAACCTTGCGCCCGTAAAGACGGAGCGTTTCGATGCCCATGGCAGCGAGTCTATCGCGATCTACGACGGGGGTTTCTGGGCCCTCGAGATAAAGGATATGCGTGATATACGAAGTATAAGGCAGGGTTCTTCTTGCTGGCGGGGGTTCGACGATGTTTGGTATCGCAGACGCAGCTACGGTTGACAGTGTCGATGTGACTGTGTCTGTATGACGGCGTTGCTGTTGTTGTCCGCCTAGTGACCCCCTTCCACGGCTTTCTTCCCCTGCCCGGACAATGGCTTCGACGAAATCGACTGCCGTGAAGGGACACGATGATGGGCCGGTTTCCCGGTCCAGCGAGCCGTTTAGAATCAGGATTTTGTGCCGTGCGGGACTCATAGCGATTGCTTTTCCGACGCCACGGAGGACGAGTGAAGGAATTATAGATGTATATAATGAACCAATGCTGTATATAATGGCTTGACTGTCGTTAATGGCCTCTATGACTCTCGGGCTTGCAGGTGGACGGATTTCCTGGCCGTACGGGTTTATGTACCAAATACGAGATATGCGACTTGGTAAATCTTCAGTGTGGGTTTTGTTGAATGTGATATTCTTGTGTCTCAGACTTGGTAGTGATCCTGGAAGATGATCTTCGTCGTAAGCGACCGGGTACTGGGTATATAAATCGTCATCCTCTTCATCATCCCCATCTGCTAAAAGCAGACTGGGTCTTCTGTCCGACTGTGGCGAGCCTGGGATGTCACTTGGGTGCGAAATACTGTTCTGGCCGACAATGACAGTGCCGTCGTCGAGCGATGCGGAGATGTGATGTGAGAAATTGGAGTTGATAGCTGGTATCACCCGCACAAGATCCGAGGGCACTCCGCATATACTTCCTAGCAGGTAAATGGCGCTTTCAAAGCTGCCTGTAAAGAGCCGTGCCCCGGTTAGAAACAAGTTCCCGACACTTGCAGAACTAAAGTCAAATGTAGTTGATGGAAGCCGCGCTCTTTTCAAAATCTCAAGATTCAAATGGTTAAAAACAGACCGAATGAGCTCTTTCTTCGCTGGTGTAATGGTAGTCCACAGCGGCGATGTGCCATCGACAATAGACTGCCAGCTATTCCTAGCGGCTGCTGCATCTGCGTCTAGTCGGTGGTTAAAGAGGCTTTTGAGAGCCGCTCGCTCCGAGTTTGGTGCCGACTCTGGAATCAGGCGTACCAATCTACCTGGTTTTTTTAAGATTGTAGTCAAAGTCGAATGTTGGAGGGATGTACTTACTGCGGACATCGCCGATTCCAGGGCCACCAAAAATGCGTATCAGCTCTGAGGACGAGCCGCCATTGTCAGATATGGGGATGATGTAGCTCAGTAGGCACTGCTTGCTCGCACGCACAGCACTGAAAACATCCACCAGGCTATTGGCAGCGCTACCGCCAGATAATACCACAATACCGCGATTCGGCACAGTATCTGCCGAGTCTGTATCTGCAGTTCCTGCCATCTATATCACAAACGAATCTATAAGTTGCGAGAACGAATCCTCTAAAGATTGTAAGCAATTATATAACCGAATAAACCAGATAGGTAGAAGAGACAGATTAAAGAGTTGAAGGAAAGAAGCGAAGAGTGTAAGAAGAAGTGAACACATGGAAGGAAAGAACATATCAGGGTGGGTCTTCTCCGCCAAGCTTAAACGGCAGCAACAATGTTAGAGTCAGCCCTATAGATATAACTATCATCTACACATGCATACGTTGTAGAAATGACACCAGCCAGCAAATATCAAAAAGTTACCATTATACTCTAACAGGATAAACAATATGACTGGCTTCATAATCACTCGACATAAAGAATCTGAGGAATACAAGAAGGATCAATTGATATTGGGAGTCAACTCAATAGCATCGAAGATGAAATCTTACTTAACCAGCTCTCCAACGTTCAAAAAACAGCATTTATGAGCCTCATCTCATATATTTTGCTCTTACAACTAAATTCGAATATAGGTATAAACCAACATCGAAAAACAGAGACAGCAAAGAAGCTCGGACCCCACGCGCTAGTATACGAGGCCTCGTATTTACTATTGATCCTAGAGCCAAACTCAGCACATTAACTAGTAGCGAGCACTGCATCCTCTCCTATTCCAACCTCCAGTACCAGGTTGACGAACAGAGTCGCCGTGAACATGTCCAACTACGGCCCCATCACGAGTTCGGGCACTGTGACTTCATATCTCCCGCTGACCAGCGCATGGTCGGCGCCAGCCCAGTGCTCGTCCCTTTTTCTCAAGGCCGGCGACAACCTCTTCCTTAACTCCCCGCAATACGACCAGGTTGTGCCTGGAGCCCCAGAATGCAACCCCCCCGAGCTCTCTCCATGGTGGTACCAGAGCCTGGATACAGCCTCGCCGACAGCAACGCTGCTGGGAGGGTATGAGTTTGTGTGTCCGGCGGCGTATACCACTGTATTCTCATGGGTGACTGCCGAGACGACGACAATTGGCTGCTGTCCATCGTATGTGCAGCTTCTACACAGTACTCAATGTTGTTCTTATAGCTAACTCGGAATGAATAGTGCTTATAGTTATGCTGGTACATGGTGGAGAGCCGGCTTCCCTTCTCAATGCGAGTCCTCGATTCCCACCGGTACAATTACCTTCGTCCAACCCGGTTCAGGGACTGTCTACACAACCACAAGCGAATTTATATCAACTCCCTCGGTGGTATGGGGGGTGCAAGTCAATGGGTTTAAAATCCAGCCGCCGCAAACAAGCGCTGCTACTACTACGACGACGACGACGACGTCAGCAGGAGTATCGCAGTCTACGCAGACCAGTAGCACATCTTCAGCTACTTCTTCGTCGACATCCTCATCCTCTTCTAAGCTATCAACGGGGTCTATCGTTGGGATTGTCACGGGATCGGTAAGTGCAGTAGCGACTGTCCTGGGCTTGGTGTTTAGAGTGTATAAGTGGAAGCAGAAGCAGAGGCAGTCAACTCAGGAGAGAGGCCAAGATGGCATGACTGGTGTTTCTTTTGGGAAAGAGATGATGGGGAGGTTGTGCGCGAACTGTGGTACGACCACCACTACTCAATTCTGCACGAAATGTGGCGCACGAGCCTGACGATGCAATTGAGGGATTGCAAGACGCGTGTTGTTGCCTAAATTATGGGTTCGTGGGTTTTGGTCAGATTTTTTTCCATTTCTAAGTATATATTTCCTTGTGAATTGTTATTTTGTAAATATCTCGTGTAGTGAAGTAATTTCTCCGTCCTATAGGACAGCGACCACTACATATGTGCTCAACGTCTCAGAAATTGATATAGTGATGACATGTACATATGTATCAATTGATCAATTGATGTATTAATATAATGCGTTCATAATTGATATCAGGATTGACTGGTTTGTCTTTCACAATTAGATAACAATGAAACCGTTGCTCGCCTCGTAATATCCAGCCTGTAATTGTTCGAGTATATACGATATGGTGAGATTGAATATAATCAGCTCTTAGTGGACTCCTTCACCAACTCCACTGCACGCTTAGCCAATGCCTCCGTATCAGGAGGGAACCTGGCGCTGACATAGTTGTACTTTTCATCTTCCACCACAAACCTGAAATCATTAGCATATTAATATAATAATAAACGAAAGAACTCAGATATACTCACGGCCCAGGACCCAGGCTATTTTTATACTGTTGATCCGGATGATCCAATTGCTTCCTCACCTAACCCGATCAGCCACACCTCAAACTAAAGAACCAACGCGAATACCAACAATAGTCTCGACATTCTCCGTCCCCTTTCCATAAGTCTTATAATAATCACCGAGAAACGGCCTCGTCAGCCAGAAAATACCAGACTCCATCGCCCCAGGCAACGCCGTCGTCGTGACATCATGCAACACACTCTTCCCTTCCGTCTTCTCGGCCGCTGCAAGCGTCTGTACGCCGTGACAAATCGCCGCGACGGTCTTTGCGCCTGGCTTGCGTGTCTGAGGGAAGTACTCTGCGACATGTTTCTGCAGCGACGTCGAGTCTATTGTCTGGCGCACGGCCTTGTCGTGCCCTCCGGGAAAATACACTAGATCGTACGATGACAGGGAGAAATTGGGGTCGGACCATGAGAGGGGTTGCTGGATGGCTGGGTCTTGTAACATTTGGTTGTATTTGGTGATTGCGTCTTTATTTGCGCCCTGGCTGGGCCGTTAGTCGTTGATAAGGAATTTAAGGTGATGTAGCCTACGAGAAGTTTCCCTGATATCCCCGCGATCATGCGATTGTCGCACCGTGGCGAGTTGCCCTTCTCAGTCGCGAATTCGACGGCGAATCCAGCATCCTTGAAGACAGTATAGGCCACGGCAGTCTCTAGACGCGAGTCAGAGGGGACATCGATAGAGTATGGACTGCCTACCTGTCGGGTCATGGCCGTAGTCGGCCATTGGAATGAGAGCTCTTGGTGAGGTCATATTGCTGTTTGTAAGTGAAATGGAGAAATGAGGATGCTGACGGTAACTGAGTCACATGTAAGCACTACACAGTGTAGAAGTAGTGCACACAGGACTGAATGCTAAGTAAGGTCGGTAAATATTGATATTATATATTAATGCTATTATTGTTGAGTTTGTAACAATTACAAGTGTGCTGAGTGCTCTACTTGTACTGTAGTGGCGTCATGTATCTCTCACGTGTGCGGTGATCCTGCGGATTCAATCCCGATCTCCTCTCTATTATTCTCCACACAATATATCATCATCCAATTCCGCATTAATACTGTCAATCTCAGCTATTATTAAACAGTCATAATGCACCACAACTTACGATGTGCTGCAACTCTTATCAATGACGACTAAAGACCGCTAATAACGCAGCTTACCACCGGCCCCACCGGCGATGTCATTCGATCTTGCGTCCATCTTGTATTCTAAATGCAGCCGATTCCAGCCGCAGCGATCTCCATGATATCTGGGCTAGCTATAAACTCTGAATTTTATCATCGAAAGAAAGAAAAGAATTCGCGTCAACAATATTATTACCCTTCTAGACTTGATACACTGCTAATGCCGTGAGCGGGGTATATGCCTATTCGCCATCTAATTCCCCGCCGCAGTCCCCTTCTGCTGCTGAGAACAACCATCTTACAGACGAGACCATTCGACCGGGTCGCAGTCATGGGCGAAATGGCATGTCTCTTGCTCATCCAAACTAGATGAGGAGAAGCTAACTGGTGATAAGGATTTCAATGCTTCCTCCCATCCGCAGCACCCCAAGCGGCTCGTGTGTAGGTCTTCTCTCCTCCTACTTCAGAGAGCAATCTTTGTTATATATGAAAACTCACGCTGCCAGTTGCACCCGGCGATATAGCTGGTCCGCAGAACGACGAGCTAAAAGCCGCTGCCACCATTCGCAGCGCCGCAAGCCATCTCGCCGATGACATCGTCCGGTCAGATACCTCCACCCCAACCTCAGCGATGCAGGTGGAGCTTCTCTCACACCCTGCACGCGCACACCAATTCGTTATAAACCCACCGCTACATATCTCGCACCTCCATCCCACAAACCCGCTGCACCAATTCCACAAATGGTTCAAAGACCCACGCATCCCTCGCAGCTCGGCGCCAGAGACATGCACGCTGGCGACCGCATCCCTGCCATCCGGCCGCGTCAGTGCGCGCATGCTCTACTTCAAGGAACTGGACGAACGAGGATGGGTTATATACAGTAATTGGGGCAGCAAGGAGGGAAAAGGCGGACAGGTATTTGGCCCTGAGTACCGAGCCTCAGCCGACGGCTCGGTACCAGGTGATATCCATCAGTCGGCGGCCCTCAACCAGGGCAATCGATGGGCGGCATTGACGTTTCTGTGGGCGCTTGTGGAGCGGCAGGTGCGTATAGAAGGGGTCATCGAGCCGCTATCCCGCGAAGAAAGCGAGATGTATTGGCGGACAAGAGAGCGGAATAGCCAGATCGGCGCATGGGCGAGTTGGCAGAGCAAGGTGCTGTGGTCAGTCGGGCCAGAGGGTGTTGCGGACGATCTCGACGACGGACGAGCAGAGCTGGAACGGCGGGTTAAGGATACAGAAGCGAGGTTTGCGGATGTTAAGGATATCCCCCTGCCGCCTTTCTGGGGTGGCATTCGCCTTGTTCCTGAATCGGTCGAGTTCTGGCAGGGCCGCGCGGGGAGGTTGCATGATCGGTTTCGCTATGTACGAGAGGGGCAGACGGATCATACGGCAGAGGACTTTAAATGGCGTATAGAAAGGTTGTCGCCGTGATAGACCAGACCATTATATTCATTGTCAAGACTCAAAGCATGTAGATATAGTAAACCACAGCCCTCCACCTCCGCTGCCAAGACTGTTCTTCCTCATCATCGCATTACATTTGACTCTAAAATTCTAAGTTGGTTTATACTAAACATCATTTCCATTGAGAACTTTACCTAATGAAGATAATATATCGAACTTTTCCCAATAGGCTAAAGGTACTTCCACCTTAATAGCTCTAGTTAAGTTTGATATATGTATTCAGTTTGGCATAATACATTCTCAGAACATCGATGCTCATGTCCCGCTTCACTTTACCTCTAGTGAGGCTTTCAATCTCCGCTACCACCACATCAAAGGGAATGAAATACGAAAATCCATTGCTTTGAGAATTTGCAAAGAGTATGCCGACAACAACAAGATCTTCTGCAGAAAGTCGTCTTCCAAAAGTTCCAATGTGTTCAGGTAGTCATCAATGCCTCCCAGAAAACAAGGGCTGCCAATACTGCTCTCTTACTATATAGTTAGGGTTAGCATTGTCATTGGTCAGTTATAATACCGCTAGCTAATAGAGGACTAGCCATGACAATACCATACGCTGTATTCGTGGACTTACACCTGCCGTACTTAAAAGTTGCAACTATCAATGCCATAACTTAATAACCACACATGCTCTACAACCTACTCTTACACCACCATGCCCTCCTCCCTCTCCTTCAAAGCCACAAAATGGCTAACCCTCGCCCTCGCTAGCGGCGCCTTCGCCGCCTTAAACGGGCTATTCGCTAAACTGTCCGCCCTCCCTTCCCCAAGCTTCAGAGGTAGAAGGAAGAAAGCTAATATAATCTCAGAACAACAACAGCAGCAACCGGCTCCGCCGCTTCATCCCTCGCTAGCACCCTCAATCTTCCGGAAGGTCTCGTCGAGGGTGTCCTCCGCGCGGTACCTTCCTATACCCTAGCCAACTGAATGAATGGTTGCTGATTGTTTGGGTGGTAGATATGCTTCGGCCTGAACCTCCTCAGCAACTTGATCATGTGGGCGCTCTTCACAAGGGCGTTGACCGCCGCGCCGTCGACGACAAAAGTGTCGATTACGAATACCTCGGCGAATTTCTTGGTTACGGCAGTGCTCGGGATGATTGTGTTTGGGGAGAAAGTGAGTGGTTTGTGGTGGCTTGGGGCGGCGATGATGGGGGCAGGGTGTATACTTGTGGGAATGAGGGAGGAGAAGAAAGATGAGAGGCAGAATGGGGAGGATATTACGTTGAGTGAAGAGAGGGAGGGAGAGGGAGGGGGAGAAGGGGAAGAGGAGGGGGTGTATCATGATGAAGAGGAAGAGGAGGATGGAGAGGATGCTCCGCTGATGCCGCAGCGGGTTGATAGTAATAAATAGGGCCGCTCTAATTTAATAGCAACGTGTAAGATGTTAATATATACAACTAATGTTTCATTATGGAATATAAAGATCATCGGTCCTCTAATTCGACAAATGTGTCCTCTTCAGTGCCATCGAGAATTCCGTACTGGTGCTGACTGTCGTCAGTCTCTCTGGCCTGATCAGGTCGTTGCGCGCCATCAAGCCTGATACTTCGATCACGCACAATGCGCAATGATTTACCAATTCTCTGCATGAAAGCCCAGATTTTCTCTTCAACACTATTGCCCTGCTCTCGCTCATGGCTGCTGGCACTATGACCGTTGCCATTCGCAAAACCCGTCGTCTCCCCCGCGGTCGTGTTCTCTTGAGCCTCGACTTTGAATTGATACTTGAGACAATCCTTCACCGTCAACAGCCCCATTATCCGTCCACGCTGCTCAACCAGAATAACACGCGGGCCCATCTTCTTGAACAATTCCATTGCCGTTTCAAGCGGAAGTCGAGGGTGCACGGAGATCGGGGTGTGGTCGACGTACGGCGCAAAGTCGATGAATTTGGCCCCCGTGGTATTCTCTAGTTCGTCGAAGGTTTGAGGTATATCTTGGTCAAAGCGACCAGAGATGGACCGTCGACCGGACTCCATTCTGTTTGATGGTATGGCGTCTTGGGTAAATATACATCTTGCGTTGGGGGATAGGGGCGCGGTTCGTCGTGCTTTTTCGATGGCGTAGCGGAGTTCCGTACGGCCAATGTAGCCAACTAGAATCTTGCTGCTGCGGTCTTCGACGATGGGGAAGCCTTGGAATTTGTTGTCGCTTAGTAGATGTTCTGCTTCTCTGACAGGGAGGTCGGAAGCTGGGAGAGATAGGGGACTGCCCGTCATGACGCGCGAGACGGGGACGTTGAAAACATGGTCTTCTTTATTGTCCAAGAAGGGAAAGCCGTTGAACCAGATTGTTCGGTCTGCAATGCCTCCTTTTCCGAACCGGTCACTGACGGCTTTGGTAACGCCAACAACAATCTGATAAAGTTAGACGAATGCTATAAAAATATTGAGCGAAACCTACCATTGTTGGGAGAATGTATACCACAGCTCCAGTGAGCTCAAACATTATCACAACGATGGACACCGTAAGATGCATGATTCCACTAAGAGCTGCAGCAGCACCGAGGAAGGCATATGTTCCTGGCGTGATGCATGGCACATCCGGTTCGCACGCAGCAAAGAAGCCCGAATTGGGAAACGATTCGTGCAAAGCTTGAACAAGAATACCAACCATCCTCCCGAACGAAGCACCGACCGCCATTGAAGGAATAAAGATACCCGCTGGCACTTTGCATCCATAGGAGATGATGACCAAGATGACACGGAGGATTGTCGCAATAAGAAGAGAGAATATCATCGACCAGCGATTTTGTGCTCTAAAAGGAATTAGTACCAGTAAAGCTTTTATGCAAGGGAATCCTACTCGCAAATCCCTTTGTAGTTGTTATCCCCTTCACATTCTCGGAAAAGAACCTCCATCATCTGCGTCATGTTGATTCTCAGAAAAATATTTGGATAGCAGACCAGAGCTGTTACGCCAGCAAGAACAACGGCCTCTGTAACTGGATATAGCCCTAAGTACTTTTTTCGGAAAGCTTGGACTCGGAGATTCCATTTGATCACTAATGCGCCATACAAACCACCGAATATTCCAATAATAACAAAGAAGATCAATTCGAAAAAGTGCCATGTACGGTCGTATCTGACTTGGAACATGACCAACTGTCCAGTTCTGAAGGGGTTCATAGCCTACAACACAATTAATATTTCAATAAAATCAAGCTGGCTGATAAGATACTCACTGCTAACACGCCAGTGGCTACTAGAGCACAGAAGTAGCTTCGCCACAAAGTTTTTAATGGAAAGTAGGTCGACATTTCCTACACATATTAGAACATAATTTTGGCAGTTATATATAGAAGGTAGCATACCTCAAGAGAGAACAAGACGCCACCAATTGGACTCCCAAAAGCCACTGCTACACCCGTGCCAGCAGCGGCGGTTAAGATTTCTCTTGTCTTGGCCGCATTTCGTCGATACTTGTTGAAGAAGCGAGAAATAACATTGCCCGTGCACACCGCATAATGTACACTTGGTCCTTCTTTTCCAACAGACAGGCCTGAGCCAATTGAGAGCGGAAGACTAATTGACTTGATAAAAAGGGTTGTTGAGCCCAAAAAGCCCTTCATCACGAATCCCGCGAGAATGCATTTTATTTCTGAAATACCGGAGCCGGCCGCATATGGAGAGAATGACTTGACAAGGAAGGCCGATGTGAAAGCGAAGGCGATCTAATATCATTAGCTTAGTCTATTGAAATAGGAAGGATGCCAACAAACCGCAAATATAAAGTATACAATATAGTTGATAAATGGATTCGGTCCCCAACGGTGCCATTCTGGACACCCTGTTGAAAAGTCTAGTCAGTAAAATCCTAGAAACCACCACGGTTATCAACCACGCACCATTTTCAGCACCCCAGCAGCAGAACTGCTCATTGAGATAGAACGCAGTGGTGCAGTACCCAAGCTTTACATCCGATAGCCATTCAGTCACAATATTGAGAAATGCTGCGTTCAGCCCAATCGCTGCGCCGACCAGAGTCACGACGAGCCAAGCCTGGCCAGCATCATAGGATTCCCACAGTTTTCGTCGCCAGCCAAAAGTGCCTTCTCGATCCCAGAAGCCGCGCGCTTCTTGTCGGCGAGCTCGGCGACGTGCCTGCTCGTGAACGGCATCTTGAACCCAGTCGATGGTGGTGAAATCCTCGTAGCGCTTGATTTCGTTGATCTCGTCGGTTACGACAGGATGCGGATCGCTTGTGTCTGCGTTGTCGGCTCCCCGTCCACCCCCATTATCACCATGGTCGCCGTGGTCGGAAACGGAGAATCCGGACAGTCTCCGCGAGATCGGGCTGTAGGGGGTTCTCGCGGAGAGAAATGCTTGAGGCCGTGAGGAGCTTGACGATGCGCGAGATGCTGTCATATGTATAGCCTGGCGCAGACCCTTGGCATAGCGGTCTGCCAAGCGAGGACTAAACAGTGCCGCGGTACAGTTTCTTGCTTCTTTTGCTGGTTTAGACTAAGGGTTGACTATAAAGCGTATACGGTATGATCGGGCTGAATGAGTTCAATGTTGAGTGATGGTGCAATGACAGCAGGCCGTAGGTGTAGGTTAGTATGAGGAGTACTCGGCACAACTGGCATCCGATAAGATAAGCTGATGGCCCAACGTGAGAAGCTAACGGGTCACAACTAATATTAGTATTAATATCTAGCGACAAGTTTTCTTGAAGGGCCAATTTATGATTTGTGTAGTCAGAAAATATGGATACAATCAAATGTGCTATATTTCTTGCTTTGTATCATATGGCATCATGACAATGCCGCCGTCTCACCGTCAGGCTTGTAAAGGAAGAAAAATCTTCCATAAAATCTAATTATTATTTCAGCAAAATAATAGATAAAAACAAAATACCTAACCAACATTGACGTAATTGTGGTATATAAGGACCAACTGGCCAGTCACAAAGCTCTGGATATCTCGGGCAGGCCACACCAGACCAGACCCCGAAGTCACGTCTTTTCATCGTTCCGCCTAGTTACAACTCTGTCACGATAACAATTACTCGACACCCCTGCCTACCGAAAACATTGTACCGTCGAAAGCTGCGCCGTTTGAATATCGCTTTATACACCGTTCCTTTGCGATACGTTCCATCTCTTTCGCGTGACGCGTGACATCCGATAGCGCTTCGCCATGTCGTCAGACTACCAGGCAGCCCTCACAGAGGAAGCTACAGGACAGAGCATGCTTCCATGTATGACATATCATATCTCTCGCTAAAAATAAACTGGTCTAATGTTCCTTACAGTATCGCGGATAAAGAAGATCATCCAGCTGGACGAGGACATTGCGCAATGCTCACATAATGCTACGTTTCTGATCGCAATTGCTACAGTAAGCACATCACCGCTATATACTATATTTCTTCGGGGTATTAGAAGATACTAATTTGAATAGGAACTATTTATCCAATACCTGGCTGAACAAGGCTACAACGTCGTCAAATCCGAGCGCAAACCGCGCAAGACCATCCAATACAAAGATCTCGGTATGGAACTGCGCCAGGCTGAACGAGTCTGTGGTCATGACTAATGTAACATAATATCTTGCAGCAACGGCCGTTTCCCGAATCGATAATCTCGAGTTCCTCGCCGATGTGATACCCAAGACTACCACTTATAAACAATTCAAAGAAAAGAGAGCGCGCGAGATCACGCAGGATTTACCGATCATTGAAAAAGGCCAGACGACATTGAACGGCGCAGGGTCAGACGCGAATGGAGCGAAGAGCCTCCCAGCAGAGCAGACTGTCGCGCCGCCTCATGTCAACGGGAGCCAGGCGGTTGCTCCAGCCGAATCGCCCATGCCAACGGTGTCGATGATGATCGGGCGGACTGTGGAAACAGGGCCATCTGCGAATAGAGAGGTGGAAATGACGGGGTAGTCTTGTATCAAATATTGGGAATGATGGAGTCTTGTGTCAATTTGGTTTTGCATTGCAGGGGTGATCTTTTTATGAATTAGGCAAAGTATTTATTCATATATTTTCAGTTAAGAATATACTCTTATATTAAATCGTATTTATTTATCTATCAATATTAAATTAATATTAAATATTTATTTATTTTCAATACGAATTGAATTAATGAATGGCATTGACCAATCACGGGCGGCTGATTCATCCCGGCTGCTTTTCGGCCTGCAGCAAAGACCAGCTCGGAACAGACATTTGAACTTCACCTCCAAAATCCTCCTCCAGACTACACCCGTCTACCACCCCAACCCTCGCCCCCCTCCATCAACGTGCAATTGCCGCTCAATTGCTCTCTACCGGCCATGTCTCAACTCAGCTCTGCCTCGACGGCTCTGCTGCGCACCTGCGCTCGCCAGCAGCCCGCCACCGTCGCCCGATCCGCGCTTGCCGCTGCTCAGCAACAACGAGGTGCCGCCAATGCTGGAGCCAAGGCCTCCTTCGAGAGCCCCTTTGGTAGCACTGCGGAGGAATCGGGTGCGACTTTGAAGATTCCTAGCTTCAAGAAATACATGTCCAAGTCGTCGCCCTCGTCGAACAAGGTGTTCTCGTACTTTGTTGCCGGAACCATGGGTCTCGGGTCGGCTATTGGTGCGAAGGCTACTGTGCATGGTATGTTGCCTGTTATACTATGGTTACTATAAGAGGAATATGGATGTTTTTATGGCTATGGTCTCGGGGCTGGGGGTGTTTGATTGGGTTATGGAGAACGAGACAGCTAATGTATGACTGTCACCAGACTTCCTTACCAACATGTCCGCCTCTGCCGACGTTTTGGCCCAGGCCAAGGTTGAAATTGCTCTTGATGCCATCCCAGAGGGCAAGAATGTACGTTGGAGGACGCTTCTATATCATTGGGTGGAATATTAACGTGACGGGCAGGTTATTATCAAATGGCGCGGCAAGCCCGTTTTCATCCGCCACCGTACCGCAGAAGAAATCCAGGAGGCCAACGACACTGACTGGAAGTCTCTTCGGGATCCTCAGCCCGATGAGGATCGTGTACAGAAGCCTGAGTGGCTCATCATGCTTGGTACGCTCACTTCCTGGGCTTTTAGTCTTTTGCGTATATCGAACATACTAACGACTTCAGGCGTCTGCACTCACCTTGGTTGTGTCCCCATTGGCGAAGCCGGTGACTTTGGTGGCTGGTTCTGCCCTTGCCACGGTTCTCACTACGACATCTCCGGCCGTATTCGCAAGGGACCAGCACCATTGAACCTCGAGGTTCCCGCATATAACTTCCCATCTGAGGAGTCTCTTGTTATTGGTTAAGCGTACCAGAAAACGAAAACAATATTAAGAGAAAACCAAAAAGACAGGCCCATCATTCCCATGTTTCAATACTATCTATACCTTGTGTTATCGGTGTGACCGACTCATCCATCCATCAATCTTGATCCGAGGCAGAAAGTGCTTTTTTCTTGTTTCAAAAAGATATTATAGAGAAAGAGCGCCAGTGTACTATCTATCATGCTATTATTTCTGTTGGATCTTGTCAGAAGGACAAACAAGCCGCAAATACGCGCCAATTGGTTCTGTTGGTTATTGTTTTTCTTCTGTTTCTTTGATGTCATCAGTTGAACGAAGTAGAACCTTTCTTTTGTTTGTAAATGAATTTAACCCAATCACCTATAACCTACTATCTACATGATCTCTCCCTATTCCCTCCTAAATCAACATCCTACGGCGGCGTGATCTCAAAATCCACAACCTCCCTCATCCCCGTCCCCATCGCCGGCAACGTAACCTTCTCGCTCGTTCTCCCAATCTCCCGAAACCCGCTCTTCTGTAGCACCCTAACACTACCAACATTCTCCGCATCACACCGCGCAACAACTTTTCTAACAGCTGGCCTCAACTCCCAAAACTTCTCAATAAACACCCTCACAGCCTCAGTCGCGTATCCACGTCCCCACGCCGAAGGGTGGAATGTATAGCCTAGTTCGGCGACAGGAACGGGACGGTATACCCCTAACACGCCAATCATATCCCCTTCTTCTAGCCCTTTCTCTTTATTTTGGGTTGGATGTGTTTCTGGGCGGATAAAGACTGCGTAGTTCAAGCCCTCGGGGTTCAGGTCAGATTGGATGCCGCTCATCCACTGCTTGCTCTCCTCGAGCGTTTTGCAGAGACCGCGCGAGCTTTTCGGTCATTAATCACTACATGTACATCGTAGAAATTGAGGTTAGGTCGCTGGCGGGCTGTGTACTCACCTCCATCGAGTCGCGTCAGCATTGGACCAGATGCGGTGAAAGCCAGGGAGATGGGAATCGGAGATGGGAACGAGACGGAGGCGAGGGGATTCCATGGGTCAAACGCTTTGGACTGGATTTGACTTTGATAAGCGAGGTATAGAAGCAAACGAGTGAGTTTATCATTTATATGGGCTCAATCAATGTTGCGAATACATATTATTATATATAACGATAAAGATATAGCTGAGACATATGTTTTAGATTTAGCCAATCATAGGTCCAATCTTGTCGAGACTAGGAGTGAGATTGAGACGCCGACTGTCGTGATCTTTTCCGGCTGAGGAATATCCATTGGTTGTTGAATATTGCACGCTTGTGATTGGTAGAAACATGGTGATATTGGTTCTTTAGGGGTGAAGATTTGCTCTCCTACAATGCTGTTACCTATGTAGTTCCGACGCAAGAATATTGTTTGTGTGTACATATTGTTGGGATATTAATAATTGGGTAAGATTTAAGTGTTGATATAGTACTATAGTTAATAGGGTCAAATGACTATATGTACTTGACATTGATTATATTATTTTGTAGCTTAAGCATGCAGGCAGGCTGGATTTAGTTTACACCTAAAATGGTATATGAAGTGTGAATTAATCTAGATTATTGTCTAACTTGCTTCATTTCAAATACTTTCGGGGTAATACGTAGTACGTCTACTACTTACGGCCTTGGATAATAGCCTCTTCTGATTGGTCTGCCAGGCTCTAGATGCCCGAAAGAGGGAGAATGCCCCTCAAATGGCGGCGCTATGTAGAGCTCAGACAGCATGTTGTCATTGTGCACTTTCTGGTGTGTAGTAAAAGTCTTGGGGCGCCACCAAGTTGGAGTGGGGGATGAAAGTGAACTTGTGAGCCGTGTTCAATCCCCAGGTAACCCAAATGCTTTCAGCCTCATTCTTATTGCTCTACACAATCTGTGCCATGGAACATATTCAAGGGAGGTATGTGATAATAAAAGTACGCTTTGCTGCTAGGTACAAACTCATCCTAAACGGTATCTTGTTTGAGGTTGTACTTTACATGCACTTATTTCGGTTCATCTACAAGTGCCAAACATCTCGACAGCATGTACCATATCAGATGACAATATTCTACTATTCTACCAATGTAATTGAAGCCCAAATTATCTCTTTATATCATTTATTCTTTTATGCTGTTCTGTATGTCTGTCTTTATGTAACTTGTACATCAGTTGCCAAAAAACATCAATTCGACATTGAATATGCAGCGCACATGACAATGTATCCTGTCAGCCAACCGAAGAGATCACACTCCTCAGAAGAGAGTTGAGATGGGTCTAAAAAATAAGCATGGAAAGGAAAAAGCCGCCCTGAAAAAAGAAAATGCCAACCAACGCCGTCAACGCTTTGCTCAGGTATAATCGAAATATTGGTACAGTATATGAAATAAACTCCTTCCATCCTTCCAACGTAATCAAAGTTGGGGTTGCCCCTGTGCATGCAATGTGTTATTCTTCTTTTCTTCGCTCGAGGCCAGGCCTGCTAGACAGTAGTAGTAGGCTGATGAGAGCGGACAGGTGATTAAGAGGGTCCAGCCCTCGGGTATTTCCACGTAGATTAGAAAGTCGTAGTGAAATGAGATAGGAAATCTCGAGAGAGCGAAGAAAGAAAAAAATAGGGTTGAAGAGGTAGTTTGTGGATCAGGCGGTGACACCACCGATTAATTCCACAACCTTGCCGGAGACAGCCGATGGGTAGCCACGTGATACCATCTCCTGAACGACTTCTACAGCATTCGAGCGGCTTTCAGCAGCGATGAAGGCGCGGGTCATGGCTTCGTAGGTGCTTGGTTCGCGCTTGTCTGTGCCGATGCTATCGTAGATGCTGCGGGCCTTGAAAATGTTGCCTTCAGCGGCCCAGCCATTGATGAGTGTGTTAGCAATGTAGGGGGTCATCTCAACGCCTCGGTTTTCCATGTCTTGGACTATGGCACTGGTAGATGAAACTTGCTGATTGACGACCATGGATTCGAGGAGAGCCTGGTACAGACACGGCTGAACACGCACGTGGTTGTTTGAGATGACGCTGTCGAAGATGGCACGAGCACCGTCCATATCGCGGAGGACACAGCCTTTGGCGTGGATCAGTGAGGCGTAGTGAACGGCTTCAGGGCGCTGACCGGAGGCCTTGATAGTCTTAAGAACCTGCTCCGCAGCATCCATGTTAACTGGCTCCAAGGAGGCATGGGCGTCAATAAGCAGCTTGTACGTGTGCATTGTTGGCTCGATGTTCCGTGCGCGCATACGTTCGTAGTAAGCAAGGACTTTGCTACGATCGCGCTTAGTGTTGAGGAAATATTGGATCATCGAATTGTATGGAGCTGGGCGTGGTTTGTAGTTGGGCATGGATTCCATTTCGTCAAACATTTCCTCAGCAAAACGTTCGTCACTGACTCGGCAGAGAGCATTGACGACGGTCCCATAAGTTACACTGGTTGGGCGAACCCCATTGGCACGCATTTCCGCAAAGTAGAAGAGGCAGTCATCAATGCGACGGGCCTTTCCAAGCTTGCCGATCAAGGCGTTGTACAAGAAAGAAGTTGGCTCAACACCCTCTGCATTTGCACGGTGGAAGATCTTGACAGCTTCGGTTGCTTCATCGAAAGTTTTGGTGGATTCTTTCAATGTGGTAATGTAGAGACCGAATGTGTTAGCAGATGGGGCTGATCCAATATCCAACAATTCTTGATGATACTTGGCAGCTAGGTTGCGGTCGCCAAGCGTCAGGGATGCCGCGACCATGGCATCCAGAATTGAAACCCAGCCGTATCTAACAACACTGTATTGAGGCAAGAGAGGAACGTCGCTCCGAGCCATTGCTAGAATATCGCGAGTCAAGTCCGTACGACCGCCTTTCGCTGCAGCATTGATAAGCTTGGCATAAGTGATATAGCGTGGATGACGACCGAGACGACGGATGTTGCGCAGTTTAGTCAAAGCCCCGTTCAGCTGAGACATGCCTCGGCCGCTGGAAGATTCGAGCTCGTCCGCAATGATGGCAGAGCCCCGATAATCAGTCGAGTAAGCATAAGGATCGTAATTGTCTTCCACGCTAGTAGCTGAGGAATTCATCTGCGAAGCTTCGGATACCGATGTGTAGGGGCTGGATGATGGTAGTGATTGCTTGCTTGGACTGGGGGCGAAGTAATTTTGCCATCTGCGTACCAGCTCTGGTCGGCTGTCAGAAAGCTTCAGGATGGCCTGATCGACGAGTCGTGTGGTGAAGGCATCCATAGGGACTCCAGTGGACAAAACAACATCAACCATGTGGGCGAAGCGGACCAAATGAGGAGCGTCCAGAACACTACTGTTGACAATCATTCCGGATTGGACTTGAAGAGCGAGCGTAAGATCATCCACACTGAGCTGAGAAATACCCATTGGGCCGAGGCTAGCGACAGTATGTTCAGCAATGGGGGAAACCAAGCCACCATTCTCAACCATTGACCGGATGAGAGTAATAGCAGCGGAGGACGAGATGATCATGCCGGACTGCATGATGAGCACGCGACCAAGAAGGTCGATGGCTTCGTCAATTTCTTCTCGGACAGGAGCTTGAAGTAGCTGCTGAGCAGGGGCGTCATTCCGAATGCGGTTGAACATTTTGCGTGCTTCCATCAAACCCTCTTCAACATGGCCGCTCTTGAGGAGAGCAACGACGTACATGGTAGTCGGCTGGACTAAGTCCGAGGTTGCCTGATCTAGATTGGTCAGAGTAGCCCAGAATGCCCTTGCAGCCAAGACATTGCCTTGTCTAATGTGCAGCGCCAACATCGGAACAACGGAGCGAATGGCATCCGCTGACTCCGCAATCAGATGATCGTATGACTGAGATGCAACAGCCACATTGCCCGCGTCCGCGGCAGCGACGCAGATGTCTGCCATGGCTCGCTGGAAAGCAGCCCCCTGAAGCTGAGAAGTAGCTTGTTCAATTGCTTGCGCAAAATTTCCAGCATCGAGAGAGTCTTGGACAAGAGCGTTGCGGACAATAATTGACTCCACTGCCTCTAAACGAGACTCACGATCCTCCTTGGCATCTGCGAAAGAGCCGCGAATACGGTCAAGGAAACGCATACCGCCTTCCTTTTTGCCGCAAGATAAGTAGGCACCAACCAAGGCGGCATAGACATCACCATCGCGACGCTCTACAATGCTGAAGATACCCTTGTCATCAGCAACTGCCAGTTCACGGTATTCATTGTAGCACTCAACGGCGCTCTTCAAATCGCCAATACTGGCAAAGGCGCGGATCATCGACGGGAAGATGGCTGCATGAGGGACAAGCTTCTGAGATTCGATGTGAGCATAAATCCTAATCATGTCCTCAACATTTCCTTCCTCAGCACAGCTGGTGATGAGCGATTTGTAAACTTCAATCGGGAAAACCATTTCTTCATGGCGACTGACTGCAGCATCAAAAAGCTTGATGGCAATGCTCAGCGAGTGGTCTTCTGCTACTAGCTCCCTCTCCAATTCGCTCGAGCGAAACAGGAATTTGCCTGGTTCCTCCAAGCCGCCGAATCGTGTACGCTGCTGCTCCAGGGTTACCTTCGCGGCAGAAGTTTCGATAGCTCGCGAGACCAAAAGTGCAATTAATGTCTTGTATGTCTCTTTATTTGGCATCACACGTCGGCGAAGCATATCTGAGTAGACATCGAGGGCCTTGGGCACAGCCTGAGCTGAATCAGTATGTAACTTGATAGCAGCAACTAGCAATGCATTGTATGCCTCCACGGATGGAGTGAGGCCGTCTCTGATAAGATCCTCAAAAGCAGCCGGTATCTCCCCATATTTCTCTGCAATTGCCAGCTGGACTACCTTAGTGGAAGCAGAATGAGACTTCTCTGCGAGTGCGTCGACAGGCTGTTCCGCATCGCCATCTACAATGGCAGAATTCTCGTCGCGTGAAGCCTCCTGGGCACTTTCCTCCGCTTCGGCGTTCTCTTCTTGAATCTGAATCTCGCGTGCAACGGCTTCTTCAACCTTGGCACTCACGTCGACATTGACGGCAGCCTTTTTTAAATCACGTATGCCATCGTGTGCGAATTCATCGTCGTGCTGATCCTTAGTCTTGTCGGGTGTTTCATCCTTTGATTTCCAACCGATACGGCGCTTGAATTGGAATTGTCTCCAGTCACTGTCGTCGCCTGTTTGCTGGGCATGTTGCCAGGCGGCATAGTAGGCCGCTAAGCCGGAGTCGCCTGAGCCCGAGGTCGACTGGCTGGCCTTGGCACCGGCACCGGATGAGCTGGATGTGTTCTGGAAGGCATTCTGGAGTTGGGTGGTGCGAGAATATTTTAGGGAGTGGGTTGCAAGCTGGTTGAGCGAGGTGGAGGGAGTCGAGTAAGTGGATTGGGATGCGGCAACTACCGACTGAGCATAGCCATGGGTGAAGGCTTTTGCGAAGTTCTGGCGCGCGAGATGGGTGAATGGTTTAAAAACCATTTATCTGACCGGGGTCCTCTCCAGGTAGAAGAGGAGACTCTAGATACGGTTAGAAAATAAAGACGAGGATCATTGTGGTAGGAGAATTGTAGTGTAGTAACGTACCTTTGTGAGCAGGGACCAGGAACAATGCAGGTTCATTTGACGACTCGAATGCCGCCAAAGGAACGCGCCAGAAATGAAGAATGATTAAAATAAATAAAGGGTTGGTCACGAATATTGATTGAGTAGTGTGCAGTCCACAGAACCAGCCCGCGACCAAGAGAGGAGAGGGTCGATGAGAAAATTTGATGGTGGAATGGATGTGGATGATCGACCACGTATACACATTACACGCCTCCTGTAGAAGATAGAGGGGATGGGAATGAAAAAATGGAATTGCGAAAGAATGGCATGGGATGCAAAGAGTGTGCGAATGGTAGATGCCTGGCAGCCACAATAGCCTACTAATTTATTCGAGACTGGACGGAGATAGGGAAGCTCAGAGTCGGCGCTCGGGTATCAGTCCACAGTACACAGAGAGCGCGAAAGCTTCGAGAAGGAACAGGAAAGGCTGTGCTCCTCAGATGACCCGCGGTGGAGCCGCTAGGGGAAAGTAGGGAGAGCCCCGGAAGGGCTGCCTGCCTCCGACTGGCGGGCGCCCCGCGGTGCCAATAGGGAGTGGCTTAGGGGAGCCTGGAGGGACGCGAGAGGAATGATTAGGGGCCAATAGGGGCCAATAGGCACTACGGCGAGCTGTGAGTCACTCCTACATTAATCATCACTCCGGCTCTTTTTCTTCTGACACGTCGAGCCTCAGGCCCAGCTGCTACGTACGTCACCATCTTGGCGCGTCTCATTCATAATAATTCGCGCTCACATTGAATATTAACTGGGTGTTATTATGTGTTGATTGCCGCGATTGTTTGCTCAGCATGATCATGCCATGATGTCCTTGGATCATATTTTTGACCAAGCAGCATTATTGGCTGTTCCCAGTTGACGTATCAACTATCACCTATCAACTATCAATTATCAACTTGCGGCAGAACTCCTCAACCATGGCCGGCAGTGATGAGTAGCTATTATTGTGAGAAGAATATGAAGTAATAACAAGAACCGAGCCTTGGAGGAGAAGAAAGGCCTGAAATACTGAGAACATCTGATCTGGCCTGCTAGGGAAATCAAGATGCGGTGCCCAATTCGGCATGGCTCCGAGATCGACCAATGGGGGGCGGCTTCCCACCCCACCTTCCGCGATAAACATTGAAAACTGCTGGTGCTGCTTGCTCTTTCTGCATCAGCGCCGAGCTTGCATTTCGTTTAACCCACAACCTACACCCTACACCCTACACCCTACAGTATTCTAGTGACTGTATAAGCGAGTACAGTAGCAACCCATGGCTGTTCGGCCAGCCGCGACCACTGCCGTGTCGGCTCCAGGCAAGGTGCTTCTCACAGGAGGCTACCTGGTTCTGGATCGAAAGTACTCGGGCACCGTCTTTGCCCTCGATGCTCGCATCCATGCCATAGTGGAGCAGGTTCACCGTGACCGTCCCCCTACCCCTAGCGAGCCGCTTGCCCAGCCACCGGATACTGCGAAGGAGGCTGTGATCGAGGACGAAGAACAGGATAAAAAGGCCCTTGACGGCCCTCCAGAGGAAAGCGTGGTGGTCCGCTCGCCGCAGTTTCGAGATGCTGTTTGGGAATATGCTGTGCAGAGGTGCAAGGATGGAGGCGGGGTAAAGGTTTCACAGAGAAATGACGGGTGAGCTCCCTACCAGCCTGGCTACCGTGTGGATGAACAGGGAATATTCAGTGGTGATCTGTGCTAATTCGGACTAGACCAAAAAATCCATTCGTCGAGACCTCCTTAAACTATGCGTTGACATACATTGGCTACGTAGCCGACTCTCAAGACCTGGGCTCTCTCTCCGTTACGATCCTTGCGGATAATGACTACTACTCGGATACTGGGTTGGGGAACAATGTCGACGTTCGAGCCCGTGGCGGGTTCCGCGACTTTGGCGTTACTCTACAGGATGCCCACAAGACGGGGTTAGGCTCGTCGGCTGCCTTGGTGACTGCGCTAGTATCTGCCCTCGTTACACACCGCACGATGCACCCGGACGATCTGGTAGTTGCTCGCGAGAAACTACACAATCTAGCGCAGGCAGCACATTGCGCAGCCCAAGGCAAAGTGGGATCTGGATTCGATATCGGAGCCGCGGTCTTTGGGTCATGCTTCTACCGTCGCTTTTCCCCTTCAATTCTCGAGAAACTGGGAGAAATTGGCTCCCCGCGCTTTGAAGAAAGACTCTTTTCAACCGTCGAGGACCTAGACCCTACGCAGCCATGGGATACCGAATGCGCGGACGTCGGCATGAAACTGCCGCCTGGCATGCAGCTCCTGCTCTGTGATGTTGATTGCGGATCTCAGACGCCTTCAATGGTCAAGAAGGTGCTCGAATGGCGTAAGCAGAACCAAGACGAGGCAGACCAACTCTGGGATGATCTACAAGCGAACAACGAAAAACTGCGCCACGAACTTCGACGGCTCAGTCACGTCCGGATGAACCCAGGATACGAGGCAGGGATGGAGCCTGAACTTTACAGAAATGTGGGCATCCTGATGCAGCGATCCCGAAGCTATTTGCATGCAATGACGGAAAAATCAAAAGTACCAGTGGAGCCGCGCGTACAAACCGAACTACTAGATGCCGTCTTACAGGTGGAAGGTGTTATTGGCGGTGTAGTCCCGGGAGCTGGCGGTTACGACGCGGTTGCTGTGTTGATCCAGGACGATATTGACGTGGTTAAACGATTACAAGCGCTCTTTGAATCCTACCAAAGTAAAGTTGAAGACGATTTCGGTGGCAAGATCGAACGAGTGCGCATGTTGGGAGTCAGGCATGGATCAGAGGGCGTGAAGAATGAATTCCAAAGCCTAGGGCGGTACTTGACATGGCTGTGATGGAACCACCTGCCTGATGCGTCTCACCATCAGCCGGAGTTCGCCACTCGCCTTGCACTAAAATATTGCTAGATATGCATTTTAAGAACTTCATGACTGACGATGACATAATACAAATCAGGTGATTACTGATGAGATAAAGTCTCCACCTGAGGACGATTGCCTAAATTGCTTCAGCAAGAATAATGAAGCATGAATAGTTGAACATTGACTAGACTACAGTGCAGACACCGGCGGCGACTGCCGCTATGCTAACGCGATATTATTTGCCATTGCGTAATGGACTTGACAGCAGGCCAGTCCACATGTCACGTATCTCGAGGCCATTCTTATCCACCCAGCCCGTTCTTATTTCTCAGCAGCAGCGACAAGATCGAAAGATGCCGAGACGAAAAGCTTAATCGAGAGCACAGACATCGTCAAGCAATTTTAGGAACAAGTAACTAACATTTCAGTATTAACCATGGAAAAATTTGAATAGTAGAATAGTACTACCCTATACGTAGATACTAACTGAATTAATACCAATACCAAGCCTGATACTAAGCAATTAGGTGGCCTTGCTCGAGCCTCGCTGTGCAGTGCTGCGCAGATTAAATACCAACGAGCGGCCAATGACAGCCGACCGATCTGGCCAGGACTCAGACTCTCGCGTTGTCCTGCTCTCCTTCATCCTTCCATCCTTCCAGTCCTGCTTGATTTCTCCGCTATTATTATTTCCTCTCCAGCAACTACACTCGTTCCTCCAGCACTGCTCCAGAGCTTTTGGCATATATCACGCGTATTCATTGCCAATCGTCCCACTTGCCCTGCGGCCGGCCCAGTGGGTGCAGAACGGGTGCAGAACTGTCTCGATCATTGGTATTATTGGGTCTCGGCACCGCACCGTTGCCTCTGTACCGCAGCCTCTAGCAGCGAGCACCCCGGATTATTCGCCGCCCTGCTAGCTATCTATTGTCTATTACATTGTTACTATTCTTACCACCTCCATCCTCTTCTCCGCTCGCTCGCGTACCCGTCAATTCGACGGCCGTACCCTGAAGTTTTCACTGGCATCTTTTAAATGAAATAAGGGCGGGCTGAGCGATCACGATGGCATCAACCGAGAACGTGCCACCCGCGGCTCCTGACGCTCCCGAGCCTAGCGAATCAGCAGCAGCAGCTACAACAGCGGCAGACAAGTCCTCTCAATCGCACAACGATGAGAGCGCAGTCGAGGATGCCTCTGTGCAGAACACCAGCGCCGACCACCCCGACTCTCTCCCGCCCAAGCCAACCTCTGCCGAAGCGATGGGTGACAATGCCACCGCGCCAGAACCCGAACCAGCTCCAGAACCGGCAGCTGAACCAAAGACCGGCGAGGAGCCCGCTGCAGTGGCCGTCACAGAAGGCGAGACGACTGACCAGTCCGGCAAGGAGGAAGACAAGAGCGACGGCGGGCCAGAACTCGCGATCACGTTATTGTTGACCACGGGCGCTCGGCATCCATTCAAGATCGATGGGAAGTATTTACGGCGCCGCAGTGTGAATGTGGAGAATGATGATCCGTTCAATCTAAGCGTGTATACGCTGAAGGAGTTGATATGGCGAGAGTGGCGGCCAGGTAGGTTGTCTAAATTGCACTGTATGTGTGCATGAACACTGATGATGAGATTGTCAGAATGGGAACCGCGGCCGACGTCGCCGAGCTATATTAGGCTGATATCGTTTGGAAAGTTGTTGGATGATAAGTCGCCGCTGACAGGTTAGTTTTTTCTCTTTTATTTTTTAAACAGTTGTGATAGCATAGGCTAACCCCTGCAGAATCGAGTTTGACTACCGATACCCCCAATGTCATCCATATGACCGTCAAGCCGCAGGAAGTCGCGGACGAGGAAGACACCAAAGGCGGCAAGTCATACTCGGGTCGAGACCGGGATGCATCAGAACGGAGCCCGAGTTGTCGCTGCGTTATCTTATGATAGCATCACATCACTGGATACTGATACTCATTCACTTTGACAAGAACACCTCTCCTTAAGCACCCTACCTCCCTCGTCTTGTTTCATTCTATCCATGATATACCCTTGTCTTTTTCTTACAATTTCAACAACGTTCATCACACATCCCCGCATCACTTTGTCGAGAATGGACCATTGACCATTCTCCTCTCTCGTCTGTCATGTTACTGTCCTTCATTTGGTGTAAGGTAAATCGGCGTTATATCCATTCTTATTCACTATCATATGGTTTTCTCCTTTTGACAGGGTTACTTATATCGTTCATCTGGTCATGACAGTTACATTTTCTAGTTATATATCAATTGATTAAGATGATTATTACATAACTAGTGATTATATGATGGGCTCGTTACTAGGTTATTTCCAGTTGCACATATCGACGCTTTGGTTGGGATATATTTATATACGAATGATTCTATAGCTAGTTCACGTATTGTATGGATGAGCATTGAATTATTGTGGTATTGAATTGTTGTGTGGTCTTCGTAGTATACACCTGAATTCTTAATCTTCAACTGATCACGCAGATACATGAGTAAGAATTGAAAGAACAATGTCTCGAACCGAATAGTCTAGCCCATTCATCCTCACATTCCAGTTCCTACCCTACCAATCCATCTTCAACCTCTTCTCCATCTCATCATGGAACGCTGGTGGTTCACGGAACTCATCATCTACAACAATTAGCGCCTCCCCTCCCAAAAAAAAGGAAAAGAAGAAAGACATACTATGAAACACATCCTCCCAGCTCACTTCCGCATCCCGTCCACCCAACGCCAAAATATCCTGATGCACATTCCCTCTCGGCCCTCCCAGCGCCAGCGGCACAAAACTCGAGTCTTGGACAATCTTCATCTCCATGCCGCGACGAATCGGCTCCGCCATGCCGTACGCACGCCTCAGGGACTCCATTTTCAGTGCTTCTTGTGTGCTGCGCCATGCTAGTAGGCGGGCTTCGAGAGGGTGCGCGGAGGTGGGGATTGTGCTGGCGTTGAGTGAGGGCGAACCCCGTGGTGCTTGCGCCGTGAGGTTGTTGCGTAGGGTGTCTGGTAGACCGGGTGCCGATGGGGCTCCTTTACTGGGATGGGGCGCCTGGAGGCCATTGTGGTGCCGGCCGACGGTGTTGTCGGTGTGGGTGGCGTGAGAGGTTGCGGGGGCGATGCGGAGGGACTGAGGTGAGTTCAGTGATGGTCGTTTGGAGAGAAGAGATAGGTTGGACTTACCATCGTGAACGATTAGGACGATGATTAGGACTAGGACGCTGGTATGGTGAGGGGTTATGGGTTGCAGCAGAATATGTAGATCTCGGTATGACAGCCTAGATATGGAGATCTCAGATATGCTCCTGAGAAGAGAAGATGGTGAGAGAGTATGGATTTGCTTGGAGGTGATAGAGCTATGGAGGCGAGCTCAGGCAGACGTTACCCGCGCGTCAAGCTCGCCCGGCACTCCGCAGCCACCTACTGCGCAGCATGCCACGTGACTCCTGCCGAGCTAAATACTATCGGAACTAGAAACATAATTTTGATCAACCACGCCTCTCCTCTCGAGCGAATTGAATTGACTTGCCGCCAAACATGTCGGCAACAATCTGCTCGCGGGGTTCTATCCGCAATGTCACACACATGCTTCAATCAATGACCGTACACGCCAAACAATCAACCCCATCCTCGCTCCGACATTTCCATTTCTCCTCTACTCGATTCACTCCCATCCTCCATCCTACACTATCCAGAGCAACACCACCACGCCTACCACACCTACCACGCCACACCCGCTTATTCTCCGCAACATCCTCCTCCCAAGCAACATACAACCAAGTCCGGCGCGGCTGCCGCAAAGAACAACGCGCGCGCCGGCGCCGCTCGCCCGCGCTCTCCAACCGGCCCGAACTAAAAGGAGTCTGTCTTAAGACTGGAATCACGAAGCCGAAAAAACCGAACTCGGGGGAACGCAAAACAGCGAGGATTAGATTGAGTAGTGGGCGTGTGGTGACGGCGTATATCCCCGGTGAAGGGCATAATGTGCAGCAGCATAGTGTGGTGATGGTACGTGGGGGAAGAGCGCAGGATTGTCCTGGTGTTAAGTATCATCTTGTTAGAGGGGCGTTGGATTTGGTAAGTTTATCGATTATACAAGAATTGGATGGTGTGATGGGTGAGGCTAATGAGTGTGTAGGGAGGTGTTGCGAATCGGTTGACGAGTCGGTCCAAGTATGGTACGAAGAAGCCAAAGGCGGACTGAGGGTTAATAGGGAGATAGATGTTATTTTGTTGTATTATAGTGCATTAGTTTGTTTCGATTGCATTTGTTTATTTGGGAAGGTCTCTGAGTTATATTCCTAACGCTTTTAACATTGAATTTCAGACCCAGGATAAACATGTAACGCCAAACCCCTTTCAAACAATCCTATCCTTCTGTAGAAATGTACGAGACAATTGATAGTCCACGTGAACCACATATTAGTAGATACAAATACATATATATCCCCGCAAGAACCAATTCAAACGCCTCAGAACAACCATAAGTATATCACTCGTTTCAAAGACAATGAGTAGGTGATATGTGATAATGACTTTTTCGTTTTCTGAACGTGCAAAATAAATAATGGAGGTATCCTACTTTCTCTCGCGAAGGCGAAAGTCTGTTAAAGAGAAAATCCCAGTTGATACGTGCTGGGTTAGCCGTTGCTGTCGTCTACGAATCCCGTACGCAGCGGCGAGTACGATTGTAACGACCAATACTGAATAACCCACAATCTTCAAGGCGTCGGCTAGTCACTCTTCCTTTTCGTAGCCTTCTGGTTTGGGAATATTATTAATCTGGAAATAGCGAGATGTGCCTACCAGGGTTAGCGTTAGCTATGCTTGTGAACAAATTTACCACGGCAGTCTTACAAGAGTAGCCTTTCCAGTCAAAGTTGTCGGAAGGATTGCAGTGACATTTTAGGTCAAGTCGGGTCTGTTCACCAGTCGGGCAGTGGGTGAATGGCACATGATAGTACGCGATTTCGTTGAAGAAGTGGATTTCTTCTTTTTTCAAAAGAAGACCCGCAGCGATCGAATGGACTGGCGCGTCACCCCATCGCTCATAGAAGAACCCGCCATCTTTATCGAGGGAAGTGAAGTAATCGATATAAGCATCGGATCGCAGCCATTCCAGACTACCGACCTCGAAGTTGGACCACTAGAAGGGATAGTAAGCACACCAAATCATCAGCTAGAAAATGAAATACTCACGAAATGGCACTTGTTGTACGTCTTTCCGCCGTCGTCGCTAAGGAACCCCATCGAGTTATCTTCGGCGATATGTTGGGGATTAGCCGAGGCGAACTTCTGGACACTGTCCCAGAGAGTCGGAATGGTCTCGAAGTATTCGTACAAGCTGAGCACAAAGCTGTACTTTTTGTTGTTCTCCTTCATGTATCGGAACGGATCAAACGAGATGTCGCAGAACAATTGAATGCTGGGCTCAACACGCCAGTAGTACTCGTAGTTGAGCATCAACTCATGGCGGAAAAAGAAACCGGACTCGTAGCGGCACATGTGTCGGTAGCTCTCAGAGTCTCCGTAGATGATTTTGCGCTCCTTCATGTCCTCGCGCACTTTCTTGGCCTTGTTTTGATCAATCCACTCGGGATACGACCAATGGTCCTTCGGGATCAGTCCATAATGGGTCTTTCCAGACACCAAAGAAGTCGTGATCTTCTTGAAAGTGTCGTCAAACGGTTGGTCGTTCAAGAAAACCCAGTCGTAGTGGTGGTTGCGATTGAAGCGATCCTCTACCTGCCGGATCGACTTGGCGATCTCCCAAATATCATTATTTCGGGCAAGCGTCACAAAAGTCGCATTGATACGGTCGCCAGAAGGCGTCAACTCCGGGGGCCGGGAGACGACTGGACTTTGGTGCGAGGTATCGATTGGCTTCGATTCCGTGGATTCCGTGGATTGTTTTCCCTTGTTGAGGAGAAGCGCAGATTCGTATTTCTCAGGCAGAGGCAGCGACGATCGTGAAATGAAGCCTATAATTGCCAGTCCCTGAAAACGGAAGTTATTAGCCTGGTAGTATACCAAAACAGAATAAGCGGCTCACAAAGACAGCAAACAGCAGATAACGAATATATCGACCGGAACTCGAAGACATGGTGAAAGCGATTCCAGGCGAACAGCGAGGTAGGCAGCAGTCAATTTAGAAAAACATCCAATGTTGCGTGCCTCTATAGTTTATGATGTGGCAACCATGTATCGCCGTGATAGAAGATGCGATGAAGATTAAACGAGCGACTGTTGGAGGCTAGACTTTGATAGCAGATGGTCCTTTGTAATGGAATTCTTCGTAGTCTTGTCCTGTGCTCTGGTGGACGATCGTCGACAGGTTGGTGAAACGAAAGACCGTCAGACAGACAATCAGGAAACAACGATGTTGGAGCCACCAAGGCAGTGGCAGCTGTTGGCGTTCAAGAAATCAAAGCAAGAAGAATTTGAATTTCATCGGGACTGTTGGTGATTACATGCGTGGCCGCGGCTGAAGTGTAAAGTCCCCGTGCTAATAAATATTAAGATAGGTGTTAGGTATACGATGTACTAGCAGGCGGCCCACGTAATCGCCACGAGGCCGCATGCAGTAAGTAGCTGAAACACGCTACATGCCTTTGTTTCCAGCCGCTCTGAAAACACCTGACGATTGGGTTCAATCAAAGTAATAATAATCATCATCATTGATGGCATATTCTATATTCTATATTCTATTATTTTATATTATTCTGCTTTCATTACAGTACTGTCTTTGCACAGCTATTCATGTATAAATAGAGAGAGCCTCAAAGCCTAATGTTAAAGCATTAGGAACGTGATACTGCAATTATACTAATACTAAAGATTTGTTTACTGGCACGTGAGGTTAACAGTTTACCTTAGTATTAACATGTTAAATGTGTTAATCTGTTAATTATAAACAAGTGAGGAGAGTATAGGGTGCACACTTCCGCGTTGCTGCGTTGCTGCCTCAGGCATCCTGAAACACAGGCCACAGTGAAAAGCCCGTCGCGGATACCTGCTCAGACCTGCAGCATATTATTGCGATAACTCCACACTAACTGCCACGCCACCCCTCACCCTCACGGCGCTGGCCTCGGTGCTCTTCCTCGCACCACTTCCGACTGATTCTGTCTCGCCTTGTGTGCAAAAGCTTCTGACGATGTCATTCTTCGGTTTTGATACGTCTCTTCCACGAGATCGCCAGGCTGGCCAACAGGCTCGAGGTATCTTTGAAAATCCAGATCCGTTTGCCGAAGTCGCCCGTGCTCAGGCTCAGGGTCTGCACGACGCAGATGACGATGCGTGAGTTGTCCTATCTAGAGAGGTGTATTAAAGTGTTCGCTTTCTGAGACTGGTGGCCAGAATTGACTTCGAGGATACCTACGATGGGTTGGGTGACCAGCTGGACGATGACCAAGATGAGTTCAACGATGATACCTTCGGCGGCGGTAACAACACCGTGGGAAAGGATTTTGATTTCTTCGGAACGACCGCGCAGGTTTCTGATGCGATTAACGAAGAGCAAATTCGCTATACTCTGCAGCACCCTAAACCATCCGCCCCGCTGTCCCCTGGCGCTGGCCAACGGCAAGCGCCTGCAGTAGCATCTATTCCTCGGCTACCAAAAAAGTCTGGGTATGAGAGATACCAAGACTCCGAGTTTATTCCGGAGATAGCAGCCAAATCGAGCGTATGGGGAACAACTGCGCAAAAGAAGCACGTGGCCGAGCCTGCGCCTGTTGCTTCTATGCCAGCCGCGTCGCGAAAGATGATGAGTTTGGAGGAAGTTGAAGCTCAAATGCGACACCAACCGCAGCAATTTCCTCACGCTACACTCCCAATAGCTCCCCATCCCGATGTAGTTCAAGGAGTACCCCGTGGCCAGAAACTACCGCCTTTCCCTGAAGGGTTCCCCCCCCTTCCACCCGGGGAGTTGATGGCCTTGGAGCAGCAAGCTTTAGCCCTGGGAATAAGCCCAATCCAGCTACTGCAGAGACTACAACAGATGCCCCCGAACAAATGTTCCACGGGCCTCCTCCCGGACATCCATCAGCACCTTTGCAGCCATTGCCCCGACAGCCACCTGCCGCTCCCCAGCAACAGCGCCAACCTCCACCGACACACAGGCAGCAGCAGCATGCCCCTTCAACCTCACAGGGCGCACCAGTTATCACTGATCCGCAGCAGCTGATGAACATGTCAGAGGAACAGCGTGTGAATTATTTAATGGAAGACGCAAAACGTGCCAAGCGCAATCACAAGATTTTCCTTCTTTCCCGTGGCAATGGGTTGATGACACCCCAGGACAAGAACTTCATCACTCGAATCCAGTTGCAGCAGCTCGTAGCTGCTACTGGGAATGTAAATGATACTGATTCTGAGTCATTATTGTCAGAGGACTTTTATTATCAAGTCTATAGTCAGATACGCGGTGCTCCACGTCAACATCCACGCCAGCCTCTAGGCCATTTCGCACAAACATATCTTTTCCAAACTGGAAATCGCACAGGTGGTCATGGCCGTCGACAATATCAGAATGCGGATAACCATATGCAGCGTATGCAACAGCAGGTACAACGAGCTGTTGAGGCGGCCAAGGCAAAGCCGAAAAACAAGCAGCTCATCATTGAGGGAAGTTTGGGAAAAATATCATTTAGCAACGCCAAGACGCCGAAACCATTGCTGAATATAAAGAAGCCAGAGGGCTCCGACGGGCTCAAGCCTAAACGAGCAACGGCAGACCTCAGCGCCATTGACAGGAAGTCCGTTCTGAACAACATCGAGAGTGTTTACACAATTTTAATGCAGATGGAAGACCTCGAGCGAACAATGCCCCCGCCCCCAGAGGAAGGTGACGCTGAGTCCATTGAGAAACACTTGGAATGGAGACAAAAAATGCAAGCTCTGAACCAAGAGCTCTGGCAAGACATGAAGGTTCTTGAACCTATTGTACCAGGTTCTACGGTACCGCATCCCTTTATTGCTTTCTTGTCTTATCCGAAGGGCAAGAAGGCCATTCCCCGTCTTTTCCGTCAAATTGATCAGGAACAACGTGTCACTGTATTGACTATGATTGTTGTTAACCTCGATACTCTTGATGTGGTCCGCAAAGGTCAATTAAACACTGGAGAGACCCAGCTACCGGCAGCGGCTCGGGAAGATATTGAACTATTTTCTCAGACTGTCATGCCAAGCTTACTTGGTTATGTCAATGAGGCGCCGTTTAACATCATTATTGGCCTCTTAGGTTTAGTGCTTGCTCAAACGCATGTTCTTTTTGTGGCTAAAACCAGGGTTGGTTTGGGTATCATGACCATGCTCCTCAGTCGCGCAGAAATCGTCAAGGAGGCAGGTCAAGCTGATGAGCATGACTGGCAACAATGGATTGAAAAGTTCAACCAATTATTTGACTCTTTGGAACCAGGATTGACCCATATTTTTCCGGGTTCCATCAATACTGGAGACGATATGTATGTCTGGCAATTCTTGGCGGCGGTGGGCATCGGAGCAAGCCCAGACCAACAGCAACGGCTTGTGATAGCTGTTAAGTAAGTTTTTCTCTTCGTTTTTATTCTTTTGCTACGTAGCTAATGCTTTACGTAGGGACCGTGTCATGGAAACCGTTGCCCAGAGTAAGACTCTCCCGGCTGATATGGCGAGTCAACGGTTGAGCAACGTCAACCTTTTTATGCGAGCTATTGGCCTCGATGTAGAGCTTCTTGGTTGATGTTGCTATTTAATCTCATGTTTCATCTTTTTTATTCACCGAAAGAAGCCCCAATATTTTTCAAAAACCACATCGGATGACGACGTTGGATGAATGCTAGTATTACTAGCGAAGTGATGAATGTGGAATTGAATGAAGATGAATCGCCTTGACAGGCTGCACAATTATGGCCGTATCTGTTTGGGGATTCGGCCGATGACTATGGTGCCACTATCCATGTACCATACAACAGAGCTTTCAAACCTAGATCTATGCGCAGCCTAGCGGACATTTATTGACAGAGGTTTGATGAGATATATGGAGGAGGTTTTGCAGTTGCGCCGAACTACTATAAAAAGCTCTCTCATACTGCTCTTACTGTGACTCGACTATGTCGATTATATGCATAAAACCGGCGGTCAGACGCTTGTTTTATCAAGATTCTGTTGGAAAAGAAGACAACAAATAATACATTCAATACCACACATGGAGATCATAAAGTAGTAGCAGATTGTTTAATGTAAACCTAAGAACTATCAAAGAGATACTCTATAATGGCCACTAATTACCTCTATATTGAAACAGATTATCGTCTCCAATTGTGTGATGGTCTCAGTAAATTAGCCCCAAGTTTACTGGTACAAAACCAGCCACGCCTCACACTGTGTGCAATCTCAATGGCAAAATATTTCCCTGCATCCACTTGGTGCCTCCAGTGGCATCCACCATCGGCTGATCGTCATGAGGTCTTGTCAAGTCGGGAGTTTCAAAGCGCCTCGTGTTGCCGATCTTGCTTGAATCGAGATGCACGAGAGGGATAATCCAGGACAGCTCATTGTCGTTCAGTATGAAGTGTGCTGTCCGCTGTTTGTGCGAGGAGGGGATCCGTCGCTACATATCAGATGTGCTCTGTGCGACTTTTGCATCAATAAGAAGCCAGTTCTCGGTGCAATAATACTAAGATCCATAACATTTCGACTAATTCCTGGCACGTCATTATTCTGTTCGCTGTCAGCGTCTGTGCCGCGCCGTGTAAACTTTAGCGCTGTCATTTTCACCGATATTTAATATTTGCCCCGCCATATCGATGCGATACCAGTCCGCTGCTGCTGCCCCGCTCCATTTATTATTATTATCATCACTATTGTTGCGGTCTGCTCCATCCTCAATTTCTCCAGTCCACCCCCTTGCTTCAGCTTCTACGTTTCTTTAGAATTACCGCCGAGATCAATTCGCAAAAATGTCTGTTGGATCAGTTCTCGTTACTGGGTAAGTTGTATATGTTGAATAACTCCCGCCGCCACTCACCTCCTGACTCGACAACAGAGGAACAGGCTACATCGGGTCCTTCACGACCCTCGCCCTGCTCGAAGCTGGCTACAAGGTCGTCATTGCCGACAACCTCTACAATTCCTCGGCCGAGGTCATCAACCGCATTGAATTGATCTCCGGCAAGAGGCCCGAGTTGTTCCAGGTCGACATCACCGACCCTACCTCCTTCGACAAGGTCTTCGCTGCGCACCCCGACATCGACAGCGTCATCCATTTCGCGGCTCTCAAGGTAGACCCAAATCAATTCCTCACTATATAGTTTACACTAAACCATTGCGCTTCTTATAGGCTGTCGGTGAGTCCGGCGAGAAGCCCCTCGACTACTACCACGTCAATGTCTACGGCTCCATCAACCTGCTGCGCTCGATGCAGAAGCACAATGTCTACAACATCGTCTTCTCCAGCTCTGCGACCGTCTATGGCGATGCCACTCGCGTCCCCAATATGATCCCCATCCCAGAGGAGTGCCCTCTTGGTCCCACCAACCCCTACGGAAACACCAAATTCGCCGTTGAGACTGCCATTACAGACTTCATCAACGCCCAGCGGAATAACCTTACTAAGGCTGGCAACACTGCCGAGGCCGAGAAATGGAACGGTGCCTTGCTCCGCTACTTCAACCCCGCTGGTGCCCACCCAAGTGGTATCATGGGCGAGGACCCCCAGGGTGTTCCCTACAACTTGCTTCCTCTTTTGGCTCAGGTTGCCACTGGCAAGCGCGAGAAGCTTTTGGTCTTTGGTGATGGTGAGAATTAAAAGATTAAAAGAAAAGGAAATGGTTCACTGCTAATTAATTTCCAGACTATGCTTCGCATGATGGTACTGCCATCCGTGACTACATCCACATCTTGGACTTGGCCCAGGGCCACTTGCTAGCCCTCAACTATCTGCGCTCCAACCACCCCGGTGTTCGCGCCTGGAACTTGGGAACTGGTCGCGGAAGCACTGTGTACGAGATGATCAAGGCATTCTCGCGCGCCGTTGGCCGCGACTTGCCCTATGAAGTTGCTCCTCGCCGTGCCGGTGACGTTCTTGATCTCACATCTAACCCGGCCCGTGCTGGCAAGGAGCTTGGCTGGAAGACCGAGCGCACTCTTGAGCAGGCCTGCGAGGACCTTTGGCTGTGGACCAAGAACAACCCTCAAGGCTACCGCCAGCAACCCCCTGCCGAGCTGCTTGCTGCTTTGAAGAAATAAGTCCCTTGCCTTGGTATATGTGAGAAGTACTGTAAATATCCATGCAATATGCAGTACAAACAGATTAATGATGCAGTAAAAGAATTTTATCTATAGATAGACCGAATGAAACCCACTGTTCTGATAATTTAGTTCTAATTTAGCTGTGCTATAACCCATATGCGATGCTTTGATTCGGATGCTTTAATTTTGAGTGTTATTGGCCTTCCTGTTCCTTCTCGACCCAGGTGTCTGTGCCTTTGTAACATTGGACGACGATGCTGAGGAGTCCCCAGCACCCACGCCTGGATTTGAAGCCTCTTGTTTTTTCTTGGCCTCGTCTTCCTTTTTCGCCAACGCCCGTTTTGTCGCCGCTTCTTTTTCCTTTGCTTGAATCTGCTGTTCGCTGAATTCCCAGAGCTGTTTGGCAACTTTTTCGTCCTTGACTTCCTTACGCATGTAGTCGACTTCGCGACACTCTTTGACTAGCCATCCACCTATCCCATCGACTCTACCGAATTTCCCATCCATAGCTGCATACAGGAAACTCTGTGCTCCTTGTTGCGAGGACTTCAGGATGAGCCACCATACTGGCCATGTGACAAGATAAACTAAAAGACCCCAGAGAGTCCCTCCCGTAATCCAGCGTCGCGTGCCTGGCGTACGGCTGAAGCCAGGGTCGACGATGATAACACGGGCATTCATAGGCTGCAGATCTGGTCGTTTGTACGAAGAAAGATGTTTCTGGAAAGCCTGTGCGAATACCATCAACGAGAGCTTTGTCATGCCGTATATGCTCGACGCATTCTTTGCCTTCTGAACCGAACTGCCTTTTTTTGCTTTCTTTGTCGTCGACCGGCTCGTCGATTTCGTGTCTGGTAATGCCCCCTCTGTCCGCTGCAAATCTATCGTGCCGCCCATATAACTCGAGCAAGTACTGAAAATAATCCGGACGTCTCTATCAAACGGCTGCGCCTTGATGGCCGGACTTAGGATGCTGAGGAGATGGAAATTGGCTAGGTAATTCACCTGCCACTCCTCATCCAGCCCATCGGGCGTCAGCCGCTGTGGGCCGCGTGTTGGTGTGAGGGTATTGGCGCAGAGAATGATCATATCGAGACGTCGCGGTGGTGCATTGTCGACCCATTTCGTTGCGAACGTTCGGATTGAGTGGAGAGATGTTAGGTCAACTTGTTCGGCGTAGATAAGTTCGTTATTGGTCGATTCGCGCAAGTCCTCGATGTACTCGACTAGGAACACGTCGGAAGGTGCGTGTTGTGTGAGAAGGATGATCTGGGCACCCCGCGAGGCAAGGTCGTGCACGATTGCGGCTCCGATTCCAGATGTTCCACCCTGTGAAAGTCCGCTGTTAGTCATTTTCTATATTTACTTTTGCTGTGTTGCAGAGGGCGTACCGTCACCATAACCACCTTCGAGTGCATCAATCGTTCGGAGGTGTTGCGAGCTCCGCTGAAGAAGTACTTCAGCAGAGCCACCGTGCCGACGACCAGCGCGACCTTGATGACTGTCCATGCGTAGGGGATTGCTGACAGTCCTTCGGTCACGCCATGTGATATAATGGGAATCGGCATTGTGATGTTTGCGCCATGTCAATAGTTGTAGCTTACTATGAGACTCGGGCGATGATGCAAGGCCGAATACATGTTTGTATTGTTTGCATCATCCACGATGTAGAATAGCCAAGCCATCTCCAACTTTCTTATACTTGGCTGATACTCAGATATTTACACAATTCATCTCGGCCGTAAAGAAAATGGGCTACTCAAAATTGACGTTCTAGCTTCCCTCTTGACATATCAATACGATGGATGAGAGTTTGAGACGAGTTTCCAGTTCTATGCTTGCGAGTTTTCGTATTCCTTCTTATGTACCGTTTTCAACGATTTCAATTTTCAAGTTTCAGCCAATCTTCCCTTGACATTGGAGGCGTGCTATATGAGAAAGCAATCCCATGCGGCGAGAATTCATCATTCAACTTATCCAAACGGTCCCAAGGATAGCTGTCCCTGGTTGCGGAATTCGGCTCAGGAATAAAACGAATTCTGATTTCTTTCAGTGACGCTCGTTTAGCCACTGCTGCTTCCGCGAATGTTCGAAGCCATGCTGCCTCTCTTTCTCCAAACTCGGACCATTCTTCGGGGTATCCATCATAATTAGCAAAACACCATCTGAAAATCTTTAAACGTGGTCCTAGGAGTAATTCTGCAGCGTTATCATGAGAACCCGAGTTTTCATCCAATTGACGTTTCAATTGATATTTCGACAAGGTCAAGCTTTCCAAGGCTTCGAATTCTGACAAATCACATAGCTCCCCCAAGCCATGAAATACCAAATTACCTATATCTAGCACCTTGAGACTTTTCCTGTGCTTAAAGAGCATCGTCCGAAGCACCATAAGATTAAGTTCAGGTACAACTTCCTGGAAACTCCGAATAACGCATTCGGAGAGAGCGTCTGGCCAGGCTAGAAGCTTCCCTATAGCTTCAGAAGTGCCTTGGTAGCCACCCAGGTGTAGATTTGTGAAGGTTGCTGCCTGGATACCCTAATAATCCATTCCATCAGCGATCAACCCATAACAAAGCCAAAGGAAGATGCCAAGTTCCATAAAGGTGTCAGGGATGAGTAGCTATTTACCCCTAATATATGAAATGGGGAGTCCCTTCGTGAAGTGATGCCAAAGGCCTTTAAATACTTAAGCGTGGGTACCTGTAGCCCCATCATGATATCGGCCAGTTCTAAACCGAATTTTGATTGTCTACGCAACTCCACCTCTTCAAGACGTGGCATGTGTTTCGTGCAGCTCCGTATGAGATTCCAGGTATCCGTCTTATCATCTGGGCCAAACCCTCCAGAGACGTACAGCGATTTAACGTTTGACAGAAAAGGTATGATCTGCTCAACAAAGTAGAAATCATCTTCGGGTTCCGAAGTCCTTGTGTCAATCTTGAAAATCCTCAACTCATGGCAGTAACGGCCAAGTGAGGGGTCTTCCTGGAATGTACGAAGCAGCTTCCTCACTGAGATGCTTTTGAATTTGGTACTCAAACGATCGATTCGTATGGTGTGGTAGCTAAAGGGTATGATGATGCGACTAAAACGTCTGCATGTATATGCAACAGCTGGAATTTTAGCGGTTATATAAGAAACATATCGATATTGCCATTCGTCAGTGTCATTAACAATAACAAGCTCGAGTATCCTGCTTAGCAGTTCGTCTGGCAGGCTAAAGATAAACGGCGCACGAGGGATGCCGTCGCTGGGATCTTGATCGATAGGACTGGAGATATCTCTGGGAGGCTATTTTATCAAAATTAGGCCTTGGTCAGATCTTGAATTGGCTTGGTGGGAGTTATGAGGGTCTGACAATTGTCCATCTGACTTCCATTGCTTCTACCGTGCCTGTGTAACAGGGCGATGTTAGTTACTTTTCAAATTATGGCGATAACATTATGAGTCATAATGTCCTCTTCCTAATTACCAGAACAGAGAGTAATTCTTTTATAAGTGTTTTCTATTATGTTGTCTTCATTGAAGTTCACACTGTGTTTTTTTGTAGTGTCATTTTCAATTAGGTCGTCTTTAGTACTTTACGCTTTACCGTACATGGAAAGGGGCTTATATAGATCCACGAATGATAAGCCTCAACTAAGTGTAGTGGGTGGTTACTCTTAGTATGTCAAGCTCAAAATGAATAGAGTCATGAATCAGTTAAATTATCCGGTTCTCGCCGCTGGATACTAGATATAATACTCTCAGTTGTGTGTGAGACGCATATAAATTATTCTTTAACAACTCGATCATAGTTATCTTAGTTTATTGGTAATTATGAAGGCGAGAAGAATCTTCTCAAATGTCCTTCTGTAGGGAATTTCTATATGCTGGGTAGTAGTATATGATACATAAGTGTGCTTTCAACGATTTGGCTCGAAAGGCCGTCGAATTCAGGCGCTATCCTCAACAAACCCGATTTGATCAAGTGCTGAATCCTTATTGATCATGGAAATGAAAAGTCCGTAAGGAAGGAATGTGTTACAAAGCCAACTAAGAGTAGAAGCCTGCCCGCGTCGAATAAAAGGGCCGCTCCCATTGAGGACGTCGTCGACTACGTTCTTGGCTGCCACGCTGATATTCTGTTTGTTGGGATGTACCATAGTCTTTTTGTGGCGATCTATGACTGCCGTTATTTTTCGGTAATACGAATTTAGGGGCAGCTCAAGGTCTGCAATATTAGCAGGGTCGTTTCCGCTTGTCTGGACACCGCCAAGAATAACTGTGACGACTCGCACGCCTAGAGGTGCCATCTCGAGGCGCAACGTCTCGGAAATCCTTGTTTCAGCACTCCTTGAGCTGCTATATACACCTGTATCGGAGTAAGCATCAAGGTCTGGGGAGAGATTAGAGTCAGGACGCACCCGCCCATGCAAAGACCATTTCGCTAGACACTGAGCTGATATTGCACATGATCCCTTTGGCCTTAATGAGTAGTGGTGCAAACGCCTGCGCCATGGCAATAATGCTCCAGACATTTGCGTCGTATACCTTCTTGGCATAATCGAGGGACGCGTCTAGAAGTGGCACTATGGCATTAACGCCGGCATTATTAACGAGGATGTCGAGTGTCCCTCCTGTGCGTTTCGTAATAGTATCGGCACATTGACGAATAGACTCGACTGATGTGACTTCAAGCTCGACGATTTCTATGCCATCAATTTCACTCAAAGATCCAGCTTTAGCCTTGTTGCGTAGTGTTGCGAAGACCCGGAAGCCTTTCGAACGGTAGACCTTAGCCATTTCGGCCCCCAGCCCTCCATGGCTGCAACCGGTGATCAAAACCGTTTTAGTCATTCCAACGCTTGATGATGGTATGAAAAATTGATCGTATATAAATACGTAGTTGGGGGCATGGCAGGAGACCCATGCAAGGCTTCATTTATACATGACACAGAAGGTCACTTTGATTGGAATAAACGGATTCCGGACACTCAAATCCGTAAGGAGATTGTGATGGAACATAACAACTCGTATTCCATCCTCGGTCAACAAATCAAAACTGCTAGACAGTACCGTATTAGAAAATGTTTACTCCATAGCAGATAATTTTGTCGCCAATTCTTCTGTTGGTTCTCCGAATAGGAGTGGCTGTACGGTATACGGACGAAATTCCGGTGGGAGTCCCTCCGCTTCCTCCGCTCCAGCGACTCGACTTTGTACAAGTGCTCATAAACTGAAAAGCTGGGTCAGCCAGCAAATAGTCATACCTCCAAACATAGGAATTATTTTTTTCACAAGTAAGCCACATTCCGAGCTCATTCCTAGCGGCTCGCCTCTGGGGGAGGATGTTATCTCCCCTGAATTCAAGTGAATACCGGCGCAACCGACGAATTGAAATCACAGTTCTCTAGTCTTGCTAGTCTCTTTGACTGGACGCTGGCACCGACTTAGCCACGTAAACGAGAAGAACCAATCTGCGCCGGGAATTCATATTACCAATCTTGATAAGTAATTTCGATTGAGTTCTCATAGAGGTTTATATAAGTGTGCGTTCTGTTTCCAAGATGGAAGCGGAGCACATTTTTATGTAGTGACCGTGCCAAATACAAGTTGACTCATTTTGCTCCTTATATACAATCGGCGATTATATCATCAAAATGCGACTAGACAATGAATGGGACAATATAGTTGAGAAAGCATTGAGGAAATGGAATGTACCGGGTACTGCGATAGCGGTTGTTCATGGCGGGGAATCTTGCGTCAAGGTAAGCATCTTGAATCATGTTTTCTGCCCATTATTGACAGGACCACGAAGGCCTATGGCCTGGCCGAACTACCAGCTAGGAAGCTAGAAACAAACTCAATATTCCCGACGATGAGTACAAATAAAGCCTTCCTAGCTGCTGCAACAGCGCTGGTGATAGATGATACCAAGGCAAGTGAACAACCATTAACATGGGACACACCAATTTCATCTGTAATCCCGGATGATTTCGGTCCTTCGGATATTACCTTTGAAGACGCTTTATCGCATCGGTCTGGGCAGCCAGGACACGAGCCCAAACTGAGTCTGGCATCCCGCGATGAAGATCTTCAGAATCTAGTGCGCTCTATGCGCCACCTCTCACCAGCCTACCCATTGCGGACGACGTGGGAGTATAACACTTTCATGTATATGGTTGTGAGTCATGCACTAGTGCAGAAGATGGGCGAGAGCCTGGAATCTTTCCTCCAGCGACGTATATGGCTTCCTTTGGGTATGGGTGATACATACTTTAGCACGCAGAAAGTTCGAAAGATGCCCGGGATTCAAGAAAGGCTAGTTAAGGGTTACGAATGGGTTTCTGAGGCGAAGAAATACAAATTATATGAACCGATCAACTACCAACCCTTGGAAGGCGTAGGTTCAATGGCCAGCACCGTGCTTGACTACGAGAAATGGATCAAAGCTTTACTGACGAAATCGACGCCTCTGTCTGCCGAGAGCTATGAGGCGTTATTCCATCCTCGCTCAATTCTTTCAAAACCAGACAGTGTGTCAGCTTCTTTGAACTGTGCTCATCTTTATGCTCTTGGTTGGTTTGTGGATAATTATCAAGGATACCCGTTCTATTGGCATACTGGTGGTTGGCCAGGCGTCTCAATTCTTCTTGGCCTGATTCCAGATAAGCAGTTCGGCTTCGTCATGATGTCTAATTCCCGTTATGCTGGAAGAGAGCTACAAATCGATTTGTATCATTGTCTTATAAACCGCTGTCTCAACTTACCTATACCTCAATCTATAATTGATAATGGCGAACAAGGCCCCTCTGGTACTGTCGGACTTCAAAAACCCGAAACATCAATAGAGGCGACCGCGCGACTCTTTTCGAAACATGCTGGTACCTCAACGGCACCCATTTTACCGCTTTCAAGCTACGTCGGTACGTACATCAATAAGGGATATGGGTCGATAACCATTAATTTAGACAAGAGCAACGGGTCCTTGCACGCAGATCTCTTAGATCGGGTGACGCCATCTAGAATGGACCTAGAGCATGTTACGAGGAATTACTTTCTAGCAAAAATTTACGAGCCAGGTTGGGATAGTGCTGGGATTGAGTATTACGTCACCGAATTTCGTATTTCGTCGAATGACAAGGTAGATAAGGTCGGGTTCAATTTTGAGCCCGCCCTGGGTGAAGGGGAGTTGATTTGGTTTACTCTTGCTTGATCGCAAACGGCCACCGCGTCTTAAAATAGTCTAATATCATTCATTAATCCTCCTCAAAGCTTGTTACAAAGCATTTTCCAAAAGTGGAAACTTCCAACGTGTAGCCCTAACCCTAAAGTGTTCAGTAGGCGATCTGCTGATAGAGATTGAATGTGTCAGTGACACTGACTGAACAAGAGGGGGAGGGATAATAATTGATACACCGCTTCTTTGCTTTGTCGTTGCCTGAAAGCACCCGCCCATCTCCATTGAGCGGGTTTACATGTCTGGTATGAATTTCAAAATTTATCATCTATGATCATACTTTCAAGGGTTTTTGTGTGGAGATTCGATTTATTGTAGCTTATTTCTAGGTTCTGCACACGAAACAGCTGTTTGGTGGTATGAGAATAGCCCCGTTAAAAGAACGTTAAAACTCGAGCCCCGAAAGTTGCATTAAGCTCATTTTTATTATATGTGAGATGTTTAGATCCATCGATTCATTAAAAAAGGTACAAAAGTAGATATAAATTGCTTGTACTCCGTATTCACGCCCGGCCCTCTAGAGGGTCTTGATTATGACTGCTGCAATAATTCTAGTCTCGATTCATCTGCTTCAACCCATTTCCTCCATTCTTGCCATTCACTATAATCGGCGGCTGCTGTTAGGCCTTGGTATCGTATAGCTTTGAAATCGGAAACTTCCTCCCATGGTTTTCGATTATTAGTAGGCCCGCTAGTACTGCCTCCGCGAAGAATTCTTTTTGCTACGCTCCCACTGCCAGCACCATCCCAGCCAGCTTTGCGCATCAAGCTCTCTACGGTTTCCTCTTTTGACCACCCTTGCTCGGGTGCGACATCTGGAAGGTATGTGGAGCCATATCGTCGGTTTCTGTAAATGAAGGAAATTCGGAGGCCATGTATTCCTAGCTCCCAATCCAAAGCGTCCGTGCATGGCTCAAAATTGCCAAGTAGAGTCAGAAAACATGACAGGGAAGGTAGCTGTGACGAAGGGATTGGGGAGAAACGTATATCATCAAATGCGCTGAAATCTATATTAGTCCTCATGTTATAGCTTTTTAGGTAGATCAAGTTCGGTATGTTTCATATCATAGAAATTTGAAATGTGCGTCCAGAGAGGAAACTTACGAAATGCGTGCATAGGTTTTGAGGACGTGCGAGAGCTTTTGTGCTTCAAACGTGCCAACACAACCACGAAGGGATTTGTGACCATGTCTGGAAATTAAATTCCACGTTACAAATACTGGATAGGATTCCTCTGAGAGTTCGCTTCGATTTGGGTCTAAAGATTCATCTGGTGTGGTTAAATTGGTTGAATTTGACAGCGCTGAGCGAGATGAAGTGGCCGATAAGGTTGTCGTACTGGACGAGTCTGATGGCTCATCATGTTGGAGACGTGATATATAAGGTGGCTTTGCAGCCTGTTCAGTTACTTCTTCCTCTTTTTCGCCGGCGATGCTAGAAAACCGGCCCTGTCAGTTCAATTCAATAAAAATCACGTCAAAACAATCGGGAAGGATTTGAGGTAAACCCACGCCTTGTCTCCCACGGCGGCCAGTTTCTTAGATTGACTAAATTGCCAATAAGAATTCTCTATGGCAGCAAGGCTAGGAGGTTCCTCATGTTTAAACGAAGCAGCCAAGCTTTCAAAGCAATAGAAGCAATGTGCGGGAGATGCCATGGTGTAACCTGAGATGGAAAAAGAAGGCGTAACAGCTATAGAGTCTATGATCTATCACACAGGTAATAATTCTGAGAGCAGGCGAAGGCTGACTCTGTACTAGATCTGTCGTGGAAGTCGAAGGTACAAACACTACACAAAGGGAACTTCAACAAAGAGATCACAGGATGTCGATGGTAAGCAATGCGGGGGTACCGATAATTCATTGTTAACGGATTGGTTAGAGCTGCTCAACGCCCGGCCCCATGCTGGGCCTAGCTCCCGTGCGAGTCCGATTTTATTGTCACATCTTTGGCCAATAACAGCTGCAATCACATACATAATAATAACAACTAGACGAATCTGGCTAGATCGGTAAATTAAGTTTTGTGAAGTCGACCACGAAATACCACTACTCCAAAAAGGGGTTATTCTTAGTGGGTAGGTAGTTATAAGAAGGGTATTTTTGCAGGCTGAACGTGAATTATCACTAATTATCATAATTATTATACCGAGCTTTTCCTTTTGTTAATTTTTTTTCCAGGTGGGAAGGGGTTTGTTTTTCCTTAGTTGTGGGTGCCCGACAAATACTCAAGTTTTTGTGACAGTTTAACTTTTGTATAGCTATCAACCATACGAAAAGCATACAAATATACATATTGTCGCTATTCTCGGTTATTCCTTCTTTAAAAGCACCCTCTAATGGAAGAAAAGAGGACAGTTTAAGTTCAAAAAAAGCATTCAAAGAAGCAGATAGAAACTATCAAGGTATTTTCACCTGGCTAAGATCGGGATATGCTGGCATACAGTTCTCAGGTAACGGCCCCGCTTCAGAAAAGCCTGTCCTTCGCGTTAGATGCAAAATTGCCCCAGGTGAAAAGCGGGAAATTCTGGTAAACATGGTGAAGGCTTCGCTTCGGCGTCCCTTTGTCTTTTTATTTACCGAGTCGGTCGTATTTTTCTTCTCATTGTGGGCTGCATTCAATTGGTATGTTCTCTAGTCCAGGAAGATGTTGCTGCACGTCGCAAGACATGGAGCTCGATGCCTGAGTGCCGCCTTTTCTTGAGTTGTCTCGAAAGTAACTTACTTCTAATCGGCCTCTTCCTGTGTGGATGGTTATCTCAGTTCTAGGTTCATTGGATTGTACCAGCTATCACCATCCAAATATCAACCACGGGTATCTTCTCGATCTATCTTGCGTTTTCAATTATCTGGCAGATTTTTACCACCGTTACGCAAGTTCTGACCTTGCAGTGCAAAGCTTCTGTCGTAATAACTGTTCAATAATTTGCCGTTTGATCCCGCCGCAAGTCAGTTGGGTGGTATCGGTGCAGCCTTGACTCTAGAACCATGACTGCTGGTGTTTATTGGACCAAATATTCGAGGACGAAACAAATTGGCAGCGAAAATTATGAAGTGATTGATATGTCGTATTCTGATGGGTTGGTCGGTGGAGAAATGGCACGAAATTCGAGTGGAAATAAAACTCAAAGTGGATGGTTTATGTTACATAGATGCAGGATAGATAGAGCAAATAAAGAGAGTACAATAGACTAATTAGACAAAATTTGCTTCAAAATATCAAACGAACGAGGCTAGGTATCAAGGCTAGGTTTCGCCAAAGTGGAAAAATATACGGAGGTGAGTGATATGGAGTGTTAGTGGTGGAACCAGCCGCGACAGCAGAGGATATTACAGGTAGCTTAACTAGCTGCGCGGGGTTACGTTAGCAGGACCTATGCTGTGTGCTTGTAGAGAGCATAACTTGACTTCGTGCAGAAGTGGTGATCCTCAAGTTGGCTGGCCAAGCTTTATCAACAATATACCAAGAATTGTAATTCCAATGCTCTCCGGACCCCTTCTACCCTCCTAGCTTCTCCTCCATACCCAGGTTCGACCATTCTATATCCTATCTTATTTTCCATTCTCCTCTAGTCAGCAAAAATGGAGCCGGATAGTGTAACCAGCCACTCGCGAAAGCCTCTTATCATACCTTTACCAGGGGAACTACCTGATGTTAAGCGCGATGCAGCAAAGGCATTCGCAGTCTTACAAGCTGGAGGAGTTATCATTACACCCACAGACGTTGGATATGGCATGATGGCGGCCAGCGTGGAAGGCATTGAGCGCGCGTTCACAGCCAAAAATCGCAAAGTTGGCCATTCCCTAGGAATTATCGGTACTTACGCCTTACATAAAAAACTGCATAATCTTCCGCCGGAGAAATATAACGTCACCCGTACATTATCTGAAGAAATGGGGATCACCATTGCTGTCGTCGCAAAAATGAAGGAGGGGACTAAGGAATTGCTGCCCAGTGTGGAAAAGGTCACGAAGAATGGCACGCTGGGTATCGCAATATCTGAGGGACCATTTCAACGAGAACTTGGAAGACTGAATGATGAAAATGGTCAAATCATGATTGGCAGCAGTGCGAACTTGACGGGCCAAGGGCAGAAGTTCCAAATCAAAGATATTGAACCCGAGGTCATCGAAGCCGCTGATCTGATTGTCGATTATGGGAGGCAAAAGTGGCATTTGTATGGGCGGGCTGGCACCACGATAGATTTGGACAACGAGCGCGTGCTACGCATTGGGGTCAACTACGAAGTCATCCGCGAAAAGCTAATTGACTGGTTTGGATGGTCCCTACCCGAAGATCCCGAGTTCAGTAAAGAAGGACTGAAACGTGTTGGCGTCTCGATCAAGTTGGATCCGGATATTTGACTCATATTATTTGCTTCATTTTCTTTATGGAATACTTGTGATTGCTCAACCAAGTCGTTGCCACTCAAAGAACGTGTCAAAAATGGATGATTCGGCTTTAAAATGCAATATAAAAGACGAATCAGTTCAATGATATAAAATTCGATTCCAAAATCAGTTTTGATATCACGTCATGTGCCAGCCAGCATTTGCCCTTAAAGAACGAACCGAACCGTCAAGTAGCAGATACGATTCCCAAACAGTGTCTTCCAGATTCCCAAAGTCTGGCCGGTGTCTGACCTATTGCCTTGTAAAATACGTTATGTGGCTAAAATGTACTTATAGCTGCTAGTGGCTTCTCAATTAAATGAAGTCTAAGAACCTATGGGCTTGTTTGATCTATATGGTAACTAGAGAGAAAATGCGTATCTTAAAGATAATCATCGCTATGTCCATTCATCTCAGTTTCTGGGATTCTTTCAAACCTATAAAAACATCCGTACACGTCGTCATTGAAATGCGGAGATTGAAATAGCAACATAGGCTTTTCCAATACTTTCCTCCAGCCATTAGGAACTGGGAATCTTTGAATGGCATGAGTACTGTTGTATAACGCGCCTCCACCAGTCCGCTGCTCAAAGGCACGGATGTGCTCAGCTGGGGTAGCATCAGCTTCGAAGGAAACAGATTTCTTTGCTAACATAAACATGCGTGATAAAACCGCTGTGAGCATGACAGGAGATAGGTACTGGAAGCCGTTGAAGCAGGCAATATGATCGTATGAGTCGGATGTCATAATGAACTCCTCCATGGGGGCTATATATATTGGTTGACGATAGTAGGTCTGGATACGCTTTGATGACGCCATCCTGGGTGAGATATCAACTCCTGTCACTACGGAAGAATACCCTCTCTCGCTGATTGCCTGACCCAGAAAGCCAGATCCACAAGCTAGATCAAGGACTGTCCCGGACCAATCGAAATCGTGAGTTACAGAGCCACGCATCATTTTAACTGTTGGTGTCTCCCAGATTTTGTCGTATGTGGAAGAGAATGTATCGAAGAAGGAGCTTACGCTCTTGTGTGATTTTGCGGCGGCCCTCGTCTGGATCAGTTTCGTCGTCAGGAGCATATCGAAGAGAGCAGCATGGCCACCCGGGTATGTCTTCATGACCATTTTGTCGCTTGTATATGCTCCTTTAGGGTAGAAGAGCGTAGGAAAGATATTCATTTCCAGCACATATACTTTTCCTGTTGCAGAGTCGACTCTCATATCAGCTCTTCCCCATCCGCCGCCGTTGGTCATTCCCATGACTTTGAAACAATGCTGGGCGGCCTCTCGGATGCGACTTCTCCGTGGCTCATCCTTAACAATCTTTGTTTTTATTATGCCCTTTCCAATCGCATGAAACTTATTATCAAAGGTGAGAAATGCCGCTTCTTTTGGTGTGTCTTTCGGAAAAATATACTCGACCGGCTCCAATGCGACGACTGCATGGCCCATTTCGACGACAACAGCACTGACCTCAGGACCAATGATATAATCCTGAACTATGATCTCGGCGTCTGGGGTGTGTTCCTTCACGACAGCAACACGGCTCGCAACCTCATCGGCACTGGAGCAGATGGAATCATAGCTTAGTTCAAGCGAGTTTGCTGCATCTCCGAGCTTAACAATTTTGGGGTATCGGCCTGGTTCGTTTCCAGGAACTGAAAGCCCTTCTGCCACGGCCTTCGCGTAGAATTCTTGCTTGTTATAGTGAAGACGCATCGCTTCGGCTTTGTTGGTGAGAATAGTTACGCCTTTTGTTTCAAGATAAAAGGCAGCATCCACTCCGGCGACATTATCTCTTGGTCCTCCCCACTGGTAGTTGCCACCATATTAATATTTATCCATTCTCAAGATCGGCCTATGTGCATCCTAATGCTCACACAAATACTAGGTCACATACCAGGCAACTGAAGTAGATGTCAAAGTTCTCATCGCACATCCGATCAATATCTTCCTTTTCGTGATCCTTACGGACGAATCTATGCTCGAACTGGTGTATCTCGGGACTAACATAGCGACTCGGATCGCACAACGGATCGTACTATTAGTGCAAGATGAAAATTGGTTAGTAACAATTCTTCTGCTTGTGTCTGGATAACTGAGATCAATTATGATATATTCACCTTTTCTGTCGGGTGATTTGATCCCTCGAATGAGGACTGGACAATACAAATTCTCATATTGCTGGATATTGATTGACTTGAATGGGTGAAGCTGGATTATCATACAAAGTCGCGGATAGCAACATTTTCAAGTGCATATGTAATGACCTTGCTTATCAGAAATTATAACATGAACGCGCCCTAAGCGTAACGGCGTTGTTTAACAAATTCCAAATTACGATCAACAAACTCCCGTTACGCCAACCCTGCTGACTCGCCGGCGAATATTCGCTTATTATTTCGATGGAGAGCTGAGATATGACGAATCCTCTGGTAATTTTCTTACAAATAAGCTGAAATGACTTATGGATGTAATAGACTAATAGTAATAAGTTAATAACTAATTAGTAGGCCGACACCAAAGGTGAAATCAAAGTTCCACGTCGACTACGCTAATGCAACTACATGGCTTCCCCGTACCGAAGTTAGTTGGTGATACACTTTGCCCAGGCTACCAAGTTAGATTTCTAGAGTCAATTAGTATCCTGGTGCACTTTCAATACCCATCTCACCTTTAGCGTCGGGGCATATATACCTAAAAAGTTCGGTATTGTACATTAAATTATACGCACACGAACTATATATGTCATAAGCACTATCTTAGTAGAAGCTTACTGTTTACTACTAGTCATAATGCTATGTTGTTAGCCGTACCTATGTACGGGATCGTTAGTGATTCTAGTTACAATGTTACATATGCTCTTGGAGAAAGTGAAAACAATATCCATCGATCCTGCAGGCTTCAGCTAATTACGCCACTAAGGACTGATTAAGCTAGACTCGATTATTCTTTGGTTAGAGTGGTTATGGAATAACGATCATCATAATACAAGGCTACCTAGCTAGCATTCCTGTGTCTCAAAAACCCCGTGGTAATCGCCAATGATAATACTTCCGCAGCTGTTGGTGTTGGTCTATCTATTTAAGACCAGGATCTAGGATCCCGATCACCCGGGACGTGAAGAATATGCTCCGAATTCTTCGCCTTGACGCTCCTACTTTTGTTTCAAATTAGTTTAACCTTATCTATGGCAGTTCTGATGTTCAGAATAGCTTGATGTTTATATCAGTAAGAATGACTTGTTTTGATTTATTCCTCTTAGTTCTTATCAGTGGTTGGGCCGTTATCTCAAAACAGCAGGAGCCATACCGGCAGATATCCAGTGGGTAAGCACTAATATTGGTTGCATTTGTCTATTGCACCATTCATGAAACCGGCATGATATTTACTGAAATTTACGCCGCCAGCTTTGTGGAATGACGCTTGTATGTACTCCAAACACATGGTAATAAACATGTTCACGGGACCATGTCAAAGATCATTAACACCTCCCCTCTTCCTCGGGTCGTCGTTACGCTTTGTACAAACACTGCACGAGCCGGCACCGACAAGAGTCACTTTACTAGGGGCCCACCTATGATGCATATAATATTAATAATGCACCAATAAGACTATTCATTCCATATCTCTTCTCGTTGGTAAGCATTGCCACCAATATTCCATACTGCACGCGCCATTCTTCAGGCAGGCTCGTCGAGGTGGGAACCGGCGGGGGCTCAGTAGTGAATTCAGAAGGCTTCCCAATAGAGAATGGTGGGAGTAACAGAACTTCCGTTACTCCTACAGCTGTTCAAATTAACATACGCACATACGTTTGATAGCCAAGATGGCATCACCGGGCGAGAAAAAATTTCTTGTGTCTGATATTCACAACGATACCGACACAAATGAAGTCGCCGACAGTAGGACCGACTCCTTCGATGACCGAGACCGACAGCATCATATCTACAACCCCAGTCATACTCGATGGGTCTCTAAACTATCAAATTCCCGATTCGGGGCTGTCCTATTCTCTGCCCATTTCTGCTACCTCACTGTCATATTATTCCTCACAATTCTAAACATACTCCTTCTCATTAATACACATAGTGCATCCAACTCAAAACATGGCAATCCACAGCCTGTACCGTCCCCGGACCTTCCCCCGTTATGCGGCACATCTCCGGAAGAAGCCCGTGCTTTAGGATGCGAATTTGACGTATATGTGAACGGATGGCTTCCAGCAGCATGCTATGACCGCTCAGTCGCCTCGAATTCTGAGTCTAACTCCAGCATTTTCTACCCTCTAGCAGCGGGACAAACCACCTTTCCAATCTACTGGGACGAAAACTTCACTCAGCCGGCCACCCTTGAAGATGTTGAGAAAGCCGCATTTGAGAACGGCGAGGATGGCCTCGACGTGCAGTTTCATACCACCTACGGATATCACCGAGCACATTGTCTGCATTTATGGAGACTGGCTGCCAGTGCATTGGAGCGTGCCAGCAAAGGGGAGCGAGGAGTTGGCGTTTTTTACAAGGTGGCTAGCTATACACACGCCGAGCATTGCAATACCATTATATTAGAAGGGGACAATAGAGACCCGAATAAAAAAGATGTCATAACACCTGGGACTGCGCGATGTGTCGGCCTGGACGACTTGTGGAATGAGTCGTATGGTTGGGCTGGCAGATGGAAGGAGATTTCTGGGTAATGATAGCACGTGAAATCGGTTAACAGCGAAGAAATTGTATGATATTGTGTCTATTAATGATAATATATTCTGTTTGTCAAGTATTGTCTGAGAGATTATTATTGTTATAATCATTTCAAGAAGTCAATAAATGGCTCATTTCGCGTATTGTGCTCCCAATCAGAAATTTAATCAATGGGGTCCAAATCCATATGTGGATTAGATCGAAAAATACCAAAATACGTGACACCCCCAATGCTAGTTTTATAGCAATTAGCAAATATGGCACTTTACTCTCTAACCATTAAGGAGTGTTCTTGGCATTCAGCTAAAACGGCTGGTAATATTGTATAATTGTTACTTTGTATAGCTATCTCCTGCAAAGAAGTGTCTCCGACAATCTCCGATTCTTCGATGCCACTGCCATCACAACAAACCAAGATATTAGTGTAGATGGCGACCGACAAGCCGGATTCCTGCCCCTCAAATGCTGATAATGTCTTTGGTCCTCTCATTATCTCATCATGTCGTGGTGGGCTGGATTTCACCCTTCTCTTCGAGGAGGCTATCCTGTCGATGATACCAGCGGCAGCCTTTCTCATTGGAGCTACTTTCCAGGGCTTATATTTAATTCGACAGCAGAAGAAAACAGTTCCCTGCAGCAGTGAAAGGGTTTTGAAATATAGTAAAATAGTATTGTTGATCCCTCCTCTCGTCACTTTTAATTTGACTACTCAATTATACTAGATAAGGCAAAAGCTAAGTGTTGACAGGTGATTACCCTTAGTTTAACTGCCTTACAACTGATCAGTTTATTATCATGGTCTTCATCTAAGAACTTCCCGACTCAGCTTTCGGCTCTAGCCGCACTGCTCTCATTGATCAGCTTTCTCGCGCTGACAGTTCTTTCTGCTATTCAGCACGATCGTGGCGTAAATCCATCAACATTGATTAGTGTCTATCTTCTGGTATCCATATCATGTGACATGCCTCAACTCAGAACATTATGGATGCGCCACGGCTATGGCTTAGTCTTTCTTGTGCGTACGGCCAGTCTAGTGCTGAAGACTCTTAGTCTTGGACTAGAGTCAATGAATAAGAGCGATTATCTTAAAAGTGCCTACCAGAATCTTTCACCAGAGGCCTTAGGGGGTTTAATTAGTCGCAGTTTGTTCTGGTGGTTAAACCCTATCCTGTACCATGGCTACAAGAATATCCTGGAGATCGAGCAACTGCCGCCGCTAGATGTGAAACTATCTGCTGTGCGTCTTCAAGCAGATTTGGTAAATTTCTGGTCTAGCTGGCCCAAGTCAGGCAGTCACCCCCTGCTCTTTGCTACATTAACCTGCTTCCGGAGACCCCTCCTCGAAGTTATTCCTCCCCGGATATTTTCAATAGCCTGCAAGTTTTTGCAACCTGTTTTGATTAGAAAAGCTGTTTCGTTAATGGGAGAACCTGAGAGTAGGGAGAAACAAGTCAAAGGTCTTGTTCTGATTGGACTAGCAGCGTTTCTGTACATTGGTATTGCTGTGGGGACCGCAACATACAAACACAAGATATACCGAAGCCTTGTCACCATACGGGGTGGCTTGATCGGTTTGATATACAATGCAACACTGTCACTGGATACCTTTGTGGCTCGTGATACTGTTGCTATTACCTTGATGACTGCCGACGTTGATAGAATCATGGCGGGAATTGAAATGCTTGATGTTGTATGGGCAACGCCGATTGAGGTAACCCTGGCGGTATTGATGCTTATACAGCAAGTTGGTTGGGCTTGCCTTGCTCCACTTTTCATATCGATGGCCTGTACTTGTGCAACCATTTATGTCGGAAAACTAGCAACGAATGCCCAAAAAACCTGGCTTGATTCTATCCAGCAGCGTGTCTCTGCAACGGCAGCGCTCTTGGTCAATATGAAGCCGATTAAAATGACTGGTCTCATAGAGCCTTTAGCCATGGACCTCCAAAACCGTCGTATCAATGAAATCAAAGTTTCAAAATCATATAGAAAGGTGGATGCAGCTCAGCAGGCCATTGGGAACACATCGCTGGTTATAACGCCGGTAGTGACTTTTTTGGCATACGTTGTTCAGTCACATGCAGCTAACAACGGGCCTCTTGACTCAAAAACGGCTTTTACCTCACTTTCTCTTATTGCCTTGCTGAGTTATCCAATTGTATATTTTGTATTCGCCGTCCCCCGCTTCACAGGATCGATAGGGTGTTATGACCGAATCCAGGCATATGTTTGCGACACAGCGCAAGACACAAGGCTCACAAAATTTAGCTCAAAGGACTCTCACCAGCCTGAGACAAACATAGAAGGTCCTATTTCTGACGTGGTTTCTGAAGATGAGACAGAAAATATCGAGCTCGAGTCTCTACTTCCAAAGAACGATGCTCACAACCGTCCTAGGGCCTTGTCCCAATTTCACGAAGAATCTGAATATAGCTGGCCGGATAATCCCAATCGGCAAGAAAACTCTTCTAAGCTACCCAATCCGACTGATGGTACCTCTTTGGTGCAGATCGAGCATATGAATTTCTATTACGGAGATAAAACGCAGGTTTTACGCGACATAACTATTACTATAACGAAAGGAGAGCTTGTTCTACTCACTGGCCCCGTGGGAAGCGGAAAAACGTCTCTGCTGCTTGCCCTCCTCGGGGAGCTGAATGGTAGAAATGGTTTGGAATATCGGCAATCCTCCCTTTCAATCGGCTTCTGTGCTCAAGAGCCCTGGGTTCCAAACTTTTCTATTCGAGACATAATTGTAGGTATCTCTTCATTCAATGATCTATGGTTTACACAAGTTGTGTCAATTTGTGCTTTAGATAAGGATATATCCTGTTTACCCGACAAAGAGCACACAGTCGTCGGAAGTAATGGAGCAAGCTTGAGCGGAGGCCAGAAGCAGAGACTTTGCCTAGCGAGGGCACTCTATTCACGCAAAGAACTCTTGTTTCTTGATGATGTGTTCAGTGGACTTGATGTGCCAACAGAGCAGGCTATAATCCATAACGTATTCGGTCAAAATGGCTTTTGTAAAACGTATGGAATTACGGTTGCGCTTGCTACTCATGCTGGTGAGCAACTGTTTTCCTCTTTTGCTGTAGAAGGCGAAGGCTAACATATGTCTAGTGAAATATTACCAGTATTTCGATCGAAAATTTGTTTTGCAATTAGGAGGCACCATTTCTGAGGAGAAATCCGACAAAGACATTGCTTTTAATAGTGAGGATAATACCTCAGTTGAATCAGATGTACTTCTCGATTCCTTGACAACAAACAACAACGTATCTATGAAGCCAAACCAATCTCAGCCTACTAAAAGCTCAGAAATGAGACATGGAGATCTTAGCCTCTACGTTTATTATTTCAAAATGATGGGTTGGGGGATCACCGCTTTAATCATATCCTCCTCTGCCACCTTTGTGTTCTGCTATAAATTCCCTGATATTTGGCTAAAATGGTGGACTGAGTCTGAGAGTCAAAGTCCAGGCAAGCATACCAAGATGTATCTCTTTATATACGGCATACTCCCCATTATCGCTATTCCTGCCTTAATGGTCTTCGAATGGTCTCTAAAAATTGTCGCGGTTCCACGCACTGCATCCAAACTTCACAAGACACTTTTATCAACAGTGGTCATGGCTCCGTACAATTTTTTTGTTTCAATCGACCCGGGAAATATTCTCAATTACTTTAGTGAGGACCTCTCCATTATCGATATGCAATTAACACTTGCCCTAGCGAAAGTCATCGACGGCGTGTTCACAGTTATTGCCGAGACTATACTCATCGCCTTCGCATCCGCTTGGACAACACTTCTCTTTCCACCACTTGTAGGAGTGCTATATATCCTACAAAAGTTTTATTTGCGAACGTCACAACAAATGCGTCTGCTAGAGATTGAAGGCAGGGCGCCTCTCCACTCGCATTTTCTCGAAACTTTGCAAGGACTGACAACTATCCGCGCATTTGCATGGCAGTATCAGTGGGACGAGAGACAGCGATATCTACTAGATCAATCACAAAAACCACTATATATAATGTATTGTATCCAGCGTTGGTTGAATCTTATCCTGGATCTCATCGTTGCTAGCTTTGGTGTTGTAGTGATGTCACTGGCAACGCAGCTTCCTCGATCGTCCACCGAAGGGGCTATCGGCGTATCACTAGTCAATATTCTGACATTCAGTGCCACACTAACGTATATGATTCAGGCATGGGCGCAATTGGAGACTTCTAAGGGTGCCGTGCAAAGAATACGTGACTTCGCTGACCGAACTGCTTCTGAACATCAGCTGGCTGAAAATCAGAGACCACCCCCGGGATGGATCTCCAAAGGATTTGTCAGTTTTGAAGGACTATCTGCATCATATAGGTAAGAGTTTTTCCTTTTTATCAACCTCTCGAATGAAAACTAACTGTTCAGCATGGGGTCTGATCCTGTCCTACGAGACGTCACGGTCAGAATCTCCGCAGGCCAGAAAGTCGGTATCTGCGGCCGAACAGGGAGGCAAGTACAATACAATGTGTATTATAACAAATCCAAGCTAAGAGAACACAGTGGGAAAAGCACCATGCTCCTTTCCATTCTTCGTCTGACGGAGGTCCTTTCTGGAAGTATTTCAATAGACAACTTTGACCTCTCACGTATACCACGAGACATGATTCGAAAATCGATAACGGTCATCCCTCAGGACCCCGTCATCTTTCATGGTAGCATCCGATTTAACCTTGATCCGGAATATAAGCATTCAGATGAAAGCATCCGCCAGATTCTTCGTCGAGTTGGACTGCAGGAAACGGCGGGTGCAGATTTCGAGGCTGATATGATGCAGTCCACATCCGCAGCTCTTTCACGCGGTGAGTTACAGTTATTCTGTTTGGCGCGAGCACTTCTACAGCATGGTGATTCGCGTCTTGTCGTGATGGACGAAATTAGCGCGAATGTGGACACTAAAACTGAAGAGCAAATTATGCAAATTGTCAAGGAAACCTTTACAGATGCGACTGTAATTGCCGTTGCGCATCGTTTAAAAACAATCCGTGACTCAGATCTCATTTTAGTCATGGACGAAGGAAGGCTAGTGGAAGCTGGAAATACAAATAACTTGCTGAATGATCCAAATTCGAGATTTACACAGTTGTGGAATAGTATGGAGACTACAGGTAGTTAATCAATTAGGGTAGCCCTTTGTCATGATTAGGGGTTTATATAATGATAGTGTACTAATTAATTAACAAATAATTAAGACTAAATCGATAATTAAAGTTAAATTTCAATTTCACGATACTACATTTTTTTACATTTTTCATGGTCAATTAGTGTGATTGCAATCACTTTCTGTTTACTGCTGAGACGTATTCATTATGAAGCCCAATTTCAATATTGGGCTGGCAGCACGTCATAGGTAATGCCTCTAAGTTTGCAGCCTTTGGATTACTGTCCCACCAATCCAACTTGTTGATTCCACTGGTGTGTCAGTCCTAGAATTTGGTATAATGTAGAAGTCATTCATCCTTTGTTTTTGTTACAGCTAGGCTCCTCTACTTTCCATATCTAGTCAGGCATACCTCCACCACTATGGAAAACTATAATGCAAAACTTGTGGAAGTCATAGCACTGGAGAATAGACGTTTCTAGGGGCAATTAGACTTGTAATAAATGACGAAGGCACGGCAACCGGAGCACAACATTAGGTGTTAGGTTCCTAAAAAAGCCTAAATAAAACTTCATATTGTCACGCATCTGGCTTTCGAGACCTGGATTCCGATGCTCCAATGCTCGATTCCGAAAGTACATCCATACTCGGCTCCGCTGGGAAATTCATCACTCATATTGCAGCTTTAAAACTCGTTGAGCAAGGCGCTATTACACTCGACGAGCCCATTTTCAGACATCTCCTGGAGCTGGAATCTCTTCCTTTGATCACACTCGGCAGTGGCAATGAGCAGTTTAGCTTTAGCCCTGTCACTAAGAAAATTACTCTTCGCCACTTACTTTCGCATACCAGTGGCTTAGCTAGCGACAGAAACCCTCCTATAAGCGAATATCTCTCTTCTGATGTTTCAAAAATTCGAATCGAGCCGGATACTCCCCCAATTGTAAAACGCTTCTCTATGCCTCTCATTTTCGAGCCTGGAGAAGGTATTGCATATGACCATAGCACCTACTGGACACAGTTACCTGTATACCGTCTCGGGGAAAACTCTTCAACAGATATATTCAGGAGCATATTGTTGACCGTATCGGCATGACTTCATCAACGTACCAGGTGAATGAGCGTACCAATATCTACAACAGGCGATTAAGAATGGTCGAAAGACAAAATGAGAATTTTGTCCCGCTGACGGTGCGGGACATGGCCTGCTCTGCAGTACCACTGACATGGGAATCATCTTAAGTGCCCTTGTTGCTTCATCATCCCAGCTACTGAGTCCCAGATCCGTGTAGCTGCTATTCACAGGGTAACTTGTACTATCGAGTCTCGCTTGTACGGACCTGCGTGGAAATGACGATAACTATGCCTTCTGTGCAGCAAGGATAGGTTGCGACGGCAATTGGAGTCTCGCTGCACTTTTGGCAGAGGAAGTTCTCCCTATCTCACAAACGCCGAAGGGGACCGTGACTTGGAAGGGAATGCCGAATGTGCTCTGGGCAATGGACCGTGAAGAGAACTGGGAAGATAGCAAACGGACTTGCCCTCATGTTTATGAAAGATGCGTGGAATAAATTTACTACATGAGATATGACAAGCTGTACGTAACCGACTTATTCCAGATGTCCAATTTTTGTTTCTTATCAACTCAGCTTTGATTTTCCAAGATGTGATACAAAACCTCCCCAGCCTGCCGACTTAGTGTTTGCGTACGAAGCGTATCCAACAGAGCGGGACAGCCCTGCTTGGAGAGCCAATTTTCTTGATAAGTACCTTCCGACGAATATGACACGATATATCTCAAATGGAGCAGGAGTATCGAGTATAAGCGAGAATTTGGGATTTTACTTTAGCGGAATGCGAGCTGCAGATTGGGGACCGATATTCGCTGGCGATGGATCAGCAAATACTTTAGCAGACACCTTGATAACTGTTAATATGACCATTTCAGGGCAAGAATCATGGTCTAATGACACTATACCGCCAAATATTCCAGCCCGAGTAAATGCAGAACTCGCCTGGCTTCGGGTAGGAGAACAGGGGGTTCTCATTGCTATTGGTGGGGTTGTAAACTTAGTATTTCTTACTGTTACCCAAACTCTGAACAGTTCTCAAATTGCCAATAGCGTAGGTCTATATCACATCTTTTGACGGCCACTAATACTAGTTTTAGGAACAAATCAGTCCAAGATTTATGGAGACTGTTTCCATATATGATGTCGCAAACCAGCATCGAAGGGACGCCGGAGACCTGGATTCGCTTCTGCCTAAAAAGTACGTAATTTAGGGCTAGAATGGTAAAGTACTCGAACGTGTGATAGGTCTTTGTTTTTTATTCACAATCCAGCTTCCCTAGCAAGAAATTCTAAGCCTTGACTGACATTCTTTTTGAAGTAATCCTCTTCGGGGCTTGTATAAAGCATATCGAACATATGATCAGCTCCCTGTATACGCAGAATCTGAGTCTTCACACCAAGTCCCTTCAGTTCTTCATAAGCTCGCTCACTAATACTCAGCGGGGTCACTGTATCATCCGTGCCATGTATGAACATTGCAGGCGGAAAGGTTCCCGAAAATCTACTTTTTGGGTCAACTCGATCAAAATCACCATCTTTGACAACTAGTTCTAGGTGTCTCCCTGATTTAAAAGCGTTTGACAGCCAGGCGTCTCGTGGTGGCAGGTCAGGCGTACCAAATACTGGTGTTGCGGTAGATATTTGGGGACCAGAGTAAATCTGCTCAGTAAGAGACTCAGGATAGTATGGAGCACTGAGAAAAAGAGCTGATTGGGACGGCTCGTGCCAACAAGAATCTCTAAAGTATTTCCCTCCGTAAAAGTCAAGGGTAGCAATGACAGATGTTGACGATCCGGCCTGGTCATTATATTAGCCAAACAATCCAAGATGTCCCCAGAACAATCCGCTGTTGCTTTCTTCCGGTATACATACTAGAAGTAGGGCCAAAGTGGCACCACACGAGTGGCCCATTGTCACTATACGACTTTGATCTACCGGCAGCCCATTTTTCTCATCGTGTAAAACATCACCAAGAGAGCTCTCAACCCATCTGAGACAGTCCTTCGCATCTGTTACAGGACCCTCAAAAACTGATATCTGAGGGCAGAGTCTGAAATTCGGGACAACGACAACAAAACCGAGTCGGACGAGTTCTTCTATCTGAATGCGAGGAATGATCGATTTGGAGCCTTGAACAAACCCGCCACCATGAAATATCATGACTTGTATGGCAATTCTGTTAGCAATCTAGAAACTAAAACTATTATAATAGAATTTATATTGGTTCCTCACCAATTGGATGCCCAGTAGAACTCGAATCTTGAGGTGTGCTTGCATTCCAATGAACGTCAAGCAGAATGTCTTCTCCTTCATTTCCCTGTTTGTAGGCATACTCTTTCGACTCCATATCGTGTTATAATAGCAGAAAAAAGAGTTGAATTTATCGTCAAATGTCTTATTAAATATATAAAATGTAAGATAGTGTTGCTGACATTATCGAATACTCCTGGAGAACGATATATGCATATATTTTCGTAGACCAAGAAATTTCAATACTTCGACGTGACCACATGACGCTGGCATTTTTATAGTCGGCTAGTGTCTCGCAAGGCTGCTAGTTTCTGGCTTAGTCTCTGCATAAATTCGGCCGCTTTACAGTTCATCGGGCCTTCTGTTAAATAGGCCCACTTTTATCAAAGGCTCCTGTTTTATTTATTTCCTTTCTTATGTGTAGGTTATAGGTCCTTCATCTTTCAATTATTCGGATATTTGATACCTTTTATCTCAGACATAAAAGTCTCGGCATAAGTATAGGTCGCCTATTGGTGAAACATTAAAGTAAAGGCTTCTTAGTTTAAAGTGGAATTCACTAATCCAAGAATTACATTGTAATTGCAATGTTTCAGCTATAAAAGCTATTTTGAGTGGAAGAAATTTTGATGTGTAGCTGTCCCTACGCAGCTATCTGCTCGATAGCTTGAGATACTGTATGACCACTCCAGGCATCGACCCTCTCCTTATCACTAGATTCATAGACAGCGTGAGCTAAATCTGTGAGGAGAGCGACATGAGAGTCCGAGGCTGCTATGCAACTTTCAATCCAACTGACAATTGCAGCCCGGGTGATAAGTGTCGTGCCACCGTTGACTTGAGTAGCTCGGAACAGTAGGTGCAATATCTTGTTCTTTAAAGGACTTTTCAATGTTGAAGTGTTATAGAGCGATAGGATATGTTCAAATACATTTGCCCGGCGATAGATATCCAAGTCCTATACGGATCAGTGGAATGCCTTTGAATATCATCATCAGAAATCTGCTTACCTGTGATGTTCGAAGGCCTTCGACAAGCAAGTCTAAAAGCCATGTTACTTCTTCGGTGTAGCCATCATCATTCTCGGGTTCATGAAGTATGATTTTATCAATCCAATAGGATGGTATCTTTTCAATTTCCCACGCCGGTTGTTTCTGTAGATATTTATTGACTTTGCCGTACATCTTGTGTAGTGGGTCGGTTAAAACAGTCAAGCAGCTAGCGCTTAGTTCACCAGCAATATAAGGAAGAGGGGTCTCAAATCCTAATTTGTTGACGGTTTCGCGTATTTCTCCGACGAGAAGGTAGATCGATCGCCATTCAGCGTATTTTGAATTCTAACGTCATTAGTATTTAAGTAGATGATATGAAATTTTCAATACTTCGTACCTCCAATTTCGCCATCAGACGCGTGAGAGCTGCAAATGATTGTCGCCTAATCTCTTCGTATTTAGAGCACAAGCAGAGCATGAGATCTTTGATGCGGCCTTGTTCAATAGCGGCGTCTATTTCTTCATTTTCCCATCTGTACAACTCTGTGTGGCTCTTGCTTTCAACCGGAAGGGGCCCAAACAGATCGAGAAGTTCAATCGATGGCTTAAGGTGACTTTGCGGTTGCTTATCAAGTTCAACATCAAGCATTTCCAGGTCCTCGGTTTCCATTTGATCGCTATCTTTAGACGCCTTTTTGAAAATGGATTTCGTTTTCTTGGTTTCGGAAATCTCGTATAGATTGTCACGTACTGCCTTCAAGGCCTTTTTGTCTTCTCCAGCTAACTTCAAATGTCGAAGGAATGAGGCCAGCCACGACGCCACAGATTCTTCTTTCGATGAATCCTTACTCTTAAGTATAAAGGGCCATTGCTCATTCACTGTGGCAACTAAGAAACTCAAAGGCTCTTCACGGCCGTCAAGCAAGGATGTGATGAGATCCTCATAGTGAACTGGTTTTTTGGCAGTACGGCATAAGCAATTATCAAGAAAGTGCAGCTGTGGAAGTAAAGCTTCTGAAGCGGCCTCTCTCAAGCTCAGTATTAATGCATCAAATGAAGCATTCGAATCTATCAAAATTGAGTGCTCCGCTAAAACTGATCTTAGCAACACATGTATCTGCTTCATGAAGTTGATATCGGAAGTGGTAATCAGCACTTTTAAGATGCATGTAAAAGCAGAGAACTGGAAAGATGCTTTTTCACGGGATTAGTCCAATGTCAATAATAAAAGGTTGATTGTCGCTTACCTGGTTGTTGCCACCACCGCATGGACGCCGAACGATGAGCAATATGCAAGGTATTTTGTAATAAGCTCAACGCTGCTTTTGAATCTTCCTCTGAAAGCTCAGAATCCTCCAACTGTCTCAAAATATCCACCATGACCATGATGACGTCGAAATTTTCTTCGCATGCAACTGCTGGAATGACATCATGATACATGAAAAGCAACTCCATGACTGCTTCCTGCTGCTGAATGTCTTCTTTTGAAGTTCGCTTGAAAATGAGAATAACATCTTTGATCGAAGGACAACGATCACAGAAATCTATCACCAATTTTTCTGATGCTTGATCCCAGAAGGGCTGAGAGTGACCATGATCACCCTTAAAAATTTTTAAGACAGCACGGAGCTTGCGGAAAGAAGCTGTCAAAATCCGAATAGCAAACAACGTGACAATCGGGTCCGTATTTTGATTGAGACACCTTGTCAATGTCTTTTGGTTTAGCGGACGGGGTAATATGCTTTCGATGACAATGGAAACAGGCGGCGGCAGTGCTGTCTTCTCCCCTTTCCAACCACAGTTAGCAAGAGCTGGGAGCTGGACCGCCGAGAATAAAAACGCCGATTCACCAAGCCATGTCGGCGTAGCCTTGGGTTCGGCAGTAAACATTACTCTTTTAGCAAAGAAGTCAGCGACTAGCTCAGGTGCAGACTTGAACACTTCCAGCAAAAGTTCTGTTTGTAGTGTATCAGAGTCTGGGCGTAATACCCGAATGAGGGCGGATAAGGTCCCATTGCGCACTGGAACAGATTCTGTGAATTTCTGTAGATGGAAGGGTGCATCTAAACCTAAATCAATGGAGTCTTGGTCTTCCATTATCGGAAGATTAGAATCGCTCGATGGTGGATACCAGCCGTTCTGCGGAAGAACGACTCCCATTTCAGGGATTGTGCAAACCTGTAATAAAAGTTTATGTATTTCATTGGGAATTGAAATTTCCGAGTCTTCGGCGCTGGAGTCTTTATCATATCCATAGAGAGTGACCAGGCGCTCCAGGTTCCATTTATTGAAAAACCTTGACTTGGTGACTCGAGCAATAGAGGAGTCATGAGCAACGTCCCGATCGATAGATTTAATGATATCAATCACAAGTTCACGAGAGTCACGACGAATGAATTCCAGAAAAGCTCTGATAACTTTGTGCTGTTCGATAAAATCACTTTTCGCAGGGCCCTGCAGAAACCTTAGATTGGCTAACACATAGCGCTGAGCATTTCGTCGGAGAGTCGATTTTCTCTTGGAATCCGTGGAGTTTTCTTCAAGTTGGGACTTATTTGGCGTCAGAAACTGTTCCAGTCGTTTGTAGGTAATATCTCGCTTGGCGTAGACTAGACGGGCTACTGCACCACCATCGAAGCTGACAATCTCCGTGAGCAGACGGATGCAGGGGGACAACAAATGCTCTTTTGCTTTTGGCGCAGTAAGATGACGGTTGAACACGCGCAATTGTTCTTTTTGTAGAAGACTTTTACATAAAGCAATGCCAAACTCTCTAAACTCCAGCTGAGTAGAGACGGTCTTCAAAAACTGTGCCAACACTGAAGGGACAAGCACAAGAATATTTTCGTGATTATTACTCTCTGCAAGATTCCAGGTTTGAATTAGATCCGGAAAACAGACAGCATCTTCGCTCTTGGGCATCTGCGAATCGCAATAAGCTTTGAGGATCTGAAATTTCGGAGCCTTTTCAGCGTCAGATTCTGACTGGTCTATCGATGTCAAAAACTCTTTGAATGAGGCGACCCCTATGAAGTGTTAGTTGTGAACATAAATCTAATCTCTGAATAAGTGAGAATGGAAGGATAATCACCCTGGTGAGCATTATGTGAGGTTTGCTGAGGATACAGCAAGTCATGAAGCTGCTTGTGAGATGATATTTGCACGCTACCAGTCTTGGTGGGCGCAGAAGATCCATCCAAAGATATTTTACGCCTCTTATGCCTATGATCTTGAGAAGATGAAGGCGCCATTTTTGTGACTGAAATGTCGTACTGGCTTACTTCTTCAAATGACGATCGATGTTGTTCAATGTTTGGTGATGCAGGGAAGGCTCCGCCATCAAGATTTTTATAGCAGTGATATGATTGGCTGGGATAATTTGACTCCACCAATCAAATGGTTTATCGATAAGTCGATCATATTTTTCTATCTTGAAAATTGATTGCATGAATAATTTTCCTATTAAGACTTTTAAGACCGCAGGTTTACATCTCATTGAATTATAAAATGTGCCTGACGTAAATGTTCCATGTCCAGATGTAATATAGAAATGTTCAAGAAGCAGATACGAAGTTAGCCTACGGTTCGTTTCAACCACACTTATCAATATTTTTTTCAAGGATTTTGAGATGTATGTAAACAAAATCGGTTTATTCGTAAATATATGGGTATATAATACACAAGATTTACAACTATCCCCATGTGCCTCCACCTCCACCACGGCCTTGCCGTCTCTGCGCAGAGAGACGCCAATCATCTTCACCTGCAAAGCGGTTGTGCAGGGGCTGGATGCGTTCGGCTTTCTTTCTCTTGGAAAGTCGATCAGTCGGGGCGACCTTGAAAAAGGTTGGAGCTGCTTCAACAAGCCACTAGAAAAATAAGCGTCAGAAGACTATGCCAAAAAAATTGATTAAAAAAGGGATAGACGTACCTTCGGTTCAATTGCCGTTGTACAATGCATGTATTCCTTCGTTGTCAGAACCAGTGTGTGGAAGATTACATGCTCGGCAGGCTTGCCGAATAAGGCGGAGTTTGGATGCAGGTATACCGGGGTGCCTTCAATGAGGGTTTTATAACCTTCTTGAGGATCCTTGCGGGCAGCATTGCGGAAGAAGCCAGTACACAATGCCTGCCGAACTTTAGTCGTGTTTCGTCCACAGGAGATTACTTGGTGGTGATATCGATCCATAATGTTTACAAGCTGTTTTCGGACATCTTGAGCGCGACGCATCTGTCGAGCTTGGATAAAGTTCTCAAAACACCAGGCATTGTTGAAATTGGAATGCTTCCAGGAGTTGTAGACATTTAAGAATGTGAGATGGTCACCGTGAGGATCATGAAATTTTGCTTTCTTTTGGTCTGCCACCTGCTGCTTTTCTTTGGGGCGGTAGAAGATAGACTGGGCGGAGACAGATAGCATAGCGACAATAGTAAGCACTTCGTCGGAACATCCCATGTCAACCGACGCGATAAGAACTTTAGCCAGAGCAGGTTCCATAGGAAAGTCGGCCATTTTACGACCCAAGCGAGTCAACAAACCTTCATCATCTAGGGCAGACAACGCGTACAGCTCTTCCAGGGCAGTAAGCATAGTATTGGTAGGCGGTGGGTCCATGAAATCGAAGTGCAAAAGATCGTTGATTCCCATGGCCTTGAGCATCAGGATAGTGTGAGACAGATTCTGGCGCTGAATATCAGGAATAGATGTTGGGAGCATTTCGGATTGATAAGCTGCTTCTGTGTATAGACGGAAGCATTTGCCAGGACCAGTGCGGCCTGCACGGCCGGCTCGTTGTTTGGCTTGTGCTTGTGAGATTGGCGTAACGACGAGCGAGTCCATACCAAGCTTCGGATCATATGCATTCTGCTTCACAAAGCCGGGATCGATAACGTAATAGATATTGTCGATTGTAATAGAGGTTTCTGCAATATTCGTTGCAATAACAACCTTCCGTCCACCAGGTGGCGCTGGCTCGAAGATTTTACTCTGCATTTCACTTGGCAACGCAGAATACACGGGAAGAATAACAAGCTCAGGAACACTGGGGCCTAGAGCCTTCATCCGTTCATAAATAATTTCACAGCTTGTATCGATCTCTTCCTGGCCCGTTAAAAAGAGGAGGATGTCGCCATTCGGTTCAGTCAGATGGATTTGCATGACAGTTACCAATGCAGCATCGAGATAATCAGATTCCGGCTCTTTGGAGTACATGATTTCTACTGGGTAAGTTCGACCAGGAATTGAGAAAATTGGGCAGCCATTGAAATATTCTGAGAATTTTTCGGCATCCAGAGTCGCTGACGTGACGATCAGCTTCAAATCTGGGCGTCGCTTGAGCGTTTTCTTCAATAAGCCGAACAAGACATCAGTCGCGATAGTACGCTCATGGGCCTCGTCTAACATAATGACAGAGTATCTCTTGAGATTTGGATCGAGCAGAATCTCTCTTTGCAACATTCCGTCTGTCATGTACTTTATTTTCGTCTCTGGGCTAGTGCAGTCCTCGAAGCGAATTGTATAGCCAACTTCAGCACCAAGCCGACAACCAACTTCTTCTGCCACACGTTTTGCAACTGACATGGCAGCCACACGACGTGGTTGAGTGCAGCCAATCATGCCATTATTTGCATATCCAGCCTCGGCCAAAAACTGTGTTACTTGTGTTGTTTTTCCAGAACCAGTGTCGCCTACAACAATCATAAGCTGATTGTCTCGCACAGCGTCGAGCAATTGTTTTCGGAATTTGTAGACTGGCAAGCTCTCTCTTTGCTGTTTGATAGTCATATTCGTACGTTTACCGTAAGAAACATCCTTGCTCTGAGTAGCTCGCTTCCATTCAGGCACCGCATCATCAGCCTTAGGAGCTGGTGCACTCCGCAAATCCGAGGCAAATTTTCTTTGCTCAGGGTTAGCCATAGGATCCTGCCACTGTGCATTTAAATCAACGTCAGCTGCCTGTTCGGCCGCACGATCCTGTGCTTCCTGTTGCCGTAATTCTCGCCTTTCTTTGGCCAGGTTCGTACCAGCCATGGCTGCACGATTGAGAGATCCATCAGGCGCCTTGACAACCCTAATAGGGGAAAGCTCCAAGGATTGCTTAGTTTGACCAGCAAGGAATGGCGGTTCTTCGTCGCGGACTTCAATATCTATATCAACTTCTTCTTCAAACTCGCCATCGCCGGCCAAAGTAGCATGATACTCCTCGTCGATGTCTGGATAGTCAGCGGCCGAAACAGCCCCAGAAGCAATAAGCTGCTTAATCTCCCATCTTTCTGGTGAAGTCAAACGCTTCCTATTTCTCCTCTGCTTACCATCCAAATCTCCTTCAATAACGGGTACATCCGAACTCAGGTTACCATAGCGATCTTCTGAGGTAGACCCGGATAAAATTTCCATGTTGGCGCCTGAAGCAAGTCGTTTCTGCGGTATCAGGTCACGACCGGTAACTTGGTCGACTTCTTTCATGGACAACCCAATCCGAGAACCTTGTATGCTGATGACCTTGACTTTCACGGGTTGCCCTCGTGAAACAAGGTCTGAAGGATGATTGACTCGCGCTCCTTCTTGCATAGCCGACACATGTACAAGCCCATCCACCTTTCCCCGCACACCTTGTAGGTTGACAAATGCGCCAAAATCCTTGACACCTGTAACTCGACCATCGTATGTTTTATAGAGAACAGGCTGGTCATCAAGCTCGGGAGTTGGTGGCCGCCGAAAATGGTCGTCGTCATCATCGCGTCTGGAACGGCGGTCGTAGCCATTGCGATGGCTACCGTTTCTATCGGAATGTTTATTGTACCGCTCGCCATCATCTCCACGGGTTTTGTGTCGCCCATGATGTTCACGGCCGTGCGATCGAGAGCGCGACCGGTATTTGTCTTTGCGTCGTCTGTTGGAACCTGCTTCGTATTCTCCATAATCTGGACTCCGGCTGCGTTTTCGACTACTCCTTTCATTGCCGTCTTCCCGTGCCTTGCCTGCAAGGCCTTCTAGCATCGCAAAAGTATCGTCCATCGCACTGGCAGGCGCATCATGCTCGTCGACTTTGTTCGGACTCAGCGGTCTATCGTCTTCCCATGTCTGCTCTTTATCCGGAACAGCAAGTCCTTTGAATATGCGAGCTTTCCTTTCGATTGCGCCTAGCGCATCCATATCATCATCTTCTTGGGTATCTGCATGATCGGCCTCCTTCTTGGCTTTATATTTCGGGTGCATCGTTAAAACAAGGCGATCGATACTTTCGATTAAACTGGGCGGAAAGTCCGCACCCATTTCCTCGAGAACATTTTTAAAGGTCGCGAAGGAATCACTTTGCGTGTGCTGGTCAATCACAAACTCTGCCAATGTCTTGTCGTTGATACCAAGATGGTTCTGGAGTTCGGATGTCACTCGCGACACAAGCGAGAATAACTCCAACGACTGAAGATCATCCATGGTTGCGCGTCGAATGAAAGAAAACCACCGATGTGGTGGTGAGGCCTGAGTAAAGAAGACCTTGAATTTTGGTTGTTGATCCCTTAACCTTAAGCATAGTAAGTGAGGTGGCGGAAAAATTATTGAGGCGAGATTCCGAGAAGCTTAAAGTTCCTCGCCGCCACCGATAAGATAAGGCACATATGCTAACAGTCTCGCCGCCTTGAGAGTGACAAGCACTGTTCGCGTCCCCTCATCAACCTGCCAACAATGTCCAGCCCCGTGTATGACGATGAGGATTATGTTGTACCTCTAGAGGATCAGCGAGTATTCGGGGCTGGTATCAAGAGAAAGCGGGTGCCTTTCGTGCGAGCATCTGATGACCTGCAAACGACTTTCGCCAAAGACACCACCGAACCCTCCGCCACTGTCGCCGATAAATATTTCGCTATTGTGATGTCAAAAAAGCGAAGGAAGGAGGAAGAACGGTTAGAGAAACAGCGAAACGACGATAACATTATAACCGCAGAGGAGCTTGCTTCTGCGCCTGCCACATCAACAACACTTCCAGCTGCTAACACTCAACAACAGCTGTTGCATACTGAGGATACAACACCTTCAGCGCACATCACTTCATGCGAAATATGTAGTCTCCCAATAGCGAAAGACTCGGCAGGCGAAAAATATTTCGAGAATGAGACAGAACTTCCTTCAAAACCACCGAACACACCCCACGAAGCATCAATCGCCCACCAAGTATGCTTAGAACACTCACACCCTCCATCTCATCTAGACCGCACCAGTCGTGGGTTTCGCTATCTGGCTTCCTATGGCTGGGATCCTGACAATCGTATTGGACTTGGTATGGCAGGACGCACGGGTATTCGTGAGCCTATCAAAACAAAGGCAAAAAACGATACCATTGGATTGGGCTTGAACGTTGATGAAAGCACAACCGCGGCGAAAAAGAAGTTACGGCAGCAGCATCAGGAGCAACATCAGAAGCTCAATGCGAAACAGGTACGTAATGGCCAGATAGCAGACAGGAAGAAAGGTGATAAACTCCGCGAGTTGTTTTACGGAAGCGATGATATACAACGATACTTAGGCGAAACTTGAGAAAAAATTTTATAAATATTGAAAATGATGAATCATTGAATGATAAACCTTCCTATAAGTAAAGCTTCCATTTAGATGTTGTACATCTTTGGGAAATGCGTCTTCAAAGGTTGTACTGTGGCTTAATGTGCGGAGGATTTGGGATGGTATTCATAAATTTCCCTTTTCTCCACTATTATAATCGACTTGGTAAAATCAATTCCAACCCCCCCGAGGATGACAAGGCACATGGTATCAGTAAAAGCATCAAGTGAAAGTATCGCGCCTTAGATGTAGAAACATAGTTATATGAAGCAGAAACAACCCGCGAAAAATGCTCGAGGGAAGAACGACAATGCAAACCGTATATATGGATGGTGTCGTGGAATTCGTATACAGTATCATCGGAAGAAATGATGTTTCTTCTTCTCCTTTTCTTTTTTGGCCGGTTTGCCTCCGGATGGTGTTCCATTTGACGGTGCTTGCGGTGGCTGATTTCCTTTCAGAGACATGTTGGCCATGGCAGCAGTCGGGGGAGCTTGAGGCTTGACGGATTTCTGTTGTGGCGGTGGAGTGTCTTTCTCGAAGAGATGTGCTGGTGCTTTTTGTCGAGGCCGCTCAGCTGGAATATCCAACCGTCTCTTGTCTGTATTGAGGTCACCAAGTTGGCGGAGAAACATAGCTGGAGAAAGCATATGCGAGGATGCCAGAAACACATCTTTAGCCGATGCTTGTGTAATCTCGTAACATGCTCGTGCTTCAGCGAAGCTAGCTCCGCCAGCCATGAAGACAAGGATTCTTTGACGAGGTTGGTCACCGGATGATCTAGTGCGAGCCCAGGTTGGCTTCGCACTTCGCAGGGAGGACTGCGATATTTGATCCTGCATACCACCCTCCCCGTCTGTATGGGGACGAGTGAATGGAAAGATTGTGGGATCAAGAGTGCCTTTTATTTGTTCCTCAAGCATTAATTTCACATTCGGTTCAAAACGCGAAAGGCTGACTTCCTGTTGTTGTGCAGCAGTAGGGGACTTTCGTTGAAAGATTGGCTGGTTCGCCGGTTTGTTGTCTTTTAGTGGCTTTTCAACTCTTGCGCCGAGTAGGTCTAGGTTATAAACAACCTCCCCATCCTGAGGCGGAAGCTTAGCATGAGCCAAAAGCTTTCGAATATCGCCCCCCAGCAAGCCGTCTCGATATATCAAGTACATTAAGATAAGTCGCAATCGATCCGGAGGAATGATAGATTCATCATCTAAGAGACGGACTAGTTGAATAGCTAGATTTTTGGGCTTTTTATAGTCCTCATCAAGGCCGGTAGATAAACTCTGCAATAAGGTCAGTATATTTACATGAATCTTCTATATTAACAGAACATACCTGCTCTACAGAACTTGTCTCCAGCAAATTGTGCTCTTGGAAGAGCTTCATACACTCCTGTGCCATATTCAAATGGAGGGTGTATGCATTCTTCCCTGCTTGGAAATCTGACAAACCAGCCAACATGTCTTTGATCGTATTGACGCTGACCTTAGACGAGTCCTCACTAGAAGAGTAGACAGACACATCAGTAAATCATCTTCGTTCAGCAAAAACAAGACCCACCTCTCAGCATAATGTGGATTCGCCGCTCTGAACTTTGTAAAGTCCTCGGCCAGCCTTTCCAGCACGTCTTTCATATGAAGGTGTCTATAGTCGACCCAAATGCGATCATGATCGGTGATCTCCATATCCTTGACTTCTTCATTTGCAGCACCCTCGTTGATTACCGTTTTATATGTTACTTTATCACCATCCTTTATCGGAAGTAGATCATGGGCCATTGCTTGGTACGTAAACTCATGGAGCAATGGAGAAAATAAATCCATCGATCGGTCGACAATGAGAAGAACGCCCCTAGGGCGCGGGCTCTGCGGTGGAAAATCTCGGTTAAACTGAGCATATCGGTCTAGCTCATCTTGAACAAACCGAGCCAAGTGAGAACACAAGACGCTGGCCTCGTGTGTAGGTGTTCGTGGCCGATAATACCGAATTATAGGATATTCGCCCAAAACAACACAAAGGGAAACAATCTGGACAATGGTTAGAAGGCTTCACTAGCCCCAGTATACGAAAACACGGTCTTTACCTTTCTAGACAGTCCTTCTAAATGTTCTCGTATCAGGTTATTGCAGGCAGGATGAAATAGTACAGGAAAGCTCCAAGGATCGCGGAAAGTAACCACTTGCGATTCTCGAGGATAAAAATCGACATTCAAGGTCCGCGTAGACACAATCAAGTCGCGAGCAATTTGAGAACGGTCTAACCTGGATCGTTGTTGTTGGTCCAAGACTTGAAAAGGTAAGTAGGAAGGCAAAATGTATGCAAAAGAAAGATTCCTCACTTGCTGTCCATACCACAAAGAACCTGCGATAACGTTGTCTCTCTAGGTCTGCCATGAGACAATCCAATATATGGGGTAGAGCCGACAGAATGTACAACGCATCCATGTCCTTGTTAGACGGCCGGCGATGCTCGATCTGCTCGATATCTTCGCGCCTTGCTTAGTCCATGCGCACTTACAATCTGGTTCGGATCATCTTACTCGTCACATTGTTGTTCAGAATATCATCTTCGTTCACCGAATTATCCAACAATTTCCGGCTATTCTCATCCACCACAAGGATTTTCCACTGGGAAGGTTGTTAGCGCTGTTTGAGAGGGGTACCTGGAATGGAGGCATCAGCGTACGTCGTTTCCACCAGCATGGCGAATAGCATCCAGAATAACTAATCACACCAGGTTAGCAGCTTGAAAGCATTGAACATGGGGTCGACTCTATCCAAAGAAGCTGGCAACCTACTGTCTCGTTGAATGTTGATTAATGAAGGAGCCATTTTACAAGGACTCAGCCTGAGCAAGCATTGAGGGATAGGCCGATGCAGCTCACGGCGATGACTCAAGATTGCAGTGTCAGATCTGCGAGTGACGAATACTTGGGAAGGACCAGGAGAAAGAGGGGAGCGTTAATGGTATTATTATTGGCGTGGTGAGGGACCAGTTGTGACCTGATACAGTTCCCCACCATGCAAAGGAGGAATAAGTCTACAGTGATATGCATGCGCTAGACGCATCTAGGCTTAGCGGCCCCGCAGCTGTGGCGGCGGCGGAAAAAATTGCAGCCTCAGAAACCAGGCATCTACATCTAGCTGTTTTGGATTATTTTTGCCCTCCAGTCTGTCCCTTCGCAACCCAACGCCTTGCGCTTCACATATAATACAAAGATTTATCTGTATGCGACCGCTATCACGTCAATGTCCACTGGGATTAGACTTGGGTATGAAGGCGAGGACTACTCAAGCCTGGCAATGCCTTTTTTGTTCCATCAGACCTCGCCTTACTACGCTCTCGACATTAAGGGAATTTACAGCGGCATCACAGTTGGCAAGGAAGCCAGGTGGCGGGAGTAAAGGGGTATTCTCTATTGAAAAGACCTTTAGCCAGTCTCATGCTCTAACCAATACTCCATAGTCAAAGTCCCAATCTAGTAGCCGTGGATCGCCAATTATCTATCGAAGAAATGACCAAAACTTCGCCGCTGTCGTAAGGCACGCCTTGGAAGAACACAGACGAGATCTTGATCCTTTTCATCCTACCTCCAAAACCTGGGATGCATTCTCTCGCAGAATAAGCCAGGCTGTGATACTAGAAGACGGCTTTGATGTCCCTAAAAAGGGCAACCTACTAGCACTCAAACATTCGCTATGGGACGCATATCGGGCACGTGGCGCGACGGGGGTTAGGAGTGAAATAATATCTTTGCAAAGAAACGAGGAATTTGCAAAGAAGTATGGAGATCCTAATATCGATGAACAAAAGAAGCTCGCGGATCTTCGTTACCCAGCTGAGTGGTATCCGCACGCCCGTGCTAAACGGCGGACAATTCACTTGCATGTTGGTCCAACAAACTCCGGAAAGACGTACCAAGCTTTGAAGAGACTGGAAGGAGCACAGAAAGGTTTCTATGCTGGTCCGTTGCGATTGCTCGCTCAAGAAGTCTACTCCCGCTTTACGGCGCAAGGTATACCCTGCGGGTTAATCACTGGAGACGAAGTACGTATTCCAGACGCATCGCCTCGCATTCTTAGCAATACTGTGGAAATGGTCAGTCTAAACAAGGATTTCGAAGTGGGTGTCATCGATGAGATCCAAATGATCGCCGACCCAGATCGCGGGTGGGCTTGGACACGAGCGTTCATGGGTTCCAGGGTTCGAGAACTGCATCTCTGCGGTGAATTGCGCGTGGTGCCTTTGATTAAGGAACTCGTTGCCCTGACTGGAGATGTCCTAGAGATTCATCAGTATCAGCGACTGAATCCTCTAAAAGCTGAACAAACCAGCCTTCAGAATGACCTTCGGAGACTACAGAAGGGGGATTGTCTGGTTGTATTCTCCAGAATAGGCATTCACGCTTTTAAAAACCAAATCGAGAAAGCTACGGGTAGGCGAGCTGCCATAGTTTATGGCGGACTCCCGGCCGAAATTCGCACTCAGCAGGCCAATTTATTCAATGACCCGGACAATGATTACGATTTCCTTGTTGCCAGTGACGCAATTGGCATGGGTCTCAATCTGTAAGCTTTGAGATCCAGAAGACTTTTGTCTCGATTACTAACTCCCTCTTCAGAAAATGTAGACGCATCATATTTCATACTCTGGTCAAAGGAAGGAAAAACGGTCTACATCGACTCACCATACCTGAAATTAAACAAATTGGGGGTCGCGCGGGTCGATATCGCGCAGCGAACGAGAAAGAAGTGCCGAAACAGTCAGCTGAACCTAATGTGGGATTAGTAACTTCGCTTGAAGACGTTGATCTTCCATATATTCGGCAAGCGCTGGAATTCGAGCCTCCTCCCATCAAAACGGCAGGTGTCTTTCCTGGTGACACCGTGTTTCAACTCATTTCAGGATATTTTCCCTCTGATGTCTCATTCAAATTTCTCGTCAATCGTGTCCTTGCAGTCTGCCAGGTTCATCCATTATTCTTCCTGTGCAGAGGCCAGGCTCAACTAGAAAGCGCCGGAGTCATCGACAGCAGCCATGAACTCACTATCGATGACCGACTTGTTTTCATGGCTTCACCTCTCTACGACCGCGACCCAATCCTAGTGAATGTTGCTAAAGCATTCATCAGGTGTGTCGCTACGAATACCAGCGGGCGCTTGTTGGACATTCCCGAGCTTCATCTAGAAATCCTCGAGGCCCCTGTATCTGGCGACAAGGATTACATGACTGAACTAGAAAGTTTACACAAGTCGCTTATCTTGTATTTGTGGCTGAGCTATCGTATGGGAGGAGTGTTCACGGACCGAACTCTTGCTACTCATGTGAAGACAATGGTTGAGGAACGAATGATGAGGGCGCTATCAGAGTTCTCGGTCAACAAAAAGCTACGGATTGCAGCGTCTATCAAGCAGAGGATCATCATGGAACAGCAGTATAGCGAGGAGCAACGCTTGCTCGCGGAGGCTGGCACTACTAAGACTAGCAACCCAACCGGTGATGCGTTCGACCTGCCTGTGTCAGAAAATACTTTGTCCGAGGGCGAAGCGCAAAATACTCGAGACGCCAGTAATACGGCATAATTGGGAAACCTGACTACATTTCTCTACTTATCTTAATATTGTATATTGGACGGTTTATTCCTGGCTTGACAGGAGATAGCGGCCTGTAGATAGCGATATATATAAATATGTACTATTAATGTAAAATTATTCACAATAATATCAATTTGATCTACAGCTATTCGTTGTACACGCACATGCATATGGCGGGTCGTGGTTGTTTGTCGCAGGCGAGGTGACAAGATAATGCGTGACAACAAGACGACGTTCTTCCCCTTTAGGCAGCCCACCCAAAAAAAGTCCACATCAGACCCGCCTGATCATCTGCGGGAGTCAACCACCCCCCATCCAAACCTCTCCCTCGACATGAACAGAACCTTCAGAATCTCTCCCCCGGCTCCCTCCATCACTGTGCTTTAAACACTACTCCTTCCGATGCTCAAACCAAGATTTTAATCGAATTGGCTCGAAATCTTTCTTCGTTCGCGCCCCGCGCAACGTGCATTGACCACTTTTCGCACCTCGATAGCACTCCATTGACGATCACTCCTTATCCTGCACCCAGCCTTGCCACAACTCCTGTGTTAATCTTCCCTGAGCAGTTCGCATTCAGAAAAAACAAGGGTGCTGCTGTTCCACTACTTCGTTTGTGCATGGGGCTATCTCCCTTCCGTTGACCTATCTCGTTTCTACCCAACCGCTCGCCGTTCTCCTCTTACCATGAGAATTCTCTAACCGCCGCTACTATATAACTTTGACCTACCTGTCTCTCCCCATGGCACGCCGCTATGAGATTGAAGAGCTCTTGTGGCTGCGCAATTCGCCCCTTGTCACAAAGCCCGATAAATTGCCTCCAGCGGAGGAATGGATGGGGTTAGTTGGAGGATCCAGGCCTCGACATACGCAGAATAACTGATATTGACTATTCTAGACCTATCCCAGACCCAGCAACACGACGACCAACAAACGGCCGAGATCAGGCCCAGAATGAAAACTCAACCAGAAGACCAAGTCTATTCGAAACGCCACGACATATCTCCAGAAACTCAAATTCAGGTATGTGGCCTCTTATCAGAATCGTCTCCCAGAAACCATCTAACGCTGCCTGTTTCTCAGAGGACATAGTCTTAGGACCCCCCAAAACCGCATTTTCCTCGGCGACGCGAATGTTTGGAAAAGGGTCAATTGATGCGACTGATCGAACCCAACGCTTCAATGACTCAGATGAAGCAAAAAACGATCGCTTCAATTTCAGAGACAAATTCTTGAAGGACAGAGAAGGAACAGACCGCGAACTTGACAGACGCGAAAACAAGTACGGAGGGCCTCATAGCCGTCGAAATGAGAGAGAGGATTGGAATGCCGGGCGGCCACGTCGTACATTTAACCAAGACGAGCAGGACCAGAAGCCTAAGCGCAATGGTGACGCCGGCCGGTGGGATGGACGAGACAAACCTGATGAGTTGGTTTTGGGGCGGAAAGATAAGGATGGACGCTTTGCCGGGCGAGAAGGTCTCCCTAGAGGGAGACACGAGAAAAGCTGGTTTCGTGACGAAAATGCGCCTGAAACTGGCGAGCTAGAGGATGAAAAACCATTCATGCGAAGCCGAGAATGGCGACGTGATCGGCAGACCACTGAACGAGACTGGAATAAAGGTGCCAGATTTGATCAGGATCCGGAATGGATGGATTCTACAGACCGTGATGAGCCCAAACAAACCCAAACACATACACAAGAGGACTTTCAACGATGGAAAGAAAGAATGAAAGCCGGCTCCGCGCCACCGGTTCCATTAGAAGAGAAGACTGGAATTGCTCTTGAGGAAGTTGCTCCTGAGGATCAGAAGACGGAAGCGAGTCGTCTGGATGGCGAATTGTTCGCTGCGAATAAGCACCACCTGCCCATGGACACGGGTTTCGAAAAATTTTTTGGCCTGTTAGGTGACGCAAAACATACACCCCAGGAGGTTGCGACAACCGGGCCCGGGGAATCTATCAAGACAGACCCAGGCTCGTCAAAAGCCTCAAAATCATCCAGATTCGCTACCCTTTTTAGTCCACCTCCCGAGAGCTCAGTCAAACAGCCTGAACCTATTGCACTCGAGAAAACTCAACCCGATCGTCCAGTATCCACCGACGCCGACCAGGAGGGCTTTCAGCGCATCCTTCAAATGCTTGGAGGCAGAAAATCTCGCAACAGCACTCCTCAGATGGACAGTACTCAATCGTCTCGGCCACCATCCTACGCACATCCTGACAACCGGCCAACACCCCCCCCGGGCCTATCATCCCCATCTAGGGACACATTAAACCAGCAGCAACACGAGTTCATGGCAGCCCAAGAAGGTGTGGCTCCACGTGCTCTTCATCCCCCTCCTGGGATGGAAGCCATGCTTCCAAATCGGGATCCACAGACAATGTTCCGCGACCGCGACAACCTCCTACGTTTAATGCAACAAGTCAAAGTATCACCTACACCAGGACAACACGGAAACCCGGGGCTTCCATCGGGGCTGCCGGCGGGACTGTCATCTCAAGGCGGCCCTACTCCTGGTATTCTGAATGTTCCCGATCTACTTTCGCGACCGCAGGGTATGCAAAAAGTGCCTCGCAATCAACCCTTCCTAGACGACCCTGCTATTGCCAACATGCAGCGAACCGAAGTTGAATTGCACGAGCCATCAAGGCGACCAGTCAACGGTCTTCCAGTGGGATATTTCGACGAAATTCCATACCCCGGCGCTCCACAGGGTGGACAGGGCTCTACACGACCAGCTGCTGGTGGCAGAGGACCTCCTCCCATGGGACTCCAACGACCTCCTGGATTCGAGCAGATGCCACCACCACCACCTCCTCCTCCGGGCTGGGCAGGCCAACTCCCCCCTCAACAACCGACTCCAAATAGAGGCATGAACCCGAACTTTCTCAACGGGCCAATGCCTCCTCATATGCATGGAAATATGCCACCACCACCACCTCACAACGAGCGCCCGCCCTTCCTTCGAGGCATCAGCGGCAACGCATCCGGGAACACCTTCGGCCCTCCTCCCGGTATGATGCCTCCCCCAGGCTACGGTCCTCCCCCCCCATCTGGATTTCCGCCAATGCCTCCTCATAACCCCGAGGCCATGCTAAACATCAGCCAACACCAACAACAACAAGGGGCAGGATCTTCTGGACCGCCGCCATCCTCACGACATCTCCTGGACATGTTCGCCCAAGCCAATGGCGGCGATGCCCGAGGCGCAATGCTCGGCGGTCCCGGTCTATATCGCTAATTCGTCTACTCAACAATCAGTACATTAATCCCACTCCAACACATTCATCCACATCCATCCTACATCCTTCTCATTTGCTGCTATCAAACTACTTTTTTTGGTTTATGACTACGACGATATTCCTCATTGTGCAACTACGTACGTATTCACGCCTGTAATTTTGCTCGATACGGTAACAGTTTACTCCCTATTCTTTGCTTTACTTTTTTCCCGTTTGTTATGATTTCCCTATTACTCTTCGTACAACGAATGAGATGCGATGTCCTGGATGGATGAATTGTTGGAGGAAAGCGAGTGGATGGATGGATGGCCAGAAGAATTGGTAAGAGAGCTTGAATGGAAGGAAAAAAGCAAGTACTAGCTAGTTAGGTTGGACACGGCGAATCAATCTGTTATGTCTCGCTGATATCGATGTGTCGAGATGTCATTCTTCATGTTACTAGTCAATATCTTAGACGTGCTGAATAAAGCTAAATAGTTACTTGCTACATTCCTACACTTATCATCATCACACACATGTAATAGAAGTAATAGACAACCAGGCCGTAGCCTTCATTCAATCCTAGCCTACCCTATCCAACCAAAACATCATTGTGCGAGCCTCCCTAGATACCAACGATAAAGATAACAACTTTTTCAATCGATCCACTGAGTACATAAACGGACTGTCTAGTCAGATAGATAAAAACCGATACAAACTGACAGACATACAGATCGCTAGCGGGTCGTAACTCGTCATAAAACATGCTGGATATAGCATAACATAGCATAGCATACAGTACACACGGCTTGCGTGATGCCGAATAATAATACAGAAAGAAAAAAAAATATATCAAAACGAGGATTGGGTCCGAGATCACGCGGTAGAGACTGTTTTCAGCTCGACTTCAGGGAATACGCAACAGAGGGTTATGGAGGATATAGATATGGATATGGAGGATATGGATATGGTAGATGGTGGGGGGGTTAGGGGAGGTCGTTCCATACCGCGCTCAGCCAGCCTGCTGGATACCCGATTTCGGAATCGGACAAGGAGCGCCAGTGCTCATAGCTGCCGCCGTCGAGGAAGGCGACTAGGTCATCGCCGCCGAGGCTGGTGGACCACAGGTTGTGGTAGTCGGCTACGTCCGGCGCGGGGTGCGGTGTTCCACCGCCGTAGGTAACCGATCCCGGGGGTGGGAGCATGGGGAAGGAGTGAGCGTTGGCGTTGATGGGGGGAAGAGACTGGGAGTAGGAGGGGGGAGGGCCTTGCTGGTGTGATGTGACCCAAGAGTTCAGAGGCTGAAGACGGTTTGGCGCGTAGAGTGGTTGGCTGGGCGGTGCAGAGCTGTAGGCTGCGGGGGATGTGAGGGAGGGATAGCTGGGTGATGTGGTGGAGGAGATGGAGTTGTGGTGTTGGAGCGATGGGAGGGAGTATGGTGATTGCGGTTGGAGGGACCGCTGGAGCGAAGGGAGGCTTGGACGACGGCCGTTGTCGGGAGGAGGAGGGGGTAGGTTTGCGGTGTTGGAGGAGCTGTTTATGGGTACCCAAGATTCGCGTCGTTGTTGGGCCACGCCGTCGATTTGGGAGTCGCCGGATTCACTCTTAACGGCGTTGCTGCCGTTGTCGCTCAGGGCGACGCCGCGCTCTGACATGGGGATTGCTTGTGCGGCATCATCTTCCTCTGGGGATGCTGCCTCGGGAATTCGATCATCAATGTCGCCGAATTCAAGGAAGATTTTCTCAAGAAGCTTGAACTCCTCGACGCCTCCGCCTGGCCCACCTTCACGAACGAGCCGTGATCCATTGGAGGCATCAACGCCATCTATGCCGCGTGAGTGCGATTTGAAGTCTTTCTTGACTTTGATGTAATAGCTATGCAGCCGATTCAAAGTGCGGAACCACCCTGTAGCCAGTTTCAATCGAGGGCGCATATCACGTAGAATATTCAATGCACGCTGCGTCAGTACCTGCGGTTGGGTAATGGTTGCAGCCGAGGGAGGTGAGAGCGAGCGTTTGCTTGATAAGTATCCATCGATATCCAGGTGGCTGAAATGAGCGGCGTAAACTCCCATGAATGCTGCATTGTAAATAGCGAATCCAACTAGCGGGGTCTCGAGAACATGTTTATCTTGGCAAGCCATCACCAGATCCAGCATTTGCCTGGCTGCTCGGAACAATTCTCTTGTACTATCACGCCAGAATCCTTCAGGTACCGCATACTTTTCTCGAGGAAAAGTTGGTTCATCTAGCGGGCCAACTGGTTCGTTGCATCGAAGGGGGAGGAATGGGAGATAGGCTCGATGCAGAACAATCAAAGACAGGAAATACACAACATGCATGACCATGTAAGACGGCAAAAAAGGTGTTATTTGCATGGTATACTTGTCGTTGTTCCGCTGGGAATACTGGATTTTTTTGGGTAAACTGTCTTGAAACTCGGCCAGGTTGGTCCGTAGCTGGGAAAAGCGCGACTCTGACTGCCATGGTCCGTAAGACTCGTTTCTAGAGTAGTTAGCATCTGTCCAATTTGCAGAAATTGAAATACATAAGCTTACCGTCGACCTCCAGCACATGCCCATTTAGCGATACTGCCCCAGATTCTAATGATCCGAATAACACGACTCGAGACCGCTTCTTCTGCGCCAACTTCCCAGCGATCAATCTCATGATCACCAGAATCATTACGAGTCGCGACAGGTGACCATGCTTTCGTATCCGTCGACCCATTGCGAAGCTTCTCATCCGTATTATAAGAAAAGCTTTGGCGCAGGCTGGGAATCTGCACGCCAGGGCCATCAATACTAGAAGGGCGGCGAGCTGGGCTATCACACAGACGGGACGTTCTGACCCGTTCACCTTCGAGCGCATTGTCGCTGGGCAGTTGGATAGCTAGCTCACGAACTTTGAGCATCCGCGGTCGATGCTTTCCGCTACTGAGACATCGATCCATGATAAAACAAGCCCAGAAAGTTCTTCTCTTCGTTTCCTGGGCAATCACGGCGTCTGGGCTGAGATCTGCCTCGAGTTTGAGTGCCGATGGCCGAGTCACAGCATACTCGTTTTCTAGATCGTACGAAAGACCCATAGCTTGCGACAGTCGAATGGCTATGCCTACATACACCCAGGCGCTTTTTCCACGGCACATGCCCCATTCGTGCAAGGCAAGCATCAATAATGCCTGGACCCGAGTCAAGTCGGGTAGGGCGAAACCCAGGCCATCGGACCCGGCGAGACGATGCCGTAGGGCAGCAGCATAGAACTCGGACGCCGCGGACGGGTTGGGCTTGGTCGCGGCAGGAGAGTGATACGACACTAGCGAGGGATGAAAGCGTGCCGTCAGCGCCAGCACACCCAGGAGAATCAACGGCGATATCTCCGGCTTGGGCACGGGGCTTTGCGAGGCGTTTTCGGCAGCGGACTGGCCATCCTGGAGCGAAGCAGCGAGTTGGCCGACTTGCTTGCGAAATGTGATGGGGTCAATGAACGGCAGAAAAGCGGCGAAGTGAGACTGAAAGCGATCCGACAAAGTCTCCCACACCTTGGGGGTCAAGATGGGCGAGTCGAGCACGTCGGCGTTTGCTTTCGCGGCATCCTTAGCGGCAGAACCCGACGGGCCGACGACTTTTCTCGGTCGTGACCTCTTGGGATTGTCCCAGTCGACGGCGCGGTCGTCGCCGTCTAGAGTGGCAGCGAGGTCTCGCTTAGATGACGCGCCGCCAATGGCAGGGGCAGGATATACACACTCGCGACCGGTGGATTCGCAGGCTCGACAGGTGGTGTCAATGCCTGCATTGACGCACTTGATTTTGCTTCGGCGGCACCGAGAGCAGGCAATGCTGGACCGCATCTCAGGAAGTTGAACAGTGCTCCTGGTGTCGTTTCCTGGAGTAGCGAGACATTCACGGGGTAAAGAGGGAGGGGGGAGGGGGGCGGTTTTCGCGAAGGCGGGTGGTTTTCCCTTCAGCAAAGCAGCGGAGGGAGCAGAAACCTGGGGTGGATCCGGGGAAGCATCAGGCAGATGCGTCTGGCGGGCGGGACAGGCACGACAGGGAGCACAGCACAGCGTAGTGTCGCGTTCGAGAGATGTAGGAGCGCAGTGGCTGGGTCGAATTGAGCGGATGTTGCGTGCTGGGAAGAGGGGGGAGGGGGGAGGAGGAGGAGAGAAGGCGAGAAAGACACGCAGGCTGGGGAAGGATTCCCCAACCGGGGCGGACAGGTGTGCCCGACTTGCCGGGACCGCATAAGAATGGGGGAGGCTGCCCCGGGCGGTACCGGTAGCCACGCTACAGCGTTCGGCTGCAGCAGTCGGGGAGCAGTCGGTTGCCGACTGTCTATTTTCTATTTGCCTATTTACTACGTATTTTACTCTTGCGTCAGTTTCTGGAAACAGGTTCCCGCTGGCCTGGAGGCTGGAGGGCTGCTGGCACTGTAACCGCAATGGATCGGCAAGCCGGTATACTCACACTCGTAGTACTGCCTCCTGCTCCTATTGCAGCAGCCAACTAGGCTGGGTGTCAACCCAGGTGTGTATTATTCACAGTGACATGGACTGCGCTCTCCAATAATAATTAATGAGAAGGCGCTAGGGCAGAATGTTACTCAGGCGGCCACGGCTAAATTAATCAAGGCCAGAATGGATCAACCTCTCGGCCCAGCAGCGTCGGGATCGGGTTCACCCACGGGTTGTTGTCATTGGCCACGTGATTAGTGTTTTGCATATACCATTGAAGAGGAATCTTTATACAATATAATACGGAGTACAATATAACACCATATGATATACGTGGGTATGAACGCATTTATGCATATATGTACTTAGGAGGCATCCATTAAGCCGTAACTGAGTAATTCTCCTCGTGGCTGACATTAATTTATGCGCCGGCTGCCATTGGGCGGCGTAGTCCTGCTTCAGCACAACCCAGCACAGTAAATAAACGTAACATAACATAACATATAACATTACAATAGATACGCATTTATTATACCGAATACAATATATTCTGTCATCGATAAATGGACAAATACATAGAAGCATCGGAGTGACCTAATGAATGTATTGAGAGAGTAACACACAGACACGAGTCAGGCAACACGCGAGCCGAGGCCGGCAGCCAATGGCAGCACTCCGGGGGAGGCTAAACCCCACACTGCTGGAGTCTGGGGCATTTGCTGCTCCCACGGCACATTACTACACTACTGCTATTACTACGTGCCTCCGAGAGACGACCGAACTTCTGTTACCGTTATGATTGTTATTATTGTTATTATATTTATATTTACATATATATATATATATAAAACTGTCCTTATGCCCAACGACTATCATAACACCTCCCAATGCATACCGTCTGCATAATAATCCAACACACAAAACTAACTCTGTTGTCTGGTCTGTCAGCGTGCGACGATACCGACGAACCGAGGCCACACCGGCTTCCGACCCTCGTCAGGTCCAGTCTTGGAAGAAGGGAAGGGGCGGCCTGTGCAGCCAATCGCAGAGAGTCGAGTTGGTGTGGTTGCGTTGGCCTGGCCCTGACAAACCCAATTTCGTGAGTGTTCCCGGCCGTCCCATCCACATCCCTCCGACAAAGCTTCTCCGAGCACCTTCCGAAAGTACTACATACTGGTACTACTGGGCTGCTAGGGTACTAGTAAGTCTACTAGTCTACTACAGTAGCCCTTCACTGCTTGGAAGCTGGTGCCGATGCATCGTGCCTAGCGAGGGAACCCGACCTCTCCGCACTCCATAAGTCGCTAAGACGGTGCTTCCCAAGCATCACGACGGAGGCGTCCCCCACAAGCGTACTCCACAAGCACGCTAATAAAAACATTCGTAACCATTATGGATAAATAGTCATCAATTAATACGAACGCCTTTAGTGACAGATGTAAGGTGGCCGATTCTTCTTTCTTCTTCCTTTTACCCGTTTTGCCTATTTTTGCTTTTTTCCGGTCTCGTTTCTTTTTCTCTTGTAAAACGTATGGTTGATAAGTCTGGTCTGCTCGGGCCGCGGAACTTAAATGTTTCCAGCCTTTCGGCCGACGGAACAGCTTGTGATTGTCTTCCGATCACTAGAATCACGTGTCTACAGGGAGCCCTATTGATCGTCTTATTAGAGTATAGAATAAATAATTATTTTGTATCTTATTAAGATAATACAGTAAGTACATCAGAAGAAATAGGAACATCAAAGAATGGTAAGATATGGTAAGATAAGGAAACAAACAACTGCCGGTGGTGAAAGGGGTATCATTCTCAGCAGAAAAATGTCTATAAAACAAAAATATGAAAGAGAAACCTCAAATTTTGGGAGATTAAGAATCGTAGAACCTGTGAGAAGGGTTAGCAGACGTCCATAGCAGATACGGACAGACTTACCACGCGGCAATCGCGATAATGATGTACAGCGTCATCAACAAAACACCTTCCAGCCAGTGCGACTTGCCGTCTGCGATGAGATAGTTGACCTAGAATGGTGAGAAAAACAATAAAATTTGGAGGCTAGTGAAAATGCTTACTAAAAGAACCGACACAAACAAGACCGTCACTTGGAATCCGTCGCCAAAGTCGAGAGTCTAATCATGTTAGTCTACACCCACGACTAAATATAAGCAAGCATACCATATCATCGTTTCCAATAATCCAGCCAATCACCACGATCAGGGGAAGCACCAGGAGCGCAATCTGCATGCTCGAACCTACCGCCACTCCGATCGCGAGATCCATCTTATCCTTGCAGGCCACCGTCACTGCAGTCGCGTGCTCTGCAGCATTACCGACAATAGGAAGCAAGATCAACCCGACAAATGTCTTCGAAATGCCGCTGTTTCCCGATGTGATGGCATCGATAGCATCCACCATATACTCTGCGCACAGCGCCACAAATACAGTCGATATGACCAGTGTGAGAATGGCCACGTAAAAATGAAGTTGTGGCTCCTCTGGTTGGTCTTCCCTCCCTTCTTCCTCATCTTTATGCATCTCAGGCGAGGTGCTTTGGCCAGCTAGGCTCGCGCCCAATTGTCCCATCGCAGCCAGTCCCTTGTGAGTGTCGCCATCGGACCGAGTCGACTTCTTTCGCTTCTCTGTTTTCTCGCTAGGCTTGTTGTAAATTTCCGAATGGCTTTTCAGCTGGAAGAATAGATACGCCCCATAAACCAAAAGCAAGATAACGCTAGTACCTTGAAGTCTACTGTTAGCATACAGGTCTCTTCATAAGAAGATTAAGATCAAATTACCTCGAGATAGTTCATCGGTGTGACTGGCACCACCTGTCCAACAATCTTTTGTTAGTTTCCTCAAAACACATCTTGATCACGCTCGCATACCTGCAGCCCATTTACGGAATGCCGTCGGGATGATCAGACTGGAGACCGCGAGTGCCAACAAACTAGCTGCGGTCTGCGCAACAACTTCATTGAAGTTCTGAGTGATACGATTGAGACCACCGAAGAAGAAGCACATGCCCATGACTAGAAGCAAATTCGAAAGCATACTGCCAACCAGAGACGTCTGAACAATTGTGACTTCGCCCTTGACGAGGGCAATGATGGCGACAATCAACTCAACGGCGTTACCAAAAGTCGCATTCAAAAGACCACCGAGTGTCTCGCCAGTCCTAGTATGTTTAGTAAATCGAAGGGGATCGGGTTTTATTCATATCAGCTTACCGTATAGCAATTTCCTCCGTTGCATAACTGAGCATTGCGGCGAGAGGGCTAATTATTATCAGTTTTGATCCCCGCGGTAGTGACAATGATGAATCTCACATGATAGCAATAAAGTTGACAACAAAGACAGCAGTTTTGTTGACACCGACATAATTAATAGCAACTGGTCAAGAGTCAGCCAGGTCGGGAAGAAACACAACCACACTAGCATACTTCCGGCAGGCACACAAACCAACAAGAGGTTGATCCATGAATTGAAGATAGTAGCCCTCAGCTGGCTAGCGACAGTGAAATGGGGCTTCTGCACGTCGTCCTCCTCCGGTATGGGTTCTCTTTCAGATTTGAACAGGCCACGAATCTTTCTACGCCTGGGTTTTGTCTCCTCCTCTAGGCCGCGCGAGGTGTTGATAGGTCCCTGGCTGCTGGCGGGTGCCGAGTTTTCTTCCCATACTGGTCCGTCCCCAAGTTGTGCTAGCTCTGTACCTCCTGAAGCAGGTGGCCATGTGTCCGGGTGCCCTAAACGATGATGATCTTCATTCAGTTCCTGGCGGCCCTGGTGTTCTGTCCGTATGTAGGTATTACCTGTTGTAGCGCGACGTTGAAATGAACCCTCTTCCAGTTGGCGCGTGGTGTTCTCTGAAGCTCTCTTGTTGGCGCGAAACTTCTTAAACGGGTTGTGGCTAGCGGCCTGTTCTCCTTCTTCATCATACCAGGCCGAATGGCGTGCCCATGAGCGGTACCTATCTAGATCACACGTTCAATGACTATACCAAGGTCGCATGAAGGTGGCACAACTTACGCATCTTGCACCAGGTCGGGTGGCTGCGTATTGACAAATTTACGCTGGGTATCTCATCAGCTCTCGTTCTTGACAACATGCAATCCAGATATTCTCACATACAGCTCTTCGATGCGTCAACAGGGTTGTAAACAGTGGTCGCAAGTCGCAGTTCTTTGAGGAAATCAATGGGAGGGGGTGGTGAAAGAAAACAATGGTGAGTCTGCGATGGCAACAGAACAGCGGCGACAGTGTCAATATTTGGGTGAAAGAATGTAGTCAGCAGCGCGAACCACAGCAAGTCGCCGGCGTGATAATTAATTAATTAATTAATGACGATCAACCTGTCACATTAGCGGGAGTCGAGCGATGACCGACCAGCAAATAAGTCATTGACCAGATTGATCGACTGGTATCGGAGCCCGTATTTTGGTCGCTCTGACATGCCCAGTTTCAAGGCCCAAAATTCAATCGGCTCCCTCCTTCCTTGTTGACTGCATGCCCTTCCCTGCCTTGAATCATCATCTGCGACGAGGCCCGCTGCCAAGAGTGCACAGCCACGGGCGGACCCAAGGTTTGCTATATCAGGCCTAGCGCTGGCTAAGCCCGGGGAGCACCGCGAATGGCCTGTGCCTATCGCGCTGGTTATTGTGAAAGTTACCGTCGGCAGCCTATTGGGGCTCAGGAACCCGAGTGCTTAGCCCTGTCTATCCGCGAATCGCCTACATGGCGGTGGGTCCGCCTCCTTATCTGATTCGCTCAAATAGAGCTACCGCGGAGCTTTGCAATTGCCAGTCACCCGGGTTTGTGGCTGGGACTGTGATGTTGGGTGTTGTGCAATAGGGAATTCCTGCTCTATGAGGTATTATTTTTCTCTTTCTTCGAATCCAGCTTTGTCTGACGCTGCTACGTGTCGCCGGTCACGTCCGACCATAATCCAACAGACTGGTCCAATAGCAACGGGTATCTTCTTTCAGGATCGGAAATGCAGGGTCCACCGGCCACAAAATCAAGAGCTATTTTCTTGGCGTTTCATCCCTGAGCGTTGCCGCCCGCTTCATGAATATTGTTGAGGACGAACACATTTCAACTTTTCTTTATGATGGTCTTCGACGTTGTGGTTTGCTGGATAGTCAGTCGTCTGAGCGATTGCACTCTGTGACACTTTGCCATTGTCAGCCTTGCGACAATCCGCAACAAGCATGCGGATAAGCTTTCTGCGCTGTCTTGTGCTGACCTGGTCACTCTTGGCATTGTTCTACCGAAATGGAATACGCACTGTGGCGCGGTAGTCTTAATCTTAACTTGTATATTACGTGATGTCCTAAGCCCATCGAGGGCATGATAGCGAGGTGCATAGTTTGAACTTTGAAAACTTGAAGAATATTATTTACATGGCTGTTGACTGGCTGAATCGGTTCTTGTACAGCCTCCCAAATAATTACGTATCGTATCACCCTTGACTCTCGTGATGACGTACGAGGATCGGTCGAAATGTGGCGTATCCACTGACCTCACATATTTAGCGCCTGTCAGAGCTGCCAGGCTGTCACAACCGACCTCAGCCTCGATAATAATTATAATCCTGAATATGCCAAAGCTCCAGACTAACCACGTACTTAGGCAGCAAAAAGCTTCCCGACGAGGCGGTCTGGGTCTGGTGACCATGCAACGTCGATCTCTCCCACCGCCTCTCCGCAAACACAAGCATGCGTCTGGCATCTGCAAGGCATGCTTGCATGCTTGCAGATGGAACAATCAGGGAAGTGGTACAATGTAGTGCAAGTCATTGAATGGATCATTTGAAACTCGGATTCAGTGTCATCCGTGGCCTTGTGCTCTGAGATTCTGATGTATCAGTCCTGATACTATTAATAACAGTGATAAATCTCTCCAACTCTTTTCTGCCTCCTGCGAGGCCATACATTATTTATTGTTTTATCTTGACAATGAGATTTTTGAGACGCTGTTAATTATCATCTAAAACGTTTAGAAGAGAAACAATTTGAAGACAACATTTAAAAAGAACATTCCCTCGACTCAAATACCATATCAATTGATATTATCAATCTGGTAAATATTCAATCTACAAATGGATCTAGGTAGTTAAACTGCTTCAATATAATCAAACCCCAATATTGATGGCTGTACATCGACCTATTGATGATAGGATGATAATCCATATTTTCGTGGAGACGAATCAAGCGATAACCGTTTTTTTGCAACTATTGATAGGTGAAGACATATTTTGGCATTCCTACTTTATCAGTCGGCGACCAGGCGAATTATCGAATACGGGGTAATTGCAATTTCTGTCAACTAGTAAATCTAACAGCTCTCTATGAAGATAAGACATCGTCACTCAGCCAATTTATAAGAATCATCGTAAATTTTTTGAAAAGTAAGTGGGTTGAGTTACATATTTATCATCGTCTTTGCGGCTTACACACGTCAATAGCAAAAACGGCCCCACAGTCCACGCGCGATATAGTCTCACTCTAACCGATATAAGAAAATGCCCCAGGCTTCAGATCTTATAATGGTATAGGCCACTAATAGATCGCCGTTTTTGATTCGCGCACTCCTGATCTAAGCATGCTAAACGTGCATTTGCTTGTTTGCTGATACGTATATCTCATAGATTCCGGAGATTTGCCTTCCTTTTTAGGATACTGCCCCAGATATTCCGGAATCTCTAACTGATACTTATTGCTTATTTTTTCTGGTCGATATTAAGGTCCACGGGTCCCTGATCGACCTGATGGCGTCGGAGAATCGTGTATTTAGCAGGCCATGCCCGCTACTGAGATATAATTTTATTTTCTTCTTTCTATAATAGACAGGCGCTAGGTATTTTATATCCTCCGAATATAAACGCCCAAGTCACAACTATGGCGCTCCGCAACGCAATCACTCTCGCCTCCTTCGTCCTGGCAGCAGGTGTCGCAGCTCAATCCGCTGATCCTGGACTCGGCGTCAATTCACATGCACAGGGTGCAACAGAAGAGGTCACACCCGGAGCTGGGCCAAACGGGTAAGCATTCAACCCTCGTAACACTACGGCGAGAACAACAAACTCATATCACCATACAGCTCCGAAGACTGGCTGAACACTGGAATCAACGACGGCGGCTGGAACCCCCCTTTCATGGCTCTTGATGATCTTATTCTTGTCGACCTGCAAACTTACTACAGCGGAGTTGGCCAGGCTTGCCAGCAATACGACCAGTACTTCCAGAGCGCCGGCAAGCAGTACAATGTTAGCCCAGTTATCCTGGCTATCATTGCCATGCAAGAGTCTTCCTGCAATGCCAATGCAGGCGGTCCGACCCCCGGTCTGATGCAGGTGTCCTGTGACAATTACCCGAACGGTGTTTGCACAGACAGCATTCAAGACAATGTCGATGCTGGAACCAACTACCTCGTCAGCCAGATCAACTCTTCCAACGGCAATGCGGTCCAAGCCTTTGGTTCCTACAACGGATGGTTCACTGCCGGCAACGGATTGAACAATAACAAGGGCTTAACTGCTGACTACCCCTGTTCTTCTGAAGGCCAGTCAAATGGCGAGCCTCAGAACCTTGATTACATTCAGCAGATTTTCAATGGCTGGATGCTTGGATTGGATGTCTATGGCGATGACAGCTGGATCGGTACGTACAAGTGTGCTGGATCCTGCAATGGAAACAACCAATGCTAGATCACAACATAGCAAAGCCTGTGATGAATTGTTGCGGAATGGTGCAGGGAGCATGATCATTTATGTGACACATAATTAGATCATTGTTTGTATATCATAATAAACATGACTTCATATATTGCACCTGTAAAAACGTAGGCCGGAAAGAAGATTAGAGTCCATTGAAGGAAATGATTGGTTTAGCCATGAAATCACATGACTGCCCCACCGCCTTCCTATTCCAGAAGTAGCATCCTCAAATCGATAAGTTAACTTCATGTTTATCAGCCACGCGTTATCAAAATGACATCCATGTATACATCAGATCTGCACGACTTTTTCACTTGATGGCCCAAACATAGAATTCTATTCAAGAGGATGCTGCCGCGGCGTGCACCCTCCAAGGGGTCACACCTCCGTCAAGTCAGTGCGGCTAGTCTGGAAAGCAACTCGCCCATTCCATCGCCGCCAGCAGCGACAACAGCAGGAGCAGCCGCAGTCAAGCTAGACAGCATGCTATCCGGAGGCCCTTATCGCCAGACTGCCACTCTTTGGATCCACGATGAAGCTTTTTCGAAAGATGAATTCCTGTTCAATAGCTGGGCATTCCCGGATTCTGGAATCAGTCCTGGTGATATTATTGAGATTGCATCTGTTGATTACAACTCTCTCCATCCGTCAGAAATTGGGTCAAGGAAACTGCTTAATGAGAGTATTATCGAAAATGATGGGAATGCTAATCTGGGTCTTCACCCAAAGTTTTCGTCGCGGACTCAGAGCCGATGTCTCTTTGTAGTAAAGCCTATGCCTCAAGAGATCAGGCAGCGACACCCAAAATTGGAGATATCAGTAACGCGCTCCGTTGCTAACATATTTGGCTTCAAGAATGGCTGCCATGTTATTATTTCTCAGGTTGACCGTTCACAATGCTCGGCATCTCATGTTGACATATCATTTCGCGATCAATATCTCGTGCGGGCTGATATGTGGAGATTAGTTACATCAGAGCTGGTCAACAAGACCATCTACAAGGGACAAAAAATCCTGTTCATGGGGAGTGTCAGAGCAACAGTGAAAAACATCTTTATTGGCGGCAAAAAAGCGCTGTCTGGATACTTTGCTCCCACCACGATCCCTGTTTTCCGAAGCGAGGCTGCTAGATATGTTCTATTCATTCAGATGAGCAAGGAAATGTGGGATTTTGATGCCGAAGGAACTGGCGATATCTTATTCAGCAGGGTCATCAATGGATTTTTACCCGAGCTTTTCAAACGCTGGGCGAATATTGACGCAAAACACTTGGTGACTATTGTACTCTTCACCCGAGTTGAGTATGATATGCCGACGGAGAAGGGAATGGAGCATCTGAAAAGCTTGTCTGATTCCAATCATTTTCCTACGCGAGATTTTTACCGCGTTGTTGTCAACGATATAGCCAGCGGGCATTGGACGGCAATCCTGGACGAATTGAAGAGAAACTTCCGCACCTTTTTGAGAGATGTCTCAATTCAAAAATTTAGCGGTACTGCTGACTCCACCAATGAAGGACAGCCACTGGCGATATCAGGTAGGCCTACAGCCGCAATACGAGGCAACATTCTTGAGGCTATTCATCTGGCCACATCACATCTGTCGTACGAGCACATTGATCGTGACATGTCGCGAACCGGCCATTCGATTGTTGTGATTACTCCGGGGTCAGGGCTTTTTGAGGTTTCTTACGAATCTCTGGCTGCGACTACAGATGCTGTTACTAGTATTGGAATTGCTATTGATCTCGTCAGCTTGAGTCCAATGCCGCTTCATTCTGTTCCGCTATTCAAGTACAGAAATCCCCACGGAAAGCTCAATGGCTTGAGAACTACAGGAGCCCGTGGTATGGGATCTTTGGATACTCGGTCCTCAAACTCTAGTTTCGCGGGCAAATCTCCGCCATTCTCTCTCAAAACTACGCAGATAAGTGCATTCGCAAGACCCATGTCGCGAGATACACCCCCACCACATTCAAAACAATGGAACTATGGAATTCCCCATTGGTTAGATATCTCGTTCTGGAATCCTGCTACTTATAAAGAGGACCGACGAATCACAAAAAATGACATGAATGCACCGATCCCATTTACCGTCAACAAAAAATCTCGATCATTTGTACCACGGGTGCGACTGTACGAGATTCAGATGATGGGTGTTATGGAAAGCGAGCAATCCAATATCTCAATACCTTATCTGTCGGAAAAGAATTTCGGCTTTCAGAGGACTGACACCACAATCTCAGATGTGTCTTCAAAAGCACTCTTACCCCATGCTGACAACAATTCCCTTTCCCCAGTGTCATCATATAAGGCTCAACTTAGTGACAGCCTCAGACCCGAAGGATTCCTCTCAAGCTTTACAAATCATCGAAACATGATGATAAGTAGTCCAGCAACTCAACAGAAGAAAGGAAGCAATTGGATGGACGAGTACGATGACAATGTCTTTGTTCCTTTCCCCCGGAAGCGCTACGTTCGCAAATCTGCAAAGGCTAAACGCCTTATGGAATCTGAAAATACGGGGTCTCGAGCACAAGACCGTTTTTCTACACGATCAATTTCAAGCTCTAAGGGGCATGAAGAGCATGAGCTAGAACGAACAGTATCCGGGCAATCAATTCCCCGCACAAAGGAAATCAAATCATCCTCAAAGCATACTAATTCGACACAAGATCACCCACCTATAAAGTCAGCAATAAAATCTGGCAGAACTCCAAGAATCTCGCGCTCAATCAGCTTTGCTCTCCGTGGACTTGGCATAGCTCCTCCAAGGGCTCAGCCGAGCACTGAAATAAATGTGGAACACGCTCAAGGGCGTGCCACGCCAGCTCGAACACCGACTACTACCGATCCAATAGTCGACTTTGAAAGTCCTAAAAGGCCCTCAACTTCGACGACGGACGAGAGTTCTTCGGTTCGTAGCATTCCTCAGTCCCCCCATCTTTCACCCACGCCGACGAAATCTGTAGAGAGTGTGGAAATAGCTCAACCTCGGCCAATATTACAGCCACGGCCCATTTCTCAGTCTCGTCCCATATCAATCAAAAGCATGAAAAAGAGGTTGCTCAGCGACTCTGGAACGGATCGCAATGGCGGAGAGACTACCATGCCCACAGCTGTAGAGCGGCCTACGACAGCGAGTATACATGGAGCTACTCAAGGACCATTTCCCATGACAAGGAACTATAAAAAGCACGAGCCAGTGGGAGCTCGGGATGCACCTACGGTCAGTTCCTCGCCAGGTAGAACACTTGCTCCTTGGGTAAGGTCAATTAATCCATCCAATGCTCCAAAGGTTTCTCTTAGAGATGCAAGTTGGTTTGGTCGTTGGCAACATGCATACCCACGCCCGCCAAATGTTGCTGTTGTTAAGTGGAAAAGCTTAAAGACTCCCGCGATTCTGCCATTGACTACAGAGGAGTTTCCTTCTTCAAAAGAACTGGCCGCAAATTATCTCCAAACCCCATATCGAGTATTTCCCAACGAAGATCACGACGGAAATGATATGCCCAGAGCTCAGGAAACGATATTACGTGAGATGGTTGCTTTGAGACTTTCCCATGGCTTTCAAATTGTAATTGGGGGCGCTGTGGCAGAAGCTACTGGTCAGCCATTTCTCGAATTTCTGAATGTCTTCGACACGAAATGTCTTGGAAAAGATGATACCACCATCATTCTTTCCAAAGGAAATATAATTCACAGGCTATCGTGTGTTGCTGGTGGAGAAATTGAAGTTACGAGATTCACCCGTCTGTCAGGTATTTCAGACGTTGACAAAAGCGACTCACCCACCTACACCTTGGCAATTCGAACAATTCTGGCCAAGACATACGATTTGAGCGACGTAAAGCTTATTTCATCCGCTGAAGAGTATAATTGGAACTATGCCGACAATTATATCGCTGGCCACAGAGATCATTTGATAGATCCAACGCGACAGTTGAGGTTCTGGCGGATTCGCTTTGTGCTCATTCCCATGCACCTCCCACCTAATGCGAGACGTCACATACAACCCTTCAGTGAAGACAACGAGGAAGAAATTCATTTGCTAGGCATCAGCCAGTTAACCAGCCTGTGGCAGCGCAATAAGTATATTCCGCCGGACGAGAAACGCTTTCAGTCTTCTGGCCGCAAACAAAAGGATCAAAATCCGTTGAATATTCTATATCAAACTCAAGATCCCTCCGAAATCGTTGGGGCTGAGTTTAATAGGTTGCTATTAACTGATCCCCAACTCGACAACCCGCCTGCCCAACTGCTTCCAGATTCAGAATTACTCGAAAGATCTGATTTTGGCCCCTCTTCTCTCATGGAATTGGCGCATATTATCCAAGGTGAAAAGGGTGTGCGTTTGATGGATCGGAGATGGCATCTACGGTTGCATTATAGTTGTCTTATTGGCTCGGAGTTCACGACATGGCTTGTGCAAACCTTCCGGGATATAGACAGTCGAGACGAGGCCGTGAAGTTCGGAAATGAGCTCATGAAGCTTGGTTTATTCATTCATGTTGAGAGAAGGCATAACTTTAGAGACGGTAACTATTTCTATCAAATTGCCTCGCAATACCGGATTCCGCGCCCAGAATCAAAGAGCGGGTGGTTTCCAGGCCTCTCGTCCAAGTCAGACAACTCCGTCCCTGCTACACCAGTGAACGACGCTATTAAAGAATCACCTAATATAGAGAGAGTCAGATCGGAGAGCTCTGAGACCCTCACGTCTATGATGGAGACGCCTTCAAAAACGAAAAACAAAGTGACCATCATGCTCTCCAAGACGATGAAATACGACGTTGATCCACGCAAGCGCTCTAGCCGGCCCGAAGTCATCGATCTCCATTACGACAGAATACACAACCCAGAGAACTGTTTCCACATAGAACTAAGCTGGATGAGTGCCACTGCCAAATTAGTTGAAGACGCAGTCGCATCGTGGGGTTCCACAGCTGAAAAATACGGATTGAAACTCGTTCAAGTGCCCATCGCAGAGGCGGCAGCGACAGTCAAAGTACAAACATTCAGAAAATTCTATCGCGTGAAACTAAGCGTCGTACCCCCATCACCACCAGTCTCTCTTCCATTTGGCGCTACATCCTTTTCACAACAGGGCAAGCCAGACAGGCATTTCTTCCAGAAAGCCATCCTTCGAAAATTCGACTTCGTCTTGGACTTTGAATCAGCCTCTTCTTTCCCACCGGACGTGGAAGTCTACTACTCGTGGGGAAAGCCAGACTATCAATACCCACAATACATCCACCGATCAGGCTGTCTCCTCGCCCAGATCTCCGACGAAGGCGACCTTATATTCCTCGCCAACCGTTTATTCAGCACTAAGAGCGCAGCGGGTCGAGATACTAGCCATCACAAATTCGACCGCAGCGAGCGCAGCGACTTCCACCGTGCTCGGGCAAACACATACACCTACGACCCCATGTTCTCACCCCGTCTGTCCCCAATCATCCGCCCCATCGCCGGAGGCGTTGGCGGTAGTGGCGGTGTTGGTGGTATAGGAGACTCGCTACCACCCATACACAACATCCCCGCTCTAACCCTCAACTCATCACCGACCTCCTCCCTCGACGCCGCGAATCTCTACAAAACGCCCGAACAGCTGAAAACCCAAGTCGAGGAATTCTGCAACGACCCAATTCGTCTCCAGCACTTTTATACGGAGGAACAACACGTCATCCGTCCAGTGTCAACGCGCATGGGGCCAACTACCGTGCTACCACCGCCCTCTGCATCAACTTCAAGCTCCGCAATGGACGCCTCAATACCATCGTTAGAGCTTCCGGCGAGTCTAGTCGGTCCGCATATTCCGCCGCCAGCGGCAGATTCGGAGATTGAGGGTTCAAAGTCGCTGGTGGGGATGTCATCTGCTGAGCAGCATAGCAGACCGGTGTCATCATCGGTTGGGGAGGAGAAGGAAGAGGGGAGTCAAGCTGATAATCGGAGCCCGAGTGTGAAGAGCGGGGGGCTGAATCCCGTGAAGTGATCTACTAATGCATACATATACATATATTCTAAGTGTCTTCTGGAAATGGGAAATAAAAAAACACTGATACCCGATTCTTCTTTTTGTTGTTCAAAACCTCGATGATTGGCAGGATTGTTATTTGCTGTTGTAGTTTCTGTCCTCAATCTATGTACTATTATACAAGCACTTGGCAAATCCACAACTCGATGCATTTTACAATTTTACTTATTGGTATATGAAGCCTCCTAGTAGGAATAGGGTAATATTGTGATCCATTCTGCTACCTGCATAAACGTAGTGTAGTGATCGATCAAGTGTGCGCCTAGAGACAAGATGCAACGCTTCCGAAAACAACGAAAAGGCCGTTAAAAGTGTAATCATAAACACTCAATTATTAGCTTCAGATGTCCATCCAGGACAAAGAGAATAATAGAGGTATATCGGGTTACATAACGAAACATTAAAAGAATAATAATGCGCTGAAAAGTTGACAAGAGAGATGAAATATAAGGCACATGACAAGCAGACAATATTAAAAAATTGTAGGAACTCAAACACACTTGGGTATCTTGTTGACGACGGCCGTTCACGCAACTAAAAGCAGGTAGAAAAGAATAAAGGAAGACATAAAGATGGCTGGAACTAATATCGAGAGAGAAACAACAAGAATAAAGAAGATTAGAAATAGAAGAAATGAGGAACGAAAAGGAGGCCGTTATCTTGTAAAGTGGCAACAATCGAAATTGCGATTTTAAAGAGCCTCTTCAATGTCGAGGAGCCACTTACGCACGCCTTCACGTAGAGTGTTTTCCTGACGAATTGGCTGTCGTTTTCCATTCTTGTCTGTAGAATCAATACCGAAATCAACGTCACCCTCTTCGCGACAGTGTTCTTCGGCAACATTTCGGGCAACCTCCTCCAAGGCTCCGAGAACAGTCTTGCGACACTCGCTTCTTGGAACTTCAACGATATGTGGAGTGTCATCAGTGGGTCGCTCATCGAGACGTATAGTCCTGTGCGGTGACGGAGCCCTGGAATGCGCCAAAGACGACTGGCCGCTTTGTATCAAAACTCGCTCAATGGCGTCGACTAGGGTTCCGTCAACGTCCATGACCGGCTCGTCAACGAACTTGGTTTCGATTTCTTCAGGGTCAAAGGTTTCGGCTAGTGTTGCTACGGAGTCCTTTCGTGAACGTCCATTATTGAAGAAACCAGTCAGAGGATTGGTGGAAGGGGTGTCTACTACCTGTCGGGATGTAGCACCGACAGCAGGACTTGGAGGATTCGCCAATCCGTTGGCACTGATCTTTCGCAGGAGACGAATACGCTTGACTGTACAAGTGCGCGTATCGGCGATTAACGTGCTGGCAACTTCCACCCATCGATCCGTTACGCTGGCAATTTCCGCGTCATGGCCAGGAACAGGAATGTGTTGGAAAGATTCAGCGAGCATAGCCCGCTTGACATCCGCTTCAATGCCGTGGTACGGCCGAACTGCTTGGAGTATGAAATCTTCATGAATACTCTTCAGCCATCCGCTAACATTCAAGGCTGGGCTGTCATTATCTTTTAGACTAGAATTGATATTGGAGAAACTACTCTGCATTGAGCCTCCAGCATCCATACTTGTGATCGAAGTTCTCGCTTTTTTGGGGGACGCCAATGTGGAATCATTGGATGACGACAAAGATAAGAAGCCCCGCAAGGGAAGGTCAACATCCACCACACCATCATCGCCTCGTACCGAGAGCCTCAAGGGAGAGTCTTTGACTTGATCAGTAGGAGCGAATTCTGATTCGTCTTGATCGATGATGTTCTTAGCGGTTGCTGAGGAGTGAGCAATAGATATGGTATCGGTAGAAGGGGCACTTTGAGCACCCTTTGGTGATGTGTTAATAGTCAGTGGGGTTTTCGTGCCCTCGGCGTTGTTATCTTCTGATTGGGCATCATTTTCTGGCGTCTGTGTCATTGAAGGCCGACGGGAAGACGGGTCACCGTCGCTTCCTCTCGAGGAATCTGGTCGTCCTGACCAAAGCCCAGACCAGATATTGCCTACCCACTTGCTACCACCAGTCGAGGTACTTCCGTCAGAGTTGTTGGTTTCGCTCCGGCGTAAATTCTGTAAAAGCTTTGCGGATGCATAACTGTCACTACCATCAACTCCAGTCCGATCAGAGTCATCGCGCAATTGGCGTCGTCGAGACGCGAAGTGAGGTACAGGAATGGCGGAGCTGTTTGTCGTGGTAGATGTGGTAGCTCGTGTGCGAGCCTCCGTCGCATGAATTGGCAGATTAGCCGTCCTGATCGATCGAGCATCGGAGTCCCTTCGATGACTTGATAATGGCGGGTCAATTGGGAAAGAGGTTTCCACTTCATCGGTGTTCTTGTGAGCAGTTTCTCCAGACGATACGCTGACAGACCTCTGAGGAACCTCAGGTTCTTCGGTATGGAGCTTTTGTGCTCGAGCCCTTCGATTTATTTTGCGACGAAGTGATTCCTGTCGAAGGAGAGGAAAAGTTGGCGGACTCTGGGAAAGTGGGCGGGTGGATGCAGATGTCCCTGGGCGCATAGGTGAATTGACGTAGTCGAAACGATGTTTCGCGGGTAGGAAAGCAGATAAAATAAAGACCAAACGTCTTGCTACCATCTTGTTTTCGGAAACAATGACAGTGCGATGAGCGATTGTGGGCTCGAAGTCCTGTTGCGTCTTTTGTTGAAAGTGGTAGCGTTTGCGGTACCAATCAGGACCCAAGCTACTAAGCCAGTCTGTATGGTTCCCTAGAAAAGCTGTGATAAGCACGAGAAAGAATAGGCCATGCTCTTTATCTGCCATTAGCCGTGCGATCCATCTTGCCTCCTCGCGCCAAACACCCCACCGGCTTTGTCCAAGAACGACCCGTGGTATGCGTAAAGCGGCTGAGATTCGCTGGGCATTCAGGAGTAACTCCTCCTTGAGTCTACTGTTGTACGCAAGGACATTTGGTCGGAGTTGGATTATTGTCTGGTTAGTCCTCTGCATGTTTGGCATCTTCAGAGGTTTCGGGGTATTGGGCTTTGGCCCATGGGATACCTGAGCATCAACCTTTTTTAGGAGAGTTAAGATCTCTCGCCCGGCTAGATTTTCCAGATATGTCAAAGTTCTAGTAATCACGTCCCAGTGATCGACAAGTAAATCAATCCTGTCGTCTAGGCTTGTCTGTGAATAGTTATCGTCAAAGAATGCGCTAGTCCAATGCGGGTCTGAGTCTAAAGAGAAAGACATCTGCTTCGATCCATCGGGTCCGTGCGTGCTTGGTCTTGACATCGGTCGGGTGTTGTTGCGTGACGCTATTGGGATTTGTATCGTAATGGCGACTGCATACATGGGAGTTTTCTTTTCCTTGATTTTGCGACGCTTGGTTATGTCAGGGAAAGGGTACCCGTTGTCTGACATCATATCCGGAGGTAAAGAGTTAGACACCTCTGGAGAATCCCCCGTTGAATCTCGTGATTCCGGTAAATTGACACTGAACATTCGCGTAATGAGAATGGTGACTTTCGATGACGGCTTGCTGTCCTGCGGCCGATCAAGAAAGTAACCGCCGGATGACTGAGTACTAGAATATGTCCTGGCGAGGGCGCTTCGCGGCGTTTGTCGACCAGCCAAGGCATCGATTTCACGAGGAGCAGGTGATGTTGCCATTGTACCCCCGAAATCAGAGTCCGTGGACAGAATGTGCATTTTAGTTGATGATCCCTTGTAGCTAAAAGCGCTGCTCCCGAATATGCAATTTAGCAAGCCCGAATCACTAGACTCTGGAGATGTACGATTATGATAGGGCTCAAAAGCACCTTCACCTGGAGACGTCATTGAGCTGATAGAATTGCGACACCGAGCACGACCAAACGCTCCAGATGGGACTTGGGGGATTTTCCTGGCGTTGGCGGCTTGCGACATCAAGCCCCCTTCAGTCTGTGAGGGCTGGCTTGTTTGTAACGATCCTCTCCGAGAAGTAGTATGAGACAGACTCGAGGTGCGCGAATGCCTCCCTGTTGGCGACTCAAAGACTTGAGGATCCAAACCCAAGCCATGAGTGGACGAGGGGTCAGAATTTCCCTTGGAGTCGAGCAGTATACACGGCTCATCTCGATCACCGATGGCATTCTGCGCGATAATGATTCTAAAGTCTTTGATGACATCCAGCTCTAGTCCTCCACGATCATCGTAGCCACCAGCGCTCGCGGCATTGGGTGAATTGAAACTCGTTTGAAAGGCATGGGCGGAGTTGGAGGAGCGGTGGAGGAGGCGAGGATCAGGGAAGAGAAGACCAGAGGTATGCTCCTCTTCGGTGACAGACTCCAGGACGGTCGAATTCCGTGGTGCGTAGACGCTTGGGCTGAAGGTGCTGAGCAAGCGACCCAACATGGTGGCGATCTTGCTTTGACGGAGGGGCGACGGGTATAGTTGGGTACGATGGTTAGAGGGCGAGCGCTTTATTCTTCTTCTTCTCGTGAAAGCTCCATTGTCAGAGGGCGTGTGAGATCAAGGCTAGCCCCTCCTTTCACGACGGTGGCTCTGCTGGATGCCAATAACGGCGGCCCGGTTAATGGGAATATAATTTGAGAACAAAGCCCGACGTTGGGGGCACGAAGGCGATGATGAATGTCGATTCTGGATAGGGGCGCCAATGGAGCGAGAGGCGAGCAGCGAGGCAGCAGCGAACAGGAGGAGGAGAATTGCAATGATTAATGGTCACGACAGCATTGGGATGTTGCTACGAAGGGCGAGCGGAGCAGAGGAAGCAGCCTGGGCCGGAATCTGGAAGGGCGGTGAGGCCGCGAACTAATTAGGAAAGCAACCATGCGGGCAGCTCCGCCGATGGCTAACCTGTCCGCCGTGATTGGCTTTTTTTCTACTTCGACTTTTTCTACCTTTGCTGACTCGACTTCTACGGAGTCTATTCAATAAAGAAATCGAGGAAACCCTTCTCGCTGCTATGCTCGTCTCTGGACGGACGGTTGACTGAAACCACATCCATTCCCCAGCATTTGCCACCCTTTGCCGAAACGCCAGATGGAGACCTGCACATGCCGATACCCGACGTGATAAGATAGCCCAGCACGGTATGTAAGCCTAAGCTAGAGCGCTTACAGCAAGGACTGGCTGCAGCGTGCAGCGGGCTAAATCTGCACGCCGCCCGAGGCGGCGATCCAGGCCCGTGCGAGGCCTTTCTTTCTATGCAATTATACTAGTTACCGTACGACTGAATGTAGACGCGACATCTGCATGTACACTACTACATGGCTGATATTCTATAACAAGCCCCTAGTTTGGATTGTCATGATGGCATTAGTTTATTCTACATGTAGACCAGCATACAGCCAGCACCATCGGCCCTAAACTCCGTAATTCCAACTTTTCCAGTCCTGGAATACATGATATCATGCCTTTTTCGTTTTGCTCTTCACGCGCGCTAGAAGTTTCTGGATGTCTTCGTCTTGTGCAGACTCATCGCGCTTAGAAGTGCCCTTCTTCCGCTTCTTGGACTCCTCGACAGGTCCGTCATCATTCGCGTCGTCGCGTATCCGGCGGCGTTTGCGGCTCTCCTCAAGAAGCGCCTTCATACCCGAAGTAGCCTTGAATTTCGGATTCGTAGGGTCGATCGCGAACTCATGACTATCATACAGATTGGTGAATCGAGGATCGGTGGTATCCATCTGAAAGTCGTCCGCGCCAGCTGCTTGCTCGTCTGTCTGCTTGTTCTTGCCTTTCTTTCCCTTTTTACGCGCCCTTTTCTCTGCCTTTTCAATCTCGTTCATATCAAAGTGCTTCATTCCCGTGGATGTATCATCTACCATCAGAAGCTCAAGTTCAGCACGCTTAGAAGCTGCCGCAGCTTCTTCGGCCGCTTTTTCTTCACGTTTCTTGCGTCGCTCCTCTTTGCCACGGTTTTTTGTCACTTTAGCCTCTGGCTCGTTGAAGAAAGGATCTTCGAAACCGAGTTCTTCCTCAGCTGCATCATCTTGCTGAGCCTTGTCACCATCAGCATCATCATCCTCAGCCTTCTCAGCCCTCTTAGCTGCTTTGAATTTCTCCTTTCTTCGTTGCTTTCGCTCTCTTTGCTTGCGAATATAACGTTCCACTGTGGTTTCTTCAACGATTGGCTCATTCTCAAAGACGGATTCTCGAGTCGGTTCACCGGCTAAGCCCGATGTGAACGTAATCTCCATATCACCCACAGGTTCTTTCTCTTTTTTCGATGATGATCGAGTAGGTTCATCTTTTAAACCGAGTAAAGAACGCATTCGCTGTCTTTCCGTCTCCTTCTTTGACATTTTCGAATCCGATCCGCCTGTAACGGTGGTATCAACTACTTCAACTCCTTCCTCCTCGTCATCGGAGCTGTCACTAGCCAGGTAGGCTTTCAGGTCATTCTCCTCAATTTCTTTCCGACCACCTCTGAACGCTTTGGCTTGTGCTTCCTTCCGGGCCTTGTCCTCGGTATCCCACGTAAGCTTAACCTTGCTATGTTGAAGAGCGTCCGTCACAAACTCTGTAGGTCTGTACCCGTCAGGTATGCGCTGGCATTGCTCCCTCGGCTTGTCATCTGAGAAGTCAGTGTCGTCAGGAACAAATCGGAGATCGAAGAAATTAGCGCTGGAGAGGTATTCCGTGCCATCAATAGAGTCGTAGACTTGCTTCGCAGTCGCTTTAGATGAAAACTCAATAATTGCGTAGTAATACCGCAACCGTTCAAGCTGATATTTTCGTAATTGGGTTGTATTAAATTCCTCGCCTTGGTCTTCCTTCAGAATAGACTTTTTGATATCTTCTTCCTCTTCGGAATCTTCAAGTTCCTCCTCGTCATCATCTAGATTGTCCTCGTCATGTTTGGATGATGCGAAAATTTCTTTGGGGGGTCCTTCTACTTCTTCTCTTTCCAATCTCTCTTTCCCAAATTCACTGGGATATATCGACACTTGCGAGATACGACCACTAGTCGCAAAACTCGAGAAGACAGCCATGAGATCCTCAGCGCGTATATTGTCCCAGTCAAGATTCACTACCGCAAGACGATTTGTCACTTCACCGAGGGGGACATCAGATTGACTTTTAGCCGGGAATTCGGCATCACCGGCACGATTCTCGTGCCCGTCTTCTTCCTCCTCATCATCCTCCTCACTTGATGATTCCTCAGACGACGACGATTCAGAAAACCCTCCATCGCGCGCTGGATCATATGGCTTTTTGTCCGCCCTTTCCAATTCTTTCAGAACTTCATCGTCATCATCAACACTGACATCATCGGCATCTTCATCTTCATCCTCATCCTCATCCTCAAAGCGATAAAATCGTTCGAGCTTTTTCTTAGTGTCATCATGTGCTAGCTTTCGTCCGTAGCGATCTACAGCGGCATTTCTGGAAAATTCCTGGTCGTGCAGCATGTGCGTAAACCGCTTGTCGAGTTTGACATGGGTATGGCGTTTGCTGGGTAGACGATAGCGAGGGTCGCTTTGGATATTAGCAAAACGTTGATCGGCTGCATAAAGTTGAAAATGTTAGTGCTATCAAAAAGGAAGAGTTTTTGATGTATTCCCATGATTGTGGAAATAAAAATATGTACGGTGCGATTCAAGAGCAAGGGAAATGGGATAGACTTACAAATGGTTGTCGCATCATCTTTGGCTTTGCTGCTGGCTTTTCCCTTCTTGCGGGTAGGGTCCGCCATGTTCAATTGAAATGCGAGTAATACAACCTGTAAATCAAAGTCACAAAGTTATATCGATTTACGCTCACTGAGAGAAAAGTGCGGACGGTGAGTCTGTGGTTGGAGAATAAGTATGCTGAATTATTTAATACTGCCGTTGGTTGAGCGGAGGATATTTTTTTGAGCATGGTCCGTGCGTCTATTTCCGAGCTATCGGTATTAACACTCGACCAGCGTATAGTTTCACGGCGTATTGATTGAGACTGGTTTGTCTGAGGATTATTAAATAGCACGAAGACCACATGTCCAATTGTTCGTATAAAATGACAACTAACTACAAGCTATGCTATCTGTTTGAAAGTCCAATCTGGAGCCAGATAAATGCAAAATAGACGATCCTCACCAATTCTGGGAGGATCTAAGCCCAGATATCAACATCTGCTGGGCATGCAAGTGATGATACAAATGATTTGCCTGCTGATAGAATATATCAGCAGCCCAGGTATCTATTCTCAAGCCATCGAGGCTCATCCTCGTCTACTATGCGCCCAACAACGACTTTCACTTCAGGATATACAGCCGTCAGCCGTTGCAACCCACATTTCCCGGCAGCGCAAGTCACAAAGACTATCTTGTGCTCATCAACACCATGATCAATAAGGACGCGGACTGCCATTAGCGCTGCCCCTCCACTAGCCATCTGTGGATCTAGAAGCATCACGGTGGAATGAGTTTCGATTCCTAGTGGGAGTTTGAGATAATGGAGCTCTGGTTCCGAGGCTAGAGGGCTAGTTTGGATGAGAATTCTGCCTGTAATGCAGTCTGGTAGCGTTCGCTTCAATGCAGTCTCCATGCAAGATCCGCCTCTCAGAATGGCGACGGCAGAGACGGTGCCCAAAGGATGTATGCCATGATATCGTTGTTTGCTAGGTGTCTCAACAGCAGCAGGGACATATTCGGTACAGTCCAGAGCCCTATAAACGCAAGTCAACGTGTTGTCCAATACAGATGTAATGTTAAATTACCTCTCGATAAGCAATGAGGCTAATCGGTCAAAGTAGAACACGAAGTCGACCTGTTCAGTAGCAGGATCCTGCAAGATCGTGTGCATGCCTTTGAATTGGGGTGTTGGTTTCATGATGATGACGTTATCAGAAAGAATCTCCTCTGCAGCAAGTGCACGCAATTTTTCAAGATCTGCTTTATGTTTCTCTGATTTTTCTTGGAGTCGCCGTCTAATGTGTTCCACTACCATGGCTTCATTTCGTCAGCGCGGCTGAATACGTCTAAGTCGGCCTATCAAGGTCATACTAATGGCTGTTTTGTTTTCAATTCCTCGGGGAATAATGATGTCTAACCCACTATAAGTTATAGTGTAAGGAGCAGGGACCGCAGAAACAAACCTGAAACATGTCGTTGCGGTTCAACATATTGGGTGTATGACGGCTTGACATAGGTAAACCACTGTTTGATGATTCCTTCAACGTCTCGGCCTCGCTCTCGTACATCGCGTAAAACTTCGTATAATTAGATTATTATTCCAAACACGGACTTGTCATGGTCGGCCTACTTCTTCGGCCAAGGCATACATCCATATCAGCTTCTACAAAGATCTATAGCAATGTTAGCATATTTCAAGAGCTAAACAAGGGGAACAAAATAGTTATCTCCTGCAGCATACCTTTGCGTCAAGAAGATCTAAGATTCTAGGATCATGAAGAGCCAGGATTCCTTCTAAAATCAATACGCGGGGTGAATAAAGAGGAGTCGTTTCCTTCTGGCGCTGATGCTCCTTGAATGAATAGATTGGGATGTTTGCCTTCTTTCTTAAAATAGGAAACATTGTATGTTAGTTGCTGTTGAGGAAGCATCAAGCTTTGGGAGCCTTGAAGACTAAGCTCACCCGAGTTTCAAGTCCTGTAGACTCTGGACTAGAGCATCGAAATCAATCGAGTCGGGACAATCAAAATCGTACTCATTTCTATGGGCCTTTTCATGTTGCTCCGGATTCAAACTTTTGTAAAACGAATCCTACACCCCAGTTATGATCAGAGCTAATCATGAATTGTTTTCTGAGGTAGGGTTTACCATCACAAGAATGACCACCCACGGGAGATTCAGAGACTTGATAATCTCCATTGCCACAGAAGTCTTGCCAGAGCCGGAGCTCCCTGCAATACCAATAATGCTGAGATCTTCCCATGGCGGAGAATAACCCTGTTTCAGATTGGTGGCGGTTGAATAGATCGGGGGAAGGGACTCCATGGCGGTTTCTGTGAAATAGCAGCAGCAATGTTACCAAATTGGGAACTAGGCTAGACGGCAATGATGTCCATATACACCTTACACATTGCCAGCAGCACAAGCCTGCACTAAACCTGCCGTCGAATCATGACAAAACATGCAGGAATGTTCTGCATAACCGATTTTTTAACGTTAGTGTTGCTCGCGTGCAAGGCCATTCCCGCGATAAGCTGTAAGGCGCCTTTCCCAGAACGGTAAGGCTACGGTGTGGCGCCACACAGGTTTCTTGGCACCAGGTAACTACGGCGGACAAGTCATTAATGGGTCTCTAACGATATCATTTCACTTTTTACATTCGACTATATCCAGGCTGTTGTCGGCATTAAGTTTGTATACTCCATATAAATTGGGAAGTCGGCTCATAATGCTCTGGCAGCAATATCCTGTGTAGTTGCACGGCCAGGTGGGTCTCATCTGACAAGTCCAATTGATACTGATACTGATTCTATTGTATTATCTCAAACATTCTGAATATATTGAAAGTAATAGTCAACTATATTCCTGAATCATATACAGGGCATTCAGCTAGACAAGGACGTTCAGCCACATGCAGGGTATGTATGTACTGCGCCGCATTACTATTGGTGATAGTAATTAGATACAGCCTAAGGATGGGAACTCACGTGACAGGGCCGGAACGGGGTCTCGGGCCGACTTGAGCGCCGGCTCTAGCGCCAACCAGCTTTTCCTTACCAGCCTCTCGCTTGGCCTTCTCTCTCTTCTTTTTCCTCTTCACAGGTCTCTCTTACGAAGTCCCCAATGGCTTCTGTCTCGACGGCTCGACAGAAGCTCGACAGACAGCCACACTATCATTGCAGAACCTACCAGTAGGCTGAGAAATGTTATGATAGCCATGGCCTCTACCAATGTGGTAGGCACCCCGCCGTACGCGCCGGAGCTCGCCGTCCTAACGTACTCAGATGTCTCCTACATCCTCCTCCACAACGCCAACATGGCACCAGTTTGAACGAAGGGTCGACGAGGTGAAAGCATCGAAAGCGTGAGTTGTCAGACGTCTTTTCCTAATCGCCTCGCCGTTCATGATGTGTCAAACACAAGTTGGGAATCTCTCCAAAAAGATATCTTGAGGAAACTATGTTAACTTGAAAATCTGACTTGGCGTTAATTATTGCCTTTTGTCACTTGATTTTTGTTTTGATCGACATTCTAACTGATGATTCCGGTAGTGATATCAATTGCTTGGTCATGGACTACCTCGTCACCAACGGTTATCCGGCAGCGGCAAAGAGATTCGCCGTCGAGGCTAATATTCAGCCGAAGGCCGATATTGGGTCCATCGAGGAACGCGTAGAGATCCGCAGTGCTATTCACTCGGGCGATATCCAAACCGCTATTGAGAAGATCAACGAACTAAACCCCCAGGTATGACATACCCTGCCTAGCTTTTCCTTCTTTTTACCCATCGTATCTTGCTATGATTATACCAGTTTCATGCACCACTCATAATATACCCTCTTTTGGGTGTTGATGATAAAAACTCATCTTCAGTCCTCAGTATGAGCAACATATTGTCTCGATTTTCTTGACAGCCTCACTTTTCATCTTGCACCTGACTCTCTGTTGCATCAGCAGCTAACATGATCTCCCATGTTACAGATATTAGATGAAGACCCGTCTCTTCACTTCTCCCTGCTCAGGTTACAACTTGTTGAACTGATCCGTAAATGTACATCTACTCCTAACGGAGATATTACTCCCGCGCTGGACTTTGCCACATCTCGGCTTGCACCGCGAGCGCCTACCAATCCTCAATTTCTTGAAGATTTAGAGCGAACCTTAGCCCTTCTCATCTTTCCGGCGGAGAACTTGACTGTTCCGTTGGCCAATCTTCTTCATCCCGACTTACGCAAAGATATTGCCACAAGGGTCAATGAAGCCATTCTAGAAAGCCAGGGAGCTCGTAAAGAGGCCCGGCTGCGCAATTTGGTAAAACTACGCGCTTGGGCGGAGCAAAAGGCCCGAGACACTAAGCAGGCAATTCCCGATCATCTTGATATCGGACTGCACAGTGATAAGTCGACAGCCAATGCTCAACACCGCCCCAGTCAAAACGGCAGTTCAGATGATGCCGTCATGGCCAACGATGGATCCATCGACCCCATGATTGCGTAAACTTCTATTTATCTAGTCCTCAGTGCGCTGGTTGACCGGGAAGTTATCTCCCATGACAAACAAGCCACCAACAGCTTTGCGATGTTTATACGGAGTGCTTGTCCTATTTGCTTGTTTTGTTAGCATGGCGTTGGGGATTCGGTATATGTAATCGTTGGTATTTGTTGCATTTGCACTATACCAGGTACAATTTCCATTTGTAGAAATGACAATATAAGTGGTCTATATATCTTCATTCTCTACCTCGTTCAATCTATCAAATGATTTGATTTATACTTGACGCCACCGAATTTAAAGATCATACTAGGAACGAATCGATACGAGCGATCATGGAGGAATTAAAATATTCTTTAACAATTCGATGCATCAATGCAAAACGCCAAATTACTGAAAAGTAAACCTCCAACTATTCACATCCAAGACTAGCAAATCTTTCATAGATTGTATCCGTTGCAAAAATATTAAAATCGTATATACAGATAGGCTCAAAAACTCATGATATCTGAAAATCATGTTAGCATTGGCCTCAAGGTCCAGGTAAGTGGTTTATAAGTTAAAAAGAAGAACATACCTCTGCCAAAAAAGGCCCTCTTTGTCCAGTCCATTGCCAGTAAGATACGTGTGCGCAGGCTGACACTTTGCGAAAAGTAGATACTGCGCCAAAGGTACACGGCTAGAAGGCCACCGCTGTAGTTGACGCCGTTGAAGTCGAAGATGGCTGCGTTTCCAATATAGGCCAAGCTGCCCAAGTGCTTGTATTTGAAGGCTTTGTAAACTGCCTCGTCAAGGTCACCGTAATCAATCTCGTTGGCTTTCATTCCCGGCAGGGTCTTGGAAATCTGGTTGAATTTGCGACCGAGATACTCACCCTGTTGATTGGCGCGTTGCGCTGTAGCGGGAAGTGAGGTGAGTTTAGAGTCGATTTGCAGTAATAGTTCGTGTAATTCGTTAAAGTCGAGGGTTCCAGAATGATCCTTGTCGTATTCCTGGAACAATCGATCCAAGCGTCGAAGATGGTTTGCAGCTTGGGGGAATCGCTTCTTCACCCGCTCTGCTACATCTCGCCATTCACTAAATGTCAGGTGTACCTTTTCAGGGTCTTTGCCTTTCTCCCAGGCGATGGTGCGTAGGAAAGTAATCATGTGCGCAGCCACGTTGTTCTGAACGGTGGAGCAATCGCCAATAGCGTAGATATCGCCCATAGGTGCTCCAATCAATCGCAAGTGAGAATCTGTTTCTAATGCATGTTTGTTGTTTTGTGTTTCGATTTTCTTGGCGATTTTTTGTGCAAATGGGGTTTGCGCTTTTTGCGAAACAGCCACATTTAGTTGTTGTCACGAGAATGGGTAATAATAATACATGTACTTACAGACTCCAGTTGACCACAGGCAAAATCCTGTCGGTATCTCTTTCGTCACGGTCACGCCATCCTCCACCTGTGTAAACAGGATCTTGTCTGACTTTACCTCCTTGACTCTTGAATTGGTTAAAACTTCCACTTGGTCGTGAGCAAAACGTGCCTGTTCAAAGTTAGAACTGATCATCGACCCAATTTCCAAGCGGTATTACCTCTGCATATTTTGAAAGGGCCTCATCGTAGGTGTTCAGAATGTGACCCCGGCTCTGAATGAGATGCACAGAAATTTCATTCCGTAAAATCTTCGGGAAATTTACTCTTAAATCTTCATTGAGAAGATCATATAGTTCGGCTGCAAACTCCACGCCCGTTGGACCGCCGCCACAGATGACGAAAGAAAGCAATCGCTTGCGTTCCTCATCCGACGTCGTGGGCAAGCATGCGAGCTCCATATTTTCCGTCACTTTGTTCTTAATCTGTCGCGCATCGTCTATTGTTTTCAAAAAATTGCAATGCTCAAGTCCCTTAACGCCGTGCGGATTTGTAGTCGATCCTGAGGTTTTCAATTTAGTAAACAGATTTATGTTAACAGTCATGATGACATACCAACAGCGATGACAAGCTTGTCATAGGGCAAATAGAAGTGCTGGCGCTTTCCGTTCGCGTCTAGTTGCGAAACTTCTACTAATTTTGAGGAAAAGTCGATATCCTCCGCCTCAGCCTTCAAGAAGTGGCCGCGCACGCGGTGAACGATGCGTCGTATGGGTTCGACAAGAGACTTTAAGCTCAGTGTACCAACAGTCGCAGATGGAAGCATTGGCGTAAAAAGGAAGTAGTTGACAGGCGAAACCACCGTGACGTGATAGTCTCCAGGTTTCAAGGTCTTCAGCAGAGCGACACTACCCCAACCAGTGCCCAGGATAACCAGCTTTGGCTTGTCGCGCTGTTCCTGCATGTTCTCACAATCTTCATCGTCCACCAGTATCTCCGCAATCGGCAAGTTCTTAGGACCTCCGCGCTTAGGATTCAATGCCAATTCTGACACAGGGATATCTTCCATGCTGGGATCTTCGCGATATGTTGTCGCATCATAGATGAAGACGCCTGCGACCACGGCACCACCGCCGACAATAATAAGCCCACAGTATGCAAACAAATGATACAGTACTCTTAACACCGGGCGGCGCCATATACTCTTCTTCTCATCTGACATGTAGCGGACGCCTTGGCTAGCAGGACAGAGCGGCTTTTGGGCCGCTTGGCGTAAACGAGAGACGGGCTGCACATGGTAAATGGATATAGGTCGGCATCCAGACGGTCTGGCAGGCAAGAAGAATCGTTGCCTACTCAAAGGACGAGAAAGCGACGAGGCATTCTGGAAGACGGGAAGCCCGGCAAGCCGCCTGGCCACGGCCGTCTGCATGACTGGGAGATAGATGCAATTGAAAATGCTATAGGCGAAAGCGAAGAAACTTTTAGTAGCGCAATGCAACCATTATCGAACGATTGACAAGAAAAAAGCTTCAAACTGGCAGATGAGAGTAGAGAGAGAAGTGAAAAACAATGTGAAACAGAGCGCAATGATGTAGGGTGCCGTAGCATTAATCTAACTTCACCGGGTGACGATAAGCGGTGATAGGTTCGCCGCGGACGTCATCGATGCCTGAGGTGCGTTTCGGTCGGGAATCGGCAGTGGCGGTGGGACCTCGCGCCACGTGACTGCCGATTCTCCGAGATGCATCATGCATCTATTAATATCTCTATGCTAATTCTGCTCCTTGCATGACAACATCCTGGCTCTTCTGCTGTACTGCAGCAGACAATAGCCCGCAGCTTTGACATTCGGCCGAGTTAGAGATGACTCTATCCCCATTCTCCATGCAGCACGGAACATACATTTAGGGCTATCTAACATGACTCACGAAGTTACCAACATCTTTGCAGTCAAGGATCTTGAAAACAGCCATGTTTTCTTCGTATTCTCTGGACGACAGGACTTGTGGGGCATACCACATCTCGAAATTGAATTCAAAGAAGTCTAGGTTAGGCTGTGAACGATGCAAATCTCGTCACGTCAAAGTGAGCCATGTACTGTTCCCGACTTAGATAATACACAATACTAAGGAGATTTGAAATAGTGCGATGAGGCCAAGCCTCTATGTAAAAACTGCAAGCGACATGGGACGCCATGCCATTATCGTGGAGCACAACCCAGAAGACAGCCTAGAATAGCGACATCTGTTTCGCTATGCTCTGGTGAGACCATTAACGATGGAGCCTGCCATGAGGCTTACGGTGGCTTATCCAAACTCAACATGGACTTAGATGACGACCCGCCAGAGTCGAAAGAGCGACGGCTACTAGAGGCTGGCCTCATGTGTCAGTATGTTTCCAAGACAGGCGGTACGCTAGGCATTGATGATTTCTCTCGATCGGTTTTCTCAGACGCTGTTCCTGAGATGTGTTTGCGGAATGAGGCTATGATTTACGCTATGTATTCCCTTGCAGCCCTTGATAAAGAACGTTGCAGCCAAGAGAAAACTCATATTCCCTTGCATACTCCGCAAAAATACCTTTCAATGGCACTACGTTATCATCAAACTGACCTCGGAAATATTAACTCTGCAAACATTGATGCAATTTGCGTGACATCTTGTATGTTACGAATTTATGCTTTTGCCTTGCTTCAAAACCGATCACTTCAGCCCTATACTCCACCAATCGAATGGCTTACGGTCACTGGATCTTCAAGCGCTGTCTTTCAAGAGGCGTATCGGATTATGGAGAATAAACCAAATTCAATTGCACTACAATTTATTGAGCACGCAATGATATCCCTAGCCAATGAGGATAGTGTGAAAGAGCAGGACAGTCTTTGGTATCTGTTACAAAGAAATCCTGAAGACAGAGATATGGAACCATGGGATGTGGAAGTACAGAAGGCGTACGAGTGGGCTATCTACTACCTCGGCAGCCTAAGAGCCGCGGTCAAAGGTGGCATGGATGAAGGGAAGATAGGCAGAAGAATGATCATCTTCCCTATGTTGATGAACGAGCGGCTTATGGAATTGATGCTTCAAGGTCAACCGAGGTCTCTGGCTATACTTGCACACTACTTTGCCTTTTGGATCTTCTTTGAGCACATCTGGTGGGTTGGGGCAAGGGGAGTCCAGGAGGTACGCGCTATTGCTGGTAATTTGACTGGGAAATGGAGACACTTGATAGAATGGCCCTTACAGGTACTTGAGCAATGGGAGAGTGGTCGGCTTCCCCGTCTCCACGAAACTGTGGTCTGATTGAAGCCGTATAGATGGAGCTGCTTACTGTCTCCATTGAACGACTTGTTTTTATTTAGTCTTTATTCCTTTGGCTCATTACATGTCAATCATTATTGATAGACAGCTTAGTCAAGCGAAGGATGATGTGCCATAACTCATTGCTACTTGTTATCCCCTACAATCGACCAGTAAGCTATTGACCATTTTCGAATTGCTGATACACCCCTCAGGACTATTATTGTCTTCATGTTGAGTTTGGAATATCAAAATCAAAATCAAAACCAGAGAGAGAAATTTTGGTAATGGCCAATACCTAACTTCTATACCCTAGGATCGCGCTATGGGCAACTGTTAGAAAATTACCACAAGAGCCCAATTGTCATTAGACAATGAAGAAACAAAGCAAGTTTTGGAGCCGGTGTGTTTACCATGTGAGTTATCCTAACTGGGCAATCGTGTTCGCATCTTCCAAGAAAGGCTAGCGCAATTCCAATTCCCAATCAGGCAATCGTTTTCGGGTCTCGCAGAGGAAACAGACCGCGTTCCCTTGTATTGAAATATTTCCTAACAGTAACTCCAATGAAATAAACTTTAATATCGCGCGGGGGGTTGTAATAATTATACTCTGACATATATAAAAGGTCATTGCATGTAGTGTTGTTCAAGTTGGTTCATTTTTCCTTGATCTTTTCCTACGTTCATACATTTATACACCGCTGAACATCTCCAACATGCCATCCCTAATAAACTACCTCTTCCCTCGTAACCCATCATTCACCTTTGAAGCACTCAGGGCAATTGGCTATGCCAGTTTTGGCGCTGCAGACGTCGCCGAAGTCCTATCTATATGCTCTCGCATACCATCGGGCGATGAAAGTGGCTGGCTCCAAGAATGGCGAAAGGCAGCAGATCGAGCTGTCACCAACGCGCAAAATAGTTTAGCCAAAGGAAACACATCTGGCGCTCGAGATGCGTTCTTGCGTGCATCCAACTACTACCGTACCGCCGAATTTTACCGCCGCGAAAACCCATTTGATGACGATGTATCAAAGGAGCTAGCAGAACTCAGCTCGGCGATGTTTTTCGCTGGCGCAGAACTTATGCCATGGACCCTTGAGAAGGTGAATATTCCGTATCAAACCACGACACTTCCGGGTATTTTCATCCGACCCAAAGCCAAATCTTCTAGGCCGGCAGCGACTGTGATAGTCAATGGGGGTTATGATTCAACTAAGGAGGAGGTTGGATTATCGTGCGCTGCGTCAATGCTCGAGCTTGGATTTAACGTACTTTGCTTTGATGGGCCAGGGCAGGGAGACGCTCTCCGGCAACAGAAGTTAGTCTTTCGGTATGATTGGGAGAAAGTTGTCACCCCAGTCATCGACTACGTTATCACACATCCGGATGTAGATCAAAGCAAAATCGTTCTGTATGGCATGAGCATGGGAGGTTATCTGGTGGCGAGAGCAGCTGCCTTTGAGCACCGTGCAGCAGCCATTGTCCTGAATGATGGCGTGTATGACTTTGGCAGCGCATTTCGCCGCGAATCACCTGCCCTCGCAAAGCTTCTGATTCGTTATGGGTGGGACACCACTGTGAACAGGTTCTTGGAGCTCAAAATGAGATGGAATACGGGGATCAAGTGGGCTGTGCTGAATGGCAAATGGGTGTTTGGAGTTTCCTCTGGGGTTGACATGATGCGCAAAACGGACGAGTACACTCTCGAAGGCATCGTGGAAAATATCAAGACACCAGTGCTTGTATTAGATGCGCCGGACGATCATTTCCTGGCAGGCCAACCGGAAGAACTGTACAAAAGACTGAAGTGTGAGAAAACATTTGTTCAGCTGACAAGAGAAGAGGGAGCGAGTTTGCATTGCCATTGTGGCTCGTTTGCAAGGCTTAGCCAAGTAATCTGTGATTATTTGATGGAGCGTCTATTTCAATCTTAGACAAACGTCATTTATTAAACGATTAACGTCTATCTAGAATCTACGTATACCAATATCATAGTTGATTTAAAATTGGATTTACCCTTTGGCTATTATACTTAATTGTATATCAATTACAAGTATAATTTTCAACTTCAAATGTTGTGTTTAACCTAAACGGTTCTCGAACGTTATATGTATATATGTACATATGTAAATTGTGGCGTTCCGGATGCATCAATTGATAAATTCTACATGTATGTTGAAGGTATATAGATGAAACATTTGATATCAAATCTACCAATGGACAGCTATACGATCTTGTGATACCAAATTTAGCATAAGAATGGATCATCAATGTTTCAAAACCCGTAGAATAGTGTAATATTGACCCTGCCCCAATACATGTTGACGAGTAGCTTTTTGCGCTGCTTTCTGTGACCTTTATTATATAATAGAATATAAACGCTCAATGCAAATACTTCCACTCGTTGCGTGGAATAGAAATAGTCGAATATACACACAAGAAAGAAAACTAAACCAGGCTCGATGAAACCCATAGTCTTTCGCCTTCACGCGAATAACGCCTCGCTATCAGAAATTGAAATGTTATAGAAGAAGGTAAGCAAGTGGGAAACCGGTTATGGGCTCAATCAAAAAGCACGACATCTTCAGGCTCGGAGCTATTTCGTTTCTTGCCAGCATTATTTCGATTCTTGCTCTTGGGACGCTTCGGGGGAATGCCTCCAGAATGCGAGCTCTTTCGCTTCATGGGCTTGTTGCCGTTGACGGCGGGAATATCATCATCAAGACCATCATCCAGGCTATCCGCATCAGCATCATCATCACCAGCAACCTTTAGCTCGTCATCAATGGAGAGCAGCGTAGCGAACGTGCGGCATTTCACTAGCATGTTTTCTTCACTGTCAAGACAGGTCATGTTCTTCGAGATGGCCTCCCAGAAGCGATCACCATTTACCCCATGAGCTTTAACCGGGGCCTTGTTGAGTTCTTTAGTATTGCCCTTGGGTTCCTTCTCCCTGACAGGTGAGTTGATACCGTATTGCCTCCTCAAATGTGAGCGCGCTTCCCACAACATCGATAAAATAGCAGCGGCAGTAGTGAGGTGTCGCAGAACACGGGGACTGACAACATGCGAGGGATTGTTATCGGGTTGGTTGTTAAGCATAAATTGGTCCGGGTCGCCTTCCGGCTTGATGGGTTCGAGTTGAGGAGGAAATATCTCAGACTCGATGGCGTGGGCAACGATTGTGCCTGTAGCAGAAACAATTTTTTCCATGCATGCAATAGTCGGCAGTAATTCAGCGATTTGTGCAAATTCAAAGAACGCTAGATTCTGACACAAAAATCTTGCGAGAAGTAGATGATCCGGCGGATTCCCAGTCGTATCAAGTTTTTTAGGCTCAAAGTTGACCTTTGAGCACAGATTGAAAAGAAATTTCTTCTGATATTTGCTATTGCTGATTTTGACAATCTCGAAAAGCGGAGCAAGTTTTGCGATATAAGGGCGTACCAACGCTCCATTAGAGTCACCTACAACATCCCTTTGGTAAATAAAAGCATCTTGGACTGCTCGCATGTACTCGCGTTCAAACATGGATTCGTATTGTTGATGGAGCATTTTGTGCGTTTCAAAAGCAACCTTTGCGATGGCGGGGATATTTGAAGTTTCTAACGAAACCAAAACACCTGCACATTCTTTCGGATGGACTAAGCCCTGGCGGTTGATGCTTGCAATGAGTTCGATAGCAGTCAATGAGTACGAATCTTGTCTGGACTGAGCTATTCGTATCATGTCTTTGAGGAAGTGCTGGGCAATTAATGCTGCAGCACCGTCATTATCGCTGGCTTTCAAAGATCCACCTAGTCTGGTAGTTGCTTCGGGATCAGAAGAGTCAGTCTGTGGCTGGACAAGCTTTTCTGATTTACCCTCATGAATAGCAAAGAAATCAGAAAATGCCCGAAGAATAATGTTGTGTAGACTGGCATTGTCTTCTTGAAATACAGACGAAATTGCTCGTCTAGGTTCTTCTCGGCTGAACTGTGCAGGCCATGATTGGCAGATAGACCCAAGACTCTCTAGAGCCATCGTTCTTAGTTCTAGCGGTTGGTTCTGAGGAATGAAGGGTAAAAGGAAGTCAACAAGCAGGCCCGCTACAGAGCCCCCTTTCCACGTAGGAAACGACTTTTTGAAGTGTGGTTCGAACTTTTCAAGGTCACAGTGTCTTCCCACACAACCAGCAATGCGCACATAGCTGCGAGCCCGGTTTAGCAGATCTTTCTTACTGCTTTCCATGAGATCAACCCCTTTGGCTTGGCCAATGCCTTTCAATACAGAAATTGTGAGCTTAACCAATCTGTCTGGGTTTTGAAGTACACCATTGATAGTCCAGAGGCACGCCATAACTTCATTCAACTCAGATCGAGCCAGTTTTGCGACGCTCTTGAAAAGGTCATTTTGGACCTCTTTGAGAAAAGAATTGTGCGCAGAAGATATGTAAGGAAGAACACAACGGTAAATGACAACCACCGACCGAAAGACAAATAGGTCATCCGCAGTGATCAAGTTTCCGATATATGGGTGTAGAGCTTGGAGCTGTTCAGTGACAAAAAGTTTGGAATTAGCTTTCGCAAAAACCGTGATAGTCTGAAGAAGAGCCTGGTGGCCATCTTTTTCAGATGAGGCAGAGTCGTCAACAACTCTCTCAAACATGTTAGCTACCATTGCTTTACAAACCTTGAAATTTGAACTGGGGGTTTTGGTAGTCTCCGATATCATCTTTCTCAAAAAAGACCCTAACTTGTCTGCGGCATTTTCACTCCTCTGGACCAGGTTTACAATGAGAGAGACCTGGTCTGCTAATGCCATTTTGGCTTTTGGTGCATCCTGCAGGCTGTCAATCGTGGAGAAGAAAGGTGCAAACAAGAGTTCCTCAATAGTCTGCCGCGCTTGGCTAGCAACGCCTTCTTCGAAGTCACTGGTTCTTTGGAGCAGGTTGTCAAGAATGGCCAGTTTCAGCTCTTGGCGCATCGTCTTGAGAAATATGTCTTTAGAGAGTGTGATGCAACGCTTCCGAACGCCAGCTGTGGCATCACTGGCGCAGGCAAGAATAGCTCGACACCCCTCTTCCTCGAGACCTGGCTTCAAAACAATGCACTTAGCGATTAAAGAGAGAGCGGAGTCGCGAACCATAGGAGACGCGTCTGTAGCACATCTTAAAATTACCCGCATCACAGAAGAGTCTCGATCAAGAAGGCTCGGGTCCTTCTCGAGCATTGTTATGACACTTTTCAAGCTACGACTCCTGACTTTCGCTTGGTCACTCGTGATAGAATTTAATAGGACTTTCAAAATTGTATCAAAGGCTTTAGAGAATCCCATGTTGAGAACCGTCAAAATGTATGCAAACTTTCCATGCGCAGTAGAAACATTATTATAGTGACTGTAAGCTAGTTAGTACGTTTTGCTATGCATGTGTTGCGACAAAAGTTGAATCAAATACCTATTTGTTTCCAACCACTTTGAATCCGACAGCAGCCGTGGAAGCAGAGATAACAGGTTGCTAACTCGCCGATCTTGACCGGCCGTGTCTCTATCACCAGAATCGTAATATGCAGATACTACTGTTTTCGCCCACTGAACTACATAGTAGCCTCGAGCACTGGCCAGCTGCCAATTGTCTAGGTCCCGGTCTTGAAGGTACTCTAATGCGATGCGATACGGCCCGTCTACAGCAACCAAATCTTGTACATGCAAGGCATGCCTGGAATACTCGTCATAGAGTTGTCGAAGGTACTCAGTGATACTATTACCTCCATCCTCCATAGAAGGCATCAAATGCTGGGCAGAGGCCGTAAGATCCGAAATACCAGAACCCATCCAGCCAAGTAATTCAAGAGCCATGTTTTTCGCAGTCGCGGGGCTTTTGTCAAGCTCAGCAATGCCAACCATGTGTGATGCAAGAATACGTAGAAGTAACTCCGCGGCAGGCCAATCTGTTGATCCCAAGACGCTGATCAAATCTTCTGTGAACAAATCAAGAATGTTTCGATAGGGCTGATCTCCACTCTTTGTTGATGTCATTGCTCGTTGCACAATGAATTTAACAATATATTGAGCGCTGCGAACAGAATTGTCATAGAGTTTGTTTGCCCGGCTTGCAAGTCGTTCCAAGGACGCCTTGGGCGCATATCTATCATCGTCATCATCAGACTCGCTCTCATCGTCCTCTTCATTGGTAGAGTCATCATCGTCATTCGCATGAGGAACGCGACGTTGACGTTTGGATTTAAGTCTTTTAGATTGTCGGACGTCCATAGCTGTAGTTTGCACTAGTTGTATAACTAGAGCAGTAAGCAATTGAATATTCTTGCCGTCAATGAGTTTGAATTGTCTAGCATTTTGGCGTGTGGATGGTAATTTCTCAAGTGACACCAAAATCTCATCGAGAATGAATGGACGTTGATCTGGATAGCGAGAAAATATCTTAGCTAAGACGTCCATGGCTGCACGACGCACAGATTCGAATTTTTGATAGCCGACAGCGGATTCCTTGTCATTGTGTGCGTTCTCGACAAAAATCAGTTTAGTTGCAAGAAACTCTGTCGATGTAATGGTTCCCTCGGAAACATCAATTCGTGAAAGGAAATTCGCCAACGACGCGAGAAGCTTCCTCGCCTGATAGAGCAAACCTCCAATCATCCTTTTCTCGCGGCTGACCAGCTCAAAAAGCTTTGATTCCGTACCAGACGGTCGGGATTCCACAGCAGGAATAATGCAGTGGTCGAAAACATTTGTTAAAACGATGGGCACTGCCTGTACTAAATCCTCGGGGCATAAATCTTTCTCGCTCCGCCGTCCCGACATTGTCTGAAGAAGTGTTCCAATGGCGAGCATAGTATTATATATGTCCTCGAGTTTTTGAAGCCATGTTTGCGCCTCGGAGTCATTCGATGCATCTTCTAGCTTTAGGTCCAGGCCTTGTGCAGATATTATAGGTTCCTCACACATTTTTTGGACACGGGTAATGTACTCGGAGGGAATATCATGCAACCTTCCAAAGCCTACAACCCTCTGCAGGGACTTCTGAAGTCTAGAGTGGCTCTCTGGGCCAAGGATAGGCCGGCGCACTTCCAAGACCTTCGCAACTCTGAACATAGCATTTGATTCCTGGGTCACTGCGACAGAAGAGGTATCGGGCTCGAGTCTGTCTTCTGTTTCAAAAACTTCGTGCAAAAGATCCTGTAGTTTCAATAAAGCCACATCTGCTTCCTCCTTCTGAGCTTTGAGCCGCAAGGCAGTTGCTGAAGTCTCGTATTCGGCATTCAGCTTTCGTCGCTTGGCGGTACCTTGATCCTCGCCCAGGTGATAGCTCTTTGACGGATCGAGCGGTGGAACGACGACAGCAGGCCGTAGAAATTGCTTCTGACCTTTCATGGTGGGTGTCGATCCTGGGGGCATGGCAGAGGCTCGCTGTGAGGCCTGGACGTTGTGGAGGAAGGAACCGCCGGGGAGCTGCGCAGCCGATAAAGGGGGGTCTGTAGTTTCCATCAGCATTTCCTCACGTTAACACTCACGCAACTCTTACAGGCAAAGGCTATATTGGCTGCGTCTAGCATCATGTTGGCAAATGGGCTCAGTTTCTTGGTCATTCCTGATCGGGTCTGGTTTTGCGACGAAGTGCCAGGCTGGCTTAGACCTGGAGGCAACTTGAACTTGCTATACGCAAATGACGGTTACATTAGCAATGCACTGCATGTTCTATGCTGAGTGAACGTACAATTCTGACAGCTTGTCTGCATTCAGATGTTCGTTTAACAGCTCTTTCCGAACCGCCGCCAACCGGGCCGAGCTGTTTGATCCTGAACGAGTCTCATTGTCCAGATCTTTTATTATTTTACGAGCGGTCGATCGAGAGTACGCGGGGAAGTTTGCTGAGGCTTGTCCGCCAACGTCGGGCTGTGTGATGGAGTCTTCCTTTCATCAGTGACAGTTTGGTGACGACACAGTGAGAGGGGGGGATACCTAGGCCAAAAACCGGCGCGCTGGTCATTGGCGAATACTGCAAAGCTTCGTCTACCTGCAAGGGCCGTCTATGCCGCTGTCCAATCCCGTTTGAAAATCCATTTTGAGCCCCGGGGTCATGACCTTGGGGCTGTCCCACGCCATTGTTGATGACTACCTGTATGGTTGGCCGGCGGTGGTCCATGGCGTCTTGCTCCTCCCAACGGCCGGAATTGCTAGCTTATCGAGTCATGAATTTGCGGTACCGGCAGGCACATGGTTTTTAAAATGAGTGAAACAGAAGAGAGCCACGGCCATCAATGAGACTGTCAGTGATATGTCGCTCCTCACTTCAACTTGGGATGTTCCGTGAAGCAGTTGCCGCACGTTAAGCGCGCAAGCCTCTGCTATTTGCCGCCGTTACAGGCTGTTCTCCACCGCCATCGACGCTAGTCCTGCAGCCAGTCAAATCTTTCATAAGTACAATGCTTCAAGGATAATTTTACAGCCCAACAAGACGCCTTGCGACCCCATTTTTCCCTTTTCTCAGCCTTCATCTTTCCGTCTTTGCGCTACGACGATGTCTGCCATTGGCTCTCTGATTTTCTGCACAGACTGCGGCAACTTGCTGCAGGAAAGCACTGGTTCTCCTGATGCGATACTGGTCTGCGAAGTTTGCGGCGCAAAAAATAGAGGTGCAAGGCGCTCCAAATAACCTGAAGGATGAGAATATGAGATTAACGATATCCTAGATATTCTCCCTCAAACTATCATCTCAGAGTCCAAACCTAACGCCTTTCCTTCTGCTCTGAGAGCAAAGCGATCTGCCGTGCAGACATTGACCGCCGAGGACAGAACAGTCGAGGCTGTCACCCAAAAGACGTGCGACAAATGTGGCCGGAAAGAAATGTTCTTCACCACTGCCCAGTTACGAAGTGCCGATGAGGGTACTACAGTTTTTTACCGATGTGTTTGTGGTTTTAAGTATGTGTGTCTGAACATTTTTGTGAACCGTTCTAACTTTCATTGCGCCTTTAGGGAAACTGTTAATAACTAGTACATTTATTTGTTGACAACGATAATGAGACACGATTTGGATGATTCAGCAATAAAAGTCTATATTTTATTTTCAAGAAGATTGGCCTGAAGTTGCAGCAACGCCTGTCTCGGGTAATAAAGCGTATTCCTTCTCGCCGTTTTTCTCAAACTCAGCCATGTCGAGAGCCACAATAATACTATCTCTCACCACTTTCTCTGGGTCGTTCAAAAACTTTTTCAATGTTTCCTCAACACCGTCCTCATCTCCAAGGCTTCCGAGAGCCTCGGCTGCTTCATGTCTCACCATGCCCATCTCGTTTAGGTCGCTTAACGTGGCTGTGAGACTCGGGATTGAAGCTGGGTGACAAAGCTGGCCGAATACAAATGCGATTTCATGGCGGAATAGTGCAGATGGATCCTTGAATCCACTCGACAAAGCATGAACGGCCGGTACAGCAGTTGGCAAGTCTGGGGGCGATGCAAGATCTCTCAAGGCAAACATGGCACGATATCTTTGAAATAGAGGGAGTTCGATATTAAGCAATATTGATTCTAATTCTGGAATGGAGATTTCCTTCGTAGACTGTGGGAGAGGCGGCGCCGGATCGATAGATGCAAAGTCACTATAGCAATTCATATATGAGTACAATAGCACGAATAAATACATTCAGCATTAATCTTACCTGGGCTTGAGTTTCTCCTGTTTGCTTTCTCGCGACGCTTCCCACAGGATCCTCTCAACTGCAATGTCGCATGTCTCTCGCACCACATCTACTTCGCTTTGATCGTCCCTCAGGGCTTTTAGAATCTCCAAACTCTCTGCGTAACCCAATGCACCGAGGGCTTCCGCGGCTTCATGTCTACACATTGCATCCTCGTGACGATCTTCGAGAACATGTGTCAGATACGGAACCGCATCCGGGTTCCTAGATTGCCCTAGACAATACGCAAGCTCGTGTTTGAGAAGTTCGGACGGAGACGCAAATGCAGCTGCTATCGCTTCAATCGCGGGGAGTGTTTGGTCGGTTGGAGGGTGCAGGCACGCAACATGTTTGAGCGAGAACAAGGCGCGAAATCTCCGTGCGAGAGATTCGTTCTCGGACGTGAGGACTTTGCGCAACTTGGCGATCGTGTCGTCTGTGACTTCGGCCATTGTTGATTTGTGTTATAAATATATGGGAGGAGAATTACTAAAGCAAATATTCAGGGCGGAATAGTATGGTTTTTATTAAACGAGAGTAGAAGACTTTGTGGCATGAACCAAGATTTTGGAGATGGGACTTTTTTTTGCCTGTTAATCAATCTTATCACTGATTAAAAATTGTACCGCGGGGCGGCGGGGGGATTCCGCTCGTCACATTAGAGATCTACTCAATACATTGCTTGCTTTGCTTCCGTCGTCTTTCATTACTAACTAAAAATACCTTGAATCCAGACATGACTCATCAATCTAATAGAAATATCATTAATCTACCCAATAGTATCTGAGGTTGAAGAATTGATCACCAAATGCCAGAGACAGAGCCATCTAGCTTAATGCTCAACAAGTCTCGAGTTGTTTCACTCTGTTTCGGCCCCTATCACTTGTGGCACCACAGTCCTCTAAGCTCATGAGGCTTCAGGATATGTATTATCTAGTTTGAATCTAACAGAAACCGCATACAACTGGCTGCTGAGCAGTGCTTGATTGCGGAATGGAATGATGTTTCATGCAGTGGTGAGTATATGGAGACAACCACACATGCTACCTGAACTGCTTCTCTTTACTTTGACTGAGGTAACTTCCAAATTAATATTGGAAGTCACCTAGCGCCGAAACCTATAAAATAAACTATTGTCTTTCCATTCATCGGGATTTGATATCTCGCAGCATGTTATCAGGGAGAGAGGGCAGCCGCCAAGGTCCCGTAGGACAGGGTGTATGGACTTACGGACAGTAACCTGATTCGAAAGGTGAAACTAAAGATTAACCCAACATTTAAATGGAATTGTTTCAGGTGTACCACTAGTGTGTATACGGATAGGCCGGACGTCGAAGAATCTATATTTCCAAGTCAGGGGCGTATTTTCTACGAGGACATTGAGGACACACTGGTTTCAATACAAACATTGAATAATTACGGAAAACACCCGGTGCTACATAAGCTAAATACACTCCCCAGTGACGTGTATTGACTAAACAGTCTTTTTGAACAAGTCGGGCCTAGCCATTTATTTCTTCTATCGCGATGGCAATCAGATTGGTCAAGTACGTGCATAGGCTTTGACAGAAAACTGAAAGTTTTTAACCTGCAAGTGTGATACATGTGTCGTCTCGGATCAAAGCTAAATGCAGACTGGTTTCAAGGTTAGTAGTTGTGCTTCAGTCCCAACCATGCGGGGCTGTAAATTCTGGATATCGGTTGTGCCACCTTGCTCCAAACTCGGTTGGTGTGATCAGGACAGATGCTAATCTAAGTTTATTTGTTGTTCATCCTCATTTATTGGGCTTCTCTCCGATCTCGTAATATTAGACCTTGCAATAAGTAAATCATCGATAAATGGTACATATGTATTCTTGACACTATAGATGTGCAGGAACATGCCCGCCTCAATAATCTTGAATTAATCACCTTAACATCGAGCCTAAGCTTGCCATGGGTAATGATACCTGCTTATAAGTCGTGTAGATAACAAAGATACAACAGAATTCATCCAAATAATGACGTTGCTGGATTGGACGGATAAGAATTATGATACGAAAAACTCAAGAAACTCCATTAAAAAGTCGATATATCTTATGTACACCATGACCAACAGGTCGTCTATTTTGTCCTGATGTGTTTGAGTTTCTTAGGCTCATGGTTGAAGTTATTGGCGTAGGCCTTTGGCACAAATTTGCGCTCGTTGGGTTCCTGAACGAAGTACTCGTAACCCTGCTTCTGAGCGAAAAGAATAGCATCCTCCTTGCTCTTGAAAGTCAGGTTAGTTCCCTGCATGGCATCAGCAGAGGACTGCCAGCCCATAAGCGGGTTTTCCCATCGATGGCCCTTTTGCAGAATATCCCAATCCATGCGCCAATGATGACTGTGCCACGTTCCAGATTGAGTCGCAGGTTTGGTGGGTTTGTAGATTCTGTCACGTAATTAGAACAAGTCGCCAATTTGGAGTTGCTAGTCAAACATACCTCACAGTTCGTGCCTGCAGGTCAGTAGGGGCTCCAGACAGAACTGCGGCAGCCACGACGTCTCCTGGCTCACTTCCGTCCATAACCCGCTTCGGCACGGGAGAAAAGGAACTAGAGAATGAGAATAATTAGACATGCTGGCAACCAGAAAGAGAGTACCCACGAGGTGGCATGATCGATAGTCGCATTGTAATCTGGCTGGTGACGAGCCATTGCCTCTCCAGGCCCCTCCTTGCGAATCAGAGAGCTATCTTTGGGAGGAGTCGTCGGGGCGTCGGATGGGCTTGTTTTCACAGGCGGGTTGGTGGCATTGGAGACAAAGCGAGCGCCTATAGGGCCAGCGGCTCTGCCTGCTCGAAGGCAAGCAATGCCCTGAGCTATGCCTTGCGCTCTGATGATTGGCATTGCGATATTGGGGAGGGTGCACCAGTTGTATGAACGGGCGGAGGTTACTTCATTTGCTTTGACGGCGAGGGTCGACTTCCGGCCCTTGTGGCTGGTGTGGTTTACATAAGCGTGGCTGAGGATTCCGGAACGCCAGACGTCGGAAGAACTTCACTCTCTTCTTCACCCGCTTTTCAAGTTTCTTGATTCGAAGTCACCCGCTGAATTAAGGTATTTGTTTTACATCTTACTCTTTGACTCTCTTGTTTTAATTGACTGCAATATTCTAACCTGCGTTAGACCTGCCAAAATGAGCTACATCACTCGCCGGGCCCTGTCCACCCTGATCCCACCCAAGGTATGATTACCGAGGAACACCCCGAAGTGTTCACTACGTGTTGCTAACTGTCAATTAGATTGCATCTCCTAACGTGAGTCTTCTATCATCCGATTCCTCCAACATATTTCCCGTTGCATCCTGCTGCAATGCTCCTATTCAATTGTCACATCAGAACAAAACGGACATATATTGAAGCCGCATACTGTGAAGATGGAGTTATCAGTTTATTGACAACCTACTAGGCAATTGGTGCTGCTCAAGATGCTGCTCGCATGGAACGTGTAGTCAGCTTCTACGCCCGCCTCCCCCGCGGCTCCGCTCCTGAGCCTAAGCCCACTGGCCTCCTCGAGCGTTATCAAGCGCGCTACTTCAACGGAAAGAACGCATCGGCCATGCGTAAGCATTTGGATATTTTCTTTGTATCTATTTGATTGTGATAGGCTAACGATTTTTACGACGCAAACAGCATTTGTGCACGTCATTGGAACCCTCTTGGTTTTGGGCTACAGCATGGAATACTACTTCCACCTGCGTATGTTGCCCGCACCTCATTTTGCACATCTTTATAGCACTTGCTGACAGTTTTCCATGGACAGGCCACCACAAGAACCACCCTCACTAAATGACTGTTGGTGGGGAGTTTCCTTTGTGAAGAAATGGTGGTGGGAAGCGGGCTGTACATATATTTGTGACAACAATTTATGGTCTAAAAGAGACCCAGCTGGTCCGCGTCTACTCATGTAGCTAGAATATCAGTCAAGACAGATGCAACTTGCTCTATTTCTTTTGTTCAAATCATTGATGTTGACAAACTGAGCGGCTTTCGCTTGTTGTAGAAGCTAACCTACACCTGTAAAAGACCGGATAGTTTCGATTAAATGCTTACATTAAGCAGCTAATATATTCAATCTTGAGCAACTATATATGACATTACGAGGCAAAACAGTGGCGATAATCCCCTTTGTCCCTAGCCGCCAGCGGTTTGACAGCAGAGTAGGTTAATGCCGGTCCCGACCGCCTTTCAGCCTTGCAAGTCATGCTGTCTTGCCTGGCCGCTAACTGAAAGCGGCTACCAGGTTGGCTTCAACCCCGATTTCGTACTGCTTTCCCCGTAACTGTTCCATCATCGCTATACGCGACGACGATTCATCGCACCAAGGGGTTTAAGCTCAAGGCAACTGCCCGTTTACCTGCCCACGCTTTTGATGGTGCCGGACCCTGCCGAACTTTTCCTTTGATTTGGCGGATTGGTCCCTTTGTTTCGCGTCATCAGGTGCTTGACCTTAACCTCCAGGCTCCGCCTTCGGCCCACTACAACACCGTGGCAGTCTTCAATACTTGATGTACGTGTCTCACATTTAAAGCGAGAATATCTCTGTTCTTTGCAGCTCTCGTCACTTATCTACTGAGTGTCTATGTTAAATCCGGAGGACCTTTCCGCTAACCTATCAAATTCTGGCTTTTAGCATCGCATGTTGGCATGGCAGAGCAGATCAGTCACGATGTGGTAAACCAAACCCGGTCGGGCGGCGAGTCTTCGTCATCCGACGTTCCTGTGGGCAATCTCGACAAGAATTCTGCTGAAGGGGACGTGGGGAGGATTACCTATAACCAACTTGACACACGAGGCGAGTCATCATCTGTCGAACAGTCACTGGACGATAAGAGAACCATGGACATAAACGATGTGGAAAAATTTGCCGGTGGAGAGAACGGGGTGAGTATTTACAGACTGGTGAGCGGAGAAAAATGCTGAAATCTTGCAGGATGTTGGCAGACAGGGACCAAACTCCGTGGCCACTCGAGCCCTAGAATTAAACGGTGTTGCATCTCTATCAGACGGCGGTGAGGACGGTGGTTCGCTTGGTGGCTCGGATACGGATACTAGTCGTACGGACAGTCGTCATGCTCGAACGGGATCTGTGAAAAAGCCGACAGCTTTTAAGCCTGTATCATTCGCGAAGTTTTCAGTACCCAAAGCCCCGGGATCTTCAACAACCCCGAAACCTGGTGAAAAACGTACTTTCTACCCATTCCCTTTAATTAAACCTAACTAATGATTATAGCGATTCTGTCTGCGGCTCAGACTACTGTTTCTCCGCAACCGACTTCACGACCGCGTTTAGTTGCAAAGACTACAAGTGGACTAGGGTTGACATCTAAACCCACTGCTTCTGGCTTAAAAGTTACTTCAAGTGGACCGGATCCCAGCCAGGTTTGGAACAAAAACAGACGTAAGCACCAAGCCAATCTAGACTCGATGAAAGATGCTAATTTCCAACCGCAGCTGCCCAGCCCCCGCCTACGAAGCATCTCACCGACGAAGAACTCAAGCAGCAATACGGTATCCATATGACCTCAAGAATACAAGAGGACGGTAATGGGACGGAAGCAAAATGGGCAGATATTGACGATGACGAAGACGACTGGGCACCAGAGACTATCGAATGGAATGATGGAACAAAGATTCAACTTACCCACACGGAAAATATCCCACCACCTGGCCAGGATGCGGCACCATACGACAAAGGCAAAGAACTTTCACGTCCACCAGAAACACTATCGACGCGGGAGAGCGCTCGAATGCTCCTATCGAAACCATCCACCACGGTTGGACCGAACGCCACCGTTCTCCGTTTGGGGGCTAACGCAGAGAGGCAGCAACAGCAAGCCAAAGCTGCTATTGCCTCCAGATCTGGTGCCGATAAACAAATTTTGACCTCCAAAAGCCTGGCGCCTGTGCCTTCTAAATCTCCCTGGGCCCCTTTACCTCCTGTGGACAAGATTTATCCTGTGAATCCTCCAGTTCAAACTATCGAGAATCAATATGTGTCTCGTGTGCCAACTAGGGATCAATCAGCCCAAGATAACTCAACTGTCCCAATACATACGCGCGAGATAGCAGCTGACGATTTCAATCGGTCTTGGAGGGATGAGCAGTTAAACGCCCCCCGCGAACTTTACAATTCTCATTCTGGCAGATACGAACCAGTTCCAGAAAACCGAAAAGGCTCCATCCGCCATGATTCTCATATGCGTCCCCCAGCTGTCCTACAACGACCGGGTGGCAACGAATTTGGTGGTCCCGCGGAGCCATCTGCAGCATTTCAGACACATAGGACTAGCCATCAAGAGGTCGGTCACTGGCCCCGTCGGCGTGCCTCGTCAAATGTTAGCGGTGGTAGTGGTAGCTATGGGCGCCGAATGTCGTTTGGACGACCTGATGGCCCTGTGAAATCCCACGAAACTCGGCGAGGGTCTCAAGTAAATGGATCGTTTGAAAATGCTATCTCGCCAACTGAAGCACCTCATATCAAAGATATGGGCCCACAAGACCGTTCACCAAGTCAGCATTCCGTCGCTACTTCTTGGCAATCTCGAGCACCGAACAACGCTGCTTATGCGCCTCCTAATTCTCATTCCGGAGTTTCACAATTACCAGAAAATGCACCAACCCCGGAAGTGCCGCAGGATTCAAGCGAGGATGTTATAAGTATGCAACAACGTATCATGAAAGAAAAGAGGATGGAAGCTCGGCAGAGAAGAATCGAACAAGAACAGAAAGAGGAAGCAGAGCGCAGAGAACGCATTCGTTTGAAATTACAAGCATTAGGGCCTGCACCCGAAAAAGAAAAACTGAAAGCCGAAGAGCAATCAGTCAAAACCTCGCCTAAAGATTCAACTTCGTTACCGAATACACATCCAATAATACAATCTCCGCCGAAACCTCCAGTGCCGGAACCTACCGGAGAACCCCAGCAATATGGAATGATGAAAGTTCATCCTCCGGAACCTGTCAAGAAAATTATTCCTTCCAATGAACGTATTCCTAAGAAACCTTTGGAAACTTCCGTGCCTAACCGTCGTGCCGTATCCCCAGCTCGAGAGATGAAGGCAGAGCCCGCCCAACCTAATGGCATTTCACAAAGCGAAGAATCTTATCAAAGTCAAAAGCAGACCCAAAACATCGAAAGCTCGGTATCTGAGGAGAGAGATTCCCAGTGGAGAGGCAATATCAACTCCAATACATATTCGCCATGGAGCTCTGGAGCCAAGCTTAGCAATCACCCGTCTCCGAGCTCCAACCCGTGGAAACCTCTTAGCAGCGATAAGACTCTTGGTAATGGAACCTTCGATCGCAACTTAGCGAGCTTCTCTCCAAGAGAACTGTCTCTTCGCGGTCCTGTCGGCTTAGCTGAACCAACCTCTATCGGCCCCTTGTCAGGGAATATGGACAAGATTAACGGGTCACAGCCGTTTCCTGGTCCCAGACTTGGACAGGATAGTCAACCCCCTCTAGCGTCTCTTACACAAACAGACAAACGCCATCCTCAGTATGAACCATTCCACGCAATCGCAAGGCCACGACCGATCGGACCACCAAACACTCAGCCCCCACAATGGCATTCTGAGACCCGTCGCAGTGTTCAACCAGCTACCACAGCTTGGAACAATTTCCATGCAGTCGCAGCGAAACAAGAGGTTGAAGATCAACAAAAATTCCAACGGGAGCTTGAAACTATACGCGACGAACCTGCCGCATCGCTTAATGTGAACTTCTCTGAGACATGGCGTCAAGTTCGTCCTGGTGATGTCGCCGGCCAGAGGCAGGTTGTCAGTGTAGTGAAGTCGAACGAACCATCAGGGCCCTTGCAAACCCTCCACGGTTTTGATACTCCCATGGACGGTCTTCCATTTACTGAGGCTCAATCACGTCCTTTCAGTAATGTCACTGGTCGATCTCGTTTCTTCCCTACCATGACAGATACGTCTAAAAGTACCTTCGCTGTTGATGATGGACGGCCTCTCAGCCCGTCGCCTCCGCCTCCCGAGGAACACTCTAGCCACCCTGCATATGGTGGTAGTACTCACCGTCCTTTGGTGAATTTGCCTATCCCCAAGCCTGTGGTCAAGCTGCCTCCAAAAGCTATTGCACCGCCCCCAAACCCACCAACTTTTGCTTCCATGGCAGCAGTTCAACCACGGCTTCCCCACCACTCATTGGTTGCCACATCTTGGCAAGACCGTATCAATGGTCTTTTAGGAAAGAGTGCGGTATCAGAAAAGAGGAATACACTAGCAGTTGCTTCTGCAACTCGTGAACCGCTTGATGTTCAATCGCACCCGTCTTCTGCAGCTGTTTCACTCCCGCAAGTAAAAGAAGTCGACATACGCGACGCTGGCAGGGTCACTACTAAAGAAGTTGAGGACGAAGAAGCCATTTTCGAGGACCGCGAAGCCGGATCATTGCCTGTTGTTCGTGTGCCTATTATGGCGCCCCCCAATGCATGGCAAGCTCTTCCTGCACATCCACGGTTACGCCCAAAGGTCCTTAAGCCAATGCAGGTTCACACTATTGAGCCTTATTGCTTGGATTTACCAGAAAAGGATGGTTCTGGAAGCTGGCAGATACTTATACACATTCCAGGGTCTTCAAACGTCATATCAGTTCCTTTCTCAAAGAAACTGGGAGTCCCTTCGCAACGGCAAAAGGGAACCTCAAATTTCCGTTCTCGCAAACATCCCAGACCGAGAGATGTTTCCGTTAAGTCAAATGTAGCCCAGGGTGGCAAGAGACAAACCTCATCTGCAAATACTACCAAGGAAAATGCAACGCCAAGTCGGAGCTCCCACAATTAGGTATTAGGGGATGCTTCTTCTTTTTGTGCGTGGGAAATTTCAATGCATGAGGATACCTAAGAAAACAATAGCCCACAGTGTTTTGTTTTTGGAGTCACGGAAATTGAGACAAGGCTATTAAATATTTGTTTCGCCTATGCAAATCCGGAAGTCGTTCCTCTACCAATGATGCATCTTCTTCAGCCATGACGCTATTTATCCCGATTCATACCACCCTCCGTGTTACCTCTGTTCTTGCCACCAGGCAACAATTCTTTTGAAACCCCCTCCTAATCAACCATTGACCGTACTTTTCTTCGCCCCTCCTATAGTCGATAACTTGACCCGATTAGTTGTGACACATTTCGGCTCAGGTGTTAGCTTAGTTATTATTCTCGTTTTCATTTTTCACGTTTCTCCTTCATGTCTTAACTTATATTTACATGCTCCATGGTTGTTCCGGATGATCACGGCATGCGATGCTTTGCTTTGCAGTTCGGTGCCACATGCATGTGTGCTGTGCATACTATGTAACTTACAAATATGAGATACACACTCGCTCTGATCTAACGAATGGATTGATCATGAGAGAACCCATCAATGATCTGCTAGATCAGAACGGAATGCATTGGAAACAAGCTTTCAGCGTAACTCATTGCTTAATATCTACTGAATTGCTTTCTTGAATCAAATTACAATAGGCTATGTAAGAATATGTATAAACTCCCCTCACAAAAGACCCCACCACCCAATACATGTAGAAACACCCACAGATCACCAAGCTCACCGATATGCACAACCCAACGCAATAATCACAATTGAATTCGGTGCAAGGCGATTACCAATTCCAGGTCCTGCTGGAAGCGGTAAACACGGGAGGCTTCCACTGAAGTCGAGCGGGATCAATTTTCTTCACGCCCTTGAGCCGTTCCTTTTCTAATCGTTTATTATGTTGCTCAATCACTGCGTCAGGAAGAACGATAATCCAATTTCCTTTCTGCAACGCCGTTAGCTTACAATCCACACAGCAGCTACACATTATCGCGGGGGAGAAGAACTTACGTGATACCGTAACATGTTGAGAACAAGCAGAGTCTCATGCACGTCCTTCTCCGTCATAGCTGTCAAAGTCGCCAACTCGAATTCGCTGATCGATTCACGACCAGGTTCGAGTAATAGCTCCACAAGAATCTCCCGCCAATACTGACGGTAACTCAGGAGACCAAGATCGCTGAGAGGCTTTTCCGGGGATCCAAGTTTGCCCTCACGTTTGCTGAGTTCGTAGCTGAATTGGATCAGAAGACGACCAAAGCCTCGGCGCTGGTATTGTGGTAGAGTCAAAATACAGGCTAAGTTATACCCTTCTGCAGAATCCTTTTCCTTGGAAAAATACCCGGTGAGATGGCAGCCTGTTTCATCTCGGGTGCACATGCAGTAAAATAGGAAGGGGTCGACGTCGTAGTATAAAGTCTTGTGGTCGAGAAACAATTTGCTCAGTAAGCAGAGGTTTCGACACCATGTACGCTGTCGTCGCCCGTCTACTTCGAAAAATGATATGTGGTCGTCACGGTAAATCTCGTTGCCTGGTGGGTGGACGAGTGTGCATTTTGATCGATGTCGTTCGAATGCCCGGTTATTGTCGAAGTAGCTCAAGCAAAACTCATCTATGTAGACGAGGTCGACATCCTGAAATGATTCCGGGTATGGAGAAAAGTACCATGGCTCCATTTCATGCTTCCCCATTTGAAGCCGCGTCAAGTTGCGAACGCGATGGATCTCCGTTGGATTTTGGGTCATACTTCCACTTGTGCGGAGCTTCTCAATCTCTTCTTCGCGAGTCATGTCACCAAGCATTTTTTCTTCGGATTCGCCTTTCCCGTCAGCAAAGCTGGCATCGGCCATGTCAACATCGTCAACGTCCCCCTTTGGCGTGCCGTCTGTCGACACGGGCTCTGAGCCGGTGATTGATACGCTGAGAGAGGTTTCTTCGCGATTCTCTTTCCCACCAGCTTTGGATGGACGCGGAGCCTTGCTAACGTTGGTGTTCTTACCAGTGAGCAAGTCTGGTGTCGCAGATACATCGCGACTATCCGTCGTGGCACGTTTCTGGCTGACATTTTTGCTTGGAGCTTTCTGGGCCGCTGCACTGGTAGTCTTTTTCTTTTCTGGCTTATCTGGAGCAGGCCATTCGACTTCTTGACTTAGGTCAATCCGACTTGACGCAACCCACTCTAAAAGAGACTTTAGACACTATTGCGAAACGCTGGGTTTTAAAAGATGCTTACCATCAAGTCGCTTGTTGAAGTCGACATAATGTACGCTAAGCACATATTAGCAACTCATTTCCCACCATACATGGAAGAAGAAATTACTTACTAGAAATACAGAGCATCCTTCCTCTGTCTCATCGAAAGAATTTCCGCTTTCCTGTCTTGTCCATCCTGATTGAAATTGTCAATCGGTACGTTCAATCTCGGTATCATCACGTGACTTATAACAAATTCCATCGCGATGCATTTCTGAGCTCACCTTTTCAACCATAGCCTTCACACCGATCCTATAGCAAAAGTAAGTACATGCGACCGTCAAAAGTGCCCCTCGAACACGTCTCTAGAACATGTTCTAGAATTTTATCGACTTACCTGAGAGTATTGAGGGTGGCGAACCCTTTCTCGACTGGATCCGGTGTCCCGGCATCCTCGCGCGTCACCATGTCGCTCGAAATTTGTTGTTTTTACTCCTTGCGAATATATTAGATATTAAGTCGTGATTTAATGAAGAAGTTTGATGGGTTTGATGGTTTCGTGATGGATTAGCGGCTTTGTGAGATGATGGGAGAATCAATGCAAGCTGGTAAAATTATGCTGGTGCTGACCATTCATGGGTCGTTATTCAATCGCCTCCCGCATTCAGCCACTTAGCCTGCCCTATATGGTAATACACATTCGTTATGGCGGTTATATTTTAGAGATTGCTCATTCTCATCTTTTCTTTCTTTTCTTTTTCTAATTTAGAATCAGGTTCAAATTCAATTGATTAATAATTTGCTCGAAAGACGACAAAATCGTCGAATCTACTAAGCTTCCTTAATTTGCAGCTGGGCTCCCGGATGCAGTCTAGAGAGAATTAGATACTGTACAAACATAGGCCAAAAGAGTAAATTTTAATAATATAAAGCGATGATCAAAGCCTTAGTGCCAACCGTTCACCGCGCCTGCAGCAAGCTCTTCGAGTTCCTCCTTCCGAGCTTTGTATAACTCCTGAGCTTCGCGCTCCCTGCGGGTGACCAAAGAGACTTCATCACGCAAACTCTCGAGTCTATCGCGCAGGGCTGCTTCCTCGCCGATTTGCAGTGTGCGGAAGGTATCGAGATCGAAATTGGCCTTCTCAAGAGCTGATGCTGCTTCTACAATCTTGCCTCGAAGCGTCTTCGCGCGGGCTTGATATCCGCCAAAATGTAATGCAAGCTTCTTTTCCAGTTTATTGCCTTGTTCTGCGGTGGCCATGAGTGAGTTCTGGACGTTGTCAAATGCGCTAATCATAGTTTGCTCTTGTTTGAAAACGTCGCTCTCCTCGTCGTAAATATTAAGACCAGGAAGGGAGGACTCATGCGCCGAGGTCCAAGACGCATCGAAATCGGTCTGCCACTGTGACTTGAGCTCTTCGGAAGCAACCTCGTTTAAAATTTCCTGGCGTGCGGATTCAAGCCATTTGTCGTCAATTTTTTCGAATTTCGGTGCCTTGCCTTGAATCTTAGCGCCTGCTGAGGGATGCTTTCTAGCGTCATGAGCAATGAGAACAGCAGCTTCTCGCGCAATCAGGCCTTCGATAGGGTCCGTGATATGTGAGGCTCGCTCCAGAAGCGCACTAATGTCAAGGACACTAGGCCGTGGCAAGGATCGCTGATAGACCTGCGTTTGACGTTTAAACTCGGCTTCAGCTTGTTTCTTGCGAATCAACTCCTCCCGGCGATCACGCTCTTCAGCGTCTTCCTCCGGCGCATAACCACCTTCCGTTGGCTCCTGGGTTTCTGATGGAAGTTCCTCAAGTTCCCATTCGGTCTCTTTTGGTTTTGGAAGCGAGGCAAGTTTTCCGCGAAGCTGTTGCCGTATGAAATTTTCGCGCATTTTAACTTCGCGTGGAGTGCTGCCGATAATTTGCCCTCCATCAACTTCATTATTGAGAGAGAAATTATCTCTTGGTGTTCGCAAGGGAGTTGCTCCAGGACCAACACCGCCTCGCATAGGCGTGGCACCAATCCCATTTGCTCCCTGGCGGAATGGCGTTGCCATAGGGTTCGGCGTTACAATCTCCTGTCGGCGAGGCGCGATTCCATCGAAACCAGTGGAGCTTCCGCCTTCATGGAGCGGTGTGTTCTCACCACCCAAAAGGGACGATTGTGTTTCTGTCAATGCTCTAATATTGCGGATTTCGTTGGCAATGTGGTCTTCTTGTGGAGGGGCCCTTGGTGTACGGATGGGTGTGCCTCCAACCATAGCAGAGTAATTTCCAATTAATCCTCGGGGGCCATCTTCGTCACCTGCAATCTTCGTGGCTTTATCCCCTGCCAAACCCATCTTGATAATATCATCAAGCTCATTCTCGCTAACTTGAGGTGCCGGGAGATTAAGAGCGCGGCGTTTGCTCAACTGCTCAGCTTCTCGGATCTTCTGCATTCGACCAGCCTTGGCCGCTGCTGCGGATGTAGACTGTCCCTTGTCGCCTTTCTGTTTCTTGCGCTCTGTTTCTTCATCCTGATCGCCTTTGCGCTTGTTTGCAAGTTGTTGCTTCCGAGGATCGAACATCTCACGCTGTCTCTCATTTCTAGACTGCTCTTCAATGGTATCGTAGAAGCCGGGTGCTGGTGCTTTCTCGAAGGGAATATCGGCATTGTAATCCATCTGACCCTTCTTGGTGGTGACAACCTTAATGTTAATCCCAGCATTTTTGAGTTCTCGACGCTTTTGTAGCACGGCAAGTCTGCGGGACTCTTCTAGTTGTCGTTCTCGAGCCTTTCTCTTAGCCTTTTTACCCTGAGTATTCGCCAAACGCGCACGAGCTTCACTGAGCATTTCCTTTTCATCTTCATCCAGATCTATGGTATCGGGGCGAGCAGGTTTAGACTCCGGGTCCGGGTCAAGTTCACCTGGTCTAGAGGTTATTAGATAGGAGACCAATAGAAAACTGAGAGTATACATACCTTAATCGCCTAACATCGTCTGCACTAGGCGCCTGCGCCTCACCTCCAGGACCACCCAGTCCCAGTTCATCATTTTCACGAGCTTCGGCTTCATCCAGCAGTTTTTGGTATCGTTCCAAGCATTGCGTTGCGGTTCTCCCAACAATTGGTGCGATCGTGCGCCATTGCGTTGGCATTAACTTGGCAAGATGCAGCAATTTTTCATCCTCCTCTCGCGACCACTCGATCTTGCGAATACCCGGATCTAGCCATTCTACCCATCGCGCTTTGCACTGTTTCGGAGTCTTGCGCGCAAGAAGCGACGAGACACGGGCCCACTGGTTAAGTCCATACTTCGATACCTGGAAAAGAAATCAGTACCATGTCTCGGCCGGCAATAGACTACAGGGAGGAAAGACATACTGCTGCACGAAGTACTTCATCCTCGATATTGGTCCTGCAAAATGTTAGAATAAGAGTAGATAAATAATGTCTCATGTTCAAGTCCTTACCAAACGCCTCCTTTGACGACGGGCATGGCACCGACTCAGCAAATAGGCCGCTTCCTCCTGATAAATCAACTGGTTATAGAGTGACTCCAAAATCGACAAGGCCTGAAATATGAAGCGTTGTGGCGATAATCAGCCTGTCAAGTAACGGGTGGCTGAATGTGATGATTTTGAAGACGCTGAACAAGGTCTGAAGACGGCGGATGCGACTGGCAGAAAATGATGCCGCGCGGCAGATGAAGGCGCTTAGCACACTGCAGACAGCCAGTAGTAAGCAGAGCTACCCCGCGATTGCCGCGAGTCTCGGTAGGCGGGTAATCATGGCAAAAAAAAATTACCGTCCTACACAAAGATAGCGATAGATAACACCAAAAAGACGAGCAGCACGTTGTCACAATGTCGAAGGTGGCAGAGCAACCCCAGCAGTACAAGCAACCCTCGAGGAAGGGCAAAAAGGCGTGGCGGAAAAATGTCGACCTTTCAGAGGTCAACGAAGGCCTCAGAGTAGTTCGTGAGGAAGAAATTAAAGGGTAAGGGCGCTGGGCATTTGCTGTTCGATTTTTCCATTGGTTAATTGTATCTTCTACAGTGGTGTTATCGCTGAGAAGCCCTCGGAAGAGCTTTTCACTTTGGATACGACAGGTGATGTGGAAATTGAAAAGGTACATCGCAAACAGCGTAAACCACTCAAGGCCGACGAAATTCTTGCACAACGCTCAGCGATCCCCGCCATTGACAGCCGCAAAAGAGCGAACCCGAGAGTCACAGATGGAGTAATTGAGCCGAAGACGAAAAAGCAGAAGAGTGACTGGGTTAGCAACAAGGAATGGACCAGGTTGAAGCAAGTTGCGAGAGAGAACAAACCGACCGCTAAGCAAGACGGCGAAACACTTCGTGATCCATGGGGAGATTCAGTAGATGTTTCAAAGATACAAGACCCGAGTTTCAATTTCTTGCCTAAACCAAAGTCCAAGGTTACCCCCGTGACATTGAAAACGGCTCCTATATCTCTTGCGGTCAACGGAAAACAGATCCCTCTGTTAGAAAGCCTCAAGGGGGAACGAGTTACAACCCTTCATTTGAAGAATGGGATAGTCTCCTGACTGCGGAAGGGAAGAAAGAAGTCGAAGCCGAAAAGAAACGGGTCGAAGAAGCTCAAAAAGAAGCCGAACGACAACGTCTAATTGCCGAAGGGGCGAACGATGACGGCGAAGTGAAGTCAGACGATGAAAGTGCTTGGGAAGGATTTGAAAGCGAGTACGAAAAACCAGAGTGGCTGAATAAGAAACGGCCGGAACGAAAGACACAGTCGCAACGAAACAAGATTAAAAGACGGAAGGATGCCGAGAGGAAAGCGAAGTGGGAGGCCAAGATGAGGCAAAAAGAGGAGCAGGCTCTACAAATAAAAAGCATTGCTCAACTCGTTGATGAGCAAGAAGCAGCTAGCAAGCAAATGCAGTCAGTCAGTGATTCATCTGATGAAGGTGATGATACTGTTCTTCGCCGACGTCCTTTAGGGGGCAAGAATTTGTAAGTGTGCCGGCTGGATACTTATATGTACAATACTAATGGTTGTTCAGTGCACCGGAGAAGCCCCTTGAAGTGGTGCTTCCTGACGAGTTGCAAGATTCATTGCGGCTTTTGAAGCCAGAGGGAAATCTGCTGGACGATCGCTTTAGGACTCTCATTGTCCAAGGCAAACTCGAGTCTCGTAAACCAGTGACTCAGCCGAAGAAGGCTAAACGGAAAGCTACTGAAAAGTGGGCGTACAAAGACTTTCAAATTCCCGGTCTCTAATCGGACTGTATCCGTGGAATAGAAACGTAGAAACGAAGTAGAGTAGGTCGTCCGGTATTTACATTTACCTCTGACTACAACTCATATCTTTATTGCATCTTCGTTGAAAATAGTGTTTGATATTGGCGTTCTAGTTTGATTTCGGCGTTCACTTTCCTGTACAGAGGCATTACTCTTGATATCCAAGAAAATAAAAGAACGTGTTGTACTTAAATATGCTACCACCTATGCATTTATTATCAAATTAAAGATCGATATAAATACAAAGCATCTCAAAAATGAAATAGAATAAAATCTGATAAGACCAAATTATGGGGAATTTGTATTGTTTGCATCCCTTATCGCCCCACTTCTTCGGGTGGGAAAATTGATTTCCGTAGAGAAAGCCTAGACAAATATTTTCTTCTCGCGATATGTTTGACTATAGCATGGAGCAAAACTATGTTTGCTCGTGACAATTGAAAGGACAATGGAGCTAAAAGATTTATCAAACAATTGGAAAAGGCTCCAAGCAAGTTTAAAGAAGGACACCTCTGCGACGAGACGCAAAACCGAAAGCCAACCGCAGAATGGTCTGAAGAGGAAAAGGACCGATATTAGCATTGATAAGAAAGTCGACCGGCCCCGAAAGTTTCTCAAGCCTAGAAGGATGACTGAAGTTGTGGAAGGAGAGGAGGCTTTATCACGGCGAAACTCAACGTCCTCAAATAAGGCACAGCTTCGAGACGAGCACATTAACGAAGGGCTATCAGAGAGGTAAATTATCCATGCTCTCTCTCGGCCTCATTTTATCTAACTCAACCAGTGCTGAGATAGGGAAATATGTCGCGATTGACTGTGAAATGGTCGGTGTTGGACCCAACCCCGACAAGGAATCTGCACTGGCACGTGTCAGTATCGTGAATTGGAATGGAGACCAAGTCTACGACTCGTTCGTCAAGCCTAAAGAGAAAGTCACGGATTGGAGGACATACGTTAGTGGGATTGCGCCCAAACACATGATTTCAGCCCGGTCATTTGAGGAGGTCCAGAAGGACATTGCGCAGATTCTAGATGGAACGGTTCTCGTCGGACATGCATTGCGCAACGATCTAGAGGCTTTGATTCTCAGCCATCCGAAGCGCGATATCCGTGACACAAGCAAGTACCCACCCTACCGAAAACTTGCCGGAGGAGGGTCACCGTCGCTGAAGTTGCTGTCGGCGCAACTGCTTGGGTTGAAGATACAGGAAGGGGCGCATTCAAGTGTTGAAGACGCAAGAGCTACCATGCTGCTTTTTCGCAGAGAAAAGGAAGGCTTTGATCGGGAGCATGCGAAGAAATGGCCCGTGCGTGTTGTTCCTGTTATCATGGAGGGGGATGATGCTGCCAAGGCAAAGAAGAAAAAGAAGACGAAGAAGAGTCGCAAGAGGTGATGAGTTTTTCTCAAAATGATTTGTGCATAGCAGTGATACCATCTTCCATATTCTATTTCGTGCATAGCGGACCATAGCTTTTACTGAGATGAATTTACCTTATTCTGGCTAACTATTATTTATTTCTTTTAATATGGGTTTGTAGATTGCTGTCCAATATTTAGAATATATATCAATTGATATACTAGGTGGTGACAGTTATTCAGCTTAGCCAAATCTCCAACACAATTAATAGAAGCAAATTAACCCATTGAAGAAAGGGGCATTCCTTGATATCAATCAATCAAAGTAAAATGTCACCAGAGAAGAATTTTAAAACTTGATGCCGTGATGGATCTACAACTTTTGAAGCTCTCATTGAATCTGACCGCCAATTAAACGCGTCGTCGCGTTCCGCAACTTTACCTCTTCAACAACAACCTTCAAACCACCACGACAGATCAATTGATACAGCCAAGCGATCCTTTCTTATATTCTCGACAACCAATAAACCGCATAGTCCTCAATTCAAAATGCTAGCTCTCGGATCCTCTCAAAAATCCTCAGACGTTTTCGCCAACGGCAGCACACCAAACGTGCTGCCCTGCAAAATCCATCACGACGGCTCTGTGGACATTTCGCAGCGGTACTGGAAACCAGTAGAGAGCGAGAATGGTGTGTCCAAGAAAAATCTATATCTATTATTCCTTGAGATTCTAATAATGATGGGCAGATGACAGTCATACCGCGTATTTCCGTGGCCGGAAACTACGTGGTCGAACGGTCCAACTTCCAGAAGGTTATCAAGGTATAGTTGGCCTTTTTTTTTGTACTTGCAAATGCTAATACATTTTCTTCGGTTTTGTTTTCAGGAGTTGTTGCAGTTCCAAGCGATCGGGTGCTTCCTGCCACGAAAAAAGACGTCGAAGGTGAAGACACAGTGGCTAGTGAGCCAGTCAAGGTCCTGGAAACTCAGTCGACCTTTGACGAGTTTATTGTTTGGGGGCATGAGACATTGCCAGCCGCGGACGATGCGTTTGTGAAAGGTGTGGAAGAGTGGGTTAAATTCGCAGAAGTTGTATGTCTCTAATCTTGTCCTCTTCCCAGCTTTTCATTAACCATAAGTCTACTCTAGATGCACGATACATCCGAGAGACCCGCTGAAAAGGGAAAATGACCATTCGACTAGCTATATGTTCAGGTTTAACAGCGGGTGTCCTTGATTACTGAGGACAGTCCCATAGCGAGCCGAAAAGGCATCACTTGGATCCAATTAAAGGGATCACAGAGAGCTATTCGGTATCTTATAGGCTCATTAAACTACAGGTGGTGTCTGGCGTAGTGGAAGCGTTAGTCAGGACATTCCTCCTGTGGTGGCCACCCGATGGTAGTACAATTTACATCGTGAATAAGGAAGTTCCGTGCAGAATCGGGTATAGATGCTTGCAGTCATCTTCTAAACCCTACCTGTGTCAATTGATGTATGCTATCGTTGAACTTTAAAAGACAGAACGAATCTTTGCAAGCACTTGTGAGGTTTAGCATCGAGTGAAACTGTGTGGAATATTTGTGACTTCACAGACAGATGGCACATTAATAGACAAGACCATCTTAGACATTACATCTACATAAAATCTTACAGCTTCAACTATTACGTCGCCAATCGTCTTGAAATGGTGGCTTCTCTTGTATAGATAGAATAAGGTGAGCCAATCATCGATAAAGCCAGACCGCCCCGCATCGACAAACAATGACAAACAAGCTTGATAGCTTGATCAAGGCAACCGTTTCCCTCTTGCACAACACCAGGCCTGATTCAATAGTAGGTGAACTACCATATTCGTTGGTACATTCTGTCATTGCGGGACGTTCATCACCATGGGGGACAAATCCTCTGCGGAATCGCTCATTCCACGGTTTCAAATCGAGAAATTGCTCAATCAAGGTACGATCATTCAATACCACACAGATATCTCCCCCCAATCCTCTAAGACTATTTGTATGAGCTGACGGAAGTCAGATCAAAATGACCGCCGCATCGCATTACTAGGCCACATTGATGGCAAACAAGGCATCTTAATCGCCGAGCGCGCGGCATTCGCAACCGAGAGCGTGGAAGCGCTGTGGGCATTTCATGCAAGCCTCGCTCGAGTGCAAAACCTAGGCAATAATGATATCTACAAATGGTACATGGCCTCATCATCCCCACCAGACCAGAGCAACAGTCCCCCCGATCTTAAATTGAATCTGATTTGGCCATGCACGGAACAACATATCAAGAAGTATTCCGCTCAACGAGTGCGGATGGTGACGGAGACTCCACAGATCTACAAAGACTACATCCGGCCATTCATGCAGCAGAAGCGCGAGCAAGGAAGATTGAACTGGGTATTTAACATCCTTGAGGGCCGCACAGAGCAAGAAGACGTGATTCTACGAGACACAGAGCATGGCCCTGAAGACGGGTTCTTGGTGCTCCCGGATCTCAACTGGGATCGCAAGACTATTGGATCGCTGCATCTGCTGGCGCTGGTTGAGCGACGCGATATATGGTCGCTGCGTGATTTGAAGAAGAAGCATGTCCCCTGGCTCAAATATCTACAGCAGAGACTGCTCGAGGCGACGGTCAAGATCTACCCGGACCTCGAACAGGATCAACTCAAGTTGTATGTGCACTACCAGCCGACGTACTATCATTTCCACGTTCATATTGTCAACGTCATGCTGGAGGCGGGCGCGACACAGTCCGTTGGGAAGGCGTTTGGCCTGGAGAATATCATCGGGCAGTTGGAAGCGATCGCTGGGGATGACGAGTCGGGTATGGCAGATCTCAGCATGTCGTACTACCTGGGAGAAGAGAGTGAATTGTGGATGACTGTGTATGGGCCGCTGAAAAGGGGCGAGGCACCAAGGGTGTGAGCCATAGAGATCGAGATAGAATAAATACATGAAATATATATTTATCGATAAGTGGGATCCCCGCACGTTTGTGGCGTTTGCACCAGCCGCCTTGAACATTTCCCCGCAATCAACACCAACATATCAACCACATCCTGGGTTCTTGTTTTCCTTCTGACCAAATATATTATCAGCACCTAAAAAATGGAGAATCCAGATGCCCCAAACACAAGCAAGGCCTTTGTGCCCTTAGGTCGGAGCCCACCACCTACACGCCTTCCCGTAAGACCTCCAAACTAACCGCAGCCTCCTACAGAAAACAACCCTGAAGTGATGTCCCATCTGGTGCATCAGCTCGGCCTCCCAGAAACATTTGGATTCACCGACGTATTCTCCATTGACGAACCCGACCTCCTCGCCTTCGTGCCTCGCCCCGCAAACGCCCTGCTCCTTGTCTTCCCCGTCTCAGAGGCCTACGAAGCCTCACGAATCGCCGAAGATGGGCCCTTATCCGAATACAACGGCTCTGGGCCCCACGAGCCGGTGATGTGGTTCAAACAAACCATCCGCAATGCATGCGGGCTGATCGGGTTGCTGCATGCCGTTAGCAACGGCGAGGTCCGATCAAACGTCATCCCAGGCTCTGATCTGGACAATCTGCTCCGCGAGGCCGAGAAGCTGAAACCGGTGGAGCGTGCGGACTTGCTGTACGAGAGCAAAGCGCTGGAATCGGCGCATGCTGATGCCGCGAAGCTGGGTGATACGGCTGCACCGCAGGCTGAGGATAATGTCGACTTGCATTTCGTGGCCTTTGTCAAGGGGAAGGATGGGAGGTTATGGGAGCTGGATGGGAGACGGAAAGGACCCCTGGAGAGGACTCGGTTGGCGGATGATGAGGATGTGCTTAGTGAGAAGGCGCTGGAGTTGGGTCCGAGACGATTTCTTAAGAAGGAGGCTGAAGGTGGTAAGGGGGATTTGAGGTTTAGTCTGGTCAGTCTGGGCCCGGTGTTTGATTGATCGACAAGATTGTTTTTGACTGGGGCGGATACTTTGTGAGAGTGCTCTACATACTATGGCGTTTAAGGAGTATCTAATAACGGAAAATTGTCTGTTGAAATTCAAATATCCAACCACCATTGGCCAGCATTAAATCGAAGCACATCATTTCCACAAGAATACCACCCACTAGTCAAATTCCGAGCAAAAACTTCCAGAGCCATGTACTCGTTCGTTCCAAAATACAAACTCTCAAACAGCTCTTTCAAATTCGGCTTCCTTGAGTGTATATCTGGCACAGCTATAATGAGCCTTTTTAATATTTCGCCGTTTCCAACCGTATCTTTCACTTTTCGTGTCCCAATAAGAAGAACTTCGTATGGTTTTCTCCATAATCCGTTCAAAGGCACCACAGGCTCGCCATGCTCTGTAACTTTGAGCCATATCCATTCTTCACTTACTTCTAGGTCTGCAAGTTCAAAAGCTTCGTACACAGATTGGCGGGATTTGGCGTTATTAGTAGTCCATATTGCTACGAACGCTTTTTCTTCGCTGGTGAGATGGGCGCGGATAATTTCTATCATAATCGATACAAGAGTGTCCATTTCCAGGTACCTATGAGTATGGTACTGCGAAGACCGCCGAACAGAACGGTTCGGCCAGGGAGGGTCAAGTAGGATGATATTGAACTTTAACATTTTGGAAATGTTTGGTATGATGTGAATATTTAGTGATTTGGTGATAGAAGGAGCTGATAAAGTGTTGAGGACAAATGATGATTTGGGTGGAATCGTATATTTCGTAACAGCCTCGTCGGGGTTGCTATCTTTCGTGTCTTTGACTTGTATGACGACTGGTTCAAGAGACGGGTTCCTGACCTCTGCGCCCCGAAGATCCGAATAACCAGAAAACTCATTAATGCTTGATGCTGATAATATTATCGGCGGCCCACAGTTATTATCGACAGACAAATCTTGTCCCTCAATTTTAAACTTTCGCTTCTTTTTGTGTATATCGACTGACTCATCTGGGCCTACTCGGTCGTCTCTTTCACTCGCACCATCTTGTAGAATTACCCTGGGATAACACCAGATATCGGATAATCCACGTTGTCCCTGGAGTGCCCAAAAAGAAAATTTCACAAAGTAATCAGTCTTTTCAAGAAAGCTTTTCTCCGAATCGGGAATCCGTTCCAGCACCCGAGCTCGAGCAGCGTCGGTTTTTGGCTCTGGTGAAGATGGATAGGGTGATTTTAATGCTGTTGAATAGAGTAATTTGCTCTGTTTTTTGGCGAAATTATTGGGTAAAGTCTGAGCTAGTTGTATGGAAGTGGGAATATCAACTATGAATATTGTTTCTTGAGGGTTTTGGTAAATTATGGCGGTTTGATGGGACTTGTCGCGGCTGGACGAAGCAGCGTCATTTTTCTTCGACATTGACTTTAAATAATACAGGAGGATACCAGTATTGTTACGGTATTACCAAAAATGGAACCCGCAACTCGAATATCATAGCTCAAAGTAGATAGGTTGAAAACTGGCGATAAACCGAAAGTGACTTTGGATGAAAAGTAGACAAGCGCATCTTAGCGAATAGTTATAGATAAAAGCTCTCCGCTAACCTTAATCGGAAACCACCTCTTCAATTTCAATTGATCGCAACGACTGCAGTAATTATTGGAGAGGAACAGGCCAAAGATTTATTTACGTGTTGACAGATTACGTACATGTATTTGGCTTTTCAATTATGCAGATATTGTCAATATCCCGCCCCATGCAATTGACCGCGTTAATATATCATCAATACGTCAACTGGTATGTGCGTGCCAAGCCTAAACATGCCACTGGGAGCAGTTTTAGGTCTTTGGCTTAAAACCCTGTCGATCGACTAAAGAACTTTAACTCAATGTTGTATTGTGATTCCTACATATGTACTCTCGGTGCACTTTACACCGAATAAGTACGAGAAGGTTCTATTTTGACTAGTAGCGAATTATCTAGAAGTCACACACCACAATTACATGTACGTCCCCCCCGGATTTTCAGATTAAATCTGCGTGCCAGGCGGGGTTGCTAGCATTTAACTAATATTTTGCGTTATTGGGTAATGCCCGCAAAAGTGTTGGGTTTGACAATTATCAAGCATTCATATATGGGCTTTCCTGGTGTGGACGTCTATTAGGGTTGAGCCTCCCTGATGGTACACCACAATTACGTGGAAGTCAATTAAAAAGGTATATAAGGTGGCACAAATAATTAGTTCGAATAATGCTAAGCCAAGATTAGGATTATTAAGGTGCGAGTCTATTAATTCAACTTTACACTTACCAAGGCGTGCTTGGGGGCAGAAGCCAGTGCTACGGCGGAGTATATAATAGCTAGAATAATACTGCGGGCCCTGTGCAGTGCTTATTTCTGCCCCCGCATGGCTTCGTACACTTAAAACGCCAGGCAGATCTTACCTATTGTCGGGCTAATCAGCGTTGCAACGATTGGAAACTCAAAATAGCTTCTCGCCCGAATCAATTTCATAAGGCCTTCTCGTGGAAAGATTGAGCCGATGACCGAGATCAGGCCAAAAATAACATTGGTCACTTCGACGCTGACATGGAAATAGAGCATTATATTGACGCGATGACCCAGCTGGCACGAGGCGTGTTTATCCTCTCCTTTTATGAAATTATGCATTTTGGGTAGCGCTGTCGAGTGATATCAATTATCAATTAATTGCTCTCCACCATGAAGCTGTGTTATCTCAAGGCAGCTGTTCTACTGCTAAACCAGGGGCATCTGGTAGTCGCTGCAATACCCTCCAACAAGACCTCGTGGCAGCAATACGTGGTCGCTCCCCAGAATCGAAAGATAGTGCCATCTTCCATTCTTTCACAATCCGGCAACGTCTCGAATGCAGACGCCCTTGTTTCTGGAAACGGAGTGACGCGACTGAGCCGTGCGGATGTCCAGACCACGTTCCCCTCCTGGCCATCGGGGACAACTGCAAATGCCTCGTCGGAAGCAGCACCGAATACTGACAATGGTGTGCCCCGAACGTACTACGCCAGTAATGCCATTGATGGTAATCTGACTACCTTCTGGAATGACAATACGCCTGCCCAATACCCTGATACTCTGACCATCACGAGCCCGACCCAAGTAACTCTAGACGGCGTGACGCTGGAGAGCAGTACAGATGGCGTCCCAGTCGATTTCATCATCGAGACATGGGATGGCTCAAACTGGACCGAGGCTGGCTCAATCACTGGCAACAACGCTACCCGATGCAGAGTGCCCTTTAGCCAGAACATTACGACCAACCAGGTCCGGTTGACGGTTACCCAAGACCAGGCGGGTTCAAAGGGGGAATACACGCGAGTCACGGAGCTCTGGCCAGCATTGGTCGCTGACGATTCTGCAGTTCCCGAAATAGTGCTAGACTTTGGCAAGAACGTGGTGGGCTTCCTTCAGATCGACTTTGCAAGTGGATCAAACAATGCCCCTGGTATTCAACTTGCGTTTTCCGAGACTCTTCAATATCTCACCAGCGTGTCTGACTTCTCTCGATCGGACAATGGGGACACAATTACGCCTGGCACTGATCAAATCGCCGTTCCTGCCGCGCCTCTAAACTGGACTGACACTTATGGCTGCACATACAACGGCAACCAAGTCTGTGCAGACGGCATACATGGATTTAGATATCTGAAAATCAGTCTCAATGCCTTATCCTCCGACGCACCATATACCAGCCCCTCAGGCTTCGTCGACATCAATTCAGTGTCTCTAAATTTCACCGCCTACCTAGGCACCTTGTCCAGCTACAGCGGCTGGTTCGAATGTTCAGACCAACAACTAAACGAATTCTGGTATGATGCCGCATACACCAACGAAATGGTCATCGACACTTTTCTCGCCGACACAGTCGATCCCAGAAACTCCGCAAGTCCAAGCCTTCTTGGGAAACAGGTCATTTTCGATGGAGCGAAACGAGATCGGGATCCTTACGTAGGCGACATTGCTGTCTCCGGACGAACAGCCTATCTGACGCACCAAGACGCGAGCAATGCGATGCTGAACGTCCTTGCCGATCTCGCCGAGCACCAGTCCAGCAACGGCTGGATTCCTCCGGCGAGTATCAACAACTATACTCTCCCCTTATTCGACTACCCCTTTTGGTGGGTGACCAGCACCTGGGACTACATCCTCTATACTGGAGACATCGCACAGGTCACCTCTTATTATCCCAACCTGCAAAGCGTGCTGGATACCTGGGCGCCATCCGTAACCGACAACACGACCGGTCTCCTCAGCAAGCCCAGCTCATACGGCGACTACGCCTTCCTATCCAGGTCTGGAATCGTCACATACTACAACACCCTATACGTTCTCGCCCTCTCGAGCGCAGCCAATCTCGCAAATGCACTCAACCAATCAAGCGATGCATCCCGCTGGCAGCAACGCGCCGACGCAGTCTCGCAAGCCATCAACGAAAACCTCTGGGACTCCGCCTCCGGCGCGTACCTCGACGACTCGACCGTCTCAACCCGCCACGGGCAAGACGGGAATGGCATCGCAGTGCTTTCCGGCGTCGCCAACAACACCCGCGCCCAATCCGCACTCGATTATCTGGCGAATAAAACCGCCTTGGCGTATGGAAACGCTTTTATGGATGATGACTCTCTAGTATCCGACGGCTCGTCGCGAGTGTATGCCTTTACATCTTACTTCGACATCCAGGCGCGCTTCCTCACCGGAAACGCGGATTCAGCGTTAGACGAGATCCGGCGGTTGTATGGATGGATGGCGCAGTCTGATCCGGGGGTTACGTTTTGGGAGGGCATTGGGGCGAACGGGTCAGCGTACGAGGGCGCGTTTACGTCCAAGGCGCACGGCTGGTCGACGGGGGTACTTCCGGCGCTGACGAATTATGTTCTTGGTCTGATGCCCACGGGCCCAGGATATCAGCATTTCTCAATTGCGCCGTCGTTCCCGAAGGATGTCAGCTGGGCGAGGGGGCAGGAGGCTACGCGGTATGGAGTGGTGTATGTTGAATGGAGTATGGAGAATGGCACGGCGACGGTTTCGTTTACGGCACCGAATGGGACTGTGGCGGATGTCACGGTTCCGAAAGGGAGCGAGGTCGTGCTGGATGGGACGGTTGTGTGGTCGGTTGATAATCAGACTGTGTCTGGTGTGCCGGTGCAGGAGAATGCAGACTCGATTACGGTCAGTGATGTGTCGTCGGGTCAGCATACGGTGGTGTCGGAGTGATGGTTGACAAGTAAAAAGATCAATTAATGTAAAATATTGATATTGATATTGACAAGTACGTTTATGTTTCTACGTCTCAATAGCATTTGGAATGTCCGTGACAATACATGTACCAATATTGAATCAATCAATATTAATACAATTGCTGAAAAGTAGTACCATAAATCAGGTTGATGGTTAAAAAGCACTCATAATTATCCACGCAAGATACTGCATGAATCATTTAAATTTTAGAACAACACGAGTTGACAACCAACTCAAGAATGATACACAAGAAATGGCAAATAAGATAGGACAGACATGCCCTTAATGTAAGACACCTGAAATTTGGCGAATGATTCTCAAGTTCATTCATATTGGACTCCATAACAACACATCATACCTTGCCTCCCATAATACGATCCAGCGCCAGTGGGGTTCTAGGCCGTCATACAAAATGTTTTGCATACATAGATGGTCGCTTTTATCAAAAAAATTTTATACAACAAATCTTGAAAAAAGAGAAAAGGAATATTTCTCAAATCCAAATCCAAATCACTCACTCAGCGCTTGGGATTTGTTAGAACATGGCTCATGGCTAAGGAAGCAAATGAGAACTTACGCGACCACGTCGACCAGCCACCGCCTGGTTGGGTACGGCCTGTGCCTGTGGATAGTATTGAGGTGAATATTGGTACATTTGAGCAGGGTTAAGAACTGGGCTGAACTGTGGAGGTGCAAAGGCAGTTTGGTTAAGCATAGCATTTGGCCCTCCTGCGGCAGTCTGTTGGCCGCGGAAGTTGTCCACACCGCCAGCATAGCCTTGATAGGTATTTCCACCCAACGTGTTTGGGTATATTCCTGTCTGGGGCACGCTACGCGCTTGGAGATAGGCTTGGTATTGCAAATGCTGTGCCGTTAACGGTAACGCACCCTCCTGGCCAAAACCAGGAGCATTGACACCTGGAAGGTTGTTCATGCCATTAGCCGCACTGAGTCCGGCGAGTCCATTGGCGGCATATTCGTAAGGCTGCTCGGAAGTACGTCCAACATAGTTTGCGCCGTCGATACTCGAGGCTCCCGAGAATTGGTTGCTAAACTGTCTCTCAGCAGACTGGCTATGATAGTTGGAGCTGGCTTGACGTGAAGTTGGACGGTGCTGTTTATCGCCATTTGACCCATGACCAGCGCTTCCATCTCTTCCAGAGTGATGGTCACGAGAGCTTCCCCGAGAGGATAACCCAACTTCGTCCATGAGACGTTTATAACCCTGGCTCGGAGTCGCTTTCAATTTGGTCAGAACTTTGGAAACATTCTTGACGACCTCGGAACGCATCGATTCGTCAAAGAATGGAGTTGTGAGGACTTTGAAGATCAAGGTAGCCCCTGAAGTGGGATCACTGAGTATATTCTCCAACACCTCATCGCCGGGACTGAAAAATAGCGCCTTGAGAACGATTTCTCGAGCCTCAGGTTCATTTCGTTGGTTAATGACCTTCAAAACGGTCAAATAAGCAACCTTATGGGTACAAAGATGAGCTAAATGAGGCACAAGTCGTGGGGCGAGAACAGTCCTCCGGCGTGGAAAGGTGCATGTGTCAAGGAACCAAGTGAGGAGTAGAGCTCCGTTAGCATTTGTGGCTAGCTGAACGCTGTGTAGTGCAATGGCAGCCGCCAACATTCGTTGTTGATCTTTCGTAGCATGATGGCTTTCCAAGCAAGCACGCATAGCCCGGGCACCGAAACGTCCTTGAGAAACTTCCCACATTCTACTGAGCATAGTTTCGAAGATGAAGTCGTTATGTGGGCTACCAAATCGTAAGCAGCACTGAAGCACATAATTGCCATATTGATCGAGGAACAAGGGGATAGTATAAGGTCGCAAGCTTTCTACAATCATCTGCATTTGACTTGGCGACTTCGTCACATCTATGATTTTCTGAGCAGCCCATGTACCGTTTTTGTGAACGCCAATTTCAGCAAGGTGGGGGCAGATTTGAGCTAGCATTTGCTCTTTCGTCTGCTCAGAACAAAATTCAAACAATTTCTGAACGACTGTGTTGCCAAGGTAGTCAGATGAAAGCTCTGCTATCTCTGGAAGCATACCGCTTGCGGTCTCCTCGATTTCCTGGACTGAACAGAGCCCATTGTCAATCCTCTTCCGGATGTCTCGAAGTTTGGGTGCATCATGCATCCTTGTGGCATTTGGCTCAGGGACTGCGGGAATTTCGTCTTCAAAGGATTGGAAAGATATCGCTCGTTGCACGCTGGAGGTGATGTTGTGTATCTCATCATCCGATGCACCAAACTCCTGCACAATCTCTGCCATCTCGGGTTGTAGTTCGGCTAGGGGAGGGACCTGTGGAGTGTTTGCGCCGAGTCTATCAGAACTAGGTACATCATGTTCTCCTAAGGCGGCGCTTGGGTCAGGCGTGGGAGAAGGTTGTGTGCCGTTGGCCCCAGGTGTCCCGGTAGCCGAAGCACCTGGGACTTTTGCAAACCCAATTCGGACTGGCCCAGCACCGGGAAATATTTCCTTGCCATTGAGAAGATTCTTAGCCTGCATAGCACTATCAAGGCGCTCAAAATTGACGAAACCACAATTTTTATGAGTCAGGACTCGTGTAGAGTCAATCTTTCCGTACATGCTGAAGATTGCCTCCAAAGACGTGACAGTAGTTGACACTGGTATGCTACCGATCCAGAGAGCTCGAGTAGGACCTTCGATACTGCTTTCATCAGCCATGTCTGCAGGGGCCCTGACACCTAAGTTTGCGCTACCAGCACCACTCAGGTGCATCAATTGAACTGCTTCCGAAAGTTCGTCGAACTCTCCTCCTTCTGCGATACGCAAATCCGCGGCGCTGATGCTATTCTCCAACCGAGAAGGGGTGGCAAGATAGCTACGGATTGAAGAGCGCTGCGGTGGAGTATCAAGAACGCCAGCAGTTCGAGCACGGGGACGACTTGCAGAAGCATGGTTGGCGAATGCTTGAACGGCGAGATTGTGCTGATGGATCTGAGCCTGGGTAGCAGCAAGCTGAGCAGCAGTTGCAGCGACGGATGGCGTCAAGGTGCCCGAAGGAACCTGCGGATATGATGCACCGTATTCCTCATCATCCTCAGCATACTTCTCTTTCGCATTGACCGAATAAGACCTGAACCGGTTGTTGTTTTTCATCATAGCAAGTTCTGCAAGAAGTGGCGGCAGGGCAGAAGATTGCTGCTGCTGTTGTTGGAGGAGAGCCTCAACTGAAGATGGCCCATAGGATGATCCGGGTTGTTGTGGAGTCTCTGCCAATCCTAGATAATCGAGTGTCTTCACATCGGTGTCGGCAAGACCACCTCCTGAGAAATTGGACTGAGTAGGCGAGGTTGGGCCTTCCGAAGACCGAATACTAGCCAACGTTGTCGCACGCTCACGCCCCGAAGACCAATTGGTTGAGAACAGTGACCCACCAAAGGGAGACGAGCCCAAGTAACTATTCGTACGCTGCGGCATTGAACCAGCTCGCAGACGAGACAGAACCGCTGGGTTACTTCCTACACCAACGCTCGTTGTTGGAGCGCTCGCGTCAATGCCGGACAAACCCGGTGGGCGGAAAGGGCTAACGGACGGCGTTGGTCTGGATGATTTGGACAAAAGAGACTGTTGTTGAGAGCTTCCGTTGTACGTACCAACAGCTGGGAAGCGAGAGGGGACAGTGCCGGCTCGCGCTCTCCGGCCGGGACTGTTCATTGACGATTCCGGTGGAGGTATAAGATCAGGAAACCCATCTTGACTTGGCGACTCAGGGATATTCTCGCGAAGTGGAGTTGAATGACCGCTCGTTGGTGGGCCCCAGATACTTGGAGAGACGCCTTCCTGTGCCTGGATTTCACGGGCTCTGGGATTTAAAAGAGTAAGTGGAGCGTTCAATGTAACACCCAGGGGATTATTTCTTACCGTTTCGAAAAGAGGCGAGCGCCGAGCTCATGAGATGGGGATCCAGCCCCTAAACGCGCATTTCCAATCGATCCCGAGGAACCTCCCAGTCCATTTGAGGTGCCGAAAGGAGATTTCACTAGATTAGCTGTCAACTCGTTTGGCGAGTTGCTTCCCGTCGATGTTCCCGACATGGACTGAGAGACGGGGATGTAGTTCAGATTGGGATGGCCATCCGGCCGTGCAACGGGGACCATTATAGATTATAGTCTCAGAAAAACGAAACAAGAATTAGAGGGCTTGGTAGGGAGCCCAATAGTAGAATATAAAACCGAATTTTCCTCTTCAAGAGTACACGTTATCGAGTCCGCTGGAGCTCAATAGAGCGTCGACGAGTCTGCTAGGCGAAGACGGGAGCCGCGGCGAAGCCCATAAGGGGGATTCAAACGATCTTGAGAATTTTTATGGTAAAGATTCGAGCAGACGCAAAAGCTCGCCAATGACGCAGTGGCGGTTTCCCGGTCCAGGAAACTAAAACCGTGTCGCGACGAAAGTGATAAGTGTCCTCGATAATTGCAGCCAATCCTGGACTTGTTACAATGACAAGTCAATTTCTCGCTTCCAAACCAACAGTCACGGGGTCCGCTTGGTAATGGCAAATAGACACTGGCAGATTACGCGAAGCCTCAGCTAAGCCTTCCCACAATAGATTATTCGCATTAAAGGTGTATGAAGAATATTGGACCAAGAGGTTCCAGACGGCAGAAAACCAATCGTCGTCGAGACAACGCCGTCGAGAAAGAGCTGAGAAGGAGCGTTCTTTGCGTTGGGTCTGCAAGGATCGTACGGGGGTAGCCGGACAGGGTCGAATTGATTTATGGGGGGACTGACGGGAGGGTTGGGAAGAAGGACAAGCGACAGAAATTGGACGAAAGGAAGTGAAGAGAAAGGTATTAATAGATAATATTATCAAAACCTTGGCTGAAGGGGGATGGTGGAGGGAAGAGGAATGTGACAGCGTGTGGTGAGGATAAGGATGCGGATAAGGGCTAGAGAAGAAGGAGAGACCAGCAGTGCTTCCTTCTAGTCTTGCCGTCGCATCGAGCCTCGATTGGCAACGGCGGCAATGGCAGTCGTGGTGGCAGGCGACGCGCTAGGCCTAGGAGGGGTTAGCGCTCCCTGGCTGGCCGGGATGCGGGATGCGTGCTGAGTTTTAAATACCAAGTATCAAACATCACATAATATTAATACTACGTATTTATTGCATTGCTATAACCGGTGCCGGAGCCATCCGCTTCTCATCTGCCGGTATGGACGCGCGAGAGACGACATAGACTGAGAACTGTGGATGAGCTACCGCTGGGGATTATCGGGTTTGCCCCTAATTCGAAACGGGCTGTTATGCACTACTACTAGGTAAAGATCGAGTTGGGGGAAGCATGTGGGTTACGATCTGACATCACAGTTGTTTCTCGTCAGGAGGATTGTGTGGATGTTACCTCGTAGAATACTACGAGAAACAATACGAACAATCACGCGGAGCGATGCTTGTTGGCAACGTAGTGGCATATGCGCCTTTAGCCAAGAGCAACATGCGTGCGAAGCAGTAGATGAAACTGCAGCGCCATTTATTTATAAGGGACGACTCAGATGAGTGAGGCTGTAGTTTTATCTGTCCGCTCGGCGCTTGATGACGGCAATCATTGTTTCATCGAGTTGCCGATCATCCTGGAGACGCTCGATTCCGATGGAATCATGAAAAAGCTTAATGCTTTCTTCGAATAGTCTTGGGAGGATCGCAGGGACATGATGGAGTCTACTCCCATAGCGAGGAAATACCGAAACCACCCATGCAGTCACTAAGCAAGGGGAGCTGACCCATCAGACCCTGGTCCTTCATAGTGGCTAGCAAGCCTCGCACCACCCGCCGTCATTGTTGTTATTATTATTATCTCCTGCAAGGGCAGCCTCGTCCACAGGAAGCCTCCGAGGAATCCGAAACGTAATTCCGAAGCAGGGGCGGCAGTTCGTACTTGGAGGAGGTTCGAGGGCCAACCCCAGAGTGCCATTCTGCCAAGAGTGTCTCACGATGCGTGCATACCAATTGACGTGCTGCGAGTCCACGCAATGACGCGGGCTAGACTCCAGCCAGAAAGCGCCCCACATTCACGAGTGTTCTGCAGATGTCACGATTCAGGAACGGGTTGTCAATCAGGCCTGGCCAGTTAGTAGACTAGAGGACGAGGTGGACAAACCATGGATTGCCACAGGGAGATCAGACATGTCGAGTCACAGTAATATTTAATTAATAATAACGACCATGTGGCAGGCGCCACGTAATTTACAGTAAGAGCAGTTTGTGTTGATGTAACGCATGCAATCTTCATACGGACTAGCGCTTCTTCACGGATAAACTGGTCACGTGACAAATGAGCGTCACCGGCGCGATATGCCACCCCAGCCACGCAGCCACACCGGAGCTATCTAAATCCGCCGCCGCGTGTTGCCATTCAGATTTCGGTATTGCAATGCCTAGTTGCCTCGCACATAGTGCTATAGATAATGGACTAACTGCCCCGTCCAGTTAGCGCTGCTCTTCAACGCCCCGAGAACGCGAAATAACACGGCCGCTATTAATACCATCGTCGCGCATTGAACATGGCTGCCGTTGACTCTGATCATGCTCTCACGGGCGACGAGACTTCCGATGACGAGGTCGTCGAGTCTTTGATTGCTGGCCGCGAAAAGCGCAGCACCGCCGGCAGAAACATGTCCTCGCTTCTGGATGCTGCCGCCGATGATGATCTCACGTTGCTGTTCGCGGAAGACGAGAACGACAATGAATTTGACGAGGTTGAAGGTGCTGAAGGGGAGGCGGAAGAGATGTCATCTTCTGAGGACGAAGATGACCAAGGTCCCAATACTGCTGATGACGATTTGGAAGGCGAAAAGGAGCTGGAGAAGCAGGCAAAGGCAGATCGAAAGAAACGCAAGGCTCAAGAATCGCTAAGGCTCACTGCGTTGCGAAAGAAGGTCAAAATCGATCCCACCATTGCGTCTAGTGTGCCGTCCGCCGTGTCTCGGCCCAAAAAGAAATCTGAACGAATATCATGGCTACCTACACCCGAAGAAGGTCCCGTGCGATCGTCCTCTCGTCGACAGACTATGCAAAATAAGGAAATGACACATGCGAGGCTGAAGGATAGTGAACAAAGACGTATCAAGCTTATAGCAACGATGGAGCAGGCTGCTAAGAGGAAAGAACGCATGAAGCCTAAAGTGATGACGCAGGAGGAACGTCTAGCAGAGGCAGAAAAGATTGAACGCATGAACAGTAAGAGTCTCAATCGCTGGGAGGAGATGGAAAAGAAGAAGGCAGAGGAACGGAAGGCCAAGCTAGAAGCTCTTCAAAACCGTCGTTTGGAGGGGCCTGTCATGTCTTGGTGGAGTGGTGTCGCCAAATGGGTTAATGGGAAGCTAGTACGCGTGGGAAATGTCGAAGTGAAGCCAAAATCCGATAAAGAGGAGACAGAAAAGAAGAAGAAGACGAAAGACGCGGCAAATCAGGATGCATCAAAGACAGATAAGAAAGCAGAACAGACTACGGATAATCCAGCTGTTGAGGGTATAGCGTTACAACCTCCTGCGGTCAATGGCATTGAAAATGTGCCAAAGGCCGGAGCAGATGCCGTGCTGGAACCAAATTCAAATGGAAAAGGGTCGGGTAGTAATGGTTTTCTGGACGGTATCCACAACTATGTATCCCTTCCAGCATCGCCTGCCCCTGAGAAGGTACCAGAGCTGAACGCAGAAACCGCCGACCTAACGAGTTCAAAACCGGAAAAGTCAACACTAATAACTGATCAGCAGAGCGGAGCGGAGGAGCTTGTAAATGAAGGCTTAAACAAGAAAGGTTCTGCTGCTGAAAACGTAACCTCAAAGCCGGATGAGTCGGTTCTGGCTACTGAAAATAGTCAAGCTCAGGATCAGCCGGAAAACAAATCATCAGAACCAAAAACTGTTACTTCCGAGGCCCAGTCCTCTCCTAAGCCTGAAGGAACAGGCAGTACCTCTCAAGAATTGCAAGATCGGGCACCGAGAAACCCTCAACCAGAGTCAAAGTCTGCCGATACCGCAGCCGAAGGAAGAAATCAGACGCCTCAAGAGGAAACAGAGCCAACTTCCAACACGCTTCCTACCGCAGAAAACAAAATAGTAGAGGAAGCACAAGAGGTTACCTCTAGTGAAACAAAACCAGTTGGGTCTGCTGGTTCTGCTGAACCCGCAATGGAGACAACTACTTCGACCGACTCTGTACAACAGCCGGCAATCGCCCCTTCATTAAACGTGGCTACTATTGAAGCATCAGAAATGGAAATTGATCAACCATTACTCTCTACTGATCCAACGCCAGAGCATGAGTCCAACCTACCGCCGCAGCCGGAAGTGATTGAACATACTGGCAGGAATTTATTAGTATTGGAGAACTTTGACAATGCGACCACCCAAAGTCGCCAGTATAGTATTTACTTCAATTCGAAGAAACCTCCACGTCTCGCCAGTAAGGCTTCTCTCCTATCTGCTTTTGTACCATTCCGAGCTAACAACTCCAGAAATTTCTTCCCACCTTTGCCCAATCACCTCGCAACCTTCGCGGTATCGTGATTGTGAAACTGGACTACCATTCGCAAGCGCTCTCGCCTATCGCGAAATACGTAACTTGACCGAGCAAAAGTACATCTGGAGCGCTATGCTCGGTTGTTATATTGGACCCCCAACTGTAGCCGCGAAAGGCGTTCCTGAGCAATTTCTGACCGGAGTTAAGCCGGAAAAGAAGGACCAAGATAATAACGAGCAAACCACTCGTGCTGGCAAGGAAAATGAGAATTCGGGTGTGGCTGTTGTTGCGGATGGTGAGCCCATGGATGTTGACAAGAGTTGAGCTGAGCATCTCATTGCGTGTTCGGCGCATTTGTGGCGTTTATACTAGTTTGATACCCTTGGAACGTATATTATTTGCACCTCTAGATTTCTTCTTTTCTTCTACTGAGATGAATGAAATTTAACGATCGTCACTCTAACCTTGACATTTCTTATACTTGAGATCACTACGTATGTACAAAACATTTCTCGACGTGGAAATTTCTAACATTGGCACCTTGAGGTTCTAGAATCAATCCTAAAATAAACAATCCTAGATTACGCAGGAATTTCATATATCATGCAATACAATGTAATCTCCAGTTCAGACGGCTGTATTTTCCGCGCCTCCAGGAACAGTCGAGATTGAAATTAGGTGTTGTTAAGTAGGGCTTCAAGATCAGCCTTAACTCGCTCGGGAACACTCTGTAGACTACAAAATTCATGTAAAGCTACATTCATTTCACCAGTTATCTTCATCTCCGAGCGCAAAAGACGAAAAACAGGAATGGCGGACAACGCCGAGTTTTTTGAGGCGCAAATCAAAGAGGAGCCGGTTTCAAACATTGTATACGTTTTGATTTCATCAAGAATTTCTTCTAAGTCTCATGGTATTTGAGATTCACAGTCATTTGTCAGACCGGAGTACTACAACCAAACACCAACCAAGGTCTTTAGACTCCCAATTTGGACCCACCAAAAACCTGCTTATGAAACTTTTGGGTCATATGTCTTGCTAACTTCCATCAATCTCGTTTTCACTTCAGGACCATAAGACTCGATTGGATACTGCCAACGAATCGCATAATTCAAATACTTGTAGCGGACAACCAGTCATCCATAGCCGCAACTTCGTCCATGGTACTGTTCACTTCTTGAGTCTAATCATCTAGCAATTGGTTATAGTCATGTGAGGACCAGTAATTTGAAACCAGCACGAGAACAAGATCCTTTGCGGGAGATGATCCTGCTGTGAAGCCGAAACTGTTTGGTTCCGCGGGATCTGGAATTGGAAGGATGGATTACGGTAGTCAGATTTGAGACATTTTGCAGACTAGATGAATACTGGTAGATGGCTTGCTTCCATATTTTATACACCTTATGTAGAATCGTAGGCGAGATTTTGAATGTTGTTGTGGCATATATGGCACTATGTGGAAGGATGTATGTTACTGCAATTGGTGTATCATATGTAACATAGTATTCTTTTAAATTTGGTTGTGGACCTAACACATAAATTTATAATGGGAAAATACTCCAAGTTCGCAGTTATTAGTCAATTTAAAACGAAAGAAGCCCTAGAAGGCGACGAAAAGCGCGGCAGATATTCATCAAAAAGGCCTTCAAATGATGTCGTTCAGCCAGCTGCAAGGATCTACCACGTCATGACAAATGTTCTCGAATAAGACAACTAGATTTGACATCATTCAAACAAAAATCCCACGTCACCATTCAGTCAGTTTGTTTAATTAACCTTCTTCAACAGAACCCGTGTCGAATCGTAAGGGAAGGTAAATGTTTCCCACATGAACTTGACTCGGCCTTTGGATTCGAGGAAAATATCGTATTCGGAAACGAGACGTGCAATAACAATTTTAAGAACTAGCGTGGCATGAAATCGTCCTGGACTAATAAATGCAATCTGTCAGTTAAGCCGTCCTATCCATCGAGGAAAAACTTACCAAGCAAGCGAACCGAACCCCCAGGTTGGGAAGTGCTCAGACACATCCGAAAATTTAGTACCTCTCATTGGGGAAGGGCCTGTTACAAATCGTTCGCCGTCCCATTTCTCAGGATTAACATAGACGTTCTTGTCGTTCAGGATATCTATCGCTGAAACGCACGCTGTTGTTCCTTTCTTTAGAAAGTAGTCACCACGTTTAAATTGATAGTCATCGAGAGCTTTTCGACGAATTGCATCTTTTCCTTGGTCAGGAAAAGAAATTAGGAACCGGACGCCAAGGCACTCACGTGTATCCAAGGGATTCATTCGAACACTCTCTTTAATGAAGCTGTCTAAATAAGGAAGTCTGTCGAGGGATTCGTAGTTCGATTCGGAAATATTGCCGATTTCCTCACGCAGTCTGAGCTGCCATTCAGGTCGTTGGGCCAGTTCAAGGAGGATGAAATCCAAGTTCATCCAAGGTTGGTGCGAGGCTGCAAACCAGACTCCGAGAAGTGCCTGTGAGGTGATATCCGTGGTCCAGTACTCGGGACTACCTTCTTGTTCCTGAATGATCTCTATCATATTATGAAGAATGGTACGCTAGTAAAGTTAGTTATTGCTTTCGGATATTTTTTTGACCAAGGACTCACATCTTTGACGTCTTTGGATTCTCCATAGTCAGAACGCATAAGGTGTTTGAAACGATTTTGAAGTAAGTGCATTGCCCGGCCATTCTTGGTAATAATCTTGTGAATAAGCCTACTCAATGTTAGTAGCAATGATATAAAACAACGATAAATAGCATACCCGGAGAAAATAGCTGGGAAGACTTGAAAAGCTGCTAAGCACTTTACAAGATCTGCTGAATAGGTAAGAAGGGCATCTGCAAACTCCTGGTCGGCCGCTGTTTTGGTCAGCTTGACGTTTCACATGAATAAAAGCCTTACTTACAAGCCTTATCACCGAAGAAAATGAGAGCCATCAGTTTTGATGATATTGTCCGGACACTTGGTGCAAGGGCAATAGAAACAGGTCCTGCATATGTTAGAATATCCAATATTTATCTGATCTGACTTGAACCAACCATCAGACTTGACAATTCCTTTTTGTAACTGCTGGTCTAACACAGTTTCTAGTCGCTTCTGTAAGTAAGGGTAGAGAGCTGCGAGATTCGATGGGCCACGGTTCTGGAGGAGGCGACTATAAAGCCGAGTACGGAGGACATTGACCTCATTGTGGGTGATTCCATTCATGGTAAGCTTGAAACCAAACATCTGTGTAAATATATGAGTAAGTCGTATTCAAAAAGAGTATGGAACGATATTGAAAACGTACATCCGCATATACAGCACGCTGAGAAAGGCTGTTGGCCTCGCTGAGTTCGGTCATCTCCTTCCTGCTAGGATTGATGATGATCGGTTTCACAGAGCCCCAAGGATTGTAGTATTTGCCATTAGACTAGATACGTCAGCTAGAGACTATAGAATAAACTGGGATAGTAACCTACAAAGTCATTGCATATCGCGGTGACATTTCGGTACGCTTTCCGTCCCCAATTAAAGAAACCTATGTCCTATCAGCAATAGTTAGCTGCCAATAGCGTAGATAAAAATAAAATGGAAGAACAAACATTGGTGAAGAAAACAATCTCTGAAATGATCAGCATCGTGGCAGCAATACCGAAGGCTAGAGTATAAAACGAGTCGATCACCATGTTTTTCTGAAGTTATTGGCTTGGTAAAAGAAGATCTTGGGTTTATGGCAGAAAGTTTAAGGGGTTGACTTCCACACAGAAATAAACACAGGTCAAGACTATTAGAAAATCTACTCATATGTGATTACAAATATTTCAGGGCCGTTCAAGACACAAGAAAGTCGGAACAGACCTCGAATACCTACAAACGTTATCTTCTCAAACAGGCACCGCGAGTCTTGGTTGAATAAAGACCCCAACTCTCTGTAAAATCCCTCGATAAAAAACGGTTTCGGTAATTTTCGGAAAAGTCTCTGGCTTGGGAGGAGAGATCAGCAGGAGACTTTATTCTGGAGCTTCTTGAAACGGGACCAGCACGCCAACAAAGCCAAAAAAAAAAGTCTTAGATAAAATATGGCGTTTAGGAGGCAAATCATTGCATGTCAAACATTTATCGGATGCCAGTACAATTGTTTTTACTAAATCTTGAAGCGTCCAATGAGAAATTGTTTTACATGGTCTTACCTATATTGACGTTTGGCCATTGATTAGTTAGAGCTGAACAATCAAACGATAAGTCAAACGGAAGTCAAAGACAAATAATATGTTTCTTAATTATGCTGAAACCTTTGTTCATATCTATTATTATCCCCGACGTTTTACCCATTAAATTATCCAGTCGAGCTCGATAGTACATACTCGAAGACGGTAAACATTTTCAAACATTATCCACACAAAGCCGCCATGCCCAGTTCATACGTAACTAGAGATATTTATTCAGTTTCACTCATTCATGAGCACAAAAGGAGTGGTTTATAGTGAATTCTCCTAATTCTTTCCTGTACCTCCATAACATTGAAGTTTTAAAGAATGACTCGTTCTATGTTCAAAGTTCTCAATACAATATATTCCCTCACTTGTCTCTATGTAGAAGAATCTTCGACTGTATTCTACAAGGTAAATAACTTAATCTTCCTCAAATCTTGACTTTATCCTGATCTCACTCAACTGTCAAAGATAATCAAGGCCCGAAGAAGACGTAGGCACAACCTGAATATCCTGTGTAAACATGTGTTTCACTCGAATCTCATCCTCCAACGCCATACCATGACACTCTGAGCTCGCACTATGCATGATGTTACTCTAGATGTAAACAGTCTGGAGAGGATTTGTAAAGGTTGGGAACGTTGCCATAGTTCCTCGAGGCATCATCGCGACGTAATTATACATGACTGTGGCGTTGATTTCTGTATTTAAAGCAAGATCGAAAAGAACTTTGCATTTCGATACCATAGTATCGAAGAAGCTGTTTTGTTGCTAGTACGGAGGCGTTACTGATCCCCCCACGCATCTCTGCAAGTGCTAGAAGTAGCACACGCATGGTGTAATATGTAAAGTCATCTCGGTGTTACAGGAGTACTATTTTGTCAAGAATACTCAGACTATATGTGATACACGATCTAGTCATGAATACGAGTCAGTATGATCGAATCAGCATCCTGCTATTGTTTTTTCTTACAAAGACCCAATGGAAACCTCCCAGTTCCTCATCCTCGACGAACCCGAATATACAATCCCAAATATTGGAAGTAGAAAAATTATGATACCCAAGGCCAGACCTCCAATAGCAATAGGTAAGGCGATGGTAAGGGATTCATCATATCGGGGGTTCTGGAATGATTCTTTCTAGGTTTTCGTTTACTCTCAGAGTTGTGGAATAAAGAGTAGCAGCGGTCACACTCAGGTAAATACCCCAATTTAAGGTACAGCATATCCATATTGTGTACCTGATGCGAGGGACAGAGCGGAAAATGCTTCGATACATGATGAGCATGACTGTTTTGCAGAGGCCTCATATAAGTACCGCTCTCCAGTTGGTGAAGAAACATATCTGATTTTAGAAATGGAGAATTAGAAATGTCCAACTTAAAATAAGATAAGAACATAAAATAATGAAAGTATCATTCATGATTTCATCATCAGAAAGATGCCCAATATGAACTTCAATAAACTCTCTGGTCACGGCTAATCAATCAGGTAAACAATTAGCCACGCAAAACTGATGTTGAAGAATACAAACACGTACCGAGTATGCATACCAAGTAATACCCATACGTGAAAACCTGTCAGACCAACCACGTTAATTTCTACAGCATGCATCATTCAAAAAAAGATATAAATCGTACGTCAGCTGTCAATGCCACCCCTGAAACTGGCAATTAGTCTGAATAGTATTATATTAACCCGATAAGGATCCAACACTTACAATATTTTAGTTGAATCTGTTTAGCAATTACTAGCCTAGTATGGAGCCTACAGACGACAAACGCGGTCATAATGGCAACCAGGATATCCCCCGAAGTGATTAGAATATGCCCTTCCGACGGAGAAGGCTTTCCTAAATAGGAAGTTCTCAGAGCAGAATTCGCTCCGAGGAAAGACACAGCTGAAAAGGCGTTCCAGAGATCTATATGATCTAAGGAATACTTATAACGATAATCATCCGTGTCATCCTGCGCTGGTCGAGTCAGGGCATTATATATGGGAATGGAAATAACTCGCTTACAATCACAGTCACATATTATCGGCAACAGACGTCAAAATAAATGCATCCAACTGCACCTACTGTGTGACTCGAGACCGTTGTGCGATCAACATTGAGTGTTGATGTTTGCTATGGCAGTTCACTTTCCAACCACCATGTAACATAGAAAGTTGAGAGTGACATCGGAGGGAATTATATATAAGTTCAAATTCATAAATTAGCCAAGAAATACCGTGCTAACAGCAGAATTTTTAGCGTGATGTATAATATCCGCCGTGTATCAAAGCTAATACACATCAGAGGCAATATCCCTCCATTGATACGCTTAGAAGCAACCTAACAAGACAAAATACTTACATGGAGTAGCACCGACTCCAGGAAAACATAGAAGTGTAAAGGTTCCAGTTAGTGTGCTATGACAGTATAGCCGAGCGCCTCAGGCGCCTACGGTTGGAGCTGGTGTTGGACACGTGCTCCTACAATCGATCAAATGCTTCAAGAATCAAGATAGCCTCATTTATTTTTTTCTAGTTTATGCACGTGTTCTTAATAACATAAAATCTTTGGTTATTTCCTTCCCAAGGCATGTTGAAGTCACCGGCTGTTGGGCTAAAGCAAACCTACTCTGCAGTCCTCGAGGAGATGACGAGAAAAGTACTCTGATTGCCCACAGGTTATCAGCTTGTCCGCTCCGAATTTCTCATTTTTGGTGATGATTGTCAAGTCCGAGAATCTAGACGAGTTATAGCAACTAGTTTTATTAGTGCAGGCAGTACTACAATCCTTGACCTCTCAGAACTTTTGGATACTTCTAATGAGACCGTCTTCATTTTGAGAATCTTCTGGCGTGGCTTCCATTGCGTCACTCATCTTTTTATAGTTTTGCAGCTTCTGGCGTACTAGAAGGCAATGAACGAGCTTTTGACTTAGAGCATGTGCAAAGAAAGAGTGAATTGAGGGATAGTCAGGAGGGAGGGAACTCAGTTGTAAACAGTCAACAGGGCGTTTGCACTCGCGTAATGCGGATTTCCATCTTTTCGTACTCCGCCTTTATCCTGTATTTTCTCCATTTACTCATCACCGGGGATGATATAATGCTGTACTTTTGGATAGCTCTATAGATAATTTTTTCGAACATGTTTGCCATCATATGCTTTTTCCCAAGGCACTTGATCACGTGGGAGCAACCGCTCTCTGTAGAATATTGAGGTTGGTGAATCCTTTCTACTACTCACTCATAAAGTACACTAACTCATTCAATTCCTCCAAAACATATTATTGAAGATATTTACATGCAATTTCATCACCAAATCTGCCCCATTTACCCACAGAATAGTCGATAGTTCGTATCTACACCTCAGTACACTAAATCAGGACATACAAACAAAGAGAGAGTTTTACACATGACCGGGTACCTTGGGCAAAGATACATACGGACACCATATTCTAATGAGAGTTATACTGCGTAGCTATGTGGACATTCGAAGGGTATTGTAAATAGGACCCTTCTTGGCATAGGAAGGTGTTTGCTAAAAGATCAGGAATATCCAAATGATACTACAAGATCTTGCAAGGGTCAGGGTATACGCGTATGCAGCCAAATATAGAAATCGTTCCCTTCGACCGTGCAAGGTAAGTTATTGACACCGGCATTCCAAGGTACATGCATACGAAACAGGTAGTAGCGTACCAATGGCCCTGCCACAGCAGACGTGTCATGTCATTCATACCAAATTCAAAAAAGTGGGCTTGGTGGATTGTTGAAGTAATCGATTAGTATGCAGTGCAGACATGACATCATGTATGCCTTCCGCAAGCGTGCCTATTCAAATGTTTACGGTATGAAGATTATATGAGGTATTAACAGGATCAACAGGAGGAGGCCATTGAAACATATGAACTGTGCAACGCCCCGAATCATGCTGCGTGATCTGTCGGGCTACTTATCGCGAGGAGTGGTACACGCATCATCGAGTGTCAAGCAGCGGGCCGGCCGGGAACCAGTTTTTTATTTGTTATTTTTATTTTATTTTTATTTCATGTGGATATCCATATCCATATCCATTAATATTATCCAAGTGACTGTAGAGAGGATGCCTGATTGGCCGGGCAGCCAAGGTCTAGACCGACGGGATGTCCAGAAGCGGATTCCCTTTATATATCCCAATTCCTCTTTTCCCATTATTCTCTCAATGAATATATATATGTGCCTAATAATAAATATTATATACTTGTACGTAACATATTATCTAATTTATATCCAACCATCCTGGCATCTCTGCGAGAGGGAGCCAGAACGTGGTCGGGCAGATCAATGGGGGACTAGCCAACTATACAGGTCTAATATTGATAGGCACCATCGATTCTAGATTTCTAGTGGGCGTCGGCGCAGACAATCGCAGCTCGCCATCGACGCTCGTGCTGATAAGCTCGGCATAGTTTTTATCTTTTACTGTAGCCGCCGTAAGAGCGTCCTAGTCTCTACGATCAGTATCTAGTATCTCGTGGGAGTGATGGAGATTATTTAAAGCGATCGTCATCCCCGCTTCAACCTGAGCGAATATTATCATTGTTATTCTGGTCCGCCCTGTGAAACCGTGAAGTCTACAGTGACACGCTGCCATTGGCCGCGCCCTGACGAAACTGGCCACGACACGTCTGTGTCTTATCCCTGAGACGAGAACCTTTGGGGCGGTGCGGTGGACCAGCGAGTGTTCTCGACTCGTCGATCTTCTGACGTGACTGTCGCGATTTTTTCATGGTATGATTCAAACATTATTGCTGCAATACGCAATAAATCTGCTGTTGACGAATTTTGATTTTAATTTTATTTTAATTTTTTCTATTTTGTCTTATTTATAACTCTCGCCCCTTGCAAATTATTATTATTTACCCTTTACTGGGAACATTCCTCACCGCTCCTGCTATCGTCGCTATCTAGTTAATTTCATTTAGTCTTATTGACTGTGATAAGCTCTGAGTCACCGCCAGAATTGCAACCGTGTACCTGCAGCTGCTTTGTCGCGCTCTGTAACCTGGCCTTTGTCTGTGCAACGGGCATAGCGAAATTCGCTCAATTTACCTGTCATCTCTCCTATCCTACCTATCCTGGCCTGTCCCTGCGGCCACCCGGAAATTCTTTAAAAAAAAAAAAAGAAAGGGAGAGCAGGGAGAAAAGGAATAACCTGCTTATCTGAGGGTCCCCAGTGGGGCTTATCAGCAATCATGCAGCAGCATCGCCGACAAAACCCTCATAGTAGGGGCCAGTATAATAGCACCACCTCACCGCCATCCAGGTCGACTGTTTCCACTGCTGCTAAACCCGCGTCCAATGCCAAAAAAGGACCGTCTGTAAGGTCACAACGGCCTGTCCTCTACCACCGCAAGAGCGCTTCCGCCCAGCTGCCGCTTCACCCTCACTCTCACCACCCTCATAATCATCACAGCCATAATCACAATCACAGTCACCATCACAAGTCGTCGCTTCCCAAACTGCTCGGCCCCGGTTCTGGCCCTGCCAACTGGACCGGCCAGCACGACGACGACAAGCCTGAAATGGCCACCAGCTTCTTGCAGTACTGGTATGTGCTTATCATGTTCATCATTCCAGGCCGGCATATAGCATGCTCGCCTCATTTTGATATCTATTGCACGCTAGGTCTCACATACCACGTTGCACCGCATTGCTGTACAATGCTTGTTTTGTTTACTCATGAAACCACTCGTCGTATTATCCTTGCTTGTTCTCGGCTGACACCTGATATCTAGTGCCATGTGTGAGAAGCAGATCACCGTGCCCTGCAACTCTGTCTTATATTGCAGCGAGAGGTACACCCATCCCATTCCAACCAGTCCAAATGTTTTATATCACACGTACTAATAATTGTATAGCTGCCGCCGCAAAGACTCCCGCAAACCACTCTCCGCCTCCTCCTATACCTACACCACTTTGCCCTCCTCCACACCCCCCGACTCTCCACCCATGTCCCCGCGAGCCATCGTCACTCCCCTGACTCCCACAGGATCCTCTCTCCCCGCCAGCCTCTCCAGGATACCCTCAGACCTGCACGACGCCAAGTCAGATCTGGACCCGACGGAATGGAAGCCCGTGATAGGTACGACTAACTCGTCGACGTCGCTCTCAGACGCATGGACCTACCTGTCGCAGTTCCATCGTGACGAGTCGTGGGCGACGCTGCAGCAGCGCCGCTCGCTCGCGCACACCCACCGCAGTAGCGCCAGTCTGTCGATGCTCGGCATGGCGCCGCCGTCGCTCATAAACACGCCTAGCACTGTCGCCTCGTCCGCGACCAGCTCGTCGTCCTCCGACTACATCGGCGCGTACTACGCGCACGAGCTTTCTGGAGGTGCTGGCGCAACCCGGCCTCTGCCACCCCGCCACAACCCTTCCTTCTCAGGTGCAACCAAGGGCGTCGAGCTCGTCGTGCCGCACATTGTGACCGCTGCTCCTGCGGTCCCGCTAGCTCTAGGCTCCTCGCTTGAGCACGACGCTGATGCCGGCGTGTGGCTGAAGCCGCATCGTCGACGGTCGCTAAAGCCAGCGACGCCGTCGTCGATTGCAAGCGGTGTTGCTCATTAAGAAGTGAGCCCGCGAGCTTCGATTTATTCAAATTCCTTTGGAGTCTGGTTGATTATTTATAATAAAGAATTTAAGTGGTTTCTGGCGGCATAGACTAGCGATATGCATGTTTTGGGGAATAATAATCTAGCATATCTACTTCTAAGCTCTGATTTAAGCTGATTTGTTAGTATACACGGTATTGATATGAATACATGAAGACATGTCAATAATCTCAGAAACTCTGATAGACTAAGCAACGGTTAAATAGGGTGAATTTAAATGCATTCTAACTGAACTAGCGGGCTAGGTAGGTATCTGTACTAATGAGATACGCAGCAGAATAACCACATGAATGTAGAGTAGATGTAGATATAGATGTCGATAGAGGAGACGTCTAAGGAGTGCATCGCCCTGTGAACCGCGGATACAAGCAGCACTCACGAACAGTGTACCTACCGCAAACCCACGCCAGGAAACGCTCTAGACCCAGACCATATCCGCCGTGGGGGGAGGTTCCGTACCTATCCTCGTTAGTTTCACATTTCATATCTTGGGAAAGAAAAACTTACTTGCGCTGGTCGGTGTACCAGTAGTATGGGCTCGGATCCATGCCCTCCCGCTTATAAGCCGCGAGAAGCTCATCATAATCATCAATACGGCAGCTACCGCCTACAATCTCACCTACACCGGGCATCAACACGTCCACACTCTCAGTGACGCGCGGATCTTCTGGGTCCTTTTTCATGTAGAACGCCTTGATCTCGGCGGGAAAGTGTGTGAGGAAGATCGGCTGGTTGATGATATCGGTCATTTTGCGCTCGGCGGCTTCGGCAATGTCGTCGCCGAATTGATGCGGTTGTCCGTCTTCGTTGGGGATGTCGTGTTCGCGCAGCCAGTCGATGGCGTCCGAGTACCGCATGCGCTTGAATGGTCGTTGCGGGATCTGGAAGGTCGGGTTGAGTTGTTTGATGAGCTGCGCCGTGACAGGGTCGGCCAGGAGTAGTTCGAGGACCCTGGAGATGACTTCTTCGAGGTGGTCGAGTAGGTCGGTGAAGGTGATGAAGTCGAGCTCGGCTTCGATGTGCGTATATTCGGAGAGATGGCGACGGGTCAGTGACTTTTCGGCCCGGAAGGATGGGCAGATGCAGAAGACGTCGCCGAGGGAGGCAATGCAGGTCTCGAGGTATAGCTGTGAGGACTGCGTGAGGTAGGCTGGCTCGCCGTAGTAGTCGAACGAGAACAGCGTGCTGCCGCCCTCGACCTGCGTCTGCACCATCGACGGCGGCGTCACCTCGAGCATTTTGGTTTCTTCGAATGTGCGCCGGAATGCACGCAGCGTTGCCCCGCGCACCTTCATCACCGCCGATGAGTTCTCGCCACGGAGCACAAGGTGGCGGTTATCGTATAGCGTCTGCGGATCGTGGTTGGCCGATACGCGGTGCGTGATGGTTTCCTTGTCACCGGCTGCCTTGCCGATGACGGTGTAGAAATCTGCGTGGAGCTCCCGGTCATTGGGCGCGTGTTGCTTAGGAGGCACCGCGCACATTTCTCCGTGAATCGCAATCGACGTCTCCAACGTCAATGTCAGTGCGTCGTACGTCTTGACCAAGTCGCCCGTCAGGACACACTGCAGGAGTCCGTAGCCATCCGAGAGCGTAATAAAGATGACATCCTTTTGAGATCGTAGGCGGTGAATGCGTCCGAGAACACGCACTCGAGTGCCTGGCTCGCCTGACTCTGGTGCACGCAGCTTGACGATAGCGGGATCTGTCACGTCGAGACGGATACGCACTGGTTTGGGCAGGGACGAGTCTTCCTTGATAACGACCTTTTTGGCCTCTTCCAGCACTGCCTGGCGCTTGTCTGCCTCTTCCTTTTCGCGGAAAGCAAGCTCATGTGCCTTTGCGGCTTTCCTCTTGGCGCCTTCAAAGAGCTTGAGTGTCTTCTTCATGCCAGAAGCTGACGGGGCTTTCCATTCCAATCGCGACGCTTCGTCCTTGCCCTCTTCAACCGGCCCCGTCACGGATTTGCGTGTGAGGTATTGGATTCCTTCTGTGGTTGGATCATACTGCAGCATCGCGTGCAGAAGAGTCTTGAAGGGGGCGGCCTCAGTGCCGCTGGCCGAAGCGTCGTCGTGGCCGACGTCCTCGTCGATGTAGATTTTTTTCTCGGTCGCCATGATTGTCTCGATTTATGCTACTAAACTATTAGTCACCTGGTGTTGTTCAATGGTTTCGTCTTCTGGGTTTAAGGCTGTTATATGCACGGGGCTGTGGACGACGGTCATGAATGACTCACTGATATCTTAGCCAGGCCGAGGAATCCACCGATACTACCTAGCAATCTTCGCCGCCACGTCCAGGTCAGCAAGGCAGTGCGCAGGCAGGAATAGAAACGAGGGTCGAGCTCACCACAGATGGATAGAGGAATTGCACGACAGCGGAGGGGTAGGTATTCACGAATGTCTGGGGGATTTTTTTCCCACAGACCACTGCCGCCGCCCGCGCGAATGAGGGGCTGCTATCAGTCCTTATCTTTGATGCCTCAGGCAGCTTTACATTGATCTACTTCACCCTACCAATCAAACAATTCTTGCACGACCTAGAATCAGACTGCAATAAATCTGAATAATGAACGCTCATAAGTTCATGGGGACAGTTACTAAGCTACGATTACCTTTTCTTAATGAATTGGCAATTGTCCCATTTTAGCTGCCATAAAACCTAAACGAGGTCAGATCGAAAATCACGTCCAATTGAGATTTGCCAACATCCGTAACACCATATATCTCGATTCTCTATCTATCTGCCGTCATCGATCATCGATTGTAGAGTAGTAGTACCATATCAGATATCTAACTGTCAACTCTGTGCTAGACTAGTAGTCGTAGTGTACTCACGTGGACAATGCTCTGATTGGCTGTGTGCGTGTGTGGATTCCACGAGGATAGAAGTGTATTATTATCTACGAGTCGACATGGCTTAAAATGGATAGAGAAGTCTGGTTTCAATTTCTCCAAGAAAAAGCCTGAATAACAGGCTAGCTCTTCACCAGTGTTTCGCGATTCTTTATTACTAGGCGGGCGTTTCGTGTGAATGACTTAAAGAGTCAACGTAGTAGTAGGCGGTCACGTTTCAAGTCTGAAGTCATCGCAAGTCTCAGATGAAAATCAAGTGATTAGCATAAGCATAAGCGTAGCAACGGTGAATTTATATTAATGCAATACCCGATGATCAACGGCCCACTGGACGGATCGATCAGGTTGCGTTTAGTGACTTGGTATTACTCGCGGTAACTAGCGAGCTTAGTCAGGGGTATTCTCCACCCTGGCTGAGAACAGTCTGAAGAATTGAGGAGACTAATATTGAGAGGCTGTCAAGCCTGTTATTGATACGTTGGATTGGATGATTTTCGCCGTTGAATGAGAACGTCAGTAGATAGGCTTGTAATTTGCCAGGGGCCATCGTTGAGTATCAGCCATCTTGGTCAATAATACTACGGAATATCGTCATAATAATAAAGATTAATCATTATTATGACAGTAATTTAGATCAAATAGACACTCTGGCAGGGACCGGAGCCGGCCAATCGAATACCTCTACTCCTCTCTCAACCACGTTTCGAGGCAACGGCCAACAGACCTCGCGCGTCTCATTGGCCGCGGGAGTGGGACTCCGGGATCAACAATTGGAAAGGCGTCAAGGAACACCCTGACGGCGATGCCGGTCCCTGCAGCAGCGACCAATCAGGGATCGAGAAACCGAGTACCTTACCGTCAACAAGACTCCTATTCAGATGGCGTCAATGGAATTATATAAAGCAAATAGAATCGCACAGCGTTTGGCAGGTGCGGACAAATCTGTAGCACGCCGTGATTGGCCCGCGCCAACGAGAACTGCCAGGGGTCGACGCCAATTGGACGAACCGGTGGAGCCGTCCCCATCATCCAAACAAGGCGCATCAGCCCTGCCCCTGTGCCATCATCCATTATTGCATTGAACACTCACGTCGTATTCTTGAATCTTTTTCATTACTACATTATGGATCACCCGTCTTATTCCCATCTAACTGGCCATGCATTATAAATACTAATTGTACCGTTGGCTCCCTCTGTTACAGATAGATCGTAACAGGCTATGTTAGAGTTGGACTGATGAATCATGACCAGAAGGATAGCTGGACCAGATTCTCGCAGTGTACATATATTCTATAAACAAACCCAATAATAATATTATTAAGATGCAATAATAGCCTCTGTGATAATGGCCTCAGTGATAGTATTAGGAGCATAATCAATGCGCTCGTGACTAGGACTAGCGGAAAGGGGATCCTCCGGCTGGCGACCTGGGTAGCCCCTTCCCTCCCGCTTCTCTTGCTTTGGGCTGCCCTCTACATACCTTTCTCCCCTTCCTTACTTCTCCACGTTCTTTTGCTCTCGCCCAGCTATTACTGTCGAGCAATAATTCTTTTTCTTTTCTCTTCCATTTTATATTTAGCTTCCCACTGCTACGCTCGCTCTACAATTGTCTTCTGAGGAGGACTCCTATCTTTTTCTTCACTCTCTTTTTTTAATCCTTTTTTTGGCTTCTGTGCCGCCCTCTCTCACTCCCAAACGCCTGTCTTTCTTTTGCTATTCGGTGATCGCTTGCCTGTTAATATTAAAATCATTAATTCCTTCGCTGTCGGGCCTTCCTTGTCGTGCGCACTTCTCCCTCGCTCCTTTGGACTTGACTTGGACTACTTACCACGGATATTTGTTCAGCACACAATTGCTCTGCAACCACACATATTTGGTATCTTCATCTATAATTGCCTACCTGCTAGAACTCCTCGTTGTCAAAATTGTCTTGATAGAGGTACCGACGACCGCGTTCAGAGATCGATCCAGTTTTGATCGAGAGTGGAAGTGTGGTGGTGTTGACATTTTGCTGTTTTGATCCTGTCCTTCCATCCGAAGTCCAAAATCATCCTTCCTAGTGTGAGTGCGTCCGGTGATAGCATCCCGGGCCTCGTCTCATCGCCAAAACGGCCGTGCTCTCGTCCAATCTCCAGGACAGCCTTGTCCTCCCACCGCACATGCTCGCCATGCAAAGCGCGGACTCGAAAAACTCGCGTTTAGGATTACCAGGATCGAAATTGTCCGGATTACACCCCGATCATACCGGTTTCTCGCACGGCGCCTTCAATTCCAATAATCCTTCGATGCAGCAGAGCTTTGGAAATCGCGATTCGCGACGGGCTAATGTCCCTTCTATCAACACTGGTTCCGCGGTACACAACGGTAACGACCTCGGTGCGTCAGGCTTCGACATGAACGTCACACCCCTTCTCCCATCCCAGCTTTTGCTGGGCAGCCCCTTCCAGCCTGGAACCCCTTCCGCATTTGCGTCTCCCCAATTTGCCAGTTTCGGTGGCTTCCCCCAAACAAACTCCGTTCATAACCAAGGTGCTCAGCACCAACTCGGCAGCCCAACCCAGGCACAGCAGAACGCGCTATCTCCCCAGCTTTTCCCTGGACTGGTATCTGCAGACGGTTTCGCTAGCTCGCAGCTTTTGGGAGGTCCTCAATCGCCAATTGGTGGCTTCCCTGGCTTGGGAAATGCCGCGTTTGGCGCTTCCACTGCCACCGTTCCTGGAATGATCTCTGGCACTAGTCGCACTGTGTATCTTGGAAATATCCCGGCAGAAACATCAGCAGAGGAAATTCTCAACCATGTTCGCAGCGGACAAATCGAGTCGGTCCGTTTGTTGCCAGACAAAAACTGCGCTTTCATCTCGTTCCTGGACAGCAGCTCTGCTACTCATTTTCACTCGGATGCCATTTTGAAGAAATTAGCCATCAAGGGAAACGACGTCAAAATCGGCTGGGGTAAGCCTTCCCAGGTTCCAACATCAGTCGCTGTCGCCGTCCAACAGTCAGGCGCGTCTCGGAATGTTTATTTGGGCAGCTTACCTGAAGATATTACCGAAGACGAGCTGCGGGAGGATCTCGGAAAGTTCGGGCCTATTGATACCGTGAAGATTGTGAAGGAAAAGGCTATCGGATTCGTGCACTTCTTATCTATCAGCAATGCCATTAAGGCTGTCGCCCAACTCCCTCAGGAACAAAAATGGCAAGCCCCTCGTCGAGTTTTCTACGGCAAAGATCGCTGCGCCTATGTATCGAAGACTCAGCAGCAGAATGCTGCTCAGTACTTGGGAATTGCCCCAGGATATGCCCACGTTCTCAATAGTGCGGACCGTGATTTGATCTCGAACGCTCTTGCTCAACAGTCCGTTGCTGCCGCGGCTGTCGCGACAACGGCTGGTGGTGTCAACAATCTTGGAAACCGAACTATCTATCTTGGTAATATTCACCCCGAAACTACTATCGAAGAAATTTGCAACGTTGTTCGAGGTGGACTCTTACACCATATTCGTTATATTCCCGACAAGCACATCTGCTTTGTCACGTTCATCGACCCAACATCTGCTGCTTCATTCTATGCTCTTAGCAACCTTCAAGGCCTGATGATCCACAACCGACGATTGAAGATTGGTTGGGGCAAGCATTCTGGCGCCCTACCTCCGGCCATTGCTCTTGCTGTCAGTGGAGGAGCTTCTCGTAATGTGTATATTGGTAATCTTGATGAATCCTGGACTGAGGAGCGTCTTCGTCAAGACTTTTCTGAATACGGGGAAATAGAGCTTGTCAACACTCTGAGAGAGAAGAGCTGCGCTTTTGTCAACTTCACCAATATCGCTAATGCGATCAAGGCAATCGAAGGCATGCGCGGCCGTGATGAATACAAGCGCTTCAAGATCAACTTCGGCAAAGACAGATGTGGTAACCCTCCACGACAAATGAACAATAATGGCAATCAGCAACAGAACAACCGCAATGGTGTCGAAGAGCAGCAGGCTCCGTCTCCTCTGAACGGCTTCCAACAGAATCTCAGCCAAGGTGGCTCGCAGTCGAGCCCAACCAGACCTGCCCTGTCACCTGCTCCAGGATCGACAGGGTCGCAAAATGGGCAGCAGAACCGTCATCCTCTTCAAAATGTGTCATCGCCTTCGTCGATTTTGAATGCTGGAGGTAGTAATCCGCTGACGATGTACCTAAATCAAGTTTCTGCCCAACAGGCTCAGGACCAGGAGAATCGCTTGACGGATCCTATCACGTTAGCGACTCTGCAGCAACAGCAAAACCAAGCACTCGCCAATCAACAGGCCGCTCTATACAGTGGTGCTGCTTCCAACGAAATGAGTAACGGAAGCGTTGCGGAGCCCTCTCTACACCAACAAAAGCCGTCCAACGGCTTCCTTAATGTCTCTAATGGCCATCCAGGTCCTTCTCATGGCTCTGCCAACAGTCTCAGCGTGCCACGAGCTCAACACTCCCGTGCTGTCAGCTTGCCGTCCTTCTCTCAAGAACCGTTTGGGCCGACCCAAAGTCACTCGAACCACGGTCGCTCTGGGCTGTCTCATCAACCTCAAGGAAGCTTTTCCAGCTTCGGTTCGGCACTAGGTGGTCTGAACCATAGCGGGTTTGGACTTGCAATTCAAAATGAGTCTTCTCTTCCGGGCTGGGCTGAAGAGGAGATTGGCGCGAAGTAAAACCGCCGATTTAATTATACTTAATATAATTTCATCCATGGTGGCGCGTTTATATTCAACATCTATGTGTTTCATCTAATTGGACTTCATTTCTACCCGCCATGTCTGCTTCATGTATTCGTTCAATTTTCTACTGCATTGTCCAAATGATTTCAATTCCACGCCAAAATGGACCTTATTCCATTCTTAATATCTGTTTCTGAATCACCCATGTATTGCTAGCTGGCTACGAGAGTTTGACTTGTGTTGTTTGCACATGTCTTGAGACGTGGAGACCCTCGACTGGTTTGGGCTCCGTTCTGTTCTATTCTTGGCCTTGTTTCAGTTTTTTCTTCTTTTTTCTTTTTCCTCTCTTCATTATCTTCTTTTCTTTTATTTTTCCTTCTTGTTTTGTGATGCCACCCTTACACACTTTAATATTGAGCTACGGAACCTCTCTGCTCGCCCAAGACGGCGCGAGTTATATTGAAATAATGAGAAGGTCGGGAAAAGGTTGGAAAATAGGGGAGGTAGAATTGGTGCTACCGAGCACAATATCCAGTAAAGCAATGAATCAGTGCGTATAGTCTTGCATGCTTTTCCTCGTAAATAAAAAAAAAAGATCGATTGATATCTCTCTCCGTGCGGGTAGCGTTCTGCGGCCTGGTTGGCCAGCAGTCAGTGTGGATCTCCACCACGTTCCATAAACTTGCCGCATAATAAATAGTTACATCTTTCTTCATTAAACTATAACCCCGCCGCAACCCATCACCAACATCATTCGAACTTTGAAGCTGCTACCTAGCTAGTAATCTTGCAGCTGCAGATATGGCTCTTCCACCAGAGCAATTCCACATAAAACGGCGACGAGAAGAAGAACCGGTGGAAACCCTCTGTAAGTACTGTTTTCCCCGCCTTCATGCTAAGTATAATATGAAAAATATTTTCTTTTAAAAAAGAATGGCTTTGTTTCGTTTCTAATTCTCGATCACAGATATCCAGTCTGAGCTGCACCAGAAAAAGCGTCGTTTCACAGACTTCATCTTCCAGCGAGTGCAAGTTGGTACCGATGCTGTTGCCACTGCTGAAGACGCTGCTCCACCAAGCCCGTCCACCTTGTCTACTCCGGGACAAGGCCGTGTGCGAAGCCCCAGATCTGTAAGCACGTCCTTTTTCCCGAAAAGGGTTTCGAATCGTAATGAAGCTGCTGCTGGCAGTGGCAGTGGCATTCCCACCGTCAGAGCCACATCTCCCGGCGCAGAGTTTCGTGAAGAACGTGCGCTTGCTGCAGCCCGGCGGCAGCAGGAGGATGCCAGGAGCAAGAGACTTACAGAGTCTATTGATATGCTCCAGCAACAAGAAAAACAAATACCAATCGAAAGCACCCCCAGCAAGTCATTACCTACGACCCAATCATCATCGCAGAAAAGCCTGGCATCTCCATCATTCCCAACCTCGCTTCGCCGATTCCACATCTCTCGACCAAACACACCTGCCAATCCACTCCGAACTGCAACTGGCAGTGGAATTGCGAAGAGCAACACTTCGGCGCGCGCGCGTGCCGTGCTGGTCGAGAAACTCACACAACCGCCTTCGCTGCGGGGAGCATCGATTCTCGAAACACTTCAGAGGGCCGAGAAACCAGCTGAAGAGATCGACACCGTCGTTCAATCCCAGCTTCAGGTTCGAGAAGAAGAAGCCCATCGTCCTCGAAAACGGCCCGTCGTTAACGCTGCCGAGAAGAAATGGAGAGAGCAGCAGAAAGACTCTATCTCGGCTGCAAAGCAGCATCTGGCCAGTACCACCGTCGAGTCTGCGGATTACCTCGATAAGCTAGCCAAGGATCTCGAAAAGGTGATGCTAGACATCGATGCGGAGGAAACCCAAATGGATTTTACTCCTTCGCCTCAGCAGCCCACCAAGACAGTTGCGGTTTCACCGCTCGTCAAACAATCCCATCTGCTGCAGAAATACAAACCACGGCATCACCCAAGTCCTCGAAAGGCGCCAGTGCCAGCGCCTGTGGTGGTGGTGGAGGACGAAGAGATGGATGGGGAGTATGTCTATGATACTTATATCCGCGTTCCAGTCCGTCCTCCGACGGACATGGACGGACTAACCGACCCCCTAACTGACGCCATGCCATCGACCCCGCACGGAATCGATCCAACCCGCAAGGACGTCGGTGTAGTCGTAATCACGGAGGAGGATGAAAAGCTGTGGGAGGATTTTCTCGAAAACGAAGACGAGGAGGGCGAGAACTGGGATGGAGAGGACGTCGATTCGAACGGTAAGTCGTGAACCTCCTCTATTCCTTTCTTCCTGTTTTAAGTGAGAATGTGTAATAACCTTTACCAGCCGAAGATAATCCAGCAAACGACTATCCAGACGAGGATCTTTCGTCGGCCGACGAGCAGAACGATCCGTCTGCTATCTACCGTCGGTATCGGTATGGCGGGTCTGATGATGAGGAGTTTGATGTGAATCGGTATGATGAGGACGAGCAGGCGAGTGATGAGGAGCATGACTATGGTTACGGGACTGGGGTGATGGATGATGAGAAGACTCTCGGTCGAGCTCGTCGTTTGCAGGGGTTGTATAATCGGCAGCATCGTATTGAGGGGTTGTCGGGTGAGGATGATGAGGAGTAGGGTGTAACTCGGTGGAGTTGAGATTTCTGACACATAGCTACGCTTAGTATGAGATCAACGTAAAAGGAAAAGCGGTGGAGAATTGAAGAATTTCTAGGGAAATGATCGTTTTTTCTTGTATTTTCTAATTACTAAAGAATTCCGCTGGGACGAACAACGGTGTGGTAGGAAAAGCTCTGGTGGACAAGAAGTGAAATGTATCAGAAATGATATAAGAAGAAACCCCTCCAACACATAAAGGGGAGATTGTAGGCCGCTGTCCTTCAGCTCATTGACAGAGAAGCGAATTACACCCGACAACGACAGATAAGCACAACAACAGCAGCAGCAATGATAAAAAAAAAGCAAAAGAAAACAAAAAGTAAAGTACCACCGAGCCGGCTATGAGCAATGCAGTAGCGACAGATAGCCTCCCCAGAGATATCAATTATCAAATGACGGCAAAAAATCAAATAGCCACACAAAGGTGAACGTTAACACATTGAGATGAAAATAGAGGGATGCAGGTAAACGCTCATGATGTGGATGGATGTGCTTGTGACTTGGTCTTGGTCACTGTGTGACCAACAATTAGACCCAGGCAAGGCAAGCAAAGCGACGCAAAATTAAAAGCACAGCAAGAATTTGATAGTGTGAATTTCCACCTCCTTCGCAGGAGACAAGGGCTGGGTTTATAAACAGTGTACCAGCCGTTGGGGGGTTTTTTTTTGGAAAAGTTGGAGAATAATTAATGGGCATCTTCTTCCTGACTCTCGGTTTCGTCTGAATAGGAGCCGGGCGAGTATGGATCTGGGCTCGATGCCTCCGAGGAAGATCGGCTGTAAGACGTTCGCTGGTCGTCACCACGCCCGACAGGAGTTGCCTTGGGTCCTACTTGAAGCCCAGGAACAGCGTGGTCGGCATTCATCCACGGATACCAGACATTACACCATTCGATAACCCCGTACTTTGGTAGTCGTTCAGCACGCGGCCGTCGACTGCCCACAAGCTGGTCGTCCTTCAGTCGTCGCTGTTCTCGTACAGTGGGACATCTTTTTGAATTGATAAAGCGGTAGAACTTGCATTGAATTCCCTGGACATTTCGACCTTGCGTGGGGAATTGCCGATTAAAGGCGTCTGCACATTCCTTCCAGTCCTCCTCAAGATCAATACGGTGGTACCAAATGAAGTACATCTCTTCCTCCATGTACTTGGGCCGAGGAGCCCTTCGACGATCCCTCCTGACGGTTGTTGTGCTTGGAGCATTCTCAAACCGCTCATAACGATAGTCCACTGAGCTTTTGTCCAAGCTTGATTTCCGTTTCGGAGTTAGCTTATTGTCTGGATGCAGTGGTTGTGGTGACTGGTGGCTCTGGAGTGGATTGTCATACTGAAGTGAGAACTGGATGTCTGTTGATAGAGCCTCTGGTTCTGGTTTGTGTTGTGGCGGGTTCAGCAATGCGCTGATAGACATTGGTGTCTTTGCTGTCATCATGGTCGTGTTCATGTAGATACTGTATACCCAAATACTGTATCCTGAGATAAATTGCGTAAGGATGAAGGACAACGGGAAATTCTCCGGCTATATCGACACTCCTACTCCTAGAAATGGTATAAATACCTGGGATGAATAAAGGTATGAGATGGCCAAGTCCCTCGTACGAGCAGAAAGAGATCTCTTTTTCAATATGAACGCTGAGCGACAGGACTAGGCAAACTAGAGGCAGACCAAATAAGCGCCTGATGGAAGAAGAATAAGCTTCGGTGATATCGGGGAAGGTCAAACAAAGACAAAGACGGCTTATTTAAAATGCGGGATGAGAAGCCCGACCGAATAATGGACCAGGTCGCTTGAGATTTGCGGCCTGTTGTTCACTCTACGAGTAGATAGGGTGGGGAAAGAACGAGAAATGTCGGCCAAATAAAGGGACAAATATTCATGCGGCGCATCATTCTCTTCTGCACACGATATACCCTGCATATTGGACTAGATCGGTCTCTGATAGGCCCTGCATGACTGCGCCGCAGATGCTAGAGCGAATGCATTGATGCAATAATAAAAAGCGACCAGGCCTAGGGTCTCCATTCCAGGGTCACCACAACGGGCGTCAGTGTCAAAAATGGGTCGAAGATAGGTGATCACCTAATCACCTCTGGACCGTTCGATACCTCGATTTTAGGACCGATAATAGGTACGAGGCAGCAATCATCACCTTGTCTCTAGGGCCCGTACTACTCGGCTTTCGGAGGGGTAGCGACGGCCGAAGTCGTTGATTAGGCGAGGCTGATATTTCCCCTTGAAGGCGCGAGTGGGCTCAAGTGTCCCCTGTTGCTCCTCCGAATCACAGCCTACCACCGGATGCGGTAAAAAAAAGAGGTGGGAAAGCGGCACAGAGCAATGATGACGGGCCAAGTGCAGCACAATATGCATCTATTGAAACGTTTTCACGTTGGCTCTTCGTCCTTTCTGAGGGCCGGGCGTCGGCTGGAAAACATGAGGGGAGGCACCAGCGAATGGCGACACCACGGCAGAGGGCCAACATCAGCAGGACAGGACCATTGGATGCCGGCGAAGGCCAAGTAGCACCAGGATTTTAGGTTACCGGTCTGTCGGGACGCTCTGGCGAATAGGAATAATAGGCACACCTGCCTGGCGCAAACGCAGAATTGAGGGTGATGAGACTAGGCAATAGACCAGGCCGACGCCCCTCTGCCGCGCGACAAACTCGACAAGCCCAAGGTCAGGTTGTCAGGCCAGTCCCGGCAGGGATTTGCCAGCACATCATTGCATGGTTGCAGAAAGACTGGCGTGTGCGTGTCTGTCTGGGACTCCATGATCCATATCCATTATGCCCATGCCTATGCCCTGCCCCCATGACAAGTATTGTGCATGCCTTGCCGGCCGCATTTGGGCCAGCAGCCGCGGCATTTTTGATTAGCTACCATGCTGCAACTGCTGTTATTATTAACCATGGTCTTGGTACAGAAGCGTGGTAGTGCGTGGCCGTGGGAGTGGCAGTGGGAGGACTGCGCCGCCTCGCTTCCATAGCCCGGCAATGACGGAGACGCGCTAGAAGGACGACGAGCACTTAGCGCGTTGCTGGCCGGAGAACTCTCTTTGTCTGGCAGCGGAGACTAAACAAACTAGAGAGCACAGGCGATGTGACTTACTTCAACAGGCACTGGCACGTACGACATGGTGCCGATAGCGATGCGCACTGGCAGTACCCACCGCGCCGCAATCCACGTCGAAGTAACAAGCAATTAGCAGCAAGTTACAGCAAGTTACAACAGCCCAGCCGATGTGGATCATCGTCATCGCATATTTTCTGGAAGCCACCAATGACAGACGCAGCGAGCTCTACCAGTCACCGACGATTCCAATTTCACACGAAGCGAGCGAACGAGGGTCGGGGGCCGGCCGATCGTCCCTTTTTTTTTTTTGTTTTTTTTTTTTCTTTCTTCGTTTTCCATTACTTTCGGTTGTCTCCCGGGCCTGTTGACGTTTGTTTCTCCAGCGTGGGGGAGCGTAATTGCAACGGCAGTGGTAATGGTAATATAATAATATAGCAGAAGAATGCGAGTCGTGAAGAAACGGCGCAATGCCGATCGTGACCCTGATCCTTAGCAGAAGTAAAGGTCAAAGTCAAAGTTGCTTGGGAGGTCGAGCGACATAGGGCAAGGGCAAGCAAGGCAAGAGCGGCTGGGGAAGCCACCACCCGCGACGCCCTCGGCTCTTGCCGAGATGCTGAAGTCTAATGGATCGCACCTGCCTGTCTGCCATAGACCTTCGTGCTATATACTGTACTACGCAGTTATATCTATCGCTGCGATTACCCACCAACCTCTCCTCTCTCTACACTGCTCATCAGCCGCAGTCGGACAACCGCCCGGCTCTGCATCAACAGCCGACAGGATCGCCATCCAACAAAGAGCTCCACTATTGTCAGAAACTCTCAGTCGAGAAACCTGCGTGCCGATGATCTGCCTCATCTGCCCGTAGCGCCAGCTCTACAACAGGAGTCAAGTGCGGCTTGGCTCATGATTCGTGCACACTCTGCGGCGGAGCAAGCGTGCTCCGTCTTCCGCTCCGTTTCCGTGCGGAAATAGCTCCGCCATGTCTTAGGCGAACTCTATTGTGCCCCGTTTGACAGATTGCCGCGCTGCCCCGATAGGGATAGGCGATGGGGAGCCAGGAGCCTATGGAGAAACATATGGGCCCAGGAGAGACCTCAGTAGACCATGACCTGCCCTCAACCTTCCTCAAACTTGGGCCTTGGGGCATGACGATTCTGATGGGGATCCTCTGCCTCTGCTCCCATTTGCCTGGTTAATCCTTTCTTTCTTCTGCCCCGGCCACGCCCGGTCAATAATCAGCCGCCAGCCGCCACCTCGGAGAGTTTTCTTGTCTCCTCCCTGCGCAAATGTCTATTTCTTTGTTCTGCCCGTTGCCACGCCGCATGCCACCGCGGTCAGGTGACCTCGATTTTCGTTTATCAGCCCCTTCGATTCGTCCTTGCATTCGAGATGGTAATCAGAAAACGGCCCGGCGTGGTTCGTTCCTGTTGTCGTCCGAATGTTGGATGGCGGCAAAGCAGAGATCCACTGGGCGTCTCGGGCGCTGTCACACTCCGGTCCATTGAGAGGTCGTCTAAACGTGGAACATCAGTGATAACAGTCGTGATTATTATACGCTGCTATACCTGTTCACTGCTGTCTTTCTTTATTTTGTTCTATTGCGCCGAGCTTTCAACGCCCGCGCCGATCCTGCATCCTCTCATGGGAGTACTATGTCATTGCTACAAACAGGACCTTACGACCACTAACGTATTTCTTGATACGGAATAGCCACTATCACGCCTAAGCATGGGTCCCACCAATTAACTTGCCGGCGTTGTCGCTAAGGAAGTGGTCCTGTGTAGTGTCGACTAGCCTGCATGCAGTTGATGTGATGACCTTTCCGGATCTGGTTATAGTCGAGGATTGCCTGTCGACCAAAAGGCCGATCCGCCGAGCGAATTACTACCAAACGTTAGTAGAAGGAATGGTAGCAACAGTGGCCTCCTCCTACGTATTATTTATTGATTTCTTTGGCTTGTTTCTGAGTGGTTTCTTACTGCGAACAGGTTTATCTCGAAAATCGAAGTAGACGATGATTTAGCCAACACTATTGATCACTACCACTAGCTCTAGCATAGAGAAACATCGGACTTCCGAGCAAGATTCACCATTAATCATTCAGAGGCAACACCGTAACATGAGCAGTATATTATTAGAAATCAGCCCTGCATGCGCAGCCTGCTTTTCTCCCGCGGAGTCTGTCTGTGATCCTTGTCTCTGTCTATAGCGGATAACATGTGGATGTCTGGAAGCCGCGCCGCATTTTTCTCTGCGCCTGCACGATGATCGTCAAGTTACAGCACAGAAAGCTTTGTGTCGCTGGAGTTAGCGCTAGGGCCCTTGGCCGTGCAATTCTTCAGCAATGAGCATGGCTCTGAATCATCTCGTCCCCTCCTCTGCCCCCCCCCTCTGTAATCTTCATCATCTTCCCTCGCCGTATACTTTAAACGCACATTAACTTTTGTCTTTTCAGCTCTCATTTCATACGCATAGTTTGCGTTTCTTGGGGCTCCAACACCATCTTCTGAACCCACGCCTCTTTGTCAAGAGATACATCGGCCTTTTTTTTCACAGCCGAAATTAGAGACTAGGATGAGTGGGATACTTTTAGTGGCGCAGACTGATTACGGTCATTACCGCGGCTATGACCACTGGACAAACGTCTCTCCCCTCAAGCAATTTAATTCGTTTCGTCAGCGCCGCAAAAAAGAGGGAAGTTGATTGGCGGCACGTAGGTGACTTAGTAGTCGGCCGAAGGACATCCAGCCAATATACGTGTAGTGGCCTCCATATTGTGATGCACTTGGCTGAATAGGGAAGTATGACATGACTGGTCATTTGCGTTTTTTTTTTCCCGAGTCAGTCCAGATGCCCAACCCCAGAAGTTGCATGCATACGCCAATATCTGATAGAAATAAAACAGCTGTACAGGGTAGTGAGGTAAAAAGAACATCCTAGCATCGTGACATCGGTCCTTGTTCTCTATCGGTGAAAGGCGTGAGCGACAGTGCCGCATTTTCAAAGAGCCAATCTCGTGGGATGCCACACCACACATTGCGAGAATTTTAATTTAAATGATTGCACCATAGAAAGAAAAGCCGCGTCTCAGCTTCTCAATAATAGATTGGATGAAGTAATCAGAAATCAACATGTGGCAATTCGGTCGGACCACTCCAACAATCAGCTAACCGGCACCCTGATAAATCTACGAATGACACGAAGATACGCACCTGCTTTTTGTTGGTTACACCCCGACTGCTCGAGCATGTAGTAGGGTGTGGTCCATTCTTGATATTTGTTTAAGCTCGAAAGCTTATACAGAACCTATCAATCCCCCCTGGCGATTATCAGCTGCTCATTTCGCTACGGTTGCAATGCCCAATTCTGGTGATAGCATCCCATGAGCAGGCAACTATATGCCCTGTTCTAGCCGATTCAAGTAGTTACTGTGCCAACATTTTCCAAAAGACAATATGGAGTATCGACTGAGACAAAGTTGCAGCCTAATTCTTTGTTAATGGTTTTGAAACTAGTATCCAGCACACTAACCCTTGCAGTCCCAAGACGATACATGATTTCCAGGGGATAGTTTATGGTTCCATCGCAAATCAATCAAGACTCGACGTCGAGGCGTCGCACGTATGTCGATGGCAATAGTTACGGGGAAATCGAGGATTACTGCCGTCCACTGTCTCTTTGAGGGCTAAAAAAAGACGAACAAAGAAACTCAAAACGATACTGCCGTTCTCGGCTGCCGGGCATGTCAGACTTGCGGGTCAAAGTAGGTCTGGGTAATATTCACCTTTTATCCTTTTAAAGGTGTGATTTTGAATGCCCTTTTTTGGAATTGACTTTTTCACAGCTAACTTCTGCTGTGAAGAGTACGTCGGTCACATCAGTAGATCATGCCTTGATAGATCTCCGGCGTTGCTTGTTTCCGACTAAGTATACTATGTTTGCACATCAAATCTATCAGACCACTCCGATGCTCCAGCAATCCTGATTCTTTCATGACGTAAGCAGAGGCAAATCATTGCTAACACGGTGATTTATACTTACAATACCACACGCATCTGGTAAGAAGGTGCGAGGAGGACAAGTTTAGTAACGGTCATATTCCTTCTCTTTCATTCACCTAAAAAACAAGAAATAACAAGATTCAATCATTTCCTTCATATCAAGCAGACTCGGCAAAGTCAAAGTCCAGTTATCAACATGCTTTGAGGTCTTTGCCGATGTAAAAGTGGGTAGTAGAATGACGAATTACTTCCGCATTCAGCCCTTTGTCATTCCTCATTTTACCCTTTTTGCTGAGGAGACTCCTTGTTTAGGTAAATGCAAATATATATTTATAGGAAATTCACACAATGACATGTCTCGCGATGGGGGTGGGAAAACTAAATGATGAAGCCAACCATGCGAGATTTCAAACGCTTAGTTGTAGAACTAAACCGCCTAACAGCTATCACCATTCCCAAACAAACGATTTTTATCAAAAACGAGATAAAAACATAACATATCCGGAAATCTATCGAAAACGCTAGTTGGCCGAGGAACGTGGATACTCGGTGCAAAATCAATCAAGTTGAGATTTATACCATACCTTGACTACCTGCACAGCGACTCGCATCATGCATACTATTTCGATCATCACTTCTTTTTAAGCCGAACCACTTACAAATAAAAAGAAAAAAAGGAAACAATCGATTCGTCGGGCAAATGATAGCGTCAGGACAATTGAACAGCGAGTAACAAAGAATGTCCAGGGAAAAATGTACACGTCACTTTTTTTGCTGGGTTTGGGCTATGCCGGGCGTCCATCAGCGAGTTGTTCTTCAGCAGTCACTTATTAGTCAGGTGCTGGTAACTGTTAATAGTTAATATTGTTAATATTTGGTGCTCTTTCGTTCTTCATAGGTCTAACAAAAGGATTCGTACATGGCTGGGGACTGGTGTTGGGGTTGAAGGTGTAGAATTTGCTGTGTTAGGTCTACTAGTTGAGATAGTATGTGCAATTATTAAGCCTTGCATTGAATGATATTCTTGGCTCAGAAGATTGGAGGCTTCATTTAGATTCCACAAATATCTAATGCTAACAAGTATATCGAATTCGATGTCTTGTATCTGTGAGATTCCACTCGCACCAATTAATACTCTAAGTTGATAATATCAATTGATATGGATTACAAAATATCGAATAGAGAATATGAGCAATCATTGAGAAGATTTACCCTCAAATGCGTTCCTGGCTCCATCAGTTCTGCATTTGGTTGTTGCATTTGACTTATATATAGTTTATTTTCAGCATCAATTGATATTTTATACAAATGATCTAATGCTATCTCAACATTAAATCTCCTAGTTAACTTCAACATTGATTATTATTTTACCTCCCTTTTCAAAACAGCTATTTAAGTTAATTTAGAGTTGTTTCACAAACAAATTGCGTAGTTTGTTCATGGATGCTAGCAGAAGTGGTCATTTCAATATCATATATATGATATTCCTCTACCAACATTGAAGATATTTCCAGATATCATATGTACATAGACTTGTAAAGACCTGGTTTTATGTATTTCACCCATCCCCAGTCGAGGTAGACATAAATTAGCTTTGAATTCTGCAATGTTTATTTCTTGGACGTGGTGATCTTGTGGTAGACTACGCTATTCAATTTGTATATGGTTCTTAACAACTTACACCTCATTATGCCATGAAGCAAATTATTCGCTAGTTACCAAATTTTTCCTGCTTACCTTGAGCGTGGAGTTAGAAAATACGGAACATGTGGTTCTAAATCGCATGTGTGTAGTCAATAATCACCTACAAAACTCTACACGAGAAGTTAACACATACATGTAAAAGTAAGAATCAACCGTTACAAGTACAATGGGTTGCAAATCTATAATTTTGTATCCATGAGATCTTTTACAGTTTATTATTAGTTTATTACTCATTTCATATTTCTAGGATACATATGTTTCTCGTCCAATGGGTTTCATTTACATATTTATAACTCACCAAATAAGAATAATAAAGTTCAATATTAGCAGCCCGTCATCTTAGTCATGTTTACATGAATATATGCCTCAAAATATAAAAAAATATGGGCTATAACAATATTGAATATCAATGTATTCGCCTCTTTCACATGATCTTACACACATACTCAGTTACGCTGTGATATTGTGGAGTATTACAAATGTTCAAACTAGATTATTTTGCAGTACTCTACCAATTTATATAATGCTTCAAGAGATACCTTGCCTCAAGAAATGCACATAATATTCATCTGATAGTATATAGCACGTTTACTCAAGGGGTACAGTCTACACATAGAAACAGCTCCAGTGACCATATTTTGAGAGAATGCGTCTTTACTCGGAGGAAAGTATTTTGGCATGCTTTCCGAGTGTTGAGAACAGCAGGACCTTATATAAATGTATAACTGCATAGCCTTGTCTCAGAACTAATATAAAAATCGAAACAAGTATACCTGCATCATATCTCGCTTTCTAATACCGGTGCCCAATGCTTTGCGGAATTAAAATACTTTAGGACAAGTAAATCAAATATAAATGTACTTACAGGTGTTAGTCATATGTAACTTTTGCCCTGATATCTATATTACTATTGTGAAACGCCTACTCTAAACCAAAATGTCATAGAAGTATACCAAAACTGAGTACACTCTTGAACTGATATTGCACTACTGTTGAGCTTACAGCCCATTGGCTAAACAGGCCAAGATCCTTAATACGGGATTATATAGGATTCTTCAGGAGTATACCATATATGTATGGCTATGAAAGGTAAAGAAGATTGGCAATCTTTATATAGCAATGATTCAATGTTTCTTTTTGAGGATCTTGTATACATTATATATTTAAGACAAAAGTCTAATTCTTCGTTCGAAACCTATGTGATAAGAGCTAGGTAGGAAGATGTAGACCCGTTGTCACGGTTATTATACCATGCATATAGTTACCCACGTCCTCTCATCAGCAGGAACACAGACCTAGAGAAATCGTACACGAATACGTAGGTTCTACACACGTAGATTACAACCGAGGCAACTAAATCGAAGAGGAAGGTAGGAAGTAATTATTATCATTAGTCGTTCATATACACCATCTATGCAGGTCGCTAAAACGCTATACAAAAAGCCAAAGATATACCGATCTACAGATCAGGGCTGTATCCAGTCCTTGGAATCAGGGTCACGCGGCACATTGATAGGCTCCCAACCATCTTCACCCTCCTTGCGATCGCTGATCAGGACAAACAGGTCTCGACGGGCACAGAAGCTGCCGGGAGGAGCGATACGCTTCTGGCTAGTCCAATAACCCCCGTCTGTATGGCTGGTATTAGCCTTCCACACTCGCTGCTCGACTGTCTTGCCGGCAATGTCTGTGCGACGCGAGTTGTGCGCTGGATGGCCGGATACTGTGTTAGCTATCCAGTTCGGTATCGTGAACAGCCTTTCAAAACGCCGTACGAAGCCGAGCCAAGTGAATGCAGTGTAATCGTATGATACTCGGATATACGGGTTCATATACACCCCTGTATCTATGATGTCGTCTATATTGGAGTAAGGTTCTTGGATGTCTGCGTGGATCAGACAGCTCTCGGATGCTTCCCAGTACATATCCGAGATTGCTCGGAAACGCAAAGGCTTGCCATTATTTTTGGCCTTTCGCCATTCAGGCGATGTATATATTCGGCGGTCCGCGAGACCGCTGTGCAGGAAGGGAAGACGGGTTTCATCTTCGGTGATTGTTTTCTTGGGCTGCTGCAAGTATTTCGCGTCAAATGCAGTGATGCCGCCCCAGCAGCTGCGGACGCGTACGGCGTCCTTTTCGTCTAGCACATCCCGGCGACTGGTTGCGTGGCCAGCTGAAGTAAACCATGGGAAGAAAGGCACTCCAATTGGGTATCCGTGGGAGTCTCGCACGGCAAAGGAGTCGTAGAATTTCAGCAAATTGCCAAAATCCACCGCGCATGCGGCGCGGTAGTGAGGCCGGCCATCCAGACCTGTGTTCGTCGAGAACAGCAGCTGCACGGCGTCTATCGGGTTGAAATAAACATCATTCAGATATAGTACCCGGTCGAATTTCATATCCAGCTCGCCGTCTAGCGGCTGCAGGACTTTGTTCCGCAGCTCGGCCAGATATGGAATGCGCCTCTTTCGCACCGAGCCGTCGCCGAGCGTCACCTCCGGGGTGTCGGTGAAGTCATAGTGGCGTTCAAACACCACCGAACTGTTGCATTTGACCTGCTTGTCAAACTCCCACAGCGCATGCTCGGCCTCGTAGCCGCTATCGTTTTCGTAGATGCTCAGATACGTGTTGTCCTCGCCCAGCAGGTCAATCAGCTCTAGCACCGCCTGCCCCCATTTCCCGCGAGCCAAGGAGCCGCCCTTGTCGTAGAGATTGATGGCGATGAACACCTTTTCATTGTGCGGATTCCCTCGCCCAGGCGCCTGCGACTGCTGGATTGCGTGCTGTAAGGTTCTGTAATGCGGCGGAGGTCGCGAGTAGGAAGGGCGGAAGAGGAAGGTGAAGACGATCAAAGCGGCCACAAACCCTAATAGCACGTGCAGGTAATATCCTACACGGCGCAGCGACAGATAACGTAGTCGTAGGGGTACGGACGATATGAAGCGCGAGACGAGAGGGTCACGTTCGCGGTACAGCAGGAAATAGGGCTTATTGCCGTAGCCTAGGAGCTCTGATTCCGCAGCGTAGTCGGCATCGTCGATGTCGAAGCTCTCGCGAAACTCGTACGATGAGCGCACGCTGCTGCTGCTATCGTAGAACTCGTCGGGAGGAAGCAATAGGTTCGACATTGCGTACAGGTGCTAGATGATGCATATATACCATGTCCCAGTCTGTCGCAGGACAGCCACAGTAGAACGAGACTGCGAACACATGTACTTACTACTTGGTATTCGTGGGAAGTTGTATGTCTAGGTGGGCGAGCAGGAGCAGTGCCGAGCTATTTAAAAAATTATTTAAATAACACATAATAAATCATATTGGGATAAGAGGCTGGGGACCCCATTCCAGCGATCAGCATCAGCCTTGCGTAATTGTGCTCCATCCTGTGGCGAACGCGCCTATCAGGACTCAGGCAACAGCGTTTTGTCCTGCTATTAATATTAAGGAGTTCATACGTACACCCAACATTACTGCGTACACCCGAGCTAATGTTTTTAAGTAAAGCGTGTAATCAACCTTTCTAATAATATACTAGTAGTATTGATCGTTTCTTCAAATAGTGAAAATTTTCGACCCTTTCACCGTTCCTTGCCAATACAAACAAATCGCCCCTTTCACCCCCAAATATTGATATAGAGGTAAATTTGGCGTTAGATAGAAAGCATACAATACCAACGATTTCAGAATCGCTCAATACTAGAAAAATACCAGGCGAATTCGAATTAATAAGGTCCTACTTTGACCAGGCTTCCACCGCGCTAAGAAATATATTCTATAATGTTATTAATAGCCTACCCTGGCAGCTAGTTGCAATATTAGGGTCCTGACATACTCAATCTCAGGAAGGTATCAATATAGATAGAGGCTTTGGAACCCCTAGATATACTTTGATATAGAAGTAAGACTGAGGACGAGGTTTAGCCGGTTATCTAGAACACCATAAAAGTGAATTTTATTATATTTTATTAGGCAAATACGACTTTAAATTAAGAATTGATATGTATACCCAATCTAGTTTATTATATTAATTTGGCGGTGAATTTAATCTTCTGTAAGTTTACTACGTATACCTCAAATCGGTTTAACTGGTCAAAAATCGCTTCAAAACCGAGGGCTCGAAAATGTTCACTCTTTGAAGAACCGATCAATACTACTAGTAATTTATTAGAAAGACTGATTACACGCCTTACTCAAAAACAATTAGCTCGGGTGTACGCAGGAAAAATCGGGGTGCACGTATCAACTCCCTAATATTGTTATTTCTTGTGCAAACGTGCTTGGCTGCTTCTTCGGACTGTTCTCCTGAGGAGTGGGTATTAGTTAGCATATACTGCATTAACTAACTTAGTTAGTGTATGTCAGCCCACACCGAGTAAATCGACAGCCGACCCGCGAACGGCCTCTAGCTGCGCCCAAATAACCCCGGCGATCGTCTCCCACAGGGGCCTATCATGCAGCGGCTTAGGGGCCACGGGGATGAGATTCTCGGTGACTATGCTGCTACTGCCAACTACCGGCTAGTCGAGCCTTGAATTGCAATTTGCTACTGGCTGCTTCAGGCTTGGCTGCCAGCGCAAGCACAGGTAAATCGTATTATTAGAAACTGCTGCGTCGTTCTGCTAACCCAACATCCTCCCCGTCTGAGCCTCCTCAGCCGGCCCCAGATCCACATTCATTCGCGCCTACCAACGACTACTGTTTAGTGCCTTTCCTGAAACCGCGTGCCTGGAGAATCTGGAAAGCTATTCGTACTCATCAAAATGGACACCGGAATGTCGGGGCCGATTTCCGGCATGTCATAAACGTGTGTACTTCACAAGTTCGCGTTTGATCCGCTCATAGCGAAAAAGAACACGCGTTGGAATGTCGCTGGAATACCAGGGTTCGTAACGGGCCGAGAGATGTGGCATCTGTCAACTGGCCACAGGGATATACGTACCTCAATTGATTACAAGTCCTGATAGTGCGTGAACAGCTCGGTGGCTCTGGATGACTAACCGAGCTCAGCGGTTGACAGGAAAAATAGAACAGTTCACATGTCATATATGGTGTATGACATACGATTCCTAATTCACGTGACCGGGTTCTTAGGCGTACGTCAGGCATCCTTTATATAAGCTACAAGACAATGCACCAAGCTTACAAAGCGTTTCTCTACGCGCATCTACGCTCCTTTTAGTTGATAAGCTTCCTACATTGATACCCATTACGAGCTTATGACTTTTAGATGCGCAGGTTTTATCGTATTGGAGGTTTGGATAGATCTATTAATATTGTAATAGAATATACCAAACAGGATACGGCGTGCTTTTAATGCCTTATTCTGATTGATACCTACAAACTACATCAATGTATGTATTGCAAACACGGACAAATTCATGTATCCGCTGCCAAGATGCAGGACAGACTGCAAATGACGGTATCCGCGCGAGATATCTGTCCCAAATACCCATGTACATCGTCGCGACGGCACATAAGGTAGAATATATCTCATATCTCGCTCTTCTACAGTAATCCAACAGTCAACAGCCGATAAACGTCAGTCCTGTTACCCACATGTTGTTCGGCTCCCCAGGATATTACCCCGCATTCACTGGTGGAAGAATGTGAAAGACTCCCCAAAGGGCAAGCATGCATGTGAGGTATCGGGTGTAGTAGGAAGTGATGGATACAAGGTTCCGGTTGTTCTCTTTGCATTGCATGAGCGGCGCCATCGGCTATGTACCGATGACGCTGGATAGAGAACTGACTCTCAATTAATTAATAGAGAGGATAATGTTTGCTTGCACCACCTATCTACTCCTACCAACCTACCAAATAGACCCATTGAATAGACGCAGACAGAGAGACAGCATTTGAAGATATCTACTGAATATTACTGTTGAATCCGAGTATATCTATCAGAATACAATGTCCCCGTTTACATTTGCCAATTCCTCGCAGTCCGTGCCGGGCGAGATCGAGCTTGCCGTGAGCTTCACTATCAAAGCTGACCCGTCGACCGATGTCTGGGAGAAACCGCCGTCCACACGCAGCTTCAACGCACCGATTTTATATAGATCCATGCCCCTGCGAGCATTCAAGCGGGCGCGCGTGTCAGTCATGGCGGCATGGGAGACGCTCTATGACCAAGGCGGATTGATCTTGGTGATTCATCAGACGGACGGCGAGAGGAAGTGGATCAAGGCGGGCATCGAGTATGTCCAAGGCAAGGCGCGACTCAGTGTGGTCGCGAAGGACCGGTGGTCGGACTGGAGTCTTGTCTCGATTCCATCGGGAGGCAGTACGGCGACAATCGAGATGGTCAGGGAGGAGGACGGTTCGCTGTGGGTGTACTGGATCGAGGGCGTCCAAAGGGTTCCGCTGAGAGAGGTCACGTGGGCGTTCGAGCAGGCGGACAGCGCGCACTGCTGGATCGGCACTTTCGCAGCCAGGCCGTCGTCACCTGCAGACGGCGGCCGGCTGGCAGTTGACTTTTGTCACCTGGTGGTGGATGCGGAGTGATTGGACGTGTATAGTGTAGCTGTGTTATGTTTAACATGACAAGGGTTAAGGAGTAAGCGCAATTTTATATCACTTGATGACTCAAGGCAGTGAGCAGACTGAGGCATCTGTGAGTCTGCAGAAGCAGAATCATGCAACTCATGATCTCACCACGTACTGTAGGAGAAAGAAACGAGATATCTCTAGTAGCTATCCGTATAAAACATTATTGCTATGCCCTTGTCGGAATAGGGTGATGCCGGGTCACGAGGCGGGCAGGTGACCTGGCAATGCTCTAACCTGTTCTGGCATCAAGTTCCACCGCTCTTTGTGGGTCCCATCCAGAGAAACTAGCCAATAAGATGACTCTCTGCCAGGCAAAGGCAAGAGTGACCGCTCCCGGTCCTCTCCCTCTTGCCTGCTGTGACGCTCTCCAGACAACTCAGGCATCATTTCTGTGCTGTGGCTGCAGGTCCTCCTCTTCTTGTTGCTGTCAGATCTTTATCGACGGCGCATAATAGGTCATTTGGACTCAGCCGTGCTCGAGTCCCGTTGTACGACACCTCCATCAGTCCCGCCGCCCAATCTTATCTGATCGGATAAGCCAAGACCAAAGGAAGGCTGAGAAAGCGTCATCTCCTAGCCGCATCGCTTCGTCTGTCTACGAGTCGCCTATTCGCTGCCAGCCCAGGCACTCATCGGTGAGACTGACCAGTGATCGCCTCGCTTCCGTGCTAGCACGACTTGTTCGTTTAGCTGCCTGCAGCCTGCAGGCTATCTGCAGCGCGTTATCCGCCATCCGGTGTCGTCTCACCTCTGACTTGTCCAAAATCCCGCCCTCAGGCACTGTCGATGTCGACCTTATAAAACCCATGCCTAGCCTGCCGGCAGTAACATATTTTCCTTCGATCACGCACAGCCGACTCCCCCATATATATGGACTCTTTTCGACCGACCTTCGATGCACGAATTGAGACTTGACTACCCCGCTGCTTCGCTAAGATTGCTCTGTGGTGGCCGGTATGACACTGCTGGACCCAACGACAAGCAGCAAATCGTATGGGACGGTAAATATTGCCCATCAGATGGGGGATCGAGAAAATGACCGCTTGCTTCTACCTCAATCGGTCTACGAACCGGATGACGGTGATGCCATCACCGAAGAGGCCGCTTCCGAAACCGAGCTCCAAGATGGAGTTCGCATGATTGAGGCCATTAACCTTACCTGGACAGTTCGGTCCTTGGCCATTGCATACATAGGGTGCGTGCAGAACACGAGAGCTTGAATGTTGATGAATGGTACTGACGTAATCTCTGCAGGATCTTTCTCATGGCCTTTTGTACTTCTCTTGAAGGCCAGACCATATCCTCACTGGCCGTCTATGCGACGAGTTCGTTCAGCAAGCATTCTTTGATATCGACAGTTTTGGTGGTGCAGAATGTAGTTAATGGTAAGATACACTGACGCTAGGCCATTGGGCTGATTTGCTGACTGGTACCAGCCGTGATCAAACCTCCCATGGCCAAAGTGGCCAATGTCTTCGGCCGCTTCGAAGCATTCTGTATCAGTATAACGGTATATGTGCTTGGGTACATTCAGATGGCGGCTTCCAACAATGTCCAGACCTATGCGTCCGCCCAGATCTTCTATTCTGCCGGATCCACCGGACTTCAGATTCTCCAGCAAGTTTTCATCGCAGATAGCAGTGACCTCATGAATCGGGCCCTGTTTTCTATTCTACCGGCGCTGCCTTTCCTAGTGACCGTCTGGATCGGGCCGATAATTGCCAGTGCCATTCTCCAGCGAACTTCGTGGCGATGGGGTTACGGGATGTGGGCGATTCTTCTTCCAGCTGCTTTTCTTCCCTTGGCGCTGTCGTTGCTATTCCATCAACGCAAAGCGAAAAGACTGCGACTGATAAAACCAAGGACTCGCAAGCATCGCAAGCTCGTCGATGTCTTGATTTCCACTTGGCATGAATTGGACGTGTTCGGGTTGATTCTTCTCTCCGCAGCTTTGTCACTCCTGTTGATTCCGCTTACCCTAGCCGCCAATTCACCGAACGGCTGGCAGAATGACGGGATTGTGGTTATGATGGTTATTGGAAGTCTTTGCCTCATTGCCTTTCCCGCCTGGGAGTCTTCAAAACGGTTCGCTCCTAAGCCTCTGCTTTCGCTGCATCTTCTTACTGAAAGGACTGCATTGGCCGGCTGTGCGCTGGCTTTCTTTTATTTCAGTAGGCTTTCTATCTTTTCTTTTATTCAATGGCTAATTATAGACAGTGGCCTTTTACTTTTCAGTTCAACCGTACTTGTATTCTTACTTGCTAGTTGTTCAAGATTACGAAGTCGCTGCTGCTGGCCGCGTTACACAGACATTTGCCTTTACCTCAACCATTGCTGCTTTTGGTGCCTCTCTCCTCATTAAGTATACGCGTCGTTATAGGATTTTTGTTGTCATTGGCGGCGTTATCTACATATCCGGTTTACTTGCGATGTTGCTCTACCGTCAAGAGGGTAGCTCGGCGGTTAAGATTTTGGGGACACAGATTTTGGTCGGTTTTGGAGGAGGCTTGATAAATGTTCCAGTACAGCTTGGCGTGCAAGCATCGGCTGACCACCAAGAGGTAGCTGGTGCAACCGCAATGTTTCTTACTGCTCTCGAAATGGGTGGTGCAGTTGGGGCGGCTATTTCAGGAGCTGTTTGGACGAGAAAGATACCACAGAAGTTAGCGGAGTACTTGCCACCGGAGAGCCAGGGCGACGCGGCGGAAATCTTTGGCAAATTGACCAAAGCTCGATCGTATCCCATGGGCTCGCCGACACGACTTGCCATCAACCAAGCTTATCAGGAGACGATGAACAATCTTCTGTGGCTCGCGATTCTAGTATCATTGCCTATCATCCCGTTGAGTTTGGCGATGAGAAACTACAGGCTCGACCAGGTAAAGAGACGAGGTGCTCGATCTGACTGATGCTAACAAGAGTGGAAGGGAGTGCCAAAAAAGCGACGATCTTCCGCACACCACGAAGACACACCACCAGCACGGCAATCTTCAGATCACACTGAATGATGTGCTGTAAAATTATTTTACATGATACTATTTCTAGCCGCGTATAGATAGATTTTAGGGCTACTATGATTACGACGTGACGACTGCATCTTGCATTACACTGGCGATCCGACGGACGGTAGATAGGGTCAAACAATTGCATTTCGGCTTAGATTTCTTTTATTCTGAGTGTAAACGTAGAGCTAGTTACAACCACGAGATACCAAATACAAAGCCAACTCAACACTTTTTTGGTTGTTGATTATCAGTCTGGTCGCCAAGCTAGTATCTAACTACCCAAAACGGAATGGCTATACTCTGACTCGCGAGTACCATAGAACGGAGTCATACGTTGGACAGTGGTGGATTCGAGATTGTGCTGAAACAGCGCCCGCACGGCCGATAGGGGAGACCATTATTTGGACCAGCAGCAACCCAATCGCAATTTCTCGAGTCCGGCTGTCACATTGTCACATTTGACGGCACACGGCAGCGCAGCAGACACAGCATATGTATGGTAGCGTCAGCTGGCCGAGGCACGAGGCGATCATCAATCGGTGTGAAGAAACTTTATACTGCTAGAATAGAAAACATTCAAAAGAATACCGATGATACCATCGCTCCTGGTATGAAATAATAATATGCGAATATGACATGTTCTAAAAGGCGGTCTGTGCTATTGGTACATTTTTCTTCTTCTTGCTAAATGAATTTTTGAAAAATCCTAGTCTTGTTCACTATTGACACTTGGCCGACTTAGTCTGATTAGTCTAGACAGGAGCGGGCCGTCTGATGTCCTGCACGGGAGGGAGGCCCCGTCCGCCTCTTATTCCCTTGTGTGATATAAATATAGGGTGTTTTGACTGGCAGGCTTATTATTGTTGTTGTTATTGCTATTGTTATTATTATAAGTATGGAATGAATATGAGTTTTTATAGTCGTGTTTGGACATTTGAAACGGTTGCTGGTACTGACAACTAACTAACAAATAATAATACTCGACCTGTTTGTCTGCTAGCTCGAGGAGCCTAGTGAAGTATTAGAGTCTTTCTGACAAATCAATCCTTGTCGAAAAGGGAAAGGGAAAGGAGAGGCAGGAGAAAAGAAAGGATGGAAGAATGACACCACATGGCTTTGTTACACGTGCTGACTGTGATATTGGATGTTTATCATTATTTATTGATATGAAGGGTGTTGCTTTCTTTTATCTCCCTATTTGGTGAGTAATGGGGTTTTGTTCTTTGAGTATGTTCACTAGGCTGCATATTTTCTCATACTTAGACTATGTTACAGTCATTTTGGAAATATGAGTATGATATTAACAATTATACAAATGAAATACTGAACATAAACCGTATAGCTTCTGATTACTTTCTGTGAAAAGATGAGAACTGTCTCGACCCCCACTTGATCCGCTCTGGACCTGTAATTCATTCTGCCTCCTTTGGCCGTACTAGTTGTCACCATACCGTAATTTATTCTTTCCCTGGGCTGGTCTACCAATGGGCTGAGACATAAATTACGAGTTCTGTATTGTATGGTATGCCAGATGCGAACATGACCAGGCCAGACCCTTCGCCATCACTCTAGCCCACCCACTCACTCTCTCATACCACCAAATCTTAACTATTATTATCAGCACTCACGACATCTCACGACGCGACCAGCCTGCTCGTGGTTGTCATCAGCTTTCTCATTAATAGCAGGCAGAGTAGAGGATTGTCAGGGCTTCTGCTTATCATCTCCTAGATAGGCCCGATTCAGCCTGAACTGGTTCTTATCTGCATCACAGTATGTCTAATTCATCTCTAACTTTTCTTTTTTCCCTTCCAAATAGCCCGCAATGATCTGCGCAGAAAAGAAAAAAGAAAGACAGAAGAAAAAACAATGACAATATCATTATCCCACAAATGTGGAAGATGAGACGCGATGTAATAATACTAAGGACGCTCAGATAAGCTAACCGCGCAGGTGCCTTAGGCTCATACTGACTTTACCCCTTCTTGCAGCTGCCGACGTCTTACCTGCAGCTTTCTTATCCATCATCAATCAACACCAATTTTGTCGACCAGCCTGTCCATACTCTGATCCGGTTTATCCCCCTCCTCCGCTCATCTCCTCGCCTCCACGCTCCAGCAGGCAGCCTGCTCCAGCCCGAGGCAAAGAGGCTCTCGTGCGCTTCTCTTCTTCCTGTCTGCCGCCAACCCCACAAAACCGCTGTTGTATCAGTCACACCTCCCCTATCTGACTCGTCGCCAACAACCCGAATCGCTTTAGAGACTGTCACTGCTCGCAATTCCGCCGCTTCACTCGTGAATTAGATCGTCTAGCCTTGCATTCCACCGAGTGTAGTTTTTCTCCATCCACGTCCATCCTAGCACTCGCTTCGAGAGGGAAAGCCGGGACACAATGGTTGTCGCTACTATCAAGTGCGTATCTACCCCTCACTCCCTGCGACCTGCTTCAGCACTGCCCCATGGCAAGGATTAGCCTTGCACGAATTGAAATTCGTAATTCAATCCAAAACTGACGCTGCTGGCATTTATAGATGTGTTGTTGTTGGTGATGGTGCAGTCGGAAAGACATGTCTATTGATCTCCTACACGACAAATAAATTCCCCTCAGAATACGTGCCTACTGTTTTTGACAACTATGCTGTGACTGTGATGTGAGTGAATAACTAGCGACTACTTATTATTGGATGCGATCAGTCGTCAACATTAAGCTTATTCACACACATGCTAATCATCTGATGTGAATCAGGATTGGCGACGAGCCCTACACTTTAGGCCTTTTTGATACCGCTGGACAGGAAGATTACGACCGCTTGCGTCCTCTTTCATACCCCCAGACCGATGTTTTCTTGGTTTGCTTTTCCGTGACATCACCTGCTTCGTTTGAAAACGTACGGGAAAAGTGGTTCCCTGAAGTCCACCACCACTGCCCTGGCGTCCCATGCCTCATCGTCGGTACTCAGACGGATCTTCGTGATGACCCCGCCGTCCGGGAGAAACTGTCTAAGCAAAAGATGCAACCCGTTCGCAAGGAGGATGGCGATCGCATGGCAAAGGAGTTGGGCGCAGTCAAATATGTCGAATGCTCTGCTTTGACGCAGTACAAGCTCAAGGATGTTTTCGATGAGGTACGCTCTAATAAAACTCTCCCCTTATCTAAAGTTCAGGGTTTTGATTAACTCGGATTAGGCCATCGTCGCCGCCCTAGAGCCTGCCCCCAAGAAGAGGCCCAAGTGTGTTCTTCTGTAAAAAGTGAAATACAGCTACGAGTTCAACTATCCGGTCAGTCTGATACGCAACGTCGCTACGTTAATTCTTTGCTGAGATGTGTCTTTGCTACGTTAGATATGGTGAGAAATGAAAATATCTTCAAGTGCAACTCGTGTTTTCTCGATCTATTTCACCTCTACATGGCAACCTACCCCAACCCCTGTGGTTGTCAATGCAAGCTTGCTTCGACTAAGAATGCACTGCCTAGGCTGCCATTCTTTCTTTCACTGCCCTTCCCCGACTTTCGAAACGACCCGATTTTTTATGAAGAAATTCATTAGTTTCCATGTTTCATATCCGTCTTGACTGGCATTCCCCTTTCTCAATCCCGCCGATATCTTCCACATCACTTCTTTCGTCCCACAAACTTCCACGATCCCCTAGCCACTCATCGGGTTGTCTTTTCATTTTTTCCTTCGGCGTTTTTTTTTTTTTTCCTTTCTAGTGCAAGGCGTCCCTACCTCTTTTTTTTCTAGCCGGTTGTGAACATTGTCCTCATTTCCTGACCAGCACATGCGAAATCTTACATTTCTCATGTGTTGTATTTCTTCTACCGAGTAAACAACTGCTCATAGCATATGCTTTTGCCTGATCCCTGTCATAAACTCCTCACGGCGATATGGTATCCAATACAATGCCGGCAAATCAGCTGTAAATGGCATGCAAGCTCGAGATAAAGAAGGCTCTTTCCCCCGGTATTTCGTCTTTGTCCCTGTTGTCCTTCTGTCTCCGAACTGGAATGAAACCACACAGCTTCTTGAAAATACTAGTAGATAAGACCAGCTTGAATTGAATAAAGAGGATTTTTTGAACTCTCTTTCTTTTTTTTTCCTATTCACTTTTCCACTCACCTGTCATGCCATCAATCGATGCTACACTTCGTTATGTTGAGGGTGATCATCATCTCATCAGTCATGTCAAATCATGTCATTTGAAGAAATTCGTCAACTATATGCAATCCAACCCACCCCTTATCATCTAATCCAACACTTAACTCGCTATAACCCAGCCTACAGTTCATCCTTACCGCTCGCCGCCTTGAAAGCCTCCCCATCCTTCTTCCCATACCAGCCACCAAGCTCCGCCGCCGCACCGCTCTTCACCATGCTCGTGATAATCTCAAACGCGACTTGCGCGGCGGCGAGCGCTGTCGTCTCTCCGACATTGTCGTAACTAGGACTAACCTCGACGATATCCGCGCCTACCAAATTCAATTTCTCGATCCCACGCAGAATCCGGATCATTTCGCGCGTCGTCCATCCACCTGGCTCCGGCGTGCCGGTGCCTGGTGCGGTGCCGGGGTCGAGAACGTCGATGTCGACGGATAAGTACACTGGCTGCTCTGGATCGAGTCCGATACGGTTAATAATCGATTCTACGACACCGGCGGGTCCGATGTCGTCGATGTCGTCTGCGTGGATCCGCATGAATCCTTGCTCCGGCCCCGGGTTCGTGTAATCTCCATCATCAACACCCGTCAACCGCGTCCGGATGCCCGCATGCGCCGAGGTGGTGTTGGAAATGAGACCCTCGGTGCTGGCGATGTGGAAGAAACTGCCGTGATTGAAACGCGATTGCTCGGAGAGCCAGTACGAGGCGTAGCGTACAGGGTTCCAGGTGTCGAGATGGGCGTCGAAGTGCAGGACTGTGATGGGCTTCTGATAGATCTGGTAGAGGGCACGAAGTGCCGGGAGAGCAACGCTGTGGTCTCCGCCCAGAGTGACCAGCTTGGGTTTCCCCGCTGATATGCCCTTGCTGCCGAACTTGGATGCTGCGGATGTCTTTGCCCGCCGCGTGCCGAGTTCGAGGAATGCCTCGTACATTTGTCGCTCCGCTAGTGCATTGTCGAATGGAGTGATGGGGATGTCGCCGCAGTCGCGGAGCGTGGCCCATGATAAGTACGGGTTGATGGCTGCGCGGGCATTGTAGCTTGTCCCCGGGAGTTGGCGCCCGCTGGCAGCGCGGATGGCGCGAGGGCCGAAGCGAGCTCCTATATTAGTATTAGCAGGTGCAAGATAGCATGAGTAGGGCAGGCATCTACGTACCAGGCCTGTAGCTCACAGCGGTATCAAAAGGCGCCCCAATAATGGCAATATCATACTGCTCATCCGGCTCAAGCAGACATTTGACAGCTTTCATATGGGCAAAGGTCGAGATACCAGAAAACCCCCACTAGGAGTCATAGATATCAACATGATTGTTCTAAAAAGGTTGCAGAATAGAGAGACTAGTTTGATAAGAAGACTAACCTCTTGCTCCCATTTCTTCAAAAGCTCCTCCCTCTTGTCCTCTGGCACAATCTCATCGGTATCGTCATGATGATGAGAGTGGCCCAGGACTGAATTGCTCAAAGCCAGCAGTCCCAGCAAGAACGCCTTTTTGAAGCCAGACATCGTCGTACGATAGATATCTATCCTATAATCCTCGTGTCCCGATGGCGATGGATAGCCAGTCAATTCACAATATACTAGTACAAAGAAAGAAGAAAGACCATCAGCACCGCAGGGTTTTAATCCTAGAAAACCCGAGACTTTAACGAGTACTAACTGCCTGCGACATCTCAAGAGGAACGATAACCAGCGTAGACTTAAAGAGTATTTGCGACGCCATCGATTGGCCGGTATGCATCGAGTTTCCCAATCCGTCCAGAGCTCCGCTTTTCGGGTCCACGCCGGCTGTTGATTGGCTGGGACCTCCGTTAGGATTAGCTATCGCTCTCCACGCAGTGCATCACATTACGATTAATTATATTTGATTACAATCTTGCAATTGACTGACTCGTCCATAACCCATTCCTCTTCATCGGAACTGCCGTGCGGGGAACCCCTCACGCTGTTGTACCAACCAGCTGTTAGGTCGCACCCGGCAGAACGAGCGTATCAAAGGCGGGCGGAGTGGCCGCATCGTGCAGACTTTCCCTTCTCGACCAGCTCCAAGCCCATCCCCAAATCAAAAACCAGAAATCCTTCTGCGTCTGAGTCGCCACCACCAGCCCGACCAATCGTCGCATATCCTTGACTTATCGACCTTTCCCCCTCTTTGGTCGAGGGATTTGTTATAGTCCACAAGCTTATCGTAACTGATAATAATATCGGTGGATTTGTACAGCTTCGATATTGCCGAAGTCTTGCCTAAAGAAGAAGGAACTGGCGGTTTAATTCGGCTAGCTAGATACAGTAGCTTATGTATGCGGACTCTTGCGTACTACGTTGTTGTGTTCGAAGCATATTATTATTCGAATTCGCCGAGGTTATTATTGTTTCTAGCTAGACTACTAGACGCATGATGCCATGCGGAGGGTGGTTGTTACTGGATTGGGCGCAGTGACGCCTCTTGGTGTAGGTGAGTATACAATTATAATATTGATGAATTATTTTATTTTGATATACGGATATATTGATTCGTCCTTGTATACTTATCATATGCCTAGGTATCCGCCATACTTGGTCTCGTTTACTAGACGGCCACTGCGGAATCGTCAATGTTGCAGACCGTCACCCACGATTTGCCGAAATTCCATCGCAGATCGCTGCAGTTGTCCCATCTGGCGTTCGCAAAGATGGAGGGTGGAAGCCGTCGGAATGGCTAAGTCGGGATGTTTGTCTTGACTCAACTTCGCTGATGAAAGATGAGTTATGAAATCTAATATAAATGTATAGGACGAGCGTAAAATGGCTAAATTCACCCAATTCGCCTTGGCTGCCACCCAGGAAGCCCTCGATGATGCTGGCTGGAGACCGCTATCCCATGAACAGCGGGAGGCAACGGTATGTCATTACCAATCCTACTTCAAAGAAACAAGCTGATGAGAGAAGGGTGTCTGTTTGGGCTCCGGGATTGGGAACTTTGAAGAAATCTACGATACTGTTGTGGCGTATGAACACAATGTGAGATGATAAACGATATGTTCTGTTTGTATTCGAAACTAAATTCCATATAAAGGGATACAAGAAAATCTCGCCTTTGTTTGTCCCCAAACTGCTCATAAATCTTGGCGCAGGACATATTTCCATGAAATTCGGTTTCACGGTGTGTAAACTGTTTTCTGTTTTCTGATTTATTGTACAGCGTGGTTGACTGTTTCAGGGCCCTAATCATGCCGCAACGACAGCGTGTACCACGGGTGCCCACTCCGTAGGAGACGCTGCTCGTTTTATTGCTTTTGGCGATGCAGATGTCATGGTAGCCGGCGGCGCTGAGTCTTGTATCCATCCTCTAGCACTAGGAGGCTTTGCGCGCGCGAGAAGCCTTTCTACTGGCTACAACGACAATCCCACAAAATCATCAAGACCATTTGATGCCGATCGCCAAGGTTTCGTTGTGGGAGAAGGAGCTGCAGTCATGATTCTTGAGGTATGTTGCATATGCCTCCCTTTCTATTGCAGATATATCTAACTACAGCTAAGGAACTCGAACACGCCAAGACACGCGGTGCTCGTATATATGCTGAAGTAAAAGGCTACGGCACATCTGGAGATGCATATCACTTAACAGCGCCCAAAGAGAACGGTGAAGGGGCTCTAGCTGCCATGAGAAAGGCGCTGAAGAACGCCAAAATGCCGCCTTCGGCAGTCGATTATATCAATGCGCACGCGACTTCAACGGTAGTAGGGGATGCTGCTGAGAATGCAGCTATAAAGACATTACTACTCGGTCCTGAGGGGAAGTCAGATGCTGGGGAAATCAATGTGAGCAGTACTAAAGGTGCGATTGGCCACTTGTTGGGTGGTGCAGGGGCCATTGAGGCTATCTTTGCGGTTTTGGCTATTCACGAGGTATGAACAAGCATCATTTCGTACATTTTTTCTGAGGCGGAATTGACATGAGATTGATTACTAGAATATCATGCCCCCCACTATCAACCTCGACAATAAGGCGCCCGAATTCAACTGCAACTATGCCGCCAACGCGGCGCAAGAGCGAAATATAGCCGTCGCCTTGACAAACAGTTTCGGATTTGGCGGGACGAACAGCACGATCTGTTTTGCAAGATACCAATAGACTGTAATTTTATCGTGTATAATCTATGTATATTAGTGAAGTGAGAAATAAAATAAAAGAACGTCATGTATTTTCCATTTGATATGTACCAGTATTCAGCACGTGACCCCACCTCTAAACCAGCCCAAGGCGGCGATCAGATGAGGCGCCAAGGCATCACGCAACTCCGCCCCCAGAATCAGGATCAGGCGCCTCATCGACACCACCAACCTCACTTTATCGGCACCGTCGAGTTCATACTAAGAACTATTACTGCGGTAGTGCCGAAGTATTCCTTGTGTATATCGATCGCCTTCGTGCGATCATGACGACGAACGGAGCTGCAGGACGAGGTACGTTTCACATCTGGACTTGGGCATAACTACAGAATAATTGACCCGTTGACATCTTCCACCAGCTTCGTCCGTCGCGTCCAATTCCAGCAACCTGGTTGACGCGTCTGGCTACAAGTTCTCTGAAAAGGACACCAAACCAGGCAAGATCAAGCTGAAGAAGCAGGCCTCTGGAAAGGCCGCCAAGCCCGGCAACAAGTCCGAGCCGCAAGGTATTCGCCCCTCTGATACTACGTATTCGGACAATACAGACTTGCGCTTCGTGCAGAACGTATGGTTGACGAGTTTATAATTTATGCAGGTAACGATGCCGATGCTCCCGGATCGCCCGATGGCACCCCCGTCTTACCAGAAATGGATGCGAAGACAATGACAGCCTTCCCATCCGGCAAACCGCGAGAGGATGAGCTAGAAACCGTGATTTGCAAGCATTGCAAACGGCCGCAGTTAAAACAGACTGCGGCGGAACACATCCGTGGTTGTCTCAAGGCCAAGCAGGAGAAAGCGAGGAAGAAGAAAGAGGCTCGCGACGCAAAAAATCAAGCCAAGGTTGCAGACAAGGACGTGGATGATAAGGATGACGATAAAGACGATGATGGTGTTAGCGGGCAGAAGAGCGCGAAGAAGAGTGCCGTCAAGGGTATGGCGGACGACGGGCCGAAGAAGGGCAAGAAACGGAAGGCGGACGCCGAAGATGAGAAGGATAAGGAGCCGAAAAAGAAGAAGAAGAAGGAAGAACCCAAGCCGAAAGTTCCCAAGCCAAAAGGTCCCGTCGATGTTGAGAAGCAGTGTGGTGTGCCGCTGCCGAATGGTGCTCAGTGTGCAAGATCGCTTACTTGCAAGAGTCATTCTATGGGCGCAAAGCGTGCTGTACCTGGACGTTCACTCCCGTACGATATGCTCCTGCAAGCTTATCAGAAAAAGAACCAGGCTCGTCAGCAAAGTCAGTGTTCCACTTACCGTCCTTTATATATACGTGTGTAAATGCTAACAGGTCTACAGAAGCTGCAATCGATGCCAATGCTCCTTTGCAGGATGAGCTCGAAAACAACGGTCCTGTTGACTCTGACGAGGAGCGGGATTCTGTCATGGCTGCAATTGCGCGTTCACATCCAACGCCACTTGTGACCCATACTCTGGTGCCGATGCGTAAAAAGTACCATTATGTACGCATGAAAGAGATGCTCTCCAATGTTCTTGGGGGTGTTGGAGGTGGTAGTCTCTTTTCCACCAACCAAACTAATGGTGATTCTAGAGGGTTTTTCCAAATGGAAAGTCCTACTGTGACGACAGCAACAGTATTGCCAGATACTTCGGACGATCCATCGAAGAAATCAACCAATGCGCAAGCAGCGGCAAATCGTTCTTCGAATACAGCTCCCACGAAGACAGCTGTTGCAGCTACCTCATAGGGAAAGCACCGTTTTTTTGTTTTGGTCTGGCTATTGTTGTTATTTATGGTATGACTGGTTTTTTATGATGGGAGTTACGGATGGTTGGGAGTGACTTGGAAATATTATTAAGTGATACCCCTGTGACAGATTATACATGCGCCGCTATACACTACTTGAGGAGATTGTTTCCACGGGCTGGGGGTTATATATAGCTTTGTCATTTTTGATGGATGTACATATTTCATTGGATATCTACACCAGTTGACCTTTTGCAGCCACATCCCCACACTCCTTCCAGATGTCGTTGTAATAGGTGATTATTTACTCACAATATTCTCTAAATTCTACCTCATAAGCGTGCAATTTGCTGGCATCCCTAATGCATGTAACGTTGAATGAAGCTTCATAGATGACATAGTACGCGCACGTGCCACTTTCTGCCTGAGGCAACATAGAATTGTGGAAGCCGCTTCTCTTGTTTCGCCATATCATGCCACCGTGATCTCTCATTATATCTACTCAAAACAAGTATTTGCATGAAATTATAATATCATCTGACAATTTTAGCTTTATTTCAACCTCATTCTCTGCTACAGCCTACTTCCGCCGGCGGACAACGGAAAGCTACTACCCCTTCTCTAAACCAGCCGAATCGGACCGACTTCGAAGAACACGAACCGAACAATAACCAGGGAAGGGGAGAGAGAGAAGATCACAAAATATCCTCGAAAATGGGTCACAGCGTCCCCGACCTCGATGCGATTGGCATCAAGGCCGATCCGGATCTCACAGAACAGTTTCGGCGCGAAGTCGCAGATCTACTGAAACGCAACAACCCCAACTTCCCCGGCGCACAACCGGTCTCGTTTGCGGCAAAACACCTCCTAGAATTACAAAAGGAAGACTATTTCGTCTGCGAAAAGACAGATGGAATCCGTTGCTTGATGTACTTTGCGCATGGAGACCCCCAAACTAACCCGGAAATTCACTATTTGATTGATCGCAAGAACGATTATCGGTTTGTGCCCGGACTGCATTTTCCACTGCCGGATGATGAGACCTTTCAGTCTTTTCATGTGGAAACGCTTGTGGATGGGGAGCTGGTTAATGATACATATGAGGATGGGTCCACGCAGTTGAAATATTTGGTGTTCGATTGTATGGTGCTCGATGGGGTGAGCATGATGCACCGAACACTCGACAAACGACTGGCTTATTTTAAAGAAAAAGTCCTCAAGCCTTACAATGCGCTATACAAACGCTTCCCTGAGGAGAAGCAGCACCGCCCATTCGCCGTTGAAGACAAGTCCATACAGTTCAGCTACGGCATCGAGATGATGTTTCGCGAAATCATCCCTAAAGTCAAGAAAATCCACGGCAACGACGGCCTGATTTTCACCTGTCGAAGCACGCCCTACAAAATCGGCACAGATGAGCATATCCTGAAATGGAAACCGCCTGCTGAGAACACCATTGATTTTCGAATGCGCCTTGAATTCCCGCTTCTAGAACCAGATACAGATGACGAGGCAGACGGAATCGTCGAACCATATTATGATTATGATGCAATGCCTACTTTCCACCTTTTTGTTCTGTACAATAGCGGCGACTACCGCCTCTTCGGCGAAATGTTCGTTCTGCAGTCTGAATGGGAGTCTCTGAAAGCACTACAAGTGCCGCTAGACGATACGATAGTCGAATGTTACCAAGACAACAAGGGTCGCTGGCGCTATATGCGTTTTCGAGATGATAAGAAGGATGCGAATCATATTACGACGGTGGAAAAGGTCCTAGAATCGATTCAAGACGGAGTCACTGAGGAAGACCTTATTCGGGCCGCGCCTGCTATCAAAACGGCGTGGAAGAAACGTCAAGCACTTGAGCAAAGTAGTGCTAATGAAAGAAGACACAATCAACCTCCTCCAGGGGTACCAAATGGGAACGGCGTGAAGAGGAAGTTTGAAGAATAACGATCTCCTTTCTTTCATTATTTGGCTCCTTGGCTAAAATGTATTATGTGCGACTGGATGGTGTTTTGGGATTCAAAGAGTGCGACGGCGCTGGCATAAAAGGGGTTATTGCTTGTTTTTTGATTTTATTTCTGCCACAATCAATACAAATAAAGTTCGGTAAATACCAAAGTGCTGGTTACATGCCAACGGGATTTACTTTGTGTGACTTAATGTACTCGTGTACGTTGACTACTACAATTTCTACATAATTCAATAAAAATTAATGCTTTGAATAACCTTAACAAAAGTACACACTGGGACCGCTGGTATATCCAAACATACATGATAACATGACTATGCCCTGAGAAAAACGCCGGTTCAAATAGTAATCCCATATTTACTAAAGCCTTTATAAACATCAAGCAGACCGAGGGAAACACTTAATACTCAAAATCATCATCGACGCCCTTTTTACCGGCATTCTCCTTCACAATAGCTTCTTGTTTGCGATACATTTCAGCCACAGCACGGGTCGTTGTGGCTTCTTCGGGCTTTTTGTCGTCGCGGGCTTTGATATAGCGAGGGAATCGCAAGGATATCCCCTTCCCACCACCAGTCGTACCTACTACTTCATCGGCAGCAGCTTTGTATCGGGGACTGAGGGTCAGATCGGCGGCTTTGACTTCCCATACAAGACGTGGTTCGAACCAAACGTCTGGTTGGTCCTTGGGAACGCTTGAATGGTCGTAGAACGGTTTGGGGCGGTCGATGGCCAGCGGAGAAAGTTCTTTATGAAGTTCTTCCAACACGGCTTCAGAGAAACCGGTACCAATATTACAGACCGTTTCAAAGGTCTGCTTCGTGGTATTGTAAGCCGCGAGAAGGAAAGCGCCATATACCGATGTACGTTTTCCACGCCCAAAATAGGCACCTAGAACAACGAGATCGAGAGAGTCCCCAAGACCAGCGAGGTAGTCCTTTTTCACCTGAACGACATTGTTAGACCGGAAAAACAAAATTAAACTATGCATTGAACCATGTACCTTGAGCCAATTTCGACTTCGCTTACTGGGTTCGTAGCCGCTTTCCTCAGTATCTAGCATTTTCACCATCAAACCCTCACATGATGCTTTGACACTTTCCTCCAGTAGGTGTTGGATTTCCTCCAGGTCGTTGGTGTTTCCATGTTGAGCGAAAGCAAACTCTCCTTCAATGGGGTTGAAAGAATCATGTAGGAGCTGACGCCGTTCTCGAAGGCTTTTCTTGACCGTTGGATCGCCATTTAGGAAAAGGAGGTCAAAGGCAAAGACACAAACTTTGACTTTAACATCTTCAGCTTTGACATCCTTTCTTTTACGAGTCATTAACTGCTGAAACGGAAGCACCTTCTTGGTTTCCAAATCCCAGGCCACGGTTTCGCAGTCAAGGACGAAGCTTGAAACTCCAGGTTTGATCCATCTATCCAGCTTGGCGAGAATATCCGGATACTTTTTGGACAGGTCTTCGGAATTCCGAGAGAAAATCGAACTCAGGCCCTTTGCATCTTTCTGCAATGTTGTCGTAGCATTAGGATATTGGTGTATCGAATCAGGGGCAACGTAATGGATTTGAGCACGTTCGCCATCATACTTGTACTCGCAGGTAAAGTCCTTGCCTTCAAAGCGATCAAGTACCTCAGTTATAGACTTAGTTGGCTTAGCCAACATCGGCTTTAGAGGAACACCAGGTTGCAATTTGCAAACATTGGCAAGGTTGAAGATCCCATGCTCTAGCATAGCAGGAATAATAACTTCGTAAGCCGGTAGTTCACTATAAGTCTGTTTGAGCACAGCTTCACCGTCTGCTAATCGGTCGGCGCTTGGAGCCTTATCACCGTTGAGAGCAGCTTCGTAAGCAACTACTGCATGTGCAAGAGCAACCAGTACTGTCTTCTCAGCTAGCCCTAACCTCAGTTTTCCTTCCAGGAATCTGATAAGGAATTTCGCTTCGCTGGGTCCTCCTTTATCTTTGGTGATGTCAACTCCCTTGCTACCCTTGCCAGCAGTTGCCGCATCGGCAGCAGACAGAAGTTTCTTGATACCAGAAATCTTTTTATCTTGGGATCCATGGCCTTGGACTTTTGCTATTGACAGGAGACCTTCGTGTACTCCTCTCACAGTCAATGGTTTTGGTTTAAACATTGTAGGTTGGTTCGACCTGCTCTTAGCAGCGACCAAGCCTAGGTCGCCAATTTCATGTTGATCGGCTTTGATAACCGCCAAACTTCGCCCGGTAGTTTCTCCAATAGCCTTCATGATCAAAGATTCTCCAATTCCGAGCTCAATACCAGCATAATCAGCGGCCAGTTTGTTGATCATCAATTGGACTGTTGGTAAGAGATCTCCTGGTGTAAGCCGAAGAACTTGGTTTAGAAAAAGAGACGCATGTGCTGAGATAACAAGACGTTTTGTGGTCATCTCGATGAGGGAGAACGTTGTACATAAAGCAGCATATGGAACAGGTTCTCCAGCCTTCCAATCGGGATAAGGATCAATACCGGTGCTTCCAAGTGTAGCTTGAACCTTTTCGATCTCTTTCTTCTTGACCTCCGGCTTCTCGTCCTCATCATCACTCGCTGATAACTCCTCGGCAGGTTCGGACTTGTCTTCTTCGGTTGGTGTCACTTCACCGGAAGCTTTCTTTACAACTTCGGGGGAAGAGACAATTTCTTCCGCTTTCTCCTTCTTTGGCTTTTTGTTTTTAGCATCTTTTGCGGCTTTCCTTCGTCGTTTGGTAGCAGGTTGCACATCTGAATCTGAGTTTGCATCGGCTTCCACACTCTGTTCCCTCTTTACTCCCTTGGCGGGCAGGACTGAGACGTCATCTTTGAACTTGGCATCTCCATTTGCAGTACGGTCGACATCAACTTCATTCTCTTCTAATGCAGTCTCAGTCTTCTCCGATGTGGATACATCCTTTTGTTTATTGCCGTCGGAGAAGGATAATGTTGTTTGACGCTTGGGCGCATCCTTGGATCCTTGGGTGGCTCCAGAACCGAAGAACTTCCTATTAATATCACCATATATCAGTTTGAGGTGTAAATAGGTTTGCTTGTAACGTCATTGCAGCGCACCCAATTGTGGTTTGCGAATCTCTAACGCACCCCAACGTAGACTGCTTAGCAGCTTTTTTCTCTGGCATTGCGGTTATAGATCGTCTCGAGAACCACCACGAACCGATGACAATATATCGAGACTGGGGTCGGAATGATGAGGCGATTGCCTTGGTCGTGTCTGAACGGTGCGGTCTATGAGCGATAATGCTGGAAAAGTTGACGAGAAGGCAGTATCTATCAGTGATGTGGGTAGAAATCCGGGGCCAATGCAACAAAGGAAGTCGCAACGATGACATAGAATATAAGCGAATACCAGATCAAACGCGAAACGGTCCCGGCCCTTCTTTCAAATGAAGAACGCCGCCTTTGATGCAGCGCTGGACTGAGGCAGAAATGCTGTCCGCGATGGGAGACGCGTGACGCGTTAATTGGTATTGGGTCACGTGAAGAGCCGTCTGAAATATGAAAGGGCATCAGATACTGGCAATATCACAATATAAAGAATATCGAGACTGTGCGATGGTTGTTTAAAAGCTTCGAAAAATGAATACTCTGTAATTAATACAATTATCCACCGTATTTGATAGTGTTTCTTGAAGGAAACGAAGGCGGTCGGCGATACCAACACCCTGCGCTTTCACCGCCTTTATATACAGGCAGAAAATGTTCCGGTCATTTTTACTGCATCGTTCGCAAACACAGCTTGTCCCGGTGTTTCCATCAAGATGGAAAACATTTGAAGCCTTTCTGCATATATGAGAACACAGTATATACATGGAGACTCAGAGACAGGAGACTTTTTCTAAGGCATGTCCATCCCTCAACGTAGATATCTTCATTGAGAATTAGCTGATTGTTCAAGCTCCGCCCCGCATGCGTTGCACTCAGCTCAACAGCTCTCGAGTTTCGCACTCATCATGGCAATCCGGCTGAGGTTCAGAGAACCCTAAATGATTTATACTCTGTCCTTGAGCCTCTGGGGGCTAAAGAAGCTCTTGACGCCAAGCTCGCTGAATATGTCTTCTTCCCCCTCTCCCAAGTCTTCAACGAAACCCAAACTCTTCCTCAGCGCTGTTTAGAGGCCGCAGTAAAGTGTGTTACGGTTCTCGTTGCGAAAGGATGGCGACATTCCTTAGCCCCACAAATGGGCAAGCAACTGCTTATCCTCTTGACTATGCTTGTTGGAGGAACGCCTGCCCAAAACCGGGAGCAGGCGGGCTCAAAAGCCGAGTCGGAAGAGCTTTCATCAGCATGCTTCGACTGCATGAATGCTGTTTTTCGAGTGCTTGACGGCCCAGTTGCTGAACAGCTTATATTTAATGAAATCGGAACTGCTACTATCCTCGATCAGACCATTTATCTTCTCTTGGAAGGTATTACGGATGGACCTTCTAACACAGTGCAAATAGCAGCTATGTCGGCCTTGCATTCTCTTTGCGCTCGAGTAACAGATAGAGTGGTGCTGGCAAGCGTTATGCCTCGTGTGGTATCAACTCTCACCAAGATTTTGAAGCCGACCACAAAGTCTAGGAGGGGCTTCAGGCTCTTAGAGGCATCATTGCGATTGCTAACAGAACTATTACGCACGGTGCTCAATGATAAGGCAGTGTATACAAGACAACCAAAACCAGAAAAGTCCCAATCAAGTGATAGAATAGTCCTCGATGAGTCATGGCTCAAAGCAACGACCGGTCAAATCAAGCTTGCACTCGCAAATGTGATTCAGATAAGGCGCCATGAACGGGACGAAGTGCAAAAAGCACTACTTGAACTCTGTCTGACAGTAATCGAACAATGCTCAAAGTCTTTAAAAGATTCCTCTCCGTTGCTTATTGAGACGGTTGTGATCCTCTCAGATGTCGACGCCAATCATGTCCAAAACGACGCATATTCTGCTCTTCTGCGAATCTGTACCGAGAAAGCCGAAGTCGTGGCAATTCTCAAGGATCTCCTTCAGACCTGGACCATGTCTTTTCAGCGAACAATGCAGGGCAATGATGAAACTGCCAAGAATAGAGCTATCAAACAGATATCTACTGCCTTTCAGGTCCTTTCACATGTCCAAGCAAGCTCTAGGATACTAGAAAACAATCTTGCATCTGGACTTTGCGATAGTGTTGAAACAATGGTCCAGTCTGCAAAGTCAGTGCCACAGCCTGTGAATTTTACAGTTGGTGGAAACATGGAACTTGCTGTCGTAGAACGACAAAGCGCTTTGCAGTCTTTTCCTCCAGTTCTTCTCGACCATCGCAGTCAGCAGCAGACATTGACAAACTTGACATCTATGATTGCAAAAATTAATGGGACACAGTCTAGTGAAACGATAACAAGGCTGACTATGAATCGCATCCACCAAGCTTCGGGGGACACCATTATTGCACCTTTCTGGCTAGCTTTGCAATTCCTCAAGCCTGAAAAGAGAGAAAGTTTTGAAGATTTTCTCTCATTTGACAATTCCACATCACTTTTGTCCCGTGTCACTATGGTTGAAGAATTATACTCAATCGCGTTGTCGGTTTTAAACGAACCACCCACGACTGATTTGAGAGACTGGCGTGTTTCTGCACTAGCATTGGAAGCAGTTGCCTTGCAAGCGCAGGAGCTAGGGGTTGAATTCCGATCAGAACTTATAGAAGCTCTATACCCTGTTTTACAATTCCTTGCATCGAGCAATTCCAACCTACAAAACCACGCCATGACATGTCTGAACATAATCACCAAATCTTGCAGCTATTCTGATACACGCACAATGCTAATCGAAAATGTGGACTACCTTATCAATTCCGTGGGATTGAAACTCAACACATTCGACATCTCCCCGTATCCGCCACAGGTACTGCTGATGATGGTGAAGCTGACTGGGGCTGGTCTCATTCCGTATCTCGATGACCTTGTCGATTCAATATTCGGTATAGTAGATATGTACCACGGCTACCCTAAGCTTGTGGAACTGCTCTACTCGACTCTTGCTGCGATTGTCGAAGAGGGTATTAAAGAACCTAGTCTATTGGCGATTACTCAAGCCGGAGAGGAGCATACGGTCAATCATCGGAAGAAGGGTTACGAGCCTATATCTGTGTCTCAACTAGTTCAAGCCCTCGCGCACAGAAAAGAACGGCGTAAACGCATCCATGATATGGACATTCAAACCGACCAAGAACACTCATCACACCCTAGCCGCCCTTGGACACGGGAACTTGATGGCCCTCCGCTTCCTGAAGAAGATGAAAGCGCCATTGAAGAATACATCAACCCGGAAGACGAATCGCATGAGCCTCTACCCCCTCCAAAGGAGCCCGACGACGCCGAGAAACCCCTTAGCAAACCACACACCCTTCTCCTCCACATCATCAAATCTATCCCCCCGCACCTTTCCTCACCATCCCCATTCCTGCGTCGCTCACTCCTGGTCCTCCTCACTCAAGCACTACCCGTCTTATCTAAGAATGAAACATCCTTCTTACCTCTAATCAACGAGATCTGGCCATCTGTGAGCGCACGAATCGCATCTACATCATCCACAGTACTAGATCTCACAACCCCTCCAACTTCAACCGATATAATCTCACGAACAGACTTGAAACGACAGGATGAAGAGGACATCAAAGAGGAAACCTTCGTCACCAGCGCAGCCTGTTCCGCCGTGGCCAGTTTCTGCGAGCACGCTGGCGACTTCATGGCATCACGCGTGGAAGCCGAATATCCACGATGGCGTCGGCTGTATCTCAGCGTATGGTCCAAAGTACGCGGCGATGCAGAGAAAACTCATCAAAGACGGCGTCAAGCGCCAAAAAAGTCACCACCTACCACCACCACTACTACCACGCAGCTCATCCTAGCAAACCCTGATCTCACTCTCTCCACCTCTACATCCCGTTCCTTCACACCGCACCATACGCTTTGGCGCGCGCTACTCGGGCTGTTCATCAACGTGCTCGCACACGTGCGTCTGCCATTGTCGGTCGGCGATGAAATCTGTGAGTTTATTGGGTTGTGGATTGTAATGTATGCCGGACCGGGGTACTACGCTTACTACTACTCGTCGCAAAAGACGTCTTTGCCCAAGGAGGATGCGCAAGTTGTTGAAGACGCGATGCGGGCGATGGAGGCGTGGAATCGGGATCTGACCTGGTATATATTTCAACGGGAGTGTGCAATGCAGAAGGGAGATGTAAGGAGATTGCCGGAAGAACTGGAGAAGTTTAATTCTATTCGTGGGTTGGGGGAGGCGTGTAAGTTTGTTTCGTTGGGGTTTGCGTGATTGGTGTCTTACGAGTTACGTGTACATATTGCACATAAATGCAAAAGAGTGGAGGTTCATATTGCTAGCTATTGCATAAGCTTGTAAAGAGCGGAGTTAAGTAGTAGTCAAGTACCGAGAATAAAAACGACTCAAAGGATGATACATCCAAGTTGAAGGATAATCAAGGCAATTATCTCAACAGCACTCCGAAAAAACAGTAACGCATCAGAAAGGTTGATAAAAAAAAGTATTCACGGCAAAGGATCGATAGCCGTTCAATCCTCATCTTCATCGCTCTCCTCATCGCTATCAGCGGTCTCGAGCCAGGTAAGGAACTGCTCAGCCGCTTTACGGACCTTCTTGCTTGTAGAGAGATCGACGTACTTCTTGCTGGCCTTGCTGCCCCAGGCTTTGAGCACTTCCTCAGAAACAAGATCATTCTGGTAGTAGCCGAGTAGGACGGCAGGAACCTGAGGAATAAGCTCCGGGTTTTCCTTGCCGAGGAAACGTTCGGTGCCACCCAGGAAAGCCTTCTCATGTCTTTCAGAAGTAATCAATTTTTTGAGCATGGCGGCGCGAGCAGGAATCTGCTTGACAATTTTTTCATCGAAGATAGTTTGAGCAAGCACAGTCAAGGTCTTGTGCTTGGTTTCGATGCCAAATTCCTTTGCCTTCATGTAGATGTCGACATCACTGACCCCGGACACACCACCGTCAGTCTCCTTAGCAGTCTTGATGATCCAGCTTCCCAATTGGTCGTAGGCAGTGGCACCGCCCTCCTCGTCATCGTCATCTCCACCATCCAGGACCAAGGTTCGCTTGAGATCCTCGGGAAGATCCTTAGCACGAGCCTTGACAGCTTCTTCGGAGACGTCGACAGACCATTGAACTTCTTCATCCTCGACGCCGTTACCGTTGATTTCCTTGGCAGCGGTGGTGATGCTACGAGTGAATTCATCATCACTGCCGGCTGCAAGTTCGAAATCACCATTCTCATCACCGTTGTCAGAAATGTTACTGTCTCCCGGGCTGCCATTCTTTTCTCCATTTGTTTCGTCTTTCTCCTTCTTTTTCTCGCGACGAGCCTTCTTGTCCTTTTTGCCACCCTTAGCAGGTCCCTGTCTCAAAATGAAGGTGCTCAATTTGAGACGAGGGTCGACCTCACAACGCTGACCACAAGCCTTGCAGTCCAAAAGAATACGATTGTCTCTGAGGTTGACAACTGTCTCAGGGTTTTTACACTTCTTGCAAAGAACGAATTTGTCAATGAAACCGTCGAGGTAGTCTTGAAGTTTGGGAGCATCATGGGCACCATTAATGATCCAACGATCATCGGTTGGCTTGGCGTTGGCTTGGGCACCCAGTTCAAATCCGAAATACTTGATAACGTACTCTGGAGGACGGGCCAAAGCCTGCGCAACGTTGTTCAAGTTGACGATGACAGTCTTGATACCATTGCCCTTGCCCTCAATTTTGGACTGGAGCTTTTCCATCTTGTAACGGTAGAAGGGATCGGCGACATCCCGGCGAACGTTGACAGTAGACATAGTGACGGTATTTTGGTTGTGTTCTTTCAAGAAGCTAAAATAGGAGGAGGGTGCGAAACGCGGACGACAGGAAACTCAACGGTAGGCTTGCCGTAGAAAGTATACATGCGGCGAGAGGTGTCTCGTAAAGTCGAGAAGAATCTTGTAGAGATGGACGTCGAATGTTTCAACGATTACGACGGAGAGGCAGCCCAGTGGGGTTCAACCACAGGATCTTGAGTGTATACTACACGGTTTTCGCACGAAGCGAAAGTTATGCAGCTTAAGCGGCAAATGGTGATCGAAATCGTTGACGCGGGGCGAATACATGAACAGATTCTCAGGTACGATCTGCAAGTGTTCGCAAGCGAGAATGTTGTAATAAACCAAGGAGGACGGACTCTTTGGTGGAGGGGGGAATCGGCGGCTTGTAATTTGAAGCCAACGTCGATTCGAGCGCGTTGTGTTGGCTGGATGGAATTTGCCGAGGATGGATGGCAACGGATTGTGAGTGTTTTCAATTGTGTGGTTTGGGTTAAAATGCTGGTTGGAGGCAATAGAGTCGACTGTGTCCAGCGACGGGGGTCAGTGTGGATGGATGCAAGAAGAAAGAGGGAAGGAGGAAGGAGGAAGAGCGAGGGCGAAAGAAATTGTGACCGTCAGTCACTAATTCAGACTAGCAGGCTTAACCCAGGCAGCGAAGCCGGCCTAAAGCCGAGCGTCCGCCGTCCAGTCAGCGCCGTGGGTTACGTTGGTTACTCCGTGGAACGCGGCTAGCCGGGTTGGGCGGCAGCCTGTGCGAAAATCTCTGCAGGCACGGCGTAATTACGGTACCGTTACGAGCACGACATGCAATAATTACGCCCACTATAATCTATTGCATATATTCAAGAAAATATTAATGGGCCTCGCGAATCGGATCGCTCTGGGGGGAAGGCCAATGTATCGTAATTCGCAGTATATTATTAATATTTAATATTTAATCTTGTGATGAGTTTGCTTTGTACTACCACTAAATAGTAAATAAATTACAGTTGATTCACGTGATCAGGTGGCTCCATCGATCCAAAGAGGAAGGAGGTGCCTGTGCCCCTCCAGAACCTCAATATTCAGGCATCAAGCACACTGCTTATTGCTAGTACTGTATTTAATGATTGTCTGTAATCCAGGTAAGAGCATTCATCTTTCATTTGTCTCGACAGGTTCCTTTTCTCTTTTTGGCTGGTCATCGAAGCTGTGTGCATAGGGTTATGAGGGGCCATTGCGCCGTGGCTGCAACACGCTTGAAATCCAGGGTTACGCAGGCTGTTTGTATCTTTTGCTAAAACTACGTTGTTGCTTAATGACCTGTCTAGCAAACGCATCCATTGACCCACCCATTGGCCAGTTGATACCGCGACCATCAGACCATCATGGTCGTCAATCTCTCTCTCTACCTAGTAACAGACTCGACTCCCGCCATACTGGGGAGCCGAGATCTTTGCCACGTTGTCGAAGAAGCTCTGAAAGGAGGCATGTTCATTTTCACGGCACGTGCAATTGCATATGATTAACATTCCGTCAGGTGTCACGATCGTTCAATACAGAGACAAGACGAGTGATACTGGGGTTCTGATTGAAATAGCCAAAAAGCTCCACAATATTACAAGGAAATACAATGTCCCTCTGATTATCAACGACCGCGTTGATGTGGCTCTCGCATCTGGAGCAGAGGGTGTGCATCTGGGCCAAGATGACATGGGTATGCCTGCTTGTAAACCCGGAGACCTTATACTTACCACTACTATAGACATTCGCGCCGCCAAGGAGATCCTGGGCAATGATAAAATCATTGGTATCAGTGCCTCATGCGTTGAAGATGCCGTAAAGGCTGTGCAAGAAGGAGCTGACTACCTGGGCATTGGTACAGTGTTTGCAACCCCAACGTGAGCAAAACCCACGTCTTTACTGTGCATACACGTATGCTGAGGAGAATTAGAAAAACAAACACCAAATCAATTATTGGGACAGCCGGTGTTAAAACCATTCTTGACACCTTGAGCCGCCTCGATCGCCAGGTCGCCACAGTTGCTATCGGTGGTATAAACACGACTAATGTACACCGCGTGATCTATCAATCCGCCGCTCCAGCAAAAAGCCTAGACGGAGTAGCTATCGTCAGTGCAATCGTAGCTGCCGAAAACCCCAAGGCTGTGGCAGAAAAGCTCAATGGACTAATTGCCACTCCTCCTTCCTTTGCGATGAAACCTTTGGCTCCAAGGAATAATGAGGTGGAGGCTCTTCTTGCAGACGTCCCAAAAGTTGTGCAACAGGTGGTGACCGTGCATCCTCTTGTCCACAACATGATAAATTACGTTGTGGCAAACTTTGCTGCTAATGTTGCACTGGCTGCGTAGGTTGAGATACTTCATGCTTCCCTAATACTTACTGACTATTCATAGTGGTATCTCTCCAATCATGTCTCAGTATGGAGACGAAGCCAAAGATCTTTCTGTACACAATGGCGCCTTAGTTATAAACATGGGCACTCTAACTAGCTCAAGCATCTCCGAGTACCTCAAGGCAATCTCTGCATACAACAGTAACGGTAACCCTGTCGTGTTCGATCCTGTTGGCGCCGGTGCCACGCACATTCGTCGGGATGCTGTCAAGACTTTGTTGGCCGGTGGATATTTCAGCCTTATCAAAGGCAACGAGCGTGAAATCAAGGAAGTCTTTCAACGTTCTGGTGGCGAGAGTCAGCGTGGCGTTGACAGCGGGCCTAGCACTATAAGTGACAATGCAAAGGCAACTCTAGTTAGAGATCTAGCGCGTAGAGAGAGTATGTTTTGTTTTGTTTTTAAGTTTTTGGTCCGATGTAACTGACATTCCCAGGGAATCTCGTCCTTCTAACTGGGCCAGTCGACTATCTGAGTGACGGCAATCGAGTCATTACCATTGCCAACGGCCATGAACTCCTTGGCCGAGCAACTGGAGTAAGAGCTTGCCTTAACGATGCACAGTAACACCCACTGACAAGATTAACAGACTGGCTGTGCTGTGGGCACTATTACGGGCGCATACTTGGTTGCCTCTTCCTCCGATGACAAACTCCTTGCTGTTCTCGCTGGTCTCTTGATGTATGAAATCGCAGCCGAGAATGCAGCGGCTGACAAAGACCGTGTTCGTGGACCTGGGACATTCCTTCCGGTTTTCCTTGATGAGATCTATGCCATCTGGGAGAAATCCTCAAAGGGCGATCACTCTTGGTTCACCGGCCGTGCCAAGATTCAAAGCATTAATGTTTAAATGTAAGATAGTGTACATGGCGAGTCCTGTATATTGAATTCCTGTCGCACTTGGAAAAAGGCCCATATCAAGAAGTCCAGAAGTCCTCCAAGACAACCAACTACCCAACCTTACAAATTACAAAGCGCCTTCAAAGCCTCTCTAGTATCATCCTTGGTCTCTTTAACCAACGAATTCACCGCCTTAAACCCCTCATTCTTCGAATCCTGCAGAATTTCAAAAATAATACTCTCACTCGTCGTCACCGTAACCCCTATATCCCTTAACCTCGCCAACGCAACACCCCTCTCCTCGGCATTCACACTACTCACTCCATCCGCAAGCACATAAACCCTATGGCCCCTCTCCAACAAATCCAGCGCCGTCTGCGTGATGCAGATATGCGTTTCGATGCCAACGAGAATCGCATCAACTTTGCTCCCCGAGGTTGTATTGTTGTTGTTTTGTAAGGATGTCAGAACTTCAGGCGTGATCATGCTAAATAACGTTTTGTCTACATCTGCAATAACGTTGTTGCTAGAGAGATAGGGCTGCAACTCCGAGACGGTGTCGCCCAGTCGCGTCCGGTTTTGGGTCGTCACATAGACGGGGATTTTCAGTGGGCTACTGGCTTTGAGTAGTTTTTGGGATGTTGATACCCTTGACAAATCAGTAACCCAAAACAAGGGAAGAGGAAAGGAAGGGGGTTAGGTACACTTTGGAAAATTCATAGATATGATCACGGAATTTCTCTTGGATGTCGCATATGCTATGAAGGATTTGTTAGATTGGAATGAGTGATAAGGTATAGATGGGTCGGGGAGTACAATAATGCTGGGTTCCCTGGAGCAATTGATTAGCGTGGATCGGGGTTCACTTGGCTGTACGTACGTATTCGGGTGGCTCTAGCTGCTAGTGCTGCCATGATTGATTCAATTAATCAATTCTGGACAGCAGATGCAATGAGGTTCATATTATGTGGAAGTGTCAGTTGAAGATAGTCGTCGCTGTTGGAGAGATGGGGATGCGGGGTATCCGGCCGCCCGTGAGACAGCATGCGGGGATAACCGGAAGCAACTACACACCAATAGATATTAAAAATTACTAAAAATTCGTTGAATATAATAAATTAGTCAGTTTTCTTTTTTGAATTTTACATCGGCCCATATTTATTTTCAAACCTTCCTATTCCTGGAGGATATACTAATATAGGAATTCTAATAAATGATCATAATAATATTAATTACTGTTCATCATTTTAGGTATGGTAGCTGGGACGACAAGTCCCTGGCAGACTTGGGCTCCATTTTTTTGTGTGGGAAGGGGAAGAGGCTGTCCAAAACAAAGAAAGCCTCCGTTTCTCTCTTCATTATAGGCATCATATGCTATCATCAAGAGTCCCAAAGAGTCCCGAGGACTCCATCAGACATCATGGAAGAGTGCTCCCAAGGAAATGGTAGAGGGTAAGTCTGTGTTATGACCGGCATGTAGTGGAAATAAACGGTGTGTGGGGCACATGCCTAGGGGTGCCTAGCCATCTTGGGCAACTAAGGGGTCATCACAAAGACCATAGAAAAGATTGCTGCGAAATTCATCAACTGAAGTCGAATCAACAGCCGCGCCATCTCCTATAATCAAAGAAGTTTCTCCATGGCCCAGCAGAGCAGAAAAATATGACTTAAGAGCTTCTTATTCGTCAATTTTTCTGATTGGCTTCCCAATTCAGTAACTTTCAATTCAAAGAAAAGGGGTCTGTGGCTTCAAATGCAGAGGCGAAGGGATTGAAGGCTGTAGCGATTACAATGAATTCAACTCTTGCTGCTGAGGATAATCTATACGTGGAGCCGGTATGGGCGTAGTTGTATTCGGCAAAAGCACTGACGATTCATATGGCGCCGGAGTCGGATCATCAATCGTGCCATTCCAGCAGTAACGCTGGAAACACCGACTACAAGCCCCCGGGACCGGGGTGTCATTCCTATCAAACGAGCGGCTGAGAATCGCACAGCCGACACAGGTCGTCCAGTCGGAATCCACGGTACCGTTAGCCTGGGTGACGGCGTTATAGCCATTCGTAATCATGGCGTCGCGAGCGGAGTAGTAGAGGCTGGTCGAATATTGGGACACCTTGGACATGTACGTGATAGGGTGGTTAGACAAATGGACGGCCAATGGAGCTGGTGTGGTAAGGTTGGAGCTGTTGTAGCCTAGAAAGAGGGACCGGCGTTCAGACCCAGGTTTATGATGATGGAGACGTCTGGAATTGAGGGTAGGAGAGGTTTTCCAGGTCAAGAAGGGTGCGTTTATAGGGTTCGACGATGCCTGCGCCGTTAGGTCAAAGGTAATCGGTGGTCATGATGGAGTCGACGGCGAAAATCACGTCCACGTTGCGTTTTCGCTGGATCAGTGGGTTAAATGGGGTGTTGGCGCCACCTTTGCCGCCGTCTACAACAGTCAGTCGCGTCTCATGCGCAAAGGGCGATGAGTCCGGATTTTACTGGTAGAAGGGATTAGGGTTATAGGCTGCAGATCCAGCTAATGTCTTGTTGGTTGAGCTAAGAGCACTAGTAATTTCTTGGCTAGCGAATTGAAGCAATTCCCTTGACTGCGTCTCATAGACCGGGATGCTAGCTAGTTGAACATTGATCATGTCAACCTGTCATCCGTGCTCCAGATATCACTGGATGAGACAGTGATAAAGCCAGATTATCAAAGCCACGCACGCAGGTTTCATTCTCCGGTATTATGCCATTGACAAATCAAGCACCCAAATATTCTAATGGCGCAAATCCATAGATAGAATCATCGTAAGTGCCAAACTCCGAAGGTGAAACCTCGCAGAGAGGCTCTGACAGGGTTGGGTCCTCAAGGACTTTGTTAAAAGACTGGCCACCAAGAACTACCAGCGGCAGTGGTATCTCAGCATTTTGGAAGGCTTGGGTCATTGCAATGGAAGACTAGGTGAAATCAACTCCACCATGGCTAGTATTGAAAAAATAACAGCGTTGCAACCGACCCCTACAAAGCTTAGTTAGTATAGTTTCGTGTTTTCGGAAGAGCAATTATGGTTACCAAAGGTCAGGCTCACTAATCACAAAGCCAGCCGCCCTTTTCCCCTTGACTTGAGGTGTGATATTACCCCAAAACTCGGTGGGTTGCATGGTGGTTGGACCCTGAAAAAAGGGCTTGGACACACTCCATCAAGTACTTACAGGGCAAGAGGCTCAAGGCGAGCGACCCAATCAGTGCAGTTACTTCCGTGATTCGCACAGTTCAATTGATTAGCAAGAATGCTGTTAAAGTGATGGATCCCAATCTATTGATTATCTCAAATTTCTCTGGGGATTGTCTCGCTATTTATGTCTGCGAAATACCCTTACTACCGACGGTAGGGGACTCTACCTATGGACCAGATCAGCATGTCAATTACCAAGTTTGATTATATTCATTTGAATCGTCATCGTATTGAGTCCAGTGACAGGATTGGGTACATATCGCTCATTGGTGATATTGCAGAGGCTACACTTTTATAAACCGGAGTCCACTAAGCACGATTGAGTAGCCGGATTGGAACTAGACTTGAAGAGTGCGATCGAATGAAGGGCTGTATCCATTATTAGATCCTTTTGAGTTGGCGAGGCACTCTAGAGAGCCGTAGCCGAGAAGCACCCGCGGCATGATGATAAAGTACTAAGCCATATTGGGTAATCACTTTGCAGCCAAGATTTGCGCTGGTATCCAGCCATGTAACTAGTCAGTTCATATATAATTATAAATTACTTAGGGATTCTTACCTCCCTTTATTTATCTCTCTACTAGTTGCCATCTAGACGCGTTACTAATCCCTGAGGCCTGTTGTCCGTCAGTCCGGCTGAGTTGGTTTAGATTCTGTTAGGTTCTGTAATATACAAGCCAGAAAATCGCTGTGTAAAATTCAAATAGAATCCTAAGGCATTTCTCTGCACCCTTTTTTAGATTAAATTGCAAAAGTCCACAACTTACTATTCATGGTTGCTGTTAATTCATAACTAGTCGTTGAAAATATGGTAACTAAACGCAATTAGGGGGCCGAACCTTACAAAATTATATACTACTTGAGACTTCAAACGCTACAAATATTGATTTAGTGTGACTCCATTGCGTGACAATTACCCCTAGCATTTTGTATATAAATATGACTAGATGGCCATATAGTTAGAAAGTCAGGCTTGTAACTCTGTGTCAATTGCAACTTACTGTGTCCTCATATCACCGCTTAATAAACCACCACTTCCGCACCAAGTTCGACAGTTGTTGGTGTTTAATCTCCTTTATCCAGAGAAGACTACTCGCTGGATCAATAATTAATATATTCTTCTTTCAACCCTGTCTTGAATAGGCAAGGCGTTCATACTTTCTTTCAGGGCTAAGAAAACCGAAGAGTCGGGTATAACTGTTAAATAACAAGGGCTATCAATGGGAAGATCATGTAATGCTGAGTAGCTGAAATCATTCCAAGCATAGTACGTCTCAACAAAATCCAGTTTTCTTAACATAAGCTTTCAAAGTGATCAAAATGGGTGGTCTGAATGGATCATTCGATAACCTCCCACAAGGTAGTGATAGCCTCGACTACGATGTGCTCATTATCGGGGAAGGCCTGGTGGGAATCTACACCTTAATGCCCATGAGTAAGCTGGGACTTCGCGCCAGAGTCATCGAACGAGGGTCGGGAGTGGGAGGTGTCTGGTTCCGGAATCGCTATCCCGGATGCCTCCTTATCCGGTGCTTCGCTAACCAAAGACCAGTCAAAGTGAACCCACGGTATACATTAGCACCACTATCAGCGCTCCTCCACCAACGATGGATGACAACTAGCTAGTAAAGCGATGGTTTTCGGGGAGTCAATAAGCCGAGCGTATCAAGAATTGACCAATGCTACATCCAGCCCGGTTATGAAATGATGATATCCGAGCTGTTCGCATAACCTGGGGCTTATGCGGGGCAAAAAGTCTCGTGTAAACACGTCGATATGCAATCTTAGGGGTGATGTTGGCGGGGTTGAGTGGAGTTGTACGGGGATATGATCAGCTTCACGGAACTTGAAGCATCCGAGAATTATTCATAGGAGATTGGCAACAGTATATAAAACCCCTGCTCTTCGGTGTTTAAGGGAGAACTAAAGACTATACACCCCTCATCCACAATACTCGTATTACTATCGAATTCACCATGTCTGCTGGAGGCGCCGCAAACGGAGTTATCTTCCTACGTCCCCAGGAGGGCAAGAAGGACGAGGTATGTGTTCCTTGCCTCCATTAGGGATGAATACTATGCTAATTTATCCCTATAGCTTGAGCAATTCCTCATTAAAAACCTCAAAGACATCCGGGAGAATGTTGCAGGGGTTCTCATTGCATTCTATTTCTGGTCGGACGAGAAGCAAGAGTTTGTCGTTGTGGAAAGGTGTGTCACAGCAGTCACTATACTATGAAGGCCACACTGACCATTATCCAGTTTCAAATCCACCCAAGCCATGTTCGAATACGGCAACAGCCAGTACCACGAGGGAATGGTGGCTAAGGTTATTGAATTGGGGGTGACTCCGTTCCAGGCATTTACGGATCAGAGTAATTCTCAGGAGCTTAAGGACTTCCGGACTACGGGCCAAGCTACTCATTTTGATGTCTGAGCTTAACTGCAGCGATGTATTACTCCACATTAGCAAGATGAACCTAGATTTACCATAATTTGATATGAAACAATGGATCTTTGATAGCGATGAAGCTTGAAATTGTGTTGCATTTTGCCTTGTAAAGTCTATTCTGGAGCAAAAGTTGTTGGGTAAGCGTGGCTCACAACCCCACACGCCTCTTTCTCGCTCGAGCTCTCCCCATTGGAAATCCTTGATTAGGGTGCGGGGTAACCTTTTGTCGAGACGTTGTGCCCATAAATTGGAGACCCCTCATGGCGGCAGTTCTGGGGCGTTCCAGCCAGGCCGACAGTATTGGCAAACGCCGAAGAATTTCGGCTTTGCCCACCTACTTTCCGAAAATTAGGCGGCTAGTTTGATAGCCCTTTGGAGCGCCTAGGGCACGCGGTTACCCCAAGATCTTGGCCTGTGGAGCAGCTGACTGCCAGTAGATTTGAGCCTTGGAGTGGGTAGCAATTCGGGGTGTCCCCATAGTATCGCTTATATTGACTTGCGATATTGATTCTATTCTCTTTATGAAACCTTAATTCCCTGTCACTCTTGTTATCACAACCTACGAGACCCCCGGATTTCACAATACTGGTAATGAATACTGACCCTTTACACACCTCATCGGGTACGATGTATTGATGGCTTGGTCGTAATGCCAAAGTAACGCACGTGATCCCGCAGCAGAATTGAACCCCATATATGTATGCACTTATCATCCCTATGTACAAAACCAGTGAAAGTTGTAATTCTGTCTTGGCCGCATATCGTCTCAAGAGTCAATCAATACCTTTATAGAGATCAAACCGCAAGAGAATTCCACAAAAGCCTTAGAAAATATCACTATACTCTAGACCTATAGAAAAGAAAGGGAGACTCGTAATTAAGAACTCTATCTATGTCTCCCTCGTCATTACTGCAGTATCGAACACTAGCCTAGTCTTTCACCGAAGTTAGTTATTCATTCATCGGTTTTTGTTTTTCGTTTCATGGCGCAGTAGCTCTGAACCTCTGAGCCTCCGAGCAAGATGGAGACCTTATTCATCATTATCAGGCTTGTTTGGGCCGAATAAACGAGCCCAGATTCAGGGTAACAAAAAATGTCATCGGCTATTCCTCGCTGTAAAAGACGGTAATGGAGCTATCATTCTTGCAGCTGCTGTTGTATCTAATACGCATTTACCGAGATCTGATTATTTCTAATCTCATAAGGGCTTGCAACGAGAAAGCCGAAAACTTTCCTATATTACCGGTGAACGTTTGGCGAGACTGTGGTGAAATATTAAACACTCTCGTCTGCCCGTTCCTCAGATCATCATTTGAAACAAATTCAAACCCTTTATTCCCGGGAAGCTATTCGCAATGGCTTTGAGTAAATCCGAAGAAAGCGTTGCAGTCGAACTTGAAAACGTACCTACAGACTCTATTGCGATTACCGATGACGACTATCGCCTCAAGATCCACACGAAACTAGCCATCATCGCGCTGGCTATCGCTTATACTTGCTCATCTGTTGCTAGTATTGGGCCTGGAACTACGATATCTCAAGTTACCAGCGACCTTGGAGACCAGAAAGTGCAGTCCTGGATCGCTAATGTCATTCTTTTGCCACAAGTTGGGTTCCATCCAGTCTGGGTAAGAACTAGCTGAACGTCTTGAATGGAGCTATAGCTAAGCATATGCTAGGGCCAACTGTCCGATCGGTTTGGAAAGAAATGGTTTATCGTCGCTGGATGCGCCTTTGGGATTATCGGAAGCGTTGTTGCCGGTAGCGCTACCAAAACTACAGTTGTCATCGGCGCACAGGCTTTAAATGGGCTAGGGTGCAGTCTTGTTGTAAGGACGGCTTATTCCTACCTGATATGCACTTCTTGAATCCTGACCTCGGCGATATAGCTCCTTGGAATCCCAGCAGGCCTTGAGATCACCCCTGCTAAGTATCGAGCTTACACCATGGCGGTTATGATCATAATTAATAATGTGCTAGTTATCGCTACACAGTTGTCAGGTATGACATAACGAGACATAAGAGCAGAAGTGCCTACTAACGAAATACTATATAGCGGGCGCTTTTGCAAATATGCCACCTGATGGCTGGCGCTGGGTGTACCACTACAGTACTATTTTTTGGGGCTTGGGTGGTCTAGGAGCGGCTTTTTTCTACCATCCGCCGCCCACTCGGCTCCGGAGAGAGAGTACAGTAGCTGACGAATTTAGATCAATTGATTTTGCAGGAATAGCACTTCTTCTTTCCGGAGTAGTGCTTCTGGTCACTGCTCTTACTTGGGGTGGCAACTCGTACCCATGGAAAAGTGTTCAGGTCTTGCCTACTCTGATTATAGGCTCTGCTCTTCTAATTGCGTTCTGTTTATGGGGTATGTTCATCCCCTGGCCATTCTACCTATCTTTATTTATGAAGGATACAGAGGCATTCGGCACTCGGCATGGGATAATTGATAGCCGGTTTCTTGAGACGCGAAATTTTCTCCTTCTCCTTGCCACTGTGTTCGTGGATGGAGCCCTTCTCTATGGTATTAGCACATACTTCCCTATTGAAGTTAATGCTATTTTTTCCGACAATCCGTTTCAAACGAATATCAATTTGGTGATTACGTGTTCCTTACTTTTGTCTTTTGAACAAATTACTTATGATCTTATAGCTTCCATATACGTTACCACTCATGCTAGGTTGTATCGTACCTGCATATATACTAGCGGGAAAAGGCCATTACAGAACCTATTTGACCGGCTCACTCGTAGTGATCTCAATCTTCTGTGGCCTGCTAACTTTAGTTACCCCATCAAGACATGCGATGGCTCTTGTCTTTCTTGGAATTATCGGATTCGGAAGTGGTGGCCCTTCAATGCTCCCAGTGGTACTAGTATCGTACTCGGTACCTGAGTTCCTACTGTAAGATATAGGGAATTGTGTGCTATGGGATAGTGAATGCTGACATGGTTGCTGAATTGCAGGGGGACTGCTTCGACTGTTATGACATCGACTAGAGCGCTGGGAGGGATTATTGGGATAACAATATTCACCGCCATCTATTCTAATGCACTCTCAAGTATGATCCAACTTGCTAGGACAGTCTGAACTGTTCATTATATTAGCTACATGACTGACTGATTCAGCAAAACTTCCTACTGCTGTTGCGGAAGCGGCTATTGAGGCTGGCTTGCCAAATTCGTCGCTTGCCGAGTTCTTACCAGCATTTTTAGAGAAGGATGCGAACCTTTTGACATCCATCAGTGGAGTGACAACACAAGTATTAGTTGCTTGCACAAACGCTGCCAAATCTGCCTCAGCAGTTTCGTTTCAAAATGTATGGTTCGTTAATATGGCATTCGGTTTGCTGGCCGCGATACGTAAGTTAAATGGAGATCTGCGTTTTCACTCATTCAGCTAATTGTATTGACGCTAGTGAGCATGTTTCTCCTGTCTGTGAAACACCGTATGACAAATCATATTGAGAGTGCTTTAGAACCTGGGAAACTGCGCGACGCGCAGTTTCAGATTTCCGCTGACGTCGCCGACAAGCCAGTTACTGTGGTCAGGCCTAGTAGTGAGCGTAGTATGGTCTAAGGGGTGCACACCACACCACAATACACTGAACTCACTGAACTATTATCACTAAGCGGAAACAGAATCATTGTATTCCTTAACTAGTGATGTGATCATTATTTCCATTCAATAGCCTGGTTCCTGTCTGTCAGATAAGGTCTGCCAATCCTTCCTAGGATCGAAATATTAGGGATATTCTCCGAACACAAACTCTGTATTATGCCTTCCGTCAGTAGTGAGCTGCCGGAAGTCTTTGGTGCAAGACACGGAGCAATTCCTGAATAGTAGCGCCGTAACCCAGGACCAGTTTCTCCTGTTAGTATTGTGCCCGCCGTCAGTGGTGGCAACCATGTTTCTAGACTTGTCAAGGACCACACTTTCCAGAATTGTGGTGGTCTTCGCGGCGGCTGTATCATTCTTTCTAAAGGTCAATGTTAAGAACCATTTCATGGTTACAAGTCTTATATCCATGGCCAAAAGCCGTACACTCATTGAATCATGAGATTTATGCCTAATTTAGACCGCTAGCATTCAATATTCATCCCCTCGTGGTAATGAGCCAGGTTGGATTTAGTTCGTTGGATTAACAACGCGACTGGATCACTATCCACAAATTAGGGTCTGATCCAGGCCTTGGTCACCACATTAAAGTCTTCTGTGAGCATCAAAGGTAAAGCCTACCAAATTTGATGAGTGGTATTCAGGGTTTATTCCGTCGCTTGTGGATATGCCCGTAAATCAATTACGGATTTATTTTACTGAGGTTGACATTAAGCCGAATATAAGATCGCAGAGACTTATCGAATCAGGGTCACGGTTTAATTTCAATCACTTATCCGATTTTAGAATACCTAACTTTGCTATTGATACAACTTTCTTGCCACCTTCCATTTTGACCACGTCGTTATAATTCAGCGTGCTTAAAATACTCAGATCCATCGAGCTTCCCGATTTTCACGAAGCGAGCCTTTTCTACCTTTGGCGGCATAAAACTATATGTAATATTTATTAAAGATATAATTTTCTGTGAAGAGCTCCGTGTTCTGTATATCTATGTGATGTGAGCGAGACTTCATCCATCTATGTAATTAATCTTGCCTGTGGCTCCGGAATCATTTATTGAGTAGCTGTATCTTGTTGGCAGTCTCTTGATGTTGATTCGGAGGGGCTGGGAGAAATATAAATTATTGGATGATTGAGCTATGCTGGGTAGCCTGAAAAATACGCTATATCTCGATGTTGTTAATTTGAGGTCTTTATGTGTTGGAAAAAATCTACCGTAAAATAACTTTATTGGTTAGATATGGTTGTGTTTGATGTGGTCCGTGCCAAATTGTGGTGAACCTGGGACAAGGCTGACATTTTTGTAGACATCTAGAAGGGGAAATTTAGCGTTGAAGTTGCCTAATATTAGCCAATTATGCTCTATAAATCTCTCCTAGCTGATGTGTTGATTGCCTTATAGGGTCTGGTTAGGTGGTCCTTTTATGTCTGCTTTATTTCGATTTAGTTATTAAATAGCTGACTATACTGGCCTTTTGGGTATCTTTGCTAATGCCTAGTGATGGATCCAGGGTGGCTTATAAGGTCATATTAGGCATCAACTTTCAATTATTTAGACTATACTTAATGGGTATACAGTTCCCACGTAGGGAGATGAGGACATAATCTGTGTAGTACTTTGTAAGGCTGCAGGGGAGATAGAAGTGAAATTATCGCTTTCAATAGTTGATAACTATATAATTTCAATGCCAAATTTTAACTTATAATAATCAAATATTAATGGATTAATATTTTAATAGTTTCCGTGGAGAGTGCAAGTACGCCTCGTGCGCTTTTATTGACACTGTAGACCCCATAGGGATAGTCTGGAACGGGTAGTCCGTGGGATTTATTTCGTTTCCCAAAGTAACTGGGCTGTTCATCAACCTCCAAGTTTGAGAAAGGGATGATCCATCAGTTCGCGAGCTGTCTTCCTTTTCTCCGGGAGCCAGGTGAGCATTTGTCCAACGAAAGATAAAAATGCCTCTCTTTCCTTCTCTTCTAAGAATGGGATTGTGTCCTCTAAGCTTCGAGACGGGATCAACTCATTATAGAAGAGTTCATCTTGAATATAGTCAGTGTGCTAGATATTGACATACGAGATATTTATTAACTTACCTTTCGCGTTAAAAAAAGGACTATTGAAGTATTCTTGAGCATTATCACACAGTTTACCAGTGTCATTCGGGACAGACTGGGGCCAGTTATACTCTGACATGGCCTTTAATTTCGCGAGCAATACCTGAGGAGGAAAGCCGAGTAGAGCAATCATTTCCGCAAGGTGTGATTTTGCGTCGTGCTGGCCATTTGTATCATGTACCTGCTGAAATAACTCCTTGCTTCCAAGGATATTCCACAACTTGCCGAACAGAATTATTAGCATTAAGCCCAAGTTATCAATTGTAACCAAAAGAAAGTGGAAGGATATCCTATTATTTGTACCTTTACCTCCAGAAAACAGTTACAGGGGTCTTACCAGCACACCAAAGTTCCAAATATCTGCCTTAAAATCCCAACCGCACCCAAGGATTACCTCTGGAGTAGCCAGTCAAGAAAAAAAAGAAAAGAGAGAATAGAAGAGAAAGCCTAAAATCTACTTAATTAATAGATAAATAATTCTCAATTGTTTAATAGCAATTCTCTTACCTTTAGCTTAAAAGGTCTATATTCTGAGTAAAGAATATATATAACATTAAAGAAATCTAATATCATCATTTATGCTTCATTAATAGTCATTAAGAAGAATAGGCCACATATAAATCTTCCTAAACCAGAAAGAAAACATAGGAAATGAGAGCTAATAAGTACTGAGATCAGTAAGAACTATAGCATTGAGTATTCAAAACGTAGCATATCATACTAAGAAACAGACAAGAAGAAAGCAGAAGTAAAAAATATGTCTGTTATTCAGGAACATACTCGTGATTTATATACCTAATGCACAGTAAAGCGCAGCTATTAAAGTGGCGAGGGACACTGCTAAACCATATTTGGTAATCTGAGTACTGCCATAGCCCTGGGTTAGATGATATCAGATAATTCTTTTTCCCGCGTTAATGCGTGGTTGGCGGGATGCGGATTTCGGCGGCCGCTCACTGGCACAACGTATACTATATAATATAAGCAGAACAACTTAACACTATTCTCAGATAATAAATATTAAAATGAAATAATCTAAACTATCAGCTATATATTATGGAGGATTTCTAGAAGGTAATTCATTGATTTCCATTCACTAGGTAGACTGTGTTAATAGATATTAATGAAGGTTGCGTTTTATGACTAGAAGTCCGTCCTTATTCTTTATTGATTTAGATTATGATGATGGAAGAGAGGGTTTATCTATCTCTTATTATATAGACTAAGGAAATGATAATGGAATGGAATAAGCACTGTAATCTGATAAAAACAATTCCTCAAATGTTTATTATACTTCGTCAAGTTTCTAATTGCTACAGTATTTATCAAAACAACGATTTACCTTTTTGGGTGTAGAGGAGCAAAATGCTAAATTTTGACTAGAGGAACATATTCTGGGATAGTTCCAACATTGGTTAATCAAGCCCTGGTGGCATTTAATCGGGGAAGAAGTAGCGAAGCTGAGGGTTTTGCAATGTAATGAGTGAGTCTGAACGGTGGGGGCTAAGGCTGCACAAAATCCTTTACAAAAATAAAAAACAAAAATAAAAGCAATCATGCCTCAAGTTTGGGCCTGTGTGAAGGGCCACCCAGAGCATACAAAGCGCAATCACTGAGTGTCTCGGGGCACATCATGCACCTCGTGAGTGATCCGGAAGCCCGCGGCCGATTGGGCTGAGCGCGTGAGCGACGCACATTGCATTGGCATAGGCAGTCAGCCATACAACTACAAAGACAAAGAAGTATAGCAATTCCATTATTGCATTGTATCAACCGTTAATGTACAATCATGAAGCGAAGCAGATCCGCCCAGGTCGACGGGGTTCTCGCAGAAACGAAAAAATAGTGAACTAGCAATGTTGCCACGTTAGCTACGTCCAAGGCCAGGGCCAAAAAAACTATAATATGTGCTACCTGAGCTGTTTAAGATGGATTGAGCCAGCCGAATGCTGATGCCCCCCCAATCGGGTTGCTGGCTCGATTCTTGTTTGCCGGCCACGAGCCATCTCCTGACTTGAAGCTGGTGCTTCGGCTTGGTGTTGGATGGACGAGGTCAGGGCCGCCGCTGGTTGTAGATGGAGTCACTGCCGTGCTGGTCTCGTGCGCAATGGCTGTGTCGGTGGTGGTGACGGTAGATGATATTGAAGGGCCGCGAGAAGACGACGAGCGAGACGGTCGTAAAACTTTCATGGCGCGACCTCGTGTTGCTTTCGCCATGCCAAGTGAGCTTCCATCTGCTCGTGTCTCGCGTCGCCAGGAGCCCCAGACTCCACCGATATCGCCTTTTGCGGCAGAATTGGAGTACTCTGACTGATCGGTTGGAGGTTTTGGTTCTTTCGCGGCTTGTGAATCGGGTTCGGGCTGTCCATATCCTGTTGTGGCAAGCGGCTTCTGACTGGCCTCACCAGCGGTTTCTTCGACTCTTGGTGATCCAGAGTTGGCTTCTTGTGATTGTGAAAGAAGCCCTTCTATGACACCCAAACCACGTTTACTGATACTCGCTTGGGAGTCAGACTCCGGGTCATTAGGCAGTTTTGAGTAGTCCTCATGGGAGATATCTGAGCGTGTGGACAACGACTTGAACACCATGTCGTTTTCAGGTCGAACCAAAGGGACGGAAACCTTGTTTCTATCGTCATCCATCATGATGATCTTATCTTGTGAGAAAAGAATGTCGGCATTATGAGAACGGAGAACATCGCTTCCCATGAATATCTGAAGGCTTTTGTCATCAGGGTCCGTATCACGCACCGCAAACCTGATTGTCACAGAAGGAAGCTGAGGTGTTGGACTGCCGGCACGAGATGAAGACTGATGTATGCTCGCTTCTGGAAGGTAGAGTGGCAGTTTGATGAAGCGAAATCCATTTTCAACCGTGACCTGGTCTTCATAGCCGAGTTTTTCAACTAAACTATAACCAAGGAAGGATGTATACGAGCCAGAACAAACAGCAGCGTAGAGTAAAGTCTCATTGGAGAAATTGGTTGTCAGCCAGCATCGTATGATACACGGCACAGGTCCTAGCAGAAACAGTCCTGGAGGAGGCAGGATAGAACTCGCAGGAGACCCGCCACTAGAGCCAAGAAGTCGCGCAGCATCTGTACCCATGCTACTTGTTCGAGCTGAATGATGTGAATGCCCAGAAGAGCTTTGACGACCATCGGATCGGTGGGAGAGAGATCGCTCGATGAGCGGATGGCTGCTCATCCCACTTCCTGTGCGAAGTGGGAGCTCAGTTGCTGAGCGATTCACCTGATCATAATAGCCGTGTATTGCGCTTTCGTCAAACCTGACACTATTCGCTCTGGACGCACCGCGTCTTGGCTCCTCTTCGTTCTCTAAATTCATATTACCGACGATGCTGTGATGATGGCCTTGGTCGAATCCTTTGAAGGTGTCAACGGCTGGGGTATAAGATGGTTCTATGATCGAGCAGCAGTTAGTACTTCGGACAGAACGTTTCGTGAATTCCAATTTCACCTGTCAAAGAGCCACTTATTGCGCTCGGAAATTGCGATAACGGGCCCCAAACGCTCTTCAACCTCATGTCATCCTCCCTCCGTCGTTCCAACCTTGCAATCCGCTCGCCGTGTTCAAGCTGGGTAGAGTATAGATCCTTGACCTCCTCAAACACACGCCAGATATCTTCACGAGACGCAAAAGGGTATTGCGCATCCATCCCAACGGACTGGATGAGGTTGAATATGAATCGAAGGAGTCGTATTTGCGATGAAAAACGCTCGTCTCTCTCCCCCAAATCTGCAACCAATACGGGTCAGGAGTTTCTTAGTCGTGGTGTTGACTCCTCACACCCTCCTCCCTCCAGAGCTTAGAGACGGCCAGAAGGCCGTCTTCCAGTCTATCTTATCGCTCCTTGTTCAAGATCGTATAGGCTATCAATAATTTGTTGGTATAATAGACAAATGTCAATCTGCTCTCTCCGACGGCTGCCGATCGAAACGAGTGCTCAGGTATTCGTTGCGTCGGAGAGATCTCACGGTAGGCGTATAGATAGAACCTTTCTTCGAGAGCTGGAGGACTTCTGGATAGTCAAAGGCGCGTCAGAGGGGGCCTTTGATTAAGCGATCTGAAAGTCTCTCCAGGTGGCTTTATTCTAGATTGTGTTGGATCGCACCGAATGATCGAATGGCTGGTGCGGGACACGGGGTGTGGGTGTGGCAATCAACGGTTGCAGCTTGCAGGGTATCGTTTGCTAGCTGGAGAAAGGATTCTTCGAGAGCGATGACACAGGTGGTACAGCACAGTACAGGACCGTTAGCAAACCAGGTTGTGGCCAGGTCAAATCGAAGCGTGAGGCGCACAGGTTGCTGAGAAACTGGGGAGAAAGAAGAGGGGACGGGCAACCCGCCGGTCCAGTGCTAATCCCTTATCCGGCTTTCTCAATGCGGCCTGGTCTCGCGTCTCTATCTATATTTGTTTACTCTTAATATTTAATTATTATTCACCACAGCTATCTACACAGCTTCTTTGTTCATAATATGGCAGATATCTCATTCATGGTAAATCTAAAAAAAATATTCGCTAACTGCCTAATGTAGGTAATATTTCTGAAAAATGGATAGAAAATCTATCGATCTATTGCAAGTCTACTTGGGAGCTACCTCCCATGGTGGGAAGATCATAGGAAGCTTCTCGGGGTCTTCTTCTGGCCAGGTGGCCCGGAGCACGTTCATGACTTCGTCGAACATGATCTTATACCCGCTGCTGGTGAAATGTAATCCTGTTCATACCGGTATATGTTAGCAAGCTTCACCCAAACTAAGCACTCTAGTCTGAGAACGCACCATCCGACAACAGACTCGCCAGGCGCTCATTCACAGGAGACTCCTTTGAACCAGCCAGAGGCTGACCAGGCTTCCACTGGGCCGCGTTCATGAACGCGGCCCATAAATCGGCGACAGGAATGCCAAGTGACTTTGCGACATCGCGGCATGCATCCGCGTACATCTTGGTGGTCTTCGCAGTGCGTCTAGGAGGCCCCACAATCCCTTTCTTGAAATCGGTAATTTCTAGCTGATACTCATTAATGGGCGGTGGTGTGATGACGATGATCTTGGGGTTTTGTGCTTTTGTTAGTGGATGCTCCAAAAGGGCCTTAAGGTTCTGCTTGTATTGATCCAGCGGTACATGCTGTATAGAATGCGGCAAGGCGGCATCATTGGCGCCGAAGAAGACAGTCTAGATCCAGTTATTTTATATAAAATGTAATAAAAAGAAGGCAGGCGAGATACGTACCATAAGTCGAATTCGAGCTTTCTGCGGCGGTGGAAAGATCTTTGGAAATATCACCATTGCATTGGCGGTATTATACCCACTGCCAGCCAGGCAATCTAATCATCAGCAGTGGGCTCATAGCTTGTGCCAGTCTCGGAATCTCACCTGAGCCCTCGATTTATTACATCAAGCCGTCGGACATATGCTGCAAGCCCTGGCTTAGCCTGGCACGTAAACAATACATCAAGCAGAACCGCACATACCATGTTGTAGAGCAGCGCCAAACCCAAAGCCGAGCTGCGGATCGTACGAGGCCTGGGTGATTGAGTCGCCGAAGAGAAAAAATTGATCATACTCATTAAAGTGGTCGGGCACGCCGGTTCCGTAACTCATCGTAAAATCTGTGCCAGTGGACATTGGTAGGGAATATACAGCATGAGAAGAAAAAATTGAGTTGGAAAATTGCTGGTTTTTGACTATCCCAAACTGAAACAAATCTCTAACTGAACCAGATCGACGTATCTGGGATTCGTCTGGTGTAATCGTCTGGTGTGAACGGCTGGACTGACCGTGACCGGGGTCTAAGCTGCAGCAGCCAGGATGGCTGGATTCGGCGCACAATAATATTATTAAATAGTTAACTAGCGATCAACAGCAGAACCCCAGTAAGACATTGCCCGGGAAAATATCTGGTCAATTGTGGCACAATATCCCGGGCCGCTTTTCAACTGGTTCAACGGTCAACCAACTGCGGAATTTGTTCCATGACCCGACTGGTGGAATTTCTGCCTGCGCATTTCTCTAAAATAGGGGAAACGGCGCTCTTGACGTATGTTTGGTCAGATTCTCAACATACGCCAAAGCTTATCGATGTTTAAATTCTGCTTAATTATTATTATGCTGCAGGTATGTTGTTATTGTTCGCTTTTCTTACATACTCGTAGGAGATGTTGATATTACATAGCCACGATTTGAATAATCGTCGATACATGCATATAAACTAAAAATGACTTCAATTTATGCAGGGCCTAGCTATTGATTGATGCATATGTATTATTACATATTTACTTTATAGATCTCTATTTCAATGCCGTTAGCATAGTCGCTCTTGGACAGCAGAGTACTGATAGTATAGTATACAGACTTCAAATGTTCCTACCGAGCAAAAACAGACAAAGAAATATCAACCATAGTCCCCGGCGATTTACTGTCTGTATCTAAATGGTCTGTTTTATCACATGCAGTTCAAATGTTTCAAATTCTAAAGTAGGCCGGCTTAAAAAGTAATGAAAAATTACTAGTATGTATTACTTACGCTTATCTGACGATCTTCGGTCAAAATATCATTCGCCTTAGGCAGGCCCTAAGTGCTTTTGGCGCTAATGGATGCATTGGAGACAAAGAAATAATATCGAAGGAGGCGCCAACTCAACCATTATTGGGCCATGACATACAGCATACATACAAGTATGTCTTTTACCTCGGCGCCCGTGCGATAAGGCGATGGTGATTCAGGAGGTGGTTGCAACGCTACATATAATAAAATCTTGAACGACACACTCCGATGCTATGATGATGGCCATTCATTGAGTTCCTATAGAGCATAGAGAAATGGCAATATGGCAATAGAGCTGCGTTTTCTTCGCCAGTTAGCCACAAAATGCTCGCGACCACGGTGGATCGTCGCCTTTATCTTTTCATTTTTGCTCCTTACGTTTTACCAATTCCTACCTTCAATATTACCCACAGGATTGTCCCCATATCAGCAACTAAATGAAACCAGCTTTGGGCAGCGGGGGCTACTGGCTCAGGCGTTATACCAGCAACTACGTCAAGCGGAAGGTTCACCGTTGCAGATGACACAGAGGAAACATAAGGCTGCGGAAAAATTAGCAAAGCATCTTTTTCCCTTCATCCAGAGTCCAGATGGCTCTTCTCGTGATGATGACACACCCTTGTGGTCACTTCGGTCAACTTTTAGTTTGCATTCGAAAGGTATTGTTATTCCGGCTGGCAAGAAGAACTTGGTGTTTGCCCGCCAATCAATCCTAGCCCTTCGAGATGTTCTCAACGTCACCTTACCTATTGCTGTCGCCTATGCCGGAGATGAAGATCTTTCGCCCGACCAACAGAATTCACTTCTGGGTTTGCGACCGAATGTAGAAATGCTTGACGTCCTCACTGTGCTGTCAGACGAGTATATGAACTTAGGATCTGGATCCTGGTCAGTCAAGCCCTTTGCGGCGCTGGCTAGCCGCTTTGAGCAGGTGATTCTCATTGATGCCGATATTGTATTTGTGCAGTCCCCTGAGATCCTTTTTGACGACCTGGGGTTTCAAGAGACTGGTGCACTGTTCTTCTATGACCGGCAGTTCGAAAGGGAGCCGGGTAATCGGCGACAGAGATTCCTTGAACAGGAAACAAAAGATATAGATCTTTTAGAGTCCTGCTGCCAGAATATCTTGAAAAACGGATATACGGAAGAGCAAGACTCTGGCGTCGTTGTGCTGGACAAGAGAAGGCTGCAGGTCCTTATCGGGCTGATGCATACCTGCTGGCAGAACTCCTCGCCTGTCCGTGACAAGGTCACATACGATATATTCTATGGCGACAAGGAGACTTTCTGGATGGGAATGGCCTTGACTCAGACGCCGTACACTTTTTATAAGAATTCAGCTGGCATAGTAGGTGAACTCCGGGAGAGAGAGGGCAAGATGCATATTTGTGGGAATACCATCTCGCATTATTCCGATGCAGACCACAGGCTCATATGGTACAATGGTAGTTTACTACGAAACAAGTACATAAGCCTCTACATATACATGGTCCCTCAGTATCAGATTCTTGGTGGGCAGTGCCACTGGATGGGAAATGCTGAAGGAGATTTGAAAAGGTGCTGTTCGGATGCAGAGATACTCGCATTGACTGATTCGGAGCGTAGTGTTCTGGAGAAAAGCGTCGAGATAGCCAAGAATCTAGATGGCCACAAATGACATGTGGATGTTGTTGTTCAACAATAATAACAAATAGTATTAATAAGGTGTTGGTGCAAGATGAGGCCATCTTGTTTGCGTCCGTGTTTGTGTCAGCACACTATCGTGAGATTCTGAATACGAACATAACCGCTCTTGAAGGTCACCAGGTTCGAATATTCTACTTTTGCTGTTAGGTGATTTACGTTTTTAACTTTGGGATTTTATTGATTCAACAATGATTTCTTCATTAACAATAACCAGTATGTTATGTTCAATTTCAGTGGTAATGACAGAAATATCAGAAAAGAACACGCCCCTGAAATGTGTGTGTACTGGTGGAAGAAACAATGTCACATAAACGGCCCTCATATCTTCTGATACCTATTCATTAACCTCATTTCTCAGCGCATCGGCCATGGACTTGGACTTGAATCCAAACATTTTTACTTTAGCTACTGGCCTCGGAATCTTCAGATCTGCGGGCTGTAATGTGGAAGAGGGCAATGGCATCCTATTAAATCAAGCGAGAAGCGCTTGCGTTTACCAGTATTTAGTTGATTATTGGCGCTGTAATGAAAGCTAATTCAGTTGCGCAGCCTTTGGAATTTACTAGCATTTATTTCGCACGACAGAAATAAACTAACCATATATCATCTCAGAGCTTAAAGCGTATCAGGAAAGCAGCAATGCCGAAGTTACTATTCGACTTCCTAGTGTGTTGACAGACATGGTCTCTAATTACATCGACAAATGTTATTCCAGTAGAAAACTGACATATATAAAAGCTCTGCGTATCCAAAAACCAGAAAAGGCCTGTATGATGCCAATTCTAGCTCACAGCACCACCGGAGCAAATGCAGCTGGAAACTTCCCATTGAAGAGAAGTGATAGGTAGTTTACTTCGATACAGGGGTTTAGGCAGGCTCCAACACCGTGGGAACGGAAGCGTTGAAGACACTGACACTAATTATTTTGTTAGACTATGATAATTCGTCTTATATGAAACGGGGAATGAACCCCTACCACTTAGCGGCTCCACAGATCTCAAATGAGTCGCCAGGACAGGGAGAGCTACAGGAGCTGTCCTGAACTGGTAGTGCTTTGGTACTGAAAGACATTCCACATGCGCAGTAACTTCAGAAAAAGTTGGGTCAGTCTCCACACAATTTGATACTTTAGAATTTTTGCAACCAGAACTGGGCTCTTTAAAATACTTTTCTTGGACCCCGAGTAATTACAACCCAGTCGCCAGCATTTGATTACGCATAAATGAGGATAATTGGATGAGTGAATGTTAAGAGGAGCAGGAACTAACAATGTGCTCTGCGGAGACTCGAAAAATCCTAGATATTCATAGGCTGTATTGTTGGTGAGATGCACTGGAAAAGTATCTATCAGGGCCATTTGACTGCTCAGAGTAAAGTTGAAGGTGTTCTGAGAGTCATAATCCAAGGAGAGTGTATAGTCACCGGAATACACATATCGATTACCACTGGCGTCTGTCCTAGCAATTTCATCGAGAGTAAGGGATAGAGGCAACTTCTGTGTGGAACCAACTGCCACATTGTGCATTTTGCTGTATGAAGCCAGGTTTGGATAAGGGGTTCGTCCTGCATTTTTGGTTGAAATAAAGAGGAGGCCAACGTAATATGAAGTGCGTTTGCCCTTTCCTCCAACGTTTTTGACATCGACAGTTCCATTAACGAATGGTAAAAGATATACCCGATACGGCCTTTGTGAAGGCCATTTCAGTAATTCCTGGCGTGATGGCTGTTATTGAGTGCCATGTGTGCTGTATAAACGAAAGGGAGATCGTTGTGTCTCCTTTTTCAATTTGCTGGGAAACTTTGACCAGTAACGCGAGCACGGAATTTAGTCACCAAACCGTTTTGCGGGGTAGTGTTGTGAAAATGCTACAGAAATGCGGAGTAGAGTCATTCACAAATAGACTTTTCTACTATTTCTACGTACCACGTGCCAAATATCTTCTGAAGACGGAATCATTGATAACTAACAACCCGCATCTGAATAGAGGAAAGGTGAACCACTATTTGTATTTACTACCCCATACTTTGAGTCTCCTGATTAAACATACATTTAGCCTAATCACCCACAAAATTTCCAGATCTAGTCCTAAAATGTCAAATTAATAAACTTTAATTGGCGCTAAAAGTACAGACTAATAATGTTTCTGTACTGTCTAACACCAAAATTGGCATGTAATTGCAGTATTTGTATATTGGCCGAAAATAATCCCTAGTCCAAACCTACTGCGTTGCTAAGCCTTGGTGCTTCCCGCATTAATGGGGAAGCCAAGACTTAATACCGTTGCCAACGCGAAGGCGTTCTGCTATCCCCGCGACTAAGTGGGTTGGTTCGCCCTTGCGGGTGCTTGTCGCCGGGACTCCATACTTTGAACAGAGTCAATGAAAGTCTATTCTATATTTTTTGCACTATACGAACGGAAGCAGGTACACTGCCAGCCCACGAGAACTCCTCATGCTTATGAAAAGTTTCCGCGAGTATGGAGCTCATGGTGATCGGGACTCGTTCCTCTGTGTTCCGAGCATTCTTTTTCCTTCCAGGCGTAATACTTGCTTACACTAATGCAAAAGCGCGGGTGTAACCCTGGAACCATTCAACCAATAAATTAGCTCGGGATGAATGCACATTAGGCATATCGCTATTCAGGCTAAATAACCGAGTTGCAAGCTCTCACCACTATGAGTGGCTGCCCAGGCTCTTTGACAGTTTCAACACGATTAGTCTTCATGTCTTTTGCTAAATCCCCAATGGTCTTGAGGTTTTGGCCCACAACTAAGGAAAGTGGACCATTAACTTGTTTAGAATCCGGGAAAATTCCCCGGCTGGTATGACACCTTCATATAGTATAAATACAATGGTGTCGGTCGTCTGAGACATGAAAGTGTTGTGTTGCATATTAACCGCAATTCATTCATCCTACTGTTCTCTAATGTGTGCATCTCATCTAGTTACTCACAGATAATAGACTAGGAATTGATACGCACGAAAGGCTATCCGTCATTATGCCGGTCGCCATTGCTTCTCAGGCCCATGATGCCGCCCTCAAGCGTCGTTTGGCGCTTGCTAGCTCGACTGGGCCAATGGCTGCCTTCCAAAACCTCCGTGTTGTGGGTATTTGCCTGTTTGCGTGTATTGGCGGATTGTTGTACGGTTACAACCAGGGTGTTTTCAGCGGTAGGCGATTTGTACCTCGTGTATATTGTTATTTAGTCTCAAAACCGATAACTGATGTGCCACAATAATAGGTGTCTTGACCATGACCTCTTTTGGCAACCACATGGGTGACTACATCCAAAACTCAACCAAAAAGGGTTGGCTTACCTCCATCCTGGAATTGGGTGCTTGGTTTGGTACTCTTTATTCTGGTTTCGTTGCAGAATCCTTTAGCCGAAAGTACGCGATTTTGTTCAGCACCGGTATCTTTATTTTGGGTGTTGTTATTCAGTGTACTGGTGTTACTTCGGCAGGGGCAAACTCAATTTTGGCTGGACGATTCATTGTTGGTATGGGAGTTGGAGCGTTGTCGTAAGTTTCCTCTTTTGATTGTTTTCATGGACCGCGGAGTTGTTTCAAAGTAGTAACTGAAAAATTAGAATGATTGTGCCAATGTGTAAGATTTTCCAGACTTGTCTTCCTGCCATCTCTCTCCTCTAACAGTGATAATAGATAACGCTGAGTGCGCTCCTCCTGAAATTCGAGGTCTTCTCATCTCTCTTCAACAATTGTCAATTGAATTTGGTATTCTCATTTCCTTCTGGATTGACTACGGAACCAACTACATTGGCGGTACTGGAGAAACTCAGAGTGACGCAGCTTGGCTCGTCCCTCTCTGCCTCCAACTTGTCCCTGCAGTCATCCTTTTTGTCGGAATGATCTTCATGCCTTTCTCCCCCCGATGGCTTGTGCACCATGATCGTGAAGAAGAGGCCCGTCGCGTTATTAGAACGCTTCGTGGTAACGTCCCGAATGCTGATGAAGTCGTTGAGCTTGAATTCCTTGAAATCAAGGCTCAGTCTTTGTTCGAAAAGCGATCTACGGCCGAGAAATTCCCTCACTTGGCAGAACCAACTGTTTGGAACAATTTGAAATTGCAGTTTGTTGCTATTGGTTCTCTATTTACTTCTATGCCTATGTTTAAGCGAGTCATAGTCTCTACAGTGACCATGTTCTTCCAGCAGTGGACCGGTATTAATGCCGTGTTGTACTATGCTCCTACTATCTTCAATGATTTGGGCTTGTCTGGTAATACCACCTCTCTATTGGCCACTGGTGTCGTTGGTATTGGTATGTATCTCTTGTCAATCTTTCGTTGTGTGTGATTCAACACCCTAACGCTGAACGTGTAGTCATGTTCCTCACCACAATTCCGGTAATGTTCTACATTGACCGATTCGGACGTAAACCAATCCTCATCTCCGGTGCCTTGGCAATGGGTTTCAACCATTTGGTCATTGCAGTTATCTTCGCACGGGATTCAAACAATTGGCCAGACTATCGCGCTGCAGGTTGGGCCGCTATCGTCATGGTCTGGCTCTTCGCTGGTAATTTTGGTTGGTCTTGGGGTCCATGTGCCTGGATTGTTGTTGCCGAAGTTTGGCCACTCAGTGCTCGACCATATGGTATCGCCTTGGGTGCTAGCTCTAACTGGATGAACAACTTTATCGTCGGTCAAGTCACTCCGGATATGATTACTCATTTGAAGTACGGTACTTTTATCTTCTTCGGCGTTATGATCATCCTGGGCGCGGGTTTCGTTTATTTCTTTGTGCCTGAGACGAAGCAGTTAACTCTCGAGGAGATGGATGTTATCTTTGGTAGCCAGGGTTTTGCTGCTGCGGATCAGGAGAGACTTGATCAGATCTATCGTGAGTTGGGATTGACTGACCGCATCAGTGATACCGAGGCAGTTGAGGTGAAGGAGCACGACATCAAGGCCGAGTAAACATTTATTCACGAAGTGTTCATCTTTGAAGCCTATACTTTATTATATTCATGAACAATGTCTTGAGACCTTGTCTGTACTAGGTTCGACGGGAGTGAAATCCATTCCACACGTTTTGTGCGTGCGCCCCATACAAATCGCTGGCGGAGGCCGCAGAGACCTGTCTCAATATTTCACACTTTTTGTCTATACAGTATTTTTTTTTACATCTTACTACAAGTATTCGCCAGTGAGTCACACGGTTTCTCTAGGTGATCAATAATAAATCCTACCTAGTGCTACCCAACATGGATTTACATCCATATAAACCCAAAAATAAATTTCATAAAAAGTTAAATATAAATAAATTTTATTAAAATCTTATCTTTCCTTTCTATCCAAAATATGTAAATGGGTGAAAGTTTGGCCTTTTGATTTTAGGGTTGGGGTTATTTTTTCACTAGTAAAATTTAGGGTAAATAATGTGGCGCCTAGTTAAAGAAAAGTATATATTGCCTAATTAGGGTTTGAGCCAGATTATAATTAAACTGAGAACCCATTATAATTAGACTCGCAGGCTAGTCACCTGCCTTGGGATTGGCGTATTATGCAGCATTTATCGAGTGATAACTTTATTACAATAAACGTCTGTAATGTAGAGGATTGCAGAATGTCGTAGACCATAACCTATCCCCATACCTACACGCCAGGGAGCAATGTATTCATCCAATCCAGTCATCTCTTGTCCACACGTTGCCTCTGCTCCCTCGATGGACTCCATTGACACACAATATAGATCGACAAGACCTTTGTGAACGTTGCCCCGCTTCCTGGACCCCCGTCTTGAACCTTTTGCATATAATCGTATGTAGGTATGATTTCATTCCTGTGTTGCTCAGTACGGTTCCTGTGCAAGGCTGGGAACGGTGGAAGGCGCGAGCCCTTCCGAAAGAGCAACTACAAGAGCCGCATTATACAAAGCAGTAAACCAATGAATGCGTACATCTGATATAGCCCGCAAGAAGGGTATGTGCTCCTACCACTAATTTACAATTGCGAGACATAGCTTTCCGTATTTCTGTTCGTGTGATCTCCCGCCACATCTGTCAACTCAGACTCAGCTGACGGCGAGACACTGTTGAGATCACGATCCGTTGGAAAGCAGAGTATCCAATTATGAGAGAAGATCCGATCATCGCCTGAAAGTGGAATAATAATATTGGGGCACAAAGAAGGGTATCATTCCGCAACGGATTGGATTGGTCGTTTGTTGCGGTTGCATAATGCTTCATGACTGTGCTCAGGCTCCTGAGGACAGCTCCATACCAGCGATAGGCGTCCTTTTGAATGAGGCTGTTATCAGTTAGCCTGCTGTAATACAATAACGCCAAAGCGCGAATGCAATGCACGGTAGGCGTTGCAGTATGGCATGACACTACAAGTGATGGGAGTTCTGCCATCCAAAACGGGGAATTCGTATTGCTTCGTCGAGGCCAGTAGGACTGTACGTAAGTTGACACAAACAACAGCTCCAACGCGGACCCAGATAGGATGCGATCTGTCTGGGTGAGTCCAGAGGGTGGATCAGAAAGTGGACACTGTGGCTGGTCAATTTAGGGGGTTTTTAGGGTTATAACGAAGAAGGCGCTTGTTCTGGCACCATGGACAATGCTGTCCCGAACGCTGGCATTAAGAATATGTGGGAAATGAAAGATCACACTAAAGTTGACTCGTATTATGGTAAAGGCTGAAATATTTGTTTTTACTAGCATGTGACCCTTTGTATTTCTAGAAATTCCGTTCGTACGTCCCATTAACTTATTACCTAGGTGGTGCCTCCCCCGTACATATTTTCTTATATTCATTTCAAGCTCAAGCCTTACCCCACAGCCCCTGAGGAGTCCAGTGCTTACCTAAAAAGGCGACAACCCCTCCGAACAAGCACACGGCGCCTGCATACATGGCTGCTTGGAAAAAACCTCCATAATCATCGACCAGAACGCCATCCAGGGGAGGGCCAATGAGTCCGCCAAGCGCCCCGATGGCCATCCCCATTCCCGCGTAGGTGCCCACGTCTCGCGGGTCGGGAGCACAGACGGTGAAGGCCACCGACGCCCCCGAGATAATAGTCCCGGATGTGAAACCGAAGACAATGGAATAGACGATCAGGGCCGCGTTCGACCTGGCTTCGTTCATACAGAAGGTGACGACCCCCGTGGCAATAGCCCCAGCGGCGTATACGTTCAGTTTTCCAACTCGGTCCGCCATTATGCCCGGAATGATACGGCCGAACGTCGAGGAGGCGTTAAGAATGGCGGAAAGGTAGCCAGATAGCGTGGGGTTCATGCCTCGCAGGGTGGCGTACGTGGGAACAAAGAAGAGTGGCATGAACATGCCCATGAAAGTGAAGAACATGGAGACAGTTAGAATAATCAGTCTCATGTCTTTGAAGGCTGCAGAGATCCAGAAAGAACGAGCTCGCGGTCGCAGGCGGGCTTTCACGACGAAACTTGCGAAGCCGAGGAGGGGAAGGATCAGAAAGCCAATCACACGAATACTCCACCCAAAGCCCAGATTGGTGCTGTTCAACATTTTGGACAAGGCCATGGGGATAACGATCCCGCCCACCGATGAACCTGAGACCGCGACGCCGATGGCCGCGGCCCGTTTCTTGTCGAAGTACTGCGAGAGCGCAGCCATGGAGGGGAACTGTAGAAGGCCCATCAACGGGCCCATAAAGACGGCCTGACAGAGCATTATTTGCCAGTACGTCTTACACAGACTCAGCAGCATCATAGCTACGATGTAAAGGACGGCTGACGGGCGGAGGATCTACTTGTAATTAGCATACGTAAGTACGTCCTAACACGACTACCCATGAGGCATACCTTTGCACCAAATCGATCAAACAAGGGTCCTCCAACCATGCCGGAGAAAAACTGCAAGAAAGCTGATAGCGACCCGATCCAAGCAACGTCATCAGCCGACTTTCCCAGAAGTTGATGCGTCATGTAGTAGTCCGCCAGGGGACCAAACGAGTTGGAAAAGCCCAGGCAGCTGAAGAAGATGCAGAAACTGCCTGCAACAACAAGCCAGGCCTCGAGGCCACCGTCAGGTACTGTATCGTCATCGAAATTTTCATCTTCGGCATGAGCCAGAGGGATCTTCGCTTCTTGACCTAGATCTGAGTCATCGACAATCGGTCTCTCGTCCTGCAACAGTTCGCTTGGGCTTGTCTTGCTATGTATTTCAGAGTCTGCCATCCTGTTGGAAGCTGCATAGGGTGAGGACAGAAAAGTATGAATGACTGCTGAATCTAAAATCAAACCCCATAGCGACATTAAAAGAGGTAAATATAAGGAGCTGTCCAAATCGGGGGAAGACCTCGGGGCCGTCATCGGATTTAATCTCGGGGCCGTCAATATGGCGGGAAATGGCACGCAACAGATGCTACATGCGCAGTAACCCCAAGTCAACTACTAAATAATGATAATTACAGTACATGGACAGCGCATACATATATCTCAAAGATTTATCAGAAATATAAGCAAAGCGAGATCAGTACAATTTACTGGACTAACATTATATTATATTTATCTTTATACATTCCTGCTTTTATAAAGCTTCTTTTATGTTAAACCATAATAGAATCTATATTTGAACCCATATTTGCCTCGTTCCGTTACAGATGGGAAGGATTAAAATATTTCTTATTTGTTCAGTGGGAAGTTTTAGTGATTTAATAAATCTATATTTATATTAGTAGTTATGTGATGGAATGTAGCACTTTATAACTGACATGGAAGTGCATTTGCACACAACACTACAAGTTGTAGCTTCTGGCGCGCCAACCCCCTCATTTATAAATTACTAACCCACGCAATAGGCTGGTTTGCTGAATCGGGCGTGATTCTGATCCTTGCGAGCTCATAGCCCACGGGGGTTATTTTCACAATGCTACACTCTCATCCCAAGGCCTAGCCCCTCCTAGCCCCAATGCCTACCTAACCCCTTTTTACTCGCCGCTAGATACCTATATACACGCAAGATAGGCCCTAACGAACAAAGCGGAAAACTCGGGGTGAAATTCGTTCTAATACTTCTACTGACAGACTATGATTAGATTCAAGTCGAATAAGATCTTGCAGAAATGGTGTCCGGCTTTACTGGGATTAAAGTGGTCATAAATCTGCGTACGAGGACATAATAACCTACTCCATAACAAAATAAAATACAATATAATATCTAAGTATTCTTTGACGCCCCAGGCGCTTTTCACAGACCCCTCGTTTCAGTGCTATTTAATATATTGTCCTCATTCCAGTATCAAAGTATTGACCCCGGCCCTGCTCACAAATAACGCCTACAATGGAGAGAAAGCCTTCCCAAATCATCCAGAAGAGGATAATGTATTGCGGCCGCTGCTGGAGGAGTCCCTTCAGCTGGAACGAGCAGTCCAGCTCCAGTATGCCCAAGCGAACCCTGAGTTGATTTAAGTCCTAAACCCTACCAACGCGCACACTGGCGGCCTGCCTGAGGATTGACCCCTCGGAAGGCTTTGAGACTACAGTGTCCCTAAACGATATCTCCTTGCCTCTAGATTCTGGGATACTAGATACTGATAAGGCCTAATGAAAGTCTTTAAACAGCTGTCTAGATATAAAACTTTGATCAGCTAATTTGTAGCTAGATAATAGAAGAATAAGGGGCAAGGATAACCTATAGTTCAGACATTAAAACGTGTCGCTTTTTAGAACTCACTGTACATAACCCAACCTATGCATTCCTAACAATAAAAAGAACACACTCCGAGCCATATATTCCCCGAAATTCCGCTACCTAAATAAACCCACCCTTAATCAAGACATTAATACTTGCTATATTCGTCTTCCTTGCAATCGCAATCGTCTCTTTCGTGGTAGTTTATGCTATCGGAACAAGAGCCGTCTCATCAGTCTCTAACCACATACTCACTAACCTATGCACCGCCTCAGTCGCATATCCCTTCCCCCAAAAGTCTGGGTGAAAGGTGTACCCTTGTTCCCATCTGAGATGGTCTGCGCGTTTGGTACGCTCAAGTTCCACATATAAGGACCCAACGATACAGCCTATAAATAGAATCAGTATGTCTATATAGGCGCGGAAATAGAAATAGAGCAATCTTAGGCCACATTATCTTACCCTTACTCTCTTTATCAGGTAGTGATACATTATCCGCAAGTATGTCCCTCACCGCTTACGCAATCTTTAGATTTGATGGTGAGAACTTCCAAACCCATTGTCTAGTATCTGAGATATTTGTATCAGGGACGTTTTTGATACTATTCAGAATATTTCGTAATATTTTTTTAAACTCCAATCGTTTCAAATACATCCAACTTTCATGGGAAATTAATAATACGTACCTCTCCTTCCTAGCATCTTCCCGACACCGGATATCATACATGCTCTCCACATCGCTGCCAACTACTGGACGAAGTTCTAGACACATAGTTGGTGTGGAAAACTGGAGGGATCGGCTCCATGGTGAAAGGATATAATAAGATGAAATAACGTGATAATGACTGAAATCAAAATTATCATATGTTTAAAGGATATGAAATTACCGTACAGTATATACAAGAAATTGCTAAGTTACGTATAAAATAAGTCATACCTCGACATGTGTAGCCAGTAACAACTAAGTCCGTGGTGTTTTAACTATGAGATATGAAATAATAAAATGTTATTAATATAATATTAATTAATTTTGTATATAGTTATTATTGTGGATTAAAAATTGAGATTTGAAATTGATATGGAGCGTGTATTCGGAAGTGGTGGATTACGTTAGGGACATTGGGAGCAATAGTGCTGAATAGAATAATATAAAACAATTAATAAAAGGATTATAACCAAGCATTTAGATTTAGTCCTAATAAGTTATAATAATATAGATGAAAACTAAAATATAATATTCTATAGGAAGATATGTTCATCTACTGTATGCTAGATCCTTGGTGGGCAGTACCACCGGATAGCAGACGCTGATGCAAACTTAGAATGCTGCTGTTCTTGATGCTGAGATACTCATATTGACTGATTCAGAGCATGGTGTTCTTAAGAGAAGTGTCGACATAGCGAGGGAATCTAGATGGCTAACAACAGGATATTGTTTTGCTTTTTCGGCTGTCATCACGTGAGACCAAGGCGACTTTGAGGACACCACATGTCTGAAACGTGGCTGCCTGTGGAGATGCATATCCAAAGATTCCAAACCAATACAAATGTTAATGCAATACGGAGAATAATATCAAGTTAACTGTGTAATCTTCTTATTAGCTTTATCCCGGGCTGGGTGGCTCCACCAGGCATGTGACTGCAATATTAATAATGGCCCATAGCATCATCGTCCTAAGCTCCTTCCGTGATTCAGTGCAGGCTAACACCAACCGTCCCGGGCGAGGACTGCCCACGCCTTCATAGTATCATATCAATTGATATCATTATATATATATTGTTCATATCGTGTTTGTTTTCCATGGTTATCCCTCTAGCGCCATTCTGCTCGATCTAGGTGCAGTGTCTCCTTACTGCGCAAGTTCCCAGGAGGACCTTGCAAGCACAACAACAGAGAGGGTGTTACCCCTCAACAAAGACTGAGACCCTTCTTAGCAGTGTAAAGAGAATACTCCGGCGGTGATAGGTAAGCCAACCCCGACATTCTGCATTCTGCTGCCATATGGCAAGATTCCTCAGGTTCAGGTGACCGGGTGATCATTCCGATGTCCATCCTCGTGCCGGCTCTGCCCCCCGTGGACATTACTGGTGTGCCTACGAGTCATGGGGTTTCGGCCCTTACTACATGCGATATATAGATTCGAATGCCCGCTTACATTTCTTGTAGCCCCAGGTTCATCCGCAAAAAGGCCACAACCGCGACATGGCTCGCTCAGTCCACGCCGTCTTGTCGTCTTCGTACGATGACGATGACGACGATGACTATGCCCCGTACCCGGCACCGATAACAGCTCCGGTTTCTCCCACGTATCGACGACGTAGAGCATCAGCCCGCGAAACTGATAGCTTGCTCGATAACGACCCACTCCACTACCGAAGATCGACTTACGGGACCTCGAGGCCGGAAACGTTCTTCAGGTACAATACAACAAGTACCCTCCGTCGGTCTCAACACCACAGCCGCGTCGGCTCACAGAACACTCGTTTTGTGCCTGCTCTAAACAGGCAGGAGAGTGATGCAAATGATATCAACAAGGATGGCTTCATGGGTTCATCGTTCCTAGACGAGCGTCTATGGTACGATCAGTTCACGTCAATAGACTGGGTCCATGATAGTATCAAAGACGGAATCCGTCTGCGGCAACTGAGAAGCCGCAAGGACTTCCGGGGCCGTGTTCTTGCCCTATTAGATGGCGCTCAGGGCTGGGTGTTGGTAGCTTTGATCGGCTGTATCACCGCCGCTATCGCTTATTTCGTCGACGTGGCCGACAAAAGTGTTTTTGACCTCAAAGAAGGTGTCTGCACTGGCTCATGGTTATCGAGCCGGAAAACATGCTGCTCTGGTGAGGGTTTCTGTGATGAATGGCGTTCGTGGTCTCAAATACTAGGATTGTCTCGTGTCGATAATGAACAGGTTGACTTGGTCCTGTATGTCCTTTGGGCTGTGGCGATGGCTGTGGTTTCCTGTATCTTAACTATGTTCACAAAGACGGTTGTTCCTTCAACCATCTCCCTGTCTACATTGGACGAGAATCTAGGGGCCGAAAGTGAGCCAGGACCTGCCAGCCCAAGTGGGTACTATACGAAACTGCGAAGCAACCCGGCCATGGTCTACTACTCGGCTGCAGGTAGTGGTGTGGCGGAGGTGAAGGTCATCCTAAGTGGTTTTGTGTTACACGGTTACCTCGGTCTAAAAACACTTATCTTCAAAACTCTTGCCCTAGTCCTATCGATCTCATCTGGAATGAGCTTGGGAAAGGAAGGCCCTTATGTGCATATTGCTACCTGCGTTGGTAACATTTGCAGTCGAATGTTCACGAAATATCGAACAAACGATGCCAAACGCCGTGAAGTCTTGGGGGCTTCGGCCGCTAGCGGCGTGGCCGTGGCATTCGGCGCTCCTATCGGTGGTGTTCTTTTTGGATTGGAAGAAGTCAGGTAAACAACGACATTCAACTTGTAGTATCATATTATTAACAGCTAGCCAGTTACTATTTCCCGCCAAAAACCCTTTTTAGAACTTTTTTCTGCTGCATTGTAAGTGACTTTTTCATATTCATGTTTTCAAGCTAATTTCATTCAAAGGCCGCCACTTTATCCTTGAAATTTCTGAACCCCTACGGCACAGGAAAAATTGTACCATTTGAAGTGCGATACGTTTCTGACTGGGAAATTTTTGAAATGGGTCTTTTTATTCTTCTTGGTGTTTTAGGAGGCGTCGCCGGCGCATTGTTTATCAAAGGAACTGGTATGTGGGCGAGATCATTTCGTCGGATATCAATTATCAAAAGGTGGCCTATTCTGGAAGTCGCTTTAGTGGCTTTTATTACCGGCATAATTAGCTTTTGGAATCGGTATACAAAATTGGGAGTGGCCGAACTCTTGGAGGAACTCACAGTACCTTGTGACCCTACTGGTGTAACAAAAACGGGTCTCTGCCCTGAGAAGGATGAGATCCTGGGAGTCGTGAAGTATTTGCTTTGGGCATTCGTGATCAAGGGATTTTTAACAACAATCACTTTCGGTTTGAAAGTGCCTGCTGGCATTTATGTTCCATCCATGGTTGTAGGCGGTCTCATGGGACGGATGGTTGGCCATCTGACCCAGTACTTCGTGGTTACATATCCGGATTTCTTTCTCTTTGCAAACTGTCCGGCCGAGCCAGGAGTTGAGTCCTGCGTTACTCCAGGTGTCTATGCCATGATTGCAGCAGGAGCTACTATGTGTGGTGTCACGCGACTATCCATTACCCTGGCAGTCATCTTGTTTGAACTAACTGGCAGCTTGAACCATGTGTTGCCATTCTCTGTTGCCATCCTCTGCGCTAAGTGGACTGCCGATGCGATCGAACCTCGCAGCATTTATGTAAGTGAAGATTAAATTGTAAATGGTCAGAGAGATCTAACATTGCAATACAGGATCTCCTTACGGATATGAACGACTATCCGTTCCTTGATAATAAAGGCCACCCTGTGAGCGACCAAACTCTGGGCGATCTTAGCAGATCTACAGGAAAACATCGTATTATCGATATATCTCGATCTCCTCTTGTCAAGGCCAAAGATTTGCGAGGAAAGCTTGACTACCTCCTTATGGCCGGTGAACTGGATAGCGCGTTGCCGATTGTGCGGGACACAATTCTAGTCGGCTTGATTCCGATTACGGATCTCGAGTTTGCACTGGATAAACTTGATGACGAAGATACAGAGTATTGCATCATGTCTCATGATTCAACTTGGACAGACAATAGCAGTGAGCATGAAGAGGGTGCCGAGGTGGTGCATGATTTCACTATCTACATCGACCCAGTAAGTTTAGGCTTTATATATAATGTATTTATGCTAATGGAAACCCCTAGTCTCCTGTGGCACTCGATGTCCATTCCCCCTTGGACCTGGTCTATCAATGCTTCGTCAAGCTGGGGCTACGTTATATCTGTGTCCTCGGTAACGGCAAGTTCCAGGGCTTGGTTCACAAGAAACAATTCGTCAAACATATGAGAGAGCTAGACAAGATCTAGTGGATTTGCATAGCATATATATTGCATCTTTTTATTATTTGTTCGCATGAAGCGATGGCGTTGGATTATCACACCCTTTTGAGAATTTGCATATATAGCCTGATTGTTCGCTGGGTATATTGGTTGATTATTGCGTTTCTTCTGCCTACTCTACTTAGACCAATGTACATTTCAATCAAGACTGTCTTTCATAACCAACCACCCTAATAGAGACCTCACTGTCCTCTAACCACTCCGAAGAAACCTCCTCCCCAACCCATTGTGATACTTCAGCAGCGCTCGCCTCTCGCCATTTATTATCATTACTCAAATCGTCATCCGTAAGCGGGAAAAACGTGTCACAATCAAACCCACCCTCCCCAGACTCCGGCCCTTTCTTAACCCTCGTCATCAAAATCCTCAACTTCTCTCCAAATGCTCCCTGCTCCGCTGACAATCTCAGAGCAGAGGCATATATCTCCCCTCCCCCAATCACAAAAACACTACCTACATCCGCCCTCCGCGCGAGCGTAGCAAGCGCATCATCCAAACTATTCGCTACGACCGCACCACGCCTCGTCCGACCACCCCGTTCTTTCTCCGCATCCTTTTCTCTCTGCCTCTCCAAATCCCCCTCAATCTCCTCCCTCACACCACCCACCGTATCCCGCGTAATGACCACATTCAAGCGATCCTTTAGCGGCCGCAGACTCTTCGGTAGCGAGTAATACGTCTTCCGACCCATGACAATCGCATTCAATGCCCCTGCCCCCGTTGTCTCTGTACCAGTGGGAAGACGCGTTGAGACGCGCGCAAAAAAGTTCATGTCGGATTTTATGCGTGGCCAGGGGAGCGTCCCGTTCTTTCCTATTCCGAGGAGTGTCTCCCCTTGCGGGGAGGGTTTGATGGGCGTTGTGGCGACGATTAGAGTGATGGGGTTGCGCATTGTGGTTGGTGCTGCGCCGGGTTGAGACATTTCGTGGGGGCTAAGGGGTGAGGGAAGAGATAATGGACTATTTGTCGCTTCTCTTTTTTCTTTCTTTTTTTTTGATTGTTTGCTGGAGGAGGTTGGATTGATGTGTTGTGTTGCTTTTGCCGGTTTCGGGAGCCTCCTCAATGAACGTGTTCCTAGTATTGGACTAGAAAAGCGCGTCGATGGTTGATGTAGCGTATTAATGGCGAGTTAGATATTTGTTTGCATAAGTATCGTTATAAATGTATGTTCTGTATATTAGAGGTCGTGTCTGTCCGAAGAGAAATTCACGAGACGCGAGGAGGGAAAGGATATGCGATAAGATAAAGACTTTCCTTGGATCTAGAACTACGGTACCTGGCCATTTAGTCATACTTGAACGTGCACCCTTCAAAAGTAGAGCATCTACAAATCGCATTCATGCTCAATAGTATATTTGATCACACATCACACTCAATCTATCCATCCATCATAACGCCGATGTACCCATACACAGACACCCAAACGCCTTCCCCCGCTATGTATATCACTAACATTAATCCAAATACCAACCAAACCCATCAATCAGAACCATTATTTCGTATTCACGTTTGACCCATTCATAAGCGCCTCTTGGATCGCCTCTTGAACCGCATGGGCGTTTTCTTCAAGCTCTTTGTTCCTTTTCAGGTCATGTTCATCTTCGCCGACGGTGTGGAGTTTCTCGAATAACCATACTTCTTTCATGAAGCGTGTGAGTGAGAGGATGTCTTCCGCCGCGCGGGTCTGTAGGCAGCAGTATGAGCATTACACACGCACGCACACACACATATATATATATAGTCGGGTTCGTGGGGAGAAGACTACTTACAAGAGCCGCAGCCTCGACGTTGAGGTTATACGTGCCGACAGCAGTGTATGTGTTATCAGGGGTGTCAACCTAATTGGCGACGAAACTATATGTAAATAACAATATAATTCATATCAAGAGGAATATATGTACGAACCCTTGCAGGGGCAATGATGTTTTCGAAACGCTGGAGGAGTTGCGTGACATTCGTATTAATGCGGTCTGCAATGCCGCCCGATATAATTAGCTTCTTGTTCTGGGGTTTGGGAAGATGAAATGTGTGGCTTGGTCGCACTGTGTAGAGCTTTGCTTGTAGCTTGTGAATCCATGTTTACATGGATTTGAAATGGGTCCTTGGAGGGATATGTATTGAATAGTTGAAGCCGAGGATTCGGCGTAATATTGATGGTGGGCCGATTATATTGCCAACTTAATTTGGAGCGGTGGGTGAGGCGGTGGGGATTTGAATAAGTGCCAGCTATAGATTAAATGCTGCTGCATTTGGACTTGAATTCTTGTTTACGATTGGGTTGGATTTACAGCAAGAGCTAGTATATTATATTCATTTGTGTGAAATATCTAATTTGTAGGATATGCTAAGAAAACGCCAAACTCCACCACAGCGCTGGAAATGTCTATCGTACATATTTTGACTAGAACACGGTTAATCAGAGGGTAATAATAATGCTAATTCGTAGGTAGTACATACCATAAATCGTTTGTGGAAGTCAGAACGCAGGAGATCCTATGTGATTTTAGTATATTGTCAATTATGATGAGCAGCCGAACCTACGTTGACGAATTCTGGGCCCTTTTTGGTTTCAGTACCACGAGCTTGGTTCTTGAAGACGACATCATCATCCCATCGCCGTTTCATGTTGAAATCTTGTGGGTTCAACAGCGGGTTGCCGCGTGCAATATCGAATTCCCGCTGTTCTTGCTCTTGGGCTTGTCGCTCGAGCTCCTGGATCGATTGTTAGTAAATCTCAAATCTCAAGTTGGCTTAGTTTCTCGAGAATTACCTCTTTTTCTTTTTGTTCCTGCCTCTCCTTTTTGATCTTCTCGAGTTCTCGCATTAGCTCTGCAGCTTCATCTTCGTCATCACTAGACTCCCTGTCAACTCGACCATCATGACAAATTTCGTGCATATGACAAACCTCTCTTCCTCGCTACTCTCACTATCTGACCCCACAGAATCCGCATCTATATCGCGAGTCTCTTCTAAAATCCGTCGCCGTTTGGCTTCCAGGTCTTCTTCGTCCAGATTCTCCTGCACGTTCTCTTCGAGATCTCGCTTACGGTTGGAAACAGGCTGCGCCGAGGATTCTTCGCTGACACCATTCTTCTTTGCAAAATGTGCGGCTTCAGCTGCCAATAGCTCTGCTCTCATATCCCGTGGTTGATCTGCATCGCCGCCTTGGCCTGGTTGGCTGGAAGTCGGTCAGTTGTAGCTGCTTTCGTGTGTACACTGCCTTACATACCGGACTTTAAGGTGCATATAAGCTGGGAGAAGGCGTTGGTGATAGGCTGGACCCCGGAGAGCCTCTTTACCCTGGGCCTATGCTTTGGTCAGTCGCAAATGGTATCGCAGATATGAGATTTGACGTACCGGGTCGAATGTAGGGCGATGTGCTGCGAGATGTTAGCAAAAATAATTAGACACAAGAGAATTAGACAAGCCTTACCTGTAGTCATATTGAAAATGCGAATTTACAGCTTTCTTTCAGTTGCGAAGTTGTCAATGTGGCATATGTGATAGACGGCGTGCGGAATGAAGAGGTGGGCAGTTGACCGCCTTCAGATGATTGGCCACCACGCAAGGAACGTCGAGATCTGCCGCCAAAAGTTCTTCGGAGCTCTTTTGGAGACGAAACATCAACTACTGAGTGCTGACAGATTGACAGTCTTTTTGTTTTTTGTTTTTCATTTAATGTCCTCTTGTTCTACTGCGCCATGTCAAAAGAGACTGCACTGTCAATTGCTGAGCGCGACTTCATCCACGAAGCCCTGCTTCAGAATGTCCGTTTAGACGGGCGAGACGCTGATTCTTTCCGCCCTCTATCCGTGTCGTTTGGAGATGAGTATGGACACGTCAAGGTTAGGCTGGGACAGACGAGGTTGGCAATGACGATCTGATTATTCTGCTCCATGCTAAGCAGTCTGTTTTGATAGTTTGGTTGTGCGCATATCCGCTGAAGTTGCGCAACCCCGCGATGACCGGCAAGCTGATGGCATCTTCCTGATCGCCCTAGAACTTACGACCATGGGCTCACCCGCGTGGGAAAATCTACGGTATTATAACTATTACAGTACCCTCTAAAGTGCTGGCTAATGATGTCAAGGCAAACTGACCTTGAGACTTACGTATCGCGTGTCCTCGATCGCGTAATCCGTCACTCTAATGCCCTTGACACGGAGTCTTTATGCATCCTCAAAGGAAAAAGCTGCTGGCATATCCGTGCCGATGTCCATGTGACCGAATTTGACGGCAATCTCATAGACAGTGCCTGCATTGGTATAATGGCGGGCTTGCAGCATTTCCGTCGCCCAGATATCGAGGTGAAAGAGGGCCAGGTTACAGTGTTCAGTCTCGACGAGCGAGTGCCGGTGCCGCTGAACATCACACACAAACCGCTTTCAGTTACATTCCAGACATTCCACGAGGGAAAGGTTCTGATTTTAGATGCTACCCGCAAAGAGGAGCAGGCATCCGAAGGAGATTTGATCATTGCACTGAACAATTCGGGGGAAACATGCGCTCTCTACAAATCTGCAGGAAGTCCTGTCAGTGCCATTGACGTTATCAACAAGACCGGTCTCGCGTTGCAGAAGGTGCGAGAGATCAACGCAGTAATTAGCAAACATCTCGAAGCCGACCTGGCAAGGCGCGCAAAACAAAACCGTGCGGTCGAAGCCAGTGCCGAAAACGACAGAGAGGGATGAGATGAAACGCTTGCATGGTAACAATAAAGTAGAATTCCGTACCAGACCTGCATCGTATCTCAGGCCACCGACCAGCCAGAGCCAAAGCTTACATTTGCACAGCCGGCGGTTCGTATTCATAATTAGGTGTCTTGTGGCGGGCCCCTGTTTTGAAGCGGTTTCACGGTTGCCTGGACGGTGGACCACCATCATTACTTCTCCCATGGCGGTGCAACCGATCAACCCTTGGGAGTAGATGGAGCGGCCCTTGAATGCGCATGAACAGGGAAATTAGCTGTCAAACAGAACATCGATTGATCGGTGCATTGGGTGTTGGGCTGCTGGAGAATAGAAACAACAATAGTTAATTAACAATAATGATTATATAGTCCGAGCCAAACATGATACGCGCCGAAAATAGGATGTTCGCGAATAATAATAGCCCGTAGGGAGCATTCGTAGGGAAGCGTGGCTTAGGCTCACCTGCCGCCCGTGCCTCGCCTGATTGGCGCCCCAGGCAAGACATCGACCCAGCCCAGCTCTAGCACTGCTAGTAGTACGTACTAACTGCGAACTGCCTTCTGTATCGCCTCGGAGCTGACATTTTACTGCCACCGCAGAGAAAAGGCAAGAAATTATCAACAGTGCCTGTAGACTCCCAAGTCACCGCGCGAGGCCGTTGCTGAAGACAATTATCCCCTTCGCATCCGCGTGTCTATCCCTCCGTCGCAACAAACACACCCGTCGCCATCCCTCACCGTGCCGGCCAATGCTTCAGGGGTTTCTTCGTTGACGCATCTCCCCCACCACTACATCCCTGAGGAGGGTGTTTACCCGCCCTGTATACGATGGCCAGCGGTAGGCCTCCTGGACGAAGCCATCCGTCCGCTGGCCGCGATGGCGACTTGCTGCAGCTCGATGAGCATGGCGGCCAATCCGTGTACAACAGCGGCCAGCGCCCCCCGGTGAACGACGACCACCTGTTGGAGCAGTACAACATCGACGATTCCGATCAACCGCGCCCGTCTGTTTCCTACGATGATTTCGTTGGAGCCAGAAATGCCGCTGCTGGTGGTGCGCATGGCGATTCAAACCGGCACCTGGATTCCTCCGCGAGCAACCCATACCTTGGCGCGCCTGCACACCGGACATACTCGCAGACATCCGACCTGGACAACTTCCAACGCTATTCCGATGTCGATGACTACGAAGATGGACACATGCATGGATACTACAATGATATGGACGATGAGCATCTGCCATCGGGCAGGGTGCGACAGCAACATGAGCGCAATAGTATTTTGGGGCTGGGCGGTGGACTGATGGGCAAAGCGAAGAACATGCTCGGCATGGGTTCGGAGTACTCAGAGATGGATCTACCACTGACAGAAGCTGGAGCTAGGAGGTCACAACTCGGCGATGATGCCAGTTCTGCAAAACCGAAAAAGAAAGGCTTCAGCTCTTCAAGCTTCAAATTCGGTAGGAGGAAGGTCGATCCAGCGTCTTTGGGGCCCCGGAATATTTTGCTCAACAATGCACCTGCCAATTCTGCCCAGAAATATGTCGACAACCATATCTCGACCGCCAAATACAACATTATCACCTTCATCCCCAAATTCCTCTACGAACAGTTTTCCAAATATGCCAACTTATTCTTCTTGTTTACCGCCGCCCTACAACAGATTCCTAACGTCACGCCTACGAACAGATACACAACCATTGTCCCGCTAGGTATTGTCCTATTGGTCTCCGCCATTAAAGAGCTGGTTGAAGATTATAAACGAAGATCCTCGGATAATTTACTGAATACAGCCGGAGCCCTCGTTTTGAAAGGGTCTCAATTTCAAGAGACCAAATGGCTAGACGTTGCTGTGGGCGACATTGTCCGCGTTGAGTCTGAAGACCCCTTTCCTGCGGATCTGGTTTTGTTAGCTAGTTCTGAACCCGAAGGTCTTTGCTATATTGAAACCGCCAACCTGGATGGTGAGACCAATTTGAAGATAAAACAGGCCATTCCAGAAACAGCCCACCTTGTCAACCCTAGCGACCTAAGCCGATTGAGTGGACGTCTACGATCAGAACAACCGAATAGCAGTCTCTATACCTACGAAGCCACATTGACGATGCATGCTGGAGGAGGGGAAAAGGAGCTGCCTATTTCACCGGAACAACTTCTTCTTCGTGGCGCAACTCTCCGCAACACTCCTTGGATTCACGGAATTGTTGTTTTCACCGGCCACGAGACGAAATTAATGCGAAACGCCACAGCCACCCCTATCAAGAGAACTGCGGTCGAGCGTACCGTGAATCTGCAAATTTTGATGCTGGTTGCAATTCTTATCGGTTTGAGTGTTATCACCTCGGTAGGTGATCTAATCATGCGCAAAACGTCGAGCAGCAAGCTGGCCTATCTGGGCTACGGTGACTACCAGGTTGCCAAGCAATTTTTCATGGACATTGCTACCAACTGGGTTTTGTTTTCCAATCTGGTGCCAATCTCACTCTTCGTCACAATTGAAATCGTCAAATACTTCCAGGCTTTCCTGATCAATTCCGATTTGGACATGTACTATGACAAAACCGATACGCCAGCCACCTGCCGTACCTCATCTCTCGTTGAAGAACTTGGGCAGATCGAATATATCTTTTCTGACAAGACGGGCACTTTAACCTGCAATATAATGGAGTTTAAACAGTGTTCAATCGGCGGAATTCAATACGCCGGTGAGGTTCCGGAGGACCGGAGGGCGACGATGGATGAAGAAGGAGGCATCTACGACTACAAGCAACTTCAAGAAAATTTACAGACTCACCCGAGCTCAGCAGCTATCCACCATTTCCTCACGCTGCTTGCTACATGCCATACAGTGATTCCCGAAAAGAGAGATGATAAACCTGGTGAGATTAAGTATCAAGCTGCGTCTCCTGATGAGGGGGCATTGGTTGAAGGTGCTGTGACTCTTGGATACAAGTTTACAAACAGAAAGCCTCGGACTGTGCAGATCACGGTGGGTGGACAGGAATACGAATATGAACTCTTGGCTGTGTGTGAATTCAACTCGACTAGGAAACGAATGTCGACTATTTACCGATGCCCGGATGGCAAGGTCAGAGTTTACTGCAAAGGTGCCGATACAGTTATCTTGGAGCGCTTACATCCGGATAACCCAACCGTGGAGGTGACGTTACAACATTTGGAAGAATATGCTTCTGAAGGATTGCGAACGTTGTGTTTGGCCATGCGAGAAGTTCCAGAGGAGGAATACCAACAATGGATTCAAATCCATGAAAAAGCCGCCACCACGGTTAGCGGTAACCGTCAAGATGAGCTGGATAAGGCTTCTGAACTTATCGAAAAAGACTTTTACCTTCTCGGAGCGACTGCTATCGAGGATAGGCTGCAAGACGGTGTTCCTGACACCATCCACACCCTTCAGCAAGCCGGTATAAAGGTTTGGGTGTTGACTGGTGATAGACAAGAAACCGCTATCAACATTGGGATGTCCTGCAAGCTTATCTCTGAAGATATGTCATTACTCATTGTTAACCAAGAAAATTCCGCGGCTACGCGGGAAGATATTTCCAAGAAACTTCAAGCAGTGCAGAGTCAACTTGCTTCTGGAGGCGAGATCGAGCCACTTGCACTAATCATTGATGGAAAATCATTGACTTTTGCATTGGAGAAGGATATGGAGAAAATGTTTTTGGACCTCGCAATCTTATGCAAAGCAGTTGTTTGCTGGTAAGTTACCCTCATCTAGTCTTGCAGAATGCGACTTAACCGGTTTTAGTCGTGTCTCGCCTCTTCAAAAAGCACTTGTTGTCAAACTTGTCAAGCGTCATTTGAAATCCCTCCTTCTGGCTATTGGCGATGGTGCCAACGACGTGTCCATGATCCAAGCGGCCCATGTCGGCGTTGGTATCAGTGGTGTCGAAGGACTTCAAGCCGCACGTGCTGCCGACGTTTCGATTGCGCAGTTCCGCTTCCTGCGTAAACTTCTTCTTGTTCACGGTTCCTGGGCATACCAGCGTATTAGTCGAGTCATCTTGTTCTCGTTCTACAAAAATATTGCGTTGAACATGACTCAATTCTGGGTAAGTCTGATGGCTTCGTTTTATGATAGTATGCTAACAAACCACAGTATGCCTTCCAAAACGCTTTCTCTGGAGAGGTCATTTACGAATCATGGACGTTATCTTTCTACAACGTCATTTTCACCGTCTTCCCCCCATTCGTCCTCGGTATTGTGGATCAATTTATCTCGGCTCGGTTGTTGGATCGCTATCCACAGCTCTATCAACTCGGCCAAAAAGGTGTATTTTTCAAGTTTTCAAACTTTTGGTCTTGGATTCTCAATGGCTTCTACCACTCCCTCCTTGCCTATATTATCGGCGAGGGCGTTTTCTACAACGACCTCAAGGAGCAGAATGGCATGGCTACAGGCCACTGGGTTTGGGGAACTTCCATGTACACGGCGGTTCTCGTCACGGTTCTTGGAAAGGCATCTCTCATCACGAACATCTGGACCAAGTACCACGTCATGGCTATTCCTGGATCTCTCCTTCTGTGGTTGATATTCCTTCCCGCATATGGTTACGCAGCGCCTGCGATCGGATTTTCACGGGAATACCAAGGTATTATCCCAGTCGTTTTCTCAATACCCCAATTCTATTTGATGGCCTTGCTCTTGCCTGCCGTATGCTTGATTCGTGACTTTGCATGGAAATATGCGAAACGAATGTACATGCCGCAGGCCTACCACCACGTCCAAGAAATCCAAAAGTACAACGTGCAGGACTACCGGCCAAGAATGGAACAATTCCAAAAAGCCATCCGCAAAGTCCGCCAGGTGCAACGTATGCGCAAACAGCGTGGTTATGCCTTTAGCCAAGCTGACGAAGGTGGACAACAAATGAGAATTGTGAATGCTTATGATACGACCAAAAGTCGTGGCCGATATGGTGAGATGGGTAGCTCACGGCCACTGCAATGACCTGTTTTTTTTCTTCTTCTCGACTTGCTTACATGCTGTTGTGTGTGTTTTTATTCGCTGTGTGCGTGTCATTGGAGGACAGCGCTTGGAAATATCTCATCCTCTTGTAATTTTTGAGAAAGCCTCTATTCTTTTCATCCTATTGTGTATTCATTAGCCCTTTAGCATTATAGCGATTGGTGAGGACAATATATATACCTTTCAGTTGACGTTTGAGTCTTTCGATATAAGATAACAATATGCACGAATAGAGTTGGATAATTGTCGGCCCGAGACGAGCATGCGGGGATGACGTGACATCAGCAGTAATAGTTCGCTGTAGGCGGGGTCTATAATATTACTTTATCGTACTTTATCGACGACACTTCGACAATAATGATTTATTTCATTGACCTAATCTGATTATGGGCAGTTAAACTAATATCAACGGTCGATGCATGAGTCTGGATAGCACCTGCTATTGCTCCTACCATTACCATGGAGGACATGCAACTCCCCATGTTGACTACACAATTGATATACTAATCAACGATGCATTATATCTCGACCTATATATATAGCCATGCAAATGCGCCAACATCGATATAACCACATCTAGTATATAATATACCCGAACAGATGGCGGTATCAACTACCAGAGCACTAACATCCTCACCCATCGCGACAACCCCGCTGCCTCTTTTTGCAAACTGTCCACCAATTTTTGTTCTCCCCACTCGCCTTGACCTGGAAACCCTTCATTCTATTGAAGAAGAGCTCACCAGGCATGCAGCCTCTCTGACATATGACATTTCCGAGGCTAGAATCGTGCTCGGCACAATTGTGCAGCGAAAGCGGGCAGCTCTAGAGTTAAGGACGAGGGGTGTTTGGACCGAGGAAGTTTTGCCAGTGCCAGTGGCTACGGTAAAGGAGGCCGGTGAGCCCCCTTTGAAGAGGCGTCGAATAGGGCTAGATTTTAAAGAGGCTGGTCAGGAGATTTTGGACTTGAGGACGGAGTCTGAGTCGGAGCGTGGGTCTCCGAAAGAGAAGCTGCGAAGGCTGTCGCGGTCGTCTAAAAGTACGGAAACAGATGATGGGCAGGAACCCATTTTCCAGGAACAAAAAAATACAGATTTGTTTCAGGAAGGACATATCAAAGTCCTCAAACTGGAATGGGTAGCTCAATCCATCAAAGCAGGAAAAGCTCTTCCACTTGATCCATTTGTTATCTACCATGGCAAAATCACCGCTCGACCCGAAGATCTTCAAACGTCGAAAGCGAAGCTAAAAACGACAACGTCAACACTCCATCAATCAGAGAGCATCATCACGCGCGCAATCCAAGATGCAGCCTCCCAGCCGGCAGCAGTTCCGAATCCGTATAGCTCAAAATTTGGACCCAGAAGATCAAAACAGCCGCAAGGGTCTCAAGCAAGCCAATCCCATCCTCCTCCGACATTGTATCGCCAAACAACCTCAGAGCATGACCAGAGCATTCCCATCCCCCCTGCCCCGGAATGGGTGAAAGACGGTGTACTGTATGCCTGCATGCATTCTGCGCCTTCGCACCCACCAAATGAGCAGTTTATTAATCAATTGGTGAAGATCCGCACTGTGCGCGAGCTTACCCTAGATCAGATCGGGGTGCGTGCCTATAGTACTTCGATTGCAGCGATAGCTGCTTATCCATATGAAATCCGTAGTCCAGTGGAGATCCTATCCCTCCCCGGCTGCGATGCCAAAATTGCCAACCTTTTTATGGAATATAGGAATAATGCTGATGGGACGCTTGAGGCAGCCGCAGTCCTTGATAAAGACCCAGCGATCAGTATCATCTACCAGTTTTATAGAATATGGGGCGTCGGCGCCAAAACGGCGAGGGAGTTTTACTATCAACGCCAGTGGCGTGACCTGGAGGATCTCATTGAACATGGCTGGAACAGTCTTTCTCGCGTCCAGCAGATTGGGTTGAAATTCTATGACGAATTTCTCGCTGGCATTCCTCGCTCCGAAGTCACTGATATTGCGAAAATTATTCATAAGCATGCACATCTCGTTCGACCAGGTTGTGACTATGACGGTCAGGGGATTGAATGTATCGTCGTCGGTGGTTATCGTCGTGGCAAGGAAGTCTCCGGAGATATTGATCTGTTGCTCAGTCATCGCGATGAGCGGGTTACCAAGAATCTCATCATAGATATTGTCAGCAGTCTCGAGAACGAGGGCTGGATCACCCATACCCTGGTTCTCCACATGACAACGTCTAGCCGAGAGCAACAAACTCTTCCATTCCGCGGCGATCCTGGCGCCCATCATTTCGATAGCCTTGACAAAGCGCTCGTTGTATGGCAAGACCCATATTTCGATGACAAGTCTGTGACCAACACTGCAGAAAACCCCGTCGAGGATACAGAGCAGGCGAAGCGTCGCAGAAACCCGAATCCGCATCGGCGTGTCGATATCATTATTTCCCCGTGGCGCACAGTTGGTTGTGCGGTGTTGGGGTGGTCAGGCGACACCACTTTTGAGCGGGATTTGCGGAGGTATGCCAAAAAGGCTCATGGATGGAAATTCGACTCGAGTGGAGTGAGGGAAAGGACGAGTGGAGGTAATGTGATTGATTTGGAGAAGGGTGGAACGACGTGGGAAGAAAGGGAGAGGTTGGTTATGGAAGGGTTGGGTGTAGGCTGGAGGCCGGCAAGTGAGAGGTGTACGAGATGAATGTCTATAGCGGATCGATGGTGTATAAGTTGATTATGCTGGCATTTTTGATTACTTCACACTAGGCTATTATCCATTAATAATTTGAAGCTTCCAAAAATTTATCACTGATGTATGTAGTCCGCCTCTAAAAACTACTCTATATAGTAAAATATCATCGCTGTCTCGAATTACGCTTGTCATCCTTCGAATAATATGCAAGTGAGCCATTCAGTTAACCTCGTCATGCAGACGAGTAGAAGCAACGGAACTTCCACCTTTCCCCATCTCAACACGCGGAGCAGCGTGCGTGCGACCTACAGAATCACCCTCTATAATCACCTCAGCAATCACATCCCCATTATCCTCCGAATTCAAAGCATCATCTCGGAAACCTTCCTCATCACCTACCCGTCCCTTTCTACGTCGCCCAACCCATCTCCTCCAGGGCTTATAGCACACGACACTCAACGTCCCGAAAACCACAAAGCAGCCACAAATACCACCTCCGATAACATCATAATAGTCACCCGCAGTTTCAACGCCATCCCAAAACGGACCCGAAACATCGGCAACATTTAGGACAAGAGTGAGGATTTGTATTACACCGATCACGATTGCGACTATGACTGTAAGGGAGGTTAGAACGATGGAGAAATAGAGGAAGGCGATGGGGTCGCGAGGGTTTTGGGAGTTTTGGTCGTTTTGTTCAACAACTGCGTCGGACTCGTGGAGGGTTTCAATGACGGCAGGTTGAGTGTCTGGTTTGGGGGGTAGAAAGTTGGTTGCTGGTTGAATGTAAAGTGATAGCATTAGAGCGCCGTCGGCTGTGTCGATAAGACACATTCCGGCTGTTCCCTGTGTCAGCTTTGCCCAGCAAATAGATCAGATTCAACAAACGCTTACCGGTGAAGAGAATAGGGAAGATTAATATCACCCAGATATCAGTGCCACGAGCAGCTTGGATAGAGGAAATGCCCAATAAGGCAATCTCGGAAGATGTATCAAACCCTAATCCAAACAAAACCCCAAGTGGATACATTTTCCATGGTCTAGCGTTGTCAGTATATGTTCAGAATCTATTTTCTTTTTGTTTTTTTCCATCCAGAAAGTGTTACCATACCTATCAATAAGTTTGAACATCTTCTTGAGTACCGAGAACAAGATACCGCCCCCTTCGATTTTCCATACATCTGACGTTTCTCCTTCATTAAGATTGAGCAATTTGCGCATTTGCTGGATGAGTTTGTACAAAATGTACATGTTCATGATTCCGAGGAGAATGAGGAATGAAGCGCTAACTGATGTGCCGATAATGCCGCCTATTTTACTGAAGCTGCCAAATCGACTTGACACCGCAGCGGCAGTGGCAGCAACCACAAGGGAGGTAATAATGACGATTCTAATTTTGTCTTGTTAGACGCATAATTGGATGAAGAGCAGTAAAGAGAATATATCTTACGTAGAATGTCCTAGCGAGAAAAAGGTTCCAACGGTGACTGGTGACTGGCCTGTAGCTAGGAGTCGTCTAGTCATCAAATCAATGGCCTATATTCACAGGAGTCAGAATATGTAGAAGAGGGCGGTGTTAAACATTGCTGAGGCCATACAGATATGTGGTCCGCATCTAAGGCGTGCCGCAGACCTAATGAATATGAAATTGCAGCGGTAGATATCAATGAACTGAGCTTTTAATTAGAACTTTGAAGTTCTCTTTTTCGTTTTCAGAAATACTGGCTGACAGGTAAGATTCACTCACGGGTAAAAATGCTAGTATTAAGTCAGTTTTAATTCTCATATACCGATCTGCAAAGTGACCAGAAAATAGCATTGAGACGTAACTCACCAATACGATACCACAAACAGCCCACACAAACAAATTAATCAGGGCAATCAACCCGATTATTCCAATTGCTGGTAGCGGAATCTTCTTTATCCCTGGTATTCGGCCATGTGTAGTCTCAGCTCGATGGAGGAGCTTCTTCTTGACCGATATCCTTCCTTGCTCGGTTCGGATATTACCCATTGGTTCATCATCAATTAGGATCAAAGAATTGCGATGGTTCTGGTTTTGGATCTGCATTTTGTTTTCTCTAATCGAGATCAAGTTAATCTCCTGTGACTTTCTTTCCTCGAATTGTCTGTCGGCTGCAGGGATGCCCTGGCAAGGGACTAGCAGTTGTTCCGTCACACAATGCAAGCTGCGAGTGACCGTATTTCCAGAAGAAAGAAAAATAGAAAAAAGATAGGAAATGAGTAGGTTTTTTAATCAGGTTTTAGGGCGGCACTCTACTTGGCAGTGCTTGCTGCGGTGGAATTGACGGCGGAAGTGGGGAGCCAGACCCAGAGGTGAGACTCCACAAGGTACCAGTTAGTAGCAACAATAAATTCAATGCAATGTAGCTGAGAGAGAATCAAGTGAGTAAGAATATTAGAACATGCAGTAGAAATTAAATATTGACGAATTCCTACATGTGTAAATAGCAGAATATGGCGCCGGCTGCGTCTCACAGATCTAATCAACTGATATGTCAAGCCCTAAAGGCGCCGTTGGATGCATATCTTATCGCACAACTCTCACTGGCCACGCCGCTCCCTAGCATGACTAACGGAGATTGAGTAATGATATGATTCATCACACTACAATGGCATTCTTTTCCTCCATCATTTTTCTCCTTTTCTGTCGTGCCTCATCGAATTTTATCATGTTCCAAATTGATTTCCACGTCACTGGTGGGTTTCTGTTGAGAAGAGAGCGCCAGAAAACCACAATGATAAGCGTCGATGGGATCGTTACGACCCAGTATATCCATAGTTGCTTGGACGCTTGGAGCTGATCTTCTCCAAACTGGAAGAATGTTGTGTTAAAGATAGCCTGTGGTTGGAGAAAAACAGTTAAAGGTATATCTACCAAGAATTTCGAGACTAGCACTTACAGAGATGAAGGTCGCGGGCAAGAAAATCATTGTCAAGAATGCAATGGACTTCATCACTCTATTGTCTTGCTGTACGATTCGATTATACGCCTAAATAATAGTGAACAACGCGGAAGGGAAAATATTGTCAAACAAAGAATATGAGACCTACCACCGTGATTTCACTTTTCAACCTCGAATAGTTGGATATTGACCGCTCTTTCAGACTTTTCAGCATCTGGATTTGAAAGTCCAGGTATTCATTGACTTGCTCGCAATACTCTGCCGCGAGTGGGATAGGCAATCTCGCGTGAACCTTCTTTTGCTGTTCCAAAAGCTTTTCGAAAGTTTGGATAGTCACATGCAGGACTTCTGAAACATGAATCGAGTGTCGCGAAATTTCATGCATCGCCTCGAAATCAGGTCCCGCTGTTGGCCGTCGCTATTCAAAGTTGATTAGAGCGATTAAATGCTATTACATCGCATGTAAGAATGCCGCAGCTGACCTTTTCGATTTCTCGGATTGGATCCCTGATAGCCCAGACCGACTCATCGTTCAGCCGTACGATTTGGTCCATCAAAGGTAGATGCATTGCGAACGGGTCCCTGGAATCAGGAGCCTTGTTCTGTAGGGCATCCTGCATGTGACGTGGAAAATCGTCTGGTGTGTCGATACAAAGAATTCTTCGCTGACCGTTAAAGTCCCAGCGGCTTACGATTGTCATCTCATACCATTTGTAGTCTTTGCCATTCGGTAACGGTTCATCTAGAATCATCTTCACAAGACAGCGGAACCAAGTGCCTTCACAGATGAGTGTTCATTTTTAGAAGATAAGGAGAAAGGAACTTACTGTAGCTTCGCAGCTTATCTTCCTCATTGTAATAGACCTTGGAACCGCAGTATCCATTGATCTCATGGCACATTCTTGAAGCGAGTATATCCGGAGCATTGAACTTTCTCAAGATTGCAATCCTTTCTTCCTCGTTAACGGGGTATCTTTTGACTGGTACAAATCTGCAATTGGCTTAGCATGTCTAAATCGTATGCTTTATTCCAAAGTGATCGCTCACATATAGGAACATTCCGGAAAGTTGGACGGCTATACAAGTCAAAATCAGCCCTTCAAAACCGCGAGAGCGGGATGCTCACATCCAAGTCATATATCGTGTCTTGCAGCCATGCTTCTGAAGCTATGTATCCGCGTATTAGCAGCCTTGTCCCGTGTTAAGCAGTAGTACCGTCCACTCACGCTCATCATAATACAGAATATTTACAGCAGGTGGTTTCAATCCCATGATATCAATATATATATCGGTATATATCGATAATTTTCCAACAACTGGGTAGAATATATAGGATAAATCAAGAACAAGTCTTGAAAATTTCGGGAGCAACGAGGTTGGGGACACGGCCGGTTTGGCGTCGATTCGCATGCATGATGGTGCGCCGTCACTCACTAAAGCCTCTTTCCCCCACTCCCCGCTTGTCTGTCGCACAGGATGACACTTGTGCGATCGAAATACTCAAGGCTGGCTGGTCATTTTTAATATTCTTTATTTTTGAGCTGTAATATTTCCTATTAGAGTTGTCAGGAGTAAGTGCCAGCGCTTGGGCTAAGCGGAAACATCCGTTGTTTACCCTTACCAATAAATACTACGGATGGTTAAAGAGCCTCACAAGTGGGTTTGACTTTCGCATAAATTAGCCCAAATATTATTGATTGTACAAATAAAAAAATTCCAAAACGGAGAATAGGATTCTAGCTTTATTTACTATTAGGGTATCTTTACAGCACAAGTTGGTATAGTCTAGATCGATTTAGAAATCAGAGATAAATGTTTATTTAATTACGTAGGTATTCAATGTTCAATGTTGATGTCAAGATTAGATATATTCAAATGCTTGATATGCATATGCTAGTTTGCTAACAGAGTATATATACAAAAGAGAAGCAACCAAGGCTAGTATGTAAATGTATTCGCTCAAATGGTTCTTTTATGTCATCAAAGCCGTAGCTGCATACTGGAATTACTCGTCGTTTGCCATGGTAAACCATGTTGAGCTAGGCAATTCCTTTCTTGCAGTCTGACGTGCCATCTGCTTAATATAATAAGCAATCAGGGTCTCAGAATATTATGTAGCGCTATGGCTAGATTCTAATCCCTCTTGACAAAGCGACGGCTTTCTCTCTATGGAGATGAGCTGCGCTCGATGTCGTGCATTCCGATATGCACATTTTATTGTTGAAGTAGTTCCCGCTTATTATAATGACTTCAACCGAAGACTGGTACAGCTGATGGAGTTGGCACCCACATTGTGATGGTGGGCTTGTTCTGGTAGAATTCAGGTCCGATGAGAATGTTCCACTCATTTCGTGTGATCGGGGTCACGTCGGAAGCGGATATTGGGGTCTTTGGCCCGCGTTTTGGTGTGCCAGCGCGAGATGGAACACGAGTGGGAACATTTCGTGATGAAGCCATTCCAGGTCGGCGAGCTCGGGGCCCGACTCGCATGACTGGCGATCTCCGTGCAGCCTCTCGTCGGACGGGGGCGGCTGTTGGAACTGCTTTAGGTTTGGGGATGACAATTCCATCTTGACCATAGCGGGCCTTGTATGCGGTGGCAACTTTTGTAAGCAGATCGTCGGTGACTGACAAATGCTCGTAAACTCGGTGGAAGAAGCCGAGGCTGAATGGGCGACCTTGGCAGTTGGTAACGGTTTTGTGAAGCAGGTGTACGCAGGATGAGATGTATTTCTCCTCGTTAACTGTGTTCTTCTTGGTCTGTTGAGTATTGGCGAGAACACAAAGACGGCGTTTGAGTGTGTAGATGCGGTCGACGTTGAGGAGAGTAAGGCCTTCTTGGCTGAAAAGGATATCGTTCTGTCTGATTGATTGTTCGACGAGGTACTCGTTTTTCAATCGTAGTGAGAGGTGTTCATTCAATGCGTCTGTCCAGCATTGGCCGAGAGAGAATTTTTTGGCACCTTTCTCGACGATCTTGTAGAAGATCTTCCATGAGGGCAGATCGAGCTTGGTCACTGGGATGATGATCAGGTCGGCAGGCTGGCCGGTTGGGACGGGTTGTCCGCGTCCAACGAGTAATGTGACGTGCAATGACTTTTGTTGGAGCTTCTGAGAAATGTATTCCAGAGCTGGTAGTGTTGATGGTGTCAGGGCGTCGGAGTCAAAGTTGAAGTCGGGGCTCAGTGGAGGAGAGATCATGTCGGATGTGATAGTTCGGGGGAATTTGGTCCCGTGCCAATGGAAAGAGGAAGTCGAAGGACAACCATTGTGACTGTTTATGTTCTCCTGAACGTGTATGTATGGAGATTTAATGGAGTGGGAGGAGGTGGATGGTCTAGAGTAAGGAGAGAGAGTCTGCATGAGCTGGGGGTGACCCCCGGCTTGATATAGACGGACTGCATCTTTCTCCTCCTGAGAAGGTTTGTTATGTCTATAGATAGCTCCAATTCACCCCCTCTTTTACCCGCGTCCAGATGCAAGCTAGCCCTTAGCTCTAAAGGTTGACAGTGTCCTGATTGCCAATGAAATTATTAGTGCAATCGGCTGCGTGACATCAATTAACCTGCATTATGCTAAAGTTGCAAATTTGGAGGGGAAAGTACCATTTCTGGTTAGCCTGCTGAGTTTACTTCTAAAAATGACAGCAAATTAATTAGGCTTGACTTATCCTAGCACTATCATTGGCTGAAAGCATAATTTGGCGTTCTTGGCACAGCATCTAAAAATAAACTTGACCGCTGTAAATCTACAATATTGGCCAATTAGAGCGTATTATGTGTGCTATCACACTGTCACCTGCATGTGCCTTCGCTACAAATGTGATAAACCTGCATCCAGATAGGTAAAAATAGCATCCGTTAATCTTAACTAAACTCGGTTAACTTTGACATTGTAGGCTGCAATTAGCTAGCATTTCACCTGAATGTGTCCTGATTTAGACAATATTGATATGATAAGGCCTTAAATTAGCAACATTCGCCTCTTGGCGTTATCTCCTGCAGCATACATGATGCTCTATTGTTCTTTAGGGTGGTTCTTTTCGAGAAGCATATATATCAGATCAACTCCGCATCCAATTCAAAAAATTCCATGCTTACAACATCAATCAAGTCTTGTTAATTGTGGTTAATAGCTAACTTGCCAGCATCTCAGGCCTCTCTTGGCAGTGCATGTTCACCTACACCTTCGAAGAAAAAAAATGACTCAAGTCATGCCTCCACCATGAACTATTGATTTTATAGCGCTTCATTTTGTAATTGTAGTGGCCTGCGGATTTTGGAGGCTTTCTCGGTCGGGCATTGCTCAAATTCATTATCTCACGGTGACCCAGATTTCGGCAGCCAAAAGCGTTCTCAGCCCAATGAATAACATGCAAATATCGCTCTGGTTTTCGGAAAAACAACAGGTTGCCAATAATTGGCATGCATGACAACATGGCTTTGCTGACCGAGTCGTTCTCTCGTAGTGTATTTCCTGACTAGGTAAGTCTATTGACAAAGGAGTGGTCTCGCTGGTTGAGATCGCACAAGACGACACACGGGGAACCAACATCGTGCATATGGACCCTTTTTAGATTATCAATAGTCAAAAACCAGCAATAAAAAATAAATCAAACCGTCGTCTAGATCTGAATGCTGATTCACTATCAATTAGGCCATAGCGAGCGGGGTATGTGCCACGGCGGCTATGCGGTCAATCAAATGAAGCCACTAATCACCGCATGTTATTAGCCATATTACCACTAGCAAATTTTGTTATTAATCTCAAGTACTAGAGCCAATAGAGCTTTCATCTTTCGGGAGGGCTGCCAACACCGCAGGCCATCGGAAAGTTAGTTAACTGTTGTCAATAACAAGGCTGACCACCTCCTCATATCGAATATCAAATCTGAGCAGAGAAATTGACGCCACATGGTGACGCTAAGGATATAGGGAGGGTTGGTTTGATGAATGATTACCAACATTTCCTCCTCAGCTCAGGTATATGCTTACGAAAAAAAAGATAACGCGGAGTTAGGTTGCGTATGTACTTTTGTTGGCATTCATGCAGGTTGGAACTCTCACTATAGGCTCTTGTAAATCATCCGTTAACAGTAGACACCAATCAGATAAGGAGAAGAAACCATCCGTATTTCCTAGGCTAAATTAGGCCGACTACGTTTTAGCCTTGCGACTTATACCAGGTCTAATCCTCAAAACTCTGCAAGCCTCATTTTGTGAACGATTAGGTATTCGAAGCCATGAGTAAGAAGAGGCTCGATCATAGTGCATATACGGTGAGTTGGGTTACCACCCTCCACCGCGAGTTGGTCGCTTCACGATTATTACTGGATGAGGAGCATGAAGATCTCTTCACCAATGCCCAAGATCCAAACTCCTATATTCTTGGAGAGATTGGTGTCCACAATATAGTTTCTGTCTTTCCTGGAGAAGGACAATCTGGAGTAGTACCAGCTGCCCATATCGTCGCTCATATGGTCCACGCCTCTCCCAATATACAATTTGGACTGTTGATCGGAATTGGCGTGGTTGCTCCCAGAACTCCAGACCTTGAGAATTCATACCACGATATACGACTCGGGACGTCGTTGTGAGTTGTCCTTATAAAATAAAGATAAGAACATTCTTGATAAGACTCTTGCTAGAAAATATACCAACAGACGAGGCAGGTGGAATGGTGCACTATGATAAAGGACATTTTGAAGAAAGTGGCTGTAATGCCAACTCTCACGTAAATAAGCCACCGGATTTCCTACTCAAAAGGTTCAAAAACTGCACACGGACCATGCTCTTGGTATGGGTAAGATGAATGAATACATCAGCAGAGTACAGGAACTTGGGACCCGAATACCAGCCCTGAGAGAGTATTCTTTTCTTTAAAGAGCTTATGATAAGCTCTTTAAAGCTAGCACTTTTCATATTGGGAAGGACAATTGCTCTATGTGTGATTCTCAAGCATTGGAAAAACGTATTGATCGAGATGAACCAACCGTTCATTACGGGTTGATGGCCTCCGGAAGCCAGGTCATAGCATCGGCAAAGCGTCGTGACGAACTACGGGACAAGAGAAATATCTTATGTTTCGAAACGGAAGTAGCGGGGCTGATAAATTATTTCCCCTGTATTGCTATTATAGGTATCTCTAACTAACCTGATAGCCATAAGAATGATAGATGGCAATCTTATGCGGCTGTTACGGCTGCTGCGTATGCCAAAGACTTGCTCCGCATAATTTTGGCGCAGAATATTGAAAACATGAACAGTGCGATCACTGTAATTCAGAAATGTGAGATCATCATTTATTTTATTAAAGCAGCCATGTTCACTTTGGTTCTTATAAGTTTATACTGACATTGTCGTATAGTCACTGAGTTGGTGTGGCCAGCATAGAGACTAAGATATCTAGCATAAGAAATACATTTGACGAAAGTAAGAAAGTTGCAACCCTAAACATTTTCCTCCGTCAGGCTATGTTAATGAATCAAGGACCATGTTCACAAGCGGAAGGAAAGAACAGGAGGCTGGTTCTTGACCTAGAGTGAGTTCAAATACCACATGGGCCAATTGAACAAAACTTGACACTCTTATTGCCATTGGATTCCTGGCGGTGGGAAGACTATCCTTGTGTCGATAGCAGTTGACCACCTTCAAAGCTTACAGCTACACGACCCGAGTAACGGTATAGCTCATCCATACAGTTTCGACAGACAAGATACACAGACCCTATTCGATTTAATCCCTTCTCTTGTGAAGCAGCTTGTACGGCAGAGTTCAGCAATGAAGGCATATATGTAGTTTTCAAGGGGAAGTTGGTATTGTATTTCATGTTAAAGCATCGTTCTAGCTTACTGACAATTCAGTTCCAACTACACTAAGAAAATCTAGAAGCTGTTTTCAGAGAGATAGACAATTTACGAACTCTTTCCCAAAATAATCAACAAAAGTTGTCTCCCTCACAGTTATCCTCCTCGTTAGGCTCAAAGCCATACTCATTGTCCACTAGAACTCTACATAGCCCTAATGCTGAAAGAAGCCCACAGGTCAATTGAATCCCATTTCCATATACGCATTTCCTTGACGGATACAGGCTTCGGATGCTATATAGTCCACTAAATATGCAAATTGGCGAGATCAGGCAATTGGTCTGTTTGCTTCTTAACCCATAGCTTATCCTTATTCTTAGTCACAACGTCAGCCCAATGCTTCACACAGCGGTAAACCGCCTTCAGTTCCTTTTGTTCAACTTCAAAGAACTCCTTGTGCTCTTTTTTACATGGGCACTTTAAAGGTGACCGATAAGCCCAGTTTTTGAGGGTTGCGTGAACCAGCTCCTCAACCTTGTATGACAGCTCAATCGGTCCTATGTCTGGAAACGCCTCGAGACGCTTGTATTTATGGTATTTGCACTCAGAAGAGAGCCTTGTGATCCGTGCTGAAACGTCAATAGAACTCCCGACCTTGAGAATAATTCTATCTGTATCGATATTCTCGTCTGCGGATGCACTAGAATGTCGCTCTCTGCCTGGAATCGCATGGAGGATGTAGACATAAGCACGCCTCTCATCCTTTCTCAGCCGCGCTTCCAAGGCCAGTGTGATGTATTCATGCACCGATGGATGAATAGCACGAGGCATGAATTGATTAAGTTGTCTGAGAACTGGGTCACGAGGACCATAGCTGATCGCACTCTGGGCGGTGTTCACTCGCTTTAACTTCAATGGCTTGTCTCCAGAGTGATCATAGTCATCTCGAACGTGCAAGTCCTTTAACAAACTACCGAGTTCTCCAATGCTGCTACGCGCAACCGAAGTAGGCGGTGTTGAGCAGCGTCCAGGAGTGTAATTGTGTATATTGCGTACTGGAGTAGACACCACCGAGTCGTCTTCGTCACAGCTTTCTGGCTCCCCTTGCGACTTCCCCATATTGTAGTGCTGAGTACATAGTGTACCCTTTGTGCTCTTTCTACTGCATTGTTTCTCTTCTTTCTGGCGAGTGATGATGTAGGTACATTTCTGTGTGTTAGTCGCCATTTGCAGTGAATGAGATGGTATAAAAAGGCAATTAAGAACTCAAGTATTCCACGTTCCGACAGAGATTGGAGGTACTTCAGATTTTTATCTATTCAATATGCTTGGCTACGGTACCATTCCTAATAAAAGGGAAAATGCGGCGCAGACAGTACAAAAGAGGGGGGGCTGAATCTAACACCCTGAGGCTTCAGCTGATCAATATCCCTGCACACGCCAATAATCAATAACCAATCGAAATAAAAATAACTCTTACAGAAAAAGGAAAGCTTTGCTTTAGGCGACTATTGATTTGATTTGTAACCCTGCAGGAATTCGCATATGCTAACATGTTGTGTTGTTTCCATCACGTTTTCTAATGCTACATAAGCGCAGACAAGTGACACTCACAAACGGGGAAATTGAGCTCTAATTCAGCGACAATTCCACAATAACTAAATCCAAGCCACATGTAGCATACAGCCTCGTCAGTGCAGTTACATGTCATTACTAAGGCGTCCCGCTGTTAATATAGACCAATTGGTGTAGCTTCATATACATGTATGTATAAACTGTCTTCACAAAAAAATAATAAAAAAGGTAACTACATAAGATAGATACTATACATCTGAATTAACCTGATTTTGACCTGCCGCAGCACCGGCCGTAGAAGTACCTACACGTCCATTCCTACCACTACTCCCTCTATCCTCCCCCCCTCGCATATTCCTCATATCTCTCTTCCACGCCAACACTACCATCTTAATTTCCAGCAACTCCTTATTCAGCTTATGATTCTGATTCTGCAGCATGGTAATCTTCTTATTCTCGCTCTTCAACCAACCAATGCGGGAATGCAAATCCGAAATATCAACCTCCAGCCCCGTCTGTGCAATCCTGTTCTGCTCGAGGACGCGCCGCAAAATCTCGACGCTCACCTCACTGTAATCGCGAAGGAAGTTACTAGTTTCCTCTCTTTGGTCGGATAGAAGTGTGTCGGCATGCTGCACCATCGGCGCGAGAACGACTTCCTTCAGGTCCGCGTAATTCCCGCTTTCATTGTCGAAGATCTCGCGCACGGCAGAGATGAAGCTTGGCATAGACCAGTGGACATTCGCCCATTTAGCGAAGCGGCCGCGGGCGATGTTTTTGAGCGGGTAGATTAGGTATTTGTCAGCAATGGCGTAGACGTAGAGAGACCGAGGGGGGTGGGGGGACGTAGAAGGGGTTGAGGAGGATGACCCGGGTTTGTTGGGTGGTTTCGTTGGTGATGTCGATGTATGAAGGCGGAAGGGTCGGCTATGTTTGCTTTCGCTTGATGTGGTTACTTTTGTCTCGTATTTGAGGCTGTGTGGGCGGTAGTAGAGACAATGGAAGTCCCAGTCTTCCGAGTCGTCGTATCGATGTGTGTAGAGATATTTGATCATACGCTCGACTATCTCGGGGTCATCGTCGACTAATGTCATTGATTGCGTCGTTGCTTCCTACAAGTTCCTGTTAGACTATCATTATACAAATCGAGGAGCCCACTTACAATAAACTTCCCCCGACAAGCGGCCTCAAATATAGTCGACTGCGGACATATCACGGCTCGATGAACATGGAATTCTCGCTCAAACCCCTTTACTTTGATTGTGAAATCCGAGTATTTTCCTGTCTTATACATATCCCATATCATCGAGCGGAAAAAGTGCGATCCATCGTTCACAGTTGGTAGGAGATAGTCTCGGCACCGATGTGAGCCTTCTGGTATGTAGACTCTAGATGTTGTGCTCAAAGCGCTATCTTTGATAGACATGCTTCTAGGTCCTTAAATGATAGGTGTTGCTTTAGACTTAATCACTTCATGCACAATCAAATCAATGATTAGCAAGATGTTGCATCACTTTTAATCGACGTTGAGCTCGGAGAGTTAGGTTTAGGATAAAACTCGACAGCTGAAGATGGAAAAGCAACTCCGACGCTGAGGTTCGAGGTAGTACTGGCCATAGTCATATGCGTCAGTATAATGGAATAGTCCGCATATGGCGAAGTGGATTTGACAGAAAAGCTGGGGATGTGTTAAGAGTGTGATGCGCCTTCGCCCGTCATCGCCGGAAACGGATGCCGTCCGTAACCCTAACCTACAACAGCCACCAACGATTCGTGATACAATAATAGCATATATGATATTTTAAAATTATAGTGCATCTACTTGACACTGAAGATTATCGACGTAGGCCGTACAGGTGTTACTAACAACGCATCGGACATATCGTCCAATCCAGACCAACCAAGTTGTTTTCAAAATGCCACCCAAACGCCAGAAGTATGATCGCAAATTAGACTAAAATCATCAAACCATAATTCAAATAACTTCTATTATTTGATGAATCGCAAATGGTCGTATTGACTACCATAGGCCTCCACCTTCATCTTTGTACTCGTTGTCTTCAACTGCGGAGAAATAGTCGTAGTCATCTTTCGAGTCATCCGCCACGATTTCATTAACTCTGAAGAAAGCAGGGTCGAATGCGTTATCCGCCGAATCTGCTTCTGAACTTCCATAATCGTCGAGATCTAGCTGCCAGTCAAGATCTTGCGTGCTATCCTCCCCCAAGGTGAAATGTCCGAATACAAGGATGGAATTGTACAGTTCCTTGCCGGTCGGTACTATGTTCTCAGGAGGCAGAAGGAAACCATACATTCCTGTATCTCGTAGCTTGATCTGATACGAATATTTCGCGTGGAGATGATGATAAAACCAATCTAGTGCGCTGCCGCCGGTACTTTCCACATCAGCCAAGAGGCGTTTGCCTTTGTTTTGTGACTTGTCCGACATTGCAACCCCTTCGCAGGCTGATCTGACCTTGTAGGATTCTCTGTTAGTCGTCCGAATCGCTTTAGCAAGTCCGAAAGCAAGCTCTTCAAGGTTTTCAAGGGTCGGTGGCACGGTCGAACACGAATACGAGTACGGGTAAAGAATTTGTTGAGAGTAGGAATGAAGATCGAGGAAGCCGACAAAATTGAGATTTCTATCTTGCGTTTGGTTGTACGCCCAGCTCGCGATGGATTTGGTTTCCACGCTGTCGAAAGGCCCATTGCCGGCGTAGCTTTCTGAGCAAGGGTTTGCACGAGTTCCCTCACCATCCCACTCAAAACCCCAGGAACGGTCAAGGTCAATTCCTGGACAAAAGTGAAGACCGGTTTGTTGTCTGTTTTTGCGCCATAGACGATCCATTTCCCAAGTGTAAATATATCCGTCGGGGTTAATAGTAGGAACAAATATCCAATCGAGCTCCTCTAATAGCCTTGTTATTGTGGGAGAATTACCATACTCGGTCATCAGTTTGAAAGCAATGTACGCAACTGTAGATGTACTGATCCATTCACGAGCGTGTGAACCTCCAATTACTAGCACAGTCTTCCGGGGCTCCTGGGCGGAACCAAGCGGGCGGACGCCGAGTCGAAAAGCAGGAATATCTCGCCCTTCGGCGGTAACACCGACATTTATCAGCTGCACATGAGATGGAAACATCGACTGCATGAGACGCATCCAGTGTAATATCACAGAAAACGGCTGGTAGTCACTGAAAAACAGATCCGTGGCGCTTGACGACCGAAAGAGAGAGTTGCGGTTGAGTTGGACAAAGTTGCGAGACGGATATGAAGCGTAGATCAAACCCGAGAGGTCTTCGATCAATAGAGTATGTTCATTTTGAAGCGATTGAGGAAGAAGGCCCAGCAACGACGGTATCTTATCAAATTCGATTCTGTTAGGCGCGAACTTGAGCGGACAAAACGGTAATACTCACGACTTCTTTTGCCAGTCGAATGTCGACAAACTCGTCTGTCGTATCCCAGACATCCAGAAAAAGAATATCAACCGCCTCTGATAGCGCCTCCACTTCATTAGGCTGCTGTAGCTTGAAGCGTAGGACTACGTCGCTGCTGTATCGACTCCATGCTTTGGTAGGCGGAAGCCGCGCACCGGCTTTGTTATAAGACTGCTTCTCTTTGGGGATTCCCCAGATCCGCTCAATCACAGAGTCCCTCAGTCTCGTCCACGGTCGCCAAGGGGCCTGTATCTGCTGGGTGAATTGAGCACGGTCTCGAGGCAATTGCTCTGACGGCGGTGGGATTGTAAAATCAGTGCCGGCGGGGACGGCAGACGCCTGGCCTACAAAGAGCAGGGCGCACAAGACCACGAATATCCAGTGCAGACGATACATGCTGCTGGTGTGGACGTGGCTGGATGAGTGCAAGCAAGCAATTGTCAGGATGCCATCCGGACTGGCAGGAATAACAATACGTAATATTACATCGAGATTCTCGACTTCGAGCGACGGCGAACCCACTGGCTCCACCGCCACTGCGCTAGGCCGCATCGGATATAGAGCGCAGGCAGTGACAATAACAGCGGGGACATATTATTATTATTTATTATTATTACAAGTCTTGGTATATTCTTGGGCACTCTTCTTCTGGTATCGTCTCTTGGCTGTTATAATGGCTGTTATTTACTGATATTGTTGAATTTCTACGCATGTAAGCCAGGTGCAGGAATTAGGATTAAATATATCTACATCTCCAACCTCGCGAGCCGAGACAACGGGTTGCATGTGTCAACAACAACAACATCGAAACAGGGTCTGCAAACCGGACCCAGTGCTGATGGATACGGTGGGTACAGGCGAGTCTCGATCTTTCCCAGTCTCTGTTACATGCATGCGTCGATGCACGGGGCGTCGTAGGTACCGGGTCAATTGCGAGAATGCGCATTCCTATTCTGCACAGCGCACAGCAGGGAGCATTGAAGATAAGAATATCCATACTCGATACGCTCCTGAAACAGCGAAGCAACTGGGTACTAGGCAATGTTAATCATCATCATCATCATCATTATTAGACACTCAAATGCTATATATGTACTTGCAGCGAGTGGTATCAATTGAAGCTCCGCAATGGCACAGGACAGACGATCGACAGAGTGAGCAAACCACTGATGCAATAATTAATAATGTCAAACACACATAACAACCGCCTCACCAGCATATTCAATAAAAAATAATAAATGACATGCTGACCACTGCCGCTGCACGTGAGACGAGGCCAGGTCTGGGCCCGGTCCTGCCTCCGGACGGTCCTTTCGCTTGGCGTGGAACCTGCCTCGTAATGCCAGAATTATAAGAATGCCTCTGCACGAATAATCATTCCTCGTCCATCTTCCTGTGTCTAACCCACTCTCATCCATCGCCCCTGATCCTGCTGATCGTTACTGCACTACTTCGCTATATACCATAAATAAAATACGGGAATTCCCACTAGCAGCATTGGTGCCGGAACCTCAGCACCGCCCATCCTGGTAGGATGACCTAATCTGTTACCACGCCGCCGTCAGACCGAGTTGACAGCTTTCCTTATCCATTCCGCTGCATCAACCCAATAATGTGCATCGTCTTCTCTGCGTGACTGTCGATTGATTGTGGAAAGATTGCTTATTGTCTTCTGCCCATAGACCTCCTCTCGCACCGCGCTACCGATCCTCGAACGTCGACGATTCAGGGGATAACCTCCTCCTGTACATCCTCCGATTGAGATTCGACTTTCAACTATCTCGTCTTAGCAATGCTTGAGAGTACCGTTCGAATAAGGCATAAATAACAGCCTCCTCGTTTACCTCCTCCCTTTCGACGGGTGTCGACTTCTTCTGTTCGAGCATGAGCCGATAGATTTCAATCCAACCGATCAAATCTTCGGATCTTGGTTGCGCCATGTATTGGAACCGCAACCGGCTTGCGCCTACAGACGCAAATAATAACACTGGGATGAAACGATACAGTTTCATGCTCCCAACATACACTCGTCATAGCGAACATGTTCCTCGGCCTGCGGCGTCGCCTACCCCAGTTGACCGCCGCCTTTCGGACTCGGGTCCGCGCCCCCCTATGGACGAGTCGCAACCAGATGGCGTCCATACATTGGGTCCAGAATCTCACAAAAATGAAAGTCTAAATGGGCATCACCATCTCGACGAATCTGGCGCTGTTAATCATGCCCAGAGTGGCTCGTCCGCAAAGAGAAATCGGTTTAGCATGCTGCGTTTCCGTCATGCCTCTGATCCTCAGCTTTCGGCAACCTACTCCCAGAGCGAGACAAGTATACCCCCGGTCCCCTCAATGCCTCCACGTAAGTTCATTGTGCTTAATTTTTTTTTAGTGTTTGGCTAATTGGTCGGGTTAAAGCTCCAACAATTATTACCACCGCCCCCACCACCTCTTCTAACCTAGATAAATCAGCTCGGAAAACCAAAACGAGGTTTCCATTGGTGAAGAAACTGTCAAAAGAAGCACTGAATCTCGGGAATATGAGCGGCTCAGGAAACGCCAAAGGCCCATACTCACACGCTCTTGGCGGCGTTCCTCCCATCCACTACGAAGAGCCGGGACGACTGTCTACTTCTTCATATCGAAGTGGGCCTACGCAACGACAATCAGAACATGACAATCGGCTTTCAGAGTCCTCTAGGTCTGAGTACAGCTCCGGTGACCGGGGTTCCGCGAGGAGCGAGGTTTCACACCCCAACAAGAAGTTCAGTATGTTACGTTTGAAACGAAGCCGCCGTCCGCTTTTCCCACTCCCTGTCAAGCTCCCTCCACCGGGCTCTGATCTGTCTGCTAGCGGCCGACAGTCTCCGATTTCCAATGGGGATAAGATGGATCTTTCTCAACCTGACGGAGACCAAATCTCTCCATTGCCATCCCCTACACATTCTTCTGTCAAACTATCGTCTCCAAAGGCAATAAGTGCGCCTCGGCTTTTCCGCAAGAATTCTACCACGTCGGCCGCTTCCGGGAAATCTGCATCGTCCGCCAAAGGCCGTGTGAGACGGGGACGATCTTCAACTTTAAATTCGCTTATTGACGCTGCTCGGAGTGAAGATGACCCACATAACTCATCATCGAATATACCATCAGGCCGCAATTCGACTTCTACAAATGGACGCAAGAGTTTTGGTGATATATTTAATCTAAGCAACAAGTTGCGACAGAACCCCGACCTATCGGCTGGTCGAGACGGCCGTGCGAGTCCGAAACCCCCAGGTACACCTGGCTCCGATTCTAAATACGCCTCCTTCGCAGCCTCACGCAGCATGTTGTCGTACCCAGACCGAGCGGAAGATGATACACCTGCCACGTACCTAGTTAAACTCCAGGAGACAGTCCCTAAGGGGTCAATTGCTACGATATTGTCCAAGTCAGACGATGATTTTTCAAAAGTTGCTTTGCGTAAATTCATGAGAACATTTTCTTTCTTTGGTGAACCGATTGATATGGCAATTCGCAAGCTATTGATGGAAGTCGAGCTACCAAAAGAAACCCAACAAATCGATCGGGTCCTGCAGGGATTTGCAGACCGTTATTACGAATGCAACCCGGGGATTTTTGCATCTACTGGTATGTGCTTACAATATTATTCATGGCCATTGCTAACTATGCTCTAGACCAAACTTACTTTATAGCTTTCTCTATTTTGATCCTTCACACAGACGTGTTCAACAAGAATAACAAGCGAAAGATGCAGAAACAAGACTATGTTAAGAACTCACGCGTAGACGGCATCTCGGAGGATATTCTCGAGTGTATATACGAGAACATATCTTATACCCCGTTCATTCACGTTGAAGATGAGCTAAATCTCAGCACACGACAGATGCCAAAGAGAAGGGCTCTTTTGAAAGTGGCTAGCTCGGACCATTTAGCACGGGGTTCAAACCAACCTGTGGATCCTTACGCTGTCATTTTGGATGGAGCCTTGGATAATCTACGCCCAAGTTTGAAAGAAGTTATGGATATCGACGACAGCTACAGCTTTCCCGGTGTGGATGGATTCAAAGAAATCGAGAGTTTACACCAAGCGTTCTCAAATTCTGCAATTCTTCAGATAGTTTCAGCTCGGTCACGACCTGATGCTTTCATGACATCTACAACCATCGAAAATCCGATCGATTCACACCCGGGCTTGGTCGACATCAAGGTTGTGAAGGTAGGCCTGCTTTGGCGTAAAGACCCAAAGAAAAAGAGGGCTCGCTCTCCTTGGCAGGAATGGGGTGCTCTTTTGACCTCATCGCAATTGTATTTCTTCCGCGATTTGTATTGGATCAAATCTCTTATGACCCAACAAGAGAACCAGCAAAAACGGACAGCTCGGACGCTATTGGTATTTAAACCACCGGTCACTGAATTCAAGCCAGACAGTATTATGTCAACTTCTGATGCAGTTGCCTTGATCGATTCCGCTTACAAAAAACATAAGCATGCCTTTCTTTTTGTTCGCCATAATGGTCTCGAGGAAGTATTTCTTGCAAACTCAGATGCCGATATGAATGATTGGCTTGGGAAGTTGAATTATGCAGCAACCTTTAAGACGACAGGCGTTCCATTGAAAAGTACGGTTGGAACTCATTATGAAGGTCGAAGGCATCAGAAAGTGACACGCATGGGCTCTATCTCCTCGGAGGAATCTCAGCCACAATCTCAGGCTCAAATGGATGTCCATTCTGCTAATAAATATTACGTCGACCCGCATCTTGTAGAGGAGATGTCAGCTGCTCGTCGGCAATTGATGGCCCAGAGGGTTATAGAAGCCGATGAAAAGCTGTCTGGTTGCCAGAAGCAGCTTGACGATCTTCTCAGGAACGCTAGGCATCTCCAGATTTTGACCCCTGTGAATGTCAGAGCCAGAGAAAACGTCATATTGGCTGCTGGACGAATGTCCGCCAAGCTTAAATGGGTACGCTACGATATCTGGCGAACCAAATGCTACAGACAACTACTGGCGCTGGACCTAGGCCTTGAAGAAAAGCCATCTAAAGATGCACAGAAACACACCTCATTCGCCACGGCTAAGACAAGCCAGGCTTCATTAGCGAGACTCGACTCTGTTCAAAGCTTCTCTACTGCTCATCAAAGCATCGACGGTACTTCCAATGGACCAACCTCCCAAAGCCCTCCTGACGAATTGACGAGCACGGGTCTACTTGCCTCTCGGCTATCATCGGATGGTCGTCGGCTAAGTTACACTCCGTCTGCTTTATCATCAGAAGTTCACGACGACAAACAGCAGAAAGTTGGAGAGGCATCTGAAAAAGCGACTACCCCTAGCGATGCTGGTCAAAGTAAGACAACAGAGTGTGAACAATCTGTGCTTAGCTCCGGCAGGGAAGGCGAAGCCGGCAGCCTTAGTTCTCCAAAGTTGAAACCCACAACGAGCATTCCGAATGTTGATGAAGGGGAAGAGCAAGTCCTTCGCGAAGCGGGACTTCTAGGTATTGATGGACCTACGGGACCCTCACAAACCTCCGCGTTGGTAGACGAAATAGAAAGCAACGAAAAGCCGACGGAAGAAAAGAATGATGCTAAATCTGGCGATCTTCGTGGCCGGAGCCGTCGAAGTCTACAGCGAACTCTGCGAGATTCTCATCGGCCGAGTCACCAACGTAGTAGGAAGGGACGAGAGTCGTCTTCTAGCCTCCCTATTGTTGATAGCACTGCTAGCGGGGAAGGTGAAGGGTTATCTAGGAAGGATACAAACTTCACTTTGCACGGAAAGAAAGCCTCTGTCATCACATTTGGCTCTGAATGGCAGAATATTTCTCCTGAAGAAAGACTGCAACTCCGTAAGTCGGCAGTGTCTGAGGAACTCAGAGCCTCGGAATCAGGTGGCGACGCGCATGAATCTACTCGGTCAGCATCCATTCACAGCGCTAGACCGCAGTCAATCCGGAGTGCTAGTACCGCGACTGCGAGAAGCTCTCGTTTGGTAGACAGTGTATCGGTAGCTGGCGATATCCCAGAAATTCCATCGTTAGATGTTTTGAAAAAGGAGCAAGCAGGTTCTTCTTCCACACAAAACAAAAGTAACGAGATCGTTACATCCACCACATCCACCAAAGTCAGCGACGTTATAAATGAAGATGTGAATGGCCGAGAAAATGGAGACTTTGTTGATCAAATATCTGTTCCAGAAGGTCCCAAACACAGCCCTCATGAACAAGCAGTTGGCGCATGATAATATCTACATTTCATTTTAGTTATTTCCTTGCTTTCTTCTTTGATACCCCTACATCCGATTCTGTTATTCGCCGCCAGATCTATTGTACGCCGAGCTTTGCGGTTTCATTTTCTTCGAGGTTAAATGTATTGTGTTCTATCAAAATCTGGAACACGACTTTGGGCACTATACGACTAGATTGTTTTTTATTATTTACGACCTGATTTCGTTTACAGAAGTAGTGTTGCGTTTTTCATTTCCCTGGAACGGGGGGTTTCTGTTTCTGAGCGAGAACAAGCATTGGCGGGAAGTAATTGCATCTTGCTGGGTTAAAAGCTTCTAGCAGCATTGAGAAACGAATTCTACCGAGTATGATTAAGATAGCTGTTACCGATAGTTACTCTGTGTGTATATCCCTAATCCCAAAAAGGCAATTTGAGGCAAGCTCCGCACGTCATTGAGCTTTGCCCCACAGCGCCGGCGTAGCTTAATCGATCGCCAACCATCTACAAATCACTCACCATCTCCAACATCTCGACCTAATGAAGACATTGGCCGTCTGTCAGAATCCGCGAAGATGGCCCATTCAAAACGCAACACCTCTCTCCCACATTTCACCTCCTACGAACGCTCACTCCTGCGTTCAACCTGGGGCACACAGCGCACCCGCCTATCGCGCGAATCCTTCCTTCCATTCGGATCATGCCAACTCTGCCTCCAACCCGCCCGAGCACCTGTAGTAGCCTGCGCCGCCAACGGCGATCTGTTCTGTCGCGAATGCGCCATCAGCGACCTGCTCGCGCAGCGCAAAGAAATCAAACGAGTCGAACGGGAGCGCGACGAGGCTAAGAAACGCCTTTCTGAGGACGACGCGCAGGCGCTTGAGCAGGCCAAGCTCAGGGAATTACATGAGTTCGAATTGATCAGTATGGGTATTGAGGGGTCGCATAAAAACAGTAAAAAGAGGAAAGTCCCGACAATGGAGGATGGCAGTAATAAGGAGGATGATAGTGGCAGCAGGGTGGACGCCGCTACGGAGGCCTTTCGACAGCGGGAAATCGAGGTCAATGGGAAGCGGCGAAAGGTGTTTGAGCTTGGTGAAGCGGAGATTGCGCGGTATGCGAAGTCGGAGCAGGAGAGGCTGAAGAGGGAGATTGAACGGGAAAAGGTATGAAATCTAGTTAATATGGATTTTTTTTCTTTGCTAAAAGGGATTGACGATTTGCTAGTCGGAGTCGAAATCTGCGCTACCGTCGTTTTGGGTTCCGTCGTTGACGCCAGGGACCAAGAGTGATGTTATGTCGAAACCAGTTAAACTGGCGCCGCTATGCCCCGGGTCGACGGAGGAGAATCGACATGAGTACTCGCTGAAAAGCTTGGTGGATGTGCACTTCACGGAAGAGAAGGCAGAGGAGTCTAGTTCAACGGCGCAGCGCGTATGTCCAAGTTGCAAGAAGGCGTTGACGAATGGGCTGAAAGCTATGTGTATGTGTGCCTATCCGGATCTGGCGAGAGGTTTGAGAAGAGACTAATGGAGAGTGTGTAGTGACGAAACCTTGTGGTCATGTTATATGTCTACCCTGTGTTACAAAGTTCATGGCCCCTGAGACGACTATAGACCCTCATGAGACAGATCAATCAGAGTCGGCTATAGGTCGTATTCTATGCTATGTTTGCGAGACGGATATTACGCCGTCTTCGAAGCATAAATCCAAACCAAAGGAGAAGGGGAAGGAGAAGGAAGAAAAGAGCAAAATCAAGCCAGGGCTCGTGGAGATTAGGTCGGAGGGCACGGGGTTTGCGAAAGGCGGCGATAATATGGCAAAAAAGCAGGGCGTGGCCTTTCAGTGCTAGGATTGGTCCCAGCCAATTGTTAGATTGTATGATAATCTGGCTACTATACAGAACGTGATGACACTATTCCCACCGCAACTATAAATGCTACTCTCATCGCTTGGGTGCAGGCAAGGACTTCTTCGAGTTGTTAAACTCTCGCACCACAACATCACAACGGACTTCTTGACATAAACGCCGGCGACGAGCAGCGTCCAGTTTCGTCGCGAATTCCAAACCGCTAGCCCGCTCAATAGCCTCGACAGGGACCTCGAAGTCCGTCAAGGGCTGTGTATTCGGAATCCGCGCATTCGGTAGCACAAACGCGCCTAGAGCGACCTTATCCGTCGCATTTGTACCGTGCTCAGCAAAGATGACCTTGTAGAAATGCGTGGGCACAGCGATGTTTGGTGGCTCGCCGATTACTTCGTACGACACGCGATATTTCCCGTCCGTATCCTTTTTGGGCAAGTACAATGGGCCTGTGACGATGCGAACTGATGGGTATTTCTTGGTCAGGTTGCGGCAGAATTCTTCAAAGTGTGACCAGTAATCCCGATTAAAGCCCTCGCCGACCTGCGGGCACATGTTGCTGAGCGAGAAGGTTGCGTCCATGGCGTCTTGGCTCCATTTGGCATCGGCCGCGGGTACCTGATGGCCCCGATCATAGCCTGAGCGGAAGTAGTCGGACAGCTTGCCTCTGAAAATGGTTGGGATTGTGGTGTCTTCGACAAAAGCGCTGTGCTTGCGGTCCGCGTTTTTGAGGGAGAGTGAATACGGGGTGATGTGTTCTGCAACCCAGGATGGGTTTCGCATCCGGCGGTCGTAGGCACCCGTCAGAGGTAGGGTATTGAGAGGGTCGCTGACAGGACCTGGAAATCCGTATTGTAGAAGACCTGAAGGATCGACGGGGGTGGCAGTGGAAGCTTTTGTCGCGAGGGACGGGCTGGGAGCGTGGATAGGCGGAGACACGGCTGGAGACGGAGCGACAGGAAGCGCAGGAGCAAGAGGAGGAGAGGCTTGCTGATCGCGAGGAGATCGAGCTGAATAGATCAGAGCTGTGACCCCAGCGCCCGTGGCGGCTCCAGCAGCTGCGAAGATGGCGAAGGTGGTTTTAGACATGGTGCTGTTTATCTGCTGGCTGTCTCTGCAAGCGCCGTGATTCGTCTAGTGCCGAAGAAGGCCAAGTGAGAGCAGCAGCCCAGCAAAGCCGTCGGAAGCGACTGTCTAAATACTTGCTCCCAGCTCGAAGACCTAGTGTGAGACTGATTGTGACGTTGTCTGCTGTGCTTCCATCGGGTCAAGTGGTTGAGTCGCGTGAAAATAATCACTTCCGCGGAGGAGGCGCTCTGGACCAATCACAGCGTGCATATAGAGGCTGACCCTCGATGCTTGCCTGTGATTAGTAGAATATCATTAAACAATATATTTTGCGAATTATCATAATAACTATTATTAATTATTATTGGGATGCCGTCTTGTAGCTCCCAAGTTTCCCTGTCAATATTCATATAGACAAGCAGAGGGCAAGATGCAAACACTGAGAGCTCTCCTCTGCCCTGGGCCAGTATATCCATGGCATCCACAACAACCAACGTCACGCAGATCACCTGAGACTCTATTGAGAATATTCCTAAAGCTTATCACTGTGATTGGATAGGGATTCCGTGCGATCCTTTGTGAGCGCCCTTGGTCAAGCAAGAATGCGGACCTTGGGGGAAAACTATGCTTAAGGAATAAGAACTAAAGAGTGGCGGTCAGGCTGATCATTTCTGCAGCAGTTTACAACCAATATCAACCAGACCATTACACAGGATCTTGACCCTGATTACCAACTTGCAGCACGCATCTTAAGATCTGCTGCTAATCATTATTATTGTTAACCCTTGGCACGGCAGTCAATAGGAGATACTAATTACTAATTACTACTATCCGGGGCTAGCGCGTCTGAATACTTCTATTACATCATCTCAACGCCGCATACATATCGCACCTTCAGTTCATCCATAGCTCCTTTCCCTTCACCACCACGTCAGCCGCCATGGGGCTCGATGAGAATGACACGCGGGGGTGGGTGATGAGTGGTGTCTCTGGTGCTGGTAGGCTCGGTCCTGTTCTCGCTTGTGCTATTCGCATGCTAACCAGCCATGCTTGAATCCAGCGTGTATCATCGGCGCCAGTATTATCTGTGTCGATGTAATCATGCGCTCGTGTTGCGGCATGAGGAAATTCGATATTACAACAAATTCAACCTTTTTATCATCATCTATGGGTCTGAGTGCTGGGGTAATGGTGAGTTTTGCGCAATTTGTGCAACTTCACAACGTGGCTCCCACTGAAACCGTCATGCTGTCCAGGTTTTCTCGTCGTTATATAGTATGCTGCCCACAGCAAAGCAATATCTATCTCGTTCTGGCCTATCTGGCTCTGCGGCAGCTTATGTCTTAATTGGCCTTTTTCTGGCCGGCGTTGTCGCCATCAGTGTGTTCTCAAACATCGTCCATCGCTATATACCGTCCCATATCGTCGACTGCAATCATACGCATGAACCAGTTGACGGCGATATCGAACATGGAGAAGGTGGAATTACACATTCACAACACTGGCACCAGAGTACCAACAATAAAACCCATGATGAAGAGGAGGACTCGGGCGAGAACAATGAGCGCAGTCCTCTCATCCGGAAGGCTTCTTCCCACCGGCACGCACAATCCGCTCCAGCGCTTCACTCGCGAGCCACCTGTCAGATCCCGCCATCGCTAATTGAAGTGTCAATGCGTCAACGCTTAGGACGTCAAGTTCACAAGTTCTTCCGTGGCACGAAAGAGGTTTGCGATGACAGCGGACCTTGCTATGGCTTTTCTCAAACTTGCGGGACGGAATGTCAGAAAGTAGTAGATGCGAGAAACGTCTCTGCGCTGGTAACCCCGACGAATCTCTCGAGTCATCAAAGAAGGGATCCTTCTTTAGCGACAAATCCAGATCAAAATACGGGAGAGAATGAGCCCGAAACTCCATTAACTGCACGACGTATTCCCTTGTTATACCAGGATATTGGCGAAGGTCATCGACCTGCCGACGAAGAACAAGCATCTGATTACTTCTCGCGGGACACGCATGAACAAACCCCACTGCAGGAAAATGGCGAGGAAGAAGAATGGACGGTCAATGGCAGTAATCCACTTGGCTCGGAAGACACATCGAAACCGTGGGGTCAGCATTCAACCCATTCTTCAGTGCAGCAACACCACCATCACGTCCCTCAGAATGCCTTTCTCTCGATTGGTCTGCAGACCTCGTTGGCGATTGCCCTACATAAACTCCCGGAAGGTTTCATTACCTACGCTACTAACCATGCAAGCCCAACACTGGGCTTGACAGTCTTCCTTGCTCTCTTCATTCACAATATTACAGACGGTTTCGCTCTAGCTTTACCCCTATACCTAGCAATCCGATCAAGAACAAAGGCTATTGTCTGGGCTAGCGTTTTAGGAGGAGTTAGTCAGCCAGCGGGCGCTGCACTGGCTGCTCTATGGATTTGGGCTACCACCCGAGGCAGAGACAATTCCGGCACTGAAGGAACATCTTGGGGTGTCTACGGCGGGATGTTTGCTGTGACAGCAGGGATCATGACCTCGGTAGGTCTCCAACTGTTCAGCGAAGGTCTGTGCCTAACGCACAACCGAAACATCTGCATTGGTTCGGCTATTGTTGGTATGGGGTTACTGGGCGTTAGTTTTGCATTGACGGCGTGAATAAAAGTTATGGACGACGCGTGGCGTTTGGGAACAGAATGTTATCCATACTAAGTAGGCGTAGTCTTATTTTATATTACTATATATTAGCTGATAATGTGATGAGGCTTATTTCTTGATAATCCACCGCATCCACGAGGACAGAATAACTATTGTCCGCATAGAAGTAGCTGCGTATGAGCATCTTTCTTAGTAATACAAGAAAGGTGAGGTTAAACCTTCGACCTGACAAGCTCCAAGACACAAAAGACATTTATATTCATATCAAGTGCCGCTTTTAGCTTGCGCCTCCTTCTCGCGCTTACGCGCAAGATACCGTTCGCGAGCGCTTTGAACATCCGAGTCCGTCTTGTGACTACGGTTCTTCTCAGCCAGCTGTTTCTGCCGTTCCTTTTCAGCTTCCTCTTCTTGCCTAGCACGTTCTTCAAGCTGAGCGGCAATCATCTCAGTTTGACGAGCACGCTGGGCGCCACGAGCCGCATAAACCTCGTTGGACGGACCACGGGCACCAGGCCGGACAGTAGACACAGCAGCTGGACCTGACGGTTTTGCTTTTGGTTTCGGAGCGACATTGAGGCCTGCGCTGAGCAGCTGGCGCTTGTCGACTACTTGCCCTTCGTCATTGACAACAACCTTGGCACCACGTGCATTCAATTCGGCCGCGATATCTGCTTCGGACTTTTCCTTCGTCACGCCTTCCGATACCTCTACCGGTGTTTCTCCCGCTGCAACTTTTTCGGCTGCCTCCTGCGCTGCTTTTACCGCCTCGCCATGACTCTCCTCGTCTCGAGCGAGCATTTCGCGATAGAAGCTCACCATCCCCGACCCGCCGTTCTTTTTTCGTCGCTCCTCTTCTTCCTGCTCTCTCTTTGCCTCTTCCTCCTCCATCCGCTTCACCTCATCTTGCTGCGCTCGGTATGCGGCCGTCACAAACTTCTCTTTATCTGCGTATTCATCTCCCTCGGCTTCCCGCTCCTTCGCTAACACCCTATCTCTAGCTCGTAATTGATCTCGTTTTCGCACCTCTGCACTGCGCAACAGCGCATCCATATACCTAGAGCTTTCCTGCTCGCCATTGTCCGTCTTCTTTGGCTTCTCGCGTTTTGCTTTTATGCTATCGTAAACAGCATCGTATGAGTATATAGAAGGGTCGAGTTCTTCAGCTTCTTTTGCGTGTTTTCGACTCGTATGTAATGCTGCAAGATTCACATAATCTTTATTTGTGTCCGTTGATTGCAAGCCGTATGTTTTTTTATTTGGCGCATCTACCTCACTCTGGGGTTTGTCCGCTTGTCCTTCATCATGCTCGTCGTCAAAGATACTACTCTTCAACGGCCTTACGCCGATCTTCTTGCTTGGAGGTTTCGCGCTTGATAGACCTGCTAGAAACGGTTTCTTGGGCTTTGTATCTGTCTCGACTGGGAGGCTTTCGTTTTTCCTGTCTAGTCCTCCCAGGGTTGTAATTTCGATTGCGCCATCTTGGTTTTCGGCGAGATTAGTTTCTCCCTCGTCTTCTGAGCCTGAGTCGCCGAATACTGGCTTTTTGCGCTTTTGTCCGGCTAATAGGTTGGGCTTGGCGGATGTGGGCTTCTTTGCATTCGGCAGGTTGAGACCGTAGGAGAATTTTGGAGGCATTATGTGAGGTATAGGAGTGGGCTGATATGTATTAGTTTATTGCATGTTTCGTTGATTTAAAGGAAGACGAAGACTAGAATTAAATAATTCGGGGAGATGATGATAATGTTGAATCTGATTTGTTGTAGTTGGAGATTGATTGCGGCGAGACGGGGTGGGAGGCAGATCACGTGCTGATATGGTAAATCAACACCACAATTCAAGACACCTTCAAAATCAAAGTTGAATATAGAACAATTAAACTACTATACGATTTATTTCATAGCCACTCTAAAATACACACCTGGAAGGCTTTATTGATGATTGTATTGATTTCAATCCACGTGACTCCCCGTATAGTTCGCGGATAAAGCTTAAATGCACTATCGTCAATCATCCATCGGCAACACCCTATACCCAGCATGTCGTACTACTTCACAATCCTCTCGCCAACCGACGTCCCGCTTTTTAGCTTGACATTCGGCACCTCCAAAGCCGGCGGAGATGGCATCGCGCGCTTCCGCTTCCCCGAATCCGCGCAGTACATGAATCAATTCGTCGTCCATGCCAGTCTCGACATCGTCGAGGAGGCGCAATGGACAAACGGGGCACTGTTAGTTCACCACCTTGTTCTTCTCGATGCTCCTACTAATAAGTGCGTTGTTTTTTATTAGCTATCTTAAACACATCGATACCTACCCCCCAACAGCATCCCACGTCTCCGCCTTCCTCACCCCCTCCGGCTCCCGCCTCATCCTCCTCCATCAACCCCCGCAACTCCAATCGTCAGGCGGCGTCACGGGGTCAACAGCGTCGCTAGCGACGGCGACGACCACATCGCGCGCATCTTCGAGTTCGATTGCCGCGAACCCGACATCGCCGCAGACAGAAGAGGCCATACGCCAGTTCATGAACGAGGTTTATGAGAATTGGGTCAAGACTGTTATGAGTCCGTTTTATAGGCAGGGTATGCAGATTACGAGTCCCGTGTTTAGGGCACGAGTCACTGCGGCAGGGAGGAAGTGGTTATGATGGGATTGAGACTGATGAGGATGGCTGGTTTTGTGTATATGTTTGTGAATTACTGATAGATTTAAGAGATACCCAATAAGTAAAGGAAATGAGCCACCATCCGAGCCTCTAGTCCTCGCGCTATCCCACTGTTGTAGTTTATCATTTACTGTTCTAAGTTCGTGATCCTAATTGAAAAAAGGAGGTTTATTAATGACAATAATGTTGCCAAGCTTGAAATAGCTCTTGTTCAATTGCCATAACATAGAATTGGTCCTGATATCAAAACAGTAACTAAAACGCGACCATTAGATGAAATTGCTGGCTTTCAAGTACTAAAATGGCACAAAAAATACTGGAAATGCTCAAAGCAGCCCGGAACGCCATACGTATACAACCTACATTTGGCCATCAAGCACTTAGCTGGCCACTGAGCTGAGGTGTCATTTTCTTGATCGCATTGGCCTTGAAATTTTCCACTGCACTGATAATATCATCCGCTTTCGCGACAGAACCGAATATTCCCCCTTCCATCTTCACCGAATCCAAGGTGCTAGTATGTAAAGAGGGATCGGTTGCGGCGCATACGTCTTCCAAGAGTACGCAATCAAAGCCTCGGTCGTTAGCCTCGCGCATGCTAGTGGATACGCAGACATCTGTGGTGACTCCTGCGAAAATGAGGTTTTTGATGCCTTTGTTCCGTAAAAGTAACTCGAAATCAGTGTAGGCAAAGGCGCCTCGACCAGGTTTGTCGATGATTGGCTCGCCAGGTATAGGACAAAGCTCATCGATTATATCATGTCCATGCTCGCCTCGGATTAATAGTCGACCGAGCGGCCCTTGTGAACCAATACCCAATGTTGACGAGTTATTGCGGGACCGGTAGTTTTCTCGACTGGATAGTGTCGATAGGTCCGGCCGGTGGCCTGGAAAGCATTAGCAAAAGAACATAGAAGACAACGGTTCTTGGTGTTACCTTCGCGAGTGTGGTAGACGGGAAATCCCGCAGTGCGAAAAGTATGCAATAAAAGCTGTAACTTAGGTATGATCTCACGCGAAGGAGATATATCATATCCTTGAAACTCTAAGTAGCCGCCCGGAGCGCAGACTAAATCATATATTAGCATATATTAGCAACTGTATTGAGCTGCAACTCACAGTCCTTTTGCATATCAATAATGACAAGCGCAGTGGTGAAAGGCGTTAAAGTAGCATCATGTGGCCAGTCGTAGGGCTGGGCAGAAACTTGCCCTTTCTTGACTCTATGTTGCGGGGTAGGCCGTGTACGTTCGATAACTGGACCGTGATTGTGTGCGGGATTCAGAACAGTGAGCGACCAGAAACCAGGGTTCCCAGCGGCAACAAGCATGAACGGGCAATCCATCAGACGCGATGTCCGCTTCCGCTTGCGCGTTTCTTCTGTCAGGCCATTGCGCGGGCGATATTGGCCCCCTCGATCACATCGAAGCCAGATTTTAGCGGTTCGCCCCGGTTTCTTGTCCGTGGGGGTACTTGAAGATTTGACAACGATGTTGTATCCATGTGCTTTACCATGGGCTTGTACAGAGGCCAACAGAGACGTTCTGCAACCTTGGTCAGCCTCTGTGAGTGACGAGCATATCAGACAAAGTAGTAGGCGGCTCACCTGTCAGGAAAAGTTCCTTCTGGTGGCGGTACCAATTCGATTGCCGAATCAGGGATATCTTGAAGGTCACTCGGCGCATCAAGATTCAAGTCCGAAGTATCAGCCATGGCGGGCGGACTTGGTTAGGTAGGTTGTTTGTCACTGAGAGCAAGACATCAAGTCAGCCTGCGTCCCGTACGGGGGCCGTCCTTTGCCCCGAAAATTCGCATGCCCAGCAGATCGAGTGTCAATCTTTTGAAGCGGATACATGTAAATAGATGTCTAGGGATCGGAGACAGGTGCGTGGAAGCAACAATATTGTTTTGATGCTGAATGGACGAAAGCTGTGCGTGGACATAGTGGACCAGCGGCGAATGACGTGGAGGACCACGAGCATTGAGCGGTCGCGATGCACTGGAAGGATAGCGACAGACAATAGCCACTTACCGGAAAGCTCGAGGGCTCATACGAATAGCAATGGCTAGAAGCGGCCAGATCGTCGGTATGGGACGCTGGCAATAATGATGCGCGTGGCCCTTTGCGACGCAGCAAGATTCAGAGGTCAGTTCGACTTAGCAATTGCATGTGCTTGGTGGAGAGCGCGGGCTAGGCGGCTTCGGGGCTAGCGGGCACCCCTCCCCTGACAACAACAACAACAGCAACAGGAGCAATCACGGGACAACCAGCCTTGGCGGTGAGCGTCCAGTCAACTCTATTCACCTCGACCTCCACCACAACTTTACAGCAACAACAACATCATCCCACGTCCTTTCCCCCCAGCGCGGGGGTTGCAGCAGTCGCATCGAAAGGTAAGTCTATTCGACCCTCACGGGCTGACTGCCCCGGCCGCGATTCGCCCCACGACAGACTACGACAGCGTCCTGAATCTCGACGGAGGGGGCAGAGCCCGAACATTATCAACAAGAACAACAACGACGACGACGACGACGACGACGACGACGACGACAATCATCGGCACAACTATCTATCGGATGCTCTAGATCCGTACCAGCCGACGTGCGCCTGGAATACACACAAAAGTAATCAACAGCTTGAATGCGCCGTGTCCTCGCCGATTCCTTATCTGAACGTCAACAATCCCCCCCACCGCTCAACAATGCCTGCCGCAGATCCCAACACAACGCCCTCTGCCCCGAAGACTAGCAGCTCCTTGGAGGAGGAGCTGTCCTATTATAAGTCGCAGTATGAACAATTAGAAGTCGAGCTTGCCGATTTCCAAACCTCCAGTCGTGAATTGGAGGCGGAGTTGGAGAAGGATATCGAAGCCTCCGAGAAACGGGAACGACATCTGAAAGAAAAGGCAGAAAGTTTGAGTTACGAAGTTGATGAGTGGAAGGTATGATTACAACTGCTCTATGTTCTTTTGTCTAGGCTGTGCGCTTATGTGATTATTCGATATCAGGCCAAATACAAGCAAGCAAAAACAGAAGCGAATTCCGTTCAAAACACCCTACAAAAAGAGATCACCACGCTACGAGACAGCAATCGCACTTTGCAACTGAAGCTCCGAGATATTGAAGTCGCAAACGATGACTATGAACGCCAGGCTCGTAATACCACCTCGTCGCTGGAGGATTTGGAGTCTAAATACAATGTCGCCATTGAGCGGGGAGTCCTCCTGGAAGAAGAGATCAAGAATGGAGAGCAGGAGCGAGAGGGCCTGCGAATCACGGCCCAACGTCTGCGTGACGAGCTGTCGGACTTGAAGATTGAAGCCGATATTATCAACAACAAACTTCGCAAAGCTGAGAGCGAACTCAGCCATCGCCGCAAGCCCGCCTTCTTGAATTCGTCTTCTGTAGCCAATAATCAATATAGCGAAGGTGCTGAACAATCGCCAGTCACAACTTCTTCTTCACCAACGATGACCACACCTCCTGCCAAATCCGTTTCGTCAGCAACATCGGAGGCCTTGACCCCTCCGTCTCCTACCGCTTCCGAGTCTTCTGTCAGCGTTCGCAAGGCAGGCGCCGAAGGTGGCGCCACCCGCAGTAGAATATCTGTTTCAAGCAGTGTACCTCGCCCGAGTTTTGGCAGACACACTCGCACCCCTTCAATTCCTTACGTAAATGGCTTTTCTACCCCGTCGATGTCTTCTGTTCGTACTGCGCCCCGACTTAGCGCTTCGCAATCTGGCATTCCCCGGTCCGGTTCATTATATCAAATTCGCGGTCTCATCGGCAAGATGCAAAAGCTGGAACAGCGAGTGCATTCTGCCCGCTCAAGACTTCCAGCTCCATCTGAGACCCCCAACGGCGCCTCGCCGCGTGCACCTTCGGCTTTGGATCAAAGCTCCATACCATCGTCGGTGACCGTCCGTAGGAGCTCTCGCAAGCGAACAAGCACCAGCAGTGTCAGCTCTTCAGCCTTGGATGGAGATAACACAACATCATCTTCATTTATTCATAATCGACAATCTTTTGGACGTTCAGTCGACAGCCGCCCAAGTAGTCGAACCAGCTACTCGAGTCGCAATTCCTTCGGTCTTGGGACCAGCATACCACAGGCGCGCCCTGATAGCAGACAAAGCCTGAACCGTGCTCGGACTCCTCTCGGACATTATTCGACGAACCCGACAACAGAAAGCCGGCGCCCGCGGTCTTCTTTGAGCTCATATTCACAAAGCCATGGCCCAGCCAAAGGTATGTCGTATATTGACGAAGATAGCGACATCACTACACCAACGCCCCAACGAGGTACTATAGAGAACGAGTCAGTCTTCCGTTCGTCTATACCCGGTCCAAGCAGCCTAAAGAAAAGACCCAGCGGTACAATGGCATATAGTGGTATACCAGGGTCTCGGCGAACAACCGCAGGGGCGGACGGCCAAAAGACAGACTTCCGAGCAAGTCAAGGGCCTAAAAGGAAACCCAGCGATCTCGGCGAAACCTATTAATATGATATTATATTTGTTGTCGCGGCATAGCTTTGCGTTGATATGCTTGCATAACTCAATACTTTATGGCCGATATATGTAACTCGGTTTTGACACATCTTGGAGGAGCTCTCATTTTATTAAAGGACGAACGACGTTTCTCGGTTTCGGCTGGGGTTTGTTTATTGCATGGCGCATAGGCGTCACAGAGTTATTGCAAGGTGGACAACGGCGCCTTTATTGATGTATTTTTTTTTTTTTTTTCGTTTTCATGCAGTTTCTGGACCTGCATCTGCATCCTATCTCTACTTTTTCGAGGGAGGAAAACCGTTGTCGACACCGCGACGTCCCATTGCTGTACACAGCCACCTTTCTTTAGTGTGACCTACCTACCTACTCTACATTTTGATACCTGTAATTAGTTTGACAGCCAACTTCTAGACAATACCCGAATGATAACCTTCTAAGCCAGTAATCCGATTGCCATACATACTTAAACTTAATACCACTAGATGAGCCAACCAATCGCATACCCATTACCGTCTGACTCGTCTATGTCGCTAGTCGAAGCCGGTGCCATTCCTAGCATTTCCAGCTACTTCGGCCGCAAATAGTCTAGTCTTACTTGTCCTTGATTATTATTATTATTATCATTATTCTTGATTCTTGATTCTTGATTATTGTCCGCCGGACAAATAACCCGGGGTAATGAACGCCTCGAGATGCAAACTCCGTGATATTACGTATTCCCTCTTTTTTTTTTTCATTGTTGGTAGAACATTAAACCCATGGCGCCAGTTCTGTGGTTGTTTGATTATTTTATTATTATGCTTGTTACAGATGTCTTGCTCCTACTTCAATTTATTCCAGTTTGACGTTTTAATGTTGCATAAGGAACGTTGAATCCGCAGTATATGGATATGGATAGGTGTGGGCATTTAATGACGTCAATGGAGGGGGCTAGGCGTTCATCCAAAGCAACAAGTGTCTGTTTTGTTGAAACTACTGCTTTAGGTTTCAAAGCTATACGCGGTACACGGAGTCACGGAGTATGCATGTGCACTCCGCGTGTAAGCAGGTGTAAGCACATGTCTATATTTAGAAGGGACCGGACTAAACAGTATTGCATGGTTATGAGAGATGATATGTATACAATCGATTTGTATTTAGTTGGTTTGTTGAGTATGCTAGGGGTCATACCTGGGACGTCGAGGGAGGTATGGATATAGAGAGAAGATGTACTCCGTAGTTATCTGAAAGAACATTGAAGACATGCCAGCCTAGATTTAGCAGTCGGGCTTGGACTCCGTCCCCGAATATAGCGCTTACGTCAGTACATGAGCTTAAGCGTCCAATCCTCGATATACTTATGACACATGTTGGTTTAGGTGGCGGTCAAACTGTCGACCGGCTCGTTTACGGGGGTATTTAATTAATTGGAGACCGGAGTCTTTTGATTTTTCAAATCTGCAAAAATGATTAAAAAGTTTAATGTTAATGCGTTGGATGAATTCCATACTCGAGAGTTAATTCTAACGGCGAGTATATTCGGCGAGTATTCGCGGGGAGAGGTTTAATTAAACACCACACAATTATTCACGGGAGGATAGTTCTTGTATAGCTGAAGAATGCGATGGAACAATCGTAGAACTGCCTACCAAAGTTTATTATGATCATCCTGCCGAGAATGACTACGCCGTAATTAAGCTAGTCCGCAGTCTACTACGTGATTTCGACCCTCGATTTTCTCACCCCGGACCGGACGGCATCTTAAGTGGTCGATTTGTCCCCGACTCGGGAATGTAACATTTCGCATGCGGTCGGGAGGCCGTCACCAATGAGGAAGAAACAAGTTGGGCCTTATCGATATGTCGATAAGCCGTCAGTGCCTAGCCTCGCAGTCCGATGGCATCATTATCTGATCCCGACACGGGTAGCGGACGATTTTTTGATTTTTTGATCTCTTGATCTCTTGATTTCTTGTGATGGGGGCTGATTGTGTTTTCCAAAAGGGGAATAAGGAACGTTCCCAATCGGTAGGCTGCGTTAGAAACCAGTAGTCCTGTACGGATTCGAAGAAAGGAGAATCTCCGGCGGCTGTTCTCGGAAGGTGGTAGATGGGTTGCGACTTGCGAGGCCCTGCGAGGCCCTTAACAGGTATGATAATGTCCATTATCAGCATAATTGAATAAGGCCAAGATTATCGCTGATCTCGTCGCTCGGTCTCCGTAGGGCCGGTTGGGACAGGCCCACTGGCCCCTGCACTGCAAGGGGCGTCCCCAATCAGGCATCGCGTGGCGGGACGAGCCTGGGCTAGAGCACATCACCACAGCGTTTTTTCTCGGTAGTTTGTGCGACGACGAAGACGACGGGCGATGGAACCCGGAGTTGCAGTTGTGTAGCTGATCCAGGGCGCAAACACCGTAGACGGCGGTTAGTACTGCGTGCTCAGCTGGCACTGTGGCCGTATTGGCAGTACTCGGTGATGCTAGGCCCATTAGTTAGGAAGAGTAAGGCTACCAGGCGTGGGAGAACTCCCACCAGTTCATAGAATAGACATAGAATTAGACATAGAAACGAGCGGAACCGTCTTTTTTGTTGAATCATCGACGCCGCTGGGCAGTTGGGAAGGACAGCGCGGTTGAAAGGGCAGCGCAGTCAACAAGTCAACAGTTGGGGCGTTTCGGGGTCCGCCAGACGCCATGCCCGGTGCAGCCTAGCGCCACGGCAGCTGCTGTCGTCGCTGCCCGGGCGCTCCTGCTAATCGGGCCAATCGCTCGGTGGAGCCTGAGGAATCAGGATTTTGGGTGCTGCTGCTGCAACCGCGCTCAGCTGCTCGCAGTAATCAGTAATCTTGGCTGTCGCGGTACGGGTACTTAGTGTTTACTACTATTTGCTAGGCACGGCTAGGTAGCTTGTAGATTATTATTATGCTCCCCAATGATATTTCCCGCCTTCCCCCCCACCCCTTCATCGCTCATCTTTTTCCTCGACACCTGCTGCAATTGCTCTACGTCTCTGCTCTTCTCTTCGCTTCACTTCCCTCCCTCAATCTTCTTATTCGATGTACACCTTGAAATAATAATAATAATTTTGTCTACTGCGCGAGGTGCGTTCTACTGCCTGTCTAACCTAGCTCCCATCGACCTCTTAAAGCTGTCCTGTGCAATCGCCCGGTGGTCCCTTGATTGTTCTGTTGAGGCGACACTTTCCTGCCTTCGTGTCATTCTCCAAGTTGGTATTACCCGGGGCTGACCTCACGCGGGGACTGTAGGTGCTGTCATCCGACCATCGTTGCTCTGCCTCTGCATTTTCCGCCCCATAATCAGCTTGCTCTGCGCTGTATAAAAGAGAAGTTGGATCGCCCGAACTCACGCCAAGTCTCGGATTCGTCCAAAACTGCTTGCATTTGGTTTCTGGTTGCATGAGAGGTTTGGCTACAAGAGTCAACATGTCTCCTACGAACGGAGTGAAGACCAATGGCCACGGCAACTCCTTTGCCGCAAAGCACAATATCCCCTCACATTTTATCGGCGGAAATCGGCTAGATCTAGCTCCTCCAAGCAAGGTCAAGGATTTCGTCGCGGCCCACGATGGCCACTCAGTTATCACATCGGTATGTTATCTGCGTCTACACCCATGGTAAGGTACTTGCAAACTAACTGTAAATAAAGGTGCTTATCGCCAACAACGGTATCGCCGCCGTCAAAGAGATCCGATCAGTAAGAAAATGGGCATATGAGGTTTTCGGCAATGAGCGCGCCATCCAGTTCACCGTCATGGCCACGCCGGAAGATTTACAAGCTAATGCCGACTATATTCGTATGGCGGATCAATATGTCGAAGTACCTGGAGGAACCAACAATAACAACTACGCTAACGTCGAATTGATTGTTGATATTGCCGAGCGAATGGACGTCCATGCTGTATGGGCCGGCTGGTAAGAAAGAGGAATCCCTTTGAGCTGTTGCTTCTGATTGCTAACTCATCATGCAGGGGTCACGCTTCAGAAAACCCAAAGCTTCCAGAAGCCTTGGCTGCTTCTCCCAAGAAGATCATCTTTATTGGTCCCCCAGGCTCTGCCATGCGATCTCTGGGAGATAAGATTTCGTCCACAATTGTTGCACAACACGCTAATGTGCCTTGCATTCCCTGGTCAGGAACCGGCGTTGACCAAGTCAGAGTCGATGAGCATGGAATTGTGACCGTGGATGACGATGTATATGACAAGGGTTGCACCCATTCTCCTGAGGAAGGTTTGGAGGCTGCACGGAAGATCGGCTTCCCTGTCATGGTCAAGGCTTCCGAAGGAGGTGGTGGTAAAGGTATCCGAAAGGTTGACCGGGAAGAAGACTTCGTCTCCCTATATAATGCCGCTGCTAGCGAGATCCCAGGTTCGCCGATTTTCATCATGAAGTTGGCCGGCAACGCTAGACATTTGGAAGTGCAGTTGCTGGCTGATCAGTATGGCAACAATATCTCTCTCTTTGGACGTGATTGCTCGGTCCAGAGACGTCACCAAAAGATTATCGAAGAGGCCCCAGCCACTATTGCGAAGCCCAACACTTTCCAAGCAATGGAGCGTGCTGCAGTCAGTCTGGGTAAATTGGTCGGTTATGTGTCTGCAGGAACTGTCGAATACCTCTACTCCCATGCCGACGATAAGTTCTACTTTTTAGAACTTAACCCACGTCTTCAGGTCGAGCACCCTACCACGGAGATGGTCACTGGTGTCAACCTCCCAGCTGCCCAGCTTCAAATTGCAATGGGTCTCCCCCTTCATCGTATTCGCGATATTCGTCTCCTATACGGCGTCGACCCTCACACCTCCTTTCCCATCGATTTCGACTTCTCAAATGAAGACAGCCACAAGGCTCAGCGCCGCCCTCAGTCCAAGGGACACTGCACTGCTTGCCGTATCACCTCCGAAGACCCTGGTGAGGGCTTCAAGCCGTCTAGTGGCACAATGCACGAACTTAACTTCCGCAGTTCTTCCAACGTTTGGGGTTACTTCTCTGTCGGAACCGCTGGTGGAATCCACAGTTTCTCCGACAGTCAATTCGGTCACATTTTCGCGTATGGTGAGAACCGTACCGCTTCTCGCAAGCACATGGTTGTTGCCCTGAAAGAACTCAGCATTCGTGGTGATTTCCGAACCACGGTTGAATACTTGATCAAATTGCTCGAAACACCCGCTTTTGAAGACAACACAATCACAACAGGTTGGCTTGATCAGCTGATTTCTAACAAGCTGACTGCCGAGCGTCCCGACCAGGTCGTTGCTATCATTTGTGGTGCAGTGACCAAAGCCCATTTGGCTAGCGAAGGCTGTATCGCCGAGTATCGTTCAAGCTTGGAACGCGGGCAGGTTCCGCCGAAGGAAGTTCTCAAGACAGTCTTCCTGGTGGATTTCATCTACGAGGGTTCCCGTTATAAATTTACCGCAACTCGGGCTAGTTCGGACAGTTACCATCTCTTCATTAATGGTTCCAAGTGCTCCGTCGGTGTGCGTGCTCTAGCTGACGGTGGTTTACTTGTCCTGATGAATGGCCGCAGCCACAACGTCTACTGGAAGGAAGAAGCTGCCGCTACTCGTTTGAGTGTGGATGGCAAGACTTGTCTCCTGGAGCAAGAAAATGATCCAACCCAATTGCGTACTCCCAGCCCTGGTAAATTGGTCAAATTCACCGTTGAGAACGGTGACCGTGTTAAGGCCGGCCAACATTTCGCAGAAGTTGAAGTCATGAAAATGTACATGCCTTTGATCGCTCAAGAGGACGGTACTGTCCAGTTCATCAAGCAGCCAGGAGCTACTCTAGAGGCCGGTGATATTCTCGGTATCCTGGCCTTGGACGACCCATCTCGTGTCAAACATGCCCAGCCCTTCACTGGACAACTTCCAGACTTGGGACCCCCTCAAATTGTTGGTAACAAGCCTCCTCAGAAATTCACACTCCTTCGCGGCATTCTGGAGAACATTCTCAAGGGCTACGACAACCAATTCCTTATGAAAGCTACCTTGAAAGAGTTGATTGCTGTTCTACGTGATCCCGAGCTTCCTTACGGCGAATGGAATGCTCAATTCGCTGCTCTTCACTCGCGTATGCCAGGAAAGCTCGGCTCTCAACTTTCACAAGTTGTTGAACGTGCCAGATCCCGACAAGCCGAGTTCCCAGCGAAGCAACTTCAAAAGACCCTCCTCAAGTTTATCGAGGACAACGTCAACCCAGCGGATGCGGACATCCTCAAGACTACATTGGGACCGATTGTTCACGTCATCGATCTCTACAAGGATGGCTTGAAAGTTCACGAATACGAGGTATTTATTGGCCTTTTGGAACAATACTACGACGTCGAAAGCAGATTTACTGGGCGCAACACTCGTGATGAAGAGGTTATCCTGAAGCTTCGTGACGAGAACAAAGAGGACATTTCGCTTGTTCTCCAAACTGTCTTGTCTCACACCAAGGTTGGCACCAAGAACAACCTGGTCCTCGCTATTCTAGACATTTATCGTCCCAACCAACCCCAGGCTGGCAATATCGGCAAATACTTCAAGCCAATTCTACGCAAGCTCACAGAATTGGAATCTCGTGCCGCCTCTAAGGTTACCCTCAAGGCTCGCGAGCTCCTTATCCAGGCTGCTCTGCCATCTCTGGAGGAGAGAGCTACACAAATGGAACATATCCTCCGCTCCTCTGTGTTGGAGTCTCGCTATGGTGAAGCTGGCTGGGATCACCGAGACCCTGAATATGGAGTCTTGAAGGAGGTGGTTGATTCCAAGTATACGGTCTTCGATGTTCTTCCCCAATTTTTCTCGCACTCTGATCACTGGGTCACACTTGCGGCACTTGAGGTATATATTCGCCGTGCTTACCGTGCTTATACCGTGAAGGACATACAATATCACACCGACGGTGAACAACCTTTTGTCTCTTGGGACTTTGCCTTGGGTAAGCTCGGTCAGGCGGATTTTGGTCTTCCAATCTCATCCTCTCACCCATCGACTCCTGGCACTCCCACTGCCGAAAGCTCAAATCCTTTACAGCGAATCAATTCCATCAGTGACATGTCTTATCTTGTTGATGCTGAGGCTAGTGACATCCCACGTAAGGGTGTCATCATTCCAGTTCAGTACTTGGAAGAAGTTGATGAGCAATTGGTGCATGCTCTCGAAGTTCTTCCTCGAAAAATCACGAAGCCTAAGAAGACTAATCTTCTCACCGCTGACTTGAGCGGCAAACGCAGACCACCTCAACTTGCTGACAGTGAAGGAGAACTCTCTGGAGTTTGCACTGTTGCTATTCGTGATGTTGAAGACCTTGATGATGCCGAGCTCTTTGCTCAATTCAAGAAGGTTGTCGTAGACCACAGGGAAGATCTTTTGTCAAGAAATGTCCGCCGCATCACATTCATTTGCGGGCACAAAAACGGCACTTACCCCGGCTACTTCACTTTCCGTGGCCCCCTTTACGAAGAGGACGAAAGCATTCGTCACAGCGAGCCTGCGTTGGCATTCCAGCTTGAACTAGCCCGCTTGTCTAAGTTCAAAATTAAGCCCGTCTTCACCCAGAACCGCAACATCCACGTGTATGAGGCTATCGGAAAAGGCCCTGAGAACGAACGTCAAACGATTGACAAGCGTTACTTCACCCGTGCTGTCGTGCGTCCAGGCCGCCTTCGTGATGATATCCCTACCGCAGAGTATCTGATTTCCGAAGCTGACCGCTTGGTGAATGATATTCTAGATGCTTTGGAGGTCATTGGTAACAACAACTCCGATCTTAACCATATTTTCATGAATTTCTCCCCCGTGTTCCCTCTACAGCCCAAGGATGTTGAAGAAGCCTTAGCTGGGTTCTTGGATCGCTTCGGTCACCGTCTGTGGAAACTCCGTGTCACAGGAGCCGAGATTCGTATATTGTGTACCGATCCTGCTACTGGCCTGCCTTACCCTCTTCGTGTTATCATCAACAACACTTTTGGTTTCATCATTCAGGTTGAGCTATATGTCGAGAAGAAATCTGAAAAGGGGGAATGGATTTTCCACAGCATTGGAGGGACAAACAAGATTGGCTCCATGCACTTGCGTCCTGTGTCAACACCATATCCTACAAAAGAGTGGCTACAACCAAAACGCTACAAAGCGCACTTGATGGGTACGCAGTACGTGTACGATTTCCCGGAACTTTTCCGTCAAGCTTTCCAGAATAGCTGGACAAAGAGCATTGAAACGGTTCCATCGCTTGCGGAGAAGCGTCCCCCAGTTGGTGAGTGCATTGAATACAGTGAGCTCGTGCTGGATGACACAGACAATCTTGTCGAGGTGTCTCGCGAGGCTGGTACAAACACCCATGGTATGGTAGGCTGGGTTGTCACTGCGTACACCCCAGAATATCCTCGTGGACGAAAATTCATCATCATTGCCAACGACATCACTTATCAAATCGGCTCTTTCGGACCCCAGGAAGACAAGTTCTTCCACAAGTGTACTGAGCTTGCCAGGAAACTTGGCATTCCTCGCGTCTACCTTTCTGCCAACTCTGGTGCTCGTATTGGCATGGCCGATGAATTGATCCCTTATCTGAATGTTGCTTGGAACGATCCGTCGAAACCGGAGGCTGGTTTCAAGTACCTCTACTTGACACCCGAATTCAAGAAGAAATTGGATGAACGTAAGGTTAAGGAAGTCATTACTGAAGCTATCCACGAAGATGGCGAAGAGCGCCACAAGATTACGGCCGTCATTGGTGCCAAGGACGGATTGGGTGTTGAGTGCCTTCGGGGCTCGGGTTTGATTGCCGGTGAGACTGCTCGTGCCTATGAGGATATTTTTACAATCACTCTGGTCACCTGCCGTTCCGTTGGTATTGGTGCATACCTTGTTCGACTTGGCCAGCGTGCCATTCAAGTCGAAGGCCAGCCGATTATCCTTACCGGTGCTCCAGCTATCAATAAACTGCTCGGTCGCGAAGTTTACACTTCCAACCTGCAGCTTGGTGGTACCCAAATCATGTACAAGAACGGTGTTTCCCACATGACAGCCAACGATGACTTTGAAGGTATTCAGAAAATTGTCGACTGGATGGCCTTCGTGCCCGACAAGAAGCATTCTCCTGTGCCCATCCGGCCATGGTCTGACAATTGGGATCGGGATATTACTTATGTCCCTCCTCCCAAGCAACCATATGATGTTCGATGGCTCATTGGTGGAAAGGACGATGCGGATGGATTCCTTTCTGGTCTTTTCGACAAGGATTCGTTTGAAGAGAGTCTTGGTGGCTGGGCTAGAACCGTTGTTGTTGGCCGTGCTCGTTTGGGTGGTATCCCTATGGGTATTATTGCCGTTGAGTCTCGTACTGTCGACAATGTTACCCCTGCAGACCCCGCCAATCCCGACTCGATGGAGATGGCCTCTATGGAGGCCGGTGGTGTTTGGTACCCCAACTCTGCCTTCAAGACCGCTCAAGCCCTGCAGGATTTCAACAATGGTGAACAGCTTCCGGTAATGATCTTGGCCAACTGGCGTGGTTTCTCTGGCGGTCAACGCGACATGTACAATGAGGTCCTCAAGTATGGTTCTTACATTGTTGACGCTCTCGTCAAGTATGAGCAACCGATCTTTGTCTACATCCCACCGTTTGGCGAACTTCGTGGTGGTTCCTGGGTAAGTTAATTTTTGTGTTATTTTCAATCAAAATACTAATTACTTATACTAGGTCGTTATTGACCCAACTATTAACCCGGACCAAATGGAAATGTACGCGGACGAGGAATCTCGTGGTGGTATTCTGGAGCCTGAGGGTATTATCAACATCAAGTTCAGACGTGAGAAGCAGCTTGATACTATGGCACGCCTCGATACCGCCTACGGTGACCTCCGAAGACAACTCGAAGACAAGTCTCTCAGCAACGAACAGCTGTCTAACATTAAAACCAAGATGGCTGCTCGTGAAGAACAGTTGCTTCCGGTCTACACACAGATTGCCTTGCAATTCGCTGACCTTCACGACCGTGCCGGACGCATGGAAGCTAAGGGCACCATCCGCCAAACTCTTACATGGAAGAATGCTAGACGGTTCTTCTACTGGCGTCTGCGTCGTCGTTTGAGCGAGGAACTGATCTTGAAGCGCATGATTGAAGCGCAACCTAAGCCAGTAGCTCGCAATGGCAGCAAGGGTGCTCTCCCTACCAGTGGAATTGTGGCTCCTCAGTCGTCCGCTCGTGACTCTCATCTCCATACTCTGCTCTCCTGGAGTGGTCTGTTGAATGACGAATTCGAGCACAATGACCGCAAGGTTGCCTCTTGGTATGAGGAAAACCAGAAGAACATCCACGCCAAGATTGGACAATTGAAGACTGACACCGTCTCATCTGATGTTGCCCAGCTTTTGATGAGCAACAAGGAGGGTGGTCTCAAGGGTGTTCAGCAAGTATTGAGTATGCTGCCTACTGAAGAACGGGAGTCAGTTCTCAAGTATTTGGGCTCGCCATAAACTTTTTCTGACTAGTATTATTTTCTTATGCTCTATGTATTTTGTCTTTTTGTGCCTGGAATTCTAGGGCAGGTAGTAAAGGTGCAGTTATGGAAAGTTGTGTTTTTTGTATCGGTTTATGCTGCATGAGCATTATTTAGTTATGATATTGTGTGGAAATACGAATTTCTTTATTTTCAGATTCATCAACATTCGTTCAACACTGTTAAACTGGTGCATATCAATTGATGTAGTATTCAATGTTCGGCTTCACAACATTTGGAAGCTTCAGAAATATATGTATTGATACAGGCAGTAGCAGTCATTACTAATAGGATTGTGACTTGAATTGATTTTGGCGCAATTTTTCTGATGAAAGCCTAGACTCGAGGCTAGAACGGAAGATGATCTGCACGCCTAAAAGAGCCAAGAATTTCTCACCGTATGGCGCAATAGTGGCGCTCCGCTATTTGCTATTATTTGCTTATCTGGATGGAACATTGAAAGGTGGTAGTACTACGTACGGACTAGCAGCAAACAGCGGGCAGCGTTCCTGGAAGTTTCTCGGGTCTTGCCGTCTTGGTGGGCTACAACACACACATCTAGATGCCGCTAAATTGAAACACGACCACTATTGGGATCGCCAGGCGATCGTCAGCTCGCCAACAGATAGCCATGGCAAGCACTAATTATTTGCTAGGGCTGTGCGGCTGTTGGTCGTGGACGTGATGGCTGAGTGACAGGATATCTCCCTCACGAAAGACTCCTACATCAAGTCAACCCTTTTTTTTCTTTGCATATCAGGGGCATCGCCTATAGATCACCATGATCGGCTCTGGGGGATATTTCTTGTCCCTCCTATTCACCTTGGTGGCTGCCTCAGGCCCCATCCCAGACAAGGAATACGACTACATCATCGTGGGAGGAGGCACGTCCGGTCTTACAGTTGCCAACCGGCTTTCCGAGGACCATAATGTCAATGTGATTGTCATTGAGGCTGGTGCTTCTGTCCTGAACAATAGCAATGTGACCGATGTCGGCGGATACGGACTCGCGTTCGGCACAGCAATCGACTGGCAATACGAGTCGGTCAAGCAGATCTACGGAGGCAATTCTTCTCAGGTCCTTCGAGCTGGGAGAGCATTGTCTGGCACCAGTGCTATCAATGGTGAGCTGCAACAACTCCTTCACGGTAATTTCGGTCTGGCCCTGACCTGATATAGGAATGGCGTATACACGTGCGGAAGACGTCCAAATCGATGCCTGGCAAGCAATTGGCAACGACGGATGGACCTGGGAGAGTTTGTTCCCGTACTACCTGAAGGCTGAGAACTTGACCATCCCAACCGTGTCCCAAGTCGAGCTTGGGGCCACTTACAACCGGGCTTATCATAGTGAAACCGGCCCATTGGATGTAGCTTTCACTAAGACGGTTAACAGCACCCTTCTAAGTCTTTTGAACGGAACATTCCAGAGTTTGGGTGTTCCATGGTCTGAGGATGTTAATGGAGGCAAAATGAGAGGCCTCAACATCTGTCCTTCCACAATTAACTATCAGGAATATGTTCGTGAAGATGCCGCTCGGGCTTATTATTGGCCCTATGCATCTCGTGGCAACCTTCATGTCTTGCTCAACACCTTTGTGAATCATATCGAGTTGAATAGGACGGCATCGAATGACAATGTCACGGCCAGCGGGGTTCAGGTCACTTACCAGAACGGTACTGTCGGCGTAATCAACGCCAAGAGAGAGGTTATTCTCTCTGCCGGCTCACTCAAGAGCCCTGGCATTCTTGAACTCTCTGGTATCGGTAGCCGACAGGTTCTAGAGAAGTATAATATCGCCGTCCAAGTCGACCTCCCTAGTGTTGGAGAGAACCTACAAGATCAGGTGAATACTGGCATGTCCGGCGCGACTACGCACAAGGTTACTGGACACACAGCCCTTGTTTACGCCAATGCGCAAGATATTTTTGGCAATGAAACCGAGACCATTTCGACACTTGTCCGTGATAGCCTCAAAGACTACGCCAGTGAGACCGCGAAAGCCAATGGCGGGATTATGAGTGCAGATGACTTAGAAGACCTTTTCCAGGTCCAATACGACCTTATATTCAAGGACCAAATTCCCATCGCAGAAATCTTATATTTCCCCGGTGGTGGAAACAGCCTTGCGGCGCAATACTGGGGCTTACTTCCCTTTTCACGCGGCAGTGTGCATATCGCATCGTCAGATCCATTGCTCAAACCAATCATTAACCCAAACTACCTCATGCTGGACTGGGACAATAAGCTTCAGATTGGGATTGCAAAACTCATTCGCCGATCATACGAGACCTATCCCCTGCGAAACCTGGTCAAGGCAGAGTCGAGCCCTGGACTCATCACTGTCCCTCAAAATGCCTCTGATGCTCAATGGAGGGAGTGGATCGTTAGGCATTGTAAGTTGCTTAAATTTTTTCTCTCTTCTCTCCCTTTTCTGGTGTCTGCTAATCTTGGTCAGATCGCTCGAACTTCCACCCGGTCGGGACTGCGGCTATGATGCCTCGAGAGAAAGGCGGTGTTGTCTCTGAGCATCTTGTTGTTTATGGGACAAGTAATGTCAGGATCGTCGACGCCTCTATCCTTCCTTTCCAGGTTGACGGTCACTTAGTGAGCACCTTATATGCAGTTGCCGAGCGTGCTGCCGACTTTATTAAGCAGAGTTGAAGGTGAATCTTCGGATATGTTGAATCATTATTCACCGATGCTGGATGGACTCATAAAGAAAAATGTACGTCAACTAGGGGGCTTAGTGTATATTATTATAATACTAGTATACCATGTCCAGTCTTCAATTGTAGCCCCCGTCTTTAATATCACCTTGATAATTTTTTGCCTTTACTGGTTGAAACCTTACGTAGATCTTAACTGCTTCGGTCTGGACACATCGTTTAAACGAGAAGGGGGGAGTTTGCAATATTAAAGTTAGCTACATCTACTTCCATATTACACGTTGCTAGAATAATCTCCGAAGTAGTTAGTTAGGGTCTTGTCCAGGTTGAAGCATTTTCTAATGAAAATATGGGTTATTTCTAGGAAAGCGCTACTTCTAGTACGACATATACGATTTATTGGTTTATATAATATAAATGCAATAAAATGCTATGAATATACATATATTTTATTTATAGCAGTGCTCAGGGCAAAGGCTGCGATGTCTACTGCTTGACATACGGAACGTCGTTCTATTCGAATCCGACTGCACAGCAGTTCGATGCACGCATTGCCGCGATATTAATTTATACTTCTCCCAGCAGTGGGAAGAAATGGAGCCAGTGGTCGGCCGCCCTCTTGACATTTGATCTTGAGAATGAGCCCTTCCAGTTCACCGATGATGGAGCAAAAATGGATCCATCTAGATGGTTGTGTGGCCGCGCTCAGAATTTCAAGAACAATCTAGGTAACTCTTCAATCAAATTTTCGACCGATGGTATTGGTGGCGACCATAGTCATGGCTACAACATCGGCATTGGACTGCGATGCGATTGACTTGATGAGCATTCACAGTTACGTCGGTCAAGTTTCCACATGGTCTGGTCTGCTCTCGGGTGATACGCAGGTTGCATCTGCTGCTGGAAAGTTGATTTATGTTGAGGGGTGGGGTGTATCAACATCCTACCTAGTGGTTTTAATGAGCAGGCTGTCGCCATCAACAATACCAGATATCCTTGGGTTAGATCTTCTTCACTTCTACTTGAAATGCGAATGCCAACAGCGCAGCCTCGGCGCAGGACTGGAGCTTCTTCTACTGCTAGCTTGGTTGTTTCAACCATAGCATCATTATTGGCCTCTATATGGGCTGATACATTGCAACGGTAGTCTCCACTGATTTTCACCCGAGGCCATTCCTCCTAGAACCATTCTTTTTATGTTTTTAGATTATGTTTTCCTACATGTAGCTCTCTGTTATAATAATATTTTCATAATAGATCGAGCTCAAAGATTGTGTTCTATTTGATTTGGGAGAACATAGATGGACACCCGCTAAGATCTGCGTAGTTCTATGTAACCATAATTTTTACTCACTTTATAGTTATACAACGGTTAAATTGAAATAGAGTAGTAATCTTATATCTTTGTTTCTTCTCAATAGGTTTTATCTTTGAGTTTAATTAATACAGTCCCTTGTCATTTGACATTGATTGATAGCATTACTATACGCGGGAAATCTTCGACATGATAATCAAGCCCCTTCACGAGGTGTATTTATACAAAACATGCGGAAGACATCTGAACCTTTGCTGCTATTTATTAAACAAGCGGGTAAATATATCCTTGCTGATCGTGTACAGCATATTTATTAATTAATAGCATTATGCCTTCAAATAATGTTGGCTGCAACCTTAGCCTGTAAAAGTGCCAGCAAAACCAACAATCTACGTCCACGCGTTGCGTGGATGCCTGATATTTCATTCAAAGAAAATATAGTAGAATAACAATTAATATAATGGATATTAACTGACATGGAGAAGATGATAAGCTACTAGATAATAAATTTAACATATCGGTTTGTGTTAATATATGTGTAAATATTGCTGCTATTGCGACTAACTATGGACCCTGCTGTCTATAGGACATATCATTATAGCTGCCATCGTTGTCATGCGAGATGAGAAAATCCATAAAAAGGGACACTAGTCGTCACCAGCAGTCTGATCTTATCGGAGCTACAAATCCCAATTTCTTGACGTAGCATTAGGATGTGGAGAGAGCATGATTCATTTGGCCAGGCTTCCTTGCCATTGCGTAAGACGTTGACATCAATTGATACTTTTCAATGTTGTTGTATTCGTATTATATAAATGTAGCACTCATCCTGTTCTTTCTTGTACTCTTTTTGAATGTAATTAAACCACTATGCATATCCTGATGACTTTGTTATCGCTCATAGTGGCTGCCGCCTTTGTGAGCAACTCTCACGCCACAACCAGCAAGTCGAACCCTGTTGTCTCTGAAGTCGACAAGCCGAAAGAGTTTCAATTTTTAAGTAACGTGACTGAGAGTACGTAAATGATCATTTTATCGAACAAAATCGGGGGAATATTTCAAGTCTAATCAGTTGGGATAGAATTCTTCGTCAACGGCACCAACTTTCCTTTGGTCCCTTTCGACATTGGCGAGTCATATGCTGGCCTTCTTCCTAACACGCCACATGGCGATTCAAAACTGTTTTTTTGGTTCTTTCCATCGCTGAACCCGACGGCAAAGAATGAGATTACTATCTGGCTACAAGGTGGTCCAGGATGTAGCTCCCTCGATGGTCTTTTACAGGAAAATGGTCCATTTCTCTGGCAGTCTGGAACCTATCAGCCGGTTCGAATTATGTACTCATGGAATAATTTAACTAACATCGTATATATTGACCAACATGTCGGCACGGGACTCTCGCCTGGAAAGTCAATGGTTAATAATGAGGTTGATATATCAAATCAGTTCAACGACTTCTGGCGTCGCTTCATTGACATCTTTGATATGCAAGGTTATAAGGTGTATATTACTGGTGAAAGCTACGCAGGAATGTACATTCCATACATTGCTGAGGGCTTCATTAACAAAAATGATACCGAGCACTTTAATTTGAAGGGGATTCAGATCAATGATCCAACTATCAACGAACTCAATGTATTGGCCAACGGTGAGCTCACTCAACATTTTCTTTACATTAAACGTTTGTGAAATACCTAACAGGAAGGAAAAAATTTCAGCTGTGGCCACACTTAACCATTTTTCCTCCATCTTTAGCCTGAATGAAACATTTATGAAAGATATCAATGCGAGAGATGAGAAATGCGGCTTGACGAAGTTTCTCAACGAGGCTTTAACTTACCCACCGCCGAAGAATTTCCCTGCCACGCCCAATCCCTGGTCTGATCCCGATTGCTTGGTGTGGTATGACATTACCGCAGCGGCTCAGCTCGTGAATCCATGTTTTAACATGTACCACCTCACTGATTTTTGTCCTTTCCTCTTAGACCCAATGGGTTTCCCATCTTTAGCAGCTGGTCCTGGTATCTATTTCAATCGATCAGATGTCCAAAAAGCTCTTCATGTTCCGTCAACCAACTATTCTCTGTGTGACGAGACCGTCATTTTCTCTAATGGCGATCGCTCTGTGCCCAGCGCGCTGGGCCCGTTACCCAAAGTTATTGAGGCCACTAATAACGTCATTATTGGACATGGATGGTTTGACTTTCTATTCTTTTTAAATGGCACACTTGCAACAATTCAGAATATGACATGGAATGGCGCTCAAGGGTTTCAGTATCCACCCACGGAACCCCTTATTGTACCTTATACCCAAGGCCAAGTAGATCCGAACACATGGGACGGTGGCTCAGGGGTTTTAGGCACCGCTCACACGGAGCGTGGCTTGACATTTTCCTCGGTATATAGGTCTGGACATGGTAGATGGCTTTATTTCTGTTTGCTTCTAACCCTATCAAGAGTCTGACTAACAATACATCTCAAGAAATTCCACAATACGCTCCTGGTGCTGCATATAGACAATTGGAACTCTTGCTTGGACGGATTAAAAGTCTGCAAGATACGGGACCATTTACGACTCAGCAGTAGTTGTCAGTCCGTATAATAGTCCCTCACATACGATCATTTCAGTCTAGCGTGTCAGAATAGACTTGTAGATGGAATTAGGAAATTTAATAGGCTATAAGTCAGGCCACAAGATTGCAGCTACATAACATGTAAAGAAACTGCATTGTTGCGTTCCCTCCTAGCACGCTATTCTAACGGAGATAGTTTAATCGTAAGATCAATTGATAGAAAACACAACCAAGAGAGGACAAGATCATATCAAGTGCCGAAATAAAATACCCTCAAATATATCAATTCATATATTACATAGTGCCAAATATTATAAAATCAATTTCACATTCTTTATTGAATTTTCTACACATGTCAAAAGACAACATGGAACAATGGTAGGTAGGTACAGAGTGGTATCTTATAACAATGTAATAACCGGGTATAAAAAAAGAAAAAAGAAAGGAATAAAAAGTACATTCATCACGCAAGCGGCCTTTCCATCCCCCTGGTGTGTGTCATCACCGGTGGAGGACCAGTGTGATACGGAGTTGAAACATTTCTCAAGCCTCGGCCTCGTCCAATCATTCTTCTACCAACTGGAACCGGTGCTGGATCAGTCAAGCTTAACCGGCCCAAGTCGACAGGAATATGCTCGGGCATGATGGACAAGTCTTGCAACTGTCTTGCATCGTATGCGTGTACTCTTTGCGGCACGGCTGCTGACGAGATATTGTCATCTTGGCAACCGGGAAGCGTCACAGTGCATGAACCGAGTGTTCGAGAGATGTCTTCTAGTAGAACCTGCATAGGCGCAATGTATGCCGTGCGGCTCTTTTCGGACCACGCGAGAACGTGTCCGCAGACTCGTCCTGTGGATTGTTCAAATACCCATGCACCCGAATCGCCAGGAACTGTCAAACTCGCATATTAGTAAAAGCAAATAAATCAGCTGTTCGCAGAAGAGTTTACCTCCAAAATTCCCACTAACAGCAAAGCTTGTTGAGAACGTCTGTCGTCCATGAAGCTTGACAAGACTCATTGCTGGTGAAATGTATCCACTTTGATAGCCGCTTGTCCGACCACAGCATTGCACTGTTAGGCCGCTCAGTTCCTCGATTCTGGCAACTTTGTTGAGATGAATTGGAGCTGCACGGGCTCTTTCTGAACTGGAGGTGGCAGCGCGTGTCGCGGCTCCCACTATCACATTTCTAGCATCCATACGACCATCATGCAGAGAAATTAGTGCCCAGTCAATCTCATGTTTGATACCCTTTCGAGTCCAGCGGCGTAGTCCAGATGACGCATGAACAAATCCAAGACTGTGGGATGCGAGGTGCTCGTCGTCCTTATCTTCGGCCGTGGGAAAGAAGTCTTCGTGCACATCATCGATTGCAGGTTGAGTGACTACTAGCCGCGGTTCGTCGTCAGGGTCGACGCCTGCAGTATCTCCAATTGATGCAATGTCATCGTCGTCGTCCCACTCATTCGTATAATCTTCGTCATCTGAAGATTCATCGTCTGACAGAGAATACTCTCCCAAATCTTGAGATGTCGCATCATCTTCGTCATCTGATATTTCGAATTCGAAAGACGTTTCCGGTTCGTCATCGCACCAAGTATATGAAAAGTCATCGTTTGGCATTGCTATTCCAGTATTCCAGTTTGCGGATGAGCGTGGCAAGTCTTCCTCCATGTCATCATCATCGTCTTCATCATCATCGCTGGGAGCTTCGAGCATATGATGGACAGTCATGCCAAATGGCATGCCGTCAACTAAAATAGCCCCACCGTATGAAACGGGTGGCAGGTGCTCCTCGTTTATGAATGCTCCAATAGATGCACCGCAGAGGGGCTTCTGCTGGTAGTGTGGGTTCAAATTAGATTGAGCGAAAGCCGGCTCGATAGAATTAACAGGAGACGAGGACTGTGGTTTGCGTCGACGCCGCTTGGGGACCTTTGACCTCGTGACATCGCCACGAAGCACAACCAAGTCCCAGTCTTGCTCGATCTCGAAATATTTCTTCAGAATCGCTCTCACCTTTTTCACATTCGAGCAGGTTACACAGATTGTAGTCTTGGCCGTTTCCGTGTTTTCACCAGTCATCATCAAAGAAGCGGTACAAGACTCTGACGAATCCTTGAGGATCTTATGTAGAAGTTTGCTAAGCTTTGGCATAGTATAGAAGTTCCACTGATTGAGATGTTCTTGCGGAATTTCTACGTTTGTCAGTTTTTTTAATGTACGCTTTTTGACTTTCTTTTCAGGCGAATCGTTCATCTTGAGTATCATTTTGTCGTCCGTGGACACATCGTACGTTGTGTCAACCGTCAGCTGAGATGTCGGAATCTGCACGGTCTCATATGCTGAACTGTTAATTGGCTCAGGTTCCGCTTCCAAATCACGGCCGAGAGCCAAAGGCAGGCAATCATCCAGATCGGCAGTCGGGGGTGGAGAAAATATGTCAATTGCACAGCATTGATATACAATTTTAGTCATTGTGAAGAGGAAGTTGGCAGAGAAGGCGAATTGACTGTCAGGTTCGGCGAATTCAAGAGTGGGATAAGCGAATACCTGAGGCACTCTTAGACTTAGATCGGCCATCGGTTCCGTTGATAGTACGAAATTCGGCGCGTCAAGACAGAGTTGCACCACATGTAGATAAGCGTTTCCACACTTAGATGCAAGCTTCTTGATGTAAACATTCTCAATTCGTTGCTTGAACATAGCATTGTTGTACTTCATTTTCCAAAGACGGCTGATGGGTGCCCAGAGACCAATCTCCAAAAGAACCAGTCCAAGGGAATAAAGGTCATAAGACCATGCGGCTTCATCCCCTAAGACTCGTTTATCGTCAGGATGACGGTACATACTGGACGAAAGGGGCTCTGGGGTTGGCTCATTGCCCGAAAACTGGCCAAGAGACGTGAGGTATGGGCGGCGTAGATCTTCGACTAGATCTCCGATTTCTTCCTGACTCGAGTTATTCAAGCCGGGGAAAACAAGTACATTGCTGCTGTTGATATTTCCGTGGACAAGGTTTTGACTTCTGAGATGAAGGACTGCCAGAAGGAGATTATAAGCTAAACGGAATCGACTCTCCAATGTTGGGACTGGAATATCTTGATGCTCATCTCCCGAGTGAAAGAGCGAAACCAAGGTTTTCGGCTTAAGCTCTTTCAGCAAATTGCTGGGGTTGCTCAAAAAGGGGAAATAATCAACAGGCATTTGGTACACGAATGCGTAGCGAGCATTAGACATGTCAAGATAGTATCCCAAAAATCGCAGAATACCCAGATGCAATACACGCGCGTTTTCCACTAATCTGTCTAATGAGCGATGCACTCTTTCTAATCGATTGACAGCAGGTATTGTCACAGAATTCTGTGATTCTAGCATCATGGGAATAAACTCCACGAGGATGGGTATGGTCGATTCTTTGGTCAAACTTGTCAAAAATGGTGTGGCAGAAGTTTGAATGCGGCCGATGATGCGAGAGTTGGTAGAAGCCGCCACTTGTTCGTATGGTGGAGGGCTTTGAGCATGAGAAGCACCCGAAAGTTGCAAGGCCGAACGGTCAATAAGCAGGCGTTTTGTGGAAGTATACGAATCTGACACAGTGCGCTCTATAGGTGTTGGGTCAGTATTTGCGCGGAAGTCGACAAATGGCGATAAATCCATCCATTCCTGCTTCGAGCTTGCAGTCTTGCCTTTCATTTCAACCGGGCTTTCCACGACGCACTTGGACGACGGTAGTGCGGGCAGCGATTTTGAATCGACAGACATCGCGCGCAATGTATCTCCTGTGACCTTAGATTCCTTTGGGACCGTCGTCTGTGAACGACCTTTAGCCTTACTGGACTGTTCACCCTTAGCCATAGTCATCGATATATTTCGGCGCGAGTGGGATAAATCGTATAGTGTGTCGATGCATGAAGACAAGTCATCCAGCAGTGTATACGAGCGCTTGATATCACTTTCCGTCCATTGCGCCTTGACAGTCAAGTCTTCCTTCGGGGGCAAATCCCCACTATTTCCTTTAGGCGGCAATTGTGGTGCCTCGCCATGTTGTAGTCGTTCTGCCTCGTTGAGGATCTCTTGTATGGAAGACATCACACTGGCGACCACATCACTATAGCCTGCTTGGTCCAACGATTCGTCGATATCGTTTGGTTGGGCACCATTGGAGTCACTCCAGTCGAGACCCCAGGCGAGGAGCCTGTCTTTCTGCGTGCGGTACTCGCGGTGCAATGCGACCAGCTCTGGATCGTCACTTGCTTTCGGGGTCGTCGTGATGCTCTCGCAAGATGTTTTTGTGTCGGTGTACATCTTGGTCAAGCGCCTTTGGAGGTACGAACCTCCTTGTCGGAGGACGGACATGTCGACGGCAGCCACGGGCGGGCGATCTGCATACGACGACGTTGATGACAGGGCGGTTGTTGAAGGGTGGAATCTCCGGTAAGGGCGCAGGAGATATTTAATCGATTGAGCAAGCCGTTACGACAATGATGAAGTAAAACGGTCTGCTTGAGGGGTTCAGTTGAGGCTGCAGAAGAAGAGGGTTCGTGATAATTGACGTTAAGTAGAGAGTAGTCGTAGTAGTAGTGAGGGCGCAGACGACGATGGCGATCGATAATTCTGTTGCCTAACCAATAAGACCGCGCAGAGCCCGACCCCACCGGCCGAAGCAGATCGCTGAGTGGAGCAGAGCACGCAGCATCGTTTGTGGCGCCCAATTAGGATAGCCACATTTTATGGGGCGGGCCGGAGGGTCAAGGAATGCACATGATTTATTCTAGGCAACTGCATTCCTCTGCTGGTATTCTTAGACGGCCACCAGCCAATGAGAGCGGCGGGACCGTGTGTATATTTAGTATTATATAATTATGATCAATTAGTACTGAACATTACAAGCCTGGGCATAATTTTGGTCCTCTTTGTTAAAATAAAATCTTATCAATCAATTCCATGTCATCATTTTAATACATGCAAATCTAAGACTAAAGCGGGAAATGGATATTATCTACGACGTACTCACGCGCCGGTGGACGCCCGCGACATCTCTAGCCCTTTTTTCGCTGAAGTTGTGAAGTCGCTCACCAATCAAGTACACTTCATCTCGAATGTTGGCGCGCCAGATCTCGAGCTTCTTGTAGAATAGGTACAATGCATAAACCAACAAGCATACTGTGAGCGTTGTAGGGTATGCATAACGATACACCTTGGACTGTATCTCCACGGCCGAGGAGTGGAAGAATGTGGTATTGGCGACGAAGCCCAAACCAAGAGGGAAGACCACAGCCGTCACGGCAATGATCAATGCTGGAAGGATGAATGCACGCGTCGCTACGCTGACATTCGGACGAAACCAACCATCACGAGTAATCGCATTGAGGGCGATTGCAAGCCGGGAGTTCGACCTCCATTGTATGAATTTGAGAGTCATCTGGACGTAAAGAACGCCGAGCGTCCAATCTTGAATGAAATGGATGACATGAATGTGTTCAGCTTGCGTATAAGAATGAATTGGAATGAGCACGTAGAGCTCCATAAGCAATGCCAATAAAGAGGGGACGAAAAGAGCAAATGCAGCTGCTAGGTAGACCAACCGGCTCAAGTGGAGAAGTACATCTATCACGTACATCGTGGCTTGCCGGAGTGATAAAGTTGGTTGTACTCGTTCCTTCAATCGATCGTAAGTGGAACGAGAATAGAACAATGCATAAGCTGTGCCCCCTAAGAGGTATAGACCAACAGAGAATGCATAGAGATCATTGATCTGGATGAAGTTGGGGAAATAGAACGAGAGTAGCTTCCGACCGACTACCAATGGAAGAATGGTGACGCCTATTCCCGTGACCGCAGCATATACCCAAATTGTGAAGATGAAAAAAGAAACCCGTAGTCGAAAATTTGGAGGAACGTAGACCTTGGCGAACATATCATTGTCTTTGCCATGTAATCCTTCAGCATTATCCACGGCCCCATCGATACGTTCATTTTGCTCAGTCACATCCAAGAAAACCTTTGTTCCCTTCGGAATGCGAACTTGGTCTGAAGCGGGAGCGCGCACGAATCTACCATCACGCAAAAAGTAGACACGATCACCGTTTTGTTCTGCCGTCTTCTTATCTTCCTCGGTAACGACAGGATTTTCTACGTTACCCCCTTTGCCTGTAAACAGTTCTGTCCACGACCGACCAATATGCCGTCCTTCTTCGTCCTGATGCCTTTCTCCAAGCAAGAAATGTGATAGCCGCAGATATCTGGCACATACACGGAACCACCAGTTGTACATGCTATTCAGGATATCTGATGGCTTAAAAGCGCGTATAGCCAGGGGCATGATGGAGTTGTAAAACAGTAAATCGACTGGAAATTCAAGCACCGGCACTTTAGACGACCAATGAATGGGAAGGACTTCGTCAAAAGCCAGCGCCAGTCCCCATACCACTCCACCGAGACAAACAATAACTAGGGCTCCATATACCAATGCAGAGAACGCAATTTTTCTCAATTGCGTCACAATATTGCGCTCTAAGACATCGCGTACGGGGTGGAAAGTTGGGTCATCAGGATCACGTATAAAGTCTGCTATAGTTAGCATGATTTTGACATAATAACAAACTCATATTAGACTTACAAAGAACACCCGCCCTCATGATCTTGCGACACATGGAGACAAAAAGAGCAAAATGAAACATATAGCAGGTGCCGACAAACCAGTGGATAAATAATGACGTGAGGGGAGATGAAACTGTAAAGTCAATTCGGGACGCTAGTGTAGCCTGTTTGAACAACGGCATCATCGCCAGATCCAAAAGGAGACCGCAATATAGAGGGAAAACGATCATCTCGATGCCGATGATGAGAATGACTTTCATGACGCCCCCAGCTTGATGTAGTATATCAGCAACGACGCCTTCAACTCTCTGGCCGCGATTGGCCGCGCTAAATATGCTGTTGATCCGCAAATACAATACACCTAAAAGTGAGGCAAATGTATAACCGATGAGAATAGCAATGACACGGTCCTTTGTGTCCCACCGAGCGAGCTCTTGGTCGGAGCCCACTATGGTGACAATCTCATCGGCACCGTTTAACTTGCCTAGCACCATGAGACCAAGCTTCATGACGGCATCAAATCCACTTCTTAGCTGCTCAGTGAAACTCGCGAGGTTGATTTTGAAAGTACTAGATGACAAGACATGTCGAAAATCGCAGGCAAGAAGTCCGATTGGAAAATCATATACCACGAGCCTCACCATGTTCCACAAGAATCGAGCCAATTCTGCAATTCGAGCTTCATGGATACGTAATGCTTGGTGAGCAAGTACAGAGAACATGGGGAGATCTGTGTCCTGGAAATCAAAGAGCCCAATCAATACCTTTTTCAGTCTTTGGCTGCTTCCATCGATAAGTGTCAACGATGTTTTGGTGAATAAAGTGCTCTGGGGGATCCAATCAAATATTGGTACAAGCACACTAACTGGACGTAAAAGACCTTTCATAATAATGCTAGCCCAATAGAGAATGTATCCAACGCTACCAATCAGGGTGTCAACTGCTACATCAGCAGCTATCGACAGCATGGCGAGGGGAACGGTAACGAAAAGTTGGATCGGGCTGGTAAGAAAAACCAGTGCAATTTTCCCCCAAAGGTAAGGGAGCCAGATACCAACAGCTATGGTGAATGAGATGAGAAGGGCGCTGAAAACACCGTTCTGCAAAAGACCGAATATCGGTCCTTGCATGCCTATCAGCTCTAAAATACCTTCGAAATCATCTGCCTCCTCCACCACATCCACGTCATTGGCTTCGCGGTTATCAGCTGGAGCAGCTCCAAGGTCTTGCCAGGCATTCACAGCAGCAGCACCGCCTACGTCATTTTGCCTGTTTGGAACTGGCACAAATGGTGCTTCCTGAGCAATGTTTTCAATGATGTGCTCGTCGTCGTGAGCATGAGCTTCTGGCTCATCAGATGGAGTCAAGTCACCCCAAAACCAATCAAAGATGCGATCTGCTAAAGGCTGCTGGGCCGTCTCCATGGTATCTACGGCGTTAAGCGCTGCGTTGGCTGTTCCCGTTGCATCCGTATCCAACAAAGAGGGTTCTGCCGGTGCAATTTGAGTATCGAAAGGTTCTGGATTGATAGCTCTAGCTTCGAAATTAGGTAGTTCTAATCGATCGCCGACAGGCTGAGACTCGCGAGGCGGATTGATACTATCGGTATTTGCAAACACGTCATTCAATGGATCGAAAGGAGGTTCGACAGCCTGAGCCCCAAATGTAGAAGACCCTAGATCTAAATTTCTATGATCTGTCGCTACTATATTTTCGTTGAAGTTGTTATTCAGCTCTTCTTCATCCAAGATTTCACGTAGCTGGCCGTCCGAACTAGGGCTGATGACGTTTGAATTTTGCGTGGTGTTTGCCCTTTTGAGCTTCGTCATAGCATTCACAACCCAGCCAAGCTCTTCCTCTCGACCTTCTTCTTGTATGATCTGCAAGATGCGGTCGGGGTTACCTTCGCCACGAGTCCACAGCTCTTTGAATGTATCTATACCAGGCCATGTCGGGTTGGCAGAAGTACTAGCTGTCTCTTCAAGAGTGCGTTGGATATTTGAAGCTTCGTCTAGGGCATTACGTGATGGCAAAATTGGCCGGGAACTTGATGCGCGTGTTTGAAATATGGGACGGGAGTCAATCGCGGTGAATTCCGGCGAAGAGGGCCGGCTTCCGATTGGTGATTCATCTTCAGAGGAAAAATGCTCTTCAGCATTTATGTTGTTTTCGTCCTGAGCAATGTCCAGTTGTTGGTCAGTAGCCTCCAAATGCATGTTTTGTACGTCGTCTGCGGCTTGGACCCGATCCTCTCGGTTTCCAGGTTCTGCTATCAGCTGTACCACGGCATCCCGCTCATCGTCAGCAACATTGACAGCTGGCTGTTGCTGAACCACCCATTCCCGAATAAGAAATACCAGTATGAAAGATATAACAACGAGTAAGGTAATCAATTGTCCTTCTAGTGTATCGATTACAATGTTGTTCACTGTTGGAGACGATGTTAATGAATTGAGAAAGGTGACATTGGACAGCCATGATGGTTGACGAGGTCGTGTAGATATCGTGGTATTGATCTGGCTCGGGTTGCTTCCACTGGGAGTAGAAGAAGTCGAAACGAATAGGCCTAAGAAGACTCTCTTGGCGATCGCAAAGACCATAGGCTCTCCCGTCGAAAAATTGAGGATCGAAGTCATGGGCGATAAGATTGTTGAAGTTTCAGAACCTACAGCTTGCATGGCGGTCGAAGTTGCTGGGTGGCTGATGGCTAGCGTATGATTGATATGTGTAGTTCCATTCATCACTGCCTGCATATTGACTTGGTGTGAGGGCGAATTTTGAGAGCTTGGCCATCGTCCATCCGCGAGCCAAAACAGGGCGCGCCATATTGCACGCATTGACCATGGCAGCCATCCAAGCCATACAAAGGCAACCAGAACAAATCGTAACCAGGTCAGAAGGGAACGCACCCCGAGTATTATTAATTCCTTGACAAAAACCGGAGCCGGGAGCTCAGACGGCATATCGGGGTCGTACAGTTTAGTGAATCGAAATGGAGTTTTGCAGAGCTCGCAATACTTCTTTTGCGAATGCGACAGCCATTCCATCAAGCAGTTTTGGTGAACAAACTTGATGCTCCCGCTACATTTGCAGGGGTAGAAGAGCTGCTCCTCGTCCGACCCTTCGCCGCGACAAATTCGACATGTATCCGGTTCATCGACGCCCTTGCCTTTGGCGTTGATATTCGTTGCGTACGCAGGGTCGTTCATGAGATCAGGGAAAGTAGAGGCTCCGCGTGCCTGACGCAGATCTCCCTCACCGTCCATGGTGGCGCCAATGCTCCTATCGATATTGATAACAATCTTCTGATGGTATCATTTCCCAGGTCACAAAGCAGTACAAAGCATAGCTATTGCGAGCGGCGAGTGTGATCCATAAAGCCCTGTTGGCTGTTGCAAATAGTATGAGGTTAGGTTAGGCGTCTTAAGAAGGCGAACGCGGCAGAATCCCTAGGAAGGTGCCCAAAGGCGTTGCAGGACAGGAGGGGGCGCTTCTAATGAATAAAAAGCGGGAGGTCAGGAGAGCAGCGTAAGCAATCCGATGCTGTTATCAAGCAAACACGGGCAGGTCTGAGCAGACAGATTATTATTGAAACATCGACTCTGTTGGCCAGCTTGGACTAGCTGGCGGCACTGAGCCCGCAGCGAGTGAGGCGAGGCGTGACTAAGGAGGCCCATTAACCCGTATGGAGACTAGCTGCACTCGGGCCACCTAGTATCAGCTGTGTACTGGTGGCCGATACACATATAATTTGAACGTAATGCGTGACAGTACGTGTATTGCCTCGGTGCCGCTGGTAAAGAGGAGCTATGATCTCAGCGGAGCGTCCGAAAAACAAGGCCGCCGCGCAGTCCTTCACCAACACAAAACCTGCGACAACTGAGATGCTGTGGCAGTTTCTCCCAACTTGAAGCACAACTAACATCGCGCTTTGCGATCCAATATCGGTCTTCCCCTCTGTGACCAAATATCAAAGGTTGGGGTTTGTCACACTGCAACGAGCAAATCTGGACCGCATAATATATGCGACTTCCCCGTGCACGTGTCATACGACCAAAGCTTGACCAAGAACGCGCCCCGAGCAAACCCCAGCTGTTTCTATCAAAGCTATCGGCATGATTCACTGAGTCGATTATTCCTACTTCGTCTGTAGATGCACGTTTCAACGCCGTTTTAATAGCAGTTGGATTTAGGAGAGACTTCTCGCAACGTCGAGTCAAACCCACCTCAGCAAAGACGTTCATCATGGCGCCTCCAGAGGTTGATAAGGTTACTAACGGCAAGCCCGTTGAAACCTCACAAGACAAACCGAAGACACAGTTTGAAAAGAAAAAGGCAAGCAAACCACGGCGGGGCTACTTTCGCTGGTCACTAGCTCTCATTGTGAGGTACGTTGAAATGGGATTTGCTCATGCGGCGCTACTGGGTTGACTAATAGCTTTCAGATTATTTGTTTGGTACACCGTTCTCACGCCCTTCCTTCGCTGTCCATCGAATATCTCTGAATTAGATGATTCTTCACCGCGCGTATGCAAGCCATACTTGATTGCTCGAACATATGTGGAACCTCATGTCGAACCCTACTATCAAGCTTACGCAGCTCCATATGTTGACCTGGCCCGACCTTACGCCCAAACCTTCAATGAACGCGTGTATACCCCCGTATCCAAAGTCGCAATAGATGGCTACCGTTCGTATGGCGCTCCTGCTTTGGCGCGAGCAGGCGACTACGTCCAGCAGCAGTGGGAAGCGGTTGTAGTACCGCAATTGAAATCCGCCCAGACAAAGGCAAACAGTTTTTACAAAAATAGCGTTGATCCTCATGTGCAGAAGGCGATTCTCGTGGTGACACCATATAGCAATGCTCTCACCAACACGGCCGCTCAATTACAAGAGGAGTATTTATTGCCTATATATACCCGCTCGAAACCTTATCTAGGGCACATCTCTTCTTCTGGTCAGGAATTCTTTGTGGGAACCGCAGTGCCTTTGGCCCATCGAAGCTGGTCCTCTCTTACCGTCTTTGTTAGGGGCAACTTGCTCCCAACCATTACTGGTTTGTACAGCGAGAATGTGGAGCCACAGCTTGTCAAGATCGGCGAAAGATTAGCTTCTTATCGGGAAGGAAGGAAGCTAAGAACAGTCGTCGATGAGTTCGAAACGTAAGCAAACACATAGATTTACCAATATACAATGACTAACTATCACAGCCCACCCGAAACATCAAGCTTAGGAGCTGTAACATCAATCCAGAAATCTGCCGATGAAACACATTCAACAGTCGCTCCAAGCCCTGTGGTTCAAGAAACTGAAGCAAGCGTATCTCCACCAATTGAGCAGCAAACCCGGGTTTCTCGGGAACAAATATCCTCCGATTTGGACCTATGGCAAAAGAAGTTTGCCGCTGCCGCTGACCAAGGAATCGAGGATTTGAGCCAGCGTATTGAGCAAATTGTGGACAGTCAATTGGAAAGCGGAGCCAAGAAACACGCGACTGCTTTGGTCGAGGCATTGGTGACCATACGAGATCACGAACTCTCCGACATCAAAACCCAGATTAACAAAATCATTGGAACAATGTCCCCTTATGAAGCCCCTGAAGAAGAAGAAAAGGCGAATGAGGATCTTCTCCGCCTGATCCGAGGCGCAGGAGTTACAATTAGGGATCGTGCACACGCACTAAGAGAATGGTACAAGAGTTTTGAAGAGGAACTGGCTCGTAGGGTAGCTAGTGCTACAGACTCCACCCTCGATGTTCTAGACGGTATCCGTGATCTTGGATTGCAAGAAATCGGCATACGATGGGCTGCGGCGGAGGGCATAACCTATAAGGATTGGGAGAAACACCATGCTTTGAGAAAGCAGTTTGACAATTGGCGGGATAAGGTCTCGCATGCAGGTTTGAACCATGCAAAAATCAATGAAGCTAAAGAAGTAGCCGGTGATATTCTTTCCGAAGGGATGGCTATTGCTGAAGATGCTGCCAAAGAACTGTCCCGACTCAAGGAAGTCGGGAAGTGGAAGATTCAGGCAAGAGAAGTCGGTGCAAATTTCGAGGACCGAACCGAACCTCCCCCACCACTACCTATGCCCGAAGAGGAGGCCACAGAAGAGGAGGTCATAGAATCCGATGATGAACCAGCTTTTGTTGATGATTCTGATACAATTAAACCCAATGAGCCATCTGTGTCTCAGCCTTCAGACGATAATGATACCGAGTTTGTGGTAGCGGGAACAACCACTATACAAATTGAGTTGGCTGAGAAGACACCCTCCGCCGATGACAGCACATCTGTTCACTTTGTTGCAGAAGAATCGGTTGCGGAAGAATCTAGCGAAGAACTTGATTTTGAGGAGGAAAGCAGCAGCGTGCCCATCAGTTCTAGCAAAGTTTGGGGCGGAGTTGCTGCTCAAGTCGTGGCAAACCAGAAGCCAATAATGGAAGACTCCTTCGATGATGATGAGCATGCCATTGAGACCAGTGGCGGGTCCTTGGAATTCATCTCCTCTATTGCCTCTTCCCGCCTACAAGAGGGATTGAATGCTGCTTCCTCACAATTTGCCGGTCTTAAAGCATCTATTGTACCCACTCAGTCATTTCCTCAGAACCCTGTCATCCTTGATGCTCAGCGTCGCTATTATGAAGCTATCGGCATGGCTCATGATCATTACACGTCTTTTGTTGCCTCTGCGTCTGAAGCTGTTTTTGCAACTCCCACGCCGCCGCCATCGCCAGAGCACATTCAAGCTGTTTTAGAAGATGCAATCAGTCAATTCCACCAAGTATCTTCACTGGCGTCTTCTAGCCTTACCGCTGTCATCGCGTTTGCTAGCTCAGTCGAAGCAAAGGGCGGAGACAGAGGCCGTCCCATCCTTGATGATGCAATATCAAAATACACCAACGCAATATCAGCGGCTTCGGCGTCCCTCGCGTTGGCTACAGACTACGCTAACTCGGCTCTCTATTCTGAACCAACATCCCGATCGTGGGAGGATTTAGTTTCACAAGCCAGTGAGCACATATACAGTTCACCAACGCCCTTTACCCAGCAATTTCATGACCAGCAAGGATCACGCTTCGAGGCTGTTGAAAGCTACGTATCCGAACTTGTTTTTGGTAAAGAACCCGACTTCACTGAGAGCGTGATGAGTAGATTGCGCTCTGCATACGAAACCCCATTCCCTGAAGCCTTCTCATCAGCGTCAAAAATCGGCGATCATGCGTCGAAGGTCCAGTCTGATGCTGGTACCGTGGTTGAAGAATATAAAAGCAGCATCAGCAGCGCAGTGAACGAGGCTAAAGACGAATTGTAATAATTTCGTTTTTTTTTTTTTGGCTTTGATGTTGATACATTTGCGGCAACGAGAACTACTAAATGACTGATTTTTGTTAATAAGATGATTGTGGCACGGAAGACTATCTCCCTTCGCCCTCTTGACGCACATTTTTTGTTTGTTTGCCAACCTAATGATATCCTTTCGTGCGGTCTCTGCAAAACTTTTGGCTATGTTTTTAGGGCGTCCAAGAAGATCAATTCTCAGGAAGCTTTTGGTAGAAAGACTTCTTGTATAATAACGATATTTTTCTCGGCGGGTTTCTACACTGTTTCTAGTGACCCTTGGTGTTCCTACTTCTGATATTCCGTTTCATCTTCCCTCTTATGTTGTTATGTTGCTATGAAACTTAGCTTACTGTAACCGTCAATGGTGGCAATCGTTACAGATTCGTATTTGGATTTTAGATAACAGATTAAACCGTCAGTAATCTATATGTATATCGACAGGTGGCGAATCGTGGAAAATCGTGGAAAATGTTCTTTTAAAATAGATCCAGTCACTCTATTTGAATTTTAACGATATTGTACCCGCTGACCACTTCGTTTCTCTAATTTCTGCTGCCGTTTACTCGTAGAGCCACCCGATGTCTCCGCCGCATCACCCATGCCCGCAAACCCTTTCCTCATTCCAGAGAATGTACTCCACAGTAGATACACAGACCAGAAAGGAACAGCCAAGTAAAGCCACCAGGCACGATCACCGAACAGACAGGCAGCAATCAGACAGCCCCATGTCCAGTATGTGACATCCCACATATACTCCGTCAAACCCGACGCACTCAAGTCTTCACCAGCCGATTTCAATGACCCATCCTGGGGACTATAGCGGGGCCGTCCAAGACGTTCGAGATAAAACTCGATGCCTAAAGCAGGTAGGGTAAGCAGGACGTAGGGTAACAGAGCCCCTGGGCGATTGAAGAGCCAATGGAGGAACAAGAATAGTGAATGCAGAATGGCTGTGATCAGATGCGATCGATTGAGTGTTGCCGCATTGCGGGTTGCAAGGGATTTGGCTGCTTTCTATTCACCAGGACATGAGCATTGGGCCATATTAATCTTGTGTGTGGATAGATGGGTTATTCGTTACCTGTGCCATTGTGACCGAAATAACGGTTGCAGTGTCAATGTCAAGTGTGACGCAATTACTCTGCCCCTATATGTTGTGCGAGCTGCATAACCCAATTAAAAAAGACAAAATAATAACCAGCTAGTCAACCACGAAGAATATCCTAGCGTGGATCAGCAAAGCATGGATGCAGCGACAGTGTGCTCCGGAAGCAGAACGCTACTGAGAAGATAAGATGAGGCTAAACCGGAAATGCGGTTGCCCTCCACAACCGCGAGGCGCCGCTTGCTGCTTGCCGCCCGCCGCCACTGCGTGCACCAAGAGATCTCAAAACATCGCAAGTCCAGCACCAGACTGCGACTTCCCAGCGACAATAACACATCGCCGACGCCAAGCATCTCCTCGCAGTCATCCTCTTTCTACCTAGAACACTTATTCGCTCATCCTTAGACCGAGATGCGTTTCCTAGGCCTCTAAACACGCTCTCTGTTTGGGCCTCGGGGTTGTCGCCATCACTGCAGTCTCCACGTCAAGTCGCATGAACAACACCTGCCTCTTTACAGCAACACCAGTCCCTAAAGATTCGTGACAAAAGCTATAGTTTACACTGGTATTTCTAGTTGAATGCAAGACGCCTGATTTACACGATATCGACATCGCTCAATGCCTCCCGCCCCAGAAACACTTCGCTTAACCTCACTGTTTGTCAACGCCTGTTTACATTTCATCTCACTTGAGCGCATCGCGATCGCCCCCAGCCTTTAACTACGGTCATGGCACCTTCGACCCCTCACATATCTAGCCAACTAAGGCAACTCATCTACTATCACCTTGACAACAATCTTGTTAAGAATGCGCTCTTCCTAGCTGGTCGCCTTCATGCCTACGAACCACGTTCATCTGAAGCCTCATACCTACTTGCATTATGTCATTTATTGAGTGGCCAGCCTAAGGCTGCCTGGGAATACAGTCGGATCTCAGGTTCGCGAGGAACTCACCTTGGCTGTTCCTATGTACATGCACAAGCATGCCTCGATTTGGGGAAGTATATGGATGGTATTACAGCTTTGGAACGCAGTAAGAGCATCTGGACATCAAAGAGCCACTGGAGTAAGTGTACATGGGTAAATTGATTTACGATATTTATGCTAAGTGTGCGATAGATAAACATAGCGAGACGCGACGTCAGCACCTCCCTGATGCTGCCGCGGTTCTTTGCTTGCAAGGAAAACTATGGCAGGCTCATAGCGATCTTTCCAAGGCTGTAGAATGCTATGCAGAGTCATTGAAACTCAACCCCTTCATGTGGGATGCGTTTCTTGGCCTCTGCGAAGCGGGTGAGTTCGCAATGTCGTTATATATACTACTGTTTGTTAATGTCGTCAAGGAGTCCACGTGCGAGTCCCGAATATATACAAATTGAGCCCCGAGTTAGTTGCCATGGTTCAAGCAGCACCACCTCCTGATTCAACTGCTCTGTCCGATAAGACCGTTTCACACAATGGGCCATTACAAACACAATTAAACACTAATCCTAATGCCGATCCATTCTCTTCAAATACCCCGAAGGGCGACGCCAATCTATCACATGGAAGCTCAGCCCTGTGGGAAAAATTGAATGGGAGTAATGTTAACGTTGCGAATATAGGACCTGCCGTTATTCACGAAGGGCTAGAAACTCCTAGTAGTCAAAATGAGTCTGATGAAATCCGAATAATTAATGGAAATGTGTCGTCAAATGAATCATGGGATCCTCCTCTTGCCCCTGCAAGACGCAACAGGACTATACAACAAGCTGAGTACGGCGATCCACCTCCCAAAATACGCACTACAAACTTGAAATCGAGAATACGGCCAAAAGGAGAACCGGAAGAAACGAATCATGTCCATATTGAAGAGGAATCTGTTCCTGCTCCTGTTCCTTCTCTAGGCGAAAGAAAACGAACGATATCTGGACAGGTTGCGCATCCGTCTCTGCCACAACCTGTTGAACCAGGGGCGCCACAGCGGCGAAGTACTCGATTATTGAATCATATAAGACCGACAACGTCTAGACTAGCCTCCTCAACTTTGGGGCCCAAAGAAGGACGAGAAGTCAAGAAAGTTAGGGCAACGGGAACCAAAGGGCGAATGGCAACTGCTCCAACTGTTGGCCGTGTAGTGAGCGGGAACAGGAAGCTCATGCTCGGTGGATCAGATGGAGATGGCAAGGAAGCTCGGTCTCTGAGCACCAATAGCAGCAGCCATACTAAAAATGCTACTTCTGACCGTACGAAAGAGATCGAGGCTCTTAGTTGGATTCTTGACCTTTTTGCTAAGCTAGCAACTGGATATTATAACCTGAACCGTTACAAGGCCCAGGAAGCTGTTCAAATGTTCAATCTCTTACCCCAAGGTCAACGCGAAACTCCCTGGGTTCTTTCGCAAATAGGACGAGCTTACTATGAACAAGCTCTTTACCCAGAGGCTGAAAAATACTTCATACGAGTCAAGGCTTTAGCGCCATCTCGACTTGAAGACATGGAGATCTACTCGACGGTTCTTTGGCATCTCAAGAATGATGTAGAGCTGTCATATTTGGCTCATGAGCTAATGGAGGTTGACCGCTTGTCTCCTGAGGCCTGGTGTGCGGCCGGCAATTCGTTTTCACATCAGCGTGATCATGAACAGGCATTGAAGTGCTTCAAGCGTGCCACACAGATAAATCCTCAGTTTGCTTATGCGTTCTCTCTACAAGGCCACGAACATGTGGCCAATGAGGAGTACGACAAGGCTCTTGATGCCTTCCGCAACGGCATCAGCGCTGATAGCAGGCATTACAATTCTTGGTATGGACTCGGCCAGGTTTATGAGAAGATGGGCAAGCTCGAGTATGCCAACGAACACTATCGAAATGCGGCTCAGATCAATCCAAGTAATGCAGTGCTTGTTTGCTGCATTGGTTTAATCATGGAAAAGCTGAATGATCCTAACACTGCCTTGATTCACTATAGCCGCGCTACAACGCTTGCCCCTCAGTCGGTACTAGCCAGGTTCCGCAAAGCACGTGTTCATATGAAGCTGGGAGAGCTGAAATTAGCATTGACAGAACTCAAGGTTCTGAAAGACATCGCTCCAGATGAAGCGAATGTCCACTATCTGCTTGGGAAATTATACAAATTGCTCCATGACAAAGCCAACGCTATCAAGCACTTCACTACCGCCCTCAATCTAGATCCCAAGGTAAGTTCTCAAAATACTCCTCTTCTTCATAGACTTACGAGTGCTTGTGCGTTTGTACAGGCGGCACAGTTTATTAAAGACGCCATGGAAGCTTTAGACGATGACGATGAGGACGACCCCGACATGGCTTGAATGTTGACAGTCTCCCATGGTGATCATGGGAGAAAGGAGCGAACCACACTTATCACATCCTGCATATTTTGGCGTACTGATCGGAATGAACCTTCTAATCGAACATGCATTGAAACGGTCTGGCGTTGGAACTGAAAGTTTTTTTAAGCATATTGGCATCGGAGGAGTTCATGGCTTGGCGGCCTTCATTGCATCATTTAGAAATTAGGACCTTTTCAAGGATAGGACACACTGTGTCGATGCTTCTCTGTACATTAGTTCTTCTACCTCCACCTGCTGGGCCTCTGCATCGATGATGTCGCCTGGGCAGACCTACCTGTCACTTCTGAATGCCATGCCTCGATGTCTCGATACCACATTATTCTTACCGGGCAGTTCTTATTCCGATCTGGATCCAAGACCATTTTCTTTTAGATGCTTAAATAGTTGTATTGTAAGGCTTGAAGGTGGAAGGAAGTAGCAAGGGTTGAGCCATGCCGAGGAAGGCGTCCACATGACTGCGACTTTTATCGGAAATTGCACGCTTAAATAACAGATTAAAACCACGGTCCTGACATGCCGTTCCATGACGCATTAGATTGGTTAATAAATTAAGGGTAATGTGTATTCTATTTTCGGTAAGTAGGTAGAACTCTTCTTCCGCTTTCTATGAAGCCCTTTATTGATTTTCTCAAAAGAAAAGAGTAAACACCCATGACTGTAGACGATTTTCTAGTTGGTCGCCTCAGCTATTGATAGAAAGGAAAAGCATGCTATCTTGAGATACCAACACGGAATTATTTCCAACATCATTGGCACCATACCCTGTTCTTCGTCACATCGCTTCACGGTTTTTACTAAAAGTTTCTTTTTTCAATGGACTCCGTATAATCCGCCGGGCCGAGACCAAATCTAGCGTAAACCGAGATAGACATAACATCGCTCCACTAATCTCTTTTGTTGACATTTTCTTTGTTCCTTGTTTGTATCGCTACGTATAAATCATATCATTGGCTGCAGTATGAACTTATGCCCCGCTTCGTTGTTCCCCTCGCAAGAGCCCTGCATGATTAGTCAAAACTAGTGAACGCTGGCTGGTCTTTGCGTACCGTATGTATCCGTACTATGTACTATACGAAACCCTCTCAGGTGTGGGGCGTAAGGGGGATCCCGTACGCCGTACAGCTGACGCTGTATGCATAATACAAGGCTCTAGTCTCGTGATAGAAGAGGAATGTCTCGGAATATTCTATACTAGATATTAAATGTCGGATTTTCAAGACTTTTTATAATATTCTCTCTAACAATACTATTCTTGTTATAATAAATATCTCAGAATTTTCCACAAGATGATAGTAAAATTATATTCAAACAGAGCTTTTAAATAACAAGAAAGGCATGTTTAACATATCTAACCTATATAGCAGTCTGTATAGCTCTGATAAGAAATCCAGGACGCTTCAATATATTATAATATAAATGCTATCTACTTATCTATAGAAAAGCCATTCTCAAGAAACATCCTGGCTTTGCGCGATTACCAGTTAAAATTAGTAGATCCTAGAGGTACAGTATAACCACGTAGGAAGAGTAGAAAGCCTTTTAGAGCAGTATTTAGTGATGCGAAGTGTCACAGGATATGTGCAAGACGGGAGGAAAATGGGGAATATACGAGGTGGTAGGGATGGGCATAGCTAACAACACTCAAGTATTATTAGTCTTGGTCGTGGATGCAATCAGCTGAGTCATGATATTCCTCGCGTCTTCCGCCTGCTCCTTGATATCAATGTCCCATAACCATCTATATCTCTCCTCCCATATATCTTTCAACTTCTGCTCGTCATCGCCAGCTTCCTCGTGGCAAAGACAAAGAAGGTCCGCATTCTCTTTACTGGTGGTCACAACTCTCTGGCTCCGTGGTCGTCGTACTGCATCGTACGCTTGGAATGCTGCGGCGGCGTGCTCAGGGGTTATGACCCGAGGGTCGGCCAGGAGCTCAGCCAGAACATGAGCATCTTCGATTGCCTGCCCGGCACCGGCGCCTTGGTGAGGCGTCGAAGCATGCGCAGCATCTCCGAGAATGGCGACTCGTGACTTCGCAAACGTGGAAATAAGAGGATGCTCAAATATGGCCCACTGCGAAGGGTCGGGCATGTGCGGGATAAGCGCGTTGACATACTCCCCCATGTGGCCCATATCCTTTTGCATTTCTTCTCTATCCGCTGGTCGAACCCACGTATCACTGTCCCAAGTCTCGTTCAACTTGTAGAACCCGACATTCACCTTCTTTGCACGCATGATCGGGTAGGATATAGCGTAGGCCCCATGTCCAACATATAAGGTTGATACGCGTGCCCGGTGATCACCAACGACGCTCACCATGGTGTCCATATCGAGTACGGCACGGTAAGCGTACATGCCACTGTATCGTGGCATGGTCTGTTCAATTTCCCCAGGAAGGATGGATTCCTTGACCTTTGATTTGATTCCGTCGCACCCGACGACGACATCTGCTACCACCGATGTGCCATCTTCAAAGTTCAGATGGACCCCATCAAATGCTTCTTCCAGGTTCTGCAGACGTTTCCCAAAGTACGTGTGCTCTTTGGGGACGAGGCTGACAAGAGCATCTAGGAAATCTGCGCGCCGAACAGTCGTCTGCCCGGACGGCAGCGCCTTCAGGTCCATCAGGATCTCGCCAGCCTTGATGCCCGACGCCCACACGATCTCGAACCAAGTCTGTCGGAACTGTTCATACCCAGGACTGTCGGCATGCGTCGTGACAAACGCATTGTAGAAATCGTAGATTTTTGGATCGATCAGCGGCATGGTCCGGTGGGCTGCCGGCCCGATGGACAGACCCAGCCCGATATCACCAAATTGCGCCGCAGCCTCGTAGACCTTGACATTGACATTGCGCCGCAGCAGGCCGATGGCCAGCGTGAGCCCACCAATGCCGCCGCCGACAATCGCAACACTGAACTGCTTTGCAGTGGCCATGTTTTCATTCGGGGGATGGTCACACTGCAAGCGTGCGATGACAGGCTACCGAGGAATCCGGCTACGTATAATAGTCTGGTTGAGGAGAGGTGTACTGTACAGAAACGTATGTTAACTACTAGTACATGTTACGTGTACCAACCCAGGAACAAAATTACGAAAGGTTGAAATTTCGGAAATTTAATACACGTTAAAACGCCACGGCGTTGGCAATATGGTACTAGCGGGGTTTAGTGGATTTAGCGCCATCAAATAAGGTCTCCGGGTGGACAATATCTCGGGCGCTAATCTGAGTGGCGCGATGGCCCGCAGTAGATAAACTATATCATCGCAAAGAGCTATGAGCATTCTTATTGCGGGATTGTCTGCGGCAGTTTTCCCTCTCGTCGATATACGCGGCGACAGCGGAACGGTACACGCACTCGCTAGCGATGGACGCTGTCAGCGATGTGTCCCATGCGCAGATGGTGATAATTCCGCTAGTCCTGACCACAGTCATCGCCGTGGTCATGACTGTTCTGCGCGTGTACGTGCGAGTATGGGTGATCAAGCTTTTCGGCTGGGATGACTTTTTCAATGTGCTGGCCATGGTAAGAGCTCTCCCGATCGTGCTTCCCGTCAAGGCGATACTGAGAAGCTCGTACTTTTGCAGTTAACGCTGGTCTTGGTGATGGGCCTTGTGCTCGGCGCAGTATATCTTGGCCTGGGAAGAACAAATACGTAGATCCCGCTCGTGCATCCCGCAGTGTTATGCTTCTGCGAATTTGCGAGCTTATCTTGATTGTCTTTACCATCTTTGTCAAGATTTCTATAAGCTTGCTCTTGAAAAGATTGTTGTACGCGTCCCTTTTTCCCACACGGATACCCATTTATCACAGCTTGTCTAACATCTGCAAATTCAACAGCCCTGTAACTAGACGCTTCGCATGCTTCTTCTGGGGATTCATTGCCTTCAATTCGATCACAAGTTTGCTGGACGCTGCAGTCATCTTCCCCTAATGTACCCCCGTGGAACGGAACTGGAACAAGGCGATTCCGGGGCACTGCTGGTCGGAAGAGGCCATCAATGCGATTGGAGTTGCCCAGGGATGTAAGTTCAGTGCTCAATCTTCCCGATTTTGGTTATGGTGTGCCAGAAAGCTAACAGTTTGCCACGCAGCCATTGCTGCAGCTACAGATATTACCTTGTCCATTCTCCCGACTGTATATCTCTGGAATATCAAGATCAATCGAAAAGTCAAATTCGGAGTTTGCTGCATCATGGACTTGGGATTTACGTACGTGATATAGGAGATTACGCGCATGCATCTTGCTCACATCCAGACAGGAGTGGTGGGTTTGCTAGTGCACGCACAGCTTTGGTTCCTAGCCTTACTGCAACTCAGGATCCGACCTGTGAGTGACCTTTCTTCTATCATAAGAGAATATAGCTGATATTCTTACTTTGCTTTTAGGGGATCTAGTGCCTCTCTTCACGTGGGCAGTGTAAGTTCCCGCAACTTTTGAAGTCTCGTCACACTCTCCCGCTACACAACATGCCCACCAGCTATAGGTCGCATTGCTCATCTAGTCGTGCCAGAACGAAGCCGCTACAACCTAAAGAACTCTCAGATGAGGATGTACACTCGGAACGGGAAAGCGGAGATTTGTCGCACTGTGCAGCTGGCAATAGTGGAATCCTAAAGACAACCGACATACATATTATTCGCTCGCAACCTCCGAACGGCGACGACAATCCTCGCAGTTCAAGTGTCGAGAAGTTGGTTAATTGATGTAATGTGCTATGGAATTGTAATTATTATGCACTGCACATGTATATAATTGGCTTAGACAATAGAATACAAGGTTACAAGAATGTACCCTGAACTATCAATTGATCGTGTATCAATTGCCGCCCGGTCGAAAGCAGCCTTCTAGTGTGGGTTGATAGTTGGTTAGCTAATCTCGTATCGGTAGGATATTTTACATCTGCAGATTATATTGTAAAGAGCGATAATGGCCGCATGAATCCACAACTGAACATTGAATGCAGCTGTGAGCGGATTGGCTAATGTAGTCCGGGTAGTCGAGAGCCGTGGATAAGGTGATAATCCCGCGCAGAGATCGCATTGGATAAACCCAAGAACGTGCATGTACGTACTCCATAGTGCTCTGTACATTTCTCCGTACGGAGTATTGAACTATCCGTATACGTAATAGTGGTATCAATCATCGGGCTTTTACACCATGTGGGAGACTTTCTAGATTTCGTCTTTTCTCACCTCTGGCCCCCAACATCCCGACAACCGACCATCGACATGTCTGCCTCGAACACTTCGCAGGAGTTGAAGGGCGCGCCTGGAGTGGCCATCGTCGTCAACTCCTCTCCCAAGGTCATTGCCACCCGGCACGGCAATGTCGTCCTGGTACCGCCACCAAGTGGTGACCCCGAAGATCCATTGGTAAGCCCTGACGTGCATATCGAAGTAGGACGAATGTCTCTAACTTGCTTACATATACAGAACTGGACAATGCGTAGGAAGATCACCATCTTTGCGTGCATCTGTCTCGCTGGATTCGCTGGCCAGATGTCGCCCAATTCGAACCAGCTCACCTTCATCGAGCAGGTGCCCGTCTATCACAAGACGTCGACTGACCTCCTCAACTCGGTTGCCGTAGCTCTTGCTGGCTGGGTCGCTGGACCTTTCTTGTTGGTTCCACTCGTCGCAGTTATCGGCCGCAGCGCCGTCGTGTTCTGGAGTCTGGTGGGTGTCTTTGTTTGCCAGGTCCGGGCCGCCGAAATGACTGGTGCTAATGACTACATCTCTTTCACCGTCTCTCGACTCTTCTGCGGCATTTTTGGTGGAATTCCCGCCATCATTGGCAGCGGGTACATCATCGACATGTTCTACCTCCACCAACGAGGTAAAGCTTTTACCGTCTTCAAGGTCTTGATCATCTTCGCCGTTGTCGGTGGTGGTACCTTGGGGGGCTTCGTTGCCCAGACGCAGCCTTGGAATTACGTCTTTTGGTGGACGCTCGGCCCTGTAGGCGCTGCCATCGTGTTAGTATTCCGCTTTGTCGAGGACACGACGTTTAGTCGTGATCCAGAGGTCTCAAGCCGTGCTCCCCTGCCCAAGAGCTGGGTCGCAAACCGTATTGCTACTTATCTTCCAGGCATCAGAACCCGGCCGGCAGGTAAAGGAGCCGAGTTTGTATGACCGCGTCAACTAATTTGGAAGAATGCTAGTTGCTAACGCGCTTGGTCATAGGTGAGACAGGCTTTCACCCCGCTCCAGATTACTTTTGCCCCTATCACTCTCCTGATGGGCACGTACATCTTCATTGCGCTAGGTCTTCCTATCATGCAAGCGTCGAAGTTGACAACCTACGTCCAACCTCCAGTCGCAGCTGGCGGGTACGGATTCTCTTCCCTCCAAATGGCATTCTTCACGATGACCGCATGGGTTGGCATAATCTGTGCTCGGGTTTACGGCTATCTTTTCAACGACAAAGCCCCTCTGTGGTTAGCTCGTCGCCGTGGTGGGACTTGGCACACTGAATACCGCTTAGCCAACACGATATTATCATCAATTCTCTTGCCATTGGGCTGGGACTGTGGGGTGCAGGACTCCAGTATCATCTTCACTACATGGTCCTTGCTCTAGCATAATTTATCATCTGGTTTGGCGCCCTACTTGTCTTGCCAGTGTGCTATAACTACGTGGTCGAATGCTTCCTTCACAACCCAGTCGAGACGCCTGTCTCTCTGAACGCTTGCCGTGTAACGTTTGGTCTGATCTCAGTCTTCATTGTGACCCAGTGGCAGTCGGTTGTTGGTGTCGGTTGGATGTGGGAATGGGGCATTTGTTCATTGTGTTCGTTGATATCATAATGATCTACCTCATCACAATAAGAATAATCTCCAAAGAAAATACTACTAAAACCATGAGATTTCAAGATATAATACTGAGTATCGAACACTTTAAGAGGGATATCAGAGGCTATATTAAGAACCATGCTCCTATACTTACATTCCCCATGCTGATGGTGGGGCCTTTTAGCGGCTAGCGGCAAAAAGTGATGTGACCCCGATTACCGGTCACCCGCCGCAAAATCTTGAGCCACACCAACATTTAATCATTACCAGCAGCAGCCCGCTCTCTCGTTTATATTCATATTCAAAGCTGTGGGGTCATGGCCAATTCTTGATCGTCACTGCCGAGTCTGACCCATACCAACCATCCTGCGCGAACCGCAAGACCACGCCAGCAGCGGACAAGCAAACAAACAGTCTTCAGGAACTATTGAATTGTTGGCACCTCAACCATGTCGGTCCTTTCTTATATCACCACAGGGCTGGCATCCTACTTCACTCTGACTATATCGCTATTCGCTCTTTCCGCAGCCAACGTCCCCAAGGCCGGCTTCATTGCCAGGTGCCTCTCCTCCTATGCCTCCCTGATCGTATGCGCTACATATGGCGTCCTTGCATCGATATTTCTCCGGTTGGTGGGATACGGACGCGTGTCCCAATGGGCTACGGCGCGGAGTTTTAAATGGGTGATGCGATTTACAACGGGCGTGCGGTTTGATATCATTGAGGGACAACAATACTTGTCTACGCGGCCTGCGGTTTTCATTGGAAACCACCAAACAGAGCTGGATGTTCTTATGCTGGGCGCCATATTCCCGCCATACTGCAGCGTCACGGCAAAGAAGTCCTTGAAATCAATTCCTTTCCTGGGCTGGTTCATGGCCCTGTCGGGTACGGTTTTCATTGACCGAGCGAACCGAGAGACGGCGGTGAAGGCTTTTGATGGAGCTGCGAAGGAAATGCAGGAGTACCGACAGAGTGTCTTCATCTTTCCGGAGGGGACAAGAAGCTATACAAACAAACCCGAGTTGCTGCCTTACAAAAAGGGCGCTTTCCATTTAGCTGTCAAGGCCGGTGTTCCCATTGTGCCGGTGGTGGTGGAAAATTACGCACATGTGCTCAACCTTCGGGCTCTTCGCTTCAATTCTGGTTCGATCAAGATCAAAGGTATGTCAACCTCACCTCCTATAATGTAACCCCTCACGGTGGCTAACGGGAACCTAGTGCTACCTCCTATCGAAACTAAGAACCTCACCCCTGCCAATGTAGATCAGCTGACCCACGACACACGTGAGACCATGTTAAAGGTTCTAACTGAGTTATCGCAGCAGTCTCAACAGCAGGTCCATGGTGTAGCTCCCCGAGGGTCCTCAACAGCTGTTGAACTGTAAAGTTGGGCTGTGAAGCTCTGGCCTTGACCTGGGCCGACCACTGATGCTGGAATTGTGTGAATTGTCAATACTGCATAGAATTTTTTGCTTGGGATGAAAATCCCGAGGAAAACACGAAACGGTGACGAATGGATGAAAACTAAAAATGCGCTTATTAATTTTGTTTAGAGGAGAGTGCCAGCAGCCTCTCAGCCTGGATCTACCTACATTGTTATTTCCCTTTCAAAGCCTGGCTTGACAGTCGGGGTTGTTTTCAGTGTACTTAGAAAGATATACCCAAAATGGATCGCTGATTGGATCGGAGTAATATTCAAAAAAAAAAATTGACGTGTTACATCATCAGACGCTGGTCAACTGACCCAGGGCGGAATCGCAACAGTGATGTAGAGGATGAGATCGATCAAATCACCAGACTTTGTCCTTTTTACTACGTACACCCTACGGATCTGATTCGACCCGAATCCTGCTGCTGCTGCATGCTTGGCACGGCTTGACAGCCTTATAATTCTTTATTATTGTTGTTGCTCTTATTACCGTATTATCTAATATTTTCGCTGATCGGCATCGAGACCGTCGACATGACCAGATCAGATGCGGACAATCCTCCTCCACACGGAGGCCGTCTACACGACATCTCCAAACTTTAACCGCTTCCTGTTGAAATTACAATAGCGCCGGGATAGCCACCCACTGGTTAGTTGTGAAAGTAGACGCCGCATCTGAATACGCACTAATCGGGGCATTTATGGGGTTTACTTGGAGGCGTCTCTGGTGGCTGTGGGGAAGAAAGAGAACCACCACCAGAATGGGCATCATCTGATTCTCCTGTGATGATGCAGCATCGATGATGATCGGGCATGGATCGCCAGTCCTATGATGGGCTCCAAGCAACGAGCTTATACTTGTCGACTGGCTACACTGTGTAAATCCTAATAACGATAGGCCTAGTCGCGGCTCGTCGCACGACCAGCAATACGACATTCTCCCACCTTCTTCTTTTCCTTCTCACTTCCATCGCGAATCCGAGCTCGAGCTATACCATCGTTACCCTGTCAGCCGGCTGTATCATTCATAGTGTCATTTGAGGCGTATATGTCATCCTAGAAGCAGGACAGCCCATGTCTGGGTGACTCATCAAATATCAATCGATATATATATATAACCAGACAATCCCTGGAGTGCAACAAAGTTTGCGCCAGTGGAATCACTCCTTCCTTCGCAACTTCTACATCAACCGTCTCCATCTTCAGCATCGAACCTGCTTCGGTTTGTATTATTTGACGGGGCACATCAATTGATAGTATTATTCCAAGAAAAAACGAGAAAAGGTCAGCATGGATCCTTACTTTATTGCTCATTGTATATTGAATATAGATGACTGATGTTCCATACAGAAAAGATGGCTCACCAAAAAGATACCGTCAAGGCTGCGACTACGGCTACGACGTTAGATATCGTGTTGCAGAATCAAACAACATCCGGCACGGTATATGCGTACATCACCGGCCTAGCCATCGACAACAACAACGCGCTGTTTCTTCTAAAATCAGACGGCAAGACAGCCTACTATCCCACCTCCCCATCAGGCACCCAAGCGGCTCTTGGGGCTGATTGTGCCATCCCCCTTGGAGCTGTCGGAAACTCGGTCACCGCCACCATCCCACGGCTCGCCGGGGCACGATTGTGGTTCTCGCGTGATGCTACCATAACTTTCTACTTGAACCCCGGTCCTGCTCTGGTTGAACCATCCCCGTCGAACAAGTCCGACCCCAACTACAACACCTACTGGGACTTTTGCGAATTCACCTTCAACGATTCGCAGCTCTATGCCAACATCAGCTATGTCGACTTTGTGAGCTTGCCGATATCATTGACTTTGACCAATACCTCCGGTCAAACGCAGCATATATCTGGTCTCCCATCTAACGGCCTCGACACAATCTGCTCCGGTCTCAATTCCCAGCAGGCAAAGGACAACGCCGGCTGGAACCAGCTTATTGTGCAGAAAAACGGCGCGAATCTCCGAGCCGTCAGCCCAAACACCGGTATTGTGATGAACTCATCTCTCTTCAACGGATACTACTCGTCATACGTAGACCAAGTATGGAGCAAATATAGCAGTGGCTCATTGACCGTCAACACGCAGATGTCAGCTGGAAATGTAGGCGCTACGGTTTCCAACAATGTACTCAATTTCGGAAATGGTGCTGCCACATATAGCAAACCTGCCGCCACGGACATTTTCAGCTGCAGCAGTGGGCCATTTGCGGTTTCTGGCAACCAGGAGAAGGATGCTATTACTGCTCGATTGGCAGCTGCATTCAACAGATCGACACTCTTGGTTAACAATAACACTCCAGCCAACGAGAATCCTTCCAACTACTATCAAAACCCAATCACTAACCACTATGCCCGTATCGTGCATGCTGCCAATCTCGACAAACGCGGTTATTCGTTCCCTTATGATGATGTCGCTCCCACAAATGGAGCCGACCAATCCGGAAGCGTGTTTGATGGAAGCCCCAAGTCGTTGACGGTTGTCGTGGGTGGAGGAAATGCAACTGCAGGCCCGAGTGCTCCTGCCAAAGGTGCAAAGGACTCCAAGGATGCCAATACCCCAAGCACATCACAGCCTGGTCAGGGCGGTCAAGGCGGTCAGGGTACTAAGAAAGGTATCAACTGGCAGAGCATTCTGGACTTCCTCAAAGGTCTTCCATGCTTCAAAGCTTGAGAAATTACAAATATTTGAAGTAGTTTCGGTATACGTTAGTCAGGAATTGAAATTCTCCGGTCTAAGGAAAGGGGTTCTGGTTTGGTTGGTGGTTCGGAGTTTCCCTCATTCCTCAGTTTTATGTACATATACCAGTCTTGCTATTGGTTAGGCCAAATTGAAATATTACCCTATCTTTTGACGTTGTTTCGTAGATACATGCACTTACGAAAATGGTTTAATATATTCATATATCCTATACCAAGTGCCAGCACTTAACACTGCCATATCCAGTTCATACTCCAGGAATATCCGTGCCGAATCCGAAACGCTACGTATCCTCCCTCACCCCAAACATTGACAATTCCCAGTCGCACATGGTCTAACATCCCTCTCCAAATCAACCTGCTCCAACACACCCCATGAGTCATCACTCTGCTTCAACACTCCCTCAGCCCCGAACTCCCCACCCCTCGCCGCCGTCGCAACAAGATAATCGTTCTCAAACGCAACAAGCTCAATCCTCACATCCTCCACCTTCCTTCCATAAAACCACGTCTCAACGCCCCTATACGGTTCGCTCCACGGACTCGCCGAATCCGGCCCTACTGGCGCTGGCGGCACCACATTCGTGAATTCCAGTTCTTGTAACCACGGTGCAAGTAGCGCTTCGCCAGTCATCTTGATATACGCCTCTTTCAGCGCCCAGTAGGCGTAGAAGAGACGCAGGTTGGATTTTATTCGGTCGTGTAGTGGTTTTGATGATATGGGAATTTGTTTCATGCTGGAGATTTCGCGGGGTGAGAATACCTCTTTGAAGATATCTACGAATTCGGCGAGTTCGTTGGCCGTCGTTGGCGTCTTGTTGCGGCGACGGCCTGGTTCGTCGACGCAGGTGATGTCAATACCTACCTGTGGTATAGATGGAATTGGGGATGAGGCGGGCAGTGGTGAGGCGAAGAGAGCAGCTTGCGTGGCGGGGGTTTTTTCGCTGACGGCGGTCTGTGAGGTGGTCGTTGAGGAGCTTGTGCGGCAGCCTGCAAGGGCGACGAAGGAGGCCTGGTGACTGACGTTGAATTCAACGGCGGGTATCAGTCCACCATCTGGCCGTGTTTGAGTCGAAGGAATGTAACATGGTCGCTGATGAGGTTTGGGGGTTCGACTGATGATGACTTGGGTCCAGGGTATGCGACATGTTCGGTGGATGAAGAGGTATTTGAGCAGGTTTGATGCTAGCGACATGTGTCGATCTGGAAGACGGAGGAATTTCTGCACGGATGTTTGATCGTCTGGCTGTAGAGTCTCGAGAAGGGGGAGGTTGGTGGTTGTCTCGGAGAGTTGGCGAGTGTCGATGTACCATCGTGTGAGAGATGGTTTGTCCGGATTAGCCATGACTGCTGCTGCTTCCCTGGTTGGGCTTGGAATATCGCTATTCAGGGGTAAATGAAATGTATTAGCGATTTGTAATTCCAAGCAAGCAATGAGGAACTAGTAATAGTCAACAGTAAGGCGGAACTACGTCCGGGGTGTATTCCAATGGCGCAGCTTGGAAGACTGGAGATGAACAGCCTCAAGCTCCTGATTGAACCCGAAAAGAAAATACTTTGCGAACTGCTTCAATCTACACACAGGCATTATCAGGTCACCAGTCCATGCACCACAAGAAGCAGCAGACTGTACTCATATAAGCATGTCAGCCTCGTAGTGGAAGGCGGGGCGCCAGGGCGGTGGCAGAATTGAATTCCGCGGAGAGCGAGGGCGGAATAAATATGCGGCGATGACTCAATTTCATGTGCATCCATTGCAAACGAAAGACAAAAATGATAGAAAAAACAAGAATGATTACAGTTGGCGTGTTAGCATTACAGGGCGCATTTTATGAGCACATACAACTCCTGAAAAAGGCGGCAAATATCTTATCGCAATCAGAAAACGGCTCTTCTGCACAATGGCAATTTATAGAGGTACGAACGAAAGCTCAGCTGGACAGCTGTGACGCTCTCGTTTTGCCTGGAGGCGAGAGCACGACTATTTCGCTCGTGGCAGCTAGTTCAGATCTGCTGGAACCGCTGAGAGATTTTGTGAAGTATGTTCCACGCATCCAGCTGTTCCTCTGGGTTATTGGAATAACAGACTTGATAGGCTACATCGGCGACCAACATGGGGCACTTGCGCCGGCCTGATTCTTCTCGCTGAATCCGCGAACCGCACAAAGAAAGGTGGACAAGAGCTTATTGGAGGCATCGATGTCAGGGTCAATCGCAATCACTTTGGTCGACAAGCGGAAAGTTTTCAGGCGCCCTTGGAACTGCCGTTTCTCCCTCCCTCTGATCCATCGCCATTCAACGGGGTTTTCATCAGGGCCCCTGTAGTCGAGAAAATCTTGCCATCTCAGGAGGGAATACAAATCGCAGAAAGCCGACGTGACGAGACGGTGGTAGCACCATCACGGGCAGCCGCAGAACAAGCAGTGGAAGTACTAGCGAAGCTACCAGGCAGAACAGCTCGATTGGTGGCTAAGACTGGGGTAAATATAGACGCCGAGAAGGAGGCCGAGGACATCATTGCAGTCAAGCAAGGTAATGTTTTTGGCACCAGCTTTCACCCAGAGTTGACAGATGATCCTCGAATTCATTTGTGGTGGCTGCGCCAGGTACAAGATGCCGTGAAACAGACACGCGAGAGTGGTTAAAGATTCAGCAACAGGGTGATGACACGATCATTAGAATTCAGCTCGTATGGGTATTGAATATGTGACTGATATCGGATTCTCCAAACGCCGGTGTATATTGTACAATATCAAACCTCCTACCTTCCCCTTCCATATTCTTCTTCCTCTCGTCTACGCTGGTCTGCCATTGATCTACCGTATCCGCCACGCCCTGGGTCGTATTCCTCGCGGTATTCGTCTCGTACTTGACCGCCAGATTTTCCACGTCTAGCATATAGTTAGCTTAGATTCCGAACAATAGCGCTTCATTAATTACCCGTATTGACGACCTTCCTGGAACCCAGGATCCAAATCCGTCCGAATAATTCTTTCATCAAGCTTTGTGCCTCCAATGTATTTGAGACAGTCTATCGCGTCTTGATGGGTATAGTATTCGACGAAGCAGAAGCCGCAAGGCGTTTTCTGGAAGCGGTCGAGTCCCATCACTAGGCGCTTGATCTCACCGCACCTATAAATCAATTAATAGGCGGTCAATATTTAATAAAAGGCTCGGTTCCTACTTGGCGAAAAGTTCGTGGATCTGCTCCTCGGTTGTGTAGAAAGAACTAGGTCTCGCTTTAGCTTGGTTGTTGCAGTTCATGCACACAGCAAACCTACAGGTTTCCGACATAGAGAGTCGTGGCATCCTTCAGGCTATCGTTAGGATCCTCTGCCTTTTCGACATTATCTTCGCGATCGTTGTTCCGGCGACGTTTGTTCTAGTGACGCAAAGATCAGCAACGCGGATGGGACGAGAACGCTTAGAGAAAGAGGAGAAATAAAGCCATACCTTGCCTTGGTAGTAAGGACTCGGCCTATCGAGGCGGTCGACCGTGCTCGGATACTTCTGCATCGTGTCTCTGGGCTCGTTCGTGGTGCTGTTAGAACATATAAGTAGGTTGCAGGACGAAGTTGTGGTGCGGCCTGGGCAGTTCCTTCCTTTGTAATTGCAAGCTAAGCTCCGCCTTAGCGCGCGCGTCTAGCGCACACCTCACAGCTCCTCCGCAGCCCAGTCGAATTTCTTGTTCCAACCTCCACGCAGAGACTTATTCTTCGCACCGCATTTCCCCTACATTGGGCAACAAGGCTTGCTTCAAATCAATGTTCCTCTCATTATAATATCGCCGAGTTTCCATCAAAGGTGTATCCCAGGCCGGTGGCTATCACCGACGCACCAGGATGCCCAAAGTAATCAGTCATACGCCACCTTGGCTTTGTCGCCCGTCGCCAGGCGCTTCGTTCTTTACTGGAAACCCATCAGCAAGTGTCGATAAAAAAGCTCAAAATCCCGACGCCTACGATGGTCCCCAGAGAACCTTGGCTCAGCGAGGCACAGAGGTGTTCGCTGTGGTCGACAACCAAATCAGGTGGTCCGATCTAGCGACGTTAAAAGGAGAATGGAATTCTCAGTCGAAATTGAAAAAGAAGGTCTCGGAAGTCGATAAAGGAGCGAGTAGCAAAAAGGAGCTCTACAGGGTTTGTCGGTCTAATCCACATCCGTTATTTATGAGCTGACCTCGTTAGGTTTTGACCGTTCCTGTTTACGGTGAAATTAGACAATTATTGATATCCCCGAATGGAGTCTTCATGGCAGTCGTAACTGCTCATACTGTCCATATTACGATACTACCAGATTCGTCGCATCTTTCAAGCTCTGAGACCGCGCCACTTCGCCTAAAGACTTATCAACTTGGCCCTACAACGCATGTTATTCCGGAGTCCCCCGTTATCTCAGCATTGTGGCATCCGCTAGGTGCTCACACCAATGTCGAAGCTTGTATAGTAACCGTCACGGCAGATGCTGCAGTTCGAGTATGGGAGTTGGACCGCAACAATCTCTGGTCATTTGACAGGCCTTCTTTGGCTATTGATTTGAAGAAGCTTGTTGACGGAAATTCATCGGACGAAGACTTTACGCCTCTTGGCTTCGGCAAGAACAAGGGATTCTCTGCGGACGCTTTTGACATGGAAGTTGCGTCTGCGTCCTTTGGTGGCACTGCTCAGGAGGGGGAAGATGCATGGGCGCCAATGACACTCTGGGTTGCAATGAGACCTGGAGACTTATACGCTCTTTGTCCCTTGCTTCCTTCCAAATGGAGAGCACCACCTGCTACAATACCGGCGCTCTCCGCAGCAATCATCCCAAAGCTTGCTGCTGTAGAAGATCATTACTCTGGAACAGAAGTCGTTGAAGACGAGCTAGTTGCGTGTCGACAGCAATACGAATGGCTGAAAGAAATCGATGATCAGGATTCATTGGATGCTCCCGAAGCAGACAGAGTTTCAGAAATGGAGGTTTTTAAGCGCCCTATGAACCCCAGCGCAATTCCTCGCCTGCAAGGGCCATTTCAATTTGATGCTGGTGAACAGATTGATGATCTCAATGTGACCGATCTGTTCGTGATTCCTGCGAAGCTCAACACCGAAATTTTGATGATGGGTGAGGATGACGAGGGCGTGCTGGAGGAAAACGAGCAAGAAGGTCTATCTGCAACAATTATATGCTTGTCAACTACAAGCGGCCGGGTGCACATTTGCTTGGAACTAGATGGCGTGGAGGGTCAATGGCTTCCAAAAGCTAGATCCAATACATTCAGAACGCCTCTTTCAGAACCGGCAGATCTAGTGCTTGTTGAGTCTTTGGATACTGTAAGAGAACAACTGCGTGAATCAAATTGCTGGCCAACCTTTACGCGGGATATCTACTCTCGATACAGCTTTTTCCTCACAACTGCCAACAATGTGTCCTTTATCTCACTTTCCTCATGGGCCCAGCGATTAGAAGCTGAACTGCAATCTCAAGATACTTCGGGATCACAGTTTCGCCTAAATGTCATTTGTGACGGGGCAATTGCTGTTCGTGAGCTGCTTATTCAACTTAACGAGAATGACTCTTCGTTATCTGAACAGCCAGCCCACTTTTCGAACTCTTTGGTAATTTCGGATTACGATCTTGGATACCTTCTTCTTACGTATAGAGGATTCTCCCCTCAAGCTGCGGTTCTCGATGAACCCTACAATAAGGCTTACCAGTCATTTTCGGAATCAATCATTTCCAATCTTAATACCCCCACTCCGCCTCTTCCGCTCCTTTCTAAACCTCGACGTGCGCCGTACCAGGTGCCGGCAATATTTTACGCTGAGGAGCCTCTTAAATCATTTGTTGAAGACAACGTACCTCACAGACACAAGGGCACTTTACGAGAGCCTATCCGTCTTTCACCTTCAACCCTTGACACTGTTGCAGCCGCACACCGAGTACTTGCTGCACATACCGGGTTGCTTGAAAAGGCAGCTGCAGACCTCTTCCGTCGCTGTGAGCGCCTCCGAGGAGAGATGAGGGACCAACTAGAGGGAATCGCTACTGTGGCTGAGCGAATCCAGAATGTCTCCAGCCACATTGGAGAGGATGGTCAACGACAAAAGGGGTCCAGAAACGAGGAAGCCCTAGACAAAAGGCTAGCCGCCGCGAAGAAGAGACAAGACGAGCTTCTGTCACGCTACTCGCGCATTCGCACTAAGATCTCAAATCTTGGAGGTCGCCCTCTCAGCGACAAAGAAAAGAATTGGATAGGGGAGATTGATAACTTGTCTACTTCCCTCTCAAAGACCGGTGATGACGAGCACGGTGAAACATTGGGCAAACGGCTGGAAACAGTACGTAATTTCCATTTACTCTACACTTTACATGACTAACTAATCACTTTCTCTAGGCCAAATCACTTGCTGAGGATCTCTTAGCAGAGGTGAAGCGCATATCAGCAGAACAACAAGTTACTGCTGAGACGGGTGGTGGCTTCACTAGTCCAAGCTCGCAACCAAAAATCCCACAAAGGCTACAACGAGCAAAAGTGGCGGATGCAATGAAGATGATAGACAGAGAGTAAGTTTCATTTCTTCCTGCTCTCCGCCTTGAATATTCTTAACAAGTTCTACAGATCTGCAGTCATAGATGCTATTACAGCGAGGCTAGAGCGCCTAAATTCAGGCTTATCGTAGGATTTTTTTTGTCTTAGTACTAGAAATTGGGCGAGGCTGTCTTGCTTTATCTTCATTAATGCCAAAATAATGATATCATGTGCCAAATTCTAGAATGGTCGTAGGACAAGGGTACGTAGTCTCAGTTTTTTACTCCTCACTGCCTAGTTCTCTAGGGCAATATTGTCACGTGATTAGCGACCAACAAACTATAATTATCTGATCTTGTGTGTGTGTTGTCGGCTTTCGTGTTGATAGGAAAGGGAAATACGTTGTTGAACGACTTTGGAGAGTCGGTTGTTCAGGTTTCCATTATGAATGGCTAGACATTTTGGTTGAGAGTTTAGTTTGTCGTCGATACTTGGCCATGGAAGATACATACGTCAAAGATGTTGGCTGTGCATGAATCACGCGATGGTTGGCGCTAAATACGCCAATTGGCAAAAAAACCCCCCCCACTCGCAGTGGGTCCTACTTTGGTTCCCGCTGTGCCGCCTATTAGTCGCATTAGTCGCCGAGAAGAGGGGGGGTATGAGACTAATTGCAGGATAACCAAATCATAGATCACTCGTCCCGTACCTGTGCAATAGCTCTAACCAACATTAATATGTTAATAAGGATGCCAACTCGCTGGCCATATTGCCCACAATAAGACTCCTAGGACTAGGCCTATGCAATTAATCGAAAGGGGTTGGTAACACGCAACAAACCCCCCGAACCCTTGGTTCTGGCATCGCTTAGGGTCTTACGGATGACGCTTGACCACCAGGCCATCCTAGTGGTAGCAGGAGGCCTTGCCAGGGTGTTTCTAATATATTATAGCTTCCCATTGATTTCCACTATTATATTCGTACCGCAATAAAAACAGTATGATCAGTACTAACTCATTGAATAGAACTATTCACGGCCACATCAATGAGTTTCTGTATGAATGCCAAACCAGCAGTCTTCTCCTTTCCAAGTCAAGACAGCCTGTTGATACGTCTTTCAGTAGAGTTTGTCACATCTAGCGCAATATATTGAATTTGCGGCGCAGCATCAGGGGCCAGTTTGGATTCAACTGATGGCCTTTCGATATTAGCGTCATGCATCATCCTTTATGGCGACAGCAGACCCGAGATTCAACTAGTACAAAAGTGGGTGGGCAAACTGAGGAGGGTAAAAGCAAAAGGCATCACACGAAGTAGCAGTTATGTCATCTTTGATCAATCGGATAGTAGCTTGGATGAGTCTTATAAAAAAGAAACTGCAGATCGATCGCGGTCACTAAGCCCTCATATCCAACGCTAATGTGTTTGATGCGATTTAGCCGTGATACGGCGAATCCATGATCCCTGTTGGCCGAGCCTTTCCCTTCCTAGTCCCCGATTGTGCTTTGGATTTTTGAGTAGGTGATATGTATCGGGCAGTAGGCTGTTCGGCTGGAGCAGAATTCCATGGATAGAATATCCTGAGGATAGCATCATCAGCTCAGACGACTACCATGCCTCCCAAGAATTCGGAGGAGAGCATTCTTCAACAACAGATTGATTTCTCCGATGTGCAGATCACATTTCTCGGGCTTTATCGCTATGCGACCACTATTGACATTGTGCTTCTTTCCATTTATGCCATTGCGGCGATTCTCGCTGGTGCTTGTCAACCTATACCGACTGTAAAGACTAATTCTCATTTTCCTTCCCCCCTCAATAACTCCTCGTAGATTTCTGACTGACGGGTGAGAGTGAAGTTAGTATTCAGTCGCATTGCATATATTTTTGTCCAAACCGAAAACCAAGCAGCTGGAGGCCATGAAAACTCTTCTGGCGCCATCGACCATTACACCCTGTACTTCCTCTACATCGCAATCGGGTCGTTCATCACACAGTATGTATCCACGGCCGGATTCATCTACATTGGCGCGAAGATGACGCGGCGCATAAAGGTGCACTGCATGGAGTCGATCCTGAGGCAAAATGTTGCGCTCTTTGACGACCGAGGCTCCGGCCAGATAGCCAGCCAGCTCACGTCGGATGCCAACTTGATCCAGGAAGGTCTGTCACAAAAGCTTGCTCTTACTCTCAGCGCCGTTGGGACCCTTGGTGCGACTTTTGTCATCGCCTTTGCTGTCCAGTGGAAGATTACCTTTATGCTGATCTGGTGCATTGTCGTTGGCGTGATTCTCCTGCTCGGAGGCAATAAGATCGCAGTCCGCTATAGCGGGAAAGCAATGGAAGCATACTCTGCGGGTGGCTCTCTGGCTGAGGAGGCTCTTGGCGCCATCCAATACACAACAGCCCTTGGGATGCAAAGAGACGTCCTGGACCGTTATAGAGCGCATCTAAATGCGGCGGAGAAACATGGATTCCGCTTAAAGAGCTTCATGGGGGCCATGATCGGGTTTGCCGTCGGAACTGGGTATCTCAATGTCGCCCTAGCCTTTTGGCAAGGCTCTCGCTACTTATCATTCGGGAACGCGAGTTTCACCGCAGTGGTCACCATCGCACTGGCTATCACGTCAGCGGCTTTCTCCGTCCTCGGAGTGGGAGCCAACGCAGGGGCCTTCGTATCAGCTATTGCTGCAGGAGGGCGAGTCTTCAGCCTGATAAATCGCAATTCTCCCATTGACTCATCGTCGACCGACGGCCTGGTCATTAGCGATGAAATAGTTGGCCAGATCGAATTCTGTGATGTAAAGCATATTTATCCTTCTCGCCCCACCGTCGTGGTCGCGGACCATCTGAGCCTGACGTTTCGACCTGGGCAGATTACCGCCATTGTTGGCTTCTCGGGGGCTGGGAAAAGTACCGTTGGTCATCTTCTCGAGCGCTTCTACGATCCTGTGGCCGGTCGGATACTACTCGACAACCTTGACATCCGCGATATTAATCTCAAGTCCCTTCGTAGACAGATTCGTCTGGTTAGTCAAGAGCCTACTCTTTTCAACACTTCGGTGATGGATAATATCGCACACGGGCTTATCGGCACTAAGTACGAGAGTCAGACGGAAGAGGAGAAGCAAAGAATGGTCGAGACGGCGGCAAAGGTGGCCTGTGCCCACGACTTTATAATGCAGCTGCCAGATGGATACCGGACTTGTGTCGGTGCTCGAGGATCGCAGCTATCTGGAGGTCAGAAGCAGAGGGTTGCCATTGCCCGGGCAATTATTGGACGACCGAAGATTCTCATCCTCGACGAGGCAACCTCTGCATTGGACACTACAACGGAGCTTCAGGTACAAAGAGAACTGAAAGTAATGAGAAGCACTTGCACTACTATTGTTATTGCACACAGACTGTCAACCATCCAAGACGCGGATAACATCATGGTACTAGACAGCGGTACACTGGTCGAGCAGGGTAAACACCAAGAGCTCATACAACTTCAGGGTGATTATTTCCGCCTGGTAGAGGCCCAAGCTCAAGAGAATAGCTCGGAACATGCATTAGGTGATAAGATCATGGTTGATAGTACAGAAACAGTGTCTATCGGTAAAGAAATGGATACCTATGCTGCCTCAATGGATGAGATTCCAGGTAGCCCCTTGACGGCACAGGGACATGGCCAGGTCAAGAAACCGAACAGTCACTCATCTTTAGCTCTGGCCAGCTTTGTTGTGTCTCTGAATTCAAGGGAGCTCCATATCATCTTACTCGGCCTGGTGGCTTCCATCATTGCTGGGTTCGAAGAGCCGATTTCCGCCATCTTGTTTGGAAAGGCCATTACAGCCATCTCACTACCGCTCAGTGAAGGTAGCCTCATCCGCAGTCGGGCGGGTTTCTGGTCTCTCATGTTTATGGTTCTTGCTCTGGCGGAGCTTTTGGTTTTCGTTGTTCAGGGAGTCGCATTTGCCTACTGCTCCGAACGGCTTGTGTGCCAGGCTCGCTATCAAAGTCTGGAAGCAATTATCCGGCAAGAAATCTCCTTCTTTGACAAGGACGAAAACAGTACCGGGGCATTGACATCCCTTCTCTCTGTGGAGTCGACGAATCTGGAGGGTATCAGTGGGACGACATTAGGAACTATCCTGATTGCTGTTTCTACTCTGGTAAGCGCGTTTGTAGTGGGGTGTATCTTTGGGTGGAAACTAGCGCTTGTCTGCTCCTCTGTCATACCTGTGCTTATTGGATGCGGTTTCTATGGTGTGTGGCTCGTTGGGAAGTTGCAAGAGCAAACTGATAGAGTCAATAAAAACTCTGCTGCCTACGCGACTGAGGCGGTGACGTCTGTTCAAACTGTCTTTGCGTTGACGAGAGAGCAGGATGTGCTACAGAACTTTAAACGTACCCTTGAGGTCTCCAGCCATGCTAGTCTCAGAACTAATTTGAGAACCTCGGCACTCTATGCCCTGTCACAGTCCCTTCTCTACGCCTGTTCCGGACTCGGATTCTGGTATGGTGGCCGGCTAATCGTGTGGCGTGAATACTCAACCTTCCAGTTTGTCACTGTTTTTTCCTCCATCGTCATGGGTGCATTTTCCGCAGGCCTCGTCTTCTCCTTTGCCCCGGATATCGGCAAGGCTAAGAAGTCTGCGCAAGATTTCAAGACCCTTTTCGATCGAAAATCGAAAATCGACCCACTAGATCCCAGAGGGCATAGCCTCAGACAGGTCCAAGGCAGGATTGAGTTCCGAAATGTTTCTTTTCAGTATCCTTCCCGATCAGGTCTTGTTCTGGATGGCATCTCATTGACGATTGAACCTGGGCAACATGTTGCGCTTGTTGGGGAAACAGGAAGTGGCAAAAGCACGATGATTGCTCTTCTGGAAAGATTCTACGATCCAACGGAAGGGGAAATCCTGATTGACGGTCAGCCGATAACCTCGTTGAATGTGAAAGGGTATCGACAGAATCTGGGTCTGGTTATTCAAGAACCCAACTTGTATGATGGCACGATCAGGGAGAATTTGCTGTTTGGACTTGATGTCGAAGCCACTTCGGAGGAGATGATCATATCTGCTTGCAAAAGCGCAAATATCTATGACTTTATCCTATCCCTACCGTACGCAATCCACTCCTCCTTATGACTGCATGATTGAGACTAACCAAGACTACTTGTAGGGATGGATTCTCTACTACAGTAGGGAATCGTGGGAGCCAACTGAGCGGTGGTCAAAAGCAGAGGCTGGCGCTGGCTCGTGCCCTGTTGCAGCAGCCCGCTATTCTGTTACTGGACGAGGCCACATCTGCTGTAGACGCGAAGTCTGAGAAGCTAATTCAAGCAGCGTTGGACAGTGCAGTGGAAGGCCGTACCACTCTTACCATTGCTCATCGCCTGAGTACGGTGAGAAATGCAGACGTCATCTATGTGCTGGACCGCGGCCGCATCACCGAGTCGGGTTCCCATGAGGACCTCGTTGCGCGGCGAGGGAAATACTACAACCTATACAATAGGGGTCAGCAATAATAAAGGCATTTATCAGTAGTCGAACCCATTAAGCCCGGGTTTGATTTTAAACTTACCTCCATGGGAATATAACCGCCGAGCTTGATCTCACTCTCAGGATATTGTCGAATTAAGCTCTCAGATATGGCGCGGGTCACGCCAGTACGCAGCTAAAAGGCCGTCTCCCTGGTAAATTTACTCCACTTGAAGCTTAATTGAGAGTAAGTGCAGTTCAATATTCAGCGCTTCGGCCGCTGTTGTGCGGGAGGCGCCATTAATCAGGCATACGCGTTTTTGAATTGAGGCAAAGCCTCGCGTAGTCTCATTAATTGGGGCTTAACAAGCGCCTTCGGTTGGAATCAGGCGGCCACACCAGAGAGCATTTGAGGGATTACAATTACTCGGCAAATTCATCATATAGCTAATAGGACTACTCCCTATATTGACACCGCGAGGCCTTATAGTGCTTGTAGGCTAGTGTCAGCCACACACACTGTAATAGGATAAACGGTAGCATAATTTATACCATTGCTATTGAAATTATTGCCATGCCAAATAGGTATCATAATATCATAATATTAAGAGTTTGCGACAGGACTGTAGTGCACTACAACAGGTCAGCGAAAATAGCTATCCTAGTAGTGGTAATAATATTGTTTTCTTTGCTCCGTAGGCGTGAAAGTCATATAATTGCCACATTAGACACACTTGAGGCTACTGCTTACAGATTTGGAGAGGAGGAAGATAGTGAGTGGGTACCAAATCTATAGACCACGACATTGGAAGGTTATCACAATAATTTATAAGCTATTGGTTGAGCTGAATGACTTGTCCCATATCACAAATTCACGGAATGATGGCCAATAATTTAGCGCCAGAGCAGCAAGGTTACACACACACCATGTCAGTCTTAGTTTTAAAGGCCTTGTTATTACACCTGTCTCGGTGTGTTAGCGCCTTAAAAGAATAAGTGCAAGCGCTGTCTAATGTGGCGGGCGGCAAAGTGCAGTGATAGCGTGTGATTGTTTACAGAGCACCTTTCTTGTTTGAGATACGTGATTATTCCCCCTCCTTCAGCTGAACGATAACCCCCCTTTGCAATCCGACGTGCTTTTAGGACGGTATCGTACCTCAGGAATTCGTGTCAAAATTGCTGAAAAAAATAGCGCACTGGCCGTGACTCTTCAAGCATAGACTGGAGATAATAAGTAAATTTCGCCATGGGTCGTCGCCTGGGCAAACTGGGAGAGAAGCTGTTCCACCGATTTCCGAATCAGAAGCTGAAGGACGCGAGCGTCAACGAAAGCAAAGGTAGCTCAGCTCTTGTTAGCGAAGTACCAGTGTTAACAAACGACTCAGATGTATCACAGACGCATCAATATGAGAATCGTAGATCGCAAGACTTGTGGCAAGTTGCCTATGACAAACTTGATAAGAACGACAAGCATATTTTATCTTTGATCCAGCGCGAACACGACAAGACGGGTCCCTCCCCAACTGTGGAGGTCTTGGATCAGGTTATCCAGACGACTAAGGAACGATATGAAGAATACCGGAAGGGTGGGCTAGAGATCCGCAGATCAAGAGCAGAGGATATCAACGTTCGAGATACTACGCAGAAAATACTCAATGCAACATTATCCTTTAAGGATACTATCAGTGCGGTGGTCGCTTTTGATCCCACCGGCCATTCATGCGGTGCGTGGATGATCGTGTCTCTTGGACTGACGGTATGTGAGAATCAATTTTTAGCTACATGGGAAGTAGTAGACGAACTAACGGCCGTACAGATGTTGAAAAACCATAATGACTTACAAAATGCTCTATTTGACTCCTCGGAGTTTTTAGCGGACATCCTAGCCCGATTTGCTTATACTGAGAGGATCTCCAACCGCGACAATAATCCCGGAACGAAGAGCGAAATAAAAAATGGTATAGTCCGAGTATATATAGCGATATTGCGTTATACGGCAGAAGTATGGAAGGTTCAACAGGCCAAAACCGGAAGAAAATTGGTGGAGAGTGTCATTGCTATCACTGATCAACCGCTTTCGAAATTAAAATCTTCTATCAATGATGAGGAGCAGCGCTTACAGAAATGGATCCAGATAGATCAGCATCTACAACGCGAAAAGGAAGCGGAAAATATCCTGATTGGAATTGACAAGATGCTAGGGTTGATCCAAGATCTTCATCGGAAATTATACCTGTCTAAGCTATTCGTTGCGGAAGGCTCTTCCTTTGACTCCTACATTGATCAACATGAAGACATATGTCTTCCAGGAACTAGAATAGAGCTTCTTCAGCAGATCACAAGATGGGCAATTTCATCAGACGAAGATGCTAAATGCATCTATTGGTTAAATGGCATGGCAGGGACCGGGAAATCAACAATTTCCCGAACAGTGGCCAAGGTTTTCCAGGAGAGTGGGATACTCGGAGCGAGCTTTTTCTTCAAAAGGGGTGAAGGAGATCGTGGGAGCGCTATGAGACTGTTTTCAACGATAACGGCACAATTAATCACCAGGATTCCTCAACTTGTTCCTTACATCTGTCAAGCGATAGAGGACGATCCTGCTATTGCAGAAAAATCGCTTAGGGACCAGTTTAAGAAGCTTTTACTTCTGCCATTACTTAACCTGGATCAATTAGACCGACCAACAACAGTCGTATTAGTGATTGATGCATTAGATGAGTGCCAGCCAGTAGACGATGTCCAAATCCTACTTGGACTCTTGCCTCAATTACGACAATCAACCGCTGTGGATGTACGGGTTTTCTTAACTAGCAGGCCTGAATTGCCCATTCAATTCGCTTTCGAGAACATCACCGGTAACGATCACCAGGGTCTGGTACTGCAAGAAATCCCAGCTATAGAGTATGACATTACTTTGTTCCTGAATGACAGATTCTCTAAGATTAGGAAAGAACGCTCACTGCCTCTAAACTGGCCCGGGGATGACAAGATTCAGGCTGTAACTAAAATGGCAGTCCCGTTGTTTATCTTTGCAGCCACTGTGTGTCGTTTTGTCGGAGATAGAAAATGGAGGCCAGAGAAGCGTCTCGAAGATTTACTTGCGAACCCGGCTGTGGCTTCCGCATCAAAGATGGACAGAACCTATCGACCAATATTAGAACAGCTTCTTGCTGGCCAAGATAAGTATGAGTCAGAGAAACTAATGCAAGAATTTCAAGACATAATCGGTGTCATTATCCTTCTTGCTACTCCGCTATCTGTTGACGCGCTTTCAAAACTACTTGATATTTCGAAAAGTGATATCAGCAACCGATTAGATTCATTTCATTCAGTTCTCACCATACCAAACGATAAAGATCTGCCGGTCAGGTTGTTGCATTTGTCATTTCGAGATTACCTTCTCGATGCATTTAGGAGATTGGAAGAAGGAAGCGTTCCTTTTTCAGTTGATGAACAAGAGAAACATCAAAGGATAGCAGGTAAATGCCTAGCCGTCATGCGCCATAGCTTGAGGAAAAATATCTGCAATTTGCCAAGCGATGGAACACACCACATAAAGATACATGAACAGACGATTAGGCAGCATTTACCATCGGAATTGCAATATTCTTGTCGTTACTGGGCGCAACATCTAGTGCGAGGCAAAGACCTTATTCCTGGAATGAATAATGCATTCGCCTTTCTTCAGGATCACTTTCTTCATTGGCTAGAAGTCATGAGCATTCTGGGCATTGTATCAGAAGTTGTTGATGTCATCGGCACACTGCAGTCGTCCATGCTGGTAAGTCTATCGGTCAAAACTGTCTATCTACGTGTTAATTTGTGAGAAATAATATAGGGTGAGGAAATGTCCACAATGTTAGAATTTCTGCATGACGCAAAACGGTTTGTCCTCAAAACCAGGCATATTGCTGAGGCGACACCACTTCAGCTTTACTGTTCAGGGCTCATTTTTGCTCCAGAAAAGTCAATAATCAGGAGTCAATTCAAGCGAGAGCTCCCTAGCTGGGTTTGTAATCTTCCAAAAGTAGAGGAATGCTGGAGCACAGAATTACAAACCCTGGAGGGCCATCTAGATTCAGTTGCGTGTGTGGTATTCTCACCAGATTTCCGACTGGTGGCATCAGGGTCCGATGATTGGACAATCAAACTCTGGGATATATCTACTGGGGTCTTACAACAGACTTTAGAGGGTCATTCAAATACTATTCGGTCTATTGTATTCGCGCCAGATGGCCGGTCAGTGGTATCAGGTTCTACTGATAAAACAATCAAGCTTTGGGATATTACCACAGGAGTTCAACAGACTTTTGAGGGCCACTCAAATGCAGTTCAGTCTGTGGCTATCTCACAAGATGGCCAATTAATTGCATCAGGTTCTTCAGACTCAACAATTAAGCTCTGGGATATTACAGGAGCCTTACAAAAAACCTTTGATCAGCATTCGGGTCGGGTTTATTCTGTGACATTCTCATTAGATAACCAACTACTAATATCAAGTTCTGATAATACGATCAAGCTCTGGGATATAGCCACAGGAACCTTACGACAGATCTTTGAAACCCATTCAGACTTGGTTTTATGCGTGGCATGCTCACAAGATGGGCAGCTAGTGGCATCTGGGTCTGCTGATAAAACAATTAAACTCTGGGATATTACCACTGGAGTGTTACAACAAACATTAAATGGCCATTCACGGTCAGTTCGTTCTATATCATTCTCATCAAATACCCAATTGATATCAGGTTCTGGTGATCAGACAATCAAGGTCTGGGATATTACTACAGGAATCCTGCAACGAACTCTTAAGGGTCATTCAAATGCAATTGTGTCTGTGGCAATCTCACAAGATGGCCAATTAGTGGTATCAGGTTCTGCAGACAAGACAGTCAAGCTCTGGGATTTAACTACAGAAGCCATAGAGCAAACAGTTGAATGCCATTCAAGTTGGGTACGATATGTGGCAATCTCACCAGACGGTCAGCTGGTAGCGTCCAGTTCTGACGATAAAACAATCAAACTTTGGGATATAGTCACAGGAGGCCTACAACAGACTCTTAACGGCCATTTAAATATGGTTTGGATAGTAATATTCTCACCAAATGGCCAATTAATAGCATCTGGTTCTGCAGATACAACAGTTAGGCTTTGGGACAGGACTACAGGAGCCCTCCAAAAAACATTTGAAGGCCATTCAGGCTGGATTCGATCTATAGCATTCTCGCCAAATAACCAGCTGGTGGCGTCAGGGTCTGATGATTGGACAATCAAACTCTGGGATATATCTACTGGGGTTTTACAACAGACTTTAGAGGGCCATTCAAATACTATTCGGTCTACTGTATTCTCGCTAGACGGTAAGCTGGTGGCATCTACTTCTGATGATAAGACAATCAAGCTCTGGGATGTAACCACGGGAGCCCTGCAACAAAACTTAGAGGTCAACACATCAGTTACGAACTTCAACTTCTCAGATAACGGGGCATTCCTAGATTCTCTACAGGGATCCTTTACTATCCAGCCATGGCATAATAGTCAAAACTTTGCTGCACCTCAAACCAACGGAAATTTATACCTTGAAGGCGAGTGGGTAGTACATAACGATGAACAAGTACTGTGGCTTCCTCCTGAATATCGGCCCCTCTGTGGAGCAGTTAAAGGTGGCACTCTTGTCCTTGGACACGCGTCGGGGCGGGTTTCTCTTATGAGATTTAATGTATAGCAAGCAGATTCTCGTCTACATCTGTTCTCTTGTGTTCCCTTTTCTATCCTCGTAAGATCAAGAAACTAGACTCATTACACTGATCTTGATATGCCACTCTTCTAAACGCCATCGTTAGAGCGGCAGCCGCACGAACTAGATCAGGATGAGTACCCAAGATCTCCCCTATTATTACATATGTAATGAGTGTAGTGATCGTATACTATAATTTGAGTAAATAGCTACGTATCTGATGAACGCTAAGAATGAGACCACTACAATTATCAGCTAGTACTTGCTGATTCAATAGCCTGTCTATTTTGGACTATACTTTTGGTTTGATCTTCTACAAACCAAAACCTGGACACAATTAATCCATACCAAGTGAGAGTACATGTTCAACCTGATAAACACCTCCAAAATCACCATTTTTTCCCGGTATTTTTCCATTGCTCGAGCGCGAGCAAATCAGCTAGAAGCACACGGATACTCTTTATTGAGCCCGGATGATTCGGCACATATCACTGAATACTTTTTCACCAGTCAGTTCCGGTGCGGTTGAAGCCAATCTTCAGGACGGTCAACGTACCGCTCGATGAGATGGACCCCCGAAGCGCTCTCAACAATGGGGCTAATCTCGCCGGGTTTGAGCGCAAACGCAGCGTCTTCAAACTCCTTCTGCATCTCGCCATGACCAAAGAACCCACTATCAGTAAGCGCAAGGCAAGGTCAGCTGTCGTCGTGCAGAGCAATACTCAAATCGTAATGTTACTTACAGATCACCCTTCTTGCGCGCTGAGCTGCAGTCAGACTCGGACACGGCCAGATCGCCTAACCGCACTTCGCCTGATTTGATCCTCTGCTCGTGGCCACGGAGTATCTCAATTGCCTCTTCCTTGGACCGCGTGATGACGCTCTCCCGCCAGCTGCTGGGGCGGCGGCTGTCACGGTGCTTGACGAGGAGATGGGCGCAGCGGATCTTGCCTTCGGCTGGTAAACCGGCGATGCCAGCCGGGCCACTATGGTTGGTAGCCATGTATACCTTCAGCTTTTCGGTGTCTGTCCCCGCTGGCGGTTCCCAGCGGGATTCTTTTGTGGCGGCACTGAAGTAATATGGGAGGTTTTTCGAGTTCGAGTGGCGCACTTCCCAGCCCTCGGGTAGACCTGTGGGATCAGACTAGATGTGAGGCGTAGATTAGCTGTCTGGAGAGCCGTACTGGTCTTTCTGTCACTGTACTTGGAAGGAAAGCAGTAATTGAAATGAAACCAGATGAACAGACAGGGCGTACCATGTTGACAGACAGCCCAAACAATGGATTTACACCAACAATTCAATGCAAGTTATCGTTATCGTTATCGCTATCAGCCAGGCGTGGTATATCTAAGCCCTAGATTATCTTTCAAGCTATCTCGGTATGCGGGCATGCACGGACACCAGGCCTCTATGTTGCAGCACTTGATATGGAACTTATATGAAGAAGTAGTTTGGAAAGGTCAGAACGCGGGGGAAACATGGACATCATCGATCATTGATGGCGCTAGGCCGGAAGGAGGCCGCGTCTTGCCCAGAGCGGTTTAGCGGCCTCTGTCAGCCTCGATCCGCCACCCTCTCTGCAACTGTTGGCAACTGATGTCTGCCTGCACACTACTTTTCTTTTGCACTCCAACAACCACCTCCATATCATTTACGGCCTCTCGCTGGCAGCAATCGATATCGACTTACCTTTCATACGCACCCGTTCATTCACACCCAAAATGTCCGAAAGCCCCGTTTCCTCGTCCGGTGGTGACTCCAAATCCAACACCGATCAAATTCACTTCAAGTTTTGTCGCGAATGGTACGTCTATCCCTCTGTTTGATACAAAGTGTTCTTTGTATTCTTTATTTTTTGTTTTTTTGTTTCTTATTCTAGGATACTGGCTAACGATGCGTTGCTTCCCAGCTCCAACCTGCTCTACCCGAAAGAAGATCGTGTGCAGAATCGACTCATGTTTACCTGCCGTACCTGCCATGTCGCGGAACCCGCCACGTCTGCTTGCGTTTACCAGAATAAACTCAACCTCCAGGTTGGCGATACCGCCGGAGTCACCCAGGATGTGGGATCCGATCCAACGGTTGGTATCCCAGAGTTCTGTCTGCATTGCGGCGAAGAGCTAGCCTGTTCCAAGTGTGGAATTATGTCGTCTGGCAGTTGTGCCGATGACAGTCTGCAGGATGAAATCGAAGAACTTGATTTTTTCTCAATGACATGACTGCTTCTTTAGCCGTCGCTGAATGAACACTTGATGGCTAACTCTGATTGTTCTTTATTAGCTCCCGCGATCGAACAAGCTATGTCCGAGCTGCGGCGAGAACGAGGCCGTTTTCTTCCAGAGTCAACAGCGTTCAGCTGAGACGGGAATGGTATGCTCACTCCTTGCCTGTTGGAAATGGCCGAAAGGGAGTATTCGCTCACTAAAGCTACTAGAAACTCTACTACGTTTGCTGCACTTGCGGCAACGTCTTTTCGTGATTTTATGAGCATCTCTCGACTTTTCGACAATCGATACCCAAACTTTCTGTATATATTCTGTTATGTCTGGCGTCCGGTCCTCCTGCATTGGTGTATTTGGATATTTTGTGTTTGATAAGAAACTCGTGGTTCTTGGGGTATAGGTTTTAAATAGCCGCAAAGAGATGATTCTATCTTGTCCTTAGTATTCCATTATATTGTACATAAAGTTACAGGTTCATTGGTGCTAGTGATAAAATTTTCGACCACTGTTTTCCGCGCAGTTCTGCTCCGACAATACCTAAAATTGTATGTTAGTTACCATAAGACGCATGTAGACGATGTACGACGAACCATTCAACCGGGTGCCGATTGGATCGCCTGACTTATTGATGAGGACGCAGGCGTTGTCATCGAACTTGACTAGACTTCCATCCGGGCGCTGGATTTCCTTACGCACACGAACAACGACGGCATGGCGAATGTCACCGCGGCGGACCTTGTTCGCGATACCGCTGTTTGTGGAGTTTTCTGGGCCGAAATTCCGTTGCTTCTGCACGACGACAACAATGCGATCACCTGCAAAATATGATTTGTTAATGCAATTGAACGATAACGGGTACATGTTCGAGTACACACCGATCGTCGCCGGCCGTTTCTTCTTCAAGACATTGACGCATTCAACAACGGCGGCGCCCGAGTTGTCGATGCAATTAAGCATCGTCTGATAGAGAATGTCAGATAGAGACTGGCGCGGCCGTCTGCAAGAACGCCTACCTTGAGTTGAATCATCGTGTGTGCATAGTGTGGACTTGTACAGCTCTATGATATCGGGAGGACTTATTGATTGATTGTTCTCGCTGGCTTCGGATTTGCTCTGCGGCCGGAATGGAGTTTCACCGATGCCGACCCCGGATTAAAATACGCACTACATACAGTCCGTGACGGTAATTAACGTCGTGTATTCCTCCATCCCGCATAAACACTCAACATTGGACGACCAACTAGACTGCCGGGATCAACTCAGAGCGACATGCAGGGTTGGACACCAGTGCAGTCTAACGCGCTCTCTGACCTGGTTTTCTTGAAATAAGTCTCCGTGGCTACGCATAGCCTCAATACACCGGCAGTACCGCTGCAGTAGGCCGTAAGAATCCACTGGGCGGCTGCGTCACAGCTGGAAACCCAAGGCTGTCATTCGGCAATGCCTCTCCTCCGAGTCATCCCTGGCTGCAGTCCTTATGCCCCCTCATAGTTGGTTGCTGAGCACATACTCCCCGGCCAAATTCCAGCCACGGTTACGCCGCTTGCTCCTATACCAGCGCCTTGCCCTGTGCTGTGTGGCTCTCGCGCATCTCCGGGGTCCGTCCCATCCAAGTGCCGCCGTCAACCCCAGCCACCATTTCCCGCGCCCGTCCTACTATCATATTGTTATTGCTATCGTGTCGTTTGTGTTGGCTGCGCCTTCACTCCTCATGCCAATCTGTCTTTTTACCGCCATGCTGAGACTTGATCTTCTTGCGCATTAACTATCCCATCCATTCATTGCACAGTCCCTCTTTAGCATTCAACCCCTTCCGCGTCCTATCGCTCCTTTGGATACCGGTGTTGGCAGCATAACTCCTATCTTTTGGGCCTACTAGGATCGCAAAACACACTTATTTCATATTATAGGCGGCAATCTCCCGGCTATACGGCGCCTCGCTAATCATGCCTTCGCCAAAGCCCAGGTCAAGTCCTTCGGCTGATCAGCGAGAGCGCCTAACGTTGGCCAAATTGGCAAGTTATGACGATATTGCAACAGACGCTCTCATTGATCGAGTAAGTCATATGCGCTATGTACTAACTAGCATTCGACTGTACTGAGACTCAATTCCAGGCCTTCTTTTGGACTACAATTCGTAAGAACCGGACCAAATTCGCCCCGGCCAGAGGCATACATGAAGATGACATTGCCAGCGTGCTTCTACGTAAGGTTATCATTGACAAGGACCCCCGCGCCGCCGAGAAAGAATTCCTCTCAATGTCTGGGTTGAATAAATATCTGCAGCGCCTACCCAATGACCGCGAACGCGAGTGGTTCAAGCGTCACCTCCGCAAGTACATTAATATTTATCTTCCAGAGTGTCCCTTCGAAATATCTACTACGAATCGGTACACCATTACGGAACAAGAAGCCACTGTCGTTGCACGAAGGGATATTAAAAGAGGACAAGAGATTAAATACCTGTGCGGAACTCTCGTTTCCATGACTCGTCAAGAAGAACTTGACTTGGACCTCAATCGCAAAGATTTCAGTATTGTGATGTCGAGCCGAAGGAAAAGTCCATCCTTGTTTCTGGGACCCGCCCGCTTTGCTAATCACGACTGCGACGCAAATGGTCGGCTGGCGACAAGAGGATCTGACGGTATGCAAGTTGTTGCCGTTCGCGACATTGACGCAGGCGAGGAGATCACTGTTTCATACGGCGAAGACTACTTTGGTATTGATAATTGCGAATGTCTGTGTGAGAGTTGTGAGCGCGCGATTCGTAACGGCTGGTCACTATCAATATCCGCACCAGGAAGCCAAACTTCGACACCTGTACGGGATGAAGGAGAACTTGCAACACTGCGTTCTAGCCAATCTTCACAATCACGGAAACGAAAGGCTGAAACAGATTTTGACTCTGATTCATCTACTTGCTCGACCCCTCGCGATTTAAGGCTGCGAAACGAGATGTCCCTGGCGGAAACAACAATTACGACTTCTTCGAAGAAACGAAAATTCGATGGATATGGTGACAACCCAAGTCCTACTACGCCTGGCAAACGTGGCCGGTTTGAACGGCAGTTGTCTAAGCTCAGAGACGAGATTTTACTGCCCGAAATACCCGAGCCCGTCAAAACGCCGTCCTTTTTGGCCCAGGTAGATGAGAATTTATCTAATTTAGAACATAGAGGGCATCAACCAGGGAGTCAGAATACAAATTCATATGTGGAAAACGGTACAAACATTGTCACCGATCAGGATTCACCTCGGTCTTCGTCAGATGAGAGTCAACAGTCCGAATCTACAGCTGCGACATCAATATCTGACGTTGACCGCATCGTCAAGCTTGAATCTGTTGGGAGTGATATTGAAATACCACCCCTTGTTACCCGAGCCCAGAAATCTCCAGACACCGACAAAACGAGCCATTCAAATAACCAGAGCAACAAAGCCTTGAATCTGTCAAAAATCGCCGACACGAAGGCTGACTCCAAACAAACAGTCGGCAGCAAATCACCGCTGCCTTCTGTCGAGGACGAAATCTTGACTCCGGGCATTCGGTCCCCAGGCGACTATACCAAAACCGCGAAACTCCTCGCGCAGCGTTACGACCGGTGGGTTGACTGCCAAACCTGTCCATGCTGGTTCTTGCAACAAAACGCCTATCAGACACGCAAGGAATGTCCACGATGCGAGCGCCATTCCAAGCTTTACGGTTTCCGCTGGCCAAAAACTGACCCTGAAGGTTCTAGTGACGACGAAGAGCGTGTGATGGATCATCGAACTGTTCATCGATTCCTGAGCACCGAAGAAGAGTTAAAAGTTGACCGTAAAACAAGGGGCATCAGCTTCGGGGTTACTCCCACTCCTGAACCGTCGTCGGATGCCCGAAGCGAAACGGAATTCAGTGATACCGAGGCACGCCGCCGCACGCGCGCTAGTCGTCGGTATTTGAACTCTCTCCGTCTGGTCAAATAACTCGCCCCCCTTTACAAAGCATATGTATTGTTTTTTAGCATATTTTTACGTCGCTTGTGCATAACTTGAGAGCAAATGGGGTTGGGGTGTATGCCTAAGTCTCGACGATATTTTCCACCTGTTTTACCACGATTCCACCCAAGTTCCATACCCAGCACAGTTCACGGGTATGATATGAATTTTCCATCCCGATTGTTGATTTCTTATATTCTCTTTTCTAGCATGGTTGGAGTACATGGACATACATGTCTGTTGATTCTTTTCCCTCATAGGCCTTTTGTAACGTACATCACTTGTGGATTCTCGTTTGGTTGTGTCTAGTTTTATTGGCATTTGTATACTATGGATATGATTGGGATTATCTAGGGAATATTATCTAGTTTTCTGTTATTCGAATCCAACTTGGTTGTATTTCAATTCATTCCTTTTAGTTTAGTCAGGGAAACCAACCCGCGATAGTTAGCGTTGCTTTTCTTTTCGTACAATTCCAGAATATAAGCCTAACCTCTCCGAGCCCTTAATAAAAATGCAGATCATATTGATTAACTTATAAACCATCTTTTAAGTGATGGTTGGAATAATTGTCAGAATTATGGTATCAATCTCAGTCTCGGTTGACGTGAGAGAGGTAGTCGACGCGGCAGTGACATCCTGAGTCACATCCTGTGTCGTGGTTACCGTTGCCATAGCTGTGCTGTCTACTGTAGTCACGGAGGTGACATCAGCAGTGACATCTACCGTAACATCTACCGTCAATGCTGTGGTCTGGTCCTCTGTCACGATAACCGTGTGGTCGGCTCAGTAATAATGGCTGTGCTTAATGCTGTGACGAAGGATGTTGTCTGGATTGTAGTACTGTCCGTAACATCCACAGCGGCAGTGGCGGACTCATCAATCGTAGCGAGGGTTGTAGTAAAATCGGTGACGCTCGCGGGTTAAGCTTGCCGACGGAGATTTCCTTTTAGGAATAATTGATGACTTGGATAGATGCAAAGAGGCGACTGACGAATGGAATCGTTCGGAAGCGGCGAATTATGCAATGGTTGCCCCACTAGGCTCTCCTTTAGTGACGCGACTCTAGTCAGGGCAACCCTAACCCTAACTCACTCATCTGAGCGATTGTTGTATTTTAATTCATTCCATTTCGATGGCTTTATTTAAATTTGGGGCATTTCTTACTCTTCCTGGTGGACGTTCCGATAATTATTTGTGGAAAACGATATTTGAAATCTCGACCTTTGACTACATATGCTAGCACGAATGAGTATCGAAGGCTTGGTGCTATTGGCCAATCTATAAATAAGATCTTTGGATGATGTACTCACGAGACGGCGATAGTCAACATAAAACAACAGCAGCTATGGCGGTTAAAACGAGGCAAATATACAGGATATTCTAATAGACGATAACTACTGCATCTCAGGGGTCGAGGCAAATATAGTCCTCACTTGATCGCCGTCTACACTTCCTCGCATTTTTCACACTGATCATTCCGTCAAATCGTGACGATGGAGAATTTGGTTACCGGTACTATATCTTGCCCGACTACCAGACATCATTTGTCTGGTACGAACCAGGCTGGGCTAGAAACCCAGACGGAGAGGATATCGTGGCGCAAGACGTGCTTGAAGAGCGGTACTCGGCCCTGTAGTGTACTGCGCTAGAGCAGTGGGTGAGAAAGTACACTGTCGCCTTTGAGTCTCAAAAATGCCATTTTGGGAGCAGGCAGGACCAGTTTCCGGATCTGGAAGAGTGGAAGGCTTGGGTATTGGAAGGTATGTTGCTTGCGTGCTGGTTAGCATTGCAAGTAGGTGTAACGATAGTTGGGTTTGATGTAGAGTTAGATAGATATCTTTTGAAGAAAGGAGGAGTGGGGGGAGCCTTGGGGAAGTTATTGGAATATTCAGTTTGACCTCGGAATAGGAAGTTGTAATTGACATAATTTAGTATGAGATTTGAAATGTATCAGAATTTAGGGGTATGTTATAGCTAGATATGTTAGGAGTTTATATTTTCAATTAGTAATGGTTATATATATAAATTCTTTTAGGAATATGTTTTTATTATATGTTATTCTCCTTAATAGGCTAATTTCAAGGTCGATGTTCAAAACTGCCCTGCAAATCACCATATTGCCCAGAAGCAGAATAAAGTTCGCCTATAAATAGCGGATCTAATGGCGGATCTGATGACAGATCCCAGGCGACATCACCATAGAACTCGTCCATATTCCATAAATCCCCAAAGGAATTCTCAAAATCGAAAAAGTCTAGATTTGTCTCCACCAAACTTGACTCTTGGCTTTGGCTCTGTGTGTCATGCAGGAAGCGAATCACCTCGCTGCTTCGCACAGCTCCGGGACTCCAAGGTGCCATTTCGGTGAGTAAATCCAATGAACGCCTGATTTGCTCATCCCATACTGGCCGAGCAGTGTGGTCTGGTTCAGAGAGTACGCTGAGAACAAGGACGAGACATGCTTGGAACAAGTACCAGACACTGTTCCATGCCGAAATTTGATTTGGAAACCAGTCCCTAGAGATTGTTTCAATAGTCTCAATAGCTAGCGAGCGACATCTAGTTACGAAGAGATCATGACTGTGATGAGACTCTGCTTGAGAGTGACGCTGGAGAGCTCGTATCAGAACAAGAGGGCGGTATAACGTCATTTGCAATGTGAGATATCGGCATCGGAGAAGACCCCGTGCAGCGCGAAGCGAAGGTGGACACTGGTCAATATTTTCAAGAAATATACTTGGCAGAGACGAGTACCAGCGGACAAGTTCCGCATCCAGCTCCTCAATTTCTGATATAGCAATGGTTGAAGTCTGCACCAGACGATCTTGAATTCGAGTCGCAACTCCGCAGAACACTTCATTGGCGTAAAGTGATACATTCAAATACTCCTGTGGTCCTGTCTGTGAGAAGCTTTTCCGTCAGCAGGCTAACGAACTTAGTATTCCCAAGTCAACATACCACGGGCCATTGCAACTGATCACGTATAGTACTGATTGACACTGGCGTCCCGCGTCCGAGACTTGGCCGACCAAGGGTTGTAGAGGCCCACGTATCCAAGCAGAAGAGCGACCACCATGTCCTCACTCGCGTATCAACTATATACTTAGAATCTGATGCATCATGGTCGGGTCTGTGTGCAAGAGACTCTACGCGATGGAGCCCAATGGCCGTAGCCATTCTCATTGTGGCCCCGAGGATAGCGTTTGCCATGTTTGGACGATTCCGATAATGTAAATAGTACCCTCCGAGCAATGCTAACGCCTGAATCGTATAGAGATGGCCCGAGCCTAAGCAGCGCAGGTTCAAGTAATCCGCTGCGCGCCTATAGTAGAAATTGTGGCCATCATGATCGGCTGACGTACTAGCAATGTACCCCATCGCAAGAACCATATTTAACAAGGATAACCAGGGACCTCTATCGCGAACCGGCTGATCATCTTGGGCAAAACGCTTTCGGAAATCTGCCTCATCTATCATTGGAGTGATCCCATGGACGAATGTAAAATATGCATCAATAAGGTGAAGTTCATGTGCCTTTGTGACTGGTTGTGCCTGCAATAATGGAAGCCGAATGGGATGTCCATCTTTTACTTTATCAACGATCTCTGGCTGCTGCTGCTTGCCCTTGGATATCGCATTTGCATCTCGGATTCGTGGAGAAACAATTGTAATCACCCGCAGGATTGTGCGGACCGATGACAACCCTAGATACGAGGATGCGGAATCATCGAGGGGAAGTGACAGACAATTGACGTCGTCAGCAACTCGCTGGCTGGGGACCTCCTCATCGGACGCCTCTTCCCAGGTAAAGTCTTGTTCGGGCGACGGCTCGAGACAATCTAGATCAACGCTGAGCGTGTGCAATTTTTTGTCGACCACAGACTGGGAGGATTGCGATGTCTTTAAAACCAGACCGACAAGCTCATCACGAGACAGGCCCACTAGAGCCTCCAACGGAACCGAGGGGAACAGCTTGTTAATCACTTCCTGCACTGTTCGATGGGCATTTGTGACCTCGGTCAGCTCTCTGCGTTTCCGCTGTCAGCAGATATAACTTGAGAGTCAGGCATTTGCCATTCGAACTCACCTTACCGATGCGGGATGTCGCGGTCTACGAAGAGGGTAATGGCATAAATCTGCCACCTCATACCACTCGCACTGACGACAAGGGATGGCGTCCCCATCGCAGCGTATTCTACGACGGCGGCATTCGGCGCAAGATCGTGTAGAATGTCTCCGGCTACGCGAGCTTTGCTGGGCGGTTTTCTGGGCACTTTGCATTGGAAGAATACATAAAAATATAAATAAATGAAACACGTGATTTCCGAAGCTGTAATGAACCAATCTATTTAGAAAGGTCAAGTTTTCTCCATCTTTTGGAAAGCGGAGGATTGAGTTATTACACAACCTAGAGTGCCTGAGGCTGCACTGCTTAGCGCTTGTTTACCCCAGATGTCTTTCCTCTTCGCCTACCACTATTATTACTTGGTACTATATGCTAGGTTTCGCCTTAGTATGTTAGGCAAATTCAATGTCCGTTGCCGATTACTTATATTTACTTGAAACAATACGGAGTCTCTCCGTACTCTAAATGGCACGGAACCCTTGCCGGGTACAATCTGTGTTTACGCTACCCCAGAAAAAGGGTTTAAGAGTCTTGTCAGATAATTTCATTCAAATCAACAGTATCCACTGTCCACTAGCAGACCCACTGGTGACGAATTTGATTCCACACGACTCGCCTTAACAGTGTTGGTGCCAAAAGGAAGATTCGGTATGGAGGTGAGAAACTCAAGTCACCAAATGACGGAAAGAATGGAAATGGTTCTTCCCTAGACTCTTCTCAAGCGGCAAGTTTGCGTGTACTGGCCTTTCTTGGATTCTTCGCTTCAAATACCTCATCGAGCTCCTCCAGAGTACGACCTACAGTTGTAGTTAGTCAGAAAATATCTTCCTCGGAGGCCCCAATGAATCTACTGTTGCGGTACCTTTAGTCTCGACGAAGAAAAGATAGATGAAGGCTGCTTCGAAAAGGTCCCACAAAACAAAAAATACGTAACTGTGCGATAAAGCTGTCGGTATTACAGACTTTCCAGGGGACCATGCTTAACTCACAACCAGTATCCAATATTTTGTAGAGCGACAGGCGCGGCAAATGTGTTGACGAAGCTGGAGCAACCTAATGAAGATAGTCAGCGGATGAGAGAATGATTTAGAAATTTTGAAATAAGAAATACAGACCAGCAGTGATCTGGAATATCATCATTCCGTTGGCTCGAACGTTGTCTATGTTCTTTGTTAGCTCGGAATCCGCACTTCAATGTTATACAGCGCGTGACGCAAACTGACTTGAAAGCACTTCGGCTGGATATATTGGCTGCATGGGCGTGTACGAGAAAGCAAAAACGACGCCAAAAATATAAATGAAGGCAATTGAGGCCGAGCTGGACGGCACGCTCCCCGAATGAACATATTCAGCTGCAGTACTGGCACTGCTCGAAATCGGTATTAGTATTGGACGAGTGGCATCTACTAGGAATTGATGGTAGTATTGTTGCTCACACTATTGCAAGACTGATGGCCATGCCAATGCAAGATCCGAGCAGCATTTTGCGTCGGCCCCAGACGTCATGGAAATGTGCTTCAGATCGTCATCAGTCACGGATCAATGATTTTTCTTGAGAAGAGTGGGAGAAGGAAAATACCTCCAGCGGTTGCTGAAATCCAGCCAGTAACTGCATATATTGCGTTTAGCAACAAAACCGTATTTGTGTTGGTGATTCCAACATTCTTCACAAGAAGCGGCAGATAGTACGAAGCAATATTGTTTCCAGAGAATTGACCAAACCATGCCATCGCCACCACAAGCATAAGTCGATAACGGGATGACCGCTTCTTGACGAGCGTCCTGAGGTCGAAATAATCCCGGGCTGATCGTATGCCGCCTTCTTCAAGCGAATCCTGGATTTCGCGCATTTCGATGTCCACGATCGGGTGTCCCACATCCCCATTTGCGTGATACTTAACAATGAATGCCTTCGCCTCGTCAATGCGGCCCTTTGCTACAAGCCATCGCGGGCTTTCTGGCAGAAACCAACCTCCAAGAACGACAATTCCTGGGCAAAGCATCTGAAGCCATAGTGGAAGGCGCCATTTCAGATTGCCCGTGACATGTAAATTGCACCCGTAGATCGCTATATATAATAAAATGTGAGCAATGAAAGAATTAATGAGAGGAATTTGAAGCTAACCGAAAGTTGCAATAATTGAGCTGTTCAAAAATATCAGCAAGAGGACTTTTACTGCTAATGGGTGCGGACACATACCCCATATAATATAACGTATTGTATGTCCCTGCAACAGTTCCTCTATACAAAGGTGGAGCAATTTCTACAAGGAGTAGAGGCGCCGCAACGCATGCTATTGTAGAGAAGAAACTCAACATGAACCGGGCACCAATGAATGCTGGAAGCGTTGGAGCTAGAGCAGTGAAAACCGCCCCTGCACAAACGCCCACACAGCTAAATACAATACACGGTTTTCTCCCTCTCCAGTCACAAATCCACACGAACAGAGATGCGATCATCTGAGCAATCTGAAAGATCGAGAAGACAAGGCCAGTAGAAGCACTGGCCTGCTCTTGGTGGTAATAGTTCAAATACTCCGGAAGACTGTTGATTGAGCCCTGTTTCGCTCGGTTAGGGAGCCATAAAGAGTATCAGACCTTTTCACGTACCATGAGTGAGCCATCATATCCTTCATGTGACATTAGCTTCGATCGCCGAAAGGCACTTGAAGTTGAAATCTTACCGTTCATTGTAGAGCACAAGTAGACCAAAGCGCAAAGAGCATAGAGTTGAAGATGGCCTCTGCCTAAAGGATTCGGCGCACCTCCTCTTTCCTGTAATGCCAGGGCAATGGTCGTTGGCTCTGATGTAGCTTGCACATTTTCATGAATTTCAGCTACACCAGTACCTAGAGAATCCCCAGACTGCCTTTTCTCCTCCATTTTAAAAATAAATTGAAAGACTGGCGAACAGCTTGTATGAAATAAGAATGAGACTCGAAATAAGAAAAGTGATCACCCCATCTTTTGGTGGTCTGATAGTGCGTTTTTATACTCCCGAAATATACTACATGACCAGCCGGTTTGGCTTTCATCCTCACTGTTTGAGTTTTTTATTTCCCGTACCAGCGCCTCGTGAAGATGTCTAACTCAGGTGAAAGTAAGTCCAGCTAATTAACCTTCAGGTCCAACAAGACGGACCAACCCCGCGTATTGAATAACGCTGTCCCCACCGTGGGGAATAGAATCTGGAGAAAGCTCGACATTAGACTATCGACTAGCACGGAGATACATAACATCGCTGATGCTCCACCCGACATTTTTAGTGGCGTTCCCCCGCCATACTAACACGATCTTATGATACTCCGTGCTAGACACCTCAGTGGTCATGTTTGCGAATTGAGATCAACCCCCTCCAAGATAATTCTGAATTGCCCCCAGCTAAAGGCCTGAATCTGCTAGTTACCGGCATGGTGACCGCATGCTTTATAAACCGGCTGGATTGTCCGGGAAGGACATGCGTGGGGTGCATCGATTGTTTCTCGTTGTTCTTCAAAACCCATCCTGGCTAGTGTCACTCTTCAAATTGCAAGCGGACCTAAGAAGATGGCCCCCGTTACGGAAATCAGATACCTTTCGTCTGGCTGGCGTTTTAAACGAAGCGATGAGAACGACTCATCTTGGGCACCAGTGGCTTCTGTTCCAACAGTCGTACATCTTGATTTAATGAGAAATGGACGGTGAGCACTTCAAAGTACTTTGACAGACTGAATAATTTGCAGATCTGTCCCCGATTTTGTGACGGTTAATCTGACTACTCTAGGATCGATGACCCATTTCTTGATATGAAAGAAGTGGATGTCGAATGGGTGGGAGAGCACGCGTGGACATATTCCACCACTTTCCCTACACCTCACCTGCTTGAGGGATCGAAGTGCTATCTTATTTTCGAGGGCTTGGATACATTCGCTGTCGTCACGCTCAATGGAGCAACAATTCTTGAGAGTGATAACATGTTCCTCAGCCACCGCGTTGATATCAGCACTGCTGTGAAGCTCCACGGTGAGAATATCTTGACAATGAATTTCGACAGCGCACTTCTTCGTGGAAGATCGATTGAAAAAGAGAATCCTGAATATCGGTTTATCGCACACAATGGCGAAACTGGAAGACTGGGTGTTAGAAAAGCCCAATATCACTGGGTAAGCCAAGAACCTAGATTCACTAGACCAAGCATGGTGCATTCTCCTAGATGCTCGTGGCCTAACAATCAGACTTAGGGTTGGGATTGGGGGCCTGTCTTGATGACCTGCGGTCCATGGAGGCCAGTACGGCTTGAAATTTCCCAGGCTTATGTGGAGCAGTTGAGGATTGATTACGACTTGGACGAAAGCCTATCCTCCTTGAAAGGCAAAGTCAACGCCGTGATCAACGGGCAAATTGACGGGGTAAATCTTGTATTATCGATTGGTGGAGAGGGGGTTTTTCGTAAATCTTCCTCCATTGATTCATCAGACGCGGTAGTGGAATTCAAATTGGGTAAGTACATGTATTTAAGTAACACCCGTTTAGGCCATTATGCGTATCCAATGCTGACGATGTATAAGACCAACCCGGTCTGTGGTATCCCCACGGCTATGGTGAACAAAATTTGTATGATGTGTCGCTTGAGCTTGTCAAAGAAGGCACAATAATACATCGTGAACAGCGCCGAGTGGGATTTCGCAAAGTAGAGCTCGTGAGAGATGACGATCAATACGGACAATCATTCTACTTTAAGATCAACAACGTCGATATTTTCTGTGGTGGGAGCTGCTGGATTCCAGCGGACAATTTCCTTCCACGACTCACGCCAGAGAAATACAGAAAATGGTTGCAGACTATGATAGAGGGCAATCAGATAATGACTCGGTAAAGAATTCGTGTAATGAAGAGGATATTCAAACTAACCAAATATCTCAAATAGAGTCTGGGGAGGTGGTATCTACGAAGATGATGCGTTCTACGACTCTTGCGACGAACTCGGAATTCTTGTCTGGCAAGATTTCATGTTTGGGTGAGTATTCTCCTCCAGAAGAAATGCTCGGAACGTTGAGGTGCTGAGGGTATGATCCATGCAGATGCGGTAGTTATCCTACTTGGCCTGATCTTCTTGATTCTATTCGTCGTGAAGCAACACAAAATATTCGTCGTCTAAGACACCATGCTTCAATTGCTATTTACGCCGGAAACAATGAAGACTATCAAATCCAAGAAAAGTACTGCCTTGACTATGACTATCAGAACAAGGACACGGATTCGTGGCTTCGTGGGACCTTCCCAGCACGATTTATTTATGAGCATCTGCTTCCCACTCTGTGTAATGAGGAACATCCATCCGTTCCATATTGGCCGAGCTCCCCATTCTCCAATGGGAAACATACCTCTGACTTGACATGTGGCGACGTCCACCAGTGGAATGGTCAGTATTCTCTTTGACAAGAAATTTCCCAGTTGTGGTCGCTGACTATATTCAGTCTGGCATGGTACTCAAGAAAAATATCAAAAGTTCCCAGATATAGGTGGACGATTCAACAGCGAATTCGGCTTAGCCTGTCATCCCAACTTACAGACAATTAAGCATTTTGTCACAGAGACTTCAGAGATGTTTCCACAGTCTCGTACTCTCGATTTCCACAACAAGGCTGACGGCCATGAGCGAAGAATCGCCACATATATTGTCGAAAACTTTCGACTCGAATCTTCCCTTGAGGTACACGGACACCGCCAGTGTATATTCTGCGTGACAAGAAGACATGGTTAATAGTGACACTAGGGGTATATCTATCTGACCCAACTGGCTCAGGCAGAAGCTTTAGCCTTCGCTTATCGAGGCTGGCGTCGCCAATGGGGTGAGAAAAGGCGCTGTGGAGGTGCACTCGTTTGGCAAATAAATGATTGCTGGCCATCGTCTTCATGGGCGATTGTTGACTACTTTTACCGCAAAAAACCTGGTTTCTATGCCGTCAAGAGAGCCCTTGAGCCATTGACTGTTTCTGTACAGCGTGAACACACAGATTGGAGTGTATGCCACGCAAGAGCACCAAAAAGCTCCTCTTATAAAGTCTGGGTTGCCAATAGCAAAACTGTCGATGTCATAAGTGATGTCGAATTGCGTTTTATATCCATCGAGTCAGGCCAAGATATCAAGGAACCGCTTATCAGAAAAAACTGCAGTATCACTGCAAATGGGACTACAGATATACTAGACGGCATCATATCCAATGCAGAAGAGCCGCCACATGTTCTTGCGGCGCGCCTCATTCAGAATGGGACTGTAACGTCCCGAGACGTCGACTGGCCGCAGCCATTTAAATACTTCTCGTTCAAGGATCGTGCCGTTCAAATTGAGGCAAGGAACGACTCTTTTCTTGTGTCTGCGTCGAAGCCGACCAAATGCCTTGTGATAGAGGAACAGGATGATATAACACTCAGCGATAATGGCATCGACTTGGTCCCAGGCGAAACACAGATCATCCGGGCAACGGGATCAGGCAAGCTAGCGGCGAATCCCCGTTACCGTTACTTAGGGTTTGAATAGCTATGTCTCTTACTCAACAACATTACCGGAAACCAATAGATGACGTTTGTTGAACTTTTCATTGAAGATTGTCAAGCGCCCCCTCCCCACTCTCAGGCAAACGCCCATGGATATCAATTCAGATAGTGTAGCTAGTCTTTGAATATATGAATATTCTCGTACTCTAGTCTCCACAAAGACAATCGAGGAAGGTATCATGTCTTACGTTCTTCGTCTCCATATCTAAATCACACAGATCATTCATGCTTTAACAATCTTCCCCGTAAAAAGGTAGATAACTGATATTTGCGTGACTTTTCTCTCTTGCTTACTTAATTATTCTTCTTTTTCCTCTCCGAAAATATTTTTCAAAGTCTGATCACAGAACTCCGAGTCTTTGAATGAGATTCTGACTTGAATACTGGAGTTGCCAGAACTGAATTTTTCTATCATACGACATCGATGGTGATTAAAATGACCACAAAGCGTCTTAATGATTGATATTGAAACCAGATTAGTAAGTGCCGAATTCATATTGAGCCTTATAAACATTGTCCTTGATTGTATTGTAGATGTAATCATCTAATTAGAGCACAATATTCGAATTTTACCATTCTCATTCCAATACAACCAGTAATTTCCTAACTGAAGCCTCTGGATGATCTCAGCTCGCTCCATTGGCAGGTTTGGTACTCTAATTTGCAATATTATTCCAGAATGATCGCACAGTCACTTTCTGCGCCCAAGCATCATCCGGTATTTCAGCTCCCTCGAGTAATGTATATGTGAATTCTCGCTCTTCTCCTTTTGCCATAAACACTGCATTATCGCTGAAATATCCCGCCAAACCAGCCTGGAGCTTCTGTTCGTTTGATATATTGGGATCTGTCAGCCAGACATACGCAGCTACGCCTTTCGTTGCTCGGACTCTCCAAGTCAATTGTCCTGTGTATTGTATTTCGAGACCAGGATCAACAATCGTGGCGTTGCTCAAGTAGCGCGGAACCCAGAAATTCTCACTGGTAAATGTCTTTAACGTGGACTGTGATGTCGCATTCAGTTTGAGCAATAGAATACTAGTAGTATTTGTGCCTTTCGCGGGTAGAATAGATCTCCAACCTGTGAGTTGAACGACGCTCTTGCTATCAAGCGCATTCAGAGCAAATCGGTATGTAGAGGAGGCCAATTTCTCGCCAGACCATTGATACCACGTCGCTATCACTTCGCCGGTAACAGGTTCCCAGGCGTCAGAAGCAACCCAAATATTGAATGTGTCGTTCAGAGGCTCGAACCAACTACTCACGATGACTGGCTCGTATGTTTGCTTGGCCACATGTTGAAGGACTTTCCATCTACCGGTATACTCTATTGCAGAAAGCTGCAATGTCGTCCATGGAGCATTCAACTGCCAAAAGAGTTGTCCCAGGTTGTTTTCCTCTTGACCAATGCCACGTCCTATGTAGATCAGACCTGTTTAGATACAGTGCATGAGCAGGACTCTAGTTACTCACGATATGATTCAATCTGGTGTTTCATTATTTCAGCCTGATATACCTGACTCGTCCACGAAAATTGGTCGAATTGCTTGATCGGATCTGTTAAGTTGGGATAAATATAGTAACGCTGGATACCCCCTAGTAGATCGGCGTATGTAGCTTGAAAATGGGTCAGTGACGTCTCCCTTTACTCTTTAAGAAACTGTGAAGGCCAGACGTCAAGATTACAGGGTTAACAATAGATGCGACACTCACTTGATCCTCCATCGTAGCATCGGGCCATAAGGCCGGATCCATTAGGTCGGATCTCACTGTCCGGAAGAATAGTGCGATAGCCTTCCAGAGAATCATAACTCCTATGACATGCGTTAAATAATGCTCGACCGAGAAGTAAGCTAGTTTGGTATGAGTATAAGGCTTACAAAGCGCCAAATTCCACCGCAAAACGAGTCGCAGGAATCTGAGAATTATTGAACAAGGAGCCATCTTGCCATTTGAGATTATAATTCTCAGCAGGCCCATAATATGGGCTGTTGTTTCCATATCGAGGTATCCAAACGCCGGTTTCAGGGTTGTAGGAGATGTAACCTAGCGAAGAGCTTGACTGCAGCCATGACAGCGAGCGGGTATTTTGATAAACAAGAGGCCAAATGGTCTCTCCTTCAAGTATGGTGAAGTTGCTAAACCATGATTGTCCGTAGGTGGCGTTGTCTTTCAAGGCGTTTTCGACGTATCCGTCAAGTTCATTCCCACCGCACCATACTGCGAGTGCGGGATGTCGATTGAGGCGACGCATTTGATAGACAACTTCGTGGCGAACATTGTCTAAAAACTCTGAAAACACCGGATAATAATTATCACTGAATTCAAATTCCGACCACAGCAGCAAGCCCACTTTCACCAGCTTTGTTAGTAACCGTGATGCAAATCACGCAATAACTCATTCTAAAATAAACTTACTCTCGTCAGCTGCGTCGTAAAATTCATCGGCATAATAGTTGCCCGAAGACCAAACTCGAAGGAGGTTCATGTTAGCACCGAGGGACGATTGAAATAATCTCCGAATCTGTTCAGTATTGACCCTGGGCTCGAATGGATCGAGAGGTACCAGGTTGCTTCCTGGATGTCATTTTCATTAGCCATGGAATAGCTTTAGATACTGCTCTCTGCGGTATATAGACCCTGATATTCACCTTTTGCATTGAAAACATGTCCATTAATCTGAAAACTAAAGTGGTTACCCGGCCTATCAGTGTAAGGCGTGAGGTCTAAAACAATGGTGCGAAACCCCGTTTGTTTTGTGTATTTCGCAGCCTTTATAGGCCTTTTCATATTTTTTGGCTCGTTCAAAGGTGTTAGAGAAATGCTCGCATTGTATAAAGTAGGGTTGCCTTGATTTCAATCCAACAGAAATGAGCCAAGCCTTACGCAAATTCCAACACATGTGGAAACTCACCAAAGCTCGCTGGCCACCAGCGTTCGATTGCACCCTCGTTGATGTTGAAACTCAAAGTTATGCTGCTAAATCCTTCATTTACCTTATCATCCGCGTGGCCTTTATGGTCAGCAATATCTACATCCAAGGCAATGGATGTGTTTTCGTTCGCTGAGAGATAATCGACGCTCACGTTAACAACCCAAGAAGCTGACTGATCTGGGATCGTGTTGGGCCTCTGTCCAACTTTGAAGATATCGATAAAGGTGTTGGTCACATATACACCATCATCAAGACCAACCAAATATGCATCCCGATATATCCCTTGAGGTGCAAAATGGGGACCCCAATCCCACCCTGTGATTGTGTTAGATGAGTTCACCTAGATGTATCGTCGAAAATAAATTGAAAATACCAAAATCTGATTGGACCTAGAAAAGTGTTATTTTAAAAGATGTTGAAAACATCGATGGAACAGGATTCGCATACCTTCCGAATATACTCTCGTCCCTCTGGATACATTGTAGCATAGTTTGTGAACTCTGTCCATGGTGAGCCGGTCGACTGGAAGATATCAAACATGTATTGTACCGGGCTGATAATCTCTACCGATAGCTCAATATCACTAGTGGAGGACTTGAACACCGAGGTAACATCAAAACTCCACTGCCGGAATTGATTATTGGCATAGCCAACAGTTTCATTACCAAGTCGAATATTGGCTACAGTATCAATGCCTTCAAAGACGAGATATACCTTCTTGAAGGCAGACCACTTTGTTCCATGGTGTGATTTTGCCGGGAGAGTATATGAAAATGTCCAGTTGTCGAGAGGAACCCAGTTATAGTAATCAACTGAAATGACGCATTGCTCGATAAGTTCTCTATATTCGAAATTACCAACATTTAAAATCTCGAGCAACTTACAATTATCACCACTCAACAGTGATGGCCATCCTGCAGCTTCGAGGTCGGTTTGGATTAGTCCAGGAACGGTGGCGGGAATGTTGACGCTGCCATTGGCATTGCGAACAGACCATTTCCCTCCAATATCTAGGTATTCGGCACCAGAAGAAATGGCAGTAAATTTTGAGGTACACAATGTTGCAGAAAGGCCGATAAGGTATGCAAGATATAGATGTGGAAGCCACATCTTGGGAAAAGTTCAAGAGGTGCCGAACGTTGACAGAAACAAGGAACATTTACTGCAGTGCAAGAATTACATAGCCAGGATGTGGGCAGCCATATAAAGATTCTCATATACTTGCAATCCATATTATTTACAGGCCTTTAACGACCAACTCAAATATCGGAAGTACTCCCGAAAATGGAGAATAAGGACAAAAACGTGGGGGAATAGACTCTCGCGGGAATATGTGATTCCGTCTTAGATTGCTTGGGCCTTGGGGACCCCAGATGACCACACACTAAGAAAGCAAGGCAATAGTGAGAATTGAGAAGTTTCCTGGAGTGCGGGGGGGTGCAAAAATTGGCCCAATTTCCCTTTTCTTCCCTCTTGACATCGTCCACCGAACCCCCCTGAAAGTCAGCTAACCGGGATTTCAAATTCCCGGCGCGTATTTTGAGAAAGAACCAAGACATCTCTTGTTGCCTGAAAACGTCGATGCCCTGGCCTTCCTCGAGTTAGGCGTAAAACGTGCGGTATGCCCCTAACTCACTGCTCCTGCTTTTCTCTCTAAGTATTGCGAGGAGGAGTTGATTGCATTGATATAAAAGTCTTGCAAGTATCCTCTAAGATTTTAGATAGAGTTAATTCTCCTGTGATCTATTGAATATATGTCCTTGAATTAGGAATGCTCGGTTGCCATATTCAACATTGAATGTTGTTCCCCAAGAAAGACCATGCATAACCGATAATGCATCATTCTCACAGCCCCCTGATCATATATTTGGTGGTGTGGATATATGTAAAATGAGTACCTGAGCTTCAAATGTTATTCATGTGGATATGGATAATTTTGGATAGATAGAGAATATTTTGTGAGCGTAGTCAGCTTGCAGAGCACCTAGTCCCGTCAGGCCGTATTCTAAATCATTCCCAAAATATCATGCAACATTGAACTTGAGTGTTCTACCTTTTGCACCATTGACATGTCAAAGGGTGCAGTGCTCTAAACATTAAGCAGCAGCAACTTGGAAGATCGGAAAAGTCATATCAAATATGTGTCAAAATTAATGTACATCTAGTTTACACTGGTTATATAGTACACATGAAAATATCCGAACTCCGCCCATGTATGATGATACTGATACATACGACCACCCGAAAATAAGAAAGAGCTCATCTAAATCAATGCTGTACCACGGTACATGGCTTCGCGCACTTCTCTGACCACGTCCTTGCGATCTTTTCTACCTACAAGGACAATACCGCGGCCGCGCTTACCCATACGCCCAACACGGCCAAGTCTGTGGATAAAGTCGATGGTAGTGTGAGGTACATGATACAAGATGACAGTCCTCACAGCCAACGTGTCAATGCCACGAGAGCCTAGATCCGTAGTAACCATCACTTTAGTCCTGAGCAGCTTGCTCCCGTGTTCTTCTTTAGCCTCGCTAGGTTCCATGACAAATGGAAGTTCCGACTGTTGGACTCGACGTAATCGTTGCTTTTCCATAATGTCTTCTGGGTTTGGTATACGCCGTGGCTCGGTGAAATCTCTGAGAACATCCGCGTTACGTTTTGACGAATCACGGGAAAATGACACGGCGTCGATCCCTCTACTTGCAAGATATCGAGCTACTTCATCTGCCTCCTCCCGTTCATTCACGAACACGAGGATCTTCTTCACTTCTGGATCCATGTATCGAGTGAAAGGACCCATTGTTTCACTTTCACCGGCCTTGCCTAGAGACCAGATAATATCTGCACATGCAATATTCCGATTTCCTCGATATGGGTCCTTGTCGACATCCACCACACCTAGTTGGACTCTGCGTGGAATGGCGTGGAGATTTGGTGTGGCTAGGCGGTGTATGTTGGGGAACTTTTTGCGGAGGAACGAATCGAGACTGCGAGGAATAGTGGCGGAACATAAGATAAGTTGCTTGAGCGACGAGGCAGATTTGTCAATGATCTCCGTGGTAATCGGCGCAAAGGACTTGTCTAACAACGAATCGGCTTCATCGACGACGATATGTTGAACATGACTCAAAACGTATGGATCAGTCTTGGCGATTGACGCCAGAAGATGCGGAGTAGATACGAGTACATCGATTCCAGCTGGGTTGAATACAATGTTTCGAATCTTGCGAGCTGAGTCTGCTGATGTTATTCGACCAGAACGGAATTTCACTGTATGCGCAAATGCTTTGACCTTATCACCAACTTGGGCAACCAGTTCTGATGTTGGAAGCAGAATGATTGCTTTTGGACGGCCAGCTTTCGAAGTGAGGTTTTCAGATAACTCCGGCGGCTCAATGTCAAGAACTTTTTTCTCCGCTTCTTTGGCCTTTGCTGCCTCTTCCCGTTCCTTGGCTTCCTGTTCCGCTATGTCGAGTCGCTTGATAGTGTCGATGACAGGTACAAGATATGCCAATGTTTTCCCACTCCCTGTTTCCGCAGCAAGGAGATATTGATTATATTTTAATTCCACGTCTTCGGGCTTCTTTTGCTTCTTTTTGTTCTGGTCCGGCCCCTTTAATAACGCCGGTATTGCGACTTTCTGGATTGGGGTGGGGGCGATATCAACGAGACCAGGTAGAGCTTGGGTGGATATCGAGTCTTGCACAACAGGTAGAAGATTGAACTGGTCGAAGTTCATGATGCTGGCTATCTTTTCCTTGATCGAAGTACGCTGATGATAGGTCATAGGCGCTAGAGTAGTCTGCATTTTCAACGCTTTGTATAGAGGCGATTCTTCCTTTTCGGGGCCGTTGTCCTCTCGTCCGCGAGATGACCGCTTGATAGCGGCCTTCGACCTGGTTCTCGGCGTGGTATTCAATCGCGCTTCTTTTTGGTTGATGTTCGACCACGGCCCCTTATCATTACGATTCCGTCTCTTCGATTTGAGATCTGTCTTGGCCACGTTGGGAGAGAGAGTCATTCTCGATGGTCTGCGTTGTCGGGAAGACGAAACCCATCGCGAAGTCATAAGCCATGGTGAATGCGGCGTTGGAATTGCTGACAGGAGGGTCGGTCGTCGCAAGAAACTGGCTCCATTCTGGCACAAAAAGCAAGCAGACATGGTTCTGTCCGCCGTCGAGCCAGGGAAGCCTCACAATGCGCAGGCCGTTGGAGCGGTGTTGAATGAACAGAGAACAGCACCGCGTGGAAGTAGATGACGATCTCAAGATGGAGAGACCGACGTCTTTCCCAAAAGAAAAAACCTTGGACGGCAGCAAATCGGTATTAGCGTGCCAAGATGTGTTGCGGAGAATAGTCTGACCAGTCACATGCAGCCTCGACCAGGGATGGCCTCGTTGCCCCAGGCAACCGTATCCCGCGCCGCTTGTCAACATCGGGCGGGCGTTTCGAGTCCTGCGTCTGTGCCGATGCGTGCGTATATTATTATTACTATCCGGCGCCCTTGTTTTGGCATCCTGCACATCCCCTCGCCTTCCATTCTTCCCTCCTTTCTCTCCCAAATCGCATCGAAGCGCTATTCTCATGTCGCTGTCACGCACAGTGAAGAGGCTGGCGAAAGAATTTTAGACCAAGTTTGTCAAGACCAATTGAATCACCAAGCCATCTCAAGCCCTACGAGCGGCTCTTGTTACGCCATAACATTCCAGTTCACGATCGCTACTCTTTTCGTCCCCTTGCTGCTGAAAATAACCCACTATCAACGGTAAATCCTCTCCTTTTGGCAGACTTTAGATCATCAACACCATTACGTATATAAAGGTAGGCCCCTGTTTTTATAAGAGGAGTCCGGCCCACCTGCTTAACAGTCATTCAATCTATAGCAAAGCGCATAAAGTGAGACGATATGGGTTCTGGTACGCAGCATCCGCTGTCCGAGCTGAGTCCTATGGCTCAACGGCGAAATTCTCCGAGCTGGAATCAAACGGGCAAGGTATAAACAACTCATCCCACCCACAAACAAAAACCAATGAAGTCCGCATTTAACATCTTCGCAGATGACATTAGGCTCATCACCTTTCGAGTCATCTCCATTCAACACGTCGCATTCGCCGCGTCTCTTCTGGCAGGGCCGTGAGTCCGTGTCATCTTACCAATCTCTGAACTCAGAAAATACGAAGCCGTATGACCCCGACATGTCTTACTCGCCAACGAAGAGAGCGTCGATTGAAAATCTTAAGCGGGCGTCTCGTGTAAAGAACAGCAGCATCATTGCTCGTGAAATGAATAACGAGTATGACCCCGCACACCTCAGTCTTCCGGAGCGCCCACTTGCAACAGGCCGCTCTTTCCATGGTCGAAGCCAGAGTGACGCCCAATATGAGCCTTCGATTACCAAGGAGGATAGCCAGTACCAATTGGACGACATCCGAGAATCGCCCAAACACACGCCTCCTTCGCCAAGCAAGGACCAGCCTTCCCCACCGAAATCAAGTTTGTCGAAAGCAACCCGCTTTGGAATGAAGAAGTTTGATCCCGAAAGTGATATCTGGTCTGACGTGGAACACACACCATTACGATTCGTGGATCGCAACCCTAAAAGTGTCACTTTTGACGCTGCCCCACCTCAGGTCAATGAATACGAAATGACAACTCCCGACCTTTCCTCAATCGCGTCAGAATCGCGCGAGGGAAGTTATGATTTTTATGAAGAGGAAATCGACGTAAGCTTTGATCGGGGTTCATCTCTAGACCGCGATGATAGTTTCGATGCTTCTCTTGAGGACCTTGAAAAAACACCAGTTGTTCTTCCTGAAGATTGGCGATTTATGAGTCCCGATACAGCAAATCCTGAGTTGGTCAATGGAAGCGAGGATCCGTTTACAGATGAAGGCAGTCCAAGCCCAGAAGCTCAGCCTCATGCGAACACTAACTTGTCAAACCGCTCATCAAGAGTGGAATCCTTGGATTCCAATGGGGAGAAACGTCCACTTCCACCTTTGCCATCTGCGAAAATCCAGGAGCAATCCAGCCCCGCCACTTCTCCAAGCAAACTTTCCGCTGCTTTTGAAAGAGCTACTAGTGGCCAACGTGTATTGCCTTCACCCCCAGCAGCGGCGTCTTGTTCAAAAACAGACATAACTGGAAGAGGGCATCATTCTATGACTTTGGAGGATAGACTGCGCCTCATGATGCTCCAAGGAAATGATCAGGGCAGCCCGCAATCAGAAGCCGATCGTCAGCGAGAGAGACGCATGAGAAGAGCGGGGGCTCGTGAACGAAGCGCTGGGGCGGAGTCTGATGGGAGACAATCCTCTGAACCTACGGCAAGTGAAGTCGCTACGCCTCCTCCAATTTCTAGAGAGGATATTTTGCGAAACATCAAGAACAATAATGACATGAGTTACGATGACGCCAATGACTATTCCTCACCATTTGCATCTAGCCCACCATTTGACACTCCCTATGATCCAGACGTTCCAATTCCATCTCTCGAAGATCGCCTCGACGATATTGATGTCGACATCAAACGGGAACAAAGTGATGACGAGGACATTTATGACCTTCCCGAATATTATGGCCCCCAAGCTCACGGCTTGCCTTTGCCTGAAGGTGATAGTGGTGTCGAGGGTGAAGATGACGGCAGCAATTACTCACGCAACTCTAAAGAAACACTGAAGGATGATCGTAGCGGCTCCGAAGAACCCATGGACGACCAGACTACCCCAGTCCCCGAAAATCACCCTGATAATGGCCAGCATGCCGCAATCCATCAACAAGACTTGACCACCACCAATGCCAAAGTATCCAGCGAGTTCAATGATTTCAAGCCTAATTTTGAAATCAAACAAGAATCCCCACAGAGACCAACAACCCCAGAAGGCCAGATTGGGGATGTTCTCAGCGAACCGTCCACTCCGGGCTCTGTAATTCGGCATCCCGTTGAAGAGGAATCAGAGGACGAGGAGGAAGCTCCTATGTTGGAGGCTATTCCCGATCCTGTTGCTACGATCAAAGCTCCTGGTACCGGACTCAAGGCTCGTCCATCACTGACACCCGCAGATTCCCAGGCGATGGCTGCAGCCCGCCGTAAAGTCAGCACCCAAAGCTCAATTCCTCCATCAGTTGAGGAACCCGGATTTGGCGGTCTCGATAACGAGGCTGAGGAACCAGTGGCAGAATTCTCCAATGCTAATGACAACAGTCCTCCCAAATTGTCTCTCCCAGATACATTGCAACGCCAAAGCAGTTTGATCAAGCTAGACGTCCCGTTTTCTAGCACCAGTGAAAGCTTTTTTGGACTAGATAAGGAATTTGATAGAGTTATTGAGGCACAAAAGGTTGCGTTTGAATCTACCCTTTCCAAAAAAATCAATACACCATTATCAACACTATTTGCACAACAAGGAACCCAGGCCCATTCGATGTCAACGGTTGTTGGGGATTTTTCACCCTCATTTTTTGGAAAGTCATTTGCTAACAGTGCTCCCAATCGACAGAGAGGCTATCTCATGCGTCAGAACACGAAGGTTATCATTGCCAGCAGTCGGAACGAAGAGGAGCCCGAACCCCCCTTACCGAGCACCACGACGAGCACAAGCACTGAGGCTGTTGATGTGAAACCCAGTAATAGCTCACCGTCAAGAAAAATCAGCCAGCCAACATGGACCGCAGAACCTTGGAACGGTAAGATGCGCCGCCAGAGTGTCAAGACAACAGGGGGCATCAAGAAGAAGCCGGTTCCTGGTACGGTACCACCACTACCCGGCATGCCAAGCAATGTTCAAGATATTCAGCATGCTGTTGAAGAGCCAGAGAGCCCGGCTTTGGTGGAGGACGGGCAGGAAAGAGGAAGACTTTTTGTCAAGGTTGTAGGGGTCAGAGACTTGGATCTTCCACTACCTAGAGGTGAGAAACTCTTGCTAGTTCTTTTTTCTCCTGTTTTGACTCTAAACATATCTGGAAATATTAGGTGAAAGTCACAAGTTCTCCTTGACCCTAGACAATGGACTTCATTGTGTCACGACCTCTTGGTTGGAACTAGGCAAAACTGCTCCTATTGGGCAAGAATTCGAGCTCATTGTTCAAAATGACTTGGAATTTCAATTGACACTCCAAATGAAGGTTGAGGGTACTATGCTGAAGCAATCACCGGAGCCTGTGGCCCCTGCAAATGTACCGAAGCAAAAATCATCAGCCTTCAGCCGGGTGTTTGCCTCCCCCAAGAAGAGAAAGGAGATGGAGTTGAAGCAACAAATGGAGCAGCAACAAAAGCAGAAGTTGGATTCCAAGGGTTACCCTGGTCCTTGGGATAAGCTGCGCTCGCTAATCGACGGTGATGGCAGCTTTGCGCGTGCCTATGTGTCGCTAGGTGACCATGAAAAATATGCATTCGGTCGACCTTACACAGTACAAATCCCCTGCTTCAATGAATGGGCTATCGAAGAGCCATCAAGTTTGAAGAGCAAGAAAAGTAGCTCCTCCAACATCACCCAGAAACGACCACCTTACAAGGTTGGAAATCTGGAACTTCAGCTTTTATTTGTTCCCAAGCCCGCGGGCGCTAAAGAAGACGACATGCCTAAAAGTATGAATGCCTGCATTCGAGAAATGAGAGAGGCAGAGGCAACTGCATCGCGCATGTGGGAGGGTTTCCTTTCTCAACAAGGCGGCGACTGCCCTGTAGGTATCCGTGTAATAAGAAAAGCGAGTTGATGCTAATGATTTTGAAACAGTATTGGAGACGTCGCTTCTTCCGACTTCAAGGTTCCAAATTGACTGCATACCACGAAGTTACACGCCAGCCGCGCGCCACAATCAATCTGGCTAAGGCTGCGAAGCTAATAGATGACAAGTCTATTCTCACTCAAAAGGAAACAATAACAAAAGGAGGTGGACGGCGAAAGTCCGCATTTTCGGAAGAAGAAGAGGGCTATATGTTTGTTGAGGAAGGTTTCCGCATAAGGTTCGCAAATGGAGAAGTCATTGATTTCTATGCCGACAGCGCCGCTGAGAAGGAGGGCTGGATGGAAGTCTTATGCGAAACAGTGGGCAAAGGCTATGCGGCTGGCTCTGGTCACGTTAAGGCCTGGACAGAGCTTGTCTTCCGACACGAACGGGGCATGAATGCCAAACGCGAAGCTCTCGACCGTTTAATGACCTCAAATGGCGCCCCGAATCCTAAGAGAGGGCCTCCCCCAATGAACGACTCTACAAAGCAAGCGCCTTCTCACCCATCTAGGCCGCGCCATCAGCACAATTTCTCACAACCAGAAGTTCGGTCTCCAGACGCCCGTCGAGAAAAGACGCGGTCTATGATGTTCTAATGAAGGTGGAGCCTTGACGACATACTTTACGAAATTCATTCACCGTCTCTTTCATGTCAACTATTTTCACTGATTGTCTCAGACCTTTTATGTTACTATATTTTATTGTTCCTTCCCTAAGTCCCTTTTCTGTTTTTCTTCAAGAAATGGGTGGCCTCGTCAACGATTGCTGGCACGTTGAATGGTTTTCTCTTGATATTTTGACTCATGGTCCCTCTTGTAGGGATGTGTTTATTTGCTTTACTGACTGTTATGCACGATACGAAATGAATTTTCTCCAGGATTTGTGGAAGTAACAAACATAGCAGGAGTTTGTCCTTGCATAGCTCTTTTTAACCGCTTTTTTACCGCGTTTCTTTCTTTTCGTTTATCAAAATTTGCGCATGTCCTTTCTACTCATTCGATGTATGTCTTGAGTAATTGTGCTTTCGTACAGCAGTGAAGGAGTATAGTAATTTATTTCGTTCTGGTTTCCTACGACCTTTTCGTAATAACTACACATACGATATCCATATGTCACTAAATTCTTACTGAGCTGTACATATCGCTATCTTCAACCGCCTTCTTCACCCTGAACATCAACGTCGGAGTCCGAGTCAACAGCTGCCAGAACCTCCTGGGTCTTTTTGTCCCTGGCTGAGGTCTGGGCGCTAACTTGCTGAGATGCTGCGATGCCCCCAGAAGTCAAATAAAGAAATGTTTCTACTGGGAAATGGTCAATGTGGGAGAAGAAATGTCCGAATCTGAGTAGACAAGAATTAGTATTTTTCGGCAAAACCAACCATATACAAAAATGACATACTGATTTGACTCATCTTCTTCTCTGTATATGCGATCGTAAATCTCCCGTTGCTTAAACTCATTCATTTCTTTCTCGAACTTGCCGAAATCTATTTTCTCTTTTCCGAACTCCTGAGCCCCCTTTCTGTTGTATGTATCGAATATCGGGCGCTCTAAAAGAAGACCTAATCCAGGTGCTTTGGGTATTGACAACCTGGTCGAGCCGTAGCTTTCTTCAATGATTTTCGGGTCACATCCACAGCGCACCACGAGCGCGGCCATGGCGACCATTTTTCGGATTTGATGCATCATGAAGCTCTGGCCGTGAACCTTCAAACTCAGCCATTCCGTGCCGTTGATGACAATTGGTTCGGGATTTGCAATGAACGATTTGATGACTCGTTTGGCAGATGGGTCCTTGTAATCCTTCTGGATCGTGTAGTTGTGGAAACTGTGAGTGCCTATATATTTGTCTAGGGCTTCTTGGACTTGTTGAAGCCGAGACTTGGGTATTCGATAAGCACGTTTGGTGTTAATGTAGGTGGCTTTTATTGCTTTGATGGCTTCGTTTATTTTTGTCTTCTGCTCCGCTGTTAATTTTGGTTTGGGCGTCTTAGGATCTATCCCATCGGCAGGATTTTCCAAGGAATCTTGCGTCTGAGCTGAAGGTTCGGTTTCTGCAGTTGCGTTTTGAGAGACCGAGTCGGCTTTCTGGTCAACACCAGCTGCTTGCTCGTCTTCACTGTACAATGCCTTTAGTACCAGGCTGCGGACTTCCTCGGGTACATCAGCCAAAATCGGGTTCACAATCTTCTCATCAATATCTTGCCAAAAGTTGAGCACTTCGCTCTGCCTCGTCCGATAAGCTTCAGATTCACCGTGCTTCTCAGCAAGCTCAACCACCTTCTTGCCTAGGTAAGAGCCGGGGTGAGGTGGGAGAAAACAGTGTGTTGGGATGAGGTACTCGTATATGCGGGAGTCACAAAGATAGTAGCAACTGAAACTTTTGGTAACAATCTCGTATCCCCACACACGGATCTGGGGGCTAAGATGCTCATTGATCTTTTGAACGATATCGGGATCTTCAACAATCAACTTTAGAGACACTATATTCCCAGCTGCGTGTACGCCCTTGTCGGTACGAGCACACCTGACAAGTGAAGACTTCTTTGGATCGATTGCATTTGCCTTAGAAATTGCACCAGCAGCGACAAAAGCGGCAAAAAGGTCGCCCTCAATAGTCTTGTCTTTGTCAGTCCTTACAACATCTATTAGTAAATCAAATCTCAAATTTATCTCAATGGTATTTCGTACAACTGCATGCCGTGATAGCCAGTTCCAGAGTACCCTATCAGCACAGCCACCTTCTTCTTGGGACGTCTTTCTTCCGCTGCAATATCATCGGCTGAAAATTGAGTAGCGTATATAGGAAGACTATCTCCATCGTCTATCTTTCGTTTCTTTTTGGCCTGCTCCTCCTGGTTCTGGGCTCTTCTATCTTTAGATTGCCGGCTTGATTTAGTCAGAAGACTTCACGACTGCGCTTCATTCTTGATAAACCTACTTATAATCTTTCCTCCCCATATTTCGTTTCTTATTCTTAAAACCTCCTCTTCCTGCCATGTTGAATGCCTAGCGGGGACTGTGTGATGGTGAAAAAAAGCCGGTGTATGCAAAAATCGTCTTTCGAAGTCTCTAGTTGCGGAGCTAGGTAGAGATGTTGAAGGAAAAATTCGGCTGCTAGATTGCCTTGGGATCTGTGACAATGGTCTGGGCCACAGTTTGCGCGCAGCCGAACGGCTCATAAGTCCAATTGCCAGTAAGCTGGTAGCTCTCAAGCAGTAAAAGCAATGAATGATGTCGCGGGGACGAAAGATAAAATTCCGACTCCGCAGCCCTTGGTATGTGCTAAACCATAAATGGAAGGCGGTGGGTCATCGATCGATCTCCAGCCTCAAAGATGCCGCCATACTGTTTCGCCTCATCTAATAGAGGCCACAAGCCTCCTGTTCAGATAGAAAAGAAGACAACATAAAGCAACAGTTGCGGTCGTCGCTATATTCTCTTCCGGTTGCTGCTTGCATTTGTGGAAGGAGAGAATGGGCATGACATTACCACCGAGAATTTTACGAACCTGACGCTTAGGCGGTCATCTCTCTTCTTGCTGGCTCACATCACCGGTATCACGGTGACTGTGTTCATCAGACTTCAGCCAGTTCACTCACTCGATTCATTCCGATATCATTCAGACATCGCTGTTCTTCGAAATGGATGTCGCAAACTCCTTAGTCCGCAGCGTCGTACGCGCTTTCTACGAGACCAGACAGATCTTGGTGGTGGATGCCTTGTTTATACATTCAGTGTATGCCTTTTGAAACCCGATTTCAAAAAGCGCTTCAATATACTGACACTACTGTCAGACTTCATGCAGAGGACCTGGCTCATTTACTTGGCATGCAACAAAAGGACTTGCGGAAGCTCTGCGCAAGGCTGCGGGAAGACCGTCTCATCGCAGTGTACAGTCCTCACTCGCATATTATCTACAGCCATACTAGCGGACTTTGCTAACAGAGAAGTTTCCATGTAGTCATACGCGAAGTGAAATTCGTGAAGGCTCGACTCGCCCCGTAAACCGCGATTACTACTACATTCCATTACATCCCGTAATCGACGCAATCAAATTCCGCGTTCTCCGGTTGACTTCTACCATCAAAGCGCAATACACACCAAGCGAAGATCGAAAAGAATATATATGTACACAATGCGGGGCCGAATGGACCGAACTCGATGTTCTAAGCCTCTACAACGAAGAAGGCTTCGAATGCCAACATTGTGGCCACATTCTACAGCCGACCGAAGACGTGAGAGGCACAGATGGTCTTGACCGAACCGGGCATGAGAAGAATAGTAAATTGATGGTGCAGCTGGATTCAATCATGAGCCTTTTGAAACAGATCGATGCAACAGATATTCCTATGAACGACTTTGACTCCGCCTGGGATCACAGGATTGATGTTGTTCGCAATCAACAAACCCATCCTTCCAAGCCTGCTATAGCAGCAGCAGTAAAACAACCAACTGCAGTTCGCGGGACTACAAAAATCGACGCTACTGCAATTGAAATTTCCCTCCAGTCGTCGGCCGAGAAGAGTGCCGCTGAACAAGCCGCTGAAGTGGCCCGCAAGGCGGCCATCGAAAAACAAAATGCTCTTCCAGTCTGGCACACTCATTCAACAGTCTCTACAGGGGCCGGAAACGCTGGTCAAATCAAGGGCGAAACGGGAATCGATGTGAAGACTGGAATTAAAGACGAAGAGGAACAGAAGCCTACCATTGATGCACTGGATGACATCGCTGCTTACTATGCCGAAATTGCAAAGGCCAAGGCAGAAGAGGCGTCCTCTGCAGATGAAGACTCTGAAGATGATGATGAATTCGAAGATGTCGGGGATATCTCTGGCACTGGTAGTGCTGTAGGTACTCCGGCAGCAGTTATGAGTGGTGGGCTTGGCCCTACAAGCGCTCCAGCTATGGGGGCTTCTCCGATGACTGGTATAAAGCGGGAACTAGACTCAGAATCAGGAAGTAGTGCTCCACAAACCGCTGCAGGTACCCCCGCAACACCAGCAGACGATGGTCCATTGGCCAAAAGAGTCAAAACCGAGGAAATTGTTAAGGAGGAGGAATCTGACGAGGATGACGAAGAGTTTGAAGACGTATGAGAACATACACAGGTTACGGCTTTTGGGTGGAAGAAAAGATATTAGATCGAATTCAGCTACGGTTTAGCAAGGCGTTTATTGGCCTTTCTTTTCGAGTATGACTATGGTAGAATAAGACTATCACTCAATTAATTCACGGTCCTCATGAAAATGACAGATTGTTCAGGCTGTTAAAATTTTTCCATTGCTGTTAATATTGCATGTATTTTTGGCGAGAAATTAAAGTTATCCAAGACCAGCCAATATATCCTTGCCCGCCAGGATGTAAAGATGCTTTGTGTGAATAATGTACTTATTTTTGTAAAAACCGTCTGAATTCCTTTTATTGTAGCATTACATGAAACTTGGGAGGTCCGAGTAGGAAAGAGAATGCATGAATAGCGCCTCGCGGTTATCCGAGTCTGGCCGAGATCAACGCCAACCATACTTCTCGATTACCAAACCAAGATCGATAAGAAAATAAAAGAGGGTAGGATATTGAGCGAGAACGCTACAAGCCCAAAATTAATGGCGGACACAAATCTCTTTCGCTAGCAGTTGCTCCGTCAGCGTCAGTGCTGATATGGTAGATAACATTACAACGCCTTCAAAAAAATGCATAGTCGTGACCAAGGAGAGGAATAAAGCGCTTGTTTCCCTCTTCATAATATCATTAAATCGTTGATTTCTGCCAAGAAGCATTTATGGGGACCGAGTTGCACACAATGGGAGGATATGTTCTTTTTGATGTTTCAAATGCTAGCAATTATGTGGCTTTTCATGGGGTTGCCATGCCAAGCTCAGAGTCACTTCCCATGATCGACTGGTCTTCCCAATCTTCTGGTGACGCAAAATCAGACACTGAATTTTATCAAAGGTCAGAAAAGAAAGCATTTTACATATGAAAAGTGGAAGACATACCGGACGCCATCTCTTCTGGCACATCTACAGATAATTGATCAATCGCACTAAGCACAGCTATCCTTGAATTAGCAAGATTCCATCAAAAAGGAAACATGGAGACTAGCGCACCTTCAGCTTGTTGCATAAATTCGGCATCCTCCGGTTCACCTTCATCGAAATATTCGCGCAAACAGTGAGTGATGACAAAAGTAATGGTATCCACAACCTTGGCCTCGACATTTTGGCCAGGTTGCACGAGATATGTCTTTCTCAAGCGGTCTATGCACCCTTCAGCGAGTTCTCTAGCGACTCTGTGGAGGGATGTATTGTATTCCTCGTCATTCTCATTCTGCTCCTGATTGAGTAGAAGCTCACGCAGCATGTCGAAAGTTATGTCTTTGACCGTCTTTTCGGGATATATGAGAAGTGTCGGCGCCCAATCAGGGATACGCACGAGTACTTTCTCGCTAAACCACCGTTCGTCCTTTTCAATTCTTTCATTCCGACAAGTGACTATGTTAGTGAAGAAAGTAATATGCTCTCTTCCACCGCTGTTATTGATGGATTCCACTCCTTTAGCAACGTAATCGATCAAGTTGATCACTTGTTCCTCATCGGGGCTTTTCATGCAGAATACGGTAGCTGCCTCTAAGAATGGAGCGCACAGTTGTGCAGGAGCCACCCGAAGACCGTCTTCTAGGACCTTGATGATGTACTGTGACTTTTGAAGCTGTGGTTCGGCTTCTAATAGTTGACCAACTATGGAGTGACTGGCAGGAGGATTAACTTGATGTTGAAGAATTTTCCGCACAAGAACAAGTTCTTTAGTCTTGCCCTGGCCCAGGTCGAAAATGAAGCAGCTTTCCGTTTCACTAAGAGAGTATCGACCATTTTTCACAAGGCGAACACGATCGTCAGGAGTGGGTGGCAATGTGAAATCGATGAATTTTAACAAATTAGTAAGCAGTTCCATTAATTTCCTATGGGAAAACTTGCGGCCTCGTTCCACGAGCCTAAAGTAGTTGAGGTAATGTCTTCTCAAATCTTTGGAGTCTTCGCGGTCTAACCAAATAATCTCGAGACATTTGAGAAGAAATCCGTTGTCGAGAAGAATATCGATCTTGGGATTTTGAAACGACGTGAATAGAGACAAAAGTTCGAAATAGTCGTCCCAGGAACGGCTCGCGATGTGAAGAATAGGCCACAAATTGCTCATTGCAATCACAATTTGATCCCAAGATTCCGTATATCTTAACTCCCATTTTGCTTGATCGATTTCATCCATACCATTGTTTCCTGCCAGGTCTTGAAGCCTTGCAAGAGCCGACACGAAAATCTTTTTTGAAATATTTCGAACCGCTGGCTGGGTAGGTTTCAATATCAGATTGCGGAGTCCTGTGTCCCTCTCATTAATCCATTGGATAACCCTTAATGCCCCTTTAGGCGTGTCATATATCGCTTTGTTGAATTCGGGGAAAACGCGATCTAATTCTGGCAACTCTCGGCATCTCGATATCAATTGATCAAATGTATCCATGGCAATAAAAATTGCCGTTTTTTGCAGTCTTGAAAAGTCAGGCTTTCCTGACGATACGAAATCATTAGATAGATGAAGCAGGTATCGAACGAAAGAGGCATGATATGGATCTAGAAGGCAGTATGTTCGGATGAAGAGTTCATTCTCCATAGCGATGTGGTTGCCAAGATCAATGGGCAATTTGACGTGAACAGGAGTATCCTTGATAGTAGGCTGATAGATTTCTTTGGCCGTCTCCATGCTGGTGACGCGTTGGTAGAAGAGCATATAAGCATTCCAGACCTTCCCAAACCGTCCTTGTCCCATGGAAGTTGCATGAAACGACTCGTTCAGTCCACCGAAGCATTGTTCCGCGATTTTTGCCGGTTCGAATGAACTGACATCGGCATCATTGAATTCAACCCAGGACTTCTTTGAGTCGGCTACAGGGCGTTCACGAATATAGCTGTAGTAATGGCCTGACTCCGCAGTGCCACTGTGGACCAGAACACCCACCAACTCGAAGATATCCGGCTCAAGTTGATTGTCAGGATCAGAGAGGAATTCCACTTTATAGGGAGTCATGTCAATCCGTTCTGGAAATTGAAATTCGTCATTGATCTTGCTCCGCATCATGGTGAGCATGTCAAAGTCGAAGCGTTTTAAGTGGAAGATCAAGTTGTCGGGTACATCTTTCAGACAAGCCCTGTTTCAAATTAGTGAACGATCAAAAATTAGAAAAAATCCTGCTCACCGTTTCACTGCATCAACGTGTTTCTCACAAGACGTGCATGAGTATTTATTGTCTTGCAATATATCAGCATCAGAAGAATAGGAATTTAAAAAGGAAACATACCCCCTTGCATAACCTCTCCCTCGACATAAGCTTGCAAGCTCTCTTCCAAATTGGCTTTCCCTTTGATATCGCATTGAATAGCTGAAAAGGGTTCGAGACGCTCTGATATGTGCTCGCATTCCTTCGACTTAATTTGCTGCACAAGCTGGCCGCCGTAGAATGTCCTGAAGCGTTTCTTGTCTTCTGGATCCAGAATTTGTGCCTCCCATCGATCGAAAAGAAGATTGTAAAACTCATCAACATCCATCTGAATGGTCACGTCAATGGGCTCGTTGTCGTAGGTTCTGATACACCCAACGGCTCCTTCCGGATCGACGTATCTGCACCAAGTCTCTTGCATGTTTCCAAATATCTTTTTCGTCTCTACTAAAAGTCTCTGCGATTCGGGTTCTGTGAGGGAGACATTGAGCATGAATTCCCGGAATGAAATGTTCATGAAAAGCTGGGTGAAGAGAGAGTTGAGGTAACAAGTGTTCGATAGATTCTTTAGCCCTGCATATCCTTCGGGAGATCTGATTGCCTTCAATCTGTCGGCGGCCCATGTAGTATTGTACGTGTAATCTAGAGTAACCACTTGTCAGCAGGGAATGTGAAGCAGGCAAACAAGGCTAATCCGTACCATGAGGAATGAGATCTGACATCAGATCGATGACCTTGGCATAGTTATCTGCTTGTTTGCAGAGCAAAACAAGAATGTTATACAGCTCTTCCCTCGTTTCTCCATGCATGACAGGAATTCGTGGGGTGATAATCTCTGTATCCGAGGGCTCTGATAAGTCAGGAAACAGATAGTTATTGATCAAGCTCTCAATAAGGCTCCTAAAAATAGTAAGCAAAGGCTGGTATTACACAAGGAAATGGTTTTTTTGCTTACGTTGCGTTGAGCTTTGTGTTTGTCTGTTCAGCAACGTCCAAGCACCAACGCAAAAGGCGCGCAAATCCCAATATGACATGGTCGACTGGCTCTCGTCCCACAAACTGCCATATTTCGTTAGAATTTTCACACTCATAGCGGCATAAAGACATACCTCTTGAGTTTTGTGGCTCAACATAGCATCACTCCACTGAGAAACGTATTCAGTAAATATAACGTCGTGTGGCGATTTTTCAGAAACCGAGTGAAAAACTACCAGAGCCACAGCAAAGAACTCCTGGGATTGATCTGCATATTGCACAGAACGTCGCATATTTTGAACGAAAGCATCCCATATTGTCGCCATGATATCCAGAACAACTGGGGTTTCAGACGGGGAAGAGCCATCCGCATCGGTCGTCCCCGTACCATCGTTCTTTTTCTGAGGTTTAGGCGGTCCACAAACAATCTTTATTTTCTCTGCAATTTGTCGACGAATCGTATGCCGTTTCTCTTCTAACAGCAAAGAAAAGATTAGTAGATCAAATTGAGCATGTTTCTTTGTCACTTCCCAAAAGCCATGGTGAGAAACCGAAGCCTCTACGAGGACAGCAAATGAATTGCATATGACTTTTTGAATATCAGTCTCCGAAAATTCGGACTGGTCCATTTTCTGGCACGCTTCGATAAAGAATAATAGTTCCTTGACCAATGCTTCAGCGTTGGGTATCGTATGAGAACTTGTTGTTTTCACTAGTGAAAATAAGTATAAAGAACATCAGAAATCGGTGGTGATGAACGTACCAGAAAGACACAGAAGAAGACATTCAATAAGATGGCATGCAAACACAAGATTCATGTTGTGTTTCGATGCCGCTGCCATCTGGGGGCGTATTAGAGCATTTATTAGTATTTGGATACTATGGCGAAGGAAAGAACTGTTAGGTTCACCCTAAAGACTAGTTAGTGATCATGAACCTTCAAATGTCTAGTAAGCATACCTCAAGAGATTCCTCCCTTAGGCAGATGGAGAGTGCCTTCACAGAATACAAAAATTTATAGGGCTTCTCCATCGGAAATAACTTTTCCTCTCCATTGGTTTCGGCTCTCACAAGTCCCCGCAAGCGTTCCTGTGGTGGAAATACAATGAGGAAATCGTAAATTTCACGCGCGTAGCTGTCCTCCAGATCAAGAAGATCATACAGATCGTCAAAGTGCTTGAGTACCTCCGAATCGACTAATGTAAGCGATTGACGTCGCCCAGCAGTCATGAATCCAGGACCATCGGGGATTTTCCGGATGATCAGAAGCGCTTTGATATTAAGATCCCGTACAGTCGTGTTTGGTGTTTCCAGCAGATCAATCTTTTGGCCTCCATATATCACACTAAACTTACTAAATCCAGTTACACGTGTCAAACGATCAACCAATTCAGCAGCAGTACAAAGGTTGCCAATACGTAACGTGCGTATCTTCGAGTGGTTAGACTCATTAAAAGATTGGTATGAGATATCCACGGGTTCCCCTCTACCGATACGTTCCGGGAGCTCTGGCGGGGGACCTTGGGGTGGGCTGTATTGAGGTCGAGATCGAAGACCCTGTAGGAGTTGTTGAAGAAAAAGTAAAGAGCGGCTCAATTTCAAGCCTGCAGATTGAATTTCCTGCTCGTCGGCAGTCGTAACCATCATCTTATCTTCTCCATCTGCACTATCATTGAAGGACTTCAACTTCGTAGCGGCTGATTTTATCTGTTCAACACAACGGTCCACTAAAGAGATATGCGTCGCTTCGGCTGCGGAAGCCGGAGCTCTCCGTATCAGTAGATGGTCTAAATAGATCTCTATTGCGAATTGAGTTGCTCTCCCTTCGATTGTATTTGGAGGTGCGGTCAGGATAAAGTGCCAGATTCGCTCCATGCCAGGCAATGCGATAATCTCGTTCTCGTTAGCAACTGGTGGAGGGTTGAAGCGAATTTCATAGTGAACTGCATGTTCAGCAAATGACACGATCTCGGAAGAGTAGTTCTCCGGCGACACTTCTGGTAGATAATGATGAAGACATCGATCTACGAACGGGTTAGGTGCTATGCAATGTTTCATAGCTCGACATAACATTTCCCACACAAAGCCTCTTGCCTGATCGAGATTGCCTGTCATGAATACCCTGGTCCAAAGAAGGTCACTGAGCTCCTCTGTAATGGTATCAGGCACTTTATCGATGATACGGCCGAGTAAATGGACACGAGACGAAAGGGCGTTTTGTGAAAATCGGTCTGCAAGTTCAGTAATGTTTTCCCAGAAATGCGCGAACTCTGAGATAACCAGTGCTGTCAAGTCATAGTCTGTCGCAAGCTTTCGGATTTCTTGAGTGTCAAAGTTCATTGGAATCAACGCGTTTAATGCTTGAATGCTCCCAGACGCAAATTCATTTTTCTCGCCGATGTCTCCAATACATCGCTCGTAAACGTCCCGTTTGTCTGGTTCACTCATTCCAAAAAGCAAAAATTGTTGCAATTGAACTCCCGCAAATCTCTGAAGAGTGACCTTGTGTTCATCACTTATATCATGACAAGAATTTGACTCTCGTATTAAACGAACGCACAGGCGTAATGGAGTCGAATCAAGGTAGGCAGAGTCCGAAAAGTCATCGCGGTGACGTTCTTCATATTTTTCTCGCATTGTCTTGAAGAGAAGGTCGCAGAACTCAACGACACGTGTGTCAAATCGATTGAGAGGAAGTTCTAGGAGTTTGGAGGAGAAGTATAATAGGCTTGTAGACGAAGATGGATGCATTGTGATCGTACGACCCAGCATTGTCAAAACTTCTCCAATAGTCCTCTGGTCTTGGCTGTCGGTGACTGCTTTCCAAATAGTGTCGGTATCAGTATTAGTGTAAGTACCAGTTACGACGAAAAAGCCAACGATGTTGCCACTGCGGCTTATCAGTTGAGGATGTGATCCCACCCCCACGATGTAGTCGATGATACGAATGTCTCGTAGGAATTTCAAAAGGTACTGCACAATAGGATATTCAATGCCTTCCGGGTTACCTTGAATGTTTTGTCGCCAGATGCTGATGAGCTCCGCTTGCATGCTCTCCACACCCCAGACTCGTAGTTCCATGCGCCCATCCATGATGTGTCTTTTGAGAGAAGCAAATTTCCAGGCGTAATAGACTATTAAAGCGTAATCTTCATTTGCGACGTCAGGCAAGTCTAGGGAAAGATCCTCTGCGAGTTTGGTAGCAAAAGCTACATCCCAATCACAAAATAGGCGGAAAGCGACGCCAATTGAGCGAGACAGGTTGTCACTGACGTCAGAAGTAACCCAAGAAGCTTTTTTAGCAACCGCATTTTGATACTTCTCATTGACTACGCGAAAAAGACCGTAAGAATACTTGACGATGCGGTTGACCGCCGGTGTTTCCAAAAGATCTTCATCGGCACCGTGGGTGCGACGCTCATTTCGAGACTCAAGCATGTTAGATGCCACAGCCAGCGCTGGAACTAAGGCTGACGCTAGCTGAGGAAACCGCGTGAGTTGATCAAAGATTAATGAAACATACTCCGAAAGGTGCTCCAAAGCGTTGACTGGAGCATCAGAAATGTGATCGTTAATCCGCGCAACTAGGTTTGCAACTTTAGAGTGATTTAACCGCGTCAAAGCCCGATAGAATGGGATATTCGAAACCTGAAGGGTCCAAACAAGGGACTGCAAATATGGTCTGCAGATAGAGTCCGGCAACTGTATGTCTTGGTCTTGAGAAAGCAGGGTGAGATAACTAATGTCGAGGCACAGCATATGGATAGCGATATTTCCGAAATCGAAGAAAAATTCTTCTAGGTATTGCCATGTACCTTGACCTTGGCTAGTTTGGAAATTCACTGCTCGGCGCAGCAGTCCTTCAACTAGTGTAGGTAACTCTTCCCAAAATTCCCGATCATCCTGAATTGTATCCAATGTGATTTGTGATAAGTTATCGGCACATAGAGAAACCCATTGCTTGACGGCATTGAAAATCATCGTGTCTTGAGGATGACCTAGGACGAAGTAAGCAATTATAATTTTTGTAAAGTTGGAGAGATAGGAGCGATACCTTTCTCAATCATGTTCACTGTTTCTTCCAAAGATTCCCTCAAATCCGGGTTTCCACGTAACTTTGGAAATTGGTCGGCTAGTGAGAATGGTTCATGGACCTGAACAATTCCCGCTGAATGCTGCTCACGGAGGGCTTCTCCAAGTGGGCGCCATTGGGATGTATTCGGATCCTGGTCCATATCCTCCAAATCCGCCACTTCTATTTCAGGGCTATGGGCAGGCGAGGATGATATTGAAATGGCGGTCGAAGAATGGGCGCCAGCCATAGCCGTATCTTCTCCAATTGAGATCTGATCGTTTGCGACCTCCGAATGTATTTCATCTTCCGGTTTGGAGATTTCGTTGGCGGGAAATTGTTCTTGTGGGGACGGTATGGCTTGAGAGGGCGATTTCATGTTGATTGTGACCTGGCTGGATGAGGGTTGTAGAGACGGAAGCTCTTCGCGGGTTGGCGTTGTGGGCGGCGGACCAGTCGACATAGCCTCGCGAGGAAGACTATCGGGATCAGGATCGAGCCGAGGACGTTTCCTGGTAGTCTGGGAGTCTGTATCTTCCAAATAATCGTCGTGCGCTCGTAGAGAACCTTCCGGTGATACAGCACCAGGCGGGGTGCTGGTGCTGGAGCTGCCTAGCGGGGTACCTGCCATGACATTTTCCCTCTCGTCATCAGATCATTGAGAGAAGCGAGCAGCGAGTATCCAGCTAGAGTAGGACCAACAGCGTGTCTGGTGGTGGAGGCAAGATGGAGGGGGAAACGACGTCGAGAGCCAGCAGGCCCAGAGCTATTGCTGCCTTGTATTGGAGATTATTTCGAGTTAGCCGCGGAAGCTATAGGAAAGAAGTGTAAGAAGCGGGTGAGCGGCAGGTAAGGAAAGCTCGGCCCAAATCTCCAAAGTGCAGGTGCCCTAGTCTTGGAGATCGAAGCGAGCTTCGTTTCTAAGAATTAATTAGATATGAGGGTAGGGCGAACTGAGAGACGCAGAGACAGAGAGAGAGTATGTGTGCCGTGAGGAAAGGCTGATGTTTAGCGTCATAAGCTCGCCGGCAGAAAACACCATTTCGTGTACGGTAACGTACGGTAACGTCGCCGCTATCCGCAGCAGAATTGTTATTATCAGCACTGGTATTAGTTAGTATATAATTACTGCATACGCCGGTCTAATGCGCTTCCTCTAAGGCTATGCTAGGATTTGGCCAATTACTCTCATCTCATACCAACAAGCCTATGTCTTCGTTTAGTGGGCTGAGCTGTCATGATTGTATTTGGTTAAGTATTCCTTAGCCTGGGGAGGCATTCGGGTGTTTATCTGCAATTAACGCCCGCCTGCTGCTTTCTACACTCCTCAAACTTGAGCTTATCTTGACACATAATGCGCTGGTGTATGACCCCGAAACAAAGAACCATCACACAGACAGGTGCGTAATACGAAAGCTGTGTAATACGGGAATTAGATAGCAGATGATTACCGTCTTTGTACATCCCGCGCATGAAACGAGGAACTACATAAACATCATTGAGGAAATTAATTACCTAAAACGCGAGGGAAATTTTCTTCTGTTGGCGTTTGAGTTATCTATCAGAAGCTGCCTTGAGTCTGACGTCTGTAGTGTTAGAAATAAATTTTAAATGATTTCTTTGTTGAATAAGGTAAGATGTATACTTGTACAAAGCTGTCCCCTATTAGGCGCCGCAAGTGCTATGACTTACAATTTATACAATCATTTTGAAGATGATAAAATTTCTCAAATCTTTAATAAATATCACTTAAATCTTGATGTCAACCATCTAAGCTTTAGACAATAACATACATAAATCTCTTTCCATTACAGGCACGGAGAGAGTTCCAAGAAAAGCGTCCAGGCATAAAGTCTTTGAAAACAGACTAAAATTCGTACACCATATCATAAATAGATGACATATATGCCTGACTCGTTTAAGTATGAACGATTCAGATATATCTCTAAAACAGTGATTAATCCGGTCCGTCGAACTTCCTCTGGATCCCGACCCATGTATCTATCCATCCTGAAGCTTGGGATTTTGTTACAAGAATGAAGCCCTCAACAGTCTAAGATTCTCACCTCCAATACAAGTTGGCCATGACAACGGCGTTAATGCCTTCAACGTATTATTTGACCTTGCTGTCAATGGGCTCACCCCAGCTAGGGACACTAGCCGCGAAATATCCCATCGCTTGTATCGGTCTTCAAGAAGCCTACCAACGGCATCAAATCCTTGCTGAGCTGACATGCCCTTTAGACGGCAAATTGCAATTATATTATCTGGGACTCCTTCCGCCTTTCCGAGGTTAGACACGGTATGCCTTGAAGAGTTCTACTTTATTTGGAGACTCACCGAGATTTGTGAGAAGAGTTTTGTACTATTTGTAGGCACGTAAACAAGTTACTAACAATTAACCAAATGGACAAATGGACCTAGATAGGAGGTAAGCACCGATGCACCGACGAGTTATTCTAATATAATCCATTTATTCTTGACTGAACCTAATCAAAAGTGAATTACCACAGTGGAATTGTATTTCTTTTTTAACATTCTCGGTCTTTGCAATAGTGCTCGTGATTAGCCTACTCTCCCTGATGCCTGAACGTTACGCAAAACAGTAACCGGATTTTATCTAGAGACCTTCTTCTATTCATTATCAAAGATGGCTTCACGCTTTCATATCTCGATCTTAACTCTCACCGTGACAACTCTCAAGGTTGGAAACTACAGCTTCGAATAGAGCACCCTCCATATCGCTAGCGAGTGGACCCAGGAGCTGCGACAGCAATACGACACGCTGGTAGCGAAGTTGTGATAAAACTTCAGGAATATCAAAAAGGGAGAAAGAAAAATCAGGACAGTCCACATACCGAATGGATCTCTACGGCCTCCTAGTAGACCACACCGAAGATGAGACTCTCTCCAAATTCTGGGATCAAACAGTCACTGTGTCTGAATGGATTAACTGAGATCAAATCAAAAGACGCCAAAGATTTTCTACCGCTATGCCCTAGCTAACATCATGGGATTAACGCTTCAGGGATTCATGGGTTAGAATTTCGCATCTACCGGCACCGCGGAGGTTCTTGTTCGTACTGGAGGGTTCTCGACGCGCAAGTTGCTGGTCCACCTCTTAGATACCTTTCAGATTCTTCTTCAGGTCACGGAATCTCTAGATGCGATCAAACCAGGTGGTGTTGGACATGTGACAACCATCCGTGTTCGGCACCGACATGCTATGGTTCATGGGTGCATTAGCAACCTGGCAGAGGTGAAGCCTGATTATTTTGACTCCGAGAAGTTGGCACCCCTATCAACAGTCTGGATTGTATTCATTCCATCTCTACGTTTCGCCGTAGCCATTCGTGGCTACAGCTTCCCCTAATGGGTGTGCATCCTAGTTACTAAGAAACGGCTGACTATATCGCACTATTTTGATATGTCGCCTATGTCATTCGTACTCCTGATAAGTCTTTTATCAGTGTAGCCCGAAGCAAAGCTACTATGGAGAGTATACTGCTCACATCACGAATCAACCCCAATTCTCATATCAAGAGTCACAACTTTGTCGAGTGTCTGAAAGATCTGCCTCCCGTCAACATGTCGTCTGAGAATATCGTAAGCCCTATTGCAGGGTCCTCAACGGTGATGAGTTTTGCGACCAGCTGGGGTTGGGAAAGCCCAGATCGTACTCCTCTGCATGTTTCAAAGGATTCAGCTGGTTAGTCAGTTCTCTCGCCTTCATGCAGGGAATGAGCTGCACGATTGACCGGAGTATTACGGGCTTCTTCCAACGAGCACTACACCACGCTGTCATCCAGAGCATATCCGGGCTGGCAGGAGGATCCAAGCTTCAGTTCAAATACACTCCCAAAATTGGCAAGAAAATGGGCAAGGAGGATAATGATCGATCGACCATTTTCTTGCCTGTTTTTCTTTCTAATAAGACCAGTCAGCTATTGGCTTTAAGCGGTCTCGCTGCTTCGCTTACTCTCATCCAAAGCCTCCAATACGTTTCCCCTTTTAAGGTTGTTAGACGGGGCTTTTCAGGCACGTGTTAGTGCCTTTTCCCCTTGGCATTCAAATCCATCTCGGAAACCATAATCTGATTAAATTCTTTCGATGAGGTGGATGGTGCTGGGAATACTCTTAACCGGGGCGTAAGTGATCTTTGAAGTACTTTACAGATCTTCAGCAAAGATCCACTTTCTTCAGGATAGATAGTTACCAGTAAAACCTCGGATCAAGGGATCGATTTTGCACGGGTCTCCCGTCCCTTAATATGAGGGATCCCTTGTAGTAAATATATCCTAAGCAAGCTTGTTGATGCTATATAGACATGGTCCAACTAATATAAATCCACTAAGCTGAAGATATACTCCTGAAGGCTTATATATGGTCGTCTCCTCTCAATCTCACACAAAGACGGCGGTATAGTCAGTTAAGCCCATGCAAAGCCACATTCCGATCCGTAATTAATACGTGATGACCACTTAAATCAGGTTGAATTCCCCGTGAAAATTGTATTAGTACGATCTAATATTGATGATGATAAGGATGAGGATGGGGCCATCGGGCTTGTTCTTTGGTCCGCATAAGTCAATATCAAGCCAAGGGGGTGACCGGAAAAAGAAAACACCAAAAATCCGACTTGAAGAACTAAACTCGGGACTTCTTAACATCATGAATCGACCTAAAGAGGCGCTTTGAGATAGTTCAAATAGGTGACGATGTAAGCGAGTATGGTCAAGTCGGGAAGGCAAAGTAATTGCGGATATCGGCTTGGTGTTGAGAATCAACGTTCTTTGCTAAGAGGACCCTCTCGTGGCGGTTTAGAAGCTGTATAAGGGCTCGATTACCGTCAGGCTGCTGTTCTTCATAAAGACGAAGTATTCGTAAACTTTCCACGGCTTGTAAGGCCGAGATTATTGGATCCGGCTCCGTTTCATTGTCATCCTCATCTTCAGATTCCCGCATAGGTGCAAATTCACTAAGAATCATGGCATCAATACCAGTTAGACTGTCAGTGACTTCCTCATCTCGAGGATTAAGGAATTGTTGAACATCCATGGCGTCTTTTATATAGTTTGACTGTACAAGACTTCGGATTCCCATCCCAATCTCTGATTCAATTTGCCGAGTATCAGTTTCCTCGGCTTCGTCAAGAGTAAAAGCTTTCTTGAAGCAATTTATTATTGTCGAATCAGCCACATCCATATTCCAAGCAAGCAGTGACCATCGGATTGCATGTAAAACAGTTACTTTCGATACAGGATCAAATCCTTTATCAAATTCAGATAACATAAAATGAATCCACTGTCTTTTCCAATACGCTTTCCATGTCCGGATAATGCCTTGATCAAGAGGTTGATATTTTGACGTTGAATTTGCCGGAAGCCAGACGATAAGTGTATTCCTTAATTGGTTAATTACCTGCTCAAATGCACTGGCATGAGCAGAGACGTTATCCATAAGAAGAATAACTTTCCGACCAGTCATTAACGAATCAAACCACAGAAGCCACTCTTTAAAAAGAGAACCGATCATCCAGGCCTTCTTATTAGACCGCCAAAAACACCCAAGATTTTCAACATTTATACCAGCCCTAGCGATTGCTCTAGGACGAACTGCAGATCCAATAAACCAAAGTGGAAGACGTTGTGAGGCATCTGCATTACAGCAAAAATGGACACTGATTCGAGCTTTCTCCTTTTGTTTACCCTTAATTGAGCGTGTAGATAGACTCCGGTCAGGAATCATCTTCCAACATAGCCCTGTCTCATCGCAACTGAAGATATCTTGAGGCTGATATAAGGCTAAAAACCGGCGGATGTAAATCATATCGTTCTCTGCGTCCTGGGATAGACTTCCTGCTTCGCCATAGTTCAGTTTACTCTTAATCTCGGCGCATTTTTGGGACCCAACGAGCCAACCGTTACTAAATGGAGGCATAGGTTTATCGGGATAGATTTGTGACCAGAAATCCTTTGCTTGAATGCGAATAGCTTCTTGAGAAGCAGATATTTGCTTTTCCGCTCGTTTCAACCATTCAAAAACACCTTCTCGAGCTCTAGCCACTGATGTGCTAATCATCGTTTAATATTATTCTGGTATGGAGAGAGAGGGAGAGTCAAGAAACGCGAAATGAGCCGAGAGAATTCGAGATAGCGATGAAGAACTGATTTCTTGATTGTACGTTTTTTGGAACCAATTTTCAAGCTCAAAATTAGATAATTATGGCTTCGACTGGTACTGAACGCGTATAGCAGCTTTTTGCTCCTTGGGTATAGTTTTCCGCTATTATTTGATGTTTTTGTCGGACATGTTGACAGGATAAAATTTCTCGGTCAGATCAAAATAAACTTTTGTATGCCTCGATAACAAGGGATTTTTATGCAAATCTAATTTGACACGGTGTCCTCTTCCTTAATCTGAGGTTGCTAAATCCGAGGTCTTACTGCAGCTGGAACATAGCTACGTCAAAAATAGTTCAACGTTATGGGCCGTGGCTTTGCATCAAGTTTTTAGTGAAAGCATAACTACAGTCAACCCCCTTTATAAGCAACCACCTTTATAAGCAACTCCTCCTTATAAGCAACTGAACACCGTGTCCGAATTAATTTCTCATATAAATTCCCTTAAACCCTCTCCATAAGGTTGATTCTTAATTTTTCTCGTCTCACATACAAAGTTCCTTATAAAAAGGGAATACAAAAGGAATTATTACAGATTATGGACCCGATAGATGGTCTTGGTAATAAGAGTTACTAGTCTTAGTTGTCTTCTTGGTCCTGTTTATCATAAATGTGAAAACTAATAATAATGATTCTTATATACCTTCTCTTGGGCAGTAGTCCTTCTCGATGCTTCAGTATCTTGACCAGCCCACAGCCAATTTGTGTTCTTCTTTAATGTCTGCCCTATAATCTATGATCACTGGCCAGTGGCCATTGGTATATTATATATTGGCAGTTCTAGGTCTGTTTTCTCTATACACTATGAGGAAATGGCTTTACAGCCTTTTTTTACACCCCTTCGTGGATTCCCAGGGTCGAAGATAGCTACTATGACAAGCCTGTACGAGTATTAGTACGACGCGATTCAGGATGGTCAGTATCTGTGGCAGATTGAGAAGATGCATGAGAAATACGGTATATATATCTCCCAATCTTCGAATGTTCTCTGAGTAGAATTGTCTTCCGTAGGCCCCATTATTCGGGCCAACCCTAGGGATACTCAGGTTAGGGATTCAGAGTACTATGGAACAATCTACTCTGGCTCTCACAGGGTCAACGAAGATAGGCCACTGTTGCCAGCAGAGGAACCCTAACTTCGGTGGCAGCTACCGTTGACCACCATCACCATCGTGCAAGACGCGGATATCTAAAACCATATTTCTTAGAACTCTCAATTGACGATATGGAGACAATGATGCATGAGCGATTGGGTAGCTTCTGCGAGCGCCTAGACGAAGCAAAAGAATCCGACAATGTGGTGAGACTTGATGCGTCTTTCTCGGCGCTTACAGCAGATCCTATCATTCTGTCGTTCTTATTCTATGGAAAACGGGCACGAGCCAATCGAATCACTGGGCAAGGCTATTAACAAAATTTACAACTCCCAGCTATTGTATCCTCACTGCTCAGTCCTGAACTGCTCAAGATTCCTCAGACATCCTTGTTTCGATCTTACGGATAATGCGAGCTGGGTTCCCTGCAGCAACGTGAAAGGCAGGAACGTCCTGCTTACAGTGAACAACAGCACATGAGCAGCAGTGACAATGGACGCACCTTGGTAACCACACTTCCTGCCCCGATTGTAGCTCCCCTGCCAATCGTAACTCCGGGCAGAACAGTCACGTTCCCTCCAAGCCAGCAATCTTCTCCAATGTGGACTTCCTTGCCCGTCTCCGGTCCTTCGAACCCGTTGCGAACTGCGGGATCCAGGGGATGAGTGCCACTGTACAGATGAACATTAGGGCCGAAGAGAGTGCGAGCTCCAATAGTGACTAGACAGGTGTCGATAATAACGCAGTTGAAGTTGATAAAGACACCTTTGCCGACTCTTACATTGTAGCCATAATCTGCGTGAAAGGGACCCCGCACCCACGGCTCATTGGCGAATAGGGCCTCATCTGCAGCCAGATCTTCTACTGGGGGAGGCAGTGGCCGTGTGTCCTGAACGATGCTGTAGAGTCATTATTAGTTATGACCCAAACGAAGGCACTCAGACTATCGAAATGAAATGTTCGATTACATGTATCTAGCGGCGATTGTACTCACTCTCGCCACAGCTCGATCATCCGTCGGCGTGTCATTTCCCCGGCGGTATTGAAACGATTGCAAGCGTGCTCGCACTTGTCACGCTCACGGATCAGTTCTGGGGTGAAAGCACAGTAGAGATCTCCACGGAGCATCTTCTCCTTCTCAGTAGGTTGCGCCATATTGTACGGGATAGGATAGATACGGGGTACGCGAGCGTTGTGAGGGGTACAGTTGCATGTATCCTCATCGCCAGGGACAGCCGGAGCTTATCGCTTATCGGCTCCACGTGAGCAGGCTCGGCCCAAACAGCCTAAACTCCCCGCTGCAGGGCCCACTAATTAGTACGGACTACCAAGTCTTCCTCTGACCTTGCACGTATACAAACAAGAACTCTCCCCTCCTATCCATCGCTCAATGCACGCAGCGACCACTTTTCGGAAGTGAAAGCTTGGCATGATGGCTGCTTTTTGCAAACCGAATTGCCGGTCCTACGAGAATCCTCAGTGTCTCCAGCGCCTCTGATAAGCAGCTATCAATCTCATTGTTCTCATCTTTTCGTCGTCTACCCTCGCCATCCTTCATCACCCCACCAGCCCCAATCAAAATGCCTACAACAGCAGTGGCATCGTCCGACCTGTTTCCAGACCCAGATCATTTAGACCCGACTCACTCCAGGCATGACGCACGCGAGACATACACAGCCTGGCGTCCGCCCACCACCACCAATATACACTACTCCGACGATAACACCAGCAGCGGCACCACGAGCACCGCCGAAACCCGTATAATCGACCCGTCCTCCTTACTCCCCGGTGGAAAGATGTCACTTTCAGGAATATCCAATCGAGCATTCATTCTCGGCGTCGTTCTAGGCGTGACCTCCGTTATCACGATCCTGCTAGCCTTGCAGCCGACTCCGACTCCATTATGGCGCGTACCCTTTTTCATCTCCTCGCTGTGCTTCTTTCATTACCTCGAGTTTTGGGTTACCGCAGAATACAACACTCGGTATGCCGACGTCTCGTCGTTTCTACTCTCTGCGAACGGCGCGGCGTATAACATTGCCCATGGATCTGCGATTGTCGAGTGTCTGGTTTCGCACTGGCTGGCGCCAAACGGCTACATTTTCAACCCCGATTCTGTTATTTCGGTTTCTGTCACAATTGTAGGGCTCGTCTTGATGATTATTGGGCAGATCGTGCGGACATCGGCTATGGCCACCGCGGGAAGTAACTTTAACCATGTCGTGCAAGTTGAGCACAGGCAGGGCCACGTCCTAGTGACAAGCGGGATATACAGACTTCTGAGGCATCCAAGCTATTTTGGGTTCTTCTGGTGGGGTCTAGGCACTCAGATGGTACTGAAGAATGTCATCTGCTTCATCGGCTACGCCCTTGTGTTATGGCGCTTTTTCTATTCGAGAATACAACGTGAGTACTCCTCCGCGGCTCTTTCGGGAAATTATTACTGATAAAATCTCTCTACAGGCGAAGAGAGGTTTCTGGTGTCCTTTTTCGGGGATAATTATGTGGCCTACAAAAGAAGAACTCTTGTGGGCATCCCGTTTGTTGCCTAACAGCTTTCATCTCTTTCTGCATCTGTATACTATCTGCGTGTTCTTTAATGCATTAAAATAGAGAATAGAGCTTTATTGTTGATACCAGTTAGATGTACCATTACAAAACTACTCATTTTCCAATGAGATATATCTTCCTGTCGTAAACATGATAAAACTGATAAGTTAATCAATAGCTGGTATTCTACATGTATATTATCCTATATGCCTAGTCTCTGAGTCATAATTTGCTTTCACGCGCCACGTCAACCACCGCGCCACTCATGACCGGCTCTTCAGGTACAGGCTGATCGCCGAAAAGGAGAAGCTCTCTTCCGCCGCGAGTGCACCACCAGGTAACACAGAAATTAGCCCGCTCAACATCCATTTCACCACCACTCAAGACGTCCCAGAACCGTTCAACACAGGTTGCCTTGACATCCGGTTCATTGATCGTATTAACTAGCCGCGCAGTCAACGGCAGGAACTCTTCGAGATCTTCTACTCTGAGAGATGGCAGGGAGTCGATTATGGCTAGAATGACGCCGGATCTTTCAGAGTGTAGAGGGGGGTTTTCTAGGGCGTTTTCTTCGGAGGATTGGAGGGATGGAGGTAGCAAGGTCGACGATGCGTCGAGGGCGCGTTTATGGGCAAGTTCCAAGAGTGTAGGTGCGAGGAGAGGCTGGTTGCTGGCTAACGGGGATGGAGGTGCTGCAATGCGGACGACAGATCTAAATGCGAGTCGAAATTGACGAACGGAGAGATTTTGTGGATATACCTATGCAATAGGTTAATTCCTGAGACAATGTAAACAATTAAGATGTGCAAGCTTACCGTAAATAGGTTATCTATATAAAAGGGTAGATGCTTCGCAGCAATATCTGCGTTCTGCGGCGCAGAGAAAACGGCGAGGGCTACACTGTGAGCTGCCTCAAAAATCTCTAAGAGATGATTGTTCCCACCAGCCGCCAAATAAGGAGTTGCAGCAGATACAATCAGCTCGTCACTTGTTTGGGGTGATATTATTAGCGTGAAATGCTCGGCCGTGTTTAAAAAGAATAAATCGAGACATCTTTCTAACGGATGCTGCGGAATATGGCCCAGTTCAATGGGCTTGATTGTCCTTAGAAAGTTCTCAGCCAGATCCGGGTACTGCGTCAGGATATCGATAGCAACGAGATTCACAAATGAATATTGAGACGACGAGTTTTGCCCAATGCGCGATGTGATGAAGTAGAGGTTACGAAGTATATGTAATGATTGCATAGCGATAAAAGGTGCCACTGTGACTGTAAGCTTCATATCTTGAAATTTAGCACAAGGTGACTTACCACTGCCAGCAGCAAGCACGCGATCATTCAGCATCCTGCCAAGCACGGCCCGTAGGATTATGACTATGGAGAACATCAACGACCGAAGCAGCCGCCAAAGTTCTGGGATAGTAGTTTTCAACGACTCGGCATCTAGAAACTCGGTCTCCTCCGATGGATCCACCTCCGACAGTTTGTTCTGGCGCCACTGAACTAGTAATGTACGAGCGAAATCATTGATCAAACTGATTCCATCAGACACGATATTTGGGTCAGTAACATTCTCCATCGCATGGGCGATAAGCCGCGACAACGGCCCTAAAGATGCGACCAACGGCCGGGAAGATACGCTCTTGACATGCTGATACGTCATTGAGGTAGAAGGCCACCCAAATTTTTTGTCATTCCCTTCAAGAATATCGCGATCACTTGTTCCCACGAAGTATGCTCGGTCGAGTCCCTCATTGGCAAAGAAAGTTGAATGAAGCATCAACGGCAGCAGGCGGTTGTAATCGATTTGACTACGATGATGGTCGGATAAAAGTTCGAATGTATAGTTCAATATCATGGTTATGCAATAACCAGCAACTCCATCCAGTCCATCGCCTTGTTGAAGTGCCAGCTGTGCAGCCTGCACGAGTCCTGATTCCAATTTATATCGAAGGTTATGTCGCAATCCTTGTCTGTTTTGTCCCTCGAATCCGAGCAAGACGCCACCCAGAAGAATTAAATGTCGCCATCTTGGCGATTTATCATCGGCCCCATCCACAACAGCTTTTACCCAGGCTTCTCGGTCCAACCCTCGTCGCGCGTATGGCGCTCGGGGCTCATCGGAAGCCTCGTTCTGTATGATGCCGATGGCGGCGGTATTGAAAACGCTCAATATTCGTCGACACGTGTGCAAGTCAATCTGATGGTCCCAAATAGCTGGCGACGCTAGTAATTGCGAAGAAAGAAGCGTCACATTCAATGGATTGGTGAGGATAGCGAGGAAGCTGGTTGCGGTCGGCAGTAGGCTGGCATACGTCAGTAAATCCGCGGCAGCTAAAGACAAGCAAGGGACTCACGCATGAGCATCCTCCGGCCCGGAAGCCGTTTGGAGCGACCGCAGCAGAGTAGCGAGCGAGCGTTCTGTCGCCATGCTGAATGCTCGCAGGCACTTCTGGGAAGTTGCGAACGGGTTGTTTCTGGAGTCGGCCCTGTTGCCCTTTGCCTTCTCCGCAGCCGAGGTCCATTTTAGATTAGTACTGTACATCCCGGGTAGAGCAAAAGGTGCAAACACTGCTGTGATTATCGGTGGGTCCGAGCTTAAGCTTAAGCTCCAGCAAGAACAACAAGCCAGCTCGATCACAAAACATAGCAATGAAGTGAATCATTCCCGCATGATGCCCAGCCCGACAGCTTCTGTATAGCATAAAAACCTTGATCTATCCTCATACGCGATCACCATGAGCGATGAGGCTCCGCTAGACTACTCGGTCCCGCCATTCCCATCCCTCCATCTCCCCGTCATCGGAGTGCCGCAAGCTCAGAACTACTTATATCACGCCGAAGATATCTGGCGATTCACGCTCTACTGGACACTGATTCTCCATATTGGACTCCATTTTGTGGTGGCAGCTTTTGCAACCGCCATTCAATGGCGGAATTGGCGAATGATGTGGGCAGTGCCCGTTGCCTATGTAGTCGTATCCGGTCTAGAGGCTTTGTTGGCTGGAAGTATGGTTGGGTTAATGTCAGTTTACCCCTTATCAGATTATATACATTATATAGACGCTAATAATCTCTCTAGTCTTGGTTGGGTCTATGAAGCGGGCAACTTTACAATGACCACGTGGATACCATTAGTTTGGGCTGGCATTAACGTTTTAGTTGTCATCATCTCGAGCTTCCCGATGCAGAGTGCAATTTGAAGCAAGCTGATCTAGTATTCTATGAACAAATTTTGTCATATCATTAGCTAGGGGGATAACCTCATTGCGAGACTATGCAAAGATCGCTGAACTATATTAAATTGAGAAGGAACGCACAACCCGCCTCTTTGCGTCAGCGTATCAATTCCGGCTTTTAACAGCCGACAATCGGCAAGGTAGGATTTCTTATTAAATCTATTCCGATGCTTTTTTTTTTACTGATTGTCATCGCAGGCAAACGTGGCAGGCGTCCGAGATGGTGCTGATCCCGGTACCCCACTGTGCCTCCTGTGTCGACTTTTTGACATTCAGCCTGACGTGGTACCAAACAACTTCAAAAATAAATTGTTAGATTTTACGCGGTTATCTGCATCTCAATATGAAGCTTAATGATTGTGGATTCTTGAAGTTTTCTATAGAGGGCAATGTCCCCTATATTGGAGATTTTCAAATTCCTCAAACTAATATGTGGGTATAAAATATCGATACTGCGTTCGGCTTCGATGAGGTGGATTATATAACGCAGCCTATAGCCATCCCCTCAAAATCGGTATTAACGTCACATCCTACACGAACAATCGTTGTCCATCAGTAATAACATCGCCTTTGCATATTTCTGCGTGCTTTTTAATCAGTGGGCAATTGTAGACTAGGTCAAAATATTTCTCCCTCTCTTTCTTTCATTAAAAAATACAATATGCTTCACTAGCGTTACAAATTGTGACAGTCAAGTAGTGGCTTGCCCCAGGCAACAAGGGTCAGGGTTTGGCAGCACATTTCGTCAAGCTTACTATTCGTTCGAATAGCACCAATAGGATTATTCATATCTCTATTTCATGGCATCCTGACACATATCACAAGACCGACTGTAGCTATAATATATATATGCCGATCTGAAGAGCCAGGATAGTGTTGACCAATAAACTTTCGAATAAAACACTGTTTCATAAGCTAAACGATCAAAATTGAGTTATAGTGCCACCAGGAGTATATTCTAGATATTCACCGGGAAGATTGCCGACGGTGTAGAGGCAATAGTATTCTCGACTCCCAATGAAGTTGCTCCCTATGTATGTCAAATGTAAATTTTCCTTAGGACCTTTCTTGAAATATAGGTGTTGCAAATACCAGTCAGGGGAAGAAATTTAAATATCAGGCATATAAATAAGATACACGTATATAATACTTAGAGTTCCGTACTCTTGCCACTTAGGGATGACTTGATTAATTAATCCATATACAGATTCTCAGCGGTTGTAACGTACACAGTAATGTAAGCACTGCTGTACCCTGGCCAAAAAAGGGGGTTGTTAGCCCCTAGGTTCACTGTCTGGTCTTGGACAAGTCAAGACCATTCAGACGCAACTCTCATGTTTTTCACAATACCTCGGAGATTTCCCTTCAACCGAGATAGTCTTACCTCCAGAACTCCGGTTGAGTCTGACGAAGCAGGTAGTCTGCTAATTCGAATTGCGCTCAACAGTAATGTAAGGACCCACCACGCTGTAATTAGCATACTTCAACGGGTGCTTTTTCACACCGACAGGTGGTGTTTCACATTTTAAAGTTGTTAACTTATTTATGTAATAATCTTATACATAACTAGTTACCTTGACATCCCCGACGCTCAAGCCTCCAGATTAGACTAGCACTTGGTAGTTTGTTGGCAGTTCTTTACATGACTTCTCAGTAATATGACAAAAATTTATACTTTACTGCTTCATCGATTACCTTTTAAAGATACGAGCCGAGTAAACAGACAACAGCAATGGTAATTACTCCCATATTCCGAAAATAGGCTTAGCGCCTCGGTGCATACCGTCATGACCACCAGTCCTAATTAGCAGTTTGCCAATTTCTACTGGGTCCAGAATTGGACATCGTCCCAGTTAACAGTAATAGTACCGTAGCCGCTAGTGGCCGCATAGGCACCACACTTGTCATAATAGGCATCGCCGCTGGGGGCGTTATCGTCGGTATACGACAACTTGCCGTTTATGTAGAGAGCATACGTCTTCTTATTGGTATCGTGTATCGTGTTGATTCGCACAGTAGTACCGACCTTTGCTACACCACTAGCAATGGGTCTGCCGCTATGTATTTCATAGATATCACCGTTGTTCTTAATGCCCATTATGAAAAAGTTGGAGTTGACACCGTGGGTCTGCTTGAGCGCGATGTGGGTACCGGTCAGAGAGGTGATATTGAACTCGCCTCCAAACTGATGTACCCCTGAGGTGTAGTGATTCTCATAGCTGCGCTCAGCACGTAAGTGACCATTGCGGCAGCCTGAGCCACTGGTGCTGCCATTAGGTGACTTAGGGAGGGTATAGCTATCCCCAGAAACCTCCCCTCCAGCACATTGTTGTAAATGAAACTCGGGATGAACTTCGGTCCATTGGCCGCTTCCAACTGGACTGCCAGCGAGGGCAAGGGTCGCTATAGCGGTAGTGAGAAGAAAGTTCTTTGCAATCATTTTTGTGTTCTGAGTGTAACGAGTTCTTGAAATGGTATGTGATAAAGGAAGATAAATAAGTCGACTTTGTAACACTCTTTATACTTCTATACCACCCAGAATACCCAGAGAAACTTCCACCTATCAAATAGTCGTGACATAGTAAGTGGGATATTTCAATACTATACAATAGAGCAAGGCGCAGGAGGTTACATTGGGGAGGGGTGGGAGGATGACATTGTTCGGTGTTTTCGGGCTTTCAGTTGTCCTGCAGTAGAGAATTAGATTCAGTAGTGTGTTCAAAACTATCCAACAAACCGGCAAACCGGCGAACCTGAGAGAGTACGAATTTAGACCCTTGCTTCTCAACTGATGGCAATCACGCATACAGAGCTGTCATCTCGTGCACACATTACATAAAATAACTTTAAAGAGCTACCTACATCAACAGGACAGAATCACCAAAGCAACTGGATATTGCATTTCAAATATTGGCGGTGTGGAGTTGATTTATGGTGAAAACAACAGGGACCCGTCTGAGCGGCGATTCCGCCCCTACGCGGGCATTTACCCGTATAGGTTTAGTTTGTAGCATAAGCCTAGTTAGAGACGTTCCCCTTATTTTTCTATTGGACTTAATTTACTGTAAAATAAAATGACATAGTTTGAAACTGCTATATAGTCTATAAAAACCATTCCATGATTCACTCGAAGCTTCCATATAAACCAGTCAAACCCACAAATAGAAAGTATCTAATAGATCTAACAAGCTGTCAACACTCTGATTACTATCATATTTCTATCTCACCATTCTATAATTACAATAGAACCTCTACATATAATTATATATAATATGACTAACTATTATAAAAATAGGCTAAGAAATATTTCTTTAAATAAACAGTTGGTGCTTTCTAAGTTCAATACGGTACAAAGCTTAAGGGTTAAGATTTAAAACCACTGATTTAAAATGAAAATAAAGATTTGAATGATACGTCTTCGCTACCCACAAATTTGGGCCAGTAAGAATATAGAGAAAGTTCTTCCCACACTGCTGCGAATAAATCGTCTCCTTCTCGGTATGGACCCCCTGATTCCGGCGTGCCGTGGACCGCTATTCACCATTGTAGAAAAATCGGATAGTTGGAGTCAGGGAAGGGCGGTCTACAATATCTTTGGCAAGGTCAGCGGTCACTTCATGCTTCTTTTTCAGTTTCAAATCAACATACGTACCATCACAAGTGCCCAAAAATAGGATTGATACGAAGTATATCCATAGTCTCTTTCCAATTCTCTGAATCCAGGACTGTATATCTTTAATCTAACGCCAGAGTTTCGAGGTAGCTCTATGCAGACGTAAGAACACTTCAGGTGTGGAAAGAGCGAAGCGGATGTATGCAGAGAGGGAATGGCAGCGACAGACACTCTTCAGGCAAAGCGTCCGTACACCTCCTTCCGCTTTAGTCAATCATCTTTGGCTTAGTCAGCGGTCGTCAAGGCAGCTTCCGCTTTAACAAGTGTACAGAAGTCGCATAACAAAACGCAAACATGAACCTCTTCTCTACCCTGTCATCTAAGTCCACTGCCTAGGAAAGGCCTTGGTTCTCACTTCAGATGGACATCACAGGGTCTTGCTCAGCTTGTAGCTGGAGCCCTGAACGTCAAGAAAATTGCCGATATGAAAGCCACGTCAAGCTATTCTACGGAGTGAGCGACAGAGGCGTGTGGTCGTTAGGTTCACACTTGATTTTGAAAGAACGGTCTAACAAGCCTCCGAACTTTGAAGCTTCGAATATCCGCTTCTTGAGAGAGAAGACTTCTATTCCTCTACCTACAGTCGTTGAAGATTGGACAGAAGAAAATGGACGCTACTTCATGTTAATGAAACGCATTCCTGGGAAACCCCTCAGCACTCTCTGGGCGGACATGCCAACAGACGAGAGAGAAAAAATAGCAAAACAAACCGCCAATTCCCTGATGCAACTTCGCAAGTTGCACTCTCATAAGATGCAGGCTCTGAATGATCAGCCAATCTTTTCTGCTTTCCTTTTCCCAAACGGTTATGGTCTTCCGCATGGGCCATTTTCATCTGACGACGAACTTTGGGTGGAGATGGATATGGCTTTGAAGGGAGTTCCCAAGGACGCTCGCTTGCGACTTCGAGAACGTATACCACCTGCAGCACCCTACACTTTTACTCATGGTGATCTTACTTACGTCAACATCATGGTCGAAAATGGCCACCTCACGGGTATAATCGATTGGGAAGCTTCTGGGTACTTCCCAGTGTGGTGGGAGTTTACCTGTTCTGGAATTGGTTTGAGCCAGGAAGACAAAGAGTGGAAAACTTTGTTACAGAAATATATGCCTGATTACACAGGTGCTCGCGAGTTCTGGTTGGATTTTTATGCCCTATCTAAGTATCCAAACTTGGATGAAAGAGGAATGGAACTGCTCAGGGATAAGGACAGAAGCAGTCCTCGAGAGATGTATTGACAATATCATTCATTTTCCCTCGATCCATATGATTCTCCAGTGATCGACACCAAGAACTGAAACCCCCTGCAACCTAACTCCAACCCCAACCCACACCCCCTTCTTTCATGCAACAGTGCGTCACGCTTGAGGATGGTGGACATGATTGGATATTATCACTGCACCCAGTGAGCCTAGGGACGAAGGTCCGAAGCCAACGAGGAACATGCCACGGAAGGAGTAGATTGAGCCATAGCTGTAGGGAGATCGCCACCGCAGAATTCGCACTTGTCTCTCCCAGATATGTAGCCTTTCCCACACTTAGGACAATTTATGTTCAATGAAAATAGATATTGATATCTGGTGCCTTTGCTATCGGCCAGAAAAGATAGATTTGGAAGATGGTTGATCAACCTGATTGTCGTGGTGTTGCGCCTTATTTATAGTAGAAGGGCTCGGTGAAATGCCGTCTACCTTCTTTCGCAACGGTAAAGCTATCACGTCTGAGAATCTTCTAGGGCCAATCGAACATTAAATTGTAACGAGGCTGATAAGGATCAATACGTACGTGGGCCCATGTCAATAACGAATAAACCTTGATATTGGTACAGGCGGACCTGCGAGAGGAACCTCCATTCGGCGGCCGGCCTTGTCAGTTTAGCTGCTTGATAGCTTTCAATCCGCATGCTGCAAGTGGAGATGGCGCTTAACATTTACATCAATATATTTAAACTAATTAATTAGTGCAGTGTTTATGCGGGTAACCCTAACCTAAACCGTAGCGGTGCTGAAAAGTGGGCCCCCAACCGCACCTACATCATTATCCTCAATACAAACACCTACACCAATTGGTACAAAGGACCGTATACAGGGAGACTCGAAGGTGGCTTCACCTCCAAAACTCTCTATTAAACCAATTCAGCCCCACCGAGGTGACTCCAATAAACACGCTAGTTTCAATGCGATTAATTCTGTATGTTATCTTTTACTAGTCTACGGTTCTTACATACTCGTTAAGTTACAAGTTTTCAAAGACCTGATATAGGATCGATAAATCAGGCGAGGCAAAGCGAAGGAATAATTTATTAGAAAATTTTCCGAAGAATCACAGTAGCAACATTAAAAAAATTTTAATTTAACTTTAAATTCATCACTCATCCCAGGCCTTCTTTTTGAAATAGATAATACTGTAGATAAATGAGTAGATTCATAGATTATTTGTGTGGTACAATAAGAAGCAGAAATCGCTTCCTGGATTGCGAAAAAGAAAGTACCGCTATTATTTCCTGTGGACAAGCTAAAATATGACCCTTCCTAAACTATGACGCTCTCACAATTTAACTAACGCTTTCAATCCCTTTGCGGCTTGTTAGGTCTTGTGATGGTCTGGACCCAGTGCCTTCTCGTAGCCTGAAAGCGCTTGCTCCTACAGTATCACTAGCTACTATAATACTTATCTAGTATATTTCTTAATCTAGGATAAGATTAAGATAATCTTTATGAAATAGGTGTCACAAGAATCGATAGCCCACAGCCAATGAATAATGTAACTACCTTGAGACTTGCTGATCATAGCAACTACTAGTAATTAGTTAATACGACACTGAAGCTACGGGTCTTCTTCTGGCTTCCGTGAGCCTTCGCGATATTAGCTGATTTCGGCAAGATGAGCCGCTTAGGGGCCATGTTTAGAATGATCGTCCCGGCTTAAGACTATTTAGGCATCGGGAAGGAATTGAGAACGGCACTACTCTAATTTGGTTAATTATATAAGATCGGGAGATCTTCCCTATCGCATTATAATAATTACCATGACCATCCCAGTTTCATTGCAAGTGGTGTTAACAAACAATTATTCTTTTATAAATACACGGAGTCATCATGAAGGTTCTATCGCTTCTCTCAATTGTCGGTCTGAGCTCCGCGGCAGCTCTTCCAGTCAGTAAGCTTCCCTGACATCTTTCTGAAGAAAATCGAAATATGTTCGATTGCTGATATATATCTGAATCTCAATAGAAGCTGGAAACGACTGTAATGTCGAAGGAAACCTGTTCATCCTGGATATTGGTGACACAGATCAAATCGTGGTCAGCGAATGGGGAAACCAAGGCACTGACTTAATCGCCCAGTTGGGCTCCGACCCCTCTGTTGGTGCAGATACACAAGACGCCCTCTTCTACATCAACAAAGACAATAACCGTCTCATCGTCCTCGATGTGTCCGACGACTTCCAACCGTCCAACGCCTACACAGACAGTCCAAATGGCGGCGAGTTGAAATTTACCTATTACAATGACACTGCCATACACCACTACTGGCCCGTTTTTGATATCAACTCGGCTGGCAATTTGACAGTCAATGGCTCAAGCAATGCTTTCAGCGTTTGCTATTCCAAGCAATCTCACTCTACAATCCATATCGGATCAACCGCTGGCAAGAACTGCACAGCCCTTGATGACCTTATTGTACATCCCCTCACTTCCCAGCTCAGCTCATAGACTTTTCTTAGACTTAGTTCTATTTGCATATTTATAATAAGCGAATATATATGCCCAGAAAATTAATATTTCTTTCTTCGTCCTTTTAAGCCACTTTAAAACTTATTTGTAAAATGATGTATAATGTATTGTAAATGTCAATGCTCGTTCACCTATTAAGACATAGATCTAATGGAATAACTTAAGTTTGAATCCAAAATAGATCGAATCAAAGGGGGTATATATAAAAATGGTGTAGGCAGTTTCGAAATAAGTCAAAAATAGATGCGGATAACGAAACCAGCTTCGCCTTTTAACCCTCTTTCTTTGAACTTAGTCCCACTTTATAGAACATAAACATCTACTAGTATAAACAACATTAGATTTAATACTAGTGTAATATTTAAGTATTATATAATTCATACTTCAAATCATGATAACACTGTATGATCTAATGAAAATATTAACTCTAAAACAGACTTACGGTGTCAAATTCGTTCTAAATAAAACAGAACAATAGAGCATTAACTCCATACATATTAAGGTATATACAAGCGCCTTGGCAGTAGGGCAGAATTAATCAAATAGAGAGTGAAAAGGTGGAGTCAGTTTCTAAACACCCGGTATCTATTCTGTGACAAAATTGTCTCTTGCGTGATTGTCACCGATGTGCAGTCTCCCGAAAATTCGATAGACGTGGAGCCGGGAAACACTTTGATAAATATAGAGAAGATAGTAAAGATAATAATGGAAATCTTCTTTAAAATGAATTGAGCGACCGATTTTAATTCCTAGAGGCTGCTCATATCCTATCTCACTCTCTAGTAATGGTCGCTTCCGCGGATACAAAGCTAGTGAGTAGAAACTAATGCCTGCTGAATTATTTTATCAAGTTATATTTTAAAGCGATTCCAAAAAGAAAAGTACTCTGAATTTTAGATATGTTTGACTCTGGCATTGTTCATCTTGTTGAATATCTGAAGATCAATAGTCGGACGAATGCTCTGATGTTAATGTTGGATTATCATCGCTTATTTGGTGAATTTCAGATATATTTGAATTGACGGGCGGCCTTATGAATATAGAATTGCTTTAACTGAGTGGAGCCTCTTTTTATATGATATATTGTTTCTCATTACCTGTATACTATCCCTCAGCCCTAATCTAACTGTTGGTAGATTGATAATTAATAGATTCATCTATCACTATACCAATTTTATTATTATTATGGCTAGTTTGCTTCTTAGCAGGATTGCAATGGGGCCGGTGTCCTAGGCTCGGTCTGTCTTTAGCTGGGTGATTAATAGCTATCTAATTCATTCTATCGCTCTTGATAACAAGTTTTAGAGGTGGTAGAGAAAGAATAATAGAAGGTTGTTCTTCAGTTTATAGATTTTCTTGATGGTTGCAAGCTGGCCGGTTGTATGTCTTATAGTTGATACATTCATCATTCTGTAGCATAGTTGCGATGGTGTCCTTTAAATAACTATCCGCTGGATTGTAAGCCTTACAACAGCGTAAGACATCTCCTCTTACTTGCTTATCATCATACTGTATAACCAAGTATTCAACAAAGTAACGAAACAAAAGAGCTATACAGCGCAAAAAACAGAGAGAGAGAGAGAGAGAGAGAGAGAGAGAGGAGGGGGGGGGAGAGAGAGGGAGAGAACCCTTGACTTTAGTAGGGATTTAGAAACAATTGAAGTGAGTAAAAGTGGGCACTGTTTTTGTAATCAAACTGTACACCAGAATAAAGGGGGCCGCTCATCCTATCATCCTTTTTTTTTCTCCCGGCCAGGGATCCTTCCTCTTTCAAATGACGGGCGTCGCAGTCCAGGGTCGAACCCCAAGCATTCAATACAAATTACAGCCAAATGGCACTCATCGAGAGTGCCATTTCCTGATTACCCAATGTAAAAGGTGAAGCGCTGGTCCGCAAAAGTCCGTTTGGGGCACTACCAGAGACGAACTGCAAAAATACCTCCGCTCGATCCAGCACGGAGCCATAAGCATCGGATGTACGGAATTTCAGCCGTGGGAAGGAAGGGCAGTTTGTGGAATTTCTTAAAAAAAAATCTATACTAATACCTTGAAACGTAACTCAACGTCGATCTAAAAGTTGTTCATGGAGATAACATACGTCAATTAACAACACTTATTCCCTAGATTGAGTCTGAAGGCTTTATCTGAGATCTTTCTCATCCTAATACACCATAATTAAACGGTATTGCAGAACCAATATGGCTGCGTCAACCGCCTTCACTACAACATACGACTAATGATGATCTCACGCTATTCCCCATCCATACGTACCACGTCGATGATAAGAAAAGAGAGATTATTTCTTCGGGTCCGTTACCTACCCTATTAGACGTTGAGAGACAGAACGTTAAAGCAATAACAACAGCGTCAATGCATCTTCTTTCCTTTTCTATGTGGAAAGAAAGTGTCGGCATAGATCTCACCAAGCAAAACCTCGAAATTGAAGAACCCTGGCAAATCGGTGTGGCTATGAATAATAATATGTGAATGCAGAATCTTGCCAAACAACTGCGGATTTCGGAGTGTAGTAGCAAAGAATCTTTTTGCTCAGATCCGTGTGATTTAGATATGGGAGCCCTCCCCATACCAATACCAATACTAATCCTATTTAATCATTTTATAATATCTAGGCGCGGAATCTCAAAGCATATATTTTAATCCGAGGTTAATTGGTATAAATGCAGATAAGGGCAATGGATCTCGTTACACCTTTCCTTTCCCATGCAAGCCAATCATACTAACGCCCTATCTAGAAGAAAAATTGCATTATGATACAATATCAAATTCGTGTCCTTTTGACAAAGGAACTGAGTATGAGAAAGTGATCTTGCTGCCAGCAGTAAGATTAGCTCCTGTTCCATGTGCTTGGGTTGGCGAAATTCGCAGGCAGCTCGATTCCCTGCGCAAGCAATTGCTTCTGCAATGCCGCGAGGTTGAGATTGGGGTTCAGAGTAGGTGGTGCCGTCGGAGGGGGGGTGGCGGTAGCAGAAGGTATCATGCCGAAGCCTAGGAGACCGGGATTGTGTGGTGCATAGTTCCCATTTGAAATAGGAGGCATCGGTGCACCTCCAAACATTGCAGCTAGTTGATTGGGCCCGGTGGCCATGCTAGGCTGAGGAGGCGGCTGAGTATTACCAATGCCCGGAAGCAGTCCAGGCAAACCACCAGCTAAAGAAATATCGGGCAGACCCTGAATGCCGGGAAGAGTCGCAGCGGTAGCCCTCTGGTCGACAAGGCCCTCTGCCTCGTCTTGAAGCTCCTGTTCTTCTTCCTCACGCATTTGTTTCCTGCCAAATCCTCGGTTCCACGTTCCTTGTGCCTCCGCAGCTTCTTCTCCGATGTGAAATCGATCAGTCATATATGCAGTCTCCCCTGGTCGGGCACGGGACCAGAAACGTGTAAAGTTATCCTTTGAGCCGGAAGCGAGTATATGTCCTAGAGGATGCCAGTGGAGAGACCAAATTGTGGAGCCATGGGCGTATTGAATGCGATGAGCAGGATATATTACTTGCGGTGGCGTATTAAGAGGGTCGTTACTGTCATATGGTGCCACGGTAGGTACTTGACCAGAGGGGAGATTCGGCTCATCCAGTAAGTAATGATATAATGAGCCATCCTCGCTCCCCGTCGAAATCAAAGAGCTGTGAACCGGATGCCATGTCAACGATGATACTGGCTTTTCATGTCCTCGAAGAATACATATATCGCGCATCATTCGCAGATCAAATATCCTGGCCGTAGAATCTCGTGACGACGTAGCTAGAAGATTGTTGTTGACTCTAGAAAATCGCGTAGTCGTGACTGTGTTTTTGTGACTGTGGAGGGTAGTCAGACATCTTCCAGTCCGGGGGTCCCAGAATTTGACCTGATGGTCCTTTGAGCCTGATACCAACAAGCCTTTAGTGGGATGCCAATCGCAGGATTTGACATCCCAGTTATGACCCGTTAGAACGGTATCACAAGCACGGGCGGTGAAGTCAAAAATCTTGAGTGTCGTGTCATCCGACGCTGAAAGGAACTTTGTGTCACTCGGGCTCCATGATAGGTCTCGCACTGCATCGTGGTGGGCATCATCAACGGTTTCGACATTGTTAAAGTTTGGTCGCCAGTACTTGACATCGCCTTTTTGTCCGCCAGAGATGAGCCAGTCATGGCTGTGTGACCACGCAGCGGATGTGACGCCGGCTTGATATTGATCGTAATGGGCCTAGTACACTAGCATCAGCGAAACGGTTCCAAGCCTACAATGCGCTGAATAAAGCTCACATCCATCACGGTCTCGAAATTAAACGCAGTTCCATTCCAAAGCATGAACTCGCCGGTATGTCCACCTGTCAGTAGGCGTCGACCTTCCGGTGTCCACCTCACCACCGTGATAGGTTTTTTCGACTTTCCGATCGATTGATGGAGATGTCGCACCGGTATCGTATCCGCAGGCGAGTGCACTCTCGCTAGTGGGGGCAGCATCTATTTCCAACCGAATCAGCATATTCTTCTCCCTGTATCGAAGCAAGAGCCAACGCACATCAACTGTATAGCTTGCGCTGGGTCTTTCGACCTCCATACGATGAGCCCCTTTGTATCTCGGCCGTCGCGTACGCATCCACTGGACCATTGACGACCCATAATCTGTGACCGGCCCTGGGGAAGTTGTCAGGGTTGCAAGATGCCATATTGAGAGCATGGATACTCACTTGGCCTCCGAGACAGCCCACCACCGCCTTCATAAGGCCTCGATGGCCGTCCCCCGTAGGACCCATCACCAGACTCTTCGTACGCAGCCATGGGGAAGCTCTGCGATGGCGGTTTCTCGCACGGGCGAGCTCATGCGAACGGTGCCGGGTCTCAGTATCGGTCGGAAGGGCAGATAACAGAATGCAGGACAGGTGCAGCTTCTAAAGACGACGGACGAGCATGGGGGAAAAAGCACAATGATTGTCGCAGCTTCCCGGGTTGGCTCAACTTGGCTGGGCGGGGACCTCCGCGCGGGCCGCAGCCTTGATTGGCTCAACAGCTGCACAGCACGGGCATCTAATCCTGGACGCGACAATAAGACGCTCAATCGCTGAACCCTCTTCGTTCTCGCCTACCCCGCCATGCGTCTCTTGATTCCTGATTCTAGTGCGCACCTCATCCTGCATTCCCTCTTGCAATGCGTTGCGATAGCAGATTGAGTCCGATATGAGTGTCATCTGCTAGTGGCGTCCTCGCTTGACCAATGCAACATTACGCTGATCTACCGAAGACTCCGGCTACAACACTATCCCCTCGCAATTCCAATCAAGCCGCTTGTCTATCCCTCCTCTTTGCCTCTTGCTGCCAGCTATCGCTAACTGGTTAAGATGGCCAGTCTCATCGAGACAGCTGTTAGCACGAGCGTCGATGTGCCTTCCATTGACATCAACGGCCACAGCAAAAGCACCAGTTCGAGTAAGGCTGCGAAGACATCACCTGCAGAGAGTCTGACTACAAAAACACCCGGGAGGAGTGTGAGAAGCAAATATCGCCATATCGCGGCATATCACTCGGAGTTGCGGACCTCATGTTTAAGCCGGGATTCTACCGTCAACCCGAGCTTCATTGGCTTTCGCAACTTGATGGTCATTGTGCTGAGTGAGTTGGTTGAGCACAAATACAGGAACAAGATGGACTGATTCTTTTGATAGTTGTGATGAATCTCCGGCTGATTGTGGAGAACTTTATGAAAGTGAGCTTCCACTTGTTCCCTTGAAGTTTCCGTGATCTCACAATACTCTAGTATGGGGTCCTCATCTGCATCAAATGCCATGATTATCGCAGAAACGACGTATTCCTGGGATCGATACTGTTTGCACTTGTTCCGTGTCATCTTTTCGTTGCATATATAATAGAGCTAGCTGCTGCACAGCAGGCCAAAGGCGCTGTGGGCCGGACGAAGAAGAGTCACGACCAAGCAGCAGAGTCCGAAAAAGAACGACGAGCATTTCAATCGACCTGGCGCCTCATTGCCTTTGCGCATACTGTTAATGCTACCCTCTGTCTTGTGGTGACTAATTTTGTTGTATATTATTATATTCATCACCCGGGTATTGGTACTATTTGCGAATTCCACGCTATCATCGTGTGGCTCAAGAACTGCTCCTACGCCTTTACGAACCGTGACCTCCGTCATTCAATGCTACATCCCTCCGAGCAATCGAAAATCCCTGAAATTTATTCAACATGTCCCTATCCCAAGAATGTTACCGTTGGTAATCTAACTTATTTCTGGCTGGCCCCGACACTGGTTTACCAGCCAGTATATCCTCGTACCCCGCGCATTCGGTGGAGTTTTGTCGGAAAGCGTCTTGTGGAATTCGTGGTATTATCAGTTTTTATCTGGCTCACATCAGCTCAATATGCCGCACCCGTCCTTCGGAATTCTCTCGAAAAAATCGCAGTATTGGACTTCACATCTATTGTCGAGCGAATAATGAAGCTTTCGACTATTTCCTTGGTCATCTGGCTTGCTGGATTCTTTGCGCTCTTCCAATCATTTTTGAATGCACTAGCTGAAGTGATGCGTTTTGGTGACCGCGAGTTCTATTCGGATTGGTGGAACAGTTGGAGTGTCGGCATGTACTGGCGATCCTGGAACAAGCCTGTATACTTGTTCATGAAGAGACATATATTTTCTCCCCTAGTTGGGAGAGGCTGGAGCCCGTTCGCGGCTAGTGCCATGGTTTTCCTATTCTCTGCCATTCTACATGAATTGCTTGTGGGAATTCCCACGCATAACTTGATCGGTAGGTATACCATTCATGGTTTTCTTCACAACAGAGCTGACTAGTTCGTAGGCGTGGCCTTTGCGGGTATGCTGCTACAGCTTCCACTGATAACAGTCACTTTACCGTTGGAAAAGAGGGATGACCCTACTACCAGAATCATTGGGAACTCGGTGTTTTGGGTGAGTTTCTGTTTAGTCGGGCAGCCACTGGGGGCGCTCCTGTACTTTTTTGCTTGGCAGGCGAAATATGGCAGTGTCAGCAAGCTGGAGAATTGACCTCTATCTCGCGATGGTGGCAGTTGGTGATGCGTTGGGGATTGACTGTTGAAAGATAATTGTTAATGCGACGCTGATATATGTTGATTCAATATGCGTGCTTCCATATACTTTAAAGTATCAATTGATCAGGTGATATGACGGTTAATTTAAATCTAGCTCTACCTTCACTTTCAGGAGAGAAAACAGGCACTCGAGAAATCTAATAAACATGAAATTCTCGATCTGGGTTGAACCAGTTTGTGTGGTGCAAGTGTTGGTTATTGCACCCGATTTTAGCGCCATGACGTTTGTTCCTTACGGATAACGCCATTAGCCCTTATTGATTTGCTGTCTATTTAATATGCAGGGTAGCTATAATACTCTATAAAAGCACCGTCAATTCCCTTTCATTCCCAGCAACCATCATATTCTCTGTAAATCTGGAATACGAGCCTTGGCCTGAAAAATTGTCGTATTTGCTCCCAAAGGCTAGAAAGGGTCACGTCGGGGGAACCAATTCTCCCGAGAGCCGAAATGGAGTTGCCAAAGCGCCGCAGGAGGACACATATATCTTAGATATCTGTGTACATCTGCTCCATTGCTGCATGCGCAAGCACACTGATTTCAACATTTGAAGCATTTGAAGTCAACTGAATTCGATCAAAAATCTCCATTTCAATCATGGTTTCAATTACTGTCCCAGACAACTATGGGTAAGCAGAACCATTTGTTTTAATTCCCCCTACGTCATTAAACACTGCTGGGAGAGATCAATTGATGGACGAATTACCGTATTAACCCCTTGCTCTGCGCAGTGCCGTGATCGCCCTCGCCCTCGGCGCCATTCCTTTCCTGTCCTTCATGCAAGGCAACGTCGTGACAACGCTTCGTAAAGACGCGCGAGTTCCGTACCCTCACCATTATGCCACGCAGGAACAGTGCAAGACCAATGTATGTAACGTCTCCATGAACCGCCAGCGTGATTACGAAGTGATTCACAAGCTTACCCTCCATACTCTGCAGCCCAAGGCCGAGCAATTCAACTGCGCCCAGCGCGCACACGGCAACCTGCTGGAGAACATGTCGCAGACGATGCTGTACATCCTCGTTGCGGGTTTGAAATGGCCCCGTGCCACTACTGCCATTGGACTCGTGTGGTTGGTTTCGCGCATGGCTTATGCTTATGGTTATATTTACTCGGGCAAAACCTCTGGTCGAATGTATGGAGCCTCGTTCTGGTTATGCCAGGGCGCTCTCTGGGGCATGTCGGTGTTTGGGGTTGGTGGCGAGTTGCTCAACTTCTTCTAAAGCAGGGGCGTAATCTCCTGGAGGGTATTCGAGAACTGTCTCAGTAATTGGATGGATATGTGCAGTAATAATAATAATAATAATAATAGCTGCGTTATTATATACATCATCATGCCTTATCGGCTGCGATAAGCTTTGTCTGTTACAGTACCTTGTCCCGCGTCACCTTTTTTCTTGTACACACCACCAAGAATTCCCAGCCAACTCAATTCATCTCTTCATTATTCAGTATTGATTCATCTCTGCCTAGTCCTGGAAGTTTTCTTCCTATCTCATAGGCCTTGCTGTTACCTCTCACGATCTTGGAAATAGCGGAAGTCAAAGACTTAAAAATTTATCCGGCTGTACCCCTCGCCCGGCAGCATGTCCTCCTCGTCACGACAGCCGTATGGCGCCCGCGCCAAAAACCATCCTAGTCCCCTCGTCCGCAAGCTGTTCGAAGTTGCCGAAGCGAAGAAGACAAATGTGACTGTTTCAGCCGACGTCACAACTACCAAGGAGCTCCTTGACCTAGCTGACCGTACGTTCACAGATGATCATTCTCATTCCAACCAACCCCCGAGAACAAACCGCAGGCGTAAAGAAATTCTAATCTCATTTCTTACTAGGACTCGGACCGCATATCGCCGTAATCAAAACCCATATCGACATTCTATCTGACTTTAGCGAAGAGACTACAAAGGGTCTGAAGCAGCTAGCGGAGAAGCACAATTTTCTCATTTTCGAAGACCGCAAATTCATCGACATCGGCAATACAGTGCAAAAGCAGTACCATGGCGGCGCATTACGGATATCAGAGTGGGCTCATATTATCAACTGTAGTATTCTTCCTGGTGAAGGCATCGTGCAGGCTCTCGCGCAGACAGCCGCTGCGAAGGATTTCCCTTATGGGCCTGAGCGAGGGTTGCTTATTCTCGCTGAGATGACGTCCAAGGGTTCGCTTGCGACAGGTGCATATACAACCAGGTCGGTGGACTATGCGCGGCGCTACAAGGAATTTGTCATGGGCTTTGTCTGTAATAGATCACTGACCGACGAGCAATCTACCGAGACAAGCAAAGGCGAGGACGAGGATTTTGTCGTATTCACCACAGGTGTCAATCTTTCGTCTGCTGGAGACAAACTCGGTCAACAATACCAGACGCCGCAATCAGCTGTGGCACGAGGAGCAGACTTCATCATTGCCGGACGCGGGATCTATGCTGCGCCGGATCCTGTTGAAGCAGCTAAGCAGTACCAGCAGCAAGGATGGGCGGCCTATCTTGCAAGAGTGGGCTCTCAGTAATTCACATTTACGTAGTATTTGAAGCACAAAAGTTCGACCTATATTTATACCAATCTGATGTTTACTCAATCTACGTCTTCTCATGCTAGAATCTGACAGGAAACTCTGTCGGAAAATTCCGACTTTCGGTATTTAGCAACGAAGCCAACTGAATATAAACACGAGTCAATGAATTGGACTGCGACTAGCAATCATAGCAATAATAAGCCATAATATACTGCTCAGTGCTTACGGTCGAGATTGCTTCGGCGGGGAAGTGGAGCCTGCTCTCAGCGCTATAAAGACTTATCAGTGAGCACTACACAGTTCTCCAACTTGGTTACCTGCCGTTTTGGGCCGAGCATTATCTGCCCCCTCATTCCCCCTTTATCTTTCTTGGGCTGTGCAACACCACTACGGTCTACAAGTCGTGACGAACCGTCCAAAGCTCCGTGCTCAGACTGGCGATACGAGGACACGTCGGCAAATCACCGACATGTCCGGTATTGGGCTGCAGCCTGCAGCTGTCACCCAGAATCTGGATGGCTGCAGAAGAGATAAGCAACGAGACTATGCATGAGCAAAATACCAACCGCAACACTGCATATGACATAACGGGACTGGTGTTCCTTGATGGAGCTTGGTGCTGCCGATGACAATACTCTTCTTATCTGTGCGGGGAAGGGATCGGCGAAGGGATAACATCACCTTTCCCCCCAGTCGTCGCGACACAATAAACATACCATGTTAGTAATGCATTAATTCTCAACCAACCAAGGGCAGAGGAAAGGCTGGTCGTGAATTGTATCAAGATGTCTGCAACTGAAGAGAAATCGCCTGTGGATGTCGAGAAGAATAGTGCACCTAATAAACACATCGACTCGCAAATTATCAAGCACTCCCACGATGCCGATGAAGCTCTGAAAGCCTTTCAAGGCATCGAGGGCCAAGTTATTACCGTCGATGAAGCGACCAATCGGCGACTACTGAGGACCATCGATTGGCATCTGATGCCGATTATGTGCCTTGTGTATGGCATGAATTATTTGGATAGTATGGTCTTGATTCATGGCGAATTCGACTGTCGTTAACACGAAGCAGAAACAACCATATCGTACGCGAGTATTATGGGCCTAAAAACCGATCTGAAACTTGTCGGAAATGACTACCAGTGGCTGGGCAGCATGTTCTATTTTGGTATGTCTATATGCTTGTCTAATCTTGACCTTGGTCTCACTGCCCAGGTTATTTGGGCTGGGAATTTCCTACCACCCAACTCCTCCAGCGGCTGCCCCTAGGAAAGTACTCTGCGATTTGTATTATTCTATGGGGGTTTATTCTGGCGTGCTTTGCGGGGGTCTCGAATTTCGGGGGTGCGGTAGCCATTCGATTTCTCCTCGGCGTTTTTGAAGCTGCAGTTACGCCTGGATTTGCTCTCCTGACCTCGCAGGTACGGTTATCTTCATCGCTTGTAAAGCTTTGTGCTGATGTAATCGCAGTGGTGGACGAAGAAGGAACAGGGCCAGCGTACGGGAATCTGGTTCAGTTTCAACGGCGTGGGCCAAATTGTCGGGGGACTGATCGCATACGGCATCGCTGTCGGAACGCGTGAAAACGGCTCCTCAATCGCACCGTGGAAGATTATCTTTCTCGTAACTGGATTATTGACCATCTGCCTCGGATTCTGCTTCCTCTATCTGATCCCGGACAACCAACTGAATGCACGGTGGTTGTCCCAAGACGACCGGATTCTGGCAGTCGAGCGAGTCCGCATCAATCAGCAAGGAATCGGAAATAAACATTTCAAATTTTACCAATTCAAGGAAACATTGCTAGACCCGATGACGTGGGGGTTTGTTTTTTATGCTCTGGTTGCTGATATCCCGAACGGCGGGATCAGCAATTTCTTCAGTCAATTGGTGCGCATTACATCCAATTCTTTTACGAAGAAAGTGACTAATCGTCACTAATCTATCCAGATTGTCAGTTTCGGCTACACCCCAGAGCAGAGTTTACTCTACGGCACACCTGGTGGCGGTGTCGAAGTGATTGCGCTGATCGTAAATGGCTTTCTGGGGGACTATACCGGCCAGCGTATCCTCTGCAGCATGGGCGGCCTAGTGTGTTCCATTGTCGGCATGGTCCTCATCATCGCCCTGCCATTGACCAACAAGGTTGGCAGATTGCTCGGCTACTACATGACACAAGCAAGCCCAACACCCTTCGTCGCGATCCTATCCCTTATTTCGTCCAACGTCGCGGGATACACCAAGAAAACAACCGTTGCCGCTCTCTATCTTATTGCATACTGCGTAGGAAATATCATCGGTTCGTCCCCTCCACCTTCATCTCGATCTTTTTTTTGCATCCGAATAATGTAATAACGGATTCTAACCTCCCCAGGCCCCCAGGTATTCCGGCCAGGCGACGCCCCGCGCTACGTCCCAGCTGAAATCACCATTGTGGTATGCTATGGGGTCGCTCTTATTGATCTGGCGTTTATATGGTGGTGGTATCAAAGACAGAATAAAAAGAAAGCAATGATCAGGGCGAGTGCGGAGTATGTGAGGATGGAGAATCAAGAGTATGTTTATCAATTAATGTTTGTGAGCATATGCTAACTGGAGTAGGTGGCTTGATTTGACGGATAGGGAGAACCATGAGTTTGTTTATACGCTTTGATTTGATTCTATGAGATTGTGATGAATGTGATGAATAATTAGCAAGATTTGAATTGGTGAAGGCTTCTCTGATATTCCGAACAATGTTTTCAATTTAATGACAGTAACGTTAAACAAGCACATTGCTTCTATTTACGGTTATCTTTTGATTACCCGATTTGGAAGGGTACCAATTATCTAGCCACCGCCTTTAAAAACGGCAGAATTATCTAAACCCCCAATCTACCTCACCGCCTTCCTTTCTAGAATTTTTTATCTATCTTTATCACCGTCAAAAATCTCACCTCGTCTTCACGAGTATACTGAAAAAGCCCATTCAAAACGTCAAAATGGTCCGCCAACTCAAACACCACGAGAAAAAGTCCATCTCCCATATCCCCTCTCCAACAAAAAACCTTACCAACTAACCCGAATATCCACCCAGACTCCTCCGCAAAGTAAATTTCATCACCTACAAATCCGACGGCAACCACCGTGAACACGCCATCCGCGCACGCTACTACCTACAAGGCTCCCTCGATTATCAGAAATACAGTCAAATATGCGGCAAACTCCGGTCGCTGGCCCACAAACTCTCAACCCTAGACCCGGACGACGCCTACCGCAGAAAAATTGAAAGCCAGATGTTAGAAAAGTTGTGGGCGATGGGCATCCTCAAGCAGAGCCGTGAGCAGGGCGCCGGATTGTCGGTTGTGGAGCGCGAGGTTACGGTGTCCGCGTTTTGTAGGCGGCGGTTGGGCGTGTTGATGACCAGGAATGGGATGGTGGAGGATGTGAAGACGGCTGTTTCGTTGTGAGTTTCTTCTACCGAGGTTTTTTTTGGGGGGGAGGGGGAAGAGGGTGTGCTGATAGGGGTAGGATTGAGCAGGGGCATGTGAGAGTTGGGACGGAGGTGGTTAATGATCCGGCATTGTGAGTGTGCTAGTACTGTAAGAGACTTGGTGGGATGACTGCTAATATGGTTATGCTAGTCTTGTCACGAGAAGTATGGAGGATTTTGTCACCTGGGTCGATTCGAGCAAGATTAAGCGGACGATCATGAAATATCGGGATAATCTCGACGACTTTGATTTGATGGCTTAGGTTTCGATTTTTTTTTATATTTGCATAGCGAGGTGTTGGGAATTTATGTTTTATATGGAATTAGTGAAGTGAGTGTCAATTTTTCAATCACTATGTACATGTCATGGCAAGTCATAAATAGTATGCAGCTGGGTATCATCAACGATGTATGCAGTAACTCCGTGTTCTGTATGCGAATCGAAATCGTCAAACTAGAATCGAATCTTACGTTTGTTGTTAGTATTAGTGTGGAAATTATTAGCGATTTGTGGCAGCTAAAAGCAAGACCATTTCCGCTTCTCGAGCTTTGGACCAGATGTAAGCCCGTCAGTTCTCTGATCCAACTCCTCCTTTTCGTCCGGTATATCCATACGGAAACGTCGCACGCTGCCTTCATAGTTGGGTTTCCCGTCTTCACGGGTCTCGAAGAACGGTGTTCGCGAGTCTGACGAGTGGAAGCAGCGAGGCGTGATTCGACGCCAGATCCGACGAATGCCCTTGTTTGACCGATCAATGGCTTCGTATTCGCGTCGACGGGTGCTGGGTGATGTCCAGTCGATCACAGTCGCGGGGACAGGGTCGTATGGGGTCTGATCTGGCTCTGAGTGAACATTGCTCATTCGTCGAAGCCGGCGGACGGATAGTAGATCTTCCTCGGAGATGTCGCCGTCATGGAGGAAGCCAACAGGGAACGAATGCGAGCGTTGGGATTGCATGATAGGTGACATGGCCGGGGAAGTAGCTGTAGACTGGGGGTAGGTTTCATCGTGAGATGTTACTATCGGGTCGGCAGCCATCCCGATATCTTGGAATAGTCGACAGCTATCTCGATGCAAGGCCAACAGCTCGTCCCGTTTTTGCGATGACATCTGGATGCTGTTATTGCGTGATGGGCTGGCGGGATGGTTTGTTTTGACAGATGCGGTCCCACGGCGCTCTCTTCTCGAGGTTCCAGCAGTACTCGAGGATGGCGACCGAGGCGCGCGTTGAGAAGTCGATGATGCCCGTGAGGGAGACGTTTTTGATTTTTGGGTTGCTTTATTTTCGGGCTGATTGTTTGTACTGTCCGAGGACCCAGTCGACTGCTTTGGATTAGGGGCTGCCATGCTGACGGGGTCCTCGCTGTCTGAGGAAATGTCGATGACTTGGATGGCGCTGTAGAAGGTCTTGGTGTCTGAAGTATCAGTCAGACACGGTGAGAGCGAGGCGGCGGTGGTGTTGTCGACCAGCGTCTTCCATGCCGCGCTGCCGTGATGAGCTGTGGCAGTGAGATACTGGGGGTTGACAGAAACAGGAGGCGAATACGGTTTATCTGTAAGATGTATGGCGAGGAGGCTATGATGAGGGTGATGATGCATGTGAGGCGGTTTGCATGTGAAAGGGAGGAGCGCCATGCGATCTGCACATGCCGCACGTAATAATATCCCAATAGCAGGTATGCACGTAGTGAGTGCCCGGTCAATAGAATGATTGGTATTTAATGTTATCGCCTATTTATCGAGCCAACCAGAGTTCGTGGATGGCGCAGCGATGTATAATCGAGATGGGTTGAACTTGAACCCTTGGAAAAGAAAACAAGGAAAGGACAGAATAGAACAGAAGAGAGAAAAAAGAACAAGAAATGCGAGGATGAGCCGAATAAATCACTTGATAAGCGATCACAAGAGAGGCAGGAGGCAGGGCAGGACCGGCAAGAGCCAAAACCGGAAGGAGTATGCCCTGCTTTGCATACAATTTATTGACTACTTGCTACTTTTGCACGCACTGAGGGGTCAGAACCTTAAACACACTCCACGCCGTCGTCCCTCCACAGTCACACCGTCTCGTTCTCCTCCATCGCACGGCTTTTGATCGAGTCTTGCCACTGCTGCTTCTAGCCTAGTCTCGGCGTGATTTGCGAGACGTTGAGAGGCTGGAGCGAATCGCCATGCCCAAAGTAGAGCCCGTGCTCACTTGACCGCAACAAAATGGGAGCCCGCTGCCAGCATGGCAATAACCCACCAACATAGGATCAATTAGTGAACAGGAATTCTAGCGCCGTCCCTTGCAGATCGGCGCCTCTGTTTCACCGCGGTCGCCTCCCCGTCTGCAGTTCGCATCGCCCTGCATCTGCACTGGGTCTGGCTTATTCTTGTCTGTCTAGACTGCGACTTGCTACATCCTGAAGTTGACGGCAAGCAGCGACTCTTCTGGCAAGATGAAGCATTCTCGGGGTTTGGTCCGTGTCACTGAGGGGTCAGTCATGTGGGTGTGTCCAAGTGTCCAAGGAATGCAGCATCCCCACCTCAAGCTTGGCGCGACATTTTCACCGCGATCCATCACCATCCATTTCTGAAGCGGTGAATCACAATCCGACCGCTCGCCATGTGGCTGTCCGAAATCGGCTTGTCTAGATCGCTGCCGGTGACCAGTCCGTCCGTACTATGCTATCCTAAGATTCAGAATGGTGCAGCGGAAATCCCGCCGCCCAGTGGAGTTCCCAGCGGCTCCTCCCGATGTCACTTGCACTGTCCTCGATGCTACATCTGAGATAATACATCCTTGATTTACACTGGGCCGGTCAGCAATCACCTAGCCTTGTAAACAACCCATTGATCTATAATTAGATATGTCCAGAGCACGAGAGAATAGAAAGACGGAAGAGAAGAAAGAATAACGCTGTCGGCAGCTATTACTACTTAGAAGTCGGTTGTCTTTAGCTTCAGGTTAAACCCGTCTTTGATTTCTTCCATCGCCATGATAGGGTTGATATTTCGCTACTCTTTTCCCATGCCTTTTATCAACTTCCCTGCGCTCTCACATCAGTGGAAAATTCGAGGATAAACATGTAATTATTGACACGACAACTATACAAGTACTATTGCACTACCACTTAAATACCCCGCAACGAAATGGTCTTTTTTCTACAGCCGAGTTGCCACTTTGAAACTATTGCTTAGCGTTTACTTTGAGGCCATGTTGACAGCTGCTATCGAAGGTGACAACAAGGAAAAGTCGGCTCCTCACCCAGATAGTCATGAGGGAAGAGAAGCTAGCACCAAACCGCTAACAGCCCAGAAGTAGTTTCCAAGCTTGTCAGTGTGAACTTCATGATGTTTGTGATTAGAATGAATAGCCATGACATGGTTATTTCCTCCGTGGGCCGAATCCGAAAATTGACATTTAGGTGGACTCTCACGTGCTGCTACCAGAGTGTTAATACCGTACATTCATCCAGCATACCACATCGGTCTTTTGCTAGTATGGATTGTCTACCTATCGAATTTTCTAGGATGGCTATTTGCTTCCTTCACCAATATCAATCTTAGCTTGCGGATAGACACTGGTGGATCTTTGATCGTTGGTACTCTCGTTCAGGGAATCGCGTTCGTCCTCATATGCTGGAAACCGCTGTTTCCTCTATTTGCCATCGCCTTTTCCTTTGCCGGCGCCGGAGCTGGATACCAGGATGCGAAGACATATGTCTTCGTTACTGGTTTGCACAACACCCATCGTTGGCTGGGACTTCTCCATGCTGTCTATGGGTCCGGCGCGACCATCAGCCCGCTTGTTGCGAATGCCATCGCATCTAATACCCTCTACTGGAACTATTACTACCTAGTTACTCTCAGTTTAGCCGTTCTAAATACATGCCTAGCCGCATGCTCATTTCGTAAGTGTCTTTTCAGACCAATTACCGAGAGAGCCAAAAACACTACGGGGACAGAGCTGAAACGAGGAAGAACCGTACCATCTGGATACTCTGTTTATTTTTCTTCGTCTATGTGGACGCTGAGGTTACCACTGGAGATCCGTATTGAAATTCCCTTTTTTTTGGACTATTACCGACCAAAAGTCAAAGCTTGGCTTGTGGAATATGTTATTGTCATAAAAAAGGGCAATCCAAGCAAGATTGGATATGCCGAAACTGGATTCTGTGCCGGTCTCACACTCGGAAGAATTTTCCTTGCTGACATTACGGAGAAATTTGGCGAGAGACTTATGATTCTCGTATATATTTTAATATCAATTGGATGCCGGTTGATGATCTGGTTTATTCCCAATATTAGTACGAACGCTGTAATCGCTAGTCTTTCAGATATACACATTATACACCGACTACAAGAACTTTCTCGGTTTGATTTTAGCTATTATTAACGTTGCTAACAGGGTTTTTTCTCGGCCGCTTTTTCTCGTGGGTTTGTCGGTCATGATAGAAAAATTGTCTCTAGAACTGTATATATAGGAGGAGTAGGTAAGAGGAAAAGAGACGCCACATATATCGAGAAGTTGACCAAGTTGTCCGATTTTGAAAGGTTTACGGCGAGCATAGTTTCAGCTGGATCTGCTGCGTTTCCTTTTATCACCGGCGCTATAGGATCTACGGCCGGGGTTAAAGTTCTGCAGCAGGCCGGTGATGGTAGGGCTTCTCGGCGCAATGTCGGTGTTTTGGATATTGGTGCCTAGAAATCAAGCGAGCTAGTAGAAACTGAAGAAAATTCGATACTAAACAATACTGGACTAGTGCTCTATCTCACTAAAACTGATATTTCCAATGTTGCACGAGCAAAAGGGAGATTAGGGCTCGGGCGGGCAAGCGGGTATTTCTTATTTTCAACCTTCCGTCACAATTCTTCTGGTCATTGCTCGACCAGCAAAATTGAAACACTATCATCCCTCGAACTCGGCCTTAACTTACCATGGCTCAATAATACTCATAGTGGATTACCCCTTTTTCAATATCTTGTTCTTGGCAATTAGTACGGTAGGGCAATGAACCGGTTCCCTGCCACACGAGTCAGGCAACAACATTTCAACCTCCCCTGGACCGGACCGCACTAAAGCAGGAAACTCCAACAGTAAGTATAGAGTTATCTATAGCTAGCCGATTTGATTTAATGTGCCGCCCCACTTGATGTCATCACTGGTCGAATAATGTTTATACCTGCAACATGTGCCCCGCTCAGAAATGTTGCTGGCTAGATATAGTGGAATAGAAAGAATGGTACCTGAGCAATTGTCCAATAACCGGCTTTGATGAGGTGAAAGCTGTAGCTTAGCTGCTCGAAAGACTGGCCCAAGCTCCTTATAGGGCTCAATAGCTCTGGTCTAGTTAGACTAGATATATGCCGTGTGGCTGAGCAGACCAGTTCCATACTGAAACAACTTGAGAAGGTGAGGGAGATGGAGATTATTCAAGGGGATGAAACCAGAAAATATGAGAAGCAGGCAGACACATTATTGAGAACCTCTCTGTGCAGTGGATATAAATACCGGGAAGGCTGCGACCTGATCTCAGACAATCACGCTCAGAAGCTCTCTATCATAATCAATCAGCATGTCAGGACGACCCCAGAATGTGGGCATTAAAGCCCTGGAGATCTACTTCCCGAACCAGGTATGATGCTTTGTACATATGTACCTTGGCATATATATCTCGAACATTACTAACAAGAGCTATGTAGTATGTCGACCAGACAGACCTCGAGAAATACATGGGTGTAAGCGCCGGAAAGTTCACCCTCGGACTTGGGCAAGCCACCATGGCATTCTGCGACGACCGCGAGGGTAATTTTATTATCCACGGGTTCGGGGGGTAGCTCACTAACCTTATACTTATAATCAGACATCTACTCCATCCTCCTAACAACCGTTTCCTCGCTCCTAAAAAGATACTCCATCTCAGCAACATCTATCGGCCGTCTCGAAGTCGGCACAGAAACCATCCTCGACAAAGCCAAGTCCTGCAAATCCGTGCTGATGCAACTGTTCTCGCCTAGCGGCAACAACGACATCGAAGGCATCGACACCATCCATGCCTGCTACGGTGGCACAAACGCACTCTTCAATGCCGTTAACTGGATTGAGTCGAGCTCCTGGGACGGCCGCGACGCTATCGTCGCCATGGGCGATATCGCGCTGTACGATACCCCGGCTGCACGACCAACAGGCGGTGTTGGATGCGTGGCAATGCTGATTGGACCTGATGCTCCCTTGGTGGTTGAAGGAAGCTCGAAGACGAGTTGGATGCAGCATGCGTATGACTTTTACAAACCCGATTTTGGACGTGAATATCCCGTGGTGGATGGCCATTATTCGAATACTTGCTATCTAACCGCTCTGGAGGAGTGCTACCGGGGTTATCAAGCCAAAAAGGAAAAATCAACAACTGGAGAACAACCCCTAAGCAATAGGCTGGATGCATTCGATTACATGATCTTTCACGCGCCGTACTGCAAGCTGGTAGCCAAATCCTACGCGCGACTCTTATACCAGGACTATCTTCACAACCCTAGCAGCGCCGTCTTTAGCGATGTCCCCGCTGGCATCAAGGAGATTGACCATGAAACCTCGCTCACGGACAAGACCATCGAAAAGACATTCGTCGCCCTGTCCAAGGCCAACTTCGCAACTCGCGTGCAGCCATCGCTGACTGCAGCCACGTTGTGCGGAAACAGCTACACGGCGAGCGTGTACTCATGCCTCATCAGCTTGATCTGCAACATACCCAGCCCGCGGCTTCAAGGCGCCACGGTGGGAGTATTCAGCTATGGCGGGGGCTCAGCGAGCACATTGTACACGATTCGAGTCCGGGGCGACGTGGACGTGGGTGGAATTGCGGAGAAAATTGATCTCCATCGTCGACTTGAGGGTAGACTTCGGGTGTCGGCTGAGGAATATAACCAGGTTCGTACGCCGCACATGAAAAAAGAAAAAAAAAATTAAATGTTTTCCCATTCTGTCCCTAACTACTAACACGGAAATACAGGCATGTACCCTCCGCGAACAAGCCCATCAGCAAAAGAGCTTCATTCCCAAAGGCTCCATCGATCGTTTGTCCTCGGGTACGTACTATCTAACCGAGATCGACGAGGCTTTTCGTCGCAAGTACGCCGTCAAGGAATCCAACTAGGCATATTCCATTCATGGAGGAAGTTACTGCCGATTACACTGCATGCCAATAATAGAAAAGCTTGTATGGACTAGATGTAGCTTGCGTTACAAAGCAACCCCTCTTTCTTTTCTTTTTTCTCTTCTGATATCGATCTGCCGCCGAGAAACTCCGTAGTTTGTATCGAGATGCTGCAGAAAAATACATACCTACGTACGTACGTACATGTACACTAATATGACAAAAGTGTGAATATAGTATGAAGACTTTCTATCTATCTTTCATCTGCATTTACATCAATTTATGTCAGATTAATTTTAGGCTTCAAATGTTCTGGGGGCGGGGGGGCTTAGATAACGCAATAAAGTTCAAATATTATTAAATCTCGATATGGGGGACAGCTGATGTCCTGAAGCCAATCCACTTTTATGCTACAATGTTCAAACTTTTGTCATCTTAATGTACTCGTGAAGTAGAAATAACCGAATAACCCTAAAATTTATCAAAATACGGATCTGGACACCGTCATCACATGCATGCATGCATAGCATGACGCACGTTCCAGTCGTCTAATTATTCACTCTCACTTTCATGTGGAGAATCCACAGAGACTACGGGACTTCCCGTGTCCAGTATTAAACAATTACAGCCATTCCTGCTGCGTTTTCGTCCTGTTGATGATGGCCAAGCTTATTCTCGGGTAGAGTCGTGACAAGTTGGGGTGTAAGTCTGGGGTAGTTAGGAGATGCCGAGGCTCGAAAATTACATAGTGCTTTTGATTATATCCAGAGACTAGTGTAGTGTATCTAATACCAAGAAATAGAAGGGTATTGTAGCGTCAATATCGTATCCCAATAATCCAACAATGCAAGAACCCACTGAGCCTGTGCTACACAATGCCCATGCCCGAAACAACTAGTCCAAAACGTTAACGACCGAAACTAATTCTATGGTCGATGCAACTAAGCGCAACCACCTCTGGTGTCGCGAAATGTCCCGATAGATCATCTTATCCTTTTGCTTTCTTCTGTTTTATTTACAGTTTAGCGTGCTTGTCCTCCTCTAGCCCATTGGCAAAGTAGCTATTGCCGTTTGGGAATGGACGCCCGATGGATGACAGTAGAGCGCCTACTTCCCGTTCAAGCGAAGCAACCTCTGAGTGAGGACTATACATGCGGGTGCGGATCCAGGCATCCAGGTCAGCATCGCTCAGCCCATGGATGCCAGTCTCCCGATCAACCTTGGCTTCCTGGGCCGCACGGATCACATGTCGTGCGACAACAACGCTCACGTCCCGGATTCTCGTGATATCGGGATATAGCAGACCCCGAGCGAGTTCTTCCGAGGTCATACAGTGCGCGAGAGCTTCGCCAGAGGCGAAGATCATGCTATCCGTGACCTCAACAGATTTGGAAAGAATGGTTCCTAATCCAATACCAGGAAACACGTACATGTTGTTACCTTGACCACCGTAGTGGATCTTGGTTTCACCCGCAGAATTGGTGAACGTAACGGGAAGGAATGGAGAACCTGAAGCAAACAATGCCCGGCCATCAGTGTGTGTGATTGCTGCTTCCAGGTCGCATTCAGATTGTGATGAAGGGTTCGACAGAGGGAAGATAATTGGCTGTTCATTCCACTGAGCCATCTTCTTCAAGATTTCCGGCGTAAAAACACCGCCTAGAGTGGAAAGACCCATCAACATCGTCGGTTTCACGTGGTCAATAGTCTCTTCCAAGGTCTTGAATTGCTGGCCATTGTTGTCCTTGCGGGCAAAGTAGACTTTGTGGTCCGCAAGGCGGTCTCCACGGTCCGCGGTGACAAGGCCCTTAGTGTCAACCAGATAAAAACAAGCTTTGGCCTCATCTTCAGTCAAGCCTTCGCGAACAAAGTAGTCAACAATTTGCTTAGCTACACCGACACCAGCACTTCCAGCTCCCAAGAATACAGCACGCTGATCTTTGGGAGGAACACCAGACCGTTTTACGGCGTTCATGACTCCTCCCAGGATGACGGCCCCAGTCCCTTGGATATCATCATTGAAAGAAGTATATCTGTGACGGTACCGCTCAAGAGCAGGGAATGGGTTTTTGAAGTCTTCAAACTGAATGACGATGCCAGGCCAACGCTCGGTAAGAGCTGCCATAAGCTCGTCGAGGAACTCCTGCTCTTCCTCCGGTGACACCTTATCTCGTCGACTGCCCAAGTACAAGGGGTCTTCACGAAGAGTTTTGTTGCCTGTACCCAAATCCAAGGTCAACGGAAGAGTAGCCTCGGGACGAATACCAGCACAAGCGGTATACAAAGCAAGCTTGCCAATAGGGATCCCCATGCCATTAATGCCAAGATCGCCGAGACCAAGAATGCGGGAGCCATCGGTGATCACAGTGATTTCGACAGTAGGTTGCGGCCAATTTGATATCACAGCAGCGATATTGCCCTTATCTTCGTAGCTCAAGTACATGCCTAATAAAATCAGTTTCTGCTATACGCCATGCAATCCAGCACTTAGACTGACCTTCTGGCTGTTGGTAGATCTCAGACCATCGCTGGCATGCCTCGCCGACAACTGGGGTGTAGATGAGAGGGGTCAATTCCTGAATGCAATTAGAACGCGGTGCTCTTTATTATTGGATTACTGTATAGCTCACTCGAATGTGATCCGTGATGAGACGGTAGAACAGGTGGACATTATTTTTGCGGATTGTGCTCAGATAGAGGTATTTATCAATTGCGGTCTGCTTTAAAGCGAGTTGTGCCAGACCTAGGGTAGATCAGCAGGAATTCTTTTTTGGGCAACACTATAGGTACGCACATCTCGTCTTCTGGGTTTCGTAGCTCTCTGCGCGAGGAGGCGTGAGACCATATGTGCGGAGGTATTTGCGGATATAAGGGGGGTTGGCGGTATCGAAGGTGCCTTCTCTATTGACAAAAAAACTGGTGAGTGGTCTGTTTACCAGAACAGGTCAAGATACTTACGATTGACCGGCAATGCCAGTATGAGGTAGATGGTGAGCTGAACGCTGCTGATTGCTGGGCAGCGAGGGTAAAATTGTGCCAGGCATGGTGGTTCTTTTTTTCGACAAGGAGGCTTCGGAGGCTTGAGTCACTGGGGATGGAGTTGGGGCGGTAGCAGACAAGGACGTTGAAATGCACAATTTACCAACTTTGTGGGCAGACGCAACTCGATGGGGAGGCACGCGATTATGTATACGGCGGAACATGTCCAGACGCGGGCAACAATATGAGGAGAAGTAGAAGGGGCCCCTGAGCTGATTGACATGTGCGTGACAAGGCTCACACATGAAACCAGAGTAGGATCGTCTCGAGCTTCGTGGTCATCAAGGAGTTCGTAGGTTTGGACATCGGGAAGACTCGGGGGAGTAGAACGGGGGTCGCGGTGCTGGCGTTAGCCCTAGAGGAAGCGGGGATGCAGGACCCATCCAAGGAGATCGGTTCATGGGGAGTAGCTTCGAGTAAGCTTCATGGCAGAAAAAAAGCCGTGGCGCTAGGTCAGCGCCTGGATCTGGACACGAAATTTCAAATTTGACACCAGCTGCGGCCGCCAACCACGGCCGGGCTGCCCGAGAAGCCGGGACGCTAGTGGCTGGACGTCGACTCGGGGTGCGAAGCTTTCTCTCGGCAGGCGCGTGTACTACCGTGCAGCAGATGCAGATGAGGGATTAATGACAGAAAAAGAAACTGGAGATAATCATCATCCTGCATCCCTTGCAGGAGGAGACCAAGAATTCACGCACATCAACAGCAATACGATGAGACCGTTGGGAAGGTAGTCGGGGAAGCTGCGAATGCCAGCCGGCCCGAACAGGACAGAGTGGAGCTGTTGGGCCGGCGCCAGCCAATCGTCGCCGGCCTGTTTCTGGAAACAAACGAGAGAAGACTACGGGAACCCGCCTCTTTCCCGCTGCGGTTTAGCTCCCGGGATAATGTCCAATCAGCGGGCCATTTTTTCGACCACAGTCAACCTGGGCGGCCTCCCATTGGCCACCATACACATTATTATTAAGTTATTATCTATTAGTGCATATTATTATTTAACCCCAAAGTATTATGATTTATCGGGAAGCACAGAATTTGTTGGGGACTCTGATCGATCACTCAGACACAACCACACAATAGTAAACCAGTAACTGTCTTTCCTCCGGGGCAACCTCCGGCCCAACAGCAAGATATATCTCGGTCACTATGGAGAGTACAGTATCGGTCGAGAACTGCTTCAGAAACAGACTCATAGCTTCATACTAATGCCTGGCCTTGCAAGCTCCTAGCTCGCGGTTTCAGGACAATATGAGACGGCTAGTCGATGGAAGAGCTACGACATGCAATTTAGCTGGCGGCGTTGGCGCCGATGCGGGTCTTCTTCAAGTCGCGTGGTGGCCGCCAAGATGTTCCCTCAGCCTTTCCAGCGTCTAAGTCGAAGCGAAGCTGTACGTAGTGCGTCCTCGTTTTTTTTCGGTGCTTTTTGTTTTCTGCCTTTCATTCGTCGTGTATTCCTCGCCTTGGTTCGTGATTATTCTTCTGCCTGCAGAATGTCTGACGACTACATCTCAGCCCCGGTCTACAAATATGTCCTACCGTCTCATCGACACTAATGATGATTGTGGGTGGCTGTTCCGATTGGACCCGTCCTCCGAATCCACTGTTGAAGGGGCCGCGGGCTATTTTGTCTTTGAGTCTTGACTAAGCTGACTTGGGCTCCAAATTCAAAAGGGGCAATAGTAATACTCATTAGGCAACGGTTGTGTACTAATTATTAATTGATACTACACTTAAAGTCACGACATGCCAACACGGCCCGAACAACATTGAAGGGGAAGCAGTCCTAAGTGCGGAGTAAGTTTAAAGTGTTGTAGCTTGTAGCTATGGAAGATGAAGTTTGTCACGACTTCTGAAGTTATGTGTCAGCCACCGGAAAATGTCCGGCTGGTTTCCACTTCTGTTTTTTTCTGCCCATAATGACTCATCGTGAAGGAGTAATCAGAGTCGGATGCATATTTCGGCATTTCAGTTTTGGTTATCGCGACTGCACAGCACACAGCACACACCAATGAAGAATTTGATCTTTAGTTCTCAACTGTTGAATATTCTACTCATAACTCTTGACTCACTACGGAGTATATCCCGAGATTTTATCGCCCCATCGCCGTTCGCCATGGTCGATCTAGAGCTGGAGGCCGAGCTAGCCTTTTCAGGTTAGCTGCCCGTGTAAACATTCATAGCCAGACTGAATCTCAAGGCCCTTCTGTATCTGCACTATCAAAATGCAGAGCTAGTCTCATCCAGCAGGGCCTTTCAGTCGTACGTTATTTATGTAAATATAGTCATCATAAACATCCTAGCTGGGGAAAAAAAGGAAAATTGCTCCAACTGAGACTCATTTTCAGGACAATTGCGAGCCAATGCTAACCAACTACATCATTGGGAATAGCCCAAGTAGAATTTTTTGTTAATATTCTCTTATCAGGGAATGAGACATCTCGAGCCGACACTGAACAATGCCCTAAGCAGGCCATATTCATTGAGCAAGCCCGCGAACGAGCGTCTCAGACTTTAAGCAAGTGCCGAAGTGGCTAGCGCTTTGCTGGGCTCCACACAAGCTCTGAGCATCAGCGGTAAGTGATGTCAAGGCCAATATTCCACCATGCTGTCAAGCAAATAATGACAGAGATTTAATTCTTGACTGTATATGTAGCCGTCCAAGAACTTAAACAGCTCCAAACACCACGGGCATGCAGCATCTGCATAAGCGAGTGAATTGTTTGCACCAATGGGCAGGTGCGATTCCAAGGCGGGCGGCTGTCAACAGGGAATCCAGGGCAACGTCATGCTTCATCACCCAGCCTCTCCTCTCCCCTTCTTCACACGCCACAACCGCTGAATGGAACGAGCCCGTCGCTTTCTCTAATCCGATAAAGGCATATTGTTTCCATCAATAATTTTCATGTTCATTCCGTTGCGAGACTGTACGGTTTTCCCTTGAACAGCTACTCCCCCACATTGCATGACGCGCCACGCCATCCACCTTCCAACTCATTGACATTGACATTGACATCGCAATCATGTCGTCTTGCTGCGGTCGCAGAAAGCCGCAGCGCAGCCGAGATGCTGATACCGAGCCCCTGCTGCCTATATATGAAGATGAAACTGCTCGACAGCGTCAGCTGCACCAAAAGCTTCATTCCTATCAAATGTTCAAGGCCTTGTCCGAGGGTTACATGCCATCCACCGAGCAAGTCATCGCCAATTTACGCACACTTCTGGCTTCAGATGTTCTGAACCCCCGGGTGGAGGATTTGAGCGACTCGGGCAGACAGCTAGCCCGAGATGTCAAAATCTTCTTTCGAGTTTTCATCGAGCTCCTTCGAGAGAAGAATAACGACGATCAGCTTCAAGAGTTTCTATGGTATCTCTCAAAATCCAGGGCATCATTAGATACACCGAAACTAGTCAGTCAAGCTTCCCGTGCTAAAGGTGACGCTGATATGCGTGCCGGTAAGTTCCCAAACAATCATCGTGGTTATTCATCGCATAACATTTTTATAGCATACGATAGTCTTCGCACAGTCGGGAACTTGCTTCTCACCAATGCTGATTTCCGATTATTCCTTGATGATATCGCCACAGTCGGCCGTCAGGTTTTCGCTGATACTAGCCATTCCGTGTCCGAAGCCGCCCATCAGGTAGCAGAGGTTGCTGAACCTTCGCGGGAGGAAATGTCCAAGGTCAAAGGTGCTGGTGCGGATGAAGGAAAACATCCATCTAAAGATGATCTTCGCGGGGAGCTGAATCTCATCACTGCCACTGCTGAAGAAGGTATTGCTGATGCTGGCAAAACAGCTAAGAAAAGCGCTGAAGAACATCTCTCCGGTGAGTATAGAGATGCATTGCTTCACCGTTTGAAGCAAACGGTTTTGAAACTTCGAAATCGAGATGATTATTCAGACTCGGTCTCAACACTCTCGAAACTTGTTCAGCGGTATGGTTTAATATACTCAAACGCCGCGGAGAATACTGTCAACGCAATTGATGAAGATATCGACATTAACGCAGACTTGAAAAATGCAGTCGATCGCTTCTGGGTATTTGTTCGATCTTTTGGTGACGTTGAAGAGTGGAAGTTACTAGAAGAACGTTTTCATAATGTCATGAGGCACTCTTCAAAAGACCCGGAGTTTGAATCTTTGATATCAAGTCTTGGTGCATCCCTCCAAGAAATGCTAATCGATCCCAAATTCTTTGATTCAGCCTCCGAGCGTCTCGATGAATTGACCAAAATGACTAAAAATGTGGGTTCTGAAACAACTTTACGTGCTGACATCGATGCTTTCTTGCACCAAACGAGACGAGCTCTGCGCGCTATACGTGAAGATGCTCCACTGGTGAAGTTAGTCGCAGCAACAAAAAAGATCTACCACAACTTGTCCAATGTATACAATGACCGAACAAGCACATTAGTTGCTGATGTCGCACATGTTTTCCTTCCTCTACTGGTTCGCAGTATTCAGCATATCCCTATCCCAAGACTAGAAATCTCGATCCCGGAAATGGATCTGTTAGTGGAAAATTTGGTTCTGGAGCCTGGGAGGACAGTGAACCAGTCGTCATTTTTTCCATTCAAAGTTCTAGTCTCTTCTAAAACTGATATGGAATTGGCTAAGGTCCATTCAAAGAAGGCTCACACAAACATGAAAACTATTATTACAGTAAGTTTAAAAGGTCTGAACATCAGTGCATCCGAATTCGGGTATTGGATTCGTGCACACAGTGGACTATTGTTCCGGTTTGGCGACGAAGGTATCGGGAGCTTCTTCCTCGATGAAAGGGGCATCGATGTGTCTATCGACCTGGAGATTGGGAAGGACCGGCTTGCGCATTTGGTCACTCTTCGGGGTGTTCGTGTGCATGTGCACAAGCTGGACTACAAGATCAAACGTAGTCGGTGGAAGACTTTGCTATGGCTTGTCAAGCCCTTTTTAAAGCAGCTTATTCGCCGATCACTGGAAAAGAAAATCGCCGAGTTTGTCGTTTCTATGGTTGTGACTATTAACCGAGAGCTAGTATTTGCTCGGGAACGTCTGCGTGCCGTCAACATTGCCAACCCTCCAGATTATGCTACTTTTATCAGGGCTCTACTAGCACGGCCGCAAGTCTATGCTAACCCCAATATTCATCGACGAATTGCAACAACCCCCCAAAGGCCGGTGTATTCAAGGGAATCTATGCACCAGGTAGTATTGTCAAAGTATGGAAGGAGGAAGCTGAGCAGGCGCAGGAGGCCATTGAGCGAGGCGATGAGAGTAGTGGCCTGCACTTGACATGGCGCAACGAAATTTTTGACGTAAATGCAACGACACTTTCATAAAACCGTGGAAAGGAAGCAATAATATGGGCTGTAGTTTTTCTCAGCTGCTTGTTTCTATTTTTTTATAGTATATCGACAGCTGGAGTATCTTGAGTTTTCATGTATAGGGTCACTCAATTTCCGAGTTTTTTTCATAAATACAACTTAGCACAGCTTTCACTATATACCTAATTTTACCATGGTTCTGTAATTGAATCAATAGACTTCCAGCCTGTCTTTTTAGGGTGTAAATATCACGTGACTGACCCATTCCCGTCCTGCGGAGGATATCCCGTACGGCCACCTAAACCATCTTGGTGTTAGATCTTTTTGAGATGCGCAGCCTTCACGCCTTTCCACGTGGCTTCAAATTCCCAGGCAGTTCACTCGGTATGAATGCATATACCTGAGCCCGATTCTTTGGACGAGCACTACAGGATCGCATTGTGAATCTGTAATAGCCTCGTGAGTGGACACAAAGTGTACCAAGGACGGACATCAACACCCAATACCTTTTAGCATTGCAGCCGTCGACTACGATACGATCATATTGAAAACACGACAGCACATTCCGAATATCCTCGACTCGAGGACAAAGCATCAGCATGCTTTCTTTTCATATAATAGCAGTGATATCTGTCTTACTGCTTCTCCCTTTGGTTCTATGTGCAGAGGACTACTACAAGATCCTCGGGGTGGACAAGTCAGCATCAGACCGGGACATCAAGCGCGCATATCGCACGTTAAGTAAAAAGTTCCATCCGGACAAGAACCCGTTCGTTTCTCCTTCAAAACAAGATTCGATAAACGCCGAAATGCTGATTTGTATTTTACAGAGGCGATGAATCCGCAAAGCAAAAGTTCGTCGACATCGCCGAAGCGTACGAAGTATTATCTACATCGAGTTCACGCAAAATCTACGATCAGTATGGCCATGAGGGTCTAGAACAACACAAGCGGGGTGGAGATCGTGGAGGCGGCGATCCTTTCGACCTCTTTTCTCGGTTTTTCGGTGGTGGTGGGCATTTTGGACACGGTGGCGGTCACCGCAAAGGCCCCGACATGGAAGTCAAGCTCCAACTACCGCTTCGCGATTTTTACATCGGCCGTGACGTTGATTTTAGCATCGAGAAGCAGCAAATCTGTGAAACGTGCGAAGGGACGGGCTCGGCTGATGGCACGGTTGAGACGTGCAATAAGTGCGGAGGACGTGGTATAGTTATTCAGAAGCATATGATCGCGCCAGGGATGTTCCAACAGATTCAGTCACACTGTGACAAGTGCGGCGGCAAGGGAAAATCTATCAAGAAGCCATGCCCCATCTGCCACGGCCAACGGGTTGTTCGAAAGGCGAGCTCCATCTCGGCAACAATCGAGCCTGGTATGTCCAAGGGGACAAGACTGACGTTTGAGAATGAGGCCGACGAGAGCCCCGATTGGGTTGCGGGCGACCTGGTCGTGATCCTCGACGAAAAGGAACCTGAGCTCGGCGCAAACGACGAGGAGCGGACGGACGGGACGTTCTTCCGTCGCAAGGGCAAGGATCTATTTTGGAAAGAGGTGCTGTCGCTGCGAGAGGCTTGGATGGGTGAATGGACTCGAAATATCACGCATCTCGACGGGCATATAGTCCAGCTAAGCCGCAAGCGAGGCGAGGTTGTCCAGCCGCTTTCTGTAGAGACGGTACAGGGTCAGGGTATGCCGGTCTACCACGATGGTCATGTACATGAACATGACGAAGGGGAAGATCATGGAAACCTGCTGGTGGAGTATACTGTTGTCCTGCCGGACCAGATGGAGAGTGGAATGGAGAAAGATTTCCACGCGTTGTGGGAGAAATGGCGTCGGAAAAATGGCGTTGATCTTCTCAAAGACTCTGGTCGTCCATCGCCACCAGCAGAAGACCACAAAGACGAGCTTTAATGTTCTTTTTGAATGTATTTATAGGTAGATCTTTAGAATATATTTCCTATATTCCTCAGTTGAGTGAGTGCTGTATACATTGATGCCCTTGATCGTTGCTGGTTTATACAGCTCCTCCAAATACCTCATTTCACTATCCAACACCCCCGCAATCGCTTCGGGCCATCTTTTAGGTCTAATGTTTTGGGACGGCTAGCTTTTCCCAGCTTGCGACGAGATCGCGTAATGTATGCTTCTCTCCAACATTCCCAGGAAATACGACATAGATGATACCACTGAATTTTGAGGTTGACTCCGTGCATCGCCAGAGTGGTACTCCCGAAGCCGCCTGGCCTCTGATTTCGGCGCGACGCATTCGCAGGCTTTTTGTTGCAGCGTCGGACGATGTGATCCCACCCTGAATAATTAGAATACTGGCTTGGCGTTATTGATAGGGAGCTTACCTTGGCTATGATGTATCGCGGCCGCGGAACCAGTAAGCGGAGAAACAGTACCAGCGCCGCAGCAACAACACTTCCAATATTCAGGCTTGATATATCGTCCTTTCCAATAATAAGTTTGCGGCTTGTCATAACAAGCACATCTTCTCCTTTGGCGATATATTCCCCAGCAAGATCTACGGCAGAAGATATAGCCTCTTCTAATGTCTCACTATTTGCAAGTAACTCCTCCACATCGAGGACGATTCGTTTCAACTTTTCACCACGTCCATCAATCAAACATTCTAACTGCTCAGTCGTTTTCGGTACGTAAGATCCAGCTAGGATAAGGCCGCCTGGAGAAGTTTGTGATTGGTCTAATTCTAACTCTGTCGCAGAAAGCGGTGGTATTTGTTCTATACCGAGCCTTGTGGATACGAATGCTGCGCCTGTCCGGTACAAATATCTTTTCCCTTGTGTCGTAGCTACAGCATGTCAGCCTACATATAAAGGGGCAGTTTCTTTGTATACAGACCTTGTAGTAACCCTTGAACTGCGATCTCCATATCGGTGTCTACAATGGCATTAAGAACAACTACAGAGCCTTTCTCAAAGCTCAATAATTTCTGCACAACAGCATTTGCACCACCCACTCGAATGTCTTCCAAAGAAATAGACTTGACACGTTCAGCCGGTATGCTACCCTTGGACTTCTCCACGACGTAATCAACTAGATTGGAGCTTTTGTATCCAAACGTCGCGTCCTTGGCGAAAGGCGTTTGCGCTGCAGGGACTAACTTGGTCCCTCCTTCCAAGACGTAGTGAACATCATTAATGGTGTATCTACCTCCTTGCCTAAAGAATGGCGCCAGGATCCAGGCATCGGCCTTGCCAGAGACTTGTTCTGCTACCTCCGGCTCATCTGGGAAATGCCCTCGAAGAGTCGAGTCGCCACGAAGAACAAATTCAAAGGAAATGTTAGTTTTAGCAGCCGCTTTTTGAACGGCTGTACATATTTCGTGGATGAGATCGCGTGCCTGTGGCGTGGGTAATGCTCGGGAATTGGTGAGTATGAAAAATCCGCGATTTCCACTGTGGAATTCGGCTTCGAGAGTCGCCGCATCCCACACTGTTAGAACATTAATACCATGACAAGTCTGCGTTCCGGTTGGATCATCATCTAGGACAACAAGAATTGGGAGTTTGTCATGTGGCAATTGCTGAATATCTGCTGCCGAATGTGTGAATGGTACTGGAGGGGGTAGCTGAGAGATTGTCTCGTCTAGAGACAGCACGGGGTTTTTCTTTTCGTCATCCGCCATGATGATGAGTATAGAGCACCAGCTGGTTTGAATGGCAAAAGAACAAAAAAGCGACCCCAAGCCCAAAGAAATCTCTGTATTTATCAGGCTTTCTTTTGGACACATGCTAACAATATGTACGGAGCTTCCCCGCGTCGGAGAATCTCCGACGGCAATCCTCCGATAACAACACTTACTACAGTATGGTGAGAAAGGTTTTGAGTATAGCAGTATAAAAGTAAATTGGGTATAGGAGCACCTACCCCCATAGCAATATTAATAATATTTGAACTTTTTACATTATCTACGGGTGGTCCCCCAAGAAGCTTAAATTAATCTGACATGAATTGGTGCAGATGCAGATGAAAGACAGAAAATCTTAATACTATATTCAAACTTCCGTCATATTAATGTATAAGCAACAAGACACCATGTCAAATTGAATTTGCATACAAAGTGCCTCTTTTAAAGTAATATCCTTTATATTGAATAATCCAAGTCCCTCGCTATGCAACGGGGTTCTCCCCAGTGGTAGTCATAGCGTATATTATTATGTATCGTTGACAAGCTGAAGGATACTTAGTCAAGGTGCTGACAGAATTTAGTGGAAGAGCCTTGCAGTTTGACCGACTACCCTGTCTAGAACACCTAGTGAGTTGCTCTAGGATGTGTCAAACATAGCGAACAAATGGCGCTCTTTACCCTCCTGCAAAGGCAATCTCGGAATCCCCCCCTTTTTAAATCAACAGATTGCGATGGAAAAGCATACAATACTGCAGGACTAATGAGAGTCAAAAATGGATCCTCTCTCTCTCCCCGGCGCTGCTTCAACCTTCTTGGCGCCTATTTGAACTGACTGTTGTTCTCTATAAAACGGATTCTATCTTTTTACTTTGTAGAGTCCGGATCCAATCCGTAAGCCGTCTTTTCGGCGACAGCTTATACTTCCTCTCGGCCTCCTTGCAGAACAAGACCACCGTAGCATCCGGTCTCAGCATGGGAACTGTCGGCGAGTGAGGCAACGTAGTCAAAAGAGGCTTCTCTCGCGCCACCGTCGCTTTGCGACGTAAGTTGCGGCACCACATGGTCCTGCTAAGACGCCTAAACGGCGAAGTCGCCGCACAGCAACATGCTTCTCGCTGTCCGAGACTACCACACTGACGCACGACGCCCTCCTTGAGCAAAGGCCACACAATTGACGAGACGGTGCCGCAGTTGAGACTGGCCATGATAGTATCCTTGATTGATACTTTGGTAGGCACTTTGTTGATGAGACTCTGGAGACAGGCAGCGGAGTCGGACTTGAGGTGGCGGTAGCGCAGTGATGCTCTCTGCTCTTCCAGTAAGAGATGACGGACTGTGCAAAGGAACCGACTCCAACTGGGGCAATCACCACATCGACGGTGCTACCCGTGAGTTTGAGCACCTGCTTGTCCGTTTCGACCATCCACTAGTGAAACATCAATTGATTGCCAGATGAGCATGAAGTACTTGTCCTTAATTACATATGTAATAAGACGTGATAGAGGGTGATAAAGAACATACTATCAAATACTGTATGGTGCCTATTCACTCTCCCACTTAACTCACATTTGCATTATTTAGTTCCTATATAACTCTTATTACTCTTACTTTATCCCTAATGATTCAACTCCCTCGCATTCACACGAGTCATGGGGGAATGAAGCTAATAGATAAGAAGATACAGCATTGCCACATTAGAAAAGAGTTTAATGGTGATAAATCCATAAGTAGCAGTCATATAGCTATCTTATCTGAAAGCCTAAAAAAGTAATATAGAAATATATATGAACTAATGAATGATTAGTTGATTCATATCCTTATTTATAATATTATTTATTAAGTTAGGATTTTGTGAGTGTGAGACGGTTTAACAATAAAGAAATGAATATTATTGGGAGACTATTCTAAGAAAACTAAGCATAAGGGAGAAAGAGAAGAGAAGGAAAGAAGCTATTCCCAGGCCCCTGACATCTCTCAACGAAGAATAATGAGGTAGTTCTAATTTGGAAATTGTCGCTTGTTCTCCAGTGCCAGAACGCAACACGTGACTCCATAGACCGGGGGTCACAAACGGGCAGAACCTGTATAGTTTGCTTAGGCTACGCTCAGTGCTGGTCCTCGCGAAGGTATCCCCAACGTCCTCAAGAGGCCCGCTTATTTAGTGGGAAGCAGATCAAAGGGGGCTTCAGGGCGTATAGAGGAGCTTGTTTGTTTTCCTTCCTATTGAATTCTTTTATATTGCTTAGCTCTTGCTAGCTAGTACTTATCCCCCGACAGATTTACACTACAAGAAGATTCGAAACTCCCTTCTTTCACATTCTCTTTGATTAATTCTGCTTCACTACCAAGGCAGGCCTACATAATCCTAGTGAATACCCAGTTAGCGTGGTACGAATGTTTATGGCGCCAATCTATTCTATATGGACGAAAGTTTTATTTTTCTGTCAGTTGAATTTTTCAGTCTGGAATGAGCAAAATTATCTGAGATACACTCTGCATATTGCAGGAAACAGACGATGGCCTACGCACTTTGGTGGCCAGTATTGTTGAGGTACACCCACATGACAACTGCTCTCATATAGCGCTAAAAATTGCAGGACTTATTATCTCAAGCTATTCCTACAGTAGGATGAATTATGTTTGAGGATAACACAAAAAGGTGCAGTAATAAAAGTAAACACTAAAGATTTAACTAAACTAAAAACTGACAAGATCTCTTATTATAATATATAGTTTCAGAGAGTGCTAAATTATTTTGGGACAATACAATTTACAAATTTTTAGTGCTATCCTCAAATATAATTCATCCCACTGTATTAAGACTGTAATCTCCTATTTGCGGCAAGAAATAAAACAGCTTTCTGCTTTTAGCATAGTTTCGCTGGTAGTTATTGGTGCTATATGAAAATATTGTTGTCCCACTGTATTAGACGAGCAGTACGATAAGCTAAGCCGAAGATATGGGATGCAAGTGGATGACGCCAACACATTTAAGACAGGAAGTCGTAACTGACACTATGTCGTGCTGAGATACAATACAAAATGCGAACTAGCAAACTAGAGTTACAAGAAGAAAATAGTCATTACTGGCTAATATTATTGAAATGGCATAAGAACTGAAAAACGTCTTTGGCCGGAAGAAAGCTCTGAGTCATTACGTTCTTTTCATTAAGAAAGGACAGCCGCTGATACCCTGCGCCTCAAATCCAGGGGAGGAGAAAGTAATATTAATAGGCGTATCATGAGATGGCAATGTGAAACGGACATCAATATGAAACGTCCCCACTGTCTTCATGATTTGAAGCAATTGGGGAGTCAGTCTCCCAATCGTCAGAGGTCCTTGAAGATCAAAGTCTGCATATTGACTGGGGCAGAATCTCGCAATAACATCTGCAAATGCTTTGATCTCAGGAGACTCATCAATGAATCGACAGCGGATAGTTCCTGTAATAAGCCTTTTAGCTCTGTGATCTTGCTCAAAAAGGGAACTATTATATACCGTGAAAATTGTTTGCACTTTCTTCTAGACCATTAGCCCTAGCTGGAGCCAATGGCTCTAGATAAAATGATGTTACAATGAGGCGACGGGCCACTTGATCAACAATCGCTTTTGTGCTGGGCTCGTCGAGAAACTTGTTTACGATCCGCTCTAGACTGCCATCCACTAGAGCCTCCCTGTCATCTAGATCTGGAAGGCGTTCTGTGACTGCTGGGTTTAGACGGATGTAGCGCTTGGGCTCCATTCTTGACAGTACACCAAAACCTTCAATCCAATCCCTTTCAGAGTTAAGGACTTGCAAGAACCGTCGTCGTACTACATTGAGAGCTTCGAAGAGATAATTTCGGGTAAGCAATTGGGTAGTTTCATCGCTGTTTGTTGTCGAAAAGCCACATCCGACTGATAGCAGAAGGTCAGGGTGTCTTTCAGGCACCTCCGGCCAGACTCGACGGCTCTCCTCCAGTGCAATCTTTGAAGGATTATTGTGGTAGAGGCCCCCGTCGTAATATTTGGTAGCGAACGGTACCGTCTTCCGGAAGGGAGTGAAGTAGGTTGGTGCGGCTGTCGTACATCTCGCTGCCTCCCAAACACGAATCTGTGTCTCTTGTTCCTCATGAACTTCAAATTGATATGGGAAACCGTAAAGGTCAGAAAGGTTGTTATCTGGCAAATTAGCTTTAAGCTTACTACTCAATTAACGTTGCAGAACGTTTCTATGATCTGATAAGGAAAGTCAAGTAGAAACCATACCTCTATCGTGCGGGCGAATGTAATTTGGCAGTACAGAAGCGCCATCCCCTTCACTGACGGTAGCAGTAGCAAAAACTTTTGGAGCTGGTCGCAGAATTCCGCTAGATTCCGACTGGAGAAATTTAATTTCCGGAACTAATATATTACTACTTGCAAGATTGTCTTACCCTGGCTTGAATCAAGTAGTCATCTGCTGTTTTCCCAAGGGCATCCTTCAGAGCCTCAACAAAGGGGCCATCAAGGTACTGACTTCCACGAATGAATTTGAAAACCCAAGATTTCGCCGAATTGGAAAATGCTCTGTCACATATTTGCCGAAACATCGGTTCGGTAAGGTTAATTCGCCAATCTTTGATTCCAATAGCAAATGCTACGAGCGCACCTGCACTAGTACCCCCTATAATGTCAAAGAATCTCTGAATAGGAATGAAGTTTCCCATCTTTTTCTCCACTCCCTCTAGGATTTTGAGCTCGATAATGGCTCGGACGCCACCACCATCCAAAGCCAAGATTCTACGGCCTGCAAGCTTAGGACGGAGATGGATATAATGAGGTGGATCAAAGTCACAAGAAGTACTGTGGAGGATGCAGCTTCGGATACAGACCACGCGGGAATCCGGGCCGCCGGTTGTGTCTGCAACAAGATGTATGCAATCGTCACAAATAGAGTGACCACATGGTAAGATTTCGAATGGGAGATTATGGAAACAGAAACAGCACATCAAAGGGAAGTTCAATCGTAGATCAGAGTTTTCTTGAAATAGCAAGGATATCTGTCGGGCGTGGTGTGCCCAAACAGTGTTGAGAATCGAGTGGGTAACACCATAGGAGAATGCAGAGCCGTTCCTAGGTGCGATACTACTCTCAAGCTCGTCCCACAGGAGTTCAATCTGCTTTTCTACAGCAGGGAGCCAGGAGCTCATGAGCTCGTCTACCTCTTTCGACTCGAACCCCCCGAAGGCAAGTGGAAGTGCTGTATCCCCTTGGTGAAAAGGAAGAGCGTGCCCGCGTTTTGAATTGTGACACTTTCGACCATATCTATCAACGAAGGAGCATGGAACTGACCACTCACAAAATTCTTCAAATGCCGATTGAAGTTGTGCTTCATATGAATTGGGGCTTGCTGAGGGACGTAGTCCGCTGTTACCGTACGATTTATATAAATTGCCTTTGAATATGTCAATAAGCGGAGCGTTGATTCGATACGATCGAGCCACGTCAAGAGCGATAATGGTAGCCAGAACCGGTACTAGCTTTTCCATGTACACTTCTGTCGAGTCTTGAGATTGAATGTTGGACCGAAAGGATTTTAAAAGCCGGACAACGTTGTTTGAAAAATTGTGTGGTAGCGGACGTACAGTAAACAGTGTCTCAAGAAAATCAAAAGGCTTATCCAAAAATCTGGTATAGTGATTAAAGGCTAGGTGAAACAGTTGAACCTGATCTTCCGATGCCAATAGAATTTTAGAATTGGCTTTGAGTGACTGGGAGCCGCGAGTAGCCCTTTCCACCATCTCGTGCAGCTTCTGAGCTTGCGTGAGGAAGAGAGCTTCATTTACACCGCTCTCTGCTTGAGGGATATAAATGAATTCCACATTTACATAGAAACAATGCAACAGGTCTTCGATAGTGAAAATAGAATTACCGATCTGTTCATATTGTTCAGCATAAAGCATGGCAGTCTGGTTTTCCTTAAGTATGCCGGATTGTTCCTGGATAATTTTGCGGCGGGCCTCTTCAGGGTCCCATACAGATGTGTCTGAGGCTGCATTGATGACAATAATAAGGTGTGGGAGAAAAGGATGATTGACAGCGACGCTCTCTGAAACTTTTGCCCATTTGATCACCTCAAGAAGAATGTGCTCCATGGTTTTCGCGGACTGACCGCTGATAACATGGACAACAACATCGGAGAAGTTATATAGCAGACGAGGAAAGAGTTTTTCGACAAGTTCCTGTCGCCTCATGAATCCTCCACCAGGAACCTTTAGGTCGATTGCCTGTTTTGCCCCCTTCTTAACCCATCTAAGCGCTGTTTGAGCAAAGCGCATATTTTTTGGCGAAGCAGAGTCTAAAGACGTGGCTATTTGTTCAATAGTGTCCCGAATTTTTGATCCTATGGGGGCAACTTCACCACCACCGAAGCCTTCACAATCCGCATAAAAGAGGGGATAGTTGGCTTCTGATGGATCCAAGTATGGATCACGGTAAAGATGGACATCTCCTGAAGTGGGGTTGGAAGTTTTCCGTGTCCCTGAAACAGGTACTTCAATCTCATTGAGATCCAGTGTCGATTCTGAAGTATCATCCCAAAGTCGCTTCATCAGAATCTTAATCAATGTGCTCTTCCCAGATCCGGTCACGCCCACAAAGGATACAAGGCTTGCGTAACATGGATCAGATGTATTGTAGGCCTTTTGATGTTCATCAACTAAGTGCTTGAAACGAGGGAACTCTTCGAAGTTTAGTTTGCCATGGTATGAATCCTGGCTAATAGCGAACCAAACAGCAACCATATCGTGAGCATGTAAATCCTTGAACGATTCGGGATTTAGGTTGGTGCTAAGCTCGTTGGATATAAGGCTACTGTAATCCAAGTTCAGAATAATTCCTTGTACGCCCATTGAATATATTATACTTACTGTTGGTGGAGAGATACTTTGGCGTGCACCGGATCATTCTGTAGATGTGGAGCTGGCATGTTCCAGCATGAATCACAGAAAAGAAGTCTGCAATAGTCACATCGCCACTGCGCTGGATTGTCAGGCCGGCAAAATGCGCAACGTGATAACCTCTCCTCAGTGACCCCAACTTGCTTCGCCGGAGATGCTGCCCTGTTCTTCATCGTGGATATTTAGTATCTTGAAAGTCGAGGGCTGGAAATTACCTAAATCGGCTTTGTATAAGTTTGGACAAAATGTTTCTAGAGAAATTCCCCAATACATTAAGGCTGGAATTAGCTGGCGGGGCACAGTTTCCCCTCACTGCAAGATTGTGTAACTTGACTAGTCAACAAGAGGAGCGCAGACACGCAAGATAGCAAACCTTTTCCCGATAGCTCCTCAGTTTTCTTACTCCATTCACCAATCTGCATAGAACACGTCACGGAAACACAGCCGCTAATTCTGCTTTGAATACGTATTCAACTAGTATTAACTAACTAATACTTGACACGGGTCCTTCAGAATATTGAATATTCGGCCACATGATATGACCTGGATTTGTGCTTATCAGAAACTGTTAGTGTAATAGAACATTTGTGCTAGAATCAAACGTGTAATACTCGTTTCATGTTTCTCTATTAATCATGACAGAAACCCTTCTATCATATGTGGAATTTAAACTATATCATGACCAAAACATAATGTCACCACAGGGTTCCTTCACCTTTACACATTCTCTTTGACTTCACTCTGCCCCACTGCGAAGGCATCGCAGCCCGAGTCTAAATATATAGATAGCTTGTTATTTGGTCTATCACTACAGCGACACATCACATTACAACAAACTTATTGTATTGAGGTCCAATATATGTATGGGCGATATGGGTTACCCATTAGGATTCAATCAGGAGTAAATTAACCTAGGCCATGCACCATCACTTCTCGAAGGAAAGGAAATATTATAAAGATAATTTTGGACGGTATTACAGTACGAAAATATGCAACTAACCATTCTTTGATTAGCTTCAAATTCTAAAGACGAAACTTTGCTATTATAAAACATTGGTTGTACGCCTTCCTAGATCACGATCTCGATCTATATAAATTAAACCCCATACAAGAATTTGCTTTGTTACTGAAAGATGTACTACATTCCTAACCCTCATGCGGTCATTTGTCCAGTGGGAATGCGAGTATATAGCAGCATAAAAGGTCAGTCTCATAGATGCTATATATCATTGGAGAGTATCAATAGATAATACCTGTGCGCTGGTAAACAAGCTTTTCTAGCCACCATCGTATTGAGCCATCAATCTTTGTAATATGATCGCATAAAATCAAGGGAGGTACTCGATGAAGACTAAACTGGAAGTATTCCCTACTAAAGAGCAAGCTTTGCCGACATGCTTCTTGGACGTTTAATCATGAACAACTACGATGACATGACTTGCCGCACTCAACCTCGACGTCTCTCTCTCTGACGTTGCCGCTCCTTAGGGCAGCAGCCGCACGAACTAGATCAGAATGAGTACCCAAGATCTCCTCTACTATTACATATGTAGATTGGGAGGACTGAAAAAACCTTACCTGAGCAATCTCTGTATACCCCTCAAACGCTGTGTCCTGGACTAATAGCCACTTATTGCTCTTCACCTATTTCCTTGCCTCTAGTACCAAAAGTTCTTGAAACTCGTATTTGATAAATGATTAATATTGATATGGACCAGCGATATTTTGAAGTGTGTCGAAATCAGGCATCCAGAGAGGAGTGCTAGCTCCTTCACCAAGATCCTGGTCAATCCACGGGGCCAACTCCATTGCCATTCGCATGGCATCTTCATCAATGTCAAAATGAAATGAAGTCTGCAAAGAGCCAGGGGGTATTGTTGCTTGGGGTGCTACTGTGTCCGTTACCGCTGTTGGAGCAACAATACCCATGGCTATTGGTGCTGGGACTGAGCGTCCTCCATTCTGGCCGCTGTTTCCATATCCTTGTGCGACCATCATACCGGCCATCCCAGAGGAGGCTGCCGCTTCGTTTCCTTGAAGTTTCTCCATAGCGGCATTCACTAAAAGCTCGAATGCATCACGATATCTTTTCACCCACGGAGCGCGCTCGGTCATGACAAATAAGACTGTAGAGCAAGCTCGGATGTCGTTACTCATACGCACCGACCATACATTCTCGGTATTGGTCCAGAGAGCATAAAGTAAGGTTATTCCAGCCACAAATACAGTCTGCACTGCAAGGAAGGAATGGCCGTATTCTAGGGTCTGGTGTAGTTTCTTGTGGCCTTGGCAGATGTCGCCTGCTGCACGAATACAGATATGGTAATAGGGATCGGTTACAGGTAATAAAGGCAAGAAAGGCTGAATAAGTAGTCGAACTGCCCTGTTATAGTGCAACACGGGAAAATCCAAGTCATTTCCAAAACGTGGTAATACCAAGTTTTTCCATTCCTCCAATTGGTTATATATCTTGTCCATTTTCGGCCTCATCTCTTGCAGTGGTCGATCGGCCCTATAAATAGAATGCTGAATCTTGGACTCGATCAGTCGTATACTCAGTATAGCGCGGAAAAGTGATAAAGTAGTAATGCCAGTAGACGGTTGCAAAGTGGTAAGTGTAGTGGAATCTCGAATATGATCGTCCACATCGAGAGGTAAGTCTATATCAATGTGGCGATCACTAATGCTGCAAGGCCGCCCAAGGGACAGAGAAATAGCCCTTTCTAGGTAGTAGACAGCCCAGAACAAGCGCCGGCGAAGCTGAATGGTAAATGGATCTAGACCGGCGGTGACAGTCCTACGATGTAGACCAAGATCAATACAAGTTCGCATAGCAAGCCCGATAATATACCACAAACCATGGGTGGTAGCAGAACGGAGATGATATATGACTAAAAGCAGCATTGCCTCGACATTTTGTGTTGAGTTTGTTTCACAAGCAGCTGCCACATGTTGAATTGCAGTCACGTAGTACTTCTACAGCTCATTAGAACGGAAGGCATATAAGAAGAGTAGGTTGAATGTCAAACTCACTTCAGGTGCAGTATAAGTGTATTTCTCGCCGAGTTGAATTATTGTCGCAGCAATGGCATAGACCATGTAGAGCCTGAATATCCCGAAACGTTCAGTTCTGGATAACTCTTCAGACTTTGCCTTTCCGAGGCGCCCCCGATCCTCATGAGCCTTCCAGATTTCATCCCGATCTATGAAGGGATATCGGCTATGAACACGACTTAAATAGACATTAACGAAATACGAGCCCATTTCGTCGCTTGGAGGATCAGCACGGTGTTTTAGCAACTCATTCAACTTGATAGCTCGAGAAGGATGCTCGGTACTGTCTCCAGCAAGGTTGTTATTCCCGCCTTGCGAGTCTGCTCTAGGCGTAGTAGTTGAAGGAGAGGGAAACGCTTTTGTCATAACAGTTGCACGAACCATTTCCCCTAAATTGACAGCCAGCGATAAACCTGAGCTGGAGCCCACATAGGCTGGGGATTCGGCAGCACCCAGAGAAAGGAAGCCGACAATTTCACCTAGTGTACCAGTGCTGCCATTAAGCACCCTTTGAGAACTGTCTGGAGTTTGCCGTTGAGAAGCATCCATTGGGTGAAGGATATGGCTGGCATTAGTCGTTAAGATAGAATCATCTGCAGTTCTGGATTGTAAAGATTCCGAAAGTCTGCTCTCTAAGTATGCCACACGGTCTTCAAGAGCCCGGGTGTATCTGTAAATGCTTAGAATTTGATGAAAAGAAGAGCCCTTTGATAATTTACCCCGATCCATTATCATTATCGAGATTCAGTGAAACTTTGTCACATTCAACACCAGCTTTGCGGCAGTTAGAGCAGCATGGGTAGTCATTGTCACACTGTTACGAATTAGCATTGTCTATGAATGATATATTTGAACTAATGCATTGGGTACTTTTTGCTTTCGCGTTTTGCATCGCGAGCAGGCGGTCCTGTGCCGCTTCCGTGGATTGTACTCTACGTGACCAGTGGTTGTTGAGGAGACGTTGACACGCGAGGACTCCATGCCGCACTATTTCCAATACAGCTGCTGGTCAATCATGACATCTCTGGCCACTTCATGGATCATCGGTTGTAATAGTTGTAGCAGTTGTACTACGCAGCTCAAGGCTATTGTATAATAGTTTTTAATGTGTGGCAATATCAAAATTCGCTATTCCCCGGATGTAAAGAATGTAAGATACGAATTTTGTCATTAAGATCCAAATTGTGAGACGTTGACGGGTGGGTCTGGGTTTGAGCTCTCCCATTGGCCAGCGCCATCCTCTGATCTATAAATCCAAAGCAGTGTGTCAAGCTAAATAGAAACAAGCTGGCATTTAAAGGTAATCAATGTATATCGATGATTGTTCCATTGGAGTTGATTAGTTTAAGATTTGGATTAGAAGGACATCTGTCTATATACAATGTTGTGTCTTTATCAATAACATGAACCCTATGACTTGGTTCTAAGTTGGCCAGCAAGGCTTCTCGCATAATACTCGATGTCGTGTCGTCATGATAATTATTATTTACCGATTTCTCTTTTTTCAACTTTTAATAAAAAGGAAGCAATAATTCCAGATCATTCATTTTATGATCGTGTTTTCTCAGCCGTCACTTCAAGAGCAGGGCTCGTGACAAGACACATGGCGTCCTTTTCTTTTTCATCCGATTGCCCTGGCACGTTATGGCCAAAGTTGTCTTCACCTTCTACTGCCTCCATTTCTACGTCAACTTGCGTTGTGGCCGTAGATTCCGTGGCAGCTTTTGGCGTCTCTTTTTGTGTATTTTTCTCCTCTGGTTTATTCAATCCCTTGTCCCGGATGAAAACGCAACACAACAAACACAATCCTACTAATGGAACCTGGAAAATGAATACCGCATGCGACGCCTTCACATATGCGTTCACGATAGCGTCCCAATCTGCTGCTGGAACCGAACTTCGGTCTGGGGTTGCATACGTAGAATGAGCGAGATATTCGTACCCAGCGGGCAAGTTCCGCTTGAGAACGGCTTGTAAGATCGCTGCTGAGACAGCCAACCCAACAGCACCACCTCCACAGCGGAAGAAGTTGCGAACAGAGATGACAACTGCGCGCTTCGCCATGGTGGTATGGGCTTGCATAGCGACTAAAGTTGGCTGGAATGTACAACCAATGCCTCCACCGACAACGACGAGCACGCCACAAATCACACCCTTAGAAGTGCTGTCATCAAACATTAGGGTTAAACCAGATCCTCTGCTAACGGTCAGTATCTCTCTTTTTTAATATGGTAATTGTTGGGTATGGGGAAATATTACAGGAGCCACAGAGCAAATCCAGTACAAATCACTTCAAGGTATCTGTTTCTGCGTGACATATACAGCCCCGAGCTTATAGACGCCATGGATTGAGGCAGTACCATTGGCATTGTGAGAAGCGCAGACTGGATAGGTGACCAGCCCCGTCCGTTCTGGATGTACAGTGGCAAATAGTACAGCAAAGACTGATAGGCAGCTCCGAGAAGAAAGCTCTGTGCGAACAGTGCCGTAATCACTGGGCTTTTAAATAGAGACACTGGTTCTGTTAGTATCTGTTTTACTTTCCTTTCAGCTCTCTTGGCAGTAAGAGCGACTTACGAGGCATCATCGGTAACGCAGCAACCTTCCATTCTATGAATAAAAACGCCACAAATGAACATCCTCCGATGATCAACATACTGATTACCATAGGCGAGTTCCATTGGAAATACAGGCCCCCTCCCGATACAGGGATCAGAACAAAGATAATCGCAATTGTCGAGGTGAGGACACCCCAAAAATCAATCTTTTTCACCTGGCTCTTCCTTGATTCCGGCCGCATCTTGCTAGGTAAGAGAAACCAAGCGATGATGGCACACACCGCCGCCCACGGGCAAAGCAAGTAAAAGATATCTCTCCAGGACGCACGTTGTACAAAAGCTGCTGAGATGAACGGTCCAATAACATTACCCAGCCCAACGCACGAACCTAGAATACCTTGATATTTTCCTCTGTCCTGAAGCGTCACAACGTCACTGACGATAATCATAGTCATATTTGTTATGCCTCCGGTGGCAATACCCGCCAGTGCACGAAAGACATATAGCATCGAAGCATTTTGGCTTAGTCCGCATAGCAGATCAGCAATGGATAAGAGTATAAGAACGCTAAGATAAACGCTTTTGCGGCCGAATATGTCAGATAATCGACCATACAAAACGGTGCAAACAGTATTTGCAATAAGCGCAGATGTTCCTGCCCAAGAGATGGTTTGTTCGGCATTTAGCTCTTTGCTGATAGTCGGAAGAGCGACACTGATACCATTTTGGTCAATAAAGCAAATGAGTAAGGAAAAGGCCAGTCCAGAGAAAACTATGATCAGCTGGCCGATTGGCAAAATGTTTGTTTGGTCCTGTAAGGACTTTTCAGCATTGCGATGGCGGCCCATGGTGGAGGGAAACCGTTTGAAATCATTTATCTCATTGCCGTAGATCCTGTGGGATGGAGTACTATTACTGAGAGAAAAAAGAACTTTGACTATATATATATATTAGAACTTGAGCACACTAACAATTGAATGATCATTTCAAGCTAATCAAAATTGCAACCAAAAGTCCCCCATTCGACCACTAGGAAGGAAAATTTCTTGACCGTCTCGCCGTCATCTTTTGATTATCCGCCCACAAAAGGCTTAGATTGGTCCAGGCTCCGCAATGATTCTCGATTTTGAATCGATGGGCTCCTAAATCGGAAAAGTGCCTAGGAAGAAAGGCGAGAGATGCGCTGCCGTTACAACCGAGCGGGGGGGAGAACATAGCGGACCTCCGATAGAGTCTTGAAAGCCTTCGTGGGCGTCAAGAGTACCTATAATGAGGCCATTCTCGTTCAGAATACCGAAAGTGTGATTTATAAACTATCAAAGAGCCTCAAATTGCGATCTACCGCATTGAAATGTTTTATTATATTGCTAATGGCGTCTGGGGGATTGATATGCTTACAACACCTCCAATTGCGATGGTTTGCGATTGGTGATCGGATGTCCGATCCATATTAACTCCCCGGGCAACGGAGGTTCCGATGAGAAATAAAGCGGCTAACTCCGCCGGACCAATCACTCACTAACCGAATGTGGTAGGTGATCGGGAATGTATGAATAGCGAGGTGTCGTTGAATTGCACTCAAAGCTACTAAGCTTGGTGTTTGATGAAATAGTACAGAAATTCGAATATTTATTAGCCAGTAAAATCAACATGCACAACCATCCAATGTCTTGTAAACCACTATCAGTAGTTAGTCCAGTTAAACCCGCCATTCTTGAGGTTGAACAGCCGTACTGCACCTAGAAACCCTAAAGAAGTAACTACACCGAATGTATACGACCACAGACGTTGGGATAGGAGTTCTCCTCCTGATACCCATGCATAAGATAGTATATAGAAGAAGTGGGAGAGGGGGAATCGGCCATATATAATATATCTTATCGCTTTAAATCTAAATCTAATCAGAAATGGAAACTATATAACATACAATAGTGTAACACTGATCACTAATAAGCAAAAGTCATTCCAATGGTTTGCTTTTTGATTGGATGCTGATCGCTATTGGGTTAGCTATTCCAAACAACCCGACTCTGTTTGGTTTCCAATGTGACCAATCGTTGAAAGTGGCATTATACGCAGTTCTATGACCTGGGTTCCTGATACCGAGGTTCTGGTGCTCGTCCACAAGACATCGATCATTAATATCACGCGGAGGCGAATGACGCTTCCAGATACCAATGTTCGATGTGAAATTCCATGCCCGTCCACACTTCAATGGGCACTTGCATAAAGCCCAGTCTGCAAAACGCGCGATGCGTGCATATGTTTGTGCATCGAATTCGCGCTCCGGCTCTTCGCCTAGAGTATAGTATATATGCAACATGTAGAGAATGGCCAGGATATTGGCTTCTGATAAGCTGGGGAGTTTTTTGTTTGGCTGTCTTGCGCTCGGAGGAATGACTTTGTCCCAGTACGTGCGAATAGTAGTATGGGAAAGGTCATCGGAATTGTCAAATTCTTGTACCAAGGATGAAACTGTTCCCGAGTTAGATAGAGGCAATCTTAATATCTGCAATGGAGACGCAGTAGATCTAACTCCAGAAATATATTACTTACGTGATACTTTGTCTGTATCTGGGTTACGACAGTTTCGGAATATTTGCCGATATACATGATATGAATCCAAAGTCAATCGTTCCCAGTAGCCATTCACCTTTGGCCTCAGGTGTTTTTGCTCGCTAGTAAGAGTGTAGAAGATCTTGCGGTGAGCGGTAAGTAAAGCTGCAATCAGACTCTTCGATCCTATATCTGGAGCTCGATTCGTTCGGCTTCCTTTTGAAGATTCTTCTTCCGGCTCAGTGGATGACTCAACCCGATTCAGTTGACTGGTGATACTACTTCTTGGTGATTTGGAATAATGTGACCTGGGGTAATGCTCTACTCTATCCGAATCGAACGGAATCCACTCGCTCAAAAAGGCCGCTGCGCAGGCTGCCGCCGTAGCAGCTGCATAATCATGCCAGCGGTCATTCTTGTGACTATCGGCATAGTCGGCCACCCCTTTGATAATGACACAGGGTTTGCCCTCCCACATTCCGGCTCCCTCCATCTCGAGGGCGATGATATTCTCGCCGTTTTTCAATTCTCTGTCCACGAGCTCGTCACGATGCTCCCCGGATCTCATCACAGTATTAGCAGAACCAACCGTCCCAATGTGAATGGCGGGTGTGGGAATGTAACCCGGTTTGAGGTCTAGCCGAGTCCGGCGTATCAAGGTCCCAGCACATTTCGTCTTTTCGCAGTTCTCCTTCATGGCTGAATAGCAGGAGGTATTGTTGCCTTGAAAACATTCACATGGGGTATCGCCATCTTTAGTTTGATAGTGCTTGTGTTGGAATGAGGACTTAAATAATCTATCTTCCGACGTACCCACGTACGCCCATCGACCATTGTCTTTTTTTTGGATGCGGGCTACCTCGTTCAGCATCTTTTCATGAAATGGCTGAATGCCTGCTTGGATTGAAGAAAGTATACTGCGTATATCTTGGTTTGGCATGCCGAGCTCCACCCGTCTGCCAGTTCTTCTTTCATACGTGTGAGGGTGTTGCTTTCCATCGTCGATCTGGACAATACTATCGCTGATTATGACATCTCCTAGAATCGTCTCTGTCGCCGATGTCGCAGTGCCGTTGCGGAAGGGCACTCCCGCGCAGATGCCCACTAGTAGTACGAGATGGATATCAGTATAACTTAAGGTCAGTGTTGATGCCGAAGGCCCGGAATTTCGGGTTCCTCTTCCAACTAACTTGACCAAAACAACATTATGACGCCCAATACGACCAACGGTATAATGATTCTGGTCACCCTTGAGTTTGCGCAGCTCAGCGGCGTCGTAACGCTCGTCAATGAACTTGTCGATCGCCTGCGTCTCAATGTCGAGTGTGGTCACAATGGCGACATGAAAGTCGCTACGGCTCAGTCTTTGCACACTCTTGATCGACATTTTGAGAGCAAGATAGCGCTAAGTAGAACAGAATCAAGGGTTGCCTCCACAAAGGATGCACATTAGAGGATGACAAGGGAATATAAATCCATGAAACAGCGGTCCTCTCGCAGGCGTGGCTTGGAACAGCCAGTCCACGCGACTACTCATGAACCCTCAACTAGCGTCGAAGTGGACGAAATCTCCTATTATGGCGAGGCTCGTCAGCCACATGAAATAAACAAATCCTGGGCGAAACTTGAATAGCGGAAGGTAATCCGAGTCCAGGGCTTGACACGTGCGGGAAGGGCCGGCCTTAACAAAAAGGGTGACGATAATCGTCTTCAGCCGGGCAAACCAGTAGACCATCTAACTAATATCTAGTGGTACATTGATAAGAAACTCACTAAGGTGAAATAGGGTGGTGAAGAGTACGGAGTGATTGCTCCTTGTATTGCTTTTTTTGGTGGCGAGAGTCCGAGATATTAGTTCGGCTGCACGAGATCTAGGAAGTCGCGTGAAGAAGGAGGCTTGCATAAGGGGCGAAGTTTGTTGAGGCCGATGTCTAGCAGCTTTTGCTTTTTGTCCTTGACAATTTGATCTAGGCCGCTTTCTTGAACCATGGCTTTCAGGTCGTCGCTTATCTTAACCTCCAGAATCTCTCCATGTCGCTTTTATAAAAGATGCCATGGCAGCCCCAGCCGCGGGGGAATTAATTTGCCACTACAAATTTCTTCCAGAAATTACAGCAATATATTTTCTGTCGTTACCTGAGACCACCTTGTCGTTATTGCAACTCTGCTCCATTCGCACGCGCAAGCATGGAGGGTAAACACTGTTGGAGCAGCTTACCACTTCTTCTTATCGCTTTTGTCCTGTCGCAAACCGCTTTTGGCCTTCCCAACTCAACCATTTATGATCCACTGATCACACCCGCTCCAATCTTCGATGTCAATCTTCTACAAAAAAGAACTGCCGATCAGACATGCGGGTATGTAAGCGGAGATCCTAGTATGTCTGTCATGATCAAACTAGGAACGAAACAGGCGACTTATCACCACAGATTCTCCTCTCGTATGCCCGGGAATATCGACATGCTCCTTCTATAATTACTACTGGGGGTGCTGCGACAGTCTTTCATGCAATAGACCACAGACCTGCGCAAACATCGCTAGTCCTTACTGTGGGGGTGTAGCTAGTGATGTATGCGTCTTTACGCAGATTGAGCGCTGGTGGGAAGGGCCTCTCCGATGCTAGACTCAATCGTTGACGTTATTCTGTCTAGTTCTGACCATTGCGTATCATATGTTCGCGAAACGGGCGTTGGCGATTCGTCGCGCTACACATCATGGACATGTGGCCCGACTGCCACTGAAATACTGGTTTTGGCAACACCAACGAACGGCGGAGGAACGAGTGACACAGCTGGTACTTGTCCTTCTCAATTTCTTCTTATGTTCCGTCCCGCTATAAAGAATCAAAACTAAAAAGATGTTTGGTTAGCCGCAAATACGGGGCCCAGCAGTACTTCATCAAGCGAAATAAGCAATCCGACCAGCTCGACCGATGGTACAACGCCAACTAACAGTCCCGTCCACCATACACTCAGTGGTGGCGCGATCGCAGGTATAGTCATTGGCGGTATAGTAGGCTGTATCCTTATATATGCATTCTTACTACTTGTATATGCCCTGTCACAGGACTGTGGAAGGAGGAACACCGATCGTAGACAAGATTGGAAATATACCTTTTTACGCGGAATTGGAATAAGGAGGAGTGACGGTAGTGGAAAGGATTGGAATCGCAGTGGTCGAGACGTTCCTACCTGGCTTAGTTCTTCTACAGGACAGTCGCGCTTGGATGACGATGGGCTTGTCTTGTCAGATCTTAATTATGACCACCGAGATCATAATTAAGATTTTGGTGGCACCATCTGATTTCTTAAGAGCATTCTGCGTGTGTTTGAGCGACGTCTATGCTCACGAAACAGGGCAATCAACAGTACAGGTCTTGGATTTCTTGAGAACTCTAGAAATACTAGAATATCAGTCCCTCACAAATATACAAAGGAATGGCGCCAGCATTGAGTTCGATTGCTATCAGATCTAACATGTGCTTTGTATTAAGATGCCGCTGGTTAATTTCTGAAGGATAGACCTCAGTATTAAATCTAGAATATATATTCTGATTTATAGCTTAAAAGCGCGCTGTCTAGATCTTGCTATTCAGGGATGAAGTTTCTCCTTAAATGACGTTCTTACTTATGTTCATCTCTATAATGAGCGAATGTATCCGGTATAGCCAGTTGTTAATGGTGCTCGTTTAAGCGCAATGGCCCAGCAAGGTTTGTATAACTATGAAATTTGCGCCTTAGTGTTTGCAGTCTGTGGAGCGCAACTAAAACTCAACAACTCTCCAAGGAACCACAACGGTCTTCCTTATGCAGAAGAAGCAACTGCCTTGCGGACCAATTCGCCACTCAAGCTGAGCGCTGCCGTTCGATGTATGACTATCGCGAAAGCACTACTATCGAGGCCGTCTCATACCGCTGTTTCTGCACTTCTACTATGGAACCAAATTAAAGAACCAGACTACTTCACTCTTGCTACGGGAGTCTGTGACACTCTGCTAGCTGGTAGGCTTGGACAGGGAAGAAACATACTGTGCCTTGAATCCTGAGGAGGAAAGGTACTGGTGCCGAACATTCTGGCTTCTATATGTGGGCTACGCCATGCAACACGGGACTGGGAGCTGCCTTGCAAACTCTATCAACCTGCCCTCAACCGAGTGCCAGAGTTAATCACAGCTTCTGCAGGCTTTCCACTGCCTCATCTGCCTCTTGGCATATGTCGATGGCGTTCTCGTCGATTCCAAAGACCGTGTTGGGGTGCGCAATGGGCTTGACGTCTTCGCTGAATATGTATCAAGCCTGCCGGTAGCGCAGCCGTCGCATTCTTCTTTCTATTCTTCGGTTCATAGTCTGCAATGTATTCTTTTATTCTAGTAAAGCATTTAAATTCAACCGACACACCTGACGAGCCATTACAATAAACACCTTCAAACACGGCCAAACGGTCTCGACTATAAATTCAGAGGAAGGCTCATGCCTGCAGTTAATTGAAAATCCTGTCTTTATTCTTGTGCGTATAATAAATCCCATAATGGATAGGGAAATTAGGTCGGAACACTTTCCTCACAATATAATCCCAATCCTCCCCTTCTATTATTCTATTTATTTCCTTCATATGCTCCAGGTTTGGGTCATATATGAGGTGTCACTGAACTACCTCAGACAGTGTGAGGTTATGCTGTTTACATAGCTATTTGTAAGGGAGGAGGAATGGGGATGTAAATGACGGCATTTTCGTGGTTTTCCTTAGGAGTTCCGTTGTTGTTACCATTGCTAATCTGTATCCAATTGAAATGCCGATTCGAGACCGTCAATCGCTACTAGGCTCCTGAGTAATCTTCCATATGGGCTTTTGTCATCCTGCGCTCCCAAAGTTCATTACGGCGCGCAAGAATGTATTTCTATTCCGATAGGTTCTGCTGCGAGTTCGGGTGCCATGGCGCGAAGAGAGAGTGGATTGATTATCTTCATGTATAATAAAGACTTTATAGGAGTCGGGCCGCCCTGCATTCAGGTTTTCACGAATTCCTCTTCTGAACTCTCTACTTATGGTTTAGGTCCAGTGTGGCTAGTAGCTGGCAATTAGCAACATCAAATCCAACAAAGGGGAATGAATCACTGCCGGATCTTAAAGTAACATGTTAGCTCGAGTCTATTTAACGGGCGAGGAAATAACAAATTATTGTTAATTTCCCAGGTGTCGATCTTCCTAGCCAGATTAGCTCTAGCTGTAAATCTCGCCGTAGCGTTGCCCAACCGGAAGGGACTCTGGAACTAATTGCTGATTACTGTTGAGAGGTATATGGCGAGGGTTCTGGCACAGACAGGAATGAGGGCGATCCTGACGCACAGATTTCTCCGCCAACCAACCAATCTAAGATGGCTGCCAAGTTTCCCATCGAGATTTCATTTGTCTAGATGCCAACGTCGCCCTTTTCAAAGTTAAACTATTGCTTGCTTCCGTCCTTTTTCTTTTCTTTTCTTTTCTTTTCTTTTCTCCTCTTTCTTTTTAGTTGACGGTCAGTAGTCGTGATATCTCTGCAGGAGTGAGGAGTTACATGTTTCATTAGCAAATGAAGTCAAAGTTATATTCCCCTCAAACTTTCTTTTTCACCTTCAATCTCATTTTTCAGCCCCAATGCTGAAAATCTTGATGAGATAATTAAAGAATATGGCCTATCAATCTCTATCTTTCAAGTGGCGAAGCCAAAGTTGACGCCCGTGCTTAGACTTTTACTTGGATATCCACTGTTGAATACCGTACTCATACATATCAATCAGACTACTTTTTCCTTTGCGTTGGCGGGCTAGCAATGTGAACTAATGTATTGGCTGAAAAGACTGTTTTCGGAAGGTCTAGACCTCCGCCAATCAAATCGGCGTTTGCCTAAATAAGAGCATTCAGGAAGACTAAGTGTTGACTTAAAAAACGCTTTACCAAAAGAGGGTTTACCCTTATTGGTAGCGGTAATACATTTGGTTCGTATTTTAGCTGGCAGTAAAATTAAATGCGAGTCAAAACAAAATCTTTCCTGATTGGGAATAGGTTGACTGCGGGTTGGCGAATCGGTGCTTGCTGGAAAAACAAAATGAGGTCTGGACCTGGTTATCTAACACAACTGATCGATCTGCATATCTCCATGTAGAGCTAATGTAGGCTAGAAGTTCGCATTTTTGAGTCTTTGATGCTATGGCCGGCCGGTCTTGAAGCTGTAATTATTTGCCACATCTTGTCGGCAACTCAATTCCGAGAGAGAAGCAGCTAACGGCCCGTGGTGTCAGGAGCCCCGATGAATCAAAAATAAGGAGGATCTTCGGATCTTCGGTGTCTCAACTACGGAAGACTGACGCCGCTCTTGTCTCTCCTCCAACCTAACAACGACTTGTTGGCACTCTGTCTTCTCTTTTGGGGGAAAGAGGGGGGGTTCTAGCTGTGCGCGGACCAGTCCAGCTCACAACCTTGTAATCTCCCCTGTGTGACATGACGCGGACTCTGTTTTTAGAAGGCGCCAATATACGGTGTGGCTATGTTATTGTCCCCAACGAACGAGCATCACATAGATCGATAGATTCGTGACCACAGCCAAACTCAAGATAACCTCCTTCCTGCGCGTACTGTCACCATGTACTCCATCATTTGGATAGATTTCAGGCTTTAAACTTACAAGAGAGTTTCATGTGGCGCATTGGTTGATCTACAGCTGACCCGCCACGATAACGAATTATTTCCACGACTCCACACTGGCTGAACTCACAGCACAGCAAGAAAGCTCCGGGTCTAGCAGCCTCAGCAAAGATGCCAAGTCGAGATTAAATCACGCTTGCCCAAGTAAAGATCATTTACACACCATGTGGACACATAAACTAGTATGATCATTTCTAGCTCGAATAAGCCGACCCCCTTGATATTTTGAACACTTAATCTAAATCAGCTTAATTGCCTATATCAATAGGCTTAACAGTAGATAAAATGGAAAAGGTATCATCAATTCTCAAGTACCTAAAGCCCTAGTATTGAAAGAGACACTCTAGCCATCTTAGCCACGATGTCCAGCTTCACATCCTACCAATCGAATAATTCGATGATGTCGTGGGACGACAAACACATGCAAGGTATGAAATTTAGGAATTGACTACAAAGGGATTTCAAGAACTAACCTTTGTGCTGTAGAGTCATGGGGTTATCATCTTCCAGTCTCGTTCCTCCCGCCAAACATATGGTTCAGCCCCGGCTCATCAGCAGGCGAAATCTCCAGACATATCGAGCCGTTCCGGGGCTCGATACCTGCATGGGTTAATCAAAGCTGCTGGACAAATCTACCGCCATCAGAAAGAACTAACGAATTCAGCCTCTCCTCGACACAGTATGCCTGGTACTCGTCCGACAACATTGAGACATGCTTCGCCGACAATCGATCCTCTTCATACGTTCATTTCCCCCGCAAAGGCGTCGCCACTGCGACCCTACACAGCACCTACCGTCAGAGCAATCAATGGCCGCAGTGGCCGGCGACAAAGGACCAGCATTCAGAGACTCCTTCCAATGCCGATACTGAATCTTCATCTCGTTTACAATCATCTTCCGTCTCTCCTGGGCAATACACCCGACCTGGACTTTTCGAAGACACACCATCTACCTCATCGGATGATAATGAAATACCGACAAATTCCGAAGCTTTGCAATTACAATGGGGATCAGACTCATCTTTCGATTCCAACATGTTTATTCCGCCAACACTTCAGGCCAGTAAATCAAAGGCCACTGACACGTGGCTAGCCTGGATCGAGAGCATCACAGCCTCCGAGACAGTACAATGGGCCAGTGACATCATGCACCAGCAGGTGAGCCTCTGCGGGTCTGTCGAGGCTGCCCACGGTCATGGACTAGATGATATACAAAAAAGGGCGGAGATAACTGTGCTGGGAAGGGGTATTCAAGCAAAGACACTACATGACGACCGCACGGCCGCTCAAAAGGTTCACCTACGTGCAGAGAAGCGACGGCAAATCCACAACAATTCTGAACGCAAACGGCGAGAACAGCTGCACCAAGGCTTCCTTGACCTGTGTGACATCGTCCCAGGCTTGAATATTCGCACACACACGCGGAAGGAGATTCTCTTCCGTACTGCCAGATGGCTGGAGCAGTTCCTCCAGGATAATGAGCGTCTAAAAGACCAGCTAGGCCAGCTAACTGCAGTCAATAAAGCCCGAACGGTCCACTAATGAAGATCATGTGTCATTATTGTCCGATATTGCGTGAATATCTCAAATCCTTTCAGTGATTTCTTCTTTTAATGTTGTCTGATCGGGTAGCGGATAATATTGGATCCCAGTTCTATTACCTTTGAAGAAGGGGAACTAAGCATAATACCAGTTTTGTGATATATTCCGGTCCTACCAACGTATAACGTCTTTCATTATCTTCAGTCGGCTCACTCATCAAACTTTCCAAGCGCCGCGGATCCGCTCAAGTCGGTCATAAAATCGCCCACACTATGCCATCGAATAGTTTTTGCGATTGCCCGTATCACGGGTATATGGCGGAAGGAACAGCAGGTGATAAAAATTGTGGCAGTTCCCCCAACTAACCCTTGTATGCCAAATCAGCGATATTGGCCTGCATCGCGGACCAAGACTCTAGATCTAGATCCTAACGAACCCCTGATAGCAGGATCTGTCTCGACGGATATCGATAGCGAGCACTTAAACCTGGATAATAGTCTGTTGAATGTCTTACCATATATCACTTTTTCACAAAAGTCTAACGAAAAGATCGTAGTAGAGTATTTTGGTCACTGTCATTCTTCAATCGTCTCTTGATTCTCTTTTTCTCCGTTAAAGAAGAAACCATTGAATTGTATAGCCACCTTATTGAACCTAATGACACATATGTATACACCGGGCTTTTCTACACAGAGCAGTGGGTTTGATCTACTCAAGCTACAACCGATGTAGTTTAGACAAGTGGGAATGAAGATATAGCTATTAACATGATTCAATGTACGAATTAACTAAATTGTCAAAGGCTTGTGTGCACAACAAACGAAATTGAAGTCAGATTCACTTATTGTGTAGCCCAAAGTCGAGGCCAGCATCCTTTCCAAATTCGGGTGTGGAGAGAGCATCCACAGGGTTTGTCCGCGACCTAACTATCTGACAGATTCAGATTCCTTGGTTGTTCAACAATTATTAATAACTTACGAGATGAACTAAGTAGCTTGGACAATTGATTCATTTGTCATTTTTAGCGCACAAAGAGGGTATTTAAACAGCGGTTGGGCTGAGCAGATTTCTTTGTATTAATGGAACCCACGTAAAGCAAACATAGAAAGATTGTCGCAAACATTCTAAACTAAAGACATAGGGAAAGAAATCGCTGTGGTATCAAGGTAAACTTAGCCAAAAGCAAACTGTACACAGGAAATAATATCACAGCAAACACGTAATAGTGGGGTGACAGAGAAAGCCCCTCCAAATATCAGAGGGTGAAATAGTCCTAGACTTTAGCAGAAATCAATAAGAACGGTCTCAGTTACCATTGACAGGCACCTTCTTCTTCAAATCAAGGTCATTGTTAGGCATCTGTGCCAGCCAGGTTGGTGGTGCAATCCCAGTCTGCTCATGGATGGTGCTGAGTAGCGGAGGAAGAGACTGCATAATATTTCTGATAGGGGCAGAGGCATCTGCCTCACCAGCAGCAGAGCCCGTATTCCATGTAGTAATCTTGGGCTGCATGCCGTGGACAGCGCTGGCATTGGCCTTTGCTAGTTTCTCGTACACGCCAGTTTCAATCATTCTGAACTGAAGGAAGCCATGGGGGCCACCGAGCGTGTCCACCATTTCGCGGTATGCCTTTGCCATTTCGATTATACCTTCAGCTTCACGTTTCTTGTTGTAATCTGCATAGCATCATTAGCATAACCTGGAAGTAAATTCAAAGATTAGTGGTATCGTACATGCAGCATCGGATTCCACCTTTTGTCTGTAGAAACTTGCATCAGCAGCCTTTTGTTCAGTGTAGAATGCAGCGTCGGCCTTTTGCTGTGCGGATTCACGTGCAATCACACTCTTCGTGACATCAGTGGCACGAAGACGCTCCAACTCGGTCTGGGCTCGCTTGGTCTCAAGCTCCTTCTGCAGCTCGGCATCTCTCACTTCGGTCTGGCGTTGAGCGGTAATTTTAGCCAATTTAATATCTCGTTCCAGTTCAGTCTGGCGATTGGTTAATTCAGAGTCTGCTTTGGCCTTTTCAGCCTTGCGCTTAGTTTCAAGGACGGCTGTTTCGGCGTCGATCTTGGAAATTTCCTGCTTGGTGCGACCTTTCTTCTCTGCTTCACCAATCTCACCACGCATGCGGGCCTCGGCAACATCAATTTTAGCCTGATTGAGGGCACCTTCATGAGCCTTTCGGCTGAGGAATGCAAAGTATTCGCTTCCAGGAGTGTCTTGCAGTTCTTTGACGTTGGCATTATAACTGTATATCATTAGTATACGGTCCAAATCCCAAACGGGGTAAAAAGCGTATTTACATTCGTAGGCCAAATTGCTGCAACTCGTTCTGGACATTTTCGATCACTAGAGTGGCGTTACTATAATGTTGGTTGAACACCAGAGGAGAACCACAAACCCTTGCCCTTGAAAACTTGGCGCTCCTTAAAGATCTCCTCCATGGTCATACCGGAGACAATCACACGGGTTTCACCCTCAATAATACCCTTGACGATATCCTGCACGTGATGACGTCGAGTGGGCTGGGCCACCTCCCCGACAGGTTGACCAGCGCCATCGACGGTCCCTGAGAGGAGAAGCGCATATTTCTTCAGGGCTTCGAGCTCGTTGTCCGGGCCAATGGTGAAAACAGCTGGCAGAGCAAACTGCAGCTTCTCGACGGTCATGGCCTGCAGGTTCAGGGAAAAGTCGAATGGCATAACAGAGATCCGAGAAATCTGATATTACATGTCAAAACCGGCCGCGGCTTCTTCCTAGGCGACGGACTTACCTTCTGCCATGGGTACACAAAGGCCTTTTTGCAGATGCGCAGGTCCGGAATACCGGCACCTGTCACGACCAGGTATTCATTGGCGTTAGCGATGTGGTACCTAGGCGTAGCTGTCAGTCGTACATAGTCATAGACCAAAGGTTCTCAGTCGGCACCAAGGCATACTTCATAGTGACGGGTGATACTAATCGTTATGTGTGTGTGTGTGTGTGTGTGTGTGTGTGTTTGTGTGTAAAGCTGTATACGGTCAAGGAGAGGATAGGGATGCAGTCTCTGCAGGTACAAGGAAGAGTGAGGCGAGACCAAGCTCCTTTATAGCTTGCGAAGCCTGCAGCTGCCCATGTTATACTTGGAGAGCCGCCGCTGTGATTGGCTGAGGCAGACCACCTTGGCAGGCAGGAAGTCGCCCCCAAAGAGGCTAGCGCGGTCGGGCGTTACTTGGTACTGGCCTGCCGCGCATCATGTGACTGTCATCGTACCGCTGTATCCAGAGAGCGCATGTATTATTGTTGTAATTATTGTATGCTTCCCCGCTTGGTCTTGTCATGTCAGGTCAGGTCAGCCTTGCAGGTTGCCAGCTCTTCGCACGCATCAAAACAAGCGGGAATCTGGATCAAAGAACCAGCCCCGGACGCCATGCTCTTTGCGGGCTGCACGGGTAGCAAGGCCCCCTGATGATTGAGCGCCGTGGTTGAAGCCGCTGGCTGTGCAATCTATTGATCGCTGAAGGGAAGGCCCCCCCGATGCGGCTCTGCCTTGAGACCGATACGTGATACTTACATGGCTTTCGGCTGTGTTGGCTAGCTTCAAGCTCTCGGCAACCAGGCGCCCTCTATGGAGCCACGGCCGGGCGTAGGGGCAGTGCACCCAATAGTAGACTATCGCGGGGCGCAGCGGTTAATCGGCATCCCTCCTTTTGAGACTTGTATGAATTCCCTCATTGTGATTTCTTCACTGCGACCGCATTAACTGTAATCTTACCGGCTGATCCCGTGAGAACAGATGGTAGGGATTATGCCGCCAAGTAGCTTCCTCGTGTATGAGTCTGCCTTCTCGGTCCTCGCAGTCAACTTCGAACTCACAGGAAAATAATTCTATGTATCCAAACCCCCCGTCAGGGTCAAGTGCCTAGTCAAGTACCTCACAAGATGTCGAAATCGCCATTTCAATACGCTGAAGACCCAGTGCCTTCTTATGAAGAGAGCGTCCGCTCAACACCAACCAGGTCGCCCCTTCCTCAGCAGACCCTTCCTCAGCAACTTGATGACGCTCGCCTAAGTCGCGTTCGAAATATTCTTTCCACTTATGTCGACCCTCTCCTTGCAGCCCAGGGGGCCTCGGGGATCTATAACGCTGTCTTTCTTCTGATACCATCTAATGTGGACTCGCTACAACAACAACAATCTAGCTCTGAATATTCATACTCCACCCCGAAAGAACCAGAAGTCGTGGGCTTCGCATCCACCGATGTTGTCAAACTCATTCGCTTGAAAGGCGAGGAGCATACTATAGAGTTCTGGAGACAGCCTGCCGTAATTGAGGAACTGGGGAAAGGCTTGCGCATGCGTTTGGAAATGAGTGGCCACCGTGTCGAAAAGAACGAGAGTCCTGAGCCGGTGCCTGAACCAGCACCTTCCAAACCAACATCGCCACCGCCAAGCGAGAAGAAGGCATCAGGCTGGTTTCGATCCAAGCCGAAGAAGCAATCAAAGTCATGGCTGAACAGCACAATTCCATCCGAAGCGACCATCACCGATCACAAACTGGGATGGCGCGAGAAACATGAAGATGTCGACCTCAGCAAACCTTTACGGCGGGGCTTAGTCAGGGTGCGTGTCGAATGGAAGGAAGTCTGTTTGCGAGTAGAAAATGAGCTGGGTTTGTTTGAAACACGCAAGGGACCGGGTGTATGCTTGTTGGTTGACGTTGGAAGTTGATAGATATGAGAATTTTTCATTGCTTTAAAATATCACATTTCTCAGACAGAGTATGAAATACATCCTTCTGTTGGCTCGAAAGAGTTTATTTGAGCAATGCATCATTCACTAGATATAACGCGCACATAGTTTGAGGAAATAAACATATGATATTAATTAAATCAAGACAGATCGGCTCCGGTTGCGGTGATTGGCCAATGCACCCCGCGAAGTGGGTTTTGCAAACTAATTTATCATATTTATCATCTCCCCGCAAAGATCGACTGCGTCTGCTTCTTTTTCAGTAGAATTTGCCTCAATTCAGATATTCCAGTTGAGAAATACTGCAAGGTAAGATCGTCTATATGCAAGTTTCCATGATTCTTTTTAATATGGCTATGATTCTCTTTTCGTTGTATTCATCTATCTTGTTGGAGCCATGCACCGCCCCTCCTCGCATACAAATTGATTGCACACAGAATGATAGATCTCTGCCATCTCTTTTTGTGCCCGGATTTGTTGCACCTCTGTTATTCAAGTTGTTGACATCCATTTGTTCTGGAAAATAAATATGCTGCACTTATCATCCTGTATTGTTAGATTGCATGACATCATCAAGCGTCGATATGAGAGGTTCGATATTTCTTCGGCCACTCGCTGATTCATTAATATATGAATGTTTGCTCTTCCTCGATGCGACCTCACTGACTATACACAGTTAGATCTTCCAAACATTACCAATATGGCACCGGCAGCTCCTCTTGCCATTGCGACCTCTTCCGTTCACCGACTTGTCAAAGAAGAAGCTTCGTATCACCGAGAGTTGGAGCAACAGACAAAACGTCTGCAAAAGCTTGAGTCAGAGAGCGCTGCTGGCGATGATGAAGGCAATAGCGAGTTCCTGCTGAAACAAGAGGTGAGTCTACTTTAGAGCTGCCGGTATGGCGATGATATATTCTAACATGCATTCACACAAACAGCGGCAAGCCGTGGAGGAAACCAAAGCCATCCTCCCAACCTTGAAGGAGAAGATTTCCGATGCTGTTGCAAAGCTGGAACGGCTCATTGTGAGTGATAGAACAGTTCTTGGATCCATAGCCGCTGTCTAACACGTTTTCTTGTGCAGGTCGAGGAGGGTCAAAAAGGATCTGAGAGCAATGTAGAGCAGCTGACCGCTGCTAAAGAGGCGGTATCTCAGGCAAAAACAGCGCTTCGTGAGATTGCTTAATTGTGCTTTCTATTCTCAAACCAGTCGATGAAATAATAGCTATGCTTAACCTAGATTAATGTAATACTAAATCCTCAAATGCCTGGTAGCCGAAACAATCATGCTTTAGAGAACACCATGAACGCCAACCCATGTTTTACCCAAGTGTACATAGAAAGTAGTGTGCATGATATAACATTTCAGGTGGTATCCATCTTATCTTCCCTTTCGTCAGTCTCTCCCTCTTCAAGCTCGTCAACCTCTCCTTCATCAGGCATGTTGATATCGTCTTCTTGCTTATCCTCCGCGGCGGACATAGACTGTCTCAATGGAGAGGCCGCGCCTATTGTGTCTGCTTGCAGTCTCTCCACCTGTAGTTTGCTGGGAACATGCTCATCGCCTGTTTGAGACTCGGAGTCTGGTCGCGGTGAGTTGACACCGCTAGTTCGACCTTTCGATTCGTCCTCCCCATCTCCCGTATCGCCATCATCACCCTCTTGCATGCCCTCCCTTCGTTCGACCTCTTCCTTTTCATCCCGAATCAAGCGACGCAGCTGCATTCCTTCTTCAACGATACGGCCAAATTGTTCGCGCCGTTCAGACCACGTCTTTGCGTATTCCTTGCTCTCTTTTTCTAGCTCTTGAATTTCCACCTCCAGTTTTTCAAGATTCGCCTTTTGATCCTCCCGCGGACGAAGAAGCCGGTTACTTGTAATTTTCTCCGTCAGGTCATCATACACCTTCCGAAGGTTCAGCGTCTTCTGTGCAGCTTCCAGCTGTACGCGAAGCTCGCCGGTATTGTCTCGCACGTCCTGCGCCGTCGACTGGATCCGTAGTTTCTCTGCCGCATATCGCTCTCTCTCTTTCTCATTGTTCGTCAACAGAAACTGGATCCGCGCGATGCTGCTCTCGAAGGCCGCAAAGTCGAGTGTTACGGCTTCCTTGAATTGCCGCCATTCATCAAGCTTCTTCTGCCGCCGAGTATCTGCATCTGCATCTGCATCTGCAGGGTCTGCACCCGGCTCGGGGGGTGGTGTGAGGGGCAGGGATAATGGCGTAGAAACGAGAGATTCGCGAGCGAGGAGCCGCTTTGTAATGCGCTTGAATGGCTTTTCCTCGACGTTGAGGAGGCGGGATTTATGGAGTGCATCTACACAGACAGCACGGTCAGCTGGCACGAAGCCCGCAATGGAGGAGTCCATGCTCACCTTCCTCTTCCTGGTCCAATAGCCTGTGCGATGCCATGGCGAATACTAATAATGGCCGTTGTTGCTGGAGTAGTAAATAGAATTTGATAATGTAGTCACTATCAATTTGATGTAAGAAGGAGGCTTGGCCAGAGCCGCTTTGCACCTTCCAGTTTTGCGGCTTTGTTTAAGCTCCCGCCCCACCCCCAACCTGGCCTGGTCGCTTTTCCTTTCTCGCAGTCGCGCAGGTTCGCAGCTCTCGAGTGCCCGCTGCAATCGTCGTGGACCGCTTCAAAGCGCTTTAAATTGGATCTTCTTGCCCCGGCGGCTCGTCTTTCCTGCGTCGGCCCGCTGTATGGAGGTCCTCATCCTCAGGCTTATCGCGGACGGAGCCAAGGTAACTCGCTCGACCTTTTGCTGGATGTTTACTCAACTCACTTCTTGGATGATAGTTAATCCTACAATAAACTGGACGATTGGCCCCGATTGAGCGTTGTTTAATATGGCAGAGGTGGTGTCGGGGCTCATCGTGGGCCAACGATTCGACTCGCTCGAGGACTTCAAATCCGCCATTCGCAATATCTCCGTTCGCCAACATTGGGATCTGCGAGTCGTGCGTAGCAATAAGAAAAGTGTCGTTCTCGGATGCCGCTCGTCCTCCAACTGTTACTTTCGCGTCGTGTGTCGGGCGAACAAGAATGCGACGCACATCACAAGCTTGCAAGACACGCACAGCTGCCGGAGGAATCTGGGCTCCGCGGGGTCGACGCCAGCGCGCTCGGAAGCCTCACATGTCCGCTTTCTATTAAATGAGATTCCCAAGCTATTTGATATGAAGAATAAGATCAAGGGCCAGGATGTTGTCGATGCAGTGAAACGATATCACGGTTACGATATTTCGATGCGTCAAGCGCAACGCGCATTGACCAAACTACAGCCCCGGCTATCAAGAGCCCACGCAGACCAGGAAAGCAGCTCATCACAAGTGCAGCCAGACCACCGGGTAGCTACGCGTATGAGTAACGAAGAGCCCTTTGATCCGCTCGGTGAAGACCGTGGCTGGGCTGAGAACGGCCTATCGTCAGCATTGATGGAAGATGACGGCATGGATCAAGATGACGACTCGCCCACAGAAAATGTGTCGGCGGCCATTGTACATGCACAGCAGCATGATCCGTCTCTAGCTGGTGTTTCCCATCATGCGCAACCAGGTCCTCCAGAGCCGCCCTCGCTCTCGGCCGTTCCACAGCTCAACTCCCTCCCACCGCCTCCCCAACCGTACCCTCAACCTCCGCAACAAATACAGCCTCCTCCACCACAACCAAATCCAAAATCTCAAAATCAATCGCAGCCCCAGACCCAATCGCAGCCACAGAATCGACCGCCTCCACCGCAACCGCCACCGCAACATCATCAACACCCTGCATCAGCTGGCCATCCTGCAGCCGCTCAATTAGTGCTCACCAACTTTAAAATTGAATTCACATGTACTTCCTGTGGTGCCCTAAACCAGAGCTTTTTCCCAAACCAAGGCAACGTCACAAACAATGCCTATTTACAAACCCATGGCATCGGCCCAGCCAACACTGCCCGTCCTCCAATGGACGCCGTACCAAATGACACAGCAAACGCCGCTGCCGCTGGGTTTGGAGGGCCCGAGTATGAGGGCAATGGGCCTTCTCATGCTCGGAATATACCTCCATGGGTAAGCGGATTAGACGTTGCCATACCTCCTACGAATTCATAGTATAATCTGTCTGTCATGACTTGACACAACGGAAATTCTCGTCAAGACCGCGCCGTTGGTATATCCGGCGACGATCCCTATCCCTGCGTATCTGCATACGTGCTAATGTCTCGTCTGGTTTTCATGTCCACTAAAAATTCTGGTTTCTCTAATGATCTTTCCGGCGTGATATTGGGTGTTATGAGCCATGAACGCTTGCATACTTCGACTACTAATAATACCTAATTGGAAGTACATAGGCATACAAATAGTGCAAGCGAAAAAGTTCGCATTCTGATCTGATTTGTACTTCATAATAGCGATAGATTAATGATAGCATTATCTTAAAACACGAAGTTGGACCCGTGTGCTTCCCTGATATACTGAGACCCCGAGTGAGTCGGTCGGACAAATAAAGGTACAAAGTGGAGTAATTGGCCGTGCTGCACGGAGAGATGTCGGACATCAACCGCTACGGCTGAACACTGGTGAACTGCGTCCACCTTTGGGCTATTTAACCCAAAAGGGCCCGCTTAATCGCCCTGATCACCCTCTAAGGCAGCAGAAAGGGCTGAGTGATGAAGAGCACCATAATGGCCCCCGCGGCAATAATCATGAGTGGGAAGACAGGAACCACCGCGTCGAATAGGGCCTGTGATAGGTGCCGTCGGCGGAAGGCTAAAGTATGTGATGTCCGAACACCTAGGCAGCACATATTCTTTTTTCTTCCCTTTCTTATTTCTGGATCAATCGGTTGATCGGCAAGTTTTCTTAGTGCGATTTTGCCAACTCGTCATGCACGAGGTGTGACTCGGCGGGACTTCGGTGCACATTTGATCTTCCCGTCCAGAGACGAGGGCCGAAGACTCGGTATCCCGTTACTCCTCCTCCTATTCCTACTACGGCGACGGCTTCGAGGACTCTACCAAGCCAAGCCGCAGCTACCGATCTTCCTTTATCGGATCCGACGTGGGACACCGATGCCCTACAGGGCTTGGATGATATTTCACCAGCACAGCCTGCAGTGCTTGAGAGCCCTCTATTGGACCCAGAATCGTCTGGGCTATCGTCCACATTTAAGCTGTGGACCAGTTTGGCCGCACAAATTGGAAGTATTCTTCCGACACTCACCCTCGAAGAACTAGTCAGAAGGTGTTTTGATCTCTACTTTGAGTACCTTTTCCCATTGGCCCCTTTGGTTCACGAACAAAATCTTCGCAACAACTTGGACTCCTTCTTGGCTGGAGATATACCAATACTGCATAGTGGAGGGCATTCGACAGACCCAGCATCCGCCAGTATTTCTGAAAATCTAGAGGTTTGGGCGGAATCCACCTTTACGCTAATTACAGCTCTTTGCGCTGAAGTCGCTTTTCGATTACCTACGGATATATTTGCCGAAGGCTGCATTGTATCTGATATCTTTCTGAAAGCTTCGAGGAACTGCTTGAACATTTACTTAGAAACGGACCTGGAGTACCCAAATGCCACTTCAATGATAATCCGCTACTATCATTATAATTGTCTCCACGCAACAAGGAAGCCGAACTACGCATGGCACGTCTTTGGTGAAGCTACACGCCTTGCACAGGTGATGCGATTGAATGAAGAAGCTTCATATGAGTCCTTGTCTCCACTGGAAGCTGAGTTACGGAGGAGGGCCTTTTGGGTTATCTTTATTGGAGACAAGTCGGCTGCCATCCTCGATAACCGCCCAATAACCATTCACCAGCTGTCCTTTGAAACTGGTATCACGGCAGCATACCCTATTGGAGAAATCGATGATGGGATATCAATGATCCCAGCTACTATAGACCCCTCCAGACCGGACTTTGTCGCAGGCTTCAGTGCTAGCATAAAATTATGGCAGGTTGCGTCAGATATTTTGCTCGAAATTCGATTACAGGAACATGCGCGTAACACTCGAAAATCATATTCTTTGTCGCCAAATGAAACCTCAAGCCCCACCCTGGATGCCCTCTATGTCCGCTTCATCACTTGCCTTGACAACTTGCCTCCCTACCTTCAGGTGGACGGTTTCGCCGAGAACGAAGTTGACTATCAGCAGTCAAACAAAACCGGGATAATCCAAAGAGTCAACCTTCATATCACATTCCATTTCCTTCGCATGATAATCCTACAAAAGCTGGCTGTGCTTGAAGCTGAATCCCCTTACAAATCAAACTCCCGGATGTTGATGGTGAGAAGGGCGGAGGTCGCTCATGATATGCTCCGGATTATCCATAGTGTGCCATTTTGGGCGCTGCAAATAAACGGGGAGTCATGTGTACTTGCACCTCAAAACATAAAGCTAAACCGAGGAAATGTATGCTAACAAAATACCTGTAGGTTGAGAAAATTCGCCTGGTTGGTGCGAGCCTAGTTGGTGTTCTCCATGAATCCGTGAATGGGGCCACAACGGATGCTCCGCTGTTGACACGCGCGAGAACCGACTTTGCTATGCTACTAGAAGCCCTGACGGGACTTGATTATAGGGCAGCAGATACAATACGATATGGATTGGAGATATAGTTGCAATTATCCATACCGTGAAACTATAGTTCTGGTAACAAAATAAGCTTAAGCTTTCGGCTTACCCCGCAATTGGAAAATGATAATGCGGAGTAATTCCAAGACCCTTTCCAGTTTGTGCTGCAGGACGGATATAGCAAAAGGTATATACGGATATACAGTATTTACGCTGCCTTCCTGCTTCCCAACACCAGATTGCATGTGATTTGCGAATTCACAGGTGATAACAGGAGAGTTGTTGTTTATCATATGACGAGAAAGAAAGGAGTGACCCTGTCGCTTTGTTGTATAATTCGTTGAAGCACAGTCCGGTCCAGAATCGGATATATCCAAAGACCCTATGAGCCTGCTTAGGAAGCATTACCAAATCATTAACCCAACCAATGGATCTCCAAATCGGAAATACTCCGCAAAGGGACTCGCTGGTGACTGGTTGTTGTTATTGACTATCATATTCTTTGCCTCAGCAATATTCGGATATATTTTGGTAACCTGGGTTTATTAAATATCATCGACTACCAAGTCTATTTTCAAACATAACTACGAACCAAATAGATTCAAATACGCTGTCAGTAATATGATCGAGACTGGATTCCTTATTGTCGGCGCCGGACCGGCTGGGGGAAGCTTGGCATGCTTCCTAACTGTTCATGGTACGGTTTTCCATCTCCTCCAGATATCATACCTATCACCTTCAAATATGCCTGAGAAATATTTGTTACTGACAGATACTTTCAGGTCTCAGAGGTATTATGATCAGTGCTGCGTCGGGTACGGCAGATACACCTCGTGCTCATATCACCAATATGGCCGCGATAGGTTTGTCTCGGCTACTGTATATTCATTGCACATGATCTAACAATGTTTATAGAATGCCTTCGAGACATTGGACTGGAGCAGGAAATTAAGAGCCTGGCTTCCGATGGAGAATCTCATATGCTACATACCCGTTGGTGTCATAGCATGGCTGGCGAGGAGTATGCGAGGATATATTCGTGGGGAAATGACCCTGTCAGAAAGGTAGCATTGTCTTCAATCAAACAAATCTGAGGGGTTATCACTGCTAACAATATCCAGGGTCATTATGTCAATGCCAGCCCTTGCGTTCCGGTGGACCTTCCTCAGACTCTTCTCGAACCAGCTCTGATTAAGTATGCCACCAACCATGGCTTTACAACCCGTTTCAACACTTCTTTTCTCCAATATAGCGAAGATCCGAGTAGTGGAAAGATTGTCGTCACGGTTCGGGATGATCTTGCGGATACCAAGTACCAAATACAAACGAAATACTTGTTTGGCGCTGATGGTGCTCGTAGCCGCATTGTTAAACAGCTCTCGTTGCCCTTGAACGTCAAACCAGGTCAAGGTCTAGCAATCAACATCCTTGTAAAGGCAGATCTTTCACACCTTATGCAACATCGGAAGGGAAACCTGCACTATGTGATGCAGCCAGATCGCGAGCATCCTGATTTTGGATGGTGGTCTATTGTACGTATGGTCAAGCCATGGGAAGAATGGATGTTTATTTTCTTTACGGCACCTGGAACAGACCCCAATATTCAACCGAGCAATGAAGAATATTTGAAAAGAGTCAAGGAGTTCATAGGCGACAACACGCCTGCTAAGATCTTGAATGTGTCCAAATGGTTCATTAATGAGACCGTTGCAGAGGAATATTCCAAAGGGAACATTTTTTGCCTCGGGGATGCCGTTCACAGACATCCACCATTGAATGGGCTCGGGTCCAATACGTGCATTCAAGACTCATACAACTTAGCCTGGAAGGTAGCGTTTGTTGAAAAGGGACATGCAAGCCCTTCGCTCCTTTCAACGTATTCCTCTGAGCGGCAACCTGTCGGCCTGGGAATCATAACACGCGCAAACCAGGCACTTCGAGATCACTTCAGAATCTTCGACTCACTCGGACAGACAAACCCGTCCCTTGCAGAACGACTAGCCATTCAAGATGAATTTAAGAGCGCAACCCCCCAGGGTGTGGCTCGCCGAAAGAAATTTCAAGAAGGTATTGCTCAGAGTGCTCATGAGTTTCACGGTTTGGGTATCGAAATGGGTCAGCATTATGCGAGTGCCGCAATTTATGACTCTGATGAATCGGCACCGTATGTTTCCGAGGGCAAGGATGAAGTATTAGACTATGTACCCAATACCTATCCAGGGAGCAGATTGCCGCATGCCTGGCTCAATAAGGCCATTCCTGTTTCCCCTATATCGACGCATGATCTTGCCGGTCACGGCGAGTTCACGTTGTTCACCGGAATCGGAGGGGAATATTGGAAAGCAGCAGCCACAGAGATTTCAGAAACCCTGAGTGTGAAGATCAATGTTCATGCGATAGGTTTCCGACAGGATTGGGAGGATGTCTACCACGACTGGGCGAGAGTCCGTGGAGTAGAAGAATCAGGCGCTGTGTTAATCCGTCCAGATCGCTTCGTTGCGTGGAGAGTACGTGAGGTGCTAGAAAGTGAACAAACTTGCCACGAGAAACTCTTACGGGTTATGCAAACCATTCTTGGCTTAGAGTTGCCGTGACTGTCATATATGTATTATAACTTCCAGTCAGTTTGTAGGTATCTTCTAATAAATATGAGAACAAATGAATAATACTGTCTAAAAAAATCTATTATCAAGAAGGCCTCGAATGAATCCAGGAATGCAGCCAGCTAGCCTATTAAATAAAATTTTCATCTAAATAATCAGCAGGTTACCATTCTCGCAATTATATATTTATTACACTAACATTTTCAAATGTCCTCGAGTTAATCGGCTGACGCCATTTCTAGAGAGACTAGTCTATACAATTAAGCTAATAAGCATAAATCAAAAATTCAAAAAAATTAGTCATGTGTACAAAATTGGGAAACAAAAATCAAACTAGCATGCAGATAAAAGCCTTTGTAGTTTTCAGACTTGAATTTATATAGGGGTCTAGAAATGCCTTATCGTGTCTTATCAGCAACCACGCTATCTTATCAGCACGTGAACCCCACCCAGAGCTTCGAGGCTTCGCATTCACCACTTTCGTACAGCTTTATCCTTTCAAAGTACAACGACCGCATAATCGATTTCTTTTGCTGCCTAGTTTTATTCTCTGTGCACTATATACGAATCATTCCCATGTTGCGCATATTAGGTCCGCTATATACTCGCTCGCACACTAAACCGTCTTGAAACGCTCCACATATTCCATGCTTTCAAGGCTGAGATATTCAATATGCCGGCGCGATCTCTACTTGCAATGAGCACTCGGATTGCCATACAGTATTCCCGAAGTATGTTCCACTACTTGATAGGGGTTTGGAGACTTGCTAATGTTTAAAGGTCTTACGGATGTCGGGAATATTCCCTACCCACTCGCCAGGCCCTTCCTAATTAAGATAGAAAGCCCAGCTCAGTTGGTAAGTTCCACACCGCGTAGAAGACTCATACTTGCTAGAGCTAATCGATGATCAAACTTCCATAGCGAGAAATCGAAAGGAACTCTCCACATATCATGGAAGATGATCGAGAGCTATGGATCGACTTCATCAAACGAGACGTTCCTCAATGGGACCAATACGAATTACCTGAGGAATCGGCCTGCTGGTATGATATTTATAGCGATTTGGTCGAACGAGTCCAACGAGAAGTCGATGAGGATGCCCTTCGTCTGAAACAAGCAGTCGATAAGATCAATTCCGACAAGGCTAGTAACGCGGCCGTCTTTGTACGAGACACTAGCATCCTGCCGAAGCCACGACGGAGGGCCCCGACCAGGACAGAACCGAAGAAAAGCGGTCTCTTTCATACCAAAAGGAATAGGGTGCTTGCCGTTCCAACACACCGTTTAAACAGTGGTGCATCGCAGATAAGACACGTTCCACAGTGGCTTGTTGATCAACACAAACAGCCTACCACAGTCACACAACAACGTCCAAGTTCTGCTTCTGCTCCCAAGACTAGTGCTTCTGGTGTCACAGGTCACAACTCATCCACATCGAACATTTCCCCGAAACCTCCAGGTCGTCCACAACCGGTTCAACTGGTCTCTCGATCGACGGTGTCTCCGGCTAAGAGCCAAACAGCTCTTGCTTCCCGTCCAGTTTTGTCAGCGAAACGACCTTCTGAAGACCGACCAGCACGGGTTAATACTGGTCCTCAAACGTCAGATAGACCTTCATTAACTCGTCCGTTAATAGCATCACCGGCACCACCGCTCATCAAACGGCGTGCTATCTCAAGCCAACCCAACGTATTCATTCAGCAGAAGAAGAGAAAGGCCTGAGTCGTTCCATCAGTGAGCTTTATCTTACAATTTTCATATTAACTTATTGCTTTTATTAAACCCTGCATTCTGTGCAAGATGTACAAGATACCCTTCTCTTCGTTATAGTCTGTGCTCTGTGATGGGAAAATGCTTGGGATTCTTAGAATCATTATGGATTATATTTGAGAGTATAAGTAACTCTCTTTGGGGCGAATCCTTAAATTACGTTTTCACGATATCCACGAACTGTGTTCTAGACTTGCATCTCAAGCGACATTTTGTATCATAGAATAGTGTGTTGTGTATCAAATAACCTTCTACGAAGAAACCGCGGAAAACGCTGTGAATTATATATGCATAAGATCTTTCGGTCATAATGCATTGAATTCTAACACAAGTCTCATCTGAAAACTGTATAGCAAGGGGTTCGTGAGTCATATCGCACTCGAAGGAGCGGCATCTGCGTAGATGGGCCCAGATCCAAAGGGAGTATCATGATGCGGAGGTATGGTATATGTGGTCTAGGCAATTCGAGAGAGAGGATGAGCTTGAATTATTGTGAACCACCACGTAAAGCGAGAACCAAATGTAGTGTGGCGCCTCCTTCAAGGTTGTATTCGGCGGCAGTTTTGTCGTCGGCCCTGGTAGAAAGATGGAAATAAGTTGCTGCCTTTTGCCAAAAGAGATAGATGTTTCACACGACATACATTTGTTTTCCACCGAAAATAAGGCGCTGCTGAACAGGAGGAATACCCTCTTTCTCCTCAACTCGTTCTTTTATTCTAGAGACCTATCGGATGTGCTTCTGTCAGCCAGTGATTTCGTCACATCTTCGATAAAATTGCCGCCTTTATCGTTGCTTCGCTATTCGACCTCGCATCGTATACTTCCGCAGGGGATGCCGTACCTTGTAGTCTGCCTCAATATCAAGCTCGATCTCCTTCCCGGTCAACGTGCGCACTCTGCAATTACATTAGCAAATACTCCGATAAGTGGCTGGTTTCCCCGCATTCATGCATGGTCGCCGGTTCGAAAAGGTCTCCTTACTTGATCAACATTGTGATTGTGTATGGATTTGGAGCACAAATGAGGAAAATCGTACGAAAACACCGACTAGACTAGAGAACGTCTGTAACCTGGAGGAAAGGCGGATGGTAGATAACGTATGGTGTTGATTGTAGGAAGAACCTCAGAAGTGGGGTCTCCCGTTTGCAGTCAGCCGCGCCTCCATGTTTTTAGGCGCTGACTTTTATGTCTCGGTTTGTTTACTTCTCTGACTTCCAAGCTATTTTCTTTGTCTTCGTATAGATTTGATATTCTTACTCTCCCCCTACGTCGTAATGGCTGCCGTCGTGTTCGAGGATTTATCAGGAGCAACGACTCCAGTCTCTGAAAGCGACAACCCCTACCAGCCCCTGATAGAAGCAGCGAATAATGAACCAGTTTGCTCCCGTTTTACAAATGACTTGGTTCTCTGCCTTTAACTAAAAGATGATTACAGCATCAAATCCAAGCGCGGTACACAACACACCGCACGACGCGGAATGAAATGCAAAACGCTAAGATCCTAGACCCAGACTTTGCAGGATGGACTCTAGACCCGGTTCTCGCAAAGTTAGAAGGCCCAAACAGAGATCCCACCTTTACTGACGAGAGGTTTTGTCTTGTTTTCTGGGGTCGGCCACCTGGGTATATCCGGAAAATGATCCAGGATATCCAACAAGAGTTACGCGAAGTTGCTCCAGGTTAGTTGGGAAACCCCCTCCCACACAGCTTGGACTAGCAATCGGGCTTACGTATGATCCAGATTTGTGGTTTATGCCGCTGGACAATTTGCACATTACTGTACTAGAAGTGGTGCATTCAGTCACCAAGCAAGAGGTCGATAGACTAGTATCAACATTACTCAAGGACAATGCAGCAGAAAAAATAGCGAATATCACACTACAACGTCGACCTCGTCTGATCAAGCCAATGGTCAGTTACGATGCAGCCGCAATGGCACTCAGCTTTGTGCCTGCTGCAGGCGAAGGCGCAGACAAGACCGCCACCGACGACACCTTTACTTATCACCATCTTCGACGGGATGTTTATGATCAAGTAAAAGCTGCTGGAGTGAAACCAGCCTCGAGATATGCCGTACCATCAGCACATCTCACCATAGGACGCTTCATTAACCAGAATGGGTTTCAGGATGAGGGGGGGAAGTTTGACGGTGTAAAGGCGAAAAGACTGGTTCAGAAAATCGAAGAAATCAATACTAGACTAGAAGCACAATATTGGCCCTCGACTTCTGGCATACCAGAAGGCGGCGAATGGACCATAGGGCAAGAAAAAGGGCTTGACTTTCGCATGGGTCGGCTCTGGTATGGTGGCGGCAAGACCGTTATACTCGGACAAGGACACGAATAGGATCTTCCATATCTTTCCGTAGATAGAGCAGTCAATCAGTGGCACTTACCCTGACTATTAATGAATCATAATGATATTGGGTAAGGGACACCAATCATCACGTTGCTCCATCCAAGTCTTGGCAATTACTATGTCACGTGACTAAATATTCACCTGATCGAGGCTAGCTCGTTTTCGGGTAGGGCATAAGCCCCCGGCAGACACACAATTAACGATTCCACTACTCAACGACAAGTCCGACAACCCCAACGACCATCAAGAAGTTGTGCTCCGGCAAATACCGTCAAAATGGTAAGCTATTTCTATTTGCTTGGGATAGTTTTGTTTTTTGGGTTTTCTTTTCAGATGGGCGAAATACTGGATGGCTACATCGCCTGTGACAACGAATCGAGGGCCGGAAATATCGCAACGTCGCTACGGTGTTGATAACATCAAAATCCAACGACATATCAATTAATATCGAAGACAAAATCGTCAGAATTTTATTGATAACATGGCGCATTGTCGGATTATCGGAAGCGACTTGAAGCGGATCTCGAAAACTTTTCAATACAGTTTATCGCACGTTATACGTATTTTATCGAGAATTCATTCGCCGATCGCCATGCGTGTGAGCAGTGGCACGAGAGAAAATTCCAGCGCTGGCTATTTTTCATAATGCAACTGTTTTCTGTTTTTATTCTTCCATCGAGGAAGCAGGCTTATATGAAGATGGTTCGGGACAATTACTGATGGCTCTATCTTTTTCCAGGTCAACGTTCCCAAAACCCGCCGGACGTACTGCAAGGGCAAGGATTGCAAAAAGCACACCCAGCACAAAGTCACCCAGTACAAGGCTGGAAAGGTTAGACACAACACTTGGACATCCCTCATTTGAACACGGTATTGATGATCTTATATAGGCTTCCCTCTTCGCCCAGGGTAAGCGTCGTTACGACAGAAAGCAGAGCGGTTATGGTGGTCAGACAAAGCCTGTTTTCCACAAGAAGGCTAAGACCACCAAGAAGGTCGTGCTCCGTCTGGAGTGCACCCAGTGCAAGACCAAGGCTCAATTGGCTCTGAAGCGATGCAAGCACTTCGAGCTCGGGTATGTTGAATTGCGGACTAAACCTTACGGTGAAGCAATGAGGCTAATAGTTGTTGTTCTATAGTGGTGACAAGAAGACCAAGGGTGCTGCTCTTGTTTTCTAAACGCATAAAATTTGGAACTGCAAGAAGCAAGAGGTGTTGGTGTTTCGTTTTCCCGATTACAAGATTTATTTCTTATGTCACGTCTTGGCTTGGGGGTGTTATACTCTTTTTCGTCATGCATTCATGTTATGACACGATGAAACAAAACACATGTAATCCTCCACTCTGGCCTTGCAATGAACAAGGTCAAGTGAGAAGGAAGGAATTGATACATAAACAATAAATTCCGAAAGTTGAACGATACAACCGATGCCTCATTCTAGGATACAATTCACATGGTACATGTAATGCCGTTAGATTATGCCTGGTCAGACAATGGCCCAGGTCCGCAAAACACTTAAGCGGAGCCGCTCACTTATCCAGTTGACATTCTACAGGAGCTTGCATAAAAATTTCTTGTTCCCGTAGACATATTGAGCCCGCAGATTCAGAGGATACTTACTACTTCGTATACTCCGACTAAACTGTAGAAAGCTTGAAATTGGAGCTGATAATTTCCAATATGAAGCGACATGTGGACGACTGACATCTACGTGCTAGTATCAACCTGCATAGCGCATCTTCTACCTAGAAGTACATATCTACGTAGCAACTATCCTGTGTGCTATCATTAGATGCCTTGCGTCAAGGTATGCCCGGCTGTCTCCACCTTCAACATAGTGACCATACAGGTAACTAGGGAGTTGAGTTGTGCTCTGTGCACACTATGGCAGGCTTATTTACTCCGAGTGGCATATCTTGCTATCTAGTTTTAAGCCTCACAGGGCTAGGAATCGCTGGAGGATTTACAAGGACTCTGATCCCATTCAGATTCAGCAGTAGAAGAAGTGGAGCCCGACCGAATATCATTCGATCTACCTTGCGCCAATTTTCTTCTTCTGTCTCGCCCTCTTTTATGTCTCCGATGGTATATAGTCGTGGCAGTCTACATTCTACTCACATTGTCGAATAGTAGGGCAGTAAGCAATAAGTGTGAGGCAAACAAGGCGGTTCAAAGAACGAGGGACCGTACCATGGTACGTGGGTAAACCACGTGCGGGCCGCGAATACATTCCATGGCTCACACTCATAGATAGTCAACATTCCTCAAGAAGCCAAATCCGACGTTCTTGACTCAAAGTCTCTTTTCCAGGCACAGACTGGACGCCAGACCGACGCTGGGTCGAATCTGCCTTCCGGCGATGATGGTGGAGACGATGGCCTACCTATGATGATGATATTCGGGGCGGAGGTTACCGAGTCGTGGTAGGAATTCACCGTCCTTCCAGGCTCTCAACACCGAGTCCAGTAAGCAGTTTTGCGGCTCCAAGTCGGTGAGAAGCCGGGTAGTCGCTCCCAAATGCAGGGAGTCGACAAGCGAGAGCGACGAGAGTACCATTAGGGTTGGCACTTCGATGGTGCATCTGTCGGCTGGGGCGAGGCTGAGCCGCACCAGTAGTTCGGGCACACAGTGTGCTTGGACAGGCGGGCAAGCGCTAGCCATCGGTGTGGCGGCATGCATGAGTGAACATTCCAATATTGCGAGTCTCTGATGCCAGTACTTAAAAGCGAGCCGTATCGTCTGGGTTGGCGAGGGGCAAATCGAGCTGTCTACACACTACTATTACACACTCTTCAAGTCTCTCACACTGCGTACTTTATTAATATTATCGCCTTTTCCTGCTTGGCAGCCTAGCCTGACTCACCCCGACGACGTCATCATATCAAACCGCTTGCCTCCCGTGATCTCACGTGCTGGTCGATCTGGCTTGCTCGGGCTAGCCATCCTTCCTCTTCCTTCCACCGACCACCCCGCCCGCAGTTTAGAGCCCCGCGCCCCCTTCAGATTACTCATTTTTCTTGCCAGGACGAAAGACCATAGAGAAACACAACCACAGGGCATCATCGTCGGCCCACTCTTTCTAGAAAGACCGCCAGGTTTCAGTATTGGTCAGCTCGCAGTGGCTGGGTGCATTAGGCCTTCATTTAGCCCAACGCAAACAATCCCGACCAACCCCACCATCGCGAGGCCCACTCCGTTGCCTCAGACCTTCAGCCCAGCCTGCCAGGCATCTTTTTTTGCCTTCAATCCATCTACCACTACCCCTCCTTGCGAATTATTCCCTTTTCCTTCAGTCCTCCAGTTCCGAGCGTATCCGTCATCTACAACTTCAGTTATCGGTCATTTGCAGGCTGAAAACGATACACAGCTGGCATTTTGCAAGTCACAGCAAACCTGACCTGTGATTGACTGATATCAGTTGAATTTTCTCTTTGGCTCGCAGCCGGACACATCCGTATCTGGGGTGTCTCGACTTCAACCAAGACCAACCATGTCCTATACATACCGGGAACGAGACCGTGAATGGGACGACTATTCGCGGCCATCTGACCGTAGCTACAAAGTGAAACGCTATGTCGTTTCTCATGATGACAACCGTGAGCGGGAGCGCGACTTCTTTCGTCGCGAGGATTCGGGTACAGCCGATCGAGAATTGGTGATTCGGCGAAGGACTGAACCATACGAGACTGACTACGAGGTTCGGCGTGAGTATCGAACGGAACGTGACTACGAACGTAAGTTTTATATCTAAATTTTATGCTTCCCATTGATAAGAATTGATTTCCTGTCTCTGTTTATCAACATACAACTTTCTTGTCGAGCTGCCACTGATAGTATCATAGCTCGATCAATTCATGAACCTGAGTATCAAGTGGTTCATCGATCTGAAGCGAGCGAACGGGATCCCCGTGATGTTGAGTACTACTACCAGCGGCGCGTTCGCGAATATGACGACGACCGCGAGCGTGTTAGGCGAGAGCTCAGCCCCCACGACTCTGTCTCTCAAGTTGGTAGTCGAAGACATCGTGATCGCGATCGCGATCGCGACTATAGCAGTGACGACAGCATGGTCTATATCCGCAAAGAAACCCGTGAATACGACGGCGAGCCTCATCATCACAAGCGCCATCTTGCCGAGGGAGCTCTTCTTGGAGTAGGAGCAATGGAACTGTTACGTCACCGTAGCAAGAGTCAAGGCCGTCCAGTTTCAGGCGCCCTCGGCCATGTTGGCCAGGGAGTCGGTGCAGCTGCACTAGGTGCCGTCGCAGCCAATGCTATCGAACATTATCGCAGCAAAAGTCGTCGACGCTCTTCATCCGTCGACGACGATAGAAGCTCTCGCCATTACCATCACGGCCATCGTTCTGGACATCGCAGCCGCAGCCGCAGCCGTTCGTCGTCGCATTCAAGAGCCAAAACTCTCGCTGGAATCGGCCTCGGTGCCGCAGCAATAGCAGGTGCTGTTGCTTTAGCCCGTCAAAAGTCCCAAAGCAACAAAGACAGAAGGAGCCGATCACGTCATAGACGTAGTTCGCAGTCTCGTGGCGATGATGTGCGAAGTACATCCAAGAGCCGAAATCAGCACATTGCAGCAGCAGGGCTTGCCGGTGCTGCTGCTGCTGGCATCATCGAAAAAGTACGCAGCCGGTCACGCTCACGTAAGGGCGAACACAGATCTAGAAGCCGACTTAGACAGAGCTTGCCAATCGTCGCCGCGGGCCTTGGAAGTGCTGCAGTTGCAGGTCTTTATGAAAACAGAAAGGCCAAAAAGGAGCAGGACGGGGCGAGTGAACGACAACTTTCACGTTCGAGAAGCCGTGGTAGAGGTGCCATCTTACCAGATCCTGGAAAAGAGTCAACTAGTCTCATCGAGTATGGTCAGGATCCAGTTTATGGCAATATTCCTGCAGCGGATTATTACGGTCGGCCGATCAGCTCACAAGGGTATTATCCTGATGCAGTCGTTCCCGCGGGCACGAGCCGTAACCGCAGCCAAAGTCGTGGATATAGCCCTTCTGATACCGATTCCGACCGAAGTCATCGCCGACGACATCGTAGACGCGAAAAAAAGGAACGAAGCGGCAGTCGTATTCGTGATTTCGCCGAGGCCGGGCTCGCAGCAGCGGGCCTAGGATACGCGGCTTCCAAGATTTCAGGTGGGAAAAAGGATCGCAAGGATAGAGAGCACCGGAGTCACTCTCGGGAAAGGCGAGGTAGTAAGTCAAAGCCAATGTGAGACATGACGAAAAGACAGTCACTGATATCCTTTGTAGGACGTGATAATGATGGAGACCATGATTCTTATGAAGAGCCGTACGACCCAGCTCCATACATTCCGTCTCCTCCTCCAGCAGGACCAGCGCCAGCCGTAGACAATTATTATCCATATACCAACAGCTTCCCGCCGCCTCCAGGAGTTACTCCCAACCCACCACCTATGTCGTATCCCGCGGCAGAATATCCACCTCCTGGAACAACATCAGCACCACCGCCACAAGGTTATCCTCCTCCCCCTGGACCGCCTCCTACCAACGAACCGTACGCGCCACAACCGCGTCGGGCTGATGAGAACGTGAGTGCCCCTTTTCTTGACGCGCATCACAGACCAGATGGTGGGTTCGATGTGTTTTTGATTTATGTAGTATGTCGATATGCTCGTTACTAACCACGGCTTACAGGTTTAATGGGAGATGGAAGCTCAAGACGCCGATCTGTTAGTCGGCCTGAATCACCACCACAACAAAAATCAGTTTCCTTTGATTTGAATGATCAAGAAAGATCGAATATGAAAGCACGAATACCTAGCGATGAAACTGCGGAGAAGGGATACGAGACGGACGATAGCGACTCGACAATTGATGGCCTGGACCATGGCCGATACTCTCATCACCATCGACCCCGACACCCTTCAGCTCCATATGGACGCACCAGTGCGGTGCCGAATAATGCTTCTTCTACTCATAATGGCAACGCCAACCCACCGCCTAAACCACACCCTTTGAATGTTGCTCGGGATTCGGACTCTGAATCTACAATTGAACTGCCAGATCGATTCGATACCGAAGGACGGAGGCTTCCCGAGAAGGGAGACGATCCACTCGCCGATAGGGTGGACGATCTTTTACGAAATGTTTTCTCAAACGACAATGCTCGACCTCGTCCGACAAGTAGAGTCCGGTGATTTTCTTGATATTTTTATTTTGCTGCATTTGAGTCTTTATTCCTCGTTATTTGTTTAGTTTTATGTACTCTTTTCTTTTAACGGCCTTGCTATTATTATGAGTGAACGATGAATGACGAGCTTGTAATGATGTATGCGGATTAGTATGGGAGGATAATTTGATATTTGTTCAATTTAATGATTATGACTTCACGTGCTAGATTATACGTTCAATGTTACTTTTAACCAAAAAAATATGGCATGTACCTACGTCAATGAAATCAGTACTACATGTTACGGCCAAACTTGATCGCAGTCAGCATTGTTCTTTTTTCAAAGTGAAATCAAGTAAAAGCCAAAGATAACAACAGTATCTCTTGTAGGGTTGTCCCTTGTACGGGTTTCCCTATCCCCCACCAATCACAACGGTCTTTGTTCGACTATTAGCCAAAGTTCGGTCGCCGAAACCAATTTTCATTGTTACAGGGGCGAGAGAGTAGATGCGGTAACACGTGAGCTTTTGACCAAATCTCGAACAAGAGGACCAGGCCTTCGGATTTGGCAAGTGAAGAGTCCTACAAGGATGAAACCGAAAAATCGGTATGCATAAATATACATACATACATTAATCTCCTCTGCAGCATATGGAGAATAACGACATTTCCCATGTCATTGTCATCCTCTTATGTCATCCATTCAAACTTCCCACCGTGGGCTACCATGCTACCATTCGCCTCATTAATAGCATCCTAGGTTGGATATGCCTTTATGGTGTGTTGAGTGTGTCGACTGGTCATATTATACCCCGTATTATAGCTGGGTTCTTGGAACCTTCTTTGCCTTTTTTTCTCCCTCTCAGCACAGGAGGCCAGGCCAGGCTATGGGCTAGATACGGCGGACTCTGAGTCGCAGGAAAGTTGGCAGACTATCCCACTTTGCCTTGATATTATTAATGACATATGCCGCCATATCAATTGATGGCCGTGGCAAGAACTAATACAAGCCACAGCCATCTGGTCCTTGTTTCATCATGCAACGAGGACGACAGTCATGCGACATTCATATCGAGCAGACAAGACGTAGCGATGGCATAATATTACCCTTAGAGAGTGCCAGCGCAGCCATATGTGTACCGCCATGATTACTAGCAATAATCAACGATTATGTAACACTGAAAGGAGGAGGATAATGATGAGGTCATCCTCTACTCACAGTCTCGGGTAAGCCTGGCTATACCGGATATGCACTAGTCGGGGTACAATATTACCAGGTAATCCCGGCGCTGACTTTGCCTCGGCTGGGCATAAAATAATACGCTGGCTTTCATTTTGTTCTCTCATACAGTCAGTCAGTCTGCTAGTCACGGAAGGCAAGCTCCACATATTATTAGTAGCAGTAGCAGCAGTAGCCCTCGCACAAACACGGTCAACAACAACAAAAACAAATCCTGGTAATCTGCTAAACAGGTTGAAACTGGATTCTGGAGAGCCGTTGGGCCGTTGCGAGGCTGAAGGCTTGGGGCCGCCGTGCGTGGTGGACGGCAGTTGGCAGAGCTAGCCCTGACGTGGGGGGCTTTCATTGGCGTCTATTTTTCCCGGGGCCTTCTCCGCCGGGCCAGAACCCGCCTGCCTCAACTGCTTCTAGCAACTACTCTACTACGTACTGACACTAGGAGAACGCCCAACATTCTTCCTCTTCCTCAGCAAAAACCGCTCACCGATTCGCTGCCGTGGTGATCCCCCGTCCTCGTCACCGTCACCGTATCGTACCAGCCAGCATATTACTGTTTATTATTATCGCCCATCGACAAGCTCGCCCTGCGGTCGCCGTCCCTGACCCGAACGCTGTCAAATCCGGCTTTGCAGTTCCCGGCTCCTCTTATTCTACGATTTGCCTCCTCGCCAACTCGTGGACGATAACCCATCAAAATACCGTCGTCTCAGTGATCGCTTCCTTCCATTATATTTATTACTGCTATTATTATTAGCCACCAGCCTGACAAATATACACGCGACCCCGACCTGCACCTGCACCTGCACCCCCAAACTGTCTGCTCTCCACTGGCAACTGCAGCGACTTCCGTGCAAGCCCAAGCCTAGGCCTGGATCAGCATCACCTACAGGCCGCAGACCACACACCTGCCACCACTACCATTACCACTACCACCCACTGCTCTGCTCCGCACAATTCTCCTCTTTTGATGCCTTGCTCGATGCAAGTGACCTGGTGACGTGCCTGGCCCTGATTAGAGTATTGCAGACCCCCCATCGTTCACCGATCCAGTCGACCAGCCCTACCGACCGAACCCAGCAAAACACTTCTCAACTGGACGCTTCGCAGAATGTGGCCATCGCTCATTCGTCCACCTCGACTATTTTTTTGAGAAAGCACTCTGCCCATTCGGCCGTCGACACACCCAATCTCCTCCCCCAATCCTGTCTTGGTGCCGACGGCCATACCCTTCATAGCTTGGCCCGCAGAGCCTTCGCTTGATTCGACTCGCATGCCTCATTCTCTCTCTGCCTGAGTCGACTCGCCATGGCATCCTCCACCGGATCTACACCGACCGCCAGGTCGACGGCCAAATCAAACCGAGCGAGCGCTTCCGGCGCGTCAACAGAATCTAATACTGGCCGCAAGGGGACTGGTGCTGACCTGGACACACGAGGACTGCCGCGCCCAGGCATGCCATCAATGTCCCTGGTACCTCGATTAGCGAACTCAGAAAGCCGATCTGCCCCAGCTTCCGACCACAACTCAGCAAACTCATCCCGCGAGGTCTCCCCTGTGCGGCCTGCTTCTCGAGTCGCTAGTAAAGATCATTCTTCTTCTACCCGCTCCTCCTCTCGACAGAAGAACAGTGCCAGTTCTAGCCCGAATCGTCGCATCAATAGTTCTGAAGCTCCGGTCACATCAGCTCTGTCCTCAACCGCCGTTCAAAACGCCTTTTCACAACTAAGTACACCAGACCTAAAGCAAGCTGTTTCTGACGATAATAACCCCGATGCTGGCGACCCTGACCGAACGAGTATGCCACCGCCGCGCACCTCCAGACGGCGCAGTTCCATTACCAACGGTAGAAGAAGCTCCCCAGCTTCTGCAGATACACCGAAACACTCCGAATCTGAGGTTGCCGCCAACATATCGACCAAGAGAACATCCGTTAGCCCGGAGGATACAAGGTCATCGCCAACAAAAACGTCCTTTGAAGATGTCGGATCCAGTGCGCGTAGACCATCGGCGAGAGCTACTACAACTCCTTCTACCACGTTGGAGACCGTCCAAGAATCAAGTCTGCCTTCGACCCCCATGACTGACAAGGCAGATTCATCACACCCCGAAAAACCTTCACGATCGAAAGCTTACGAGTCCCTGCAACAAGCTGCTGAGAGTGGAAGTGAAAGTGGAGGAAACAAAAGCTCGGGATCAAAAGAAGAAACGAGCAAGATGTCTACCACACGGCCAACAGGTGACATCCTTCCACAGCGATCCTTTACCTCTCTCAATAGTGCGCGAGGAAAGCTAGGGGATGGCTCAGTCCGTAACATGATTGTCGAAACCGAGACCGTGAGCTCAATACCACAGGTTTCCCTCGGTGTGGGTGCCGGAGAGCGAGGAAGCTCGAATAGGAACGATCAAAGTGGCACAATTAGAATGAAGCCTAGTGTGGAAACTATACGTCCCAAACGAGAGAAGAAAAAGACCACGCGCAAACCTACCAACGTTCCAGGGGTTGCATCTTCAAAAGCAGATATCTTTGAAGCAAAGGTGGCTAGCGCAATAGATGATGCCGACGTCTCAGATTCCGATGAAACCTTCGTTTATGAATCAAACCCCCCAGAACCGCTTCCCCCACGGCATCGATATCACTCTCGGACGCCTAGCACAACTTCTATGGCTAGTCAAGCTGAGCAGTTCGCAACCCGCTCTCGATTGGCACCGAGAGATGGAAACGGTGTCACCGTCAAACGCAGTATGAAATTCACGAACAACTACAATTCCAATTTGGATGGCGATGTTGGTGATACCGATCAGCGGAGTGTTAGTGGTAGAGGCGAGAATACCACCCACTCCGGCCGACATCATCACATCGCACGTCACGGCAGAGGCGGTGCTTACCCATCTCTTTTTGACAGCGATTCCCCGTTTCCCGCGTCACAGGGACAACAACCGCGATCCCCCCGACATCACATTGGCAATGGCTTTCGTCCAAGCCGACGTGGATTTACACCACGTTCTCATCCAAATTATCGAACTCTTGGCGGGCCCAAGAGCATGAGTGACGAGTACACTGACGATTTCGATGCTGATGGTGCCGACGACGAACGTACACCCCTGGTGGCTTCCATTCGTCTAGCCCGAAACCGCAACGGTCGCAGACCTGGTAGTGCCAGTATGCGACAGATGGAGTACCTGGAGCAACGCCAGAAAAACTGTTTTTCTCGCTATGGAGGCTGTATTATTGCATCCGTCCTGATTTTAATTCTCATTGGTGGTGCAGCAACCTTCTTTGCTTCCCTCACTCGACCCCTATTGGACGTTAAAGTTATCAAACTTTCGAATGTTCTAGCGTCACAACAAGAAGTGATCGTGAACGTGCACGTCAGCGCCATAAATCCAAATATTTTCCCTATTTCTATCGGGAATATAGATGCTCACGTTTTCGCGCAGAGTCCATATGTAGGCAGCGACAAGTTTTGGCGTGACCGCGGTCCCCATCCTGAGGACTTCCCTCGTGTTGAACGCAGCAAGCTACGTGCTACACTGGCTCGATTAGTGCGGCTTCCTTCGTCCAAAGCCCCTGAGATCGCATCGTCTTCAATGGTTCATACATCGGACAATGTAGACCATGGCACAGATCCAATCCTGGATCCCGACGATCCTATTGGTGAGGATCCTTCAATGATGCTTGGAAGAGTCTTCAAGTTTGACTCTCCTATCATCTTTGACCCATCGCCATGGAGACGCACACTATCTACGTCTATGGGAGAAATCCGTTTGCCCAAGCCCGGGAACAAAACGGAGGAAGGTGGCACTGAACGCTGGGAACGAGTTTTAGAACATCCTTTCGAACTGATTGTTCGCGGTGTACTCAAATACTCCCTGCCTCTGACGTCTAGTGTGCGTTCGATACCGATCAACGCCAAGATTCACGTCTCACCAAACAATGACGGGAACGATGATAAGGATGGGGATGGCGACAGCACACCTAACCAGCCAGACAATAGTACTTTCTATGCGAATACTATCAAACTAGCAGCACATCGGGCCACAAGCACCCCAATTTCACTTGGTCGAATGTTTTAATCTTGATTGGAACAGACCATACACCTTTACGACAGTTACCAGCCATGAACTAACTTCCTTGCAACTCTGTACAAAATGAGATTTTACGAACTTTTGTTCCCTCGTTCCTTTTTCTACCTCTATGTCTTCGGTTCTCAATATTTTCTTTGTTATACGTTCTGCTCATATGAATACCCCCTTAAGCGTTTGCATGGAGCGTGTCCTAATTGGTTTGAGCGAGGCGAAGACCAGAAGCTTGTTTGACAGCATACAGAATGTTGAAAAGAATAGCAAAAAGAGCAACCTAGTGCCGGACTTGAAGCGGCAACGTTCAAATCGTTGAATTCATGTCACATGAGATAATAAGATAACTAGGCATTTTTGGTTATGGTGTGAGGTTTTCCCAGACCACACCACCACATAATGAAGATGAATACATCCTAATCCACAATATTTTCTGGCATCTAAGTTGCAGTAGTATATGCCGTCATGTAACTAGTTTGTATTGAAACAACTGACTGCCTAGTATTCGTAACAAGGCCTCTGATATATCTAAAATGGAGGGTAAAAAGCTACTATACACGGATAATAAGAGAATGGCCAGGATGAACATTAATCGAATTACCGGTCATTGACCCCAATGGACCATATTTGTTTCATATAGAAAAGCTAGCATTTATAAACTTGACTACTCTCTTAAGACATCAAATGGTCAATTGATAGATTTTGTATACACAAGTAGGTTTGTTCAGATATCTCGCTAGTCAACTGGAAACAAGTTCTATCTAGAGCAACTAAAACAAAACAAAACACAGGATATCGTTGTTCGCGGGTATGTGTGCCTCTTTGTGCCAATGTAGTTTCATAGACTTCGTATGCTCCTTGAAACCGGGAGAAAAGAAAGAAAAAAAATATCAATAGCAACCAGAAAAGCTTTGAGAGAAAAGAATGCGATGAGAACAATTTAGCTGACCAGCTTCCCTATGCAATTTAACCAGGCGCAAAAGGAAAAGATAGAAATCAACAATCAATGAATCAAGGAATCGAGGAAAATCCAAAATTTCCTTGTACAGATAGATACATGCAATGTGGTCAATATGTGTATACACAAGAGTTCACTGTTATCAAAGAAGAAAGAGATTAAACGATCCGGTAAACTCGTTTGGCCACAAGGAATGAGACAACTCCAAAGACGACGAGCCCACCAGTAACTAGTTTCATAAGTCAATAAAAGAAGCTGATAATGAAATGTTAGGAGGAACACAAACTTGACCAGAACCAATATAGATTGTCAATTTCTTGACCAGGCACCTTGACGTTCATTCCCCACATGCCACAGATGATATTCATCGGTAGTACAATGGTACCCAAAACAGTCAGTTTTCCTAAGACATCGGCCGTTCGTTCTTGACGTTCGTTCATGAGAATGTTGATTTGGGCTAGGTAGTTAGAATGGGCTCGAGATAGCAATCTGGGAAAAAGTTAGTGCCAGAGGTTGGAGTATTAAAGGCAGCAAAGCCTACGTTTCGTAATGTGTCAAGTTGCTTGTCATAGTCATGATATGATCTTGAATATCGCCCAGGTACAAGCCAATTTCCGACTTGGGTGCCACTTCCCATTGTTCGTTGCAGCGTTTTGCGAATCCCTTAATAACATCTGCCTTGTTGCTGAGCAGGCGATACATGCCCATCACCTTCTTTCGACAATCTCCAACTCGCCGAAGCATTTCGCCAGGCGCTATTGATGTGGTCGAACTAGTATCATCCTCCTTTTTACGTTGGTTCTCTCCATTTTCTGATTCATCCAATGCATGCATCTGCATGATAGTGTCGTCGACTTCATCGACCTCGTTTTCGATAGACTGGATGAGAGGGCCGAATACATCGGTAATATCGTCAATCAATGCATAAGAAATCCAATCTGAGCTCAATATAAGATAGTCACGCAGCTGTCTAATCCGCCGACGAACATTTGCTGGGTGCGGGGTTTGCGAAAAGTGAAAACTGAGACAGCCTTCTCGAAAGACAGCAACATACATGTTGACTGGCTGCAAATAGTTTTCACTATTAGGGTCTTGTTCAAAAGTACGATAGTTCAAAAAGTAATAATTTCGAAAAAGTTCAACTTTTTCTCGAGCCTCTTGCATCATGATATCTTCGGCCGTCAATGCATGGATGCCAAATGCTTTCGCAATAACACGCATTTCCGGATCAGTTGGGCAAAGAACATCGAGCCACCATGTCGGTCGGGGACCGTAACGTTTGGGCTTTGGCTGTCGCGGAATATCTTGTAGATTCGACGTATTGGTTTCGGAGTGGTTATCTTGGATTGAGTTAAGCCCGCTTTCCCTGCGACTACTTCGTATATGATTGTCTGAGCCGCGACTGGTTGAAAGTTCAGGCCAAGCATTGGAAGTCTGGCGGTAATATCCAGCATTGTGGTTATTAGGGTGTATATTAGTTTGAGGCTCGTGCAAAGAAATTAGATCCTCATCATCTGATGACGTTTCTTCCAGCTCTGGGGGTCTGGGATGAAAAGTTCACGAAAGCCACCTCCAGGCTGAACGAGCTCTGAAATCGTTTGTGCATGAATTGTGCTTTGAAAATCTTCATTAAAGTATGTGAAGCGATAAGGTGAATCCTCCTCTTCGTGTCGCCACCCTGCGTATTGAGGGCGTAACCGACCACCAATAAGAACAGGTTCGCTGATTTTCTTGACTCGAAATTCGAGGCTGCGTTCTTCTTTCTCCTCATGACTCCATTCCTCCAGGACAGACAAATCCGGCCATTCTCGTCTCCTTCGACGTCTTCTTTCTCCAGTTTCGGACTCGGGTACGTTCGGAGGTCGAAAGTCCTCCGCCAATTCCGTCGGAAAGCAAACATCCTCCTCCGCAGGTAACGTTATGGTACGCCGGCGACGAAGTGCATCGGGTGTTGAGGCATGGGGTGAGGGTGGACTTAAGCCTTGGAAACCTGTTGTATCTGCACCACCTTCCATACTAATGACCGCATCGCGTAGCAGATCTACAGAACCTTTTCGCGCATTTGGCGAACGTGCGCCCGCCGGATATTCCATGCCTGTTACCATAGCATCGTCATACCCAATATCGGCAATACCAAACTTAGGGCTTCCGGGAACCGATGGCGGATTGTTAACATCGTACCCAGGACTATGAGCACCTGGACTCTGCTTGTAAGACAAGGCACGACGAGATGAAACCGTATCATGCGACGATCTTCGCTGCTTTGACGCTGTAAAAGATGATGATCTAATATCTGTGCCATAGTTTTGTCGCATTGGGCTCGTGCTTTGAAAAGGCGCAATCAATGGAGTACGATCGGTGACACCTGTATTATCCTCGAGCTCATCTTCCTCGATATTATCACTTTCTGCTCGACGTTGTTGATATTTAGGACCCGAGCGGAGACGTCCAGGCGTTTGTCCTTCCATATTTGGAAAATATGACCCCATTCGATTGTACGATTCGGATCGGAATGGCTGACTGAGGCGACTGTCTCGACGCGGACGCATCATCGGTTGGTCCCTTTTGGACGCCTTATCAGTAACCCCCTTAAATAATATATGAAAAACAAGCAAGTGCAATAAAAGTTATAAAACCACTCACCGATGATCCAACAATGCCTCGCTCTCCAAGCTTGAATTGCTCAAATTTCGACCTCGGTAGAATGGAACACGTTCCTGAAGCTGGCTCGGCTCTGTACGTGCTAGTTCAGAGGGAAGCTCGGTCACAATTGGACCAGGGCTTTCTGATGCAAGAAAAGATTGTCGACGATTGCGTCGTTTGCGATTCCGGGTTCTCTTTTTCTTCTTTGCCGGTGTTGTCGCTGTGTCTTCCAATCCTTGCTCAGTAATAGGCCGGCTCTGCGATCCAGCATTATCTGGCGAAATCATAGACATTGTGCCAGCTCTGGATCCTCCCACTGTGACATTTGATATAGCGGCCGTAGGGCGTGCGTGCCCTTGGGCAGGGTCCGAGATTAATGGCGATGGAAGACCAGACCAGCCCGAATTCAGCGGCGGTTGTGAACCACCACCAGTCGTACCTGAAGATGATTGCATGAATGGTTTGATCTGATAAGAGGCGTAATTTATATGAAAGCTTCGGTAGTGGACAGCATGCTTTATCCTCGACCAACAACGGGGCTACGAAGAGATCGATGGTGGCGGATGACGTCGGCGGGCAAAGGACGAATTGGCTCAGGCTCCTGAAATTGGAGGAGGGTGGCTGCGGCGATATTAAAAATTCATCGAGAGAAGCAGAATATCGGATATTGAAGAGTGAAAAAATCCCTATGAAAAAGACGAAGTTGAATCACGAGATAACCAGTTAAGAACTTGGAGAGTGGAGGATGCTCCCAGGCCTTGGCGATAGCCACCGGCTGCGGCCTGGCTGCAACTACTACTATAGTACTAGTCTACTACTCACTTCCGCTTTGGATAAGAAGCGGGTCTGAACTTATACACTCATATAACAAACGATCGAATATAGGATTAAGATTTTTTGCCTTTCATCTGCATTTAGCTCTGCTACGTGATAATAAGAGTTGCATTTGCATCTAGAAAGTAATGAGATTCGTTACTCATATCCACATACATACAGGCAGAGTTTTACAAACCGATGCGCGAATGTGTACCATAAACACCTACACTCATCGCTCTGGAAGGACATGCATGATAAGGAAATATTACAAGAAATCACGAAAATTACAGGAGAAAAAGAAATATAAAACAAAAACAACCATATATGTACCAACGACGCCGTACCGTGCCTTTTGTTAGGTTCACAGAGTGGTTGCGAGAACTCAAACGCCTGACACCGGGACCCTCGATATAAAACTACTTTCAAGTCAGTGGTATCTCAAGTGTGACGCCTCGAGATGGGGTTGAGGAAAGCTCGTTCGGTTGTCGCTGGACCAATTATGGAAACCAAATGTAAAGTGTAAACAAAACTCCAATCCTTTGGCATAATCAATTAGAGTAAAATTGGGAAGATGATCAGATCATATTTTCCATGTTAATAGAAGGCACCACGCTTGACACGGACCGGTTCCCAATAACAGACATGCGATCTCTTTCGCGTGTCTTATCGCCTTCTGGTCGAGCGACAAGTACCTGGGCTGGACAGACAACAATTTCATCATCGCCATCTCCAGAATCGTTGCCCTTTTTAACGACTAGTGGGAAGAGGACGAGTCGCACAGCCACACCTTGCGCCTCCAGGGGCTCGTTGGAAGTGTAAGCTCCACTGCGTTCATTCATGAGCGATGCATTGAAGACCACTTGGCGAGCAAGATCGCCCTGTATATCATATTCAGGTTGTAGGGGCGGTAACATTATGTACTCGGCACGTTGAGTTCGCATCTCGATCGAAAGGTTGCCTGCGCGCCGCAAGACTCCACGCAATGATTCGAGAAGTTGGCTTTCAGCCGTTTGCGGAGGCGGCAGAAGCTGTGATAGGGTTCCCATGATTTCAAGAGCGACAGCCTCTGTGTCTCTAACTCGCTGCTCCGCAAAAGATGGCCGTTTTGCAAGTAGGGTTAAAGTCAATGCACGCCAATGAGCGACGGCGGGTCGAGGTCCAATTTCTGACAGTTGCTTTTCAAGGGCCTTGAGCTTCTGGCGCTGCTCACGATCCATGCCGAAAAGATATCTGGTGAAGATATATTCCCAAATCATAGCCATCACAACAGCCACAAATATATCACGTCGTCTTACACGATCGGCTAGGATGATGTCAACATCTGACCCATCCAAGATGGCATTTTCGAACCGGTCTGCGATCTTGGAATCGCGCACCTCGGCCAATGGACGACAGCGGCGTAGATCAGAGTGTTTCGAGAACCTCAAGACCCATTGCTGTACATGTTGACATAGGCGTTGGCAAGCATTATCAAAATAATCTTCGTCTCGAACCGAAAGCACATCATCTGCGGTTGCTGCGACAATTTGCTGCTGTAATTCTTGAACTGTCTGGCGGGCAGCAGCGAGCTCATCGCGTAGGCGCCGAAGCTCGGCGTCTTTCTCGGCCAACGCAGCAGATATCTGTTCGCGGACAATGCCTTCCATGCCTGTCGCAAGCTGTACCTGGCGTGTCCGTAAATTGTCGACTTCACGTGCATGCGACGCAGTTAACTCTGTATGAGTGGCACTCAGCGATTCGTTCTCTTGCGTCAATCGCTGCACCTCGCTCTGCATCCATTCTAATGAGCTAGTCAATCGTGAAATCTCGGCTTCTTTATCGCGTAGGTCGGCATTGCTGCTATTAAGAGCTTGATCGCTCTTGCGGCGCGCAACACCAGAACGGGATAGCTTGTGTTCAGCTTCCTCCTTGGCTGCAGCCAATAAACGATTCTCAGAAACCAATTGATCAAGACGTGACTCGAGTTCTGAAATATGCTGCATACTTTGCCGGCGCCTTACGCTGGGCGGCCGGGTAGGCGACCGCGGCGAGTTTGGAGTCTCGCCCCATCCCTCCTGTACACGGAGCAGGTTAGCTCGAGGTGACTGAGCGAGCATCGCAGAAAGAACGCTGGGAAAAAAACACTCGAACTAATTAATCATCAAAGCAGTAGATCCGGACTTACGTAGACATCTGACATGCCTCGGACAGGGCGCTTGCCCTTATCGGTGACAGGGTCGTATGTGGAGGAAGAAGGAATGTCCTCGTTGTGGTGGTGGTCGGCAAAGTCCTCTATTTGTTGTTCTGCAGGCTCGAGTGGCTGGGAGCGGCCCGTTGCCGAGTCAGCCGCCAACCCCGCGCCAGCTCCGCCGCTGCGCTTTTGGTGCTTCTGCGAGTCCGTATGGTCTTCGTCACTGGTCGCCCTCGCCGCCTGCATATGCTCTGCTGCGGCTGCTCGGAGCTCAGAACTGAGGCTACGGTTGGCCCGTCGAAGGGACTGTGAACTTCTCACGCTGCTGCGGCTGTCAGGCCGTGGAAGAATATATCGTTCGTTGTCCATAACAAGCCGGGGAGTATCCGCGTGCGGACCATCATGCTCTCTAATCGGGTCAAGAGGGGTGCGCGGTGGAGAGTTATTATCAGTGTGAAGCATCCGAGGGGATTGCTTCGACGGAGTAGACTCGTCATCGAGTTTCCAGCCATGAGAAGCCCCCGAGTGATGGTCATGGATTGACTTTGTACGGTGAAGGCTATCACTAGAGGATTGATGGGATAGCGACGGCGAGGTGTTGTTCCTGACTCTAGCCTCTACGTGATCGAACCCGGTCGATCGGGAAGGTTTGAAAAGCAGTGATGACGAGCGAGGCTCAGTTGGTTCTGGTGGAGACGGAGATTTGGGAACAGTGTCGACAATTGGTTCGTTGACCTGTTTGGTGCCTGATTTTGGAGATGGTCGGCGATAGGGGGCTCTCTCTAAACCAGGGAAGATGTTGGATATTTTATTTGTCGTGCCCGCCTTCGTAGAGGACTGCGAATCTGTATTCGAGAAAGCTCCCCTATAAGACTGAGTTTCATTAGGCTTGTCTTTCTGTTCGTAGATACTGGTTATATCTTTTGGTTTCCTTCTTTTAGAGTTAACCTTTTGAAAGTCCTCGGGTGTGGAGTCTGTTTCCATTACTTCACGAGAAGTATCAAACCCCGCAGCAGCCATTGCCATTTTTGAAACGACATCCACGTCCATTTCTTGACTACTTGGGGTGTGATCGTCGGATGTAAGATCTCGAGCAGTTTCCAAGACTGTTTGCTCATGCAAAGGCTGAGGAACGGCTGGGTATGAAAACGGTCCGGATGTAGGTTCCGTATCAGCAATATTCTTGTCTAGATCTGTAAAAGGCGCTGGTATCTGGGTATCGTTATGGCTTTGATCATCTTCATAATCGGCCTGTTTCCGTGGTTTCTTTTTCTTGCGCGTTTTGGACACCGGAATCGACCAGGTGTCATCAAGAGGAGTTTCTCCTGATTCAGGCACTGCATCAGTTGGCATCTTATCCACAAAATCATCAATCGTATTTTCTGGGTCTTCCTCGCGAATTTCCAAGTGCCGAGTCATATCTCGATCCTCTGCGTGATGAGAGACTGGGTTATCTGAGGGTGTAGACTTTGCACTCAAGTCACTCGTAGTTGCAGTGCGCTCCTTATCGAATTCGATGGAGGGCCAGGACTGCACAGTCTTCTCCGCAGGATCTGCAAGGTTTGGAGGAATATAATGTTGCTCCTGACCAACCGCAGCTGGCTCTTCAGTCGGTGGAGATGTTGAATGATATGTTTGAGATGGAGTCTCATCCTGTTCAAGAGCAATGGACGATTCCCGTTTCTTCTTCTTCTTTCCCTTAGCCTTCGAGGATTTAGAGTCACGGCGCATGAGAACTTCGTCGTTTTGTATGGTTACCGATTTGGCCGCGACTTCCACAGGAGGATTCTCATAGTCTTGCGTTTCATCCGTAGCTACTACTCTTTCGGGTTCTTCATATAAACCTGCCTTGCTCTTTTTATTTTTTTCTTGTTTCTTGCTTGACTTTTTCGGGTTCGGCGAAACAGTACTGGTTGGCTCCTCGAACAGATCGGCCGCGACAGCAAGGTCGTCCTCTTTTTCTAAAGCTTCTGCATCACGTGTCTGCTTTGCACCCTGACTGTCGTTGGTGTCCAGATCCATGTCAAAGTCATAAGATGGTTGGACTGAAGCATCAAAAAGCTCGTCATCCGCATTAGATACATCAAAAGGATCAAGAGATACATGAGTCGGAATGTTCATTACATCAGCACTTGATCCTTCGATGGGCTCAGTATCATGCGCTTCTCCAGTCATGTATTCTTCTGCTACTAGATTCATGTTTTGTTCGTGAGCGAGGTAATCATCGTCTATTTCATTGTCTTTGACTTCTGCCAGGCCCTTTTTCGCATTCTTTCTTTTCTCCTTCTTGGAAAGTTTGTGATCTAGAGGCTGCTGCATGGCAGGGACCAATTCGGCAATCTGCTGCCCTTGCTGCGCTGCATCAAACTCTGTGACAACTGGTTCACGGATGGTAGGTTCTCCATCGATATTCGGAACGGAAACATCGATAGACACTTTATCGTCGGCTCCTTGACCCTTTTCACTAGTCGTGGTTTCTTCCGTGACTGCCAGGTCATTCTCCTCATCATCAAAGTCTGGGTTTTTCTTGCCCTTCTTTTTCTGCTTTCTTTTGTCTTTCTTCGAGATTTTTCGACTCATAGTTTCAACGGGAGCTGGTGTCTCAAATTCAACTTCTTCTAGGGTATTGTTTTCAAAATATTTAGCAGTGCTTTCATCTTGGACGGTTGATTCCACCGGGGTCTCCTCGTTTATCTTTTGTGGCTCTTCCAGGGTCAAATATTTAGTCTCGACCTGATTCAAAGTCTCCTGTGGTTTTGGGCCTGCAGAGGACTCCTGAACAAGTTTCACGGATTCGGGATCGAGAGCAACATCTGGACTTATCGAAGAAATCTCAATGTTCTTTCCAATAATGCTTAATGAATCTGAATATGCCCTGTCTTCTTCAATGGCGAGGTCTTTTGCTTCAACTTCGCTCTCACCCGTACCATCATAAGGCATACCCTCTCTTTCTTTATATTCTCCACTAGATTTTACATCGGCAAGAATAGACTTTTCCTGTTCAATGGGGATTGGCTCTTGAGGCATGGCTGCGACGTCCTCAGTAGGTACGGTTGCAGTATCTTGATGGCCTTTGAAAGTGTCGGTTCCATCGACAAAGTCTATCGAAGCTTGTGTAGGATTTTCGTCCGCCTTCTCAACCTCATCGAAGATAGAATTCTGCTTCTTTTTCTTCTTTTTGTTTTTGCCTTTTCCAGTTTTGCCACTGCTCGTTATCCAAGACTCGCTTTCAGTTTCCTGAGGAGTATTGTCAATATCTACAAAGACACCCTTGATACCTTTGTTTTCCTCATTCAGAACTTGTGAACTGCCTTCTACAGTATCGACTTCGCGACTCTGGGTCTCATCTTCGGTGGGGCTTGGATTTACGGCGTCCTCGTATTCAACTAAAGTCGGGGAAGGCACCGGGTAGGGGGGTTCTTTTGTCTGAGCTTGTACCTGTGAAGACACCACGTTATCAGTCCAATCGAAATCTTTCTCTTTTGTGTCGGTGTCAATCTTGTCGGAAGACTGAAAAGTTTCTTTACCGTCGACTTCAACAGGTGTCTCCTGTAGTGTTGATTCCGGATCTTCTAGCACCGGTCTGGGTTCAGTGTTTTCCTCTGAGGGCGACGGCGAATCTTGAGAGACTGTTTCCTTTGGTTCCTCAATGCTGGCTCTGGTTTCCACTTCTTCATTTGAAGCTTCTTTCGATTCTTCCCCCGCAGCAGCTTCAATGATATCGTCCTCCCAGTTCAGGGATTGTCTTTTCTTCTTCTTTCCCTTCTTTTTCTCGGCAACGGAGAACCCATCGGCACTAGGCGAACCTGACGAGATTTCATCCTTTGTATCTTGAATCTTTTCACTCGCTTGTTCAACCAGCTCTTGGGTATCTGGAACAGCTTCAGTCGTAGATATTGGCTCCTCATTTGAAAGATCCAGCGTCTGACGTGTCTTTTTCTTCGCTTTTCTCTTCTCCTTTGCAGACAGCGGCTTCTCTAGCTCCACAGGTGTGACATCAATATCTTCTTGGGATCTTGAGATATCCTTCATACCATCTTGAATGGGTTCATCTATCTCCTGTGGCTCGGCTGTCACAGTCTTTTCGGGAGTGGAGTCGAAGTCTTGCCGTGAAGCATAGAGATCTTTATCCTCTGTATCGTCCGTAGCTTGCTGTTCTGTCAAAAGTACGTTCGATGATTCTCCTAGTTCTTCAGGTACAGGTTCAGGCTCGGGTTCGTCCCATGGCATTGTCTCTTGCTTCTTTTTGTTCTTCTTTGATTTCTTTTTTGACTTTCCAGTCAACGCTTGGGGCTCATCGGCAAGATTTTCCTGGGAGTCGATGCCTACAGGCTCTGTTGGCTGAACGGAGTCTGATGGCTCTTCGTTTGTCTCTGCAACTGCAGAAGAATCAACACTCGGCTTAGTGTCCAATGCCAGTTGCTCCGTATATCTTGTGTCATTATCGGCTGTCTCCCTAATCTCCTCAGATTTGACCTGCAATTCCTGGCCTTCTGAAATCTGGGACAGAACTAGCTGAGATTCTTTTCCAGGAGATGGCGACGGATTAACGGTCTTGATTTCATCGAGTGGGGTTTCTAGAACCATGGCCGCTTCTATCTGGCGTGGTTTCAAAGCAACGGTATCCCCAAGCTCAGTCGAATCTTTGGGGACTTGGCCAATATTTTCTTGGGCAGCCTCGGCCTCAGCCTCGGTCTCCACTTGAAGAGACTTGCGCTTTTTCTTCTTGTCCTTCTTTTTCTTAGAATTTGTCTCCTGAGTCCACTCATCATCAATTCCGATTGTTGATTGTGCTTGGATTGATGTATCAAGATCCTGGTCTTCTGTCGGTTCCTGGATGATAAGGTCTGGCTGCTGAATATTCTCAGTTGAAGGCTGCACTTCCACGTCTTTGTTCTCTATTTTCTCAGGCATGGGGACTTCGGAGGGTTCCAAGGGGGATATCTCTTTATTGACAGGCTGCGAGGTTGGTTCTTCATCTTCCAGTACGAGTGATTCCAACGCCTTCTTGCGCTTCTTTTCCTTTTTCTTGTCCTTTTTCCGCTTGCCTTTCGAATCACTCTGACTCCAATCTTCGTTTTCTGTAGCAGCAAGATCATTTCGCTCGTCAGGCTCAAGGGCCTCAGCTGGTTCATTCGCAGCCTGGTCTAAGGTTTCTTGTTGCTCAGTCGAATCTTGCCCCAGCCGTGCTTTAGAGCCGTCTTCGGATTCCTCAGCCAATGGTTCCTTTTCAGAAATAGGGATGAACTTCTCATCTTCCACAGTTGTGGATTCGTCATTATCTATTGGGCCAGACGATTCCGCTTCCAATGTAAAAGAGTCTTCGCCCGCTTGAGAAGTAATCGTTTCGGTCTCTGTAGCAGTAGTTTGTGCGTGAAACAACTCAGCCATTGGACGTGAACGGTGTTCCTCTTCGATATTGCTAGATGGTTCAGATTGTGTAAGAGCAGCTTGCGAATCGATTTCGATAGGCAAAGAAGGTTGGGTTCGTGCAAAAGGCGACTGTTCAGTTTCTTTGGAAAGAGAAGGTGATTGAGAAGTTGAGAGAGTAGTTTGCTCCGTTTCAACTGTAGTAGTAGTTCCATTCTCCACGGAAAGCACCGATTTAGTTGTCGTATTATCTTCGGGCTCCACTGCCGGCTCCTCTACAGGCCGGAACGAAGTTTCATCGACCCAAGAGACTCTTTTTCCCTTTTTGCCTTTCTTTTTCTTCGACTTTGAATCACTGATCTGGGATTGCTCTGGTTCTGACTCCAGCTTTGTTTCACCCTGAGAAACAAAGTCAGACTCATAATCCGCTGAAGAAGCTTTCTGGGGCTCTTCTGCTTGTGAGGTCAGATCTATTTCTTTGTTATCACTCGTAGCGGTTTCAGAAGGGGCAAAATCTTCAACGGGTGTTGACGATTCATTATCTTTGTCAGGCTGTACAATAGCAAACTCTGGCTCAGGAACGGTCTCGCTTGCTTTTTCCGTCGAGACGGGTTCATCTTCCGAAGGAAGAGAAATGCTCTTCTTCTTCTTTTTTTCTTCGCCTTTTTGGAAAGACTCTGTTCTGAATCATCTGCTGCGGGTTGCTCAGTAGAATCCTGCACTCCATCAGAATGCTCTTTTAGCAACTCCTCTGCCTCAGTTGGTTCTCGTAATTCAGCGGTGGGTGGTCTTGATTTCGAACTTTCGTCCGGCGCTACTAGTTGCCCAACGGCAGTTGTTTTCTCGGTCTCACGGGCAGTATCATCGACTATCTCAGAAGTATCAGCCACAGTTTCACGGTCTGGGGAAACATGAGAGGGGTCGGTCGCTGGCTGGAGAGACTGTTGTTGATTTTCACCTAGCGATGCTTCGGGGTCCGCGGCCTTTGTTTTTCCGACTATTTCCTCAGGTTCAAGGGCCGGCAGTGCGTCTTCCGTAGATTTTGGATCACCATTTTCCATCGGAAGGGATGTTTCCTCTTCCCCACGTTCCTCAGGAGCGTGTTTTTCGATTTCAGTAGCCTTTGATGAGATATCTGGACCATCAGACTGTGGAACACTTGCCTCAGTAGACTCTAATGACGGCTTGTCATCGCCTCCATCTAGAAGAAGCTGTTTCTTCTTTTTCTTCTTTTTGCTTTTGCTCTGCTTAGTGGAAGTCTCAACAGGGTATTCGTCGCTCTTTTCTTCAGACTGCGAGGCTGAAACGGTCTCATGAATATCCTGGGATTCAAGCGTTGAGTTTTGAGCTTCTAGCTCTTTATCATGTTGACCTTCACCAATCTCTGGGAGTGCATCCGAAGTCACGGGCTCTTCTGTTATAGTCTGCGCGGCGTCCGGTTCAGGCATAGCATCCTCTACAGAATGTTCGGGCATGAATTCATCGCTAGCGACTAAGGCACCGTCGAAAATTGCTTGTTCATCAGAGCCCTGATATGCTACTAGCTCCTGAGAGACTTTCTCAGGAGCACCGGCATCAATGCCTATCTCATCGTCTAGAGGCTGAATCTTTGAGCTCCTAGCTTCTGCTTCTGCGGATTCTTCGCGTAATGGTAAAGATTTACCCTTCTGCTTCTTCTTATTTTTCTTCTTTTGCGATTTAGACATAGTGAACCCATCATCCCAAGTTTCCTCTGTTTGCTGAGTTGAAGCAGGAGGTTCAGTTGGAGTAAATTCACTTCTCTGGGTTTCCAGCGTCTGTAGTTCGTCCGTCATAATTGAAGGACCTGGAGTTTCGAGTGGAGAAGAAGGATCTTGAGTCTGAATTTCCAATGGTTTTGGTTCATCAGCTGTAGCAGACGCAGGTAGTCCATCCATGGGGGTTTCGGGTTGCTCAAGGGATGATGACAAGCTTTGTGCTTTATTTTTGTTCTTCTTTTTCTTCTGTTGTGACTTAGGAGTGGACTGAATCATATCTTCAGATTCCGCTGGCACACGTGTTGGCTCATCATTGGCATCACCGCCTTCTTGCTCCATATTTGAGGTGGGCGACGCCTCTTTCTCTCCCACTTCAACCGAGTCAGTCTCTATGGTTGGAACATTGCGAAGCTCAGTTTCCTCGATGCTACGCAACACATCAACAGAAGGCTGGTCCTTTGAACTTTCGGCCAACTCTGTAAGGTCTGAAGTAAATTGTTCTGCGGCCGCCGGAACATCGGCGCTTGATTTCGCAGGCTCGGCCCGTTCCGCTTCCGTAGCTGCAGTAGTTGTTTCCACAGAAGCAGATGAAGAAGCTTTATTTTCGTCATCATCCAATGGAGCACTTTCACTGTCTTTATTCTTCTGCTTCTTTTTCTTGTCTTTCCTTTTCTGCTTTTTGGAGATCATGGGGGTAGGGTCATCGAGTGTCGTGGTATCTCTGGTATCCTCCGGTACAAGCTTCAGTTCTGCTTCTGAAATGTCGAGCTTCCGCTCCTGTAAGATCTCGTCTGGCGGGTCAGTCTTTACTTTAGAAGAATCAACTTTATTCTCGTTAATCTGAGAATACATAGATTCTCCAACTGCTGCTGCAACCGCAGCATCGACGATAGATCCAAAGCCACCAGCAGCTTTAGGTGATTGGGCACCCTCTTTGAGAGAGGCTTCAGAGCTAGCATCTCGAAGCTCCTCTACTACATCTTCTCTGTAAGGCAATTTTTGTCCTTCAGGCTCATGTAGGTCATTTATATCGCTGTCTCGAGTCTCATCATGACTCTCGACCGCCTTAGACACTGCAGCATTAACGACTGATGCGAATCCTGCACCCGCTAAGAATGATGACATGCCGTTCGATTTCTCCTCAGGAACAGACACTTCCTTGATAGTCTCGGAGTTGTGAGGTGATATGACATGGTCTTCGGTCATTTCGCCACGTGCTGTGCCAGCTTCCTTCTCACTGACCACTGAGCCTGCTACCGAAGGTAGAGGATCCAAAGATGCTGGCGGTTCAGGCACGTCTGGATGGAACAATGTAGGGTCTTGAAGAAGTTCTGACGGAGAATGAAATTGGTACTTAGGCTTCTCCTTTTTAATTGCTGGTGGAGAAGCCTCCTTGTATGTTTCAGCTGTAGGAGTAGCTTGCTGAGAATTCAAGTAGTCGTCCTCGTCATGAAATGGATGGTCTGTAGATATCCGCAAGCCGGTTGGCCTTCGGTCCCAGTTGTAAGAAGGTCCATCTTGAATTAATGAGTCGGTCAAAGCAGCTATGTTGCTTGCTTCTCGGAGATCCTCGACAGAAGTACTTCTAGATGTTGTCTTGCTGGAAGGTAAAGACGGCAACGGAATGTCCGGCTCAGCCTCAAATTTTCCAGAGCTATGTCGCTCAACAAGCCAGAGCGGGCGAATCTCGCGGACGTTCTTGAATTCAATAGAAGTGGGTCGGCGGTGACCAGGTTTTGGGGAGCTTGGAGATTGACCAGGTGAGCTCATCGAAACACGCCTTGAGCCATTGGGGGAGGTTGGGGGTTTGCGAAAATGCAAGGGAACTGCGGTAGGTGAGTCACTAGTAGTTTTCAACATCGAGAGGCGCCGGGGTTTAAAATCCGTCTCTTGGCTAGGAGAAGGTGGACGACTATGAGACTTTGGCGATACATCAAGGACCTTTTCACTTGAAGATGGCGAGACAGAGCGGCTTCTGTAGCGTTGCATCTGTTGAAATTTGTCGTCTAAATCGTTACGCAATGAATCCAGCCTTTCCATGACAGGAAGCCCCGAAGCACCACCGTCGTTTTGAATATCTAAGCCCATAGAACTAGAAGTCATTGGTGGCATTCCGGGGCGTTCCCCTAAAAAAGACCTTTTCTGGTTGTTGTTTTCGTCCGCGTCATCGGCGGAAATATAGCGTTCCTATACAATTTAGAAGAAGATTTTTCAGCACACAAATCGTTACAGAATTAGATCATAATATCTGGGGTAACATAAAAATGGAATACAAGTACAGGCATATTGAATGAGATGTCAAAAAGCAGAAGAGAAAGGGACTAGTAATCTACCTTCTCTGATGCATCACGAGCCGATCCGACAATTCCTTCATATTTGTTTCGACGCTCCTGTTCTCTTCGCCGTCTTCGAGAACTTAGACTATCATCCTCACTTTCTTCTCCTTCATTACCTCGGACTGGTTGAGACAAGTCCATAACAGACTGCGAAGCCTCACTAAACGCACCGGAAGATCTCTTCTTGCGTCTACGCTCAGACTTGCTGTATTCATCAACGCCTACTTCAGATCGCACATCACGTTTATCTGATGAGGCAGATGAACGCTCCACAGTACTCTTTGAGCCAAACAAGTTGCTAAAAAAACCACTACTCTTCTTGTCTTGGTCTGCTTCCTTTTCTTTTTCCTTGGCAACAGATGATTCTCGACTGCGACGCTTCTCGCGTGTTTCGTCAATATTGGCTGGGGCAGATGTTACTGAAACCGTATCATCATCAAAGGCACCGCTATGGCGCTTGTGGCGACGTCTTCTGCGTTTGTCTCCATCACCATCCACATCATAAAGAGAACGAGTATCGTCGTCAAAGTCTTCTTCATCGCGCTTTGACCTACGTGATCGATATTTTTCTAATTCATCGGCTCCTGGAGCGGATGCGGCAACAGACCTTGCATCGTCCATTGAGTCTTCGCGATCCTTACTAGAACGCTTCGATTTTCGGCGGCGTCTCTCTCTCTCATCCTCATCCCAATCCTCCTTAATTTCTCGGACTTTGTCTGAGGTATTCTTGTAGTCCAGGCTATCAGTTTCTGGTTCGGTATCAATATCCTTGCGAGATTTGGAAGACTTTTTTGATCGAGTTTCTTGAACCTTATCCGAATCACTCTTATACTCGACAGTATCACGATATGATTCCTCGTCGTCCTCTTGGACGGCACCAGGGACCTCAGTGAATGAGGGACGTTTGGAGAGCTCCTCCGGTTCTGTATCAGAATCCTTGCGGGTTTTGGTGGATTTCTTTGATCGAGATTTCCAGGCTCCGTCTGAGTCACTCTTAAAATCCCTATCTTTATCTTCATATTGGAAGACGTCAGAATTTTCCGTCGATGGGAGAGGTGTCGAACGCTCCTCTAGCTCGTTATTCAGGCCCTTGCGGCTTCTAGAAGACTTGTTTGATCGGTTTTCTTCGACTTTGTCCGAATCACTCTTCTGGTCCACAATAGCACGGTCTAATGCTCTGTCCTCGTATTGACTAGCGGTAGGTGTCTCAACGGAAGGAAGAGATTCAGAACGTTCCTCTGGTTCGATTTCAGTATCATTGCGAGCTTTGGCTGCTTTCTCTGCTTTCTTCGATTTCTTCGATTTCTTGGACTTTTTACGTCCACTCTCGACTGGGACAGACGCAACAGACCGACTAGTGTCGCCGAAGTCAACATTTCCTTCGCCGTCGATATCAGTATTTTGTTCATATAACTGTTTCTCCTTTGGTTCATCTTTGGAGGACTTCTTATCTGAAGAATCCGTCGGTTCAAATTCTTTAGGCACAATTTTCTCACCAACATCGGGCACAGTCTTCTCTGCCACCCGAGATGCGATTGAACGTCGATCACTTGAGTCTTCCACGCTCTCAACTATCGAACTACGATAGGTGCCTTTCAGTTCGGATCCAGGAGGAGAATCCCTTCGGTAATATGATGCATCGTGGGTCACAACAGAAGGATCAAACCCGGCCATCTCAGCCCCAGCTGCCAAAGTAGCGGCAAACTCGGAGTCATCCTCAAAGCCACCAGGCATATAGTGTTTTTCAACATTTTGGGAAGTTTGGTCTTCCTGAGCCGTACCTTTCGTGACTCCATCTTGACTTGGCGCTTCAACGGGATCCCGTCTTAAAGAAATATTGTCGTGGTAATCGTTAATAGGCTCAGGTTCGTCCTTCTCAGATAGAGGCGTAACGACTTCGTATTCATGAGTTCGGTCTTCACCCCAGGAGACACGTGATCCTGAGTTTGTCCAGTATAGCTCCACTTCTGCCTCCGCATCTTCTTCCCTCGGCTGCTCCTCGATTGTAGGTTCCGGCGTAGGAACAGGGGAATGGGTATCTCGAACGGAGCCATCATGACTAGCCGGGGGAGTCGGTTCAATTATGTTAATTCTCACGGGGGGAATCACAGAAATGTCAGAATCACTGGCATTCTGCCGATCAATCGAAGCGATATCATGAGAAGTCTCATTCTGCAGTTCCTCTGGTTTGAAGAAGTCTACATAACTCTCATAAGTAGGGCTCACACTTTTATTTCGCACTATCCGAGAGGCGGCAATCTTAGCGATACGTTCCTCCTTTTTCTTATACTCGTCTTCATTGTCGTATTGCCGATCTTCATCGTAAGACATCTCTGTCACGTCTTCCTGATTCTCAGAGGCACGACGGCGCTCGGACCGGCGCTTTTCGCGGCTTTCTTCGTATCGCTTTCGATTCGATGTGGACTTCTTATCTTTGCTAAAATTTTCCGCAACGATGCTGGCAACGGCAGCAGTGCCAACGGCAGCTACGGCCGGTGTAACCCATGAGGATGAAGAGCGGTCTTCGGACTCTCTCTCGTCTCGAATCTCCTCACGGCGTGTTTGGCGGCGAGCCTCGCGCGCAGCTTCTTCAGCTTCCAACTCTTCACGACGACGACGTTCTTCTCGCTTTCGATCATTTCGCTCCTGGAGACGCTCTTCTTCTTCTGTCTCTTCTCGCAACCGATTTTCTTCCCGTCTGCGTGCGAGACGCTCCTTCTCTCGGCGATCAGCTTTTTGTTGTCTATCTGCCTGTTCTTGGGTGAGGGCAAACGATACAGCTGCAGAGTCTTTAGCTGTGGACCTTCGCTTGAGTATTCCAGGAGAAGGGGTTCCATCTAGTGGTGCCGTCGGTATCACCGGAGAAGAATTGCGACGATGAGGTTCAGGATAGGAAAACGCGTCTTCGGAGCGAGTAGTAAACTGCGAATCCCCGGGAAGAATTGGGGGCCCTGTCGTAGATGGGTAATAAACAGATTGAGAAACAGGGGTAATAGGTTGAGGTTGTTGAAGAGGTATCGGTCCTGGTCGTACAAGAGGCGGTTGAACATTAGGCGAGGAAGACGTTGACATACGAACGGCGTCAAATCGCGAAGGGTCGCCCGTCGGAACGGGATAAACTTGTTGGAGAGTCGAGGAACTATAATTTTGTAACCCAGAAGGAGATATTCCGTAGTCATTCGAGACGGTTGGTGCAAATTCTTGGTTAGATAGTCTTCTTTTCTCCTTCTTGCTTGAACTCCAAGGCCAGAATGATGAGCCTCCAACGGACTCTTGGCTTCCAAAAGGTTCGCTACCGCCATATGCCAGATTTGTAGAAAGAGCAGAATCTGAAGATTCTGCATCTTCCCACTCCTCATCCTCATGACTGAGAGGTCCAGAATGTTTTGAAGGCCGAGCTAGATCACGAGGGTGAACGTCCCTTCGAGATGAAGATGCATGAGCAAGCTGCCTTGCTGCCAGTCCCAAGCCGAGAATTTCAGCGTCAACATTGGGCTTGGAATGCTTATTGATCGATCTGCTTGATTTACTAGACCGGCCACTCACGGATGAGCCGAAGACTTCTGACCCACCAAAAGCCAGATCATAATCACCAGAGGATGATGAAGAGTTGCCAAACGAAAAGAATCCCCGCCGCTTACTAGCATGCTTTTTCCGACGATTGGCCGAGGGAGCAGAGAAGAATGACTTGAATCCCTTAGGGCTAGATCTGCGTCGTCCGCGTGGGCCATCAATATAGAGGTGCTCTGAGGAGTTAGATATACGTCTTATATGACGGTGCGACGATTTTTCACGGCTGTTGCTCCTGTTCCTACTTGTACTTCGATGCCGAACTGATCCTGCTGCTGCTGCGGTCAGTGCTGAACCAACAGCAGCCCCAATAGCTGCTTCTTTGAGACCGCGGTGGTCTCTAGATCTGGATCGGGAGCGGGACCGAGATGAACGACGAGAAGCTTTGTACGACCTCGAGTCCCTAGAAGTATAGACCTTACTATCACTCACAGGTCGACTTGAATAAACACCACGAGATGTCGAGCTAGCCTTTCCAGATGATACAGCACTAGCTTCATCATAGTTGTAGGAGCGGGAATCGACCTGTCGCCCGGATCGGACGCTATATGTGTCATCAAAATCCTTGTTATTGAATAGAGACTTGGCGACATATCCCGCAAGCCCACCAGCAAGACCACCGGCTAGCCAAGAACCCGACTTTGACTTGGAACGGCGACTTTCATCTTCAGAGGATGCATAACGACTCAACTTATCCACCCGAGTACTACTGCCGTACCTCTCAACCACAGGAGAACGCTTTCGTCTGTTGTAGTGATGCTTTCGTGGTGCGTCCCTTGAAGAACTGCCAGGTTCAAAGCAATACTTGCAAACTCCGATTGCCTCAGTGTAATCCTCGAATTTTCCAACACCTTCTGGATCCTTCCAAAAATCGATGAATTTGGCAAGCGGTCCATGGTGGCGTTGGTGGTATGCGAGTGAACCGGGCTGCATGCCACCTGAAGGGTAGGTAGGCGGAGGACCATTTAAATATTGTGGGTTGTAGACAGGGCCACCTTGTGCTGGGGTGTTCCCATTCGAGGTAAAATTACCGGGTCGGGGAGGTACGCCAATCCCATAGGTATCATTTTGGTGGTCAGAGTTAGAATGGTGGTGATTGATCATGTAAGCAGCTGCTGCACCTGCTGTAGCGCCGCCTAAAGCTAAGCCAATACCATGTTGGGGAGATGTCGATGCCGTTATCTGTTGAATGGTCGGGTTCGGCAAGCTGCCTGACATGCCAGGATAATTAGAACTAGCTTGATTAAGCAACTCAGGACTAATCCCATATGTGGCAGCTCCCACGCCAGCAGTACCCTGGGGTGTGGGTTTGGACGGTTTGGACTGTTTAGAAGGTTTCGAGGATGGCTTCGATGTCTTTCCTGGCTTGGACGGCTTTGAAGGCGTCGACATAGTTGGATTGGAGTTCAAATCAGAAGCTGCATAATAATCAGCAGCTGCGCCAACCTGTCCTAAGCTACTTGGCTCTGGAGGCGGGTTGGCGAGCGGCGATGCGGACATCAGATGGGGCTCCGCACCTACAATCACATCTGGCGGACGAGGACGAACTCCTGGCTGATTGGCCACAGACTGTCCCTGATCACCGTAGTACTCTGCTGCCAGGCCAGCCGGGTTGGGTGGTATGTATGGTTGTGTTCCCGCGCCTGACATTTGACCGGGAAATTGTTGCGCCAGATGGGGATCTAATGGAGAATGGGAGGGAGCCGACGGGCCAGGTATAGCTGCATCGTACTGCATGGGAAACTGATTGAAGCCGGGCGCAGCAATGTCGTCGGCAAAATGCTGGGATGTAGTTTCAGCAGAAGAGGATTTTTTACCAGAACGGGTTCGAACGCGCTCCGAATCTATCTCGTCTCTGGCCGACCTTTGCTTCGTATCCCTTCGCTCCTTATTCTTGGAGTCGCGCCTGGAACTTTTGTTTTCCCAAGCCCGATCTTCTTCCTCGGTGACATAGCGAGGAACGCGCTCAATCACAAGTGGCTCCTCCTCGGCATAGGATTGGGGTTCGGCGGTGACATAGGTTGCCGTTGATTCTCCAGCGACACTTCGGCTGGCACTCAGATCTCCTAGGTCACGGTCACGGTCGTCACCCCGTGTTGACCTACGGCTGGAAGATACACTGGAAGCAGAAGAGCGCTTGGACTGGCGGCGGGAGGAAGATCGAGCGTCGTCGCCGTCAGCAGTCGATTTGCGACGAGATGAGCGAGAGCTCGCGTCTCCGCCTCCCATAAGAGCCTTGAACATGGCGGTAGAGAGGGTAGGGAGGGGCTCTTTATCGCACGATGATGATGTAATTCATGGATGTAATGAGAGAAAGGGACGTGCGGGGGAGAAATGTGGGATGGAATGTGAATGAAAATAGTTTAATGATGATTAGTACAGCACGTTTTCGCAGGCGAGGAAAAGGCCGGGCCACGAGGCTGGGGAAGGTGGCGGGTAATAATTTCGAATAAGGCGACGGCTAACCGGTCTCCTCAACGCTGGGTCGCAGCTAGCAAAATTATGCCGGTTCTTATTATTGCTACTGCGTGCCGATAAGTGCAGAGCCGAGCTGGCCTTGTGCAACGACTGCGAGTATTGGCGGTGTTGTTTGTTGTTTGTTATGGTGTAAACAAGCTGAACCGTGGTTGACGAGGGTGCTTCCGCTAGTCCTCCCTAGTAGTTGCCAGCTGTGGGGCCGACAGCGCACTCCGACTACAATAACATTATTATTATATAATATTATTCGACACCGCACAACAGCTCATTCGACGCTCGCTCACTTATTGCTCTCTGGTTGTTGGTGGCCATTAAATCCTGGATGCTACAATCTTTGCGAGTCTTTCCTGCAAAAGTCGGTCGGGTTCAGGGATACTGGCTCTGGCTCTGGCTCTGGCGTGGCGAGCTGTAAGTGGCAGAAACTAGGCTCTTTGCAGGCATCCTGCATACCCCCGACTGTAATATTGCCTAATACTGCCCTATAATAGGTCGAGGGACTGCCATTGCAGTCTCGAATGTCGATAATTATCGCCACACGTCTTCTTCGCCCACACTGCATCTATATTCCTGCTGATTTTACGCTGAGTTTACGCTGAGTTTAGCCGACATGGTTTCTTATAGGCAGCCCTTATCTATACATTTTCCCCTCGCATTACATGTCAGGGTTGATAGGGCAATTTGAGTAATATTCTTACTTCTATAAATTCTTGTCATATCATTCAGATTCAGAAGAGCAGAATTAACAGTTAGATCGACGAGCCGCCAACCTTGTAGGGTTCGGCCAATCACATGTCTCCCGTGGCCCCGTCGGCAAGCCGGATCCGAGGGAACTGCTGATCTCTTTCCATCGCAAGAGCTGTCACACAAGGCGTTATACAATGATACAATGATCGGAGATGCAAAATGATTTCCACTTATTAAATACTTCTTTGGGCATGGGATTGCGCGCCACTCGCTTGGTTGCACCGGCGTCATGGTCCAAGCAGACCCAATGACGACAACAAAGTCATTTCTCTCCCTCCCTATTGAAATTCATCTCGAAGTCATAGACTGTCTGGACTATCCTGCTCGATTTGCTCTGGCATATGCAAATAAATACTTTAATCAGATAGTCACTCGCCGGGTACCACCGCCGACTAACGAGGAGAAACTAGCATACCTCTGTGCTACAGAGACATGGCCAGTGTTCGTTACTACAGGTTTCCTTTTTCTATCTTCTTTCTCTCGTATATTAATGTGTATTCGATTGCATATAGCTACCGCGACTATCTAGCCTGCAATCAATGTCTCAAATTTCGTCCTACCAACGCTTTCACCAACAAGCAACATCAAGGGAAACGGAGCAGAGGCTACTCCGACAACAAACGTCGATTCTGCATTCGCTGCGGAGTCCACAAGCACATATACCAGCCCGGCCACGTAATCCCCATCGATAATGACAGCAAGTTCGTGATTTGTTGGTGCTGTAAGTTCCCTGGAAGCGGTTCCTATTGCTTGGTATTTGGGAGCTGTGCAAATTGTGGCCAGGTCATGCCAGTCATGCATTATATCTGGGATCAGATATATCAGCCTTGCTTGCATTCCTTCAACTGCTTCGGCTGCGGTCAAGAGGGAAGCGTAAGCCGTCTCCATCGCCCGCTGCAAGGGCGACTAGACGATATACTACATCAATATCGGGCCATTTCAGTGTCCGTGTGGAAGCCAAAGGTTCATTCTCCGAGTTGAAAATTCTTCAATTTTATATATCTCGCCCTGGCATACTTTTCGAACAAATACAGAATGATATTCGCTCAGACATATCAAATTCAGGCAAAAATAAACACTGAAATCCTCAAACACTGGCTATACTTCACTCATTTCGTACCCAGGGGTGCTTGACCAACGGCGTCTTTATAGTTCGATCCAGTCGATCTCTAAGCAAGGACTGAAACCATAAGGGCATTGAGCGCAAGTTGAAAGTGATAAAATTCGCCGCCGCCGAGACACCAACATAGCCACTCTTCCCGGTGAGCACCTGGTTGACGACCGCTTCGGCAACTGTTTCCGGCTCAAGTAGTGGACTGAGGAAGCCATCCTCCGGATCCATGTCGCGCGTTACAAAGGTCTTTGCGTAGGCAGGAGTGACCAAGATAGTGCGCACCCGTGGAGCCTTGTATCGGGTTACTAGTTCCGAAGCTAGTCCCTCATGAAGGTTGATATTCGCTGCTTTACTGGCGCAGTAGGCCGTCATGCCTGGTGCCGTGCAGTTTGCACCCTGCGATGCCACTGTGACGATCATGCCGTGATTGCGGGAGATCATGTCAGGCAGAAATTCATGAATAAGCTTATACTGCGCAAGAGTGTTAACCTTAAACATCTTCTCAATCTGATCCTCTGTGTTATCTAGCAACGGGCGGGCATAAATGATGCCTGCATTGTTGATTAGCACTGTAGGGCTCGCGCCAAAATCCGTGCGAATCTTTTCGGCGGCGGCGGCGACGGCCGACGAGTCGGTGATGTCGCACTGATAAAACCTGACTCCTGCAGGTAAGGTATACTGGGGTTCAAGAATATCCAAGACAACGATTCTCGCTTTTGCTCTGGCAGCCAGCATTAAGACGATGTTTTTGCCAAAACCATTACTTCCGCCAGTCACAATAACGATTTCGCGCGGCCAGTCGAACTTGTCAGAGACACCACGATTGATAGCACGACGACTAAGCCATGCATTGAAAACGCGGAGTAAGCCTAGCGCAAAAGCAACGCGAAGCCATTTCAAGACGACCTCGCGTTTTTGGGCGAGAAAAGTAGCTGTTGGTGGTGCGTAATGCAACAAAACCTGGGCCAAGAATGTCTTAGACGGGTCGAGGACAGTATTTCTCACGATAGAGCTCAGCACATCAGCCGTGAATCCTGCAGGTACAAGCATCGTAAGCTCTGAGGAATAGAATGGTTCAATACGTTAAACAACATACCTTCCCTTGAGAACCAGCGCCGTCTTGCAATGTCCGACATGAGTCAAGTATGTATACTCTTTATGGGCGTCTACTAAAATGACCTCTTTGTAGCAGCGATATGCAGTCCTATAGACAAAACTTGATAAGACAGCTGCAAACCCTTCATTGAAAATGTTGGAGGGATTCCTACTTACCCCAAAATGAAACACCGGACCGAGGCTTGGATGCGGGGAAGGACGCATGGACCATTGCCCAGCCTGCCTCATACATATCAAGAGTATTAGATAGTACGTATCAGAATACTAATTATTGGTAGTTGCAGTAAGCTTTTGTCATGTGGTTCTAGATGACTACGACCAAGTAATGTCATTAATGTCAGAGCTTTGTTTTTTTTTTCTTTGCATCAGTTATCTTCGAGATGAACAAAGTGTGCAGAGTAAAAGACAGTCTAGTTTATTAACCATTACATGGCTCATTGTAAATTCTGCGCAATCCAAAATGCAACCATTCCATGTAAAACAAAGCCACAGATGTATTTTGTATATATAGACAGATTCCTAAAAACTAGACAATAAAACCACGCCGCAAAATTGGCAGCAATAAGAAAACCAGGCCGTCCATAAACCAGAATAGTATACGTATATGCATGTCGCTGGGAACAGAGAGCCACCCAAACATGTTCATCACTGACTATGGGTATCCACTAAGAAAATTCATCATAAAATAATACAAAAACCTTCGAAAAAATGAAACATGGCAAATTACACAAATAAGCCACCAGCCCTAGAAATGCAATGACAGCGCTTGAAGCAATCAGCCTCTCCAAACAATATTCAGTGTATCAATCACACAGAGAAGAACAATGACGGGGGTGAATAAAAACCAAACAACTTGAAGAGGGGTGGCGAGCAATAGACGAAACGGGTTCAACTAAGGTGTTTACTCTGTGAAGCTAGTGTTGGGCGTGGGAAATATTTTTCTATAAATACCCTCGAGAATACTAGCATCTTTTCTCAATGTTGGCGAAATGTTCTCGCTCTGAAGCAGGAACTTGATGGTACGCTGGAGCAGCCGGCCCAACATGTCGCGGTCTACCAAATGGCGAAGATTTGACATGTAGGTCGCCGACAAAACCAGCATATTGCCGAATTGTCTAGATACAAGAATGTCAGGAAACGTATCAATGGCAAAAAATTGAAAGAAATGACATACGCATGGGCAGTACCGAAAATATTCGTGACTATTGGCCGGCCTTTGACACCATCAAAGGCTGTAGTGCTTTTCATAGCTGCATTAACACATATGATGCATGCTTGTTGAATCGGCTGAGGGAGCTCGTCCCATTCAACTGTGCGGTGAATACTATCATCATGTGGACCAGATGCGCCAACATCGCTATGCCACCGTGTCATGCTAGAGGACTGTGGTGTATGAGATGTAAACGAAGATTGAGACTCGATCTTAGCTTCAGGTTGATCAGGAGATTGATGATTAGTCTGCGCAGAGATATCTTCTGTTTCACCAGATTGATGTAGCGCATAGTGCAACAGGGGTCGGTATATAATGTACCGGGCCCCGTAGTACTTAGCGCGCAATCGAGCTATATTTATATCAGGTGAGGGGTCATCTTCATCATCCCATTTCATATGTTCGGGAAGGCTTTTGCGCCAGAAATCAAGGTTCATCCCGAGAACCGCCAACACGCTGCTTGAAAACCCCAATGCCTTGTCTTCTTTCGATTGATTAGGATTAACCTTATCTATATACAGTCAACGGTTAGTTACGACTTGTAATATTATACCATAAATAGCTTACCGGTCCCTTTTGCTTCATAAAGATCTGTATGGACTCTATTAAGGACCTTGCGGAGATGAATCTGTGCGGAATAGAAGAACATCACTGTCGCATTTCTAGGATTGATGTTAAGCTGAAGGGTAAAGAAGCCTTTTGGCAAGTCAATACGATTTTCAGATCGGGAAATCCCACTAGCAGGAAGGTCAAGCTCGGCAAGAATATCGCTATGAAGGGTCAGTTAAATGTCGAGAGAAAACACTTTTACGCCATTGAATTTATCAGCTTACCTCTCCAGCTGTAAACAGGTCCAGTATGCAAAATCGTGAAGATCTTTCATTCGACCCTCTTGCATGGCAAGATATTTTTTCCTTTAGTGTCCATGAGCTGCATAGTCCGCAAAACTTTGATAAATGTGAGAATAAAGAAACTTACGTTCGGATAAGCACTAAGCAGGCTCTAGATGCCTGGTAAATCCAACCGTGACTCTGGAATGGATGCGCCAATTGGCCTGCATATAACCCAGCGAGTAGGGCAGCTTGCACGTGAAGAAGACCGCTACCGCCCTGCAAATTGCCCAGAATATCTGTAGCATATGCGTAATAAGCTAACCCAGGAACCACATCTATATTTTTTTGTGTCCAGAGTTCGAAGCTGTCTTGGCCAACTATTGAGGATTGTCGGCCAGCGGCGTTTCTCCAATTTGGTCCATCCTCAAATGATAACTTCGGAGACTGAAATGACACACTGTTCGAGCCAGGCTCAGAGTTCGGCGAAATGACGTGGCTAAGAGAAGATCGGAAGGCAGGTGATGACACAAGCGATCCATTCTCATTCGGCTTCTGGTTGGGGTCCGTAGCTAGAGGCGGAAGTTTTTCTCTCCAGTTACAAATAGCCCCCAAAGCAAGAACCAAAAGAATAATAGCATTCTCGACTGAGCGTTCAATCCGTTGTGGCTGCCATCTATCGACGCTAGAGCTGGAGCTAGGTGAACGAGACATGTCCATGCTTCTGACATGTACGCCTTCCAAGGAGCGTTTTCGCTTTGCGCCACGGGCCTCTATCGAGTTGGTACTAGATTGACCAACAAAACTCCTTTTCGGATTTCCATATCTCTGGATGAATTGGTCGATTTTACTGCGTAACGCCTCCTCATCTAAGAAAGGATGGAGTAGATGAATATTGTGTATGAAACTGTGATGAAGGTTTTTCACTGTTTCAGACTGTGTATTCAAATAGCCGGATGCATCAAGTCCGCCTATGTTCTCCATTGATCGTTCGGGTATCCGAGCAGGAGGGGCTGGGAGTCCCACACCCCAACTAGGAAAAGGTGGCTGGCAGACATCTTCGCTAAAAGAAGGGCTTGACGAAGTTGTCGAAGGGCTGCCTATGGATGTTTGTTTTCTTTGGTCTAGATCATAATATTCAGCATAATCATCCCTCCCTTCGCCACAACCATAAAGCCGAATCAGGCCGCGATTCTCCTCGCCTTTCATCACATAATCAGGATCAATATTATCATCCAGGAGGCGCTTGATAGAAGGCCACGATAACAACTTATGTGCGGCGGTAGTGTGTTCCAAAGGAATCGACAATTCTCCATCTCGTTCCTCTTTCACAAGAGGTTCGTCGATAATTGGGTTTACAATTTGATCGAATTTCTCTGATAGGATATAACTATTTCTGGCGATTGAGTTCATCAGATGATTGCTCTTTGGGAAGTTGTTCCTCGGGAGATTTCCAGGTGGAGGGTTGCTGGGTGGAAGATTGCTGTGTGGAAGACTTTTTGCAGGTAGACCGCCCAATGGTATGTTTGCTTTGGCCATGCTGCCAGTTGGTAACCCATTCAACGCTATGTTATTCAAAGGTAGACTGTTGGTCGTTGAATTGGTTGTCGATTCACTGCTGGTCGACACAATGTCTGCAGACAACCCGCTCATTTGAACATCGTTTGTATCATCATCAACTTTGGTTTCTTTAGGTTCTTTGTGGCGAAATGAATCCTCATCATTCTGGCCTGGTGCATTGTCAGATGGAGCGACTGGATCCAGCTCCTGCGTAATGGGAGTAGTCTTGGTTGGCTCAAGGATATCTTTCGTAGGACTGGGTGCCCTGGCGATAATTGGGAGCGCCTTCTCGACTTTCTCTAGAATGGAGAATACCTTACGGAATTGGGTATCCATTTTTCGTTCAAGATCTTCAAACCGGCCCAAAACTTGCAATTGGCTCTCCATTTTCTTTTCAAAATCTCCAAAGCGATCTAAAACTTGTTGGGTAGCTTTGTCTTGTCTACATTTGTTAGGTGATTAACATATTAAAATCTGCAGGAAACTCACTTATGCGGAGGTATGTCTTTATAGACACAGGGAATACTATTCTCTGTACAATGACCGCAAGCAGGGCGACCCTCGTCACATTTAGCTTTGCGCTGTCGACATTGCTCACAGGCCTATTCAACAGCTGGTTAGAACAGGGACAGTATTTTGCAAACACTCGTTAAAATCAAAGAAAGATGAAAATGAAAAGATCTAAAGGAAGATAATTACCTGCGTTGCTCTGGCAGTCTTACGCTGACGGGAAAACGGAGGGTAATTACTGTCATAAGATGCGCCTGGTGTCGCTGGAACTTGAGGGGGGGGCATTGGAGGTATATATTGACCCGAAGGAGGGCCCTGGGGTTCGACATTATTCGGAGCTGGTGTGTCGTGAGGCGGGGGAGGAGGATATTGCATCCGCTGTCGATAATCACTGGGGGCGGAATGTGGAGGTGCAGGCTCGGGCGGAGTTCCGTTCATAGGTCTAAATGGGTGAGATTGAAGCGCGTCTGACGGAGAATGTGTGGTAGGCGGTGCTGGAAGACTGTTCGGGCGAGGATAGGGATCGCCAGGCGGTAGCTGGGGTAGCTCTCGACTGGGCTGCGCAAGAGGATAGGATTGATGGGGAAGAGGGTTGTGGGGTTGGCCGGTGGTCGAATGACGGCGTTGCTCTGCATTGTCGAAATGCGGAGGAGGATATGGCTGGCGCCATTGCTGGTCATATAATCCGTGAGGCACTGGCAGCCCGTGATGCGGCCCTTCGGACGGCGGCAACATACGTTGAGGACCCGGCGGAGGCGGTGGATGGTGAAGCGGATGAGATGGAGGAGGAGGATGATGATGATGATGCGGTGGTGGATGAGCAGCTCCGTATGGTGGAAGGGTCTTGGACTTGTTGTCAATCGCAACAGAGGCTTCCATCGTCAGCGCAATGGGAAAGCTGTTGCCGCAACAGCATCCATCTGCCAACCCTAGCACGATTTGTTTTCTATTGGATTCAAAGCGAGCGATTGAATTTCACTTATATTAATCCTGCAGAGCGCAGCAGGTCACGAATAGGGCTTCAGCTGTCGTCCAGGTTCTTTGCATCAACAAACCCTAAATGTCCGACCAAGTGTTGTGTTGCGATGTGTCACCCCGAGAAGAAGACAATCACAACAGGAGCATGTTATATTTATTCAGTGTACAGAAGCCGTGTGCAGTACCGGCTGCAGGGCCCCGGGTAAATGGCAAACGGACGCGAAACGAATACTATATTCCCCGAGCTCTAACAGCAAATGCAGATTAGCAATTTTGTTCATCACTGTGCAACTTGGATTGCCGTGCCTGGTGGAGGAGAGCGGGTGGGCAGCACTCACACTAGAAGTCCTTGCGATCGCAACGAGGGGATCACAGTTTGGCCGTGAGCCTTCGTTCTGCCCCAACCCAGGCCTGCCTTACAGTACAGTACAGTGGTGACCGACTTTTTTGTCCACTCTACCAGTTCCAATACACCAAAGTAATCAAGCGGGCGGAGAATAAAAACAATAAATAAAGGAGTATGTACAACAGAAGAAAGAAGTCAGCGCAGGATCAGCTGTACGGCCGTGTCTTGGGGTGGTGGGATAGATCGTATTGGAGGGGAGAGGATGTTTCAAGCAGTAACAATTGGGTAGAGACGGCTATCCTAGCATGAGTGGGAAAGACGAGCAGGGTTGGCGTTAGCTCGGACTGACAGTAGTAGGAGGTGCCAAACGGCAATGGCTAGAGATGTGTGAGCTAACTAATAGCGGGAGCACTAGCTAGGATGGCGGTGCCGCCGGTACGTCCCAACTAATAGTTAGCACTTCGGTCCTAGCAGCACAGTTCGGATGGACGATCAGTAGCATGCAGAGGCCCCAATAGGAAATAATGGAGGAGAGCTAATGATCATCTGGGAACTATTAGTATGGCAAAGGAGAGCATCCACGGGTTAAGAGTTAATACTTCATATTGCTATGAATAATAGTGCTGGCGGAGGAGGATATCGGACAGTCTATAACTAGTAAACTGTAAATAGCGTGGGCTACCCAGCGGATGGGGCATGCTGGCAAAGTCAAAGGACGGAGAATGATGAATCTGACTGACGGACACTGTTGTCGGTTGTGCTGCTGGGGAGGATAGGAATAGGATACCCGCTGGCACTGCACACGCAAGGCCTGGGACTCGAGGAGGCGATTCGGCGACACGGAGAATCTGAGAAAGCTAGAGCTGCATAAGCGTGTTGGTGGTGGTTGTAGCCATGGTGGGGAAGCAGGGCAGATGACCGGGGCTATCTAGTTAGTATCCAGTGTCCGTTGTGTCGTAGCAGGACTAGTCGGTCATCAGCCCACTCTCTCGGGTTGCCAGTACTTCATTTCCAGCCAGCTCGGCGCATAAACGAGGGGGGTTATCGAGGTTGGGTGGTGAAGGTTCAATGTTGTTTGTAGAATAGTAATAATCGCGGTTGTGGCCATATCCATCCCTTGTTCACGTCGGGCAGCTGCCTCTGGCCACCAGGGAAGGAAGGAAGGGAGGGGGGCTCCTACCTCGACTGCAATCCAGTCTCCAGTCTCCAGTCTCCAGCTGATGTCATGATACCGTGTCATCCACTCACCTGCCTGTCAATTGGCAGTTCCATATGGCATATTGCATATGCACTCCGTGATATAACGCTCTACGGCTACTAATTACTGGCCATTTTGAATAAACTGCTGCAGGTGGCCGTGTCTCGGCAGCGGCCCGACAAGCAAACAGCATATCGCGAGAAAATAATATCAAGGCCGAGTAATATACAGACGTGTTAAACTGTTAATTGTACGCAGTAGTACGTACAGCCGAGGAAACACGTGGATCTGGGCGATAGGGAAGGAGAGGCATAGCATTGAATAATAGTGGTCGTACGTCGCTGGGTGATGCGCGCCGGGTTAGAGAACCACCATTATCATTATCATTATCATCATCATCATCATCATCATCATGTTATTGGTAATTTTTTACTGCTTGTCACCTGTCTAGCTGGCGGGACATGTTCTTTGACTAACTGTCAGAGACTGGTTTGTTTGCGTTGAGGCTGATAATAGTCCCGTATATTGGTGTTGAATCTTAATATCCCAAGTGACTTCATTTTGGTCATACCAGTTGATGTATTAGCAGTATAGTGACAGTACTACGACTTGCACCTCGATCGTCGAGCTCATTGTATCCAGGTGAAACTCGTTATATGAGTATCAATCCCCCTTAATCAAGCCCTGCCTCAGTTTCACTCGATTATACTCAATGCCCTTTCTGCATATCATCGACAGAAGCTATATGACTCGTCGACTTGTCAGAGCGGCCAATGTCACATCACATCCATAATCCTGTCAGTGTCAAGGGAACTGGATCATCAACATCATCATTATGACTTTGATTATTGATAAGATGATGATGTTACTGTTATCCATCACCATATGTTATGCAGATCATGGATCATGACAATTATGACACCGCACAAAGACGAGAACAAGCACATAGTGCAGCCAATTATGTTCAGTGGTCCCGCCTCACCGACAAGGGCAGGCTCTGATTGGCCTTCCTAAACAAGGCCATCCTGGCAATTTAGTCGCATTATTTCGACCAGCCCCATGGGACGATTCCATTGGCTACCACCAGCCCGTCCCTTGCGGAGTGGGCCGCGGACTCCACAGAGGACTCTCTGGGTAATAACTCCTTTCTCAACTAGGCAATAATATACAGGTTTTTATCCTCTACACTCGGGCCTACATTCCATAGTCTAAAGTTACTAGAAATTAGAAAACGTCAGAATCAGACTTCTAACTTCTAAGGCAGTGGTGAGCCGGCCAATCTAAACTCTGGATGCCACATCGGTTGCAGAAGTATATATCCACCATAATGTCGGTCAAGCCCCAGGTTGAAGACGTCAATGGCTGGCCTACACACCGCTGCCGGTGTATGCGAGTATAGACTGGAAATCGATCCAATTACCTAACATGTCGGAACTTGACAAAACACTAATTATGTCAAATGATAAATCAAAGACCGTGTTTGGTATCTCGGAGAATTTCCTCAGTCCGCTATCCCGTTCGTGGTTGGATGGTGACAGAATAAACGATATCACTAGTGTATTGACGATTACGCACGGCAAAATAATAAGAAAAAGAAAAGAAACATCATACTCTCACTTTATGATTGCACAATCAATTGTCTCTCGTATTCGGCCCCATATACACTTGCCTCGTTTGAGTCAGGAATCGTCTGTCCTGGGGGGCAGAGTTGACAGAAGGAAATGAACGAAACGTCCAGTCGGTTGCGCCGGGGTGCCGGGAAGTACAAAACGGCATTAGGCGCAGTCGTATTGCGCAGCTAGTAATTCGCCCAGGATAGTAATATACGTACAATTTCCTGACCAATTTTGAGTGTGGTTAATTATAGTATTATACATTTGACTTTGGGTAATCGACAGCGGTTCCGGGTGCTTGGAACGCTGTCGGTTTTTCCTCCCTGGACGAGGGTGATAGTTACGATCCTGTTTGGTTCCCGGCCTGCTGTACCCAGCCGAGTGTCTCAGGCTAGCACGCAGGCTAGTCCGAAGTTCCGAACGCTTCACAAGCTACCATGGCGCTGGTTCTGTGGTCCTTCCGTCCCGACCGAGTACCAACGGAAGGCAGAAGTTACCAGAGGTAGTTAGTAGTTGAATGGGCAGTATTACTACTTATCTCTTAGTGCGTATTGCGCTGGTTGTATTGTGATGAACTGATTATCGTGGGCAACGGTGTTTAGCCTGCCGACTAGTCGGCTCCTTCAACCCCTATCTCTATCTCATTATTCATGGGAACTTTCCGAGGCGGTATCCGTTGCGGGTTAGCCATTCTTCGTTATTATTAGGCCTATTATTATTATTATGGATACTTCTCGAGTCACGCAACGAGTGAATTTACTACTAGCATATCACACTGTCAACCTCGTCATGCCTAAACATTGACATTGAAAACTGCATAAAAAGAATGACCGATCGACAGATCCTACGTATACTGTTGTTTGTTCGGATCAATGGTGGCGAGTATTGCCTCAATATGCGGTTGAGTATAACGGATCACCGACAACAGTCGAAGAAATGGTTCCCAGCAGAGTCTGATTGGCATCAAGAAATTAACCATGATGCTCATGCATGTTATTTCCTGTCCAGCTTTCTTTGTTCCTCGAGGCTCGTTCTTTGTCTACATCTAGCTGGTTTGGGTATGAAATCGGTCACATGTAACGTGGAAGGCTAGCGTAGAGTCGACTCTATTATACAGATAGCTGATACGGCATCTAAAACACAAGAATCACAACTAGGTAGGCATTATTATTGCGGCAGATGACAGATGCGTGACCAACGATGTGTGGCTGCAGGCCAATGGGAGAGGTCGGAACTATGAGTGATCAGTTGGCACTGGCACGACAAAAAACAACAGGCTCCTTATTCTATGGCGGCAGTTATTCACAACATACCGTATACTCGCTATAGTGCTATACCCGTCTCTGTCCATTGTTGAGCAAGACGGCATAGTTCGATGCCAGAGTTTACATTAAAATCGTCACACCATCGGTGTCGGACGACGAGATGATCTGAAACTCCTGCAAGAGCATTTCCACCAGCCAATGACACACATGATACACAATACACACGCTTGGACCGCGGGCCATGCCTCTTGCAGAAATACGATCCTTCCAGATCTCGCCCAGTCATCGTGCTGGAGGGCCGCTGGCCGATGTGACTGGTCACAGAGCGGCTACTGGCGGTCCCAGCGACTGGGAACCCCCTGTCTGCCTGCAAGAGCTGGCTATATCACTACTGATATAGGATATTGCTTCATATTTGATATCTAATACTGGCTGTTATATTATTATTGATGATTATGGCGAAGATACCGGCTATATTCGGATTTGGCGGGGTAGCTGTGATCTCCTGAAGGCTGAGGCTCGCGGCGCCCGTCAAGTTTCACCTAGCAAGCAAACAAGCAAGCATCTAGCAAGCAAACAGCCAACCTGGAAATAGCAGATTCAAGGAATCCCCGCGCTCTTCTCCTCTCTCCGCTTTGTGGAATGCTTGCTTTTGTCTGACTCTTACCTCGTGCGATGGCTTTTCTTTTAATCTTTTGTTCTTGCTTCTTTAGTAGTGTATTCGATTTATTTTTCAAGCCACCAAAGTATCTGAATTTGCGACACCCTCGTCTCTCAAATCCATTGGTGCGGGTCCTAGCGGCTATGGCTTCATGTGGAGAAATAACAATACTCCACGGACCGACAGCGCGCATTCTCACATTATTATCATTCTCAGGATTGACTTTGACTTTATGATCCTTCCTAATAATTAACATTGCCAAACACTCCTCACTATAAACCAGGGCGTAAAGTACTTGTCACATATTGAGACTTAATTAAAATATATCATTGTGCCTTTCTTTGATAGTGATAGTAAACAGGACGATAACCAAAACCATCCATCTGCGTAGAATATTTGTACCATTCCATGCCACTCTGTATACATACTGCAATAATGGATGGTGGCAAAGACAGCCAATCAGCTGCAGTTAGTATTCTGAAGACAAAAGTCATCGAATAATCACTAAATATATAAAAAATAAAGGAATATATAAATAGGCGTTATATCAGGTGTGTCTTTACTATTAACCACTGCTCGTCTAGCCGCATCCTCTAATAAGGCACGGTTCTGCGGACAGACTGTACGATCTCGACAGCCGCCTCTCCGTCGATCAGAATGGAGGAATGGTCACAGCGATCGAAGCCAGCCATCGGCCATCTGTGCAGCCATAGTCCACTTTTGTATTGTTGGACCTTCGGATTACAGATCTCGCCTTGCTTTCTCTGTAGTAGTAGACATAAAGAAAAAGTTAATCGGCATCACTGCACGTTCTATAACTGGCGTATTATATAATTATATACTACAACATCTAAGCCGTCATAATGAACGCTCGAACAGTGATAATTAAACATCCTAGTTCGATTGCCTCAATGGAGAGATCCCCTCATCTATGTCATGCGTGGCTGTTTTTTGAGTGTTGACACATCAATTGATGTGGCTCCTGCAAGGGCCTAGCGCCATGAGATACGTCAAGTCGTTTTGACGCACTTGAGATCAGACCCTTGTGCCCAAACAATCCAGAATCCGCGACTACATAGTCAGAGTTACAGCCATAACAATAGTAACCAATAGTTAATAATTACAATGGTAGCGAGTCTCTTTTCAACGAATTGGGCAGCCTCACCCATGACAGGCCCGCTGTCACACAGCCCATTTTCAAACTGGACGTCAAAGGAGCTGATGATGTACCTGGATTGCCCACGAGGCTAGCCTGTGAATGTGATTGCGCGTGCTGAAGAAAGACTCACGCAGGTCATGCAGACGCCGCCCAAACGGATCTCTGGGGATACCCAATTTTTATTTTTGCGATTTTCCACCAAACTGTTTGCTTGCCCTAGACTAACCACCTCTTATTTACAACTTCACCATCATCTCAGTCGACAGATTTGTATACCGCACTATCAAACCCGAGCTGAAAAAGAAAACCAAGTACCAGAGTCCGTACTGCAGACTATCAAAGTCGCGAGATGCACGGTGTTGCTTCGTTGCCCCAATCATCTCAACCATTGATTATTTGACTTTGCATCGTGTTCTTCTTCAGTTCGTAACTTCTATTATTGTCTCGGCCGATTCAAAATGAGACCCAGAACTCGGATTTGTTTAGAGACATGCTGGTTGGCGACATGAAGTTTTGTTTTGGTATAGACCTGTCCACACCAACTCTCTGTTTTTGCGGTGAAGTTTCGCGGAATTATGCAAAATCTGCTATTCCAAGGATTCAATCAATAGTGATACTAAAGAAAAGGTCCTCTCTAGACTTTTAAAAGGATATGTTTGGATGTTATTCTTTTCTAGGACATCTGAACCCTATTGCTTGCAGATTATTGAAGGCTGGGTTGAGTAACTGTATGTACATATGTGATACATCAATTGATACATTTGCCCATTCACAGGACCAGCACATCTTCAATCAGTACTCAATATATATCGCATTTCAGACTGTAGATAGACACTGAACGTCTACATCAATTGATGCTCATATCAATTAATGTCAACTGGTAGCTTTAAAATATATGATAACACAGTCAACGTATAATAAATTTACAACTAGTCGGCTTTAAGCCTAAGTCTTCAATGTCGAAAAGTTTATCGGAGACTTTATTGCAGTATTCACTTCTGAGTTATGTTTTGTTCTATAATTGTATGCTGTTTTGCCCTATTTGGGTCCTTATGCTGCCCTCACTTCTGATATTATCAACGGTTTATCAGAGGTTTCCCTCATTAGATAGTGGAACACCTTCCAAATCCCATTAAATAGTTCTAGCCGCTGCTCGGCATCCATCAGATCGTACCACTTACTGCGTCGTAACTTCAAAACATTCCAAGGCTGCTCGGGAGAGCCACTGTCAGTGAATTCGCTAGTACCATTGGTTAGGCTTTCGACATAACGCCGGTGCACCCGCAGCTGTAGGATGGAAGCGTGGTGATTGATATGCGAAATCATAAAGATCTAGAAAGAAAATGTTAGCTATCTGCAGCATTGGTTTGAAGACACAAACGACAGCTTACGTCGTCGTACGAGCTCTTCTTCGGCTTCCCAATTTGCGTATATTTCATCTTCTTGTCCCACACGCTCGGCCCTGGCTCCAGTATCTTCCACTTCTCGCTGGCAGTTAATTTTCGTGGGCGTGCTGTGCGCCGAGAAGATAGGAGAGGATTGGTATATCTAGATCTCTTGTGCATGCTACCGTTGCTAGGCTCCGGGTCCTTTTCCTTCTCTGAGCTCCTTTCTGAGCTCTTCTCTGAGCTCTTTTCTGAGCTCTTCTCTGAGCTCTTCTCTGAGCTCGCTGCTTCACCTGTAACACCTTCATTTGCGGCTCCGCCAAAACGAGGTTCCGTCGTCCACCATTTACCGTCACCAGGTTTCACTTCGCCTAACCCCTCCCGGGAGCGTTCCTGGGCAGCCAGTAACATTGCGCCAACTTCGCGAAACAGATCGCAGAGCTCTCTCTGCCCATGCCCTGGTGGTTCGCTACCTTCTCTAAAACTTGTTTCTCCGCGACATTGAACTACTAGCAAAGGGCCTTCAAGGACCCCTCTCCGGGCAGCTTGCCGATCCAGAGGGACTCTCCCAGCCACTAGGGTTTGCCGTACAGGAAACAATAACCTTTGTACGGATAGTCTTGGAGGAACCGAAGGAATGACCATCTGACACTGGAACGGCCATGCAACCATTTCAAGCAAGCCACGCATCGTCTCTTCGCGAATATCGTCCGGCATCTCATTTCCAGAACCCATGCGGCGACCCTTGTAAGCACGTTCGTAGCCTCCCTTTTCACCCTTCTCACGTGGAGGTCCACTAGTATCCATTTGATCCTTATCTCCGTTCTCTGTACCACTTTGAGAAGGCTTGTCTTCCGGAAGACCTGGCAATTTCGGTCCTGTGGCCGTGACCGGTTTGTCATAGTACTCATCGAGACTAGCATCCCAATACTGAGCCACTCTTTCCAAACCGGCCCAGAACTTCCTTGATTGGGTTAATCTCACCCGGGTGCGGCCAGATTTGGGTGGCATCCTTGCAACCTCGCGGTACGCGTCGTCATTGTCTAACAATAGTTCTGCCTTGGCAATATTATATTTTTCGATTGGCGGATAGGGAGACCCATTGTTCATGAGCTGAGATTGTACGACATCTTGGTTATCCGCCTGGTCCCATACCAAAGGGGGAATGCCCTCTAAATATTCTTCTGGAACCAGACAGGATGCATCGATATCGGTAGCTACCTGAAGGTTCAGGGCGTTAAGATGTTCAACATTGATATCTTGGGACTTTTTAAGCGTCAGAAGACTCTTGTAGATCGCATTAAAATCCGTGGTCAACTGGATGTCTTTATCCTCCAACAGAGAATATTGTGGGAAATCTAGCGGGGTTGGTGGAGGTGGTGGGTTTCGTTCTTGATCAGTATCAATTCCCACAGAGGGAGCTCCTATAAATGGTTAGCCCAAGCTGCTTTAACTCGTTTTAGCATTCATGATGTTTATCGAATGGCAATATGGTCTGTCCGGAAAGTCCTATGATCATGTGAAAAACATATAGATAGGGCAGATTGATAGCTATAACGGGTAGCATGTCCTTACACGTGCTTCACAGATAGTCACGTTACATCTTTAATTATGGATATGACACCCACACCCAAAAATTGGCTCGGAAATAGGAAAGGGCAAAATTCTGGAAGTCTTACCGAGGCCAGACCACGAAAACATATCGATGAGCAGATGTGAGCCTGAATGCTTCTACCGTTAAGACGGCAACAATAATAGCGCGCGTGCTCGACCGATCACCGATGGTGCGAGACCTCGAGATCATCAATGGGCTACCGCCAAGAGTCTTTCGCAGCCAGACGCAAACTTAAAAAACGGGCTGGGTGCGAGAATTGGACATCCTGATTAAATTTGGGTTGCGAAGAGTCGGTTCTATCAAGAACGTTTCCCAGATGTGTTGGTTACCTGTTGCGAGTGGGGAAGGGGAAGCTCGGCCTGCGGGCCGGCCGTGTCTGCTAGTCGAGAGTTAGACTTTGCGGTTGGTGATCACTGATGGTTAGTGACCGTCAGTGATTGTCAGATTGATCATGGCTGCTACGCTGATAACAGCGTAATGAACCGCCTGAGCTAGTTGTTGGCCTTTCTTACACCAGACCAGTCACATTTTGGTGATTATGGATGTCGCCAATGGGGCCGGGAAGCACAGTGGATGCGAGCAGACGATCTGCACTCCCGCAAGAGATGATGTCGATGCTGGTCAGCAGTATTTAACTGGCAGTGAAAGGCGAGAGCGAAAGGGAAAACGAAGAGTGATTAAGCAAATCGTGACGATGGCTGTTGTAGGCTGGGGTAAAACACCTCCGGTTTCAGGTGTCGCCACGTGATTGGCCCCGCGCAGGCAGGTACGCGCCTTCCACCTCCGAGTCATCGACCTCTGCGCTGAAGACTTCGGTGTGGTGGCTGCTATGCGCCAGCCTGTCTCTCGGGTGAAGACACAACATTCGTTTGCTTCTTGCCACTGGTCGCTTGCTGCGAGCTGGTCCTCGATTAGGCCAAGGCGCATCGGTTTTTGAAAGTGCCTCGCTCTGATGTTGCCTGTGCATCCAATACGCTTCACAATGGCGTTCCTGAAACACAAAGTCCCGGCACCTTCATTTGGTCAGACAACACATAAATTTAAAGCTATAGCCTCCAAAAAGGACGGCAGCAACGACCTCCGCTCGACGGCGCATCAAGGGCATCGACGCATTCGAAATCACCACATCGTTTTTGCCAGTCATGATCAAAATAGGATGAAGCCAGAGTTATAACACAATCAAGCCGTCGGCGTCTGCTACACTGGGCCCGCTATTTAATACTTCCAAGTGACTTACGTCTTGGCGAGGCGACGAGGATTGATTTCTCAAATATGGCATCTACTATTATCACTTTTTCAGGCCGACGATGTACCAAGTTCGCCAGAACGCAGTTCTTCACGACGGAGGTGTTAACCTCTGCTGCAACGTCTGCTCCAAGCCAGTCGGAGTTAGAACAACTTAGCACCACCCCAATTCTTCAATCCGGGGCCGACGCTCTAAGCACAGCTTCTCCTTCAAGTCCTAGCCAAACCTTAGACCCTACCACAGCGACAACAGTTACAAGTGAAATTGCCGGTGGTGAGCACTTCTTCGCCTTGAATATGGCGTTTGTATAAGTAACACTCAACTAATCTTTAATAGGCTACCCTATCACAACTACTCTCCCGGCGGCGAACAGCTCAACCATCAACCCATTCTCTACACAAACGCCGGCGACTCCAACCGGTGATGTCGAAAGTAAGAAAATAATACCCGCTGCAATAGGTGGTTCCCTGGGTGCTGTTGCCATTATCGCGCTGTTTCTGCTGTATATATTTCTTCGTCGACGCAAGCGACGTTCAGTTCAGTTGCCAACCAGTCCTGATACGGGAGAAAAGACAGGGGGATATGGTCGAAGTATCAAAACCTCACAATTCGCAACGGGTTTAACTATACCTTTGCAGAAAATGTCAACGGCGATATCGTCTAGCGTTGCTGCTACGACAATGTTCATTGGTGCTGCTTTCTCTAGGTTAATTGATCGCATGGGTGCAATGCCAGGTCTAACGGGTCAATCTCCTAATGGGACGGAACCCGCTGAAAATCGAATCTCTTCACCTCCAAGGTTTCCCAATCAGGAGATAAGGCATATGCCGTCTACGCCAATAATGTCGCCTCGTCTTAACCCATTTTCTGACCTTCTCACCAATCCTGGTAATACAACAAACCACAGAATTTCACAATCCGATGACCCATTCTCAGACCCCTCTAACCCATTCACAACAGATTTCGACTTTCCAGTTCGGGATCCTGTTCGACATAGTGTTTCCGATGGCAGTATCAGCGAATATAGCCGCAGCGATGACTCGTCAAATGCAATAAGTACATCGGGATCCAGGGTGGTATCACGTCAAGCGAATAGCTCACAATGGCGACTCGATCGAGCAATCAGCACACATAGTGACCCTTTCGACTTGGAGAGACCTCCCACTATCCACTCGACCATTCCAACCCCGAAGGCGGATCAACGGTTTCGAACTGGATACTTCCCTGATGCAACCCCTAAATTACCATGAAGAGCGTTGGATGTTTTAGTATTTTGGTTTGATTTTGAAATTTATATGAGCGACGGTTTTTATGCATTATATTGCGGTGGCACGTCTTTGCATACTTTACATGTACTATAATTACGAACATATATTATACCATGTCAACATGATCTCCGAAAAATCAACAAAATGGCACATATAGTTCTGAATGTAAAATTTTGTCTGATTGGCTAATCAATAAGTTTTGTCTCGTAACCATATTTATCGATGACTCATTCAAGCCACTTAAAAACACGAGGGTCAGTTAGTTGTCTGTTATCATCATATATAATTTCTCCTTATTTCCTGATCCAAATAAATACCCGGAATCCTCTCACCAGTGACTAGACGAACTCCCAAGTCTGCCGTTAATTGAGGGGCTTGATTCTCGAGTCCTTTTTATGCATATTATTTCAACATCACCTACATCAATCGTTGTGCCGAAGCAATTCCGGAAATGACTACCAAGGCAACAAGAACTTTTTACTCAACTCCATCACCATACGAGATTAAATTCGGGTACTATCGCGGCGTCCGCCGCAATTCACACATATTCGTATCTGGGACAACCGCAATCGCCGTCTATAGTTCCGGCGCCACCAGCAACCTACCAAGTCCGCCGCCACAAATCCAGTTCCCCGACGACGCGCGTAAACAAACTGTCGCGGCATTCCAAGAGAGTCTTCGAGCTGTGAATGCCTTGGGCGGTGATGTGTCTGATGTTGTAAGGGTTAGGATGTATGTAGCTAGGACAGAGGATTGTGGAGCTATTGGGGAGGGGTTTCGGGATATTTTTGGGAAAAAGACAGATCTGCCTGAAGGAATGGGAGCAGAGGTCATTCAAGGAAAGGCGGATGAGGTAGGTGTTGTGGCAACAATGATTGTGGTGAAGGATGGGTTTGTAGAAAAAGATATGTTGGTGGAGGTGGAGGTTGATGCAGTCGTTGATGACAACATATCAAATCAACAGTCGTCAATTATGTAAAGTGGAATTTAATTTTGAGAAGACAAGTCATAAAAGTATGTAGGATTTTAGTACTTGGTTACCAAAATAGATATTCTCTGGCGTATCATTTATTTGTAAGACACATAGGAAATTTTCGTCTCTGGCTCACTTGTAAGAACCCAAAGAAATAGAAAGTGGATGCATTAGATCTCATCAGCTGTCCGATCATATCTGACAGTACTAACATGCAAATCCCACCACGCGTCATAGATCCCAAGACCAGTAATTGCTCCGTACAATAATGCCAAATCAACCGGACTTTGAATGCCATAGTCACACCGACCATGGTCTTTCTCTCAACAAGCTTCCTCACCAACACCTTTACTCATTGGCCTCTTCCTCACCAGCCACAGCATTTCGCTTGGCGAGGATACGCTCTTGTCGTCGTTCACGGGCAGCCTTGGTCTTAGCACGCTTGGCGTCCATTTCCTCCTTGAGCACACGCTCACGGTGCTTCTCGGCCTTAGCCTTGTGGATCTAGAGACACAGTCAATATAAATACTCCCATAAAATGGAGTCAACTCACGTGTTCAACGAGAGCACGCTTGTGCTTGAAGGTGTTACCCTTGCTGAGGTGGTAAAGTTCGTGGTACAGGTGCTTGTCGATCTTGCCCGAGGCACGGTACTTCACGAGGAGACGACGGAGAACACGCTGGCGACGCATCCAGAGAACTTGGCTATAAGTGTATATCATTAGCAACCGAGTTCTACATAACCCAACAATAGGCGTATTTTTGTTTCCATCACATACCTGGGCATACGAGCATCTTTGGTACCCTTGCGCTTACCGAGACCACGGTGTCTACCAATTCGGCGAGCGAGGTTGAGTTCACGAGCACGGGCACGGGAGTGCATGGTAACGGGCTTGCGGATGATGAGGCCATCGCTGACCAACTTGCGGACGGTTTGGCGAGAGTTGGCGTTGGAGATCTCGCTCATCTCATTGGGATCGAGCCAGACCTTGCGCTTGCCGCAGCCGATCACGGACGCCGCAAGGCGCTTCTGAGTACGGAGATTGACCCTGGAGGAAAAATCAACTGTCAGTTTCGGCCTGACTAGACAAAGTGGTGGTGGTATGGATTGAGAGGCTGGACTCGGGATTTTCCATCAAAATCCATAGGAGCGCATCGAAAAAAACCATCATTGTTGTATGACTGGCATCATGGAATATGGTAGAGAATGTCACTCACATCTTGATGTCGGCGTGTCGACGGTCGTTTGGCGGTTGAGTTCGTCGTTCGGATCGATTGCTGACGGGCGATTTCAGAGAGGAGTTTGAGAATGGGGTGATGCTTAGGTAATCGCTAAGCGAGGACTGCGCTAGCATCCACTTTAGGGCTCAAGCCCGCCCCGCTATACCCCTTCTAGCTACTGACATAGTACGCACTCCAAGATAGATCACCTTACAGCAATAATTGGATGTAATTTCTCATTTCGCTATACTCAATTGAAGATTATCAATCAAGTTGCTAGTTTTGGAACCTACATCTGTAGACATAACAAACAATACGAGCGGTCGAAGATTGAGATACGCTTATCACGTGATCTGGCTTCCAATTATGACTAGTAATCAACAAACCAATCAGGGCGACGCCATCATGTATATGTCTGGCCCAGGATTAGATAGATATTGATCAAAATATACTCTATATACGATAAATTTCATCTGGAGTAAATATTTCGAATTTTATGATTTACAAAAAAGCATAGAGAGTAATCACTCTTCACCAAAAGTGTCATCTCCTAAGTCGACTTTTCCAATGCTCCATAATTCCTTCTCATCTTCTACTTCATCGTTGGAAAGTCCGAGACCTCCTTGGCCTCCCTCGGCTTCTCTTCTTTCGCGAGCTTGGCTTGCAAGCCTTAGTGCCACACGTTTGAAATAGTCGGACATACTCCGTTTGGGACCAGGGGGTAGCTCTGCACCGGGTCCCGCCATGTACCTGTCAAAGACTGCCCCTTCAGATTCTACCACATCGAAGATAGCAAGGAAAGCAGCCTCCGCAGCTAATTTCACAGGTATTATAGTGTCTCTAACACTCCCAAAGATTGGTGGAATGAGTTGCACCAAATGTGGCCGTGTGTACTCGGGGTGCAACCGACTAATAGTGCGAATAACGACAAGAGCCAAACGCCGTGTGTCGGCCGGATTTCCTGGTGGTATCACTGAAGCTAGAGCTACAAACACTGGTTTCGTCGATTCGAAATTCTTGCCATCACCTTCAGCAAGTATATATTTGCCAGCAGCTAATACGCTGTTGTCGGAAATAAAGGTCTATGCTAGTTAGAACACATGCGAATATCTCAGACATCGTGCAAACTTACATCAGTATGGGATAGTCCTTGACAAATCACAGACGGTATTTCGGTTGCGAAGTTCTCGAGTAACAGTTCCGGTGCCTCAACAAGCAGAGCATTGAGTCCAAGTATGGAGGCGTGTGTGTAGTTTGTTGTAAGAACCCGAGTTCTAAAATGTCAGTGTTGGCTGGCTGTAAGCATAATGAACTAGACTCGGGTTACCTGATCAACGGAATCGCTGCAGCTGCAGTGAGGTTCTTCACCAGTGCACCAAGCAATTGGGCGTTTGTGATAGCCATCGCATCTGTACATAATGTCAGAGATGAATTCATCATAAAATAAACAAACAAATTACAGCTTACCTGTACGATCACTGCTGTCGTCGTCAATCAAACCTAGTACAGCATTTCTTGACGTCTCACTCATACTGCCGCCGGCCTTGCTCACGACTTCATGGAGCGCCTTCATCATAGCGTTCTTGACCCCATTATCGTCCGTTTTCGAACCGGTGATTAATTCTATAATTCGCTTAGTATAGCTTATGAGCAAAATACGGCTAACATACCTGCAACGAGTGGATCAACACGGGGGGTTAGAGTGATCAGGATTCCTAGACCCTTAGCGGCACGATTCCGTAAAGTATCGCTTGTAGTATCCGCCAAACCTCGGGCAAAAGTCCGTTGAAGTTGAGGCAGGAACGGTTTAACAGCAAGAGGGATCTTCTCAAGTAGCTTATTAAGCGCGAAGAATACTGCCGATTTGATATCCACAGATCGTTCAGAGACAACACGGATTAATGGACCTGTTATTTGGGTCACGAACGGTTTCAGAGAGTCTGCAGCTGTCCGATCAATAATGTCGGCAATTGCAAGAGCAGACTGTGTTCGTTGCTCGGTGTTTCCGTTCAGCAAGCCCTGTAAAAATATGGGGAAAATTGCCATGATACCCTTGGGCAAACTGAAGCCTGGAAGAGCGGCTCCTGGTACTCCGACCTGGCGTAAGGTTTGGCGGGAAGAGACTACCAATAATTCCATCTCTTCTTTACGCATGTTCGACGTTAATTTACTTAATGCAGCCCAGGCAGCCTTGACAACATTCACATCCCTATCGTCGAACGATATGAGAAGTACCCGGATCAGGTCTTGATGGTACCGTGAATAGTCGATTTCAGCATCAGAGAAAAACTTGGCGAGGTGATTGGCAGCATTGGCCCTGCGGCGGTGGTCATCATGTTTCATGAGACCCAACATCACGCTCATAGCAACATTCAAGCCATCATATTCGTCAACAGACACGAGTATGGTATCAAAGGAGCTACTAATTTCAAGCCTGTGCTCTTCATCTTTGGTTGATATAATCTCATCCATGAGAGTATTGAGCATCGTGGGCAAGCGACGAGTCATGGCCGAGCTAGCAACTTCTGCCAAAGATGCAAGTGCTCTAGCGTTGAATGTGCTAATGGGAGCTGTGAGTAACGTGGGAATGAGGTTAGGTAGAATTATATTGGCACGAGTTGTTTCGGTAAGCAAGGTGAGCAAAGCTGAGAGGGCTTGTTCAGCTTCATCCTCGTTCCTAAGCAAGGACAGAAGGTAAGGTAGAACTTGATCAACTGCCTTTTTGCCTAGGCTCTGCTGCAAGGCATCAAATGCTTCGGCCGCAGCTTCCCTCACATCCTCATCGTTATCAACTAAAGCCACTCGTACAATTGAGATGAGGATCTTCTCAAAGTCCTCAAGAGCCTCGGCAGATGCTGATACTATCAATTCACGGAGTGCAATGCAAATGCCTTGCTTGGCATCAACATCTGTAGATGTCCTTAAACCATCTTCGAGTGACGGTAACAACGTAGCTAAGACGCTTTCTCCGGCTTTCTTGATAAGATCTCCCAGGGCATTTCCTGCGATGACTTTTTGCTCCATGTTTGAGGATCCAAGCCGACGAATGATGAATTGCGTTAGAGTAGGAACCAATTCTTTGAGTGTTCTAGGCGTAGCAACAAGTGCTTTCCATACCGTAACAGCTGCACTTCTGACAAGACCGGATGTATCGCAGCGACATATGTAAAGAGCAGATAATATTTTGTTTCGCTTTTCCTCCCCAAGAATTTCCAGTAGAGACTGGCCAGCTTGTGTGGCGCCCTCTTCCTGTTCTTCAGCATCCACCTTGTTAGTGATACCGGTAATGTTGAAGAGCAAGTCTCCAACAAGTTCCACTGAGCTCAGCCTGATGCGGTGACTATCGTCTGCCAGACCACGCTCAAGCTCAGGAAGAAGAAGGTCAATAGCTTTCGAGGAGAAATTTTTAACTAATAACCGGCCAGCTCGCAAAGATGTTTCACGTATCGTTTCGATATCGTCCGCCAGGCCTGCTAAGATTGGTGGAATAATTTTGCTGAGATAAGACGCAAAGCTGTTTCCAAAGCAAGCAGGCAAGAAAATAAACAAAGACATGAAGCCTTCTCGGACGGATGGTTTGGAGCTGGATACGTTCTGCAAGATTGTAGGTAGAGTCTCTTCCAAACGAGTTGTTCCAAGGCCTGCAAGGACTTCGGAAAGTGCCTGCGCAGATCCCAGTCTGTCGCCTGCTCCTGTATCTGACTTGAGAGTGGACATGAGACTCGGAATGAGATCCGGAAGTGCATCTTCTCCCAATTTCTCAATGAGAGAACCAAGTGCTTTTGAGGCTGTGGCTCGAGTTGTTGGCACGGGATCGACTATTGCGAGACGCAGACCAGAGACGAGAATAGGCAAGTGTGAGATAAGGTCCTTTCTTTCAGTGAGATGTGCAAGACTGCCGATAATTTCTGCGGCTTTGCGCTTGGTAGCTGAGCGGTCGCCTAACCCTCGCTCAAGTATACGCACTACAAGAGCAAGTGAAGGAGCATCAAGATAATGGACAAAGGAGACTTTAATCAATGAATCCAAAGCTTCATCGGTGTACTTCGTTGGATCACTCAAAGCCTTGAGGAGAATTCCTACCAGGCCCTTTACCTCAGGGTTGCTAATAACCTCACCGAAGCGTTGCAAACTGCGATTTGCCGCATTGCGAACTTCTTTATGGCTGTCGTTCAATACGACTGTGAGCGGTGGGATAATATCTGGTAAACTAGCGGCTAATTGTTGAGGGTCGAGATATGCCATGGCACCTAGAAGATCGCATGCCCCCTTTTTGCTCCGCCATTGAGGGTCATCTAGCCCTTCTAGAAGGGTTGGAAGAATTTGTTTCACGCCATAAGAGCTGAGATTCGCAAAGCATGCCTTAGCGGCATCAAGGCAGGCCTCTCGCACATCAACACTAGGATCACCAAAGCTTGTGAGTAAGTGAGGAACGATTTGAATGACGTAAGGCTCGAATGTTCTTCCGAGAACAGCTGAAAGAAGCTCGTAGGCCAAAAGAGCTCCTTGGCGTTGGTTTGGGTCCTTTTTGTTGTCCAGTGCGTCTCTGAGGACCGGCATGATACGGTACTGCCTCAAAGCAAGTATACCTTTACCATGAATAATACCAGCAATTCCATATGCCGCCCCACGCCGGGTTGCATACTTCTTGGATTGAATTAGCTGGTCTAACAGATCCCGCACGTAAGTTTCAGTCTCAGGCCCAGACAACCTAACAAGGGGAGGAAGACACTCAGCAACGGCAGACTGTACCATCTCTGATGGAGTCGGAAGAGCAGCAAGCAATTTATTAACAACCACACTCAGCCGTACATCCCCGGGTTTAAGATGTCTGGCTAATGAACCATAGAGCACAATGACTGCCTCATTCAGCCAATCTGAACTAGCAGTTGCTTTGTCCGAAGATTCGAGTGTTTTCTCAAAAAGCGTCATAAGCTCCTCAACCTTTTGTTCCCCACGCTCTGCAATGACTGATCTTCCGCTGTCTGCCATTTGCTCCCTCACATAGGAATTTTTGTCCACCAACGGACCATTTTCAATCAAAAACTTCATAAACGACACGATCGTATTCCCTTCAAAAAGGTTGGTCATGGCTTTGAAAGTCAGAGCTACACCGCTTCTAATCTCCCAGACATCGGTTGTATCTGCTTTCAAAGGCATGCCGTATCTATCCTTCCCAGGAGCCTTGGGTTTGACTTCTTCAATGTATCTTGATTGCAATTCCGATAGCACAGCGCCAAATATTGACGGATTTAACTCAACGACGTGGGCAAGAGCCCGGGAGGCGGCGCCTCGTAACTGTGCGTCCTTTGATTCAAGGTACTTAAGAAGCTTCAGGTATGAGTCCTCGTCGACATCAAGAGCATTATCTTCCCAAATAGCCTCCGCGAGCTCTGCATTCTCTTCCACCTGGTCATGACAGCATAGCCAAATATGTTCAGAGAAGTCAAAATCTGTCAAATCGATCTCGGCTTCAATCGCTTGTAGAACAGCAGTTCTGACAGAGACTTCCGGGGCGATTGATCCTTCGAAAAGAACATCTAGCTCCTGGTGTGTGATATTTGATGAAATACATCTGCAAAAGTCTAACAAGGTATCCTTGACAATCTTGTAATGCTGGGAATATTTATGCAATGACGTAATCAGCTGTTGTAGAACTTCTCCACGATTGAGTCTGCTATCAGCAAATGAAGAGGAATGAAATGATAAGAACTCTAAAGTCAAAAGAACCTGTTCTCCGCCTTCTTCACCTTTTTGCTCTTCTATACCATCTCGGCTTAGCACAAGAATAGCCAAAGGGAGAATATAAGCGAGAGACGCTGATTCAAAGGGTAATTGCTCTGATGAAAAGCGCAGCCTATAGAGGATCCTAGTTACAAGATCTCCCAAGGGCTCAACTTCCATCTCAGGTGACAAGTTGGTGTTACCCAGTGCACGCAGAGTAGCAATGCCGATAAAAGGTCGTAGTGGACCAAGACGAGTGGAAACTCGTTCAGCACAAGAAATGTAAGCATTTGACACGGCGTCACCAACGAAAAGCCCAGCGTTTAGCCGCGCTAGGGATAGCAGAGCTGTAGTCGCTATGCTCATCCATCCACTGGGATCTGTTGGAGGTCCAGTGGCAAGTCCACGAACTATAACACAGCCTCTCTCAATTCTTTTCACCTCAGAGACTACTTCATCGCGAATCTTGGCTTCTTTTGCTAGCTGCGCTTTGACCTTGGCTTGATCATCTGCCGTGAGCTTCTTTTGGGGCTGTCCTTTCTTTTGTGCAAGTTGTTGTCGTAGCTCCTCTTCCCATTTTAACGTATCATAATCTTTTATGTTTTTATCAGATAGGGCGGAGGAAGACTTTGTATTCAGCACGTCTATAAATGTTGTTCCCTCTAGGGTACGAGCAATGGCAGCGTCAGTCGGTGTAAATCTAGATATGCGGTCGCTTGCTAAGTCTTCCTTGAGAATCTGAGCGACTCGCGGAATCATCACATCTGGGGCGACAAAGACTAAGTCTGCAGCCGCACTTCCAACAGCATTACTCGCTTGGGGAATCTTTGACTGAACAGGATCTTCTAAAACTTGCATTAATTGCTTAACGCACTCATCAGCATGATCAGAGACCAATTTTCCCGGGTCTGTGCCTGTTTTCAAGCAGATATCAATCCAGGATGACTTGGGAATTAGCTCCTCACGACAGAGAATGAGTAGTCTAATTAGCTGATCTTCAATTGCCGCCCGAATCTCCGTTGGGGAGGACTCAGCAGGCAGTGCATTTGGGAATATGGCCTTTGCAACAAAATGAAGCAAACCTTGGCTAGCTTGACCTGCAGCATTCGCGGCAGATTCCTTGTCCGCAACAGCCAAACCAAGGATCCAAGACCATAATGCGTCAATGATAGCTCCGCCATTTATTTTAGGGTCTTCTAAGCATATAGCCGTCAAAGCTTTACAGGATTCTTCTCGTTCTTTAGAAGATACTGCCGGGCTAACAACCATCGAGATAAAGGCTTGGCCCCATGCAGTTTTGCTTGCTGCATCAAATTCATTCAGCCCATAATCTTTTGCAATCGCAGCGAGCGCTCGTGTGCACCAGTTAAATTCTTCTTTGGTCGTCAGTTTGCTGTAGACTTTTGTATTTAGTAGAAAAGATGGTTTCGGTGCTAGCGACATAGACTGTTTAGTAACGCTCTCCCACTCTGCCTTTGAGATGCTTTTCGATCCCCGCAGAAGACTGCAAAGAGCAACGTAACCGTATGCGGTTGCAACGAGTCCGTTCTGTGCCGAAGGAAGAGGATTTGCAACTACTTCGTTGAATGAGTCTTTGAGTTTAGTCAAGACCTGGTTGATCAGCTTCGCATTTGAGGGGTCAAGAAGAGCGTCTGCATCGGTTGCCCAGAATACTTCAGCAATTTGAAGCTGCCATAATTTTCGAAATGGCGCACGCTTGTCTATCAAGGCTTTTGCGATGGCAGTGACCAATTCATCCTTGAGAGACACTTTCGAGCAAACAACATGGGCAAGATGTTTACACAAAGCCTTGAGTTCGGCAGCTAGGCTAACTTCACTCGACTCCTTGACAGCCACTGGAACCAATCCCCCGATGATCTCCTGTGAGATCGCAGTGAAACAAGGAATCGCGGATATGGCATCAGCATGTAAAGCACGCTGTTCTGCGTTCGATATTTTCTGGGTCTTCAGAGGTCCAATGATTTCATTTGTCAATTTAAGAAGTGAGTCTTCAGTCTTGCACCGAGAGATGAGGGACTCAAGTGATTCAGCAGCACCTTGTCGGATGACAGCATTGGTTGATTTTAAACTGGATAATAGTGGTTTAGCCAGGCGAGAATTAATCACTGCTGAAAGATCAATACTCGCCGGCAGCGATGAACTGAGAGGTGGAATAAGCCCGTTTAGCACAACCTCAGGCGATCTTAAAATTGCTTTTTCCAGTGTCGGGATAACCTCATTGACTAAGTCATCATAAGTAACGAAAGACGAGAAAAAATCCGACAGTCCATTTGCAATGTGCGACGGCACTATGGTTCGCGAGCCAACAACTTCCTTAGTATAGAAGTTTAAAATTTGCTTCTTTGAGTCTTCTAAAGTATCGGAGACCTCTGGAAGACGTGCACAAACACCACAAATTACACCGATAAACGGCGCATTTCTTTGAGCTGCCGATCCCACGGTAAGCCTTGAGATAGACTGACGTACGGTCTCCTCACCAAAAGTATGGGAGGAAAATACGGCTCTTAAAGCACGACGTGTTACCCGTAAGGCGGATTGCTGTACGGCCGGTTTCGAGGTCTCGGCTAAACATAGCTCTAGCACATTTGCATTGGCAGATAGTATGTCCAGAACCACAGCAATCGGCACGTCAGCACTGCTCAGATGTTGCAGCACGAGACAGCACCACTCGACAAGAACGAATGCAGATGCTGGAGCAAGGCTGGGCTTTGAACATTCTTTTTGTAGCCTGCTGGTGAAGTATTTTATATCCTTATAATCAGCCGCTGAGTTAAGGACGGCACGAAGACATTGCTGAACGGCTTGGCGAGAGAGTCGGTCAATGTAGAAGGGATATGTTCGAAAAAGAACGTCTAATAGAGAAATTCGCGCTTCTCCGAACAAAATGGTTCCTACACAGAGTCTGTGGTCAGTAATTGTCTGCGTTGACAGCGGAGGTTTGTACCATTCTTTTCCCGCACTACCTGGAGAGCTCGCACACGACGAGACGTCGAGCTTGACAGAAGAGCATCTGCAAGGCTCTCTAAATTCCCTGATTGGATAGCTTCCCACTTGATTTCATCCATTTTTGGTGGGAAGGCACATGTCGAGCTAGTGCAGGGCTTCCGGCTTGAATGTTGAAGTGTCCCGCAATTGTGTCATAAAAGATTTTAGAGGTTTGTTGTGGGGAGAGCCTCCGTCACCCGCACCTGCCCACTTTAAAGCGCTTTGCAGGCACCGTTCTCAGACTCTCTTCTTTTCTGGCTTTTCAATGACTGGAAACGTCTAGTCCTCTGTGAAATTCATATATTACCTGGAAACTTGGGGTCAGAAGAGACTCCCCGGATCTTTGCGGTGAAAAACTTCTATAATTTATATCCGACAGTATAGCAAACGCTATTTAACATGCCTCCAAATAAGAAGAAAAAGAAGCCGGCATCGAATCCGGCCCGAGGCTTTGCAACGGTTTCAGTCCCCTCACGGCCAAAGATAGTCGATTTGACGGCAGTCTCGTCGACTGCAGAGTCGTCACTTGCAGCATCCGAAGGGGAGAACTCACCACCACCAACAGATATACAACAGCCTGTTGCAGGAAATGACAGCAAAAAGACCCTGCAAGCTTTGTCACCAGAAGAGCTTGAAAGGCATTTTGAACAGGCGGAACTACAGTCTCTAGTGGACAAACATGCCGCCAAATGTAAAAGCGAAGCCCTTCGCCAAGTCTCCAAACTTGAAACCGAAAGGCGTGTGCTGAGACCCCAGGCCAATATCTTGGGATTGAACGACTGGATGCCCCAAGATATCTTAGATAGAGTCCTTACATCTGCTCAAACAGAACTTGACAACCGCGACCCTCCATCCGAACGAGACTTGGATGGTTCCAAGGAAGAAGAATTAGCCACCAGACTCTGGACTCTAAAAGAGACATTCCAGAAATTACGTTTCTCTCAGACTCGAGTGGAGGAACTCCTGAAATACCTAGTAACATACAATTCTGGATTCGCAGGTGGCAGTAAAGACTTGTCTTGGGTTATAGATGAATCCTTAAATTGGCTGGCATTGCAATGCAGTCCAGCCGAACTGCCACCTTATGACAAAAAGGAGGCAGTTTTTCCAAAGACTGAGGAAGCGATAACCTCATGGATAAATGGTAACCATCGTGCCCTAATGAATAGTAATAGTGCTCATTCTTCACAGATAGTAAAGAGCGTCAGTCTGCAAGCGCCTCAATCTCGTCTACTCCTGGCAAGGATGACTGGAAGAAGTCAAAAGCTCCTCCTCCACTCATCAATGATCCGGAAGTTGTTTTGGACGATTCAGATAGCTCTATTGACCCGGAGAATTTTGTTGATGAATACGTTTCTCTACAAAGCCGCTTATACAAAATCCAACCCAGGCTAATCGATCAGCTGGCAAAAGGCGCGAAGAGGGCAACGCGAGAAAACCGTGCTCAAAACGAGTCAGATCCTAGAGCAAAATCAATATTACGGAAACTCACAAAGATAGAGAATGATGTTCTTTTTGATCGTCACGAAGCGGACGTCAAGTGGCTAGATACGCTCAACCATCTCAGACAAGAAGCAGCATTTGTTAGAGAAAAGGAACGTACAATTGAAACACCCTCCGGTCCTATCCAGCCCTCCAAAGATTTTGGGGAAGATTCTGGGGTGGTGGGTGATGCTCCTTTGGAAACTCCAATATCCGACGATGAGGGTCTTTTTGGGGAAATATTCGCAGGAGACATAAGTAATGGGCCATCCTCGATTCTAGAGACACCCAACTCACATCATTTACTTCGCGACTTCGGAAAGCCAAGTGGACTTAGTCCACGGAGGGTGCTCGAAGAAGTATGCAAGGCAAGGTAAATTCTTTTTATTGAGCTTTCTTTAAGATGTAAGCTGATGAATGGTTCTAGAGATCCAGCCTCGAAGGTACTTTTTAAAGATTTATCAGTATCGTCCTACTCGAATCGGAAGGCAATTGAGATACAATGGTCAAAACCGCAAGAGGAGCCGTTACCTATAACAGTAGAAAGAGTGACTATTCAGTCGAATCCTTTCACCTTGTTTGCATCTATGGACTCTATTGCAACCTCCACGTCACCTCAAGCAGAAGGCTACACCTCTACTCTTGGGCTCTTCCTCATTTCGTCGTTGAATACTAAGGAGGGAAAGGCTTATCTTCGTCTTCCAGCGGTATGGAGAGAGCTCTGGGCTGAATTCTCTGAAATAAAAAAACGAGAAGAAGATCAGGCAGACAAAGCACAGTTCAAATACCTAAGAGACTTGATACAGGAGCACCATGGTAAATTTGAGCACGATGTTGTCTTGTCTGAGAATTTCAAAAGGAGAAACGGAAGCTCTAAGAAGACCGAGCCACCTGAAATTTCCCAAGATCTCGGTTCGCACATATCTACAGAAAAGATGACACACTTATGGAAAGAAAAATCGTCGACTTCATCCTTCCAAAAAATGGCAGAGTTTCGAAAAAGTTTACCGGTTTGGGCATATAAGCAGGAAATCCTTGATACCCTGGCTAACAATCAAACCATTATTGTATGCAGCGAGACTGGAAGTGGTAAGAGTACACAAATTCCTTCATTCATCATGGAGAACGAGCTTGCCAATAGCCGAGAGTGCAAAATTTATGTTACTGAACCTCGAAGAATCTCGGCAATTTCGCTTGCACGACGAGTCAGCGAAGAGCTTGGTGAGAAGCCCCATGAAGTTGGGACCAACAAGTCTTTGGTTGGCTATGCGATCAGGCTAGAAAGTAAGATTAGCCAAAGCACTAGGTTAATATTCGCGTACGTTTCCTCTCTTTCTAACGAAATTCTGAGATTGACGTCTGTAGGACAACCGGTGTTGTTGTACGCATGCTGGAACGACCTAGTGATTTTCAGGACATTTCTCATATTGTACTTGATGAGGTCCACGAGAGGAGTATTGACAGTGACTTTTTACTTATTGTTCTACGGCGTCTTTTGGCTCAGAGACCAGACTTGAGAGTTGTCCTTATGTCTGCCACTGTGGATGCTCGACGTTTTTCAAACTATCTCAATGGTGCACCAGTTCTCAATATTCCTGGACGGACTTTTCCAGTTGAAGTCAAGTATCTCGAGGATGCGGTTCACTTGACAAATCATCGAATAGCCGATCAACAATCAGGCTCTATTATTGATGACGATGAAGACTCATCCTCGGAGGGACCTCGTAATGACGATGCAACACGAAGTTTAAGAGTATCTCTTGAAGGGTATCCACAGAAAACCAAGGAGACTGTCTTGAAGTTTGACGAATATCGTCTTGATTATCGTCTAATCACAAAACTTTTGGTCTCGATCGCAACGAAACCAGAATTGATCTCGTACAGCAGAGCAATTCTAGTCTTCATGCCAGGTTTAGCAGAAATTCGTCGACTTCATGATGAAATTGGAGCAGATTCGATGTTCAATCAGGGGTGGATTCTTCATACACTCCACTCATCGATTTCCAGTGAAGATCAGGAAAAGGCTTTTCTTGTGCCACCGGAAGGAACAAGAAAGATCGTGATCGCCACCAATATCGCAGAGACTGGTATTACAATTCCAGATATTACTGCTGTTATTGATGCTGGAAAGGAAAAGGTCATGAGGTAGTCATAGCATTTCAGGTATTAGATTGTTGCTGATAATATTTAAGATTTGATGAGAAACGCCAACTGTCTCGACTAGTTGAATCATTCATCTCTCGGGCTAATGCCAAACAACGACGAGGACGAGCTGGCCGTGTGCAGGAGGGGATATGTTTCCACCTGTTTACAAGGTACCGGCATGACAATCAGGTATGTACTCTACCTAAGTGTTGAGAAGCGGTTTTTGATTTGCTGCCGTAGTTGTCGGATCAGCAAACACCAGAAATGCTCAGGCTGTCACTTCAAGACCTCGTGTTGCGTGTCAAAATTTGCAATTTAGGCGAAGTTGAACAAACGCTTCTCGAAGCAATGGACCCACCGTCTTCGAAGAACATACGAAGGGCTATTGAGTCATTAAAGGAAGTGAAGGCTCTGACAAGTAATGAGGGCTTGACGACACTAGGGAAGCAGCTCGCAAAGCTCCCACTAGACGTATTCCTTGGGAAACTGATCATATACGGTGCAATTTTCAAATGCCTTGATGCATGTGTCAGCATTGCTGCTATTCTTTCGTCGAAATCACCATTTGTGAACACATTAGGGTCGAATACGCAGCGGGATTTGGCTCGCTTGTCTTTCAAGAGAGGTAATATTATTGTATCAGATATTATGGTCGATCACTAACAATGCGACAGGTGATTCTGATTTATTAACTGTATACAATGCGTATCTCTCATGGAGAAAGGTCAAAAATACTCCCGGAGTAAACGAGTATTCTTTCTGCAGAAAGAATTTCTTAAGTCCGCAGACTTTCTTAAACATCGAAGACATCAAAACTCAACTATTGGTAAGTATTGTTGATGCAGGGCTATTGAAACTCGACGCCGATGAGCAAGCGTCACTTCGAAGGTTTGTGGATTTTCCTATGACTGGTACCAAAGCTATGCTAATTTAATCAGAACCCGAGTTACAAGCCGCAGTCGGAACTTCTTCGTCGTCCCCGAACGTGTAGATGTCAATAACTCAAATGATCTTGTTGTCAATTCCGTAATTGCATGGAGCTTCTACCCCAAGCTAGTGATACGCGAAGGGAAAGGATGGCGCAACATCACAAACAATCAAAATATACGGCTTCACCCAACATCTGTCAACAAACAACCGGACCATTCGGTTAAATGGCTGTCATTCTACCACATCATGCAAGCTCGCAGCAAGTTCTACAACGCACATGAAACTAGTGCTGTTGAGGACTTTGCTGTGGCAATGCTATGCGGTGAACCCGAATTCAAGGTATTATATGATTTGCGCCTTTTATTAGGCATGGCTAATGAATGACGAATAGATGTATTCTGGAATCATATCCATTGACAATAACCGCGTTCGCTTTTCAGTGCGAGACTGGAAACAGATGCTTGCCTTCAAAACCTTGACCACTCGAGTGCGGGAAGTCTTGACGGAGATAATCCGCAACCCGCAGAAGAAGCTTTCACATCAACAACGCGAATGGATGGAGATATGGCAGCAGGTATTTTCTGCAAAGGGTCACGAGAAAAAGTGAGTCGCTAGACGAGATAGATTGCTAGACTGGTATTAGATGGTTTGCATATCCGGGTGTGATTCTGGACGTGAGGCGTTAGCTTGGACTACGATTGGTATCCATGGATATTTACACTTGATGATGACTAGAACTGATATGAACATAGAATAGTTATGTCCTCGGCATTTTTTTTGGGCTTATTTGCCTTGGTTCTAGCTCTATCATAGTAACAGCTCGATGCTATATAAAAACTTGTTTGGTTATTCCAATTATGACTTGTCAATCAAAAGGTAACATTTAAAAGTAAAATGATATCAATTATTGATTATACCGAGAAGTAATATTAAATATGTCTATCAAGTACAATTGAGTATTTGTAAATGTGATGGATCTAGTTAAATATGTCTATCAATTTTAAAATCGATAAAGTTTATGACTTTTCGTTGAACTCAAAACCTTGATATATCTGGGCTACAAATTTTCTACCAAGGGATGGATGGTTTAGTCAATTGGTTTTATGACCCAAAAACTTTTGGTAGAGACCCAGGGATTAATTTACTGATTAGTCGAGCTGTTCATCCTGAATATTTATCTGAAAAAGCCCAGTATCCCTTGATACAGAATATATGCTGTATGACAGATATGTTGGCGCTGCAACGACGAAATAAAGAACAGACAGCTACATGTAACGGCGTACACCACATGACAAATGCAAAGCATCTTGATCTACCAATTATTTCATAATATCAAACGGAATATATATGGACGCTGCGTGGCCGTTGACTCTTGAGCGTTATCGAGGCATGGCCCTACAGCCAATAGCCAGGTTCGAAAATGTTGGTAATAATAACGGGTCCTAATACTTGGGATTTCACGGGCGGTGGCCACAGCTCAGCACCTATTAATTAGTTATTTAAGAAAACTAATTAACTTAGTTATCTTGCAAGTGCGTGCGCATGGACCGAATTCTGATCCTCGACGATGCAACGGAGATCGCGTCGGCTAGAGGCTAGTAATGGGGCGAACCTAGTCACGGCCGGCCTGTTGATGCGTCGCACACGATCATGGTATGCTGACTATCATCTAGTATGCAGAGGGTCATGATCAATCTCCAATTCTAGATACTCCGTAGATAACAGCTGAGTGGCGGCCATCTCGGCTGTGCGACCGCCAGCTCAAGTCACCCGTGTCTTCTATATGGTGGACAGCCGACGCACGGCGCTGGGCAAGACTCAAGAGACCGGGATCACCTAGCTCGTGGCGGGGTGTTCGATGCTGTCACCACTCACTCGCATATGCGACTACGGGTTGCTGCAGCGGAGGGTCTGAGAGCAGACGCTAAAACGGCGGCGGGCTGGCTGGTCGCCACTGGGGGGACGCAAGGGGTACCTTTGACAGGGTACGGGAGTGCTGGAATAGTCATAGTCACAGACTAATAGGACATTGTTGGCGCTATCTAATATATCCTACCTACCATTCGTACTCGACGCTCGCTCTGTCATAGGTGCACGAAGTAGGATCGGCCGGGGGTCGAGGGGACAACTGATCGAGGCAGGCAGCTGAGGGAGCCCGAGCTCATAGCAGAGCAGTCGATTGGCGAGAGGGCTGATCGTAGATACGGAGTGCAGGCGAGGATCGGCCAGCCAGCTGGCACGTAGTCATAGTCACAGTACGGGAGTAATTGTGAATGAACTTGAGAATGGAGTGGAAGAGCGTGACGCGGTGGGGTCGCGGTGACGTGGTTACGGTGGCGGCCAGTCCTTGTGCGCCCGGCCACAGCCGCGGAAGGTGCATGCCGCCAATCAGGCCAATCGGTCTAATTATGCGCTGTTCTAGTGGGTCCTCCCGTCTTGGCAATCTCGTGACTTCGGTCTCTCTCTTAGTAACTAACTTATTTAGTACGCTTAGCACTTCTGACAAGTTCTTCCTCGAAGAATATTGAATATTCCTGTTTGTTGGATGCTATTGATTACAGTGGAGCCAGCGAGCGTCTTGTTGGCCAGCCCCGCAAGGGATTAGTAGAAGACTATGAGGATGAGGTGACTGAGGGCCTGAGAGAATTCATTTTTGGTCCTCAAGTTCTTGCTGCTGACCAGCCCCCAATATCGCCGCGCCAATCACACCAGCCTGTCTGCGCCGCAATGACGGGCCTGACAATCAACAATCGAGGAGCAGTAATTAATTAGTATTGCGACTGCTATCCGTCGTCCAAGGCCGGCCTACCCTGGTCCGTCCTCGTAATCCGATTCCTGTGCCACGGTACCCCTCTCGGCGGCTTTCATCTGCTCCCATCATCCGAGGTCCAGCGGTAGGTCCCTTGAAAACAGACGACAAGGACGAGAAAAATGATGCCTTCTTGTGGTGAATTGAATGATTGTTATTATTACAATCTAGGCATGTACGGTAGATCCTGCCCGTGCACGTCGCTAAAGTGCGGAAGTACGGGAATGCAATGTGAGTTTATTTTCTCATGCATTGGCATCTGTAACTGCGGCTGCATCAGTGCATCACCACGCAGCCCTTGCAGGTATCTCATATCAGACCCAAAATACCCACGATAGTTTGATAGCGAATACCAACTATGACTTAATGTCAACACCAACATTGTAATTATCCAACTGATTGGCTACTTGTGCGATTAATTAATATCGCCGATATTCCACACATCCTGTGACTCTATGAGTGGATCAGTGTGATCGCCTGGAGACCTCGTATCGTAATCTTAGGCTGAACTCTACCATGCGATGTGCTCTGTCCTCATTGACTGCGGTACTGCGAAGTACTATTAGTGTTAAGTAGTAATACTAATGTAGATAGGACGGAACGCGGAACTTCGTTGCACTGTGATCACTTTTTGAACTGATGGGCAAACAATAACTAACAAACTAATCCAATAGTAAAGGCATTATGCCTACCCGCGGGCAGGGATAGTCTGACTTGAGCAGTTACTGGTCAGTACGAATTACGGGTTTGATGAACAGTCGCTGCTAGCTTAGCTCCGTGCCATAATTACTTCTACACATTAGAATAATTAACAAATTGATCAAGGACTGAATAGCCGAAAGGGCTAAGCATGCAATCACGAGCCGAAGTGAGATTTTAGCAAAACGTCCTCCCACACTTTACATAATAGGGTAGTAATAATATATTTTGTTATGCAGCTCCCTTAAGGCTTGGATCGTGGGCATCTTGACGCGCATGGCATGCTCGATTGCTACGACAGACCGATTCGGAAGTATTCCACATGCTGACTACGGGGAAACTAACAGAAGGTAGAATATTCTTCGATTTTCAGCCAGCTTGACGTTTTTGATTGGCCAACTTGACCATTCCGTTGGCTATCATGGGCTGAGGGTGTAACGCGGGTATGTACGATTTACTTTTACATTTACTATGACTTGGACTCTCTAATTCAACAATAAAAATTACTCATACTGCTCTCGATACTTACACTTAAATCTTGAACTGGGTAGACTCAGATCCCGATTAGGCTATTACAGAACCAGGGTAAGGACAGCCAGGATCGGCTAGCGCCCGCAACTGGTTCCACGGTTCACTGTCACTCAGTCGCTCGTATTGGCCCACATTCCACAGTCCAGAGCAGCGAGCTCAATATCACGCGTGATTATACCTGCTGTAGTATTATTATTTTTTCCTATTTGCCATTTCTATGAAGAGGCGGCAAGACGGTGAGGCCTGTCTTTGTTGAGACTTTCTTTCAGACGGGGCTGCACCCAATGGCCGCGGCGCTTGCAAGCGAGGAAGCAAGGAGGTCCTTAGCTCCCTGTCTGGGTTACACAGTCGGAAGGTGACGGGAGGCTCCGGCTCGTATACAAGAGCGGTGAGCCTGCCTGCTGTCGTCAAGATGCAGACAATATGAATACGTATTTGGCGAGAAAAGATGCTGCGTAGTTGCTCATTTAAGTCTGCTCTTGCTGTCCGCACTTTACGGAGCGTCTCTCATACAATGTGAATACATATCAACGTGTCGAGAGCCCTCGGGAAAAGCTCCAGTGGCAGAGAGCAGGCCCGGTCTAGACTAGTCGCCCGCCCAACGGTCTAGACACCTCCGGCTCACCGATCCTTTGGCGCACGCCCATTGGTCCACTCGACCATATCCCTGTCGGCGCCGCTCCGGGATCGCACATATCGCAAACATTCAGATTTCCACTATTGGCCCGCGCCGCCAGGGTGTCCCTGGTTGAAGACAAAGACGGGCAGAGTGGAAAAAGGCAAAAAGGGGGGAGGAAAGAAACAAGAAGTAGGTTGACAGGACTACCTTCCTATTTGGTTCTGACAGAATGTCCGTCTCTATATCAACCTCAATCTCAAACTCAACCTCAGCTTCAATCTGCCTCGCCGTCGTCGTTAGCGTCAGACAGACTAATCGCGGGCCGCCCGCCGCCCATCGCCCATCGCACATCACCCATTCTGGATGCTCCACAGCTACTATTCCTCTTCTATGTCTACATAGATGATAATACTCCGTACTTGTTAGTAAAATTACTTACGCCTCTAGTCTGTTAATTACAAACCGAGCTCCTTGTTCAATGTTGAAGTATGCCCGAACTAGCGACGTTCTCAGCACAGACGGGTTCGAGTGCTTGGTGATACTGTATTAATGTCTGACTGTCGACGATCCATTTAGGACTTGCAGGATCTTGCATGACCCCGTTCTGGCATCTGCACTGCCAGCCAGAGCAGCGTCCGATAGACGTGTAGACGTGCAGACGTGCAGCTCCTTCCCTCCCTAGCACCTGCTCAGCTGCATTGCCATCGACTATCCTCAAGCTAGCTCCTGCAGTCGAACGCTGATGTTATTGTTATTGTTATTATTATTCCTCTTGACCTTGTTTCATCTTCCCCGGGTTGCCGCTTGTATGCACGCTCTGATTGGCGGGCGCCTAGAGGCCTCGTCCGGCGCCCTGGTTGGCTGAGCGCATACCTCCCTCGTGGCGTGACTTGAAAGGCCCGTCATCCACGTAAGGGAGAACAACTTTGGTTTCAGCTTGACGGAGTTTGTCAAAACTTTTATTTCCTTTTGACCACCGATTTAATTCCCCGGAATGAATAGAAAATAAGTTTAAGGGGAGGCGGAAAAGGAAGAAAGCGGGGAAACATGATTCAGTCAACAGATTATTCCTTAGTATTTCTTGTATATTATTTAGTATGACTATTCTATCTAGTGAACATTACTAAACAATACTTGATAATAGAGAGTGAGACCCTTCTCTTAGTCTCTGGCAGGCAAGCGTAAACTGTAATGCTCGACTTGGCTAATACTGCTAAGCTAATAATACAACGATCAGCGCTCCGATCCAAGCCCGCGAATCATTCGCTCCTCATTATCAAGGGCCCGTCAGCAGCGGACGTTGCGATTGGTCCGTCACACCATCACTCAATAACACCACCAAAGTGTAGGATTAGTTAGAATTTATTAGTAGTAGTTAGCGCCAAGTTGGTTGTGCTATGTCGTAGCTTACGGAGCCTTCCGTGTAGAACTCGTCGTTTGAATCGATCGATCATGGCCAATGAAGACAATGTGGTCGCCCGTAACAAGTTATGAACTGTTTAGGTAGAACAGGCGAGCCTCTCCTAGGCAAGAAATACCAGCAGGGCCAATCCAGGCCTAACGCATCCCTCTCGTGTAACACCGACGATTCATGCATGCCTCTGTCAGTGTGGGCACCCGGTATTTTGCCGTGCATTGGTTTCTTCTTCTTCTTTTTCGACCATTACATGATGATAACCATCACTGGGGAGCTACTTTTTGCGGCAAGGGCCTCCACCAGAGCGCTCCACTCGGAGCCACCCACGAAGCATGACAAGTTGACGTTATTATTTATATCTTCGTACGCATTATTCCTCGTTCGTAGTGTCTTCTTCAGGCCCTTCCACTTTCATCCGGCTGACTGGCTGGACCAATGGCCTCCGGTCCACGGCGACTCCTTGCGTTCCACAGTCAACTTTATAGAAGTTGAAACGGGCCAAATTCGGCTATAATTCTGTAATTATTGCTATTATGTTCAAACTTCAAGCTTGATCGAGTACAGGATGGGACTGTATGGCTGGTGGCTAGCCAATGGCCGACGGCCGGCTGGCGCCCGCCGCCCAAAAATAATCTCACCAGCGCATCATCGCTACTAGCGAATCAGCGCTGCGTACGACCTCGTCGACGAACTGCTGCTGGCTGATAACGTCTTGTGGATGTCTTGTGTTCTTCATTGTATTCTTCAGGTCGGCAGTGCACCACGCGTCTCGAGTAAGATGTTCTGGCCATGGAATTGAGGAGGCCAGCTCTATCGCGAAATAGCTAGTGAGGGCGTCTAACCCAACACCGTCACTACTTGCCAGTTAGCATGGTCCCTCGGATATAGCATTACCTAGTGCGCCGGCTACTGCTAGTATAGTTCTCTGGCTGCCCCGTGCAGGCCTCTCCTTCGCACTCCAAACCACCGCAAAACAAATTAGCAAATAATAGCGCGCCAATCCCAGCCTCCAGGAGTCGTAGTGTGTAGTGGCTAGTGGTGCTTCCAGGCCGCGGAAGGTGGGCTTCTCTTGGCCGGGATCGACCGTCCTCCTGCCTTCCCTGCCTCTCTCTCTTTTCTCTGCGCTCGGTCTGGCTCTTTCCCTCCTTCCCTGCGAGCCTCTCTTCCTGCCTGCCTACCTGCCATCGTTCATCGCTCCTTCCCTTCCCTGGTTGGCACCTTCCCCACTTCCTAGTAATTAATTGCAATTGCGGCAAGCGCCAGCCCAGCCAGCACCACCGAACCATCCACCATTAACCTTCCACCTTTTACCTTCCTCCTTCCACTCGTCGTCGTCCCTCTTCCTCGCCCTCCTCCTCCACCCATCGTCCTTCTTTCTCTCCTCCCCGTCTTCTTCCCTATATGCACCTTCCCATCCAAGGGGGCTTGTCAGAACAGCACGTCCGTCCTGAGCCTCCACCCAGAACGCTGCTTCTTCTATCCCTTTCTTCTATCGCTGCTGCTGCTGCTGCTCTCTGCGTCCCCGCCCTCGCAAGCCTCCGAGATCGTTGATCTGCCTTGCGTTTGTTGCTTGCTTACCGCCCGCCGCTTCCGAAGCTTCTTTGCTGCCCCAGCCTCCACTTTTCCATGTATCTCGCTCTCTAGAAGAAACCTGCCAGGGTACGCTTTCTTTTTCCTCTCGCCTGCTGATGAACCCCGTCATTCTTAACATGACCATTCCCTGTCCTACCCTGCCCTGCCCTCATGTTTGAACTCGTGAACTGCATCGCATCTCCCTACATGCATTGAAGCTACACTCCCGAACCTTCTTGCAGCTCCATTGCGCGCCCCTTTGCCGTGCGCCGCCAATTGACTCTCGGTGCCTTGCGATTGTTCACTCTGCTATCGCGACACTTCTGCTGTGCTTGGTTGCTGTGAATGACTTTGTGCTGCCTCTAAATTCTGTTTTCCCTCTCTTTCACTGTACTCATCTGTCTATTCCCATAGAAGTGTTGTCCCAGTTTAGACGCAGACACGGGAATTGACCTACGGCTCTCGACTCTGCCACGACCGCCACGACCGTTACGACCATACTACGATTACCATCGTTCTTGTCTTTTGTCCTTTTTAATTTACTTCAGACCACAGTGCTGAACGACGTCGCCATTTAGAGACGCATGTTTTGATCGTGTCCACCTGCAATCCAACGATCGATCAATTCGAGCGTTCTGCACCCAACAAAAAAGTTGAAAAGTATAACGAGTCAATCTTTGCGCCGAAAAATTCTGCATTTGGACCACGCGCCTTACGACTAGAAACGATACCCACAGAGCGCCGCGTGCTGTGATTTAGGCTGTTGAATAATATCTGCATTTCGGTTCCTGTGCGACTCCCCAGCGCTTGCTGAGACGAACAACCGAGAGAGAGAAAAAAAAGTTTTGATGTAGATTCTTTGCATCGTGCATTTCTGTCCAGCTTATCACTATTTCAGCGTTCACCTTTTACGATACTAACGAACCTCCCACGATTATCGTCAGTTTATAGCCGGCATTTCTCAACATCCTATTCAAGGATTTACAAACCTAGATTTCCGCTTCGGATATCGCCCATCATTTGCGTCTCAGCAATACCGAAAAGCTGGAGCTACCGTCGATTACCCAGGTTCATCCCGTCGACGTCCCGTGGTTCAATCGCCACGTCGCTGAAAGACCTTCATTTTCCACAGATAGACTTTCGTCCTTGGCACTATCAAACACTCAAGTGCCCTTTGCCCAAGGTGTCGCTCCCAGTTCTTCACTGGAAACGTTAGCACAAACTGCTGCTAGCAGTCAATCTCAGGTGCTCACCGAGCCTCCTGGCATCTCTTCCCACGCCTCAATTGATAGTTTGGCAGACGGCCATAGCGCCATGAACCAAACTCAATCCTATATGGATGTGCATTCATCGCACTTTTCATCCCCCCAGCCCTATGGCTCGCATGGTGCCACCGCTGGAACTATGGTACCATATTCGCATTATCAACAGCCGCCACCGGTTTTACCGCCTGGCTCGACGGGATATCCGTCCACTCCCAGCTCATACTCGTACCCATATTCAAACGGCGTCACCTCGACCACTCAAGCGTCTTCCACTTCGATCAACAACCAGGTTCCTACTCAGATTCTACCCTTACCAGGTATGTAATTCAAACGACTATTTTATCGGCTGGCTTATTAACTGTCAATAGCCATGACCACTCACACTGTAACACCTCATGGATATGTCGGAGGGACAAATGCATCGTCACCACAACCCTCGATCCATGACCCAACGGGCCAAACCTGTCCTCCAGGGGCGAAGCCGAGGGTTACAGCAACTTTGTGGGAGGATGAAGGTAGTCTATGCTACCAAGTTGAAGCCAAAGGTGTCTGCGTTGCTCGACGAGAAGGTGTGTAGATTGTTTTAACAACTCAAATCAACATACTAACTATTTCAGATAACCACATGATAAATGGTACAAAACTTTTGAATGTTGCCGGTATGACTAGAGGTCGCCGAGATGGTATTCTGAAGAGTGAAAAAGTCCGCCACGTAGTGAAGATTGGTCCAATGCACCTGAAAGGCGTCTGGTGCGATTACATATAGTCCTTTATGTCTTTTGCAACAACTGACAATGAGTAGGATTCCGTATGAACGCGCTCTAGACTTTGCCAACAAGGAGAAGATTACCGACTTATTATACCCACTCTTTGTTCACAACATCGGTGGTCTACTCTATCACCCCACCAACTCGAGCCGCACCAACATGGTCGTACATGACTCGCAACAACGCAGGCTGGAGGGCAATCAGAGTGCCAGAAACTCGCAGGGTCCGCAGGGTCCCGCCCTGCATCATCACCACTCTATGAGCAATCCTGTTCCATCACATCTATCACAGGCTCCTGCGCCTTCAGTTGCTCCCCAATCAAATGGTCGACCTGGACTTGATCGGGCTCATACCTTTCCTACTCCTCCGACAAGCGCCTCGAGTTTGATTGGTATGCCGAATCAAGGAAGTACATATGAATGGAATCCTCAGAATATGGGTTCCAACGTACAGCCATCTCAGCCATTGTCCATCGATACTGGACTGAGTAACGCCCGCTCAATGCCTGGTACGCCTGCAACCACACCGCCTGGCAGTAACTTGCAAGGCATTCAACCATATCAGAACGCCCCCACCTACGATGCTTCTAAGTCGTACTATTCTTCAGCTCCCCCGTCACAACCACAATATGCTTCGCAACCATTAGCGCAACCTAACCTTGCCGCTTATGGTCAAGCGTACATGAAGAACGACATGGCTCCACCCTCTGCGCGACCTTCAATCGTTCAGGCTGAACCAGACCAAGGCGATGCGAAGGTTGACCGGTACGCTCAACCAAATGGCCAGGTAGCGAATAGCACTAGTGAAGCAGAGCCGGTTCAAGAGCCCGAGCCTGAGTATATCCACGACGCTGGTGCTGGGTCATACTCGAACCGTAACTCTTACACTTATACTACTAACGCTCCCGTGGGATCACTTGCTGGGGATCACTCACAGCTAGCTGCCTCTCCTTCGCATCAAAATGGAGCTGACCGCATGACCCCACGTACAGCTGGCGCAGCTTCTCAACAGTGGCCTCAAGGCTATAACACACCTCCCAGAGCAGTCCAGGCTGGTAGCCTCTCCAACATTGTTAGCGACACAAGAGGTGCCCCTAACGGTGATGCGTATCCCAATTCCACGTATGCACCCACTTACTCAAGCTACTCCTCCATGAACGGGTCCCTTGGAACGAAAAGACTCCGGGACGATGAAGATGATCGTCTTGGCCGACCTGATGGGCGTGAAACTGAGTATGACTCGAAGCGCCGCAAGACGATCACTGAACCTCCCGTTGGTGGCCCCGTTGGAGGCTCGTTTATGCAACTGCAGCAGCCTGTGACAGCCGGTGGTGTTGTCCGGCGCCGATGAACAACACCCTTACCATTTACTTAATCAGCCTAATCTATGACCAAATCACGCTGTGATGTTGGGTCTACTAATTAAGAACTGGTCTCTTACATGTCGGTATTCTCTCATTGGTACTTAGAAGGCAGATCTCTCTTCCTGCTTTGGTTCTTGACTATTTTCCGGCGTTCCAAGTTTTCACCTACGGCACACTTGGAGAATAGGAAGGCGCTCATATTGGGACCGAGTATTGATAACCCGTTGTTTAGTGCTTTCTGCCTTCTTTTTCTGACTCACGAAGACATGAACTCGCACGAGCAACCTCTTAATCCTGTTCTCCTCTTCTGGGATTTGCATTACGTTTGATTTGTCCATGTTTTGTGCATGTGTTCTGTTTCAACAAACGTTCTAACGACCATGATGTTACGAATCTCTTATTTTATTTTGATGATATTTGTGTGTTGAGTGATTTTCTGCGATGGCGGGCGTATGCCGACTGACTACAATTGAACTCATTCGTTTCGTTCATCTGTCTCTGTTTAGTTTGCCATTTGAGGCCAGAGCCTACCCGTGTTTTCTTTATAAAAGCTCGCAAGAGACGACGGTGATGATAACGATCAATTAAAATGTTTGTTTCTATAAGTTAGTTTAATCAATCAATCACTTTAGGGTAAATCTTTGGTACACGGAGAAAATATGTACAAGTCGAATGACTAGGTAGTCTAAACACGTAGGCTCAAGCATAGAAGTCAAGTATAAGAAATAAAATAAGATATACAAAGATCAATTATTGATATAAATATCAATTACATCAGATCCAGAACACTAGATGCTTTGATGTAGTTTATCAAAGATCTTTTTAAAGATAACCATCTATCTATGAAATTATTCAATAATCCCAAATAGGCAAATTGAAAACATGCCGCATTTCTTGGCGGCGGCATCGATGACGCTAGTTCATACTTCTCCAGAATTTGACTCCAACTCTCAGTCAATCATTCAGATCAGTATATTCTCAATAAACAACGTTTCGAAAACAGTAACGCCTGCCTTGATTATGAAGACTAAACCTGGGAAATGAAATATCATCGTTCGTCACAGCGTTCCTCAGACATCAAGCTTATTCCATGTTTAGCCTCACGATTTATCCAAAATATCGACAGAATTAATCAAGGGCAAATCTCTCTCAATGGCGCAAAAGGCTAATACCGAGCGTACCCTCCGCAATTGCCAAATCTTTGATCCCTGGAATACCTCATCCACAGGCCATCAGCGCGCCGACAACCCCTACTCCAACACAACCGATTGGCAGACTACCCGGCGCGAGAAACTAGCGCGACAGTTTCGTGGGGTGGATGATGGTGTCGTGACTGTTATGAATATGTATTTTGATCCTGCGGAAGATACTCATGGTGCTGCTGGAGGTAGTGTGGAGGAAGCTGGTGGGAACGGGCGAGGTGAATGGCAGTGGATATCGGCGGAAGAGGCGAGGAGATATGAGCGGCGGAACGAGTTGGGCACTGCGGATATCAGACAGTATATGGGGGGCGTGAACAAGAGTGCTAGTATGTGCAGCAGCAGCACAACTGCGGAGATGGGCAAGAAGGTCTCGAGTAGCAGCTCGAATACTGCAGAAAAGCCGCCAGGCAACAAACAACTCATCACCACGACATCAGACCGCACGAAACTTGTCTACTCTACATCAGCTCCAATAAAAGCCAAGGAGAAGAGAACGCAGGGGATCTTTCACTCCCTGACATTCTTCATCAACGGCTCAACTTACCCGCTCATCTCAGACCACAAACTCCGCCAACTCGTCGCCGAACAAGACGGGGCGATAGCACTCAGTCTTGCGCGACGATCCGTAACACATGTTATAATCGCCATGCCGCCTAATTCATCCGCCAAATGTAGAAGTGTCGGTGGCGGGGGGTTGGCGGCTTTGAAGTTGGAGAAGGAGATACGATTGACAAAAGGGGGTGGAAAGGGGATTAGGTTTGTAGGTGTTGAGTGGTGAGTTTCGGTCTTCCTTCTATTTGTTCTGAATAAGAGGGTTAATGGGCTTAGGATTATCGAAAGCGTCAAGGCTGGTAAGAGGTTGCCGGAGGCGAGGTTTGCTGTTCCGGGTGAGAATGGTGGTGGGAAGAATGACAGTGGTGGTAGTCATGGGCTGGTAGGAGCGTCAAGTGGGCAAAGGAGTGTTTATGGGATGTTCAAGGTAGCGAGTTGAAATTATACAGTCGACTATTGCATGTATAGCACAGGAATACGTAGCGTTCGAGGCGATGGGTGGTTTTTTGATTTATAGCATGGACTGGTGATAGAGCAAGCAATATTCAAATATTCATATCTATTCTACGAAGATCAAATAAGTACATGAAGCTTTATAATAGCCAGCTATCTTGCTCTATTCGTCTCATCTCATCAAAAGTATAGACAATCGCCAAATTCATACATACAATCGGGTATATCTACATAAACAGACCTAGTGTCTTGGTACGTACAAACAATCAGTTTCCAAGACGGATAAGATAAAGATTCGATAATAATGTTCCAAGCATATACTTTGTGTCGTATTGTAGTCGTATTGACATCATCAACACATCGTTTTATTCGTAATGCACAAGATGTGCAGGTCATCCAGCTCATATAAATGCCGCAGGGCCCCCAGAAACTAGTCGTCTACTGGCTCCATCGCTTCCCTCACTGCCACTGCTGTTGCTTCGGCTGCTAGCTGCGCTTCTATTGCCGCCAGTATTTGGATGTCGGCGGTAGCCTCGTCCAGTGGAAGGTGGGGAGGAGGATGCGACAGATGTCACGCCTATTTCAGGGCTGCTATGGCTATGGCCCTCAGATGAACGTTCTACTTGAACGTATTCCTCATCGCTCGATGGAATGGGAGGAAGTGATTTTGATGGTCCAGAGATTGAAGTGTTAAGTAGTCGTTGAGGCTGCCCTCGTTGGTTCTCAGCAGGGTCTTCTTCGATGATAGGAGGGGGAGACGAAATTCGTCGGACTGTTAGATAACCGCGTGGATGATCGGTTTCTGAGTGGTAGTGGTGATGTACATCTTCGTATGGCGGGAAAGTGGAGGTGGAGATAGTCGATGATCCAGATGGCTGATGAGGACGTGCGTACTGACGCCTGACTTCTTCTACGGCGTCCAAGGTCGAATCAAAGGAATCAGGTGATGATGACCGCGTGAGCTTTTCTTTCTGGAAATCTTCTTCCACATTCGTGTTGTGCGAATCTCCCTTGACTAGGCCGAGTCTTTCTTCTTCGGTGGCATTTTTCATTGCTCGTCGAACGTCGGCAGACCCGGGGCCTCGATCAGTGTTCTTCAGAATCCCCCGACTAGGGCTGGCGGGGCTATAAGACAAGCTTTCGCCTGATTTCTTTCGGTTGAACATTGTTCTGAAGGAAAATTGACGCCGAGCTTGAGGCGAATCGTCAGGAGCTAGGTGGGTCTTCCTGTGAGGCGAAATATCAGGACGCTCATCTGCCCAGATAATTGACCTCGGTGTGTCACTACGCTCTCTGCCTAGATGCGGTTGGAACGGTGGTTCCAGATGGGCATCTTTACCGCCATAATAAGCGGTATCAGTCCCTTCCTTATCTCGTAGAGCAATTTCTGTCAAAGCCACTGGGTGCATGGGGCTAGGTTGGACGTCGTCTTCCCCATCTCCTCGAGGTCTCCACTGCGAAGGGTGAAGAATAGAGGAAGTTCGACCACGAGCACCACCCAAGAACGAAGAGCTATTACCACTTGGTGTGCGTACGTATTCTCCCCTCTCTTCAGGGAAGTAAGACATGCCCAACGGCGGGTGTGGACTTCTCAGTGAGCGAGAAGATTTGGGAGTCATAATCGGGTGGTCTCCAATAACCGTTTTGCGTCGCCGGATGCCATCCCATTCAACGACCTCGTTATCACCTGGGACACTCAACTGATCTTCCTGCTTCTCCTTGACGTATCGTTTGAATTCATCTTGCTCCATCTTTTGCCTAGAAACCGAGATACGGCGGATGATAGCTGCAGCGCCTCGAATTGCATCTGCCTTTGGTTCTGTTTCGGGGGCTTCTTGCTCACTGACTTCTCTGATTTGGTCGAGATCGCCTTTGAATATGGCGGCATCGGGAACATCTTTCGCAGATTTAGACAATTGCAACAATACTACTCCAGAACAGATTGTAAGGAAGCCCATGACCATAGTGACAATAGCCATTGCTGAACCCGAAAATCCTCGGAACAGGACGGCGGAGGTGACGATAGTAGAACTGGTGAAGAAGACGTAGTAAGTGGGAGTGACGAGGGCGGCATTAAAAATATTCAAAGCTTTCTAGAGGAAGAGTTTCGTTAGCACGGATTCCAAATGCGCCTCAAGGGCAACTCACATTGAGATAGATAATTTCAGTCAGCAAAGAGGCAACGACAAAGGCAAAAAGCACATAAAGAAACCAATGCTTGAATTGAGATTCTCCTCGGATCTGGGCTAAGATTGAGGCACCCAAGCCTTGGGTTGCAACAACGCTCAACCCTCCGATCAGACTGCAAATGCTGATGTAGACGAACATGCTGCGTTTACCGTAGCGGGGACCAGCCCAAAGCGCAACAAAAGTGCAGCCAGCGATGATCACGCCAGCGTAGGTCAGAAAACCAGGAGAGATAACATAATGCTGCATTGCCTGGATGTCGCTGACGGAGGATTGTTCGGGTGCATTCAAAGCAATGATGACGGCACCAATAATGCAATTAAAGCACCCGATCTTGCCAACAAAACTGAGTCGCTCTTTTAGAAAGATAGCTGACAAAACGGTCGTGACAACGACAGACAAGGCACCCATAGGAGTGACCAAGATGGCATCAACGAAACAGTAGGCCACGAAATTGCAGATTTCGCCGATAATCATCAAGGTCATGCCCGTCCACCACCAGGCATTCTTCAGATAACCGTAACCTTCGCCAGCTTCTTCATTGTATTTCACATTGGCTTTGAGCAAGCCGGTCTTTTTGAGGACGAACGATATTCCGATAAAGAGGCCAGAAGAGATGGCCAGTGAGATACCAATCGCCTTGTACACTGGAGGTTGCGATGAGGAGGCACGGGCGTAAAGGGCATTGGCATGGCCCAGGGCCGCTGCTGTCTGATCCATGACAGCGGTACGGCTGTTCCAGGCAAGGCCGGGAATAAAATATGACAAAAGCTTTCAAGCGTATATTGTTCTCATCAAGACCGTAATATAGATTCTGCGTTAATATAGACAGTCATTCATTCTTCGTATATCGCGCGGCGGTCGTATCGTTCGGACTATGAACGCTGGACAGTTGCCCAGTGAGGGCAGGAAAGGCCAGAAACTCGAGAAGCAAATAGTGTATTTCCAGGTGAATCAATCGAGATCAGCCCAATAGATTCACTAACGCTGGTGTCGCTGATATGCAGTCGATCAGCGGTAAGCGGGCGGTAATTCAACACGGCGGCTCGAACAGTCGAATATCAGAGGAAAGATAGAAATAAAAGACGATAGAAATCAAGGAATAGGAATAATAACCCGAAAGAGGCCGGCTCGAGTGCTATTATTAATTACCCTTATTTGTCGGCTGGGCGTCCCAGTGGCTGTCGAATGTAGTGGGTTGATTGGGGCGGCACAGTCGACGACCGGACAGGTTTTGGACGCAAGGGTAGAATATAACAGCGCCGAGTGAATGGTAAGGCCGGACGAGGAGCACAGGATAAGACACACAGGTTCAGACAGGGATCGGTTAGTGGTTACAGAAGACTGGGCCGCGGGATTGTGAGACAGCTGCAGTCACGAATTGGCGCCAACGAACTGTCCTGCATGCATCAGCAGGTCACAGTGGTTCATGTACTTGTCAGAGCAGCAGGGGGAGGAAGCGAAAAAACGGGCAACTAGGAGGAGGACATTGTAACGATCTGTTCATCTGAAGCAGCCCCTTTTTTGACGGCGATAGAAAGCGTTCATGCACAGAGAGAGGCAGGATGTCACTGCTGCGGTGTCCATGGAGACCGCCTATCGATAAGAGGCGATTCCTTGGCTGTCACGGGCTGGCCGGTCTGAGCCCGCGTGCTGATTGGGCGCTGGCTGGGTGCTGTGCCGCGTGGCTTGCTCCAGCCACGCTTCCACTATAGCACACGTATTATTATTGCTACACTCTACCACGACGTAATTAGTCTGTAGTAGTATACCAAGGTCCTAGATGCCATGCTGCCCTAGATATAAGATGAATTCCAGACACCCGGCAGGAAACGTCTTGGGGCTATCGAACTCAGCCAGCTAAGGCAAAAGGTGGCAGACCGTCGATCTGGGTCTTGGCTATTTTTAGTAACGCGGAAGCATACGTCGTCAATTATCCTCCTACTGTATGCGGCATCATCTATGGAGAGCTCCTGTCAATTGTGCGGTCACGTGCGTAGACCTGTCTTGGATCAAATAAAAACCACTCGGGAAATAAGTCAATTATTAAATATTAGCTTACGTGAATCATGGCTCTTGATGATCGGATCTGCTCGGAGAATTATTGGTTCCAAATATAGGCTGGTACGGAATGTAGATTCTTCTCCAGGACAGCCGCCAAACACCTCATAAGTACATTGTGGTATCATAAATGCAAAAGAAGAACACCAAATGAAGCTGCCAATCCAAGCACTAAAATTCATAATTCGTCAAGCGCATGCTTTGTTCGCAGGACCAAGAGAAGACTGGGAGAAAGGTCGTCACCTCACATTGTAAGTCGGTTTTCGTAGTTTGTTTACCGCAGGAGGTCCATCGACAGGGTATGGCGGACGAGGATGGCTGGGGTTCGACTGTGCCATTCGGGGAGGCCCTGGAAGAGGCATCGAGATTCCTGTACTCCCGCCATCGTCTGGATACGGGATCGGGGTTTTGGGTGGTAGAGGCGGAGGGACATGAGCTTCGAGATCACCACTACGGCGCGGGGAACCCGAAGATGGGCTAGGTCGGTATTCTCCGGATCTGCGAGGTGCAGGGGCATCTTGTGAAGCCGGACGAACTGGCAAGGAGCCTGGAGATGGACCGAACTCATCAGGCCCCATGATCGCAATCTTCTCATCTGAAACACGGGAATGAACCCCTGTTCCATGTGGCCGATGACCAACCGCGACATCTTCCGCAGGCAGCTCAACAGCGGCTGGATTGGAGGGCGGAGGTACTACAACAGTAGGAGTGGGAGTAAATTCGAAGGCCGGCTCCTGGCGGCTGGGTTCCTGAGCCATGGCAGCAGAGTGCGACGCGAGGCGGCGATGCATCCTCTCAATTCTAGCCAACTTAGACGCAGCATCCAAAGTCATCCGCTGGACTTCTGATTTAGAAAGGTATCGACGTGTGTTGGTGCTGATATCCGCTAGACGATTCCATTCATTCATTCCAAACTCTCCCACGCCAACTTCCACGTTTAATCGATAATAGTTCTCTTGTTTCACATTGCGTTTCGCCAGATACTCCTTCAGCATCTGTTGATGAGTCTCCTCGCAACCTTCGATCTTGGCGATTAGACGTCGGCGAGCTTCTGCGAAAGTCCCCAAGGCATCACCGACGAAATCCTCCCACCACTCGTGTTGGCGATGGTTTGTGCCGGATGGGCGTTTTCCTGTCCCCACGCTAACAAAAACACCTACTTCTCGACCTGGCCATTCGTTCAAAACCGCTTCGTCGAGTGCGACTGGTGCTGGGTTGAAATTTCCAGCGCCTTCATCAATAAACACGTGCTGTCCGATTTGTATAGGCTTGAAAGCGAGGCCAGTTGCAGAAGTGGCGCGTCCGGCCTGCCAGATCGTGCACTCAAACTCAGGAGGTGGCTCTCTTCTTGAGTCGTAAGATCGAAGTAATACTGGAGGCACATTTCCCCTGGAACCTTTGTACATGGCGGTGACAGCCCTATAAAAGTTAGAAAGTGTCAAGTTTAGAAAGGGGAAGAAGGAGTGCTATGAAATCTTACATTTTGGTACGATACTCGCGATTATCATAAAGGGCAGCGTCTGGGTTGCCAAATCGGAAGCCATTCAGGAAGACTGAATTTCGTTGGCTTTTTGGAGAGGGAGGTGGGCGTGAAGTATTGGTCGAGCTCATACTAGAACGGCTCAGAGTGCGCTGAGGGATCGAATTTACCGGGCTCGTTATCTCAACGGTGCTAGAGTTGCCCACGTCATTTCCCTCAGATTCATATATCGTGTGTTCGCGAACGCACTGTCTGATTGCCTCCTCCAGCCTCGACGCCTTGAACAACGTGGAGCGATACGGGATGCCTGCTATGGTTTTGTCCGTCTCAAAGACCCGTTTTGTCATGCGAACGTACATTTCCTTGCATGTTTCCAGATCAAGTCGTAGTCGACCCAGCATGATGGCGATCAGGCCACCGGTGCCGGTGCCGACAATGAGGTCGAAGTAATCGCAGGGCTTTGGGATTTGATCTCGTCGAGGCGCTTGTCCCTCGCATTCGACGTATGTTCGGTACATCAGCTCTTGCAGCAGAATAAGCATCGAATAACCCCTAACACCACCCCCGTCTGGACAGGGTTAGCCTATCTATATGCACAATGGAACATTTCTTACTGACCTAAAGAAAGGACCCTCAAGGGCGGGCCCTTTGTCGTATCCTTTCTTCGCAACTGCGAATTCTCCATCGCGGTGGTTTCTGCAGCTACCGTACCCCGATCGTGAGAGGCGAGAGCTGAGAGTAATTTTTGATGTGTTGATGTGTTAATGTGTTGATGTGTTTGTGGCGACTCGAAGGCGGATGCGACGGGTGACTAGCCCGGTGACTCCGGTAGTAAACAGATGGGGGTTTGCGTCTTCGCACAGGTTGTCGACAGGTGTGATATATTTTTCCTTGGAGATCGGCGAGTTCAAATGATGTTCAAGTTTTTGGATCAAAGTCGCCTGGTTCTGGGTCAAAGCAGGCCAAGAGTGTCTGGCAGAGGGCGGAGTTGCACACAATCTTTCGTCAGTCTCGGAGGGGTTGGCGCTCGGTTTTAGTAGGCAGTGGGGAAAGCCAGGCACAACAGCATCCACAAGACCAGCTTACGCTTGTTCGGAAATAAAAGAGATGCCTTCGACCTGCTGACCATCGGCACTATAATAATTATATATTTATATAATAGTTAATACAGGTGTTTAAGAATTGGTAAGAAGGCGATAGTCCCGGCCAATCAACGCCTGTGAAAGTGTGGCGGTGCATGCTCTGCGTCATCGCTTTCTTGGGCCTTTATCGTCATCGTCAATCACCATTGTTAATTGGTATTATCCTTATTGTTATAGCGGTAATTATTGTTATAAAGCATTGTCTAGGTTTCAAATGTTCATGACAATGAATGATCTTTGCCATAATTCGTCTGTGTCTGTTTAGTAATATTCCATAGCTTTATACTTTCGGAGATGCTTATTTTAGAACTTCTAGAACAATACATGCCCTCCAGTCCCAATACTATCAAAGAGTGAGTGATGCTTATTCCTGGAATGGGAACTTTGTTCTATGCCACGGGTCCGGACAAGGACTCGAAATGAACATGGTTAGAAGAAGCAACGGCATTCGCTTCCATCATATTAATAATGAATACAGCGAAGTATTGAATGTTGATGGTTCTACGTATTATTGGCGCCGGAAACGGAAACTTAATCCCAGCCCAATTCTCAGTCTTCTCAGTGTCCCTCGCATATCACCCCGCATTCTTCACACTCCTGTTAAGACTCCATTGAGCAGAGATGTATGTCAGCGATGTATGTGTCCATATCTTTGCGTCTTTGATTCACGAGTGTTGGTTAATGAAAGTGCGCTAGCTATTCGTATACCCCATCAAGTCGCTTCGGCCGACCAAGCTCCAGGAAGCCACCTTCACCCGCCATGGCATTTTATACGATCGATGTTTCATGCTATGCAAAATCATAGAGGACAGCGCGGGGAACCAAGAGCTGAAGAATATGCATGTACCACACTTCCCCGCCATGTCACTTTTCTTAACCGACCTGATCTTGCCCGACCATGGCGAAGCGGACGACGGAGGGAGGATAATCGTGACTTACCAACAGCCACCCGTGTCAGAGAACAACGCTACAAAAACACTACATGTCCCATTGCAGCCCGAGTGGGATGATATGGAGGAGACTCCTATCATGATGCACCAAAGCTCCATGGTAGGGTATAAGATGGGAAGGAAATACAGCGACTGGTTCTCTGACCGTTTCGGGTTCCCGGTGATACTAGTCTACACAGGTCCTAATAGGAGACAGGTCCTCGGCTCAATGAATCCTAACGTTCGCCGGCGAATGGAACAGGGCTGGCTCTCGAGCCTTGCAGACTATGTCCCCTCCTTCGGCCGAAAAGAGGATGATGGGATTCTTACTTTTGCGGATTGTGCAGCTTACATGGTTGTGAATGATACGTCAGTCAAGCAGGTATCGAGTCGGTTCAAGGATGGGGTTGAAGTCGATGTCACCAAGTTTCGCCCGAACGTTGTTGTTGGGGGTGCCGAGAGTGCATGGGAGGAGGACTACTGGGAAGAGCTGGCTATTGGAGGCACTGACCGCGTGCAGCTGGCGTTGACTTCCAACTGCGTCAGATGCCGTTCCTTGGATGTGGACTATCAGACGGGAGGATTTCACAAGACAGACGACGGGCTAGTATTCAAGAAGTTGACCAAGGACCGGCGTGTCGATAGTGGCGCCAAATATAGTCCTGTATTTGGCCGGTATGGCTTCCTCAAGGGCGACGAGGCGACGGTCATTCGCGTTGGAGATCCCGTCGCCGTGTCGAAGAAGGCTACTGCGCGGACGACGTTTGGTAAGTTGTCGAAAGCCTGATGCTGAGCCCGCTGACCCAGACTATAGATTGGCCCGGTCTGTCATAAGATGTGAATATGGATATGGATATGGATATGGATATGGATATGGATATGGATATGGATGAGGATGTGGATGTGGATGTGGATGTAGTATTAGTATTGCATATATATTTAACGAGTCAAATGGAACAACAGCGCATGGCGAAATACAACACGACTATCAAGTAAAACACAACCTCTCCAATCCGATTGTTTCATATTGTCCCTCAAGGATGGTGAAGCGAGCCCGGGACATATCAGCATCGCCCACGCACGCCCGCTCCGAGGAACGGACGGCGCGTGAGAGCTGCAAAAGCCGAAGAGGCCGTCTCTTCATCTTGGATTTAGTTGTGTGAAGAGAGAAAGAGAGAAGAAAACAAGCAGCGCAGAGAAAAGCGGGAAACGAAATAGCGGCTTGGCATGGGCGCGCTGATTGGCAGCCTGCTCTTTCCCGCGGAATGCGAGCAGCGCAGCAACCGTTATCTGCTCGCCAGTGTGCATCATGAGCACCACTCCGCGGGTACAGTAATTAGCTCCATCAGCATCAGCCCATTTCTCTCGCGGCCACACCGCAATTCCCCTTCTTCTTTGCAGTCATTGTCACTGTTGAATTGTGTGAGACTGACATTGGCCTCGCACGCACAACCACTGCCTCGCATGTCCGCAATGTCGTTGAATCGCTGCAGTCGGCAAGCTTCAAGACTGCTGCTGGCCGGCGACTCTCTTCGGACCCCGACTGCAGTTCGTCGTCCCTCGCAGCTCATTGAGCGTCTGTCGCCTACAGCAGCCTTCCAGCGGCGGAATGTGTCAGATAGCCATGATGGCCAACACCAAGTATGCCTTGTCCCGGCTCCCTCGCAGCTGTTGATACTGACCATGTTCTCTTTCCCCGCAGCTACTCTCCACCCACCTCGAGGAGGCCGACCCCACAGTATACAACATCTTGCAGAAGGTGCGTGACAGAAGCAGTGACTACGAGTCTGGCCAGATTCTAAAGGGGGTGAGCAGGAGAAAAAACGACAGAAGCATTTCATCAATCTGATCCCGTCTGAGAACTTTACTTCTCAGGCCGTCTTAGACGCGCTTGGAAGTGTGATGCAAAGTGGGTGTATACTGCTTGGACTGGTTGCAAGACACGTGCTAAGCCTGCGTAAATATAGACAAATACTCAGAGGGATATCCGGGAGCTAGGTATTATGGAGGCAATGAATTTATCGACGAGGCCGAATCGCTGTGTCAGAAACGTGCCCTAGAAACATTCAGACTGGACCCTGAGGAATGGGGAGTCAACGTACAACGTGCGTGGCATGAGATCTGTAGTATTTCAGTCAATGGAGCTGACAAATATAGCGTTATCCGGCTCGCCTGCCAACTTGTACGCCTACTCGGCTCTGTTGAACACACATGACCGTCTGATGGGCCTTGACCTGCCCCATGGCGGACACTTGTCACATGGCTATCAAACACCCACAAAGAAGATCTCATTCGTCTCAAAATACTTTGAGACCGTGCCCTATCGTCTTGACGAGTCGACCGGTCTCATCAACTACGACCAGCTGGAAGAACTGGCGCAGATTTACCGTCCGAAGCTGATAGTGGCTGGTACATCCGCCTACAGCAGATTGATCGACTACACAAGGATGCGCCAAATTACTGATTCGATTGGCGCCTATTTGTTGAGTGACATGGCACATATCTCTGGTCTCGTAGCTGCTGATGTCATTCCGTCTCCTTTTGCTCACTCAGACGTTGTTACAACCACCACACACAAATCGCTGCGTGGCCCCAGAGGAGCCATGATCTTCTATCGAAAGGGTGTTCGTCGCACAGATAAGAAAGGCAACAAGGAGTTGTACGACCTTGAAGGGCCCATCAATGCTTCCGTTTTTCCCGGTCATCAAGGAGGCCCTCATAACCACACCATTACAGCCCTCGCTGTTGCTCTTTCACAAGCCCAATCGAAAACCTTCAAAGACTATCAACAAACCGTCCTCTCCAATGCACAAGCTCTTGCTGAGCGGCTAGGTAACTCGGTCAACAACGGCGGGCTGGGATACAACATCGTCTCTGGCGGAACTGATAACCATCTTGTCCTAGTTGATCTCAAGAACCGCGGCGTTGACGGTGCACGTGTCGAACGTGTGCTCGAACTATGCGGCGTTGCTGCCAACAAGAACACTGTCCCCGGCGACAAATCCGCCTTGAAGCCTGGTGGTCTCCGTCTGGGAACGCCTGCCATGACATCTCGCGGGTTCCAGCCAGACGACTTCCGCCGCGTCGGTGGAATCGTCGACCGCGCAGTAACAATCACACAAAAGCTCGACAAAGCAGCTCGAGAAAGCGCAGAGGCCAAGGGAGTCAAGAACCCAGGGACTATCAAGGCTTTTATCGAGTACGTCGGTAACGGGGACGATATCTCCGAGATTGTACAGCTGAAGAAAGAGGTCGAAGACTGGGTTGGCACATTCAGCATTCCATGGAAAGAGTGACGTGGGCAACTGCAACTTATTTGAGATTTGTCATTTTGTTACTACTGGGATTGATTTATGGCTACGGATTTCATGTCTGCTCTACTCAAGCCTTTCTATTACATGTACCTATAACATTGAAACGGTTATTCAACCAACCGGTCTAAATCAGTACAATCTTTCTCCTCTGATATATCTACAGCTTAGCATCCCCTTTCAGCACATCGCGCAACAGCTTCAACCCCTCCGCGGCAAACCCAACCATATTTCTTTCTCGATCTTCTCCAAAGCCCGTGTTTACTTCCCTCACATATGTTCCACTGGGAGCCGCAACAGCAAGGAAAACAGTGCCGCTATATTTTATTAGCATTACTAACACATATCCAACAATCTCATATTATATATATATATATATATAAGATGCAACTTACGGTACTCTATTCGGCGTCGACCCGCCACCGGGCCCGGCAGTGCCGCTCTCGGAAATCGTATACGTCGAGCCGAGTGTTTTGCGCGTATGCTCAGCGAGATGCGCGACGATCTGCGTTGTTGGGCCTTGATAGGATTTGATGTGTTCAGTAGTCCAGCCGGCGAAGGCGAGGCGGGATTCAAGGGTGTACAGCTGTTCTTATTAGTGTTCGTCTAGTAACCTATTATGGGTTTGAGGCATACCGTAAGTCCTCCTTTGAAGTAGCTTGATGCTCCAGGGACAGAGAGCAGGGAGGCAGATGTGAGGCCGCCGGCAGCCTGGTTGGAGAGTTAGTTTGTATAGCTAGGTTAAGAATGGAAGGAGAAAAAAAAGAAGAAGAAGAAGAAGAATTAGTAAATATCGTCGTCCCTGGCTACATGTACAGCGAGATAGGGTTTCGATGCTTGATGACGTACCGTCTCTGCCACGGATACTGTTTCCTTTTTCTCCTTGAGTAAAGTCGCTATTTCGTGGACGAGAGGCCGGATTGACGATGGTGGGAACTCTGAGTCGGCCATAGTGTTTTTATTTTTATAGATTTTTGTCTTTGTTGTGGTTGTCGCTGGCTACAATTCACTCTTGATTTACCCCGCTTAATAATGCATGTACTGGCATGTATTACTAATACCAATTGATGTATAACACATGTAGTTAGTGTACCCAGAATGACAAATTCTATATCCTGTACAGACTGAATGCAACAATTGAAAACCGCTCTTTTTATCTATTCGAAATTCACGTTCCAGCAGCTCCGAAGTGTATTGTTTGCGTCCACTGGTGTCGTACTACAAGTCACTTTGAACAAGCTCCATCAAGCTGACCTACTGGCTGGAGGCTAAGCAAACCCAGCAAATCGGCTTAACGAGTCCGAAAAGTCTCCTGAGCTCATACCATATCTGGAATTCGTCGCAACGGTTTCCTGCCATTCCTGGTGCTTCTGGACGGGCCGAGCACTGCCATGTAACCAGTCACAACGGCGGCTCTCCACCTCGCAACTATATTGGGCATGTTATACACTATGCAGGCATCGGTCTTGGGTTGAGTAGTTGGTTGGATTAGCTGTACCTGAGGCACGGATGAAGCCTGCCAGTTCAAAGCCATTGTTTCATATTAGCAAGCGTGCAAGAAAAAACAAAGGAGCTCCAACGTCAACATTAAGAGTCGTAGACAGTGAACCCCTACGACAATTACACTTATAGTGGTTAGTAAAGGGTATATCAATGACGGCCTTGGTCGACGGCATTCGATCTGACAGCCGACAGTTGACAGTTGACAGCTGACGGCTGACGGATTTGCGGAATGCGATGGTCTGTGCTTATCGAAAAACAGTCTCATTTCACCAGCCGTCGAGATGGATTCGGTTGGAAGGTCGGTTCATGCCGATCCAGTCGAATTGGGGGCAGGAGTCGTTGGTATGGAATACTTTACAGCTCTAACAAGCTCACTGGATGAGTTGATCCTTTATAGTTAGTTAGTATAATCGGAATGTTTCCGAGAGCACGCAGGACTCAGGGTTGTGAGTTGGCATTGTGGAGCTGGACCATGAGCATTTGCCATTTGTGTTATTTGGGTAGAAACTTGCCGGGACCTAGCGATGGTCCTGCTCTTCGTGGATATCACGCCGAGGAACAAATCAGGTGTTGGTTAGTAGTGTCATGCCATCATTGCGACTAGGTCCGCGATTGTGGAGCTGGTCGAGCATAGCTGTACCATCAATTTCGAGAAGGCAGTGGGATGGCTGCAAGTAATGGACGGCTCGCCGTGTGTGATTACCGCACACAAATGCATATTTGGGCGGAGGAATATTGTGCTTGTCACATTCGGCAGAAGCGAGAGTCGAGGGTCGAGGCTAAGTGTCGTATTGTGGACACTGGATAGTATGTACTAAGGGGCGGCAAGCGTCCCCCGGTAGCACTAAGCCAACAGCATCCACTGCCTCGAGACTAAAGGACACCGTCGAGCTCCAGCGAGTCCAGCCTCCTGGATGACGGGTCGTGGGTTGCTCCTTCGGGCGAACTAAGGGACGCTTGGAGTCGGGACTGGCTGGACGTATGCCGTAATTACCGGTTCGATAACGAAAGCATTACTGGCCATTAAATGCGATCCACCGAGGGACTGCAACACAGCGCAAGCTATGTATGGCATTGCTCTCGATACAGGGACCCTTGCAAGGGTCGCTTGTGAAACACGGGCGTCAGACAAGCTACAGCACGTGGCCGCCGGCATTGCAGCTTGATAGAAATTGACATGGTTGATACAGATGATATAATAGATGATATGATAATAGATGATAGTAGATGTAGTCGAGCGGATATTGAACAGGTGACGGTCTGGCAAAACTAGAGCAGTCGCTACGCACGGCTGGAAAGGGAAGGAAGGGTTTGCCCTACTGCCAGACAGGCAAGAGCGGACCTTGTTGGTACTCGTCACCATGTCAACTACACGGTATATAATACTCTTATTATAATACTGTTATATTATTATTATTATTACTATTTTATATGTTCGATTAATATCACCGAGTCTTATATACTACTACTAGTCTAATATTACACTACGTGTTAAATAATACATATCAACAAGTATCACGAGGATGCTACGGCACTTTGCCAGTATCTGCTATTTACATTTACCACTGAATAGACAGTATCCAGCATCAGTTGGATATTTAATCCCTATGACAATACTGATTGATTGGATATTGAGTGTTGAATATTAAAGACTCGGTAATAATGAATAATTAAACAATGTTAAGACAAATGCTTCTCGGCCCACGCGCGGGGCCTCGAGCGGGGAGCAGCCGTTGCCACCAGCAGAACAACAGTCAAGCGCAGCAACAATCTACAAGAATACTCATACGCCATAAGAGTCAGTCACAATATAATTATTCTAGTAATTATAAAACAAACAACGATCTGGCAGCACAATCACAATCGCATTATACCAACCAATGACTATTATTCGTGAAGAATGCACTGGCGCGGTCAGATGGTCTAGGCCTTCCGCGTTAGGCAGCGCACCAATGGCAGGCGCCAGGCATGGCGATAGCTGGCGCCCACTTGCGTCTACTGCGACACGACCACCACTACCACCGCTACCACCACCACTACTACTACTACCACCGCTCTAGGGATGAACTTAACTCTGCCTCTGCCTCTGCCTCTGCCTCATTTTGCCGCTTCAGTCTTCGCCTGCACAGTCTAGTGTCCACTGCCCCTCCGAGCCTAGCTCCTCAGACTAGCATCGCACCTAGCGTGGCCCTGTCCTCCGTCCGATTATTCAAGTCTTGTTGCAACTGCTCTGCTCTGCACTCACCCGCCCGCCTCGTGCATGTCTTCTGCACGAACTGTCTGAGGCACCGTCCTGTCTGTCGCTGCTGATCCCACGCACTCGCACACACGCACACTCCCCGCAAGTGTCATCTTACCCTATCCTCTGCCATCTGCCATCGGCCACCCCCATCCACCATCCTGCATCATCCAGCCTTCCCCTCACAGCCGACGCCGACCCCACCGAACCGCTAAGCTCTGTTCTGCCACCCCTGTGATCCTGCCACGCCAGACCCCTTCAGCTGCTGAAATTCCCGAAATAGACACACAAATATACCCGAAAGGAAAAGCAGGGAGCGCAAGAGAAAAGAAAAAGAAAAGAAAAGAAAGAAGAAGAAAAATCTATATTGCTGCTATCGCCTTCCTCGCAGAGGAGGACTTGCAGCAGCCATGGCTGGGAAAATGACCCTGTATAAGTTGGTCGTGTTGGGCGACGGAGGCGTCGGTAAAACTGCACTGACCATCCAGGTAAGCATCTGTGATTGTCGCGACCGCATCGTCCAGTCTAATGCGCTGTGCTAGCTCTGTTTAAATCATTTCGTGGAAACATATGATCCCACCATCGAAGACTCCTACCGAAAGCAAGTCGTCATCGACCAGCAGTCATGCATGCTCGAGGTCTTGGACACTGCAGGACAGGAAGAGTACACCGCCCTGAGAGACCAATGGATTCGCGATGGAGAGGGCTTTGTCCTCGTCTACAGCATCACCTCGCGTGCCTCCTTCAGCCGCATAACCAAGTTCTATAATCAGATTCAAATGGTGAAAGAGTCGGCCAATTCGGGTTCGCCCACCGGCGCTAGTTATCTAGGATCACCCCTGGCATCGTCCGTCGGCGGCGCTTCAGGCCCAGTGCCCGTGATGCTGGTCGGCAATAAGAGCGACAAAGCAGTCGAGCGAGCGGTCTCTGCACAAGAGGGTTCCGCCCTCGCCAAGGAGCTGGGATGCGAATTCGTCGAGGCATCGGCCAAGAACTGTATCAATGTGGAAAAGGCCTTTTATGACGTCGTGCGGCTGCTGCGACAACAGCGACAGCAACATCATGGGGGACGCCTCCAGGAACGAAGGACGACGGGATTTTCAGGCCAGCACCGCGACCGGGACGCAAACCCGGAGTATCCAAAGGGCTTTCGGACCGACCGCTCACGACCTCACCGAAGAGGGCTTTGTGTCATTTTGTGAGTGCGAAGAGTGTTTTGATGGTGCTACTGCTATTTATTTTTGTGCATATTTGAGCGTGGCTTCTTGATCTTACACGGTTTTCCGACATATGCATCTGTGATGGCAATTGCGAAGAATTTGTGCCTTTGTTCTCGCTCATAGCTCGCTCTGTTTACATTCGCCTTCTTATCGTTCCTTTATTGAGCCTATATTCTGTTATATCCTTATATTTCGCTGGCCGAGGCTGGCTTGGCCGAGTCGTTTCCTTATATTTCCTTCGTTTTCCTTTGAGGAAGCAACGTCGGCTTTTTGTTTGTCTGCACCGCCGCCATAGAATGACGCGTCTTTGACCTCCGAGAGGCCCCTTTTCTGCCGAGCCGCAGCAGCTGGAGTGGACATGACATATATGGGCATGTTAGTTTGTCACTGTCACAGGCACGGCTCTTACTATCAGAGGCCTGCCGCAGTGCCTGCAATGCCAATACAAATCAGGGGCAGGGAAATCGCAAGAAAAGTGTTCTGAAGAACTTGAGCGTACCGCACATATTTTGAAAGAGATACCCCTTGACCGCTTTGTGATAGCCAATCGAATGGATGTTGAATTGATAGCTCCCTAATCCTGCTCATAGAATATACATATTACCATACATATCGCGGGTGGCGATTTCTGTATTGGCGCGTGCGGCTCGCCGCTCTATGCTTCACCACCACCGGTCACTGTCCTCACCCAAGCCTCTTATTCCCTATTTCTTAAGTCATTCACCTATATTAATTCTAAATTATTAGCTCTCATAGCAGCTTCAGAAACATAAGAATCATTGGCTTTATATAATAAAAGATATCAGAGACTAGCTAGCTCTATTGAATGCCTACTTTCTTAACCTCATATTTATTAGTGCTTACACGATACATAAAAATAATTAACTAGAAACCTTATGTCCTACAACTTAAAGATATAATATCATATTATAATCAAGATTGACTTGATAATTCTCGAAGAGCTCATATCTTCCACACCGTTCCTGAAATTCTCGTGGCCGTCTCGCTGTCCAAACCCGAGCTCAACCTCACCAGCACCTCAATAAAAAAAATTCATGATCTGGAGGCGGATTTCTGATCCGTCTCGAACAATGCTGCAGATGATGTAGCCTGGATTCTCAAGAAGGAACACAGTGTACTTAATCCAGGATAACGTAAAACAGAGCTAGGAATCATCGACCATGCCAGATTTCTCACTAAGTGCAATAAGCTGCTTCTTTAGACGCGCCACGCCACTCAACGATATTCACGTGGCTGTTGGTACGCATCCTCATCCTAGTGGCAATAGTAATAACTAAATTTATAACATCCCGAGTACGAACACTAAGACTTTCTTTTTGGGGCATACCAACGTCCTAGTATACTCTTTGAAACGAGCCTTCACTCTCCTCATCTTCTTTTGGTAGACTGAGATCAAATATAAGGTTTGGAATGGGCGGGATTTTTGTTCATGCATGCCTCCAAGCTTTACCGACTGGTTGGATATTAAGATATTCATTCTTCAAAGTGCCGCGGGCAAGACCATTAGCTTTGCAGATTATTTGAAAACCCGGATCATGGCAGGCTTTGAGTATGTTGGCGTTAACGAGGGCCTGTTATAAAGAAAGCTTTGCCTGCTGCATCTGCAGTGCGGATTCGCAAGACGAGTTTGGTCTAGATATGTTGGTTGTGATAGAGAGCTTTTGTAGGAGGTTAGGGTGCGTGATAGATTATGCCGTAGACATGTTTGTCAAGGTTAACGAAAGCCATGGATGCAGAGTCAAATCAATGAATAATTTCTTGTTAAGGAACACTGAAGTAAAATCGCTATAATTGACGTCAAACTCTCTTACAAAGAAGGCTAAGGTTAATATGGAACTACTGCAACCACGCCAACTAGAAGAAGTAAAATATCGATGCATAAAGTGACTCCTAGACCTTCAATTTTTTGAATTATAAAGAGCTGGTAACTGTGGCAACACTGAAGAATGAGGTTCACAAAAGCTAGATGGTTAGAAGGAAACATTTGCCAGCGCGTCCTACGGGTAGATCATCTAGTGCTAGTAAACACTGTATTCTAGTAGATAACTAGTACATTTCTAGGAATTGATACTATTGCTATAGATACTACAGACCGACTAAATTTGGACAGGCTCCCACTATTTCGCATGTAGTTATGTGTACACCGTTACCTGATATAATACATAAATATATGTCTGTACATTGCCGAGGTTACCGGGAATCACCCAATGGCAGCAAATCATCTTCATAACACACTTTAGAATTACTCTGTATGTCCAAGTGACAGAGAGGAGGAATACACCCTACCATTTACTTTCTGCTCATCTGAATAATCTCCTGTTCCTGTTAATGACATCAATTGAGGTATGGGAATGCGGGTTAGCGTGGAGGAGGCTGGGAGCAGGATGCGGGGGCATTAATACCCCAACGAGGCTCCACCTCCAGCTCGATCACGAACAACAGCCTAGCCAGAATACATGCACCCCGTTCGTCCGGTCGGCTAACTGTATCGCTAGCCGTGGATCATTGCTGTGCTATTTCATCTCATCAGTTGCTCTCTTCGACTACAAATAGCTGCGTCCTGGAGACTGAACGCAGTGCTTGATTGATGGTGATGACGATCCAGCGGCCTCTGGGCTGGTAACATTTTATCTACCTATATATTGACATGTCTGGTTATTACAACACCACACCAGTCTATATATACACACCCCAATATACAATATACAACACACTATAACATTACATACCAAAATGTCTCATCCGCAAGACTCCGTGCATGAGCACTCCATTCGCGACCCGGAATCCTTCTGGGGTCATCATGCCCAAAGCCTGCATTGGCACAAACAACCGTCACGCGTTCTCGATCTATCAACCAAGACTCTCTCGGCCAGCGGGATAACGCACGACCATTGGCGCTGGTTCCCCGACGGAGAGCTTTCAACGACATACAACTGCGTTGATCGACATGTCGAGAACGGCAATGGTGACAACGTCGCTATTGTCTGGGAGTCGTCCGTAACGGGCGTGCGCGAGAGTTATACGTATCGGCAGGTGCAGGACGAGATTGAGGTTCTCGCGGGGGTCCTGCGTGAGGAGGGGGTGCGCAAGGGTGATGTTGTTATCATCTACAGTATGGTTTTTATATTTATCAATATTTTAAAGGTTTAAAGTTCCCAGCTGACTACTGCAGTGCCTATGATCCCCGCTGCCCTCTTTGCAGCCCTCGCCATAGCCAGGCTAGGTGCTATTCACGCTGCTGTCTTTGGAGGATTCGCAGCGGCCTCGCTGGCCCAAAGGATCGAGGATGCAAAGCCGCGAGCCATAATGACGGCTTCATGCGGAATAGAGGGTTCCAAGGGGCCGCTGTCGTACAGACCGCTTGTAGAAGGTGCCATTAACCAGAGCAAATTCAAACCCGACAAGGTCATTATCTGGCAGCGAGACGAGCTCCGATGGAACCATCCTGATAAACTGGGTGGGCAACGCAACTGGCAACGCATTGTCAAGAGTGGCCGAATGCGAGGTATTCGAGCAGCGCCGGTTGTTGTGAATAGCAACGACGGTCTGTATATAATCTACACTAGTGGTATGGTTGATGGACTACTTCTGAAGTAAAAAGAAACTAAGATGATATAGGAACGACCGGTCTTCCAAAAGGAGTTGTACGCGAAGCTGGCGGGCATGCTGTTGGGTTGAGCCTCTCTATCAAATACTTGTTCGGCATTAAAGGTCCCGGGGATGTCATGTTCTGTGCCTCTGATATCGGCTGGGTTGTTGGTCATTCGTATATCCTCTACGCACCACTGCTCGTCGGCGCTACTACAATCTTATACGAAGGCAAGCCTGTTGGCACACCGGACGCAGGCGAGTTCTGGCGAGTCATTGAGAAAAACAAAGCCAATGTCCTGTTCACAGCCCCAACAGCGCTTCGGGCAATGCGCAAGGATGACCCGGAAAGCAAACTACTGACAGAAATAGGTGCGCGGGGGGGACTCAAGTCACTGAAAGCGTTGTTCCTGGCTGGGGAACGGAGTGAACCGAGCATCGTACGCACATTTCAGGATCTACTCACTAGCCATGCAGCCCCCGGGGCTACGGTGATCGATAACTGGTGGTCATCTGAATCTGGCTCACCTATATCCGGTCTGTCACTGCTGAGTGAACTAGGCTACTTGACGGATCCATCTTCATCAACGGCGGTAACGCCGTTACCGATCCGACCAGGCTCAGCAGGAAAGCCCATGCCTGGGTTCGACGTTCGCATCGTCGACGACGACGGCAACGAAGTCCCACGAGGAACAATGGGGAACGTAGTAATGGCCATTCCCCTCGCCCCTACCGCCTTCACGACCTTATTCAATGACGAAGAACGGTTCTACAAGGGCTATCTCAAGAGATTCAACGGCCGCTGGGTGGACACCGGGGACGCAGGCCTAATTGACCAGGATGGGTATGTGCATATCATGTCTCGATCGGATGACATTATCAACGTGGCTGCACATCGATTCAGTACTGGTATGATAGAAAACCTTCCTAAACATGAAGATATATATGCAAAGTGACCGTTGCTGATGTTAAATATAGGTGCCATCGAGCAAGTGATCCTATCACATCCAGATATCGGTGAGGCTAGCGTCGTCGGTATCCCCGATAGCCTTAAGGGTCATCTCCCATTTGCTTTCATCCAGCCTCGCAACCCAGGGAGCGGTGAACTACCCGCCACCGCGAGCCCCGAACTGTTTAACGCAGTGAATAAACTCGTACGCGAGCAGATTGGGGCCATCGCCTCGCTGGGCGGAATGATTCAGGGACGCGGCATGATCCCCAAGACGCGCAGTGGCAAGACGTTGCGGCGTGTACTGCGCGAACTTGTCGAGAATGCCGTGGTTAAGGGTGACTATACTGCGGCGGTGAATGTACCGCCGACAGTAGAAGATGCAGAGGTTGTTGAAGTTGCTCGAGCGCGAGTTCGGGAGTATTTTCAAAGTCGCAAGGGAGAAAGCGGAGTCAAGGCGAAGTTGTAATTAGCGTGGTACGTACCTGAAGAATGTCGCTGGAATGGGCAGTTGGTTTAAGCTTAAAGCAGGCATGTTGAATGCACTTAATCCATACACCACGTGGCTACGGACACTGCATATCTACGTCCGCAATAAATAATGAACAAACCATATCAATTAGACTAGACCAGACCATATTGTAATAGTAAAAATAGGGAATCAATTGAATACAATGAATGCAAAATGGCGATGAATATACATCTCGCTCGACGTCGAGATATGAAAGAAGCAATATCGGACCATCTCCATACGCTGTCTTCAAAGACGGGTTCGCATGAGATCAAGAGTCAAAATGAGAAAAATATGATATCCAAGTTTAGATTTCCCGAACATCTATATTACAAAACGCCTCAACGTCGAATCGAAGAAGTATCGTAAGCTTTCCATCGTCTCAGTATTTTTGTCTACCACATCACCGTCCAAGGGAAATCGCAGGTCGGATGAAGTGTTTCAAACGAAACGAAGTGTTTAGAGAAGAGCCGCAGCAACACCAAGGACGGCAGCAAGACCAGCACCGGCACCAGCAACAGCAGGAGCCGCACCAGCAGTGAAGGCTGGAGTGGAGGGCTTGGTGGTCGAGCCGGGAGAACCTGGTGCAGGAGCAGGAGTAACGCTGGTGTAGGGGGCTGGGGAGCCAGTGCCCAGGGGAACGGGGGCGCTAGAGCTGGCGCTGCGAGGATATTAGTGACTAATTCTTCAACAAAAGGTGCATTTTGTCATACCATGAGTTGCAGACGGTAATGGTGGAAGAGAGTAGAGGGCGAGTCACGGTGTAGGATCCGCTTAGGGTGTAGGTGCCGGGCTGAAGTTCATGTTAGCCAATGTTTTCCAAGCCTGGTTGATCCAGTCAATCATACAGTGGTCACATGGACGGTCGAGCCGCCAGCAACGAAGCTGGTGGCCTCAGGGCAGTAGGTCTCGAAGGTAGTGACGACCTCTGTGATGGCAGAAGAGGCAGAAGTAGCGCAAGCGCCAGCGGCGAAGGCAAGGACGGCAGCAGTGAAACGCATTGTGTCGGTTGGTGATGTATAAGCTGGGAAAATTCCACAAGAAGCAAAGACAAGATGTGGTTGAGACGAAGGAGTGTCTGCTGGTTATATCGCGATGAACAACGAGTGTAATCGGTGTATAAAACGACCGGGAGGGAGCGATAGTCAACAAATGAGTGTTGGTGTGTGAGGAAGAAGAGAAGGGCAGAAGAGAACGAAAGACGGGACAGGGGAGTAGTAATAGTCCAGTCAGCCAGGCGCTAGGCACGAATTAGTGGGCCTCGTTAATTCCCGCGCGGCGCTCCTGCACAACGTATGTACTATTCTTGTTGCGTTGTCCCTGCTGCTGTCCCTGTATGCGAACTATGCAGTGAATATTATTATTATTTCGACAATAATCATATTATCCGGTTCACACACTATCGCTATGTAAGGTGTCAATCTGTCGATAGTATGCATATACCATTGTTCGGCAGCAAGGCGCCTCGCCCTCAGGCGCCAGCCCGTACCAGTAATATTGACCCAGTAGTAGTTGCTACACAATGTGTGCACTCCAAGCAAGTGATAACCGCCTAATATTACTTACAGTTCCTTACATACGTATGTATTATCGTATGCAATATGTACAGTAGTTGCTCATCCCTTTCTGCTTAATATTCTGTCTTGGATCGACAGAACCAGACTGAGCCCAAAGTGAACTCTGGGCCGCCGCAGTGGATACGTATGATTACGATGAGCTAGCTGGTCGTTGGTCCAAGCACCGAACATGCTACCTCAGCGTGTCCACGATCTAGACAGCTCAGCAGGCCATACAAGTGTACACTGCCCCCGACTAAGAAACAGTACCACGTAGGTACCTAGTGCTCCTCAAGAACCGTACGGAGGATCGGCGTATTTAGAGAGCGTACTGTGTATACACTGGATGACGCCCAGAGAGCCAATCGCTGCGTCCAGGCCGGCGGGGGCGACGGGCTACACCTTGCCTCCACTTAGCCCCGGCGCTACTTCCAGGAACGCCGGGGTCTGCTACCCATGGTTGGCTGCTGGGTCCCCAGACTCATCAAACAGACCCGCGCTAAGCAGCGCCACCCAATCTCCGTCAACTTTGTCGATATTCTCCTTGCCGCTCCCAGCCGGGCCTTCCCCTTTCCGGCTGTGTGGCTGAACAATGAACACTTTCTGCAAGGAAGCTTCTATATTGGGAGGCTATTGGGATGTTTCAATCGTGCCTAGCCAGATTAACCACGATTGCCTGCATTAGCTATATAATTCTAGTTCTGCAGGCTTCGTCAAGGATTCTTCAGGTTTGCGTACACTGATCGCCGCATATGTGAGGAGCAGACTCGATGCTGTCTGTATTTATTCCTTCGTTCGACCTGTCTAGCACGCCTCGCTTGTAGCCCCTGACAGTGCTGTCTGCGCCTTTCAGTCGACCTTACTCAACCTCCTCGTCTCAGGATTGAATGCAAGGCATGCATTGATATGGCTTGGACTTGGATATAGCATAGAGTTGAAACAATTCCTCTTCTTGCGCTTTTCTTGCCCCTGATGCTGTACTTACTTGCCAAGTCCTTTCCTTCGAAAAGACCTTAAGTCAACAATCTTCTATAGGACAAGACTCTTCTTTGAGACAAGACAACGATGAGCCTTTATGGATTTGGTGCTGTAGTAATTACCCTCTAGAATGCATTACTATACAATTAGAACACAAAATGATGCATGCTTTAGTAGTACACAATAAGACTGTTATCAGGGTCTTACTTCGCGCTCTTAGCGGCAAAAAAACTCTTTCACGAGCTGCTTTTTATTAACTAACCCAGCGGAAACTATTAGTAGATGTCTCACTTTTATCAACGATGTAATGAAACTTACCCTTCCCCATGGCATTACGCGGAATCGCCTTGGGCAAGATTCTCAATTCCTGAGGCAGCTTATGCATTGCGAGATGGCCTTTCAACGCCCGCCGCATATCCATCATACCCCATGGCTTGCCTGCACGGCCAGCATCTTGAGCTGTTGCCTTGTTGAGGACGACCACAGCAGCCACCTTTTGTCCCCATTTCTCGGACGGTAAACCAACCACGGCAGCCTCTGCGATTTCAGGTCTAAACCGTCATATACATAACATTAGCTTGTGATCAACGATCAAGAAATGGCATGGATAATACCCACAGCGATAATAACTCCCGCTCAACCTCGAGCGCACTCACTTTTTCACCCCCTGTCTTGATAATGTCGACACTCAACCGGCCTTGGATGAAGTACATGGGCCCTTTAGCCCACTCACCACTGACTCCTGTACCAGAGCCTGCCACTTCTCTTCGCACAGCGACATCTCCTGTGCGGAACCAACGGCCTTTTCCGTCGTTATTATCAACAAATGACTCGATTGTAGCCTGATGGTTTCGAAAGTATTCACGAAAGATTGTGGGACCTCGCAGTTGGATCTCGCCAACCCTTTCGCGGCCGTCTGCGTCAGTCTCTTCGCCAGACTGAATGACTTCATTTTTGTCCACATCCCAAAGTCTCACTTCGACTGAAGGTAACGGCCACCCCACGCTACCATCTACTCGGTCTACTGGGTCTAGGCCACAGCTGATAGCCATGCCGACCTCCGTCATACCGTAGCGCTCTAGAAGAACGTTTCCATGACTTAGCTCGGTCCAAGCTTTCTTCGTAGGGGCCGGAAGTGCCGCCGACCCAGATATATTCAGTCGTAGGTTTTCGTAGGAAATCGCTTGTTTGGCTGCAGTCTGGACTTCGGGTTTCAAATCCGATATGGTTTCCATTAATCGGGTCCAGAGGGTGGGAACGGCAGTTAAGAACGTAATTTTCTTCTTAGACTCCGTGCTGCTCTTTTCTAGAAAAGGTCTAGCAAGTCGATGCCACACTGTTGTTGGGTTGAATGGATACATGAACTCGATAGCTGAGCCAGCGAGGATAGGTGTTATAACTGCATTGACTGTGCCGTGTATATGATGAAGTGGAAGAACATGCAAAAGATAGTCTTGTGAAGAATATTTCCATGCCTCAATCAACGATTGAGCTTGTGCTTCCAACGCAGATAGTGGAAGAAGTACCCCTTTCTACAGAAGTTATAACTTAACTTTATATTTAAACATAGGATGTAATTTCTTACCGGTCGATTTGTAGTACCCGATGTATACAACATGAGACCGCCATTTGAGCGCTTAGTATCTTGGAGTGCTATGGGTTGAGAAAGAGCTGATCCCTGCATGATCTTATAGGATATATGAACTTTCGGGTTGAATTCAAGGCCGGCAGTTACAAGCTCTCGAGTCTTGCTTGCATATTGCTCAGTTGCAAGTAAAACCTTGGTCTCTGAGTTATCTAGAATATATTTAAGCTCAGCAAGCGGAAATGCCGGAGAGAGCGGCAGTGCGATAGCATCAGTGGCTAAAATGGACAAGAGCATCACTGTAGCCGTATATCAGTCTCTGCAGTTGAAAATTCAGAGTCAGAGAAATAATTACCCACGTAGTCATAGCTATTTTCTGCTAGAAACGCAATTCTATGGCCTGATAGCGAACCGCTTTCATACTCAAGTAACTCCTTGGAGCGTGCCACATCACTCAGGAGATTGCTGTATGTAAAAGCACGGCCTGATTTACTGTGTACCACAGCCAAGTTTGAAGGATTGTGAGACTGAAGAGCCTGAAATATTTTTGAATTAGGAAGTGACGAGAGCGCTCGAATGCATGATGGCGCTTGGTAGTAGCCAGCGGTCTTACGAAAGATTGAAAACCTCCGCCATGGTTGGAATAATAGGCCACTGCCACCGCCTTGTTTGCAGGCTGACAGCCACTGACGAGAAAGCATCTGTTGAGTCGTCGGCCATCAAAGCACATGCTATGATTGACGCGTACTGTTTCTTGGATCGGGAATGTATAAAATGTCGGGTTGTCGAAGATGGTTGATCGATGACGCCGGGAGTGCTGATTGGTCCTCGAACTAGCCAAGCCTTCGGAATGAGCCGCAAATCGCCAGCCGGAGGAAGCAAGTCACCTCTTCCTCTCTCCGCAGTCAATCGACGACTGGTCTAATTTGTGGAAGCTCACAAGGATCTCATGTTCTTGAATATCGCCCGGCTTGCTGAAAGGCGCATTCTTGCGACCAAGCCCGGATTCAGAATGGCAACTACATACACCTCTCCAACGCCAATAGAGGATGTCATGCGAGACAAGGTAAGCTTCTCTTCGCACGTCGTTTTCTTCTTTAGCAGCTTGCTGATACGGGTTGTGTGATTGTGTTCTAGCTTGTTGCTGCATTCACCCCGTCTACGCTGATCATACGCAATGATTCGCATCTCCATGCTCACCATGTGTCTATGCAAGGAAGCACCTCCAAAGAAACGCATTTCCAGTACGCTTCCGATGTCTACCGAGCATCTTTCTACATATGACTGAATATTTCTTCTTCGTATAGTGTCACGATAACCTCCAAAGAATTCCAATCAAAACCACAGCCTGCTCGACACCGCATGGTGTATGCCTTGTTCAAGGACGAGATGAGTCGAGAGGGTGGAATCCATGCGCTGCAATTGCGAACACGGACGCTAGAAGAGGAACAAAAGCAAGCCGAGAGAGAAAACCAAACACAATAAATGCAAATATTACTACCATATATATAATACAAGATACTGGACCGTTGTGTTACGTATTCAAGACAATTTGCGATTAATAGTATCTAGCGCCAAAAGGACTGGAGAAGCATAGTCTAATATGTACAATAGCAGTGCGATTAGGTTGCCATTGAAGGACCAAAATGGGTTGTCGAAAGGGGATAGAACGGAAGAGGCATTTGAATCAACGCCATGCACAAGACTTTTGAAGTCGACACAAGAAAACACGAGCGTACACGGGAGACTACAGTTGGGGAATCGGAAGCAGCGAAAGCAAGCGGAACGAGACGTGAATAGTATTGTAACATCACATAACCTGAAGACAAGTAATAAGAGGACTAAGCCGCTACTCTGCTCTTGTCTCGGTGTTATGCTTCTGCAAATCGATTGCTGGGCGATTGTTATCACGTCCACTTGTTACTTACGCGTGACAACGACGGCGACAACGACGACAATAATAATGATGATAACTGTGAAGAGTTAGCCATTATCATTAAGATGAATATGGAGTTAATCTTTATACTTACTAACTGCAAGCAGGATATACCACTTCCATTTCCGGGCATTTCTCGCGCTAACGATGGCGCTGTCGATTTGCTTGTTGGCATTGTCGACATTCTCTACGACATCATGAGCGCCAGCGTTGATTTGTTCGACCGCAGGTTCTTGCTGTTGGACCAATTCGGCAACCTCCTGGTACATGCGGGCGAGCTCAATCATATCTTGCTCGATCTTTCGGATAGCAGTGGAGCGCTCAAGAGCAGCCTGTCTGGCATCGTTTGCTTGACGAGTTCGCAGCCCAGTAGACTAACGCAAAAGTTAGAACTCGATATCGCACGAGTCGTAGAAATTTCATTTACCTGGAAGCTCTGCTCCTGTCCCAAAAGCACACTTTGAACTCCCTGGTCGACTTGGTCGGGAGTTGCGTCAGGGTTGGCAATCTCGTACCGTCGGCGCACTTGTTCTTGAAGACGTTTTTGGAATTCCGACTGTGCCTTCTGGTAGGACTCGATTTCCTTGCGAAGATTGCGGCTGGTCACATCAATCTGGGTCTGGACGCGAGAGTCGCCGGAGCCTGGGGTTTGCTTGATCTTCTTCAAAAGGTCACGGAGGTAGCGGAAAGTGTTGTTTATGTCGTCTTCGACATAGTCCAAGTTCTGGCGGGCGGCTTTGTCCTCCTTGCCGGTGCTGGAGTCAAGGAGTTCATGCTGCGCCTGCGCAAGTCGACCCTCTCTCTTCGTTCGGAGCTCCTGAATACCCTCGTTGATCTCTTTGCATTTGTTGAGGATGTTGGTTGTGTTGTTCACTGTTCCCATTTCTGCGGACATGGCGTCAGTCTCCAAATGCATATAACGCGACCCGCGTCACTAATACAGACAAAACTTACCATAGCCACCGTTGCCCTGTTCAACATCGCCATAACGGGCCGGAGCCGGGGCACCGTAGCCAGGCTGCTGCGGCGGCTGCTGTGGCTGCTGTTGGTAGGGATTGCTCTGCTGTTCATAAGGGTCATACTGGCCGTAGCCACCGCCCTGTTGGTTTCCGTAGTTCGAGTACTAAGTCATGAGCAATCAGTCAGAGGATTGGTTTTTACTCGTAGTTGGCTAACGCATGCATTGAATAGTCGAGTTCCCTAACAAGCAGCGACATCTATCATGGATGGCAAGACTCACACTCATCTCGGCAGACTATCGTATCACTATGCTTGATGATGACTCAATCTTCGGGTGGTCGCGCACAGAAACTGGTGCGGCTGAGAAAAGTATGTATGCAAGGAGGTGACAGCGACCGAGCGACGACGGAGGACACGACGCGTTTCCCAATTGACACAAGGGGAGGACGATTCGACGGGAGGATATACAAAGTAAAGGTGTACAATAATAGTCAAAGGGTGACTGGAGTGGCAGATGGGAAGAGGCGGGCCAAGGCAGCAGTGGACAGGTAGGAGAGAAACGAGAGACTGACTGGAGGCAGTGGTAGTTGGCAGAGGTGGCAGCGGCTGCTGGAGGCGACAGGAATCCGTTGGTGGCGGCTAGGGGAAGGCTTAGTACGACGGTTCTCCGTAGTCAGCAATATGACTGCCTCAGGCTCCGACAGATTGACACCGCTGCGGCCCTCTCAGGAGGCAGGAGCACAGCCTGCGACTACTGTCTAGCGCTGCCCCACCTGCCCACTCTTTGTCCTCCTATTCCACCTATTAGACTATACACCATTACGCTATTACACCTCTGTTTATTATTATTATCATCATTATTATTTAGTGCCATCAATGTTCGATATATTATCTATCACTAAATCATATTCACGATGAATTTATCAACCTGGGCGAGCTGAGTGACTCTGCACTGCGGTTAGTGCGGTAGACTACGTCTGTTGAGCCAGCTACTACTGCGATAGTAACTAACCCTAACCATGGTATCAGCTATATACCCTATCAAACCATTGTGTGGCTTGCACGACCAATGCAGACATGCAGCCTCGGCCAGTGACGTGAGAGCTGGGCTCTACACTTCCCAAAGCAGCGCCTCCCGACGCATCGCCGGTCCATCCGGAATGCCCCACGCTCGTGTACATATTGCAAGGCAATGCACGCTTTCAAGGGCCTCCTTTCACGAACCGTGTTCGGCTGGGCTTGTAGAAGATGCGATCTTTGAATACGAGCAGCGTCCAACAACAATTCCGCCTAGATAGGCTCCAACGTGTACGGCGTACGGATACAAGTGGGAACCGTGCTACTTTCCACGTGGGGAATATGCAGATGTACGTAGTTAACATGATGGCTACGAGACAATGCAGATTGCCATTAAGCAGCAGCAGTCAGACTGCGCTGCTTTGTTGTTCTTGAGAACAATCAATCGATTCAAATAGGACAAGGCCAAGTCATGTGACGAGGCATGACAGCCACAGATGAAGTCAACCCATGTGTAAGACTAGCCAGCCAATATTAATATTAATATTGATTGTGATGAATCAATATTAGTATGGGCATTGATGTGCTATCGATTAAGCTATACTACTGGCCTGGAACCGGGGGCCCCATTCCTATTAGCCAGCACGAGCGGGGTCGGGCTAATGCCTTGCGCTTTACCCCGGACTGCAACCACACTTGCATTATGAAACTCGATGCAGTCGAGTTCCAGTTCCCTTCGTGACTCGTCTATAATGTTGTGATATCCTGCGAGCGTGTGCCACCTGCATTTCTTGTCTCCTTCACTTGTAGCCTGTGTCAAAAGCCTGACGATGTCTCTGAAACGAAAGTTGTCCGACTTCGATCCTGTCGCAGGAGAGTCCGCCGGTGTCTTCGATCTCGACCTACTGTTTCACACCCCTGAAGAAGAATTAGCATCAACTCCGCTGCCAGCGCGCAAGATTTCCCGGCACAACAGCAATCACCGCGACTCGTCATGGCGTCTCATGGGAGACAAAGCAGTCCCTCTGTCACTGCCATTGGCTAACATGGTCAGCGCTGTGCAGGAGCTCATTGACCCGGGATTCATCCCAATGCTGGAGGAGCTGGATGAAGAAGCCTCAACGCGCTTTTTGAAGCCTATCCCGTCTCATATATCCCCCGAAGATGTTGATTATCTTAGGTCAAAGGGAGCCCTCACCATACCTGATCGTCCTCTTCGAAACGAGCTGTTGCGCGCATATGTGCAATGGGTCTATAATTTTATGCCCTTTCTGGACCTACACAGTTTTCTGCAAGCTATTGCAGAAAATGATGTCAATGTCAAGATCAGTCTTTTCCTTTTCCAAGCGGTCATGTTCGCAGGAACAGCGTTCGTGGATATAGAGCATCTGAAGGCTGCTGGGTTCGCAAATAGGAGAGAGGCTCGGAAGGCATTTTCTACGAGGGCAAGGGTCAGTATACTTGTTTTCTATTAATCATGTTCTCTACTAATCGGATTCTAGTTACTATTTTCGTTTGATTACGAGGACAACCGTATTGCGATTCTTCAGGGCCTTCTGCTTTTGACTTACCATCATGAGAGAGACCGCGGGTTGCAAAAGGATATTTGGTATTGGGTCGGAGTGTGCAACACCCAAGCACAGTCAATCGGCCTAAACCGTGATCCGACAAAATCAGATATACATCCAGATATGCAAAGATTACGGATACGGCTTTGGTGGTGCCTCTATTCTCGTGATCGATTAGTGGCATTGGCTTTGAGACGGCCGACTCAAATAAATGAGGGTATCTGCGACGTGCCACTCTTGCGGATCACTGATTTTAAACTTAAACCATTCCCTCCTGCCGTAACCAGAATGCTTGGTTGTGAACATATAGGAGATATATCACACCAGAAACGTTTAGCGATAATGTTCATCGAGAAAGTCAAATTATGCCAATGTTTAGGAAGAGTGCTCTCTGCACAATACGTTCCTTCGAATTGTGCCTTTGGGGCAGCCGAGAAAACAACAGTCACACTGGTTCCTCGACAAGCTTCAGATGCAGAACTCGAGCGCTGCAGCCAAAAACTGGATGCCTGGGTAAGCAATCTGCCAAGGGAAGCTACTTTCAGGTCATCTCCGGGACTGCAGCTTGGGGACGGAGAAAATGTTCTTCTCCTTCATTCGTCAATGCTGCGAATGATATATCACGCCACATGCACTGCCTTATACCGACCACGAGCCTCCTTTTCTACCGCGAAGTCGGCGACAAAAATGCTTAATACAGCAAGACAGAAGATGCGAGACGCCGCATTGGATACAGCAGGTATTGTACATGGACTCAATCGCCTTGGTCTGACAAAGTTTCTGCCTGCATCGAGTCTAACTGTCGTCACACCCGCGGCTGTGGTGCATTTGACAAACTTGACCTCGACAAATCAAAATGTTCGCGACGAAAGCGCATGGAACTTCCGCCAGTGCGTTGACGTGCTCAATGGTCTGAAGGATATCTATCCTGCCGCAGACTACGAGACTGCCTGTCTGCAAAAGGCTGCACAGATACAATACGGGCAGGCCTCGAATCAAAACTCTGTCCTTGTCATGGCAAACAGTATCCCAGATCTGGCTAATAATTATGAATCAGGTCGAAATAATTTGTCGAATAATAATAGGATTGTTGTTGAACTTGATGAGGACGGCTTGGAGGACGCTGACCTGTCGTCATCTTTCCCCATAGAGGATGGGCAGCAAATTATACCTCAAATGACCCCTTCTGGAAGTTGGAATCGGGATATATTTAAAGAATGGATTGTGGATTCGGACGATGGGAGAAACAGCCTTGAGCCTCATCAACGAGGCAGCAGCCAGGTTTTTTCCCTGCCAGAGGCTATTGCGAATGAGCCTTTCGATGATGGTATGGATGTGTCACCCGAGTTTATATCTTTGTTTGAACCTCATCAACTGTATACTTCACCACTAAGAAGAGAAGTTATTACGGGGGATTTGGAGAAGGATTTAGGATTTTCATAAATCTTGCAATGATATAGTTCTATTGGATTCTATTTCGCTATCACGCCACACAAACTGTATGAATAGCAATACCCGTCTAGTTTTTCGAGCGATTGTTGCAGTGTCAGGTATTAATGAGATATCATAAACGTGCATAAGACATGTGTCGAAAGTCTAAGCAAGCGATAATATATTTTTCGTTTTCGTTAGTCGCCTTTCTTGCCCCATCGGGAGGCCTCGTTGCCTTCCTCCCAAACGTTTTCTACATATCCAAGCCTCCGCTTTACTTCCTGAACAAGAGCCTTGTCACCCGTGTTCTTGCCGAGATTGTCGCTGAGCTTGACTGCTGGACGGCCTCCAGCAGATGCGATTTTGATAACGATGTTCAGTGGCACGGATTTTTTGCCGTCGGATTTCTTATTGAAATCGTCTAGATATTTATTAGAACAATAATATAGCAACTTGGAAGCGAGATGCTTACTCGTGAAATAGGTACCAACTCCAAAGGTTGGTTGAAATCCTGCTTCCTCGGCGATGGCCTTGTATCGGAGGCACGTATCAACCTTCAAGGCATCGGAAAAGACGATGACTTTTTTGTCCGTGATACCTTGATTGTCATAGAACTCGCGGGCCAGCTTCACAAAGTTCTGTGGATCACCAGAGTCCTGCCGAATGCCTTGGAAGACCTGCGCATATGTTTTAGGGTTTTTGCTTACACCATCCTGTGTCGGCGCTTGGATCGGTGGCTTTGTGCTTGCTAAGCTTTGTGGAGTTGAGCCGACCGTAGTTGCACGGCTTGATGGAAGTGTTGCATTGATGCCGACTTCAGGAGTGGTGAAGTCTGGTAGGGGCTGACTGAAGGCATCAAGGAACGCAGGCGTTCCAAATGTGTCTGTGAGAGCGATGCCCAGAACCTGAGAGGAGTCAGCTTGCTTTCAGGACTGATACCAGGAGAAATAACAAACCCCTTCCCCGAAACAACCAAGCCAGTAGCGAAGGCCTAGTTCGTTTGCATTCTCATAGTCATTTGTGAAGGCGGCAATACCCATGTACCATTCGTGAGCGACTGTGCCCACAGGGTTTACACCATATTTCATAGCAAAATGCACGTTGCTGGTGCCAGAAAACTTGCCCTTTGCTTCCTTCGCATCAGACGCAGCTCGGCATAACCCCCGCATCACTAGGTCATGTGTATGGTAATCTCTTCTTCGTCGAGACCCAAATTCGGAGAACACACAACCATTCTCCAATAAAGCGAGTCCCTTCTTATAGGTGTTCTCCTCTTGGCCGTCATGATCCCAATCCCGGTCGCAGAATTTAAAATACGCCTCGCTGGTAAGCGCAAGGAGCGGGATTTCGTACAGTATAGTTTCCACCCACAGACCCTTGATGAGATATTCAAGGACGCCCAAGTCATTGTCACTGCCTGTATCTTTTGTCGGCGTAAATTTTATTTGCACTTGTTCGGCAGGCTTTAGGTGGAAATCCCGGAGGTATTGGAGGTATGCGTCGCTAAGGTACGGACAGAACTTTTTCAGGAAGTCGATCTCGTCGGGTTTCACTGTGACATTTCCTAGGCCTGATCATGCATATACATAAGCCTCTGATCTAGATGAGGGATTCAAAAGCTTTATTTCTCACGGTGGATTTGTTCTGATAACCATTTGTATGCAGCTCGCGATAGCTTCATATCTGGAGTCCGATTTGTAAAGCCATAGGTCACATCTGACAGCGCCAGTTAGGTTTTACTCAGGGTACGGCTATGCCAAAACTCACCAACTTGTGGGAAATACTTTAGGACAGCGCATTGCATTGTAATCTTATACAAGTCTGTATCGAGGAGGGAGGAAATTCCCTCCGGGATGGAAGAAGTAGCGCCTGAATTCATCGTCGCAGATATCATTCACCAGCTCACTCAGTACCGTCAATATCGACTATGCAGCGATATGAGATATTGGATGATAGTGGGCCCGTCTGCCTAGAAAAAGGGCCTTGTTGTGTGAGCTGTACAGGAAGAAGGCTCAATTGACATATTAATTGAATTACGCGGCTACTCTGCGGGGACATCCGCGTAGTACAGTTGTGTTCCCCCGCGTATTGGGAACAGAATGTTGGGGCTTCTGGGTATCATGCCTTAGTCACATATAAAAGATCAATTTTTGGACTCTATGAGCTTCTGCTAGTAAGGATGTGATTATCGTTGAGGCGGGGATATCGAATTTATTGTTGTATCCCATGAATTTGCTGCTTAAATAATGTATGACGTAGATGCATATAGACTTATTGGGCTTGATATGGGAGCGCAATATACCAACATGGTTGAAATACATGAACATATTTCTCTGAGTTACTCCAAAATACTAGTCTATTCACATATCGAATTACAGTCCAATATTATGCTGTTTTCTTTTTGTCTTAAAGTAACCTTGAATCCGTTGCGCCACATATATCACGTGATCGAATTAGCCACTTCTTCTAAACGCCTCCGCATCCCGAAGCTACATTCACATCGAGATCAAACCAGCCAGCCAGCAAACAGGAAGAACAAACAAAGGCGCATCTTTCTGTTTGTCTGAGAAACCAAAGAAATAGCGATATGAGCTCAGAAGATTGCGCCACTGTCCTCGAACAGTTCGTTCACGATGGTGAGACGTAACCGTCTTTCGCAATGGCCTTGACTAACAATAATTGAACAGTTGCAAATCTGCCTGCAGAAATCACGCATTTGATGGAAGAGGTTCAAGCAAAGGATAGAGTCATTCAAGAGTGTCGCACAACGATTAATTCCCGCGACAACAGCATTCAGAAATTCATCAAACTCAACGGCAGTCTCGCACCCAACCCGAAAGAGGAACAGTACAGTAAAACAATCCTGCAGAATCTGGACCGATGCCAAACCCTACAAGACGAAAAGATTCAGCTTAGCGAAAAAGCATGCGTTCTACTCGATCGTCAAATCAAAAAGCTTGACTTCAAGATCCGCGATCTCGTAAGCGACGGAATACTGTCTAATGACCCGCCACTCCCATCGCTCTTTGACAATAAGATCCAATATGGCGATCTTCCTGCCGCGTTTTTGCACGAGCATACCTCGAGTGAAACTCCGAGCACATCCTACACACCTCTTAATCCAACATCTGGCAATGCGATTACGCCTCTTGCCGTTGCGCAACGAATCAACCAATCCAGCTCTCGCGCTCCTTCCGCAAACCCTCTAGCCACCCAAACACCAAGCCGTAACTCGGCCCCATCCACACCGACTGCAGCGGCTCTGCATCTCCAGCAGAGACATCGCGAGTCATCCGCCGGCGCCGTCGATAGCAAACGAAGGCGTTTGAATGCGTCTCTCGGCACACTTCCCGCAGCACCTTCAAACCTTCGCCAATCATCCTTGGGCCCAGGAACGCCAAAGGCCGGTACGCCTGCTGCAAGCCGTGCGGGTAGTGCTGGGCCTCGTACGGGTGGCGTGACCAAGAAAGCGGCTACGAAGAAGATTGCACCACATCAGCAAGTCAAGAAGATCAAATCCAGCAGCAATGGCAAGCTAGTGAAACGGTCATCCAGCGTCGGAGTAAGAGTCAAACTCGGCAATAAGCAGTCGCCTTCTGCTGGCGGTGGGGATGAAGAGGATGACGAGTCTATGCTCAGCAGTGCCGACGGTTCTGAGTCTGAAAACGCTAGCGTTTCGCGTCGCCACGCACATGGTCTAAGTCTTGATTCTGACGACGAAATGGAAGATGAAGAAGACGAGGGAGGTGAAGATACTAAGGTATACTGCACTTGCCGAAGTGTTAGCCATGGGGACATGGTAGCTTGTGATAACGATAATTGTCCTTACGAGTGGTTCCACTGGAAGTGTGTCGGGCTGACTAGGGAGCCATTGGGAACATGGTATTGTGTCGAATGCAGACAGACGTTGGGAAAATGACACATATCCCAGCCGGGACAATATTGGACGTGACTGTATGTTACAGATTTTTAACGACTTTTATATATGATATTATTACATCCCGGCAATTCTTGCAATGAAAGTCTTCAGATGTCTGGTTTCAAAAAATACCTGAAGATATAAATACAAATTTATCAAGTATTCGAGCGTATCTAGAAACCCCCCTTAAAATGCACCCTTTTTTCATTGGAAAGAAACTCCGTCGCTATGTGAGGCTAAAGACCACTTTTGCCATAAACAAGAAGAAAATGGCGCTGTTCTGAACAGCATTTAAAACGGTATTCCAAATTTAGAATGTGAACGCTTTCTTAAACCATTCGTCGAAATACTCGCAATTTTCGGGACTCACACTGCCGCCAGGCTGGCACAGTCTAAAAACTGGGCATTGCCCACAGGGTGCCTCAGTCATACCATTGTTCCCTAACCAGGCCTTCTGCTGTGTCTCCAGTGGACGGTCTGTTTTGGATGCCATTGAACGTGCCTCTGCAACAGCATCTGGGCGCCTCATAGATTTGTAATTTTGATAATCATTCAGGGCAATCAGCCTGCCATCAAAGCACATCATACGCAGAAGCTGCTCAATACTGCCTTCGTCTAGTCTGACTGGCGTAATGCCAGTTTTATTCACTTCAGCTGTAATATCCTGGGCCTTTGGATAGTATTGATAATCAGCTGGATAAGGAAAATACGTTTTTTCAATCTCCGTTTTGGTATTTTCGCCGTGGTTGAGCTTTTGTCGCTTGCTGTTATTTCTGGGAGATGGAACCTCGTACCAACTCCTCTTACTGACCCAGTCTTCGATGTATTCCGATAGAACGCCAATGAACTCTGCGTCCAGAACTCCATCGGTGAACCAAGCTCCTCCAGTGACATCCTCGGCCGGTTTGAGGCCAGCAAGCATGTACACCTTTTTGCCCGGTTGTTTGACATTGTGGATCGACTTGATGAAATTTTTTCCCTCCAAAGCTTTGAGAGCCTTGTCTAAACTTGACTTGTGCAGGTCTGTCCGTTTCCCTAGAGCTCGAATCCAGATACCGTTCCGTCCTGTTGAGTGGATGGCATTGTACACCAGTCTTTCGTTGTCGTTAAGACTTTGTATTCTACAGATAACATATGGTTAGACTTTGCTCTCGTTTATTGATAGTATCGCCAACCTACTTTTCAGCATCTTCGCGAGCAATGACCTTCCAGGCCAGGCGATTATCACCATCTTGGTAAACTCGAAAAAGGTTTTGGTCAACCAAGTGCTGGGTGCATTGCAAGAGAATTTCCAAGCTCTTGTTTGGAACTAGGCCTAGGCCTAAGATATCCCGCTGGTATAGCAGCTGGCTGGCCGAGAATTGGTCACGACACTTGGCATAGATTTGCGAGGCTATGTCCTCGACGTTCCCTGCGGCAGCCATGGTGAAGGCGAAAGCGAGATGTTTGTGAGTGGGAAGTTAGTCTTCTCGATCATCCGAGGGCTCTGCAGCGTTTCATGGTAAATTCGCAGAAGGGTGGAGCATCATCCAAAGGTGTCAAGATCCTGCAGCGAGACAAAGACGAAGCACACTGGGATAATTATTTTCTGGTCGAATATTTCTTTTCTTGTTGGAGTCATTCAGCGGAAGCGCGTGCTAAATTCATATTAGCGCGGACAGTGGTGTGGCTGCCTGAGGGCTGAGGCAAACTTCGGTCCCCCGCCCAAGCTGCGGCGGATCTTGTAAAGCTCGAAATTTCCAGAAGCTCCAGCCTCCATCGTCAACGATCTTAAGTGCCGTAGCTTTCCCGGCGCAGCACCACCTTCCCAGTGCATCCCACACAACCCCATCTACAGCATTCTGCCAACACTATCAAGCACTACCTAAAAAATGGCCGACGCTCTGAAGGCCGAGGGCAATAAAGCCTTCTCTGCAAAAGACTATGCTACCGCTATGTAAGTATTTGGATTCCCAGTCCGCAATATACTACCACTTAGGTGCTAACAGACTGTGAAGCAATAAATTTACAGAGGCTATCGCCATCGAGCCGCATAATCATGTTCTGTATTCGAACCGTTCCGCAGTGCACGCCGCCCTCGACGACTATCAGAAGGCCCTCGACGATGCTAACAAAGCTACCGAAATCAAGCCCGACTGGGCAAAGGGCTGGAGCCGAAAGGGAGCCGCTGCTCGTGGCCTAGGCGATTTACGTAAGCTAATTTGTGAATAGTGGTATATTGTGTATGGCTAATATCTACATCTAGTGGCCGCGCATGATGCCTATGAAGAAGCATTGAAATTGGAGCCCAGCAACGATCAGTTTAAGTCTAGCTTCAATGCTGTTAAGCGTGCTATTGATGCCGAGGCCAAAGCCGATGGCTTCCAAGGAGACCCGACTGCTGGACTGGGAGGTATTTTCAACGACCCACAACTCATTCAGAAACTAGCCAGCAACCCCAAGACCTCTTCTTTGCTCGCAGACCACGATTTCATGTCGAAATTGCAACGATTGAAAGAGAACCCAAATAGTATTGGAGAAGAGCTGAGAGATCCTCGATTTCTTCAAGTAATGAGCGTACTTCTCGGCATCGACATGCAATTCGGTGCACCCGGCGCAGCCGGTGGACCTTCAGGAGCCACCGAGGTCGAAGAAGATGTGCCGATGCCTGATGTTCGTCCAAAGCCTGCAGAGACCAAAAAAGAACCGGAACCCGAGCCAGAGCCCGAGCCAGAAGATGAGGAAGCCATTGCTAAGAAAAAGGCCCAGGAAGCTGGTGATGCTGAAAAGAAGATCGGCAACGACTTTTATAAGAAGAAGCAATTTGCAGAGGCTATTGAGCACTATCAAAAAGCATGGGAGCTTAATAAGGATATTACATACCTCAACAACATCGGTGCCGCCAAATTCGAAAGCGGTGATTATAAGGGAACCATCGAGACTTGTGAAGAAGCTGTTCAAGAAGGCCGTGAACTCCGAGCCGATTTCAAGACCATCGCCAAGTGAGTTGCAGGACTTCTCACCTACTTTTGTAGTATTTTACTGACTTGCCATAAGGTCATTTGCCCGCATCGGATCAGCGTATGAGAAGTTGGGTGATTTCTCTCAAGCAATCGAATATTACAACCGGTCTCTTACCGAACACCGTACTGCGGACGTTCTAACTAAGCTTCGTGCTGCTGAGAAGGCCAAATTGAGCACGGAGAAGAACGCCTATGTGAACCCCGAAGAAGCTGAAAAGGCTCGTGAATTGGGCCAGAAGAAGTTCCAGGAGGCTGACTGGCCAGCTGCTGTTGATGCGTTCACCGAAATGACAAAACGAGCACCCGAAGATCCTCGTGGGTTTTCTAATCGTGCTGCTGCGCTGATCAAGCTCATGGCATTCCCCCAGGCTGTGCAAGACTGTGACGAAGCCACGAAACGCGACCCCAGTTTCATTCGGGCTTACATTCGCAAAGCCCAGGCTCTCCTTGCCATGAAGGAGTACAACAAAGCCCTTGATGCTCTCACAGGAGCATCCGAGCACGACACCACCGGCAAGAACGCGAGGGAAATTGAGCAACAGCAGCAGAAGGTCCTGGAAGCCCAATTCAGTGCTCGCGCTGGTGAGACTGAGGCTGAAACAGCGGAACGAATCCAAAATGACCCCGAGGTAAGCCGTGATGTTTGCCGTGACGATTTTGATGGAGCTATTATGCAATTGAGACTAATGAATTATTCTGGTGTAGATCATGTCTATCCTCCAAGATCCCGTTATGCAGAGCATCCTTCAACAAGCCAAGGGAGACCCGGCCGCTTTACAAGAGCACATGAAGAACGCCCAAGTGCGCAGCCAGATTCAAAAGCTTGTAGCAGCTGGTGTCATTCGCATGGGACGGTAGATGGGTAGTGAAGTGACGAAGCAATGGCATTAATTAAGGCTAACAAAATCTTTTCTAATGACGACTCTATGATCGAATATGGAACAGCTTGTATCATTCTAGTAAAAATTGATCCCTGTTTGTCATCGGTTGTGAAATAATAATTTCTTGAGTAATATGATATTCGATTTGACACGGAATCCAACTATCGAGCTTTTGCAGATACCGATTAAGTCGGTGATGAACGGCCATTTATGTTGGCATGCATCAATAGTAACAAGTTGAATATTTAGAAAAGTAGCAAAGAAACCTCATCAGTTGCCTGCATGCAATAGTGTTTTTCAACTTGCTCTCTTGGACCAAATCGACCACCTTGCTTAACCCAATAGAAGTTACTTACGAACTGATACCGACTTACGACTATCGCCTGCTTTATGGTAACGATGAACCAAGGTACGCTGTGGACCAGCTCGGCAGAAGCCGCCCTGTACCACAAATAGCGAAAAAACCAATTTTTGAATTTCTGAAAGAAACAAAAAGAAAAGAAAAGAGTCGTATTTTTGTTATTAGCATTCCTGCTCGTAGGATCATTTTAGCTCACGTACTTTCGCCGCCAACGTGTGTGTTTTTGTCTGCGCTAGATCCAACCAGCATACGCCGTTCATTGGATGGGCAAGGCTAAAAATTCTTCTTTTGTGTTGAATTGAGTTGAATGCAACATCAAAACACGTAGGCGCACATCCTTGCTTTGCGCAAAAATGTGACTTGTGATTGAAGTGTCAGCAAGGCCGGCCATGTCAAACTATATTGATAGGCCTCTTTTTGGGTGTATAACAATTGGTATAAAATATCTGTTGCCAGCGAAGACAACGTAGTAGTAATACTTGTGAAACTGCTTCGACTCGTATCACACTCCAGTCTTGGCGGTCGTACGAGATGTGTCAAATTGTCAATCGATCAATCGATGTTTGATAAGTGTGCGCGGTCTATATGAAGCCTGGCATATATTAACAGGGGATGCAAGGCATCCGTTGATGCATATTATTTGTTCAACATTGGCTGCGTCGGATCGAATCATGCAGCGTCTCGATCGAGCATGTGCTTAGACCTCGCTAGATAATAATGCTGATATAGCCAAATCCCGGAAGTTTCGGGATCAAGGTATCAATTATTATTTATTCTTCTGTAGTACGTGTTGCCTATCAAAGGCTGCTGAACAGCCGTTCGGTAGTGCAAGTTTAGCCTTCTGTCAGTCTGACTGTGTGCGTACTAGTTTGCTGAAGAAGGAAATGACTGTCATAATACTGTTTTTGTTATGACTTGTTTAGTTATTATTGACCGTTGAATGCAATAGCGAGCGTATTAATAGAGATAGCCCACATTAATATTATCAACGACATGAATTATATTGCTATCCAGTTCTACATGTCTAACTCTACAATTTAGGGGTCCTTAGTGTCCAATCAGCAATATGGCTGATCCAAAGCCGAGTGTTTCAAGAATTGTTTCCTATCAATTCTGGCACTGGCTGCCATGGCTGGTGATATGGCTGCGGCCGAGTCAGGGGTAACTTTTGCCGGTCGAGACCTAAAGGCAACTAAATGGAACGTGCGTTCTGGCACACTGACATAATAGCAAGCTGGTATGATCACGATAATATGCCGTGGCTCCTGGCCTTTGATATAGCATTCGGCTTATCTTGGGCATAAATTGCAACGGCCAACGTGATCGGTAGCCGGGATCGTGCATGCGAGGCGAATCATGCCCTTTACACACGAAGAGACAATTCCATTCACAGACATGCATACGGGGCAGTTAACTGTCGCCACTGGGGAGACAGGCTAGACGCTCAGACTAGCCAGATTGGCAAGATTCTGAAACAGAACACTGCACCGGGCCAGCACGACGACAAGTCCCGACAATTCGATCTTGATTCTTGATCAACCAGGAGGCGCGACCGCCGGGATGGCTCGTGGGCTGTTCCTAGTGTGCCGCGCTGCCTTGTCCGGCCCTTGCATGGTTGGGCACGTCCCCGGCTCTCCACAGAGGCCACTCGGGAGAAAGGATAATGGTATTATTGTATGATTATTGTTAATTATTGCTCCCGTTAGCTAGGTTGTTGGCGAATAGCGAGCTACCTCAGCCTACTTGCGGAGTACGTAGCACAGCCGCTCGTATGAACCACTTAGAAGTTAGGTGCCGGTGCACTCGGTACGATAATCATCTTAAATATGTCAGCGACAGTGCACCTGTTGGCTGAAGCCCTTGATTCGGAAGTGATGCCGGGCTACAGCCCCCTTTTCTTCTTTTCTCTAGACGCGGTCAGAGCGGTAGACTAAGAGAGTCAATCACCTGTCAGGCAGCCGTCTAGACGGCAATCAAATGACAGATCATAAAAGATCACGATGGATGCAACAGTTGTTCAATTATTGGAGAAACAGGTATGATAATGAGTTGGAATCCAGTCCGCATCAAGTAAAAGAAGGAGCAGAAGAAGAAGAAGATGATGAGCGCTGCCAAGCCTGGAGAGCGGAAGGAGGAAGGAGTGGGGGACCGTCATGCTCCTGCTCCGGCGATCCCCAGCCTGCGCTTGCTCTTTCTTGTTCGCGGCTCACGTTCTCGTCCATCCTCCCACTACTCCTACGAGCCTGCGCCGTGGTAGTACGGATCGATATCCATACGAGATGTCCTGCTAGAGTCCTAGAATCCTACATCTCCTCCTTATCCTCTCAGGGCCGTCGGGGATCGGATCACCCCCGTCACCTTCAGCCGTGCCTAGCCCAGCCGCCAAATTTCCCCTCCCAACGAACAAATAAGACGCCTGTTATTATTACGGGCCTTGGCCCTAGTGTGGCCCGTTGATAACTTGTGATACCGAGCCCGTACAGCGATCCCTTTGTTCAATGCTGCTTATTTCGACTATTATTGCATGGGAGCATTGAGCCTTTACGGGACAGTGGCACACTCTCATGCAGGGCCAATGGGCTGGCCATGGCCAGACACCCTTGCGGATGACATCTCAGTCTTCCTGCAGCCCAGTAAATATCCAGCATGCTGTGAAGCACAGCGCCACAGTGAACTGACCGTGCTAGTGGCAGGCCTAAGGGGCCGCGCTCCAACTCTTCGACTACCTCTGCCAATCAATCCGCACTCGTACAATGTCACCGGCGATGCCTAATTTGACCAGCTCTCCTTTTATTTGGTCCCCCTCGCTCTGCCTACTCTCAGAAGGGCCAAAAAGTAACCCAATCTGCAGACGAGCAAAAGCGTTTGAAGAAAAAAGAAGAAAAAAAAAAAACTGCCGAATGATAGAGAGGATTGAACGAGAAAAAAATAAGTGAACCTGCTTGGTGGGTACCTCTCTACTACGTCTCTAGTTCTAGTTTCTACCGTCCTGACCCCTTAGTCTTTTAGTACCACCTATCGGCACGAACCTATCTGCCAATGTGGTGCTAGACTGATTTACTTTAGATTGTTATTATCCACTTGGGCTCGGAAAGCTCCAATTCAAGCAACACACAGGCTCTCATACGCCATACGGGCTCCATTGACAATCCGAACTCTTGACCCACTGTATCACCGATTCCTGCGTCCGCTAATACGTACTCGAAAGCTTGGATGACTGCGTCTAGTTCTGTTTTTTGCTCCTTAGCGCTTTTAGCTCAGTCTTTTTAAGATGCGTGGGGTGGAGCTTTACTATCGTGGAGCCCATTTCCACTCCCCCGGCACCGCAATATTAATGCGTGCTAACGTCGCGTCTTCTCTCTTTCAGGGAAAAGGGCCAAGTTCGACTTTGTTGGCCCGAGCATAGGTCGATCGTTTCTCTTCTTTCGCGAGTACCGCGTACTCTGTAAATTGCCTCTGGACTAAATTCACCACGAACTTCTGCTCCGTACATCACGGTCATCACCTAAGCGCCGCCTTATGACTCAGACGTATTACAAGTGGAACACATCTTGAGCTTCGGGGCTGGTATCACAGAAGCTCTGGTCGATTAGGTAAGATTACTGAGAGAAAATTGCACAGTAACCTTTGAGAATTGCGCCTATACACCGGAATCATCCCGAAGATGGCAAACTTTAGAGCAATAAGACACCTGTTAGAAAGTGCCACTGGGCTAATATCTATATTCTATTCAGTCATTCACTATAGAACTCGAATTTCGCTGGCCGGATTTTGACTTTTTCTTCTCTCGATTCGAGATTTCTTTCGCTTCCCAAGTCACCAGCCTGGACTGTTCGCTGGAACTTGCTGCAAGGCCTTCCCTGTATGATCTCCGAATTCAGGCCGGCCCTGCGATTCGTGACCCGAAGCCACACCTGCAACCTCCTTGAAACCGGTCTTAGATATGCTGCTATTATAATCACTGGAGGGAAGTAAACGTTGAAAGCTCCTGTTCGATGGATACAGAAGCGTTTCCGGTGCCTTCTCCGGCGCCCTTTAGGACGCCTTCGAGAAGCGTTTCCCGTCATCGAAGGAATTCTTCTCTAGGTCTTTCGTCCTCACCACCATCGCTACCCTTACCGCATCTCCCTCTCAATAATGATGGCAATGAAAGTGGCCTGGATGCTGCCAACGATGACACTATCTCGCCTCTTGATCCCCGTCGATTCACTCCGACACTCCATGCGAATTTGGTCTCTGAAATTCTTTCCTTAAGGAGAGAGCTTGAATGCAAAGGCAAAGACATCGATAAGTTGGAGGCAAGTCTGGATGATGCTCGGACCGAAAATGAATCCATCAGCCAGAGTCTCGCGTCTCATGTCAGAGACAATCGGTCGCTGAAGAAACAAATGAAGCTTCTGGAGGGTGGCACTCTCTCTGCAATGGGCGATATTGCTAAGGAACGCGATGAGGCTATGGAAAACACTAGCGAGATGCGAAAAAGGCTAGAACAAGCTCAAAAGAAAATCAAAAGCCAAGAAGATGATGTAGACCGAACTCAAATGCTTTGGGATCGCGATCGGCAGACATGGGATAACGAGAGGAGGACTTGGGAGCGAAGAGTGCATGTGGCTGAAAACAGGTTAAAAGTAATTCTGAACGAGGTCGCTGCCGCGCAGGCGGCCGACGAATCCCGCAAGGAGGGCGAGAGCGAGAATGACACGGGAAATAACATGGATAATTCAAGTGTTCGATCAGCCAGCGCCTTCGGAAAGCGGCGAACCAGCACGACTAGTGTTGGCAGTGAATATGATGCTGAGCCAATCAGCAGCGGCCGGTTTTCTTCTATGAGTTTTGCCAATGGGCATGGCTTAAAGGGCACTGGTCTTAATCTAGCTGATGAGTTGGCTTTTGATGAGGAAGCGGAAGAAGAGTACATGGATAATGAGTTATTTGACGAGCGACCTACTTCTGTTGCGTCTCAAGTTTCGTACACGATGGCTACAAAAGCACGCAAAATTCTTGGTTTATCGATGAATGGTAATGCTGACCATCTGCTTGCCTATACCCAAGAAGCACATCAATTATCAGAATCGGGGGTTGATCATACTGAACTCACGCCAAAATTCGAGTATCGAGATGTGGGAGTCCAATATACGCCTCCGCCTTCGCCTCCTTTACACCCAGGCGGCCCTGGTGCTGACCTCGAAAATATCGAGGAAATCTCATTACCCACGCCGCCTGCATTGCCTCAAATGAAGGACTCAGCTATAGAAACAGTTTCGGTGGAGATGGCATCTGCTTCTTGTCAGACTGTCGATCTACCCAGTCCCCCTCGAAGCCCGAAATCGGATGTGGAGGAAGTACCTGAGCCTGTACAAGCTGCGATGGTTTCCACGTCCACTCAGACAGAGACAACTGCAGAGGAAAAGGAAATAACCATCCAAGTAACAAGTGAACCAAACCTCTCCAGTCCTTCGACTCCTGCTGTGCCCATGATAGCTATCATCCCACCTGGATCGGAACCTACCTCACCAAGGAATAGTGTTGTTTTGCCCCCACACACGAAGAGCATCTCATGTCAAACAGATAATGATCTGGCTCAAAACGTGAGATCTGCCTCCATGCAAACGGAAGAAATTAGGGTTGATCAGCGTTTGCTCAAGCTTCCTGCTAGCCTCCTTCCGTCGGCAATTATTGATCAACCTGCGAATAGAGTCGAGAGTGATGACAATTCCATGCCTTTCATTGTCCCCCCTCCTCGCTCTCCTTATCGAAAGCCAGCGAAGGCGCCAGCAACAGAGTCGGTGGACAAAAATAATAAGGGCAAGCAGCAAGATCTCGTCCAGGCATATCCAGGGAACAACGACAATGGGCCTCTCGCAGAAGACGACGTTTCTTATATACGGCGACCGTTCCGATCAAGTAGCTTGTTTGCAGGATTCGAAAATATGAGCGATGACGAGAAAACAGAGCCTTTACCTGAATTGCCTGATGTTTTCAGCGACGATGAATTATATAGCCGTCCCACGGCTGCGTACACTTTACGGTCCGGCAGGATGGTCAGCCGTCATCGCTTAGAGAGCGAACCTCTTGAGGAGCAGGATGAGATTGACGTTGATATCGATCTGCCTTCTACTTTACAGAAGAACAATAACTCTCTTAAGAAATCTAAATTCGTCCCTAAACCGGCATCTGGATCAAAACAACCTGACATTCGACGAACAACGCTGATATCTAATGGCGCTGTTGCACATCAGAGAACTCGACCACGAAGCCCAAGCGAGCCCAGCATAGACAGTGTTTCTACTGGTGCCGCTAGGCCTCCTCCATTCCCTGTCCCTGTGCGACTCAGTTCAAGAAACGTGGCAACTAGCTCTAATGATGGCGGTCAGAGCCCGACCCCTTACGGCAATGGAAGCTATGCATCTGGGCGAAAGGCGAGACGTATCACAAGACAACCCACACTACGCAAGGTCCGATCTGCCACGGCTGTTCAGAAAGCTCAAGACCGAGCTCGAAGTCGTTCGCCCCCTTCAATATCTACGCCGGCAATGTCAAGTTCTTCATATGCCCCAGATAGCCCTCAGTTGCCCCCTCCGCTACCAATTGATGAAATGCCTCTGCCTAGGGCTAAGCGGGCCCCAAGAAGAATTCCATCCAACCGGCCCCCTTCATCATCGTATTCGCACACAATTGAGGAACCTACATCGGATTATCTACAGCCAACAAGCGTTGTCGATGCCATCGCACAAACTATGGTAGGCGAATGGATGTTCAAGTATGTTCGCCGACGAAAGTCTTTTGGCATGTCAGATACCAAGGAGACATGGGAGCTTGGCAAGAACTCGACCGATGAAGTCTCAGCCAACATTACGAGTACTGGGGTCCGTCATAAACGGTGGGTATGGCTGGCCCCATATGAGCGGGCTGTGATGTGGAGTAGCAAGCAACCAACAAGTGGTCCTGCTCTTCTGGGCAAAAGCGGGCGCAAGCGTGAGTACTCCTTAAGGTATAATTATGTTTTATTTTGATGTTAACCTATGAAATAGTCACCATCCAGTCTGTTTTAGATGTCAAGGATGATACGCCGCTTCCCAAGGGATCAACCACTCAGGGCCAATTTAACAGGTCGATCCTTATTCTTACACCTCAACGCGCTCTAAAATTCACTGCCTTGACTCTAGAACGCCACTATGTATGGCTGACAGCGCTATCCTTTTTAAGCCACTCTCCTATGGGTGTTAACGATCTGGCTGCATTACCCCCTGTTCCCCAGGAAGAATACACGGCACGGCCTCCAACAGCCAGCTTGCGTCGTAACCATATACGCGACTCTATCAGAGTAGCCAAAGGCAAACCTCGACCCCAACCAAGCAAGAAATCATTCACCGGGAATGTAATGCCAATGCCCGAATATCCTAGCGGCGGATTCGATCTAGATCCTATAATGGATGCAGCCGACCCTCCATCTATACCTCGATACGCAGGCCATACTCGCAAACGTAGCAACACTGCACCCAGAGCTCCTCCCAGCGCATTTCGCAGCTTTTCCAGTCACGCCACCTTGCCATCCAATTATAGTGCAACAACGGCCAACTCATCTGATATCTACGCACCGTCATCGTTTGGCGGCCCAGGGTTGATGAGTGCTCAAAGTAGCATCAGCCGACGGACTTCAGAAGCAAGCGGACCTTCTAGCATCGCGCCCAGTAATCTTTTTGATGCTGTCGGCACAATACGCATGGAAGCTTTCATTGACCGAGTGGATGGTCCCCGAATCCGCAACCAGCGCAATCGAGCCCCTCGCAAACGCGAGCCACCCAGTCAGTTGGGGCCAGGACACGATCTTGACTTTACACGATCTGAGGATGGCGGTGATATCTACTATCGGAACGATGACCTATTCCGTGGGTTCTAAAGCAGCCACGGTGTTCCTATTTATCCCATTCTATTTTGTATCATAGTTTGTGCCAGGTGGCCACAGCAGCGTTTGAACACGAAAAGCAGTGTCCTTCCTTTTACCCTCGTCTTCATTCCCTTTTTCTGTCCTTAGCAAGTCTCTAGATAGCGGCTTCGTCATAGCTGGCATACAGGTGCGAGGAGTACTGAACAGTGCTGGCTTCTTTTTCTTTGCTTTCCTTCTTTTCTGTCAGTCTTTATGATACCATTCAAATTTGCCGGCACGGGTCTAGAATCTTTGGCGTGGCTTTGTATGTCTATGTATTCACGTTACTAGAGCTAGTGTGTATGAACTATGAGGAGACTGCTTGCATTAGTAATCGAAGCTTGCGTAAACCGCGGGTGCCTTGCAAACGCCTGAGGCAGTGTTCTATGCCAGAGCATCATTAGCGGCTGCTCCCCGCCTTCCGATTAGGAAGGTGCTTGATTGGGCCAGCCACTAATCCGACCTCAGCTTCTGATTCGTAGGTGGCGTTTAACTGTGAATCCCTTCACGCATATAAAACTACACCTCTAAAACCCTCAAGAAACAAGTAGAAAACATCACTTGATGCATGTGAGGTTAATTTCTCACTCCAGAAGAGAAAGACAACTCACACCCAAAATGCCATCTAAAAACATCACAATATCAGTCCTCCCCGCCACGGAGGAAGACTACCTCGCTCTCGCCCAGGTCGAATCCCAGGCCTTTAGCGATCCCGATGACACTTCTTCAGACGTACCATCCACAATAGGCGGAGTCATGTTCGGCCCTCCCAGTGCGGAAGGCCAAGCCGCCCGCGCCAAAGATCTGGCAAAGCTCGTGCGTACCGTGCCAGGAATGCGCCTGTTCAAGGCTGTTGCTCATGACCCCGACGCAGCCTGCGACAATTACACCAAGACGATAGGCATTGGTGGTTGGATATATTACACCGATCCACACCCTACTGAAGATCCCTGGGAAGACAAGCCGTGGGAGGGAGCCCGGGACCCGCGGGCTTGTAATGATTATTTCGGTGAATTTTCAAGGAGGAAAACGAGAATTATGGGTGGGAAGAGGTTTGCATGTAAGTTTCTTTTTTATGTTTCCTTTTTTTGGTCTGTTCGTCTACATATATTTGATAGCCACTAGCTATTCATTACTTCATCTCTAATAGCTTGCCTAGATTTGCAAGTCCTTGCCATACTCCCTGACTATCAGGGCCTTGGCGCCGGCAAAGCACTGCTTCGTCAGGGTCTAGAAGAGGCTGCAAAATTGGATTTACATGAAGCTTATCTTGAAGCGTCAATAGCGGGACGGCCATTGTACAGGAAGTTTGGATGGGAAGATGTCGATGTCCAGGTGGTAGATTTGAGCAAATACGGGGCAAAGGGAACAGTGACAAACTTTTGCATGTATAGAAAGCAGCAAGGTACTGAGATATATAATTAGTAATACGCAGAAGGAAGACGATGTTGATAAATCTAGTTATTTAGAATTTAAACTCGAGTTTTGGCTATTAAGAAATACTCTATCTATCAATCACCTACAATGATACCTAGGTTCGGAAATTTATCTATTACCAGAACTGCAAACATAGTTCACCGTTTTGCAGCCTCAGAGAAACTGATTACGCCCATTTTCCAAGGAGAGCCATGATACCGGTACCCAACAACGTGCAAATTATCATGAACCCCAGACGACGACGGTCGTTTGTCCGGCAAGGGTCGAACAAGAAGTCGCGTGCTAATAGCTCAACCAAACTCGTGTAGATCAAGATGCCAGCAGAGATAGAGTCGAAAACACCAGACACGATATTGGCCGTCATTGACTCCGGATTGTAGGTATTGTGCACACCCAGGCCGATGGCGATGGCGATAGGGTGGTCAGTCCATAAGCAAGGCACAGAAACCAGGGCAACCAGCTGTTGCGCTTGAAAGGGATCGCCGACATCCTAGCGCCAATACCCAGACCCTCAAAGCTCTGGTGGAAGACTAGCACAGGGTATAGGGTCTTGAACTCGTCGCCTGCAACACCGAGATTCAGCCCGATGATGACGGAGTGGAACATAACACCAAACTCGAGAATTAGGAAAGCCGCAATCTGCTGACGGAAGGATTTTTCGGCAGTGAGTGAGTCTTGATCACTCTCTTCAGCATAATTCAGTTTCCCTGAAAGCGACTGGGGCAGATCCTTCGTTGGTTGGTCGACAGGGTGGTCGTGCTCGCTAACAATCGTCGTCCGTTCATCGCCCCTGGTCACCCCATATTTAGATTCAACGTAGAGTTCCGCACCAAAATCCATGAGGAAAATGACGGTAATAGAAGCAAGGACAATTGCCGGCGGCCATGAGTATTGGGACCAGTTTCCGGTCATACCCACACAGGATGCTGGGCCGATCTCTTGGTATGCAGGGTCGAGCAAGTGAACAAACGCAGTGGCCAAGATGACACCAGTACCAAAATAGCGTGCAAAGAGGTATACATAGACAGGAACCTTCATACGAGGTACACGGCTCGCCACGACTGGGAAGAAGGTTGCCAGCGTAGAGCAGATCAGGATAACGAAAACCGAAGAGATGCGAGCTCCCATATGCCCGTTATACTCGTTGCCTCCGGCATTGATATAACAGATGATCTCTGCTGGGTCGGCAGTAGTGAGATTAACACTATTAGGGTCGAAGGTGTCGGAACTCGCCATAATGGATTCAGTGTCGACGAAGAAAGGTCGAGAAGGATGATCGGGTTCTGAGGCACACGTCTACTGATAAGTATGCGAAGAGAGAGGGACAAATCAAGAGAGGAAGAGCTTCCATCTAGGTAGCTGGCTATTTATGATTATTTCAGCCTACAAAGAAGAGCAAGAAAATTTTCACCTGTAACTGGTTGGCTGAGGACCTTGCGACCTGGCTGACCTATTCAACCATGTCCACTTTGCAACATCTTGCACCAACCACGACACTGATCCGTGGGGTACTCGGCTAAAACCAAGAGATATAGGGTAGTATACGCTTAGCCCAAGGTCTAAAGGGCCGGTGAGATCGAATAAAGGCAGAACCTTAGGGGTAGAGGCACGTTGATAGGTTTCAGCTACAAAACACCAGAGTCAGCATGACTAGCCGGAGTTAAACCAAGTTCGCGTGGCGTGGGATGCAACTAGACTTCATCCATCGAATGAGACGTCTGAATACGTTCTTAGGTTTGCTCACAAGGTGCTCTGGACGAGATTGCTTTACCCACGCTGGCTGGGGACCTTGGGGGAAAAGCACGACTCCGGCAAGCGAGGCCAGACGATTGGGGGATGAGACCATAGCCACGCAATTGGCATCTGTCAAAAGATTGCGATCATCTTTCTTACGGATCCGGGATCTTGTTTCCCATTCGACAAGGTCGCCTTGCCTGGAAGAGAGATCCGTGAGGTATGATTGCCCTGGAAAAGACATTGAATTCAGAGAATATGATAATAGCAGTGTATTTGTACAAAAAGAGAATAAATCTATACCCCATTTGTCATCTCCTGCAAATTTCTAGTCGGCAACTAGTCAAGTGGCATTGCTTGTCTAGTCGTTGAACGCGAGAGGGCGCGAGCGTGCTCTTTCGTAATTTGATAGCCCCATCGCCACCTGTTCCCTTGCTCACGGCCCACCACCAGGCGACAATAACTTGATAATAATATAAATTATAGCTTAGCAGCTTCCTTGACTTCGCCAATCTTCAATTTCGGCGAGTACTTGGCGAGCACAGACTTGTTGTGGTACTGAGCCAGTGTTAGACCTTCCACCCCAAGAAAGCTAGCAACACGATTGAAATAACAGGGAAAAGACGTACCTTCCAGAACTGCTTCGACGCATCCTTGCCGGCCACGCGCTTCAAGATCTTACTGCCGCCGGGGTGCTCGTCGACAAAGTTGGTCACGTCGTAGACGCCACTGTCGATGATGATGTAGAGGCCGTTGTCGGCAGAGTTGTGGCTGGCCACATCGGCGGGAGAGAATTGCTTAGACATGGCGACAGTATACACTCCTATATGGGTCGAGGATATAGATAGCGAGGAACGCGTGCAGGGTATTTTTATAGGTGATCATACAAAATGAAATCAGTCGATGGAAATGTCGGGGCACGCGGGGAGACGTTCTTAGCCCACAGCCGAACCTCGGTCCAGTCCACACCCGAGTAATCCCAATCAGGCGCACGCTGATTGGCTACAGCATACCTTGATAAGACTGCTCTACAATCTTCAATATCAATTGATACCTTCAAGAATATTGGTTTCATACAAATAATACATCTTGCTAAATCTTGCTTCTCTGCCCAGCGGCCCCTTCGCCCTTGGGAACCTTCCTGTCCAGACCCAATGTCTCTAGATCCTTCTTCTTATGATAATGCGGCGCCACTTCGACTAGCCACTCTGCTTGTAATGGCATATTGCTTCGCATGTACTCCTTACTCGTCAGAACTAGTTCAAAGTAGATGACCCACTTGGGATTGACTTCGAACAATGTGCTGGAAGGATGCAAATAGACCGTCTGGTTATTCTTGACCGTCCGGTAGCTGTCGCCACCGCGCTGAAGCCGCGCTGCATTCGGGAAGAAGCCAGCCGTGATGGCTTTCTGGATGGGAACAATGTTGTTCGCTCCAGAGGAGGTGACAGTGACCTCCACACGATCACAAAGCTTGGCGAGTTGATCTCGGACATCGCGGGCTCTCGTGAGACTTCGCTGCTGGAGAAAGTTTTCTCGCGCCCACACGTAGCTGAAATCAGAATCAACCCACTGATTCCAGATGTTTAGCAGGCTCAGATGGTCGCCTCCTTCCTTGATAGTGAATCGCGCTCGGGCACTGTCTGCATGGATCTTCTTGTCCTTGGGTCGATAAAACAGAGCACTGGCCTCACCAAGCATGGCGATGATGGAAAGGACCTCCTCCACGCAGCCGTATTTGTCTGCAGCCAGAATAGACTTGGAAAGCATTGGATCAGTGGGGAACTCCGCCATCTGTCTTCCAATCTTAGTGAGTTCGCCTCGGTCATTCAACGCACCTAGTGCGTACAGCTGTTCCAACGCCCGAATGATGGTTTCGGCCGGTGGAGGGTCCATAAAGTCGAAGTCGAGCAGCTGATCAATGCCCAGTGACTTCAACATGAGAATCACGCCGCTCAAATTTGTACGCTGTATTTCCGGAGTGGTGTTTTCCTCCAACTCATTGTGATAAGCCCATTTCGTATATAATCGGAAGCACTTTCCAGGACCAACACGTCCAGCACGTCCGGCTCGTTGTCCAGCAGAAGCTCGCGAGCAGGGAGTGACAACCAGGCTCTCCATCCCAGTCTGAGGGTTGAAAACATTTTCCTTGACAAACCCAGGGTCAATCACATACACAATACCGTCGATGGTTAAACTTGTTTCAGCAATGTTGGTAGCCAATACAACTTTTCTTGCCCCCGGCGGCGTGGGTTCGAAAATCTTCGTCTGCAACTCAGACGGCAAATTTGCATAAATCGGGGCAATAATCATTTCTGGGATTTTTCCACCCAGCTTCCGCGCCGTTTCCTGAAGACTTTGTTCCGCAGCTTCAATTTCCTCCTGGCCTGTCAAGAATACCAAGATATCACCAGATCCTTGGGTAATGTGAATCTGGAATACAGTCGTGATAGCTGCAGCTAGGTAGTTGGCCTCTGGCTGGGACGTGTAATGGATGTCAACTGGATATCGGCGACCAGGGATGTTAAAAATGGGAGCATTATCAAAGTATTTCTGAAATTTTTGAGCATCCATGGTTGCAGAAGAAATCAGAAGCTTCAAGTCCGGCCGTGCTTTGGCAATATCTTTTAGTAATCCACAAGCAATATCAGTAGGCACCGTTCGCTCGTGCGCCTCATCAATCATCAGCGCCGAGTAAGCACCCAAATCAGGCTCCGTTAGTAGCTCTCGCAAGAGCATACCATCCGTCATGTACTTGAGAACGGTTTTGTCGCTAGTATTATCTTCAAATCGAATTGCATAGCCAACTTCATTTCCTATTTTCACACCCATCTCCTCTGCTACTCGAGCGGCAACACTCATCGCAGCCACTCGTCGAGGTTGGGTACACCCGATTTTCATTCCATCCTTCGTATATCCTGCTTCATGTAGATATTGAGGGATCTGTGTTGTTTTGCCAGAACCAGTCTCTCCAACAATAATAAGCACTTGATGATCGTGCACCGCTTGAATAATTTCATCTCGAAATTGATATATAGGAAGGCTTTTTCGGGTTTCCTCTATCGAAGCAGCCTTCTTCTCTGCCGCATCTAACTGCTGTTGCAGCATGCGTTGTTCTTTGGTCATGAAGTTCCCATCCCCTTCCAACTTGGAGTCCATTATAAAGTTGATTTTCTGTGCATCATCAAAAACATAGTCATAATCACCTTCGTCCACGTACTCGGCCCTGGAAATTTGCGCTTTCGCTTTCGCTGTCTGCTCACGCTCCCACTCCTCTTGTTCCGTAACAAACCGTTCTTGACCTTGCTCGTCGCGGTCGACGTATCGCTTATAGAGAGCTTCTTCCTTCTTCTTTCGATCGATCTTCCCTTTTTCTGTAATATAATCCTCCGGCATCATATAGCCGTCGCGATGGTCGTCAATGCGCAGTCGTTCTTCTGCCAGTCGAAGTACTTCCCGATTTCTTGCAAATTCCTCCTTCTCCCGACGGCTGAGATTGGGGTTCTCACGGAGCTCAGCAGCTTCTTCAGCGACCTGTCGTCGTAAAAGTGCAAGCCGCTCTGTCTCTCGCTTTTTCAAATATTCTTGCCTGGATCGCATCCTCAAATCCGGCATGGCTGCACTCCTTGCTTGAGCATCATCAGCCAAGGCACGGCGGCTTTGGTCACCAGCACGTCGAGTACGATCCTCGACCACCTTTTTCGACTTTGAATCCTCCTTCTCGGCGAGACGTTTGGCAAACTCATCACGTTCTTTCAAGTCGCGCAAGCGCGCCTTTTCGGCCCTGGCGTCATCGTCTAGATCAGCAGATGCAGTTGAACGAGGCGATGCAGATCCTTCTGCCAATCGAGTGCGTCGCGATGGCGATTCTTCGAATTCATAACCCTCTGCTTCCTCGCCATCATATTCACCATCAGGTATGTTCTCGTCGCCCCAGCGATCATTGAAGTCGTCGGCATCTCGCTTGCGGAGTTTTCGCGAACGGCGATTTCGGTCGCGGCTATCGGGGTCTCGACTCCTGCTTCTCTTTCTACTGCGATCGTCCCTGTACGAGTTGTCATCGTCGTCCCAACGATTGCGGGAGGAGTTCTTGTGATCTTGGGATCTGTCTTTCCCTTTGCGCTTACGTCGGTCTTGTTCCACGTTCGTTGGCCCCAATGAGATATCTGGCTGGTGCCCATCGTCCATTTCTACCAGGTGGTATTTCTTTTTCGAAGACGAGTTTTTGTCTGACCGTTTAGAAGGTCCTGTAGGTTCTCGAGCATGCCCGCCGGAGCCCAGTCGCCCGTAAAGGTCTGCGCAAAACGAGTCGATCTCATTGTCACCTAGCTCGAGAAAGGTTCCTAGCTTGTCGCGTAATGAACTGGCTGATTTTGCATCGCCCGCAGTGGCGAGGACAAAATCCACGACCGTAGGCTCCGATGCGCCTGTTAGACGAAGAAGAGAATCGGAGACGAAAGTGCGAGTATCCATGGCTGCGGATATTTTTGGACTTTCGCTATCCTGGGTCTTGAGGGTTGTTCGAGGCTCGGCAACAGGTCTTGGTAAGGCTTAGCCCATAAGCCTAGTCCGTTTCGTCTTCTCGCGTATTTGCAAGCTACAAATCCATGGATCAATGGAGGATGTAGCTATGCGTCCTAAAGCGAGGTGGGCAAAGGTGAGGTTTCTTATCGATGAGCACGCGCCAAGACATACTGAGCTTCCCGCCTCGCCACTCCATATTGGCTCTAGCGTCTCTGAGAATACAGCCAATTTTTTTAAATATAAATTAATTCACATGATTAATTTAAAAATCAATTAAAATAGCGACATAGTTCTAAATCTTCTCTATTTGTTCCAAGCGGAGGAAAATGAAGAAGGAAAGGAAGAAAGTAAGTCGCTTTAATAATATGTTGGACTCCAGACTAACTTGTCATAGGCATTTTAATATTGGTTCGCGCAGGAGCGCTTTACTTTCAATACAGATGTAGAGAGACCTACCATGATTTTATGGTATAATTGACTGTAATTCTGATGTTTTCTAAGCAAGTTTTCACATGTATGGGCTGTACTGTCAGTGATAAATGATAGCCACTAGCACCTTAGCACTTTAAAGTCCAGTAGATTTTAATATGATAAGAGGAGCTATGTTTTTATATTTTCCCTTTACCTAATGATAGAACTACTTCTTGCTACTAACTTGACATTCCATTTGTCGTTTCTTCCGATTATCTTCCGATTTCTTGAACAGATAATGTGGTGTGTAAGTACCGATATGCTTGATACAGCACCCGCATTCTGAAGTACAATGACCATATAGCTTGACTTCCTTTTTCCTTAAAAGGAAACTAGAAGTAGTGGGAAATACCTTTAAAGGTTTTTCGCAACATCCACATTCTCGACTACAGCAGCCACCACTTCGAGCACAGGCGTCTTGGTGCTTGAGCCAGATGTATGGTTTGTCACGCCGAGGAATGAACGAATACTGGCATTTTCGAGCCATCATCACATCTCTATGATAGGTATGATTTTTTTTGGTTGAAAATAGCGTATAAATTGCTTGCTGATGAAATTGTTCCAGGCGTTGTACCTCAGCTAATTTCTCGTCGATATCGCAAAGTTCATAAAAATATCCAATTTTCCACTGCTCATCACATTCTTGGTATCCCGCAATCTGCGGCTTTTCTTTTTGCTCGATTGTTGATAGAATTTGCTTCTTCCGATCTGTAAGACGCTTCTCTCGCTGTAATATTGCAAACCCATTGCGCTCTTCCTGCTCATACTTTTCTTTCCATTCTTTGTAAGGACAGAAAATTTTGATACGTCCGCGCACAGACCTTGCTAAAGAGTAGAGTTTGCAGAAATCGAGTAATTGATCAATCATCTTGCTGTTTGCTCTTCTTCTCGTTTGGGTGAGAAGATTACATATAAGAGGCAAGTGTGCAAAGCACTGTTGTCTGGCGTGAGGTGCTTCATAAGGATATTTCAATTGAGTGACTAATACTAGGCAGCTACCCGAAGCACCAGTCCACTCGTAATTTTGAAGACATTACTACCGAATATCCAGAGAAGTTGAGACCTCAATTCGGCGTCATTGTTGCCTGTTAGAATTTGGTATGAATTACTCAACGGTCCACTAGGGTATACGTGACACGTGACACGTGACACCTGTCAGACTAAATATACGACTATAATACCACTAAAATCCTTACTATGTAAGGGTTGCGCCCTTTTTGGTATAGTGGTTTAAAGTTCGACAACACCCCGAAACGGATAACCTGCTTAGAGAGCTGGTAGTATCTGAAAAAAGTCTAGATATTGACTGAACATATATATATGTACGTTAAAAGTGTAAAACTGTGGACTTTGTTGGTTTCAAATAGTTCCAGCTTACTGCTGCCACAACCCTTCAAGAATGCTCGTGAATTGGTGGCAGAATTCCCTGTGTTGAGATAATCCGCTTTAAGCCTGAGAAGCTATATTTGAAGGTGGAGTTTTGGAGTAGGGAAGATTATAATACGAATGGGTGCAGTGATTGTTGTGGAATTCATGTTTAACCGTGCCCTCCGGCACACCAACCACTCCTGTTGTTGGTGCGCACCGGCTCAACACAAATTTCGGCTCAGTGCAAATTTTTTGGGATAAGCTAGAAAAACATTCGATTTACTTCCTCCACATCTGTTTATCTATAATAAACGAAGTACCAGGAGTAGCAGAAAGAGTAGCGCTAGAATCTAATTCTAAAATCGAAAATACTGGATCGCTTTCCACGTTCTGAGTGGCTGATTCTTTCTGACGCTTTTTAGCCCTATGTTCGCGCCTTAACCACTCTTTCTTCATTTCTTTTACCTTCCTGGTGTCAATTTAATGATTTGCATCTTTAACGCTTAGTAAACGTCTTGTTTTAATTTAATAATGAGTTTTTTTCTAAGATTTGCGTTGATTGAGCGTGATAAAGTGTTCAATATCATTGGTAAATTGAGCGCTTAATTTGGCTTGTATAAGATTTTCTGAAAATATCTTATTAAGCTGCCAGGTTTTACTAGGAGAGAGTTCAGATTTGTTCAAGCATTTTCAAAACTTTTCAATGCGTTTATGAAGCTTTAGAGCGGTTTCTAGGGGTAAGATAGATGATGTTGTAGAGAAGCTTCGAATATCTTCTTCTGGCATATTGATGCATGATTTGGGGTTAGAATCAATTGTAATTCTTAATGGTGCTAAGATGATCTCAAAGTTCAATGGCTAAATTCTAAGCGAATTATGCGCGGAGTGAAAGCTTATTGTTGGATATTGTGAAGCGTATATAAAAAGTCATTTTTGTTGAATCTCATGTTGCTGAGTTGGATTTATTGATTAACCATTTTACTATGAAAATGTTTATATTGTTGAAAGGTATGGAATTAAGCGGTTAAAGAAGATATATTACATATGCTGAAAAGCAATATAATATGATTTTTTATTCATTACAATAAGTAATAAAATCCTATGTTAAATGGCTATTATAGTTGTCTATAATAATTAATTGATAATCATTTTTTACTGTTTCATGGGTCATAATATTGAAATGATGAAGCTATTTAAGTGCGATCTCATTGTTAATAAATCCTTTTTTAGATATAGCTACTAGATAATTGTTATTTAAGCTCTTGGTTTGATATCAATACTCTATATGAGATTTACTGGGGATAATAATTATCAGAGAGATAATTATGTTAGCTGTAGACACGCATTTAACAAGCGTTATAGATTTATGATTAGAAGCGCTTCCAAGTTGAGTATTAGATTTGGAATAAGCTGTAATAACAGTCTCATTTTTTTCTTATCCAATTTGGAAGTCTGTGTTACGGTGCCAGCTCGCCTGTCCAACCCGCCGACCTGCTCCCCTGGTCTAACCGAATGTAACTATAGTTGCATTTTAGTGCGACTCAGATAAAAGCTATCCAGCTGCAAGAATCCTATTGTAGCTCCTTGAGCTACGTCTTGTCCTTAATTCTGCACCCAGCCCTGTCTGTCTGCCCGTCCGCCTGGCCTGACCAGTCAATCGTCAATCCTTGATCTCGCCCGCCTGCCGCACCCTGACAGTCTGTCTCGTCAAAATTGTAAATATTTGATGGGGTAAGCTTATATGTTTGATAGAGGATTTTTAACGATTATATTACGTCTGGATAATGTCTAAATCTTTAGATTGAAGGTGTTTTGGGTTACTTAGCTTTTGCTAAGTTTTTTTATATTGGTCCGGCAGATGTTTAATAAATTGATATGGCCAATTTGGTCTAACAGTGGGAAGAGGATTTTGATCAGGATTGATTTGCTGCAAGATCAAATTTGTGCAATTTCTCACTATATTTACTGTGAAAAGCACTCTAATATCATCTAAATATTGAATCTAATTTGTTATTATATTCTTCTGGTCCTTAGTAAATATTTTATTAGTAGATGTGCGTGTTGAGCATGAATTTTTGTTGATAACGTGATTTTGGAGTAGCCAGTAAGAAATGCTATATTGATGTGCCAAATAAGGGATTTTCTTGGGTTTTTTAAGCTTATAGGCTTTTATAGCCTTCAGAATAGCTTCCTCTTCGTTTTTGTATGTGTCTGACTTTATGGCGTTGGGTAATAAGATAAAATGTTGAAAAACGCGAAAAATTTGCACTGAGCCGAAATTCGTGTTGAGCCGGTGCGCACCAACAACGGGAGTGGTTGGTGCGCCGGATTGAGTAATTTGCCATTGTACGAAAGTAATGTAGAGATTATGATGCCTGTCTCGTCTTGCACTTGAAAGATAAGCGGTGTTCCTGGTCGTTTTATGGGATAGTTCAGACATATGTTAGTCGATTCTAGCCCGCCGATCTTCCTCCGAGGGCAGCTTGCTGCGAGACGTGGTGGAGATGATCTTGATACCTTCGTTTTAGCGTGGCGGTGGAATTGGGCTAGGTTTCAAGGAAGACCACGGGAGATGATGGCGTGGCGGTACATTGGGATGCAAGATATTAGACGAAATTGAGCAACATGTTGGATCGCCCTGATAAGTCTCACAAAATAAGTGCAGATCATGAACAGGGTGACCAGGTGAGGCGTCCATTTGTGTTTGTTCAATTGGTAAATCTGAAAAATATTCTTAGTCGGAATATCTCAGTCTTGATCAAATTAGCTGGTTAGATAGCGGGCGACTGTTTGCGACGATTGTTTCGTCGTCATTCGCTTCCGACCAAAATGCAAGTAATTATTCTGCTCAAGTAGGAAAATAAAGCCGGAATATTTGGAAGACGGACTCAATCTCTCGATCACGATGTTTTCGACCCTCTTTTAATACAAAATATTTCATCAGCAAACCTATTCAGGAAGAGAATAATACCGAGACGAGAGCCACGTACCGCGAGACAAACCACCTCATGGAATTTTCGCAGATGGAGAGAGACTTCGACAATTGGTGAAGATAAAAAAAGGCAGCACCAATCCGCGTGAATATCGACAAGAATTTTCCCCTTCTGCATCTCAGCAGAAAATGTCAGGGGCTTTTCTGTATATATATACATGCAATGTCCCATGCCTCCAACCTCCGGGACGAAAGATACAGGACAAAACGAGGGACTGGTACAATAAGATACAGAGTCCCATCCTCCAACCTCCAGGGACTAAATGAAACAAGAATCATACATGGAAGAAAAAAAGCAAGAAATAAGAAATACAAGTTAAATAGAGCGGTGGTTCGAAATCAACTAGCAACCGTCAGAGCTCGATCAACCATTCAACAACTTCAATAAAACTTACCAACTCCCAGACCTATGGACCAGGTACAGAACCCCCAGGCAAATTGCCCTCGTCCCCATCCTGGCTGCCCTGAGGGTTCTGGCCGCCATGGCCGCCATTGTCAATGCTGGGCGGGTTGGGTTGGAGGGGGATACCCCTTTCCGGGTCAGGGGGGAGTCTGCTGCTCCTCCTCATAAGAGGAACGAGGTAGTACCTAATTGAAGATTGTCAGCAAAATGATTTCAAGGTTCCTTCAATGCGATTCAAAAGAAAAGGTTTATCTCACGCCACGAAAGGCCCCCAAAAGTCCGTCCAAGTTTTGACCCCCGCCCAGACGGCCAAGGCGACAACCCCAATCCATAGGGCATGGGAGTTGTTGAACTCTCCCCACCAGCTCGACATATTAAAGTAATATGTAGAGAAGTATACAGTAAGGAAAAAAAACAAAAGAAGCAAAGGAGTACAAAAAAAATTACAGAAGTATCCACACAAACAAGAAACGTTATACAACTGTATCGATGCTTGGAAAAAAGAAAGAAGAGAGGAAAGTAGGACATCAGGGGTTATTTTACATACTGTCTACAGTCTTCTCTATGAGGCAGGCACGTCCTTGGATGGAAATGGAAGGTGCACACCATGAATCCGTGAAGGACCTATGGGTAATGCTCCCGAGGATTCCAATAGATATATCAGTATTGGCCTTGTTATTCTGAACGGATCAGTACATCTAGCTCAACAATGTAAGACTGGTGATAGATGGCTGGCGATAGAGGACAGAAACTATGGTGTTAATTTTTACTGTATCTGGAGAAGAAAAAGATCCTATGTTACTATATTATTGATCGGAATTGGGAATGGACATGATAGGAAATTTGGACGTTGGTGCTTAATCAGGCCGCAGCACCCCCCCTGAACCCGCCTGGCCTAATTCGGCGTCAAGCTGATCCTCACAGCAGGGTCTGTGTTGAGATAAATACAGTAACCTTCGGAGAAAGTGATCATTTGATTCTAGCACAGAGAGGGCGTATAGTGAAGAGTATCATGGATATCAGTCTTGAAGCCGATTACACTATATAAAGACGAATACCTAAGACGAATCTTCGATTAAGCTACATAAAGACGTGAAGAGCTAAAAGAGATAAAGTAGCATGTTCGTTTCCATCGTAATTTCCGTTTCTTCAAGCACATCAAAGGACTCAGAGGCCTATCTAACTCTAGGGATGTAAGAGTAGTCACACGCAAAGAGGTAAGTAATAATACCACCTAGACATAGAAGTAAAAGGCTTTAGAAAAACCATAACTGACCACAAAACGCTCCGGGAAAAAATGAAAAACAGAGAAATTTCTCTTCCGAGTAGAATTTCACACACAAAACTAGTGTCACTTCTGCAAACCACAAATCGGGTGAGGGGTATATGTATAAAGTACAAGAGCTCAGCTCTGAATCATCCAAAGCACCGAGTCAAATTCCGTGAATAGAACAAGATCGCAGGGCGACTGGTCCTCGGTCGATGAATTTCCTACCATAGCATAGTAGGAGAGTAGAAAACACATTTCAAGCACCGGTAGTAGAGTTTCGATTCGTATGTAAACTCCAAAGAACGCCACATTAGTCGTGATAGAAGTCATTTCATGTATCAAACGTCAATCATCTCCGCATCCTCAAGGAGAATATCATCAGCAGGGCCCCAGTTGCCTTCAAAAACTGTTGCTCCGGCTCTACGGCGTGCCATGGCCCATTGAACACCATGGGTTTGAAGGAGCTGGTCAGCTGTTGGACGGTTGTTTGGATCTGGAGAAATCATCCAGCGAACAACCTTATCAAGAGCATGATCGTGGCTGGCATCCACCATGAAGTTAGGAGGTTCGACGAGCTCTCCACTGCGCACAAACTGACTTGGCTTCGGTGGACGAGATTTTGAGAAGTCGACTCCAGAATCGTTGAAGGCAGGATCCGAGCCGCAGAGTTCATCAAATGAGGACTCTTGAGACAAGGGATTCCCGGAGGCGTCACGGAATATGCTTGTTTCTGAGCTCCATGTAAGACTTGGAACATCGCTAATGTCACCGTTGCGAAGTTTCTGCCATGACAATCCGTTGTCGGGAAGCTCGACATTGCCTGCGATTTCAAACATGATAAGACCAAGTGCGAATATATCGGCAGGCTTATCGTAGAGTCCCATCAAGACTTCAGGTCCCATGTACTCCCTGTCACCCTCGCCTTCAATATGTTTGTCTGCAGGCCAAGTAGTAGCCATCCCAAAATCAGCGATTTTAAGCACGCCTTCAAAAGTAATCAGGATGTTGGCAGGTTTCAAATCGAGATGAATGAAACCCGACTCATGAATATGCTTCAAACCCTATAATCAAATTAGCCAAAACTCCATTGCCTGGGTAATTGTAGTCTCTAATACTTACCTGGGACATTTCGAGCAGAATCTTCCAGATCCTGAAGTCATCTAGCCTTGCCTTAAGACCCGCTTGGGCAAGGAAAACATCAAGGCTCCCTTCCTCACAGTATTCCGTTTGAATATAGAGGTGGCCCTTGTCTTCCCAATGGTCGACAAAGGAAATAACATGATCTGAATTGGAGAGAGCCCTTAGAATTTCCACCTCCCGCATTCGGCGAATACGATCCTTTGGGCCGCCAAACACTTGTTTGGCCTTTTTTACTGCCCAAACACGTTCAGGTAGTGCAGATGGAGATGTCGATTCAGTCGGAAGGAGGCTGAAAATTGATTTGTACTGAGATGAGCCCTGTGGATGCGAAACCCGATAAACTTGAGAAAATTCTCCGCTGCCAATAAGCTCAACCTTCTCGAAACGAGATGTCAAACTCGTGTCAACATCGGGAGCATTATAACCACCTAGGGACATGCTCTTTCTTTGACCAGTGGGTGCGAAGTAATCCCGCGACGTAGTTGGTGTAGCTGGGAATGTAATGGTTGACGCATTAAAGTCTTCAAGCTGCAACGGCGAGTCGTTTGGAGCTGAAATGGACAATCCGCTCGGATCTGGTGGGAAAATGCTGTCTCGTGGGGTTCGAGGGGTGGTAGATTCAATGTTGGCATTTGAGGCCTGCTCCGATGGCTGATCTAGAGAATTTTCATGAAACGAATTGAAAATACCTTCGGGAGAAGTGACAGCCTGCTTAGTCGGGGTGGGAGGAAAATCCGAGTCTATTGTGGTTTGGCTATCATGACGCGCTGATGGTGACTGGGAATTGGACTGCTCTTCGCCATCGACACTTACAAAACTGTCACGACGAGATGATTCTGGTTGATTGAACATACCACCGAAAATTCCAGTTCCCCGGGCAAACAGACCAGATGTTGAGCGATTGTGCTGGGTCGGAGTTGATGGAACTGCGAAGGTCTGACGAACTAGCTTTGGTCGTGAAACAGGCCGAACAGGCAAAGCTTTGTGGGCACTTGGAAGGAAGCTGGTAGACTTTTTGCATGGAGTATCAGGCATGTTTTTACTTGCACCTTGCACCTCTTCTGCGTTGCGGTTTTTCTTCGAGATCAGTCCGGTTGACATGAATGCTGCGGCATATGGCTTGGCCTGTTTGTAGTTTTCAGGTGTCGCAAATGAATCAGTTGAAGAGTTCGAGTCTTCGCGAGTCAATTGCCGCTGTACAGCAGGTCGTGTCGCGCCAACCGGGAGGGACTTTGAGAAATTAAAGATAGGCCGTGGTCGGTCACTTTTGTGAATTGGTTCATGAGTTGGTGAATCTTCAGCTAAACTAGAGCTAGAAGATGATTGTGTTATTGCGCGAGATAGGGGGTGCGCTGCATGAGTGGTAGATCCTGATTCAACCTGAGTATTTAAGAAAAGGGGATTGCCGGACGCGGGTCGCGACTGCGGACCAAACAAAGTCTCGCGACTAGATGCCATTGATAAATTGCTATCAAGTGACATGCGATGTTGCACAAACGGGCTTGTTGGAGGAGAATCGGCGTAATCGACGTTCGTAAGTCGCGAGCGACTGAAAATTGTCCTATCACCCTGGCGCTGTAAAAGAGTTGAACGACGAAGGGATGAGGATCGCTTAGGAATAGTTGCGAAAGGTCCAGCAGGTGAAATCAAAGGAAAGTTGGCCTGCGCGTCAAAGTCACGGGTCATGGCGTCAGAAGAGTCGCTGGATGATTGTGAACTGTCGGTGCTATCGAAGATGCTGAAATCGAAGCCGCCACTGACACTATGCAAGCTGCGGCGTTTGGCGGAGGGACTTTCAAACCCAGCCTGGTCGAGTTGCATTGCCCCGTCGCTCCGTTTGAGTGGACTGGCTGTGGAGGCTAGAGAGCTGAAATTACCGCTGCGCCTTTTCTCGACTCGACTGAGAGTTGGTTTCAGCGCGCCGCTGTTATTTTCTGTTGATGTTACAGCGTTGTTTGGCCCTGGAAGAGATTCGGTCGAGGTGCCCTCTTTTTCAAAGCAATTTTCATCTCCAGTCAGAACAGGAGTAGGTTGGACGGTAGTTGCATTGCCGTGGTCACTAGAGACGTTGAGAGCGCGTTTGGAGGGGCTTTGGGGGGATGTGCGTATACGTGTGTTTTGCAGGGAGCCACTCCTGCGCATTACTGGCCGAGAGATCTTTGCACTAGGAGGGAATGGAATTGCTAGTGGTGTTGATTGAGTGGCTGTGGCAGTTGCAGTAGTAGTTGTTGTTGTTGGTAGTAAACAAGAGGTTGTTGTTGGAACAAAAAACAGGTTCCCACGTCGTGAGGGTGACAGAGGTGAAGAGACAAAGGGGGTGTTTGGAGTGTGTGGGTGTGAGCGTGAGGATAGAGGACGGAAATCTGCACTCTTGGAAGGGGATCGTGATAAAGACCGGCGTAACTGCCTTATGGCTGAACTAGCATCAACATGATGAATTCCACTGGGAGATGGGAGGTGAAGGGTGCCTCCACCATCCCGGTGAGGTGAAAACGTTGCGACCATGCTTATGAGGAATGCTCGGCAGGGCGATGTGCCAATGATATATAGGCTGCACAGTTGACTGCAGGTCCCTTCCCAGCTCGGAGGTCTCTTTCAACCCCTTATCTGTCTCGGTCGTTCTTATATTACGTCTATTCTCTGGACTCGAATCGAAAGTCCTCTCCTCAATGCGACGTATTGTACACCGACTTAGCCACCTGTGACTCGGTCGATATCCTAGGTGCCCTATTAGAGGTTAAGGCTGAAACACAAGCCCGAGGAAATTTACTATGTTTTGGTTGGAATGTGGTACCCCGGAGAGGTGGTGGTTCTGGATAAGTCTGCGTCACAGTGTGTGGCGTGAATCACAAGGTCATATCGAGGAATTCGAACAACAAATGGTCGCGGTGCCTCCATGCATCTGGCTATGGCTCTTCCCCTCGGCACCAAGTCTGGGGCGTCGACCTTCCACTCGCAACTTCCCCTCCCCCCAACAGGCGCACACCTGGGTGAGACAGCGGAAGTGGCTCAGACCCTTGTCGCGGCGGAATGGATATCTGAAGCGCTGTGGAATGTGTGGGAGTGATCTAAGTTTTGTGGGATGCGATGGGTCTGACTCAGCTTGGAGGCTCTGGAATGCGGCGCAGCTTTGTCGTTCGAACGATGAGTGGTGGTCACTTAGGCGCAAACCAGGGTGGTCAGAGGAATGAATGGAGAGAGGGTAAAACTTCCAGCGACGGACGGTCCACCAACTAGCCAATGTCCAAGAACCAAATTTAGACAGAAGTGCGAGCTGCAACCAGGATAAGTGAGGTACACAGATGATTGCTGATGGTCGAAGCGAGATCGAAGGTGGTCGAGAGAGTTAAGGATAAGGAGCCCGGAAGAGAATTAAGAGTTGTAGTAGTTGTAGTAGTCGGGCGAGAAAGTGGCCCGTATCAGCGCGGGCGTGTGGGCTGATGGTTAGCCGAGCGAGAGAGCGAGCAGGAGGAGGGTATGGCGGTATGGTTGGTTGCTGTTGATGGGCTGCTGCTTTCAATAATAGTTATGATGGATGCGATGTGATGTGATGTGGTATGGGGTGGTGTGTGTGTGTGTGTGCGAGACTGTGAGGGAAACACGCGCCCCAAAGCGCGTTGTTGTTGAAACTGCGCAGAATGTTGACGTTGCGGGCGCCAAGTGGGGCCGCTAGGGGCCGGCCGGGACGCGCAACGACACGCTTGGCTCTATTTGCTCAACCTCACCACACACATCACACATCACAGTGCACACATCACACCTCACAACATTAATCATTCTTTTATTTATCGCTAAGATGTATGTATGATTACCCGCGATATGATCTCCATTTATTGCCAGAGCAGACCAGAGCAGACCAGAGCAACCGCCGTCTACCAGCCCAGAATATCTAGCTTGCCTGCTGACGTCGGGCGATCTGCGCCCACCACCCAGCAAGCGTCACCACATCACAGCGCAGTGGCAATTTTCGATAAATAAAAATCAACAGTTCGTAGTGCAAGTGCAAGTGCGGCGCAGCGGTTTGTTGATATCGACTCAATAGCACTGACGTAGTAGCCAGCCTATGCGAGCTTCGTAGGCTTATCACTGCTCCCACTTCCCCTGAACTTCTGATGTCTGCCCGCATCTGCGTATGATCCCAATAACCTTATCAGTATCGATACCAACCGATAAGTTAGCCAATCGATAGTAAATAGATACTGGGCCGTATTATCGACAAACAATACCCGGGAACGCGTGCAGTTCTTCGGCCAGCGTCCTAACTGTCAATCTCATGGTTGCGCGCCCTTGCATGTGTCATCCCTTGTTGGGCCTCGACTCCCCCCATAAATGAGCGCGATTTTCGAAGCCATCATACCAATCATTCTAGTACTCAATGGCTGCTGCGCACTTGCGAGAAACACCACAGCATCACATTTGTCGTATCAATAGTCAAAGACACAGTTCTCCATCTGTTGCTGCTGTCTGCATACTGTCAATACGATCAACGGGACTATTTGCTGATGCCTGATCAGTCCAGCAGCCATTACCAACCACGTAGATGCAATAAACTTTGAAACAGATTTTTCAGCCTCAGAAATGCAGCACGGCTAATAATGTTCGATTGACAGGGGTTTGTCAAAAAGCTATTAGCTCCAATGCTGACTTCTGATGTAACAAGCTGAAACAAAAATGACACCTGTCATAATGGAAAACATCCTAGTGCTCTTACGACCAGCAACAATCAATAATCTAATTTGGCCTGAGAATCGTGGCATGTCATGCTATTGACAACAGGCTGGTTTAATTACTTGTAAGTTGTTGGTGGCTTCGCACGTGATTCATGACGATACCGCATCTATCTCCATTCATACCGAATTCAGCTTCATTACTTCCTAATGTACACAAGAAAAAAACTTGAATTGTCTAAATCACTTGCACATCATTAAATCTTATCTCTAGCCTGAAAATCATCAACACATCACAGTCTCTTGACGAAGCATGCATCTCTTAAGCAACCAGCTGCTCTAAGTCTTTTCGTACTTGGTCTAGAATTATCCCGGCTTTCCCTTCACCGAAAACTGTCTCCGACCCGAAAATTCCCACGTCCATCTTTCCTTCACGGATGCCTACTTCAATATCGAAGCAATTCTGAATCACCATTAACAAATTCCGTTCACAAATCCACATAAAAGTGGAGAACCTACTCTGTAAATTCTCGATAAATCCTCCTCTTCCCCAGTCAAAAGGCCTAAGTGCTCATGGACCTGACCATTTATTTCATTGGATGTTATCTCCTCCCGCTGAACTGGGATAAAGCGAATGTTTCCTTGCGCAACATTGAACCCAGACTCTGGCAATCTCAAGAAATTGACAAACACATCCACATGGACTCCGGTCCAGTCCATAATCTCCACCAAAGACACTCCAGAATGCTCTACTCGGCTAATCTCATGTAAGTCGCTTTGGATTTGATGAGCGATTTCAATGGTAGGCTTTTTGAGGCTTCGAATACGCAAAGGTACCATGTTCAGGGTTGGTGCAATTAGATCTGGTAGCCCATCAAGCTCATAGCCCCTGTTCGCCAAGTACACACCCAAAACAAGATCTTCAGTGCTTGCGTTGCCTGCCAATTGCGCATGCACCTTGGAATACACCGCTATGAATATCGACTGAAGACTAAGACCGTTGTGTCGTGCAACGGTCTCTAACTTATCTACACTATCAATAAGACCCGGTTGATACAATTCGCTTCTCTCACTGGATTCTTGCCCGCTGATGTTTCGTTGAGATTCTCCAGGCATCCCGGAAAGATAACTTCGCCAGAATTGTTTTCGGACAGCCAGCAGCGACTGCGCACCTTGAAATTGTATGAATTTGGAGAAATCCAATTCTCTATCATGAAGCCACTCGCTGCTACATAACTGACCAAGGCAATCTATAATCTTCGGAAGAGATATAGCGTCATAGAGGGCATGGTGTATATGTAAGTTTATCAAGATTCCCTGATTGGTGCCAGTCGCATGAATAGAAACTGGTCCTGAAGCAATAGGGCATTGTTTTGGTCGTAGAAACTCTGCGTCTGAAGCTGTCTCATGCCAAAAAATTGAACTTTTCGACTCCTTTAAAATCGCCTGTGCGAATGCAATCTCTCGTATGCCGGTACGTATAAATATTGTGCGCAGAATAGGAAGCTGCGATACTAGCCGTGTCCACGCTTTGTCCAGCTGCCCACTAGAGAGACTGTTAACAGAGTAGAAAAAGCTCGGGTAGAAGATTTGTGGATTTTGCGCATGCATAGCAAGGCAATATATTTGTCCTGATGTAGCTGGAAGGACCTTTTCAACCTCATTTTGCGGGATTTTGTTTAATAACAAGATTCCTTCCACATCAAGACTGTTCAACTCTGAGCTAGAAAAAATGCCCGGATTCTCAGCATAATCTTTTTGAGTTTTGACTGCTTTTGCCATTTCTTTGATAGACCCTGCCTTCAGCATTGTGGTGACCGGTAGAATGACCGACCGGTGTTTCAACAAGGTGCAGACTTTGATGGCACTGATACTGTCGAGTCCAAGGTTGAACAATGTCGAATCTTTGCTGATATTTTCTCGGGGTATGCCTGATAATATTGAGAGCGTCTCGCATATGCAAATTTCCAAATCAGTCCACGTCGTGGTAGTTGCTGATTCATCGGGGTCCTTTATCTCGTCCTTCTTCTGGTCATCAGCCTTCTCTTGGAAGACAGCACTTTGGCACACTATCACACCATTATCTGTGAAATCGACTGTAGGATGTTGTGGCTCGGACATAATGAGATGGAACACTTTGCTCATTTTCTCTAGAACATCTGCCGCGTCGTTCAACCCCAAAAGGTCGTCTCGAGCTGCGATGCGAGATATCATTGAATCCCCCTCAAGTTCCATCTCAACTGATAATGGATAGCCTGTATCAGCTGACCCCTTAATTGATTTGTAAAGAGACTCATGGCCAGTGTGCGACGTTGTTGGCCGTTTCTGGTATATAAAGATCGTGTCAAAAAGAGAGCCAGCTGCGACTTCAGTACTTGCTTTCCGGAGTGGATAGTATTGGTGTTCGCTCAATTCCCCAAGGGTGCTCTGGATGTATTTAAGCATATCCAATCGTGAACCATGGAGAATGGCCCTGAAGACTACAGTATTCATTGTTGGAAACATGATTTCGTTGGCATCAGCAAAGTTTCGGCCAGAAAGAACAAGCCCGAATCCGACATCCAGGCTTCTGACGAAGCTGGCTAGTGTAAGGCACCAGGTTGCTAAACTTAGGGCTTGTACTGTGACCCCATTTTTCTTGCAAAACTGCGTAATATCCTCACATGGAACGTTAAAAGACCGCTCCAAGCGATGCAAAGTTGATCTATCTCCTCGAGCCTCTGTCCCTCTTGGAAATCGACGGGGTATAAAACCTTTGAGGGTCACATCCCAAAAATTTCGATGACTATCGTCTGACAAAGTAAGGATCTGTTCCAATGGCCCTTCGTATGGAGGCCGGGTAACGGAATGGCCGAGGTATGCCTTCTCAATATCGGTATGCAAGAGATCAAAAGACCATCCATCGTATAGTGCGTGGGCAATAGACAGGATAATGTAACGCTTGTTATCCGTCTGAGCACCTTGTATGGAAAGGGACGGTCGAGTCTTATTGCCATTGATTGACTTGACGTAATTGTCAATGGAGTTCTCTCGTAAGTCAATCACTTCAATCCCATTCCCATTTGGCGCATGTACTATTTGAGCGTAAGAGTATGGGATATTTGGATCCTCTACTTCCACGAAGGTTGTCCGGAGAATGTCATGAGCATCAACAACAGTCTTCCAGGATGTCAAAAGATTTGAAAAGTCCACATTCTCTACTACTTCAAAGACTTCCAATGTATAGTAGTGCTGGTATTCTGACATAATCATCTCTGCAACCATTGCTTCCTGAAGTGCCGTGGGAGGTAGGACTTTGACTACATCCACCGGAAGCTTTCCATCTTGCTTCAAGCTTGCAGTAATTTTCTGACTCAGCTTATTAAGGGAGAACCCTTGTTTCTTCATTATTGAATTTGACGGAGTGGACAAACTATTTGAAATTTTCAAGACGGTCCTTTGGTTCATGATCGAACTGACGGGAAGGCTGATTCCACGGGCCCTTAATCTTGAGGACAATTTCACAGCATCAATGCTATCCAATCCAAGCTCAAAGATAGACGTGTCGAGGTGGATCGACTCTGCATCAACACATGCAAGCTCGGCGATAACGCTTCGAATTTCAGTCATATCTGGTGTCCAGTCATGTTCACGACCTGAGTTCACGGTTTCATAATCACCGCTTTTTTTAGAGTGGTGAAAAGCAAAGGAGTGCTCATTGGGTCCTTGAAATTCACTAGGAAGTTTTGTCTCCTTTTCAAGATGTATTGTTTTGCAGATTCTCTCGAAAGTAGACAAGAGTGATTCTGCCTCATCTGCTGAAACAGCGTGGTTTTTGGCCGCCAAAGTTACTGTCATATTACCTGTTTGGCTTTGTTGAACTTCAAGGGAGAGGGGATAATCGACAGTAGCGACAGAATCGACCTCCGACCATATCTCTTCATTCGTAGGGTTAGACTTTTGATATACGAATAGTATCTCAAATAGAGGCTGATTTGGTTTTCTTCCTAGCCATTTTCCAATATCACGGAGAGGAGTATGTTGATAAGGAAGAGTGGATACATAATAGTGATGGCAGGACTTGATAAGATCGGCTTTCGTGTTTGAGGAATGAAATGAAATGTAACTAGGAATAGTGTTGAACAAAGGCCCAACAACGTACTCTGCGTTAGGAATATCAAGTGCTCTTCCAGAATTCACTATTCCCAGAGGGGGGTATCGGCAAAATACTCATACAGCGTTAGAAGCCAGCACGCGTGAAAGATGGCGTTATCCGTTACTTGCAGAGAAGCCTTTATATCAACGAGGCCGTCGATCTTCTTTAACTCACGAGTCAAAATTATTGCTTGTAATGAATCGCTTGGCAAATCGTCCTTAAAGTAACTCTTTGCAGGAAGATCATTGAAGAGGCTTGTCCAGAAATCTTTAGCTTCTGGTAATTCTCGCAGTGGTCCTCGCGGTAAGACTTCTGTGAAAGAAGGGATATTATCCGGGATTTCTTTCCTATGGTATCGTAAAGTGACTTGTTCCAAAAGTAGAGGAAGACTATTGCCATCATAGAGTGCATGAAATATGTTCAAGCAAAGCAATCTTCGGTTTGAAGATTTGATGATTCTTATGCACCACAAAGGGCCAGAAAAATCTTGTATATCGTCACACCATGACTTCCACGAATTCTTTCCGCGACCTAGTATGTCATCATCTGTCGCTGTTATCTCTAGCCATTTGATTTCATCGTGCTTCAAAAACACTTGCGCAAAGCCGTCGGGCAATGCAACCATCCGAACACGAAGCAATTGAATGTTTTCCTGCGTCTCAGACCAGGCTGATCTCAGTTGTTCGAGATCAACGTCGGAATTTAGCTCAAATCTAAACAAAGAGCAATATGGGTGTCCCGAACTTTCTAGAAAGCGGGCAATCATTCCTGCCTGTAACGGCGTGCAAGGAGCTATCTCTTGAATAATGTGAGTGGGAACACCGATACTCTCGGCAGCGGTAAAGGTGTATCTATGCGCAAAAGCCTTAATCTTCTGCTTACAATTTTCGTAATCCATCTTCGACAAAGCGGTCTCAGAATTGGAACTCTTCAATGCCGAAGCAATGCCTGCAACAGAGGGGTCTAAATTGAGCCAAGGTGTAAGTGAGAAAGTCGCGTATAGGGGGAGTCAGGTTCTTACTTTTCATAATCAAAGAAACATGGGCTCCAACATATCCAGCATCCCTAAACTTCTGGGCAAGTCCTATAACCGAAATTGAATCCAATCCAAGGTCATAGATGCTGGTTGAATGAGAAATTTCATTAGGCTTTACTTTGGAAAAGTCCGCAAGAACCCGAACAATATGTCGAACGTCTTCGCGACATGAAGACCGTCTTTTTCGGCTAATAGAACTTAGTTGTTGAAGCTTTTCAAGAGAAATCTCTGCATAGAAGGCCCTCAAGGCTTTCATCTCAACTTTATTATTCGCAGATAACGGCAATGCTGAAATCGGTATAATATGAGTTGGAACCATGTATCCAGAGAGCTTTGCTTGAGTAAATTCTTGGACTGACGCAATAATATTGTATATGTTATCATCCTCAACAATCTCAAGGGCTTTCCGTTTTTTGTCTGGCCTTTCCCTCGCAATGAAAGACACGAGCTGTTCTCTCATCTGACTTGGGTGTTTGATCACTAGAGTCGCAACTTCTGCTATCTCGGGGGTCGACTTTTGAATAACCGCGTTTATTTCCCCTATTTCGAGTCGCTGGCCTCGGATTTTCACTTGATCATCTATACGTCCCAGGAACTGAAAGCTGTAGTCATGCAGTATTCTGACGAGATCGCCTGTACGATATACTCGCTCGTGATACTCATCGATATACTGGAATTTCTCTCGAGTTAATTCCGGGCGATTCAAATAGCCTCGGCCCACTAAAGCACCAGATACACATAATTCACCTATACCTCCTCGAAGCACAGGAGTCGTTGTACCTGGTTGAAAGACGTACGATCCGACATTGTCAAATTGAGCACCAATATTAGACGATTTGCTATTCTCGTCCATCCTGGGAAGCATAGTGCAGCCAATGGTAACTTCAGTAGGACCGTAACCGTTGTATATTACCTTTTGTCTTCCCCACGCATCTAAGATCTCCTGCTTGAGCGCCTCCCCACCGGTGATAAACACTCCTTTGCATAATGATGGCACTTCTTCTGGGGTAATTAACTTGGCAAGACTTGGAGTGAGATCCACATGGGAGATTTCAAGTTGCTTCATAGTCCCAGCAAGATCTTGAAACAAAAGGTCTCGAGGGCAAGAGGTGACACATATTCCTACACCCCAACTCCAGTACTGTTCCAGAACGCTGACATCAAAATGAAATGAAGCAAACTGTAGCCAGCGAGAATCTTCATCCCAGTTTTGGTCAAATAATCTTGAGAAAGATTGCATAGCCTGTACAGCATTATCATGCGTTATTTCACAACCCTTTGGAGTCCCTGTTGTCCCGGACGTGTACAGACAATAGCATGTATCATCTGGATAAATTGGGTTTGTAGAATCTATTGGGTCCGCTGAGATGTCATCTAAAATACCGGGTTTGTCCAATTCAACTGTAGTAACACCTGAAAGCGAGTTTAGTTCTTCGTGCTTATCTGAGGTGCAGAGTAGGGTGCGGACGGCTGAATCCTCAACAATGAACTGTTTCCTGGCTAACGGCGAACTAGGATCCAGTGCAACAAATGCATGGCCACCTTTAAGAATACCCAATATAGCAAAGTATGCCTCGGGACATTTGTCAAAGCATATCGCAATCAGACGCCTTTCACCCGTTTCAAGGGTTTGCAGCAGTCTAGCAACTTTGTTTCCAATGCGATCCAATTCACTATATGTCCAGGTCTCTTTCTTGATTTTTTCAAGACTCAATCCTGAAACAAACTCAAGAGCTACTCGGTTCGGGGATCTTTGCGCACTGCTTTCCACAAATTCGTGCAGTAATGCAACTTGAGAAGGAATACGAGACTCTTTGGCTGGCGTTATAGAAAGCAGGTTACGCTGCATGGTCGAGATATCTCTACAACTCGATTCTGCACGAAGCAAACAATCGAGTAGAAGATGGTCAAATTGCCTCAATATGAGATCTGCATGTGATTGCGGAACAACATCCCCTCGACATGTCACGCGCAACATAACACCTTTGTCATCGGGAACCATTTCCATCGATATAGGATACTGATAAATTATCGTTAGAGATCGAGTGTGGGGACTGTACAAGGCTCAATCATAACTTACATCAACTCGAGCATCTTCTTCAACCACCTCCCAAAATTGACTTTCTTCCTTCGTGTGTGAGAATTTCTGATAGGCAAAGAGAGTGTCCACGAGTCCTCCATCAGCTTTAAACAACTTTTGAATTTTTGTAAATGGAGTGAACTGGTGTTTCATGAAAGAAGCGTTGGTTTTCATGATTGAAGAAATAAAACTCCTATTGCTTCCTTCAACAAGACATCGAAAAGGAAGCGTAACTAGACAGGGAAATGATACATTTTGGGCATCACGAGAGATGTCACGACCTGATAAAACCAGTCCAAAGGAAACATTAGTCTCGCCGGTATACGCAGAAAGGAGCCTAGCCCAAGCAGCTTGTCCTGCAGCTTGTAATGTAACGCCGATAGCTCTACACCTTTCACTGATCATGTCTAGAGGCGCTGAAGAATATCGACTAGTTTCAATCATTTCAGATGATTTCTCGTTAACAGGGTTCAAGTTGGGAAAGCTTGTGATCTGAAACTCCGAGCCCACTTCACTCCAAAAATTATCTATATCGGTATTTATTGAGGATGCGGAGTTGAGAATTTGTCCAAGTACTGGTGATATAGACGCAAGACGAGGTAAACTTTGTGCTTGATAATCACGTGCAACATCTGAAAGTATCATATCCATAGATTGGGCGTCGTATATGGCATGCATAGCAGTTATATCGAGCTCTGCTGCAGATTGGAGATCTCGTACGAAGATTAGCCATGGAGGCAAATGTAGGTTTGCATGGATAGATTTTCTTCGATTTTCATGCTCATTGTTTGAAGATACCGTTTGATATTCGGTCCACGGAAGAGGAATCTGGCCGGGAGAATAAGTAACCATAGCGAAAGGGAAGTCACGATCCTTTAAGTGGATGAAGCCAGTTCGTAACATTTCATGTCGAGCCATTGTATTAGACCAAGCACTCTTCAGGCGTTTAAGGTCAATCGGTGCCGTTGACTTTAGTAAAAGTCGGTTACAGTATAGATCACCATTAGATCTGGTAAACTCCGCCAGCATGCCAGCCTGGGTTGATGTACATGGGCGTATAGATTCAATATCTTTTTCTTCGAGATTCAAGCGATTCTGAACATCTTCTCTGTGAGTTTTCTCAAATGAAGCGAAGTCAAACATTTTCATAGACGGTGAGGCATTGCGATGTTGCAATAAATTTGCAATTCCACTTGTGCTTGGATTCTTTCAAGATGTCAACTCCCGTTAAATTAGCAGGGGTTCTGACTTACTTCAAGAATATCTGCTGCAGAAACCAGATAACCTGCATCTTTCAAGAAGGCTGAAATCTGGATGGCATTGATACTATCGAGTCCAAGCTGGAATATGGTGGTATCATGTTTGATAATCTGTGGATCACATCCAGATAGTCGGGAAATTATATCTCGAACTCTTAACTCTTCATCCGAAAGTTGTAAGCCCGCCAGCCTTGATCCTAATTCTTTCTTCCCATTTACAGCGATACTTTCCCTGAAATCTCTTGCCTTCTGTGCAATTGTCGGTAGGTCTCGGAGATTACGATGATCAATAGCTTTGGAAAGTGGGTATCGTAGTATCTGGATGACAAGATCCGTGAAATCCTTGATTATAGTCTTTGCATCCACTACCGTTACTTGACGGGAGTTGACATGGAGGTGTATTGATAAATTGTCATGCCGTACACTTGGTAAAATTTCAAGAATAACCGGAAAATCCATGTCTCCTTCCTCGGACAACATTTGCCACAGTTCATGGTCTAGCTCTGTGACAGGGGGCTGAAGCAGCACAATCGAGTCAAATAGAGGTTTACCTGAAAGCTTCTTCGAAATTTGCCTCAATGATGTGTGCTGATAAGCCATGATGTCGATGTTGGCTTTGTGTGCTGATTTCACCACATCAAGACTAAGTGCTGTATTCGATACTTGAAAACGAACTGGGAGAACACTGAAGCACGGCCCAATGATGTCTTCTATACCTTCCAGTGGTATCGTCCTGCCACTGAAAACATTTCCAAAGCAAATATCTGATGAAGTGGTATAGATTGATAGTAGCATTGCCCAGGCTCCCTGGATTAGGCTCAGAGGAGTCACGGAGAGATTCTTACACATTGTTTCAAATTCTGTCAGCGGAAGCTCAAATTGTTCTTTATAAATATCAATTGAATGACTTCTGGCCATCGGGTCCGTTGTCAAGGACGGAAAGAGAAGTGATCCAGGAATGCCATCCAAGTATTTGTTCCAAAAAGGATTGGTGTCTTCCTCGCTATTTGCAAGGATATAATTGACGAATTGACGGAACTGTGTAGGAACTGGTAATTGGCCTCCAGCATATGACGTTTCAATTTCCTTCAAGAGCAGAGCCATTGCTTGACCATCATGCAATGCGTGATGAATCGAAAATAGAAGTACTTTCTTGTCAGTGAAAGCTTCAGTAAGGGCAACAATTGAATATGGGACTGTAAAGGGCTGCTGAGCGTGCGTGGCAAATAATGACTTTTGACTCAAGATTTCCATGGCCAAATCTGTAGTTTCAACTACAGTCCAAGGTATCGAAACTGTTTGAAGGATAGCTTGTACAAAGGTAAATCTAGCATTGTTCGTAGTAACAAAACACGTGCGTAGAACTTCATGCCTACAAGCCATCTGTTGCATTGTATCACGAAGCTTACCAAAGTCTCCTTTGAATTCAAGAAGGATGTGGTTGCAGTAGGCGTTGTCCTCATTCGATATTGTGCGGGATAACATTGCTTCCTGCAAAGCAGTACAAGGAATCACTGCTTCCACCTTGTGGCCTGCTGAGTAGAAGTCCTTCAGCACTTTTTGGACTAGTTCATCTCCCAACAGACTATTCTTTTCTAAATCTATCGTTTGCGATTCATTGTATTCTTGTTCTTGCAGCGTCTTCTTTCTGATCGCCCTTGATAGCGCTCCAATCGAGGAATGCCGCAGAATTAAAGAAACATCGACCTGACCAAAGCCGGATTTTCTAAGCAGCCTCGAAACATGAATAGCAGATATCGAATCAATACCGACATTATATAGAGACGTGCTTGGTCGTAAAAGCTCTAAGGGAATTTTTGTCGCTTGAGAAATGATATTTGCAACCTTCTCTTCGTCCTCCGAGAGTTCAGTACTATGAGTATCTCCTTGTGATTGTGAAAACTTCTCCAGTTCCGCTGGGGATAGCATTTCAAACATATCTTTCAGCTTTCTGTTATCTATTTTCTTCACGATTGTCATTGGGATTGCTTCCACTGGTATTAGATACGAAGGAACCATATATGAAGACAACCTAGCAGTCAAAGACTCAAAAAGAATCTTGATTGAGTGCTTCAACTCATCGTTGAACTCCATTGGCGTGAAAAGAAGCCTTGGAACAAAGAAGCTAACGAGCTGCTGTCGAGAATTGCTTTTGTCTCCGACTATCATTGATGCACAATCTTGAGCCTCACTGTTGAATAGAATAGCACTGTTTATCTCTCCTAGTTCCACTCGCTGACCACGAAGCTTGACTTGGTCATCTCGGCGGCCAACGAACATTAATGATCCGTCGGGGAGCAGTCTCCCAAAGTCGCCAGATCGATACAGTCGACCAAATTCAGGGTGGATGAAGAATTTCTCCCTTGTCAAGCTCGGTTGATTGAGATAACCTTGTCCCTTTATTCCGTGTCAGAAATTGAGTATAACCAAAGGAATAACGGGGATTCAATGCGCTTACAACTTGATCACCCCCAAAACAGAATTCACCGACAGCGCCTCGTAGTAGCAAGGAGAATCCAGGGCCTTCGGAGGTAACGAAAACGGAGGTGTTCTTGAAAGGTTTGCCGATATTTCTTGCATTATCAGAGATGGTGACGTTGGATCGAACTGTGCAAATATTTGTGGTTTCACTTGGACCATAGCCTGAGATACTTGTTTAGACCTCGACTAGAAATTTTCCATCATCAGTACTCTTCCCTTACTTACCTTGATACAAGCCCATCCCCGCCCAATCGTGGTGTACCTTTGCCGTTAAGCCCTCCCCAGCAGTTACTAGCATTCTCACACTCGGTACATTCTCGGGTTTAATAAGAGCTGCTACCGTTGGAGTGAGACTGAGGTGAGTTACATGTCTGTTTCGTATAACCTCCTCGATATCCCGAAACATCACATCATTTGTGGCTGAGCAGAGAGTCATCCCACAGTGCCATGAAAAAAATATCTCAAAAACAGAAACTTGAAATTGTCAACTTCTACCTGACTGAAGCCATAGGGTAATACTAACCATCAAAGGCCTGTGAACAAGCTTGAAGGAGCTTGGGATGATCCCCAATTGGATATATTTCAGCGAGTGTTGCAATATTGCTTTGTAGGTTACGATGAGTGATCACGACTCCTTTAGGTTTCCCTGTACTCCCAGACGTGTAAACAACATAGGCTGCATTAGAATCTTGATGGGAGGATGCAGGATTCTCATCTGAGTACTGTATAAAATCCACGTCCTCGAGATCCAGAAGACGCAACCATTCCAGATGCTTCAGTTCAGAGATGAGACTAGGTGTAACAATACATACTCTCGGCCTAGTGTCATCCAAGACAGTTCGAACCCTTTGGTTCGGTGTCAAAGGAGTCAAAGGCACGTATCCTGCACCGATTTTTATCACTGCCAATATAGATATGTATAGTTCCAGAGATTTATCCAGAATTATGCCGACAAGATCTCCGCCTCTGACGTTACAGCTCAGTAGATAGTGAGCTAGCCGATTACTCCGTTGATTAAGTTCGTGATAAGTGAGAGAATAAACACTACTACCTCCAGTATCTGGGTCAAGATCGTGAATAAATTCAACAGCATTTCGCCTAGGGTTTTTCGCAGCCAGCTGCTCGACTTGATATGCCAACGATGTCAAATCATCTAGATGTACAAGGCGATTATTTTCTATCGAGAGTATAGATGAGGAAAGTTGATGATTAAAATTATTGAGTTGCGAGTCCAGCGAGTTGGTGAAGAGGGTGGCGATTTCATCAATCTGCTCTAGTAGTAAATTTGCCTGAGCTTCCGGGAAGACAGACTCCTCGTATGTCGCAACCCCCATGACTTTCCCATCCTTAGGTTCCAGTTCGATAACTAAAGGAAATTCTAAAAAGTCCTCGGCTGCGACTTGCTCAAAGTAAGAGCTAGTTCTCGAATCATGCCCTGGAAGCTCCTGCCAAACAAAAAGGCAGTCAAACAGACGGGTCGAGTTATCGACGCCAGAAAGCTTTTTGATTTGGCGAAGTGAAATATTGCCATATTCCAATGTCTTTCGATTGCTTCTTTGAATGACTATTAAAAGATCATGAATAGTTCGTACCCATGACAGATTTACGCGGTTGGGAAATATACGAAGGCAAGGCCCGATGGTGTTTTCGATGCCTTCAACAGGTAACGTGCGGCCTGAGAAGACAGTGCCGAATATCACATCATCGGTATCCAGATATGAAGATAAAATGTATGCCACAGAAGCCTGAAAAAAGGCCTGTCGGCTAATCGAGAGGGACCGGGCCTGTCTATCGACATGTAGTAAAGAAGTGTTGAAAGTTCGGTAGGCCTTTCCAACTCTTTTTGGTACATCAATTTTGCTCTGGAACAGCGGCAACGTCGAAGGCATAGCTCCTCGTATATAGTCTTCCCAGTAAGCCGCCTTTGCAGCGGATTGTGAGGAATTTGTTGTTAGGTAGTGCCTTACTACGTTAGAGAATGGAAGTCGAGTATCTAAATGTTCCCCAGCCAACGCAGATCGAAGGTCATCTAGTACCAACTCCCAAGACCAACCGTCATAAATTGCGTGATGTAGTTGAACCAGTACTCGAACCGATGTTTTCTCTTGAATAAACTGAACTTTAAAGGGTATCAAAATGCTGTCGTCAAATTCTATACTCCAATCATAATCGAAAGATGTTTTCTCTTGAAAATAGTCGTCCAAATTTGCTCTCTTCCATGCAACTCGACAAAAGGGGTTTTCGGGTACATCAATTTTAAGGAAGACAGAGCGCAGCATCTCATTATGCTTTATGAGCGTAGATATAGCTTGTTCTATGGCTGGTAATTGGAGACCCTCTTGAAATCTCAGTTCGACCCAATTGCAATAAGCTTTGTGATCTCGAAGAGATTCAGAAAGCATGGCTATCTGAGTGTCGCTGCATGGCTCTACTTTGTCGACAAGTGATCGAATACCCTTTGCATCGAGCACAGCCAACCCCGTTCTGCTAATTGATTCCCATATGTTATTAATATTTCTGTCGGAAGGTTCTTGCAAATGTTCTCCAGTCTCCTTAGCAAAGTCCCAGATATTGCTAACTGTATCCGCAACCAAAAGAGTTCCGACATCTAAATTAATGCTTATCTCGCGTAGTTTCGCAGCCAATCTAATACCAGTCAGAGAGTCCAACCCCATGGCAGAAAGACTCTCGTTTTGATTTTCAAAGGTGCCCAAAACGGTACCCACTGCCTCATAAATGCGTTCCTCAAGCGAATCTCGAAATGACATAATCGATCCTGTTGTCTGTTTGAGATAGTTCTGGTCATAGTCTGCCTCCAGGGCTTTTTTGTTTACTTTTCCGGAATCAAGTCGCGGAAATTCTCCAAGAGTGACATAGTCTCCAGGGACCATATAAGTTGGAAGCAGTTTTTGACAAAATCGACGAATTTCTTCCGGTTGCACGTCTTTCTCATTATCGATCAATACCCATGCAATCAGTATTCCACGAACTAAACCAACAATGGCGCTGTGGATATTCGGATGAAGGCAAATAACGCTTTCAATTTCTCCCAGCTCCACCCGCTGGCCACGTAATTTAACCTGACCAGCAGATATTCTCCCCAAGCATTCAATTCGCCCATCTGGTAGGATTCGAGCCTTATCTCCTGTTCGGTACAATCGACCATGTTTTGAATTACGGAGAAAAGCCTTGGCATTTTCAACCGGGCGATTAATATAGCCTTGTGCCAATTGTGGCCCGCCAACTACCAGCTCTCCTATCTGACCAATAGGTAGTATCACGGGATCTGAAGAGGGTGGATTCTTTTCAAGAGACATCACAAAAGCAGAGACAGTCTCCAGAGGCTGCCCGATTAGATTGACTGTGGAATCCGATTGAAAATGAGTCGCTGCGGTACAGTGAATGGCCGCCTCAGTTGGGCCGTACATGCTATGGAGAATTCCATTGCTTGTTGCAGAGGCACCAAATTCATCCACCACCTTCTTGGTAAGCATTTCACCAATTGTAAGGAGAACCCGAAGACGCGGTACACTTTGACGACTTCGTAGTAGCTCGGCAGCCACCGTTGGGGTGAGTTCAGCAGCATCGGCCTGTAGTGCTGTGATTGTATTTCCAAGGTCACGAAGCATGACGCCTCGTTCGGCACCTACCAGAGTCGCACCCCTGAACCACGGAAAGAAGACTTCAAAGACGGAGACATCGAATGTGGGTGAAGCAAATTGCAAAAATCTATGGAATGATGGGATGATGCTGTTATGCGCGAGCAGTGACTGAGTGACTGCTTTATGAGAAATTGTCACGCCTTTGGGTCGACCTGTTGAACCGGACGTGTACATGACATACGCCAGATCTTCTGACCGGAGATTCAAGTTATCCAAGATAGCTGGAATATCTTCCAAAACGGGTTCATCCACTAAAACAGGTGTTATTGCCTTCGCATTTTCTAGTTTCGTTTGGAATCTACTATGGGTGACTACCACACTTGCGGCAACGTCTTTTAAGATAAAGTTGATACGATCTTCTGGAGAATCTATTCCCAATGGACAAAAAGCAGCGCCTGCTTTCAGAACAGCGAGCCATGCGATATAAAGATCGACGGACTGGCCAAGAAGCACAGGAACAATTCGATTTGACAAAGTTTGGTCAATGTTCATGGCAATTTGTTGTGCCAATCGTGTCGAGTAGTAATCCAGGTCTCTGAATGAGAGACTCTGGATGGAATCATCGGCGTTGAGGAATTCCAAGGCGAGGGCATCTCCTCCGGCATGGCTGAATGCTAGATGATGCAGGAACTGGGGCCCAGGCAACTGACGAGGCTCTGGGTTGGAAATAGATAGCAGCGGTTTCTCGCCAAAATCTGCATGCTCGCCCAGTACACCAAGTCTTTTCACAAACTGAAACAGCTGGAGACCAATCTGCTTTAATTGATCAGGTAGTATTCCAACTTCTGATCTCAAAAAGCCAGCACCCGTGGCCAGATCAATCGAGAGATATAAATTACGCTTGCCTGTAATTTGCTGTGCCTTCGTCTGCAACAAGTCAGAATTTGTTGGTGTAAGCACGATACTCGTATAATATATGTCATTCGGTTGTGTAGTTGCATGTAAAGATACAGTGTCAAAATGTGCCTGAGCAAGGTCGACCTTAACCGGACTCTGGTCCAGGGTGAACACAGGCTGCTCCTCGCCCGTGTAGGCATGCAGCAGAGACGCCCATGACAAGACTAATGTCTCGACCGAGACCGGAATTGCATCGGCCAAGCTCCATGGGACTTCTGTCTCGAGGGTATTGTCGGACGGATAGATATCGGGAAACACAGTCAATCTGTCCATGGTGGAATATAGAAAGCCTTACGCTCTGTCTCTCTCCCTCTGAGGGGACTGGTAGTGGCGAGACGTTGGCTCGGATGTAGCTCTCTCGCAGCGCTGAATTGTTGATAGCGGTTTATTATGATTACATGTCACACGAAAGGGGAAGGAAAGAAAGAGGAGCCATCCCCACTGAGGGGTAAGTAGTCAGTATCAGGCTGGTATCAGCTGCGAACGAGACAGGGACGCAGACGGTCTTCCAAGCTTGCCGAGAAGAACAAGAAAACAAGAAGAACGGCGGGCATGAAGATACAAGCTTGAACCTTCCCACGGATCGGGCGACAGCACCGAACAGGGAAGGCAGGAGCGTTCTGGGGCCGGCCGTATTTGAAATACAGCAAGAAAGAGGTAATATTAGATGTAATAAAAAGTAATAGATGGGTAATTACGAGCTGCTGGGCACTGCGAATACCGACCAATACAATACGTTAGCTCACAGTCACTATGTGCCTCCTAGCTACTAAGTCCGTCCTGCTACATGTATAGTATCCTCTCTTAGAGGGCGCTTACGAGAATGAATTACTTAGTAGTAGTACTGTACTCTGGGAGACTCATCAATCTGCGTGTCTATCGCGCCACGCTCGGGATTTGCCCACGACAACCCCTCCAAACGGTGGCACATGCATACATATGCGCATACGCATGCATACCACCGCATTATTATCCACGTCAGTGACTTCGCATGGGTCGATCGTGGTGCTTTGCGTTCAGGATGAGACCATTCAGATGGCACATTTTGATAATAAAGCCGTTTTGTTTGGTCGATGCTCGATGCAAGCATCCCAGAACAAGGAAGAATCAGCATGCAGGGACTCAGCTCATATCTCCAGGCGATTCTTCCCTCCCTCTATGCATCTCCTCGTCTATACGAGTGAAGACTGGCTTCGAACAAAGCTTTTCACGGTCAAAAAGTAAGGGAAAAAAATATCCGACATCGGATCGACGCGGACAACGTCCGGCGATAAAACAAGATGTAATTGAGAATTGCGGGGCCTGTGTCCTCCATGGTTTGTTTCCTATTTCACAGTTGACCCCATACATCATAGCTACCGGCTGCCCCACGGTGTTGCCAAACGTTAATGGACGATGAGCATGGGCCCCTTATTTAATATTGCATATGTAGCCCTCGCAAGTACCCTAGATAGCTTTAGAAGTCCGTCCATTGTCGATCTGACACCTTTATTCGCTTTTAAAATAAGAACGAAACAAAGGGCACCCAGACTCTTCTGCCTATCCAGGCTTCTCGTGTTGATTAGTCGCCTCTGTGTGGAAGACAATCTGTAAAGCATACTTGGTGACCGCTTTTTTACGGGAACGGATAGATATAAATATTATCATTGTGTGGGGGGCATTCATTTTGCCGACCTAGAGGCAAACAGGAAAATGTCGAGGGTATCAGATACAGTACCCACCTTAGGAGATGGCGTTTACGACATGATATGTGTTGGATTTGGTCCGGCCTCTCTAGCGATAGCTATTGCTTTGCATGATGCTCTAGATCCGCAGTTATCCGGGTCCCCAGCAGCAACACACCGGCCGAAAGTATGTTTCCTCGAAAAACAAAAGCAGTTCAAATGGCATTCTGGCATGTTACTGCCTGGGTCGAAGATGCAGATTTCCTTCATCAAAGACCTAGCCACCGTCCGCGAACCTCGCAGCGAATTTACCTTTCTGAACTATCTAAAAAGCCAAGGGCGACTTTTAAGCTTCACCAACCTGGGCACTTTTCTACCTTCACGACTAGAGTTTGAGGACTACATGCGTTGGTGCGCCAATCGATTTGAGGATGTTGTAGCATACGGACAAGAGGTGCAAGAAGTCGTGGCAGGGGGTGCTGAGGCTTCCGGTCTCACCCAGTCATTCCTTGTCCGCTCAAAAGATCTGAATTCTGGTGTTATTTCCACCAGGCGAACAAGACATGTGGTAATTGCTGTAGGAGGCAAGCCCAGGATGCCGCACGGAATCCCTCAGAATCCACGTATCATGCATTCATCTGCATATTGCACAACCCTGCCAGATTTGTTGAAAGATCACTCTAGTCCATACCACATCGCTGTACTAGGAGGCGGACAGAGTGCAGCAGAGATATTTCACGATCTGTCAAAGAGATACCCTAATGCTAAAACGACTTTGATCATGAGAGACTCTGCCCTGCGTCCTAGCGACGATTCCCCTTTGTATGTTATTGCTCATTTCCTCCTCTCGATGGAAACAGATGCTAACATTGCCAGCGTCAACGAGATTTTTGATCCGGGACGAATTGAGGAGTTTTATGCGCTTTCATCGGAGGAGCGTCGCATTTCGATTGCTGCTGACCGTGCTACCAACTACAGCGTGGTCCGGCTTGAGTTGATCGAGCAAATCTATCAGGACATGTACATGCAAAGGATTAAAAACCCAGACTCTTCCACGTGGCAGCATCGTATCCTTCCTCGTCACACGATAGAGGGCGTTTACCAAATTCGCACCAATGAATGCTTGAAGATCCACCTCCAGACAGCAGATAATCGGCGACAAAAGGAGGTTCTCGAGGTGGACGCATTGATGGTCGCCACCGGCTATACGCGAAATACGTATGAAGAATTGCTGAGTAAAGTTCAGAATCTCCGGCCCACAGGATCAATCCACTGGGGGGTAAATCGCAACTATAGTGTGATACTGGATCGAGCCAAAGTGGGTTCTCGGGCTGGGATCTGGTTGCAAGGATGCAATGAAAGCACGCATGGACTGAGCGACAGCCTGCTGTCCGTGTTGGCTTCACGAGCTGGGGAATTGGTCGAGTCGATACTGCGAGAACACCTGCCGAAGCCGGGTCGCGCGCGGGCTCTTCTGTGACCGCCAGTCCACCATAGTTAATTCCGAATAATGGGAGGACTGGCCTGTATAGTGTACTTCGGGCTAGCTTAACAGAGCAATAGATACGACGAGGAGTAGTGACTAGTAGAAAGCAGACAATGGCGCCAATGAAAATGGGGTCATGACGATGGTTCCGTCTTTCAAAACGATACCATGGCAGGGAGGAAGCAGGAAGTAGGAAGCAGGAGGGGGGTTTTCGGCGTATTGTCTGTCGCATTTGCGCCAGTGCATCTTATCTGATTAGATCAAACTAGCTCAAAGAGCAACACCAGCCCACCGCCCGCACGACTCCATCATGAATACTAATGTTATTCTCCTCGGTGTTATTAATTATCTGTGCTACTGTTACATCTCCGAGCTTCAACGTCTAGATCTAACTACTTCATCCGATACGCGGAACCCGAGGTGGTTATTATTACGTTTGCTTTGCTTGTCTCCGCCCTCATCGCCCGAAATCTGCTCAGGCTCCGAAGTAGCATTCGTGCTATTATTATCTGATCCGACCGCTTAGTTTCGGGTTGTGTTCGGTCTTGAAAATTCCAAGACGCGCTTACCGCCCGTCCATATCAAGCCATCGGCGTCAGGAAGAAGGGTCACGAACCAAATCCCGAGGCCGGAGGAGAGGGGGGTCAACTCATTATTATTGTTAGTGCCGTATTGTTACTCAACTTTTACCTGGTCAGCTGGTGACTTCTTTCTTACATGAGTCGCACGGACGGACGGGCGGACTATGACCGTGATGTGACGACTCCTGTCTACAACATCAATCATCAATATAACAAGTATTTGACATTATGACCTCCTGCAGGAGATAAGTACAAAAGATATATCAATGCCATTCGGTTACGACACCTCTCTAACACACCCCACCATCTATGTATGCCAGAAGTAACTCCATCATTTCGGTAGAACGCTCGATGAAAAAAACTCGTTCCTATGGAAATATATATATATGTAGATGTATGTATATGCAATCATTTGCAATTGACGACCGAAAAGCTTCCAAAACCAGCGTCAGATGATAACTTTTCAAAGCGGCTATTCTCCCCGCTCAGGATCCTCCCCAGCGACACTCATATAAGCGCCGCTGGAACCACTCCTACCGTGCAGTCTCAACGGGGGTTCGTACATGGTGTAGTAGTTAACAGCCTCGCCATCAAGCATTCCAGATCCGGGCTCCCGTTTCTTGAAAAATGGGGCCGCATCGAACCAGAAGTCTCGACAGTTGGTGACGAAGCCACGGGAGAACGGGTTTTTCTTCTTAGTAGAGCGGCCTTGCGCGGTAGCAAAGAAAGTATCCAGTCCCAACAGAGTTTGCCACTGCCCAAGAAATCCACGACGACGATGGTTATGGGTTGGTGCGCTTGGAATCTCAGGATTTGGACCATGCCCGGCACTCGTCAGTCCAGCAGCCGAGGTAGATGTGGTTCCCGCAACAAGGGCAGACGTAATTGCCTGAGAGGCAGAATGCGAATCGTTCATTGTATGGCCTCTCATGTTTTCGTACGTGGTTTGATTCCGCGAGATTTGGACCATTTGCACGGAGCCTAGCATTGTGACCCAGATCAATTGAAGGGTAGCCCACACAGTAAGAATTAGGGTGAAGCTGTCTTTAGAGACTATGCTGCACAAGTTGTCGTTGATGACATTGCATTGCAAAGTTTCTGGGGGAGGGAGGAGTTCAATATCTGTCGCACATATTGTTAATTTAGTCATTTCATAAGCCTAAGAGTCACTTACAGCCGATAACAAGTCTAATGAATAGCAAAATACCAATCTCCAGACTCACGACGTATATCACAAAATGGCGTAAGTTATTCGCTCCAACACAGTTAAAAATCCATGGACAGTGGCTAGGCAGCTAGGTCAGTTTACGAACAAAATTTGGAAGAAAGAGGTCATACTGATCATGTTTTGCCACGCATCGGGAACACCGACGACAGTGCTTGCTTCGTAATGGCTTTCGAATCATGCAATGAATGCAGAAATGCTCTTCGTTAAATTTCCAGTTATCAAACAGATCTCTAATAACCTCTCTTTGTTGATTCCTGCTACCGATATTGGGAATGTAGCCGGGGTCTCCGCCCATTGAAAAGATGTAGAAGTATGTTGTTAGTGTGTAGAATACGACAAAAAAGACATTCGAAATCGGATATGAGCCCCAGGTCACTGCTAGTTGTCAATTCCCTGTTTGTCTGCCCATAAGGGAATTTAAAAAGACGTACCGGACACAACTCGCAGAAGATATATTGCTCCCACCCAGAACAGGCTGCCTGCAAACACTCCCGCAAGAAAAGGCTATCAAACATTAGCCCACGAAATTAGAAATCGTCAAACCAAGGCGTACCGTTTTTTGAAGAACACGAAACTCGCCCGGTCCATGATTAGCAACTATTTGGGCCAGATACTGCATGCCGAAGACAAGCACCACTGCCAATGGCAACCCGATATATATAGCGAATTTGCTAATAACCCAGATCGCTAGAAAAATGGAGATGAAAGGCCACAAGAAGAAGTATTTGGTCAATAGGCTCTTGCTGTGCAAGAATACAGTCATGCCCATAGGAAGAGTCTTCAAATTGCCTTTCTGGTCGTAGCCGCAGTCATTCAAAGCCCGATGCCAGGCTCTGGTTGATCTCATTTCGCTAGCCACTGTCGCTGGGGATTTGCCATCTCTCGTCTTTGCGGTCCGATCTGCACCGTACTCAAGTATCTTTTCAATGCACAAATACGATCCTTTCACCAAAGCCCAGTGTAACGGGGTGAGACCACCCTCGTCGATTGCATTCACATTAGCTCCCCATCGCAAAAACATATCGACGCAAACAGGCAGTCCCTTGTATGCTGCCCACATTAAGCCAGTATGACCCTGGGGGTCTGTAACGTCAACTGGAATTCCCTGGTGGAGTAGGAGAATCACCAGGAATGCATTTCCATCAATTGTAGCCAGGTGTAAAATATTGTAACCCTGGGCATCCGTCAAAAGAGGATCAGCACCGCGCTGTAGTAACAAGTCTACGATGTAGTAATGGCATCGTTGTGCAGCCCACATAGCCGGTGTAGCGACAGATTCACCCCCTTTGGCGTTGACATCGGCGCCGGAGTCGAGGAGGAAGCGGCACATGGCATATTGATTGTTTATTGCAGCCCACTAGTAGTACATAAGGTTAATTATTGCACTCCATTGCGTTTAGCAACAAACTTACGTGTAAAGGCGTAATGCCTTCCTCATCCTTATATTTGGCGCTGTACTTTTTTGTGTCAAATAACTTTTGCATTGCACCAATCTCACCCAGTCGAGCAAGCTGCATGATATCCTCTTCAACTGGCAGCAATGACCTGTTCGCTTCTCCACCCGCTGCCATATTCTTCATTTCCACGCCATCGGTGGTAGGTTGTGGAGGCGCGGCGGACGATTTCCCAATAGCGCCTACTTGCACGGCGGAGTTTGACAGAGGGCCATTCTGATGCGGTTCGTTCGAAGGTGAAGAAGCCATTGTCGATGCGTAATATGGTTTTTGTGATTAAAATCAAATGGAACGAAGTTAGGAGCAGATTGTGGTGACGCTTAAGGCGAAGAGTCCTTGGTTTGAATTCAAAAAATGCGCGATCAACAAATCATTCGAGCATCAAGCATAGTATGCAAAAAGGAAAGGAAAGACAGAGCGAATATCACGCGCGGTATTCTCCTCGTATTGTCCTTTTCTGTTTTTGCCCTGTTAAAGGTGCATGTCGTGAGAATACTGGAAGCTGGTGTTTTTGCGAAGCGTATCTGCCTAGATTACATAGACATCATTAATCGTGCACGCTGTGGCTGAGCGCTCCGGGGCTTGGCCTAGCTCCTTTCCGTAAGCCGCAGGAATGATCCGATGTTCCTTTCTTTACAAGGCGCGCATCTGTCCAAAATTTGATCCAATTTTTGAAATTCCATTGATTCTGCAGCATAGGTTCATAGCCATTTCAATCGATATTCAAATTACCAAAACTCTGCAGTAAACTTCTGGCTTATAATACATCTTCTCCGCTTCTGCTGTATAGTACAGAATTAAATAGCATATTTACAGTAAAGCTAGCCCTCGCCCTCTTCATTCAAAAGTCATATACAAATCCGAGGCTCCCTTGCAAGTTTTCTCCTCGTCATAGTCGAAACCAGCATAGCATGATAAATATCAAATAGCGACACGCATCCCTTCACGGGAAGCTGCCAAAATTAACATATGGAAACTTCCATTCCTTCCAGTATAAGGAAATGACCACTTAGGGTCATTGGCTTGGGGGTGGGCTAGACACAATCTCGTTGGAAACGGGCGCTGGAGCTGCAGTAGAAGTGCTATCCCGACTGGGGCTCCGTGGAGGGGGCCTAGGAATCATATCTTCATATGGCAATCCCTTGAGTAAACTGACCTGGCAAGTCAACGCGTGTGCATCTACCCGTAATGCGAAATCCATGAGGAAACAGAATGTGATTTCAAGCCGTGTAAGTTCTCGCTCTGTAACGCCACCAACCCGAGCAAAGCGTGAGTGAGGATAGGTCAGATCCTCTAGAGCTTTCATTGCGACTCGAAGACCCGCAAGGACTAATCGATGCACGTTTCTCGGTGTCACGAAAAGGGCTTTTTCGGTGACAACCATCTTGGTGATGTAAAGGCTGGCTGCTAGATAGACTGCCGTAGACATGGGGCAATACTTGTGAAGTCGGAGGAGATATTCCTCCAGTGAGATAGGCGGAGCTTTCTTCGAAAAGAATCGTTTTGCTAATACGTTGTGCTGGAATTTCCCTGTTTGGTCTTCCTTTGGAGAGACATGTTTGGAGTCTGCCCCATGGAGTTCAGTAATGCTGATAGTGGTATTTTGTTTCTCCATCACATTGTCGATACCGTCCACGGGACTATAGGGACGATGGTCCTGTTGGGAAAGTAATGTCGTAGGGACATCTCCAGTAAGGCGTGCTAACTCAGCCAGTTGGGCTGTCACGGCTTTCAAGGCCTCAAGTGGTGGTATTTGGAATACATCGGTTCCTAGCTTTCCAGCTGGCGAATTCATAGACCCAGCTTCCGAATCTCGACCCAACAGTGTATTCTGCTCTTCTCCTCCGGAAATGGCATCGGTGCAATGGCTCATTGTGTCAATGAGTGGTCGAATATGTATTCAAAGCGGTGGTGAAGAGGCTTTGCGCGATTAGATTCGATAAAGTATTGCGATTGCACCTGGGTCTGCAGGTGGGCGTAGTGAATCTGGGTGAGAATATCATTGTCCTCTCGGCTTATCGTCGTAACAGTCTGCTGTAACTTGGTAAAACACCGAGTATCGCATGAAACTGGCAGTGTAGCAAAAGCGAAAATATTCAAATTAAAGGTGACTTATGCAGAGGCTTGCGAGTAGGCCTGTCTGACAAATCCAAAGGTCACGCACATCCTAAAGCAAATGGCCTGCGCAGTGAGCGAGGAGAAGAGGCTGATTAGAGCTTTCTTTTGACTTACAAGCAACACGGCTCAAAGGATCGAAACGAACGAACAAAGAAATATTAGTCGTATTTCAGAGGCACTATCATGGCCGCGTCGGGTATATATTGATGGAGGTGAAAGGCACGGAGGAGGACGAGAGAAACCTCGATGTGGAGTCCGGTCTCGACTCCAAAAATGTCCCGCGACACTAAGCAAGTCTTATCGAGATCCCGAGGCTGCCCCTGCTCCGCTTGCTGCCAAATAATATATATGAATATATGCTGCGTGTATATATATATATATATATATTATATTTGGACGACTGGTGTATTGCAGATATTACTACGATTTCTGCTGGCATCTAGGGAGAAAGAAGAAATACTGAGGAGGTTTCCCTTATGGAGAATGACTGCAGAATCAACAAAAAAAATACTAATGGTTGTCTCGACTTTTTTTTTGTCTTGTTTTCAAGCACATAGCCAGTACGATGGATTTAATGAAACCGAATCTTAATATCTTCTTATTCCAACGAGCAGCAGAGGCGCGTTCATAGAGTACTATGCATACTATATGTGTAGTACGTTTTAATTCTCCGCGCTTGACCAACGTAGTGACCTATATCTCAAACCGCGCTTGTTCTGTCCTGGTCCAAGGTATATTAACGTCCAGGACATACAGAGTAAGAGAGGCGCGGGGTGACGTGATACCAAGTCAAGGTTGGTTATCTTTTAAAAACACCCTGTATGTGCATTTCATTGGCGTATCAAATCTCTGGTTTAACATCTTTATTGCCTTTCAATTGTCTTTCACGCATTTCGGTTTGTTCCACGAGAGTTCCAAGATTTATTCCTTCGATTCCTTTCTGGATTATCGTCAGCCGCCTTTCCAGATCTGTAAGACGCTCTTTCTGGAACTGGTCAGATAGAGATATCCGGAATTGCGAGTCTCTTTGTAGAGAAAAGGCGAAAAGCTCCTTGGCTTTGTCAGTAGATCCTAGCTCTTCTGTGAGTGGCATTTCTGTAGATGTGTTCAAGTTATTGAGCAGCTCCACCATTCGAATCCGACTTTCAGAAATCAGACCTGCTGAATCACATTGATTTAGTGGACCCTGCTCCATCCCTGAGATACCTAGGCGGCGTAGTATGTTGTCCAGAGCTTGTGACTGTGGCTTTTGGGATGTCGTTAACTGCCCTGAAATAGATTTAATAGAGGACTGTCGTCGGTGAGATCTCTTATCTTTGCTGTTCACAGTCTCGTTTCGGGCATTCTCATTCATATAAAGGGAAGCCAATAACGTCAAAGCTTCGCGGTATGACTGATAATGCAACAGTCTATCAGTAACCTGGTTCGTGGATTCCGTCATTTCAGAGAGTAGTCGGGAAATCTAAGATAGGAATTAAGTAAGTGAATCCACTGACAATTCAAGGGTGGCAAACCATTTCGAGACACTCTTCTGATGAGTGGTCAAGATTTTGCTTGCTCTTCTGAAGTTCGTCACGTATTCGCTGGCCGAACTCTTGCCTTGCAGACATTTCAGCCAGGGCTTCTACCTCCAAATAGAGCGAGTCTAAATCCTCTTCTAACATAGAGATCCTATCATCCAGATCCGTCTCCTGTTTAGTGTTCTCGTCACTTCTAATAAGCGAGTCAAGATACAGTCGATCTAGCCGACATTGGATTTCTTCCGAGATCAGCTTCGACAATGTCAAGGTCAGGTGCATTACTCGTTTTTCTGTATTTTCATCCTCTTCTGTCATCTCGAGCTCGGCGGCAAAACGCTCAACTTGAACGAGAACCCGATCGTCATTTCTTAGTTTTGTCGTGACTGTCTGCAGTAGCTGTCGTTTCTCGACTTGGATCTGCTGTTGCTGCAGGGATATTCTACTCTCGAAATCTTTTATCAAATCCTCAGACTAGATATTTGTAAATTCACGCTATTAGTAGAAAATTGTGGGATTAGGAGGTGTACCATTGCTTTTTTCCTCTGCTTCTCTAGCAGATGTCGCCGAGTCAGGTCATTTATATATCGGTCATACTCTCGATCGGCTTCTCGTCTCCCCGACTGCAGTTTTTCCAAGGTGGCATGTTGGGATTTCAAGACCGCTGTATGTTCCAAATAGGTTGCTGTGGATGACTTTAAATTAGCGGTTGCTGCGCGGATTGCATCTTCGTCTAAAGGTCGTGTTGATGTCAACGCAGGGTGACGAAGAAATGCTTGAGAAGCCCCCGACTTTTCTAGGCTGTTAAGTCTACAGATATAGTCAGGATCCATGTACAAAGAACAAGCGAGAGACAAAATACAAAGCCAATTCTTCTTTCGAAAGCAATGTCGGGGAAGTGACATGGTCGGCTGCCCATTGAGCATTCCTTCTGCCATTTTCTGTCTCGAGATTGAAATCCGCCGCAATGCTCGCCTGGTTGAACTTGATTGCACGCTCTTGAAGAGCATGGGCAAGCAGACGGTCCGGCTGGGTTGAGGCTGCCATGGCGAGCTGGCGAGCTGGGGGAGGCTGCAGAGGTAAACAAGCCCGACTCCACCACCACCCGCGTCTCATCTCCGCTTCCCCGCCCCTCAGAGATAATATCTCTGAAGTTACATGTTTACAGTCATTCCGTGCCGTTCTGCTCGGATTTAGATTTACATTCAACTGTGTATATTCCGAATAAAAGCAATTGCTCTTCAGCATTGCTTCGCGAAACCACCCAATTAACCCGTTCCCAGTATTCTCCGTCACGGATCATGCCGACTCAGGATCCTGCGGGTATCGTTCAATCGGCGGAAATGCCGAACCTGATGCCCCTCTTGCGATGAATGGTACGATGAATGGTTATTGGCTGTTTCATCCTACATGCATATCATCATGTCCCTGAAGCTTGCCTACGGGGTGCACATCACCGAAGATATAAAATAATCAATGTACATGCATGGATGGTGCTAGGCTGACAACAACCAGAGAAGAGTGAACTTGATTTAAAGAAACATATCCAAGAGGACCTATGTATGCCTGGAAATTTATATATATTTATAGAATCGGTAATAAACAACCACGAGTATGGGCTGCTGAACGAAATATCTCCACCATATGAGGTGCCAGCAAATGCCCCGAGTTAAATAAAAGGCACAACGTAACGAGGTATATGGTATACACACTACAATCCGAAGACCGTTATTTTGTCTCGACATTGAAGCCTTACTACTTCTAAAATATCAGCAGAGAAATCTTTCTGCGAAACCCAAAAAAGCCAATGACGTGAAGGATTGCTGATTCTACGAATTTTCCATCTCGGCTACCGTCGGCGAGGGGCAGGACCAAGCACGCAACTTTTTTCCAGAGTTTGACAAAGGCACGTTCTGTCCGACAACAACAACAATCTGCCATACAGACAGATACTCTTCTCTATATCTTGAAGAGATAATCTGGAAGCTGAACAATCCACATAACTTTCTCGCCGATTCCTGTACCCAATTCAACGCCATGAGTCTGTCAACGACGGGGGCCCCTCCCAAGGCTCTGGAGAGCATCACGGGCCAGATTGGAAACACACCCCTCGTCCTATTGAACCGCCTCCCCCAAAGTCTCGGGATTGAAGCAACTGTATATGCAAAACTTGAGTATTTCAATGCTGGTGGCAGTGTCAAGGACCGAATTGCATTACGCATGATTGAAGAGGCTGAAAGGACAGGGAGAATCAAGCCGGGAGACACGTTGATCGAACCGACCAGCGGGAATACGTAAGACAGAAAACTTCTACTAGCCTGTTTTAATGAGTTGTCTTAAAAATGGAGGCTAACACATGTATGCCCGTATGAATACAGTGGTATCGGATTGGCACTTGTCGCTGCGGTCAAAGGTAAGTGTACCGTCTAACGAAGCTTGCACAACAACTTGGCTCACTGTTCACAGGTTATAAAACAATTATCACCCTGCCCGAGAAGATGTCCGCAGAAAAGGTTTCTGTTCTTCGCGCGCTGAATGCCACTATCATCCGTACTCCTACACAGGCCGCATATGACTCGCCCGAATCCCACATAGGAGTTGCCAAACGTCTCGAGAAAGAACTTCCGAACGCACATATTCTAGATCAGTACGGAAACGAAAACAATCCCTTAGCTCATGAGCTTGGGACAGCAGAAGAAATCTGGAATCAAACTAAGGGAGCTGTAACAGCAGTCGTAGCCGGCGCTGGTACGGGAGGCACAATTACTGGAATCTCTAGAGGATTGAAGAAGCATAACAAAGCGGTTCAAATCATCGGCGCCGATCCGCAGGGTTCTATTCTGGCTCTGCCTTCTTCATTGAATACCGAGCACGAAAACGAGCCGTACAAAGTAGAGGGTATTGGATACGATTTCATTCCCCAAGTTCTCGATCAGCATTCAGTCGACAGGTGGTACAAGACAGAAGACAAGGAATCATTCCAGTACTCTCGCCGACTGATTGCCGAGGAGGGCCTTCTAGTCGGGGGCAGCAGTGGAAGTGCAATTGCTGGCCTAGTCAAGGCGTACAAAGATAATGTTTTGACCAAGGACGACGTCGTCGTCGTGGTTCTTCCCGATAGTATCCGAAGCTATCTCACCAAGGTATGTCACTGCAAATGCACAACTGCGATATATGATACTGACGGACGTTGTGGATCAGTTCGCAGATGACGACTGGCTTGCTGCAAACGAGCTACTTTCATCCACTCCACCCGAGCTCAAGGCGATAAGCGCAGAAAGCCCAGCTCCAGAGTCCAAGACTAGTCTATTCGCCAGCGGTAAAGTCGGCTCTCTGAGGCTGAAGCCTGTAACGACAGTCCGAGCAAATGAAGGCTGCCAAGCCGCAATTGAACTCATGCGCGAGAAAGGCTTTGATCAGCTTCCGGTCCTCACCACGGATGGCAAGAAACTTGCCGGGTTGATCACTTTGGGCAATGTTCTCAGCTGGATATCTCGTGGGCGCGCAACTGGAAAAAGCCCTGTCTCGGACGTCATGTTTGACTTTTCCAAACTGCCAGAAGTGGTCACAGATTCTAGAGATATTGGGACTGCAGATGACCAAATAACAGCGAAACGCCGCAAGTTCTTCGAGATCACTCTGGACACCCCTTTGAGTGTACTGAACCGGTTTTTTGAATGGAACAGCGCAGCCATCGTGACTGAACGAGACAGCCAGGGCACCATACGACCTGTTGCAGTAGCTACGAAGGTGGATCTTTTGACTTGGCTGCTGCACCAAAATTAAATAATGATTACTTCGACAATGATAGCCATGTTTCAGTATTCGATTCTTACTTTAACGACCTTTTTCGTTGCCTTCAACAGGTTCTATTTCTTTCGAAACCGTCACAATGTGTGGTTTTTTGTGGCTGTTGCAACGACGGCGTTCCATGTATGGTGTTTGTTTTCGCTTCATAAAATTCTCACCTGTCGATGAGAATGTTCCATTGACTATATACATTATTTTGGCGTTTAATCTTGTACTCAACACTTAGATAATGCCGACTCGTGTTCTTAGGATTATACATTTATAGATTTAAGACAGAAATGAAGATGCTTGCTTGCTCATGATGATGTGGAATGGATCGTTGTTTCAAAAAATATATTATTAACATATATGTCTACTCAATGGCGTACGACCATCTAGTAGAGAATATATTTCGGGGTGTCTACATCACACCCTTTTTGCTTTGATATCAAGATTTGATCAAAGAGAAGCGACCATAGCCAAGCCAAAACAGCAAGCCAATATCTGTCCACATCACATGATCTCAGTATGCGCCAAAGCCATACAAAGCTTTTGACAATCGATTAGTCGTAATAACAAATGCTGGTTGACAATTCCACCTTTGAATTGAGAAAATTCTAGGTTGACACACCTTATAGACACGATCCAATCCATTCTTCCCATGCCCGCACACCAGATTTAGGGTCCTGACCTTCCTCGGAGAGGATAGATCCTCCAATAACGTCAACCTTGGTGCCAATTTCATTTTCCAACAGCCGGAAGCTGAAAGTGCCCTGTCCATCGTCGCCGCCTAGCAGGTCTTCATCGTCCTCGTTATCCAAAGATCCGGCGCTAGCATCCATCAAGCCTTTTTGGCGAGACTTGCGAATGCGGTCAATCTCAAGCTCAAGCCTTTCTTTGATGGATCCAGCTGGCAAAGCGGTAAATAGATCCTGCTTATTCGCTGCTATAAGAACGGAGATAGAAGCCCCGGCTTTTGAAAGAGACTTGTTTTTGCTTAATACAAGCTTTTGTAGGAGTAAGAGAACATCGTGCAGATAACCAGCGCTGTCTCTCAAATTTTCCGCTCCATCTGCCAGTAATGCGGCATCAACAAAGTAAATGAGGCCGCGAATGGGCGACTTTTCCTTTGAACTCAAATCATTCTGGAGTTGTGATAATTGCGACGAACGTAATTTTCCGTGGCCGGGGGTATCTCTCAAGATATATTTGACGGGGTTTCGTTTGGCCTCCGATAGGCTAGGATCATTGACTGATCGGTATCGGTTCGAGGCGATTGGCACTGAGGGGTGGAGCACAATGGTTGTCGACGCTGGGTTTTGAGATGTATGTGTGCGAGGCGTTGCTGTCTTCGCTCGTTGCGAAGCGGACTCGAGCTACCGCCTTGTCAGAAAATCCCATGTTCGCGTGATGATATTCAAGAAAAAAAAAATAGAATGCGCACCGATGTGAGGAAAGATGTTTTACCAGCACCGCTCGGGCCGAGTAGAATAAAGGATGACGAGGCAGGGTTTGCTGCTTTGCGATAAAGAGAGTAATGAAGCAATGTAGGTAAAAGCAGGGCGACTGCAAGAGTGATGAGAATGGCAATCGGGTTGCCGTCCAGCAAGGTGGTCGCGATGGCGCCGGGCGAGCTCCAATCCACGGTGGAACCCATCCTGCGACACTCAACTTCGAGCACCTCCAAGAGCTTTTCTTTAAAAGCTAGACTCGCGGTCTGAAGAGCAGTCAATAACGACTGATGATGGTGAGCGACGAAGAGCAAGTGGCATGTGGGGCTTGCGGGTCGACAGCTCCGCGCAAGACCAATCGTCTTGTGGCTCGCTCCGTCACTGGCATTCAAGGAGCTGCATATTTGTTGCACCATCCAGCCAGGAGGACAAGGAGGACAAGGATGCCTGTTGTCTCTCGTTTCCAGCATGGAGGCTTTGGCAAGAGTTACTTGCTCCCTCATCGTCACATTTGCCCACCGACTCTCCGGCCAGGTCATGTTGAAAGATGAAATTCACCACACCAGTCTCGATACTGCTTGCTTTTCCCTTCCTAGCTTTAGCTGACGTGGAGTTCACAAGCCCTGCGCCAGGTTCAACGGTACATGGGGGCGATGTTCTGACGGCTGTCTGGAAAGAATCTGGGGAACCTCCCAAGCTCTTGGAGCTGACGGACTATGATCTTTTCCTATGTGCAGGGGGGGCATCTATTGAGTATTCGGTATATAGCTATGGATGACTTTCTTTTCAGACGAAGTTTGGACCTACTAACCCAGTCAACTATTATTGCAGGAGGAACTCTCGCTTCTCATAGAAAATGGCTCCTTTGAAAGAGGGAATTCGGTTTCATTTCAAGTCAAGCCAGAGACTGGGGCTGTCTATACCAATGCATAGTACGATATACCCATACACGACAATTATCTTCCCTCACCCCCGAACGCTAATGTTGCGATGACAGTTTTCTCAAAATGGTCTCTAGGGGGCTCAATGCAACAGTGATAAATTACTCGCAACGATTTTCTCTATCTGATATGACGGGAACCTTTTCAGAGCGCGTTCAACATGGCTTGCGGTTACTCCCGAACGCGACTACAGAGCATGGCGAGCTGAAGAAGAGACAAGTTGCCGCAGCTGCGACAGCAGCAGCCCTATACACTGTGCCCTACCCTGCTCAATCTGTCGGACTGACCAAATATGCGCCAATGGCGAAGCACCCTGGCACAACTATAACAGCGAAAAGTGCTCCTCCACAGTTTCCTACAAGCGCTTATACTATAGCTCGGACATTTCTACCGATACCTACGTGGCAGACAACATTGACAGCCCCCCAAACGTACTCCACCACGAACATAGAGAATCCAGTGAGTTGAGCAGAGAAGGGAATTTGTTTGAGTAATGCTAAATCATCATCACAGGCAACACCGGCACCACATCCATCGGACGATATGAAGAAATACCTCAAGAGATGGACCGATTCCGCTTGATCAAGCTTCGAAACGCAGTCTTGTGTGCCACCACAACGCTAACTCGTTGCTTGCTGAATGCAAATATTTATTTTCATTGCTGTACCGCTAAATGTCCGAGTAATCTGTTTTAGCTGCTAAGGCGGCAATGGGTATCTTCTTTTTCCGGCGTATGTAAATGTACTAGCATAACATGACTTGAAAAACATCGATTGATTGAAATCACTTTTATATTCGTGATGCATCATTGTGAAATATCACATAGTCTAAATCTGCCGACCTTTGGACATGCAAATCTCATCTATAGAGTGTAATTGAGTAATTTGCCGATTTGATAGCTGCAGTACATTCAAACCCGTTTGAATGCAAAAGAGTCATCGTGACACAAGCTCGGCAAGTTACTAAGTGAAAACACACGGGCACTGTCGAAGCCTTCTTAGCAATAACTTTCATTTCATCAGTTCGGATGGACCTGGAGTGACGGCGCCACTGGATCTCTCGCTTCTTTGGAAAAATGAAATATTTTCACGCAGAGCCACATATTCACTGTCCGCATATCCAAGTACAGAATGAATATGCGTGCTGCGAAGACCTTTGATCAGGCTAATTTCCAAGCTTCCATAATTCACGATCGCCCGTCCAACCTCCTTTGGCTCCTCGGCATGAGTTATGAAATCTCCATTGACTGCATTTACCGACCGTCTCTCAACCACGAATAGACGCACTGCCTCCTGTTGTCCAAAGTGGCCTTCGACGGCGAGAACACCTGCAGGAAGAAGACTTGCTTTGTTCTGCAGTGCAGCTAAGGCACCTTGGTCAATGTAAAGGTTCCCATGAGGTGTGAGGCCGTGTAAAACCCAGAACGAACGTGATTGGACTGGAGTAGCTGAAGGAAGAAACCTCGTGTGAAGTGGAGGGGGTGTAATTGATGAAGACAAATCTGGATCGGATTTGATGTCCTCAGAACTTATCTCTAAATTGTCCCCGCTCTCTTCCAGATATTTCAAAACCTCATGGACATTTTCAGGCTTTGAGCTTTTGGTAATTATCGTTGTTACACCAGCACTAGTGGCGAGACGAGCAGCAACAATTTTTGTGCCCATTCCACCAGTACCTAGGGAAGAACCGGATGTTGACACATCGGCATCAAGTGTTGATATATCGGTAACCACCTCAATGGGCTGAGCATCGGGGTTATGTCGCGGATTCGAGGTGTATAGGCAGTCAACATCAGTCATTAAAAAGAGGTAATCCGCCTTGACCATGGCTGCTGTAATCGCAGAGAGTGTGTCGTTATCGCCAAATTTGATTTCCTGGTTTGTGGTGATTAACATTGGGCCTCTGCTGTCTTTGGAGAGCAGGGGTACCTACTGCTACAGCCAATGTGTCGTTTTCATTAACGATGGGGATCACCCCCATGTCTAAAAGCTCAGAAAAGGTATTTTGCGCATTCACATATTGCGTGCGCTGTTAAAAATATTAGCACATATCCAGACACGATGGATCAGGCTACCATACGTCTGCAATGTCACTTCTGGTCAGAAGTATCTGAGCAACGGGGATTCGAAGATGGACAAAAAGACTATCCCACAAGCCCATGAGTTTACATTGGCCAACAGCAGCAAGAGCCTATTATTTCATCGTGAGAATTTGGTCCATATTCGCTTTCAAAGCTATAGCACTCACTTGCACCCTTGGAAGGTGGGTAGGTCTTTCATTTACATCCATTCTGCGTAATCCAACGCCAATGGCACCAGAAGATACAAGAATGACTCGATGCCCATTGCTCCGAAGCTTCGCAACGGTTTCTACGAGTGCGGATAATATGGACAGAATTGGTTCGTGTGTTTTCTCATCAATAATAGAACTCGTCCCTGTATACCGAAATTAATATTCGCCAAGCCGCTCTGTATACATGTGAGTCAGAGGATCATACCAAGCTTGATGACAATGGTGCGGGACCTCCCTAGTTCATCCATCGTGTCTCGTAAAGCATATGGAAAATTTAATAACAAGAATTGTTCCAAATAGCCTTTATGTAGAACACTGTATGATTTTTGCCTGTCGTCCGATTGCGGACCCATAAACTGAGGGCGTGCATTATTCTGCCAATATTTCCCGCTTTTACACTGATTTTCTAATTTCGCATGTTGAGAGCATTGTTGACTTTTAGACAATAACGAAAATGCCGGACTCACAATCACCAGCGCAATCGCAAGCGCCCCCAGCATTAAAGGATACTGGGTACGTGGAGGGCGATGATTTCTTCACACAATGGACAAACATATTCTCCATCTTGACGGGCAAAATGTCTGCCGAGGGTAAGGAGCGATTTCGCATCGCGAAGGACGATCGAAATGAAGCGGCCGACTGTAAGAGGTGTGAAGAGCAACGCGACTATCTTTTAAACTACAGTAAGTGACTCTTACTTATGTTGAGGATCGAGAATCGGTGGATTCATTCTTGCTAAAACAATGTTTTGATTACAGGCCCTACCATACGTTACCTGAGTGACAATATACGCCAATTGGGAGGGGATCTTTCTAGCCATAATATCTACTGCAGGCGCTGTACGCAAAGGAAGGCAGGTGGGTTCGACCCTGATTATGGGATTCAGATTTGCGCGAATGAGATGCGAGATCAGGGACACCTGGAAGATACAATGGCGCATGAAATGGTACATGCCTATGATCATCTAAGATTTAAGTTGGACTGGGACAGCAATCTGAGGCATGCGGCATGCACTGAGGTACTCTCCTCTCTTTCCTTTCATGTATTATTGATACTTATCAAAGATCGTTGTATAGATACGAGCAAGTTCGCTGAGCGGCGAGTGTCGCTGGTCTCGGGAATTTTTTAGGAGAGGGCAGTGGAAACTCACGCAACAACACCAGGAATGCGTAAGGCGAAGGGCAATACTCTCAGTGCGGGCACGACCGTTTTGTAAAGATGAGGCGCATGCAGAGAAGGTAGTAAACGAGGTGTGGGAAAGCTGTTTCCGGGATACTCGACCTTTTGACGAAATTTATCGATGATAAAGATCCCCAACTACTTTTTGTATACTAGTAGATTATGACAACCATACTCTTTGAAATCCAGAAATAAGAAATACTCAATTGAAGTATTCATGATAATGAAATAATCCCGTGAAATTATGCCAGTGCCAACGCCAATTGATGAGCACACCCAAAACTCCGAATTCAACTCCAAAATAAAGTGCGACGAAGGCCCCAAACCCGCCTGAGCCTTCTTCTACTTGCTATCTTTCAAGTTTGAAACTCGTTGCGAAGCCTTTTCAGCCTTGATACAATGCTTGACGATCCAAGGATGCTGCTGAACTTCTACAAGTGATATCCTCTTTTCAGGGTCAAGGACAAGAAGCTGGGAACAAAAATTAGTGTCTGTTTGATCAAAAGGCCAGCTCTAACTACATACCTTTTTAATGAGATCCCTTGCTTCAGGACTGACGAAAGAAGGAATGGTCATATCTCCTCGAGCGATTCTCCTGTGAGTCATGACAGGCGTGTCCTCGAATGGGGCTTCTCCAACGAGAAATTCATATGTAAGAACACCGAGACTCCACAAGTCAACTTTCTCGTTGTAAAAGTTGTCCTGAGACCCAGACTTGAGCATCTCGGGGGGAGATAGTCAAGTGTACCGCACATGGTTTGTCTCCTGTTGTTTGGTGCATGTACACTCCATCCAAAATCGCTGATCTTGATTTCTCCATGAATTCCCATCAAGATATTCTCGGGTTTAATATCACGATGAATGACGTGCTTCTTGTGCAAGTATTTCAGAGCGGCTGTCATCTGCGCAATATATTGAGCAGCTTTCCATTCAGGAAATCGGTGTTCCTTGCGAAGATGCTTGTACAGTTCGCCCTTTCCTGCAAATTCCAGGATGAGGAAGATGCGTTTGCTATCATGAAAGTGGCCAAATAGCCGAAGCACATTTGGGTGACGAAGGTTGCTCTGGATCTCAATCTCTCTTCTGACCTGTTTCTGTATTCCACCCTGCTGAAGCTCTGACTTGTGAAGCACCTTGAGAGCACAAATGAAACCAGAGGAGCGTTCCTTGGCTAGGTACACTCGACCGAATTTTCCTTTACCTAATGCTTTTCCAATTTCAAACATACCTAGGTGCAGCTTTTTGGGTGCTGGCTGTTCATAGAGAACGCCTGAAGCTTGGGAAGCGTTTTCCTCGGTCTCCTTGGCCGGCGGAGACAAAGCATTAGTTCTTGCTTCATTTGTGTTCTGGAGGGCTATTTTGAGTAGATGGTTGCGAGTTGAGGCTGTCTGGTTCGTCGCTCCCATGCCAGCTATCGAGACGGCAGTTGACAAAGAGCCCTTGTCCTGTAAGCATTGGCATTGATTATAAGCAGGCAGGATGCAGAAATAATACCTTTTGCTTGCTTAGACTCTTCCCTCCCTGTACAGGGTCGTTCCCATCGTTAACTGAGAGGTGCTCAAATCGAGCCTCAAGGGTCTTTGTTGCCATTGTCGAAATACCTGGCCAAAGAAGCAAGGTGGGCAAGAGGACGGAAATAGCGCTGGTCTCAGTCAAGAGGAAATCAGAGGAACGAAGATTCCCGCTGGTATATAGTGATGGGTAGAGTAGGTGACTGACTGGTGAGGATGTTCAAGCAGAGTGAGCCGAGAGTAGATCGGGAGGTTGTTTACGCAGCGGGAGCCCAGCGATGATCACCCCAGCAACGGCTGCGGCCCACTTAGCCGCCCGATGCTATTTCGGGGATTAGCGCTCGAACCACCATATCATTTAACCAACTATCACAAGGTCTTGCTGAACTGACATATTGCGGGGCAGGCCGATAGTAGACTCCGATAGAGCACCGCCGGCGACGATGAGTAGCACCTTGATATCGTGTTGAACAGAACAACAGTCAGCATCCGCACCCCCACCAGGGACACGCAGCTCTCTCTCGACGTCTTCGCGTTTGAGAATCGGGACCAAGTGCGTCCTTGTACGCTCGAAAATGGCAAACAGCGGTCCCTCACCTAGTCAGCATCCCATGGGAGTTGACAGCCCGATGCCTTCAAAGCCGAAAACCTTTGTACACAAGGGTTTCAGGATTACAACCCAGAAGCTCCCCATCTTAAAGGCTGGCCCTATTGATGACATGACCAACAAGCTTGGAATTGCCCCTCCAGAGATGATCTTCGGGGATAATTATGTGGCCATCGAGCATGGCGCCAGTGGATGGGGTATTTCCTTCAACGCGTTTGATGCATTGGACAGAGTGGACAAAACTGGTGCGGCAATGTTGAAGGTGGCGCACTCCAAGGAATGGCAAAAGAGCAGGTATGCTTTCTTTTCTTAAGTCACCAAGAACAAAAAAAAATCTACCTCTTCTATCGGCAAGGCTAACTAGGACAAGAGAACACACTCACGAGGGAATCAAGGAGGTCATAAAACCCTTTGACTGGTCATACAGCACTGATTTTAAAGGAACACTGCATTCTGGGGCCGCACCATTCGCCCCTTCTAGCAATCAGATACCGATTGAGCTTCTTAAACGACCCGACCCCATCCGGTTCTATGACGACGTCGTACTTTACGAAGACGAACTGGCAGACAATGGCATCTCCATGTTGTCTTGCAAGATTCGTGTCATGGAGGATCGCCTTTTATTGCTATCTCGTTTTTTCATGCGATTAGACAATGTGGTCTTCAGGCTCAGAGACACCAGAATGTATGTGGACTTCAACAAGGCCGAAATAATACGGGATTACCAGGCTAGAGAAATGAATTATGAGGACGTGCGCCGGGTACGTATATTCCCTACTCATTTATCCAGCGGCAATAGCATACTTATATAGAATGATGAAGGCTCTGGCCAGTGTTCGCGAAGATGTCCCTGCAGCAATGAGGGATCCAAATAGACTGGCCCAGGTTCTCCCACTCGTCGAAAGCACTTTAGAACGCGTCTCGCTCGGTAAATGACAAAGGAGAGATACAAATATTTCGGCGAGATTAACTTTCTCTATGATCTGGAGAATTTACATCTTTTAGATGCGTAAAGCAGAAGCAATTCGGAGTTGGATGCTTTATCTATGATCGGCGGCGCGGGATGCCAGCCAAACACTGCAAACACAAAAAATTAAAGGACTTAGGTGACCACGAACCGTCATGGCTTACTATCCTGTAGATTACTCTACGTTGCAGAATATCTCTAAAAGAAATATAATTCCTTCGAATACATTGCGATGTCTAGTCAATTCTTATGTCCTCGATGTCTTTTCGGCTCCGGCTTGTCCGTAGTTGCAAAAAATCAGGTATTATTCCGATGTTTTCATCTCGCGCGCAACTCTTCTGATCAATCTTGTCGAGTAGTGCAGGTCTCTATATACAAGGGGTCCTTCGATATCGATCCCAAAGAAATACAATGAAATTACTAGAGCCAATTCGTTATCTACGGTCCCATCAGAGCTTATAACTCAAACCAGGAGCTTCTCAGCGACCAGGACGACTACATCGGGCGTAATTCAGAACTTGGTATCGAAAGGGAATGCAACCGAAACCTACGTATCATATGGCTTTACCCAGAAATTATTCGAGGCCTGTTCTTCACAGGCAGACTACCGCATACCGCAAATAAAGCAGACTCCCGCTCCACTTTCAAAAACCTCTACCGGCGAAGATGTAGGAGTAGGAGAAGGACAATGGTATTCTGGTAAGTTGACGATTCCTATAATGTTTTCCTATACATCTGCATCTGCATAATCGCAAGCAAATTCTGAAACTTGACGCTTTTAAACCAAGCAGATTTTAATTTGTTACCGACTTTCTCGACTTGGTCGCAGGTCACATTCCTACACATGTATCTCCTCACGGTCCGTTTTCGCGCCCTACCATCTCCAGAGAGTGTTCGGACTCACTCACGGCACCTATTTGATCACTTTTCCCACAACGCCGAACACCGAATGGCAACTCTTCATGGAATTTCGAGCCGAGGTATTAGAAACAAGTATCTCAAAGACCTTTTCGTCCAATGGCGAGGTGTTCTGGTTGCATACGATGAAGGCCTGGTTAAGGGAGATGCCGTGTTGGGAGCCGCGGTGTGGAGGAACATATGGAAAGCCAGCTCTAGTGGACACGATGGCCATGAGATCGATTGGACAAAGGTTGCTACGGTTGTCGCGTATATGAGACGCGTCCTCCTAGAACTATCCGAGACCAGCGAGGGTGATCTTGTTTTCTCGGTCGGAGAGAAATCTGGAAAGAAAAAGGCCATCTTTGGCTTTAAGGAGATAGACACAAAGCTGGCGCAGAAAGACTAAATTTAGCGACACAAAATTGGTGCAGGCAAGCTGTACTTTTCCCAGCTTATGTTTGGGTATCGTGCTGATACTCATTGGACTGTATAATAATCTTGTAATTTTAACTAATTCTTAGATAGGTATCAAAAGAGCTACTTGTTATATATTGACTTAAAGTATATTCGACATGCTATGAATAGATTTTGTCCAAAAATAATAGTGAAATTTATGGTTTCTTTACTTTGCCAAATCCTTTTCTACCATACCGCGGGCAATAGGGTGGTAGAAATCTTTATGCTTTTCGAACGCGTCGAGAGCAGCTTGACGGTCAAGGTCTTTTAGGGCTCGGTATCTTAATTCAATGATCAGCCTTGTATCTTCAAGGTCAAGTAGGTAAACTTACAATGGACGAACAAACTTCATCCTGCCAATCTCGCCCAAGAGTTTGACAGCCGGTTCAATGGCGGCTCTATCACCGATCTTCAGACCAAGTCGAAAGTAAAGATTTGAAACTTCAATGTTGGTGCTACTAGCAAACCCATACGCCTTACCCATCAATTGGAATTGTTCAGGACTTAGGGGATTTTCGAAGAGAATGACTTGTTCGAGAAAGATGACAAATTGGTTAGCAGTCAGACCTTTGATATCTTGTTCTGTTGGGGTAAAGTCCGCCGATGGTAATGACTCCCACCTCTTTGCGAGATCGTATACAACGTCGACGAGAGAGGTGTCGAATTTAGGCTTAGGTGGAAGACCTGGTGAATAAAACCAGAAATCCCAATCTACACCATCCAGGAGCTTGGCTGCCTGTGCATCACTAGAGAAGAAATCTAGCATGGTCGCCTTGAATTCGTAAGAATCAAGTGATTTGCCCTTGAACACAGAGAAATACTAAAGATTTTTAGTAGCTGATTACAGACGGATAAGGGCAACTTACGTGTGGAATAAATCGATCGAAAACTTCCTTAGATAAGAGATTTTCGAGATAAAACAAGAAAGTGAATCCCTTTTCGTAGGGTATAATCGAATAAGCATCATCGGGATCCTTGCCCTTGAGGTCAACAATCAATTTCGTGAATTCGTGGTCATGCCCAAAGTTGTCAACGGCATCTGACAAGGATTTCCAGCCGATGATTGCTGAGAAGTGTCGATACGCTTCTCCGTGTCTATTTTGGCATTGTTAGCGCATAATGGTAGAGTTTTTTGAGAGGGTGAAATTACACGGCAGCGATAATCTATGAATTTCACTAATTAGTAAATTAGAAATGCAATAGGAAAGCATAAGGCCCTCACCCTTCGCTCAAGATATGTAGTCCAACCTTCATTTAACCAAAAGTGCTCCCAAGAAGCATTCGTAACTAAGTTCCCACTCCAACTGTGAGAAAGCTCATGAGCAATGACATCCACATTTTCTCGGTCCTGTGGGGAAAAAAATGACAGTAATGTTAATAAACGCAGCAGCATAGATTTGCAGCATGGGAAATATACCTTTGATATCAAACTAGGAGTTGCGAAAGTGAATATAGGGTTTTCCATCCCCCCATATGGAAAGCTAGGAGGAAGGACAAGAACGTTATATTCGCCCCATGCATATGGGTAAACAATTTTCTTTCCAAGTTAGTGGATGTGAATGACTCAATATGCGGCTTGGGGGCTAACCTCAATTGCTTCCATGAATTTCTCAGTGTCTGCCTCGAATTCCCACTTGCATTCGTCAATTCTATCAGGACTTGTGACAACCACGCTTCTTGGGCCAATTGGGGCATCGGTTAAATCTCTATAGGTGATGAGCATTTTGTAATCTTTTAATTTCAACATAGCACCTGGAAACTACATACCCACTTGCGAGCGCGAAGAGATAACTGGGAATTGGGACATTCTGTTTGAACTTGTAGACATTGTTTTCAGGAACAACCTTCGACTCGGCATTTCGTATAGGGAGTCCACTCGCGACGACTGGAAGCGGGGATTTGATATTGAAGTCAATGGTCGTTTTAACGTCCGGCGTATCTTGACACGGGAAGATGGAACGAGCGTGGATAGCTTGGCATTGAGAGACTGTCGGGGCATTTCGTTAGCTATGCCATCTAATGCTGCGCGGACTGAGGTATCATTACACATGAATGGATATTTCTTGGTCGATGTTTGGGCTGCAGTCAACCACTGGAGCGCGGTACACTTTTCAGTGGTTTGAAGAGAGATCTTGTCGCGTTAGCAATTGACCCTTAAAAGAAGACCATCCCGCTGCTCACATCAACTTCAACGGACCCTCCTAGTTCAATGCCATTCTCAAGCTGGATTTTCAAAGCGCTTCCGTAGGGTTCGAATCGCGGTGAGATTTCCCATTTTGACACTTGGCCATTGACTTTGATTTGGGAAATGTCGAGATAGCTCGTATCCAGGATGATTTCTCGGGATTGCGCGTCAGTTTTGGACTGGATCTGGTGAACCACATTCCCAGCCAGCTTCTTCTGGTCAAAAAAAATCTCCAAGTTGGCGGTCACATGGCGAGACACCCAGGCAGTGTAATTGCTGAGCGTATTGGGATCTCGCGGGCGCTGGATGAATGCCGCCATTCTGCGTTGCTGGAGCTGGAAAGACGGGAAACGAAATGGTGAGATGCAGTAGATTGACTTAGCATTCAGGGTCTTCGCACAGAGAGACGACAATTGCAAGATTTTTTTCATGTAGGGACGCTAGGCAATTGCTCTGCCCGTGGTTACAGCGTCGTGTGATGTGACGTGACTGGAGGGGTAACCCGATCCCTTCTTTGCGCCTGCCAAAAAACGTCAAGCGTAGGACCGCCCGTGGATAACCGCAGCTCCCCGCGGCGTTTATCTATACAGTACGCAAAAATGAATTGCTACATGCCACGGATGGCTTTGTCATATGGTGGTATTGAGAACATTCATGCCTCTGAGAGCAAACCCCTCAGCTGGAAATCGCTTTCTCTTGGTTTTTTATGTTTCTTCGTACAGGATCGCGTCGGTGTGGTCGTGTTACGAAAGTTTTGAGCTTCGATATATACAAACTGACCGAGGTTCTGTGAAGCAATAATATTTATGACCCATTAATCCACAGTTCGATCTCGTCCGCGTATTTAGGGGCAGATGTGAGATTGTCATGGCCGTCCTTTGTGACATGGATGTTATCTTCGATACGAATACCTCCGACCTCCCAATATTTCTCGAGCACATCGTTGTCGATATATTTCGAGCTTTCGGGCGACTGCAGGTACGGCTCAATGATGAAGCGGCAAAAGTAGATCTAAAGTAGCGGATTAGAAATGCAAAAGGACAATGGTCAGAGAGGCGTACCCCAGGCTCGACAGTAACCACACTTCCCGCCGGAAGGTTACCCCTAACGCGCAAGTATCTGAACATCTTATCTTTGTCTTCGTAGTTTGCATGGCCCCCGGTATCATGGGTGTCCATTCCAAGATAATGACCAAGCCCGTGCGGAAAGAAGGCCACACTGATTCGCTTGTCAAACAGCTCTTCTTCTGTGCCCTTGAGAATGCCAAGTTTCAGCAGGCCCTTGATAGCAATACGGTGTGCAGCAATATGAACATCTTCCCAAAGAACGCCTTCTTTAATCATTTTCAGTGTTTCAAGCTGCATCTCCAGCACAATGTCATAAATCTCTCGAGATTCGGGAGAAAATTTGCCTGACAATGGAAAGGTCCGCGTAACATCTGCACAGTACGCTCTATACTCACCGGCAGCGTCCAAAAGCAAGTTCAACTTTCTTTTATTTGTTGTCGGATCAATCAAACTATCATTATTATTGACGTAGTGAAGGGTGGCTCCGCTTGTACCGCTGGCAACGATAGGATGATATGCTAGCTCACGACAGCCATGAGCGATACAAGTCGCGATGAATGCTGCCTCAAGCTCTCGTTCATTTTTAGCCGACTTGGCTGCTTTATATACGGCCACGTGAGCCTGAGCAGTAACGTCGTTTGCCTTGCGAAGGAGGGCAATTTCATACGCGTCTTTGATAGCCCGACATTCTTCAATGGCTGTTTTCACTGCAAGAAAATCGGTGTTTGGGAAAGGAACAAAATCAGTGCTGTCCGATATTTGTCCCTGTATAGAAAATACGACACCATTCTGTCCAACCTGTGATCCCAGTTGCGCCAGGCTAGGGTTGATCTCGCTCGTCAACAGGACCTTGTCGACATCGTAGGTGTCTTTTGCTTGTGCAGGAGACATGGGAAGACCAGACCAGATAACCGAATCGGGGTCCAACGGAGGGATATATAGAGTCAACTCGTCGGAGCTTATGTGGTATGTCAAGAGAGCATCTGGAAGTAGGCACCCAGAAAGGTAGAAAAAGAAGCGACGTTGCCTATGAAACAGAAAAATTAATATAGTAGAAGCATGAATTGGTGTTTAAATCCTACCGGAAAGGTTGCTCGGAGTCATTATCTTCGATAAATTTCGTCTTTTGGCCTTCTAGGTAGATGACGCCGTCGTCTTTCAGTCCCTTTTGCTTCAGATACGCAGCAACTTTGCGGGCGTGATCCTTGGCTGGGTATTTACCCGCCAGAATAGCCTCGAGATTTGACGCCATACTAGCAATAGACGAACCAAGATTGGTGCGGTTGCTTACAGCTGAATGAAAGTGAACTGAAGAACGAGATGTTGTGTGTACCCCACACCTTCAAATGTTACGTTGACCCCGCCAACAGGAAGCTGATTAACTAATTTGTTACCAATGATTTGGACCTTTCGACGAATAATAAGTAAATGTTATGATCCGAGCTCCCTACATCGTCCATGAAGAAGATTTACACAGAGAGCAAACATAAAAATCATAAACGCCAGGCTAAATATTCCATCATCATCGTCTTGCGAGCGCATAGAATGGGCAGCTGCTCAATTCAGAAGAATGAGACATCTTCAAATTCCATCTGCCATTTATCAACCTCTTTAAACTTCAATACTGCCTGCTCCAGTTCGCGACTAGCGATTCTGCCACCCGAATCGCGGATTGTGATGTCGTAATCCGAGTCGAATTCATCTGAGGGAGGTAGTGAGGAGAGGTCAGAAGAACCGTCGGAGAGGTAGTTCTCTTTGTCGGTGACCTGGGTTTCTCGACGAGAATATGTGCGAGGGGTTTTGCTTTGGGAATCAGGCAGATTTGGAAATGTTCTCTTGACCCCATTAGGTGTCTTGTTGCTACCCCGATCTGAATATCGTGGGCCGTTGGTGTTCACTTTGACGTTGCGTGTCGTTGCATCCGACAAGCCTCTTTTCTGGGGCCTGCGGCGCGTAGTACCGATGACTCTATTCAATTCATCCTCATCTGAGTCTTCAGCCAGCGACTCCGAGCCTTCATCATAATCTTGGTAACTCTTACGTCGACGAATTCGACGTCGAGGAAGAAATTTGGCTTGTAAGATGGAAGTTGCAATCTTCGGGACGGTATTCTTAGTTACTTGTGCCGTCATCACTTCATCGATAGCAGTAACTGATGGATGGACGCTCCCTGGGCTGCTCAGAGGAGTAGCTAACACAAAATTCATTGTATCAACAGATGCTACAACAGACCGAGGTCTTGGCGTCTGCATAGGGCTAGATATTGGACTGCTTTCCGCAGATGGAGGGTTGTTACTATCGCCATGATTCAATGTTGTGCGCTTTCTCTTCCGAGAGTCTTTGGAGGCCGGTGATGACAAGTTTGAGCCTCGAGATGGAGAAACGTTCGGCGAATCGACTATTTGCGACGGCTTCGTGGCATTCAGCGGTGTCGACTCATCTTCTGGACTCAAGCCACCGAGAAAGTCGTCGTCATCGAGATCGGAAGACTCGTCGGCCTGCATCATCTGGAGCAAGCTGGGTTGTCTTGGTCTTCTTCTGAAATTACTCAAGATAGAACTCTCGAATCCAGGCGTGCTGCCAATGCGCGAAGTGACATCTCCTTTCCGGCCAGCTAATGACAATGTGGACGAGTAGCCTCGAGCTCTAGTAGGGGGGCGACTTCCTGTTTGACTTCCTGTTGCCGGGCGATCATTTGGTGACGATACAAGAGCATTTTCGGGAGCATTTCGAGTGGGTGTCAGAGTAGGTCTGAGTGGGAGTTGATGGGAGCGTGAAGTATCTATGCTGGTATGGGTAGGTAGTTCTGGTGTGGCAGCTCGCGCCTGCCCTTCACTATCAGTACCGAGCACATTTGTCTTCGTGTTTGAAGGATTAGTTAGGTTGGTAGTCTTCCTGGCAGTTTCTGTAGAGGCCTCAGGCGCAGCCCGAGTCCTTCGAGCGGGCGGCCGTGGCATTGGGAAGGCGTGCGTTTCGCTTTGCGAAAGAGCTCAATCGTGTTTTTCTGCTAGATCTGAAGTATGAAAACGATGTTCTGATCTGCACGGCTGGGGTTGCGTTGAGAATTAACGGTGACGCAGCGGTAGATATTAAGATGATTTAAACGCGCGAAAATACACGGGACCGCGTTTGGTGGTTTGTTTACACTTTTACAGTTTGCTTGATGCAGGAGGCACGAGCGTTGGCGCTTTGTGGGGCACAGGTGTACCCAATAATCGCTTGTTTGAATGGAATAGCGACAATTATTGCTAGGTACAAAGGATAAGTTCTCTGCTTGTTCTTGTGCTCAAAGACATAGCAAAGGCCATAGATTCACTCAATGCGGTAATATCTTATGTAGAAGAATATGTCCAAAAATACTATGTGATGGTATCTCAAAATACGAGCAAAATACGAGCAAAATTCGTCAGCATCATCCCCATAAATCATGTATCGTCGGCGGTCGAAAGTTATAATTAAAGGTTGACAATTCATAGTGACACCCATTCGCTGCCACGCTTTATGTACTTATCAAGCAGTATACCCAGGTCATTGAGCGCAAACCGGCAGACATAGAATCCGAAGAATTCTGCTGCATGGCGAGTGCTTAATTCCAGACCAACATGGGTAGGGGAGGAATGCTTGAGACCAGGGTCTTCTACCTGACGGGCAATTTGATCTAGAATCTAATGAGTACTGGCAAGTACAGAGAAGGGGAAAGTTGATGCCTTACCTAAAACCTGGACGGCATCAAATAATCGTGCCAAAGCCCCAATATAATTCGCGTTTGGACCAGTGAACTGAAGCTGAGTGACATTGCGCTTAACAATGCGTGTACTTGGAGAAGTTGTCATAGGCAATGTATTCATGGTGAGGCTTTCCTTCCCAGTCTCTCTAATTGTTGGAATAGGTGTAGCACTTGAGCCTGTCGGCCCAGAGCTTTTGGATCGGAGTTTCCGCCATGACGAAAGATAAGACTTGCTACTGCTATTTGAGCTTCTCGATATAGTCTCAGAGACCATAGAGGCGTCATCAGAGGTGGAAGCCGACTTGATTAGTGCAAGAGTGCCTTGTACCCCTACTTCATTTCCCAATTTCTTTGAAAATGTGGATTGCACTTGATCCAATATATTCTCAAAAGATTGCATCTCTTCTAGAACTGCATCAGCATCATACGTATCAACCTGAGCAAGTTTGAGTAGAGCTGCCGTAAGCAAGTCGCATAACGAAATCTTATCTTCCACGCCACGAATTTTAACATTTTTCACGCGCCATACTTCCCTTGGCACAAACAATTTGGTTGATAAGTAACCGCCGCGAGGATGTGCAATTGTTTCATACAAGGATCTCATCAGCCAGAAAGGCCGCAAAAGAAATGATTCCGGACAAGGTTCCAATGGCAAAGGGGCGTTAGCGGCCAAATGATTCGGTGAGCCAGGTGTTGAAGGTGAATGTATATCACTGTTAAAGAGATAGAGGCCACGGCCAGGTAAACTATTAACGGTGAAGGTTTGCGCAGTGGGCGTGGGCAGCGCTGGAATGAAAGCATTCGGGCCTCCTCTTTGAAAGTCAAAGGCTGGAAAAGTACTACTGGATGGAGTGTTTGGAGACTCGGTCGATATGTCAGGTGTCGAAACAGACATATTTCTAGCCATCATTGCTCCAAGGCTAGATGAAGAAGTATTCTTTCGAAGAATACCGGGTGCAGAAGTGATTTTTCCGATAGGCTTAGGAGGCGACGGCACAATGGGGCGTTCAAAATCATCGCTATCTTGGGTGACAGCTCTTGTAAGGCCCGAGCCATAGCTATCTTCCCTCAGAGATTCATATGAAGCCTTCCTCTCAGGAAGCATATTCTGTGGTGATTTGGACGGCACATGTGGAGGGACGGGTATGTTGGGCCTGCGCTCGAACTGAGGCATGGGCGGTGGAGGACTTCTAAAAGGCATGGCATAAGGCTCTGTTTTAGGAGGCTGGGAGTTGGTAGCAATACGGTTCGTGTCGATCTTCAGTTGTTTCATGTTTGAGCCAGATAAACGACGAGCTCGTACACCCGAAGGCGGAGAGAGCGGCACAGACTGTGGGAGGGGCATGGGCGGCCGTGTGCCTGGCACCGCTGGGTTTTCAGACGAAAGAACACCTTCCTCTGCTAAAGTTGACAGAGACGTGACCGCTGTAGCGGCATTGGAGGTCAAGGAACTGCCCCATGTTCTCGCAGAAAACGTGCTCGAGTCAGATTGTCGCGGTAATGCAGACTTGGTATGTAGGTCAAGTTCGAAATCATCCATAACATATCCTCTTGTCATCTCTTCCAATAGACGCTCCTCCTCTTCCGCCTCTTCACCCACATAATCAGATTCCATTCTAGCATTTTGAGACCATAAAGCTTCATCATTCATTCGTCTTTTTTCTAGTCCTCGAGCCATCGCTTCCTGAGCTTCTCTCTCGGCTTCTCGTACTCTTTGCTTTGCAATCTCAATATTCCTCCTCGCATTAGACACGACATCATCGTCATTTTCGTAAAAGTCTTCAGGGGGGTGTGATGCAGGTTCCAAGCCTTCGTTGTAGGCAGCTTCAACTGCAGCGTCTAAAGCAGCATCAAATTCAGCCTCAGTGCCATTGCTTTCCGGGCGAGAATGCGTGTTTCGCGAATACAATGATAACTTTGACTTGGTAGATGTAGGTGAAGAAGGCCCAGATTCATCGATTGTGTCAAGCCATGATGTTGACTCGTTTCCGGTAATATTCGGGTTTTGACCTTTCGAAGAACTCAATCCATATAACTCTGAACCTGTAGTGAGGCGCTTGCTGGAGTCAAAAGTGGATTGCTGGCGAGGCGAGAGGGGTAAGCCGTAGTTGCTTTCATCACAAGCCTCTTCATGCGACGAAAGAAATGTATCTTCTTGGGACGGACCAGCTTGGGAAACTATATCACTAATCGGGGTAGCTTTGGGGTTTTCTGGTAACTTGACGCTGTTAATGTCGGTTATAGGTGGTGTGTAATCATCTGTCTCCCTAGAAGTTGATTTGGTGGTTAAAATCTTCTCGTCCTTTGTCACAGATTGAGAGTTTGGCGGAATAAGGCTCTGGTCGCTAAGCGGTCGTTCAGGAAGCGCCTTGTCGCTGTACTGTTGCATTGGGAGATCAAGGCGCTCCAGCTCTTTAATGCGGCTCACGTAAGTATTGCGCTAGAGTAAATTCATTAGCCTTTGGTTTACAAGAAAGGTATATGAACAGCTTACTATTTCCAGCAATTTAGATTTTTCATCATCGCCTCCACTACTCCGCAGCATTACCAGTTGTAATAATTGACATGCGTCCTGATAAGCTTCGATTGCGCCTTCAAAATTCGCAGCATTGTCCAACAATACTGCGGTATTCGCCTTCTGTAATGCTTTTGATAGCATAACTTTCTGTGAAGGTCCACGCTGCCGACGTGTATTTTGTGGGGATGTAGAACCGGGCTCAATTCTGTCTTGGGGACCTCGGACGACCTGCTCTCTGCTCTGAGACCTTGTTTCATATACCAGATCGTCCATGGTATGTATATATATATATATATCTCTCTCTCTCTCTCTCTCTCTCACTCTCTCTCGTAATACCGGAAAAGGTGTCTTATTCAAGTCAAAAAGTAGTGAGATACCAAAGCATCTCTGGGTTTGCACCCACCCCACGAGACGGGTGTCTCAGGTTCCACCACGCACGAGAATGCCGTTAAACCAAGGAATTATTGCTGAAGAAACTCTGCTGTAGTTGGGCAGGCTCTGGATAACGGAAAGGATCAGTCTGAAAGCAAATTGACGTCGACAATGCACAGCATTCTATTAAAGGCAGTGGCGAGGGAATAGAGAGGTGTTTAGCGGCGTCTTAGATGTTCAGGCAGGCCATCATATCATGATCTGGCAACCATGGCGAGGTATGCAAAAATAAAACCTGGTTAAAAATTCAATATGTGATATTCGTTAACAAGAGCCCAAACTTCCACCTAGGCGCAAATTCCCAAAATATTGATGCTTCAATGGCGTTACACGGTCTGTGCAAAGCGGGAATCGGAAACGCGGTCAGAAAGTCGAGTTGCCAATGCACTTGAACAATACGTAATGCAGGTTTTAAATCGCAACCAAGGGCGATGACCTGAATGAAGCGGAATTGGCGTTCGACAGGAACAGTCGAATGGCAAACAGGTCGTCAGAGGGCGGTTTCAAATAATTCCCAGGTCGCCCGACGGCAGTGTGTACAAAGGGGGGAACAAGTATATCCAAGTCGCAGGACACCCTCAAACTGCAGGGGAAGAAATCGAAATCGATTGGATGAACCTCTTGAAGACTCAGCAAGAAGGGATAGCAGAGCGAGACTGGTCCAAAAAGTAAAGGCAGATCGGCGAGGCTGGACTGATCGCACGTCTCGAACTGCAGCGCTCGGGGAAGAGAAAGGGGGAGGCAATTCCACACGCTGCCGAAAGCGATAGCGCTAGTCTGCTGTTCGATAGATAGCACCCCTCCTTTGACATACAACAATAGTATTTACAATGGACAATAATATTATTATAATATTACGACGTAGACAACAACAATAATATTATTAAATCAGATATTAATATTATGACTGGTACAATCAAATAATAGTAGTAGAAGTATAATAAGCAACAGCGATTGCTGCCTGGACGGCTTGATTTTCTCAGTCCTGCAGGCTGGTGTCAACTAGCACGGCACAGCATCAATAACAATAATAATAATGGCCATGATTTTATTCCCGCTCTTACTATTCATCTCTTATTCGCCTAGTAGAAGTCATAGCATTTCCGCAGGAACACTACGCGGTCCATGGTCAACTGTGCCCCGTTCCTTCTCTGCGACTGGCTGGCGCACCCCCTCCTGCCCGCCTATGTAGTTAATATGTAAATAGCCTAATAGTTACCGATGCATCGACGTCATCTCGAGGAGCTGCACCTACTGCACCTGCATCTGTCCAGACTGCCTCGTCCATGCATCGCCTATGCATCGTCTATCCTGAATATTCTGGATACCCAATATCTATCCACCACAGCCAAGAGACGCCGTGCTTTCTGCTGGGGAGGGGTTGGGGCTCTTCCAGCCTGGTAATTGCGTTGCCGTTGACAGCATAAGCGAAGAGAAGCGAAGCGCCATCTACCTAGCCAAGTCTGTCCGACACAACTATGGCAACTACCGGCAGAGGGATCCGTGTGGCGATCGATGTATGTGTAGACCGCCCTATACTCTCGTGCAGTCCCTTATCTTATGCTATCGCCTGCTAACCATTCGACAGCGAGGTGGTACCTTCACCGATTGCATCGGCAATCCGGGAACAGGAAAGCTAGAAGATGACATCGTAATCAAGCTGCTATCCGAAGACCCGGAGAACTATGACGATGCACCTCTCGAAGGAATTCGCCGGCTTCTCTCCAAGTTCACCGGCCGCAACATTCGGAGGGGGAACCGCTAGATACCTCGCAAATTGAGAGCATCCGGATGGGAACCACCGTCGCTACCAATGCTCTTCTTGAAAGGAAAGGGGAGAAGATCGCCCTTATAGTGACAAAGGGCTTTAAGGACTGTCTCGAAATTGGCAATCAGTCTCGCCCGAAAATCTTCGATCTTGCAATCAGGCGCCCCGAGGTTCTATATCAAAAGGTGGTTGAAATTGACGAGCGAGTGACCCTGGAGGACTACGCAGAAGATCCCACTCGAAAGAAAACTAAAGTTCCTCCTAGGGAACAAGCTTCTTCTGACACTGAACTTGTAAGTGGAGTCTCATCCGAGGCTGTGAGGATTTTCAAAAGGCCGAACAAGGACACGGTGCGGGACCAGCTGCAGCAATTATACAACGATGGTTTTCGCAGTATTGCAGTTTGCCTCATGCACGGGTACACCTTTCCAGATCACGAGGCTGTGGTTGGTAACTTGGCTCGAGAAGTTGGCTTCACACACGTCAGTTTGAGTCATGAACTTATGCCGATGATAAAACTGGTTCCCAGGGCCACTTCAGCTTGTGCAGATGCCTACCTTACCCCCACCATCAAAAAGTATATATCCGGGTTTGAGGCGGGCTTTGAAGGTGGGCTAGGTGCAAAAGCCGTGCAAAATAACGCTGGTGGAAAGGGGGCTCGTTGTGAATTCATGCAATCAGATGGCGGTCTTTCCGATGTCAGTCAGTTTTCTGGCTTGAAAGCCATTCTCTCGGGCCCAGCGGGAGGAGTGGTCGGATACGCTCTGACTTCCTATGATTCAGACTCCAAGATTCCCGTCATTGGTTTTGATATGGGTGGGACAAGCACTGATGTCAGCCGATATGGCGAAGGCAGATACGAACATGTCTTTGAAACAACTACTGCTGGGGTCACAATCCAGTCACCGCAATTAGACATCAACACAGTAGCTGCAGGTGGCGGTTCTCGGCTTTTCTTTAAAAATGGACTTTTCATTGTGGGCCCCGAATCCGCAGGTGCCCATCCTGGCCCAGCCTGCTATCGAAAAGGGGGCCCTCTGACTGTTACTGATGCCAATCTTTATCTTGGAAGGATACTTCCGGATTTCTTCCCCAAAATATTCGGTAAAGACGAAAATGAGGGATTGGACGAAGAGGCTAGTCGCCAAAAATTTGAAGAAATCGCAGATCAAATCAATGAAGAAATCTCTAAGACTGACAAGGACAAGAAGATGACCCCAGATGAGGTGGCATATGGGTTCATTAAAATTGCGAATGAGACGATGACACGGCCCATACGTTCACTCACTGAAGCTAGAGGCTACGACACGTCAAAGCACCGCCTGGCTACATTTGGAGGGGCAGGTGGTCAACATGCCGTTGCTATTGCTGAGGGGCTGGGTATAACACAAATTCTAGTACACCGATACTCTTCTGTACTCTCGGCATACGGTATGGCCTTGGCTGATGTTGTTGACGAAAGTCAAGAACCAGAATCACAAGTCTGGGCGGCGGGAGAGGTCCAGCAAAAGCTGAGGTCTAAGATGGAGTATCTGAAACGGAGATCCACGGAAAAGCTACGTGCACAAGGGTTTGGACTTGAATCGATCGTTTTCGAAGAGTACTTGAACATGCGATATAGAGGAACGGAATCGGCGCTCATGATCCTGAAGCCAACACCGGGAGAGGCAAAGGCTTTCTACGACGGCGATGAGTGGGCCTTTGAAAAGGCCTTCATAAAACAACACGAGCGCGAGTTCGGGTTCGTACTTCCAGACAGAGACATCATTGTTGACGATGTGCGCGCTCGTGGCATCGGCAAAATCTTCCAGGGCCTTGAAAAGTCAATCGACCAACAACTGAAGGAAGCGAGACCAATAGATGTCAACCCTAAAAATATATTTCGGACCACAAATGTCTATTTTGATGGAGGTCGTCGAGATACACCCGTTTATAAGCTGGACGAGTTGAATGTCAATGATCGAGTTAAAGGGCCAGCGATAATAGCTGATGACACTCAAACGCTCGTTGTGACTCCAGGTGCAAGTGGTCTGATTACGGATACACATGTAGTAATAAATATTGGAGAGAGTGAAACTCATGAAGTCAAACCCGAAACCGACGAGGTCAATCCCATCATGCTAAGTATTTTTGCTCACCGCTTCATGGCTATAGCTGAACAGATGGGTCGCGCTTTGCAGAAAACGAGCGTGAGTACTAATGTTAAGGAGAGACTCGACTATTCATGTGCACTCTTCGACTCAGATGGGGGGTTAGTAGCGAACGCGCCTCACTTGCCTGTGCATCTCGGCAGTATGTCAACGTGTGTTCGGACCCAGGCTGCCATATGGAAAGGAAAATTGAAGCAAGGGGATGTTATCGTTTCTAATCATCCGGAATTTGGAGGCACCCATCTTCCAGACATCACCGTCATAACACCAGCTTTTGCTGGTAAAGAGATTATCTTCTATGTAGCCTCTCGAGCACATCACGGTATGTTTTTGGAAGTAATAATATGATCGAAACAAGGCTAACCTTTAATTAGCGGACATTGGAGGTATTCTTCCAGGCAGTATGCCACCTCATTCCAAGGAACTCTACCAAGAGGGTGCCACTATCAAGTCAGAGAAGTTAGTTTCAGAAGGTCATTTCAATGAACAACGAATTACGGAATTGCTTTATCGCGAGCCTGCAAGGTACCAGGACTGCAGTGGAACAAGATGTCTCGCAGACAACCTGAACGACCTTAAAGCGCAAGTCGCCGCGAATCAAAAGGGTATAAATCTAATTTGTTCTCTGATTGAAGAATATGGACAAGAACGGGTACAGCATTATATGCACAAAATCCAAGAAAATGCCGAGACCAGCGTTAGGAATTTGCTGAAAGAAGTGAGCCGCAAATTTCAGGGGAGGGACCTGTCAGCTGTTGATTATATGGACGACGGAAGCCCTATCAAACTACATATATCAATCCAGCCAGAGGATGGAACCGCTTTCTTCGATTTCACGGGTACTGGACCCGAAGTTTACGGTATGAAACACCTTCCCAGCTCTAAATAATCTTCTAACACACATAAAGGGAATATCAATGCACCTGAAGCCGTAACCTACTCAGCTATTATATATTGTCTAAGATGTCTGATCTCTGAGGATATACCGCTTAACCAGGGTTGTCTCAAGCCAGTAAAGGTGCACATTCCGAAAAATTCATTCTTGTCACCTTCTGAGAATGCCGCTGTGGTCGGAGGGAATGTCCTCACAGTAAGTTTTCAACCGGTATCTTCGAAAAAGGTGTACAACTGACATCAATTTCAATATCTATAGAGCCAGCGAATCACAGATGTAATCTTGAAATGTTTCCGGGCTTGTGCGGCTTCGCAGGGCGATACAAATAATTTAACTTTTGGCTTTGGAGGCAACATTTCTGGAGGAGAAGAAACTAGGGGATTTGGCTATTATGAAACTATTGCGGGGGGTAGCGGGGCTGGTCCAGACTGGGCAGGGACGTCTGGAGTACATACACATATGACTAATACTCGAATAACTGATGCCGAGGTCTTTGAGCGGCGATATCCAGTCTTACTTCGAGAATTCAGCCTACGGCCTGGGTCTGGGGGGCTCGGCCAGCATTGTGGAGGAGATGGTGTCATCAGAGACATTGAATTCCGCATTCCTGTCCAAGTTTCGATCCTCTCGGAACGACGGGTTTACCGGCCATATGGCCTTGAAGGTGGTGAAGACGCACGAAGTGGACGTAACCTTTGGGTTCGAAAAATCCGAAGGAGCGACAAAGATGACAAGGAGATCGTTGAAGACCGACTCATCAACTTAGGGGGCAAGAACAGCGTGAAAATGCGACCTGGAGAACGCATCATCATCATGACGCCTGGAGGAGGTGGCTGGGGTATTGCTGGTGATGAGAGCAAAGTTCGCAGGAAGCGCGATGTGAAACACGCCTGGCGAGGAGGGTCAATAGCAAACATGCTTGCAACACAAGAAAGCAGCATGTAGATATCTTTTGGCATGCATGACACGGGCTACTAAGGAGGCTGTAATATATTACTTCCTATGCTCTCTTGGGACTGAAAATTAGAGCGGCATACCGGACCGGAACTGAATTTATCTTTTCTACGCACATAGACGATTTAGATCAAGCCCTGAGGTGTGCGGAGACACCACTATTTGTTTTGCTTTAATCACTCGTCCTAGCTAAATGCCCGCACATAGCATTTCCATTCTGCCCAATTGCATTAAAACATGTCATCAAATTTATTTACTTGAATGGTCGATGGTAATAAACTGTCGCCATTTTTAGTAGGCCATCTCTTAAAGCTCCAATGTATATGCTGTCAAAAGTCAAGGATCAAGCCTGGTATGCAAATCGCGTATAAAATAGATGTTTACCTCGAGGGAGTACCCGAACCTCAGTCTTCTTCCTCTTCCTCGTCACTTGTGACATCAATGTTCTTTTTGCCACTTGATATAGGCTGGATAGGCTCGTCATCTTCATTCCCATCCTCAGCAAGGCCATTGTAGGGCGGTCGAGGAATTGTGATGCCTTTCTGAGATAGTGCTTCTTCAATTTCTGGTAAATGAGAGATTAAAGCGGAAAATTGTTCAATTGGCAAAGATATGCCCTGCAAGATAGAAAAGGTTGAAAGATTAGCACCCTCATCTGAGAGATTCTAATGAATATCAATAATCCAAAAACATACCTTCTTTCCCGGGAGTTCTTGGCCATCCTTCTCATAATATTCTCTAACATGTACCAATGTTTTACCTTTGAAGGTCGACACGGTGACACGACGAAGGTTTGAGATCTCCCAGTACGTATCTCCATTGGAGTCGGTCTTTTTAGACGATGTCTTGACTCGTTTCGAGCGGCTTTTCTGATCATTGTCGTCGCTCACGACAAAGCCACCATCGGACTGGTAGTCATTTGAGCGCTTCTTCGATTTAGAAGACATGATTTTTGCGTATTTCAGACTCAGATCCTTTTGTTCAATGACCTGTCTAAATTGGTGAACTAACGAGGTTGTCCACAAAGAGCGCGTTTGCGCGTCATATCACGTGTGCCGTCTTTATCTTATCGGGGAATCGCGTCATTTGTCTCGAAACGGTAGGATAATTTATTAGTATTCTCTCTAAAGGTACAAGTGGACATGGTGTATACCCTGAAAAATACTTCATGCTATCAAGAAAATGGATGTAGTGTACAGCAGAATGTCTTCCGGATTATATACACTAGCTAGCAAAGATACTACATAACAGAAATCTATAGTATAAGAGCTCGAAGGGCTTGCAAAATCAAAGCAAACATTAGACCCCGGCCAACTTCTTCTATTTGAAGACAATCAAAGACCCTAGCAAGTGCTTCCCCCGTCGCCACGGCACCCATCACACTCATTAAAGCCTGAGGCATGCCCCTTTCGACGAGCAATTTCCTGGCGTCAGTCTTGAGCTTTGCACTCTCTTCCGCATTCAATGGAGGCGGCCATATTTTCAACTCCTCCTCAGTTGGAAGGGCATTTTCTCTCATCTTTGAAACATGAGCCGCAATTGCTTCGTCTGAGGTATGAGAGTCAATCATTGATTGCTGCACTAAAAGCCGCATTGATTCCAAATGAGGATTTCCTGGGCGCAGTATATACGTCTTTGCGGCATTGAGGAGCGTTCTCCGTATATTCCAAGCGGACGACAACGTGTATAATTCATTTATGACAGCAAAAATTAGTTCAACCGCAATACGGGTTTCGTCTTCGGTGATCGGGCTTCCTGTGGACGCGCTGATTAAGTCGGTTTTTTTATCTGCTAATTCATGAGAACTTTTCCTCCCGTGTCGATCATGCTGTGTGTCGTTATCATTATCTTGATGCGCAGTACTTTCTAGAATGTCCTTTTCGACGCTTGTATCAGGTCCCGCCAAAGCCGAACTTGTTGTGTTTAGAGTGTCTGTGATAGTTCTATCAGTCGATATATCGGCTGAGTTATCGGCACTTGGGATATATGGCGACGAAGGTGCCGTACTCGTTAAATCAACGACGGGTTGGTTAACCAACTTCCTGTCAATCTGGGTCTCACTAGCAACAGACAAGGAATGTGATCGCCCTAGGTTATCTTGACTAGGATGGCGTTGGTGATCCAAATCAACGTGCGAGGATATTGGTTGACTCGGAGTTGTAATGGTGCTTTTTTTGTTCAGACCTGCGAAGACCCCTGTCATACCATCCAAAACAGCCTTCCCTCCCCCAGCAACTCCTTTTGGTGCATTTGACAAAACCCCCAACATGCCCTTGCCCATGTTCTCAAATGTGCTCGATGCCCGCAAGGGAAGGCCAGCCTTGCTTGCTGTCGACGCCGCCTGATTCCAATCGCTATCCCTTCCAAGAAACCGCCGGACACGTTCTGATCTAACGAGGTCTTGGTATTGGAGTACATCACGAAGATATTTCTCAAGCGCTTTTGCGAGGACGTATTTTGTTTGTCCACGCCAAGCTGGTAAAGAAATATGACGGTCCAAAAATGATAGATTGTGGTATCTCGAAAGAGTTGAGAGGCCTTCATGCAAATATTCAAAGTCTTGGTAACTTCTAAATATCATCCACCCTGGTTGGCGGGCCGAGACAGGTTCAATTTGAAGCGAATACTCAGCTGTTGGTTTATTTCTCATCACGGACTTATCTCCAGGTACAGAACCATCATCAATTAATACGGATGCACCAAAGAGGGAGTGACTGAGCATTGCATAATCCTGCTGTCCATAAGCAGGACTCTTCGATTCACTTGAGCTCCGCTCAGGGAGTTCGACTGCGACGAATTCCGATCCATCGTTACTGTTGCTACCTTCTGACGGCTCTACTTCGACAGGTATTGCTGCCCCGGTCACCTCGGATTTTATATCCAATGGCGAACTGATAGCAGCCGACTCGTCTGGTAAAACATTCTTCTCGGTGAACATTTTATACGAATGCGACTTTTCTGACGACTCAGTTCTCTCTAGTTTGACAGGCATATCGCTTGAGGAGGCACGGGGTGAATCAATGGCAGCTTCAGAAGAGACTACCTTGCCCTTCGGGGCATTTTCCAAACTGGCATCAATTGCATTCAAAATCTCCGGCTCGCCTTCCTGAAGCAAATGCACTATCCAACCATTGATGAAATCCTGTTGTGAACAGCTCTTTATGACAGACTCCAATACCACTCCGGCCAATATCTCACGGAAGAATAACCTGAGTGGTTCGCATTTATAAACTGAAGGTTCGAGGAAAGAAGAAAGGACATCATCTGCAACCATCTTGAGTTTTTTCTGTTGCTGATCTACAGACAGCACGTTCGACAAGTTGCTTTCTGGATATTGTTTCAGATAGTTTTTTATAACATCTTCTGTCGCGGTAGAGTCGGTGCTGCCAGTCTCTAGAGCCAAGGATAGCTCATTTAAAAATACAATAATCATCGAACTCGAATTCGTAACAAACTGGAGAAATGTATCCGCCGATCGTTTGCGGGTCATATGTGATGACAACGAGTTGATGAAATTGACCAAAGTCTTTCTGCAGCTGAGGGGAAACGAGTCCTCGGCAGGAAGGATAGGTTGGTACCAATATCTGAGATATTATGAGCTGCGCGGCCTGTGTTGAAATAACGGAATAACGTGGCCTTACTTTACATATTCTGTTACCACAGCATCCGTCAGGCTTGAAAGAGCCGCGGCGGTGGCAGGACGAAATTCGGAGAAATTCAAATCGTTTCTCGAGGCATTTTCAGCATCTTCATTGAGTTTTAGATCTCCTGCCCGAAAATTCCAGTCGAGAAGCCGAGAAGCAACCTCGATGCCAAGTTCCTTCCTCTTTCTGACCTGCCTGGAATACCGCTCCCCATGGGGCGACTCCCTATCTGCGACACCATCCCAAAGCTCATGGAAAAGGAATCCAGCGACTAGTCCAATGAGTAATAAACCTAGTCTCCCAAATATTATATATATGACAAGTGCCAGTGCACCGATTATAATAACAAGCGTTTCGTTCTCGGCTGTTGAGAGATAATGCAAGACACGTTGCGTTAATGTCGAAGCCGACGCCGGCCAAGGGCCCAGCTCACCTCTATCAGCGACGTCATCCTTAACTGTGCCTTTGGCGGTTTTCTCATTCTCTAAAATATATTCAGAAATATTGACTTCATCCATAACAATCGCATGGAGCAACCGATTAGGTGCGCTGCTAACGACAGCTGAAAGGCGAGGCGTGTTAGTATCTATTATAAGTTGCGGGGAACACGGGAAGGCGTCGCGCGTCAATCACAGCCCCAGTGGCGCCAGTCTACAGAGAACCATGGATAAACCTCCATACAGTAGAACCAACATATACCAGCATATGGCTACAAAGTAAAATTCAATACTAGACACAAAAAGCCCCAGCGTACAACATAACACCAACAGCAGAAAACTTCACTGGCCAGCTTGTTCCATCGAAAGCCCAGTTTCATGTAACCATTCGTAATTACTTTCTTGCCCTATCAGCCCGGAGGGTAAGATATCTAAAGCACGTGGAATGGGTTTTATTCTTCGCTATCCGAGTGAATCTGGCATTCAAAGAGCTTGCAATCATGCCAGATGCAAAGAAGAAAGCGATAGGTAGAATGTGACCAAAAATAAAATAGTCTTGTTAGGGCGATAGAAAATACAAGCAAGAAATGAAGGGAAGGGCCATTAGCTGGGCTAAGCTCGGTGCACAAAGGAGCCACACAGGGTCTAAAGAGCAGAAGTTTTGGAACTTCATCAACATATTCAAGTTAGTAGTACCAACGACATTCAAAGTCAGCAGAGACACCCTCTCTTCGATTGCAGGCATTTCTGAAAAGTGGGATTTGAGTGTCATGATATACAGATATCATTGCGCATTAATCAGCCATGGAGGGGCTCATAGTCACCCTGCAAAGGGGGAGTGGGTAGTAATGCAAGCTCCTTTTAGAATTGGTATCCTGAGCATCTACATTTGTTGTGGCTTGAGATGTATGGATTTGAGGCTTGCGATAGTTTTGTGTTGAATTTTCCCTGCAGAACACGGTCAGGTCAGTGTGGTGGCAGCTTAGGTCTGTTGGAGAATATCGATTTCTAGACGCTTTTTGTGGTAAAAGAATAATATATGTGTATTCAAACAACGTAGCCTGTAGATTAATCAAGGGTCAATTCTCATGGAAAGGTACTGTTGTTGTGCATATATAATATCATGTTTGTTGGACGAGGAAAAATTTTAGGTGGGCGCTTGAGGCCTATCCCAGCTTGGCAACCTCCACTCGGTTAGCGCAAGTGTATATGTATTTACGATGAATATCAGCCAATCATGTCTCCTTGTCCAAAACATGAAATGAAGCACAGCTACATGTTATTCTAACTTCTGAGGCTACTTGGCCCTGTTTGTGGTTTTGTTTCCATCCGTTATTTCCTTTTAGGAATAACCATTTAGCTGTTCATCATAATCTTATGTATTTGACCCTCCTAGATAGCTAATTACAGACTTCCATCCGCCGCGGAAGCATCTTCAAGAATCTGTTACTTGGTTATTTAAATCAATTTCTGTAATATTGTGTACACCACTCCATTTGTCTTTCGTAGCTCGTCTATCATGGTAGTGTATGACTTACCATGGCAATTTCTTCGGTCAAAGTAAGCAAACGAAAACCATATAGATGATGCCATGAAAATGGAAGTTCTATTGCTCTATTGCTACTGTCGAGGCTTTCTTCGCGCTCTTGAAAGCATCTGCGAAAGCATGAAATGACTAACATCCTCATCTGCCCAATAAGAAAGGTGGCTTGCAAGACTGGCAATCAGCGATATGTCAAAAGCGCCCCTAAATAACACGATTAGTTGGATTCTCACAAGTCATCACCAGCGCCTGTGCTCAGCAGGAATATATATATGAAAGCATCAAATGAAAATAGACACTCACTCTTGTATGCTATAGTCGACTCTGCCATTTGAGTTGAGAGCCCTAACCTTAGCTTCTTCCAATTTGACTTTCCGCGCGCGATTTTCGAAGTCCTTTTTTGAGAATCTCTCCGTATCCTCATATCGGGCCTTTTCAAAGCCTTCATATAGAGTCTCTAGATCTGAGTTTACCACATTCGGAGCGTGCAATTCCCTCCCCCCAGCACTGGTATCCTCGCTGTTTCTAGTCTCATACAGGGATTGGTTGTGCGGATCATGCAAGTGCAATTGCCCTTGTCCCGGTTTATCTTCAGTCTGCAAACCTAAGCTGCGATTTAAAAGACTACTTGCAACACCAGAGGTAAAATTCGTCCACAATGTTCCCACCCGAGAGCTTATATTGGACAGACTTTGACCCGATGCTGTCCAGATGCTCCTCTTCACGGAAGGAAGCGGCTGAGGCTTTAGGCTTGTCATAGCAGGGCTGATAAGTGGCTCAAGACGGTAGCTGACTGGGTCGGATGGATGAAAAATGTTGTACAGCTCTTCACATCTGGGTGAAGAAACACTAGAATTCTGTTCAAGTGTAGACTGTGATAAAGATGTATTGTTGAGTATAATGCTTCTTGCAGGATCCGAAGCACCTCCCAAACGGCGTCCTGCAATTGTTTTTGCTTTGAGCATCTGGAAAAGTGCAATAGGAGACCCAAGACAGAAAAACTCTTTACAGTCGAATTCAAGAGAGTAATCTCGCAATCTTTCAAGTTTCGATTCCTGGCTATGCATTGAGGCATCGTCTCGGGTCCCAACGTCTTTGTCGAGGTGAGGTTGGTGGTGACAGAGTATATCAAACATGATAGCGCTCCCCAAGGAATGGCCGCAGAGACTGACAGATCCTTTGAAAGAAGGATTACGAGTCTTGAAAACCTGGAATATTCGGTTACACTCTCGTTGGACAATATCTATTATGTGTTCCCGATATTGACTTTGATATAAGAGAACATCCATAGCTAGGTCAGAAATCAAATTACGAACCGCAGGTACACCCTCCAGTGTTATGTCGGCTAGACTAGGATACTGTTCATCCTCAGCAGAAAGGCTGACGGGATCCGCAAGGTCAAATTCTTTACGATTCTGGCGTAAGCCTTGCCGGGGGAAATCGAGTAAATGTCTCCAGCATCTGCTACCTATTAGCCAACCCTCGCACCTACAGAAAGAATACTTGAATAGCATGGCTGAGTGCTTACACAGGGAGAACTTGTACACGACAGTTTTTCTTACTGTCAGAATATGTCGCATTGAGGGTCTGTAGATCGGGAGAAGCGCCGTATACGGACTTCATTGTTTTTCTCAACACATTAACGTCGTGAATGAAATTGACACTCTCCAGCCTTATCCCAAGACGCTGACCGATTCCATGAGTAACGAGAACCAAATGTTCAATCTCCCTATCTCTTTCTTCACCATCTACCTCTCTGGAATCTTCCATTTCCTTCTCCTCCTGCCTCCTTGCCTCTTCCTCCAGCTCAGCCACGTTCTCAGTTTCACCATTCAGCGATGACATCTGACGCTGCAACGTAGCTCGATGCTCATTTGCTTCTCGGCGCGAACCAGATTTTCCGACTTCGTTGGTACCAGGCAAGTTCTCATGTGCGGTTTCGAGAATATCCTCGGTTTTCTCACTGGACTCGATAGTTGCCGCCTCGAGGGAAGCGGCCGATGCGTGGGTCTTTGGCATTGATCCTTTCGCATCTCCTTTTCCTTCAGCTAAATCCTTCTGGCGCCCTGGTTCAGTGTAACCTCTTACTAGTTTGGTACCTCCGACACCACCAAATCTTTGGTAAACGGTGCTGCTCATACGAGACATGAAGTCGTCATAATTTAGCCATGCAATCGAGGAATCCTGATAGGTTACCGTGCTATTCATATACGAACCAAAGAGACGGTGAACGGGCAATGGACTATTGAGTTCCGAATGACTGCTGTGGTTATCCCGAACAGTAGATTCTTCTTCATTGACGTATTTTTTCCCAACACCATCGGCAGTTGACGTTGGTCTATCTAGTATTTCACTAGTTCCTTTGCTGGAATCTTCTGCCGAGAATCCTGTCTTATTCTTATGCTGCAGAAATTGAGCTTGCCAAGGTTTTAATCTCAAATAACCCTCTTCGATTTGTATAGCGAGATTCTCCTCACAAGGCTTCAAGGTTGAGCCTTCTTGGAAGAACCAAGTACCGCGTCTTACTTCATACGTAGGGCCGAGCCAGAATGCGGGTCCAAGTTCCCTCTTATCAACATCAACATCATAGAGGTAGTCCTCGTTGACGGGGACTCTTATTGTGGTATCGGAAATTTCTAGAGGCTTGTTGCTACCACTGGAATTGGCGGTATTCACGCGGTCTTCGCATTTTATGAGGGTTTGAAAAGCATTTTCCACGGATTGGGAGTCCTTGAGCACAAATGGAACAAATTTTTTGGGAGTTGGTAAAGGCTTGGACTCTGTTCTTTCCGATGTCAAAAAGGCGGGTTTTGATTTGGGGACATCAACGGCATAGAACCATCTGGGTTGCAGAGGGGGACAATCATCGGGGTATCGTAGCGAGCTCAGTCTTTTTCGGTGAGAAGTGGTGTGGTCCTGCCCTTGTGTTTGCTTGAGACTCTCTCTATCACCAACGGGTTTTCTTTCGGGCTGAGGCGTCGAGGCCCGTGACGTTGACCATGGCGAGATTGACTCTAGAAATGATGGCTTTACATCAACGTCAGGCATTGTCGCCCGCCGGAAACGGAGAAGTCGCAAAATATGAGCCAGCTCGCCAGAAGTCAGGTATTCAAAGAGTTTGCGAAACAGTGGAAATGTAATAATGCATCATCCTAGGAGAAAGGAGATTATTATTTAGTAAGGTCGAACGCGTATTTAGATGCATGAGCATGCATGGCTAGGCTTCGCACGTGAAAGTCGAAACTAACAAACGCTGCGGGTATGCAAATAATATTGATGGGCCAGTCGACGTCATCGTCTCGCAGCAGCCACAACCACCGAAGCGCTTCCTCGCTGAAAAAGCAACGTGCTGCACCCAAGGGCGGCGTGCTTCGTATCCGGCCAAGCATTTATAGTAGTTATATACATAATGATACTTTGTCGTATATAATGATTATATACCGTGCAGCATAGTAGCCGGGACAAGACCCCTGATTGGCCAGGGCCGCATGGCCTGCCCCGCTTCGTCATCAGCCTGGCAGTGTTCCACGGGCATCCATCCCTCCATCCATCAACACCGCCGCCGCCATCCTCATCAGCCCAGGCGACAGCATATTTGCTCCATCACGTCTAGGCAGCAGGTTATTATCTAGCCTTTTGTGCCCTTCTTGTTTTCTCTTCAACCTTCAACACATAAATCAACACAATAATTAATTCATTCTGCTTGTATCCCCCCACTACCGTACTTGCGTCGTCTACCTTACCCCGCTTCGAATTCAGGACACGTTCTCCGCTGATCAGCTTGATCTGCGCGTTCGAGATGAATGTCCTTAAGCTTCAAAGGTATGCTTCGGTGTCTATTTTCGTGGTCGCTTTCAACGCTTGCAGACATCCACGATAGCCGCTCAACTGGAGGCAGACTCGCGCTGATAGTGATCCAGGAAGTACCCGCAGTTTCCTCAGAATGAGCTATTCTCGCTTCAGGATGCTTTCCACAAGCTTGATATCGACGACAAGGGTTATCTAGATGAGGCTACGGCCATCAAAGCAACACAGCAATCGGAACGCCTGCCATACGATGTCGTCAGGCAGGCTTTGAAGGAAGTAGAGCTCGATAGCTCACGTCGCGTTGAATTTGAGGATTATATCGATGCAAGTTGCTTCCTCGTAGCGCATCTATCTTGGGCCGGTTTCTAACGCCGTGACTCTTAGCTTATATCAAAGGTCCGAGATGCTGGTAGTACTCCAGCGAAGGTTGCAAACCCCGTACAGGCCGCTAGTCCGGGTGCTGGAAGTGGCGCAGGCTCTTCTCGCCATGTTTCGAAGGGGAGTGTCGGAGGCAAGATACATGTCCAGGGCTCTTCGGCGAACGTGACACACACGATCAACGAAGACGAACGAACTGAGTTTACAAGGCATATTAACGCTGTACTGGCCGGTGACCCAGATATTGGTCATCTTTTACCATTTCCGACTGACACTTTTCAAATGTTTGACCAATGCAAAGATGGTCTCGTCCTAGCCAAGCTTATCAACGACAGTGTGCCGGACACTATAGACGAGCGTGTACTGAACAAGGCGGGTACCAAGATCAAACAGTTGAACGCTTTCCACATGACAGAGAATAACAACATTGTAATTAACTCTGCAAAGGGTATTGGCTGCTCTGTGGTCAATATCGGAAGCGGCGACATCATTGAGGTCCGCGAGCACTTGATTTTAGGCTTGATTTGGCAGATCATTCGACGAGGGCTTCTCGGAAAAATCGATATCAAACTACACCCAGAGCTGTATCGACTCCTTGAAGAGGATGAGACATTGGAGCAGTTTTTACGTCTTCCTCCTGAACAAATTCTGCTTCGATGGTTCAATTATCATTTGAAAAATGCAAAGTGGGAACGACGGTTAGCGATTACATGTTTGAATTACTTTGGAAAATCGCGATGACTAACTTGAATTGGGAACAGGGTCACCAATTTTTCTACCGATGTTAAGGATGGAGAGAATTACACCGTTCTCCTTAATCAACTCGCCCCTGAATTATGCTCTAGAGGCCCTCTTCAGACAAGAGATCTGCTCCAACGTGCCGAGCAAGTTCTTTCGAATGCAGAATTGTTAAATTGCCGCAAATTCCTGACGCCCACGTCTCTTGTTGCAGGTAACCCGAAACTTAATCTTGCGTTTGTTGCCAACCTCTTCAACACCCATCCAGGCTTAGACCCGATTACGGAAGAAGAAAAGCTAGAAGTTGAGGATTTTGATGCCGAAGGTGAAAGAGAGGCGCGAGTGTTCACTTTGTGGCTGAATTCATTAGATGTACAGCCTGCTGTGAACTCTCTCTTCGATGATCTCCGAGACGGCACGATTCTCCTCCAAGCTTATGACAAAGTTATTCCCGGTAGTGTCAATTGGAGGCATGTTAACAAAGCTCCTGCCTCTGGCGGAGAAATCATGCGCTTCAAGGCAGTCGAGAACACAAACTATGCTATTGAACTCGGAAAGCAAAACCGCTTCTCTTTGGTTGGTATCCAGGGAGCTGACATTACCGATGGTCAACGAACTTTGACACTGGGACTCGTGTGGCAGCTTATGCGAAAGGACATTACGAACACTCTGTCTTCACTTGCGCAACGAATGGGGAAACGCGAAATTACAGATGCGGAAATGATCAGATGGGCCAATGATATGTCCCAAAAGGGAGGGCGCAACTCTACAATACGTAGCTTCAAAGATGGTTCAATTGGTACTGGAGTATTTTTACTGGATGTCCTCAACGGCATGAAGGCGAGCTACGTTGATTACGATTTAGTCACTCCAGGAAAAACTCCAGACGATGCCTATGCAAATGCAAAGCTAAGCATTAGCATTGCTAGAAAGTTAGGAGCAACCATATGGCTAGTACCGGAGGATATTTGCCAAGTGCGATCCCGGCTCGTGACAACATTCATTGGTAAGTAGACGAACTGAAGAGAGAGGGAAGTTTGTACTAACAGGTGTTCCAGGTTCCCTTATGGCTACCTTCGAGAAGATGTAGAAATATTTCGAAAGAAGGCTAGGGGGGTAAGAAAAATTCGATTATACTTATTTTGCCTATGAGTTGAAACTATATCACTTTATTTCAATAGTGTATACAGTAGGGATTTACATTTTTAAAGGATATGTAGATGTACTGAAATGACAAGTTACTAAGCAGCCAGGGTTTGTTTACTTGGTGTTGGTAATTGTAGTACTGGATGTTAATTATTATTCAAGGGGATCTTGAACGCAACTAAACCAGGGTTCTAACATATTAGATCCTAAATTTTCTGACAGCCACCCCCTTACTGCCTTGCCATGGATCCGGTACTTGCACAGGAACACTGTAAGCTACACCTCCTACCTGCATTAGCGCCTAGCCCTAGCCCTAACCCTACCTCAGCCTTAATCTCAAGTATTTCACAAACATCCAACTATATTAGCAAGATTGACTATATTGGATTTTCTTTCTATACTAGAGCCGCTAGTTGAGCCAGTCACACATATCGGCTAACAGAATACAAGCGAAACAGTTTATGCGGTATCTAATCCGACACTTCTATGGAAAATTCGCAGTGCTGCAGGCTTCTCTTCCAGCCAACGCTGCATCATAAAAACAGCAGCTCGGTTCCGATCCTGTTCGCTCGCCCACTCCAGTGCACTCCTCCCAAATTCATCTTCTTTATCCATTCTGGCCCCGTGCTCAAGTAATATGACGGTGGCACACATCCCAAAAATTCCAGGAATCGTGGCAGCCCGATGCAGCAGCGTCCTAGAGTCTCGACCACAAGCTATATTCACTAGGTCGTCTTTCAGATTTTCCACAAGTAACTGAAAAGTCTCTTGCAAAACTTCGAAGATTTGCATACTCTCGTCTCCAGCAGAGTCTGAACCGCAAGTCACCATACCTGTAACTTCCGATAGCAGGGGTACGTGAGGGTCTTCCTTATCTGAAACGATAATCATTTTAAAGTCGTCGGGTCCCGGAGACCGAGAGAGCTTGGTCGTGTTCAACAGATCGAGAATATAATACTCGGCAGTTTTCAAGAACCTCATAGGAGCAAAACAGTAGAAGTAGTAGTCCTCTGCTTTGCATGAGTATTCTCCTGCCCCGACGTCAGCTCCATTCTCAATCAGTGCGCGGATTATATCGCGCTGAAGACGAATTGTATGCAGTTTGGTTTCGTCCTGGTCTGTAATTGAAATCGGCTTGTCGCAGCTCCAGTATAACTCGAAATTGTTTTCATCTTCACTGGGATCATATACGTTCAGCTCAGCTCCATGGCATAGCAGCAGCTCAACGCAGGTGAGATATTCATTTCATCCCTTCTGATCAGATGGCCACTTGGATGCATCGCAAAGTTGAACAGAATGCTTTTTCCGGAATCATCAATTTCCTCAAGCGCATCATCAATATTTTCAGTGTCGCCGGCTTCAAGACTAACATTTATGATACTCTTCACTATCTCTGGAGACCCTCGCTCTGCTGCCAGAATCAAAGGATGATTTTCCTACCAATGCACTTCACCAATAAGCCATAAATAGTTCTTGGCAAGCAGGAGATTTACGACCTCTATATAGGGACCCACAAGGTCTACTCGTGGATCTTTGAGTATAAACGCAACTGGCCGCTGATGTCTTGAGTTCATGATACTCGTATCAGCACCTGCTTCCAAAGGCGCCTTGACACATGGTACATCAGCGTAAAAAATTATCCAATGCAACACGGTATCTCCAATATCATTTATGCCTTGTGAAAGAGCCTCTTTTATATCGCCTTTGCCAGCATTCGTCAACAGAAATACCAGCGTGTCAGCATTCCCTCTCTTAGCAGCTATAGACAGTGGATAACCGGCTTTCTTTGAGGATATACTTGCTCCACGACTAATCAGCTCCTCTATAAGTGATCGATCCCGATGGTAAATCGCCCATCGGAGTCCACTGCTACCCATATGTTTCGCGTTGTGTGTGTAGATGAAGGGAGTCACGATGTCTCTCAAGCGCCAGGATACCCGTGACAGAGCGATTAGATTTTGATTTACCCTTTCCAGTTCACCCTCCAGGCTGACATAATAATCTCGAGAAGGATTTCGGTGGGTAAACAGCCAAATTCTGGTTATGGTTTTGATGATAAGTAACCGACTAAAGTCCATTGTGAGAAGAAATTCCTGATAAATTTCCAATTACTAGTGTTCTCTGAGCCAGTTGATGCAGATAGTTCATGATTTATATCAACGGTAGCTGAAAGAAAAGGATGAGACATTTTGGAGACATCCTGCACCATTGTGGCTAAGTTACTAATCTTTATACAATAATCTGTTCTTATTCATTTCTTCTGAAATATATATTGTTTGCTTTCATCATCATCACCCCTAAGTTCGTTGTGAAGCTGTATCCTACATAGACATATTTCGTTGAGGTCGATGCCCTGTTCAGGAATCTGTATTTCTTTCCTTGTCATACCATTTATTGGGTTCGAATTTGATTCAGGTAAATATTTGATCACTTCTGAAGTCATGATTTGATCCACTTACAACGCCACGGAGGCTAAATTTAGTGATATAATAATAATATGTAGATATATAAGATCTACTCTTGGTTATAGATGAATAATGTCCATATGAATTATCACTAGTGTGGAATAGCGAGTCATGTTAACTTCAGCATGACTCTCACAAAACAAGAGATAGCGTTGTTTCCTCTTCTAAGATGACTACCCCCATCCTAAATGTACCTGAGGAGGGATACTTCTGGCTGTTTTAACTAGTATAGCTGATTGCTACAAGTGATAAACATTGGATGTCTCAGGCACCTCCCTCCCCAACCTGAAGCATTTGCACGCACACATTAGATATACCTTGACACTGCCCATGAATATAAGCATCTATCCATATTTCCACAATAAAAATTACAGCTGTTGGTGTTTTTAGCAGCATGATAATCCATGTTTAATACTACAAACATTGGCTTAAGGGAACTAATGTATAATACATGTGGATAAATAGTACAAAGAAATATAGAGAATACCTACCTTCATTATATACTTATGACAGTAGCCTGTCACCTAAGTAAAAGTATCTACTGCGCCTCCCTCGTGATATTCTAGAAACCATAAGAGTACTCTAGAACTATTGAAAACCAACGCAGTGCTTGTTTTTTACATTTACCATGTATGTGTCTATCTAGTTAGTCAATATCTACTTTCTTTCTGTTACTACTTGCCCTTATAAGTAGATTCTTCCTCCTCATGTTATTAGAGGAGAGTCATGTCGGTATATGTGGCACTAAGCATATTGGAAAAGGATTCGAAATACCCAAAACTACAATCACTAGCACCAAAAAAGTGTTGGGGTTTGGCAGAACAACTCCGGCAAGAGTTATATTTCTGCAGGATATGCTCTACTAACTAGTAGTAGTAGTAGTAGTATGTTAGGGTTTGGCAGGATAATTCCGGCAAGAGATATATTTCTGCAGGAGATCTCCCACCTCCCCATACAGATTGTGGTTTTCTGCTGGATATGCCCTGCTAAATGTAGATAGATTAGTTTGGGAGCTCAGTGTCAGAGTTCTGGAGCGAGAGATCAAAAACAGGAGTGTATCATTTAACAAGACTAATTTTATAGTTAATTTATTTAAAGTTTAAAATCTCGTATCTTTTGTATTTTTTCTTAATTTTTTGTATTGATTTAATTGTTATAAAGATATTTATATAAAAAACTAGATAAATTTTATATTAAATTAATAGATTTAATTTATAAATGATTAAATAATCTAATATTTAATTATAGGGATAGCGGAAAAACAACTCTTTCCTGTGGAATCGAATTCTTGAAATTCTATGCCCAAACACAGCCAGATTTAGCTAAGAATTAGTTCAATATAAATTAATTTAAATATTATTGATTAAGTCTAAATTTGTGCAATTTAAATAAAGCAATAGTTTAGAATAAGAAAATAATATTTTCTAAAACTAAAAAGTTAAATATATTATATATTTTATAATATACATATAAATAATTTATAAATATAAAAGAATTAATCAATATTATTAAAATAATACTTAATTATATTAAATATAGTGCTAAATAGTTCTAAAATAAATTTACTACTGGTTTAATAAAATAAATATAATAATTTAGTATTTAAATTCAAAATAATATAGATAATTTTAAAGATTTTATAAACTTTTAATAACTGTTAAAATAAATCTATTAAAATATTAAAATAATCTAAAAAAAATTATTATAAATAAAGATAATATAGAGAATAATTCTTCTTTTTTTAAAAGATTTTTAAGCTTAAGATTTATTTATTTATTTATTTATTCAAGTTTTACGACCTTACCCAGCTATAAGCTACAAAGGTCACGTGCCATTAGGGCTTCTAGAGGTCTATTAGGGGTTTAAGCCCCTAATCTCCCACGCTGCCACCCCCAATTGATTTTAAATGTTATAGCTGATCTGATTTTTTCGTCGCCCCATGCCGCTTATCTGCGCAGGGCGATTTGGGGGCCTTCTCGGGGCTGGCACGGCCTCGGACCCCTCCTGGAAGCCATACATACGGGCATTGCCTGCCGGTGGCAGGCCGCCCAGCCCTGTCACCCTTCCCCCGAAGCCCCCCCGGGGGCCCTAAGCTTAAGAATGATAATAAGATCTAATAAATATAATAATATCTCTCCTTTAGAATACTGATTTATTAATCTTAAATATTACTCTAAGTAAGTGAAATCTAGATAATAAAATAATAATTAGGATTTATAATATTATTTTATAATTAAATTTAAAAAAAGATAAAGCTAATTAATATTATTAAATATATAAAAGATTAGATTAATATATTTAAAATTAATATATAAATATATAATTTTATGAATGGCTTCCAGGAGGGGGTCTGAGGCCCTGCTAGCCCCGAGAAGGCCCCCAAATCGCCCTGCGCAGATAAGCGGCTTGGGGCGACGAAGAAATCAGATCAGCTATAACATTTAAAATCAATTGGGGGTGGCAGCGTGGGAGATTAGGGGCTTAAACCCCTAATAGACCTCTAGAAGCCCCAATGGCACGTGACCTTCATAGCTTATAGCTGGGTAAGGTCGTAAATAGGCTGTCATTTGGTTCGGTTCGGACCGAACCAAAACCGATCTGAAACCCGAATGGTCCGGTTCTGGTCCTATATACAGTGAACCGAAGTGGTTCGGTTCACCAAGTTTAGGACTATATGGTTTTTTGCGACCTATTTGGGTCTGATTTGGTTTGATTTTTTAGTTTAGTTTTATCTGAATATTTAAATACTAGTGGATTTCTATTAATAATATCAATAAATTTAGGGTTAATCCTAACTCTTTATAGTTTTTATTGATTAGATAATCATTTTTAAAGCAGCTTTTTATAAGTTGAATATTTATTTTTTTTTGAATTAGGATTTTGTTTTTAATAATTTTATAAATATCATAATCTAAAAGTTATTTAGATAGTGATAATATCTTTTCTATTTTTTATATATCTTTTTTGAATTAGATAATATAATCTAGGCTGTCATTTGGTTTGGTTCTAGTCCTGAGTTTCTAGACCAAACCTAAAAGTGGGTCGGTTCGGTTTAATCCTTAATATTGAAATCAAAACCGAAAACTGAATGGTTCTAGCTCTCTAAACTAGAACTGAATCACATTAAAGAAGAATTACTAATTAGTAATTATAATTAGATTGGTCTAAGTCTGGTCCAGTTTTCATTTAGATAACCGAACTGTATAAAAGAATTTTTAATTATAGTTAGATTATAACTTAAATATTAAGAATTTATTATAATATTTATAAAAATATCTAAAACAAAGTCCTAATTCAAAAAAATAAGAATTTAATTTATAAAAAGTTATTTTGGAAATGATTATATAATTAATAATAATTATAAAGGATTAGGGTTAATCCTAAATTTATTAGTATTATTAATGAAAATCCACTAGTATTTAGATATTTAGATAGAATTAAACTAAAAATCTAAATCAAACCAGACTCAAATAGGCCCTAAAAACCATATAATTCTGGACATAGCAACTGAACCATTTTGATTCACTATATATAGGATCAGAACCGAATCATTTGGGTTTCAGTTCGGGTTTTATTCGGTCCGAACCGAACCAAATGACAGCCTAATTATTATCTTATATTTTTTAAGACTTTATTATATATAATTATAAAAAATAAAATAACTTAAAATCAATTTAAAAGAATCTAAAATAGATTAAAACTTTTATATATCTAAAGGTCTGAAAAAAAAAACAGAATAAAAGAAATTAGGCTGTCATTTGGTTCGGTTCTGGTCCTGAGTTTCTGAACCAAACCCAAAAGTGGGTCGGTTCGGTTTGGTCACTAATATTGGAACCAGAACCGAAAATCGAACGGTTCTAGCTCTCTAAACTGAAACCGAACCACGCTAAAGAAGAATTACTAATTATGATTAGATCGATTCAAGTTTAATCCAGTTTTTATTCAAATAACTAAACCATATCAAAGAATTTTTAACTATAGTTAGATTTTATTTTTAAAAATATATTAAAATCTCTCTAAATTTTAGTGAATTAGATAAATAAATAATATAAAAATTAAAATTAATTATTTAAATTATAATTTTTTATCTAATTATTAAAATATACTGAAAAAATAGATAGATAATAATAAATACTATAGAATAAGTATAGAAATATATATATATATTTTCTCTGATAGATAGATTAATTATTAGTTATACAACATAATCCAAAAAATATAAATAAAAAGTAGAAAAGATATTATCATTATTCAGATAATTCTTAGATTATAATTTAAATATTAAGAATTTATTATAATATTTATAAAAATATCTAAAATAAAGTCCTAATTCAAAAAATAAAAATTTAATTCATAAAAAGCTGCTTTAGAAATGATTATATAATTATTATTAATAGAAATCCACTAGTATTTAGATATTTAGATAAAATCGAACCGAAAACTTAAATCAAATCAGATCTAAATGGGCTTTAAAAAATCATATGGTCCTGGACTTGGTGAATCAAACCGCTTTGGTTCGCTGTATATAGGACCAGAACTGGACCATTCAGATTTCAGATCGGTTTTGGTTCGGTCCGAACCGAACCAAATGACAGCCTAAAAGAAATAATAATAAAATTACTATAATTAAGTTGCTATCAAAAAAGTCTATAAAATTAACTATCTTAATAATACAAATATATTTCTTAGCATTAAATTTTATAATACTAAAAAAATAAAAATCTTCTATACTAATAAGACTAGTCTTTATATATTTTATAACTAATATAATATTAAAACTTATATATTATAAAACTAACTACATTTAAAATTTATTTTATTCTATTTCTAAAAAGATGATATTAAATAATTTCATTTAAAATATAAAAAAAAGCTTAGTTAAGAATATAATTATTTTTATATATTAATAAATATTATAATAAATTGAAAATAGTCTCTTAACACTTAATATATTTTCTACTTCTTTTTCCTTTTGTGCTACTATATGCTAATATGTGGCTGTGCACTCTTAGAAGAGGCAGAGGTATATTTAATTGTAAATTAAACTGTAAGGGCTAGGGTTTGTAGAGCGTGAATATGTTGATTCCTATGTCGAATGAGGCTTCACTAGTATGTGCCCTGCGTATGGGTAGCTATTCGCTACCCCCTTTTACTATGAGGATTCGGCCCAGTGTTTATGACCGGTGTCTCTAGACACGTGACTCACTAGCGCCCGCGTCACGTGCACTATATAGAATCAACACCAACCTCTGTACATTCGAATAGGGGCGTTACATAAACAGATGAAGAATAATCAATATTCTTTATTAATATTTCTAAATATAGTGTTAAATTAATAAAGATGAGCTAATGTATTTTAAAAAATCCCTATTAGAAGATTTTTTTTATTATAAATAGATTGATCCAAGTTCTATATAAATATAGTACTAGTTTTTCAGTTATAAGATAGTAATATTTAAGATCTAATACTAGGAGTGCTTTTTAAGCATATTATGGAAGTATATGATAGATTGATTAAAGCCATGGAATAAAATAAAAACAGGAGAGTGATATTGAGTCAATATATAGAATATATATAATTCTTTAAATTAATATATTTGCCATTGTATTTACCAGATTTAAATCCCATTAGATAATTCTTTGCTAAGCTTAAGACCTTTAAGGTGAAAATAATAAATTTATAAGAAGAATTCTAATTAAAAATTTGATTACTTCCTAGAATAGTGTATTAATATAATTAATAGACAAGATTATAATGCTAAAAGCCATTTCTAATATACAGATCTAGTGATAGAGAAATATATATTAAAAAATAATAATATCATAAAATATATACTAAATTCAAACAAAGAAGTGCTAATCATAGACCCTTAACAATCACTTATCTTCTATTAATTAGATTAAGATACATATAAATATAACTACTATATCAAATAGTTTAAGGCTTAAAATTAATACACTATACCTATTCCTATTTTACCACATCATCTATACAATGCGCTGGCTATTAGATAGAATATCTCATATTACATAACACCTTTAAAATTCCTTAAATCAAGACCATTTTTTAAAGAAACTATTCATTTATTCTCTTTATCATCATCAATCCACATTAATATAATTTAAAGCAATAATAAATATATCTAAAAGGAATTCTAAAAATTTTATAAAGATAATATATAATACTATTTTTAAAGATAATTATATTTGATCACTCTATGATCAAATATTCTTTTATTATATTATAGACCCAACATCAGAATTCAAATCAAATCAAATAACTATAAATACATAGTTTTAAAGAATATTCTTTACAGAGAGACTATATATTTCTCAGCAATATTTAAGAATAAATTCAAAGAAGGACAGCAACTCACAACGATTTTAGAAGACATAGAAGGGTCTGTATCGGTGCAGAGTCAAGAGGCCTTCTCCGTCGCCAAAATGTAGTCTACATCGTCACACTAGTGAAATACAAAGCAACAGCTCAGCACCGGAAACGTACTCTCGATCTGACTGAGACAACTTGAGATGTCCAGACCGTTATTGTCAGAGTGGCATACAGCTCTGGCTGATCCCCGCAACTCGGATTCCGTAAACTCTGACGATATATCTCTCTTATAAAACATATTATACAGTTTTTTGTTGTACTAATCTTGAGTAGTAATTCTTAGTGGTGATCCTTAGTGGTAATCCTTAGTGGTGATCCTTAGTGGTGATCCTTAGTGGTGATCCTTAGTGATGATCCTTAGTGGTGATCCGTAATATTGTGATCATAATAAAGCGTTAAACATTCCATTCTTCTTTCCCATAGATACTGTAATCACGTTTTCGAAAATTATATATACTGTAGATTATAGTTACACCACGTTGCTCCACTCATAACGCCAACGTAATCATATCAAGGCCTAGAAACATTGCGTATTTTTCCAGAATCCAGCGCATGTAAGTTAGTATAAACAATTTTAGCCCTGCATAGCACACGAAGAATAAATTAAAGATTATTATTAGTAGTTAAAAAGATGGCGGGATGGCAGAGCCTCGCTAAGGGTCCATAGAGATGTCTCTCTACTATTGATAGTACGTATTGTCCATATTTAGATAGTGGAAACCGACCATCTACCCCGACTGTCCGCTCTCACGCCAACAATCTGACACCGATCGATCCTCTCTACAGGGTAGTGTTGGGCAATATTTATTATCTGGATACAATATACTTCCAATGTCTCAGGTATTTATAGCATTTTCACTACTCACAATCTGGATTCTATAACTAACAGTAACCAGGATGCACAAGAGGTTTAAATAGGGCGATCACGACTAGTCAATCGATTCTTGAGACCTACTGTAAAACACACATTTCATTACTAAATTTCCTCTCTATCCAAGCATTTCTAATATTGGCTTAGCCTTCCTTAGAACTCCAAAAGATGAAGATCTCAACTCCTTTGCTTTTGGTGCTAGCCGAGCGATCGGTGGCGCTCGCACTGCCTGCAACAACTATGGCGGTTGCGGATATAGTCCGCCGTGACGGGATTGACTGGCATGTTCCAACTTATGACGACTTTGGGGCCTCAGAAAATGATTGCAGCAACTTCGCCATTAAATCTACTACTAGCGTGGCTGATCCTAAGCTTGACGACTGTCAAAACTTAGTTAATGCTCTCCAAGGCGAGGGATTCATTTTAATCCTTAATGACGGCTTTAATGGCGGCGAGTGGACAAACATTGTTTCATATGGCACTTGCAATTTATACATTGATACAAAGGGGTTTCCATCCGCCACAACAACAGCTACGGTCGAGGTTGCGACAAAAGACCTGATCGATATTCTTCAGAACGTGATTACCTGGGCTATACCTCTGTCGTCGATATCAATAAATCCAAGCTTGGTGGATCCTATCAGTATCAGCGAGCCTACTTGGGCCCCCGGGTCTCTCCCCGGTTCGACTGGTAATATGTGAGATATAAATCCATTACTCTCCCTTTATATTCTTTGACTGACATAGATCAGGAATTGTGAAAACTTTACACCTTCAGTCTCATGGAGGGTTCAGGGTTCAGCATAGTCATTTTTTTTTGAGATTTGAAACAAATTATTACAGGAGACTCAAGAACATCCTACCTTTAGAGCTGATCTTCTCGAAGAAGTAAGAAGGACTCTTAAGGAACTAAGGACCAACCAATATATTATCAGTTATTAGGATTCTCTATATAATAATAAAAAAAAGCTTACTAGATTTATTATTTTTAATTATTTATATTAAAGCTGTATACCGGGGCCCCCGGGGGGGCTTCGGGGGAAGGGTGACAGGGCTGGGCGGCCTGCCACCGGCAGGCAACTGTCAAAAGTTGTCAACAACTCGTCTCAAGATCGGAGATCTTTAGAGGATATTCTGCTAACATAAGATAAAAGAGTAATAAAGATCAATATTAGAGGGCTATCTATCAAGAATGATAGTAATAATAAGAAGATTATTGAATACTAAATAATAGTATGCTATTTGAGATAAAAATAAAAGATGATCAACTAGATATATGATGATTAAAAGAGTATTTATATATATTAAGGATATTAAAGCCATGCTTTAATATCTAAAATTGTTGCTTTATTATATAGAAGCTATGCTTCTATATGTTGAAGCTCTGCTTCATTGGGTTATGTGCTTGGCATATGCTGGAATCAGGCATTAATACACAATATTCATGTTGTTGCATCAATAGCTGTGGCTAAACTGAAGGTATAGCTGTTTTTAATATTGTTTCCGCAATATATAATTGTATTTAATAATAATTTTATTTATTATTATTTAATTTCTGTTAGATATTTATGTAATAGTGTTCATTATAATATTTATTGATTGTGATTTATTGATTCTTGTAATAATCCCCTTCTTTGAAGGCTGATATCTTAATAATATAATAAATAGTCAGCTATGCCCATGTTCTCAAGTGAGTATTTTTATTTTATAAATCTCTATATTTGTGATGATAGTCTAATTATGTTTTTAAAGAAGCTGTCTTGTATTTGAAAATTGAAACTTGCTAATCACTTAAAGGATGAGGGTTTTAAAATGATTATTCTTTATGTTTATTATACGAATTTAAATAAATCTTATATGATGATTAAAGAATCTTTTTATTATGGTGAATGTATTCACTCAAATCAAAAATATACTGAATTAAAAATTTCTTTTTTAATAAAAAATAGTAGTGGTTTGTGGCTACTTAAAATCAAATCTGTATTTAGAAGAAGGAGACTTTTAAGAAACTTTATTGTCTAGAGCTATAGAATAATTTTCTTTAGAAATATGTTGGTGATTTTATAGCAAGGGATATATAGGATATCGTTGAGCTAGAAAGATTAAAGGAGAAAGAACAAAAAGAAGAGGAAAAATAAAAGTGGGAAGAAAAGTAGAGAAAATTGACTGAATAGTAAATCAATGAAATAGCTATTGTTATTTTTTAAATTTATTCTAAGTTATTTAAAAATAATCCCTTTGACTCCTTATTCTTTAAGTTTCTTAATAATAGAAGATTTAAATCTTTTCTGAACAATTTAAATGCCTAATTAATTCTTATAAGTTATATTTAGATCCATATTCTACCTATTTAACTAAATAAAAGATTCTTTCTTATTCTAACTTCTGTTTTTTAATAAAGTTAATCTTGAATTTATTATTACCAGCTTCATCTTTATTGTTTTTTAGATTTTCTATAGATTCTAATAATGAGATATAAAATATTGAATATACTTTTATTTTTATTAATAATTGGAGTTTATAATTATTATTAATAAGTTTTTCTTTAATTTTAAAAGATCTATATTTAACTGTATTAAGTTTGTTATTTAATCTCTTATTTAGAATATTAAAATTCTTCTATTTTATAGTTTGTTATAAAAAGTAAACTTTCTTTTTTTTTTAAAGATTGGCGCATTCTTATACTTTCTATTGTAATAGATTTTTATTTTTTATTTTGTTTATTTAATGTCTTATGAAATTGTTTAATAGAATGTCTGAAGGTTTTTAGCTTATATTATTGTTATTTCTAATAGTTCTTTTCTTAGTATATTAGATTATGTTATTCTTAGATAATGTCTAAGATTTATAAAATGTAATACTTATCTTATAATTATATTTATTATGTTATTCATTGTAAATTGTATTATTAGTAATACTTATACCTAATTATTTTGTTTTTAATCTATATAGTTCTATAAATATTATTTAATTGATTGAATTATTCTTTTAGACTAATTATCAGTCTATTAGTGATTTACTATTAATAATTTGTGTTTTATTCTGTATGTTTTTATAATTATTTGCTAGTAGTTTACTATAAATAGCTTATTTTGATCTATGATAATTTCCTTTAGTAAATTAGTCTATGAAAATATTTCTTATAGTATGAGGTTTACACATTGTTTTATGATTATGTTTTTTAATATTGGTTATAGGATTATATATTTAGTTAGTCTATTGATAATTATTATAGTATTGATATAGGTTATTCTAAAGATAGATTCCTTTAATTCTGGTAATCTTTGAATGAAATTGATAGTAATACTTTGTTATACTTTTTTTAATATTTTAGATATCTATATTTTTCTATAAGATTTATATATTAATAATTTGTTCTAATTATAGTCTTTATAGTATTTAATATAATCCTTAACCCTTTTTTTGAGATATAGAAAGTAATATAATTGATTTATTATTTTAACTGTTTTATCAATTCCTTAATGTCCTTGATTGAATAGATTATGGTGCTGTTTAATAATTTCTATAGTCATTGTTTATAGTATTCTGATTATACTATTCTATACTGCTAATTTATCCTATAGTATCATTATTCTATTATATAGTTCTTATTGAATTTATTTATTCTTTTTTGTTTCTTTTTTTAGTTATTTTTTAAATTCTGATTCTTTGACCCTGATAGCTACTGCTAAAACAGTATTATAGTTATATTATAGTACTTCTGAGTTCTATTTTAAGATATTTGTTTTTAATGCTTTAATATCAATTATATAGTCTAATTATCTACTTAATATATTTACAGTGATATTCTACTTTCCTAGTATATATTCAATTATATATTCATATTATAATAATTTCTCACACTATCGTATTTGTTTTTTTGATAATTCCTTAGTTATTATGAAGTATTTTAGATTCTTATGGTTGATTTTTATAATAATTTTATGCTTAGATCCTTAAAGATAATATTATCATTGTTAAAATGTTTTAATGATCACTAGCAGTTCTCTATTATATATATTATAGTTAAATTTAGCTTTTATGTATTTTTTTAAATAGAATGCGATAGTATGCGTTTCTCTGTTATTAATTTATTCTAGGATTGTTTTAATTATATATCCTAATATATCTATTCATATAATATTCTATAATTCTGGATTGTATAGCTTTAAAATTGGTATATGCTTAATAAGTTTTTTAATTTTTCTAAATATTTGCTGACGCGCTATTATCTATTTAAAAGGTTTATTCTTTTTTATCAGTTCTGTTAATAAGATTATAATAGTGGTATATCCTTCTATAAATCTTTATATATAGCTAGTAGCTCTTAGAAATGATTATACATCTATAATATTCATTAGAACTAGCCATTCTAAGATAATATCTAGCTTTTCTTTTAATATTTTGAGTCTATTTAATATATAAACCATTTCTAAATATTTAACTTATATGATGTTGAATTCATATTTCTTGATCTCTAATATGAGTTCTATGTCTATGAATCTTATTATGATTTTTTATACATATTCATTATGTTTGCTAAGATTCTTTAAGAATACTATTATGTTATTAAAATATACTATAACGAAATTATTTAAGTATTCTTTGAGTATATATATTATATATCAAGCAAATTATATTAGTAGGTTTTTTAATTTTATTAGAATGACAATCTATTTATAGAGTTTTTTATTTATTAAGAATGCTATTTTATAGATATCTTCTTTATATATTCTTAGATTATAATATCTCTATTTAATATTGAATATTATCATAATTTTTATTCTTTATAATAAATCTCTTTTCTATTCTTAATATAATGCTTTGTTTATGTTGTCTATTATTTGATTATTGATTGATTAATAATTATGTACTATCTATAGTATTAAATCTTTCTTTGATATAAAGAGATTTAATACTGAATTTGCTATTTTAGATTCTTGAATATATCTGATTAAATAAAATTTATTGATAAATTTATCTTTAGTCTTAAGTTTTTATACTGATTTCTGCTTTTACTTAATTTGTTTTAATACTGATCCTAGTTTTAGATTTATGGTTACTTTATACTTAAATGGGTATATTGATAGTTAATATTCTTTCTTTATAAATAATTTGATGTAATTATAATATTTCTTTAATAGCTTTTTAAGTATTTCTATAAATTTCTTTTTATATATTTTCTTTGATTTTAATTGAGTTGGTATTATTTTCTATTCTATTTTATTAATCTTAGTAATATTTATTTTAGATTGCTTTTTTATATCTTTATTTATTTGTAATATTATATTATTAATCTTTAATGTTTATCTTTTCTAATTAATGATTAAATTCTGTCTTTATAATTAGGTCATTCTAAGAATTATATTGTAGTGATTATGGTTTAAAAATGAAATTCTAAATATCGTGTTCATGGTGTATTTTTTTGATTTTAGAATTATATTCTTAATTATTTGTAGATATTCTTTATTAAAGATAATTCTATCTATGGTGGTGGTTGTCTGTTATTATTATATTTGCTTTATTAATACTTTATATTTCTTGATGAATTTTTTATTAATGAAGTTTGTTAATGTTTTAAAGTTAATAAATACTCTTATTGACTTTCTATAAATTATAGTTTGTATAATAGATATATATTCTATTAATTTATTATTGATAGTTATTGTAATGATAACTTTCTCTATATATTATAAGTAATATTTTTTTTATGTTTCTCGAAACTATATTTATTCTTCTTCAGTCATTCTTATCTTTTCTTAGTGTATATAGTAGTCATCTGCTCTACATTTAGCGCTTTTAAGATGATTATAGCTTAGATATCTCATTTTTTTGTATATATACTGACAATCTTCATATTCCTTAGAGTATTTAAATATTGATTGATAGAAGATTTTTAATAATATAGGAAACCATTTATATAAGTTCTTATTTATCTAATAGTATATATATATTTTATCGAAGCATAGTGTTCAGTATATTTCTAAGTGATTGAATCCATTTAACTTAGAATAATAGTGATAGATATAATTGTATATATACTCTAATATTTTACTGTATAAATATATTTCTTTTAAGTAAAATAGTTATTCTATTTCTTTAATTAACTTAAGATTATTCTTACTGTAAACTAAATATTTCTTAAATATCTATTCTCGATACTTTTCGTATATATTAATGTGTTATTATTATATCTAGAATGATTCTTTCTAGTATATTGCTTTGGAAGATGTATAATAATATAGTTTTTTATCTTTTATATCTTTTATAAACTCATTTTGAGTTTCTATAATCTTGTATTTTATTTCTGAGAATTCTTTTTCTATTCTTAAGATGTCTTGACTCGATTTTGGGCTTATTGTTCTATTTCTTAGGATCTTTTTTTAGTTTTTTTTGCTAATATTGATAGATCTTTATATTGGCCATTCTTAGGGTAACTAATTGATGGATTCTGCTAATTTTAATTTCTATAGGATGTTTAATTCTTAATCTGAGTTTTTATGGTTTATTATCTTTTAATCATTATCTTAAAATATTAGATTATATTAGATTTCATTTTTTAATAAAAAATTATCAGTATTTTAATCAATATTATATTGTTCTATTGATAGCTTTAGTCTATAGGCAGATTGATGCCTAGCTCTACTTTTCTGGTGAGAGTATGCTTTTTCTGGGTTAATATTTTTTTTTTAAGCTGTATTTTCCTTGAGTATCTTTTTAATGTATTTATTAAATTTTTTAAAACTCCTTTATTATGTTATAATTAATTTATATTTCTATTTAAATCTTTATTTAATAATCCTGTTCTATATTTTTTTAAGATTCTTTCTTTCTTTTTTACTGTCTATTCCAGTGATTTTTTAGTATAGAATAGAGAGTTATAAATTAATAACTGCTGTTTTCTAATAGCTGATATTATTAGATTTTTATCTTTATTGATACTCTTTTATAAAATGTTCTTTTTATCTGTATTTATAGCAGATTTTTTTCTTATATTTTCATTCTTTCTCTTCTTTGCTAATAACGGCATTGAGCTGTATTCTAACATCTTTATTATGATTATAATGAGGCTTTCTTAGCTGTATAGTATTTACTTAATGATTTTCTTAGTATTGATCTTTCTTTTCTATAAGCTGATTATATTATTAAAGGTCAATCTATAATGCTACTTCTATCATTTTATGAAAGGTTTTTAGTTAAGGATTTATTATTGAAATTATATCTTTAATATTTTTCTTAAGTCTATTATAATATTGGTCTCAGTATATTTAATCTCTATAATAAAGATTACTTATAATTTAAAGATATATCAACATATATTTCTTTATAGATTAGACTTATTAAACATTTTAAATCTTATAGATTACTATAAGCTTTTTATTAATAATTCTATAAAGTTATTTAAGCTTAATGACAAAGTATTTATAATTTATAAATATTAAAATTATTTTTAGATTCTTCTACTCGATGCTTATTTTAAGCTAATTTTTAATATATAGTATAAATCACTTTATAATATTTTTAATTAGGAAACTAGATACTGTTAATACTTTTATTTTCTTAATATTGATCTTCGCAGTGTTATTAAAGAAGTAGATTTTTATTTGAGTAAGAAATAT